AACCACCCTAACCCTAAGATTAAATCCCTTGGACCCTAACCCACTTTTGTTTCCCCATACTAGAGCCGCTCACCCTAAATCCCTTGGTGTCTAAGGGAATTACCCCTATGGGTTAGGGTCACTCCACCTACTCCCATCTGTTAGGTTCTAGATCCACTTCCCTTACCTTGATCTACACTATATACAGTTCCTATTACACTGGCATCCCCCACCTCAAACACTCTTAAGCATATTTTTTTTTGGTCTCTCTCGGCCTAGTTAGTACCTTTCTGCTAAGTTATAACCCTTGTGATATCTAAGTCATTGTTCCCCCATAGCTCTTCTCAAGTAGACACTCTTTGGTCTTGCATCTGGCCCTACTATTTTCTAGAAAGAGGGCTGTATCCAGCTACTGTTATAACCGAATACTTCATCCTGCCAATTTTTCAAAACCGCCCCTTTCAAAACGGCCAGGCAGTCAATCGCTCAGTAGGTCAGAATATATACTTACCAGCCTAGGAAAAAGAGGAAGGTAGAATACTGTAGTCATCAAGGTACACAATACCAAAAAATGGGATTCTCAGGACCTCGCCAGCTGCATATAAGTTTGATTGGCTCACTTACTGTCACTGTTTGCTCCACTTTGGAGTACCATTTCTCCAAACTTCCCTCGGAAAGCCTAGTAGGACTAGATAGTATGACAGGACTCAAGGAACATAATATTGGAGATGCGAAAATTAAATGTGAACATTGATAAAACAAACAACAGTAAAAGAAGAAGAAAAAATGGGAATAAGGAAATAAGCAGATTTGCTTCCTTTTCCTTTCCCACTATATAGCTTTATGACGACTGAGAGGGTCGCCACAATGAATTAAGTCAAAGAACTGTCACCGCAGATCCACTTCAACCATCACAAGATGTTTATTGACATGTCTTACTTGTAAAGTAAAATAGTCCATCTACGCGCAACAAAACTCCATGGTTTTTGATCAAATGGCCCAGGCTACCCCTCAGGGAACAGAGGCATCGGCCCAGCCATCGCCTTGATGCATGTAATATTCGATATCCCGCTTAGGATCGTCAGCATTCTCATCCAAGTTCTGGCCATCCATGAATTCAAGTATCAGTTGAGTTGTCCAGGACGCCCTTTCGCGAACTCGGAAAGGAAGAACCTCTCCCTTATGATTGACAGCCAAAAACAACATCCATCCCTCTTCACACGCTTTGCGATCGGCAACAACAACCATAAGAGACTGATGCATATCGGGCTCAGGTGGTCTTTGATACAGCTCTGTTGGCCAATTGCGATCTGAGAGACCGTCCAAAATATCTGGTCTGTGCATTAAAGCAGTGATCATATATGATGGCACAGAGCCTGGCGTGCCGCAGGCTACTCCATCGATGAAATCAGTAATTTCATCATCCTCAGACATAAAGATACTATCAGGTCCAAATTCTCCTTCGTTCTCAAAGAAGCACTCCTCTTCCAGAACATCGTCAAGATTATCTTCAGCAGCAATTGAACGGATGCGACTGTATCCCTCATCGGCAGCATTCCGACTGGCCGGGTTGTCTTTTCGCCCGAACCAAGTCCGAATCCAGAGTAGTCTTGTGGTATGGCCATCTCTTTCTCGATCCTCACCCGACATCAAATCTTGAGGTACATTAGAAGAAATCTCCTCGGGAAACAGGTCGCCACCATCTGGGTATTCCTATTTCCTATCCGTCAGTGTTGATGCCAAGAAAGAAGACTGGGCCAAGGTTACATTGCGACCGTCTTTGCCAAGCCGAGCCCAAGAACCAACAAGGTCGCGGAATTGTTGGGATTTTGGAAGTGAGGAATTGGGGTCCCATTTGTCCTGTTATTCAAAAAATCAATAATCACGTACTGGGCTCGATGCTTGACATGCCCTAGGAATTCCGAGAAGCTCTCATGTTGAATATATTCATACCATAACATAATAATCGAAAGGCAAATGCCCAAACGGCCTTATTTTGATTTCATCAGGCATTTTAGAGTGAAGCGATCGTTAGAGGACTGTTCTTGTGGATGCTCCAGGTCGTATTGAAAAGAAAGTAGCGCGATTTTACTAGGAGTACTGGAGGAGTACTGGTAGTTAGAGGTAAAATGGAAGAGTTCAGTCCTGCCAGTTTTTGTGGGGAGAAATTTTAAATACTTTCGGGGTCTCTGGGCAAATTGAACCTTGGAAACATTTTGGAAAGCGCGCGGGGGAGGCGTACATTATATACTAGTACTACAATGGAGACCCGGCGCTTGGTCACGCGTTCAAATTTGCTACCATTTAGTACTAGCGATGTTTACTAGTAGTATGTACTAGTACTAATATAGGCATCTGAGCTGTCTAACCTTCAAATGTTGGAACATTTAAAGATTCCCACAAGCAAGGCGCATTTATCTAGTACTGGTACATGATTGGACTACATCAATTGATCAGTACCACTGGCAATGGAACTTATCCACTACTAGTAGCTATCTAGTACATGTTTGAACATTTGAAGTTAGACGCCAGATGTTCAATTTCGGTATGCTAGTATCAAACCGCTATAAGGTGGGCTTTAGAGTCCGTGCATATATACTAGTACTAGACCCTCAAACCTCTTAGCAGCGGATGCAGTCACCGTATGCGCATATCCTCAAATTGGACATGTGATACAATCAATCGAGGCGATTCCCGAAGTGCACCCTGGCATAAGATTTGATGGCTTATATTGATGACAAATCAAGGTCGAAAACCTCCGCATCCTCTGGAATTTCAATATCTTTTGAGAGGCAGTGTCAGTTTCAGAGCCACAAAATTCAGAAAGGACAACTTAAAAAAAACTCACCAGTCACATTGAAAAGCTCTTCTTGGGTTGGTTCTTCCCCTCTTTTGATTTTGGCTGAGGCGACTGAGTTATCAAAAGCGACATTGCATCTATTGCAAAAATCATATTAGCGGCCGAAAAGTACTGCGCAAACCAAGGAGAACCTTTGGTCTTACTGTGAAACTCTGATGAAGGGACCCCAATAATTATGAGGTCGCGTACTTCCTTCAACCACACACCACGCGTTCCACTTGATGACTTCATAGTTTGAGTTGCCCAGCAGATTGAAAGCCCCCACAACCAGTTCAATTTTGCTTTCTCTGCCAGTACCGCCGCTGACCAGTTTGTGATTGAAAATTTCGTAAGGTGATCCCTTCGGTCCAGTAGCGGAATCTGAGTTAAAGAGGTGGAAAGTAAAGCTCTTCTTGTTATTGCCAGCGTGGTTCCATGCCTTGTCCTTGTCAACCGGAGATCTCCCACTTCCACTTCCAGTGATATCTGGATCTCCCCAGTTATCTTGCCATTTCTGCCATTCAGTCTGAGTATTTCCTTTATTGTCCTCCCAAGTAACCTTTTGCTTTATTTGTCGGGGTAAAGAGTTCAAGTTAGCTTGCGTGGACTGCTGGTACGTGGGGACACACATTCGACTATTCGACACCGGATTGCCACCTTCATCCAGAGAGTTGAATGGAAACTCGTCGCAGCTAAGCCAGTTTTTGTTCCCTGGAGGTCCATCTCCTTTACCAGTCAACTTCCCAAGAACTGTCGATATGGATTTACACCGTTCGCTCCATATCTTTTCCTCTTCGACTTTTTTGCCGTTCTCATCCGTGTAGGTGTATTTATGTTTTGAGTATACGCCACAAACGTTGTCTCGGTTGACACCACCTACACTTGAGCCTGACAGGGCGAAGGTGCCGGTAAATGGACCGGAACCAAGACCTTGCGCATCGAAGTAATTCATGATATTATGGCAAATACCAGGAAGTGGTCTTCCCTTCACCGTCTCGTCCGGAAAGTACTTGCAATTGTACATCATCGCTGGGATGGTGCTGATACAGCTTTGGCCGGAATCAACATCCATAGAATCACCGTCATCATCATCATCATCATCATCGGCTCGCTTTGTCTTGGATTTGGAATTTGCAGGGTTCCATTCGCAAGAGCCGCCTGTACAAGCCCCACTGGCACATTGCCCTCCGTCGTTGCATGTGAAAAAACTCTGGTTTGCACCAAAAGCAGCTACATCTTCAACAGTGGCTCGCTTTGACAGCTGATGGGGCAATATTCCAGTTGGATCTAGCCAGTCTTCCTCTGTGACGAGAGTTGTATTGTATATGGGGATGAACTTGTCGGCGCCATCTTCTTCTGGCAGAAAGGGATTTCGCTTCGAGAGGGAGGCAGAGCCATGATGTTCCCACAGGATCTTCTGGCGGCCAAGACCATTGAAGAGTGTTCTTGCTGCTTGAAGTTAGATTTGGAACTCGAACATGGATATTAGCTGCTTACGCTTAAGGGCATAGCTCCCTAGCCATTTGAAACTGAAGTTTGTTAGCCGCATTATAACGAAATTGGAGTTTCCTCGGCTGCTTACACTGCTCGTCCACCAAGTCCTAAATTGATATAAGAGTAAGCGTCATATCATTATATGGCTCAAAAAAGCTTGACTCACCGAAGTTGTAAAAGTATTTGATGTAAACGCTGTAAGACGCGGCAGGTGGATTATCAATCCCAGCGCTGGCCTGCGCCTCTACCTCAAATCGAAGTGTATTGTTGACAAAGCCAACAATCTGGGAATCGATAATGGTACCGCCCTTTTTTATGGGAGCATTGACCTTGATTCCCAAGTTTACCTCGGGTGTGATTTTAAAGTCGATGTGCACGTTGGCTTCAACACTTGCATCCAGAATGGGGACCATGTCTGTTCCCTCTGATTTCTGCTCGTCCTTGCCGTCTGGTTGAGCAAACTTCTGAAATTCATCTGCTTCATCCACCTGCGGGAAGTACATTTCATACTTTGGGAATGTGACCTTCGCCCCAGCGGTCAACTTCCCAGCCACTCTGGCTCCCGCTTCCATGCCTCCCCAGAGATCCAAAGTAGGTCCAACAGCGGCAATTCCTTTGATTGCTAAACCTGGGTACGAGAGGGTGTCAATGATTCTGATTCTAGGGCTGCGGTATGTCATTTCCGCACTTCCCTCAATCTCAATCATTGCCTGCACTTCTGGTTCGAGCTCAAAATACGTATAGACTGTATCTATACTCATGGGAATAATAGTTCCTTCTGCATAGTAAGCCCATCGTGCATTCATGTCGAATTTCGCGTCCAATGTGACGTCTAGACCAGCCTTCAAATTCACGTTGCCTCTGGTACACTGAGCACGTCTACTATAGAGTAGCATTTTCTTGTGGATTGACATAGGCAGCTTTCCTTTGTCCGAATTGCGAACGGTGGTCAGCTTTTTGATCCAGTCGGGATAAGCACCCCACCAGCGCTTCTCATGTCGCAACTCTCGTTTGCTTTTGCCGGCATCAGATCCAGAGCCAGTCATTTCGTCCCAGTATGGTACAAGGTTTGTATAGTCAATCCGCAAATTGACCGTTGAATCCTCTCTGCGAATCAATTCAAACCTGTAATCGATTGTCAAGTTGTACACAACTGAATCATGTTGGTCAAGGGCACGCTTTCTAATGTGGAAGTCAGAGAGATCGGTCTCCCCAACTGGCTCCATCGAAATAATACGCGCATAGGGACCAGACCCAATGTGGCGAGGAAGAGAGATAATAGTATCCGGAGCGCCTCCCTTGAAGACCTTCTCACAAGCAGCTTCTCGACCCTTTCGGCAGTAAATAAGATGGGATGACTCCTCGTGCTCGAAAGCCCAGTCCACCAGGTTCGGCTCGTCACGGGTGAGAAGCTCTCGCTTTGAGATAGCATTTCCTGATCCATCATCTGCATGCGTGAAAGCAAAATTGCTTGGAAACTCCCCTTGGAGGGCATCTTCATCTCCATCCAGCACAATGAATCCATACGGGTCGTCGCCCATATCAGTTTCGTCTGGCCCATGTGGGTCATCATCGTTATTTCCATAGTTGTCGCTGTATTGATAAGCCACATCTTCACCGATCGGGTCGGGAAATATTTTCTTCAGGTCAAATGGAAGATCCAAGTCTGGCTTTGGATCGCAGCATAGTCGATGTTGAACTGTTCCACCTGACATCCCGCAAGGTGCTATACGTCCACCTGCTCGATTGGGTAATATGGCCTTTGCCGCAGTGAACTGCGTTGATGGACAGGACCTTTTTGAACATTCCTCTGTGTCCGGGAATGTCAATAAATTGTCCTCCAACTTTTCGAGTCCAGGCACCCAGTCGCAATTGTCAAGTTTGGCTGTGTGGAATTAGCTTCAAAATACCATAGAAGAGGATCAAGTACTAACCATCTATTTTACAGCAGAAATTCTGGAACGAGTCATCTTCGCAGAAGTCACCCCTGGTGGCGATTGCATGAGCATATCCAGTTGAGCATGTACCAAACACAGTGCAAGGAGACCAATGACAGTCCTGCATCTCAGGTGGCCCATCGCAACAGAGTGATGTTTTGGTGTCTCCGGAGCATTTGGTGCCACCACCGGCATCGGTATAGCGGTCTGTAAAGAGTTCAAATCTTCCATTTCCACAAGTATTCTCAGCCTTTCCACCTGTGCATTTCGTCGAGTCTCCATCTGGAGCCCCTTCCCATTTACAGTTGACGGCGGGTGTCTTGGCAGGACAGCATATTCTTTTGAACGTTCCTTTGGAGCAGGCTTGCGAGTTGTGGGCTGAGGATCCATACAAATCAAACGGAGCTTCACCTGGAGAGTGTACGTAGGCCACAGTCACATCGCCTGTATTGCACTTTGAGTTCCCTTCAATCGTTGCCTTTGCCCCAACGCAACCTGTTGTGACGTAGCATTTGTCTCCAGTGAGTCCGCCCATTTCGTCGACGAGAGCCTCTTTTTCTTCATCACTGAGATCGCCACCTTCAAGAAGAGTGCCTGAAACGTATTTATCACCAAGCAAAGCGGTTAGAGCTTGAAAGTCATTCGTATCTTGGTCAACGGCCCAGATCATCACACCGCCAAAACACTCTTTGTCCAGCATGTCACGCTTCTTTTTGAAGCTGGTCTCATCATCATACGTGATCCATTGATTCTCATCATAAATCATGTATGTGACACCGCTCTCCTCATCGTATCGAATTGTCTTCTCATTCAATCGATGTTGGCGAGCCATGATTTCTGCTTTCCTTTTAGTGATCGCATTGATTGCTGTAGCAGAGACCTTTGAATTGAGAGAACTTACCCTTGAAAGTGAGAATCCCCTCTTCACCAGAACACTCTCCACGGACGCCGGCGTCGCTGAAGACACAGCCTGGCTTGTTGCATTTGCTGTCAGCAAGGGTGAAGGTTCTTCCGTAGAAACCCATTCCGAGATTGACTTTTGATAAACTAATATCGTTTCTTCGCAAAAGATCCACACCATTCTCAATTTCGGTGATATTCGTGTGACCAAACACGTACGGACCAGTCCACTCATTTTCTTGGTCCCATTTACCACGCATATCATAACTAAGACATTAGTATCTGATGTTGTATAGCGAGGTTGTAAGCATATTACCTCATGAGATTAAACCAATCAACATTTGGCTCAAGAGCTGCAACGTCAAAATGCTGCAGATACCAGTAGCTAGCAGGAATAGCCATAGAAATAGTCCACGCAGGGTTTTGGTCCTCGAAGGAGCTACGCATCTCTTTCAAAAGGGAAACATAATTCTTGTAATCTGCATCTTTCCCGCCACGATCGTCTAAAAGAGACATCTCGGTCAGTATACATTGGATAAAAACAGAAATGAGAAAAGGGCATATGAACTTACCCGCAACGGGGTACTCCCAATCAAGATCAATGCCATCGAGGTCATACGTTTCCAGGAGATTCATTACGCTCTTGATGAAAGTCGATCGGTTATCCTTGCTGGAAGCCATATCAGACCAGGCAGTCCTAGTTGATCCTACGCAATATAGATAGTCAGCAAAGGCATGCAATGGAGAGTCATGAATACACTACACATACCAGGATCGCTGAAGGCCCATCCACCAATAGCTATGATCAGTTTAAGTGAACGATTCTTCCTTTTCAGTCGGACCATCCTCTGAATCATTTCAGAGCTGTCAATAGTGACCTTGGACTCTTTGATACCACCAAAGGCAATGTTTATATGGGTTAAAGCCTTCACAGGGATATCTTCAGGACGGAACGAGTCACAGTCCCTGCTATCTGCCCACGTCTCGTAGTAGGCGATACGACGCTGCTCCCAGCTTGAAGAACATTTTTCACGCGTGGGTGACCCACAGTTGCTCTGGCAGCTATGTTTATCGTCGGTTTTGAGGCAAAACTCCTCGGTTGTGCCACAGAAGCCCCACTGGCTGCAGCAGACATTCAAGGGACATTCTGTGTTATTACCATATTTTCCACATTCTGCAACAGCATCACAATTGCTAAGACAATTGTCGTCACTGCACCAGTCCGGTCCAAAGCCACAGCTACCAGTTTTTGAGCAGCAACCAACCTTGCAAGGGTTTTCAGTATCACATGTTGCGTCTTGTTGTGAGGCCACGAATTGAAAAAGAGTAGCAAGAAAAAGGAAAAAATGAGTGTGTATATACATCTCGAAAGAATGAAGCAAATAAAATAAAAGGAAATGAAAGAAGGATTTGAGGGTCAGTGAGCAGTCCAATGAGTGTGGAAGCTGCCAATGCCTTCTCGAGGAAGCTGAAGAGAGTGCACGGCTTCCGCTTAAGAACAATACACAGCAAATGAGTGAAGGTAAAGTATACCGTGAAAGAGAGCTTTAGTGCGATCTAATGAGAGGGGGGCTTCGCATTATATTCCAATCGGAATATGGAGCTAGGCTGTTCAAATTGTCAAAGATGAAACCGCGGTGGTGCCCCGAGTTAAGCTAGTTGGCTTGGAAATTTGAACCAGCTCCGTACATATTCCATCCATAATGTCTCCAATAATGATCACAAGGAATTATCACACTTGTGTTGCCGGACGAGCTGTGGCAAAAAGCTGTTTTGATTCTCCATTGGGTATAGTCCTTTACTTTACCAATTTTCGGCCTCATCGGGGCAGCCGTATAATCCGGTGGCTTGACGGCCAAGCATACACGATCATACCCTGTGAGGGCGAAGGCAGTGCTCTGCGCAGATTTTTGCTTGCATGATGCATCCGCTGGTGGCCTTGCGACCGAGAGTCCTCTCCAAGCGAGATGAATGTTCGTGAACTCTGCTATTTTCCGCCTTAATCCTTCGACTAGCCGTGCCCAGGCTAAAATGCCGGTCCTCCTGCATTCTTGGCGTGATTTCAACGCCATGAATACTGGAGACAATCCAGGATGTAACCCGGGGGCCGTCTGTTCTCTCGAGCTACTAGTTTAGCCCATAAGTGGTGGGGAAGCCACGTTTAAATGGGTGGTAAACGATTGGCGTAGAGGTGAAACTCCGCTAAGACATCCAATCACCATTCCAACATTGATCTCCACATCTCACATACTATCTTCCAGGGTCCGATCCGGCTTCCGGATCAACAAAGGGCTTTTGTTATCCAAGCCAAAATTCAGCGTCCTGTATCAAATGCAAGCCACAATGGCTTGATTGACTCCCTGGAACATCTCCAACGACTCCTAAAAAAGCCAAACTGCATTGATGCCAAGAGAGAGCAAATCTCCGATGTGACCCGGGATACTTGGCAGACTAGTAGAATACCACTAGTATTCGAACTTGTTATCACTAGCAGTCCGAAAAATCGATATTTGCCCCTCGGTATTATAATCTGCAATGTTAGATTTCATATTTCCAATAGTATCCGGGTAGGACTTGAAATAGACCTTGAGAATTTTTGAACTGCCAAGTACTAGCTATGTTCCCTCGTCTCGTCGTCTTCAGAACATTCGCTTTTTAGATCTCCTTTTCCTTGGTTTCTTCCACATATGTACATTTCTCTCACGCCTGCATTCTATACACTCATTTGACTCTCAAAATGTTGGCATATCAATCGTTGACGATGTATTTTCTTCTTGTCTTTGCTCAACTCGTGTACTCTCTTTCGGTCGTCCCAAGCATATCCACCATTCCAGCGGGGATTCGAGCTTCTTGTCGAGTCACTTTGTCTAAAAATGTAACTCAATGCTCTGATGATTTTCTCAAGGTACTTAGCCACATTCCTTCTTCCTCTCTGCCTGGAATATGCACAACCGAATGCGAGACAGCGCTTTCAGATCTTTATACAGAGGCATTCGCCAGATGTGGAACTGACAGTGTCAACATCACCTCCAATGGAGAGGTTGTGGTCACCTACAGTCCAATTGACATTGTTGGCGAAGTCAGATATCGATATAACACTACATGTCTCCAAGATAAGTCTCCGTTGTATGCGAATTCGTTGAATCAACAGCTTATACCTTTCCACATAGTAAAGGCTTTTGTAAAGAAAGGCTTGATGATTTATCTAAAGATGAGCTCTGCTCAGAATGCAATTTGAAGTCAATTCAACTCGATATCAATCAGCCAATCCCAGACTTTGAGAACAATGCTGAAGATTTCAACGATTTGAAAGAGTCTTGTGGTATCCCGACTACTTCTTATCCTATTAATCCAACAAGTACAGCAACTGAACCATCAGCAACGTAAGGCATTCCAATATTCAATCAAAAATTTTGAACCTGATCATAAGCTTACAAAATCAGATCAACCTGCGCTAGCCCTTACACTGCCAGTGCAGGCGATACAATGAACACCATTGCCAAAACTCTTTCTGCATCTACAGATCGTCTTCTAACATACAATGGATTTCCTCTGGCCTTCAACGATACCCTGGTGGCCGGAGAAAAGCTTTGCCTCGACCATGTGTCCAAGTGCATGATTCACCAGGTGACAGACTCCGATACATGCGCATCTCTCAAGAAATTGGCTGGCACCACGGTCGATGAGTTCATGCTTCAGTCATGGAACCCGACAATTGGAACATCATGCTCTAATATCAAGACCATGGTTGGAAAGTACATATGCATTAGCCCTCCAGGTCAAGGTGGTCAATTCACCCCGATGGTTCCCTCAACCACTGCTCCCCCATCAACAACACCAACGGACACATACTCGTGGGGCACAGCACCAGACACTGTCACGAGCACAGTCAATATAACAACCACCTGGCTCTTCCCAACAGATCCAAGCCTCATCCCCACACATACCGCGACTCTCCCTTCAAATGAAGACACGGCGGCAATGCAAGAGCGTTCGAAATGGTGCCCTTTCACCAATGAAGACAATTCCACTATATGGGATGCTGGACTCGGCGATGAAGAGTATCATTTGCACTCGTGGGATCTTGATGTTGAATGTATCAATGAGTCCTGGGACCCATACTGTTATCCAGAGCCTACGGATCCAATTCTTCCCAGTCCAACCGATATACCGTCTTCCTGCCTTCCGACTATCACAAAGATCATTCCTCATGGCTGGGTTGATCCCCCCGGTCCCACAGAGTCGGGTGTTGCCGAAATGTGCAACAAATGGCATATTCTCAAGAATATGGATACTTGCAAAAGTCTTTCAGTACAGTATAAAATCACAGAGGCTCAGCTGAATGAGTATAACCCCAGCATCAATGCCCAGTGCAGCAATATACGAGCTGGATTTGCGATATGTGTTCGGGTATGGGATGAGGGTCCAACTACGACAACAGCCTCTTCAACAATTACCGCGGGCCCCCCAGGTCCAACGGGAACTGGAACAAGTCCCATATGCAAGAAGTGGCATTTAATGACTGATGGTACGTCGAAGCTCAATTCGATTGTTTTTGTTTAAAAGTTTTCATTTACTCATAGTTCCTTGAAGGTGAATCTTGTGACTCTATCGCGACCAAATATGGCATTCTAGTCAGCCGCTTCCGACAACTGAATCGAAATGTCGATGCATCTTGCAGTAATCTGGTCAAAGGAAATGCGTACTGCGTTGGATAGGCCGATTTCTGCTCAATTGCAAACGCCGGAAGATTTTATCATTGGTTTGATGCTAGTTTTGGCTGTAAAGCTTACTGATAATGTTCAATGCCCAATTGATAGTGCCTAGAAGGGTTGGTAGTTGTTAGTTGGTGGTATTCAAACAAGCCCTGGAGATCAACATTAAATCAAGATCGTTATCGCAACCACATTCATTTAGAAAAATATCAAGGTAGCCTGACTCATTCATGAAAATTCCTTTTCCCCTCTTTCTTCTCTTTCTCTTTTCGTCTTCATCTTCTCTCTACATTTGAAAAGAGGGGGTGGAAAGAAAGGGTTAAAAATGGACTTGTAATGATATTACGACCTAGTTTGTTACCTAAGACGCCACATTATGCACCTAGAGCTCTAGAGGCTTGAATGCGATCAGACAAGTCTGTTCGGACTCAGCTTACTGCAGTATCTTCCGGCACTAGCATAAAAGCAATTTCAAAGACACAAATCCAATACTTTTTCATACTAGCGCCGCCAAGGTTTGGCCCCCGCCCCCGCCAAGAGCGGCCGCTCGACAACCGAGACACGAGGAGATTCAGGGTCCTTGTCAACTAGTCCAATATTGGCAATCCGAGAGTCCAAACTTGGCACACGAGGCTCGTGCTCAGGTACAACTATGCAGCTTATCCGAGACCGACACATGCTCTGCCGGGATTTGAGAAGAGCCGGCATTATCGGATCACGCCTCGCTGGGTATGGTCAAATGAAAACGAGGAAATTACTGCGCACGTGTGCATTTCGCATGGGCGGACCTAGGCAGAGAATGGTTATCCGAGCTATAGCCAAGACTCGACGGTTGCATGTCTAGTGCTACTAGTAATGCCTGAACCTTAGGAATTTCTAATGGAATCTTACGGACCAGGTTTTCTTAGATATGTGGCGTAGCTTAGTCGTCCTGGTTGAGAAACATAAATATTTGCCTCATGACATTTGCAGCAACTGAAATTCCAGTTCATTTCTGTCGTGCAAGAGGTCTTCTTCAATATGCTTGGCAAGAAGTACGCTGCCCTCGTGGGCGCCTTCGGCATTTCAGGTACATTCGCTTCTCCGGCGTATAGACTGAAAAGAGATGAGACCCCTCACTACCTACATGATTCGGCAACTACCAAGTACTGCACGTGGTGGTGGGACAATGATGGCTCTGTCGCTTGTAAAGACATGCCATCTGCTTGGGGCATCAGCATGGACGATTTCCTGCGATGGGTAAGAGCAAATACATTGAAGTTATGAGCCACTGAAACTTACTCTCGCCTTTTCAGAATCCTTCCATTACCGCAAACTGTGGAAATTTCCAGAAAGATAATTCCTATTGCGTTGAAGCATTTGGAGAGCCTGGGCCACAGCCAACAAGTACTACAACAACAACCTCTGCTGGTCCGCCAGGCCCGACTCAGCCAGGCCAGATAGAGACATGTAACCGATGGGATATTGTTAAAGATGGCGACACCTGCGATACGTACACTAAGAAGTACGCAGGCCTCACTCGACAGAATTTGGTCGACTGGAACAGTGAAATTGGAAATGTTTGTCAGTTCTTGTGGGTCGATTATTATGTCAGTATTTCCCCCATCTGCTCATGTTAAAGCTTTGACTCATCTCTTTTATCAGATCTGTACGGGAGTCGAAGGATGGACACCTACAGGTACCATCACAAGTGGCAGCCCAACTGCCACCAATGGCGTGACAACTCCAAGTCCTACCCAGCCTGGCATGGTAAACAACTGCGATGCGTTCTACATTGTCAAGGATGGAGATGACTGCGCGTCCATAGCGACCAAACACGGCATTACCAAGGCACGGTTCCTGGAATGGAATACCGGCGTTGGTGCGGGCTGTTCGTCCCTCTGGCTGGATTATTATGTTTGCGTGTCCATCATCGGTCACACTCCTTCAAACACCATCTCAACACCTACTACAGCAACTCCGACGAACGGCGTCGTGACCCCAACGCCTACTCGTCCAGGCATAGTCGGCAATTGCGATGCCTTCCACCTAGTCGTCGACGGAGATACTTGCAGTGGTGTTGCACGTTCTGCTGGTATCTCGCTGGCACAGCTTGTTGAGTACAATCCCGAGATCAAATCGGATTGTTCTGGTCTCTGGGCCGATTATTACATCTGCGTCTCTATCATTGGTGTTGGCCCGACTGCTACCACAACCAAGCCCACGTCCCCAACTAATGGAGTCACTACCCCAACTCCCATCCGCCCCGGTATGGTAGATAACTGCGACGCATTCCATATGGTCGTTGATGGGGATGAGTGTGGAACTATTTCTCATAGCTACGGTATCTCAATGTCTCAGTTCACTCAGTGGAACCCTGAGATCAAGGCCGACTGCTCTGGGCTCTGGGCAGACTACTATGTCTGCGTATCTGTGATAGGTGTCGATCCCAAGCCTGTAACTACCACTACCACAACAACGACCGGAAACGGTATCGCAACACCTATCCCCACTCGGGCAGGCATGGTTAGCAACTGCGATAGTTTCTATATGGTCAAACCGGGCGACGAGTGTGGCAAGATCGCTTCAGATCACGGCATCACAACGGACCAGCTATACAAATGGAACACAGAAATTGGATCAACTTGCGGTGGTCTGTGGCCTGACTATTATATTTGCGTGAGCATTGTCGGTGTTGACCCGAAGCCTTCGACGACTACGAAGGGTAACGGAGTTGCTACGCCTACACCTATCCAAACGGGGATGGTGACCAATTGCAAGAAGTTCCACAAGGTTGTCAGTAAGGAAACCTGTGAGACAATTGCTAAGGCAGCTGGAATCACTGTCGACAAGTTTTATGCCTGGAATAAAGGAGTCGGAACGAACTGCAAGAATCTTTGGCTCGATAATTATGTTTGCATTGGCTTGATTTGATCACACCGGGCTTACATCAGGTATTAGACTTCTTCAGAGTTGCACTGTAAGTAGAGTCAGAAATAGTTTTAAGGCCACTTAGTAGTCCTTTTCAACTCACAGTATCTCCTGAAACAACGTCATAGAAAAGGCCGCAATCCGATGTAGTTCCAGCTTGGGTTGGCTCCGCCGGGGTTGCTAAAGTCACACTATGAGGGGGGGTGAATTGTCGATGATTGTGATCTAGGGATACATACCTGTAGAATAATATGAGCCTGCTGCGGTTGGGGCGTAGACAACCGCAGTAGCTGTAAACTGCCTACCTGGGGGACTGAAGGCCGGGTTAGCCTCGCCGAAGAGACAAAATCATCACAGAAACGATATCCTCCAATGAACGAACCTTTTGCACACTCGTTGAACGTGACTAACAAATCCACACGACCCTAGAATAGTCGGATTCCAGGCCATGAACTGAGTCAAAGTGATGTTGTTGCTCTCAGTGGAGTATCGTGTAGCTAGATCTTGGCTGAAAGTTGACTTTAGTTGCAATTTTCTTTCCACTGCTGTTATCCAAACACGTACCAACTGGGATGATCCCAGACCACATCGATCTCGCAAGGAAATGGAAGACAAATGGGCGAGTGGAACTCGCAACCTTGATCCCCTGTTGCTGCAACAATCGCACCTGTGCTGACATTATAAGTATCAGAGATATTGAAACACGATCGATACTCATCGAAGGGCTGAATAAGTTGTCCGAGGCATGATGTTGAGGTAGCTGATGCACTAGACGTAGAACTTGTAACAAGTGCGGTGGATTTTGACACTGTTGCCGTCGCAGTAGCCACAGAGAGAGTTGTGCCATAGGTTGTAACTGGAAATGAGGTAGAGCAGTTACTTTGGATAGCTTCATACTGCTTGAGTAGATAATCAGTCTGCTCTCCATTTGGCAATAATGGAGACATCAGGCGCTGTCGCCACATTTTGATGAAACACTCGCTACACAGCTGTTGATCCATGTCAGAAAAACCCGAGCCTGAATGACCAAGAGAGGAATTAAGTGTATTACCAGTCTTTTCTCGTACAATCTAGTGACATCCTTCATGTCATCTAAGATATCTATCACAAGCCAATCTAGATCGGAGCATTCTACAGGAATAGCAGATTCGTCGGAGTTATAGCATGCATCAGTAGACCATCTAGATGCTCACTGAGATTAAGTACGAAAATCGATTTTAGCTGACACTCAGGAGTTGAGATACACCTACCGCACGTAATCACTCCCTTGCCAATTTTGTGATTCCAGGAAACACCAATTAAATGCTGGAAGCTGTCAGTTTGGGAATGTTATATTGAAGAGAATGATCAGGAGTATTGACCTATCTTGTAGACAAACTAAATCATGTCCGCTCAACCACATGGCAGGGACCGTTTGCGCAAGCATGTACGTTTCGCTACTGAAAATCGATTCACCTTGACAGTTGGCCACCACCGCTGAGTTCCAAGATTGAAGTGAGTCTCCGCATTCTCTGGTGCAGAGAGTCGTAATATTTTGCTGTGACCAGTCTATGTAGCATGAGAAAAGTGTTGACGTCCTGATTGGGACTAGTGCCTTCCTCTGGCTACTTAAGCTTCACTTTCGTAGACTCTTCTTCTTCTTTCCTCTGTCGCACTCAATACAGTTCTTTCGTACCATATTGTTCTGCTTCCATTCTCCTTCTTCTTCAGATTATGAGCCCGGAGCATACGACATCTCGAGTCGTTGCTTCCATCTGACCTCGCTGTCGCTGTCACTTCTACGCGGAACACTCCACCTTCTGCAAGGTGCCCCGCAGTTCGTGACCCCACAGCACCCACCCACCCTTCCCGTTTCGAGATAGCTCGCTGTCTCGTCGGTGTCGATCACTCTGGTCGCCATAGTATCGTCTTCACGCTACTGTCTTCGATATCCGACACCTAGTTGAGCAGTTCTACTCTTCTACCCCACCACCACCAGCGTCTCATTCTTTAATAAGCGCACCACGACGTTCTCCGCGCAAGAGAACAAACGTTATATACAAGGACCATCAATCGTCCTTAGACTCCGACGAGTCCGGGTTATAGAAGTTCAACCCGGACCTAGCCTGGGTTGGGTTTTGGGTCGAGACTTTAGACCTAACTTGGGTTTTGCGGAAGTCTAGATATTGCCGTAGTCTAGGTACGGGACTAGAATTTAGTAGCTCCCGCGGGTTTTATCTAGGTCTATATATTACTATGGGTTAGAAGCAAGGAAAAGAGCACTTTAGACCATATACGTCAGGTTAAGAGCTTAATCAGCGAGTTTAGCAGGATTTAGGTCGAGGAGAAGCGTCAGGTGACCTTAGAGGATATGGGATAGAAGCTTAAATAGGTAGTAGGGCTTAGGGCTAGCTAATATATTGATCATGTCATCCGCTCACTTCAGAACACGCCCACTTATAGTACACAATTTTCCTTGGATGGTAGGGTGTACTATAAGCGGGCGTTGACTGTATAATATATCACGGGTGGGCGGGGTTGCTACCCCATCAAAAAACTGGTTAACTTTGAACCCCTGAAAACACCTTTTCTGGTGGTCGGAATGCTTTAAAATTCGGTTTGCGCATAAAAAGGAGGGTGTTATAAATCATATAAAAATCTGGGCTTCCCCCGAGTCCGGAATATAACGGTATTGGTATCTTATTAACGTAATGGTATTAGTATATGGCCTGCTTTCTGCCTATACTTAAGGAACGCACCCTAACGGTATGGGTGTCTGATAGAGTTACCCCTATGGTCAGGGCCCTATTTGCCGAAGCCTAGTCTTCTCCTGGGATTTATAACTAATAATTTAGCGATTTGAATGACACTTCGTTACCTCCCTCTTTAGCTTATCTAACTAATGAATTCTGCCTCTGTTTCGCACGTCAAAAACAGATACATGCATCAGCTAAACTGTACAAACAAGGTCACCATAGTCGTATATATCATGCAGGCAATCCCCATGATAAATATGAAGACATCAACTCCTTTTGCCCACCGTGTACTCGCAATACCTTTCCAATGTAGATACGCCGGATAAACAAAGATCAACGGAACACATAAGATGGACCCAACCAAAGCGACGAACTGATCCAAGTTCCGGGCGCCCAGTGCGGCAATTAAACCACAGAGAATAACAATACCTGTTCTGAAAATATTCTTCTTCCACTTCGTAAGGTGGCCTCGCCGGCCAGAGGCGCGGTCAAATAACCTTTCCTCCATGATCCGCAAAGCAGGAAAAAGCTGAACCGGGGTGCCCACAAGCACGGCTAGCGAGAAGGATAACCGAACAAAGTTGACTAATTTATCCGACTGCGGGAAGTTATTCATGATATTGATCATTGTCTGACTGCCAAATGCCCCATATGATAATATCCCCACGGAAGCAAAGAGAAAGGTTATAAGGGCCATGACACTGTAGAGGATGCGATCGAAATGATGTGGTTGTGACATCGAAGATTGTATGGGAAGGATCAGGCCTATACCCTCAAACATGAATATGCACGAACCGATCGTCAGCGTATATGTGGTGTTAAAAAGAGTGACCGAGGGCTCGAAACCACTGCGGGAAATCGTCGAAATATCATAGTAATAAATGTATGCAATGGCGACAAAGATGAAGACATCCGCAAGTAATGCCAATAGCCCGAGTCGGGAGATTTTGCGAATTAACGCAAGGGGCACAAGAATCACTAACTGCAAGGCGATGATTGCGGAAATTGACGGTGTACTTGTATGATAGGCCACCACGCCCTCAACAAATGAGCGCACGTTCTCCGCAGTAAAAGCAATAGCAGCGCACACGAATCCAAGCTGCGTAGTTACGACCGAAACGCGAATAAGTGTGCGAAGATGCCACCCACCAATAGATTCTCCAATATCGCCGTACCCACCGCCAAAGCGTCGCCGGCATTCGAGCAGCAAATGGAAAGAAAAGGACGTCATTATTGAAACCGTGAGGAGGGCGATGGGTGAAAAGAGTAAGCCACCGTTGCGGAACGCCTTCGGGAGGAAAACGATGCCTGTTCCTATGAAGGCTTTGAGGAGTGTGAAGAAAGTTTTTAAGTCTGAGGCATCCCCTAAAGAGCTTTTACCGCCCGCAAGTAATGGTCTTCTTTCCGGGTCTGCTCCACGTCCCGGCGTTCTACCACTTCCAGCATCTGTCTCCTCTTCCGACTCGTTTAGGTCCTCACCAGCGAATTTGCCGTACAATTCTAAGTACTTCACGAAGCTACTCGGCGCAAATCCGCTGATGAAGGCACGCTTGTTTCGCCATATGAACTGCCGGCGGAACGCTCCCGGACCATTGCGGATAGGAATATCGACATCGATGTCATTGTCTGTTTCCAGCCTTGAGGGATGCGAAAATGTTGCTGCGCGCTGATCCAATCCGGCCCGCTTCGAGCGAGCTTCAATGCGATAGAGGTCACGATGTATCTCGCCTCCTAGCAATTTAAGAGACGACTGTTGGTTGTCATTGTGATCTGCAGTTGACCCAGCTTGCACATCAACGATGCCTTCAGAAGCCCCGGTAAATCGAGGGTCCAGATGTCTGGAAATGACTTCTGTTTCCTCATCACGAGGGTTTTCTAGGCATAGAACGTCGGTCATTGCGCGCTGAGAATTTTTCACTATCAACGTTTCTTTTCAGATCGTGACTTGACGTCGCTAACCGGCGTTCCTTTTGAAGTGGCGGTGGGAGAACCAGCCACCACAACCGGAATTTCAGGCATGACGTCATACCCACATCGCTAGAGCCAGAAATAGCATATAAGCTCTTGCTAAATCTTTCGTTTCAACTAACGTAACCGGTAAGCGAGCTGCGCATGTAAGCCAGCTGCGCAGCTGGAACACCATAGTAAATGCGATATATTACAACTTCATATCTCATCACCCACGAGCCTTTTTTATTTAATTATGTATAGGCTGTCTTCAATAAGACTACTCGACATAATGTATTGATTTCAAGGAAAATCAAAAGCTCCATTATCCTGATTTCAAAAATTACGTTAATTACAATCCTCAATCTATACATCTTGGTATTTACGACCTAGATAAGGTATGATAATTCTTAAATACCCTTAATTAGCTTAACATGGCATGAAAATCATTGTATCTCAAGGAAAAGTTATTTCATATATTCGTTGTCGAGATACTGAGTTGTAATTTTTCGCATTTACTATGGTGTTCCAGCTGCGCAGCTGGCTTACATGCGCAGCTCGCTTACCGGTTACGTTAATTTTGTGGCTTATTAAGCTCCGATACATCAAGCTTGGAGATACGTGGAATGTCTATAGGAAAGGACGCAGCCTTGATTTTCTTAACATGTAGTCTATACCATATAGTATAGGGTGGATAAGAGCTAATAAAGGCAGCCCTTATAAGGTGAAGGGCGGGAGATACGAGCCTTAAAAAGTTTTCATGACGTCTACTTCATTAATCAAACCATGTAAAACCAACTATTCGGCAACTCACTTTCAGCATGACTTCCTATTTATTACTATATTTATTCCAAGAAAGCCTTTCGTCAATAATCGACCCGTAAATTACGAACCAATGCAGCCAAAGCCTAGCCATAGAGTATAAGAACTTTACATATCTAGTGGGTCCTATGCTAGCAGCTGGCTTGAACATGTTCCTCGTTCTCGTGTAAGGGTGGTCTTACTTTAGCCCAAATTTCGACCTTGGTGAGTTTTGCGTCAAACTATCTGGAGGTCCCCATCATGGTAGTCATGTTTCTGTGCTGGAAACTCGGGAAAGGAACGAAGATCGTCTCTCTTGATGATATGGATTTAGTCACCGATCGTTACGCTCTTGAAACCCAAATTTCAGGAGTCAGCTCTAATGACTTTACCGACAGTACCAAGATTTACCGGTACATCCTCTCATGCATGGGAAAACTGAAGAGAGTTTTCAATTATAATTTCTGATTTTAAAGTGGCGGCTGGCTCGTCTTCCATTTCCAAGCGTTGAGCGATTGTTATGTTGACGATATCATGTAAGTAATCATCGAAATTGCCCCACGTGTGTCAGAAAGTGGAACTATTGGCGCGCATGCGAAAATTGAGTCTTGATATCACTCAGCTTTACGTGAATTGCTAGCGGTCGCTCTGCGTACCTCTCCTCTCGCACTGACGCAGTGGTTACGTTTCTATTCAAAGATGTCGCTCATAATATGCATAAATAATTGTTGCAAAGATATTTCCCAGCAATCATGCACATGAAAGGAGGGTGGAATTCATTTGAAGCCAGCGAAATGTGAAGATATACTATATCCTTCTACTGATACAAGATACTGCCCGGGCGATAAAGGTTTTTCAAGAGAGTAGAAATAGTGACCCTTATTGAGCGTTAGGGGAGCCTCCTAACTGTTCGCGCGAACTAATATAACTACCCTCTTCTCTCATATACGTAAGACTCTAAGGTAGATTCTAGTCCAGCAGAATATGCCTGGTCTTATGGTCTCATACCAGTCTTTCATGCGGGTGTAACTGTTTCGGCTTCAATGCATGTCAGAGGTTCGACGATTCTACTGCAGAAGCAGACACAACATGGCATACTACTTAGAATCCATCAACCAGGAAACATCTTTTTGAGACAAGCTCGTTTCGCCAATCAACGAATAATTCAACTGAATTTCTAACAAACTGAGTTTCTAAATTAATAAGTAGCCTACACTTAGACTTCAAACCGAAAATTAAACAGTCATAACGATCTAGCCTTCATCATAGAAGAAGCATATTAAACGAAACACAGGAGAAGAAAGATACTCAAACCTATGTCATCAACGAATTCCACGTATCAGCAGCCTCCTGTCCAGTCATACCGGCAGTCGCTTCTTCAGCTGCATAGCACTGGTCTATAGTGGCCTGCGGGGCATTGCAGGGGCTCTTGAGACGGTTACAAATGAGATCTTCTGGAGTAAAAATGTCTGGCGAGGAGCCAAATGGAAAATCAACCTGGTTCCGGGTGGTATAAGAGTAGTCCGTGCGTCCATCAAGGCCGTATTCCCATAGGATGGTTGGGTCCGAGCAGGTTCCGTAATCCAAGCCGCCACCGCCAGTACCGGTGTCTGAGCAGTCATCAGCGGTCACCGTAGTGGTTACCTCTAGAGTCTCAGTTTGAGTGGCAGTAGTCGTTTCGGTAATTATTTGGTTATTGGTTATTGTGTCGGTCACATGCTCAGTCACCGTATTGGTCTTGGTCTCTGTCTCGGTAATTGTGGAGCCTGGATCAGTGACGGTCGATGCTGCAGTGGTCACAGTTGAAGTGACGGTTGGTCCTGCAGTCGTGGCAGTGGTTGTCTCAGTGACTGTCGGGCCATCTTCGGTAACGGTGGTGATATCTGTTTTTGTCGTCTCACAGTCATTGATAGTCTCCGTGAGGGTGTCAGTGACGGTCTTCGTGGGACGTGTATTGGCGGTGGTAACAGTGACAGTATCGATAGTGGTAAATGTTGTAGTAGTGAAGGCAGTGTCAGTAGTGGTGACAGTGAATGTAGCAGTGCCAGAGCCATTGCCATCAGTAGTTATGGTGATAGTGGCTGTAGGAGTCACGGTGCTAGAGGTCGAAATGAGATATAAGCATTCTGGATTTATCAAGGCAGACAAATATCAACTCACCAGTCAGTGATAGTCATCGTCGTGACAGTACCACTCCACGTGCCTCCGCCGCCACCTTTACCACCACTACCGCCACATGAGTGATCTGGGTCACCACCACTAGCGTTCTCAAGACCATTCTGAGAGCCAACTTCTCCAGATTTATATTGTTCCCAAGGCGCAGTAAAGTCGGTCTCTTTTAGGTTTGTGTAGCCACTTGGATTTTCTGATACTCCTTTCAATGGCAATATTCCACCTAAAGCAGGATGGGCAACAACGATGGGTATCGTCCGCAGGAGCAGGGCAGAGAGAGTTATCGTAGTAAGTGAGAAAGGCATGAATGCGATCGGGGTCAATAGTGATTGATTGACATATATGGAGAAAGAATGAAGCGGTGAGCTTGAAGCTCTACAAAAGACTTCAGAAGCGAAGAGTTTGGACTTTGAATTGAAAATGAAATTCAAAGGATGCACGCCGGCAGAAGGCTTCGGGCATTAGAAGCTACATATACTGCTGAGGAAATAAATGCTATAGATGTTAGTATACTGCTAAAGATTGCATGACTCGGCCGTCTACGTCTATAGGTCCCTAATTTGGGGAATCAGACAACAATTTGCTTGGGAGGAATGCTTAGGATGCGACCTTATGAAGGGCTCCCGGAGAGAATGCGGCTAGTTCCAGCAGAAGCCCTGGTTAAGGAAAACTGAAATTCCGACCACATCGGTCACGGAAGTATTCTCCAATACCAGCCACCACATTAAAGCATGGAGTAAAGATTACCCTCGGAAAATAGCAAAAATGTGCATCATTGTTTTTTTCGAAGCTGGATCAGATTTTTGGGGATCTTATGCCATTTTGGGAGCCCCCTGGCTTGCGTCTTTGGTAAATTCGGTATTACCAAAAAGGACATCCGTGAAATATGGTGTGGAAAGACTTGTCCTTGCTTGTTTTCGTATCTGTATAGCTTTAGAAGTCACTCTGCTTATCGGTGGCTGGCTACCGGGTAAGGGTAGAGCAATGCGAGATTAAAACATGATTGTATCTCAGATTCGCGATAATATGCCACACTGCACTGGTGGCATTAAACAATGGAACACAAATGACACAAAAGATTAGACACCCACTGCCTCAGCCGAATCACCTTGTACAGTGCACATGCATTACTGATATATTCTGTGCTCTAAAGCATATTTACGGACCGAAGGAGTGCCGGCTCAACAGACGTCTATCCACCAGTATGCTGGATATATTTGAATCCCTAAATTATGATTAACACATTTAATTTAAACCACACGCTGAGAATCGGATTTTATGGAAAAACTTTGTTTTAAAAAATGCACCTGATGCCCATAAGTCTATTCTTCCAAGGTTCATCACGTAGTCAATCCGAAAATCAATGATTTCTACAATTATTCCTTTTCCGAATAAATTACCACTCTAGACTTCTATTTCATCGAACATATATTTGATTCTCTGTTGAAAAGCTTTCTCACGTAATTCCACACCAGCAAGCGAGCAACCCTCCTGGCCGGGCCACCCCCCATAACACATGTTAAAGACGATTTGATATCTCAGCACCAACGCGTTTTAGCCATTTCGAATTATCCATGATGCTATTTAAACACAATTGTGTATGATTATGGGCTTCGGCGTAATTCAATGCCAGCGTTCATAATAACACCAAGAAAATTCAATGATTCAACAATCCAAGTCCCAAATACTTATCTTTGACTAAACCTTCTGTGGAATTTGACTTGACACTAGACCTGGACAAAACCCGCGGGAGGTCCTAAATTCTTGTCCCGTGCCCGCGGGTCCTTAGTCATACGGGCCGGGATAATATGGTTTTGACCACCACGCCCCACTCCCATGGGATTTTTTTTTTACCTATTTCCCGTCCTGGGTATACCCACGGGCTTCCCATGGGAGTCGCAAAATTACCCATATCTACATAAAGTCCCTATATAATCTGCTGACTAAGAATGCTGAAAGATTGGTAATTTAAGCTGTTTTGGTATGTAATATAGAGCTAGAATCGAACTTGGAACCTTAGAAAAAGGGTGGTTCTAGTGGAATTTAGTGGTTCTAATAGAATTCTAGTCATGGATATATAGTCACGTGCGTATATAGATTACTACCAAAAATACAGTAGAAATTGGATAATTAATGCATGTCTAAAAAGGGTAAGTTTGCACTGTTTACAATACCCGTGGGAATACCCATGTCCCATCGCGGGCGGGACATACCCCCATGGGACGGGACTAAGTGCTTTTGACCACCACGCCCCACTCCCATGGGACTGGTTTTCATGAAAATACCCGTGCCACGGTCAGTCCCATGGTGAGAATCCCGCGGGTTTTGTCCAGGTCTACTTGACACCGGATATATACTATGAATAATACCTTTATAGAAAGGGAATATAAGAGAAGTCCCGGTTGTTGAACTTTAAGTTGTGATTTATCGCATATATATACTAGAACCGTAGCTAGCCATGGTATACTTGGAAGTAATAAGCTTCAAGAATCCAATTCACTTCTTACTTCCCATAGTCCTTTGTGGTGCTCGTTCAGGATTAGAGTACGCCCTGTCGGCGCTTTCACACACTTAATTAGAGCTAAGTGAGTATATGAATTTGGTAATTATATTAGTAGGTCAATAGATCACTGAGCCTTCCTGATATAAGTCAATATGTCATCTTTATGCTCACACTCTAAAAGCATTCCAAAACTCTAAGGTGGGACCAGGCATATTTTTACGTTCAGCTAGACCTACTATGAGGCCATTTAGTGTCAGAAAATGGAGTCCTTATGTGTTCTTTGAAGTTCGCACTTTATCCTTCATTTTTACTAGAATTCTCCGCTACGTATCTTTGCTCATGTAATGTCACGTGACGTTTTCTTTGTGTCTGTATACTTAATCAGGCGGTGGAACAGCGACCAATGGGTATCCCCTCGAGTATATGTGTCTGTCTGTCCATTCTGCTATCTACGGGCACGCACCTTATGTGTGTGCTTACTAATATCATGTGATCTAGCTAGCTTACATCATCTAATATATGCCGACACTTTGTTTTGTTTTTTTCTGTTTGGATGTATCTCTAAATCTCATGTATTTAGTTCACGTATTTCGGCAGAATAGTTCTAATCTCATGCCTCTTTCTTCTCCATTTTCTATGTCAAAGAATTCCCTGAGAAGACCCTGAATAAGGTCAGCTTGACCACCCTGCCTTGATCATCTGATCTAATTCCCTAATAATGGTAATCAATCGCCCTGCCAACCTTAGACATGCCTTCTGTGTTGGGAAATGGAATTTTAAAGGGATTTCAGGGTCTGGTAGACCGACCGCCCATAATTAAGATTACTATGCATTCTTCACCTAAAGATCTTTCTACGTCCAACAGGGATTTAGATTAGAGAAATCTTAGCTCACTAAAAGATTCTGGAATTCAATTTCACATAAGACAAACGAAATACAGTTTCTCCACGACAGTGATTCCTACATATCAATAGTAGAATTATCGTTCTGCATAAGACAATTACCCTCTCCCCTTTGTTCCAATATGATCACTCTAACCACTCAGGTTGGTTTGGAGCAAAGACTTGGTACCTAAAAGTCCAAAATTTCAGGACTCTTAAAGTCCTTCAGAGGTGGCTATTAAATAGCCTTAGTTCTCCTTGTCTAGATTTCCTCATGGTTTTCTAAGGGAGGAGTTTGTGTCAGCATATAGATAGTGTTAAAATCGGAGGCTAAAGGTCTTACTTGAAACCTCCAAATGTTCCAAATCAAAATATATGGAGTCAGAAGTAACCTCAGTTAGCTCCAGGTACAGGTCGGATGTCCGAGACACGTAGAGCGAAGACAAAATATCTTGAAACGTAAAGGTTTTCCCTTCAACTCTAGTGACCCGATATGCTTGTTTCGATTCTTCAAGATCCAGCCTGCATCTGCTGCCTGGCTGGCATAAGAGTGTCTTGGAGGAGTTTAAAGGCGTGATGACAGCTTCATCGTCGCTAAAGCCCTCGGTGTTAAAAGTCCAGGCCTGCGTGTCGAAATCGGGCGGGGTGCCAAATCTCACGGAAGTTGAGTTTTCAACATCATGGAGTAATGGAAGCGAGCTTTCACCGACAACTTGCTTGATTTTATCATGGAAAACTAGGCCGTACGCCGGATGACAGATAGCAGCAAGTAATCCGACCAAAAAATACGGTCGCATCATGATGTATGTTCTATATCAATGATAGAAGAATGCCGATACGGAGGGCTTTATAATAAGCGATGTGTGAGATGAAAAAAAAACTGACGATACAGGCAGTTGGTGTCCAGTAAGCCACCCTTTTAAAGGTCTTGGATGTCAATAAATATGTAGATCAAATGTGGGAGAATGTCGTGAAACATCGGGATAGATGAGGATCGGCGCTGGAAGTCTTTTAAGTGGAAATGCAAGGGATAGCATAGTTGTCATTGGTATGTGACATTTGTTTATTGGATAAGTGCATGAGCTACACGCATAAGAATGTGCTGCTGCGAAACATGAATGATAAGTCACACTAGCTATGTATGCTTTTTTGAAACCGAGACGCAAGTAACTTAGACCGAGTGCTCAAGGATCTTTTGGCGTCAGACTACTATTGTCCATCTACTCGATAGACAGAGAAAGCAAAAATAAATGTGGAGAACAGAAACTCCATCCCTCACTGCTATTTTCGTCTGTGTAACGTGAAAATGTAGGACCAGATGCAGGATGTCACTTTTATTGAAATTGCTTTGTCAGCTCTCATCTGGGACGTACTGATCTGATTATTGAGTCTAATTCGACAATGGTCAAGGCATTGGTTCAGCACTTTCATAGAGCTGGTGTAGCTGGAGCGCAAAGAGTAACGTAAAAAAGAGGGATGATTCTAAGGGCGACGTGCCTCGGTGGTTTCAGCCAGCAGCACCGAGTATATGGTCGGGAGTCCCATGCTGAGTAGCGGTGTGATATGCGTATGACGAGGTGGCTGAACTAGCATCTGTTTATTGTCTAGCGTAGAGTCTCGGAAGTTTTTATTGGCTTACCCCTATTTCGGAATTTGTCGATCCCAGGGGGCTTTGAAAAAATTTCAAAGATGTTAAGGCCAACGATACGGAGATGGCCGAGCACTGATCCTCAAATACGACTTGGCAAGCTGTCGAAGCGCCATCAGTAGGACACTTCCGGTGACCTCTATCTTTTAGAGATTTGCAATAATATACTAATCACAAGCTGAGCAGTTGTCAGTCATCAACCACATTGTTCGGGACTGAGGCAAGGGGTGGGTGAGTGTCATCGCGGTGGCGTATTGATCGCAGTTCACAAGCAATTTCGAAATCAACACTTTTACTCTTTTTCTGAACTAGTCCAACCTAAGTGAAGGAGCCGTGGAAACATCAACCGGGTAAAAAAACGTGAGGCTGAGCTACCACAAAGTGCGCACTGGCTGCAGGCCAAGACATGTATAGATATGAGTCTACTCCCCTGGACCTGCTCGTCTGTGCAAGTGCAAAGGTTCCTGAGGCTACTTAGACGAGTGACGTACAGTAGCTTCCTGCATAGGAGACGTGATGACATCGTGCGCCATGTCACATATGTACAAGCACTGGACGAATATTCGATAGATATTAGAATTTGCTGCATGACAAGATTCGGGTCGCGCGGCTGACGAAAGGTGATGCGGATCATAACACTGACCGAAAACCTACTAGAATGACTTCACATGTGTCCACCATTTTACGTGACCTAGGTCAAAACTGTCTGACTTCGAATATATTTCGCAAAAGCATACTGCCCATTATAGGCAAAAAGGTCACAATGAGTTTTCGCATCGCTTAGTCCATCGTATAAGCAAGGAGCAGCTTTTTTTCTTCTCTTTTTGTTATACATTCAATGCTATTGGTGATTTAGATTGATAATGGGAACGAGTAAAGGAATTCGGCATGATGATGTTGACGATGATGTGATGACGATGATATGATGATGATGAATTCTATACCCTATTGCTACCTGTGCTTGAATCGCGGTTGATAATGTAGGTCGGGCCCCAGTGGCACCAGAGAATTCCCTAACGCCTAGACAAAATCAGACCCAGAAAGGAATGGTATATGTAGCACTTAAAAGCGACCAACACCGGGGTGTAAGCCTGGCACTTGAAAGCGACCAGGGCCCACTATCTGTTCTATGATATACTTGTTGACTTTCGGGGGATCTCCGGCCGTCGCTTTTCTTCCCCCCTTGTCTCATTCGTATAAACAAACACGGTACCTTAACCACTTCCGCATTCGCAGTGTGAGGTGCTCCATTGCAGGCATACCTGTCTAGGAGTGGAGTACGCCCATGAGCCCATCCAACCTTTTATCCTCCACGGTAGACTGAGCCCTACCTTAGGGGCCACCTCCAGATCCCAGACCTATCAACTAGACCTGTCGTTTTCTTCGGTGGGTATCTCAGAGGTAGAATTTGTGCCGGTAAAAGTATTCGAACCCATCGTCCATAGATATTCAAGAATAGGCCCCGGACTATTTTCGTCCTTCTACGGACCTGCCTAGGTGATGCTCTACCGTTACGCCACCTTGTCGGCAGGATATTCGGGTTATGATGGCCCTGGTGAATTATATCCACCCCGTCAGTGTTACAAGGCCATTTTCAATCTCTAGTATAACTTCATGGCGAATGGAAATCCTGTACACACACGAAAATTATTCGTTTGCTTATGATTGTGGTTCAATTTTCTCCTTCCCTGCTCACGAAAGACGTCCAAGCTATGAAATAGCATCTACGATTGGGATATAAGTTGCTAGAATATTAGGGCAAAGTCGACTACATTGATAGTTCTATTAGAACGGAAAGGAGTGCATGGAATTATATCAAATATCGCTATGAAGAGAGGGTATAGAAGAAGGAAGAATATTTCCTGACAGGTACGTGCTGAAACATCCCTAAGGGACGTCATGCGACAGACAAGTTCTCCTGGGCCTGTCATTGTCTAAGCCTGTGCGTTAATCTACTAGAAGGGCTTGGCTGGTTAGCGAACCCAAATTTTCTATTCATTGTGATAGTGCATTTCTTCTTCGACTCGCCGCAATACTCATCCAATACGTGAGCCCGTTGATAAGGTAGAGAAAGCGACTAAGTTTTGCTCGAAAATAGAGTGTTTGAGAGTATCAGAATGTCATGTGCTGGTTGAAGCGGTGGAGTGAGAGCCGCTGGTCTATCTAACAGAGGGATCACATGATCTCGCAAAAAAGCTTTACAAATATATACCATGCTTTTTTAATCTATGAGCGAATCATTGACTATAAGAGGCCAGTAGAGTGGCACTCCCGAGTAAGCCTCAATGATGCAGGGAGGTAGGAATGATTCTTTCATCTAAATTAAAACGCTATCTCACAAAGTAATCATCATCCACTCGTTCTGCTCGAACTTTGGCCTTCGACCGTCTGTATTATAGTAACGCATGAAATGATGAAAGAATATACGGCAATTAACATAGCTCGACATCCTGCTTGGAAACACGGGCCCTTGCCTATAGCCGAGTGCATTGATTGGACATTACAAGAAGTTCCTTGTGGATAATGCAAGATCTGAGTTTTGTGATCATCTATTTGAAAAAGAAAAAAAAAAAAAAAAAAAAAAAAAAAAAACAGGATTGATTGTTTCTGATTCAGTAAAGTGAATTCTGGGGTACCTAGATGACTGGCATGGTCTGCTATGCAGAAAAGGGAAAGAGTAGCATCGCGAACAATGATCATTTTCTCACATTGAAGGATATATTCTCTCCCAAAAGGATCAAAGATAATTGTACCGTACTTATTGCTGATCCAGTATTATGCAAAGACACTGGCATTGGTTTTTAAGCCACCCTTGCTCATCAATATTCATCGAAAGTCTCCAATGATTCGCGAATTTTGGGGACGGTAGACAAACTTTGGCCATTTGGCGAACCATAACCAACCTTGAAGTGAAAGCTTTAGAGGATATATTGGTCTTTGATAAGAGACAGCAATCGCCATTTATCCACTTGACCAGCGCTGGTGCTGAGGTAAGCTCGCGCTCGGTAAAGGACTCGACGCCTCATTGAAGGCGACAGCAATATTTCCTGCCCTTCCAGTCATCAGAAGTCGCTGAAGTAATTTCTGGGATATTTGAATTGATATTGTAGCCTAGAGGTAGCGGCCGCCCACTCTTCTTCGTCTGCCTGATCAAATAATGCGCGAAAGCCGCCGAAGATACGCCCACAGTGGTTTGGGGCTTCTTGACCCGGATAATATCTCTGCGCACTCTTGGGTGCCCATTAGTGAAGAAAGCACAAAGGGATAAGGGGGCGTTTTATCTGCAATTCCAGCTGCGATGAGACTGCCGCCGCGGTTCAGCGTGGGCGAACATCTATTTCCATCAAGGATGACTTTCCCTTTCTCTTGCCCCAGTGGTTGAAGTGGTTGGATGCCCAGGTTGCCGGGACACCAGTTCCAGAAGTGAAACCGGAGACGATGGAACATCTGCCATTTTGAATGTAATCATCTTGGTCCACTGAAACATCACTGCCTCTGGACATGAATCGATCAAATTGAAGGGCAGTGTGGAGGTAGTAGTAAACCGAGCCGTTCAACGTCTCGAAATAGATTGTCCAATGACAAGAAGAGTCAGTCAAGATGGAACCTTGTGAGTGGCACTGGAGATTTGTGGGTTAGGTAAAAAACAGCTTCAGAGACCCGGGCTATAGACTTTATCTTAAATTATCCAGTCTATGATCGAGCCATGCTAGGGTGCATGCGATGCTACAAAGTAGAACGAGTAAACATGAAGGGAATGCGCTTCGCTTCTACACAACGGCTGGTGATTCCTGGAAATTCAATCAGGACGTTGTGTACTTTTTTGCGCAGTTTTGTCTAGTGCAAAGCTTTACATGCGGTTAGAATGAAAATATTTATCAAGTTTCCGAAGTAACACAACCACTGGCTGGTGTGGGAGGTTATGAAGATGGCGACGACTTTTCCATCAAAATTGCCCTACCATCCTCAAGCGCGCGCCATTCTATGCCAGACACAAAGCTCTCAAAATGTTGGGGAATCCCATCGCCATGATGAGGACGCGGACTAAGATAAGAAAGATTGCTGCACTCATCAAACCACGGCTTTCGGCGCTCATAGGTTTGTTGTATGTCTTGTGGGAATTCATGCCGAGTTTTATCGGCAAGAAGATATTCGGCCACTTCTTTCATATCACGATGAACAAGAAGAACTATGCCGTTGGCGTGCCATTCTTTCAGCAAGATGCGTGCCTCTTCCGTTTCGACAATTCCACCGCCGCATGAGACGACATGGCCTTGTGGCCTTGTCTTCATAACCTCCTTCAGAGCAGCGACCTCTCGAGGTCGAAAATTTTCCCAGCCAAAGCGCCGGATTAAATCCGCAGATTTAAGTCCGTTCTGTTCGGCAATCATCTCATCTAGATCGACAAAGGTCCAGGACAACAACTCCGCAAGCCACTTTCCCATGGTCGTCTTCCCTATTCCTCTCATTCCAATAACAAAAATGGACTGGTGGGTTGTCATTGTATGATGAACGACAGGATTTGAACCAATCTTGCTGCTTGGTGCGATATTTGGGTAGTTGTTCACTATGTAATTCAGTCAGAATGCTTGAGGTAAAACTTCGACGTACTGACCGGGTCCTGGCCAGCGGTGAGTATTCAACTAGTCGCTGGTGGTAGGATGGAAATCTGATAAATATGACAATTAGGTTTAACAGTCGGTCGTGGGTCGTGGGTCGGCAATACTGTGATCGACTTACCCCTGGCGAGCATTGAAAATTCATCAGGAGACAATAGCACCACTGGCCAATGATTGTCAATCCCGGCATTGGAGATCTTGGCAATCGGACCCACTCCGACAACAATACGCCAATGTCATGTTTTCAAGTATTTAGCCATGGCTGTATGAATACGATCACTTGCTGCCTTATTTGAGCAAGGTTCGAGGAAGTCGATATCAAAACGAATGTCACTTATGAGTTTCTTCGGATTCTGCGATGTTATGCCGAGTGGTGTGTGCCCCGGCTACAGTCCCCGCCGCGGTCACACCAAAGCAATGCCTCGTGATTTATTTGACTCGTGTCCCGGTATTCCAGAAAGTAATATAGGTGCCTTTGGAATACGTCTACGAATATAGACCCAAAGTATTTTGGGTATTTATGGCATTCTCATGTATGATATGGGCGAGTTGGCCATAGACTTTACAAGGTCCAGCTTACAGGGAAAGTAGACCGTGGAAGAAAACAAGATGATTTATTAACGAGATCCAAAGCTGGGAAAAGAGGAAGATAGAGAAGACGAAAACCCTATAAAAGCCTACCAAACGCATTATCAAGTTTTCTCTAAGCTTACTGAAGACAGCTTGTACCAAGGTTATCTAATCGAATCTTAGCACAACAATAATGCATTCTCGCTATATCGCATCTCGAACATTCCTGATGACATATTTGGGGATATTCATGGATTTTCACCCATACGAGACATATTTATTACAAAAATATCGACCAATGAGTACCAATGAGGCGCTGGAAGAAGTCGTATTTGATGATATTTTCCTGGACGGATGATCTACCATGGGTCGCTCTCGCGTGGTTTAGCCTCGTATCCCCAGAAGATTATTTTCCAATGCGAATCTCGCTCCCCCGCTCTCTCTCTCTCGCATATGTACGTCCGCCGCTGGATACTGTCAACGCCGAAATTTTGTCCTTGGCGTGGCTTGAATCTCGAGTTCTAAGAATCCTGTTTGTAGAGTTTGAGCAAATTCCGCTCCGCCACGGAGCCTACCGGGAGGTCATTTACGATGGCGTAATCAACCTAGAAATTAGAACAAGTTGCCATGTCAGAAATGACTGCAGAAACTTCATCGAATGTCATACGGCAGAAAAGGTGCAATGCAAAAACGCAAATAATTTGTCGAATTTCCGGAGCTCACCAAAACACAGGCAAATGGCTCATCTATAAACATGAACGCCAAGACGTACCAACCCATCTGTGTGGGCGTAGATAGCTTTACTAGGAACCTTGTGAGCACGATAACAAAGGTCAAAGGCAACTAACATATCTAAATTGGTTCAGCTCCAAAATTCATACCATGGCTAATCATGCTCCAGATCAAGTTAACTTGGTTCGCGGAAGACAAGGAGACCATGGCGATCGATTTAGAGCCCAGAATGCTATTTTTGATCAGACATACACTGTTGCTCGTATACTCATCGGGTGTAGGACTCGGCAACCCTAGCTTAATGTGGTCTAGCTCTTTACATGTAGCAGTCATCTGAGTCGTTGGTATGCGTATAGCTGGAGTTGAGTAAATTGACACACGCTAATTTCTTGGCACCTTATGTGATCTGCTCTCTTATCGATCAAATACACCTTTCCCCGGTTGTGCCGGCTTGTTTACCAAGGTATCCTTGAACTATGGCTGCTCTCTACATTGCAATTCGTAGATTTTGTAGCTTCTATCTATAATTAGACAACCATGGCCCGTGAAATGTGAATTTCATACTGGGCCTCGTCGATGACAACTTCATTGTTGTCCTTGTGGCTCCTGTATTTGCCTGAAAGCAATATATAAAGAAGCTTGAAAGGTCTCTTCTGCACTCTTTCATAGCATCACATTGACAGTTTCATAACTTCGAACTTCAATTCGAAGCTTGGCAACTATTAACCATCTTCCGTGATGAAGTCTTTTGTCTACATTCTTACTGCCCTCCTTCCCCTTGCATCGCAAGTGACAATGGCGAGCCCAGTCGCGGATTTCGAAGACTTTTTACTCGAAGACAGAGGGAATGACGGAGACTGGAACCGCCATGATCACCCTGACAATAATTGCAGGATCAAGCACAGCTATCCCTACCACAAGTATCCTTGTGATTCCAGCGGTATTGTTGGAAAGTCGAACGTAGGTGACAATTTTGCACCCGTCTGCAAGTACCAGTAAGGCTTTTGTCTTTCCTTGGGGGTCACACTGGTACTAACAGACCATAAAGGAACTGGTATAAGAACTCGAAGGGTTGGTGGGTCACATCTGAGTTCAAGCCTAGGGGATGCGGTAAGCCTGAGATTTGATTCAATTCGTGCATGACGGCACAAGAGATTTGAGCTAACGAGAATCACAGTTATCCACGTGGGAGACTGCAACTAGATGGTAGAGCAGGCAATCTATGGAAGCTTATTCGAGTGAGATGTTTTCAGTTGATTTATCTTCGCAGTTCTGACTCCAGTCCGCCACTCGTTCTATTGAACTTTTTTGATGAGTGGGTTATTATTCTGCAGAAACGTAAAGGACACGGTGAAAAGTGCAATTGTCGGTTTACGGTTGATTTACTCTTGGTCGAAGTTTTTAAGATATGATTCTTTCAAATCCAAATAAACCCGTCATTCCTTCACTTGCGTTAGATTACTACAATATCTATGGAATTCAAGTAACGTCAGGAATGGTAGAGAAAAAGGCAATCCAATGAGTAAGATTCCCAATTTTCTATATGTGAGACATCTGAACCTTTAACACTGAAATTTACGGAGCTTTATCTGACTTCGTATAATACGCCTCAAGAATATTAATTTCTTCGGGTCCTGTAATAAATTATCTAAAGCAAGGAGTATTATATAAGACGAGCTACCCTGGGGAAGCAATAAATCTCTCAGAAGGCCATTTCGAAAAAGTCCACGGGGTTTTCTGACACGAAAAACTGCTCACAGTCAAAGTTATTTAAATTTGGCATCTCTGCAAGTAAGTCATCGAGGTCTACTGATTCTGCCTCGCGGGCAATGTTTGATCCATCATTCGGATTTTCTTGGCAAAACTGCAAGGACGCATCGAAGTAGCCATCTAGAATACTGCTGAGGGTCTGGGCATCATTCGTCTTCCTTTTTTGCTGTAAAAGAATCAACAAACCTGCTGTTCGAAATGCTTCCCTCATGACAGCTGTATCGTAAATTTCCGCAATTATTTTAATGGTCTGTATAGCCTCATCTAGTCGAGAGAGAGATTCAGCACTGTCTATCGCAAGAAGGGTACTGACGATCTGGAAAGGAACATTTGCGACGTGGCTCCAGGGACAATTTTGGTATGCCAGGTCTTTCGCACAGATAAGAGACCTCGTTATCAGGTTTAAAATGCGATCCATGTCTGACTTGCATACGTCGTAGTGAAGTGCACGGAGTCGTCGAAACACACAAAGCATAAGATTGCATTGTGATAGTACAAACGGGGGCTCCGTATGTGAACTGTCAAGGACGTTAGACAGCATTGCGATGAGCTGGGCGGAATCGAGCGAGTTGTTTGGTTCCAGGGTCTCTGAGAGGGGAAGCAAATTCAGCATTTCAGCTGTATAGTCACCCTCTCGGCATGTTGGCGAAGTGTAGGACGCTCCACGCAGGACAACTCTTGATCGGCCCAAATCGAAAGATATCCAAGTGTTGATATATTGGGCGAACCCAACAAACCTTCTCCGAATGTCTGGATCAACGTTTTGTGGCCTTCGAATGAGAAGTGACCGGGACGGAGACTCTAGATGAAGCCCCGATGCTTCTACTAGGTGTAACAATGAGCAACTAGCCATCCATGCAGTGTGTGGAGAGCTTATCAGCCGCAGGTAGGCCAGTCTGAGAGCCCACCCTGTAATGATACTCAATGATGGTATGCCGGACATTGAACATTGTTCGAGTGTTGATCGAGCTGATTCGACTAAAGGCAATTCTGCAGCGATAGCTTTTCTTCGGGAAAAAAGGTAGCCCATTGCTGCTACACCACATAGAACCGCATCATAAGGCTCCAGTGTGGACTCCCGGGACCACCTCAAATCCAGATTTGCGAAGAAAGTCGCACGGTCGATATAACCGTAGCATGGATCTACCTTGTCGAGGTAAACTTTTGCGAGGCTGGTCATCTCCCCATGTGATACGATATTCAAAATGGATAGAGAAACAAAGTTCCCTGGCAATTGTCGGGCGCCGATATTCCAAGCAAAAACCTTAGGCTCGGGCGCATTGTCTGGGTCAATTTTGAGCCCCAACCCCCTTACAAAAGCAGCACCGGAGTTCAATTCCAAGGATTGTGGCTGTAGCACCTCAAGGCATGGACCTAGGGATCGGTCGCACGGAGATGTTGTATTGTGGAAAAGATTCCCCTGGTCTTCATGAGGCTGGGACCGTTCTTGGCCTGGTAGTAGCGGGTTCTTGTTTCTCTTTTTGCGACCGCCGATATCGTAGAAGCACTCGTACTCGAAGTCACTGCAAGTTTCGCAAGGCCGACGACCGTCACATTTCTTCTTACGGTCTCTGCATAGTCTGCAAGCGACCTTGGATCGGCGGGGGCGTTTCAACGGGTTGGACATAGCGACGGGAATTATGAATATGTCCAGAGGGATCTGGCTTCGCTCGATTAAGCTCCGATGCTGCATTCACCAGTTGACTATAAGGTTACGTGTTGACGTGAATAATTCTTTGAATTTTGAGCCTGCAACCGCATGGAACCCTTGAATAAAAGCCAAAGTAAATTAGCAGGACAAATGCATTCAAAAAGTAAAATTGATGAAACATCGAGACTAACGCGACATAGAGCACGTAACTCATTAGGTAAGCTTCACCAAGTCAGGTGATGTACTTCACATCAAACGATGCTAGTGTCTTCTCTGGTTTTTATCCGCTTATTACCTATTTATTCCGCTTCCACGGTCTCTTCAACTCAAAACCGCTATCGTAAAAACTCAATACGGCTATCTAGAGTCAGTTAACCCCCGAAGCACAGGCTGAACAGCTGTACTCACCAGCTTCAAACGAGGCTTGTGCTGCATAGCGCGGGGGGCGGAGGTCGGAGGGTAATTTGTCGCCGATCATTTTAACTTGTGTGCCAAGAGTGGAAATGCCGAAATGAAGAATTTCTCGCATTCTTGGGCTCGGAAAGCTTGGAGGCATCTTAGTGTGAAACCTTCTAACTCCACGCCCCTAATGTTATCACGTTCGCCCCATATCGGGCCTTTTAATACTTATACATAAATAATTCGGTGGCTCCAAGGTTCAAAGGCTGTCTCTGCTTGATTGAATATCGTGCCAGAGAGGTCTGGTGTATCAGGTGTCTAGACCAACTCAGTAGGCGGTAGATAGACACTTCATCTCTCTTCCTGGATCTTCCTTTCTTCTCATGGCCCTTTCAGCATGCACATAGGATAGCCGTATTCTGCTCTCTGATTTCTCCTTATTTATATTGCACGTAGGGAGCTTTAGTACTTTGGTCAATCGATCTTTAACTCAGCCTTCCGCTATCTATGCACACAATTGATAAGCATCCGGTTCTCAAAGCCAAACAACTTGACCATTGCGTTAAGCTATAAGGCCCTTTCTATTACATGTGTGTGGTAAAAGGTGAGCAGCACTAGGGTCGACTCATTGCTCCCTAGGGAACATCCTAATGGTGTCGAGCATACCGTCCTTTAGCCTTTTTATGAGTACACGGACTCTATGGGCATTCGATTAAATGAGAGGTTTATTCTTTATATCATTTTTGCAAATCCCGAAGTCCAGCCCACCCCAGCAGTAGAGAAGTTCGAGAATCATCAAATTTGCCATGCTTTTGCCGCCTGAGAATGATAATTATCGCCTCCACATACGTCTTACCTTTCGATAGGTACATTCAAGCAGGATGACAGTGTTCCGTGTGTTCTGTCTTGACATCTGCAAACCCCCTCATCGGATCTTGAATAACCTCCGATAAATGTGATCCATTTTAACTGCAGTCAATGTTTGGGTCGATAGATTGCAGGAGACAGATATTTCTACGTCATTGTCATCGAAGTCATGTGCCCGCCATTGAAACGTGGATTAATAGAAACTTTCCACTATCACGCAAGCCTATATGATAATCAGGATCACTTCTAAAACAAGCTCATTGCATAAGTCATCAAGGCCGAAGGATCAACGGGGAAACAAATCTGGAAATCGGACACTCCGGTTTCTTTCCCGGCTATACTTTTATCACTCCACGATTTCCACAATTTGTGCGGGGATTGGTCCCACACGCGGTTTTCCGGACATAATAGAGATATTTAAACGAATATAGAGTATGCTAGAGGAGCTGTCTGGACAGTATTTGTGTGGAGTTCGTGCCTTTCTTCCGTTGTCATCGTACTTAAAATGGTCCAGCTGACTGGGTTCGCGTTGCTGGGGCTCTCTACCCTGTTTTCTGCGAACTAAACCCTCCATACTATGCCGATTTGGCCTGGCAACCGGCTCGCACACTTTCTACATGGACGAATCTTACGGTTCAAACTCGTACAGGAACTTTTGTTGGCATGTTAAATGCTACCTATCCTAATGTTCGGCAGTTCTTACGTGTTCTTTTTGCCCAAGTAAGACTAAGTTTCATTCTCTGCTTTAAAACTTGACAGCTCTCATTTCCTCTCTGTCAGGCTCCGGTTGGTGACCTACGGTGGCTCCCGCCTCATCGGTTGCCCGACTCCTCGAAAAGAATCGATTCGACCCGATACGGCCCGGGTAAGTGACCCGACTCCTGGCTTTTCGAACAACGTGTTGTAGCTGTGAATTGTGGGTACATCCAGTGCTTATATCTCGCTTGCATATAGCATGTCCGCAATATGTTGCCTCAAGCGATGGCATGTGGTCCGAATACGAGCCGACCAGTCTCTTGCTCAATGTAGGCGAAGCTGATAACCAGGGTTCCACAGCCTGGTCTTCAGCTGAAGACTGTCTATCCCTGGCTATCTGGAACCCCTCCCACGCCAACGGATCCTCGAAACTGCCCGTTGCACTATTTGTCACTGGTGGTGGTGGAGTCACTGGTGGAATCGAGGTTCCGTCCCAGCTTCCGTCCCATTGGGTATCACGCTCTCAGGAGCATATTGTGATCACAATCAACTATAGGTTGAATATTTTCGGAAGTGAGAGCTGACCTTGTTACACGGCCTTTTAATGGATGGATTTAACAGATCTTCTTTTCTCCTATATCCCAAATCGAAAGCCCTCAAGGAGAGCTCACTGACTCTGTTGGATGTCCGCGCTGCGGTTGAGTGGGTATGGGAGAATATAGAGGCTTTTGGGGGTGACCCTGCGAACATCATGGTGCGTGGTATCTCTCTTTGGCTTCAAACTCTCTAGTCTTCAACCAATCTAATTTTTCCATTTCGGGGCCAGCTATGGGGTCAGTCTCAAGGGGCCGCGTTGACCCACCTATACACCCTCGCTTTTCCGGACAACCCGCTCGCAGCAAAATTTGGCATCATATCACAGCCCCCTACGGTGACCATCAACCTAACTGAGACAGACGATGTCTATCAAGATTTCCATACCGTCGCCCGAGGGCTTGGCTGTAACTACGGAGATGACGCGGAGGCAGAGCTTGAGTGCATGCGTCAGGTCTCCTGGGTCCAGATCGAGGAGTATATCAATAGGTATAACGGCACCACCTCACTGGCATTTACTAACTATATTCGTTTGTCTGCCCTTCATGAGACAATAAAATTTTGTTTGACTAACCATCTCACATAGCGGATGAGAAGTACATATTTTCAAACGAGACCGCGCGCTATCTGGCTGGCAAGGTTGCCCGAGGACCAGCCATCCGGCCAGACGCATCTAGGGAGCAAGCCAACACTGATGAATCAGTCACTATCGAAGTTGAGGGTGAATGGATTTGTACTGCTTACGAAGATTCAATATTGCGTGCGTCCTTGGGGCTGGAGACATATCGATACTTATGGGCGGGGAACTTCTCCAACATCAGTCCAGTGTCTTATCTTGGAGCTTTCCATTGGTCTGACCTCTTGATGATCTTCGGCACTTATATGACGGATGCTGGTGATATTTCCGAGCTAGAATCCATGACGTCAGAAGCCATGCAGGACTATATCCTTGCCTTTCTCAAAGATTCATCAACTGTCAGTTCCGCGGTCGGGTGGCCGGCTTTCGATGCTAGTGCACCATATGGCGGGCTTGTCTTGGAATTTGGCAACCAGACAGCTGTGAAAAACATCACGGGCAACTTTCTCGAGGCTGGATGTTGGAATTCATCCATATCCTTTCCGATTTATGAGCCTAGGAAGAGAGCAGCGCGGTCATGGTCAGCATAATCCAGGATGTATGCTGTCTTGATTTCAATGCTCCACAGCTCTTCGAAACTATTATGCACAGCCTTTCTTACATGAAAAATTCCCGTGGAATCATCTTTGAATCGAGGCAGGCTTTTTTGGGCTCATTGATGGGCTTGACCAATGTATCTTTTCTTTTAACCACCAGGCAAGGACGGAAAAGCTCGTCTCGTATCAGAATGATAACAAGATATTTGATCTTTAAACCATTAAATTAGTCGATGATTTACAATTACTCAGGAGAGGGAAGGGAGTCCCGAAGATGGCTTCATCTACCTTGTTACCTGCATCATTGAGCCCAATCGCAACCAATCAATATTCCTTCTCACCTACGTCGCCCTGCACCGCAACACTCTCCTACCATACTGGCATTTTTAATTCGCGCTTTAGATAGAATATCCGTAACACCCTTTTTTCAAGTCGACCTCATTGGCTATTAATCCTTCATTCGTACCTAGCTAGTTCCAAATGAGATAACCTCCTCTGCGCACATATGCGGCAAATTGAGAAATATCAGAACAAGAGGCACTTTGAAGACACGCCAGATTCCAATACTCTGTAAGTGAATCTAGATTGTAATTTGAGCTATCTGAAGTGAGCTGTGCTGTGGGAGACCGAAAATGGACGAAGCACATTTGGTACCCTCTCGATGGGTCCACCTAGGGCCAGTTGGAAAAATATTTACCTTGGATTAGTCTTCCATTCCAACCGCCTTCAATTTTCCTCCTTGCTCCAGGTAGTCGAATCCACTGACGGATGCCATTTCAATCGGGCACCTGATAGTCGGGGATGCCAAGTCGCACTTCAGCCCAAGCTCGTATCAATGAACCATGCCGTAAAGAATATATTTCAGCAAATATTGGTTGGAGCACTGTTTGTCTTGTCATGCATCACTGAGCCAACAGCAAAGTTCTGGTAGTCTCGGAACTCCCTGTCATGCCTGTAGTTCTTGTTCATATATGTGAGATCGAGATTAGGCATATGATTCAGCCTTAGTTCACAATGGACGATCACGCTAGATACTGATAAGTTTGGTTTTCTTGTGAACAATGATCTCTTCTACTCATTCTTCGCTGCCCCGCCTATTTGTTGCACACTTACGTCTCGGAGATTCTCTGAAAAGATATGCGGGCAGGATCTAGACATGCGAGGACATCTACCCGCGAGCAAGGGCTGCAATCCTTGGAACCCCTTTGCATTCGTGATCGGTGGTCACCGCTGGGAAAAAGCAGCCTTATATCCTCTCCCGTGGAGGACTAGATCACAATTTCTGGGGCAAGCATAGCCAAGATACGCTCTGACATAAAACTATGAATACTATGGATATATTAGTTGCAACTTAGACCCCTAAAACGCCACGGGCTGGAGATCTATAATCTATAAACCATTCTTGATGAAGAAACACTAAACATGCCTTCCGGCATGGTGCTCCCCGTCATCCGATAGAACCGAAATCTCAATCTGCTTGGTGATTCCCCTCGCTCCCTCATGAATTTGCGTAGGGGAATCAGGGCGGCCAATCGTCGTGCTAGTTTGGGTGCTCTGATCCAGAATACGCTCAACACTATCGTTTTTAGTGTTGTGTGACTTGAACCTGCGCGCGCCTTGGGACTGTCGTGATTTGTTTGGACCGGTCTGGCGACTGAGCTCATAGGATCGAGAGAAGCCACCGCTGGACATCTTTCTCACGGATGAGATGATCAGGGGACGAATGCAGGGAATAGATGATGTGATGATGATGATAGAGTTTTCAATATATGCCCAGCGGATCAGTTCAAGTCCCCCCGACGTGCCTAGGTTCGTAATGCTGGGCACTTGGTTGAGCTTGGTTGTTTTGACGATAGAAGCAACCATAGCCCTGATCCGTCAGCGTCTCACAAGTCAACGGGAAAAGGGCTGACTTACACTACTCCAAGACTGAGCAGTACCATCAAACTAATCTTGATGCGCAGTTTGAGGTTGAGATTCCAGAAAACCACGGTCGGAAAGATAGCGAGGAACAGGTCGGTGGCGGAATTGAAGGCTTGAAATACAGTCAGCGTGCTGTGCAATCCCGAAGCGTCGTGATCCAAATACACTCACTGTTCGAGAAGTAGGCAAAGTTGATCACTGCAGCAGAGTCCCCACAAGTAGTTTTCACCGTGGGATCCCAGAGTACATTCACATTGCGACAGATACTAAGGGGTAACACGGCGGACACAATGTTCCCCACCAATTGAACGACCAGCACGGTCCATAACGCGATCTGATAGTGTTTATTGGTGCCTAGAATCCCTAAAAGGTAGATGATGAAGGCTGAACGGGCAATCGTGGTACTCAGGGTGACAACGGGCACTTGGATGGCGATGTATTTCAGAACCAGGGAAGTATCGTGCGTAAACGGATCTCCTAGCTTGGTACCAAAGCCATGTTTCACGGATAGAGTCAGAAAGACCACGGCGACGATTGCGAGGATCTGCACGAGCAACCCGTTAGCGGAGCAATCAGGACGGACACTAGGGGTGTCAAACCTCAGCAATGATCATCAGCACATCATCCACGTTGAACCGTTTGATCTTAAATTTGGCAAAGACCCGTAAGATAACGATCACCGCGGCGATGATGACGGCAGCCCAGATCCCCTTCTCCAAGGCTGGCCCACCATTGGATTGTGACATTGCTGTAGAAGTAGGGAATTTTAGCAGAACATGATCGAGGGATCTCGAGCCCTTCATTAAAAGGAAAATGCATGCCTTCGATAAACTTTTCTGATAGCGAGCTGAAAGTTGGTGCCGGGGCGAGTTCCGGAAAAGAGCATGAGCCACTGGCTTTTCCATGGGTTCCAGCCATTTTCCTTGCCCTGATCTACCCATGAACCATAAACCCCCGGAGAGCGAGAACCACTGCCTGTGAGAGGTGGAGTCTGGATCGGAACCAATGGGCATCAGGCATGGATGTGTGTTGCGAGAAGGTGAGTGGAGCATGTCGAGAGAACAAGCGGCGATTGGTCGACAGCCACCCACTTCCATCCACTTCACGGGCCTGATTTTCCTTTCTATTACCAATTTGAGACACTCGATCGATCCGGAGGCTCGTGGGCCCTGAAATTGAGGCAAGTGGGCGCTTTTTGACTTCCGCCACCGTCCGCTTCGATTTCACAGGACGTCCATTCTTTCTAAAAATTCTAACTTTGGACCATTCTATGATACTTCTATTTGACGCCAATCTCCTGCCTCGGTTCACTGACTGGCCTCATGTGCCGAGAGGAGGATTTTGGCGTTGCCTGTAACCTCCGTCTCTGGGACCGGACAAATCCTAATAGATTAAAGATCCCAGCTTTCCCAAGGTTCCCACTCGGCTTTACTCCGGCGGATCCCTCATGTCCACAGGTGTGAATGTGTACTATCGAAAACTAGACGCACTTGGGAATACCTCCGAACTGTCCACAGAATAGATGGAAGGAGGCGTTTGATAACGCCGAAGAATGTGGCCTCCTTCTTCCCATAAATTGGAGTTGATGATCCGTAATATCCCCGATCTCCACGCTTTTTTCTCTTTTTCTTCCCACCCCCACATCATGAAGTGGTTGATCCTGGCTCTGGCCTCCACGGCGATCGCTGCTGAGTCTCAGTGCCGCTGCTTGCCTGGAGATGACTGCTGGCCTTCTTCATCGGACTGGTCGTCCTTGAATCAAACCGTCGGAGGCCGTCTGGTCGCGACCGTCCCAATTGGAAGCCCTTGCCATGCGCCCACCTACGATGCGGCCGCATGTGCTGCCTTGCAGGCCAACTGGACTCTCCCGCAAACTCAGTATGTGATTCCATGAGATGTCGAGGCATATCACGATGCTAATATCCAACAGCCTGGACTCATCTTCTTCGGTGATGCAAACATATTTCGCCAATCAGAGCTGTGACGCGTTCACTGCAAAGAACCGTCCGTGTTTGCTGGGAAATTACGTCAATTATGCGGTCAACGTGTCCACAAGCGAGGATGTTGTGTCGGCAATCAAGTTCGCCCAGAACAACAACATACGCTTCGTGGTCCGTAATACCGGGCATGAGTAAGTGGGGAGACGAGCACTGTCTTTTTCGAAGGTCGTGGCTGATCGCTTCAAGTTACCTTGGCCGTTCCACCGGCGCCGGTGCTTTGTCTGTTTGGACGCACCACCTGAACAACATTGAACTTCAAGACTGGTCCGATTCGACTTATCAGGGTCCCGCTTTCAAAGTCGGAGCCGGAGTACTCGGATATCAGATCCTCGAGGCTGCCACCGCGAAAGGTTTAGTTGTCGTCACCGGTGAATGTCCCACCGTAGGATTGGCGGGTGGCTATACGCAGGGAGGTGGTCACTCTGCTCTTAGCACTGCCTTTGGTCTGGGCGCTGATCAGACCCTGGAATTTGAAGTCATCACCGCCGCTGGAAAGCGTGTCACTGCCTCCCGCTCGCAAAACGCTGATCTCTTCTGGGCCTTGAGTGGTGGTGGTGGCGGCAATTACGGTGTGGTGATGTCCATGACCGTCAAGGCTCATCAGGATGCTACTATCGGCGGTGGTGCCCTGGAGTTTACTGCAGCTGGCGTCACACCCGAGGTCTTCTTGGAGGGAGTCTCCCTTTTCCACCATCTCCTTCCCCAGATGATTGACAGTGGCGCCTCGGTGATCTACGAAATGACTTCCAGCTTCTTTGCCATTAGCCCCCTGACTGCCTATAACCAGACCTCCGACGATGTCAAGGCTATTCTTCGGCCATTCGTCTCGGGTCTTGCCCAGCTGAACATCACTGCCCAGGTGGCCTACACCCAGTACGACTCATACTATGACCACTACAACAAGTACATGGGTCCTTTGCCGTATGGCAATCTGGCTGTGTCATCCTACCAGTACGGTGGTCGTTTGATTCCCCGGAGTGTGCTGGAGAACAACTCCACCGGTCTGGCAACAGTGCTCGGCAATTTGACTGCCCACGGTGTGATTGCCGTGGGCGTTGGTATGGATGTCTCCCACCCCGGAAATGTCTCCAACGCCGTCTTCCCCGCATTGCGGAATGCCGCTGTTACGATGCAAATCGGCACTGCATGGAATGAAACCGCGCCATGGTCGAAAATGGTAGCTGACCAATTGAAGATCACCAACGAGTACGTCCCACAGTTGGAAGCCGTCACCCCCGGTAGTGGTTGCTACCAGAATGAGGGAAACTTCCGCCAGCTTGATTGGAAGGAGACCTTCTTTGGCAAAAACTACAGCCCCCTTCTTTCGATCAAGCGCAAGTGGGATCCTACCTCTTTCTTCTATGCGCTCAAGGCCGTGGGAAGTGACTCGTGGGATGTCTCAAATTCTGGTCGGATGTGTCGTGTTTAAAGTGAAGTCGGGCGAGACGTGCCTAGGCGGTGGAAATAGATGGGCAGACACTTCAGAGGGATCGGAGGTGTTGTAATAAATCCGGTATCCATAATATACATACATACTCGACACGGATAGTAAGATGGCTTGTGCATATAATGATTCTCGCGGTGGGGTTCCAGCCCGGACCTTTTGACCTCGGGATACATCAATTGATACTAAAATTTGATACCCCTCCGACGCCAGGCGTCTCTCCCAAATTATCCGATATTATGTATTCCTTTCGTGGTTTCAATTCTCTTCATGCTTGGCATGAGTCAACATGCCAGACTGTTAACCAAGACGGGTAAGTGGGGCGCAGAGATTAGCGTTCCAAGACGCGTAATACACCAAGCCTCAAGCCCTCCGCGCTACAACTTTTGCAAACTCTAAATTTGTAATTTTGAACAGTTTTTCCAAGCAGATCACTTCCAAGGTTCCAGGCCTCCCCTAGGCAAATTCACCTTGCCAATTATTTCTCAAAGTTCCGCTGACACATGACGGAATCCACTAAAGAAGCGCTTGAGAAGCCAAACCTGGAGAGGGGCCAAAACAGAGACAACCCAACCAAGCAGCCGGGCGCGGCAAGTTACAGTCATCAAATCAGATTAGATGACGGCACTCGAATCACGTTCAAGACCCACGGCTTTAACCGCCGAGTGATCCTTTCCGATCAATCAGGTGACTCAAACGCATCAAGTTGCGTCGAGAGTTGGAAAGTGAAAAAGCCCAAGATGAATCCGTGGCCATCTTCCTTATTCACTCACACTAGTGGATATTGCAGCCCCAAACCCCATTTTCGCGTCAGGGCTCATGCATCATGCATAGGGTGAGAACCGCGAAAGCCTAAAAAACAACAATCCACAGCTATCACCACACATCGGTGTGTCCTATCCCAAAGACTTTGTAATGAATATTACGATCTCGGAGTCAAGCTACCCTGGTGCCAGATGTTATTCTCTGTCAAACGCTACACGCCACCCGGCCTAGAAGAGTAGCTTGGGTGACAACCGATACATCGCTTGGATCAACTCAATGACTTTCGGTTCTGTCGGCACCACGGCCGAATTTCATTTCTTATTCCTCCGAATTTGGCAGCGCAGAAAAGATTTTTCCTTTTACAAAGAATTCGAGCTACAGCGGGGCTGATTGATAGACAGGTAGGATCCACTAAGGATGGAAGAAAACATCAAAACGCCATCAGCTGTGCCTGTGCCGGAGTTCGTAGATTGCCATGGATTTGCTTTCAATCGGAGCCAAAGAACAATAACCCAGCAACACTAGAATGTAAACAAGACCCAGTCCACTGTACCTTGCGGTTGTTTGTTTCTGCCAATTTTATAGATACTTTTTCTTTGGCATTCAAGAACCAATCCGAACTCGTTGCACGGACATCATGGGCTCGGTCGTCGATCGGCTCAAGGGCCGCAAGGCGACTCACATCGTCGACGATCTTCGTCCCGTCGACAAGAGTGATGCCCAAATGCCTCACTCGGGTAGCCTGGAGGCATTCAACCAAAATACTGAATCACCCCCCACGGAGGTCACCAAAGAATCCCTCAATCAGAATGGGAACCTATCTACCCCGGCGGGTACTCTGCATAGCTGAGCTATACCCCCGGAAGAGAGGTGCGTGATGCCATCAATTTTTCCTGGGGATACACACAAAAGTACGAGGCAATCGCAGCTACCTGCCTCGTCATTCTCCTCATTCCTTCAATCTTGATGTGGAGATATTACCGTGTAGTTAGGAAACAGAACAATGGTATGACGTTGTAACGGTGTATAGTAACATTCGCCGAGCTGGTCAGCACTTTGCCACGAAGCTCAGCACTTTACGAAGCATCAGCGATGAATTACTGAGAATCAGCTAGTCCACGTCAACGTTTCTACATGCCTTACAAGGTGAAAAAGCAGTTAAGATGATATAATGAGGGTGGTAAGGGCAATGGGGGACTGCAGCATGTTTCTGCAGCTCTTGGGAATAGAGGGGAGGTTCTCCACTGTACATTTATATTTTGATCGCGACTTGATTCGAGTATGAATTCAAGCTACGTTGAAACTTCATTTAAAGCTCATGTAAATCTCAATGAGTTTGGTCCGCATGATGTATTGGAAGCTCAGCCATCAACATACGTTAATCCATACTGAGAGTAAGTCAACGCTGGGATCATATGCCCCGGGATGGCACTTCGATTCTCGTCACCCAAACACCCCAGTTCGTTGGAAGGCTACATTATAGTAGCATTTCATTGCTCGGGTGAGTCATGATTCATTCTTAGAGTTTCTTGAAGTCTGAATGATAAATATCCTTGGCATCGGAACGCAGGTGCGAGATTGCTTTTCGTTCGGTCATATCGGCCATATCGGCCCCAACTACAAATCATCAGGGCACCTCGGCCGAAAAGAAGTTGTTTGGCTATAAATGAAGCCAATGATATCTCAACTACCTGTAACACAGGACTCTCTCTCACCTCTTGAAAAACATGCCTTTGCTGAAAATCTTGATCTGCGGAGGGGGCATTACAGGAAATGCTCTCGCATTTTGGCTTTCCAAACTTGGCCACCAGGTCACCGTCATCGAGCGTTTCCACGAGCTCCGCGTAACGGGTCTACAAGTCGACCTCCGTGGCCATGGCATTGAGGTCTTGCGAAAGATGGGCTTGGAGGAAAAGTTTCGAGCTCATTCCATCAAAGAAGCAGGGTTGGCTTTTGTCGATTCCCGGGGAAGACAATGGGCGTATTTTCCTGCAAATCGCTCCGGTCAAGGCTTGCAAAGCTTCACCACCGATTTTGAGATCATGCGGGGAGACTTGTGTCAAATGCTTCATGATGCCACCGAAGGCCGTGCCACATACATCTTCGGAACTTCTATTCAAACCATCACTGAACAGCCGAGTTCCGTAAAAGTGGCATTCTCAAACGGTCGTAACGATTGTTTTGATTTGGTCGTTGGTGCTGATGGACAGCGGTCCCGCACACGTCAGTTGATCATGGGCCCCGAAGAGGCAGATCCTTTCCATTCTTTGGGGATGTATGGTGGATACTTCACCATCCCCAGAAAAGTGCAAGAAAATGAAGCATATGCTGCGACAGCCTACATCGCCCTAGGAAGTCGATTTCTCATGACGCGCAGACACGATCCTCTTAGAATACAGGCTTATATGTTCTGCAAATTCGACCCCAAACGCATCGAGTGCAGCCGGACTAGGGCCGATAGCGAAAAGAACGCATTGAAGGATATCTTCCGTGACGCCGGCTGGGAAAGTGAGAAAATCCTTCAAGCGCTTGATGTTGCCGACGATTTCTACGGAGACGTGAGCGGCTTCATCAAAATGAGCTATTGGTCGCGCGGACGTGTTGTTCTAGTCGGCGATGCAGCGTATGGATCATCCGGTATGACAGGCATGGGCACAACATCTGGTCTCGTTGGTGCCTATGTGCTGGCTGGGGAGATTAGCGAAGCATTTGACCGATCCTCTGAAGACATGCCTGCGGGAAAGCTCATCGCCGCTTTGGAGTCTTACGAAAACAAGTTTCGACCTTTTATGAATCAAGTCCAGGAAGGCTTGTCGGATAATTATTCGGCTGGTTGGGATTGGGTTTTATCAAAGCCTCTCATCATCACCATCTGCTATCTCCTCTTAGCGATGGCATCCTATCTGAGACTTGACATAATTGCCCAGTGGTTCCTTTGCGAAGATATTAAGGATTGGGACCTTCCTGCCTATCCAAGCATGGTCGATGCTTGATATGCATGATATGTTGTAGCTACGATAGAGCCGTCTGTTCTCAGTGTACTATGCTACCTTTCTTTTCTTGCGTAAGACTTCTGTTCCTTTTTGTCCTTCTAGTTCTATGTATTGGATATTTTGCATTAAGACGCAATGATTTAACTATGATCAATCCATTGCTGGAACAGATTTGAAGTTAGAAAATCAAAACTGAGAGGGTCGTCATTAAAACCCCCGAAGTCGGTGCCCATGGCCCCTGGGGATGTCACAGTGCCATGATAGATCCATGATTCAAGTTCCGGGTCCATGCAATGATCCTCTTTGTGGCCGGCTAGCTCTGTAAGAATTTGGTGACATACTTTCAGGCTTTCTGTGGCAGCATTTGACATGGCCTCCTCAGCCGATGATCCATTGAATAGAGCCTCAACCTGAGCTGTTGCCATACTAAGAAATACATATCCTTTCACATTGGTCTCCCCGCAAGACATTCTCTCCTTTGCGTATTTAACAACCCTGTGAGCATCTTTGATCAACACCTGCTGATATGCGCGGTGTCTGCTCTTTGCGAGGATTGAAATTTCGCTATTGAAGCTAGAGTTCAACTCCAGATAGAGCATCAGCGCCCCCCGTGTGATGATATCCCGAAACATGCCACCTCCGTTGATGAGCAAGCGGCAGTAGAGATGATCATCAAGAAGTGCGATAAGGTCTAGAGCAACGTCCAAGCACACTTGGTGTGAGTGGGTGTAGAGTTGATTTTCCCTAGCTTTTACAGCATACATGAAATGGAGGCATAAGATGAAGCGACGGAGCAGGTGACTGCAAAAGCTCTGCGTAAATTGGCTAGGTGGCTGCTGGCTCCACGACACTTCGCGTTCGATTGCCACAGCAGTCTTCCGAAATGCAGTAGAAAGTGCATTCCCCAAGGCCAATATTTCCTTATATTCCGGCTCCTCTTGTAGGCTATTTATGACAATGACAGCTTGTGTCCTCAGAGGGAGAGATTCGGCCAACAAGTGCTGAAAGGATAACTGTGGCTGCGCTGTTAGGTATGTTTGCTCCAGATTATCTTGACGGATTGTTGAATTGGCATCGAGAATTTTGCCAGACGGCGGTAGCGTGTTGTAGTCCGCATGGGTTATCATGGGTGCCATTCCAGAATCAAGGGCGGCTTGGACGTTCATTTCAAGAATCGTGTACCAAAGCTGTCTGCGGATTTCCTTTTGCCCAGCACTCATATCCCCCAGATGGTCTGGATCCTGATGTAGTCCCATTTGCATGGCCATTCGAATGAGCGACCCCACCGAAATCCATACAATATCGGCACCTACCCGGTTGACTTGACGAGCGAGAAGGAGAAGACAATGTACCTGAATGCCCTTGATTGTCAAACGATCTTTTTCCATTGGGGCGGAGAGCCACGTCTGCGAGATGTGCAGCCACGTTGGTGTTTTAGAACACAATTCTTCACGAACACCAGCGTCATTATGCATCATGCCGGTGACAGACATCAGGAGAAGTAGCTCCACTAGGAAGGAGCCTTTGGCACCTTCCAGGTCATCAATGCAAGCAAGGTATTCCATCATAAATGTGGGATAGTGGAGGATCGGGTAGCATGTTTCAGTTGTAGTGAAGTATAGCTGCACCAATTCATCGATGACTTGGCGACGGGGGAACGTTCGATATAGCCCCGCGGGGAGACAGCGTCGGTTCGGGCGGTCCCTTTTGATTTCCCTGGCTAGTTCTTTACATTGCCCCATCATCTTAGACACTTCATCTTCGGAATCATGGTTGGCCTGCTGGAATAAGCCGTTTTTGTAATGCGACATTGGCCCCAGAATTGACAGTTCCGACGGCTTTCGGGCAAAGAGGAACATTAGCCGAATATTACCAGCCCCTAGGAGTGGAAAATTACCATAGACATTGCATTCATCCAATGACCTTGGCCAAAAACCCTTGTTTTGGATACTGTCCCACGTATCGGGCCTGCTGGTGCTGATGCTGAGACGTGTGCCGGGCTTCCACCTGACGTTGGGTCATCTGCCTGCCCGGTTCGGGAACGCGTCTCTTCATAGGCTATCACGGGTGATTCCGTTGAGATCCTAGAGATGTTTTTCCCATCTCCATAGACACATGGCTCAAATTTGTGGGTAGTGCATTGGGTACAAGGTTTGTTTCGGTCGCATCGGACTTTACGACGGCGACATTCTATGCAGGAGTGAGCGGGCCGTCGGCGTTTTCCGATACTCTTTTTTTGTGGGATCATGTTGCTCCGAGTAGAAAACCACGCAGGGGGGAAGAAAGAACATGAATAGTCTCCGTGGGAAACGGTGCAGTTTCTCTCGGCCTTCGGATGTGACATGGAACTCCGATATCTCCGGTGCCAAGCATGTCTATTCCTACATGGATGCTTATGACGAGTACGGGATAGTTACACTGTACAGTTGATGTTGATTATATATACTATAGCTGTTATATGTGCTATTTTTGATTTGAAAATATTTGATCCTCCACGAATGATACTATCCGCCAAATGCCACTTCAGTCATGCATATCCGACTCATGATTCTTCTGGAATTGTTGCAAATTTGTTAAGCACTTGCTTCAGCGCGGGCCGTCGGATGGGTTTACTATCTTGCCGTCAGTGAAATGAAAAGTGTCAGCCTGGTGAGATAGTACTCACCTAATGAACATGTCCATCCCTGACTCCATGCAATCCTTTACATTACTCTCGTCCGCAAATGCACTCAACGCGACAATTGGAGCAGAATATCCCATCTCTCGAATAAGCCGCGTGCTTTGGATTCCATCCAGATTAGGCATCTATATCATCAAGAATCAGGGTCTGTTTTCGTTCATTGAATCGATGCAGCACGGTCATACCTGGATGTCCATGAAAATGAGATCAAAGACGGTCCCCGTTTCCATATTTGATTTCACTGTATCGTAGGCTTCTTGCCCATCCTTGACCATGGTCACATCGTAGACGTCTTCGAGCGCGAGCATCCTAGCGGAAGTCAGTAAGTGCAAATGGCAAGGATATTGTTGTATCATACCGTCGGACCACCTCCTGGTTTACCCTGTTGTCCTCGGCCACCAGAACACGGGTCTTTCTTGGGCCTTCATCCATTTCAGATCTGCCATGACTCGATGTCGGATGATTGGGCGAAGATGATTTGGAGGAGGAAGGAACTGTTGGTGTGAAGAAAGGCTGACTGAGACCAACCAGTCTAGGCTGAATGATGTCTGACTTTTCGAAGTTGGTAGTAATAGGCTCGCCTTTGATGGATCCCTGATTTGAAGGGGTACGTGCAGCGTTTGAAAACTCTTCCAGGGATAGAACGCTTGGCGTGCGCGACCCTGGGTTGCTGGAGTTTTGAAAACTTGGGGCAACCTCCTTGACAAATCGCAATGGCAGCCGGAGAGTGAAAAGCGACCCCTTGCCCTCTTCGCTTTCCACGAGGACAGTGCCACCCATGACTCGAGATAGCTGCGCACATATACTCAAACCAAGGCCGGTTCCACCATATTTACGATTCAACCCCAAATCGCCTTGCACAAACGGGTCGAAAATGCGTCGGTGCAGGTGATGAGGAATGCCGGGGCCATTATCGCGAACTTCAAACAGAAACACCAACGGGCGGGAACTGGATTGGTCAGAGGGCTTATCCTTTGGCATATGTACGATGTTCTCAGTTGGTTCTGAAGAAGAAAGCCGGCTGTGGAGGCTCTGAGTGCGCACGGCTGGTCTCTCTTTGTTGTCGTACTTGAGTGGGAGGGAACCCTCGGGACTGGATTCCTCGCTGAGGCAACGGATCCAAACCTCGACTTTCCCATTTTCTGGTGTGAATTTCAAACTATTGCTCACCAGATTGATCAACACCTGAAGAATCCGATGCTGATCGCCGTAGAGCACCATATCCATCAGCTTCACGGGTGCAGGCCTGCTAATGGAATCGACCTGGTGCAGATCATCCAGGCAAAAGGTACCAACTCCTGTGTCGGAGACATGACTGCTTCCGGTGACACAGTGGATGCTGAAATCGATGTTCTTCTCGTGCACCTGGTTTTGGAAGATGATGGCGAGTTGCGCCCTGACATCAGAAATTTTGAATTCCTTTTCCTCCAGCTGAATGGCCTGTTCGATTTGGTTTTTGCTGAAAGTCAACAGGTCATTGAGCAAATGCAGAAGAAGGTCTCCGGACTGGTAGACCACCTGCAAGGACTTTTTGATGCGTGAAAGATCATCCTCGCCCATACAAACGGCACACATTCCCAAGATTCCGTTCAGGGGCGTTTTAAGTTCGTGTGATATATTCGCAATAAACAAAGTCTTGCTCTCGTTTGCTGTTTCAGCCGCAAGCTTGGCTTTCTCCAGTTCTCGGGTCCGCTCGATCACTCGCTCCTCCAATCGATTGTACTGGATGGTCAGCTCATCGGACATTTCATTGAATGTTTTGGTGAGCTCGGTGAGCTCATCTGTCACACAGTGGCTGCGTTCCTTGACTCTGCGGGGAATCTGGAAAGGACTTTGGGTCCCTTCAGCGTTGATATTCGCAGTGCTGTTTAGCCTCTCCAGCGGGGTGCGAAAGCGTTTGATCAGAGCGAAGGGAGCTTTCTCATTGCTTTCATTTCCCACATCTTGCATATCACTCTGGGTAATCGGGTCTGTGCCATGATGGCCCGATCGTCGTCCGCCGGCCGGGGGCGGTGTGAGTTGTGAAATGACCGAATTTCTGGCTGCTTCCCTTAACCTACGAATAGGAGCGACCGCCCAGTGGGTCATCAGCGGAACGATGAGGAGGATCAGGCCAGCGGCTCCAAAAACACAAGCCAGGATGACCTTCTTGAGCCGTGCCACTTGGGAGTATGCTTCTGTGTGGGTCTCCTCGACCAGCAATATCCATTGAACCAGCGAACTTTGCGGTCGAATTCCGCCTACGGCCACACTCTTGTTTTGTTCGTTCTCGGTCGACAGATCACTGATGGCTTTGTGCTCGTCGGCGTATGACTGCAGCATCAACTCCAGTCCCATCGGATAATGCGAGAGGGGGAACGAATTGGCGGTGGAGATACCAGGATGGCGATTGGTCTGGCCCGGTAAGGGCGTGGGTTCAAAAACGTAATGTACTTCTGCTTTCTTGAGGGCGGCTGTGTCTGGTGAAGATGTCGCTGTGGCGGGCTGGGCCGTGGAGGCAAAGGTATTTTCGGGTCTCGAGGGACCAAGGAGAAGAACCTGGCCGGTATCCCCCATTCCGTCGCGCGAACTAAGAATGTCTTGTACGTTTGCAGCGCTGGCAACGACACTATCCAGAGCCCAATATTCAGTAAGAACCACAAAGTTGGGCTGATCAGAGGGCTTCGCACGTTAAATAACCCAGAATGTCTGTGTCGGAAGTATTATTGACAATTGGGATGGTTAGAGACAACAAGGAGAAGGAGGTGTTGATTGCAAGTGGACCTAGTAACAATGCCGACGTCAATCCAAGGGTAAAATCCGGGAATGCATGGACGATGTCGGCGTTGCCGCTGCTCGAGGTGGTGTATGTCAGATTTGGATAGAGCGATGGTGGGTAGCCCAGGCCATCGTCTCCCAAGAGCACTGCGGTCCCGTTCGGATAATTATATGGGAGGGTGATTTCGGGGACCGTAGGACTAGTGGTACTGAATAGCCGGCCGTCTCCCGACCCCTTCTCACTCGAATACAGTGAGGCTTGGTAGAGATCCAGATACCCTCGACTGCCCAAGGCTGATTGCACATCTTCTATGGAAGTCGCCCAGTTGCTTGCGGAGGTGTTGCCTGCATAGTACCGCCCAAGAGCCGCTTGGACCAACAGGCGCGTCGCAATGGTCTTGCAGGTCACTTCTATGAGGTCGAGGTCGGACGCAATCTGACTGGCTTTGATGGTGGCAACTAGCCTCAGGCTTTTTGATCTGAAGGGTGGTCAGCAGGTATGGACACTTGCGTTGGTTCATGAAGAATGGACAATTCTTACTCTACATCGATAACAAAGTCATATGTGGTGATCCACTACTCGATAGTTAGCTTGGCGATGATGCTGATCTCTTCCTCATCGGCATCCTTACTGTCGCAACGGCCAGCACGGCAATCCCCAGCAATGTGGTCAGCAGAACCAGCAGCGCGAGCTGCACGGCGATAGGAACGCGCATCCCACCCCAACGTATTCACCACAGGTCATGGATGTTGAACGTCGCGCCTACCAGCACGAATGTGTAGCCTGCGAAAAGATGGGGGGGGGAGAGGAAAGAGACGTTGGGGGGAAGGGGGGTAGAGAAAAGATGGGCAAGGGGGGCGAGAGTGGCAGTTGACCGGAAGTATTAACAAGGGACAATTTCGGCTAGAGAGAGAACCCCATGTTTCACAGGAAACACCGGGATTCGACGCGCATCTAGACTCGAATGGATGGAAGGTGACAGGCGAACGCTAGACCGAGATGGGCTTAGTGCCAGAGGCGAGATCAGGTGCGAATAGCCGACCGTGGGGCTAGATCGACGTGACATGGCTATTCGTATCCAGGTTGCACAATCGATATATAACGCATCGCCCTCTGTACGTGTGTTTCAACTGGAGCTTGAGGGCCATCTCCAGGGGCAAATGGCCATGCCCACAGATTGAAGGACGAACCCAAAAACACCTGGGACCCCGTTTGAGTTCCAGTCCATGGTACGAAGCCATGGTTCGCGCCTTCCAAAGATAACAAGGCAGTCTGCACTGAGTCTAAAGACTATTCAAATCACGTAGCGTCACCAATGTTTCCATCATCACCTTCTCCTTGGAGTTCGGCATTTTCATTGGCCCCGGGGATAAGCATCGGGGATATGTTCTACGTCCATGATTCCTATCAAACTCCGAGAGACCGTCGATTAGAAAAAGAGATCCCGTCACAAAGACTCGGCCACCGTCAACGAACACAAGAGCATTCTTTCTACAAGCGCCCACGAGACTCATAGACAGGTACTCCTTCGTGTGAATTCGCCAAATGGAATCACAAAACACCCGCTATTTTGTTCGCCAACGGGGCGCTTCCCTGGTACGGACCGTCATCAAAAGGCCGGTCGCAATCGCACCCACGGAAGTTCTGATCCACATCAGAGCGGTCGCCATCAACCCGGCCGACTATAAAATGATTGATAAGGGACACAGAGTCTCTTCTTGGCCTTTAGTTCCCGGGCTCGATGGCGCGGGCGTGATAGAGGAGGTCGGAGCTAACGTGAAAAACGTCGCATCGGGAGATCGTGTCCTGGCGCTTTTCACCCCCGGAGAACGTGCTGGCTCATATCAAACACTTGCTGTGGTTGAGGAGAGTTCTGTCGCAAAAATCCCGAGCTCGTGGTCGTTCGAAGACGCAGCATCCTTGGGGTAAGTTTCTATATTTCCTCACAAGAGCGGAGACTGATCATGGATGTAGTGTCGGCTATCTCACAGGGATCATGGCACTAGGAATAGGCCTCAAATCTCCTTTACCCTTCTTGAAGGATGGACCCGTCTCCGGCCTTAAGCCATCGAGCGCTCTTATCTTGGGTGGTAGCTCGGCCGTGGGGGCAGCCACCATTCAACTGCTCCGTCTCGCCATTCCCGACTGTACGATTCTGGCAACAAGTTCACCCAAGCACCATGCCTATCTGATAAATTATCTCGGCGCCGATCATGTCCTCGATAGGAGCTCGGCCTCTTTGGTCACGGACGTGAAAGCAGTCACTCCAGACTCCCGGGGAGTGGATGTAATCATTGATGTTGTGGGTGCCGGAGGTATGCAACCAGATGTTTTCAATGTCCTGTGCAAAGGCGGTCCTCAAAGGTATGCTCAAGTATGGACGGGGAATGAAGAGATTCAGACCCCGTCGGGGGTGGACTCGGTCATGTTTCGAGGACGCGACTTGCCACAGTTGCCTGGAAATGCCAACATTGTGCAGGCGCTGGGAACATTGCTCCAGCAGGGAAAATATAAAGTACCACTCCCAGTGCTTATTGTGGGACAGGGTCTCGAGGGACTAGAAAAAGGGTTAGAAATGATGCGACAAGGTGTGAGTGGAGAGAAACTAGTAGTTCATCTTTAAATCGAACTTCCTTGACGCCCTCACAATATACTAGGCAGAATAGCCGATTGATGGAAATCGGAAATCGGATAATACATCCAGAGAATAACCTGCGATTGCGACATGGAATGAAAAATGTCCAAATGGACTTAAATTCAAGTGCTCCTACATCAAAGTCTAGTGCAATTATGCTGAAAGCTGCGGGTCCGAACCAAACTTGGAATGCCCTCAACTGTGCTTTTCTTCAAATGAAGGCGTGATTTCGGGAGCCTCTTCAGCTTAAAATGTCGAGGAGATGGAGTATGCATTGAAAACATCGGATTTAATAGATCTATGATGACTGCGGCTTCAGCACTTCCAGTCGCGATGCCAGCCACAAAGAACGCCGGCAATCCTCAGAATTCAGGATTATGTGGCCTCCTTAGTTTCAGGCGGAGTTACCAGTCTCCCCAAATCTTGAGTAATTGCTACATAAGTCCCCGTACTAACTATCAGGCAGGTAATCATCTCATGCCATAACGTAATGACACAATGCCTACAGGTTTCGTAGCTCACATCCAAAGAGCACAAAAGAATACTCACTGTTCTGTTGTTGTTGTTTCACAGTAAGCCACCCACTCTGTTGACTTGAGAATGATCCACTGATCATCTCTGGTAGTAACGGGTCTGGTGCATCAAATGCATACGTCCGTGTGTATGAATGGAGATGTCTACAAGCTCCCGGCATTTGACATGAAGACCATGCCGGACATGGTGGCTGAGTATCACATTTCGGAGCTCCTTTGTGACACTATTTTAGATTCAACTTCTCCGGGATCCCATGGTCAACTACTACGACCTATCTCATATTCGCGGAGTTTCCTCTGGGGTAGCTCCACTTTCCGCCAAAGTTGTCTGAGAGCTACCACGTCGCTTTTTTCAAACAGGTTTCAAGCAGGGTTACGGCATAACGAAGTGCTGCGGCTGCATAAACTCCCACCCTATACAGCACTGTACATATGAAAATGCGAATCGAGTGGGTAGCATTGTTGCCAACACTGAGGCTAAGATAGAGGACCCTGAAACCCGAGCTTCGTTATGGTCAGCCAGGGGAGATCCTCGCCCGTGGTTCACAGATTGTCAGGGGCTATCTGAACAACGAGAAAGCCACGGCCGAACACTCGACTCCGAAGCATGGTTGCATACTGGTCACGTTAGATACATTGATCGGGAAGGTTTCTTTACTATCACCGGTCGTATTAAGAAAATGATCAAAGCAAAAGGCGTTGCTGTCGCTCCCGCGGAGCTAAAAGAATCACTTCTTGGTCATCCGATGATTAATGATGTAGCCGTTGGATCAATCACAGACTACACAGACCAGCATCCAAAGCGTATATGGTCTTGAAGCCTGATTTTCAAGAGGCAAGAACATAAAAAACGACTCTTGGTCTTACTGGGGGATACAATTAAAATTTTGCAGAAGAAAAAGGTCCGTCGCAAGGGGGTCACTGAGGTCGAGTTGATCAATGAGATCCCCAGAGTGCTAGCGGCGGGATCCCTCGCAGCGTTCTGCGACAACTCGAGCAAGATGATAATATTCAAAACCCAAATCACAGCGGATAGGGAGAATGTTCAACCCAAATCATAATCATGGAAAATGCATCCTTTGATGGTGGCAGAAGGCTGCAGGCACCCGGATCTCGGAAAAATCAGATAGTAAAGTTTTACAGTTCACGTTTGGAAGCTCATGACTAGTTCAACGATCAGGTGGATTTGCATAGATCAAAATATATATGTAATTTAATTTTGGTTCTTGAATAGTGATGATCTTGAAATGTTATTGAATGCAATTGCGCATAATTCATGCCAAAGTGGATGATAAGGAGGTATCTATGAACAAAACGACTTTTCACAAGAGAAAAAAGAGACACGGAATAAATGTATATATGTTAGAAGTGGAAATGCAAATGAGGCGCTCAACGCTCATGCGTTCTCAGCGTGGGTAGGAACCTGCTCCTTCTTGCGACCGGAAGGGCTATCGTCCTCCCATTGGTGGCGGGTGGGGATCACAAAGCCGCTGCTCTTCCAGGGCTTGACCTTCTGAACGTACATGTAGTCAAGCTCCTCCAGAGTGCGACCCTTGCCCTCGATGACGAAGAAGTAGACGACGAATGCAGCAACGAAAAGGCAACCGGCGAAAACGTAACCGTAGGCAAAGTCAATGGCGTTGGTGATGAATACAGTGAAGAAACTGATGAGGAAGTTCCAGGCCCAGTTGGAGGCAGTGGCCAGGGCCATACCCTTAGCACGGTATTTGGAGGGGAAGAGCTCGGCAACGATGGCCCAGATCATAGGGCCCCAGGTCATGGCATAACCAGCGATGAAGAAACAGGCGACAACGATCATGCCCTTTCCAGCGCCAGGAGTGTTCTCCGGGTTCTCAATGTCCAACACGAAGTGACCAATGGAAGCGAAGATCATGAACATGACAAACATCCAAATGGCACCGAAGATGAGCGACTTGCGGCGACCAAAGTTTTCGACCACGTACAAACCACCGAAGGTAGTACCGAAGTTGACGGCACCTAGAATGACCTGAGTGATGAAACTGTTCGAGATGCCAGCACCCTCGAAGATGGTTGTTCCGTAGTAAAAGAAATAGTTGGAGCCGGTCAGCTGCTGCAAGCTCTGCAGTGCCATGCCCAGGACGATACGGTAGAACATGCGAGGGGCAGTGATAAACTCATGCCACTTCTGGTCTCCAGACTCGGCCTCAAATTGCTCACGGATCTCATCCATCTCTTCAAGAATGCGGATGTGGTTCTCTGGGATACCATAGAGGCTAGCCAAAGTCTTTTGGCAACTGTCAACCTTGCCGTGGCGGAACTCAAAACGAGGGCTCTCGGGGAACATGGCCATGCCACCTCCGAGAATCAAAGCAAAGAGGAAGGTGAGACCCAGGGTGATACGCCATTGGGCAGTACCATCCATGGTGTTGGTACCCAGATTAATGCAGTAAGCCAGAAAGATACCCAGGGTGACAAACAGTTGGTAGCAACTGATCATGGCACCACGAACGTGACGGGGAGCACTCTCACCCATGTACATGGGCACCAAGAGCGAACAACCACCAACGCCGAGACCGGTGATGGTACGGCCGACGACCATCTGGTACCAGTGGCCAGATGGAGAAGAAATCTGGACGACGAGACCAATGATAAGGATGATGTTCCAGAGGGTGATGGACCACTTGCGGCCCAGGAAATCGGCCAAGGGGGCACCAATCAGGGCGCCAACCAGAGTACCAATGGACAGCATACCGACGATCAGACCAGCACGGACATCGGTCAAGCCCCACGATCCGTCAATGTACTGGCCATAGCGGCGCAGGTAGTTGTCCATATCTTGGAACCCCGAGATCTGACCAGTATCATAACCAAACAGAAGACCACCCATGGAGACGAAAAGGGCCATGGTCAAGGACCGGAGGGTGATTCGGGGAACAGGGGTGTCCACGACAGGGTTCATAGGCTTCTGTACGGGACTATTGGCGTATGAGGTCTCATCACCGGAGAGCTGAGCCGGCGTGATGGACTCGCCATGCTGAGCGTAGGATTCGGATTCACGACCCATGACGGCAGTTCAGTGTAGTATAGAAGATGAAAAACCAAACCCCAATGGCTCAAGAAAATAAAAATAAGAATAAGATATAAGAGGGTTTAAGTGCCCATGGGGAAAAAAAGGAGAAAGAGCAACGTTCGGGGGGGGAAACAGGGCCCTTTTGTAATCCTCCAGGGACAGGGGAAAAAAAAAAAAACATGGTCAACCGCCATCATTCGCCAAGTGAAGAGCCGAGTGGAGGGGACATTGTGGAGAAGCAAGACGCGCACGATGACCATTCTCCCTGGAAGCCGTGTGTACTGTGCCCAGTAATGACAAGCAGGAAAGCAACCGGCCGAAGCCGACTCGCGCGGGTCAGGTGAATCCACCAGGACAGGAGAGAGCCAGCCAGGAGGAGTTCCAACCGGGGATCGGCTGTGGTTCGCCAGTCACAGAGGAGAATGGCGGAGTGGCCGGCAACGGTGCATTCGGGTTCCCGTCAAGATGAGTGGCAAACCCGGGCACAACAGTGCCGAAAGTGACGTTCTTGGCTCGGTATCCGGGGGCATTCTTCAATCTCGGGTCCGATAGATCTCGCTTCCAGAACGTTGCTAGAACCTTCTCTTCGCGATCTCACCCAAGCGAAGCATGTCCAATGTTGTAGTCGCGGGTAAATGTTTTATTTGGATGTGTTTTCTCATGAACTTCGGGAGTCAGATTCTGGAGAAGCTGTGGGCCATTCTTCATTGGCAGCCGAACGTTCCGACCCCAATCTCCGGACTTCTTCCCCCCAACTCATACCCGATGTGTGTCTCGGTGAGTCGCACCGCCCGCACTATTGCACCACCCAACAGGAATTCTTGAGGGGTAAATGCGGAGTCTGGAGATGTTCCTGCACGTGTGACGTCCCTTGATACGGGGTCGATGGCATCACATTGAGACTTGCGTAGCTCCTCATCTCCCTCATGCCCCTAATTTCCCATCCCCACCCAAATACACTCAGTCCCCTGCCGAGTCTGCTTCAAAACAAACACTCCCCACAATTATTAGTAACTTCCTCGAAAATTCTGCTTTAACTTTCGATATTCGTCTCGGCGGTTGGCCGTCAGTGGCGCCGCCACACCCGGGCCTTGGTACCGAGTACGTCACTGCAGACTTTGCATTCACCACGGATCGCCATCAGCATACCTCATCTATCATTTTCTGGTTTCACTTGTTAGTATGATCTATTATCGACGATCTACTGTGTGAAAATATATTCCATCGCATCCCTATGTAAGACAATCAACTTGAATCGCGGAAAGTCTGCAGCTGATTAAGCGCGCGGAGTAGGACTTATCCAAAAGCCTGTTCCGGTCGCGTCACCCAGCCGCGTCGTGTGATGGAACCGACTCCCACGGTCTAGTCGGGACCTGGTGCTTCGGCTAGAAGAAGCCGATCGCCTCATTGGCGTGGTCTCCCGGTCGGGCGAAATTGGCCCCAGATCGGGAGCTTAGTTTCAACCGAGTTCTCTTTTTCTTTCTTTTTGATTTACTTTTTACGGAAAAAGATAATGACTAGCGCATCCTTCTAGAGAAAATCTCATCCGAGGTTGACCCGTACCAGAGCATCCCTGTCTCGATGTTGCCTTACGTAGACGAGCTTTACTTGGCGTGGAGTCTCCGTGCCAAGATCGTGGGGAAATTCGCTCGATTAGAGACAACATGGCACAATGCGGATATTTGGCCCGATCTTAGAAATTGAACAAGAAATCAGAAACCCATAAGACCAAGAAAAAAAGGAAACCCAAAGGAAGAAAACCGAAAGAAAAAAGAACGAATAAGTTCGATGCTATTTGTGCGGTGGAATTCATCTAACTCGGAGTAGACAGCCCTTGGCCATTCAAGACAAGCGCATGCTTCCGCCGAATAGGGGTCGGGATGATTAAGGATCTGCAGGATTTTCCACCGATCATGAAGAACCAATACATAATCATCTTCTCCGATGATGTGCCTGTCCAATGGCCAATGCCATCAATCCCACACAAAGTCTGCTATTTTCCCCGCTTCCGTTTCCTCAAACAACACGGAGCAAGGGGGAATCCCGAGACGTCGAATATGCCACTTCAACTCCCGAGGCAATTACGGCGCCGTGTCCGTTTTATTCTAGCGGGCTCCATCATTTGACAATGCTTATAAAAGTTAACGGAGAGAAGTTTGGTGTTCCCGAGTAGCCCATTAAGACCAACATGATGCAGTCGCTGGCAATATTACTTCTCACGAGTCTGGTCTCTGCTCAGGTAGCACCATACGGACAATGTGGTGGAAGTAGTTATACGGGTACCACTACCTGTGAGACGGGGTGGGTCTGTCAATATCAGAATGAGTGGTACAGCCAATGTGTCGCAGGTGAGAGTGGTCAAAACATCAAGAACGTATATGCCCTTGACTTCCTTGTCATCTAATACACCTACAGGCACCGCCACTACCACCACCACTTTTTCAAAGACGAGTACGACCACGAAGGCTTCGACAACCTCCACCAAAACCACGAGTCTGACCTCGACTACCTCGACTACCGCACCCTCCTCCACCGGATTTTCTAGTACAAATGGGCTTGATTTCACCATCGATGGGGAGACCAAGTACTACGCTGGAACGAACTCCTACTGGATCGGCTTCCTCACTAACAATGATGACGTGGACCTTGTGATGAGCCACCTCAACGAGTCCGACTTGCGTATTCTACGAGTCTGGGGGTTCAACGATGTCAACACAGTCCCATCCTCGGGTACAGTCTACTTCCAGCTCTTGACTGACGGTACAGCCACAATCAACACCGGCGCCGATGGGTTGGAACGGTTGGACTACGTTGTTTCGTCCGCTGAAGCACACAATATCAAGCTAATCATCAACTTTGTCAATAACTGGTCTGATTATGGTGGCATGGCCGCGTACGTCACTGCTTTTGGAGGTACCCAGACCGGCTGGTATACAAACGATGATATCCAGACTGCCTATCGTAATTATATCCAGGCTGTGGTCTCCCGCTATAGTGATTCTCCGGCCGTTTTTGCGTGGGAATTGGCCAACGAGCCTCGTTGTCAAGGCTGTGACACATCTGTTATTTACGATTGGGTCGCGTCGACCAGTGCGTATATCAAATCGCTCGATGCAAACCACATGGTCTGCATTGGTGATGGTAAGGCATATTCTTCAATACTCACGATCTTCTTTTTTACTGACAACGGGACCAGAGGGATTCGGGTTAGATACCGACTCGGACGGCAGCTACCCATATACATTCGGCGAGGGGCTGAATTTCACCATGAACTTGGGCATTGACACTATTGACTTTGGCACTTTCCATCTGTACCCTGATAGCTGTATGTATTGGTTGACCCGTTTTGGACATTTCTTTGCTAACATTTTGTTAGGGGGAACCACCTACACGTGGGGCGATGGATGGATTACAGCTCATGGAGCGGCATGTGCCGCAATCGGGAAGCCGTGCCTTCTGGAGGAGTATGGTGTATCTTCCAACCATTGCGCTGTAGAGACCCCATGGCAGCAGACGGCACTTGACGCGACCGGTGTAGCTGGTGACATGTTCTGGCAATACGGTGATACTCTCAGCACCGGCGAGACGTCCGATGATGGGAATACGATCTATTATGGAACCTCGGACTTTACATGCCTTGTGACTGATCATGTAGCTGCAATTGGCTAATTTGAGTTTGCAATGAAAGCATATGTCTGTAAGTGGATCCGTGGATTTTGGGCATGTTTCTTTATCTTGTGCCTGGGAACTGGACCTCGTCTGTACCTGGGAATGGAATATATATGATGACTCATGCTCAAATACCACACCCAATAACCTAGAGGCAGTCTTGGAACCTTGGAATTTTCAACAACAAAACAAACCCAGCTTCTATATTTGAGGAACTTAAGAAGATAGAGAATATGTGTTACGTAGAAACCCAGTTTGATGCTAGTGCTTTCATCTAGGTATGACATCAACCTTTGCCCAGGTGAATTCCTGGGCCCTCTTGGGAGGTTGGGTGTACATATACATATTGGCCCAAAAGTGGACCCGACCCTGCATCATGCATAAATTGACGCATATTCTAATCCACCAACCTTGATGACGATGCGCGATTATCGGTATTGGTCAATTCTGGTCCTCGACTCAAGACATGCCAAACTAATTACCCATTGCGACCAACTGCATCTTGGCGGGGCCATGATGGGTACCTAGCTTCAAATTAGTAAGACAACTAACTACCTAGGGCGCGGACATCAGGATGGGAATTTCACGGGCTTTGTTCAAGCAAATCCTGGAAATCCATGATGTTTGTGCGTCGTATGATGGGACGCACATTGTCACTTGTTCAGGTCTTCTAGGAGATCTCAAGGTGCTACCCAGTCATATATGGACAACTGTCCGTCAGTCGCGCACAAAACCATTGGCCAATTTTACCACAGGGTCAGAGGAGTGCAGAGTGGAACAAAAAAAATATCAATATGGATATCTGACGTAGCAAAGGTCTGCTTATATATGTACATCTAGGCGCTTAACAGCAAAAGTCCTGAAAGTCTTACGATGGCGCATGTGGACGGTCGGGAATCCGATCAGCAAGGCGGTGGTGCGTATGGAAAGGTTGGGTGCAAGGTCGGAAATGGGAGAAGCTGCAAGGGACCATGGGCTCGTAAATGATTGCAAAGGGGGTAAATCAATGCTGCAATGGCGAGGTTATAGGGTGCTTGGACTGTAGACGATCGGAAGTGGGCGTAATGGGCGGAGAGGACAGGTGCAAGGCCGGCGCTGCAATCGGAGAATTATCGGCTTTTCGTTTTCTCAATTTCCGCAATCGCTTCGGGCATGGAGTCGCTGTCGCATTCTACTGCATCGGTAGGGGGGCCACGGTAGTTCTTGTAACCCCAGACACCATACCAAACAGCTGCGATGGCCACAACTCCAACAAAAACCACGGACGCGTAATTCATGCTTGACAAGGTGACGGTCTCCAATGTAGGCATACAGAAGAGGGGAATAGCAAGAGCACTCCAGGCTGAGGGGGATATTAGTAATCCGGGGTTTCAAGAGCACACCCCAACTTGGGGACAAGAACACTTACCGAGAGCAATGACATTGGCAATGGCGCCAACGATGCCAAGGTTGAAGCTGCTATTCTTGATGTCCTCCCGACGACGGAAGACCAAGGACACGAGGACGGGGCAGGCGTAACTCATTGTCAAGAAGATGACACCGACGCCTGAAAAGGCGTTGTAGGCAGCGGTAGATCCAAAGTAGATGACACCCAGGATGATTTCAACCACCATGCCCAGCATCATGGCGTTGAATGGAATATCGAGTCTCTTGTCAACCACGCGCCACCAGCCCGAGCCAGGAATACCACCGTCACGAGCAAAAGCCCAGGTGCAGCGGGATGTGGCAGTCACGCAGCCAACGCCACAAATGACACCCAGGATCAGGAGAGGAATCATCAAGCAGAAAGCACCCACGTTGCTGCCCAGGGCCTTTTGGAAAATGACAGGGGTAGGCTGTCCGGAAGCGAGGTCGACCAACATGGTGATATCAGGCATGACGAAGCAAACGGGGATCAAGAAGAGAAGACCGGCAAAGGTGTTGATAACCACGGTACCCACCATGGCCTTGGGCACCATAATGGCGGGCTCCTGGACTTCCTCACAGAGACTATAATATAATTAGTGGACGTCCATTCAAATCTCTCACTCGAAACACGTACGAGCCAATCATGCCGGTGGCAGAGGTAGCATAGGCAGCCTGCAGTAAACCAATGAAAAATGACCACCCGGCGGGCCAACCAGCATTTGGTTCAAAGCTTCCAAAGACCCAGGCACCGGAGCGGCGACCATCCTTCGCAACAACCAAAATCGCCACGACGATAGCAAGCAAACCAACAATAGTCAAGAAAATTGCGAATGTCTATGCGCGCGAATGATCGTCAGAATATTTCCACTTTAGGAAAAAGGGCACGTGTATAATTTGGAAAAGGAAAAGACTGCATGCATTCATTCTGTTTAGGGATCACGTACCTCGAGCATGGGTAGCCATTTGTTTCCAAAAGCTGAGATCGCGTGGGTTAACAATGTGATGCCCAGGAAGATGAGGAAGGTTTGGTAGGCTTGGAAATCTTCGGTGAGGCCGACGCCGTTTCTCTCGAAGACATTGAGACAGGCGATGAACAACAAGGTGACACCGAAGTTAACGGCTAGGGTGATGGTGATATTTCCGGCGACATAGGACCAACCACAGATCCAGGCTGCGACGCGACGACACCAAAGCGGGGAGAGGACGAATGTTTGGTAATAGACACCACCGGCGGTTGGGTAGACGGAGGTGATTTCGGCCAGCGAAATCGCCACACAGAGAATTAAGAACGAGACCAAAACCCAACCCCAGACGATGTTGGCGGGCCCACCGGCTGCTAGAGGATAGTACAAAGTAGTACATAAACCATAGGGGACCGACGAGAGAATGAAGCACATGAAGGTGACCTGCCAGATGGAGCGATTGCGCGCCAATTCCGGGGTATATCCAAATTCCTCCAGGGTGCGGTCCGCCTTGGTACTGGTGATGCCTTCTTCAGCATTCTTGACCGATATCCGCGAAGGGCGGCGCGATTCTCCTTCAGCTGTCATCCTGAAAAATTATTATGACGAATTGTACATATGGTTGACTGAGTTAAATTGGACCAGAACCAGAGCAGAAAGAACGAAAGAGGAGTGGGGAGATCAAAGCAACCAAATACTCCGCAAAGAGAGAGAGAGAGAGAGAGAGAGAGAGAGAGAGAGAGAGTGAGTGAGTGAGATAGAAATAGGAAATAAAAAATGGAAATGACGAAGGAAGATAGCGAGTGGGGAAAGCTGGTTAACCTCCTTCCAAGAAGAACGTACCGTCCACCGTCGATTTTTCGTCTTTAGTCGCATCTAGGGGACCGAAAGAGACGAACCAACCAGCGTCAGGGTAGAAGAAAAAAAAGCCACTAACCGCCACTAACCGCCACTAACGTCTTAGGACCAAGCCTTCTCGAAGCCAAAGTGGGGCTGCAGTTTCATGCCGGACGAGATCGGACCATTGGCTTGCGTGTCTTTGATGGAATCTGATTTGACCGTGAACGCCTTACCGATTTTCACCTTAATTCTTATTTCATGAGGATACCGATTCTTTCCACCTCGGCTCGGAGCGAACGGAGATGACGTCAAGAGGAAAGGAAAAGAAAAGCGGATCAGATCAGGTTTCACCCAGGGGAAACTTCGGTTCCTTCCTTTGCGACTGCCAAGCCAAGGCAAACGCCCCAAAGGTGGTAACCCCCGGTTGAAAAGGTCTCCATTGTAGCCTATGGCTATCCCGCATGAGGGTGGGGCAACACGCGGGTTTTTTTCTGCGTGGTTGTCTCGTAATAAAAAATGGGGGAGTGTAGATGATTTATGGACATTCTAGGCTACTGTAAACAAAGGCTAGGGATCAGCATGAAACTCCATATCTCCTTCGGTGTTTCCCCGCGGTCGCGTCAAAAGTCAATGGCCACCTTGAGCGCGTGATGTTGAGATGCGGCTTGAAAGGTGTCATACGCCCGGCTAGCTTCGTCGCAGGGGAAATCTAATCCATATTAATCAGTCTCTAGGGCTGAAGGAGCATGTGCCGGGACAACATACGATGAGTAACGAGGGAGCCGGCATCCAATGCTCCTGATTCCACCAGCCGTAACAGGCGGGGTGTTGTTGTGGCATTCACTAGCGACATGTGGATACCTATGAGATCAGCATCAGCCTTCTGGATCCGGTTTGTAGGGCGGGATCTCTCCGGTACTCACTGATGTTCCGATCCCATAATCTCTCTAAATGCAAATCCACTTTGGTGCCATGCACGCCAACGTTGGCGATTCTGCCTCCCACCCCAATTATCTCCTGGCATAATTTAAAGGTCGCAGGGATGCCCACGGCTTCGATGACCGAGTCAAAGCCAAGACCGTCAGTCAGGTCCATGAGCCGTTGTTGTGCGTCGGGTGCAGAGGAGTCCACAGTAGCGTGCGCGCCGAGCTTCCGAGCAGTCGTCAAACGACCATGGTCCAGATCCACCATCACAATCAGAGAAGGTGTATACAGACGGGCAGTGAGGAGAGCGGCCATACCGACCGGCCCAGCCCCGACAATCACCACTGATCCTCCAGGCTGCACGTTGGCACTGAGGACACCACACTCAAGGCCGGTCGGGAACGCATCGGAGACGGCGAGTGCATCGTGAGAGCTGATGGCTTCAGGTAGCGAATGTAGTGAAAGCGTTGCATGAGGCACGCGTACATATTCAGCTTGAGTACCGTCGGCATGGTTTCCAAGAACCCATCCTCCAGATTCGCAATGCGAGGCGATTCCTTTCTGACAGAATCGACATGCGCCGCAGGAGGTCATAGAAGAGATCAACACACGGTCTCCAATCTGAACACTCTGCACTGCAGAGCCGAGGTCTTCCACAATCCCCACTCCTTCATGGCCAAGTACCCGACCAGGTTTGATACTTGGCACATCTCCCTTGAGAATATGGAGATCTGTACCACAGATCGAGGCGTGGAGTAGACGCACCACTACATCCGTAGGGTCTTGGATGGTCGGCTTGGGTCGCTCAAGGACTTCGACCGTGTTTGGCCCAGTATAAACAATAGCCTTCATGTCGCAAGTATTAACAAGGGCAAGGTGATGATGGTGAGTTCCTGTTTTTAAAGTAAGAACGTGGCTCCCCAAGGTCGGAGAGTACAGCGAAGGACATGGTCCATGTGACATGGTAAATAATCGGGGATGGTCCGACCTCATTAACCTTCAGCCTCTCTCAAGCCTTCCGGGCCGTGGCGTGCGGGGGATGTGGGCACCCCCCACATCCCCGACTAGGCCATCTTTGGACGCAAAGGAATACATAGCCCTTTCAAACGTTAAGAGTCAACTTAAGAATCAAGAAACAACTGGTGCTTACATTGCGTTTGTTATTATTATCAAGGGCTAGCGGTCCAGTAGACAAGATAACAGTGAGGTGGTACGTTGTCATCGTAGCTTTTTACAACGAATTGTTGACTTGCATTGACACTTCGCCACATGAACCAGGAACGTGAGAATCAATTATTTTCCTCACAAGTCTCAGCCGCCCTATCTCCATTCAGGCATCTTTTGATACATATTTTCCGAGTCGTTTTTGGATCTAAAAACCCAGGCACAGTACACATCCATCTCTAACTTGACCGGCTAACATCATCAAGACATGACCCTGGCTCGCAGGAGCCCAGGATCATAGGCTGAAATCTCAGATAGAGAAGACGTTCCCTCCTGGTCACCAAAACACCAAAAGCTTGAACCTTGTCATTAATATGCCAAGTCTCCCAGCAGACCCCCCTCCTCCTTATGGCACCCCCTTACGAATGGCTCCCACAACCGAACATACCAGATCAAGGTTACGGGTGGCCCCTCCCTCCCGTTGAGATAATTGCAGAGATTCAAATTGACGGTCTAAGCCATGTTCTCCACTCGCCGGAAAACCTTCGACAAGGGCACTGAGAAAATACAATCTGGAAATCTTGATCAAAATCGAAGTTCCACGTCCCCAATAGACCAGTTCCTGGTCAGTCCTTTAGATCCAGAGGCAAGAAGTTGGATCTTGGCGTCAACTCTTTTGGCCAAATGGCTGCCCGGCACCATCTCAGCAGGTTAATGGAGCATCTTACATCAGTCACAGCCAATGAATTTGGAAGATGACTGCATGAATTTTATGGCTCTACAAATTTCTCGATGTTCAAATGGCAGATGAAAAAGGAAAAACCAATTTACCATGGTCGGATTGCTGAGTGAAGCTTTACCATCGTGGATGGGTGATGGAGTCACTTGTCAAAATATATTATTGGTCCCATATTAAACCCTTGCTTCTAATGAGCGAAAAACCCGTATTTTGATGAAAATCGACAATAAACCACCAATACCCACCCCCAATAGGTTCACAGCAACGACTTTGGTTTCTATACTTGGGGTATATTAGCGAATGGAGGCCCTCTGATAGCAAATACTCCCTTTTTGGGGCGAACTCAGAAGCTAACCCATCGTGTCACTGGCGATAGGATATCATTTGTCAGTTCGAATACGCCAATCCTGTTTCATACTAGTGGCAGCCATGATCCCTTGTCTTCCCGCTCCCTTAGAATCCCTGCATGTTTGCCGCGCACTGATAAGACAAAACACATTTGAATCGTCGCCTCTCCCGCTAGCTAGTAAGGTCTATTTTGCTAGGCAATCTTTTGCCGGACCGGCGACCGGTCCGGTGCCCTTAAATGCCGGAATACTTGTTCGATCTTCATATCTTGCATATCCAGACTTCAACAAGATGCCGGTTGACCGGGCAAGTCCCGGTGTGGCTGAGGATCCTAGAAGCGAGGTCACTTGGGTAATCGGAAGTGATATGAATCCTTCCAAGACTGACCTTCTGAGAAGAAAACTCGAGTGAGATGTGTGCTTCCTTGCAGGTTCAATGCCGACCAAGACGATTTGTATAGACCAATGAGATAATCCAGCAAATATGTCGGTGACTAACTACATAGTCGAAGAAATCAGGGGCAAAGCAAAGGGGGAAAAAAAAAAAAAAACCTTCTGGCCTTATCTAGCCTCGGAAGTCTCATGCTTACCCCGGACTCACGTTGGCATTAGCGAGGCTTGGCTAACCCGTCGGCTAAGTTATCACGGACCCAGTGGCGCCCAGCGAGGCGTGAGCACAGCCCAAATGATGAGGAGTGATTGCAAGGTGGTATTTTGTGCAAAGGTTGCGACTCGTATAAGAGACAACAGTTTCCCGCCAACTGTCCCTTAAGATCACACCCTCTTGTTGATGGGCACATTGCGAAATGGCCACAATTGAACCCACCAACGCGATAGGCTATTCGACCGACCGACCGGCCATGACCGAAAAAGGTCAGACTGTGCGCCACTTGGTCGAGGCTGATCTGCTGGATGAACGTTACGAAACCACAAAGCGAGGACTGAAGAGCCGCCATGTCCAGCTCATGGCTTTGGGTGGCACTATTGGGACTGGTAAGACCCCTCTGCCCTGCACTTTTGAAGTAATGGAAACCATTAACCAGTATAAACGATAGGATTGTTCGTATCCTCTGGCCAGTCCCTGGCTACTGGTGGCCCTGCTTCATTGCTCCTTGGGTATATCTTTATCTCGGCAGTTGTGTACGGCTTGGTGACTGCGATCGCTGAGATCGGGGCTTACCTACCTGTCCATGGTGGCACTATGAGCTACCACGGATTTCGGTATGTGTCACGAAGTCTGGGATTCGCCATGGGATATTTGTATTGGTATTCGTTGGGGATCCTGGTTCCGTATGAGATCACGGCAGCGGGTCTTGTGATCGGATACTGGGATCCTAACGGGACAGTGAATATCGCGGTGTGGATTTCCATCATGATGGTCGTCATTATTGCTTTAAACTTTCTTCCCGTGCGCTTTTACGGAGAATCAGAATTTTGGTTCTCAGGAATCAAGGTGAGTGACTTCGTGATCTCGCAGTCGTTTGGTTATTTTATGACAAGCATAATTCACTAACATTTGTTCAAATGCAGATTATCACTTTGGTCGGCCTTCTTATGGTATCTTTCATTCTTTTCTGGGGTGGCGGACCCAATCGGCAGTTGCTGGGATTCCATTATTGGAAGCATCCAGGCTCCTTTAACCAATACCTTGTGCAAGGAGATGCCGGGCGTTTCGTGGGCTTGTTAAAATGCACCGTGTCCAGTGCAATCGCTTTCATCTTCGCACCCGAATTGATCATCATCAGTGGCGGAGAAATGGAATCACCTCGGCGTAATGTGCCTCGGGCTGCTCGTCGCTACATATATCGTTTGGTCTTTTTCTACATCTTCGGGGTTCTAGCCATTGGTGTAATCTGCCCTTCCAACGCCGCACGACTCACTCAAGGAGATGGGACGGTCAAGTCATCGCCATTTGTGGTCGGAATACAAAATGCAGGAATTTCAGGTGCGTGTGCTATTGCCAGGTTGGGGAAAAAAAAAAAAAAAAAAAAAAAAAAAAAAAAAAAGGTGTGACTAACGAAGGCAGTTCTTGATCATATTGTGAATGCGGCAGTGTTGACATCGGCCTGGTCCGCAGGAAACTCATTCTTATACATGTCATCAAGGTCCCTATATTCCTTGGCGATGTCCGGCAACGCGCCCAGCATATTCAAGTCCTGCAACCGATGGGGTGTCCCATATTACGCAGTCGGTGTCTCGGCCTGTTTCTCAGCATTGGCCTATCTGACAGTCGGCACATCAGGCTCCATCGTGTTCAACTGGTTTGTGAACTTCACCAATACTTCTGGTTTCATCTCGTGGATCTGTTGCTGTATCGTATACTTTCGGTTCCGCAAGGCCGTGTCAGCACAAGGTATCGAACAGCCATACCGATCCCGGCTTCAGCCATATGGAGCTTATTTTGGCATGGCTGGGTCAACACTCATGTTGCTCATCAACGGATTTACTGTCTTTTTCCCTTCAGAATGGTCTGTCAGTAACTTTTTCACCGCCTATGTCGGAATTCCAGCGTTCTTGGTGCTCTACTTTGGTCACCGCGTTCTATTTTGGAATGACCCGTGGGCCTGGCGCCCTGAAGAGGTGGATATGCACACGGGACTGCAAGAGATCATTGACGCCGAGCTTCCCCCTAGGCCACCGGGACCCTGGTGGAAATTTTGGTAGTGGCGGGCCGACGCTATGTGAAATGCCGAACAATGTGGGCGCTAGCGTTGTCGGGAACTTTTACTTTGGCTAGACTCTGTACGCCCGATACCCGGATTTAACTTAATGTACGTAATGGAGACTAGAAGAGCCTGCTGATCCATACCGAACCTTATATTTGATTGCCGTAAACGATGGAGCCGAATCTCCGCATTTCGGAATCGGAGAGCTATCTTATCCAAACCCGCACTTGTCCGCACCGGCCCGTTTTCATCCGCACTCACCCGCATCTGATATCCAGGAGTGGCAATGACATTAAAATGACTGTCATCTCCGTTGCTTTTTTCAACTCATCCGATTCACCCTCGGTATACGCCGTAGCCCGTACATATTATCTGGTTTTTCATGGACCAGGAAATTTTCGTCCTCGATCCGAATATAAAACCTTAAACCATCCCCTCGAAAGCTTAAGCTTCACTAAACAGCCTCAACTACACTTCAACTACTCATAAAAACATGGCCGTTGCTGTGCTACCTCCTACGGTTCATCCTCTGCAGCCACCTCAAGGCTCCGATATCGATTTCGGAGCCCAAATAGAGGGTGTCGACTTGGAGAATTTGACGGGTTTGTCACTCTCGCCCCAAAAGCTCTTGATCGAAGCTAAATTCTATAGATGAGCAATTCACAACCATTCGAAACGCACTCTACAACTACCACGTAGTTGTACTCAAGAATCAACAAAAGCTATCCCCGAAAGCCCAATATGAGTTGACCAGGCGATTTGATCCTGCATCTGATAACTACGGCCACGGCAAGACTATCGATGCGAAGCGCAGTATTCTTCACCCAGATCTCAAGACAGTCCCCCACCAGCCGCAAGTCCAAGTGATCGGAAATGGATTCGTACCCTCCTACGAAGGGCTAGAGAACATCCAGTTGAAACACCCCCACCACCGAACTTTTCATAAAGACCATGTTCCCGACGACCAGGATTACGATTTTACCCGATTTTATCGATGGCACATTGATGCCGCTTTATATGATTTGTACCCACCACAGGTAACTACTTTGCTGGCTGTGGCCGTTCCCAAAGGCCGACGCCAAACATTGTTGTACGATGATGGAACCGGAGAGACGATGGATGTACCGTTGGGTACGACTGCTTTTGTGAGTGGTCAGCGAATGTATGAATTGCTCTCTGAAGAAGACAAAGAGTTTGTACGGACGAGCAAGATGGAATATGCGCCTCACCCGTGAGATGCCCGACCAATCCTTCTACCTGTAAAACTAAAGCTAATTGATCCATTAGGTACATCTGGATGAGCCCTGCGCACTCCCGCTCGACCGGTCTTGGTTTACACTCCGAGGGTCTCGAGCTACCGAGCTCCGAACTGCCCCCTATTGATGAAAAGAAGATTATGGTGTTCCCGATGGTGTGGAAGAACCCAGTAACTGGAAAACTTGCCTTGCAGATCCATCCTTCGGCAGTTCGCCGGATTCACTGTGCTGATGGCACGGTTATTGACGACTTGGAACGTGTGCGTGATATTGTCTACAAACTGCAGAGACCAGCCATTAGCCCCCAGTATGTATACCCCCATGACTGGGAAGAGGGTGATCTGGTTCTGTTCAACAACCGAGGAGTCATACATTCGGTCGTTGGCGCATTCAAACCAGATGAGGTACGGATTTTCCGACAATGCAATTTGGCTGCCTCTGAACCTCCAGTGGGACCTTGAAATACGTGTTCAGCACTAGATGCATGGCGTGAGGAATAAGTGGCGCTTTTCTTTAGTTCATGGGGCCTCCATCAGTTTTCTTTCGATCCCTAGATCCTATAAATGTTCCAATTGTGTTGGTGGTAATCAAGCGTTTGATTGTCATCTTTACAAAATTCACAATGTAATCCAGCGCGCGCTTTGGAAATTATGACACGGGCACCAACATTGCCAAGAATTAGTTACATATTAAATCTTTAAATATTAACAGTCTAGATGACCAAGATTATCAAATGGGGGATAATAAGTCACTGGCGGCCGAAAGAAATCATCGAACAATGTAAAAACCGTTCACCGCGATTTGCCTTTCCCTCGCATCGTCAGTTGTCGAGCGAACTCCAAGACGGTGGAGTGGCACTTGCTCAACCCACTTCTGCCCACGAGTTCGCATATTGGCACATCCATCACGTGTACGATCCATCCACCCGGTATTCGGTCGAGGTATCTCGACTAGGGTTTGCATTTCCGCAGCCCAGGCTGCACCAGCCAGTGTATTCTGCACAACAGATTCGTCGTATGCATCCGCGAGCATAGCAGCCTCCGTTGCAGCGGCCTGCGCATCGGCGAGCTCTTGGCTGGTTTTGCCCGTTGGGGGTGGAATATCGGCACGAAGGTAACCCATGACACGGATTTCCAGTTTGTTTGATAGAAGAGGGACGTCATCCAGCAAGCGTAGTTTCACGACTAGTTTTGCAAGTTGTGACATATCAACCCGCTCAGCTTGCAATGGATTGAATGTGCGAACAGAAAGCACGGCTGGATACCACCCGCCGGTGCTGGACTCTTTGCTTGTTTCAGAGTCGAACCGAGCCCAGCCAAAATAATAGCCTCGGAGTTGTTGAGGCACCCAGTCTGGTACCTTGTTAAGTGTAAGTCTTGGGCTACCACCAATCCTATTAGGTGACTGTGGCTCTAGAACTTGGCCTCGAGCTTTGAATGTCATCGGAAAGGGGGGCTGAGGACCAAGTTCCATCGGAGACACACCATTGTAAAATTCCACCGAATGAGGTTCTTTGACAGTGTCTCTTTGGCGAGACCTTGTAGACCCATTGATAATTCCTCCAACTCGGTCCTGAGCACCACTAGCTGAATAAGCAGTTTGCGCTGCTGTCTGAGTAAGCCACGATGGACGATAAGGATCAACTTTGGCTGTTATAGCCGAAGCAGCAGGCGAGACCACGGTCTGAGCGGCCGTTCTTGCATAAAGACTGACAACCATTGCCCCGACTTCTAAGGGTAGAGTGCTGAGACTTGCACCCCGAAGAGAGCTGGGGCTGGTTGATGTCGAAAGCACACGGAACACAGGACTGTTACCGATGACCTTCTTCTTGGGGCCTTGGCAGAGGACAAGTTGAAAATAACCATCACCACCATCTGCAGGAATTCGCACCACGGCGGTTTCGCGTAATATGTGGGTGTCTCGTGGTCGGGCAGGCGCTTTTTTGCGAAACTTCTTAATGTCGCGTTGCCAGGCTCGCTCGTCATCTGGATTGATTTGGTTCGCATGCAATGGCATTGTAGGGGTAACATCAAGCCAGCTATCGTGGAGACGAAGCATTGCCTTTGCGCGCATTCCAGTCTTGCCAGTCCATCCTTTACTTTGAAGCCATATAGTCCGGTCCGGCGGTAGAGGGGTATCAGAGAATATCGAAATAGCGACCGAAGTTGAGTTTCCACGATAGAACACTAGTCCATGGGAGTGACGTAGTATGGTAACATGCTTATTAGATTCCGTCGGGTGGTTGATCAATCCGCCGAGGAAGTGTCGAGCCTCACCATAGGCCTTCTGGACAGGGGTTGGAGAAGGGGTAGGTGTCGGTACTGATGGCGATGTGGCTCCTGCTGTACGTGGTCGTGGGATTGGGCTGACGGGACGAGAGCCATGTGGCGCAGGTCCGTAGAGTTCGGTATACGATGGAGGGTACAATGAGGGTGACGGCACTACAGCGGGAGAGGTCGCGGTGTGTGCCAATGTCGGGTTCTGGGCGACTGCTGTTTGTCGTAGATTGGGGTTTGAGACAGGTTTGCGTCTGATCATGAATTCTGGCGGCCTTTCCGGCCGCAACGCTGCAGACGCCATAGCTACATGGCATGCAATTACCCTGCAAATTATCGCGATCGTCATTGATGCCCAGAGACGTGATTAGATTGGTCGACATGATCAGTCATCCTGGTGCCTTAGGTGTCAATACGAAACATGTGACACTGGATGTATGTCGGAACACGTAATCAGGGCGGTCAATCAAGGTTCTATGGGTGTTCGATTCAATATGTGTCTGTCTGGTTGTTCTCCTATCTCTGTGCGCACACCTTATGTGCTGGCTTACTAATCTAGCTAGCTTACATCATCAAAATTATGCCGACACACCCCCTCAGCTTAAGCACCCTGCAATTGATTAAGCTGGACCCATAATCAGCCAATTCCTTCAATTCTGCAATCTTCCCAATCAGCCTCCATTGCCTAATTAGGCCATGCTGACTTATCATTCCCTCCATCTCATTCCATAATCAAATGCTCAACGTCCACCAGGCCTAACAGTTTGACGAATATCTCATGCTTTTGCCTCGGCAGCACCTTGGTGAGTCCGTCTGCGACCATTTGTCCGGTCGGAACCCATCGGATCCGAACTCGACCTTCCCTGACCTCTTGTCTTAGCCAGTGACCGTGTATATCCACATGTCGAAGCTTAGTGTCAAATGGCGTGTCTTCCGCGTTAATCAGGTCAACCGTACGGGTATTGTCGCATTCGATCGTGAGTTTATCTGGGTATTCGAACCCGATCCTTCTAAATAGTCTATCCCACCATTATAACGCTTTGCCAGCGTCCGAGAGACCTAACAACTCGGCCTCGGTAGTAGATATGGTAACTGTTCTCTGCCTCGTCGCCTTCCAGTCGACTAGGCCTCCAAATATCTAACATATGTATCTAGCAGAGCTCGTTCGATCCCCGTTATCCACGTATGAAGCGTCGCTTGATATCCTAACCACGTCCCAGTCGTCTTCGACCGGCCCATACTAGATCCCCCAGTATCTCGTCGTGTAAAGGTAATATATAAGGCGTTCGATCGCGGCGTGATACTTAGGCCCTAGGTTCTAAAGGAACTAGGCGAGGGTCGAAGCCTTCTTCGCTGCATCTGGACGGGTGATTGTAGTGCCATACTGGACTAATCCTACCTTCTACTAGTAATCATGTATGCTCTACGGACTCGCTTACCCCTCAAATAGGTCAAGCTTCTCCATAGCCCCTAGTGTCCATACACGTGCTCGTCCAGTAAGGTTATACCGCTCCGCAACGCTCGTAAAGTAGCTATCTTGAACTAGCCAGAGTTTCCGTTCTACACGGTTCCGTAAGATTCTAATCCCGAGGAACCATTCAGCATCACCTTGATCCGTGAGCTCCTAATATTTCTCGAGCTCTTACTCGAGCTACCGTACTCGTTCTCTTACCATATGATGACTCGCTATAAGGATATCATCAACATAGAAGAACACAATGATCCCTTCTCCAACGAACACGCACGGATCCTCCGCGACCTGCTCTAAACCAAGACCTTTCAAAACCCTCGTAGCGTCCTGCTACCAGAGTCTCAGTGCAATTCTCAGTCCGTATAAGGCCCTGAGTAACAACTAGCATCTCCCTTGGGTCTTGAAGCCTTCCGGCATCAAGGTATACACTTCTGTACAGAGCTTGCTGTTCAGAAACGCGGTAACCGTATCTCGCTAACGGAGATCTAAGTCGTACGCCGCACATAGGGCGAAAAGCGTCCTCGCTATCCGAGCAGCGAGCGTTACCGCCCGTTTTTCTTCGGCCGAAATAGATTATAAGTCTCCACGCACACATATCCGTGCCTTACACTTGATGAGAAACCCGTCCTGATCGAATTTGTACGCGTATACCCACATGAGCGGTAGCACTTGCGTCCCTCGATCCTTCAGCATCTTAACTTCCTGGTACGTTTCCTTCGCTTATAACCCGTCTAGTTCCACCCTCATGGCCTTGATAAATCCATCACTTAATGGATGCTTCTAGACGTCTTTGTAACGTTCTGGCGGTGGTGGAAGATCATCTCGGTGTTGTCGGTGCGAGGGCTTCAGGGCGTATAGACCTGTTACAAAGGCTTAGAGGGTCACGGACGTAGTATCATCATCTACTAACGTCGTCGTGCGGTAGGCGAAATCCTCATCTCGTCGCTATCTGCGCATCCTCGGTCCATTTACGATATTCCCGATATCTAGAGCCGCTCTATCCACGTCCTCGACCTCCTCTTCGTCTTCGTCCGGGTCTGACCATGCGAGCTCGCTCGTCTCTCGCATTGATATAGGAGTCTCTGGCGTTAGATCCCCTCTATACCCTTTGTTTTCCTTATTCATAACCCCACCCACCCCCTGATCTGCGGCAGAGTTGTTGCCAGGAGATCTTGGTGGCGTCCAAGACGGTTTAATATGTCCGTTTGGATCCATTTCCTTACTATTTGAATCATTCAAGTCCTATATCCTATCCTGCTCAGGACTATCTTCAACGGTAGGTGGTGGCATGTCTAGCATATCCTTGGCTGGGTCCTGCGCGTCATCTACACCCCCTGCCGTTGGAGATAGTTCTAGAGCATCTCTTCCTGAATCTACACTCTCTACTTGCTCATTAAGCCCCTGTAGAATAGATTCACCTTTGTATCTTACCTCTATGATCTCTGGATGCACGTTCTGCGGGAGCGGCATGCGTACGACCTCATCTAGCTGGTTTTCGGCCGAAAAACGTCGAGACTCGTTAAAGACAGCATCTCTCACCATACACACCTACCCACAGTGTGGCATCCAGATCTTCCAGATATTTAATGCCACGTATCCGACCAGATACCCAATCTCTGCACGGGATCGTATCTTATCCAGTCGTGGAATGGTCGGATTCCGACAATATACAAGAGATCCATATAGACGCACATTCGCCAATGACGTCTTCGGCAGCTCTGATTTATCGACGAACTGTCGAGCCTCTTCCCACGGAACTATCCAGTTCCCACTTTCCAACCTCGTTAGCGTACGATTCAGTAGATACACCGCTGTCGCGATGGCTTCGGGCCAGAGCTTATCCGGTAACTTGCCTTCTTTAATAAGCGCTCGAGCTCGAAGCGTGAGCACTCCTCCAGAACGTTCACCTGGACCGTTCATCTCCGGGGAATATAGGACCGTGAAGGTATGGATGAACCCCATCTCATCCAGAACCTTGTGGATCTGGTCGTCCACGGTCTTCTCATTATCCGAGTGCCACACCTTAATTAGCAATTATAGCCACTTGATCGCAAACGCTATAAAGCTTTTAATGGTATCTTAACACCCATTCTTATTAACGTGTGTCATGCTCCAATAGAATCGTATGCCCTCTATATAGAAGTGCGTGATCTAGCAGTGCTGATTATATCCCATCGTCATTTGGATCAGATCGAAATAGACTCGTCCGCACGGCCCATAGTGCCGTCCGATAGGTCTCCGAGATATCTACCGGGGGCATTCACCAAGCTACATACCTCGCATAGCTAGCTATCTGATCCGTCCGGTTGCTCTTCCCTATCTTTGATCTTAACTCCATTAACGAGCTCCGGCAGCTACTAGATTGCTCCTTAATAGACGTATCTGAGACGTCTATGCCATGTCTCTGCCGTTACAGTTGACACCTGTGGTTGTACGGATCTTCGTATGGCATGCGCATGTTATACGGTCTCTAGATCTATCATATCCAGCCGTGAGAAGACGTAGACGTCTCGTTCCTGGTAGATCCTAAGTACCGACTCTCCATTATGCATTATATGCCCTTTCCACATATCCCACCACGCCCCTTTCTACTCTAGTCGTCCAAGCGACACTAGATTACAGTGGAAAGAGGGCGCATAAAGACAATCAGTTAGCGTCACCGTATAGGCCTTCTTTATGATTAGGTTAACACCTTCCATCACTACCGTTCCGGTTCCGACCGCTGGCGTCTAGCTCTCTCCGGTTTGGAGCGAAGATATGCTCTCACGATACTCCGTGAACATAGACCGGTCGTTACACACATACACACTCGCACCCAAATCCAGGATCCATTACGTACGGTAGTGCTCTTCAACCGTCGATGGTGCGGTTACGAACGCGATCTAAGAGGCATGATTTACCATCTCCTTCTTAGACGTCTCACTAAATTGTTCTTCTATCCAGATCTTCCACTCCAGCTCCTTTTTAAACGCCTTTTCGATGGCTTCTTATCGCTTACGACCCACTTACCATCCTTCCAGACGCTTCGCCTCGTTAAATACCCAGCACCAGGTTACGCGGTGAGGGCCTCCACATGGGCAGTCCATACGTTCTAAGAACTCGGTTATAGACTTTACTGGCTTCGGTTCTTGATGCCCTTGCCACTTTGACGTTGCGAACGCAGGCTTGCTATTTCCTACTGGTGCGGACGCCTTCCGTGGGGTCTCCGCGTATGTTACGCGGAAGGACTCTAGCATCGAATTCATACCTATAGTCTCCTTGTTGATCACGATCTATTGGAACCGGTTCTCCCACCATGACGGCAGAACCTCTTTAACCGCTTTCATAAATAATAGTGGGTGGAACGATGCATTCTCATAGTTTAAGCTAACGACTTCTTCACGTAGGGATTCCCACTCGTCTAGCCACTTCAGAACGTCTTCCCCCTTCTTCGGTCCTTTTGTTGCGTCTTCTCTCCATCTTAGGAACACCTCGACGCCATACGCATTAGTTCTCGAGAATCTATTCGCAAGGAAACGCATACGTTCGTATGGTGTGTCTAGACGGTCGAGAACGCGGTTAAGCTTTGGCTCTACGGATGCCGTGATCGCTTAGTCGATCGTCCGCAGACCCTTCTCTTGTTTCTCGAACGCAGCTAATCGGATCTTGTAGATGTCCATTTCATCTCTCCAGATCGACTGGTTCTCCCTAAACTCTTCCTTCAGAGACTTCAGCGCTCCGGCCGTGATCTCGTCGGGGATATCCAGAGCAGGTTGTGCGGGCATATTCGGGGGTTCCTTCGGTTGAACCACCGTGCTCCTGCTTAGCTCCGGATTACATATATCCCATACTTATAGGCTCATTCCAAGGCGTCTCATGGCCATATACCACAAGTGCCACTGGGCAGGCCCCTTTAACTTCTCTCCTCTCCATGATGAGACAGATCCAATCGATTCCATGATGTCTTGATCCGATGCCGTCCGGATCCTAACGTGTGCTTCAGAGGTACGTTCGGGTAGTTGCACTATCTGGCTCAGGGGTAGGCGGTTCAGATATCTTCCAGATGCGTCTGAATAGCCTCAATTTCACCAATTCTAGTGTAATCAGAGTAATTCCGGGCTCATAACTGTCGGAACACGTAATCAGGGCGGTCAATCAAGGTCCTATGGGTGTTCGATTCAATATGTGTCTGTCTGGTTGTTCTCCTATCTCTGTGCGCACACCTTATGTGCTGGCTTACTAATCTAGCTAGCTTACATCATCAAAATTATGCCGACAATGTACAGTACTTTGAAGTTTGGATGGATCAATGAAATCTGCTAAATATGCCAAATGGCATGAGGCTAAGATCGAAGAAAAAGAATTCCTTCATCGCGATAGCTCCTAAAGGGCAGGACGCGAATAACCCTCGCGGTTAACATCATATCTAATGCGCACTATTACTATCCCAATGTATGTATAATATATTACATTGGTGGGAGACAGACACGACAACTTAAGATCCTTCGATTGCAACTTCTATGGTATAAGAGTCACAATGATCAAACCTGCAATCCTGTGCAACAGAGCTGCAGTGTCACATACTAAGGGCCATCTTTGAATCCTGACTTTGGGTAAAGATGACGCCGTCAACCAATTCCCCAGTCACCTTCCCCTCTCGGTTCTAGGCGGGCTACTGACCCGCCAGAAGGTTTTTACACTGCTCAATCTCATTGTATAAAAATATCATCCCCATAATCTTCACCATATCGCCCGCTACCATCGTCAGCAATTTTTCAGTCAGGATTGATGACGACTCACGTGTAATCCTAGCACCAGCAGTGTCATTCTCATCACGGCCGTTCAGCCGGGTGTATTCAAGGACCAACTCGACGCGGGGACGGCGGTTGGTTTCATACAATTTCAGCCTTGCAGGAATATCCTCTGCTCTAGTACCAAGAGGAAGTAATGTCGCAACGCCAACGGCATCTTCAATAGCCATAGCTCCACCTTGGCCCATGTCTATTGTCGCGGATTAGTCGGCCATGCCAGGTCACTCGCGTGATTGCTCCTTACATGGTTGGAATGGATGTGCAGCATCTCCAATAAGCGCCGCTGTGCCTTTTGTCCATGTAGGCAAAGCCTCCATGTCGAACATATCCCACACCTTTAACTTATCATCAGCCTCTTCGACCATCTTTCTAACTCCTAAGGTAAAATTCGAAAACATGCGAATGATTGTATCCTTGTCGCCCACCGTTTGCCAGCCTATATCATCTTAGCTGGATATAAAGTGAAACAGAATTGGGAGACACGCACCATCGGCTTGGGTGTCAAACTCGACCTCCCTAGAGGGAACAAAGGCACAAAGATTATACACTTTGCTATTAGAACACGGGTATGCGACAAGGCGACAAGTGTCACTCGCCCACTCGATGAAGATCCCTTCCTTCTGCACAAATTCCCGTGTACAATCGTGTTTTTGCAGATCTTTGGTGGGAAGTAGCCATCGGAAGCACGACTTTCCCACTTGATATGGTGCAGGTGCCCTTGGGGCAATGGCACCGCGGACCTGGGACTGAGAGCAAATCTGGTTAGAATTTTTTATTGGGTAAGCCGAGGCACTTGTTATACGGATACATACATGTAGCCCATCCGCACCAAGGAGGAGGTCTGCCTCGAATCTCCGTCCGTCGTCTAGGGTGATCGAGGGACGAGTCGCATCGATATTAATGCTCGTGATTGTGCATTTCGTGTGTAAAATTGCGCCTTTGAGAGCCTGTTGCTTGAGATGATTGTGCAGATCAACACGATGAACAAGATACCACTCCTAGAGAGCTGTTAGAGCGCCACGAAAAGATCCATGGCAGATCACATACGTCCTGCCAGATATGGCGAATTCCCGCAAATTCCTTCTTGTATTTCAAGTCACCAGCGGATCCGTACCGATGAATCTTTTCCCATTGATCAGCTCAGGATGCTCAGCGTTTTATATTCCAGTCTCACCTCGTGAAGAAGGGTGCCTCCGAATTCGGTCGGATCGACGCCCATCCAACGCAATAATGCCGTACAATTCGGTGGTAGATGGATAGCTGCTCCAGTTTCTTTGAGAAACGACGATTTCTCCAAGATCTAGTGCCGCCACTTGATTAGTATGAGGCAAAATTCCGATACTGTCGCTGAACGTACTGTAACGCGATGGCCCTGTTTCCCCAGAGCGATGGCGGCTGAAAGACCAGCGACGCCAGCTCCGATCACGAGCACCTCTAGAGGCTTATTCTCTACGGTCATATTGGGAGAAGGAAAAATTTGATACAGCATCATCGTGTTCATCTTGAACCCATAAATACTCTCTTCGCTCTATGTTGTTCCTAGACAGGTAATTCCGAGCACTATCTCCGACCCGTGAGAACAAGTCTCTTGGCAGATGCAGATCTTTACTGCTTACCTTTGGACTGTCAGTCATCAAGGAAAAGAAGGCTATTTATGGAGCCATAGGTCGTATAAACTGCCATAATACGTGCAAATGTTCGTCACTGGGGTTCCCACTGTTCAAATGGGCTTGCAGAATCCCGTGACTGTTGGTCCAGACGGATGTACGGAAGGGATGCGAGCCCACAGCATGCAACTTCTGGTTCACAAGTTTCTATCGAGGTATTTTCCATTGTTGCAGCCACAAAGGCGGTGATTGCAAGAATTAAGATAAACGACTGAATTCACAACCCATAAATATTGTAGCCTCGATGGGTGTATCATAATACGAGTCGATCTCCACAAACCCATGCCGACGATAAAGGCGCTGAGCCGCGATCATATCTGGCAGCGTATCGAGCCGAATACCACTGTAACCCAAGCTTTTTGCTTTCTCGAGGATGGCGACCACGAGTTTATCGCCAAGCCGTAAACCTCTTGCTGCAGGGAGGACATATAGGCGTTTCATCTCACACCAGTTGTTGGAGCTCCGCCGGAGCGCCACGCACCCTATGACAGGGGCATGTGGGGTTGGCGGATTGGATGTGGAGAAACCAGAAACGATTTCGTCTTGTCGACTGTCTCGGTGTGCTCGAGCAATCAACAAGGCCCCCCCTTGGGATTCGTCATATTTTCCCGGTAAAGAATCAAGCTCGTTCTGAAATGACTGAAAGGTGAGGTCGATACCCAATGATGCCGCGTATCCAGAGAACAAGGTATGGATTGCCTCGATATCGCGAGGGAATTGCGCCAGCTCGATAGAGACTGCCATGTTGATGTTTGAAGTGACCATGACAGATTACGAAAGGACGTGGATCGCGTGATGACCCGGGCACAAGGCTTGGAGCGCTGGTCGCCTCGATTTGAAGTATGTGCAAATGATAATCGACCACGCAAATTGGCCCCGTCCTTTTCTTCTATAGTGTTCGTGATATGATGTGGGAATAATGGTACGTACAACGCTGAAACGGCTTCATTAGTCAGCTGGTGCGCCAACCTATAAGAGAGCCCAATCCGTGCTCAGACCTCATGATGTTCTTGGCCCTTGGCCAAAAGAGTCCGAAGACACTATTCCTACTAGACAATCCATCAGTTCCCACCAGAGAAACCATATGGATTCCCTCAAAGGCTTCCTGGCCGAAAATGGCCATATTCAATTTGCGACCCCCGAGTCCCCTGACTTTGCAGAGCTATGCGCCGTCTTTGTGCTCAACGAAACCAGAAAACCAAGCATGATTGTTCGGCCCCGTTCAGCAGAGCAGGTCGGCGCGTTAGTGTCGGTTCTGACTACCAATGATATCCCCTTCACTATCCGTGCAGGCGGGCATGACATGTTTGGTCGGTGTCAAGTAGATGGTGCAGTCACGATTGACATGCGCGAATTCACGCATGTGCATGTGGACACCGAGTCCCACACTGCCCGAGTGGGTGGGGGCGTGATCTCGATCAATCTGGTCAAGGAGCTAGCGAAGTTCAAGATGGTTGTCCCACATCCCGTCACCCCAACTGTGGGCTTTGTTGGCTGGGCACTCTATGGAGGGTACGGTATGCTAAGCAGCAAATACGGCCTTGGCGTCGACCAAATCCTAGGGGCCACCGTCATCGATGCACAGGGTGTTGTTCGTGAGGCGGATGAGACAATGTTGACCGCCATTCGCGGGGCTGGAGGAATAGTAGGCGTGATTGCTGAGCTTAAAATCAGGATTTATCCGCTAGATCAGGTGAGTGATGCCTTTTCAGCATCATATTCGCTGTCTGACAAGACCCCAGGTGCTTGCAGGAGCCATCATATATCAACCTACGGACCTGGGCGCCACAATCCAAAATTTCAATGACCAGCTCCGCGAATCCAAGAAACATGGCCTCCCACCTGCACTTGCCCTATATCAGTTAGTCAACAACAGCCCAGTTGGTAAAACCCTTACTGTATTGTTTATGTGGGCTTCATCCGATCTGGAGGAAGGGCAGTCTTGGCTGTCCAAGGTTTCTTCATGGGCACCCGTGGCTGTCAACGCGGTCATACCCACCACGCTAACGGCATTTAATGACATAGCTGATTCTTTGGTTCCAAAGAAAGTCTTCGGATCAATTTATGCTGCCACGTTTTACAGTCTCACTCCTGAGGTCGTGAATGTCATCAGCAAGCATGCACCGTTGCAGCCAAATAGTCCCGACGTGATGTATGGCATCCACGAGCTCCGGGATGGGGCGCCTTATTTAGAAACAGGCTCTGTGTTTTATTCGCGTCGCCCTCATGTGATCTTGGAGATTATTCCCATATCCCAATCGCCTGATACAGTCGACGAAGCAGTAAGATGGGCTCAGAAATTTCACCTTGAGCTATCACAAACGGACCCAGCAAACATTCCTCCTTTCTGCTACATTTCTTTGACTCCTTCAAGGGGGCTTGACATGAAAGCAATTTATGGAAGCAAGCATGAGAACATCAAGGCAATAAAGAAGCAGTACGACCCACTCAACAAGTTCAATAATGCCCTGGTGCAGCCTTGAGCAGCTCATGCTTCCAAGATACATAGATGAACTGTAAATGACATTCATTGAGTTATTATTGTATACCAGACCGTGACAAAGTCTTTAATGACAGGTTCAATCACAAACAATCTTGCCATTCCATTAAATCGACCCCATCCTAGGCAATCATCGAAGTCTATCCATACCAGTAAAAGTCAAACGCCAAACGCCAAGTGTCACAAAAGCCGCCTCTAATTATGCTAAAATCATTATCCCTGGTAGGACACAGTGAACGCAGTGTCACTTTCAACATTGACCTTTGCGAGCAACTTGCCATTTTGCTGAATATCCAAGACCTCGCCATCCTTGACACCATAGGCCTGACCACCGGCCTTGGCTTGCACCCCAATGAAGTTCACATTGCCAAAGTTGGCAAGTGGTACCATGTCGGAACCAGAGTTGAAGTCCTCTACAATCCACTCGGCATTTTGACCACCAAGTGTGGCAGAGGGAGAAGGAGCATCCAGACTCTGCGTTACCGTCTGTCCATTAGACTGGTTCTCGATTATAGCAACGCCCTTGCTCGGCGAGAAAGACTCCACCTTAGCGACGATCACATCGCCTTCGGAGAGGTCGATATCAAAGTTCACTGCACTGTCGGGGTACCACTCATACCACGCATCGAAGCTCTGGTCACCATTCTGGGTGTAGGCGTCAATACCAGTCTGCAAGATGGCGTTGGTATAGGTATCACCATCAATACCAACCCAGGCGGACACGGCTTGCATGTTGCCCGAGTTATCGGTTGCCATGGGATTGGGGACCGTGAAAGTTGCCGAGACAGCAGTATAAGTGGCGCTAGCAGGAGGTTTCTCACGCACGATACCGGCCCAGTTCTTGCTGTACTGGACGTTTGTGGAGTCGTCGCCATCCTTGAGTAGGATGCCGTTCTTTTCAGCAGGTGTGGACTGGCGCGACAACACGCCGCGTGCCTGCAAACGTTCAACCAAGCCAGGCCGTGGAGCTGCGAAAGCACCCGTCGCCAGCATAGCGGTGGCAAGGCTTGCTGTGATGAACTTCATGTTGGCGATAGTAGATGAAAGGCAGAGTTCTGCGGATGAGAATGGGAACTGCAAGGAGAGGCTTGCGGCGTGGTGAGACCAGGTAGCGCCGTATGAGATTCACAAAGAGTTATATAGTTGCTTGTAGAGAAGGTTGCATGCAGGATTCATCCGCATGGGGAAGTGGGCCTCGTGCTTGGTGACCTGGACCCATCTTGGGGTCCTGGCAGGGCATTGTCTGGGGCCCGCTTTTGAGTGGAGGCGTGGGAGAAACAAGGTCTGAGAAGCGTGATGGGTGTTCGAAACTCATTTCATATTGATTGGCTCTATCGAATTTGGGGTCTTTTGACCTTCACCCATTCGCAATGACTGTCGAGCATGATCCCTCAGTGACGGGTCCGGTGTGACCACCAGCGCTCAAAACAATCCGGCATCTCAGAAAGCTTGGAATAAAGTATCAGCTTGCGTGTCTGGCTGATAGAAACATTCTCCAAGAACAGCAATATCTGATAGCACAGCCATGGACGGATTGATTAAGGATCGACAGTCAATCCGATCTGAGCCACGAGGCACCGATTTTAAATACTCCAAGATGATCTACCTAAAACAGAAAATTAGCAGCTTGATTGATCCTGTACACCAGTGTATAATCTCCACTATCTACCATACTACACAATGTAGATTTTTAGACATTATCCAGTGGGAAAGAGGCTGAGAAAATCAATCTACACTAGCCACACCAGGAGCCAGAGATGTAACCAAGCGTCAGACGGTTTGCAATTAGAATTCAAAGAGAAAATGAGGTCATTCTATTTGGCTGTGTCTGCAGACGTGATCAGAATCATATGCTTGCAAGGTTGGCCGCATACCAGTCGAGGAATGCTAGCATTCCTCGCCACAACTCTGTCAATGGTGATACGCGGCCTAAAGTATTGCTCATGCCGCAACCGTTTCGCTTTGCAGATCATTCTTGGCATTTAGAACAAAGCTTGTCGTGAACTTTTTGGAGCTATCAGGTGGCCAAATGCATTTCCAGGTTACGCCTAGAGACAAAAGTTGGAAGCTATTACCAAGACAGAAACAGAAGAGCAAAATCAAAGGCTTTGAAGGGCTTGATAATCTTTGTCCACCCGATGAGCGTTAGCTTTGTACAGGCTATGGAAGCTATGAGTTCAAGTCTGAATAGGTATTTCTTTTCAGATATCGCCCGAGTTCCAAGATTGGGCAATTGTCTTCCAACAGCACACTGCATAGTCCAATTGGCATTGACATCCCAGGTGGCCCATGCCAGACGCAGAATATGTGAATTAGAATAATGAACCACCGTCATGTGAATCTACGAAAGAAATTGGGAAAAGAGGTAAGAACAAATCTCGCCAGTGGTATCAATCACATTGGGAGGCGGCGCATTTCATCAGCCGACCAGTAGTTGCGCATGTTCTCCGCGCCCAGTGTCTTCACTTCTTCATCCAAGTGCTTCCACAGCACCTCTCCGAATGCCTCCATCAACCGCTTCACCTCTTCACGGCGCAAATCTTCTTCGCCAGATCGGCATTTCTCAAGATATGCCTCCAGCTTCTCAAGACCGGCATGGATCTGCTTATGTTGGCGCAAGAGTTCAAGCTCTTTCTTGAATTCTGGCATTTTCTTGGCCAGCACCGGGAAGATATGCTGCTCTTCAATAGAATGGTGAAAGTCCAACTGAGAGCAAAATTGAAGACCCATCATGATCATTTGGCGAGCAGAGAGTCCCGAGGGCCGCTTTCCAGCAGCACTACAGGCATCGAAGAGTTGGTTCCATGTCAGGCGGAAGTGATTGTGCTAACCATTAGTCAGGATTGCTCATCGGGCCTGCTCATGATTACTCAGGGCTTACAAAGGCATCCATCTGCTCGGCCAACCGATTATATGTTCGAAACTCACTGGGAGTCAATTTGGGGAGGGGCTCTCCAGAACCCTGCATGCTGGAAACACTGGTATTTTTCCCCATGAGGTTGAATGGTGCGGAGGAAACTCGGGCAGAAGCAGAATATAGTCGAGCACTAATAGGAGCCCGGAAGAATGGTGGGGGCACAATCGCTCGCAGGCGCATGAGACGGCAGTTTCGTGGAAATGACTGCCGGGATCTGTGTCAAAAATTGAAAATGCAAGTCACCAAGCGGACGCCCTTTTATATTAGAAGTTAGAATCCGGGGATGATGAGAAAGCAGAGATTTTTGATTCGGCGGAAACTTGCCCCACGCTACAGTGGACCTGTGGCAACTGTCAGCCTTGGTTATTCATCCCTTCAACAGATAAGAGAGCGAGATTGCTGAAATTGAACAAGCATCAATGGAGGAATCCCGTGGACTACAGCTCACGTGTGAATAAAATGAAAAGAAAAAAAAAGAAATTTGGTATTAATTTCCCAGCCAACCTCTACAGACTACGAGTAAAATGTTTTCATGTCCCAGATCTTCAATGGACGTGTGCCATCTCGGTCTGGCAGAGCCAGACTCGTCAGACACAAATCTAGTACATCACCGGTCAAAGGGAATCTTGAAAAAGAATCCCCTACTTGATATCAGCACTTCTTCGGCACAACCACAGCCATGGGAGGGCCAGATCGCAATTTGACATCCGTGCTAGTTATCGATGCTGCGGGCATCGTGTTCAGTACCGAATCGGGGCCCGGGGACGTGGAATATAATGTTAGATTAGTATCAATACACATCGCGCCACCGGTGGCAAGAGGTGGCATGCGGGGATATAATGAAACAAGAAGCCACCGGCACGGGGGAATCGAATATTAGGAAGATACATGTCGTAACGCCGTGGAGATAAAACAGAGGGAATCACAGCTCGTCCCGGCCGATGGCAGCGGCAGAGGCAGCGGCTAGCTTTCGCGCCATCTTTTCTTGGGTTTGGGGAGGTGGGCGAAGATTGCCAGACTTGAGTTCTTGCCAGGCGAGATCAAACCGAGCGCCCATCCACCAAGCGGCAAAGATCTGAACTACGGTCAGCGATAGAAAACCAGAGCGACAGTCTGAAAAACCTACCATAGTGCCTGCGACAAAGAAAATAACCGCACCCATGAGCGCCATCATGAAATAGATATCGGCCTTATTCTCGGCATCAACCTCCCGCTTCTTAGCCTGCTCCGCAGTAAGCTCGCCAGTAACCCGGCGCTGAGCATCAGCGGCATTTTGAGTGGGGAAAATGGTCTCGATGAACTTCTCGATCTACAGAAAATGATTAATACCATGCACACAGTGGGCAATGATGGAGATCTTACCCGACCACACTCGATGCTGATCTTCAGGAAGTTGGGGTCCTTCGCGGTGTTCTTCTTGTGAACCTTACGAGCAAACTGGCGGAAAGTCTGGCATAGAGTCTGCAAGTTTTGTGTCGACTGTACCATCAGTTCACAAGCATCACCCTTGGTGATCTTAACGTTGCGCTCAAAGACATCATAGTTGCGGAAACAAAGCTCTAGAGTGGCAATGGCCATGGCCTGTGGAATGGCACAGAAGTTGAACACACTCTGCTCCCGCAGTCCTGCGAGGTAGAAAAGACAGTCCTCGACATGTTCGAGCGCATTGAGAATCATCTCAGCATTACAGTTGAGAGCTGCATCCCGGTTCTCAGGCTTGAAAAGATCTTCGAACTTGTCGACATGCTTCGACCAGATCTCCCTGGGCCAAAATCGCCGCTCGTCGTCGAAATCCTCTCGGATGTCGCGGATGATGTTTGTCTTCTGTAGGAAGAGACCCATGGACTTGTGGAGACGGGCGCGTTTGAGAAGGGCCGGGTTTGCCAAGTCAGCTTCGACAAAGAGCCGGGTCAGACCCTCACCGACCAGTCCAGCGACATAGTAGCAGTACATATCGTATTCCTCGATAGTCTTGACGCTGGCATCGTCGCTCTCCGCCTTGACACAGTAGTCGGCCATGCCATTGCTCATCTTGTCGGTGATGTCCTTGACGATAGCCTGGTAGGCAGGCTTCATGTTCTTGTACTCGGCGATCACATTGTCGAACTGAACCAGCAGTTCCCGGTCCTTCTCCTCGGGGCGGTTTCCGTTGAAAGTCCAGCCATCCTGCTCCAAGATATCCTTGAAGCCACGAAGAAGCGGCTCCTTTGTCTTGAGGTCGATGGAGGTATCATCCTCGATGGTGTCCAGACCACGAAGGACCAGGTAGAACACACACACGGGAAACAAGAGCTCCGGGTGCAGCTCCTTGATGACCGCGCTGAAACTTCGACTCGTCAAATCCAAGAATTCAAAGCATTTCTTCTGCGTCGCAGTGTCGTCCTTATCATTGCGCTCGTGCGGCGGATTGTGCCAAACCTTCCTATGAGGATAATAAGCTTAGTCGAACTCACGATGCGAAAGCAAGCTTTGCCAAGTGCAAGCGAAACACTAACCATTGAATAATTGACCTCAATTGGGTCGGATGAAAGGTGTAGTAGAGAGCATTCTTAACAAAACCCATGATGAGTGGGGAAGATATGACACGTAAATGTCCGGGGCCAATAGCAGGCGAAAGGTGAACCAGAAACCCAAGGATGAGATCCCAGTGATCTCAGAAACCAAACTAAAGAAAATTGTACAGAGAAGAAGAAAACCGAAAAGGAAGATCGAGTCCAAGATCCAAGAAACTGTGGAGAAGAAGAAGGGGAAAAGGGGGAGAAGCGGAAATGAGGAAAAGATGGAACAAAGAGACCGGGCCCACGTGACTAAACGCGGTGAGATGGATTATTTGGCGGGGAAAAAGTGATTCTCAAATCTTCGATTATTGATTTCATTAGGACTTTCGCAATCTTGCTTAAAGACGCCTTTTTAAACACCTATCCAACTACTGGTGTCGCTTTTTGCTTGTTCTTCTTTTCTTGACCGCTGCAGAGTCCTGGCTCTGCTTCCATCATGGTCGCTGATACCGCTTATTATGACGCCTTGGGCGTCCCGCCAACAGCTACCGAGCTTGAGATCAAGAAGGCCTATCGGAAACTCGCCATCGTCACTCATCCCGGTAAGACTGACACCCTAACCTACCTATCGGTTGGCGCTAACAGTCTTTCCCACCTCCAGACAAGAACCCCGGCGATGAGACCGCGCACGCTCGGTTCCAGGCGGTACGCCGGAATCCCACCTGTGACTACCCGGAGTCCCCGACTAATAGCAGCGTCAATAATAGATCGGTGAAGCCTACCAAGTTCTGAGCAACGAGGATCTGCGCAAACGGTATGATAAGTTTGGAAAGGAAGATGCAGTCCCCGGTGGCGGCTTTGGTCAGTTTCCCCCGAATCTCACGATTTAGGCAACCGAAGCGCTGCATAAAACATGCTAACCTTCCTCTACAGAGGACCCCTCGGAGTTCTTCAGCATGATCTTCGGAGGCGAGGCATTCGTTGACCTTATTGGAGAAATTTCCCTCATGAAAGACCTGACTGCGACAATGGACATTACGATGGAGCAAATGGAGGAGGAGGAGCTGGCCGAGTCCGCCGAACAGAAGCTCAATATCCACGATGAGGAGGTAAAGGCGGGAGCCGAAGGCGCGTCCGCGACAAATGCCTCGGCAAGCGCTTCGACAGCTTCGACAGCCCCAGCAGCAACTGCAGATACTCCCCAAGCTTCCTCGGAAGCCTCCGGTCCCGGCTCTGGAACCAGCACACCTCGGCGGTACATGGGCCAGCAGGCTCTTATGGACCGGTCGGAGGAAGAGGCGCGCATGGATGCAGCTGGTCTGTCCCAAGAGGAGAAGGAACTGCGCAAGAAGGAGAAGAAAAAGGGTCTGTCAAAGGAGCAGCAGGAGCGCCTGGCCGCGTTCGAGGAAGAGCGAAGAAAGGCTCGGGAGGACCGCGTTAACACCTTGGCCAACAAATTGATCGACCGTCTCAGCGTGTGGACTGAAACAGACAAGGGCAAAGATGTCACCCATGCGTTCGAGGAGAAGATCCGCCTCGAGGTCGAGAACTTGAAGATGGAGTCGTTCGGATTGGAAATTCTGCACGCGGTTGGAGCCACTTATGTGCAAAAGGGTACCTCGTTCCTCAAGTCCCAGAAGTTCCTCGGTATTTCCGGGTTCTTCTCGCGACTGAAGGATAAGGGTACTTTGGCGAAGGAGACCTGGACTACCATCTCGACCGCCATCGACGCCCAAATGACCATGGAGGAGATGGCCAAGCTCGAAGAGCGTGGTGGTGAAGACTGGACAGATGAGAAGAAGGCCGAGTACGAGAAGAAGGTGACCGGCAAGATTCTAGCTGCCGCATGGCGTGGCAGCAAGTTCGAGATCCAAAGTGTTTTGCGCGAGGTCTGCGACCAGATTCTGGGTGATAAGCGGATCCGTCTTGAGAAGCGAGTGGAACGGGCCCATGCACTGGTCTTGGCTGGTAACATCTATGCTAAGGTATGCCTCTACTTCACCGTATAGCTTTTTGCTCTTATACTAACCAGGATGACCCAGGCCGAGCGTGATCCTGAAGAGGAGGGCGATTACATGGCGTTCGAACAGTTAATGGCCGAAGCCATGACCAAGAAGGGCAAGGACGAGAAGAAGAAAAAGGAAAAGAAGAAGCATGGACGGGAGTCCCAGGACCAGGAGTCGGAGGAGAAACCGACGGCGGCATGAGTGTTCGCTAGGCGCCTTACCTATCTTATAATTGGTCGTCTCTTTCCTCTCCCTGCTCCCATGCGTGGACATACCTGTATTGTTGGATCCTGTTTCTTTTTGTTGGGGGAGTGGATCACATCCCCCTTTCAGCCTTGTCTCCGCAACAGCAAACCTACGCGTATAGCCCTAGTCATAGATTGCCCTTGTTTACCTGGCTACAGCCAGTCCATGAAATTCACGTCCGCAGAGAACGTTGATTTAGAGAATTATCTGCAAAGACTATTATTAATGCGAATAAGGTACAAATCAGGGTACCCTTGACATGCTCCAATTATTACAATCCACACCGTACCATCTCGTGCAAAAGCCTAGCACCCGACAGGTTCGAGTTTCGTCGTTTATGCTTTACTCGCATGGTGATCGTGAACGCTATCGCCACTGAGCTCAACGCTGGCAATGGCGGAGGGGGACGAGGCGCTAATGGATTGACTGTTCGGCTGGTCATGCAGATGCTCAGCATCCCGAGTAGACAACTCTGACGGAGGAGCAACGGGGTTCGTACTCATCGGCACCTCTGGGTCAGCCGCAGGTGCACTGGCCACAGGCGCCTTGTCCGCCTGTGACTTGCGCATGGACTGATAACCCACCCAATCCGACACCAAAACCCCACAGAGCGCTAGGACCGACAGGATGAAGAGGGCAAGGAAAAGGAGCCTACGATCAGGAAGCGATGTTAGCACGACATACACTTAGACAATAAACCCCCGGAAAACTGTACCAGAGGAGCACCGCAAAAGCGATGACTGCGTTGAAGTAGTCATTAAAGCTGACGAAGCCGCCGAGGTATGAGGCAATATCAGCAAAGCAGGCGAGCCAAAAGACCATTGTCACAAAGTAGACAAGGGTGAACACAATGCCCAAGATCGTGCTGATCTTCCCGCTGACGCCCTTTCGAGTATAGAACCAAGACAGCGCCACGCCGCCGGTGGTGATCAGAATAGTCCAGCATGCGGAGAAAATGAGAAAGGCCAGAATAGGAGGTGTGCTGGTTTTCACATTTTTGTACCCGTAACTTCCGTAGGCATTATAGTAGAGTTCCTGATAAGTGCCACCATAGAAGGTAGCGACATAGGCACATAGACCAAGCTCGATGATGGCAAAGACCAACGATGTAGCCAGGATGGCATAGAGGGCGATGTGAAGAGCTATCATGGTGAACAATGATACCCCCTGTGTCACTGGAGGAGAAAACAAAGAATCGATGTTACTCAGAAAAAGAAATAGGCAAATAAAACCCCGGAATCAGAAGTAAACAGTGCGGTGACTCCAGGGGCAAGTCCCTTGCTCTTTATTGTCTGCACCCTCCATCTCCCACGTGTGAAAGAGCTGAATCAACCAAGCGGCTCGCCAGGGCTCAGCCTTACTGCCTCTCACAACATACCAGACCGGATGTTGGGCGCCATCGGGAGGAGAATGTCTTGGCTCCAATCGAAGCTCTTGAATACGAGTGGACACATCGTGATGGCGCGCCCCCAAAGCCAAATCAGTCCAAGGTAAGCGAGTGGTGGATTGGGATGGCTTATGATCGATTGGCTGCATTGGCCCTAGACCGGCGGGAAGCTTTTTCCTGTCCGGCGTGGATGCTAGCTCTACGAAACAGAAGAAGAATGTTCGGCTTCACGGCGATCTCAGGGTCCCTTGGAGCTTCAGGGTTCGTAGCTGCATTACTGGCTTGGCTGCCTTTCTTGGAACCCGATTCTGTGTCTCAATGTCTTCGATAGATCTATGTGATCAGTCTATTCGAGGTCAGTGCCAGGATTCCCCTTTGAGCTAAATCTGATAATGTTGTGACCCCTCGCATTCTAAGGCGAGTCGGCGCTGTGGAGGTTGTGCGAATTCAGGAAGATATATGGTCTAGTCTCCCTGCGCCATGGCTCCATCGTCATAGCCAACAATTCAGCTCAACATGTTGTGACGATCTCGTATTGACAAGTGATCGACAAGCAGCAATTCCTAACTGAGGAATCACCTGTCCAGGGTGAGTCCGGATCGAGTCTAGCGTTGTTCTAGCGGTCGTGTGCACGGATGAAAAGTGTCCAACGATCTTATGGAGAACTTATCTGCAATGACTCCAAACCGTGATCTACTCCGGTACCCAGGTTAATTTTGTACCTGTGGATTAGATAGAGTGGGGTCTATTTTCGAGGATGGTTTTCCCAAACGGAGATTCTAAATAAAAACACTGTATCGCCTGTCCAAGTTCTATACCCCTGCGAAGCTTAGACGAAAATATATATAATCTTGGATATATAAATCTTCCACCAGTATAGTCCGGACAGACATCGCCAGGCACCTGAAGTTCTAGGCATGAAAGAACTTCGTACCTGACTCTTATATGTATCTATGTATAAGCAATATGAATAAACTTGGACCCTTGAACATGTGTGCAGGTGCTCAGATGCCCTCCAGGGCTACCTATCTAGGTGCAGACGGGATTAGAGATGTGCCGATGCAAGTAAATGTGCAATTGGACTTGAAACATTCGTACATTGAACCTATATTTCAACTCCCTATAGTGCCGGAGTTCCACTGATACATTTTTATTTTTAGTCAATTGCTGACATTCCTGATGAGACCGACGGAACAATGTTGATCCTTAGCTTATTGACAATTTCCACTACGCATTTCGGGTCATCAAAGGTTCTTGACATGCGATTTAACTCACTTCATCAGGTGCCTCGACGGGGGAAAAGAAAAAGGGAAAAGAAAGAGAGAAAACAAAAAAATAAAAAATGAAATCTTAATCGCACCGAGACCCCACCTGAACGCCAGCTCCATGCAACCTTGGCAATGCACTCTAGGGCTTCGGAACGCAGAGTCTCACAGGGTTCGAAACGGAGTGCATTCAAACCTTGAAAACCCCCATTGCCTAATGTAGCCTCAATTGGAGGTATGCTGACATCCAAGCTCTTCACACCTACTGTTTATGGGAATAGGAAATAGGCTTTGAACACAAGCTAATACTAACTCCGTATTGGGGGCTGATCCTACGGACCCGAACCAAAGGGTTCCTTCCAAAACTGACCGTTGTATTTAAGACACAGCGGTAACCCATGGTCCCTGCATGTGGTATCTTGGTAGATATTATTTCTTCCCACATGGCGATTTTATCCTCAACCATCGCGCTGCTAGCTCTTGCTGGCAGCAATGTTGCCGCGGTTATGGCGGCAACGACCTCGAGCTCCGCAGCAGCAGCAGCCAAGACTGGCGCGACCTTTGAGAACGGGTTTGATATCCGGAGCACCTGGGCTAACCTCGCTCCGTACGCCGATTCTGATGGATACGGTGCCCCGAAAGGCTCTCCCCCGCAATGTGAGCTCTCTCAGGTACATTTGCTCGCTCGCCATGGTGAGCGGTATCCCACCTACCACGAGATAGATGGCGGCATCATCGAAAACTTTGCCTCCAAGCTAGCAAACTTTTCGGCAAAGCATCCCAAGACTGCGATAGGCACAGGGCCATTGGTATTCCTGAACTACTGGGACTACTTGTTAGAGTTGGATAGCCTGCTCCCCATGGGTGCTTCGACCTCAGCTAGCTCGGGCGCAGAGCTCTGGAGCAGGTACGGCCGCTTGCTCTACCGCGCCGACCGGACTCAAAGAAAGTGGGATAACTCGATGAATGTTTACCCCAATGGCACTGCTCGCCCGAAGCCCATCTTCCGGACAACCAACTACCCGCGAGTCTTCGAGAGTGCGAAGTGGTTCTTGAGCGGTTTCTTTTCAAACACGGACGCCAGCAGCTCAGAAGCCGATTACGATCTCGTGAGCATCCCCGAAGTGGCCGGCTTCAATAACACCCTTTCTTCATATGAGGCCTGCACTGAAGGTGAAACCGCCGAGGAAACCGCTCTTTTGACCTTTATTGCCACTTTCACTCAAGCCCCACTCAAGCGTCTTACCAAGTACTTCCCCAAAGGTTTCAACCTACAGGCTGTGGATGTCTATGCCATGATGAATCTGTGCCCATATGAGTCTGCTTTGCTGGGCGATTCGTCCTTCTGCTCGCTGTTTACCGAAAATGAATGGCGCAGCTTCGAGTATGCTCTCGACCTGGAGTTCTACGGTGTTTATGGCTGGGGTTCCCCCAGTGGTCGCGCTCAGGGTATCGGCTATGTGCAGGAGCTGGCAGCCCGCCTGGAGGGACGCGTGATTCCGATCAGTCACTCCAGTATCAACTCGACATGGGACGACAACACAGAGACGTTCCCACTGAACCAACCCCTGTTCATGGATATGTCCCATGACAACACGATAGTCTCTGTGCTCGCTGCTCTGAGCCTGAAATACTTCAACTACGGTCCTAATGGCTTGCCTGGCAATGTGGCTACTCCACCCGCTCGCACCTTCAACTTGGCGGAGCTTGTACCCTGTGGTTCCTGGATGGCGTCTGAAGTCTGGACCTGCCCCAGCGATGTATCTTTCGAGAATCTGCAGGAGCAGATGTACAAGAACCCCGACCTTTCCTCCACTGCAAACACCACGGACTACATTCGCTTTGTGCTGAACAGTGCCCCCATCTCACTGGAAGGGTTGAGTGCTTGCAATGGATCGGTGAATGGGTTCTGCCCCGTCGAGAAATTTCTTAGTGCCGTTCCTGTCTTGACCAAGGATGCAATGTACGCCGAGGCATGCTTTGGCAGCTACAACATTACCAGTCAGGTTGCCAACGGCAACCCACTCACGTCATAAGTATAAGTTCGTTTGGGATGTATGATTGGATCTCTTCGATCATCTGAGTTTCATATTGCGAAAAAATATCCGTTCTACCCTAGAGACTACCATTTAGAAAGCATGTCCTGATTTACCATTTTATGTACACCTACTTACGCTAAGACCCATGCTGGAATATGACCTGATTTGAAATATCCTGTTGCATTAATCGCGGTTAACAATAATATTCGCCCACAACCACCAAATTCCTTCAATTATAGTGTTGGCTTCGAAGCTCCTCGTCTTTGCATGTACCGACGCCACTGGTTTGATTAGTAAAGCTACCCTTCGAATGGGCTCGAGGTACGTCACTCACAGCAGGATTGAAGAAGTACACTGGAATGCCAAGGAGGAAAACACTACCTGTAACAGCAGTGAGAATACCCATAGCAGTCGCATAGCTATATTTTGAGACCATGGGAATTAACCCATAGCTAATCCCAAAAGCGATGATATTCTTGGTTCCAACAACAGCCACAAGAGCGGGACCAGGATTCTTTTCCCACGCCTCAGCCGCAAAAGATGTGGAAAGAATCAGAACCGATACAAAGGCAACTTGAAGAATAGTCCAACCCATGAATGGCCCACCCCAGGTAGAACTACCACCCGCAGTGAAGCCATAAAGAAGAAGAGAGACGACCATGAGAATCCCAGGGATAATTAGCAGGATCAACCGGTGCTCCGGAGTATGCACACCACCAGAGCGCTTGGCCATGTATACGATGAACCAATCACCAAAGATACCGGCGTATAACATGCCTCCAAAGCCACCAAATACTCCGCCCAGATTGATCAAGCCGACAATTTTGGCAGGCCAGCCGTAGCTTTGGAGCACAGTATCATATGTTAGCGACATGCCTATGGAGCAACCCAGAACCACTGATGCCAACAGTGTCGCGTATAGAATACCCGGGGAAGTAAACGCCTCAAACATTTGGAACCAAGTCATCATTACTGTCTGAATGGGGTTTTTCGCAGGGGTCTGCCACAACTTCAGCATCTTAAGGTATGACTTCTTAGGCCGTGCTTCGTCCGCGATATGTGTGTCATCGTCCGCATCTGCTGATTGCAGATAGCCTTGGGACTCCGCCGCAGTCAGAATCTGCGTCACACCAAATTGATCCGTGATGACGACTTGGCCATTAATAAACTGTGTATGACGCTGATATTTGGTTTCAAAGCAGCCGAACACAACCAAGATCAGACCAACACCGATCGCAATTACATATACCCAATAGAACCAGCGCCATCCAAGGGCCGCTGCTTCATATGAGCTGGCTAGGTTGAGGCAGCTGGTAACGACATTCTGGGTTGTCCAATACAGGCCGAAGATCAGACCTCGTTGATGGACAAAAGTCACTTCGGAGAGCATCAATGGAAGAAGCTGTGATGGAGGTCAATAATTCAGTTCTTGCCACTTGAATTCAAGGGCACTGACCGACTCGGTGGCCCCTGTTGCCAGTCCCTGTATGATGCGTAGAGCGAAATGTTGTTGAAAGTTCTGAGACACCGCGCAGCCAATGGTTGCAGCGAAGTTTACAACAATTGCCAAGATGGCAGCAAATCTGCGGCCATATATAAGACCCAAAGGAAGGATTAAGTAGTTTCCTGTCATTGTTAGATATTTTCGAACGCAAAGGCCGGTGAAAGGGGTTGACTTACCAACACCAACAAACAATGAAGGAAACGTGCTCAACCAGACAACATGAGTTGCGCTAACGCCTTCGGCTCCGTACATCTCTATGAAGACACCCAGAATGGCACCCAGACCACCAACCACAGAAAGAGACATGATCGCTAATGGGAGGTCAGGGATCAAGTGCTGCATAGGAGAGAGGGTCTCTTACAAAACCAGCAGCAGCTGACGATCACACCAGTCTTCTCCCAGACCGTGAAATTGAGAGGATCGTTGACATCATTGCTGGGAACTGGCAGTCGTTGAATATCTCCTGCAGCGTCCACTAGGACCTCGCCGCTCTGCCCCTGAGGTTTAACATCCTCCAGAAGCTCGACATTCACCTTCTGATTCACAACAGACATGATGCTGGTGTGTATTCGACCCAGCGCTGCTCCAAAAGAAAAGCAAAACGAGGAGCACGATAGGCGACACTGCGCCTTTTCTGTCTTTAAGCACCGACACTCAATAGTGCGGGGGAATTGAAGCGAAGACCACAATCTACGGGACCCTGACATCAGTGGGCCTTCCCCGTTGATCATGACAGTTCCCCGTGGGGGTGGACCCCCCCACATCCCGACCTAGGTCAGGATGGATATCATTGGCTGATATCACAAATATCACAAAGATGGCTAGAATCATGGCAGATTCCCCAAATCCTCAATAAGCGAACAGAGGTTTTGGATCATCGGTGGCAAAATATCCCCTGGTAGAGGAAGAGGGCAGTTTCCTTCAAACACTTGCCGAGCAACAGCCATCACGGATCGAGGCCGACTCAACTCACAAAAAGCCTGTGAGTCACGGTACTGATGCATTGTCAAGCCAGGTCGACCAATCCCACAACCCAGAAAAGCTTTAGTGAAATGGTCCTCTCGTCCATCGAGATGAATATTTGGTGTCTGATCAGTATCGCTCATAGGAGTCTGTACTTCCAATCTTTTCTCTCCACATTGCAATAACCCATAGACCCACAGAACCAATGACGCGTGATAGATGGACAGGGAGTCAAATCCACGGAATTGCCAAGCCATTACTGTACGCGCAGCTCGGAGAACTTGACCCGCGTGCCAGATGGCAATGCGAGCCTCTTTGGTGCGGCTCCACTCTCGCAGACTCGGGTACGCACGTCGGGCTTCCCGCTCCCCCATTTTGCCGACGAAGCGCTGGATCGCCTCAATATCGATGTGGAGGTACATCATGACAAACTCATTCATTAAAATCGTGACCGGTGGTGAGTCTGGCGAGTTCTCCTGTATGGATTTGAGGGTCGCACAGCTACAGATAAAATTAGTAAGTCTCGGCCACAAAGTCAGAGGCCGTCTTACAGGTCTTCCCGTCTACTCTGCAGCCACAGCAGAGTGGTGGCACGATTCCCGGATAACCGCTTTTGCTGGCAGAACTCCCACACTTGAAGTGCAAGGCCCTGCAGGATCGCCGATTTGGCGATCCCAGATTCAAGTTCGGGGGCAATGTGGGGAAGAAGAGATGGATCGGAGAGAAGGTCGTAAAGATTTAATTCGGAGAAGCCGATTAATCTATAGTGACATCTCCATATTTCTCTCCATGCTGCAGCAGTAGGGGCTAGCCATAGATCCCGAGCGGCAGGAAGGGGTAATGTGAATTCTGTATATGATGTAATCGCAGGCCGGTTCATAGACAGAGCAACTTCCACGTCGTGACCGAATACATGATAAACAAGTCTAAATGGCTGTTAGAATTTATCTAATTCCAAGCGATCTATCCAAAAAATACCTCTTGAGTGACTCTTGGCGTACCCAACTATGCCATGCGCGTTGTAATGATGCCTCGTCGTCCCCAAGAGAATAAGGCGTGATCATAGCGTATGTTGACCTGTCGAAGGCAGCAGCGCGCCGAAGAGCCTAATACGTTAGTTTGGGCTCTGTATTAGGACGAGTGAATGTGAATACCGTGCAAAGTGGTTGCAAAAAGCTCTCGGCAATTTGCATTTTGCGTGTATACCCACACGATATCCCGATATCCAACCATAACATGGATGCCTGGAGGTACTGAAGATCACGAAGAACGCTGTTATCTTCTTCAACCTGATGAAAATGTTAAAAATAATCCTGTAGATAAGCGACAATACCACATACTAATTGCGCCAAGCTGACTCTGGTGATCTCCTGAAGAATAATACCCGTTTTGCTGATCGAGGGCACGCCACAGCACACACACCCCGCTGCGACCAGCGCAGTCAATAGCTCTGGCCGTAGCTGTTGATATTGCTGGTCATAAAATGTATATGGGTGAATCCATGCGTCCGTCTCAATTCTTTTGCCTATTCCAACCTTAATGAGAGTATCAAGGTAGTCAGACGATGGGAAAGCGGAAACAGAAAGCCGAGAGCCAGCGGTCCGCAGTACCAATTTAAATATTTCGTCTCGTGCTTGATATGAGAGCTTGCCAGGGATTTTGAGCGCATCAAGGCGTGTCTGATGCGTTGATGGAATACTGTCACTATCGCGGAGCGGGATCCTTTGCTCTTCACTGAACCCGTGCTGGTTCTTCTCGGGTATCCATAGCCTGTCGCAAACAGTCATTCAATATCATGAACCTGAAAGATGGGGCTCTGAAATGGAACTCACCAGAGAGATTTTTGGAAAGCAGCAGCACGCCGGCTCGCGGACTGTTCATCATCGAGTGAAGACTGTTGATTGTCTAATTCCGAGAAGGGAGGAGCCATGTCTAGGACCTTGTCTAGATCAGGGATGAAATTGGTTCCGAAAACATCATTGTCCGATAAAGTAAAGTCGATATCTTGCATAAAATCAAAAGCTCGGGGTTGCTGCGGCCCTTGAAGTCCGCTGTCCGTTTCAAAGCTCGGGAGCATGACTTGTTCGAAAAACGCAGGGAACTGATTCAGAGTTGAATAAGAATGCTCTTGTTCCTGGTTTCGCGGAAGGAAGGTATCTAGTGTCATTTCTGACTGAGTAGTGAGAGATGCATCGTACATACCCTGAATGCTTCCGGTATAAGAGGTGGTCGGAGGGGCACTGAAATCTGAATGGTTGGAATCGGGACTTGCTGTCAGCACAGAGACGTCACATGAATTTCTCATTCCATGTGTCAATTCGCGAGGAGAGCATGTTGGTAAAGTTGGATCGGAGATCGATCCTCGCTGGTTGTGACGTGGTAGTCTCGATGGCCTGGCAACGCAGTCGATCTGTTTCAACTGGCATCGCTGCGTGATCATTAGCTGAGCGTTTCAACAAACCCACAGACAGTCTTTCGCGTACATTGCAAGGTCTTTGGTTGTCGCAACTCAACTTGGCTGACGCGCAGGCCTCGCAAGCCTCAGTTGCGCGCTCTTTATGGCGACGAACGGAGGATTTACCGTCCGAGATCTGTTTTCCGTGCACCGCCTGGTGCCGTTGCAAGACATCCCTATTCGGGTTTTAGCAAAGCACGATAATTTGTGGTCAATTAAAACTACCGGCGATTGAATCCGCGTTGACAAGTTGGGCACTGGTAAATGCGCTGGTTGCGATCTTGAATTTCCCGATTTTCCAATGTTAGCTTATTTAAACCCTCGATCTGTAAACAAGGGCCCTACGAGAATCTAAATGACGCGCGAGATGATCTGGTCGTTCATATGCCTTGTCGCAATGAGGACATCGATGACTGGTGTTGGTCGTACGTGGGGAACGTCGTGGGGTTTGGCGACTGTCCGGCATGGTGATGCTGATTAAAGACGAGGATGGGCGTTTTCATTTATGTGCTGAGAACGCGACGTCGGGATCCATTCAAGATGCGGGCCACTTGCCCCATGATCTCGAAGCTGTGGGGCTGCGCTACCGGGACAAGTCATCTGACTTTGGAGATTGAGGGTGAAAAGTGGAATAGCTTCCATTCTAGACGATAAAAGTGGACATCTAAAAGATATTCACACGCTTCACAGCCAAGTCCCGAAGTACATAATCTACATAATCTATCTCGACTCGGTAGCATCCATTTGGTCCTTCCATGCTTTAGCGCCTCGGTACATGCAATTAAAATCCATAAATTCAGCGGGACTCCTAACAAACGTCAGTTTTACATTGGTGTGATAGTGTTCAGCTCGGCATCTGTACATAGTCACCGTCTTGCCGTCTTTTGCCGCCGCAGGCTGCGCAGCTTGTCGACTAAACGCTTGGATGAGGCTAGCACGGGAGTATCGCGCTTGGAAAATATCCTGAACTTGTAAGTTTCTACCCTGATTTGGCTCAGATTATCAAGAGGGTTCTTACTTCAAGAATTTTGGTCAGGGTTTCCGGAGAAGGTGGTTCCAACACACCCTCGAAGAAGGCACCCAATGCCTCGGCATCCTCGATCGCCTGGCTAGCACCTTGTCCTTGAGTAGGTAACATGGCATGCGCAGCATCGCCAATGAGAATGACGCGGCCTGAGTGCCATCTTTCGAGCGGGTCCTAATACATTTAGTTAAGGGTATTAAATGCTGGGAGCATAGGCCCACCATATCATGAAGCTGCCATAATCCAAGATCTGCTGAGTGTCTAGTATCTGTCAGAATCTCCACGCAAGGGAGCTCGGCAAAGGGCATGTTTACTGGAAAATGTTTGTAACCCAACCGGGGAATACAGAAAATGTCTCGAGCATTTTGTCCAAGCTCCCCTTAGAGACCCAGGATTTATTGGCGTTCGGGTCCTCATTCATTTGGTCTATTCCAATCAGTTCGAGAAGTTAAAAATGAAGAGGTTCTTTTTACCATCTGGCACGAGTGCAGTAAGACCGTACACCTCTCCCTGTCTGCCAGGTCCCATTATTAGCCGACAGTCATGAGCAACGATCATAGACGTGAATGGATCCCGAGGGTTGATCTTTGAACAGAATTCCGGTTCGTGTTTCTCAAGGGTATCGGTGGGAATCTGTCCAAGTTAGCTAAAATAGTTATCATGACCAAGTGACAGACCATAAGGCGATAAGCTGGGAAGTGCGTCAGTAAGCGGTAGTTGGATACCAAGACTATTTGACTCACCTGAAAGCCCAGTTGGCTTTGGAAACGCTTCCTTCAGCAGATGCTCGCGCACAACACTATGGCTGTAAAATAGTTAGCTCGCTGTGTTTACGAAATGGAAAATGATAGCCACATGCATTCCATCTGCTCCAATGACCAAATCGCCCTGGAGAATGTTGCCATTCTCAAGCGTCACTGTTCCCAGGTGCTTATCGCACTTGACCACTCTCGACGCAGTCCGAATTTTCACAAAACCCCCGACAAGGTCAGAAGACTGAGAACTAACTGCTCTCTTAAGAGCTTCGTGAACATCCCGTCGATGAAATAACAGACGATCCCCTCCGTATTCCGTCTTGGTCAGAAGTGGTACGCTGTTGACTAGTCGACCTTCGGTGTTGTAGATACGGAATCCCTCGTCCACCAATGGCCGTGCATCTTGTAGATCCAAGCCCCAAGTCGATTGGAGAATCCTTGATGCGTTTGGTTGAAAAGAAATTAAAGCTCCAATCTCTTTGTTCAAGCTTGATTGTTCCAATATAGTAATCTGTCTATTGGGTCCGCGCAAAGCAATGGCTGCGGCGAAGCCCGCAATCCCACCACCCACGATGATAATATGAAAGGGCATCTCGTCCAGTGAATGACTTGAAAAGTGTACCAAATGACCCGGCAATCCGAAGCCCTATTATCTCCAACATCTCAATGTTATGATCATGCGAACGGAGCCTAGTCCTCCACCTCCACTCCCCCACCTCCACTCCCCCACTTTCCGAATTACAGGGGCACTGGGCAACGAGTCCAAATGTTGGCACGGAGATGGGAGAACATGACTAGCAGTAGCCACTTGTGGAGATCTACAGTCACCCATGCAATTATGCTTTCTCTTTAGTCGACGCAGGATATAAATATTCTGCGGACTCTTCAAGTACAAAATCTCGCAACCTTCACGAGTACAAGCTTAGTGCAAGTCCAACACTCATAGTCCTAGAGATTACGCAACGATGTCGACCACTGTGACTGTTACTCAGACACAGGCTAACCAAGCCATGAATCGCTCCTGTCGGATGAACATGGACGGGACCAATCAAAATTTTGGCGATTTTCGTGACGACCTCACTCGGGATGGCTTTGCTGTTGTCAAAGGAGCCATTGCTCAGGAGAAAGCTCTGAAGTACGCCGACGCGATGTACTCCTGGCTTGAAGATTTGTAAGCCCACCGCTCTCTGGGTCTTTGAGGGATACTAACACCTGGTAGTAAGTTGGGCTTCGATCGCAATGACCCTGCCACGGTACACAAAGACAAACTGCCCATGATCAATGAGAAGGGAATGTGTATCCACTATGGTCTCGCCCACGAAAAGTTCGTATGGGATGTTCGCAGTGAGCCAGGCGTGGTTGGTGCATTTGAAAAGATCTACGATGATGAAGACTTGATTGTGTCTTTCGACGCAGTCAACTTCCAGTTTCCCAAGTAAAAGCCGCCCCATTCAAAACATCATGACTGTATGTCTAACGCAAATCAGTCGGACAGATCTCCCTTCCAACAAGCCCTGGCCGCACCAGGACCAAGATCCTGAGAAACATGGTTTCCGCTGCATGCAAGGCCTTGTTAACCTACTGCCTAACGGACCGGATGATGGTGGCTTGATCGTTTGTCGAGGTCAGAAAAGAGATGCCACACGTACTACATGTCCAAGCTAATCCAGGAATCAGGCGGACATCTTCTCTCCGAACAGTTTCATCGCGAAATGGCCGACGAGGAACGCATCCCTGCTTGGACACCGGAGTGGTACGGCTTCACTGAGCAAGGCATGAAGTGGCTGGAGGACCATGGCTGCAAGTGGGAGAAGGTGTGTGCTGAGCCAGGCGATCTGCTTCTTTGGGATTCACGTACTCCGCACTATAACCTGAGTCCCAAGAGTCAACAGCCCCGGTTCGCTATTTATACTTGCTTCATGCCCGTTGCCGATGCTACGCAGGGCGATTTAGTGCGAAAGAAGGATGCTTTTGAACGCCGCGTCGGAACAACCCACTGGCCGAACGCGAAACACACCGGGTCCAATGTTGCCCAGAGAGATGGAGTAGAGGATCCTCATAATCGGGATAGACCGGTGAATGAGCCGGTGCTCAGTGAGCGGGCTTTCAAGTTGACTGGGATCCCATATATCACGGAGCGGGCATAGACGGCCACTTTTCAACGGACAATGTTGGCATCAGGGTAGATATGCCTCGTGGAGAATGAGAATAAGAGACACTGAAATCAGAGACTTGAATGAAATGATTTTCTTTCTATTTGAAACTGGGCCAATCCTATTGGAGTAACGTTGTGGGAAGATGTAGATGGAAAGCACCAATGAACGACAAGTCAATGTCGTCACAGCCGTCATCCCACTCTGATCAACATCCCATTACTCCACTTTCACAGACTTATCTCATCCCACCTTCCTGTGCATTTTGTTTCACGTCCTAATAAATTTGGCCTTCAAGTCTTGACTCTTGCGCGATCCTAAAGTCGACCCTCATCATGCCCGTCCACGAGATTAAAAGGTAAGACTTGGCCCGTTCCTATCAGCACAGTATTGATCAGACCCAGTATGTCTGAGTTCCTCGAGAAGATCCTCACCTCCTCGGATCTTGTCGTCCTCGATTGCTTCGCTGAATGGTGTGGGCCCTGCAAGGCTATTGCTCCCTTGATCGAGCAATGGAGCAATGAAAACACGCACATCAAGTTTTACAAGGTCGACGTCGACAAGGCGGATGATGTGGCCCAGGAATTGAATGTTCGCGCAATGCCTACATTTATGTTTTTCAAAGGAGGAGAAAAAGTCACGGAAGTGGTCGGTGCCGACCAGGCGCAGATTGCGAATGGCATCAAGCTCCTCACTGCTTAACCTGTTGCGACGAGGACACGATGTGTGACGAAATAAAAGCCCTCGGGTAACTGGGTTGAATAGCAATTAAAGTCTTTGACAGACCTCAAGAACCACCTAAGCTATATGCTGGAGTCTTCACTTCTATGTAGATCGCAATGACCTGTGGAAATTGCATGTGATGCGGGGATCAGCCGCACTGCAAAGCATCCTAGACACGGTATTGCCGGCTTCAAAGTGATCCGGTCGATCCCAACTCCGCAAGCTTCAGAAGAGTCGTACGATCGCGGTGTGCTATCCGGCCGAAGCCCCGAGTATGTAGTACAGCAGATCCTGTCCACTCATCGTGCACGTATAACAAAGATATTGGCGTATTCGGGGGTACGCTATACGCTCCACCTCGGCTACGGTGGATACTCACGCCACGATCTCCATATTGGTGTCTCCCATTTCATGGATCTATAGAACGTGTCCAGGTGTACTATGATTTGTCGTCATGCACACTTCGATGGTCATTGCAATGCCCCGCGTTGGCACGCGGGGTCGTTGGTATTCCTCGGTCCGCGTCAAACGGGCTCGTATGATAGGGAAAATCTTCAATTCTGATTCTTGCGATCATCACAATGAATCCGAGTCTGCGTAAACTCAACCTTGGACTATATAGTCAAGCTGGAGATGATTTGTATTTAAGGAATCTCAGACCTAGCGTAAACAGTGCAGAAATTCCAGAACTTCAGCTATTCCAGCCTTTACTACCTTAGGGTTATCTCAAACCATGGCGTGGGGTACAGATACATACACCACGAAGTGCCACACTCTCATCGAAGCTTTGGGGGAGGTAACGCCCCAACGAACAATAATCTATAGCCTAGCAGCTATTACTACCTATCTCATCCTGGCATCATCGATCCGCTTTCACCGACGCCGCACCCTGCACAAGGAATACCCCTATCAAACCCGGGAATCGATGAGCAAAATGACCAATCAAGATGCCTGGGCTATCCAGAAGACAATTCTTCAAATGGAGTTTCCCTTCATCGTCCTCAAATCTCTCCAATTTGCCCTTTTCCGAGTAGGAACGCCTACGCCCCCAAGCGAACACAATCGGGAAGCTAATATGAACCCACTAGACATACGGCATTCCGACTATATCAAGTCTCCTACTAAAGACGTCTCAGTTCTCCGACTCTGCAACTTCATTCAAACGCTACGCCGACACAGGAGCACTCATCGGCGAATTCATGGCATTCGACCCCCATTCCGAACGTGCCCAGACGGCCATCGCCCGAACCAACTTCCTCCACAGGGGATATCGCGCAAGTGGGAGGATTCTCGAAGATGACATGTTATACACGTTGAGTCTCTTTGCAACCGAGCCCATCCGTTTTGTGAAGCTGTACGAGTGGCGCGAGATGACTGAGATGGAGCAATGTGCCGTTGGGACATACTGGAAGAGTCTTGGAGATGCACTAGGTATCAGTTACGCCATATTGCCATCCGGGGAAGGTGGGTTTCAGGATGGGATTCATTGGTTGGACGAGCTTACTACCTGGAGCCAGGAGTACGAGGTCCACCATATGAAACCGCATCCAAGGAACAAGGAAATTGCGGATAAGACGATTGACGTGTTGGTCTATAACCTGCCACGGTTTATGAAGCCGTTGGGAGTGTACTTTACTTCTTTCTTGATGGATGACAGACTTCGAACTGCTATGATGTATGTATGGCCGCTCTAATGGAAGCAATATATGCCAATGGCTGATTTTCCAGGATTGATCCGCCCCCTGTTTTGTTCGCCGCGCTCTTCGGGTCAATGCTTCAATTGCGCAGGTTGTTCCTACGCTATGTGGCTCTCCCACGGCCAAACTTCATGCGCCTGGATGTCTTTACAGAAAAACCAAACGAGAATGGTCGGAACTTCGTGTTATTCTACGAGGGTGCACCTTTCTATGTGCAGCCCACAATTTGGAATCGCTGGGGTCCCGCGGCGTTATTGAAGTGGGCCCTGGGACAGCCCTTGCCTGGAGATGAAGGGGACAAGTACTATCCTCAAGGGTATTATACGCCTGATTTGGGTCCCAAGTACTTTGAAGGCAAGGGACGCAAGGAGATGGAATTGATTAGGGAGAACATTCGGAAGCAGCGAGTGGATCGATGCCCATTTTCATAATTTCGGCCGCCTGCTTCGATGACTGGATGATAGTTCAATAGGTATTCGGGTTCAGTGACACATATTCAAAAATTTCTTTTCAAATAGCGATCATACAAGATCATTGGCTATCATGTAATTCTTCAATAAGCAATCATAGGCATCTAGACTCAATAGCACACTATCAAATAAATTTGATCATCGGGTATCTATCACAAGTATCAAAACAATAGGTGGCCGAGTACATCAGGGCCAGATCTATCACCCAGCTCCAATGATGGATATATCAAGCCAAGAAAAGGAAGCGCCGACGGTCAACGCGCAGAACAAGAGGGTGTATCCGGAAGGAGGGAAGAACCAGGACAAAATGCATGCGGGGAGGCGTTATATCAAGACAAGGCATAAGAAATCTCAACAATGATATATGAGATTGGGGTATTTTGCGAATGAACGATAGGAAACGAGAGAATTAGAAGATTAATCTGTCCCGCCAGGAGACGATGGTAAAGGGAGTGAAGCTGGGTCGGTCAGGGTAGAATCATCAAACGGTAGCTCCGGGGACATAAATGAACCGTAGTGGGCCGATGGGCTCAGCAGAGATCGCCCACTTTCGCCGACCTCGCCCAATTCCTCCGGAGACAGGACGCGACCGCCTATCGCAACATCCTGAACATGCACATGGTATTCCAGGGCCTTCTGGCCTTCCTTGATAAGCTCTTCGGTCCACCCGAGGCATCGTTTAAGGCTCTGGTTTAATTTCTGGCTGTCCACCAAGAATTCCTGGTGCCGAGCTAGATCGAGCATGAATCGTTTCTCATCATGAGCACGATGTTTTGCATCATGATCGGCAAGGGTGTCAGGACTGACGACTCCGTCATCTGCGACAGAGTCTTCGTCGCTGAAATCGGACATTTCATCGTGAGATCGTGAAGAGGAAAGTTCACTGGTGCCTTCGTCCAGCTCGCTTGTTGTTGACAGCGCCGTGCCAGAAAAGGAGCGAGTAGAAGGAGCCATGGAAAGGCGACCGGAGCGACTTAAGCGTCGGAACCTGCGAAGTTCCGCATTTTGCTTGCGCATTTCTCGTTCCAGGGTTCGGTTGATCGCAAGTAGAGAGGAGTTGCTGATTTCCAAATCCATAATCTTTCGCTCTGTTCGAGCATTCAGGGCAACCTCTCCACTCTCTGATTTCCCAGGGCTCATAGGCATAGACTGATAGTGGTCCGTGGAGACGGAGGAACCGTTACTGAAGAGTCGGGGGCGAAGATTCGGGACCTGGTCGGATAACACAGGAGCCGGACTTTCGGCGTAGTGGGTTTGAATATTGGGCATGATGACTGGGCTAGCATGAAGTCCATTCCTTTGCGACATCGTGTGGTGTGGTTGACCAGTGGAGTCCATGCTGGAGGACTTTCGATGTTTCCCAATTGAAAGGAGCTGTGGCCCATCTGATATGATGCTCGGGGGAGAGCTAACACGCGGTAAATGACCATCAATAGCCTGGTCCATATTCGGACTAGAATTGCTTGGGGGTTCAATAAGCGGAGACGTTGCGTCTGAGACACGGGGAGACTTCAGGCGTGGGACGGGCGAAGGGCCCTGTTTGGTAGTAGGAGCAACGCGAGGGAGTCCTCCCGACCGGCGGGAAGAGGTGGTTGTGACATAGGATCCTTCCGGTGATGAGTGACGTTCTTGATCCCCATTTGCGTACATAAAGCTAGAGGCCGGTGGCATCTTCCCCTGTTTCGGACGGGACTGTTCGACATCGGAGGAATTGGACGATCGTGTTTCAGCGGCGTGGAAGAACATGGGCGAGCCAGCGACCATATCGGTGAAGGAATTTGGGCGAGACACTTGCTGTCCTTCTGCTCTGAGTGTCTTTGCCCTCAAGCTGCTCGATTGCTCTGGCTTCACCCCGCGAGCCGGGCTGCGTTCCCGTCGTACACCATTGAGGCCCAGGCCGACAGTGGGTTGGACGTATGGAGTTTGCGGAGACGATATGGGAAGAGTATTTGTCGGAGAGGGGAACCCGACATCACGACGGGTGTTTCGAGAGCCCGAGCGAGGGGTGACATTGACACCGAGGTAGCTCGGAGTGGCGGCGGGGAGGTCTTCCTTGGAGGGAGTCGAATAGGGATGAGCATGATCGGGATTGGCGAGACGGCGAGGACCAGCATGGCCTGGGCTGGGACTGGCTAATTTCGGAGTCAGAGGAGATTTGTTGGAGCGGTGAAAGGCCGCACTGAGGGTGGGCGTAAATGGTTTGGCGGAGTAGCCGTTGTTTTGTTTATCGGAGGTCATAGTTGCGCGGGTGCAAGAGATGGCATTGCGACCGCGAGCAATGAAGCATGATGGCACCGGCCCACCAAGTCTGTAATTATCGTGTGTGATCTTCAGACTCGGCAAGTGGCCTGATGTGAAGGAAGGGGTGTTTTAAGATGGTGTACTGGTGGAGATGGTGGGAGGATCAATAGAAAAACATTGGGCCCCGAACGGGACTAGTCACGCCCAGTCCTCACCGCATCAAGAATTCCACTAACTTCATTATGGCATAGAACAGGATTGATATCAGTAGACTTTGCGGTTTTCAATCAATACGCGGTTCAGGTATTCATGTTATTTCAAGTGACTCGGTAGCTCTTAGGTTGACATGACCCCTTATGCATGGTCCTGGCATGGGATTCGGTATCCTGATGCTCCACTTGATCCTCCAATAGGCCGGTTGGTCCCGGCTGGGTAGACCGCAACCATGCACAGAAGGGAAATGAGTTGCCAGGTGATTTTGGCGTCACCGGTGGAAGTTTTAGCAAGGGGCCAGCTTAACGCAGTGCGAAATTTTCTTGATGGCGGGTATCGTTGTTGGCCGGGTGCATCTTGAGAAGCTGCAACTAATGCAGACAGATCTATAACTGAGACATCTATCGGAGCACTTAGCGAAAGAAAAGACGTTTCTGCCTGGGGTCAACGTCAGATGAAGATGGCTGGGATGTTGGTCTCCGCTTCCGATTTGAATGAACAGTTGACCCTTCTGGGGCATCGGAAGTGTCCTGAATGGCTTCACGAATGGTCTGTCGGGAGAGACAGAAGTCCATGTGCTCATTAAAGACGCGGTCATCGGCCACTTGAGCTCGGCCGCATATGGGGCAATTCCACTGGGCTGGTGAGGGATCAGTTCCAGTCGGTACGGCAGTATCAGGCATATTGACTGCTTCTTGACTGAGCTGCTCCAAATCGTTCATTTCGTCCTGGATTTCCTGGCGAGCGGCATCCTCAAAAGCCTCCTCGGCCGTAATTTCATGATCAGCAGCCTTAAAGCCGGGGTTTTCTGTTGAGGTAGGCCTGGTCTGCACAGCTGCGGCACCAAAGAAGTTGATACCAGCCTTTTTGGTGCTAACCAGATTCGTGCAACGCAGACCAAGCAATCGCAACTTCATTCCAGGGATTTCTTTCTCTAATTTAGCTAGCATGGGCAGTGCGAAATCATACAGGTCTTTCGCCTGGGAGACAGCCCTCGATGGAGCAGTTTGGCGAGTCAATACCTCAAACGTGTGCAATTTCACTTTGAGAACCAGCGTTCGACCCTTGAATTGTGTGCGTGCCAGATCGCCTTCCAGTTCCCGTGAAACCCAGTCTAGTTTGGCACGAATCTCGTCCTTGTCCCCAATTTCGTGAAAGGTGGTCTCAGTTCCCACGCTTTTTCGCTCGTGGGTCTCAACCGGCTCGATCTTTGTTCGGCCCAGACCCAGGTAACACTGGGCCAGGAATTGAAACGCCTTTTCACCAAATAACCTGGTCAAGAGGGCGCGGTGTGGATAGATATCGCCGCAGGTTTCAATGCCAATGGAGCCTAGTTCTCGTTCAAAGACACGGCCCACTCCATTGACCTTGCGCACGGGCAATTCTCGCATGAACTCCATAATAGCAGCTCGATCATTCGGAACCTGGAATTGGCCGTTGGGCTTGTTTTTATTAGATGAAATCTTTGCTATTTTAGCATTTGCGGCAATCCCGGCCGATACAGACACCTTGGTAGTCTGCAGGATTTGAGCGCGCATTCGTTGGACAGCTTCTTCCGGATCCAGCTCGTTTTCGGCACAGTAGGCAGTGATGTTCAAGTAAGCCTCATCGATGCTGGCACTCTCAAATAGAGGATCGTACTGTGCCAGAATCTCGCGGATCTCCTTGGCCTTCGCCGTATATTTGTCATAGTTCATTGGAAGGAGAACCAGTTGAGGGCAGAGCTTCTTGGCCACAAAAGACGCCATTCCGCTGCGCACTCCAAATTTGCGCGCCAGATAATTACAAGTGGTTAGAACGCCTTTACCTACGGCCATGGGAACCGTTTTCAATTCAGGCCGGTCCAGTTCCTCAACGGCGGCGAAGAATGCATCGCAGTCGACATGAATCACGTACTGAGAGAGATCTCGAGTCAATTCCAACTCAGCCAGGTATTCATCTGCTCGTCGCAAGTCATGACTGAGATCCAAGGTTTCAAGATGAGCTTTTCTTTTAAGGATCCGCTCAATCTTGACGGTTAGGTTTCGATCGCGGTCTTGCTCATGGTTGAAAAATTTGGAGCCTTTGGATGCTTTGTAAATAATTTCAGAAACCTATCAGATTGATCTTAGCAACCAAGTCGGAGTGTTCAATCGTAGAACCTGTACCATTTGCTGATCAACCGCATCTTGACCCGCTTTGGTTAAAGAGGGCCCGAGTAATTGATATTTCAAGGTATCGCTATTCTCCTCCTCCTGCGCCGTATCAGGCTTCATATCTTCGACAGGCCCACCAGGGGACACCATAATCAGCACTTGTCCATCAGTCAAACCTTGATAAACGTGTGAACCGGCGGAAGAGTATAGTTCAGGCAACGACCGCCACTGACGCCTGATCACGTGATCACGCGTTTCGCTTCACGTGGAACTTGTCTCATGATTGATTCTTTGGCTCTTCAGCAACATTCTCCATGTGGATCTTGGATTCATCGGGCGACTTCCTGGATGGTGGGATATTAGAACTGCTTTTGGTATCGCATCCAGAGTATGCTGACACAATGACAAGGGAAGCGTGTCTGGCTGCGGCCCGGGAAGAAGTATCTATTTGGCCGACCCCCGCAGGATGGCGGTATGTCAAACTTCTGACAATGACACGAAGACCTCAACTAACTTTGGCCAGCCCATCGCGCCATCTCCGACAATGTGAAGACTGCGAATACGATCTCCCGCAAGCACCTCACAATCGAAGTTTCTCGCGTCACCCCTCGCGATGGAGTACGATGCCCTATGCAACATCGACGGATTCACCGACTGACAGATATACAGACCCGTCCACACACACGAACCAAAGTCACCGTGACTGATCTGAACTCCAAAAAGGGTACACTTGTGGATGGAGAACAAATACAAGGAGGAGAGCGGGTGTTAAATGGGGATGAGCACATCATTCAGCTAGGTCGATATGGTCATCCTCTTCGGTCCGTATTTTCCACGCCAACCCTCCGCGTGAAACCTCTTCTGATGCGTCCTTTATTCACAGGGTAAGATGGCAGCCAGTGGTCTTAAGCTTCTCCTTCTCTTCCAAGGAAATGAGGGTAGAAGACCCCTTAGCCAAAGTTCGGTCCAAACTAGAGGACCTAGATATCAAGACCATCATTCCATACATCGTGGGTCAAACCACTCATGTGGTCCAGAGCAAACGGAATACAGCCAAGGGTCTCCAGGCGCTGACCAATGGCAAAGCAATCGTCAAAAATTCTTACATTGATGCTTTGGTCTACGCTACTACCCCAACTGACTTTGAGAACGACGAGGCTTTATCCCCGCTCGAGACCGATTTCGATGCCGCATGGCCAGATGAGACAGACTATCTTCCACCCCCTGGTAACGAACCTGTTACTCGTCCTGCAGCTGCCTTTGCGCCCAACCCAGCACGCATAAATGTCTTCGAAGGCTACACCTTTGTGTTCGGAGATCCCGCTCAGTTCGAGAATCTACAAGCGGCGATCAATAATGGACAAGGAAAGGCCCTTTTATATCAAATACAAGATGGTGTTACTACAGCAGCTGAGATTGTCGAATTTATGAGAGAGGCCGCGGGCCAGAAAAGCGGGGACATTGGAGAGGATGGGCCTGGCAAAGTGGTGCTTGTGCGATTCCGATCCAAAGGCGAACATGAAGATTGGTCCATTGAGGTGGGCAATGAGGTTGCTTTAATGATTGATCGCCGCGTGATTGAACAGAGAGAGTTCCTAGATGCTATTTTGGGTAACGACGCCTCTCCACTCTGTCGCCCTCTTCCTCGTGAGGAAGGATCGAGTCAAACATCAACTTCCGCAACACCTCCGAAACCCCAACCGCAACCAATTCAAAATATCACCCTTTCACCCTCACCACCGCCTGCTTCTGAACAAGGCCACAGGGCAATGGTTTCTTCAAAACCCAAGGCACCTCGAGTGCGCAAGTTTGTAAGCAAAATGAAGGCCTTTGATGATGGCTTTGACATGGATTGCATACCTGCATACACGCCCGATGATGACATCAATGATACTCCGGTGATGGAATTTGAGCCCGAACCCTCTCAACGACTCGAACCCCCGGGGAAAGAGGAAGAGGCAGAAGAAGACGTGGTCACAGATTTGCTGCCTGGTGCACGAGCAATGAAGAGACGGCGAGAAGAATTGGACTTAGGTCGTCATAGTCGACCTATGCATGTGGAGCCGGAAGCTGCTCCGCAGCCTAAGCGTGCGAAGTTAGACATTCGAAAAGCCGCACGTAAGCATCGTGACGAAGAAGAGCAACAGAGAAAGGCCGAAGAAGACGCACATCTCTTCCAAGATGCCAATGTCGAGGATTTGCGGAATCTAGCCATCGTTGAAGAAATGGAGATTCCCGCCCGTCAAAGATTGTCTCGAGAGAATCCCGACAATGATCGATGGGATGAGCAATGGAATGGCCGAAAGAATTTCAAACGATTCCGACGAAAAGGGGAGCCACGCCATGCACGCCAACGAGTGCAGAGTGTTATCGTTCCCCTGGAAGAGGTGACGAGAAAGGATTTTGGTATTGGTGAGCACCAGTGGGTTACCAGTCATAAGGCGCCTGTAAGGAATGATGAGCCGACGGAACGAGAGGATCTGTCGACAGACACACCGAGTGACCGGACTATTTGGAGATCACAGCAGTCGATGGTTTTGTCTGCCAGTCCTAACCCCACCCCCGAACCACAGCCCGTACCATCACGCAGTCGCACCCAGAAACGGCCTCGAGAAGTTCGGGATTCGGATAGTGATGAGGAGTTGCGATTCCGGTTTAGGCGCAAACGTTGATATCCGTGTGCTTTTTTCCCCCAGATTCATCGGTGTCGCATAGTTTTATAGCGTGATTTCAACTTTCAATGCATCGATACCCCCCAGATCATAGGCTTCACGTGAATTTACTCTGAAGTACGAACACTGGCCCTTGCCTAATACCGTTGAGGTGTTCAGTTATCACGCCCCACTTGAACATACACTGGTATTCTTCCATGCTTCCAATATTTGAACTTGCTTTCGTATTCCTGTGAGATATAAGTCTCCTTTCATCCGAGTCACTCCCCTCTGTAATCACGCCTTACGATACGCATCATTGTGCCCTTGTTTACTTGCGTCGTGTTTTTGTTCATAAGCTATCTTGGTTGCTAACTGGCTAGTACCACGCCACCACCAAGTATCAAGTTCGGAATAGAATCTGGCATTTGGATTGGGAAAAACAGTATACCTCGGTCGTAATGTTCCTCTTTTGCAAGGCGGATGTGGTATCTCCCGTCTCCGCTGCCACGTCTGGTCGGTAGGTCTGTTGCAAATGTTGAAGCGATTATTGACCTTTCCGGCTCTTCGTTGGATAGCTCAAGGCCAACCACTGGTGAAGTCACCCGTTCGTATCTTCCACGGCATTGGAGAGACCCTTGAATAGGACCATGGATCATTTTGCACTCAGGTCGACTCTTTACAGGATTTTTCAAGGCATTGGCCCCGATGGATAGATTCCTAGTGATGAAGTCGAAAGGCTCTATACAGAAAAAGAGTGTGCGAATCTTCAAACAGGTGAACATCAACGAAGCCATATGGTACATTTCAGCCATGGGCCTAGGTATCTTCAATTTCATAGATGGAACGGCGAAATGTGCATTAAAAACAGCAGGATCTGACATCTCTACTCCTTCTTGTATTGAGAATCTAGCTCCAAACTCTCACCTCCATCGCGGACAATAATTCCTAGGATCCACACATTGACAGCGAAGAAAAATAGGGAAGCGAGGAAGAGACCGGGAGCAAAGGCGGAAAGACCAAGGAATTCCAGATTATACCCTTGTTGAAGCCAGAGAGCCTATCCAGTATGGTCAGCAAGCAATCTCATGGGTCAACAGAAAGTTCAATAAATACCTGTGCGATAACCCACAAAAGGGCCGCAGACATGCCCAAAGCAGGCTTGCGGATGAAGGCGGACGAGGGGAGGTAAAATGGTAAGAGTATGAGATACCACAAGAAGTACTGTTGTTGTTAGATTTAAATGCTGACAAGGAACAGAAGCGAGAAGAACATACCTGACTGGTGCAAACTTTGTTAAACGTGACAAAAGCAAAGGTCTGAGCCAGCATGGCGGTTGCAAGGCTCTTTTTCGCCAGCACTAATGGAATGGCGACGACCACAAGCAGCAGCTGCGGAAGAAATGCTAGTGCCTCGAAATGAGATTCGGCATTCCCAGCCGCAGAAAGATACAGCAGAGTAGAGTAGGGAGAGAAATTGTGCCGGTGATCGATACGGGTGAGATGGTGGAAGAAGGTGTGGTGGAGGAAGGGCATGCCGTACTGAAGATACATAACGAGATTCAACACAGTAAAAGTGATAAGTGCTGTCAAGGTCAACTTCACTCTTGAAGGAGTGATGAATCTCAGGACCTGAGATAACCAGCTAATATCGCGAGCAGGGATAGCGCCATCAATTTCCGCATCCCACCACCAAAGAATCGAGATACCGTAGATGAATGGGTAAATCTTGAAATGGACAGCCAGACCAAGGATCGAACCTGCCAGAACGGCCTTTCTTGTTAAGGTAGCCCACAGCAGCGCCGCAACAAGAACACCGAGCAAGCCTTCCGAACTGCCACGGGTACTGATATTCGCGACCATGGGGTTCCATAACCAAGCAGCGGCTACATAGCGCAGGGCGCGCTCCTGTGACAATCGATAGCATCGAGTCAAAAGCTGCACGACCAGCCATCCAGCCAGAACATCAGCCAGCGCGAAGAGGATTTTCCCAAAGGCAAAGGTCACCGATGACCACGGCCCGGGTGCTTCCCAGGCTGTGGGAAGAAGCATCCAAGCCAATAGAGGCGTATACCGATATGTATCTCGGGCATAAGGGGTGTCTCCATTTGATACAAAGCGGGCAGCATCGGTGAATACCATGTAATCGATATCGGTGTACTTCACGGCAGAATGAGCATCTTGCCAGCCACCATAGACAAGCAAGACGAGGCGCAAAACCGTCGCCGCGATGAAGACGCGAGATGCAGAGTCAAAAAGGGCCATTATTTTTGCAATAGATACCAATGCACAATTCGCGGGTAAGGAATGGTCTTTGGAAAATGGTGAGCTCCCCTGGCCAGGTTATCCAGGCGTTCGGGGGTGGTTGATAGTGCAGCAGCACAACAATTCAGCAAATATCCTCTATTGCAACCAGCTCTGATCTGATGTTCCTCAGTAGAGCTCCGTAATTGCCCTATTATCTCATCGCTGAGATCAGATCCGGTTGCGATGTTTACTGGCCTCAGCGCTGTCGAAATGTCGCGGTGGAGGGCGGAGCTGAGTCAGCGGTCTCTGATCTGGCAGACTATTTACGGTTAGTTGCCCCGCCGCTTTGACCCTCCTTGGCGGGCACGTTCAGGGTTGTTGGGCCGCCACTTTAAAGATCACCCAACGAGCACGCCAGTCGCTGAATCACTCTGCAATAAGCTCTGTTTCGATTTAGAATATCGTCACCCGAGGTGATGTTCAAGTGCTCTAAAGAAACTATATATGTGCGAGTTGCATAGCAGTTGAAAAAATGATCGATGTAAGGGTTGACTTAAAATTTCCACGATTGCAGCTGCAAAATATACATCCCTCAAAGAATTGGTCCAATAAGATACCAGTGTACATCCCAACCATAGTATCTCGACTATTTCGCAAGTTGTGTTGGCTCCAGGTGGCTACATTGACTTCAGCCCGATAGCGCCATCAATAATAAGAAGGCTGATTACCAAAATATGTTTCTGGGAAGGGCTCGAAATACGGCTGCGCGGCAAACTTAGCGCCCTTATCATGGTCCGGTGTCAAGACAGCCATTGCATCACCACGATTATCAAGGTCCATCCCAGGCCAGAGATTGTTGTCACTCCAGCTCAGGTATTCCCAAAGATACTGACCAGAGTCGTCAATAAATGGGGCGGAAAGAGTATCCGAAATCCCGCTTTCACTCAGAGACATCCCTAGACGCGCAGGCTCAGGTGGTGAGAAAAGGGAGCTCAAATCCCGACCAGCAGAATACATTGTCGTTGGTATAACTCCTGCGGTCGATGTAGCAAGGTCATCACCACGTTTGCTAGCTTCGTAAATGCGCGACACGGCATCCAGGGATCGCTTTGCAGTATGGCCATAAGCTGACATCCGCGCGAGGATGGTCATGGCAGTCTCGACCTGCGCCTGACAGGATTCTATTGAAGCGCGAGGATCGTCTGTAGTGGGGTCATTGAGGAATAGTCCCACTAGGGGAACTAAGGATGCTTGGAATGTCCACCAGACGGCATTCCAACCGCACAGCTGATTGAACTGCGCGGTAGCGGCGATGTTTTGTATGGAAAGCTCCGCGACTTCACGGCATTTAACAATTGCAGTGCGCTCTTCAACTCGGAGTGCGATATATGGCACACGGCGCATAGCATAGCTCAACAGTGTCGGACGATAGATAAGCATACGTTGATTGTAGAATCGCCACCGCATGACGGTGCGAACAGTGCTAATCGATTCCGTGCACGGCTCATGGTCTTTGAGAATTGGTGGGAGATTTTCCCACCAATCAAGGAGTTGAGCATCAGCGTGGGCCATTTCCTGATGCTTGACCAGTGGCGCAGCAGCCAGAGACTCCTGGACTTGCGTTGCGATTTTGGCGAAGCGGATGTTCTCTACGAGCGGAAGAATGTCGAGAAAATTTTCCTAAAGAGAAGTTAGCAAACACAAGCTATAGTTTTGGTGACATAGCGGACCTTATCTCGGCAATTTGGTGGTTTGACAGTGATGTATGGACCAAAGCGACCCATACTAGGTCTGCCCAATGTCATGCCTGCCCATGTATCCATGACAAACAGCGACCACCAGACTCGACGCTTGAGATCCATGGAGGCAAGCTTTGCGGGTCCGGGAGTCTGTCTGCTCTCCGAGAACTCTTTATGCAATCCCAGTGTGGCTGCCATTCTCAATGCAGCACCGAGGACAGAATACGCTAGATTTGGTTGGCTGATGTAATGACAATACCAACCACCGATGAGACCGAGAGCCTGAATAGTCTCAATGTGAGAGCTTCCCAGAGAACTAAGGCTCAAGTGACTCTTGCAACGCAAGAAGTAGGTCTGATGCGTCATGTCATCTGGACTCGTGGCAGCGATGCTACCCAGTGCTAGAACAATGTTCAGCAGGGACAGCCAATGGTCATCCTTTCGGTGACCAGTCATATAAGATTCTCGGAAAGACTTTTCATCAATCATTGGAGCAAAGGCTTGGAAATAACAGAAGTATGCATCCAGCATCTGCATTTCACTTGGTGGAATTGAAGGTGGGGGCGGAGTCACTGGCGGCTGAGGAGGCCATGAGTTTGGAGCATCATATTCAATATCCACCTCGTCACGCGGGTGAACGGCTGGAGTTCGAGCAAAGAAGGAAGCACAGCCTGGATCTAGCCAGAGAATAACTTTGAGAACAGCCTGAATGGACGAAACCCCGAGGTAAGATGAAGGCTGTCGTGATGACAGAGACAATGCGTTGACATCGTCAGAAACACCCTCAATCAAGAAGCTAGAATGACTGTGGCGGCCATCGTCCAGTTCCTCTGGCATGCTTTGTAGTGACTCAAGGTTGTCATCCTCATTAGACAGTGGAGACACATGGGCCTCTATGGAGCCCGATGTCGAAGGTGAAGCGGCATGATGCGTGTTGAGTTGTGCCGGCAAGGTTGACGGCGACGCCGATGTGAGTTCAAGTAGCTTTTCCCGTGACAGGTTGACAAGGGACTCGGGGGCTACATTGGGGAAGAGCCTTCCCAGAATGCCGCGGTACTCATCCAAAGTCGTGGAAAGCTTTTCAACATGCCTATTCCATAATGTTTAGCCAGTAGTCCAGATCTACGCTGCACACCGCTAGAAACTCACCTTCTGGATGGCCTTGGGTCAGAGTAATGACACTGGTCCGCCTTCTTATACCACCGACATGCCTCACATGGCTTTTCGCCATCACATTTAATCTTCCGATGTCGACATGATGTACATGCGCGCAAGGTTGTGACACGGCGACTGACTGACTCGCGGCGCTCGGTGGCGGGGCGAGTTTTGACAGGAGTCGCTACTGTCGGATTTTCGAAACTTTCAAAGGTGTGGAACATAGCTGCAGGATAGAATCACGGAATAAAGGTCACGAATCACATAGTTTAAACACTCTAGAGGCAATGGGGTGATAGCATTGGTGGGGCGTAAGCCGTAGTTGTACGATGAGATGTCAGAGCAACAAGAACACAGGTTCAAGTTGTGTAAGAAATAAAAGGGACTGGCTTTGACGCTCTGAGCCGACCATAAAGATCATATCGTGTCAGAATGGGATCTGTCGATGAGCACAAGTGGGAAAAAATAGGGCCAAGAGAAAATCAGGGAGAAGGCCCGCGCGAGGCTAAGAACGAAGTGAGCAGCAGCTAAGACCGAATGGAAGTAGCAATGTTTTGTCCGCCTAATTCTCCCCCGCATTTCAAGTCTGGGGTCTTTGTTGCCCCCGGTGGCCCCGGATGGGCATTCGCTCATTGGATAGGTCACTCCGATTGATTTTGCGGGATTATCGGCACTAGATTATGTCTACTTGAGGTCAAATGGCATGGGATTCGCAAAACCCCTACAGCTTTTCAAGCTTGTCATCTAAAGAACCTTTCTGGCCCACTTGGATTGCTATTGCCGAACGCCGGTAGATACTGTCGACAAGGTCTAGGTGGAGCATTGAGTGAATCCCGAGTGACATACCGGTGGCCTACTGTCTTACCGAGAAGTGCCACGCGCCAGCCGGACTAGGGTCATGAAGGATGCCACTGAGGCAAATTACGGAGCGCATGCTCTTCGAACGCCACTGGTTAATCCCACGCGCCGAAGCCCCTGTCGCAATTTCTCCAGAGAGGGGAAAATTCCCCAGATTTGTCGACTCGGCTAGCAGCAGGGTATTCCTAGGTTGCAGAAGTGGAACGAACCCTGCAGAACACCGGAAGATCGCCTGGGGACGACGCTTGAGACCAAATTGCTGATGGGAGACTTGTCCTGGCATTTCGCCCCGCCAATGATCTAATATCAGATGTTCCATTAGTCCGGGAGTTCGGCCCTTGGGCTCCTAAACCCCTGTATGGAACACATGCATTTCGCGGGGATTTGCAGATACCCCGTGGCTAATTACCTGGGTAAAGCCTCGTGAATCGGGTATGGAGGCAGGGAAATTAAGCGGTGCGGGACCGAAACGCATCGTTCGTATACTGATCAGGCGGGGCAGGGACGTGCCATCAGTTGTCCAATCACTGTCAGAGCAAGGCCAAAGCCGAGACCCTACAGCGGGCACGATATCCACTTTAGGTCAAGGGTCCGAGGGGAAAGAGGAGGCAGTGGTAATGACTTCAAGCCCAATCATGAATGCCGAACTGCGTGGATGTAAATTGTGGCAAACGAGCTGTATAGGAACGAAATAGGCATGGCTTGCGAACGCCCATGCGGTGTTGTAGAATCCCCAGGTTGTTTGAGGAGAACTGTGACGCCAAGTCTAACCAAATGTCGTCTTTGATGAGAAAGCCGAATTACCAAGGGCCGTTGCCTTCCGGACTCAGAAGCGGGAGCGATGATTGGTTCGGTTAGAGGGATTGAGGACGCTAGCGTGAAATTGGTCTGGCTTCTCAGTGGTTTTCAAGATCATAAGCTGTCTGACCTCAAATGCTGATGTCCTATTCAATCTATATAGCACCATGAAAAAGAGAGTTGCCTGGTGTGGCTGAACCCTGGATGAGGAGAGGCGCTTTCTCCGTCGAAAGGGGGAGAGTTGGTAGTGCCTGAAGCTGGGCGGAGATGGCTCCGTGGCCAATCCGGTAAAGTGCAGGTCTTTCGGTATTCTGGAAACCCCACCAGGGCTGTATCACACTGCGGGTTTGAACCTTGGGAAGCACAGCGTCAGGACTTGCCTGATCACGCGACGTGAGAGATTAAATGGTGATGGAGGATTGGACTTGATGCCCGTTGTATGAGGTGTCTATATCACGTGCTCGGAGCCTCCGCACCAGAAGAGGAAGGTCCGTGGGGTAGCTTATCGATAAGATAACCACTGTTCATCTAAATAGCTTAGACAGCTGTCGCAAAATCAACGCTATCCAAAAACATTTTTCCCGCACAACATGGAGCTGAAGAGCTACTCTCTTTCCACCGGGTGGTCGTTTCGGGACCAGGCCACAGAAGATTGGATGCCCGTATCGACGGTGCCCTCCGTCGTGCAACAGGATCTGCTCGATAACGACAAGTAAGCTCATTGCAGCCAAAGGAGAAACTGACATTGGACACTAAGAGAATCTAAACAGACTTGAAGACCCATTTGCTGAGCTGAACGAGCTCAAAGCACGCTGGGTCAACCAAAAGTCATGGGTATACCGCACTACGTTTGCAAAACCGACCGTCCCCCAACATGCCGCGATTGACTTGATCTTTGATGGCTTGGACACATTTGCCACCGTTAAACTGGATGGTAAAGTAATCCTCCAGTCTGACAACATGTTCCTGGGTCATCGAGTCAACGTCACGGAGGCAATGCAAGCAGAGGGCGAGCATACACTGGAGATTGAATTCGACTGTGCCGAACTCAAGGCTCGTGAACTTCGTAGCCAGGACGAATCCCACAAATGGGTAGGGTTCAACGGAGACATGTCTCGTCTGGCAGTCAGAAAAGCGCAATACCATTGGGGCTGGGACTGGGGACCAGTGCTGATGACGGCGGGCATTTGGCGTCCGGTGCGACTAGAAGTTTATACCGCACGCGTGGCTGACCTGTGGCCTCAAGCAAAACTCTCCTCGAATAAAGAGACCGCTGAGGTTGTTGCAACGATTAAGGTCGAAACACCGGATGTGGAAGAATACACAGCTCGCTTTAGTCTATGTCTACAAGGGAACGAAATTGCTCGCCAAGAAATCCCGGTGGCCAGTGGGCAAAACACCCAAGTTGCATTTCGTGTGAATCGACCTGAACTTTGGTGGCCCCACGGATATGGTAATCAAACTATGTACGAGGTATCCGTGGTGCTACTTCACGGAGAAGAGACCGTGGATCAAACATCCAAGAGATTCGGAATCCGAACTGCGGAAGTCATCCAAAAGCCGGACAAACATGGGAAATCCTTCTTCTTCCGCATCAATGGAATGGATATCTTCTGTGGAGGCTCCTGTTGGATACCTGCAGACAGTCTTTTGACAAATATCACTCCTCAACGGTACCGCAAGTGGATTGAGCTAATGGTGGAGGGTCGACAAGTGATGATCCGGTATGTATAGCTCTCGCATCAAAAGAAAAAAACAAACCCAATTAACACTGGCACTAGAGTATGGGGTGGTGGTATTTACGAAGATTCTGCGTTTTATGAAGCTTGCGACGAGCTGGGAGTGCTGGTATGGCAAGACTTTATGTTTGGGTGTGGCAACTATCCCACATGGCCATCCCTACTTGAATCTGTGCGCCAAGAAGCCGTATATAATATCCAGCGATTACGCCACCATCCGTCTATTGTTATCTACGTCGGTAACAACGAAGACTATCAAGTACAAGAGTCAGTTGGTTTGACTTATGATTTCGAAGACAAAGATCCAGAAAGTTGGCTTAAATCAGACTTCCCCGCACGGTACATCTACGAGAAGCTCCTCCCGGAGGTGACTTCGGAGCATTGTCCAGGGACCTTCTATCATCCAGGCAGTCCGTGGGGTGATGGCAAAATATCATCAGATCCCACAGTAGGCGATATGCATCAATGGAACGGTATGTTTTCTACTCCTCATCATCAAGAATCTGCTAAAATGTGTTAGTATGGCATGGGACCCAGGAAAAATACCAGATTTTTGAGACTTTGGGTGGCCGGTTCAACAGCGAATTTGGCATGGAGGCATTCCCACACATGGAGACAATCAAATCATTTTCTCGAAATCCAAAGGATCACCATCCCCAATCTCAGGTCATGGACTTTCACAACAAGGCGGATGGCCACGAGCGGCGGATAGCCACCTATTTGGTAGAAAATTTCCGTTTTCCACATGGTGGAAGTCTTGAGGTGAGACCTCACCCATTGTGATAAGTAGTGGCCTTGACACTGACACACCTAGGCATATATTTACCAAACTCAAGCCGTACAGGCTGAGACGATGATGTTTGGGTATCGTGGTTGGCGGCGTCAGTGGGGCGATGAACGACACTGTGGAGGAGCCCTTCTCTGGCAGCTCAACGATTGCTGGCCGACAATTTCCTGGGCCATCGTCGATTATTTCCTCAGACCGAAACCTGCATATTATGCGGTCAAGAGGGTGCTCAATCCTATTGCTGTGGGTGTGCAGCGCGAGCATCATGACTGGAGTGTGGTTCATGCTCAGCCAGCACTCACTAGTCAGTATCAGTTATGGGTTGTCAGTAATAAGCCAGAGGATCTCCATGGGACAGTGGAGCTGCGATTCATTTCCATTGAAACCGGGAAAGAGATACGCCCTCCGGTGGTCCGCGAAAATGTTGTCATTGCAGGGAATGGCACTACCAATATCATCACTGACGGACTCATCGACCATGTTGCAGAGCCGGACCCTCATGTGCTGGCTGCACGAGTGTGGGTGAACAACGAACTAGTAGCCCGGGACGTCGACTGGCCACAGCCTTTCAAATACATAGATCTCCCGACACCACTCATTGAGATCAAACCCTTGAGCTCGGTTACCACTACAGATGATATTCGGACTGTGACGATTGCCGCCCTGAAACCTGTCAAATGCCTTGTTTTCGAGGAGCGAGACGGAATCAAATATAGTGACAACGCGCTGGATATTGTCCCCGGTGATGTGCAACAGGTGAATATCTCGGGATTGTCGAACATCTCAAGCCTGACATACAGATTTTTGGGACACGAGGAATCTGCTCAGAGTGTGGCCATTTAGTCACGGTATCTTGTAAGGATGAGACCTGGAGAGCTCTCTAGCCGATATTTTACCAAAATTGAATTCAATTACTTCACTTCCTTGTGCCAACCATAATCGAAGGAAAACAATTCCTCAGCTTTGGAGCGTCGGCCATGTTTGCTGCCCAAGCTCACTTTCCCTACACATGTATTCTCATTTTGAACGGCAATGCCTTGCGGAATACAGCTATGTAAATGTGAAAGGCGAAATCTGCGGCAGGAGAAGGCCATTACCCATCATGCCAAAACCACTGCTCCTGTCACGCTGACAGCCTGCTTGAACACCCTTTACGCCTGGCAGTCCAAAAGGTCGCTCGTCCACCTCGCAGGTAGTCCCTGGGGGCGGGAGCTCCCCTGTCTGGAAATAAAGTCTGACGAGATTGGCCGTGCACTCAGATGGAGCTGCAATTGAACAATGCTGTAAAAGTTAGCCCCGCTCATGTTTGGAACTACAAGTTTGACAAGAAATGTCCAATGTTAAATGAAGAACTTACGCCAAGGGAATTCTGCTGTAATACAACCGAATCAGAGAATCCAGAGGACATGGCGACGGCACTACAACAAGTAAGTATGACTTGATGGCTCTCTGTGATGGCGACTTCTTACTTTCGAACCGGAGTCACTGGATCGTAGGAGTTGCCGATGAATAGCAGAGGATGCGACGTGTTTTGAATGAATGACCCTTTGAGCAATACAGTTAGAGCTCGGCGAACAAGTAAGCACATATGAGACGAAACCTACCACCAAACGGCCATTGCGGCCTCACATTCCAGCCAGCGCACGCGAGTCGAATAGTGGCCCATTCATTTCCCATGGCCTGGCTTTGATTTTGAAGAATCTGCCAATACTCCTTGAACTCCTCCTTCACCATCCTATGGATATCTCTTCCATCCGTACATAAAATACCTGGCAGCACCTCGGGATTATACCCAGGCTCGCGGATTGATTTTCGATCTTCAGCTTTGAAGTCTGCAAAAGAGGATCCGTTGCGCTTGGAAAGATCCGCTAGGAGTGTCGCCATGGTTGGAAACAAGGCCATAGGTTTGTAGAGGGACTGCATCGCCATTGCACGAACATCGCTGTAAGTGATGATATCAGGGCCCCGAGTCATTGATCCGGGGACAGCAACGGGGTTATTTGAAATATCGGCAAGAATGTTGTCGTAAACTTCCCTTGTCGCCTGTAACTCGTTCTGCGCCAGCGGACATGACTCCGGGCCTGCTTCGTGGCAATACTCGAAAAACTTTTGCAAAGTCGAGTCTGCATCCTGAAGATTGGTGAGCCAGTTGCCAGCATAATAGTCCCTGGAATCGCAAACTCCATCCACTACCAAGCGATGGATCCGACCGGGCTGCATCGCAGCAAATGTTGCCCCCAGGACACTTCCATACGAGAACCCCCAATAAAGCAGCTTTTCCTTCCCCCGGCGCCATTGATTCCGCAGCCGGATATCTCTTTGCTGCTGAACTGGTATTTTCGCTCTGTTCATCAATAGTCGACCGGTTTCTTTCTCGCGCCACTCGGCAAGTCGTTCGACGATTTCAACCATATCTGCCACGACCATGGGCGTGTTCATGAACCGAGCTATCCATTCCGAGTCACCAACGCCAGCACCATGAGTCGAACAGGTCTCGCCAAAGGCAATCGCCCGTGCCCAGAGATTATTGAATGACACATTTGAGCTGTCCAGGTTCCCCTCCGTGTTTGACTGCAGCGTCCACGCCCGACGCGTCTCTGAATCGGCAAAACAAGAAAACGAAGGAGTAGTATTGTTGACCCCCCTTGGATCAAAACTGACGATATCGAAATATTTCGCTGTGGACTGGGCTTCCGGATCCCCGGGTGGTTTCTGAAAGTCTACGGTTTTTTGGACATCCTTGCCCTCTGTCAGGACCAAGGATACCCCAGATCCACCCGGCCCACCTGGATTCAGAAGGATCGCACCACCGTATCGGACATCGGTGACAGGAACCTTGGCTGGGAGTCGGATGATTGCTATAGCGACCGTTGCACCCAGGCCATCTGTCCGATTCCAGTCCATTGGGACCTCAAGGCGAGCGCATTCATACTCGCCTTCACAGGAGTGATAAATCAGTTGCTTGCTGGGTGTGATCTGTTGCGTGTTAACGTTCCTCGTCTTAAACACTTGATCTTACTCACACTCTCCCACTTGAAATCGATATCGGGCGATTTATCTTCTTGTAATCCCATGAAATTATTTCGAAAATATTGGACATTCCATAGAGCTGCGAGGATAAAAATGACAGCGACCGGTCGCAAGGCTTGATGTATCCATCGCCTGGGTCTATCTTGCGTCGATCGATGGATTCCCTGATGCTCCCCCTTCTGATCGAACTCCATGTTGGATGCGGGGTTACGCGAAGATAAAGCACTGTGGAAAGGTGACACGTAAATTGCCGCGTTCTACATCCACATGGAAGCAAGGAGGTGGAAAATCCAAAAGGCCTAGAAATGTCCATGATTACGTTGCACTAAGCACTAGTACGTGCAGCGTTGTAGCCGGAGTTAACGAGTCACACGATCTGGGAAGGTACTATCGGTGGATTGGGGGGCGGAGATATGCTCTAGTCAAAGTCAAAACAAATCTCATTCTGGTGGCTGGACATTATGAACTTCAATACACAAAGCATAACGCAGTAAAGACAGACTATTACAACAGTTTAAATGCTCGCATACTTGAGCATATCCATCACTCGGCCTAACAGACACCGTTGGTCTTTTTGTTTAAAAAAGACTTGCCATTAGGCGAACCCTTATCTCTGGGACTATTCGCGGAGAGAGATGCTCTCCTCTGACGAGGGAAAGGCACCCGACCTATTGTAGGGCTACTTGGACTTTGACTCAATTCTTGCTCCGCCTCGCTCCATAGCGGATGCGATCTCCGGAGCTGAATGACATAATTCAAAGGGTCACGGTCATCTTTGTCGACGCAAGAAATGCGTGGGAAGATCGTGAGGAAGCTGTCTGTGGCAAAACCGGTCTCCGACTTTCCTGCCTTGTCTCCCGGGAAGCTGAAGGGCTGCTAGCAAGGATCATCCCAGCATTCAGGTTCGAAGTCTGGTTCATATTTCGAATGGCTGTGTTGAAATGGCATCCAAGCCTCGATTGCTTTGTTCACAATCATAAATATGGTTTGTCGAACCTCAGTCTGTTGTTCATCGGAGAGTGATCCAAACAGACAATGTGTAATATCACGAGAAATACGTGAAGCCCTCGATTTGACGGATTTCTGTTGGGCTGTCTCAGCGATTGAAAGTAGCATAGCTCGACAAAAGGCTTCTTTCTCGCCGTCTGTCTTGGCAAGCTGACTGAGTATGCTTCGCAATTGATTGTCATCCGAATCGAGATAATTTGGTTGGAATACATGTTTGTCAATTTCCCGGGACAAGATCGCTAGGATGACGACAAGCTGCATTCCCTGGGCAGCCTTGCTATCGGACGAGGGCAAAGGCACAGCATGCGGCATCATTAGGGCGCTTCCCTTTCGAAACGCTTCCCTTGAGCTTCTATCCTGTAAACTAGTCATTCAAATATTCATGCAATGTATAACGGGGGCACAAACACTCAGTGTCCCTTGTTTCAAGAGCTTGAAAATCTCCTCTGTGGCGAAAGCCCAAAGTTTGACAAACTGTTCGATCCTGAAAAAGTCAGTCAGGACGTGGAATTATGAGGCATCCAAGATAGTCACATCTTACATGGCTTTCTCGTTGATTTCTTGATAGGAGCCTCTGAAGCTCTCCAACCTTTCTAGCCTGTTTTGAGATTCTTCCATGGCAGCTTTCAGAGATTCACATTCTTGTTTCAGTTCTGCGGTCCTTTGTTGCTCGGAAGCCAAGCGATCATTAAAGTTTGATTCACAAGCGGCCATTTCATTTATCGAGGCATCCCTATCTTTCAGGACCTTCTGTAATGATGTGATACGTGCAGACAAGTCCATAGCCTTGATCGCTTCTTGGGACTTTTCTGTCTTTAACTTCTTGCAGTCGTTGACAGCCACATCAAGCTTCTTCGAGGACTCCGAGAGTGATTTCTCCTTGTCCGCAATAGTTTTGTGTAGCGACGCAAACATGGCTTCTGCATCGCTTTGCCTCTTCTTGTCCTTATCGATTTTCGAAGCCATCACCTGCATAGCAATAGTATGATTTTTCTCCTGTTCCCTAAGTTCCTTTATCTGCTCTTGCTGTTGATCAAGTTGATGGATGATGTCCGCAGCATTTTGGAGCGGATCGCCGGAAACAAATGCTTTCATTTGCCTCAGAGCACTTGTAAGAGAGTCTCTCCTAGCCAAAGATGAATTGGCATCCTGTATTGTCGGTTGTGGAGGAGCATGCTTCACTGCAACTGACATGATAATTAGATTGGCCAAGTTGCTGTCGATGCAAGTATTTCCGATCGGTGATCAACCAACTTTCCTACTGGAAATGCTCCCATTTATAGCCCTGTGACCCCTACCCATATCCTATTCTTTCGGGTTCTTGTCCTCGACAATATCGAGTCATCAGCATATGAGCTGGCCGAACGACCAGGGTATGTTCCAAGTCCACACAGCAAATATGGCCCAGGAAGTTAGAGGCTCTTCTGGACTAGAGGCGCGACAATAAATTGACCTCAGAAACTTTTGGAAAGAAGTGGTGAGTTGTCTCATGCATACAGGGATTCTTGGCAACGTGGCCCAGGCTATGTGGGTGCCCGCACGGGCACGGTACTGCAGAGCGAATCACGCTTGCATGAAATGGAGGTTTGTCCTGCTGTATATGGCTGCCTTGTAGAATAGGCGCCTGGCTGTGGGCGCATCGCTTTTTTTTTTTTTCGAATTCCGAAGAGCCGATGGATGAGCTGGCCAACCAGGGGTACTCCCTTGCAGTTTTCATGATAGCTCATGTCGTAATGTGCTCGCTTTGATATAAATTCATTCGCCTTTGGCGGCAGGGTCGATTATCCTGAAATTATGATTGCTTGAGATCCAAGCGAGGCTATCGTGCCTCATGCCAAATCGGATATCTCATTGGGCGATCGCCGTGGACCATTCACTCCCAGCAGTGCCGCAAATGCGGGGGCCTCATCTGCGCATCATGTCCTTTTCCTGGGCTCGTTATCAATCCCAAGATGGCATCTATTAGGCCAAATGACAGGACCAAGGGCAATAGGATGGGCCAAGGCCCCACCTCTTGGGAAAATCCCATGAAATTCCGATTGCCCGCAAACGGAAATAGACGTTGCCCCAGCTCTGGTATTATTTCATGGCGGCGGATTGCTGTATGTGAGAATACGCTTCTCAAAAGTATCATCACAGCTTTAGACAGATCCGGCGTGACATGATAGTTGAGCTTGAGATCCAGGAGGATTGTCAGAGGTATAGTCTCCCACGAGTGAGCGACAATGATAAATGGAGGTTCGATACCAGCGTTGCTTAGGAGAATATCAAGCTCCGCTGCGACTCATGCTGTGGATATGCTTGGTGGTATCCAATCAGGGCTTTCACGTCTACTTATCCTGGAACGATCGTAGTTCAACCAACGAGCGAATGGGAGCACAAGCCTTTGTCCTGCACTCCACTCCTCGATCGTGCTGCCAACGCCTTACATGAGAACGACGATGGGTCTGCAGATCTGCGATCGGATCGGGTCCCTGAAACAAAAAGATAGATGCCATGGGAGCCGGCGGAGACAAGTCTATCCTTTTCAGTCAATTCCAGAATGCATGGAGAACTATTCAAATTAGGTAACAGTTTGGCGATAACAAGTTCAAGATTGCCCCCTCCGCTTTCTCACTCTAGAACATTCGGATAAGGGTAAAAGTAATGACATCAGGATAAGTGTGGGTTCAGCTACGGAGAGTCCAGAATGAGTCTCTGGTTATTCTGCTTTCGACTTCTGGCCACGGACGTACAACCCTGTACGGTAGCTTTGATTCCAGGATAGAATCACACAAAAAACAACGGGGAATCCGACTTCAGTTTAGCGCGACCGAAGGGTAATCGGGGTTCATATCTTACACCGCCAGCGACTGATCTTACCACGTCAACTTCTTCCATTAAATTCCAGACCTGATCGATATTTGGCCCATCAACTGGTGACCGTATCGAAACTGGATAACATGACTGGCATCTATCTGGGCATTGTCGGTACGACCCTGTCTGGATCAGCGCCGAATACGAGGAGAATTTTTAACTGAAACAACACAGGTGTTGGTGGAGTTGGTGCAGCATTGCTGGAGCAACTTGCAAGACTTCCCAATGCACCTCAGCTCGTCCTACTTTCCCGCTCGTTCAAGACCCTGCTAGCGCCAACTCCATCATACTCGCCACGAATCCCATTTGTGGATTGGGAAACTGCTGCCGCGACGCCCTCGATTGAAACAGTCGATGCGTTACAACCAGAAGAGATAGCGAGCTATCTTTCTTCAGTCCCGGGCCGTGCTATTCTGATTGATAATACCTCCAACCTGGTCTTGGCACGGGCATATCCCGTATTCCTGAAACAAGGCATATCCATCGTAACTCCCAACAAAAAGGGATTCTCAGGAGACATTTCACTATGGAATGATATTTTTGCTTCTGCCTCACAGGGAAATGCTTTGGTATACCATCAAGCAACGGTTGGAGGGAGTTTACCAGTTCTATCAACGCTTCGCGATCTGATCGCTACGGGCGATGAAGTCGTGAAAATCGAAGGCGTCCTTTCTGGAACGCTGTCACTTCTCTTTGACACCTATATGCCAGCTATCGGAACAGCAAATACCACCTGGAGCTCACTCGTCACACATGCCCTGGAATTAGGATTTATGGAACCCGATCCACGAGACGACTTGAATGGAATGGATTTTGCTCGAAAGCTCACCATCCTCGCTCGGGTCGCGGGTCTTGAAGTGGCTGGACCGAATTCCTTCCCGGTTGAGTCGCTAATTCCTGCTGAGTTGGAATCACTCCCGTCATCGGCGGAGGGGATCTCTCAGTTCATGAATAAGTTACCACAGTTCGATGAGCCCATGGCAGCGGCCAAAAAAGAAGCTGCAAGAGCAGGAAAAGTACTGCGGTATATTGGCAGTATCGATGTATCCAGTCAGCAAATTATGGTTGGCCTACAACACCTTGAAAGAGATAACCCGATCGCAAATCTCAAGGGAAGTCAAATCGTCAGTATCTATACCAAGCGGTATGGAGCCAATCCCCTGGTCTTGAAGGGGGGAGGTGGCGGGGGTGAAATCACCGCGATGTGTGTGATGGCCGATCTGCTCAAGGTGATTGAAAGGTTGAATTAGCAACTTTCACAGAATCTAAAGGACACTGATGTAGATTGATTCAAATCGTTCAAGTGAACAGACATGATTGCTTTCTGTTATCCTCTAGTCACAAGCAATAGTCTAACTTCTATACGTCTAATATAATGATAACCGTGAAATTGAGTTCCAAAATCTATGTCCAAACCATCCATTCTGACAGATGGCATTTGAATCCAGCCAAATGCAAGTAAGCAATCCCTTGTCCACTTTTGCATATAATATCTACACGCCAACGTGCTCATGTCTCTCATCAATGGGCTTTTCAATCCTCTCCGTATTAATGGTGCGGTGGTATCCAGGCTCAATGGGCCGACCACGAGACTCGAAAACGCCTCCTGTAAGACCACCCTTTTCAAACAGATGGTCTACATCTTCGAGCTCGAGTCCCTTGGTTTCAGGGAAGAAGAAGTAAACCATAGGGATCTATAAAAGTAAGCTTTACGGTTCAATGGTTAATTCGGGAGAAGCTTACCCATGCGAAGCAGAAGCAGGCGAAGATGATGAATGTTCTCCATGAAATATTGTCAATAGCGGTCGGTGTGACTTGGACAACGATGACTAGCAAGGTCAGCAATGTAAAAAAGGCAAGAAAAGATGAGGCACTTACAAACACAGATCCAGTTTACGAAACCTGCAAATGCCTGGCCTCGAGCACGGATGCGCGTGGTGGTAATCTCGCTAGGATAGAACCTGTATTGTGGTTAACACTTTTGTACCAAATAAAACGCTTTTTAGGTCAAGGAGAGGAAGGCAGCATACCATGGCACAGGCAGATATCCAATGCCCAAGAAGATTTGGAAGATGAAAACGAAGACAGTTGCAGCATAAGCACAATCGGTGCTACCGACGGAGAGAAGACCAGCGACCAACACAAAACAGACACAAAGACCAGCGGCGGAGATCATAAGGGACGAGCGTCGACCGAGTACATCCATACTCCATAGAGGAATGATCGAACCGACCAAATATGCAAGCGAAGTGCAGCCACCAAGAATCAATGCCAAATTTCGAGAGAGACCCATTGCATTCTCAAAGACCGTGGGCGCATAGTAATTGATCATGTTTGAACCTGGATGAAATAAGCGATATTTTCTACAAGGGCGTAACAGTAAATATTACCTGTGAATTGTTGCTGGACATTGACCAGACCAGCCAGGATCATGCGACGCAGATTCTGAACCTTTCCACCAGCCAGAAGTTCCTTGTATTGGAAAGGACCACCCGCGGACTCAATCTCTATAGCCGACTCAATCTGCCGACGAAGCTGGATCACCTCAGGAGTCGATTCGTCGGCAGGTTGCTCAAGCTGCAGATGAGCGATAATGCGACCGGCTTCGTCGCTGCGATCTTGTTCGCAGAGCCAGCGAGGTGTATCAGGAAGCATGATCATTTGTAGGACTAGACAGATGGCGAAGAATGCTTGGAAGCTGATTGGGAAACGCCATTGAACGGGGGAGTCGACGAAGCTGAGGCCGTAGTCGAGCCAGTATGCGATACACAATCCCATGATTGTAACGGTTCCCTGAGCTGATAGAAGTCTACCACGGCGCTCAGGTCGGGCCATCTCTGAGATCCCAGGTTTGCATTAGTTTTTGATCATTCTCGTTGGGCAACGTTGATGTTTTCCACTTACCACTCTGGTATGTCGGAACCGTACTGCTGTTGATGCCATTGCCAAAGCCTGTGACGACTCGGCCAACCAAAAACTGTGCTCGAGTGTAGGAAGACCCGAGAATGATGGTACCAATGACCATGATGGTGCCTCCCGCCAGAATCATCTTTTTCCGACCGAGCTTATGACCAACGACAAAACTCAGGAGACATCCGACGGCACAACCAATATCATAGATCGAGGTCACTGCACATTCGTTAGCTGTATTTCAGCCAACAAAGAGATTCGGCTCATACATATTCCCTGCATATTAGCGTCGGGGTGGCCAAATTGTTGTCCAAACTGATTGTTGGCCCCAATCAGTCCACTCATGACGCCCTGGTCATAACCAAGCAGGAGGAAGGCCTGGCAGCTCGCCGCTATATCATATCAGTATTGCTCGACGTTTGAAGTGAAGCCTTAGTCCTCATACCTGTCACGGCCCAATGCAAATATTTCCCACGCAGTTCAAACATCTTGTTCCTTGATGATTTCCCAGGTTGGTTTCAACTCAAAATACTTCGGACGAGGTGGACCCAGGCGATGTTCCTCCGCTATTTGATTGACAATGACCAACCCGTCTCGCGGTGTTGTTGCCCCGAGCCAGTCATCTCGGTCTAAATGAACCCGGTGTTGCATTGGTATTGGCTCGCTGAAGGGCAAAATCCGGGGATGTGTGGAGTTGTTGTGGAGACACCCCGCACGTTGACGGTTTCAATGGGAAAACAAGGTAATAAAGCTTCGGCAGAGGCTTGAGTGGCTTGATTTGGCTTGATTTCTTCACCGAGCGACGCCACTGAAACTCTCATTCTTCGGCTCGAGGTCGGAACACTCCGACCGCGTACACTGTGACTCGAGTCGCAACCAAATCATTATACTGAGATCGTGAGATACATGAGCATTGCGCGCTGCATTTTGTCTGAGATGCATACTTGAGCTGTAGGGAACACAATGTCTTAAATTTCTCTTGCTACCCGGGCTCAACGCTTCCGGAGGCGTGGTTGCTCCCCAGACCTCCGATCGCATATAAGACCTGGCGATGCACACCATGATGATAGACTCTCGATGACGTGTCATTGAGACCAAAACTTACCATTTCTGGTATGTTCCCCAAACTCCTCAGCAGAGTTGCATTCGCAGTCTATTCTGTGGCGCTCATCCACCACAATGCATTGGCCCCTTTAGCCGTCAAATCAATTGGAGTGATGTGTTGATCAAGTCCAAGACGACAGCTACTCTACAATCGGTCGCAAATCCCCCAATTGTGGCAGCTGGTAGCACACGCGTAATAATCCTCGGATCTCAAAGAGTCCGGGGTCGAGCACAATATTGATGTCAAGGTATGAAACCAGATCGATGATATGGTTACCATAGTGTTTCGTCAAGTCACACTCAAGACTCATTAATCGGTCTTGCCATGTCCACCCGCAATGTCGCTCGTGTTCAGAACTTCCTGGACCCAGCCAACCATGCACCCAATACACCACCGCCACTCAACGAACTGGACACCTTGGATCCCCTCGGTTCAACTGTAAAATGACCGGACTACAAATTTCCGGATGAATACTAGGTGTGAAGTGGTGGTATCTACGCCTACATCTTCTCCAAGCTTTCTCTCCTCGGCATCGATGCGGTCGGGAGAAGCCAGTTAATTGAATACCCTGGTCAATGTCCATCCGAATCGATGGTCGTCTATCGCACTAGCCTTCCTACTGCATGCCTGCAGGCCGTTCAGTCGATTCATGCTAGTGTCTATGGAGATTCAGATGCATGCACCGGCTTTCGAGATAAGTGGCCCGGGAGAGAAGATCTTTTTATTTGAAAAACCTTGATCAGAACATGGAGGCTGACGTACGGGGCTTCCAGAGGAGCAATTTGATTGTTGATGTAAACACTGGCGATGGACTGCTGTGCACTGAACAAGACAACGGCAGCAGTATCAGCATTCCTGCATATGCTATTGCTATACTGAGCGAGTCATGAGCATCGGCTAGTCTAATTGGGGCTTAAGTCGTGAAAACAATTAATTGGCATTCTTGTCACGAAGACCATAATCTTTGAAATTGTAGTAAAGGTCTCGAGCTTAAGATGCTGGGCGGGATTCGGCTATAGATCAGCCATAACCGCGATGCGGCAAAGCTTATCGGTATTTCCACAGTTTAGTCATCGGACCCCTCCAAGTCAGTTCGAGACTCCATACTTCAAACTATTTTTGTATTCTTATTTCGGCACGATGGCATCCATTCCAAGTCACCAACAAGCAGCTGTCGTGGAAGATCCCGGCGACAACTTCAAGATCGTGCTCCGCAATGATATCCACGTCGGAGAACCAGGACCTGAAGAGATCCTCGTCAAGTTAACATGCACAGGACTTTGGTAAGATCGTGTCTCCTCTTTGTAATCCAAATCTGACACAAGTAGCCACTCCGAAGTGCGAGCCGTGTTGGCATGGGGCGCGTACAAATCAATTATCGGACATGAAGGTGTGGGGAGAGTCGTCAAAGCCGGCGCGAACGTTTCCCCATCGTTAATGGGTCAACGCGTGGGCGTCAAATGGCTTTACAATGCCTGCACAAAGTGCTCTGTCTGTCAGCGTGGGTTCGCTCATAATTGTGCCAACCAGCTTAACACCAGCCGTCATGTCCCTGGTACACTACAGCAATACGTCGTGGCGGACGCACGCTTCATCACAATGATTCCCGAGGGACTCGCCGATGAGATTGCGGCCCCAATCCTCTGTGCTGGTCTCACCATGTCAGGAGCCTTGGCGCATCTCGACCAGGAGCTACGACCCGGTGACTGGATTGTGATTTCCGGGTCGGGCGGCGGACTCGGGCATATTGGAGTGCAAATTGCGGCACGGGTCAAGAAGCTCCGCGTGATTGCGATAGACAGTGGAGACGCCAAGCGGAAGCTTAGTCTGGACTCTGGAGCGGAAGTCTTTGTGGATTTCAAGACGGAAGATGTTGCGGCGCGAGTTTTGGAGATGACTGGGGAGGGCGCCCATGCCACAATTGTTGTGCCGGGGACCAAGGAAGCCTTCCAGATGGCACCGTCATTGGTACGGAATTTGGCAACTATTGTAAACGTGGGCTTGCCACCCAATCAGATGGATATTCCGATTTCTGCGACCATCTGTGCGGCTCGAGGTGAGAGATAAAAGCCCCTTTGTGACCAGTCCCGAATTCAGTGGTGCTAATTCCCACAGGGCTCACAATCAAGGGTTCATCCGTGGGTACTGAGAGTCAATTGTCGGAGCTACTCAACCTTGCTTTGGAAGGCGTGATTACTCCCGCCATTGAGGTATTCGAGTTTGCTGAGACTCCGAGACTGATTCGGCAACTTACCAGGGATGAGATCAAGGGTCGGGCGGTGGTGAAGATTCCAATAGAATAGACAGCTAGTCGATATCATCTACAAAGGTACACAGGAAGGATTCAGCACCTGAATTGCATTTCAACTTCGATTTCAGAACTAGTGGTTTAAATACAGCAGTCGTGCAAGGTACATTTTCAAGCCATCGCCTCAATCACCGATCTGTAGATTCCTTCCGAACGACTTTTTACACGGGCAGCCGAAAAAGACAGGAACGCATTGCACAGGAGAGGATTTCTCGAATCAAGTTGTAATGCGAGATCGGGTAAGCCCTACTGCCACGACAGGCCTTGGGAATCAACACGTTACACTTTGCATGATGCTTACACCCTTGACTGCGCGCAAGCAGAAGGAGCGGGACGTCGCAAAAGCCAAGCAAGAGGAGTGAGCACTCAAGTAGCTTCTACATCTATCGAAATTGAAAATTGTGGCTTGCCATTGAGTAACCGCTTTTCCTCACCAGCCTTTCCCAAGAGCTTCGATACAATAAAATCTATGTGCGAAAAAGAGAGTAGAGCGGACGCGACAAGCAGTGATGTGCAGGTACAATGTTGACTTGACTGCATTTCCAACTTTCCTCGGTTCTGCTTCTACGTATCTCGACGTGAGGCTGATAAGCCGATAAGGACAAACCTCTTATCGCGCAAACCTCACTTTCTCCACCTCCCACCTTCACACCGTCAATACAATGGGCACCAAACGATCCTGGCAAGGCCAGCCTGTCGCGCAAGACACTGATGCCACTATGACTTCTGAGACCACCAGCCCGATAATCTCCGTGTTCGAGGGTTTTCGCAATGAGCTCGACCAACATCACGACCGACGCGAGCGGATTATCAAGGCCAGCCGAGACATCACCGCGCTAAGCAAGAAGATGTAAGTCTAGCGATATTGCCCTAGCTTTCAGTCTAACACAAAATCAGGATATTCGCTCTTCAACGTGTCCGCGCCATTAACCAACCCCTACCTCCGAAAATCGCACAAGAAAACCAAGTCCGCCTTGATCAGATCAAAGCTCTCTTTACTTCCATCATCCCAGATGTCACCGGAATCAATGCATGGCGATACCAGCGCCAGATTGGCGGCGGTATTCAAGAGTTCATCGAAGCAATCTCATTCGACCACTACCTGCGTACACAAACGTTGATCAGCCACGCCGCGGTGCAAGCCCAACTGCCCGCCGAGATCCTTGTCACGGAAGACGACTACGTGATGGGCCTTTTTGATTTGACGGGGGAGATGATGCGATTTGCCGTCACGGCCTTGAGCTCTGGGAATGCGTCAAAGCCGGACGAGGCCGAGACTGAGTCTACAGACGCGACACGAAAGCTTCCCCATCTTTCTGCTACACAGGCCGGCCTGGTTGTTGATGTACGAGCTATGCGCGCAGAGTTCGAGGCACTAAGTGTTCCGAAGCGGTCTAATATGATGCGTGATCTGTTCAAGAAGGTGGAGGTGATGCAGAGCAGTGTGGAGAAAGTGGAGCGGGCGGCATATGGGATTTTGGTGCGTGGGAGCGAGCGACCGAGTGGATGGACGCCAGATTTATCTGCGCCAGTTGAGATGGAGATCCATTGATCTGAGTGACTGCAGAATCCTATGGGAGCGAACTTGATCCATCCAAAAGTTATACGATTAGCCATATTGAATCTCAGAGCTCTGTGAGCCAAATTATCAGCATGGTATTCACTTACAATCTGGGCTTCATGTGCACTATATACGTAACCCTGCAGGTTAAACGCCTGGCCCAAGCGTCCATGGCCCTTGCAACTCCGATTCTCCCAAACGTCAACCAAGCAATGAGACGAACTTTTGTTCCTCTAAATCTCAGACCCTGAAAGGGCTTTCTACCCACCATGCACTGTTAAGGAAGAAGGTGCCACCCTTGGTCGCACATGGATCTCAAATCTAACAAAGTGCAGCTATGACGAATCGCTACGACTATCAGAGCATTGACTTAATCTCAACATCGCTGTTCTCCACCATATAATCGCAAATTCACTCAATGCAAAAGAAGACGAAATGAGTGAGGTCAAGGCATCCGTAGAAGGGGTGCTTCAACCGCATTCTTCTGATCAATAATCGAACGGCTTCCAACTCATAGCTCGCGTCTCCTACTCAATGACACAGCTGCAGTCCCAAGTAGGCGCACTGAATGGGCTACCAACCCCTGAGGTGCATGAATACTCGACCCAGGGACTCCCTACATGCTAATGTAAGTTGCTCTAGCCCGAGATTAGGTTCAAGAGTGATATTTCTGACGAGCAAAGAATGGACTTTGGTATCAAGCAATTGAAGCTGGAAGTGAAGATTCCTGAAACTGATTTTCCCACATCGGGGAGTATCTGCCATGTCCGCGATGTGGCACCATATATGGAGAATTACGACTGTCCACTCCATCCATCCCAGTGAAACCGGCGTGATATCAACTGCAATGAAACACAGACCTACCTCGACCACATTGCCTCTCGAATAGACTGTGTTAAAATCGCACCGCTCTATTACCTCAGAACCCCCCACTTATGAAGCCCAGTACACCGCCATCCGGATCTAACGTCAAACCAAATTTTTGTTTCTACCGATTTAAAAATCACCAGCATCATAGGCTGGCAACATGCAGTAGAGCGACCATTTTTTTCAAACGCCACAAATCGGAATCTGAAGTCTACAGACGAGGATTCACCACTTCATTCACATGGACTTCACTTCGATGCCGACTATACGGTTTTGCAAGTGAACCCTGGGAAGGGGGGCGAGTGCTCGTTGAGAACGGATCTGATTCGACTTTGCTAGAATAGGCATGCGTTTGTTGCTGCAAAATTCTTATCAGGGTATCTGCAGACCCTCTGTCCGATCTTGTACAGGGAGGAAGAATATGTCAAAAAAGTTGAGCTTGATGCTGAAAATGTAAGCTGGTGAAGGGTTTCTGATGACCAGGTACTTTATTAAGAATCTTGGGTGCTCGGATGGTTGGGTCCCGTCGGAAACCCTCAAAGAAGTGAAATAGCGTGCGAAATTGCAATAAGGGGGGCATTGAAAGCTGCAGACTCGGATGAAGAGCAGGAGAGCAATGGATGCTTGATGATTACAACGAGAGTGAGTATATGTGAAATAGCGCCTTGGCAGTATCACCAAGGAGATCTACTGATAACGATCTCTGATCGTTGACCCGCTGTGGGACCACTCCACTCCATTCTGTATACTCAACATCAGATTCACCTGTCAAATCTACAGAACATACACAAGTGCAAAAATTCACACCTTGCTCGATAATAGAAATAGACTTTGCGGGGAACAATAACTAAGTTATGTGGGATATCGACAATCGTCACAGTGACATCACCACCCGCACAACGGGCGACAAGCCCCGTCACGGAAACCCCGCAAAGGAACAGAAAAAGCAAATTGAAAGATATGGAGAAGGAAAAGACGCCATGGCCCTCAGCAGGCCTGCTCCGAATCCCGGGCTTATCATCGTAGAATTATAGAATTCAGGTTTGTATCGACCACGCAGAAACGCGAGCGGAACTAAGTAGAGCGCGGGTTCTCGTCTTCCTCGAGGATTCCTTGAGAAATCAGCTCCTCTGGGTCCGGGCGATTCTGAATTTTGTGCTCCAGATTATCGGCGAGCATGTGACGCTCGAGTTCGCGAGCCTGGGCTTGCAGAGCCGGGGCTGCGTTCGTGGAAGGGAGGATATTGCCTTTTGTAGTCAGTACGTTGTCGCAATAGCTTTGTGTGCCAGAATGGAACTAGGGTTAACAGGAAGATATTCAACAAAAGAGATTCGGGTGGTTGAAAAACTAAAAAGAGAGGGAGATATACGCTCCACGAGCTCTTCCCGTCCAGGCCTCTTCCCCAGGTTCTTTTTCAGTTCGTCGGAAGCGCGCTGGCGGGCGAGTTCCTGATGAGCGGCTTGAAGAGATCTGTTGTCCGTCAGCCACGCCAGCTCAAAAATAGTTAAACGAGGCGGGACCAGTACGGGGCTACATTGGTGCTCAGAAGAATGTGACGGTCCTTGAGGTCCTGCGGGTCCGGTCGGGTTTGGAGGTGTTTCTCCAGCGAGTTGCGGCGTTCATAGGGAGCAGTGCCCAGAGGAGTTTCGTCAATCGACATGATGGAATATCAATATTTTGATTGTGAAGGAATGTGGACCGGAATGGATGTAGGAAATAAAGGGAACGTCGAGGAGGAGAGAAGTCAAGTGGAGAGTCCAAGTCAAGTGATGCTAGGTTTTGGGTCACGCGGGGAAGTCAACTTTATCTTACGATTTACAGTTTTGTAAGGAAAATTCACATTTACACGTAACGATGCAGGGACAGAAAATGAACGAAAATCCCATGTAGATCTCAGGTAAATGCAAATTCATGTGGCCTTCAAACGTCACGAAAGAAAAGAAGATAGAAAGCAACTTCTCGTGGGGAAACACGGCAAACCATATCTTCTCCCATAGGAATTTCCAAGGTGACAAAAAGGTACAGAGGGCTCCTCGAGGAAAGAACCCAAAGAGCAGTCCCTCCGCGAATCGAAATCGAATCGAATCGAATCCTCCCATGGTATCATGTCCGGCTTTCCGACCGTGTTGTGTGATCCTGGGAGTCATGCCGGGGTGGGAATGAAGGAGAAGGGGAAGCAGAGAGAGAAAGATACGCGTCCTGCAGATAAGCACAGTAACGAATCGCTTTCGCCTCGTGCGAGATGCCTGTCCTGTAAGGGAAAGAAGACAAACCTGTCCGGTGTCTGGATGCATTCATTTCAACATGTTCACTTGGTCGGCTGAGATCCAACAAAGTCGGCCTCAGCAGACCCGCTCATGCCATCAAGGAACCCAAAGTTTACCTCGACCTCGTCCGTTACCTCGTGCTGCACCGCGAGGAGCACCACGGCTGGATCCACGACTGGCTCCACCGCGGCGTCCGTTGGAACCGCGACGGGGAGATGCGTTGCCGCGACCACCGGTCTGTTGGGGGCTCAAATCGACAGCGGGCGGGGCCTTGGCGGCCCCGATGGATCGGCTGAACGAGTTCGGATCGATGGGTTGAGTGGGCACTTCTATCGCCGTTGTTGGGGGCTCAGTAACGGTTGGGGGGCTGACCTTTGCAGCAGCCTTGCGAGATGCCCCGCCGCGCGGACCCCGAGAGGGGCCCTTGCCATTGCCGCGACCACGAGGAACAAAAACCAACTCGTCCTCGTCGCTTTCGTCCTCGTAGGACAAAAGAGTCTTGGGTTCGGAAGCATGAGTCTGAGTCTGGGTCTTCTCAACGTATTTGCAGCGGTTCTTGTATTCGCGCTCCTCATATTGAATCGCAGTGCGCAACTGAACGATATTCTTCACAGCAATGCCGAACTTCTGGGCCCAGATCTGGGTGGCACGATCATTGGATACAAGGATGCAGCCTTTAGCAGAGTTCTCGCCGTCCGGACCACTGTGCAAACGCCATAAGAGAGCATTCAGCAACGGGCGGAGTTCAGCCGGGGCCACGGGAATCGTAGACCCCGAAACGGTGCGCTGGTGGCCAGCCTTGCCTTTCTCCGGTTTTTTCGAGTTTCCATTTTCATGCTGAGCGCATTCGGGGCTGGTACGCGAGCTGCGGGACGAAGTGCGCGAGGCTGGCCCGCTCGGGGAGCCCGCGGAGGTGTTGGAGGTCACCTCGGGGTCTTTCTTGAAATTCAATCTGCTGAGCAGCATCTGCGACAAATCATCCGGAGCTGGTGCGCGAGGGTTCTCCTGCCGCTTGGTCGGCGATGGAGGCATATCGGCAACCGCATTGGCTTCGTCCGTCAGGGCCTCCGGTTCCTCCTCAAATTCTGGCAAGAAGAATTTCTCCGCATCCTCCCAGTGCTCGAAAAGTTGATTGGGACCTTGAAGTTCGACTCGGTCGGAAGCGATGGTGTCTTTGCCGGAGGTGACTCGGTCGAGAAAGCGAACGGCCTCGCGGGCATTGATAGCGGTTTGCGATCCCGCCCGTTTCAAGGCGTGGAGCCGTTCAAGGGCTGATGGTGAACCGTGCTATCAGCAATGGTCTCGGAGAGGCTAGCTTACTCTCGTTTTGCGTTTGAAAAGAACTTACTGTAAAGAGGGACAATAAGATCGATGGACCCGTTGGTGGTCCATTTCTTGATCTCGCTGATATTGGTAGTCAGAGCCGTCTCATCCACGGCGCAGTGAAAGACCTTGCGTCCGGTCGACATGGCGGAGAGGTCAAGTGTCAGTCGGAGGTAGGTCGGGGAACAGTCCGACCCTATACAGGGGAACTGGAAATGAAGACAGCCGCAACTGGAGGAGGGGAAAGATTGGGTCAGCAGAGTCCCACGAAGGAGGTTTGCGGATTTGGGGTGGTCTGGGAATGTGGGGGCAGCGGGACGTCGGGATGTAAAAGCAACGCACTATGTAAAACACAATGGATCTTCTGCAGCATCTTTGAAGACGGTGCAACCCAGAATAAAGCTGAGAAGTGGGATTTGCAAGTTGTAAATGGAGAATCGAATCGGCTTTCAGGCTGACTTGAAGCGCTGACTAAGCGCCGTACCAAGGTTCCAGTGTAACTTACCTAAAACTAAGCCTGAATGAGAGTATAAGGTGATCAAAGGAAGAAAGAGAAAGTCACGATGGAAGTCATGTAGAGATTTCTAAATGCGATGTGCACGGGGAATATCGTCCAGGAGTATTGAAAAATAATCAAATGAGAACGAAAAGAATCATTCCTCCAGCCTATGTATGAATCACTGCCTTTAAAGTATGCCTTGCGCCTACTGCTTCACCTTCTTAATAAGATTATCTGACTCCTTCACTCGTTGAGCCCATTCGCTGTTGTGTACATTAGCATGCGATGTTAAAGTGATAGGATGGAGGGAGATCTTACGTCCAGCTACCATCGTAGACTCGGCGCAGATTGGCATCGCCGTATTCGGCCTGACCCAGAGCAGTTTCGATAATTGTCGCTGTAACACCAGTTCCACAGGAGCTGATGATTGAGCGAGAAGGATCTACCTTTCGCTCCTCAAAGACTTTGCGCAGTTCCTCGGGAGACAGGTAGGTCTTGGTCTCCGGGTGTAACAAATCCTGGAAAGCCAAGCTCTTGGATCCAGCCACATGGCCCGATGAAAGGCCTGGACGTGGTTCAGGGTCAGTTCCAGCCCAGCGACCGTAAGAACGAGCATCAAGAATCTCCACCTCCTCTGCACCCTCCTTGCCGTAGTCCAATGCTAACTCCTTCATCTCGCGGAAAGAGATCACCATCTTCGAGTCGTAGGTCGGCACGGGGTACTTGCTCTTCTCCACAGCTGCAGGCTCACCACTTTCAGTCGGAAGTCCCTCCCGAATCCACAAGCGGTAATTATTGAGAATATGAACATTGGGGTGACCAAAGACGCGTAGGGTCCAGCCTACACGCGGGGCACTGAAGATGCCCAACTCGGCGGTATCGTAAACCACAATTTCGTCATCACGACGAATTCCCAGGTCACTCATTGCATCTGCGAACGTCTCACATGTTGGCAGCATGTGAGGATAAGGCGAGTCCTGGTCTTTGATACCATCAAGATCGAAGAACCGTGCCTGTGGAATGCGCGACTTGCGGAAGGAGTCAATGCCCGTGCGTCCCTCAGCGTCATTTGGCATAAACCATGCTGCGCACAATGGAATAACTCGTGGCGAAGTGGATATTTTAGTAGGCGGGTTCTTTTTCAGAGCCTCACTGAGCTCCTTGGGGGTGACCAGGTATGAGGAGAAGGAGATTTGGCGAGAACCCGGGAGACGAGACGACATGGCGGGACGAAACAAACGTGATGAACGGATGGCGGCGAACGCCATTATTTTGGGGGGATTAGGGAAAGTGCCCTTTCTTTACATTTGAAGTGAGAGAGATGTGGAGTTGTTGACTTGGTGCGGAGAAACTCATGTGATAAACCCGATAAACAATGCCGCGCTTATCAGCAACTCGTTTCCCACAACTCTCTGCCACTTGATCCCACATCAATCCGACCATGAAAGTCAAGCTGAAGGAATGGAATGCCATTGCCACCTGGCATTGGGATATGCCCGAGGATGAAGTGTGTGGTATCTGTCGTGTCCAGTTCGACGGAACCTGTCCGACCTGCAAATTCCCCGGTGACGACTGTTCACTCCGTAAGTCGCAATCCATCCGTTGGAGAGTTCCTGACTAATTACTTTCAGTGCTCGGCAAATGTGGGCATTCGTTTCATATGGTATGGAATAGAGAGATTTGGAGTACGATGCGCGACTGACCGAGTCCACAGCACTGCCTTTTGACCTGGATTCAGCAAGAAACCTCCAAGGGACTGTGTCCCATGTGTCGCCAAAGTATGTGCCTTCGCCTCCCGGACATATGATTTACGATATGCTAATTATCTCCAGAATTTGAGTGGAAGCAGACCGACGAAACGGAGGAAACCGAGGGATTTGAGCAATGATGTGCTTTTCATTGTTCTCCATGGCGTTGAACGGGCAAATTAAAAGATACCCTGGTTGCGTTCTATTGTTTATTCTTGCATGATACGGTGTTTCGTGAAACTGGGAAGTCACCCTCGATGCTACAGGTGGGGTATTACACTTGTATACAAACTCCAACAATACGCATCTGACAATCTTATGCCATATCGATTCCTAAAACTTCGGTGTCATCGCTACGTGGCGGAAATTAGTGGGGTTTGAAGCGGTGGTTTCTGAACGTTTGCCAATCGTAGTAGGTCATTCCGCGATCAAGCCATTTCCATCCCCAATCACGTCAGGCGGTGCTAAGCGACCTAGAGGGTCCGTGACCAAGGCCAGTCATATTTGAATACTTGAAACCCATTAGCAGTAGCACATGCATATATTCAAATAGGGCATTTCCAGTTGGGAAGAACGGTGCTGCGCAATTATTAATTGTATTATATGATTATACTACCATTTACTAAAGTATACCCCAACATGCAACCTTAGGAAGACTCAAATCATGTTTCAATATCTTCCAAGACTTAAATAATCTACTACTTCTTGCGACAGAACGATGGACTCGCTTGTTACGCACGCCTTCCAGCATCTCAAAGACTCCGATTCATCTCCGCTGCCTGCCTGGTAAACTGCCGAGTTGGAATATTCTGAGCGAACATCCCGTCAAGTTCGCTGAAAGTGCGGTCCTTGAACTCTGGGACCTCAAACCAAGCCCAGATCAGACTCAGGAAGGAAAGAGCCATCCATACAAATGCAGATTTGCCACCCAAGTCAGCTAAAAAGGGTATAACATCAGCATGGTAATTGTGTTACTCCATTTGATATAGGACGTACCGTTGTCGGTGTTGATCAGGTAAGGAGCAACAAAGTTCATGACCCAGCTGACCAGTGCATTCGTCACAATAGCCAAGCTTTGCGTTTGGGCTCGAAGTTTGATGGAGCTGGCCTCGGCGCTGATTGTCCAACTGACCGCACCGACGGTGGGGGCGTAGAACAACTGGGCAAAGTTCATAACGTAGCCAACGTAGTATAGGGCGGCCATGCTAGAGAAGCATCCGGCCACACCGACAGACAGCAGTAAAAGCGCATTGAGAATGATTCCTGTCAACAAAAGTGGCCGGCGACCTACAGAATGAATGACCGGGTAAGTCACCGAGCTCAGCAAAGAGGAGGCCATGAGGACTAACCAATATAATTCATTATAAACCACGAGACGATGTTTCCGAACATGGCTACTCCAAACCCTCCCAGTGCTAACTGGAAAGTAAAGCTGACGGGAAGTCCAGAAATACCCAGGAAATATAAAGCTTGGGAGTAGAACGCAATTCCAGTGAATTGCTGCACGGCAAACATCCCACAGGAGATGCGTGTTCTGCGCCAATTGCTGGCCCGGAAGCAATCCTTATAGGAAGCATCCTTTTGACTTTCGGCGACTGCTCTTTCATCGGCGATAGAAGCTTGGATGTCTTCTAAAATCAAGGATGTATCAGTTGACTTCAAATGCAGTCTTTCAAGGCTCTTCTTTGCCGCTTCAATCTGACCCTTTCTGCAAAGATACCAGGGGCTCTCGGGCATGACAAATGTGACCAATCCAATAAAGCATGGGAACGCCCACTGTGCCGCGAACAAAACCTTGTACGATGACGGGCTCAATATACCATAACGGGTATTTCCAATCCCGATGGCAGTCAGCTGACCGGCGTTGATGAACAAATTGACCGCAGCAGTTAAGGATGGGCGCAAGGGGGTTGGGGCAATTTCAGACGCATAGACGGAGCTGAGAGTGAGGAAGAATCCTAAAGAGAGACCGTTGACCTAAAGGTTGACTCTTAGTTCCTGCGTGAACGAAGGCGGAGACAAACCTTACAATTTTTCCAGCCAGAAGCATACCAGGACCACTTGCACCGTATTCAAGGCCAACCCCTAACAAAGAAGTGGCAGATCCTACCGCAAACCCAAGTCTTCGACCGCCACGGTCTGAGAGATAACCACAGAGTATACTTCCTGCGGGGCTAATAAGCATGGATTCAATTGAAGGCAAAGTTAGAGTATACCCACCAACCAACATTCCAAGCGAGGTCATAGCCGTCCAGAGAGCATTCCAAGTTGCTGATATCAGGAGTTCACCTTGATATTCATACCCAAAGACCATTTTAAACCCAGGCAGTGCGACAGAGATAGAGTTGACTCCTGAATACCACATTGTTAGAAAACTGACCAGGACTTGAAAAGCGTATGAGCCATACCAATATCAAACCCCCAAAGCATTGAGCTCGCGCAAGCACCAATGCTATACAGAATCACTATGGGATTGTTCTTTGCAGAGGCCCAAGCACCTTCTTCAGGCCTATCATTTCCCTGGGCTTGAGAGACATTCTCAATCATCTCCAAATCAGCATCCTTCTTCTCTTCCTTTGGACCCAAGTCCATCGATGAGTTGCGAGGAGAAGAAGCCATTGTCAAAACTGAAAATGGCTTTTTCAGTTCCCCTACTAAGCGTAAAAAGTGCAGGCAGGTCGCTCTGCAAATCCGGACTAAATTCAGATAGTGATGGGCGAGCGACCACAAAGTTGAGGGAGGCCCACATATTTGAATTAGAGCAGCTCCATCTTGAATGCCGGGGAAATGTGTGGAGAACCTGGGAAACCTGGAGGTCGGGAGCACGGGGTCTCCACAGGAGCAAAATTTGCGGACGGTGGACGGTGGACGGTGGAGTGGAGTGGAGAGAAGTGGAGTATTCAATTCAGAATGACTGCTTTGAGCGGCGAACGCGTGTCCATTCGCAACAGTCAAAATACAGGCAGTTCATAGGTCCATTCGTAGCTTATTTTATCCTCTTATACCAAGCCGAGCAGGAACACTTCTCTAGGTTAAACTTGTCTACATGCTATACATTCTCGGCCTTGGTGGATCTCTACGAGTCGCCAGCTGGAGTTCTCCAGAACGAAGCCATTGGATTGCTTCGAGTTGTCTGGTATTGTGCGTTGAAAATGTCTTTCAAGCAGTTGGTGCAAATTACACACATCAAGTAGGTGTATAGTTAATAATTGAAATGAAAGTTTGTCTTAATACTAACGCAAAACACTGATACAAAAAACACTGATAAGATCAAAGCTCATTCCAGATCGCTGTGTCCTCTATTTGTAGATAAGCCACACCTGCACCTGCACCTGTAGTGACCTTATACATCCCAATGAGAGACCGCCAGACCTTAGCAGCACGATCCCAGTAGCCACTGACGTCTCGTTGGGGAATTGCAAGTTTGACTTGCTTAGTTTCCCCCGGCTCAAACCATTGTTTGGCGAAGCCAATGAGTTCAGAGCGTGGTTTCCAAATAACACGATCAACTGGAGGCTCACTGTACACTTGAATTACTTCATAGCCTGCTCTTTGGCTTGTGTTTTGGACATCAACGGATATGGTGATCATCTTGATTCGACATTCACCAGAGCTCTCCCCATCGACTCTATCCTGGCGGATAACTTTCAGATTGTCATACTCGAAAGAGGAATAGGACAGACCATGGCCAAAGAGCCATCGAGCTGAAGACGCAGTGAGAGAATTGCGATAGCCCATCTGCAATCCCTCGCTGTATCGGATGACAGGCCCATTGCCGACGTCCTTTGCCGGGAAGTGCGCAAAGGATGGGACTGAGCTTTCACTCAGGGACATTGGCCAGGTGGTTGCAAGTTTTCCACTTGGATTTGTCTTTCCAGTAATGATATCAACAATAGCTTGAGCACCCTCCTGTCCTGGAAAATGCGCAGCTATCACCACGTCGATGTCTTCAACAAAGTCCGAGACATCGATGGGGTTGCCGCCGTGCAGTACAAGGATTGTCTTCTTTGATACGCTAGCCACCGCTTTGATCATGCGAACCTGACTATCAGGTAGTTTCAGGGTCGTAAGATCAAACCCTTCTGACTCATGCTCACGGGTTCGGCCGCCCATAATGATGCTGACGTCGGACTGGGCGGCGATGCTGACTGCCTCAGCAATCGCAGCGCGGTCATCATATGCTTCTTCAAAACATAATTTGGCTGAATGAGGAGAGACTTCTCCTTCTCCCGAAGAAATGTCTCTGGAATGGGTCCTGAGAGTAATTTTGTAGGGTTGATGGGCATTCATTTGAATCTGAATAATGCTTTCCAGTTTCTTGGGTTGAAATAAGAAGTCCTCAACCGACATTTCTGGGGCAGGTTTTGATAGTACCTGTCATTAAATCAATTAGTGATCTATGTCAATATTTTTGAAAGCAAACGTAAAATGTACCTCTTTACCATCAACAAATAACGTAAATTCCCCAGTAGCTTGGACTGCTAGTGTGTGGCTCCCGCTCTTATTCGCGGTCACGGTGGTCTCCATAATGTAGTGAAACCCTGTTTGCTTTGTTAGACCAGGCTTTAGTCTTCCAAGCATGACCACGACGGGTTGTGCAATATACTCGGAATATACCGGTGTTTCGCATCCATCCATGAAGTAGTCTACATCAACTCCAGGAAGGCCTTCGCGGGCTTGGGTAATGTTGGGGGACATCAGAGGCACTGCATAGTTAGGGTTGACGCCATGAGCAAATGAAACCTGCTTAGGATCCTTGCACGCGTTTTGAAAGCATTGAAGAGGAGTATGGGTATACTGAGGCTTAGCACAAGCACTGCCTCCCCCTGTCATAGATGGAATGGCAGCTGCGGCTCCTATCAGCGCCACTTGAGGGTGATCTGCCATGTTGAGTGGAAGGCAGTTGTCCCGGTTTTTCAGCAAGACGATGCCCTCCGCAGCCGTTCTTAGCGCTATGGCACTAGTTTTCTCGCAGACTCGAGAGCCCTCTTCCTTGTCACTATGACTGACCGATGTCTTATCAATCATCCCCAAAACATTGCTCACAGCGAGGTCCAGTGCTTGCACTGGTACCTCTTTGCAATTGATTGCCTCGACCAACTTTGTACCACGAAATACAGATGTACCTGGCATTTCCAGATCAAGTCCTGCCTCCAAAGCTGCGATTGTTGTCTTTGTTCCGTACCAGTCCGACATCATACAGCCATCATAACCCCATGTCTCGCGCAGTAAAGACCTGATAAGTGGAGTCTGACTGCAAAAATTTCCATCTAGGGCATTGTATCTGTGGGAAGATTATCAATTTCAGCCCTAGCTATGAACGAGAGATGATATGCACTTACGCTGTCATGATTGAAACAGGATTCGATTGCTGCAACAAGTACTGAAATGTGCGTAGATAGATCTCGCGCATTGTTCTGCTATCGCCTGACTCGTCGACGTTGTAGCGTCTGCGAACAGTTTCGCTCTCATTTGCGATGAAGTGCTTCACGCAAGCACCCACACCTTGAGATTGGATCCCGTTTACAATAGCAGCGGCCATTCGGGCAGTGACCAGAGGGTCTTCACTGAAAGACTCGAAATTGCGACCAGCTCTCGGATCTCTGTGAAGGTTGATGTTGGGGCCCAATACAACCTGTACGGACTTGGATTTCGCTTGCAGAGCCACCTCCTCACCAAACTCTCGCATCAAATCCGTATTCCAGGTTGAGGCAAGACATGTTGAGCTTGGGAAGCAAGCTGTCCCTGTATCCTCTAAATGAGATAGAGACCCACGAACCCCACTAATCGAATCGCTGACCTGCTAGCAGTTAAACATCAAAGCTAAGACAATTCGAATTCGTTCGAAGGAAGTTACCTTCAATGAAGGAATTCCTAAGCGAGGCACACCCGCTGTGTTGGTGAAGGTCACGCCAGAAAGAAGTGATACCTTTTCCTCTAGTGTAAGGAAAGGCAACTGATCCCTATAATGGTATTCCGACCTGGAACTACTAGTGGGTTCAAAAGGACCATTGATAGATGTTCGGGTCATTCTTGCTTCACGTCTCTGCAATCCAGAAGAAACGTAGAGGAGAAATTGGGCTGAGAGATCAAATCGAGGCTGCAAATGAGCTACAAGGTGACAATAGATAAGAGGTTTCCTCAAAGTAAATATTATTTCGGCAATGTCATCCTCTGCCGATATTGTACGGCGGATAGCACTGGGAATCGGAGAAGCCGAATAGTCCGCCTCCGCCTTGTCGCCACTCCACTCTGTCAACATCCACTTCCCGTCCACACGACATTCGCACTCCAATCGCCCCAACACCGTGTTGCGATAACGCGCCCTCGTAGTGCTGCAGATGAGGTCAGTTCGGAGTGGCCTAGAGCGACGTCATGAAAGACAGACCGACTCAAGACCACCACTGCTCTAAGTGTCCCAAGTCGTTTACTCGTCGGGAAAATCTTGTCAGGCATTATCGAGAAAAACGTAAGCATCCTTTGAGCTAATCAGCCGTTTGATCTGAATATAACTGATGTGACATGAAAGATGATGAAAATCCAGATCAATATGAATGCCCTGATTGTCCAGCCAAATTTGGCAGGAGGTGAGTTACGAGATCTCTTTATTGGCGACTTAATTTTCAAATCGATTAAATGGGAGTTTAACATCTTTTTCAAGTGACACTTTATTCAGACATAAGAGAATTCATGAAGAAGATAGGGATTATTCATCAGAACTTCCTACGAAGAGTTCACATACTCTAAGCCAAACAGAAGAGCGCCCTACCCCGGCAAAGCGTCGGCGTCGAGCCCAAATTGACAGCGATCCTTCCCCTGTCCCTGAACATCAGACAGTAGAGAGCTCAGAAGGGCCTCAACTGTCTGTGTCCAATTCTCCCTCCGCTACAAATGCGGCTCCTCCTGTTGAGCAATCTGAGGCAACAGATTGGAGTTTCCAGTGGCCATTTTACGGCGAGGGGCTAAATTCCGTCAACATGGACTGGGCTCTGGATTTTCTGTCACAGGGTATATCAACTCACAGCCCTCTTGATACTGTGCATTCATTCAATGACCCTGGTCTGCCAGCTGGGCTAGATCACGCCGAAGCCATTTCTGGCGCAAATACAGAGCAACCTGCCGTTGATGACGATGGCCCTCATGAAGATCAGCCTCAAGCATGGTCTTATCATCAAAGCCGAAATGCTAGCCCAGTTCAAGGGACTGTCCATTGCACCTCGTCAAAAGCAGCTGCTTATGTTGATAATGATGAACAAAACGCCTTTCTCGCTGCAAATGTGGGGAAGTTACAGACGAGTTGCCGGGTCACAGAAAGCACACATGCGGCAATGATTGAAACTGTCACTTCGCCACTCCTCGACGGTTTCTGCAGTCCAAAAAGCAAATCCAAGTTTACATTCCCGCCTCCCTTGGGAATCCAGTACTTCCTCCAACTATATTTCATTCATGTGCACCCTCGCTTCCCAGTGATACACGTGCCAACATTTGATCCACACACTTGTCCGCCCATACTTTTGTTGGCGATGTCAATCTTGGGCTCCGGCTATTCGCAGTCCAATCAGGGTCGATTTACCTTGGCATATCTTGAAAGGACTAGAATGTCGATCAAGTTGATGCAGCAAAAAGACTCGAGATATGTGAGACCGATCCCACCCTATTATTTGAATTAACAAAAAAATTCATGAGAACGTTGATTCGATTGTGTAATCCCATGACTGTTATGACTAACAAACTTTTTTATTCAGTTGGCATCAGTTGACAATCTGTTTGCTTTTTTCCTCGTCGCGCTCGCTGCTATGTGGCTGGGTCATAAAATGGCCTATGAGCGTGCCGAGGGGGATCGAGGTGAGCTGACTGTTTACTGCCGGCGCGAACAACTATTAGATTGTCGGAGAAAACATCCTGTCTCTCATCCTTCATCCAGGCAAATTCGAAAATCAGTAATTGAGGCATGGACGGAGTGGATCCAAGATGAACAAAGAAAGCGACTGGGGCTTTCCATATATGTGAGTACCACTTTACCACAAATGAGAGTACGCTAACAAGCTTTTCAGATACTGGACTGTCAGATCGCAGCTTTTTTTCAACGTCAACCCTACATCAGCAAAGCCGAAACTGTGAACGCCGCATTGCCATGTTCGGATGGTTTTTGGAATGCACCAACGGTTTGGGCCTGGAAGGCTTTGCTTGGACCAGCCGATATTCCCCCCAGCACTTATTTTTTAACGACCTTAACAAGCATTCTTTTGTATAACGAAATTCCTGATGTTCTGCCTTTTCCCCCCTTGGATGACTTCTGCAAGACTCTCTACGCCTACGTATTGCACACGCATGTCTTTGAATGGCGACAAACCATCTGCATGCTCAACCCCACAGGGCTATTGAGCTCTCCGCTATCAATGGCACCCCAGAAAATCGGTAACTCGCTAGAAGAGCGTCGAATGTGGTTGGAATCTTGTCTAGATAACTGGGCCACCTTCTATGGAGACAACAATCAGGCCGATCCCACTAATCGCTATCAAAAGAATTTTCCGGGGATTCTTCTCTATCATCTGGCCATCTTAGCACTTCGCATCAACTTTTCAGATCTACACATTGTTGCCGGCCGATCTGGATCGGAGGAGGATATAGCGTTAGCCGAGCAGTCATTGCGCAATTGGCTTCAGGAAGAGAGAGCCCCATTCATATTAGACGGCACAATTCAAATGTTGAAGGCAGCACACGAGACCATTGCCACTGGAGAGGCGCAGCGGAGCGGATTCGAATTGTCAATCTGCCTCTTTATGAGTGGACTCGTCTTCTGGGTCATGTCACGGTTTGGGAGTCACGGTCTGGTTACTATCATTCAGCGGCAAGAGATGCCTCTAGCCTCAAATCTCCCAGGACCGGGATACAGCAGCAAGGACCCGCGGATTCCAGAAAACGGAGAGGAAACTACCGAGCATTGTGACGAAATGTCTTCGCAAGCAAAAGATTTGCTGCTGTCTCAGGTTGCAGATGCCCGCGACTGTCTACGCGCTATAAAATGCCATCGCCTGGCCGTAGCTTTCGGAGATATCCTGGATCAATTTCTTGGTAATTCGTGATCATTGAATACAAATGCCGTTCCAAGCTGTCATCCAAACTGCGGTGTTTGGCGTTCGGCGTGATCCTCGAGTTGCCGACGTCCACCTTCACTCCGCCTCCCCTCCACATCAACTCCACATCAACTCCGCACAGCTTCTATCGTTGGCGTGCGAAACAAATCATGAATTTAAATGTTCAACACCCCAAGTCATCACAAAGAGAATTTTCAAAGGCGACTTGATCGTGAACGTGAGAACGATTACGTCTGACACTTCAAGCCTTCCATACGTCAATGGCAAACTTCTCCACCATGTCCTCTGGTGGGGCATTCAACAATCCTATCATCCCGGGTTTCAACCCCGATCCATCCATATGTCGAGTAAACGATGACTATTTCCTGGTCACTTCAACCTTTGAGTACTGGCCCGGCATTCCGATCTATCAGAGCAAAGATCTGTTGCAATGGAAACTCATCGGCCATGTCATCACAAGACACTCGCAATTGAACATGCGAACTACTGAACCTTCTGGTGGGCTCTGGGCACCAACAATACGTTATAACAAAGGTCGTTTCTATGTATCTGTCGGATGTACGCATCGATTCCGGCCGAAAGAATGGGTTAGTTCTTCACATACGATAAGCCATGACTTGCCGGGCGATTACTGACAACGATTAATAGGACATTGTGATCCCACGTGGCTTCTACGTCTCTACTACAGATATTTGGAAGTCTAGTTCTTGGTCTGATCCAATATTCTTCGATGTCCCCGGCATTGATCAGGACGTAAGTGGTTCATTCTCCGGGCTTACATCTAATGGAACGCCTAATCAAAGCTTTTACTAACTTATTCGCAAAGCTCTTCTTTGATGATGATGACAAAGTTTATTTTTCTGCCGTCAACATGATCACTGATCCCAGAGTCAAGAAACATGGTCTTGGACTGGCATCTTTCACTTCGGAGATTGACCTAGCTACAGGTCGGTGCTTAGGGCCTGTGAAATACAATCGGATCTCACCTTTCAGCATCGGTATTGCCGAAGGCCCTCACATCTTCAAAAAAGATGGGTACTACTATTTGAGCACAGCGGAAGGCGGCACCGATGAGGGCCACCAACAGTGGATCTGTCGCAGTACCACAGGCCCCTTCGGGCCATGGGAAGTTGGTCCAGAAGGAACCGTTAACCCAGTCATCTTCAACAACGAAGATGCTTCAATCCGCAATACTGGGCATCTTGATTTCATTGATGCTCCTAATGGAAAATGGTGGGCCGTGTTCTTGGGTGTTCGACCCCAAGGAATGAAGTCCGAGCTCATCTCACAACTTGGACGGGAAACATTCATGGCTCCCGTGGAGTGGATTGATGGGTGGCCGATTGTCAACGGCCGGCAGAAAATCAGTCTCCAGATACAGGCGGAGGGTATGAATCTTCTTCCACAGCCGCAGATTTGGAGAGATGACTTCGATGGTCCCACAATGCAGCTTGGTTGGTACCGTTTACGAACGCCGCTGAAGGATGATTATTCATTATCCGAACGACCGGGGTGCTTGAGCATCTATGGCAATGCATATCGCATGGACCAGTCCGAGTGCCCGTCCATGCTACTGCAAAAGCAGACTGGGTTTTCGGGTGACTGGTCGACCAAAGTGGACTTCGCACCAACAGAAGCTGGTAATGAGGCCGGAGCGGCCATCTGGTGGTCGCAATTTGCGTACGCTTCGATTGGAATTCGCAAGCCGTGGGATGACACACAAGAAGGTCTGGAGGTTGTGTCTCGTTGTTATGATGATACGAGCGGTGAATTCAAGGTACTTTATCCTAATCGATCAATCAGCCATGGGGTGTGACCATATTGACAAGAGCAGGAAACTACCCATCAGCTGTTACAGACTTCTTCTCTTGAACTCACCATCCGTGCACATCCCACACGATACGAACTCTTTTTCTCCTCCTCCGAGACCAATCAATCAAAATTGATCAAATTGGGTGAAATTTCCAGCGCATCGTTGACTCATCGCCGATCTGGAAAAGAATCACCCAACACTGGGGCTCATTTTGCGATTTACGCGCAGGGTGCCTATGACAAACCGTGTTTCCAACCGGCGCATTTCGAGTTTGCGCAGTGGAAGGTTGCTTCTTAACAGGCGAAAGGTTTTTATGGGCCCAAATTCTTCCGTTCACAAGTTCAAGCGAGATTTAAAAAGGTCTTTAAACGTGTAGGTAATAGAAGGTCGTTGAATGCCGCTTGTGCATGCATCTGAGGAGATATATCTCGGTAACGGTGATAGACACGCCGGTTCCAAATTCCAACTTAATCAGCTTCGAACGCTGTGGCCGATAAATCATATGCATGGAGAGACTGGAGATAAATCAGTAAAAAGTATAACATCAAGCTTGGACATGTTGTAGCACCGTGCACGGCCAACTGTAGTGCTTTGGCTGTTTAGTGCAGGATCACGTGTCGCTATCGATAAGAAGCTCCGTCGATCATGTCTGGATCATCTCAGCAGCTCAAGTGTGGAGATGTAGCGACAGCGATGCCTCTGAACAACCCGATCCAACTTTCCTTCCAGTCCTCCAGTCCAACGGACATCCCACGGACCGTATCCAGCTCCCAGCTGGGCAGTTTGCAACCCCGCGGAGAAGCAACGGAGCTCGCCGCATTACCCCACGGGGCACCAGATGACCCCGGAGCAGCCGAAGTGCAAGATGAAACCTCGCAACAGCCGGCCTTCCAACCATTCTTCACGTTGATCGAGGATATTCCTGCAGGCGTATACCACCACCCAACCGTGCACTACATCTTCTCCGACGACGACACCGACATCATCACCGAGGCAGCTCTCCGTAGTCTGGAAGCACAGCAGGACGCTCTGCCCGCTAGCAGAAATCATGTCTACACCGGACAGCATGATGGACCAGAAGCGCAGGAGCCATCCACGCTTCTTCTTCCTCCTCCGATTCCGGGCGTCCAAGATAAGTACGTCGTTTTGGACGTTGAACCAGTCCCCGCATCTGAGCACTCCACTTCCGCAGCAGCACCAGGAACCATTAACTTTGGCGCCGGAACCACGAATACCATGTCCACCTCCCCAGCAACACAACTATCTCCCGGTGCCGGAACAGCATCACATCCGTATTTCCGTGTCACATCAGCAAAGAGTTTCTCGCCAGATTGGCAGGTCATGAAGAGCGAGATGGTTCCAGCGCCGACATTTGAAAATAATGAGGACGGTGACGGGGCGGGACATGGGCTTATGCTGAAGATTCACGGGACGGCGGGTTTACCATATGCTGCTGAGTCTGGGAAGGAGCATGGAACACCACGATTGGAGGATATGATGAATCAGTTTGCCAAGCGGATGTCGGAGTTACAGACTGTCATTGATTCGGCGAAGGTAAAGGACTCCGAGGGTGGAAAGGCCCAAGGTCGCGATGGAGAGACTGAGGTTGGAGCAGACCAAGAACAGGCACATGAGCTGCCGCATGATAAGGAGAAGATAGGTGCGGAGGAACAGGTGCAAGATGCTGAAGTGCCCGACGCTGTGCTGAAGGAGCACATCAGCCAGAAGCCAGCCCTGGATGAAGCGGAAGGGTAGTGGCTTTTTGGTAACCATGATCAGGCGCATTTAGGAGTTGATGCATGGGTGCAATTTAGTTTTCCTTTCGGATGCGTATACCAATCTGCTTTTTACGTTCGAACTTGCTTAGATCAAGGTATTCGATTTAGACCAAAAAAACCTGGTCAGGGTAAATATGGGATCATCTAAAATCACCTAACGCCTGTAAGAAATGCATTTTCTGTTGGAGCTCCTTCCCCATAGCCCAACAGTCGTACAGCAGGAGAAGGGTTAACAAAAAAAGGGAAAAGAATGACAATATCCGACATGGTTTTTCTAGCCAGAAACTCCGGTCAACCAAGCACCAGCGACATTGGGTATCAAGAGGTCATATTCAAAGCGCACGAAAAAAAAAAAAAAAAAAAAAAGAAAAGAGGAAAGAGAAAAACAAAAAAAGCCAGAGGAGACAAAGGAGATCATCCAATTAGTTTGGAGCGCGGCTTCGGTATAATCGTCGGCCTCCGGGGCCAGCAGATGGGGGTAAGTTTTCACGACCCTCCATCATGCCGGCCATCTTCTTGGAGAGCATCTTCTGGGGAAGCTTGCTCTCGACAGTGTTGTTGGTACTGATCGAGTCGGAACGGCGGCGCTTGAGGGTCGGCGGATCAGACTCGTCCTTAGCAGGGGTATTGTCGAGATCCGCGACTGGGGTGTGTACTGGGGTATCGGGTTTGTTGGGAATAGGGATATCGTCGGCAAGATCAGAGAGGGATTTGGCGACGTTGAGATCGACCTCTCTCAAGCCAGAATTGTTGTATGTCACGGCCACTGATGAGCGCCGAGTTTCGACCTCCTCCACGGGATCGCTATAAACAAAGGTCTTTGCAGGAGACGAGGCGGGAGGGCTAGAGACAGGGGCTGGCTGAGTGTCTTCTTCCTCGTTAAATGGAAGCGCAGTAAATTGCTTTGAGGTTCGGTGCCGGGAACGAAGCCCATCATGGGACTCGGTGCGAGGCAGATTCGTAGGGTACTCGTACTTCCGTTTCTTGGGCGTGACACCAGATGGAATGTATTCCTTCATCGGGTGTCTTTCAAAGTTGTCCCTAAGGTTGACGAGTGGCTGACGGACCTCCTTCTGCAGAGGGGCTGTGCACTGACTCATGTCCGTGGTATGCGTGTCGATATCACCCTGAAGTTGACCAGCGCGTTCACCAAATCCACTCAAATGACTTTGGATAGCTTCACGGGAGCCTCGCACGCTCGAATTAATTGCTGCCAGACTGCCAAGCTGTGCCTCATGGAAGCGGCCATTGTGAGAACGAGCCTTGGCAACAAAATCATCGAGTGCTTCCATTTGCTTGCTCATATCACTCATCTGTGCATCCACAATACGCACAGTTTCCTGGTGTACAGACTCAGTGGTGCGCTGGATGGATGCGTTGCGTTGATCGAATGTCTCCCAGTCATGTTGCATCTTGGTCTTGATATCGTCCCTAGATGTGATAACATCCTTGGCGAACTGTTCTTCTCTGAAGATCCACTCGTCGACATGTCGGTCGTATTGAACTGTGGCTTGCTCTAGAGAATCCCCAGAGGCGGAAATGTCTGTACGAAGACCATCGACCTTAGTCTTGAGACGAGTCGATTGCCGTTGGCTGGAATCTTCGAGCAAGTTTCGGATCTGAGACATGAGATTGTCACGCTCAGCCTGGGCACTAGCCTGCTCCTCTTCCATCACCTGGGCCAAAGTAGACGAGGCTTTTCGATTTGCCTCCACTGCTTGGCGATTGGATTCCTGAAGCTCAAGTCGAAGCCGGTTGACGTCAGTCTTCTGCTGTTCTAGGTGGGCTGCCATGGTGTCGAACATGCTCTTGAAATCCTTTCCGAGGGCACTGTAGGATGAGTGCAACTGCAAGTGAAACTGGGAGAATTCGCCAATGACCTCTTCAGAAATTCGCGCAGCTGCAGCTGATAGTCCGTTCAATCCCTCCCCAACCTTCGTCTTGACATCCTCTCGAAGGACCTTGATTTCTTCAAGAACTTCGTTCATCTCATCGTGGGCACCGCTGGTTTGGCTCTTGGCTTCAGCTTCGACCTTGTCAAAAGTGCAGTCGTACTCTTGAAGCTGGGAGCGAGCTGACTGGACTGCACAAATCTCACTACCAACAAATTCGCGGATCCGGGTAGACATGCTCTGCAGGAGCATGGCATGCTGCGCTTGAAAGTGTTCCATACGAGCATCGATTTTCCCAGTCACATCGCAAAGCTCCCCGGTAGATGCTTGCCATATTTGGCGGTTGTCAGTTTCCAAGACGTCTTTCCGGTCTATTTTAGCGTGAAGTCCGCGGACATCATCAACAGTGCCATCCAGCATAGACAGAAGATCGGCACCTATCTCACGCAGCCTTTTCTCCGTGTACTGATGCGCCTTGCGAACCGCCATCTCTTCATCCAGCTTCTCAGAAGTGTTCTTCAGGTTCACTTCGGTGTCTTCTAGAGCGCCTCTTGTGGTATTGAGTTTTCTTTGGGTGTTCTCATTATCCTCCTTCAGAGTGTTGAAATTTCCAGTCAGAGCAAATAATTCTTGGACCTTGTGTCGTAAACTTGACTCCATTGACTCGATTTTTGCACGTTGTTCTCCGTTGACGATTCTGCGAGACTCGCTTTCCATCCTCATCTCTTCGTAGGCATCCGGTGTCATGTACACACCATTGCGGTTACGTGTAGCAATGAGCTCGCTCTTCAGCTTTTGGATTTCCATCCCGATCTCCCGGAGTAACTTGTTTTTCGAGATTAGTGAGTTAATCTGAGGCTTATTGCGGATGTTTTTGGCCCGGAAAGCGTAATCCAGGGTCGAAATCGTTTCTTCCAAGTTGCTTCGTGCAGGCGACACCGTGGCGATAATGCAGGTTTTCGTGAGGCCACCAAGCGAATCTTGCAATAATCGTGTGAGCTTCGACTCCCGATAAGGAATATGCGAGCTCTTGTCCACCAGCGCGTTGATGACTCGCCCCAAAGTGAGCAAGCTTTTGTTGATCAGACCAGCTTCGGCCGCACGCTTGTTCTCTGCACCACTCCGCCCGATATTTTCACTTCCGGCCAAATCCACCAAGTTCAGCTTCCCAGAAGTAACATAATCCTCGCCGGATTCACTTGTTCGATTCGTAAGAACAGTGATTGTAAAAACGGTGTGACTGCGAGAACTCAGATCATTACATTTTGTCGAAGCAACTTGACGCTTGAGACTGCCCATTTGCAATAATTTAATACCGGTGGAGGCCGAATCGATGTAAGTCTCTTCCATTCCTTGCACCATGGTGGCTGCATGGCCCTTCTTCTCATTTTCAAAAATTTTTAACTTTGTGTGGTCATCAGCAGAGAGTAGATCGCGCAATTCCTCGTTGTAAAGTTCGATGAAGGAGCACTTGACTGTACTTTCCGTGCCCTCAAGCTTCTGAAAAAGGGAATAGAGGGTGCGCGGAATAATGCCAGCATCGTCGGACAGGATACCCAAGGTGTCGGTCATATCTCCGGACATGGTGTATGTCTTTCCGGTGCCTGTTTGGCCGTATGCGAAAATGGTGCAGTTGTAGCCTGCGAGCATCTGCAACACAGTTAACAGGTAATCCCCGTCTGGCTCGGAAATTTCGCTTACCTCATTGACAATCGGCATGACGGTTTCTTCGAAAACTACAGTTTGGTCTGCAGCCGGAGAAAAAACTTTGTCAAAAGCATATACCTTGTTGGAAAGCGCATTGGGCCCCATAGAAAGGTCGACTTGCTTCCCACTGACGCCTTCGGTGGATAGCACAACCCCACTGTTCTCTTGAATCTCACGATCATTTCGACCGCGACAACGCACAACCACATGAATGCTTGTATTCTCATTGATCTCCCGTTCGAATTCCCGCTCCTTTCGCTTTGCTGCCGCGCTAGCTTGCTCTGGACTAACTTTTGAAGCACGCGCCGCGACAGCAGCACCTGACGTTGCCGCAGACTTAGCTGTGACTGCTGGCGACACTCCTCTTTGTTCTGGCACGACGGAACCTGCACGTCGAGTCGGCTGGCGCAAACCGGTCCGCTTCGTTGGAAGGGAGGAGGCAGGCCGAGCTGGGCCGGCCATGGTAGTTGATGCAGCGATCAATGTTGGCAGATTTCGCGTTGTGATGGAACGAAAAGAGGACGATCGGTGCCTCGATGTTGTGGGTAAAAGGGGAGTCAACCGTGGAACAAAGAGGGGATCGTTTCAAATGCTAGGATGCACGAGTGGATCCATTGGGCAAAACATAAACAAAGCGCACGTGACCTACATATCACAAAGGATTAACATTGTCAGCCCAGGTCCATACCGCCTGCCTAATATAGCTAGTTCACAACAGTCATGCCCCCTCCCACATGACCGAGCGTCATCGTGGTTTCCCCGCGGGTGATCGCTCCTTCCTAAGGTCGCCTTCCCTTATCTTCACCTGTCTCTCCAGTTTCTCATCTTATTTTGCTTCTGGTGGATGGTTTCTATCAGAATAACGTCGCCATGAGTGCCAGAAACTCGGCACCAGTCCAAATCTTTCCTGGCAAAGGCCTGGGCTTTATTAGCAAGTCCCTCTATCTCGAATGATCTGCACAGGAAGATAAGGCTAATTGTTGCTCAGCTCTCGGTGCTTCTCTCCACAACGTCTTAACCCGCGTGAAGTCTCATCCCCACGTATATCCTGCGATCGATCTGTCGTACTCTTCCACCGAACCCCTCTGTAAACCGGTGGTCTTACAGTTGCCCTCCAACGGGTTGCGCCTTCGCTTCGATGGCCCCGACCAGAGACTCCGCCTAATCGAAGTGCTGGACTTTTCTCGAATTAATCTGGTCTACAAGAGTCAGGATGTGCTAAAAAGTGGCAAAAAAGATGAGCCAGCGACCTCCCCACAAGGTCCCAGTTTTCGGCATGTCTACAATCGCCTGTTTGGCCCGTCTTACCCGGGCGAGTATGTCCCACCGGTGGATAGGTCCTCGTACGGTACCTACGTGCTGTCGTATCCTGGAGTTGCATTCTCGTTCCCGCTGCAACATTCCGCCTGGTCCGACCAGTGTGACTTCGTAGCCTTGCTTTCGTCCTCCGCTGCTCTGCCGGCAACCTCCATGTCCATATTTCAAGGGTCTTCTTGGCCCGAGATCCGAATGAAACTGTTCACCCAACCACCTCAAGGTCCCCGATTTTCCGCGGTCGCCGGCAAATCACGCGAGTCTTTCGCCGATGAGGTCGAGGAAATCCATATCCTCGGCGCTGGGAAGCTAGAAGTGATTAGGCGAGCGAGTCCACCGTTGCTAATTAACCTCGGGGAAACCACTCCCCAGGATCTGATCGCTGGGTTTGGTCCTCCGGATGCCATCTATCGTAAACATGACCGACGAATTTCTATACACCGCGCAACAGGGACTAGCGGCGGGGACCCTCTGCATATGAGTCCCTCGCCGGGACGAGCTATGGATATACCTGACACTGATCATTCCTCCAGTAACAGCGTGACAGATGACTCAGACGAGGAAATTTCCCCAAGCAACATTGGCGACCCAACCTCGTTGCCAACAGAATGCTTCTTTAACTACTTTCACCACGGCTTCGATGCCTTCATCTCGTACCCGGAAACAGCAGGGCCGGCCTTCCCGAATTCAGGCATATCAGATCCAACCTCTCCACCATTCTCATCTCAACTGACCGTGACCAAATTGGTTCTACATGGGAATGTACCAGGATCATACCCCTTCAATCGTCATCGTCGAAGCCGCTGGATGATCCACCTCGACCAGTCCGGTGATGGTCTTACTTCTGAAACGCCATATGATGAAATTTCCAAGCGGCTCCGTGATGTTTGGAAAGGACATTATAGCAACCAATTAGAGGAGCGCTCCACGCAACGGCCCATGGTTCTGAATCGAGGTTGGGGCGATAGTCCAGAGAGCAGTGTGGAATTCCTTGGGGGCTGGGAAGAAACCACAGCCCGAGGGCCCAGGGCCGGTCCGGATGGACAAGACGGCGGCTTGGGAAATACGGAACTTTTTGGATTCCCGGGGCTTCTGTTTGAAGTTTTAAAGAATGGTGCGGTCAGCTGTCTAACGGTTTATTAACCTACCCTGTCGGGCATTCGGTGCATAGGAAGAGTGGCGTTTTATGTATATTTTATATCAGATCTAAGCGGTATTATGACATTTATGGTTCACAATTATATGCTACTTCTCTACAACGTAAAGACTTTGTTAATTTTCTCCTTGGAGAGCCTAATCGACGAGAAAGAAGAGATAAAGGGCAAAAGGGTGAGTGAGATGGGTTTGGCTCGGCACAGGGGAACGTCAACAAATGCCACGGCAGCAGGGCCGGATGTTCGGAGCAGAGAAAATTATTATTTACATGTCTAGCTCAATGACTTGGCAAGTCTGTCTTATCAACCTGTAGCAGGTCCATCTTTACTACAAAAGCAAATATTTGAAGCCTACGCAGTACAATATAGAGATTTACTATGTAGGCCTAGCAGGGAGACACTCGCAGTAAAATATCATTGAAGGATCATTAAAAATGCTCGCAGTCATTCAGACAAAAAGGCAGATAAGCCGACAAACCCGACAATAAACAACTTCCTTAGGCGAGATTCATGGGCAGAACGAAGGGAGATCCTTCGAATTCGTAGGCGCTCGGATCTGCAATTTCAACTGAGATGCTCGGGTCCCTGATCAGTGTGGTGAGGTATTTGCGAATCTTCCGAGCACACGGCACCCAATCGTCATCCAAATTCTTTCGGGTTGCAAATATTAGCAAAGTAACAATAGGTTCCGGCATCAGGCCCCATTGCGATTGGCGGGTGACCAGCATCACTTCAATTACATCGATGGAAAATGAGTGAATCAACCTGTATATCTGGTCGAGGAAGTTCCCGCTCCACGCAAGATTATGATAGTGGCTGCCCTCATCAAACCAGAAGGTGTTCGCGGGGAGGGCGCAGAGCTGGGGGCCTCCCACACGGAGTTCTTCGTTCCAGATGTCATCGTCGGACATGTAGCCTTGGGGACCCTGCGGAGGGAGACAGTTCTCAATGGGCTGAGCCAGAGCATTTTTAATGATGGCTGATTGGGTTGAGTGACTGTTTCCATGAGGCGAGTTGGTAGATGAATTTGGGGAGGGCCAAGGGTTGCCAAGGGTGGTCGAGGGCTTGACAGGAGTATTCAGGACCATGAAAGGAGTGCCCTGGCCTGGTTGAGAGACAGTTGGCTCCATAGCAGTAGTCGGAGCGGTCCATTGAATAGGCTGGTTGGTGTAAAGCCCACTCAGAGTACTGGATTGGGTATCCTGTCCCATCTGAGAGCTGGTGGGATCAACGAGAGTAGTCTGGTCGCGCATGGGAGTAGATATGCCAGCGTAAGTCCCGTTCTGAGTATTTATGTGGGTATCCTGCTCAACAGGCGGAGCAAAAGGTGTCTTAAGAAGAGGCATTGGAGAATCCACATACTGAACAGAAGCGCTCTGCTGATTAGGCGATGCCGTGAAGGGGAAAGGCGAAGACATAATAGTAAGAAGGGGGCTCACAAAATCAGTAGGCTGGACATTAAAAGAAGTCCTCGGAGCTGCCACGGAAGTACGAGGGGCCAGAGGAGCCCTTGAAGTGCTCAAAGCTCTCGGGTTCTGAGACGTTCGGGGAGTGCGAGTCTTGGGGGCCTTGGTGGGTGTTGTAGGAAAATCCAACTTGTCCCGTTAGAAAGCAGATCACAGCCAGTGAAACATTTCCGCGAATGAAGCATCGTCGTTGTCTCTTACCTGGAAATTGATGAAGTGCATGGTTACGTCGGAAGATCGAAAGGTGGACTCTGAAAGAGGTAGGAGGGGGAATGGTGGACGGAAGGGGAGTGAATAGAACGATAGTGAAGGGAAGGGTGGAGGAAGCAGGAAAGCGTTGGGATGGATTCACTCAGAAAATGTTGAAGGTGAAGGCATAATGTGACTGAATTGGGCTATGACTGTCTCAGAAATCCGAATTGAGATTCCAATGCCATAAGTGAATGCAGCGTATGTACAGTCTAGAGAACGACCACCGTTTAAACACTCAGAACTACCATAATTTCCATATTCCTAGCTCAATCTCCTTAGACGGGCATATAAAGCGTACCGTTGTAGGCACATTTGATCTTCACCTCGGGTTGTGGGTTATCCTGGCAAATCCATTTCGTCCCAGGAGCGCTACCATTGGCATTGGAGTTCAGTACAGCATGGCCCTTCTCAGGAATAGAGCCATTGACTCTCTGAAGCTCCAGAGTAAAGAGATTGAAGTTCGGAGCACCCTGAGGGAACTTAATGTAGTACTCTCCATCATTGCAACGAGCACTCGACTTGGGCATTTGCCCGTAATCCCTATAGTAGGGGTTATTGGTCTGGATGCGTTGGGACCTGGGATGTTTAGGAACTTACCAGATCAAATTGCAATCTGTTGGTGTGTCATTGGGGTATCTTGGGTCGGTGACAACGAATTGCATGGATGCTCCAGGGTCTGAGGGACCCGCTATGGCAATGAAATCAGTGATTGCTAGGGAGCTGCTCCGTCTGGTAGGAACAGCAAGCGTCGAGCCTGCTGCAAGAATGGCAGAAGCGATGGTGAGCTTCATAGTGACGTTGACAATTGAGATTCAGACGGAAGTATTGCTAACAGATGGAACTTGATTGTGGGGAGACGCCCCCTTTATACTTCTTGAGCCGTGCAGCTTCAATTGTGGGGCTTGAATCTACATGTGACATGACCATACCATGCATCATCAAATCTCAGATCGATTGCATTGTGGGCACGGTGGAGCAAAAACGAATCCCACTGGAGGACGGCTCGTACAGTCTGACTGAGTCAGTTAGGCAACTTCCAAGCTTACAAAGGATTGAGTACAGTCTATTTTGAGGTTTGTTTGGTTGGGGATTTCAGGCTTCCAATCATGGCAGATGGGGGACTGGATGATCATTGCTATAAACAGACCGTTGTCTGGGCTAAGCCTCCGGGCACAGGATGCAGATGCAGTAGTATCTGTATCACCTAATTTAAGACTTGTTTATTTACATGTCTAAAGTAGTCCGCTAAGCCGCAGTTTGTATGCGTATGCAGCTTACTCGATGTTCACTATGGTAACCATCAAATGAGACATGCATTTACGAAGGGACTGATGATCGCCAGCATTTCGTGTTTCAGGTTCCAAGGACCCAATTAATGGTTCGATTGGGCACCCAGACATCCGCCTAGGCCTTATGTTCTGGAGCCCTTCGATCCTTTCAGTATTTTGCAGCTTCTAGAGGATCCCGTGAAGTGGTCGAAGTGGTCGTCTAGATATGGGATTGATGTGTAGTAGCTGCTTGTGTATTTGTATTACGGTTTCTGTACTTTTTGATTCGCTCTGTGATTGTAATGCTGGTCCCCGCTGTACAGCCCCAGTCCCGTCGCGATCGTCACAAATTCCGCGCTTTTCAAGCCTCACGACAATCGGCAGAGTCTTGGGAACCTCCACGGGATATGCAGGAGGATGTCGAAACCGCCAAGGCCAATCCCTAAGTCCTGGACATCAACCCTCAAACTCCCCAAATCGGCATTCCCCCCGCGCGTGTCGCCGACCGACCAGAAGAAATACCTCAAACGATGCACCGATGAGCTGTACGCCTGGCAGCGCCAGGAACGTCCTGCCAACAAACCCTTCGTTCTCCATGATGGTCCGCCATATGCAAATGGTGAGTTGCATATTGGCCACGCGCTCAACAAAATTTTGAAGGATATCATCTGTCGTTTCCAATTGGGTCAAGGCAAGCGGGTGCGATATGTTCCCGGCTGGGATTGCCACGGCTTGCCCATTGAGCTGAAGGCGCTGCAAGGTCTGCGCGAGATGGGTGTGGCGGACAAATCGGTCAGTGCGGCGGTGATCCGCAAGTCGGCGCGACAGCTCGCAAGGCAAACGGTCAAGGACCAGATGAAGGGATTCCGCGGGTTCGGAGTCATGGCTGATTGGGATAATCACTGGAAAACCTTGGACAAATCGTTTGAAATGCGACAGCTTGGGATCTTCCGGGAGATGGTGGATCGAGGCCTCATCTATCGAAAATTCAAGCCGGTGTATTGGTCGCCGTCTACAGGGACGGCACTGGCTGAGGCGGAGTTGGAATATAAGGATGACCACGTCTCAACCGCTGCGCTCGTCAAGTTCCCTCTGATGACCATCCCGGAACATCTCTTAAAGGACCCGTTGCTTCAATCAAAAGATGTGAGCGCGGTCATCTGGACAACCACGCCATGGACCCTGCCTGCCAACGCTGCAATTGCCGTCAGCGAAGGCCTGGAGTATACGATTGTTCATTCGGAAACGCATGGATACCTTCTTGTGGCCCAGTCACGAGTCGAGTACCTCCAGCATATGTTAAACGAGGACTTGGATATCATTGTACCATCGATTCTTGGATCGGAACTAGCGGACAAGACCACCTACCGAGCTCTGTTCAAAGGCCCCGAAGCTGAAATCCAGCTGATTATCGGTGCACCTTTTGTAACTGCAGATTCTGGATCTGGATTGGTTCACTGCGCACCTGGTCATGGTATGGACGATTACGAAGCCTGTCTTGCTCGTGGCATTGAGGTCTTTGCGCCTGTCAATGATGATGGTAAATTCACCGAAAAGGCAATGCCCCATGACCCTGCTCGCTTAACTGGAAAAGCGGTGCTTGGAGAGGGCAATGAGGCTGTTCTAGAATATGTACAATCACAAGGCCAACTCCTCGCTCAGCACCGTTACGATCATAAATACCCCTACGATTGGCGTTCCAAGCAGCCAATTATTATCCGGGCTACTGAACAATGGTTCGCTGATGTTGCCGATATTCGCAGTAATGCGCTGAAAGCACTCGAGAATGTCCGATTCGTACCCGAGGCTGGTAAGCACCGACTGGAGAACTTTGTGAAGAACCGCAGCGAATGGTGCATTTCGCGACAACGTGCTTGGGGTGTACCAATCCCTGCTATCTACCACCGGCCCACTGGAGAAGCGGTTCTGACCAAAGAAAGCGTGTCGCATATCATGAACACCATTGAGGAACGAGGCATTGACGCCTGGTGGACCGATAGCGCCGATGATCCGGCCTGGGTACCACCATCGCTACGAGAAGACGCTGGAGGCTATCGACGCGGCACAGATACGATGGATGTTTGGTTCGATAGCGGCACTAGTTGGTCAGAAATTGACGTTCCCATGGAGGGACGCAGCCACCCCGCAGATGTCTATCTTGAAGGAAGCGACCAGCATCGTGGCTGGTTTCAATCGGGTCTCTTGACTTATATTGCCCACCAGCTCGCATCTGGCAAGACTGGCGTGCCCCACGCACCTTTCCGTAACCTGATCACCCATGGTTTTACTCTAGATGAAGATGGTCGCAAGATGAGCAAATCCATTGGCAACACCATCGCGCCCCAGACCATTATGGATGGAACCCTCCTGCCTCCTCTAAAACCGCGCAAGGGTAAAGGCAAGAATCAGGCGGAGAACCAGGGTCCGACCTACGATGCACTGGGCGCTGATGCTCTTCGCCTGTGGGCAGCTAGTAGTGACTACACCCGTGATGTCGTGATTGGCAAGCAAGTTCTCCAGACCGTTCACACCAGTCTCCACAAGTTCCGTGTTACGTTCAAGCTTCTTCTTGGCGCGTTGGCTGATTTCCAGCCAGAATGCATGGTGCCATACATGCAGCTGCAGCACGTAGATCGAATCGCCCTCAAACACCTGTCGGACATGGTCCTTGCATCCCGGAAATCCTGTGAGAACTTTGAGTTCTACAAGGCTGTGAGCATAATGAACCGATGGGCAAACCTGGAGTTTTCCGCCTTTTACATGGAGGCTATCAAGGATCGACTTTACACCCTGGGCGAGAACAGCACTAGTCGCCGGGCGGCCCAGACCACCCTCTTCTACATCTACCATCACCTCCAAGAAGCCCTTGGCCCCATTACCCCCCTGTTGGTGGAGGAGACCTGGGAGCACACCCCTCACGCCATCAAGTCGGTCAGTGAGCACCCCTTACGACGCATCACCTCTGCGCCCGCGTCCGAATGGCAGAATTCCTCCTTGGATGAGAATTACCTCGAGCTTGTTGCTATCCACTCGGTGATCAAGCACCTGCAAGAGCAGGCCCGCGGAAAGAAGCAACTTGGTTCGTCCTTGCAATCATTCGTGCACGTGGTCCTGCCTGGTGACACGGGCACCGTCTTCCACCAATACCTCTCCGAGCTTCCCGATCTCTTCGTTGTCTCATCGGTGACCCTCGGTCACCCTGGCGACTCGGTCCCAGCAGAGATTTCACAGGCTGAGTGGCAATACGAGGAAGCGTGTGAGCTGCCTGATGGACCGGGACGGGTGTATGTCTACGCCCCGCGAGCGTCCAAGTGTAACCGGTGCTGGCGGTACGCAGTGCCGGAGCTGAAGGCCGAGAACGCGATCTGCGACCGGTGTGACAGCGTATTGGACGAGCTCGAGGCATCCGCATAAACCCACCTGTACTATATAGATTCCTGCATGTATCATATTGATCATTTCTCTTCTCGCAATTATTGGTTCGCACTGCAGCCGTAGTGTTCCCCTGCAGTATTTTAGTCATAGAATCCACGCAAACCCGAAACCTGCAGCTTTATTTCCAAAATTTTCCAAGATTTTGTTCCGCTTTCGTTGCACCTGTATCGATGACGACAGTCGTGATGTAAACAAAAATCAAGATTTCCCTCGTATTTCCTTCGACCTTTCTCACTCCACAATCTCAATCTTTTTCTTCTTCACATTCATCTTTTTACCTGCCAATATGATCGTGCCTGACTTTGACGACTTCCCGACTCCCACCATGTCTTCATCCACCAGCTCAGTGGCGCCGATCCCCACGGTCATCCCGAACTTTCCGATCCTCCAGGGGATCCACACCACTGGAACACGTACTCTCTGGTAAATCCAGAACAGCCCAGAAACATGCAAGAGATCAACTAACAGCTATACCAGGGTCGTGACTGTGCTCATGGGCATCTCCGCCCTAGTCTTCTACAGCCTATCTGCCCGCGCTCCCCTGGTAAGGGACCTTCAAAAATAGATAAGCATCCTAAGCTAATCCAACCCCACAGCCAAAGCGGGTCTTCCACACCATAAGCGCTTTGATCACCACTATCGCCTTCATCACCTACTTCGCCCTCTCAACCGGCCAGGGTGTGCAATTCAACCACCATCGCATCACCCACAAAAACAAGCATGTCCCCGACACAGCGGACGATGTCATCCGTGCCGTTCTGTGGCTTCGCTTCGTGAACTGGGCTCTTACCATCCCCCTCTTACTGACGAACTTCGCCCTCGTCTCCGGTCTCCCGGGCGCGAACCTCTTTGCTGCTATTGCTGCAAACTGGGTGATGCTCGCAACTGCTGCGTTCGGCTCGTTTGCCGGACACACCACTGCCCGGTGGGGCTGGTTGACGCTGTCTTGCATTGCGTATTTGACTATGCTCCACCATGCTGGCTTCCACGCACAGCGGGCTGCACAGAACAAGGATTCCATGACGAGACGCTTCTTTGGAGCTTATTCGGGATCCGCCTTCTTCGCCTTGGCTCTATTCCCGATGTACGTTTTATTTTACTTCCCCAGCCCGGTGGCGTTGTTAGATGTGCTTGGCTAACTCTCGGCAGCGCTTTTGCGGCGGGCACTCTTGCCTTGAAGATTAGTGTGGACACCGAGACTATCCTGTATGCTGTCCAAGATATCTTTACCCAGGGACTTCTGAGCTACTGGCTTGTGGTGTCGCATGACAGTGCGCAGGGAATGTAAGTTGAAGCCTACCACTCCCGTCGTCATCCTTGCTAATGATGATAGTACCCTCCACCTGGATGGATTCTGGTCTCACGGAATTGGCAATGAAGGCGCCATCCGGATCGAGGAAGAGGGTGCGTAAATCAACTACGTGCTCCACTTCCTCCCACAGAACACGAAAGGTGCTGCAGTGATCAAATTGTCACGGGGACCAAAACAGTTTACAGGACTTGATGGATTATGGTTAAGCGTTGCTTACGATCCAGGTTACCAGATTGAGAAAGGCCAGACTGATTTTCGTTTTATCGGATTCATTTCGGTTATGCTGCATGTAAAATAATCCATGCCTTAGTGGGCACTTGCCCGCGTTCACTCCATGAATCAAAAGCTTCAGATAATCCTCGCTGCAACTCCTGTAAAACTATCCGTAGCGCCTTAGCCGTAAAAGAATACCGAGCAATAATGACCCATACTCCCCATCAATGCCTGTGCTGTTTTAATGGCCTTTCCGTCAAATCACCCCAGCTCAAATCAACATTGACAATATTTACCCTGTTTCAATTATCTTCTTTCCACCAATCACCTCGGCATTCAAGTCTTTCTGCAAGTCAATATTGACAATACCAACTGGTACAGCTCGTAAATCACTTTCCTGGGGATATTGAACAGAGACTCCCTTCATAGACAGTGGCAGCCAGAGCCCAGCATCAATGCACCGACCCTTGAAATGAAGGTATCGCAACTTCTTGGGATCAAACCACTGAATGATCGGATCAGCATCGATAACAAATCCGCTCAATGTAAGTTTCCGGATTGAAAGGCGGCGACTCGTTCTTCCCATTTGCATAGCAAGGACTTTGGCAACTTCGATGCAATTCTTGTCAAGGTATTCTCCATATCCGATATCACGGTGTAGTTCACCACTGCCATGATTTCCACTTGAAATAATCAGCGACCTATGCAAGGTTCCTTCACGTCCCGTATGCCATACGTTCAAGCAATTGGGAAAAGAACTCACAAATAAACTGGTCCACCACCCGTGCTTTCATCAATGGCCCACCCCTCCTTGATGTCTTTCCATTTGTCCTGAAGGATCCGATTGACAATCTCCGGCTCCAATACCATCTCGAGCTCAAGCTCATCCAGCTCCGGGTTCAACCACACAGCTCGCCAAATACACCTTTGAAACGACTGCATCATCCCGGTGATCTTGAGCGAGCGCAGGTTCCAGAACTCGCAGAGATATTTCAACTCATCGTAAGTGCGCGGTCCGACATCGTCATCTCTATTGAAGTGATAGGGCCAGAACAGATCAAGCCTAAGTCTTTCTCTATTCCGTGGAATCATAGACCAATTAGAGCCACCACGAAATTTAAGCAGTGGGTTTTCCAGTGTTGCGATTTCAGTGTCGTACTCGGTGACTCCTGCATCTGAGCTTACACAGGTCGTCAGTGGAGTGGTAGACAGGCAGGGAGAAGTTGGCATCGAAGTTGAGACATGGAGTCGCGACACAGAACGGGGAGGTGAAGCTGGCACCACTCTCTTTTCGATTCTTGTCTGTCGCGGCGGAAGCTTCTTCTTCAGAGAGGGCAACTGTAGCGTACGTGGCGAACCAAATGGATGGGGCGGTCGAGTTGGCGACGGAGAACGAACACGATGGCCCAAATCTCGGAGACGAGACGTTGCCGCTGTCACAGTCTTGTTGCGGCGAAGACCAGAAACGCCTTTGATGTCGGACATGCTGAGCTTGCGACGACGTTTGGAAGTTGGAGTTACTTCTGGTTCTTCCAGTGGATTCTTCTCTCTGTCTATATTTTGCACCTTTCCTTGTTCCTTGGCGTGCGGCCCTTCTTCAGGACCCAGGTTGAATGGAAAGCATTTATGGAGGTTGAGGTCGAGATCGAGGTCGAGCTCTGCGGTATGTTAATTTTAGTTCCTTGGTCTTGTTGGGCACGGGAAGCAGGATGGTAAGGGCAGGAGGTTGAGGAAAAAAGAAACCAAAGGATATAAAATGAAATTAGAAAGTAGATGACGGTGTGAAAAGTTTAAGAAGCTTTTACCCTCATCCAGTACTGGATTGCTCATTCGTTCCTGATAAGCTTCTGCATCTTTCCAGAACAGCCATCCCATGAGGGTGCAACTCCAGTGTTCTGGGTGATCGTCCATGGCGGAATGAAATCAGTTATAGTGAGTGTGTTGAAACAGAAGACATCAAGTGGTCAACATGAGAAAAGAAAAGAGCGACTGAGTGTGAGATCCCATGGCGGCCTTGTTGAGGCAGGAGCTGTTAGGCCATAGATCGAATCGGTGGTATTTCAACCATGACCACTATGTATATCTACCATACTACCTATGATATAGACAAGCATAGGATGGCTAAGTCAATCAAGGATGACGTTCATGGAGCTGGATCAGCTGAGCTTGTCGAGGTCCTAGCGCTGAGGGATTGTCAGACCATGATTGGTGTTTCCATACAGTGCGATCAACAAATTCGAGTTGACTACCATGAACCTAGCATTGCAAAATCATGATACTAGACATTCCAGAAGAACCTACGTTTACTCATGAAAGAGGTAATGGCTGATACTGGACTTGCTTTTTCTCTTTTCCCTTCCCGTTAAATACATCCATGGAGCCTTCTGGGGGAGAAATCAAACCCGCAAGTCATTTTTTTGATCCAGCACAATAAAAAACACCTTTTAAATTTGGGGGGGTGGTAAAGAAACTCGGAACTAAATCATGCGTGCATCATTCTCAATAGCCTAGTACTTCTTGCCCTGGCGCAGAACATCACCGAACTCCTCAAGAGGAGAGCGGATGAGCTTAGTCTCCTTCCAGAGGTTGGGAGTGAGGAAGCCGTAGGTGTTGACGACGGCAACGAAGGTGGCCTTGAGGGTGTTCTCGAGGGTCTTGGTGGAACCGGAAGAGGAGGTGTAAGCATCCTCGACACCGGCGAGCTGGAGCAGACGCTTGACGGCGGGGGAGGCGACAAGGCCGGTACCACGGGGAGCGGGAATGAGCTGAAGCGGTCATTAGTAAGAGGTAGCCAAAAACCTGTCGGATCAAAGATTGCACATACACGGACGGAGACGGAACCACACTTTCCACTCTGCTTCACGGGCAGAGAGTGAGGCTCACCAAGGTTGGAGCCCCAGTATCCGCGGCGGACGGGGAGGACAGCGAGCTTGGCAATGGTGATAGCAGCACGGATGGCGGTAGCGACTTCCTTGGAGGTCTTGATTCCGAGACCGATGTGGCCCTCACCGTCACCGATGAGAACGATGGCCTTGAAACGGGTACGCTGACCGGCACGGGTCTGCTTCTGGACGGGCTTGATCTATAGTTCGAGAAAACATCGAATTAGTCTTGAATATCCCAAGGTAATGCGGTTGCGCTCTCGCGATCTAAGGCGGTCGAGGGTCGCATTGAGATTTCATTCCCTTGCGGTTCTGCGATTCCCAATTGTGCGCGCGTTTGATCGGTTGTCGTAGTCGTACCTTCATAACCTCATCCTTGAGCTTGGGCAGGAAGAAGTCCACAATCTGGTACTCCTTGACGGGCAGAGAGTGGAGGTAGATCTGCTCCATGCTGGTGATCTTGCCGGCCTTGACGAGACGGCCGAGCTTGGTGACGGGCTGCCACTCCTTCTCCTCCTGCTTGCCTCCACGGCGGCCACGACCACGGCGACCACGGCCACGGTCACCACCACGGTCGCCACGCGAACCGAATCCACCACGTCCACGGGGAGCAGCGTCAGCCATTTTGGATGTATGTGAGGGCGACGGGAAGGGGTTGTTTTGTCGAATTGGTCGTCGGAGACTTCGATACGGGTGTTTGGCACCGAAATTTGCGGGTGGAAGCTAAGCGAGGCGGGCTGCCCTATGCGGTGCCCTAGCCCTATTACTGTTTCGAGGTGAAAGAACGGGTATTATGTAAGAAGGCGTCTGGATTTGATGGCACGTGCATATGATTAGATAAGTCATCTTCTGGTCAGGTGACGGATCCACTTGGGTTCAAGATCTTCATCAGGGATATCAGTACTGTTATGGATAAACTTGCAATATAGTATAGAGACGTTCAAGAAATCGATGAACAATTTAGCGAGGTGAATTCAAAGTGCAATAATTTTCTCAAATTACATCATCTTCAATGTCGCCTCCGTTTATGTACGAAAAACCGATCCTATCCCGTCGGATCGGTTTCCTAATTCGGGGTCGGGAGTGTGGACTTTGCACTAAATCCTGTTGAGCGGGCAAAGTTGACTCCGCAATTTAAAGATGTCATTGCCCCAGTCTTGATCTTCCACTTGAACCCTCATTCCTGAACTCCTTTGTTGATAGCATTGTATTGCATTTTAGAGTCTTATCTCCTCCTCTACAACGTCTTCTTTCACACAATGTTGCGCTGGTTTGTTTATCTCCCTTTCCCATTTCCTTATCTTTACTGACCGAGATGATCGATGCAGGTACCAAGCCAAATTGGCTGCAAGGCCCATTTTGACCACAAGCATCAGCAGTGCGGTACGGTCTCCTCTTCGAATTCAACCCCTCGATTACGTCTAATATACCATACAGGTATTGTTCGGCAGCGGAGACATCCTAGCGCAGCAGGCCGTTGACCGCCGAGGTCTCGAGAAACATGACTTTGCGCGCACCGGTCGCATGGCTCTCTACGGTGGAGGTGAGTCGCGTCCCCTCTATGATATCCCAATGGCGTACTCATTCAATGTTCTTAGCTGTATTCGGCCCTGCTGCCACCCAATGGTACCGTATCCTCCAGCGTCACATAAACCTTAAGAGCAGAGCCGGCACCACCATTGCCCGTGTTGCAGCGGATCAAATGGTGTTTGCTCCGATCCAGTTAACCTGTTTCCTATCTTCAATGTCCATCATGGAGGGATCTGACGTAATGGAGAAGTTGCGCCATTCCTGGGTTCCCAGCTATAAGGCCAACCTGCTGGTCTGGCCATTTGTGCAGGCTGTGAACTTCACATTTGTACCCTTAGACATGCGTGTTCTTGTGGTTAATGTGGTCAGCTTAGGTGAGTGGTTTTTAACATCTTTGACTGTTATTGGGTCATCTCTTTGTCAATTCTGTACTGATTTCCTTTAGGATGGAACTGCTTCCTGAGCCTGCTAAACAGCGGTGAAGAGTAGAGCTGATTTACTTACCTTTGAGATCTTTTACATTAACTTTCTATGCTTTATTGGCGGGTCATTAGCATTCCTTATAGAGGGTCTTCGGTCGGTTTGGTCTGATCTCTATGCTGGGTTTCTGTTTCTGTATATATAACATGACTATAAGGGAATTTCTTTTTTTGTGTGCTGGAAATGGGACTTCATGGAGTTATTTTCATAAAAGATGTATATTCGCAAACAGAACGAATTCAATACTGATCTACTGGCCTCTGGTGATGGCTATACTGTATTAGGGCTGTGCGGCCCGACCCAAAGAGGCAAGAGTTTTTCGCCGCTTTTTTTGAGCGGAATTGAATCTCGAACTTCAAAACTTCGGTGCGGGTCCCTATCGTGTTGCCCAACAACCTCTTTTCTCCCCCACGCTATATTGCCTGGACTGCCTGGAGCAGATCTCTCTGTTTCATCTCACTTCTCCGGCCTCTCATTTGCTCTTGCTCTTTCAGCATTAGCGCTTATCCGATACAACCCAAAAATCCCGACCTTCTTCTTTCATCTCCCACCAACCCCATCATGGCCGCCGTCGCAGAGAACGGCCACCCCGTGGCTGACGAGAACACTGCTCCCGCCGTTGGTCCCTCGGCCGATGAGCTCGTGACCGTCTTCCACAACCCTGAGAACTTCAACGTCAAGCACCCGCTCATGCATGAGTGGACACTCTGGTTCACCAAGCCCCCCAGCGGCAAGGTCCGTTTTTCATCGCTTGCCACTTCGACCGAATCTCCCAATCGCTGACCTCGATGATAACTAGGGCGATAACTGGAATGATTTGCTTAAGGAAGTCGTTACATTCAGCTCCGTGGAGGAATTCTGGGGCATCTACGTATGTGCCCAACCCGACGGCCGAGAACCACAAATTATGCATTCGGACCTGTTCAACAGGGAGAGAGATATATTACATAACCACTAACCCTCACATTTTCTCATAGAACAACATTACTCCCACCTCCGAGCTGGGCCTCAAGGCCGACTACCACCTCTTCAAGAAGGGCGTACGACCGGAATGGGAGGACGCGCAGAACAAGCACGGTGGCAAGTGGTCATACCAGTTCAAGGACAAGCGCTCCGTCCCGATCGATGATCTCTGGCTGCACGCGCAGCTTTCTGCAATTGGCGAGACACTGGAGGCCGACGATGACAACGAGGTGATGGGAGTGGTCGTCAACGTTCGCAAGGGTTTCTACCGTGTCGGTCTGTGGACACGTACCGTCGGCAAGGGCATTCCTGGCGACAAGAGTGCCCGTACCCCCGCTCAGGGCAAGGAGGTGTTGGAGGCCATTGGTGCGCGGTTCAAGGACGTGCTCCGCCTTAAGGAGGCGGACGTGGTGGAGTTCTCCGGCCACACCGACAGCGCGCACAGTGGTAGCACCCGTGCCAAGGCCAAGTACACCGTTTAAGCATCGGATCGAATCGAGGACACAAGGGATTTATTTCAATTTCGCCTTTGATATGGTATCCACGTTATTAACAAGGGAGATATGGTGCTCAAGTCGGGGTCTCATCTTATGGTGATTTCCCCATGTGGCCTGGGCTTGAGAGCGGAGTTGCAGAATGAAGGAAAAAAGTCAATGATTCCCACCTGGCAGTCTCTTAGCACCTGCTGCATTTTCTTGCTTCGTCGGCAAGATTTTCCTTATTTTTTTCTTTTTATTTTTTCCCAGTGACGACCCTGATTGCTTGCGACATGTATCTTACCCTACCAAACGCATTTTATGAGGCATATGTCGTTGGCCATGCTGGTCTGTTGTTTAGAAAGTACGTCATTATAGTATATTCAATTTATTATGAATTGATGAATGTCAAATTCCACAAGTAGATCAGAGCGAGGTGCTCTCGATTCAAACAATCCAGGGTTATCTGTGGTCTGTAGCTTTCAAAGATTAACGTAGATTGTCAATTGCCCAGCGTATTGTTCCATATTCATCTGAAGTTCTGGGACCGGTCTGAACCTCCGTATCAATTTGTTCGTTATATATTGCCGGGTATCCTCCCTCCTTTTATATATATCTCCATCGACAATCTTCCCACTCTCGCAACGCCCCCGGCGGGGCAAGTAAAGTAATCCGTTCACAATGACCTTTAATGAGCTATTAATTTGTCATATTCAGATAATTCACTGAGGTCGTGGATGTACCCGTGGACATACGATCCAAATCTTGCTACATGACCGCGCAACTGGGAGGATAAGTCGTCCCTTCGAAGCATTGGGAATCCAGCTTTACCTTTTTAATTCCCGTAACACAAGATGAGCTCAGATATACAAACACCATGGATGTGGCTTGACAATGTCACAGAATTGGGTCAGCATGTCTCATCAACAAGAAGTCTGTGTTCCCAACCTGCCCCTCATGCCCGTCAATGGATCTTCCGCGTGAAGCGGCGGTAGTCAGCATAGTCGCAGATAATTCTACTGTATTTGCCATAAATGCACAATCGAACACTTGAGCCTGGCTGCTGGTTTCTTTACTAAAACTTGATTTTCCCGTTTGCAGCCTTGCCCTTGCCACCACACATCGCGATATCTCAACATGGAGACAGTATCTGTCCCAGCTCTAAGCTGGACCCGAGGCATACTCATCCTACTCGTCACAGCACTCTTAATCCTATATTGGTATATTCGCATACCATCCGATATGCCCAAAAATATTCCCACAGTTCCTATCTACATATCCCTTATAGGCCTCTGGAGCGATATGGGCCAAGACACAATCTATGACCGCTGGCTCCGACCACCTCTCGAGAAGTATGGTGCCGTTCAAATTTGGTTCGCGGGCCGATGGAACGTTCTCGTGACACGGCCATCGTACCTTGTGGATATGTTCCGACATGAAGATGTGTACGCGAAAGCGGGGAGCCAGAAGAAGATCCCGTGGAGTGTCATTGCGGCACTGGTTGGTGACAATATTATCAATGCACATGGGGAGAATTGGAGGCTTTTTACTTCGATTATGAAGCCTGGTTTGCAGAGGCGGATCACGGATTCAGGACCGCTGTTGGAGAAGTCGAGGTTATTTGTTGATATTCTGTTAGGTGAACAGCAAAAGGGAGAGGTGGGCGTCCCTGTTAATGCTATCATTCAACGATGGGCGCTGAGCTGTATGGGGTTGAATTTTATGGGCGTCGATCTTGAGGTATGTCTACGAGAAGAGCTTTATCAGTCTACTTTGGGGCTGTTTATACTGACAAAACCAGTCTCTGGAAAAGCCCGGGCAGCGTCTCGAAGAACTGCAGACGATCATCAAAAGGACTCTCTTCAAGCCTCTCTTCTTCAACTTCCCTGACCTGGACAAATTCCCTTCTCTGTTCCCCCAGCGGAAGGTGGCATTCGCAATCATGCAAGAATTTGGCGATCTTCTTTGCGAGACCGTCCGAAAACGCGCACCAGCAACCCACGAAGGTAATGGTACGGAGCAAGTAGTTGACCTACTCGATCGTGCTCTCAAAGAAGGAAAAATCACTGAAGAACAATACCGCAATAACCTCAAAGTCACTTTCCTAACCGCCCACGAAAACGCACAGCAGCTCCTGAACTCCGCCTTCTGGGAACTGGGCAATAACCAACCCATTCAGAACAAGCTCCGAGCCGAGATCCTCGCCATGGACATGCTCAACCCCTCAACTGAGGACGTGAACTCAATGCCCTACCTATTCGCTGTCGTCCTCGAGCTTCTCCGCCTTTATCCCCCAGTCTCCCAACTCATCAATCGAGTTACAACGTCCAAGGCCGTTATAGGTGGCGACATCGTGATCCCAAACCACACATGGGTAGGTTGGAATGCGTTCGGTGTACACACAGACACACAAATATGGGGTCCCACAGCCCGAGAATTCATCCCAGAGCGCTGGGGAAGCGATGTGAAAACGATTCAAAATGCAGTCCGTAGCAAAACGACGCAGTGCCACTTCATTGCATTCAATGCACACTCTCGGAAATGCCTTGGCCAAGGCTTTGCGGTCCTGCAGATGAAGATCCTGCTATTCGAGATGGTCCGGCGAATCGAGTGGACGGTTGATCCAACCTATGAACTGAAATTGACATCGGTGAGTGGATTTGGAAACACATATGACGCGACCCCTACATCTAAAGTAAGTTCTCGGCTGATATCTTGACAGGGTGGGATATTAGCGCCATTGATGCTTCGCGTGATCCTGCAAGAGAGGAAATGAAAGCAGCGGATGGAAGGTATCGACCCGGGTGAGCTAGCTCTGATAGCTCCACCATGACAGACAGTGTCTCCTTCTCAAGAACTCTGGTCAGATCTATAGGATGGAGACTGTCAGCAGACTTGTATCTACCGCTATAGATGATAAATCAGCCTCTTCCTACCGGGCACACATCATTAGTCACATTGGACCTAAATCTGAACTCTGTCACCGGCAAATATGGGTAGCAACGGACGTAGTACAGAAACGAAGCATGGCTATGTCGGCGCCAGCGAGAGTCTATCCTTCATACCATAATTTCAAAGCATAAAGTATGAGGGGAAAGCCACCTGCTATTTCTGCCTGACTTTTGAGTTGAGCCAGACGTCTTCTTTCCAGGCGATACGTCTAAACGAAGCCTTGATCCAATGATCAGCATGTCAGAACCGCCTCCGAAGAACTATTACAAGGTCGCCGTGCTGATTCATGAGGGCGCCGATATTCTCGACTGTACAGGCCCGATGCAAGTGATATTGCATGTCACTTACAACCACAAGTCAGACGATCCCGATCCCGTTTTCAAAGTCACGACGATTGCACAAAAGAGTATAGTTCACACAGCTACTTTCCTTCACATCGAACCCGACATCCTATTACCAGATGTTCTGGATAAGATCACAGAGTACGATATCCTCATAGTCCCCGGTCCTTCACTATCAATGATACAACAGTTGATCAAAGACCCCGACATCCCGGAACTGGATCTAATTCGCCGATATACCACTTCAGAACCTTCCCGCTCTCGCATTCTCTTCTCCGTCTGTACGGGTGCATTACTTCTAACCGCAGCAGGCATTCTATCCGGATTAACGGCCACAACGCACCATCTCGCCCTATAAAATTGGGAGAACTTTGCTCTGTTCACGACCAAGCCAAACCCACAACACAAGTGGTACATCGACGATTCGTCGATGGAGGAGTGATGAAAGGAACCAAAGTGCAGATTATATCATCTGGAGGAATCAGTGCTGGAATCGACGCTACCATGTATATCGTATGCAGACTTCTCAGTGCCGAAGCAGCATCGTTCGTTTCTGAGGCAATAGAATATGGATGGATGGAGCCGCTAGATGGTAATTGGCCTACAAAGTTTCACTGTGTCTTGGATTGAACGGTGCTTTCAAGTGTCTAGGTGGCTTGTGGCGAGGTACTTGAGAACTGTTCGTACACATCCATTCAAGTTCTTTCTTTTCACCATGTTTGGTAGGCTTCCACAGCCTCGGGGATCGAGCTCACTGAGGAGGAATTCAATCGTACAAATATAATCAAGTGCAGGGATTGTGCTGCTTTTCATCCTTCAAATTATCACCTTGGTCCGTCATGTTCTACGGGGCTGCTCCTAGACACTAACCAAGGCCAGAAAGCATTGTCTGTTAGTGGCTTTGTGGATGGTTGATACGTGCTGAATATTGAGTAAGACCACGAAATGATCTGGATCCAGGGCTTGGTCAAATTGGACTTCAAGCTCGGTATGGCAAAGATGGTCTGGCCCGTGATGCTAAATTATGATTCCGAAGAATGTGCATTGTGATGTACGGATAGCTTCATCCCCGCTTAAGTAGCAACTGCCATGACGTCGACGATCTATAATTCAAGGCCCATCGGAGCTCATCTTGCCCCTTGCTATCTTTGACACCCCTCTCCATGACTCTATTCTGCCTAAAGGATGATAAAGTCAAATCTTCACGCTGATTTGCAGTTCTTTTAATGCGATCTGACTCAGCTCTCGCGGGGGCAACCGGAGATCCGCTCTTGTGACCTGTGGTCTTCAACGGAAGATTCAGGAAGTACTAATTGTCTCTTGAAGTCGCTCTTTTCTGCTAGAACTGTAACAAAAAAAGCTTCTCACATCTGTAGTTCATCAGAGTGAGGAAGCCAATACTGCCCAGATGGAGATCCTCGTCCTGGGCCTACCCAGAACGGGTACCCAGAGTAAGCAACGCAATCCCAGGGGGGATCGTAACAAAACTACTAACACTGCCAGGTCTCGCAAGCGCTCTTGAACTAATTGGCTACGGAAAGGTCTATCACATGAAGGAGAACTTTTTAAGAGGTGACCATAATTTCTGGTCCAGAGCCATGGATGCCAGATTTGCAGGGCAAGGCAACCGCGTGGACCGAGAGGACTTCGCTAAGCTTTTCGGAAGCGAGTACATGGTAAACTCTAACCTACCCAGCAGCCTTGGAAACGAGGAAGAAAAATACTGATATACATTCGCCCCCTAGGCAGTGAGCGATTACCCCGCCGCTAGGTTCTCCGACGAGCTAATAGCCTCGTATCCTTCGGCCAAAGTGGTCCTACTAACCCGCGACCAAGATGGATGGATAAAGTCAATGGAAAACACGCTTTTGCATGCGTGGAAAGCGGAAAAGAAAGCTGGGACTGAAACAGAAGATAATACCCAGTCAACCCGGTTCGCACGTAATGAAATGGTTCGCAAGATCCAGACCTATGTTTGGAAGGATGACTTTGGAGCCAATGCGCGCCAGCTGTTTGTTGAGCACAATGAGCATGTGCGTCAACTTATGAAATCCCGACCAGAAGACTTTCTTGAAGTTAATATCGCAGAGGGGTGGCAGCCGCTTTGTCGTTTTCGGGGGAAAGAGATTCCTAATGAGGGATTTCCACGGAAAGATGATTGGACAAGGTACAAGAAGAACGTTCAGAGGGGATTGAATGAGACGATGATCTAGATAATCACAATAATCAGCTGAATATTAATTGGGTTCCCGGGGCTGAAGCACACGAGCCCCTGTGGATAAACGGCGCACTTGTTAGGATTAGCGACCCCGGCCATATATATAAGTGGTGAACACACCCATTGGCCAGCAAGTTCGGCCTCGGAGAGATTTCCCGCATCGGTTTCAGTTCCCTGGCAATGAGCGGAGTTAATGGTAGCCCGCTATGTCGTGAAGTCCGAGGTTTCACCGGAGATCTTCATAGGGGCCGAGAGCGCAATGCCCTACTCCATGCTCATGCCCTATGTAACCTTGGAGATCAACGTGATGATCTTCTGTAGATTTCAACTAGATCTGATGTTCTTGCAAGGATCATCTTGCCAAGCACGGAAATGCAACTTTAATAAAATGCTTAGCCGGCGTGGAGTCTGACGCGCGTGCGTCAGGAACCAACCGGATCTCATACATTGATAAGAACCAGTCCGCGTGAGCTGGAGTAAACCTCAGGAAAGAACGGCCCTAGAAGCGCACGTATGGCCGGTCTCGGATTGCGAATCTCATGGACGGGCGTATTAGCCTTTCAGAGAGCGCGTTGTTGAGTAGCCAAGGGCTTGGAGGTGCGCCCTTCGAAGCAACTAGTCCCCAATGATCCTCGCGATGAGTCTTGTCGTTGGTGGGATCGGTGGGACTCGGATGCGGGCTTTCCCTATTTGCTGCTTTCTCGGTGAAGCGAGCGAAGTCGGAGCGATAAGGTGTGCGTCTGAGGTTTTATTTATGCGGGCGTCCCCGTCTGACAGACTGGGTTCCTTTTTCTAGTTTTTGGGACTTTTTTTCTCGCAACTTTCATAATGCTTCTCTCCTGACCTTGAGGTGGTCATTTCGCTTCTCATCCAAGTCTACATCTCCCCACACCATGACCAATACGCTCGACACCTCGAAACCTCCTTATCTGTGAACCGTCGTGTCTTGGCAAAGGCGCCAGACTCCACATCCTCCCATCGCCTGCGCGCTCACCCGCCACGCCGTTACGAGAGAAAAATACCCCGGAATCGATGATCTGGGTCACCAGGTCATTCTAGACAGCCAAAAAGTTAAGCGCTAAATCAAGAAGGTGCTGTGCATTGGATATTGCCGGCTGCTGCAGGCATTCGAGCTTGAATGTCTCGATCAGCGTGGATCTGCCCTTTGGCCCCCCGCATGCCCAGACCAGCGCGACTAACAATGGACCGGACTCCGGGGTAGCATCAGTCCTTCACCAAGCTTACAATGAGACAATCTCCGAAACCTAACGGGATCGTGTGGGCTGGTTCGCTCTTACATCCACAATCAGGTCGACAACGCGGGGAAATGCCCCAACGTTGCAATGAAAGTGGCGACAATCTGGCAATATCTCTGGGCGCAATCAGCTTCCTATCAGCCCGGGGAAATCGGGGACGAAACAGCGATAGGGTCACGCAATGTGGCAACCGAATGCATCTTTTCTCCATCCCTTGCGAGGTCAAAGCGGACCGCAATTCCAAGTCGGCTTATTGAAACACCTAAGCCTTCTACGCATATCCAGGTACACTCCCTGTGTGGCTTTTCGCCGAACTCAGGTACAAGCCTATCCCGGCCAGAAAAAAAAAACGCCCGACTTTGCCGTCCACGGCTGAGGATTAGAAAGAATGGAAGAATGGAATGAAAGTTCCGGAGAACGGATTGGTCTCCGGCTGAACGCCAAGACTTTCTGCCCGTTCCATGGAGATTCGCCACGAGGTGAACGGGACTGGAACCTGACTCCGGCTGCAGTATACCAGAATGGAGTCTTGCTAGGGTTTTTTGGTCACCGGCATTCTCCGACAGGTACTGCCGGTGTGATTCGCCCTGATAAGGGTGGGGAGCTTGGAAGTTTTTTTGGCCCTAACCTGTCTAGACTCGCGCCCCCGGGATGGCAGTTTCTCGGTTCTGATTGATCGGGACACATCTGGCAACCTCTTGGCACGTTGCTTACCACTGCACTATCAGTCATATCGAGGACTATTTTGCATTCGTGTTTCCATGTCTGGGGTTACATCGGCGCATGGGCGGGATTACGATTCGTTCCGCGACAGACACTTGCCGATCGCATCCACGGAACGGGAACTTCGCTGGGAACAATTGTTTTTTTTTATTTATTTCTGTCGCGTGAGTGGGACCTAGCTCTGGTGCTAAGATGGCGTCCCATTCATTCAAAAGTCTTGGCCTTTGATATTTTTTTTCCCTCGGTTCAAGCGCCGATAAGACTCATCCCCACAACGTCTCGGGTGTTTGGTAATAAAAACTGACTATATAGTATACGGTCGTGGTCGCCCGTTGCTTGGATTTTTCTGTCTCTTTTTTTTCTACGTCCATTGTGCCACTCCTGGGAGACTAGATTGCGATCGCAGGTAATCTGAGATGTCTAACACAGATAAAGTGGCTGAGGTTACCCCTCCGTATGTACTTCCAACATCCTCCCATCCTGAGGCGAGAGTCTGACTCATTCTTCCAGGGCCTACGCCAATGATGCTGCCGTTGAGCAGGTCATCGTGACCGACGAGAAGCGCGCTTTCGATATGGATAAGGAGGCTCTCTCGGTTACCGTGGACGGCGAGGAACCCAACGACGATGAGAAGCGCACCCTTCGCCACGTCGCAGAGAACCTGCCCGTCTCCGCATGGCTGGTGGCTATTGTCGAGCTGTGCGAGCGATTCACCTACTACGGAATGTCTGGCATGTTTCAGAACTATATTCAGCGTCCTCTCGACGGCAGTGAGGGACGCGGTGCTCTCGGCATGGCTCACCAGGGTGCTACTGGTCTGACCACTTTCTTCCAGTTCTGGTGTTATGGTATGACTTCTTTTAAGGGCTTGGTTGCTAAATAAACAACGGCAGCTAACTCATTGCTGTATAGTTACCCCCATCCTCGGTGCCATCGTCGCCGATCAGTACCTCGGAAAGTACAAGACCATCGTCTGGTTCTGTGGTATCTACCTCATCGGTCTCTTGATCCTCGTCTGCACTTCCATCCCTACCGCCTTGGAAAACGGTGCCGGTCTGGGTGGTTTCATCGTGGCGATTCTGATCATCGGTCTCGGAACTGGTGGTATCAAGAGTAACGTCGCTCCCCTGATTGCGGACCAGTACAAGCGCAAGAAGATGGCCGTCTCCACCACCGAGAAGGGTGAGCGCGTGATCATCGACCCTGCCCTCACCATCCAGCGTATCTACATGATCTTCTACGGATGTATCAATGTTGGATCCCTGTCTCTGCTTGCTACCCCCTACATGGAATTGTACATTGGTTTCTGGTCCGGTTACCTCCTGTGTCTGTGCATGTTCGCCGTTGGTACCCTTACCTTGGTCCTGGGTCGCAAGTACTACGTCGTGCGCCCTCCCCAGGGTTCCATTATCACCGACGCCTTCAAGGCCCTGGGCATGATGATTATGAACCGCAACATGGATGCTCCCAAGCCCAGCTGGCAAATCGCCAACGGCAACGCCGAGGTTTCCCTGCCCTGGGACGACCACTTCATTGACGAGCTCAAGCGTGCTCTCATTGCTTGCCGCGTGTTCGCTTTCTACCCCATCTACTGGGTCGTGTACGGCCAGTTCTCCGGTAACTTCGTCACCCAGGCCGGTCAGATGAAGGGCCATGGCATTCCCAACGATTTGATGCAAAACTTCGACCCCATCTCCATCATTGTGTTCATTCCTCTACTTGAGACCCTCGTCTACCCCGCCATGCGCCGCCTGAAGATTCCCTTCCGCCCTATCACCCGTATTGCCCTTGGTTTCATTGTCGCCTCCCTGGCCATGATGTACGCCGCCATCGTCCAGCACATGATCTACTCCGCCGGACCCTGCTACGGCCACCCGCTCTGCACTGCGTCTGAGATCGACGGTACCGCCCAAGGCAACAACGTGCACATTGCCATTCAGACCCCGGCCTACGTCTTCATCGGTATCTCCGAGATTTTCGCCTCCGTCTCCGGTCTAGAGTACGCCTACACCAAGGCTCCTCCTTCCATGAAGTCCTTCGTGCAGTCAATGTACCTCCTTACCAACGCCTTCGGATCCGCCCTCGCCGAGGCCCTGACCCCTGCTGCTTTCGATCCTGCCATCATGTGGATGTTCGTTGGTTTGGCCTGTGCCTCTTTCCTGTGTGGTATCATCTTCTGGTTCGTGTTCCACCACCTCAACGCACAGGAGGATGATATGAACGCTCTCGATGCGGACGACGGAATGCCCGAGGCCCCTATTGAGGAGGAACGTCGCCAATCCATGAGGCAGTAGATCTGTATTTATTCGAGTTTTTGCTTTCGGGCTTGCATTTGCACTGCGTGGGAGCAGGGTCTTCCTGCGTCTAGACTGCTGGGCAGATATGTGGGACGAGATATGAGTTAATCCATACCTAATAAGGTAGTAAATAGTTAATCCCTATATTATATAAATAAAATTCAAATGTTTAAATATTCAATCAGTGCTGTTTTGCAATTTTCCAATGTTCCAACAATCGGCCTTGAAAATGTTGGAAGCTAAAAGGCAGATCGATTCTTCAAGTGCAGGTAGCCCCGCCCCCACCTACGGAGGCCCCGGAGCCCTGGAGGTATCTAGATGCCTAGATCAATTGATGCCAATGCGCTGCTATTTTTGGGTCCCGAGGTCTGTCTCGCACTAGATATTAGCGCTGGCTCAATATGAGCTTGACTTGAGTTTTAAAATGTGCCAGTTGATTGGTCTTGACGTGCCCTGGTGCATTGTGGTAGGTGGCTGATGTCCGCAAACGATTCAGCATGTATATATTATACCCAGGCAACACACCAGGTGACACCCGGCGCTTCCACGGATCTCTGTCTGCTTGCAAAGTGGACACCAGGCATCGTTATTACTGTATATACTTCTACCTAGGATCTAGGTTTCAACCCCGAATTATGTAGAGAAAGATAAACCCGCTGTGCACAATCATGACGTGCAGACTGGTTGCCACCCGGCCTCGATATGTGACATGTACTGGGTACAAGAGATATGGTGTGAGCATGTATGAGTGGCCAAGTACCGGTTACTTTAGTGGAAATGCTTTCCCTGACGTGCAAGGGTTGATCCACTGCGTATCGCCGATCCGAGCCTCATAAATAGAACAGCGTGCAGCATCAGCCACAATCATTCCGGGGCCAAAGGGGGTTCCACTGTAAGGAGGCCAACACCCACGCAGGAACCTTTTCCGTTGCATTTATTTCCAATTCAACTTGAACGTCATCAAATTGACTTTGTATTAATTTTCACCTCTAATTCTAATAAACCCCTGACTATCACTTTTTTGGTGACAATCAAAAGTGAAACATTCTGCCCTTTCTTTCCACCGCCGCCTGCAACTCCACTTCTCCCGTCTCACCCTTCTTCTTCCACTTCAAACCTGAAACCCCTTGCTCGTCATCTTTGTTTATCCATCTTAATCTGTCATTATGAGTGTGAGTCGTCAATCGCTGGATTTGGTCCCTTGTGTGATGAAGTTTCTGACGACGGTAGTACCAGAGCTTGGGGGATAACAACCAGGGGGGCTATGGCCAATACAACCCCTATGGAAGCCAGCAGCAGCAGAATCCGTATGCCAACCAGGAGCAGGGCTACGGATATGGCGGTGGCTACAACCAGGCTAGTGCTGCTGAGCAAGGCAATGGTGGATATGGTGAGCTGTAACCAAACCCGACAGAATCGCAATGCGCTAACCCAGCCCCCTTCGCAGAAATGTCCAACATGCAATCTGGAGGCGGCCCGACCGCGATTCTCAACAAGTGTAAAGAGATGAACGATGCTATCACCGAGCTGCGCACCAAGCGCGAAGGCCAGCTTGTTTCTGCCCAGAACGCCCTGCTGGACTCGAGCACCGGCAAGGAGGACCAGTCCGCCCGCCAGAACGTCGACTACATTGAGGATGAGATTAACACTGCCCTGCGCTATCTGCGCGACCAGTTCAAGCGCATCAAGGAGACTCCTGGATCCGGCGACTCCCGTGTGTCCGGCCAGGTCGAGAACGTCAACCGCAACCTCCGTCGCGAGATCGAGCAGTACCAGCGCACGCAGTCCGATTTCCAGAAGCGCCTCGAGGAGCAGGTGCGACGTCGTTACGAGATTGCCAACCCCGAGGCTACCCCCGAGGAGTTGGAACAAGGTGTGCAGCTTGTCCTGGCCGGCCAGGAACAGAGCTTCGCGGTATGTTTGGAACCACTACATCTTAGTGCTGCTTAACACATGGCCGTTTGACTGATATTATTTTCACTTTAGGTCCCCGGCACCCGTTCGCGCCAGGCCAACGATGCCCGCCAGGCTACTCTGCAGCGATCCGCTGCTATCCGCAAGATTGAGCAGGATATGATCCAGCTTGGTCAGCTGTACCAAGAAGTCGCGGAGTTGATCCACCAGCAAGAGCCCGCAGTCACGCAGATCAACCAGAGCGCTGAAGAGACCCACCACAACGTGCAGGAAGCCAACACCAAGCTTGATGGCGCCATTACCAGCGCCCGCAATGCCCGCAAATGGAAGTGGTACGCCTTGGGTATCGTTAGTAAGTTACCCCACTATACCCCTCTATGAATTCGACTGACCAATATAGTCCTGATTATCATCATCATTGTCGCCGTTGCCGTCGGTGTCACCGAGGCCAACAAGAAATAGTCAATCTTCGCGCTACGAATCCCATTTCCCTACCCCTGCACGACCCTTCTCCCCCAACTGGCATGGCATCGACTCGACTCGCATGGAATCACGATCCAAATCTCGCCCAGTCCTCATTACTCTTGTGTTATCATTCAATTCCCCTATGTCCCATGCCCTCCAACCCCTTCGTTTCTATACCACCTTCTCGCATCTTCCGATCTGTTCTTGTTTCTGTGTAAAAGCAATGCTCGACTTCACTTCTTTCCTTGTGTTTTTCATTTTCATATTCCTGCTGCTGCCTTCGCGTCCAGCTGCGCCAAGACGGACCACCGTAAGCGCTTAGCTGATCATGACTTGTCTTGTGCTCCTTGGACTCTCTGAGCAACCTTCACCGCCACGTGCGACGATGCCCGGGGTCCATGGATGTATATACTAGAGTGTTTGCTTTCTGTCGATGTCGATGCCCGGTTGTTTGGCGCTAGAATCTATGTAATACTGTATTAATTGATGTCTATACCTAATTGTAATCCTGTCATTAGTTATGCGCTGGTCAATTGGATAAATCGGGTATCAATCTCTATGGATACACTACAATAAATTTACTGCTCCTGCAATGGCATTCCTATGCCTGGCCTTCCCTCTCCTTCTCCCGCTGCTCCTCTGCGGGCGTCTTCGTCTTCAATTGCAACGCATGGATACCGCCCTCCTGGCTCATCTCCTCCTTCAACAAGGCATAGACCATCCGATGCCGCGCTGGCTGCATTTTCGACTCGAAAGAGTCAGAAGTAATCGTGACACTAAATCAGGCCCGGTCAGTCACTTGGCACCTTAAAGAGTATGACCCCAGTAACGGGCTATTCTTGATCGCGGGGATAATCAAGGAAATGTTGGGTTCGTACTGGAAGTGTGTCTCTTTTGACGTGGCTCCCTGCATGGCAGCATGGTGTGCGTGCTTGTGAGAATCGTTGCGAATTATGAGCGTCGAAGGAGTGAACGCGTGAACGATCTAAAAATATCAGTGTCGAGTTCGTGTGACTGAACCAAGCTTGGGTGTACCTTGTCGCGCATGAGGTCTTCCATCGGGGTAGCGGAGGCCATTTTTGCGGAGACGGAAAACAGGCGTCGGGGGAACTGGAGAGGGAGAGAACGGAGCATTGGAGTTGTGAAGCAGAAGCAAAAGAGACACGAAAATGAGAGCAGAGTAGAGAAGATTGGAGAATCAGGCCACGAGTAGCAGCGATAAGCGGAGAAGGGAAAAGCGCGGATAGTATTTTTGTTTCCGCGGAACTTTTTTCAATGACATCAACCGTCACCGAGGTCGTGTCTCAAGCCATTGGCTTCTCGACGTGAGCTGCACATTGCCATGATATATTCATGGTAACGACGTCCGCTATGTCCGCTCGTATTTTAAGCCCGCGGCTCCTGCGACCGCGCCTGCGCATCCATGCACATGCCCGCCTAGCGACTCTCTCAGCACATACGAAGCTCCTCTCTACGCTCCCCAATATCCCAATCTTCCGCGCCCTGCAAAAGCATGATCCCTCCAGCCTAGCGGTAGTACACAGTGCATCAGACCGCAGCTTTACATATGGCAATCTCATCGCCGACGTCCTTCGCGCGAAAGATGATCTCGAGCGCATAGCATCGGGCAAGCTGTCTGGGGAGCGGGTTGCATTTTTGGCGGAAAATAGCTATGACTACGTCGTAACTCTCTTGGCAATTTTTGCCAGTGATGCTATTGCGCTGCCGTTGTCTCCATCGTTTCCCGTTGGTGAATTGCAGTACATTATGGATAACTCGCAGGCAAAAGTGCTTCTTGCGACGGAGAAGTATGCTGATAAGGCGAGTCAGATTCTAGGGGCTGGGCTTGAGCTAGATCCATCATTTGATATCAGACGGAAGATTGAGGTTGGTACGGATGCCGAGTCTGTTCAACTGGATAGTCGGGAACAGACCTCGTCCGGGATGATGCTTTATACTTCGGGAACTACGAATCGACCGGTAGGAACAACCCTTGTCGGTTGTTGAAAAATATACTAAATGAATAGCAGAAAGGTGTACTGATCCCCGAGTCTGCTATTATTGCTCAAGCATCATCTCTTCTACAAGCGTGGAAGTACACACCACAAGACCGCCTACTACACTTGCTCCCACTCCACCACATTCACGGCGTAGTAAATGCAACCATCACACCTATATTCTCCGGCTCGTCCATCGAGTTCATGTACCCCTTCAATCCGGAACAAGTCTGGCGCCGCCTTGCCGCTCCATTCCTCTCATCTGAAGAGTGCAACAAACCAAAGATTACCTTCCTAACCGCTGTCCCGACAATATACAATCGCCTAATGACATCCTTCCAATCCCTTCCCTCGGAAATCCAATGTGGAGCACAGAAGGGAATACACCCAGACCACCTTCGTCTCAACATCTCCGGTTCCGCAGCCCTACCAACACCCACCAAAGAAAAATGGACTTCCCTAAGCGGCGGGAACGTCCTCCTCGAACGGTTCGGCATGACGGAAGTCGGTATGGCAATTAGTTGTGGCCTCGACCCGGTAGACCGCGTTGACGGTAGTGTCGGATGGCCACTGCCCGGCGTCGAAGCCCGTCTCGTCGATACAGAGACGGACAAAGTTATCCCAGTCGGCCAAGAAACAGATGCCAACGGCCGGGCACTCGAAGGCGAGATTCAATTGCGGGGAGACACGATTTTCCGCGAGTACTGGGGAAACGAGAAAGCTACGACGGAAAGCTTCGTCAAAGCAGATGACAATGGGAAACCTTGGTTCCGGACTGGGGATGTTGCGACCAGACGGGTCGTCAATGGAGTTGGAAAGGGAAGTAGTGGAGAGTGGGCGCAGGGACCTCTGTATTTCATCAGTGGACGGAAAAGTGTCGATATTATCAAGACCGGAGGCGAGAAAGTGAGCGCTTTGGAGGTTGAGAGGGAGTTACTTTCTCTGTATGTTCCCCATCGCTAAGTTTGGTCTTTCATTTGCCTCTACACGAAAAAAATGATACTAACAAATCGCCTAGTCCCCAAGTTACCGAAGCAGCCGTCGTTGGTCTCCCATCTGAACAATGGGGTCAAAAGGTCGCCGTCGTGTTAGTGCTCAACGCTGACGCAGCGACAAGCGGACGAAATGGCAAGTCGTGGGGTCCGATGGATATGCGTCGTGCGTTAAAGGATCGACTGGCAGCGTATAAGATCCCGCAGGAGATGAAGATTATGGAGAGTATACCCAGGAATGCCATGGGGAAGGTGAATAAGAAGGCTCTTGTTAAAGAGGTGTTTGGGGTTTAGTAAACCTCGACTCTTGATTGTATGATAGTGTATAGTAGATTGTATTAAATCATCTGCCATTTCAACTTGGCAGCTCTCCCACGTGAAACATGATAAGATGAATTGCAGTACCCACATATGCAGTAAATCAATAGAGGAATGGTATGATACAATATAGTACAGGTTGTTTCGTATAGTACACGGTAAGTCAAACCCTAGCCCGTGATCAAGATCACTAAGCCCACTCCCCAACTCTCTCATACTCCCTGATCAGGCTCAAAGCCTCCATGCGAACCTCCAACCTAGCCATATCAACAGCAACAATCTTCGCATCCACAATGCCAAAGATATCCATCCGCTCCCGACCGGCACAATCATCCGGAAGAGTGATAGAGCAGGTAACACCCAGATTAGCAATAATGCCAGAATACACTGTTCCATCACGCTCGGGAAGAACGCGCCGCATGCGTAGCACGACGGGGAATGTAGCTGGTAGCTCACACCCTCCGAAGTAGAACGCGCGGAAGAGGAGCATGCAGGCCCAGTGTTGGGACGAGTATGCAGAGACCTCGCGGAGGCGGGTGCGGGTCGGGATTGAGTGGAGGATGTGGGAGTCTAGATCGGATTTTGTGTATGGCAGAGGTTGGAGTGAAGATTCAAGTTCGGGTTCGGGTTCAGGTTCAGATTTCTGCGTTGTTTCAGTTTCAACTTCAACTTCAGCTTCGGCGGACGAAGCCTGATCCTCATTCTGAGCCTGCTCTTCAATCTCAGGGTCAGGCATATCAGCGATACCGTCAAATAGCCGACCATGTTCGGCTTCAAATCGTAATGCAGCCTCAATCTGATAATGAGCAATCACGTCCGTGAATCGGCGCAACGGACTTGTGCTCTTGACATACGCATCCAGCCCAAGCATATGATGATGCACGGGCTCAGAAGAAGAGAATGCCTTTGGCATAGCCAGATCCAAGAACTTCTGGCCACCAAACTGCTTCATATTCTCTGGGGTGACGCGTCCGTTCTCCGGGTCATACCAGGTACCGTCGTAGACAGCAGGAATATTGCGAGTAGCGCAGAATTGGCCGGCAATATGGCCAGCCAGGTTCATCAGCATTGAGACGAGGTAGTTCTTTGACTCGTCACGGACCTCGTGTGGGTTGAAATCCTGCATGCGCATTCGGATGGCTGGGTCGCCAATGTAGTATCTTCCTTCTGTGACTTGCATCTCGTAGGGCTTGAGTGGGGCTGTGCCTGCTTGGATGGTGAGAGACATGTTAGGGCGCATAGATTGCATGTCCATGGCACCGTTCTTCTGACGCTGGGTGCGGAAGCCGAGCATCAATTTGCGCAGAATGGTAAATGTGTCTTTATCTTCGGCTGTGAGTGTCTCGCGGAATTTCTTGCCTTTGGGCAACGGCATATCGACGAAATTGCCAACAGTGAGATTTTCTTGAGACTCATGGGCGTCGGGATTGAGGTATTTCCGCAAGGTGCTATGCGTGACACTGATGACATTGTGCACAATTCCGTTTGCCACCTCGATGTCTAGGACCTCTCCATCAAGATTCATCTTCGCACTAAATGTTAAGGTCGGTCGGCCCGGTGCAAGACTGAAGTGCCCCTGGGTAAGAGCTTCCGGGAAAATAGGGTATGTACGCTCAGGAGCATACAGTGTCGCCAATCGCGAGGCAGCGTACTCGATGGTAGGATCATTATACTCCAAGAAAGCCGTTGGATTAGCGACATGAATATGCACCCAGAATTCGTCGTTTGATCCAGGAATGCGCTCCAGAGAAACTGCATCGTCGATTTCCTGTGCAGTGACATCGTCAATACAGTAAACCGGCAAATCTCCCCAGTCTTTTCGGAGGTGTTGCATAGAATCGACTAATGAATCGACTTTCTTCCAAGATTCTTCAATTTCCTCCCAGCGCATGTCTTCGAGGAGAGACACCCCATGTCCTGGTAACGTCAAGTTCTGATCCAGCAGACTCAAATTCTCCCACGGGGAGATGACACCCAGCTCCTGTAGGAACATACGAGTGGAAGACTCGCTGAGGCCGAGGGTGTTGTACATGCCCGTTACCCGCATGATATGCGAGGCCGTCGACTTCAAAGTACCCGATGGCATGATCACTGATGGAGTCGCATACAATTGGAGATATTCGATGATCATCTGGTCATTCTGATCAAATTGTTCGGTCAAAACCTCGCGGTAAGACATTGCTTTGCTATCTTGACCAGGTACAAACTGTTGCAATGATGGACCCACACTGGACATGATTGTAGGTGACCGCACCTTTCGGCTGAGGCGAATCAGGCGCTGTGCCTTTTGAGTAAATCGCTGGATTGGATGCTGTGGGAATTTGTCCATCGTCATTCCCGTGGAGGTTGTAGCTTTATGATCTAGAAAGGCCTGGTGGCTCTTGCCCATAGCGAAACGAGTAAGATATTCCTGGTGCTCATGAGCCCAAGTGGTGACTTGATCAACCACTTTGGCAATCCGTTTCGGTTGCACAAGGTACGTGAAACTAAACAGTGAGGTAGAGTCCTTCTCAATCAGGAACGGGTGGTTTCGAGTAGCCTGGTGAACAGCGAAAAGGTTGACACTGTTCAGTTCGGACTCTTCGATACCCAGGACTTTCATAGTCAATTCTTCAATGCTCAAGCGACGGAATTCGGTATCATCGGCGACCAGCTCATGCAGATTATCCAGCTTCGCTGAGTGAGCCCGGTAAAAGTCCAGAATATGACCTTGAAAATTGTTCATCATATCCAGGAGAGGAGCACCCAGTGGCCGTGGAACGCCCCCCTCTGGTACGAACTGGATCTCGTGATTGATCATGGGCGTGGTTGTAGGGAAATAAGGCTTGATCGGTTCCAGTAGCTCGACAGGAGCAAAGTTCTTGATCACATAGTCCAATTCGCGAGTTTTGCAGAGACGCCAATTCCCGCGGTTTACGTAGAACTGCGCTTGTCTCTGAACGGACCGCACATAGATTGCCCATTTAAAGGTCCCATCCCCCAGTAACTCAGCCACCATATCACCAGGCTCAAGGTGATCGCCATGAAACTCCTCCGAAGTATCTATGTCATCCTCTTTCGAGAGGCCCGGATCATTCCACACGGAATCGCCATAATTATCTCGACCGTTAGGCATGGAGCCCATCATCGGACCAACATCCTCCCCATGGTTCGGCTCCAGTATAGGATCCAAGTGGTTTGGATTATTCGCCTGCCAATTCGAAAGATATCCTCGAATGTCTTTGTAGGCCTCGATCTCAGCTTTGTGGAGGGCTTCCGGGAGGCTTCGTGACTGGTCGATGGGTGGTCTCGGGGTGGAATACGGGTCCTGCTCTGATACCTGATTGAAATCGTCAGCCAAGTCCGTTAATTGTAGACTGTTCTCCATACTTGATTGCCCGATTCCAAGATTCTTGTGGTGGATAGTAAACGACCGTGAGGCACGCGAGGCAGCCGTGACAGACCTGCTGCTTGTCGATGCCTTATCGCAATTCGTGCGCAGGCATTTCTCGCATGTGCAAGTCTCTGCAACGACCCAGTCTTTAGCCAGACCATGGTTGTGTATGAGATCGCAGAAAGCGACGCCGCATGAATGTTGTATTATTCTGCGGTCATTTTGGCCACCGCTTTGAGGCGGTGTGATGACATTGACACCTTAGGTGTCGATGGATATACCTTGAGTACCAAAATGTTCAGCAAATGCCATTCTATGCGGAACAGGATTTGAATTCCTCTTTTTTTTTTCTCTTTTGAATATCATCTGAGACATCATACACGTATGAAAACAATTTACCCTGCTGGTTGTCCTTCAAAAGTACACACTTTCAATAGTCCACCGAGCTTGCTTTTAGCGTTGCATGCGCAATCTATCTTGACGAACGCCCAATGTACTTTAGCTAGATGAATGGTAGCTAATGGACAAACCCGAGGATCAGGTTCATCCGCCCTATCATACCCCGTGAAAGTGAGACATCTAGATTCCCTCGGGGTTTCTCCGACTGAGCGCCATGTCCCAGGGTTACAAACCTCAATTTTTAGCCACAGACGACTTCGCTTGACATTCCTACCAACACCCCGATCGCTGTTCTCTGATGAAGATCCCGTATTTTCCGCTTTCGCATTCGTATAACCCCGGCCCGCGGTATTTCGCTACAGCTCCATGTGACAATCCCCCACGTTTAACTAAGTCGACTCTATTTCTAGTCGCGCTGATCGAATTGACAGAGGTCCCGAAACAGGGTTGGCAGCGACTATCATTTCTCATCTGGTCTAAGCGAGCTGTGGCCCGAGCTGACTTTTCATACAGAAACCGTTCAGGGGAAATCCCCCGCGCGGTCCCACACGGCAAACTAAAGGGCCCCACGGTAGATCCCGAAGGGTCTTGCGATCATTTCCAAAATGATAAGGATTATGGGAATACGGATGGGATGGCATTGAATCTGCATGTTTCTGATATGATGCTCATGATTCATGATAATGAGGGATGCCATGAACTAAAGGTACAGTGCACTGGTTTCGAGCCCCTGTCTACTGCATGATCCATCTTCTCGGCTCATCCGGACTACTGTTGATCCTACCGAGCTCTGATCTATCATGACACCCCCTCAGACTAGTCCAGAAGGGAAGAACCAACCGGAGTATTTGTATACATTGAGTTAGAGGCATAGATTATTAGCTCAGGCCTTCACCAATGATACAATTCACCTTCGCGATCGACAGGTCTAGTTAACAACGTCAATTGGGATCGCTTGACCCAACTCGATAACGGAATAATTCCCAACCAAATCCCCGAGGCTGGATTGCTTCTTCATGTGCACATTTTCACCGCTTGAATGCGTCTCCGCAATGGGAGCCTCTTTATTAGCTCTGGAAACAGGGCATTGATGCTCCTTACCCAAACCAGTATTTGCACTCGGAGCTCTATATCCACATATCCACTTCGCTTCGCGAGGGTATCTTCGCGCCATGGCACACTATTGGATCCATCGGGACTAGCTAGCGACTCTGTCGAACCTGTGCCAGACCTACTTATAGCAATCAGTGCCCGCTCCTGCCTGCCGAGCGTCGGAGCATAATCAATCAGATTGGCAGGATTGATCTTTCTTATCCAATAGTTGTGATTTCCTCCCTTCAATATACACATTTCGATAGATTCGCTTCCACATTCGGTTCAAAAACATGGTTTCCGGCACCAGCTGGCACGCAGCCGCGCTATTCGTCGCATCATTTGCTTCCGTCGCAAAAGCCGACATTTGTTCGACCCTTGCGCAAGGTGGAATCTCCATCGAATACCCGTTGACGCTAGACTACACATCCGCTCTGACCGATTACTGGTCGGCAGCATGCGGAGACCTCAAACCAACATGCATTGCGGCCCCATCTAGTGCAGCGGAGATGTCGCAGATCATTACCAAGCTGCACGAGGTTGAGACATTGTTTGCTGTCAAGTCTGGTGGACATATGCCGAATAATGGATTCGCTAGTATCGAGGGCGGATTGCTGATCTCGACGAAGAACCTGGATCAGGTGAATTATGATGAAGATGACCAGACTGCCGTGATTGGGCCTGGTCTATCGTGGGAAGAGGCACAGAAAGGCTTGGATGGCACGGGACGGGCCGTTGTGGGAGGGCGATTGGGTGGTGTTGGCATCGGAGGATATATGCTCGGAGGTATGTTGGTGAAAATGGCACGTTCAAACAAGATTCTGACCTGCCTAGGGGGAATGAGCTTCTTGAGTACCCAGTATGGATGGGCCGCCAACAATGTGGTGAACTACCAAGTCGTTCTGGCTAATGGTACCATCGTTGACGCCAATGAGGATGAGAACACCGGTAAGTTAATTCCCAGCTTGAATTCAGCTCATGAACTCAACTGATCAATGATAGACCTCTTTGCTTCCCTCAAGGGAGGAGGTAACAACCTTGGTGTTGTCACTGCTTACACTATGGAGACCCACCCGATCGACCAGGTCTGGGGTGGTAACTTTATTTACACCAAGGACAAAACACCTCAAGTTCTGACTGCACTGCGCAATTTTGTAGACAACTACCCCGATGACAAAGCCGCTATCATTCTGACCGCGGAGCATGGAGTGATCGGGGTCGTCGACTTCTGGATTATGTTCCTCTTCTACGATGGACCCGAGCCACCAGCTGGTGTTTTCGACGAGTTCGCGGCCATCGATCACACGTCCACTACAAAGACATGGGACTCGTACTATGATCTGCTCAAGAACAACGATCAGTTCATTCTTCAGTGAGTACACTGATATTAAGTTGATGTACTTTGCTAACATAAACAGCGGCCAACGCTACACCATTGCGACGGAGTCGACACCCGTGCCCAACTCTACTGTTGGGCTTGATGTGATGCAGGAGTACTTCGACCATTGGTACAACGTAACTGAATCTGTTCTCGGCGTCACTGGGGTCATTGGATCGATTGCCTTCCAACCAGTTCCCAAGGCATTCACCAAGAAAGCCAAGGAGCGCGGCGGAGTAAGAACCCCAGGATTGAAGATGCACACAATGGCTAACAGAGACAGGATCTCCTCGATGTCCCCGACGACCAAAACTATATCTTCTTCGAGTTCGACTTTTCCTACTCGCTTGCGATTGATGACGAAAAGATTGACCAGGCTACTCAAAACGTGTACCAGGGAATGGGCAACCTCGTCGAGAAGAACATTGACGAGGGACTTCTGCCCGACGTGTACCGACCACTATTTATGAATGACGCTTATTATCGCCAGGACTACTGGGGCCGCATCAATCCAGATTCCAAGGCACTGGCGTTGAAGACTCGCCTCAATGTTGATCCCGACGGGTTCTTCCAGAAGCGGACCAGTGGTGGTTGGCGACTTGAGTAGTCATGACGCCACCGATACTGGATACTTACTTCGGGTATGGAATGGTATAGTTAAATAATTGATAATTACCAGTTCAAATAAATGTCTACTCTGCCAAGATTCAATAAGCGATCGTCAATTTTAAACTGCGAAGAAAATAGACTTGTCGATCGCGTGCAGCAAATAACAAAGCCACTCACAAACTAAAATAGCAGACAAAGGATGAAACACAATTTCCCCCAGCCTGACTCATTTAAGTAACCGCCTGCGTCAGGTCCGAGTCGTCAGAAGAAACGAGTGGTCCAGAGGCGCTCGGAGCAAATAGCCTTCGCCTCCACGCGCCGAGGTGGAGCCGCGGGCGCCATGACAGCCGATCTACTCCAGATCTGAACTTTTCCTCACCTCTAAAGCTCCAGAGCTATTCACAGCTTAAGCTATGGATCTGTAGATCGCTCTGTTAGGATAAGTCCGCTGTTCATTGTAACTGGTCAATGGATTTCGCCGGCGGCTGGTCTTAGACAATCTCTAACGCTCAGCTGGGGCTCAACAGATCGACCAGGTCTAGATACCAGCTGCTGCTAATTCGGGGAATCTAGACCTCCTCTCTGAGGCTTTGTTTACCATGCGGGCGGCTATGGTGGCGTCGATGCTGAAGAGTATAAAGAGTGCGAAGCCGCAGCTTAGACTAGGTATTCCTTTCAGTATCATCACCTCATTCAGCGATTTCTTTATCTTGTTTTGAACCTTTTTTCGTCTTTCTTGCCACTTTCATTATAAGTTCTACGTATATCAACGAATATCGATCGCATCGCGTCACACTCCTTCGACCTCGGGAGACGATCAACGCTCGCACGTCTTGACCGAACATCGAATTCATTCTGTCCTTCAACTCCGATTTCATTCCATCTCAAGCGACGACACATACATTGAACCAAATCAACGTCTATCTCTATTTACTCACTTTTTTCTCTCGACAAAATGGCCCCCCGCTATGGAGCCCTCGGCGCAACCTTCCAGCTCGCCCGCCTATTTCAATGCTGCTCCCTCATCGCTATCATTGGGATGGTAGCGAAGTTCATTGCGGTTATCGTAGGGCAAGATGACACACCACCCAATATTCTCATTGGAACAATCAGCGTGGTGAGCTTTTACCTTCCCTCCAGCATTTTATTCTTTATTAATAACAGCTCCACTAATCTCGAACTAGACCTGCATCGCCGTAATCTACTGCATAATCTCCCAACTCCTCTACCTAGACGACATCCTCCCATTCCTCCCCTCGGCCGGTTTAGACTTCCTCATTCTCATCGGAATGATCGTGGTCGCTGTTATAATGGGAAAACCGCTCTCGTACCTGAGTTGTTCGTCGCTATCAGATCTAGGCGATTCAGATGCAGCTGCGTATGCATTTTCGGAGCATTTGGATGGCTATCTCAGTAGTCTGACAGGGAAGATTGATTATGAAGCGTGGATTGGAGCCTCGAAGGCGATATGTTTGGAGACGAAGGCCGTTTGGGGGTTGAGTATTGCTTTGTGGTTGGTTTTTGTCTCCCATCTAAGCTCGATTGTCTGTTCGACTGCTGACATCTATTTAGTATTCTGTTTTTCTTTTCAAGCGTATGCGGTGTTATCCTGTGGAGACAGAAGAAGGTTCTTGCGGACAGCGAGGAGAAGTAATGCTAGACGGGGTCTTGATAGACCTACCAATATGGGTTAATTAGGATGGGGAGATATGTATAGAAGCATATCGAGGATAACGGATGATGCCTGGACAAGGCTATAATGGGAAGGCAATTTGTATTCATTTCTTATGATCGCACGGCGTCCATTCATTCGTTTGATTTAAATGCATTCCGGCGTTTAGCGTTCTGAACTCGAAACAATGAAAAATCAATGGGAAACACAAATTTCCCAACCAAATGTGTCCCTGAGAGCGCCGCACTGATATAATACACCATAACTCATGGATTCCACGCCATGCCTGGAGCAAATCTGGAATCGCAGGTAATTTGTTCCACGTAGCATGCGAAAGGTAGACTAGCCCGAACTGACAGGCGGAATGATTGCAATCTCTGCTCCGGCCTGGATGATTGTCTGTGCATCTTCCTCAACATCCACATAGTCTCCATCAAGACTGACACCGCAGCTAACGAGAATTTTCTTCCCGATATTAGGATACCGTTCCTCTAGCAGAGGGAAGAGCTGTGCTAATGGGAGTGGGGCGGGTAGATTCTCAGTGTTTTTTGATGTGAATTGGGATGCTGTGGCGAAGTAATGGATGGTGAATGTTCCCGTTCGTGACACGGGGTCGGATGATTGAGTTGTTGCCATGGTTTTGTGGGTTTGGAGTTGTGGAGGTGGGGGATGAAGATGAGGATGAATTGGAGTTGAAGTGAAGGCTGTCGGCCAATCCCGATGCGGGGTCGGTGTGCGGGTCCCATTTCGTTTTTGATCGTGAACATCTTGTAGTTCCCAGATTCTATTGTTTTGAATACGTAAATATGACATTTATTGGAGGGAGAAAAGCGGCATAGAGCTAGCTTCCCATCGCAAGTCCATGTTTGCAAAATGTTGCACTATCATGTCGGTTTGCTCGTAGAGCTTCCAGGTTGTCCCAATTTGATAATCTCGCTATGAGAATTAAATATCAATAGGAACACACCCAAAGACCATCTCCCAGGTTTCATTGGACGGATCGCACTGATTCCATGAGAATTGCAAAAAGTACTGATCCCTATTTTGCCCCCAGCGTGCAACATCTGTCTCCGTTAGTCCTGGAGGGAAGCCGTCCCGGGGCCTAAAGATGCCATGGGGTCTAATTCGTGCTTCTTGCGGGATTAGCGCAGCAGATACTGATCTTCCAGTATCCAGTTCGTTATCGGAAAGCGCAGGAGATGGACTCGCGGCGACTTTAACGGGTGAAATGGTGAAGGGACTGTCCGGGCTCAAATTTCCATGGTAGATCGGTTCGTTAATTGGCGTGGTGTACTCGGTCGTGAGAGGAGATGTGTCACGTTTCGACATGGCAATCGCTTCCTCTAACAACATGACCTTTTCGCCCATGATGGTACCGTGCTCGCGCTTGTGAAGTCCCTGGACTCGATGCGACCGAGCGAGGAGATCCAGTGCTGCACGTCGAATAGCAGGATCACGACAGCGAAGGCAGGTGAACCAGAGGGGGAGGCCGATGCTGATTTCAAAAGTGAATGGCGGGAGGAGGCCATTTGATCGCGCCGAACTCTCTAACGCGATAGAAGATTGTTCGACAATCGTTTGAAAATTCGGCGTGAAAGCGTCTGTAGTGACCCGCATTGGCGATACACAGACCCCGAGAATAATAGATAACATTTCATAATACGTGAGGAGAAGGGCGCTGGCGCTGACTTGCGACCCGGGCAGTCCGGCTTTTGAGGCGCGTAGAGACTTCATCAAATTCGTAAAGGCAGTGTACCATCTCTCAAGGCGAGTGGCGAGGACAGTTTGCCGTTGCATGAGTTCGTCTGATATGCACCAGGCCCTTGAGCACTGTAGATACTTCTCGCAGGCCGACTCCAAGAGCGGGATCTCTGCGCCGAGCACAACGATGGCCTCCCGGGCGGCCTTAAGGGAGGCAAATTCTTCCGTAGATATCGATGCATATTCTTCGAGTTCTTCTAGTAATGGCATGGCAGCTTCCCAACTTGCATTAGGTGAGAATATTCCCAACCGGGCAAAGATTGGAACAATCGTCTCCTTTAGCAAAGCCAGTCTGCCAAAGGCCTTCTGGGCTCGCAAGGTGAGAATGAGCTGCACGCCTTGAGCATAGAGTCGCATAACTTCCTCCATACTTCCAAAGAGGGATTCGATGCATATAAACAAGATACATGTAATCAGCCCCACGAAAGCGTCAACACTGCCACGGGTGATTCCCTGCCGAACAGCAGACACAGAGCGCGCATACCAGTCCAATGCATCCTGTTGATTCTGACTTAGCGTGCGCGAAACACGACGCAGCGGGTCAAGCTCGGAACAAGGATCAGGGCTTTCAAACAGAGTGCTAATACAGATCATAGCATCCCACACTGCAGGCTCGCTCCGACAAACCTGGGGAACAACCGTGCGCCAAAATTCTTGATCCAGTCCACCCCCAACTGATGCAGCAGCATACTGAAAGTAATATGCGAAAGCGCGACGCTCACGCCAAATTGTATTCGGGGCCAACGACAAAGGCATGTCAAGCACGCCGACGCTGCACATATCCGAGGCCGAGGCCGTGGAGAATCGTGTCCGGTGTTTGTGACTTTCATATTCGCATTTTCGTCTTGTGCTGATGCACCTACGACAGCTTGGTTTTTCCTCTCCGCATTTCACTTTTCGGGCCTTGCATGTTTTGCAACCGAGTCGCGATTTCAGGGGCCTCGTCAGGCTGACGCTCAAATGGGAGGACGGACTGGGAGGCATGTGAGCAACATGTCAAAGCGAGATTTTCGATGGCCAGTAAGATGGTAACTGATATCGCAAGTTACCAGACGAGCAATTCTGCGTGTAGTAGCGCGGAGGCTATGTGTGATCTGTATAATTTTCGATGTATCAGACCGTAAGCCGCAGATCCTCTTATCGTTGTCGTTATCGTTATCGCTTATCGCCCGAGTCTAGCCTCACCACGTGAATTGACTGATCTCGCGGACCCAGTGGTTGTGGACAGTGGAGAGCGGAAACAACGTCTTGTATCCGTAGTGGGCTCCCCCACCGCCCCATTTTTGCCCGCATCCATCAAAGTGTCAGATGATTTGTACATCGTCTATCAAGTGCCAAAAAATGGTCAAAACAGTGTGTTTGCCGCGACCCTTTTGGAACTCGATAGGAAGGATTGTTGATTAGTCTTGGCTCGGAGATATGCGGCAGAATGACATCTAAGGCGGTCAGATCTCGGTTATCCAGGAACCAGAAGTTTGTCCTTTCGTCCCTTTCAAGGTTTCATAGAAACAGGATCTTGGAAACATGCTATCGTTCCTAGCAAAGAAAGTTCCCCGAACCACGACCTGTAGGCTCAATCCAATTTTATTTGATGATGGCCGCTCCTGTATCCAATTCATGTCCCCCAACGATCAATACCTCGTGATGAACCGCTGGCCACCCGGTTCCAACGAGATGAACAAGAATATAGCCCTGCGCCCACCACTTCACTGGCATCGAGATCAGATCGAAACATTCCATGTACTTAGTGGGTCCGCCAAGTTCACGCTCGAGGGACAAGAGATAATAAAAACAAGCGGTCAAACCATATTGATCCCGATGAAAACCTTCCATACCTTCTGCAATGCAAGTGCGGAGACTGAGCTAGTGATTGAATTCGTCTTGCAGCCAAAGTGGAAAGATAGGGACGAGGCCTTTTTCCGTAGGTGTACATTCATGCGATTACCACCGAAAACTGTGCTGATTTGACTAGGAAACGTGCAATCTTATCGTGATGACTGCCGCAAGGCAGGTCTCCCTCGAAGCCTGCCGCAAGTCTTATTGTTCAATTGGGCTGGAGGTGTTGTGCTGGCTTTGCCTGGTCCGCGTATCCTCGCTAGATTCGTAGGGGTGTGTATGAACCTTTTCGGAGGTGTTGTACTAGGAAAGTACATTCTTGGATACAAAGAATCATATCCAGAATATTATAAACCGAAGATATAATGTTTCTAAAGCTCCTTGAAAGGTTATTGAAAATCAACAGCCGGGATTCTTGTCAAACGAATTACCTACTCGTTAGGTTTTCTACATCAAAAATAGAACCATGACTGTCTCGTACACAGCCAACCATGGGATTCCTATTGATGTTGTTCCGGACAAAAATAAGGGGGGGGGGGGGGGGGCTCGATTGACTTAAAAGATCATTTGAACGGTGCCAGAGAAAGTGAATCGATGTATTCCAATACATCTTAATCAATGAGCTAGAATACTTTGGACAAAAGCTGGCTAAGTCCATATGAGTCAAGCCCCTCTAAAGCCTGCACCTCATTCCGTTTCACATATAAATACCTGGACGCAACCTTACTGCTAAGGATTTCCACAAAATCATCAGATTTTCCTTCAAGGGAATCCAGTGAGTGAGTAATCGTCCGCGGCAGCTCCTCATAGGCAATTTTGGACCCAGAAGAATACGACATATCTTCCCAATGAAGAGGCTCCTCGTTCCGACTTCCCAAGAGTCCTGCTCCTAGAATAGCCGCAACGGCCAGATACATATTTGCGGTGGCATCGGCGCATCGAACCTCCCAGTACCCATCGCCAAGCTTGCGAACAGGTGTCTGGCGGTTTTGCGTCCCCCAACTTACTTGTGTCCCTGCCTGGAAATCTCCACAGCGGCGGTAAGAGCTAATGGAGGGCATGGAAAAGGCACAGATGGCAGGAAGGCGCTGAAGAACACCGGCAAGGAAAGCTTCTTGATTGCGGGGAGGGTGAATAGAAACATGGATGTGGGAGCCATTCGCAGATCGGTTTTCCACAGGCTTGGGGGACATTGTGGCTGTATAGCCGTGGCCCGCGAATGTGCATCTGATGATGTCGTGAGCGGCCACGAGGTCATCGACAGCTTCAAGTGGAGGCCGGGCAGCTAGGGTGATCTCGTATTGACCAATGTTTCCTTCCACGTGGAACTCCCGGACTGGAATCCCAGAATGGGAGAGATTCTTTACGCACTCCTCTAGGTACTTGTAAGAGGGAGCGCGTAGCCCGGCAGCCGAATAGGTCCCTGGATGCGACGAAAATGGGATTAGGGCGCCATCTGAGGCGGACTGTAGAACGACAAACTCGATTTCAAAGCCGATGAGGAAGTCCAACTGGCGCTCCTTTTTGCCTCGAGAAACAACATTCTTTAGAGCAATTCGAGGACACAGGTTGGGGTTGGACATAATCCCAGGGTTTTCCTCGATAATGGAGCACATTACTGAGGCGTAATTGGGACCCTCCTTGTCCATGCAGTTGGAGAGGGTCCGAAGGGAGGACCAGTCTGGGTATAGCAGGTGGGCAGAGGATGCCTCAAATGGGACGCGACTCTCATCGGGGAGACAGCTCAAAGTAATCTGGCCACACCTCAGAGGCTTATTGCTGGTCACTATTGACTGAAAATAATCCATGGTGACCACCCGAGCACGTAGAATGCCTGAGTAGTCCACCCACTGAAACCGCACATAGTCAATCTCAGGATTTTGTAGAAGAAATGCATCGACATAAACTCGAGGCTTATCCGGGCTGATTCCAGTTAGCCCAAGGGCCGAGGGAAGATCTCCAGTCGAACCCATTGAGTTTATGTGGCTGGGAAGATGAAGAAAAAAAAAAGAACGTGACTAGGATACCGGCAGTGTTGTGCCTAGGAGGGCCAGTAAGGTGATGAAATGTAGTGGTGCTGAATCAAACAGGAATACGCAGGTGAACGATCATCTTTATGAAGACCAAGTCTCCTAATTCCTAGCAGAAAATGTTAGTATACTTGCAAAGTATAGAGATGGATGCACCTCAGCGCCACTGACGAAGTAACCTATGTAGAAGGCATCTAGCCAAGCCCAAGTGCTGACGACGACACGCGCGATTTCGCACGCACGTTCAGACCCTTACCTTGTAGAAGCAAGGGACACGGGATGCTGCTGATCATCCTCGCTTCTCCCCGACAGTTGATGCGAAGATGTGCTCAACCCAAGGTGTCTCTGAATCCCTATGTCGTCATTCTTTGAGGAACTAAAAACGATCTTCGGGGTGTGCTGAAGCCATTGGTACAATCGCCGATACGGTGTAGCTTGCATGAATTTGCATGAGAGATGAAGTTTCGGCCGAACTCGTGGCATACACGGGTGACAGGTCTGTGCACCCAATGGAAATGATCTTGCGGCCGATCTCCACCAAAAACGTGTGACTAATTCAGCCGATCCGAGCCTTATTGCGCCACAATCCCGCCGATATGCAGGGTTGGAGGTTACGTGTATCCATACGAAGATGCGCCAATCATTCCATATCAGATTCCCTGAGTACGCACTCTGACAGTGACCATCCTCCCGGACCATCCTCCCAAGTATAGGGGTGATGTCACTCTACCCCAAGAGATCATCTAGCCCTGAACTAACTACCACGCTATTTAAGGGCCAGACGATGTTGGACTGTTCACCAGACCATCTGTGGACCATTTGCTTGAATTTGATATCCACCCATCATGCCTGCTCTGACTAGTGTGCCGACAGTTGATCTGTCAAACCTCGACCACCCGGAGGGAAAGAGATTGGCTCTAGACAACATTCGTCGCGCTTGCATGGATTGGGGGGTCTTCTACCTCTCAGGTATCCCAGTTCAGCCAGCTACCCTCGAGAACGCTACCAATGAGACCAAGTTATTCTTTGATCGTCCCATCGAGGAGAAAATGAATATCACGCTGGATAAGGTCCCTAGTTATCTTGGATATGTCCCGGTACGTTTAGTAGTACTTTGACTACTTCGAACGTCACTGATGAATCATACAGTTAGCTAGTGAGCGCACTGGTGATAAAGTCGATTACCGTGAACGCATCATCTTGCGCGGTGACGACCCTGGGAATGGGGGAAAGATGGATCCTGTATACCAGACACTCCAGGGAAAGACCCAGTGGCCATCTGGAATGCCTCACTTTCGTCGTGCCCATGAGGATCTCTTGACTGCATTCACGGGTGTATCTCGGGTTGTCCGGGCTCTGATGGCCGAGGCATTTGGGATCGACTTTCCCACACTGGACAGCCTGTTCCACGAGGAATCTCGTCAGAATCGCAGTGTCGTGATTCATTACCCCCAGGTTCCAAAAGGTGGGGATTCCGGTCAAAATTTGACCGGATTGCATGGACACAAGGATATGACTTTTGGTGGTATAATATATCAAGCAACCGAGCATGAGTGCTTGCAGGCTCAAGCACCAAATGGAGAGTGGGTTACCTGTCCACCGAAACCGAACACGGTAGTTTACGTTGTCGGAGCAATTTGCGAGTCTATCACCCGGGGCGTACTCAAAGCTTGCTTCCATCGGGTTCTCACTCCTGCTCCTGAATCCGGATCTCGCTACGCTATGGTTGCCGCTCTTTATATCGATTATGATATCTCCCTGGCCAATCCCAAGGTCACCAAAGCACTAGAAAGGATCGGGAAAGATCTCCAGGCCGGGTATGAGCTCAACAACGGCATGCTGGAAGACTTCCTCAATGAGGAGTTTGATTCTATTGGCATGAGAAGTTTGAAACGGTACATGCGCAGTTTTCCGGAAGTCACTACCAAATGGGTGAGTTTTGTCATTTTCACTTTCGAAACTTGCAGCACTACTCACACAGATGTCACTGGCAGTTCCCTGAATACTCCAACCGCGTCGCGGCTGCATAGACATAGGTTTGGCTGTTCCCCTGGTGGTACTGAGATGATCAAAGCACCCGAGTCCCACGGCAATGCTGCAAGGATTGAACTGTGGCGACATAGCCTAGGCTATTTATAATATTTTGAATTTACACTTGAAGTTTTTGGAAGTAACTGAGTCACCCTTGTTTTGGGTGATAATCCTTATGGTGATCCTTAAGCAAGGACACCTCGATCCCACCTACGCCGATCAGTAGCTGTCAGCATCACACGTAGTGGAGGATCAGACGAGACTCGAAAGAGAACCAGAAGAGAAGAACAGACCCGCGGGCGCTGGAGCCCCAGCGCATGGTAAGGTAAGAGGAACCAAACAGAAAACAATCTTATTGCGGTGTGTGAGGGGGTAAAAGGAACAAGAGACTGTAGCCCTCTTCTAAACCGGAAATCATGTGATCTTGTGCCTCTCCGTGCTCGTATACTCAGATTGCCAGTGACAAACGACATACATGGCCCCGGTTCGGGTACAGACTTCCGCGAAAGATGCATATGAATGCAGTGCCCACTAGTAGTATGTCAGGTGACCTTAGAAAGCCTCCTCGCTGCATGTAGATCGAGTCTCTGCCTCTCTTCTCTCCTGTCTTCTCCCCTCTCCTCCTCCCTCCTTCTCTGCTCTGGCGAGGCATGTAGACACTCTTTATCCCAGTCTTGCTATGCAACACGTAGCGAATTCCCTTGGCTTCATAGCCTACCGTGATCATTGTGAGTACACGCAATATGGATTCCATGATCGGCATAATCTCAAGATGGAAGGGGATTTTCGTCGATGATCCCCATTCTTATGACGACCGCATTCCAGACCCACCCTCAGGTCATTCAAATGAGACAGAACTCAGACAGAAGGACCTGTACACGCGTATGACGATGTGATTGAGACACGGTGAGGGAAGGGCCCGAAGGGATGACTATATTAATCATTCAAAGGTCTATATTTCTGCACCGTGTATTTATAGCCGCAACGATTGCGCCGGCTTTGGCAGCACCTCCTATTTTGACCTTCGCTATTTCAAATTAGACCCACGCCAGATGATCGTTATGGCGAAATACTTGGACAACGAAAGGCCAGCATTATCAGTGAATACCAGTCTACATGACAGTTCAACTACCCTGCCACAAGAAAAGTCACCCAGAAGTCTTGAATCTTCCCAGACCATTATTGTTGACTTTGATGACAATTTTTTGCACCCGCATGCCTGGCCTGATTCCCGGCGATGGTCAATATTAATCCTTACTCTCGTCATTACGACTTTAGCAAATGTATCAACGACAATCGTTGTTCCTTCATTGGATGTTATCTCGGCTGAGCTGAACATGGACCCCATATCTGAAGGACCAATGGTGATGTCTTCCTACGTACTGACCCTTGCCTTCGGTCCCTTATTGGTAGCCCCATTCAGTGAGCTCTGGGGGAGAGTTCCTCTCATGCAGGCTGGGAATATTATCTATATGGGATTCAACTTGGCCTGTGGGTTTGCGACCAGTCGAGCCCAGCTCCTTGCTTTCCGAGTGCTTGCTGGCCTTGGAAGCGGCGCAACACCAGTAGTGAGTACTCTTTGATTTTATTCTATAGTCCGGGCCACAATTGATTCAATATAGGTTGGGATTGGTATGATAAGTGACATGTTTCCCACTGAAAAACGCGGGCAATCACTTGCTGTATTGAACATGGCATTCATATTAGCGACCCCTATTGGTGCCATCGTTGGCGGGTTCACAACTTCTTCGGCATCTTGGAGATGGGATTTTTATTCAACTTCCATGGCCTCGGCCGTGCTGATCCTGTTAAGCTTTTTCATCTACAAGGAATCTTACCCCCCGGTCCTACTCCAACGGAGAAAGAAGCAGCTGCTGAAGGCCAATGGTCCAAGTTCAGGTAACCTCAAAACACAATATGATGAAGATCACCCTACGATCGCGGCACTATACTACAAGACACTTATCAGGCCTCTCTACTTCCTTGCGACGCAGCCCATTATTCAACTCCTAGGCCTTTATGTGTCCTTTGCCTACGGAATGACCTATCTTATTTTCGGTTCATTCCCAGCACTTTGGGAAGGGCGCTATCACGAGGCCAAGACGATTGCCTCGCTTCACTTTATCGCCCCTGGCATCGGCTATCTTTCCGGAATCATGATTGGCATGTTCTGTGCAGACCGAACATATCGAAAGCTCCAGCGGAATTCTGAAGAGAAGAAGCCGGAGTTCCGGCTCCCTCTTCTGATTATCAGCTCAACCTTCATACCTGGAGCCCTGATCTGGTATGGTTGGTCTGCAGAAGCTCACGCTCACTGGGCAATTCCCACTATTGCGATATGTTTCTTGATGTGTGGCTGCACTATTTTGTTCCAGTGTGTCACTGCCTACTCCATTGATACCTTTCATATATATGCCGCCAGTGCATCGGGCGCATTGTTTTTTGTGAGAGGTCTCTGCGCTTTTACCTTTCCTTTGTTTGGACCTACTATGTACGAGAACATAGGCTTTGGCTGGGGCAATACTCTGCTTGGACTGCTGGCCCTGGTCATTGGTGTTCCAGTCCCCTTGATCTTGTGGAAATATGGTCCTCGACTCCGGCAACGAAGTGTTTATGCAATGTCCTCGTAGCCTGTGTTTTGATACGGGTTCCTTTCATTGAGACCATTTGAACATTTGGGCTGATTAGCTCTCCAGGGAGGCTGCCATCATGCTTACGTTGATACTGCCCAGGTGCGCCTGTGAAAGGGGTTTGCTGATTATACATATATACCCATGGGCAACTTTTGAACAATCTTCTGCATTGTATATGTGTTTCATTATGACAGACGCCTGGGCACTAGTTGCCTGGTTTTCTTCAAGGCCCAGACCAGAATTTATATTTTGTATCCTATGATACTAGCTGTCAAACTTCCAAGTAACGTTCCTCAAAAGAGTCTGTCTAGTTGGGAAGGCGGAGCAGAAGAAAGGATAAAATACGCTCTCTTGGGGCCATGCCATCCTTCTCCAGCCTTACAACAACAGCTAATGGATTTATCCACCACCCAGCAAACTACTATAAACAGTATCTACAAAACCTTTTAGCTCGTCGATCAAGATCTTTGCACAAGCTTAATGAAAGAATGATACTTGGAATGCCCAGGGTGTGTGGGATGTGACGTAGCCATCAACGTGTGCTGAATCTGCTGACATCACCCACATCTAGTCCATCCACAATACTCTCTAGAACGTAGGGGTAAAAGGAATCCCATTTCAGTTGTCGGTCAATCCTAGAAAGTCTCCATGTGGGGCGAGAAAACTCATATTTAAGAAGGGAGCCCGGGAGTCGCGATCTTCCCCAGGGCTGAAGAACGAAGCATGTCGCATGTAGCCTTACGCGGTTAAATGGAGCATATGCATCGAAACGGAGACGGCCGAATCACAAGCCCTCTTATTCGTTCTCATACTCTGTACTGTAGGCTTCAGCTTTTCTTTTCATTCTTGTGACGTAGAGCATGCTTTTGCCAACATATACCCTATGCACGGGAGATGGAGATAAAGATCGAAGGTATGCTGAATATGGTTTCCGGGATCTTGGTACATGATCGTACCAGTAAAAACTGAAGTTAGATAGATCGTGAAGTTTGGGACGACCACAGTGGGCGAATATTGAAGATAGAGTTTGACATTGCACACCGCTTGGTACTCACCACGTGAATATTGTAGTTATAGATCTGCTCGCCGCAATATGGAAAACTTGGTCTGTAATTACAGAATAAATATTTTCCCGAATGGATTTTAGAGTCACAATAGAATGATAGCTCGGATGCATTGTGCTGGAGCTACTGAGCCCCGACAACAACCTTGGAACGCGTGATATTCCTCAAGCTTCCCACTATTATAAATCATGCATGATATTGTGGACTTGCGGCCGATTTGTTCTGGACCTACTACAGTATATGAGCAAATTATCAATGATCGATGGAACTCAAACGAAGACAAGTATTAGACCTGCGTTTACATGACAAGTACATAGGATCCACACTTAATCTATCTGCAACGCACAATAAAATTCGACGAAGATGATATTCCCGGATAGAGTATTGAATCCAGATCATATAGGCTCAAAGCGCGTAGAAACCATTACAAATCGATAACCTAATAGTGGCGGGATAGTGGAAGAATAGGGAAGGATGCATACGCCAAGGATTATATCTGCATGCAAATAGCACGTAGTTGCCACAATCTATATGGTACATGTGAAATCCAGGGGTATGATATAATCACGAACTTTAGAACCCACGTACAGCGCATTAGCTGAATTGATTTGTCCCAACAACCATATTGGGTGGGACTACAAAGACGGCAAGAGGTAGATCGACATCCGCATACAGAGCGAGATAGCAGGTGTACCCACCGAGAGTATCTGTTATGGAAGCTATTGATTCAGGAAGCCCACAGCCACGTACTGAAGACGGCCTCGTTCTCAATCGACCTAAGATTAAATGAGCGGTAGAAGTCGGAAGACAAGGATACATAGATATGCTTAGTTACGGAGCCAAAACCCCCCCCCCTCCCCCCCCCCCTTTCCCCCCGGGCCCGCCACTCATAGCTTATTCATGGATGTTCCACTTGCAGGAAGATATTGGTACGGGGCTGGCTTTTACCCATCGGGTACAGAATCCGTTCAATGAATTTTAGAATCGGTACTGTAGCCCTGGGACCAGTGGGACTCGGAGGACAAGAAAAATGAGATTTAGCTTCGTTGTGCAGAGCATGTCTCTATAGCAGACAATCCCCACCTACAGTTTACCTACCATGCACGTTCCAAGCCTCCAACTCCTATTGAATTCAAGCATCCCCGCTAGCCGAGTCTAGCGAGAAAAAGAAAAAAGTAAAAAGAAAAAAGACGAAAGGATTTCGTTTCCACTCCGGCCGTTCCCGCGGGCCGGAAAGTCTGGTCGGCGTCGGCGTTCCCCCTTGACTGATAAGCCCGCGACTATCCTTTTCCGGCGGTCGCCCGATCTCGGTTCCGAGAGAGACCGGGTGAGGATTTCGTGGTAGCGAGCCACTGAGAATGATTTTCTTGGTCTAGTGATCAGATAAGATGGATCGCCCTCATTTTACCCACTTTGTTCTGAGAACACGAGAGAAAAGGAGGCCAGATTGGAGTAGCCGATGTAGATCTTTATGGTACCTTGGGAAGAAATTGGAAGCGAACGTTGCGTAATCTGGCGGAGCCAAGATGGGACCCGTGTCATAGTGGGACGGCGGTTCCGCCCAGAAACTGTATGTACAGGCTTCACGCTGGGCAGCCAGAAGAGTAAAAAAAGAAACCGGCGGGAAATTTCCTTGGTTTAATACCACGTGTTAAGTCATTTCCCAGTCTGAACAAAGAAAAGCGTTGCATCCGAAGGTTCGAAGAATTTTCATCGAAGACTGAATTTTGAGATTTGGAGACAGGTCCCTGGAATTCGAAACCAATGGGCGAGACTCCTGCCCAGCCCTATGTAAAGTTGGAAGGGACTGCCCAGACTCAATAATGTGGCAAGGTGGATCTGGCACGAGGCGATGCACCGGCGTTCATGAGAAGGATCGTCCCGAGCACTTACTCTGTACGAGGCCGATACCGAAGGCTGAGACACAGCGGTCCTTCTCCAAACTTAATGATCGGATTGACAGCACCCCGCGGGTCCTCGTTGAATTCCGCTTGGTACCTGGTTCCTGGTCGGCCATTCATTGTTAAAAGTCACGACATGCTGTTCCGTGGCCGTCCGAGCGGATGTTCGGACTCCGATATCGGTTTATACGAGGAAACATACGAGGGTACGAGGGTACGAGATATAGCGGAATGGTCGTCTTTGCTCCTTTGATTCCCCTGAAGAATATCTCCTATCCTAAAAGGATGGGCTCCGAAAAATTGCCGGAAACTTCAGCCGCCCGTTAATTATACTCGGGATTAGCATGATAGGAATTTATTCAGGCCCCGAAAAGGGTTGGCCGGATGCCAAGAGTCGCTAGTGCGACGCCAAGGATCCGCCCGTTGCAGCCTGCCCAGGTGATCTGCGGTGTGGGTCCAGGCTAACCCTAGGTTGTCGACTATGCAGATCTTCTCTTGACGGAAGAACGCTTCATCGGGTAGACAATTGAGACCCGAAGAATTGATGAGATACATGATCAATTATCTGTAGTTTTCTCACGATAATGTAATGTATTATCAATTGGTGAGTGCACAATGGATATGTATAAATGTGATAAGAACGTGCAGCTAATCATCGCAATATATGATTTGATTGACAGCATGTAGAAAGTTAATCTGGTCAGGCCCTTATCTTTTTCATGGATGATCGTCTCTCTGAAATCCCTGTATCAGGTTAAAAGGGACATATCCACAAGATCAGGGTAGTATTCCCGGGAAACAAGGATCGCATTATGCCCTGTGGCGCGCGCTGGCTTCGCCCGATGAGCTCTACCAAGGTTCTGAATGGCTGAACAATCACCATTGCGGATCGATAGACGACGAAACAAATCTTCTCTTCAGCTGGGCCGTCCCAAGCTCATCTGGCTCAGCCATATGCAAAGCTTTGCCGAGCCCAGCACGGGGAGGGGTCTTGACCCAGTGTGCCGCCATTGCGCAATCGCAATGGGGCCTGTGATGTAACTTTGTAATTTCTTACTGTATTGGGGTATATTCTGTTTATCGAGTGGATAACAACTGTATCAGGGTCTGGTAGAAGCTCAGGTTGGAGTAGCCATATAAGATGCCAAGGGCAGGCCCCCTTTTGATGTGAGACTCTGTGGTTCTGTAGAAGCGGATCGAGTCTTGATCAATAGATCTTTCCAATACTCTCGATTCAAGATGGCGGCATCGCCAGAATCATTGTATGTCTTGGTTGTTTCGTCCATGTTCTGTTGGCGTCTCTTAACTCATACTGACTTTTGCATAGCCTTATAGGACAACTTCTACGTCTTCGGAATGAGGCTTCTCATCCAGACTCCGCCCAACACCTATCCTCCCTCCTCTCCTCTCACAATGGTCCATGGCCTGCTAAACAACTTCTTCCTTGCTTTAAGGATATATACCAATCCCTTCCTGAAGCATTGAAAGCCAACAATGACGAGTTCATTGCCAGCCTCCGGGCTCAGGCCAAAGCTGTCATCCCCGATGTGGCATCGTTGATTGGAACAGACAGCCGTGCTGGTTTCATAGATGCTACCACTGGGAGGAATCTTACCCATGGTGCCATCCAACGGTTTGTGCACAACTTTCAGTTGCCCATTGGTCTTTCCAGGCATGGCAAGCCTCGCATCGCTGTCATCCTGCCCAATGGCCCTCTGATGGCCATTGCGGTCCTTGCTTTCACAAACAGGTATACGATTGTACCCATGGCATCGAATACAGTACCAGAGCAGCTCCACATGGACATTGAACAGTGTCAAGCTGATGCTGTTGTCGCCTTGGATTCTGATATTGGCAAGCTGCAACTGGACAATGGGAGTCGACCTATATTTGGCGTCGAACCACTGGAGGATCTGACTTTCCGTGTCGTCTCTGAGCAACATGCTTCTGGTGCATCAGACATCCCCGCCAACGCCGGCGATGATATCGCGATTATTCTTTTCACCAGTGGTACCAGCGGTAACAAGAAGCTGGTTCCTATCACAATTTATAACCTCATCGCCGGTACGATGGCCACGATTGAATCGGTCGAACTGTCTGAAACGGACACATGTCTTAACATGATGCCACTTAACCATGTGTATGTTGCATCCCAAATGTCACATAAAGAAATACTAACAGCAACAGCGGCGGTATCATTCGGAGTATCTTCTCTCCTCTTCTCGCTGGCGGCGCCACGATCTGCTGCCCCTCCTTCGACCCCAGCATGTTCTGGGATGCCGTCGAAAGTCCTTACATGACTCCGACTTGGTACTATGCCACGCCCACAATGCACCAGATGATCCTCGGTGAAGCCAAGCACCGCCCTGAGGCTGTCAAGCAAAGTGTCATCAAGTTCATCTGCAATGCCGGTGCTGGTCTCCCACCGACTCTTGCCGCTCAGCTTCATGATACTTTCCACAGTGTTATCCTACCCAGTTATGGTATGACTGAGTGCATGCCCATTGCTGCGCCTCCTAAGGACTATACTCTTGATCGTCATGGCACATCAGGACGGATTGTTGGTCCCGAAGTTGCAATCATGAACGATGGAACTCCTGTCGCGCGCACTGGAATGCTTGGACACATCTGCATTCGTGGTTCACCCGCCTTCGAGGGATACCTGACCCCGGAAGGCAAGATTGATACCAGCGCATTCGATGGGGCTGGCTGGTTTGACACTGGTGACCTGGGTTATCTCGACGATGACAACTACCTGTACATCACCGGTCGCAGCAAGGAAGTCATCAACCGTGGTGGTGAAATTATCTCTCCCGTCGAAGTGGAAGACGCCGTGCTAGCCGCGGCGAGGGATCCCAACTCTCCACTGTATGGTCGTGTCTCTGAGACATTGGCCTTTTCCGTCCCTGATGAGGTGCTCCAAGAAGTCGTCGGTGCGGTCATCACCTGTCCCCCCGGCGTCCCTCGCCCGGATCTTCGCATGCTGCATGAGGCTCTGCACCCCATCATCCACCAACCCAAGTGGCCCGCTTTGATCACATACATGGATCGTGTCCCCAAATCAAATAATAAGATCCAGCGTATCAAGCTTGCAGAGCGATTAGGTCTGGAGACTCTCACCCCGACCACTCCTCTGGCCGACCGACACTTTGAGGCTGTCTGTCCGCCCAACGGCACCCCACTCAGTACACCCATCAGCAAGAAGCAATGCGTTGTTGACGAGAGCGCCATCCGATCGGTTCTCTCCAAAAAAGCTAGCACCCTGGACTTGCACATCCACACACACCCACGCGACGGGTTCGCACAGGCTGTGTTATTCGGCAAGAGCTCGGATGATGAGCCCATCACACCCGAAGACCTTCGTAGCGACCTCGATGGCTACCTCATTCCCAGCCGTATCACTTCCCTCGAGGGCCCTATGCCTATCGATGCCTTCGGTAATCCAGACCAGGCTGCCATTGAAGAGGCGATTCGTGCCCGTTACTCGGATGGTGATTTGACGCCTATTCAGCGCCGTATCCGTGAGATTTTCGCCGCGGCTTTGTCTTGTGAGGCAGATGATGTTTCTGCGGCGACCGACTTTTTCGCTGCTGGCGGTGATAGTCTTAGTGCCGGCCGTCTGGTTTCGCAGCTCCGTCGTGAATTCAGTATTTTCCTTCCTGGTGACATTCTCTTCCACCACAGCACTGTCGGTGAGGTCGAGGACAAAATCACGGAAGCAGTTGAGATCAAGGCTGCCAGGGGTGACGTGGGAGAGGTCGAGCTGCCCGGTTGCGAGAAGACCTACAGCAGCACTAACCCTATTCTCCTGGTTCTGCATCTGTTCCCGATCATGCTGTTTGCTCCCATGAAACGTGCCTTCCAGTGGTTGGTCTTCGCGTATGTTATGGCTGAGTGTTCAACTCGTTTCCCCATTAGTGACGTTCTCATTGGTCGTGTTGTCCTGATCGTCCTGGCCGTGTTGTCTGCTCGGGTGGCCGGACATATCGTGTTCCCTCTATGTGCTCTTACCTTTAAATGGCTCGTCATCGGTCGCTACAAGGAGGGCATCTTTCCCATGTGGGGCCCATACCACACTCGCTGGTGGTTAACCCAGAAGGCATTGCAAGTCTGCGGTAAGGGTATGTTCGCTCGCTTCAACTGGTCTCGCGTGCTCTTCTACCGTCTGCTCGGAGCAAAGATTGGCAAGAACGTTACTCTTCATCCGATGGTCAAGCTTGGTGAATATGATCTGATTGAAATTGGTGACAACGTCATACTGGATGTTTGCCAGTGCCGTCCTTTCGCCGTGGAACGCAATACCTCCATGCTCCTCAAGCGCATCTCTATAGGCAAGGACTCATCCGTGGGTACCAAATCCATCCTCGCCCCAGGTGCCGTTGTCCCCGAGAACACTTGCATTGGTCCCAACTCGTCCAGCTGGGAGCTCCAGGATGCTGATGAGTCCAACCGTGACTTACTTTCCTCTCGCATTCCTCAGCCCCATTGGATTTGGTCCATTATCCTCATCGAGCCTATCAAGATTCTTGTCTGGGTTGCTTCTCGCCTTACCTGGATGGGTGGTCTCGTGCCTATGGTGTACTCCTACCCTGCAACCTCGCCTGACATGTTCCTGGGTACCCTGGAATGGTTCACCAACGGCCAGCGAATTGGATACCACATCACCGCAAAGATCTGCCGTGCTATCGGCAGTCCGATTGTGCAATTCGCCGCCGTCTTGCTTATCAAGTGCCTCCTCGATCTTCTCTGCGGTAAACCCAAGCCTGGTCCTGCCTCAAAGCAGACCGAGCGCCAGAAGGTTCGGAGTGCTGTGCTATCTCAGATCCTGCCTGCCGGTGATATTCATGAGCTCACCCGTCTTGTTGGTCGTCACTACGAGGCTGTCTCGATTGCCGTCCGCGCCCTGGGTGGTAAGGTCGGAAAGCGTGTCTACTGGCCCAGTGTTGGGCCCGCTGTTCCCGACTTCGACCTCGTCGAGGTTGGAAACGATGTTGTCTTTGGATCCCGCTCGACGATCGTCACATCCGATGGATACGGTCGTGATCGTGTCACAATCGGTGATGGCACCATGGTCGGCGACCGTGTCGTCGCTCTGCCCGGTACCACTATCGGTCGCGAAGCCATGATCGGTTCTGGTGCTTTGCTCCGCCGCAATGGCGACTTCCCTTCGAACACCATCTGGACTGGTAGCAAAGGAGGCAACGCCGTGCAATTCCCAACTAGCACACCACCAATGTCGAATGCCCCCACCGTGGTTAACAGCAGTGACAGCAGCACGAACGGCGACAGCGATGATGAAAAGCGCACAGGTGGCGAGAAGTCGTTCAGCGAGAAGCAGAGCAGTCTTGGTTATAAGAATCAGCTCACTGAGGTCGAGACGGATACCTGCAAGCCCTTCGGTCGCGCGTTCTACCGCCACGAATCGAACTACTACGTTCTCCGCATCTGGCAAATTATGGTCTACTCTGTCATCGCCGTCGTCTTCACAACTGTCTTCTGGATCATCTCCATCCCACTTTCCCTCTTCGCTCTGCGTGGTGCTCTGACTTATGGCACCTCCGGAGCCCTCCAGCCTGGCCCATGGCGCCCATTTGTCAATTACGGTATCCTCGCCGCAGTCCTGGCGGGTATCAGTACCGTGCAAGTTTTCATAGCCCTCGGTCTCGTCATCTGGATCAAATGGATGGTTATGGGCCGTCGCCAGGAAGGAAGCTTCCACTGGGACAAGAGCAGCTACAACCAACGCTGGCAATTCCTCCTCTCCTGCGAGACATTGATCAAGGACTGTTACGGCAAACTGGGTCTTCTACCATTGCTGAGTGGAACTGCCTGGGTAGTCTGGTATTACCGTCTGCTCGGTGCGAGAATCGGAAAAGACTGTGCTATCCACGCAAACGGCACGCCGAACATCTTCTTCACTGAGCCTGATCTTCTTACTCTCGGTGACCGCGTCGCCGTTGACGATGCCAGTCTAGTTTGCCACTTGAACTCTCGTGGTGAATTCGAGTTGCATCACTTGAATGTTGGAGATCGAAGTATCTTGCGCGCTGGTTCGCGCTTGATGTCTGGTGCTTCGATGGGCCAGGATGCTTGTCTTTTGGAACACACTTTGGTTCTCTCTGGAGACCACGTCGAGGATGGAAACACTTTGCAGGGCTGGCCTGCTGGACCCTTCGAGGGCACACGTGTTTGAATGTTAGATTTCTTTTTGTTGTTATCTTTTGACCTTGGAATGCAAGGTTCATGTTCGGATGTAACGTATAAAATTTCGGGCTTTTCTTGCCTTGTGGGTTTTTTCGGTTTTTTGGAGGAATTAGATCTTCCTGGTTTTGGTATAGAGTTTTCGTATAGATTAGCTAGATCTCGAAGCTTCCGGTTAATCTTCAGGATTAGTTGCAATTCATGATTCCATGAGCTTGTTATAAAATGGCCTTCAGACCTAGTAGATGAACAGTCAAGAATACTATAGTTGAAGGATCCAAGGCTAGTGCTTTATTATATCACTTTCCCAGCCCCACATATCTTTGTTAGCCGTTCACTAGTATACTCTGCCTCGATATTCAAGAAAGATCCAGTCAGTGCAGTCGTTTGAACGAGAGACGATCTTATTTCCCTTTGGCCCCTTTGGACTGATGGAAACGAGTGAATGCTAAAGGGCTGAAACGAATCATTCGTGAAAGAGAACATTATTCCAGTAGGAAGTGAAAATGAAGCTAATTGCTCTAAGGTTCCACCAATAGAGTGAATGTTTCTATGTCTCAATGTAGTTGACTCAAGCTCTCAATTCCTTAAAGGCCCTGACCAAATCATTCCTCAAATCCTCCCAGTTCTCCAGTCCGATACTAATCCTCAACAACTTCCGATCAACAGTCGCATCTGACATAGTGCGCCACTCAATAAGCGACTCCACACCACCAAGACTAGTAGCATGCTGGAAGAAATGCAATTTCGACGGAAGAGTCTTAGCGAGATCTTCTTCCTTCATGCAAATGGAGAACACAGGACCAAATCCATTGGGCATCTGCTTCTTCAACCATTCACCTCCGTCCTGCAAGCTAGCATGGAAGACTTCACCCAGTACACTCTGGACAGCTGCCTCGTCGCTCCCGGGAGCAGGATGAGGAGCCTTTAAGGCAGTAGCAAGCCATTGGACAATTTTCGTGGTATTCTCACTTTGGCGCTGCACGCGAACTTCCAATGTGCGGAGGGAGCGGACGCCAAGCCATGATTCCATGTTACCCATTACGCTGCCAAGGAAAACGCGGTCATGGAAAAGTTGTTTGGACCACTGCTCGTTCTGGGTTGCGAGCACACCGCAGAGGACATCGCTGTGGCCGCCGAAGTATTTTGAGCCGGAGTGCATGACCAGGTCGGCGCCCCAAAGGAAAGGATCCTGTAGGCCCGGGGGAGCGAAGGTGCCGTCAACAATGATGTAGGCGCCGCGTGAGTGTGCTTTTTGGGCATAGGAGGCAATATCGTAGGCTGTGCCTTTAGGATTGAGAGGTGTCTCGAGAAGAATTACATCGCCAGCCTCTAGCTGATCAGCGGGACAGTCGAGGGGGAGCTTCTGGAGGCCTGTAAGGCGGGTGAAGAGGGCAATTACGCCGTGGCAGCCGTGGTAACCTTCGCCGACGGAGATACGGCGGGGGTTGAGCAAGGTCAGGGCTGCATGGAGGGCAGAGAGACCGGAAGAATAGCTAATTGCAGTGCCATTGAGGAGGGCAGAGAGGATTGTTTCGAAGCGAGTAGGGTTGGGCGCCGAGGCACGGGAGTAGATGTGGGAAGTGGCTGCAAGTCCGCTCTACACAATTGTCATTATTGAGCTCAGGCATTGTAGCAAAAGTAACATACATCACTCAGATCGGCCACTGGGAATAATTTGGCGGGATCATCGGAGTAACGGAAAGTAGTAGCAAGATGCATTGGAGGGGCCACATCTGTGACAACATTTAGCGCATCATCCGCGTGCAGTGAGCGCGTGGAGGTGCCAATGTTTTGAGCCATGGTTATGCTATGTTCTGGGGAATTGTATGCACAAAAAAAAAAAAAAAAACGCGGAGCTATGATACAATCAAGCGAAGAATGGGAGGGGGAAAGAGGGGCGGACACGTGAGTCATCACGTGGTGTGGGGATGGACGCCAAGAAGTTGGAGAAGAAATTTGGAGTAGAAACTCCGGGGAAGAGGTGAAAAAAAGATGAGTTAAAAGGAAGGGTATGGGGGAATAGAAGCAATCATCTTCGCAGTGATCCCATGCGAGAAGGTTCACGGACAGATCCGGGCAAAGCCACCTTAAAGTTGGTGCGGTCTAGGTAATTGTTAGCATCACTCATCACAAACATCCGTGGAAACCACGTACCAACTTCCGAATCGAACGTAATAGTGAGGTCGTCATGTTCGATCGGATACTCGGGCATGTCTAGACAAACGAAGTGGGAGGCTGGATCATCGTCCTTCTTTGGAAGTGCGAATTTGGCATCCACAATGCGAATTCCGAACTTGCCAGATCGGCCAAAGGACTCGATATGGTCAGTGCCCTTAAGGATGAAATTCATGCAAGTACCATGCTGGAATTCCGAGAAGAAAGCAATCAGCTGAACGATTTTCTCCTGTTTCACAATCTGGATTCGTGCGAGATTGGCCTCCCATTTCTTATAGATCGGGACAACGCTGCGACGGCGAGAGATGGCGAAACACGAAGCATTACTAATACTGTAAGCGCGGTTCAGATGATGAATAGGATCGAGATTCAACTTACCCGTCATACATGACACGGAACCCAGTGACCGCTTCTTCGAAGGAATGGAGATCTAACAAAATGTGAGCAATCAGGATGTAAGGACCACAAGACAAATAACATACCGTTCATAGAAGCAAATTCTAATCGACGGACCATTGGCGTAGTGGTGACCTTATCAAGGAAGCCTGCTACTTGCCCCGGCAGCTCTGGCTTGATGAGGTTGTCAGCCAGCGAAACCGTCAGATCCTGCTGGGCTGGTCGGAACAAGCTCATTCCAGTCTTTCGATTGACATCCAGGCCAATCTTGAGCTCTCCGGGTCCTAGGTGGTAAATCAGCATACGGTCCGCGCATCCATTTGACAGTGACGCTTACCTAGATTGATGCGATCTGTAACCGATCCCCATTCGGTAGCGATAAAGGCTCGCAGATTCTCCGACAGAATTGTTGCGCCATAGCCATGATCCACGTACGAGTGTGTCTGATCAATAACAAAGACATTTCCAGCTGGGAATTGTAGATGGGTGACAGCTGACCGACCGCTTGCTTGGTCGGCCGGTTCCTCAATGGCATATGATCGGAGAGGAATTTCGCGACTCTTAGACTCTAATTCGCGCGGGATCATGCCTAATAGCACGGCATGCATTTTGGTGCGTTCTTCGACCTCGTGGAATGTCAAAAGCATGGATCTTGTGCGGCCGTCTTCCGTGACCTTGAGAACAAGTGCAGGGGACCCATCTTCTCCCCTCAGAAGGCCGAACACCACGGGTGTGCCATGGGCTAGAATATGCTTCACATGACTGAGAGTTTTCACCTTGGGGCTAGTCAAAACGGTCAAGCGGAATCCACGGTGTGCATTGCGCGTTCCAGTGCCTTCCTTGATTGTGACCGATCGCTCGAATAAGCGAATTCGACAACGCTCCAACGGCTCAGGTGGGAAAGCCTTGGTAGTCCCAGGGTCCATGTATTGGAACATCTTCACTGTATTTTCATACACAACGGTTTCGCCCGCCTCCGGGGCAAGACTCGCCTCCGATTTCTGGGTGTACTTGACAATGTTCCAGAGGGTTTTGAAATCTTCCTCTTTGAACATCACATCCAATTCAAATCCACGAGGAAGCTTAACTCGCATAGAGTAACTACGGGCTTGCCATTCCACATCATCCCAAGTAGGGCCCTGCTTGCGATCGGATTGGATCATAATATTGACAAGTTGGCTTTGACTCGTGATCGCTGCGAACACGTACCAATCTGATCTTTCTCGAATAATGGCAAGGCAACATGGCATGGCGTACTGCTGACTGTCATCCTCGCTGGAGCTCACAGAGGCCTGAACGAACATGCTGCCATAGCTGAAATAGCGGGCGGTGTCACCAAGGGACATCATGTAGGCCATACTCGGTGTCTTTCCTGGTTTATCGGCCAACATAGATCTCGTGGCCGATCCCGATAGCACCGCCGACACATCTGGTGCAAAGAACGGATAGCGTAACCAGACACTGGTATCCAAATGGTTAGGAGAGGCATCATCTTCATCGATGAGGGCAATGATGTTATTGCGCTTGATCGACATCGACAGCGACCGCAAATGGTTGAGGATGGTCTGATGCAGGCTGAGGAGATCCACCATCTCCTTATCGCCCGTTGTGTTTGCAACTGCCAAAAGCGCGTCAATTCCCATCTGCTGGCCATACCTAGAGAGCTCGGGGTGAGCTGGTACAACATTTTCGTTAATCCAGAGCGCCTTCCCAAGGTCTACGACGGCTTGTTTGGCGTAGCTAGGGGGGCAATTGGCCCGAGTGCGCGCATAGGTCTCCAATCGGGTCTTTCCTCTCAAAAACCACCAGATCGCGGCCCGGATCCATTCCGCCAGGGATGTCTCCATAAGCGGCTTGACGCTCTCTGCAGCAAGTTGAAGGAGACTGTCGTACCGGGCTGCGTAGCCTTTAAAATCTGCAAATGCAGTGTCGCCGACTTGAGCAGCCACATTCCGCAGCGAGAATTTGGGTGGTTGGGGGCTTCGCGATGGTTCGCGAGTCGTCTCACTTGCACCAAGCTGGTTTCTCGTTGAAGTTTCGTGGGCAAGGGCCTGCGGAGGGGCCGCTGGGGCAGCCTGAGCGAACTTTGGTGGTGTCGGCACGACCGTTCCTGGGCTTCCTGGCGTTAACTGAGAGGGTAGTCGCGGGTCGACTGGACTGAGATTGGTAGCAGTTCGACTGACTGCCGGGCTAGGGGGATGTCGAATAGAGTGGACGATCGATTTGACCGAGGGGGCGTTAGATGTGTACGAGACAGGGGTCTCATAGAGTGACTCTGACTCGTGGGTGCTATGGGGACTGCGACTGTGGGGACTGTGTGAAGGTTGAACGGGACTTGATAGATCATCATTCTCGTACTCGTCGTCATCCACCGGGGATGAACCATCGTCGTACCGATTATGCAAAGCTCGGGCTTCCTCCACCTGCATCTGATTCCGCACTCGCTCCGCAAACGAATGCGAGTCGGAAGACCCTCGGAAAGATAGCCGGGACCCAGGCTTAGTTATGTGTAGGGTATTTAAGAGGTCTGTGTCGCTGGAGTTTTCGACTAGGGGTCTTCGACTCGGCGATGTCCCACTCTGTAGGTCTTGTGGGAGGTTTGCTTCATCCCCATCGCCCAGCGATGTGTTCACCCGCAGACTTGGCACGTCTCTCGACGGATTTGGAGAGCGCGACGGCGCGCGCTTGACTTGTGTCGCCTGTCGGTCACGAGCACGTTGTCTGGACCAGGAGATCTCGATCGTAGGTGCCTCCGATTCATCTCCTCCCTCCCCAATCACTTCAGGCGCTCGATCGGAGAAGCCCACACGCAGTCCCTTGTTCTTTCGTCGGGTTTTGGTCCGGGAGAGTTGCAGGGGTTGAGGCTGCTGGGGTAGCTGGGATTGCTGAGGTAGGTGGGGCTGGGATTGCTGGGGTTTCTGGGAGTATTGATGTTGAGCCTCTGCTATCGGACTGAAGGCGACATAGCTCTCGGTCGCGGAAGGTGGTTGCGGTGGTGGTGCATTGGAGACATCGTGTGAGGAGGGAATTCGATGAGTGGATACGGTGGGCGGGGGTTGACTAGGATCTGCCTTGGTCGCGATAGGAGACTCGGCTCGGGGGCGGTTGGAGGCAAGGAAGTCTTCGATTTGTCTGTCTGCCACAGCGCCCTTGTTCTTATCCTTGGAGAACAGCTTCTCTCTCCAAAGGGAGGTCTTCTTCACAGGCTTGGGCTGCTCGGCAGGCAGGAAAGCAAACGGGTCATCAGCAGGCATGTCGATACAGAGTATGGCTCGTGCGCATCGCAGGTTTCTCAATCAAGTCTCAAATAATTAACGTGACAAGGAAACCAGTCCTCGGAAAGGTCAATTTGCCCCCTCTCCCCAGGGAGAACGAAATGATCGACAGGGGATTGTCAATGTTGGATCCCTGATAAGGTCGAGTTGCGACGGGTGGAGAAGAGTATGGAAGGTGGGATATGGTAAAGAGAGAAAAGGCAAGGAGCGAAGGAGGGGTGTTAATCGTAGCGCCCGTGCATGCCTAGGACCAAGATAGCTGGTTCTCGTTAGTCTGGAGAAGACTGAAGAGTGGAGTAAAGATCGTCGTTGGGATTTTATTCCACAGGGGAAAAAGTACAGTTAATGGGGGGTTTGTTTCTTCAACCTTGGAAGTTATCCTCAAATGACTAGATGAATTGACAATAAAACTGGACCGGCCAGGTGGGAAAAAAAAGGACAGAATATCTGGGGTTCAAATGAATGTTCCCAGTGGATACAAATGAGAAGAAATTAGAATTAATCTTAGTGTTCTATACGTAGAACAGTCTACTCCGCAAGGACCAGCATTGCCGCTGTGGAGCTATTGTGGCCGTCATTTGCTAGTCTGGCATCTTTGTCTCTTCGCCAGGTGTATATATAGCTTTGATGTATACGTTTGTCCAGCACGAGGCCGCTTCAGCCTCGTCGCACTAAGACGCCTGAAAGAACAGGAGGCCCAATCCTTAATGATGCCCCCGCCGTGAACTATCTCCCGCGCTCCCTTGAGCCAATCACATCCATCATTCAACCCGGGTCTCATCGTGAAACCCACCTAAGCCCGGTTGGGCCACGACGGAGGGGCGGCGGGTCCCGCTGACGAGTTATCGGTCTCAAAAGGATTTCTTTCGCTACAGAGAATCGAGATTTGGACACGTAGATCCCATCAAATCACCGAATATCGAGGTCCGTTTGCGTGATGCGTAATGATCAACCTTGGGAATCAAGCTCAAACGACCTCGGAAGACATCTCGCCATGTATGATATGACTTCCGGGATCAGAATATATCATGCAGCCACTGTCCAATTTGGCAGTTGGTCAGATGCTCCTCTCCTTTCCGGCTTTCCCCTTTCGTCGTCCCGGCATCATATGCAGGGGTTTCAAGAATGGGCATTGCGATCCCTGATGCGCTTGCTAGGGGCTTGGATTTTATTTATACTTAAATAAAGGTCGCTGTCAGTGGGGCGGCAGTCACCGCTCCATTCTCCAAGTGGACCAAGTGCTTAGCGATGTTGTGCGTACTTGCAAGGTTTCCAGGAGTTCTAATTATACCAATGCCCTCGGAGCGCCATGCTATGTGCATTCAGTACATATTTTCTACCGAGTCAAGTCCACCCAGTCCCACAGCAATCTGCATCGCGCATTTAGTGGAGCTACAGAAGTCCGAACGAGCATTTGGGATTGCAATGTCCTTGATATCAGGTTTCGTATGTCGATTTTAGCGACAATTAATACGGAGTTCCCATCCTGCATATCTGGAGATCGTCTACTGATCTGGTGTTCATCGACGGCGGCTGTGTTATTTGCGGTGGAGAAGATCGGCAGAGGAATTGGCCAGGGACCAATTCCCTGAACTTCCAAGGTTCGAGGCATTCTGATCTTTGCTCGTTGGAGATCACCTGCATTATTTCTCCCTATTCAACTCTGGGATTAATGCAAATTCCGTTCCCTCCCAATGCTTTTGTATCGAAAACCTCATTAAAAATTAGCTTCCGTCCATTTGGTACTATCGTCGGCCCGAGGCGGTAATCCCTGCATGTCCACATGGGATTACAGTATATAGCACCGCAGATCCTCTCAGACCTTCCATTGTCGATGAACCAGGAAACCTTATCCCTCAATCCAATCAACTTAATCCCGAGGTCAAAGAGCCAAACGCAGGAAAGCATCTAGGCTGAACGCAACCAAATTTCAAAACTTTGGACCGAAGGTCCATAGAAATTCCGATCGCTGCCCAGGGGCTTCAGACGGAACCTTCAAATACATGTGGGCTGCACTTGGTTGGTTGTGTAATGCGCGAACAAGGACGATGGCTGGAGAAGATTCGCTCTAGGTACCAGCAGGTTAGTTCTTGACCATGTTTTTCTTCCAAGGTATCATACACAGGGAAAGCTTTTTGATTTGCCATTGGCCGAAATTCCGAAGATTTCCTTATGACCCTCTCATATCCAATATAACGTCGTGGGGACTGTCACGCTTCTGGTATCGAGACGTCGGTCAGCATAACGGTCAGCAGGCTCAACAGCTGCACTATGGTTCGCATCTGCATGAGATATGATCCCTTGGTCCTTGATCAATGTGTAATCCTGGCCCGGTGGATCGGACGAAGCGGAGTTTGCATAGACACAATGGCCCGCATCTGCCGGGGTTGATAGACCGAATCGAAGTGAGACATTAACTAAGGCTAACCTGGTATTGCTCCGAGCCTTGGGTTTGAGATAGATCTATAGGGTTTAAGGTTGATGCTTACTTGTGCGTGAGCATGGATGTTTTGATCAATTGATTCATTGCTCCATTGCTCTCTGTCCCGGGGTGCCCGTGCCGACTATTGCCGGATAACCTGCAGGGACCGGTGTGGCTGTCCGTCTACCTATCAGCGAGGCAAACCGCTACATTGCTGATGCCATTGGTGCACCAGACTACTGTTCAGCCACAATACGATCCTCACAAGCCCCCCTATAGACTGGCTGAGACACTACCAGTGACCATGCGCAGATACGTCTCCACATGGACCCTGTTGCTGGGCTAAAAAGGGAGCCATCGTCGGGACTATGTCTCATCAACAGCCGGCCTTTAACAGCTGTTGATCGGCAGCAGAAAGACCACCGGATAAAAGAAGCTGCTTGGGAATTGTGCGGAAACGGGATCAGCATCGGCAAGTGAGACACTGGAGCGCACAACTGAGAGATTGACTGAAACCGGTTTCTTGAGTTCTTCTCTCCATGCTGTGCTTCTGTGGGACGGTGAGAAAGATAAAACCATTGACGGCCTGATGTGAGCCACATTGGGATTGGGACGCGAGGGATATAAGGCTGATGTGTTACTTCCAAATATAAACCGCGGTGCGCCTACCGGTTACCAAGTCCGGATCCGCTCAAGAACCGTATGGATTCCATAATTAAGGTAAAAATCAATAATCGTGACAAAGTACGAGCAAATAGTCGTGTAGTCAGCCAGAAACTCCACACCTAGGCGCAGCAACACTTTTTTTTTCTGTTAGTGGTTTCCTGTGGTTTTTCTCTGGTTTTTTGCTTTTCTTATTTTTTTTTTTTTTTTTTTTTTTTTTGCCTGGAACCATGTGTGCTGCCTGAAACTTCCCCCCGAAAACCTTCATTATTCATTGACTCCAGTCTTTTTTTACTCCGGCTTATTGCCGCCTCACTAGGGGTTGCCGACTTACGTACCTCACTCTCTTCCCGCCCCGAATCCCCCCCCCCTCTTTCTCCAATAATCCCGAGTCCAGGCTCCATCCAACTGTCGTTCCCTATTCACCTGGGTCTCGCGTCCCATTCCTCTCGAATCCCTTGGGTCGATACGCGTGTTTGAGAAAGAAGGTGGATCGCAACGAGGAAAAATATACTGGGCGCAACCCCTTCCACCCTACCGATTGTCAACACAACGTGGATTCGATCACCAACGGGGGCTGACCTCCCCTAGGAGGTCATCCCGGATGTCCGAGACACTCGAGATGTGTCACTATTCGACGCATACCCGGCATGGTGCGGTTCATTTGGACGGTCCGCATGCAACCAAATGCCAGCGACGCGGTGGTTTGTCGGTCGCCCAGGGCCGACAATGGAGAGATACCTCCAAACGGAGGCGGCGAGACGCGTACGCGTGGATCTCTGGCTGGTGGATAGCGGTGCTGTGCCTGATCTTCATGGCCTCACCCGCCGACGCTGCATCGCTCAATTTCGAAAACTGTTTAAGCAAATCGATCCTCGATTCCAACCCACTAACTCTGCAATACGTCCCCCTCGATATTGGCGTCTGGTTCAATCTGAACGACCCTCTGCATCCGCTGAATGTGACGGTCTATGGAAATGTATCGGGCACCGCGGACCAAACTACGGATTATCCCTCCGAGGATGATGCCTCCTGGAGTAATCCCAATGTGACCGAGGGTAAAATCGTGGACCTGGATGTTTCGAACCTCAAGTATAGCACGCTTTTGACCAACTTAGATGTCTTGAGCTTCTCCGCCTATAGCAATGCCTCCAGATTTTGCAAGTCCCTGGTTCAAGGCGAGTGCCCGCTGGGACCAGTCTTCCACTACAATGTGTACGTTACCGCTCCATCCCCGGAATATGGATAAAGGCTAACAGATTTTCTTTTCAGGAGCGACCCGAGAACACTGCGCGCATTTTCCATCAAACATGATATGCTCTCCACATACCGATTCTCTACAATCACTCCAAGCTTTGTTATCCGCTCTGGAGATGCTGACGCGAATATGCTGGGCTGTATAACTGTGCCGATCACGCCGGACTTTGGCTCATTGCTGAAAAACGCACTGGCTTATGTGCCGTTGGCTATTTTAATTCTCATTGCTATTGGCACGGTCACCGCGTCCGTGTACACGCCATGGGGCACGACTGATATCTTCCGTTGGACCAGTAACTACGGCCGTGATGAGGACGTCCTGCGCCTTGTCACGCCTGGTTTTGCTGATTGCCTGCAGTACCTTCAATTCGTGGTGCTGACGGGTTCCCTGTCATTGGATTATCCAGGCTTTTTCCAACCGGCTGTGAGCCATGGATCTTGGTCTGTCCTTATGTTCAACCAGAGCTTTGTCAATTCCGGAGGCCACAACCCAGTTATGGACGGCGTATATGCGATCAACGGTACATACGGCCTGGATCAGATGAGGCAGCTGGTTGGGATGACCTCTGAGCAGGATATTTGGCCAGGTATGATCATCTGGCTTCTGGTGGTCTTGGGAATCATTATCCTTCTTATCCAACTGGGCTTTACTATGCGCTGGGTGCACCGTGAGCTGGCACATAGCACCGAGCAGGATCTGCGTGCCAAAAATATGCCCTTCACGGTGGGCAACATCATCCGTATCGTTTTCAACTACTTTCTTCTGCCCATAATCTCGCTATCATTTTTTCAGCTCGTCACGGCACAGGGATCGCCCGCTCAGAGCGTTGCATTGGCTGCGATAGTGATAATTGTTCTAATCTGCTTCTCGATCTGGTTTGTTCGGGTTATTGTGTCCACCAGACCGAAGTCCCATCTCTTTGACGACCTTCCCACGGTTTTGCTTTACGGGCCGCTCTACAACACGTATTGTGATGATGCGGCAGCCTTCGCCATGGTTCCGATCTTCCTCAACTTCGCGCGAGGTGTAGCCATTGGCGCCTTGCAACCGTCAGGCATTGCCCAGGTTGTGCTCTTAGCCATCTGCGAAGTTGTTTCGGTGCTTACAATAATCGCGTTCCGGCCCTTTCCAGGACCGACGCACATGAATCTTTACCACTGCCTATTTTCATTCATACGGTTCCTTACCATCATCCTCATGGTGATTTTTGTTCCATCCCTTACCGTCGGGCAGGCGGCACGTGGTTGGATCGGCTATGTGATTCTCGTCCTGCACGCATTGGTCCTCATCTTCGGGTTCTTTCTCAGCGCCTTACAGACCTTGATCGAGGTCCTGGCACGACTTGCTGGTGCTGGTGGTGCCACACGGGGTGGCTTGGTGAAGGTGTTCGGGAAGCGTCAGTTGTCGAGGCGCGTTCCACGGCGTGATATCACACGGCAGAGCTTGGGATCTGAAGCGGCTATGCTGGCTAATGTTGACGAACGCATGTCGTCTCAGTTTGAAGGATCGCGTGCCCGGAGTCTATCAGGAAGCTCAGCTCTACTATTGAACCGCGCAACGGCAAGTGAGGGCCGTGCCAGTGCAATCTTAGATTATGCTAGCTCTCATGGTGGACACAGCCGTGCCACAAGCGCAAACCTGATGGCGCAATCTCCTACTGCCTATACTGGAGCTGGCGGGTTCACAGCTAGCTCACCAAGCAGTAGCACTTTTATGGCGTCATCACCGCGGGATCCGTACTACCGGCCTCCTAGACCAGGCCGACATACACCCCAGTCAGGTAACGGGGATAGGAGCAAGCGAAGCTCCAGGTCCTTCATGAAGCCAAGCCGGGTCGGCACCGAGGAGGACATGGCAGATGAGCCAGGCCGAAACACGCCAGTGCCTGCGTATCTACCTGCCCCGAAGGATGACATGGAGATGGATGATTCCCGACAGCGGAAGGACTATGCTGTTCGCGAAGTTGACTTTTATTATCGAGTCCGGGGTCCGCCGCTTTCTCATACGGGCACTCGCAAGTTGAAGACTGGCCCAGCTGATCCCACCGGTCCTGTCTCGTCAGCTACAGGATGGTTCCGCAATATGTTCCAGGGGAAGACCAAGGATAAAGGCAAGGGATTCGAGGTAGTTCGAAGTGCTCGAGCTCCTCCTCCTGGCCTTTTCCCAGAAGGCGATTATAGTGAGGAGCCCTACCACGACGATCCTGAAGACCCAGAGGCCGGCGGCCACTCGCGCGAAACATACTCAGGCGAGGGGCCATATCGCGATTATGAAGGTGATCACGAAACGAGAAAGTCGGGAGATAGACAAGACCCAGAAAACCCCCTTGGTGGTATCGAGCTTGCCAGTCGATCCGGGTCCCGTCGATCACGAGCCACATCGGAAAAAGGCGGGGAAGATGCGGCAGGAGCTCTGCCTGCAGTGACCGAGGCCTCCCAATCAAGAGCCAGCACAGAAACCCCGGACTCTGATCATTTGCGACCCGAATCCCCGACCACAGGACGTTTGCCCTTTAGTGGTAGCAGCTCACCTTCCCGGGAGAGGGGCCTCTCCGTTGCATCTACATCTGCCTCCATGACTTCCAGCCACAGAACTGGCCGCGACGGAGTCCGTACCGACCGCCCTTCAAGTATGGGCTATGTGGCTCAACACCGCACGCAAGATAACATCCATCAAGCAAGCCCCGATGAGCCATCCTTCGCCGGCAGCCAAGCTGAGCTAGTCGACGAGCATCTACACGATGATAAATGAGCCCGCACCTGGGCGTACATTCCAAAATCAACCCTTATACCCACCCCCACTCGCCCCCATCCACTTCTACTTATCCGTTCATCTACCACCACTCATCCACTGTATTGATTGTTTCAAATTCCAGATCATATTGATGCCACAGTGACGAATTTCCTAATACCTTTTCATTGCCATCCTTCATCTTCGTGTCTTTCTTTCTTCGCTATTGTATTCGCTGTCCAAAAATTGCTTTCAGGCGTTCGATTCAAATATGGGTCTTGAATTGAATTAAGCCGTGCAATCCTAATAGTTCCGGCTAGCTTTAATCAATGCTTATCCTGATACCTGTACTTATGTTCCACACTAAACAAAGTGGTTTACTTGGTACTGGTGGGTAATTTCACTGAATTTTGTTCCAAGGACCTGTGAATTCCTAATTCGATTTATTTTGCTTTGTTAGCAAATACAAAAGACGCCGCAGATGAGACATAATCCCTACAATGTCTTCAACCTAGTAAAGCTGTGTTAGTAACTGCAGTTTTGCCTCTCAACTCCTTCGTAAGTAGCAGGTATAGCTGCAATTTATCACATACAGCCCGCGACTAGGTCGAACTATCAAGAGCTCTCAAGAGTGATCGCTCAGACTAGACTACTGTACATTCACGTCCACTGTGCTAAGGACCTTTCGTCTTCCGGCAGGGGAGTCATGTAGTCACTCCAATCCTCCAACACAAGAAGTCGCCATTTCCTTCAACATCCTCAATACAATCTTTCACAGACCCTCGGATTTTAGTTGCAGAATCCTTGCCTCAAATACTAAGCAGGTAAAGTTTAAATCAATATCCAAAGCATGCTTTGTACTATGTACATATCACTTCCCAATATATCATATGGAATGTCGTTGCGGGACGAATAAATATAGTGACTGGGTCATGATATGACTTCCAAGATTGGTGAAAGAGTAGCCGGTGCTCTCATTGTCATTCCATAGGGCTTGATTACTACCCCTACCTGAGCATTTAATAAACTATGCTCCAAAGATCAAATGACAAACACTAGCAATATTTCCAACATTCCCCATAGTCGAAGAGTGACTGTGACGTAGCCGAGATAAGCGGGCCGATTTTGCCGGCCACGACCGCCCGACCCACCGATAAGGCGCCCCCGTTATTTGGGCTTCGCCTTTCCTGCATCTCTGACTCTCCTTGTTTGACCACGCCACCAAAGACCCCCTGAGCAGGTGTACTGCGGGCAAGGCATCCTTTTTGCTCTGACAAATTTGGGTCTCCTGAAAAAAAGTTTCTTAACGTGCATATCAATCACATTTTGGTGTCACGAGACCTCAAATTATCTTGACTGTGAGGCTCTGGTCCATATCAACCGCCATGGTCTAGCACCTGCTGTGATCACGGCTCACTGGACTTGACCACATAGTAAATGCAGGTAGAATCATCAAGCTACGAGAAGGCTTGCTGATAACCCAGTGCCCCGCCGGTACATCATACGACGTCGATAAATGATACATATTGACCGAGACCTGGTCCTAGCCGGAAGATTTTGATAGCCCAGACGATTTGGACATAAACGAAATGTCTGCTCCCAGCACTGCATCATCGAGCCCGCCTGCGACTAGCCCTGGTGGTGAAGATGTTGATAGCAGATGGACCGAGGACGATGGTTTGGGTGCTGGACACCACGCCAACCCAGTACATATATCGAGCAGACCTGAAAGTGACGATGCAATGATGGCTACAGAGACTAGATCAAGGAACCAAAGTGGTGTTGCCAGTGACTCAGAAATGATAACCGGAAGCAGTTCAAGACAGGATGGAAATGACGGTGAAAATGAGGATAGAGATGATCTCACCTTGCCTCTTACACATGAATACATCTCCGCTGGATCGGAAAATCAAGAAGGAACAACATCAACACAAGACAGTTCGACCTCCGGACAGCAAGTATTACCGAGCCACACAGCCAGAGACCGCAAAAGACGTTTGACCAGCTCAAGCAACCACGATCGACTGCAACGGGCACGTTCTGGAGACTTAGCGAGACTAGAAACCCCTTCCTTAGTGCCTCAGAGATCAGTCTCTATGGTAATTCCAACAAGGAAAAAGTCCGGTATGAATGGCCCAGGGTCATCATATGCAACAGCCATTGATATCACCTCTTCGCCTCCAGATGCTGGTCCATCTGCCAGCCGCCGAAACGATGATATACCTTCTTTAACAGAGTCCATGACCTCTAGCGGCAGTGATCAAGGCCCGTCTGATACACGCATGCTTTGGGAATCTGGCCCTCTGCCTGTTTCGTCCACCATTCATCCTCCACATAGGCACCATTCGTCCAGTTTACGGGGCAGTATATTGGATCCGTATACACAATATCCCCAGTCAGGCAGGCCGCGAGGACAGTCCGAAGCGATCAGGAATCCCAGGCGTGAACGTCCTTCGGGGGTGGGTTGGCAAGCATCAGGGACAGATGAGAGGACTTTGCGTGCTTTCCTGTCTGGATCCTCGGATACGCAGACATTGGCAGAGGCACTGAGGGGCTCTCAGGATGAGGGGGAAATGGAGACGACTTTGCCGCGATGGCAGCCCGATGCGGAAGTGACGAATTGCCCAATTTGTGGCGTGGTGTTCAGCTTTTGGTATCGAAAACATCACTGTCGGAAGTGTGGTCGGGTGGTGTGTGCCTCTTGCTCCCCGCACCGAATTACCATCCCCAGGCAGTATATTGTTCGCCCCCCTGAGTTCTCCCAGTTGCCTGAACACTCTCCCACTCCGCCTCGCCAAATTGTTGATCTAACCGAAGAGGATCCAATTGAATCACCGACCATTAATCCTGCTCTGGGTGGAGGAGAAGAAGTCCGCCTCTGCAATCCTTGCGTCCCAGATCCGAACCCCAACCCACTGGGTTATGGACGGACGCGAGGTCATCGCCCTTCCCATTCTTTGCCATCTGGCATGGGTAACCGCTTTCCTCGCGAATCGGTAAGTTAACATATAATGCCAAACTCCACATTCCTTTGATCTGACAATATACAGGGTGAGGGCTCCGCGAACCGCCAAGCTCTCCGGCACTACGGCCCTGAGTCCCTGCGGGCTAGTAATAATGGGCGGCAGAGCCTTCGTGAGGAAGAGCCGGGCTACGAATCTCCCCTCGACCTGACCACCTCCCATCAGCGCCCGGCTCCATGCGAGCAAGATCTATGTCCCATCTGTGGGCGAAGATTCCCCACAATCAGCCGCGAGCAGCCAATTGAGGCACGCGAGGCGCATATTCGGCAGTGCATCGATAACTACGGTGCCCCGGCTGCAGCACAACCCGTTTCCTCCGCGCGCCGGGGCCCGCCACCGCCCCCACCTCCGCCACCGGTGTCTCGAATGCTGGAATTCGCCGCCACAGAGAAGGATTGCATCGGTGAGGATGGAGGTCCCGCCGAGTGCACCATCTGCATGGTGGACTACGAGGGTGGAGACTTGTTGGTCCGCCTGGAGTGCTTGTGCAAGTTCCACAAGCACTGCATTCTGGACTGGTTCGTGCACAAGATGGAGTGCCCAGTGCACAAGGTAGCATAGTGGCTGGGGCTCCGCCTTGTGCTTGTTTGTTTGCTGCATGCTGCATTTCTGCTATATTGATATCCCCGCATAATGCGATTGTTTTGTTCTCCGATCTACTTCATCTGATGTGAAAAATAGATGTAGCTTTCCAGGAATGCGATGTCTCTATATCCCGCATGGCATGATCATACCTTGGAAGTTAAACTTTATGAAAGCATGTTGTAAAAATGAGGGAGGTCTAGGCGGTCACGTGAATCTGACGGCTCTCTCGGCGAAAGCATGAAAGCCACCAGGCTCTCAGACCTGTTCCTCCATCTAGAAGGCCCAGAGCATTCGCAGCTCGATGATTCCACCTTCTAGAAGAGCTAGCGCATGACCCGGCCATCTTTAAATTCTAGTCTCGACTGCATCACCCGGTACAGCCAGTGACAGAGCAGTGCGAGCCCTCCGATCGGCAGTCGGAGCTTATCATCACCGTTCTCCGTGTTCTTCTCACGGGGCAAGAACCATCGGCCAGGTCACGTCACCCAAACACTGCAAGGGTCTCGCCAAGGAACTTGCCCACTGTCCAATCAAAAAAGAGAAGCAAAAAACCAAACCGCGGTTATCGACGATCAAAGCTCCAAGCCTCCAAGGAAAGAGGTGGTCCAACGTTAGATTGCCGATCTAGCGATCGGCCCCGCAAAACTCTGGAATCACGGAGATCGCAGCGACCGACTCCCCGCGAACCACACCATGGCTAACTATCCTGAGCCACCAACGAATCTATCCCAGTCACATGCAGCACCCGCCTTTGGACTGGGATTGCATCATGCAGAGGACCCCTCCACAGAACTGGAAGAACCGCCAGTGGAAGAGATTAAGCGACCCCGGGCTTGTGAACCCTGTCGCCAATTGAAAGTCCGGTGCGATCCCGACCTGTCGGATCCAAATGGCGCTTGTAAACGGTGCGCTAAAGCACGGCGCCAATGTATTGTTACACCACCGACACGCAAGCGCCAGAAGAAGACGGATAGTCGGGTGACGGAGCTGGAGCGTAAAATTGATGCTCTGACTGCTACGATCCAAGCGTCGCATCACTCGCAGCTTGCAGTGGGCGGAGACACTAGCCCAGGCACACAGCAGGCTCAGTCGCAGCCGAGCCGCGAGCAACATTCGAGGCAGTCACGCGAGGACCAGAACATGACAGGGAAAAAGCGGCATCATGATGGCTTTTTGGTTTCCCAGTATCCTCGTCCTAATAGCCCGTCTGCAGAACAAATATCCAAAGAGCCTGCTAAGCACTGGCGGGTTCCAATCGCTGGGGATTTCTCGCCTGGACCTAAATCTGATGCTGGGAATGAGTTTGTGGACGTGATCGACAGAGGCATGATTGATATGGATACAGCTCAGGCTGCTTTTAATCGCTATATAGAGAAGATGGGAGTTGAGATGCCCTTTGTGGTGTTTCCCCCAGGTACGACGATGGGCAAAGTTCGCCGCGAGAAACCGACACTTTTCCTAGCCATTCTTGGTGTTGCAGTGGGAGCTGTCAAAAAAGACCTTCAAATGTCCCTGATCAATGAGTCTTATAGATTAATTGCGGAAAAAGTTGTCGTCAAGGGCCACAAGACCCTCGAGATCGTGCAAGCTCTGCTGGTTGCTTCAACCTGGTACATGACGCCTGATAATTTGGAGGAGCTTAAATTCTACCAATTAATTCATATGGCTATTGTGGTGGGTATGGAGCTGGGCTTGAATCGTCGATCAAATGGAGATTTGAAAATCGTACGCATCCGGGAGATCATCTTAAAAAGAAAAACAGCACCAACTACCGACTTGGAAAATCCTGAAGCAAGACGAACATGGGTGGGCTGTTACTTCCTAGGAATCCTGTCAGCGATAGCCTTGAGGCGAGATCAGCTTGTGCGATGGCAGCCGTACATGGATGAGTCTTTGCAAATATTGGAAAGCCATCCCGAGGCTGTATCGTCTGATCGCCAAGTCATCTGGTGGGCGAAGTTAGGGTGGATTATGGAACAAGCGGGTTTGCAGCTTACCACGGATGACACGCAGTCAATTGTGTCATTTACAGATAGCAAAGTGCGGTACACCATCAAGGCATTTGAAAATCAACTTGCCCAGTTCCGGAGGGATATCCCAGCAGAGTTCTGGACCCGTAAGTTCATCCCTGTGTTTAGCAACTCTTTCTAACTTCTCCAGCTATATTGGCCCACACATATCATGCGCTCGATCTTTTCGTGCATGAGAGCGTCATGGGAGTTGACTGTCGATCAAGTGTCTTTCCCGACTCTTCCAATGAAGGCCTGCCTGGCACAATGATGACACCAGTCATTGAAGCTCTTACCTCGTGCCTCAGCTCTATCCATAGCTCTTTTGACATAATCCTCAGTATCGACGTGGAAAAAATCAGATATTTGCCGACAATGGCCTTGGCTCGGACGGCGTACCCAGTCGTCAGTCTAATCAAAATTTACTCCCTTCTCACGGCCCCGGGCTCCCAGATTGGCCAGGTGATCGACACTCAAAGCCTTAAGGTGGAATACTATCTCAACCGAATCATCAGTCACTACCGGGCAGCTGCGGCTCTTGATGGTGGCCGGGTGGCAGGCAAGTTCGGAAATATCATCATGATGCTGCGAAATTGGTTCCTCAAGAAGAGGGAGAACGGCCCGGAGCTTCGGGAAATATTCGGCGCTGACATGCATGATCCGAGGGATAAGCAACCCGTACGTATCCCCCAAATCAACCCCCCAAACCAGTGCCTCGATTAACATGCAAACAGATGCGACATGGTAACACGCCCCTGCACGTCCTCAGCGATCTCGCCATGGGCGATCCGCGCTCGGGAAATCTTACACATCAATCGAATTCCAATCAAGGATCCATCTACTCGCCATTGAATCTAAACCAGGATATGAGCCGCAATCCCACGACGCCAGCTACGAGTTTTGGAACAGTAGAACCATCCACACAATGGTCCCTAGCACCCGTGACGCCCAAAATGTCCACAGTTTCCAACGACTCAGGCACGGGAGATAGATCATTCTATCAGTCATTCACACCAAATCCATCGCAACCGTACGGGATACCTGTGGCGAGACAGTATTCCAGAATGGCAGGGGTAGGGGATGGGCCCATCTCGCAGCCGATGGGGATACCTGAGTTACCAGCAGAGCCAGCTTTCGATCCGAATCTGGCTTTACTGGGAAATATGATGGACGAAGGGCTGTTATCGTTTCCGTTTGCCTTTGATGGAAATTTTCAGCTTTATTAATGGTGTTACTGGGGCGTTACTGGGAGGTTTGCGTTTTTCTTGGAGCTGTGCATATGATTTCAACATATACCTCTACATGTGCATGACTTGATGTCCAAATACGAATTCGAGAAACGACCATATTAAATACCATCCACCAGGTCTCTAATTTGTTTGCTTCCATACGCTTACTCTTTGGATAAATGTAAATCGAGGACTGGAAATTGTATTTCCGCGATATCGCGAAGCATTAGTTGCAGAAGTAATATATGCAAGTGGGTATAGAACATTTTATAACAAGCTTTTTTTGTCCCCTTGGACCTGTCATCGTGAACCTCCTTGCCATGTATGCAAAATCCGTTGCTCAACATAAGCCCACGGCCACCCATTTTCGCGTTCGGTTCGACGGAGGAGATCAAATAATAAGTTTTGGGCGGCGGGGTTGTCGATCCATGCGCTGCCTGTAGGTAGTGTAAGTCAGTTAATGTAGTGCTGGTATGAGGCAAGGAAGAAAGGACGTACAGGCACATAAAGCATGACACGCCATGATTCGTAAGGATGGTTCATCGTCTGCAGAGAGGGCGATGCCAAACAGGTAGTCCAGATTTTCTGAGATTTGTTCCTGTCAAGCCCATTAGACAAGATCTCTTTGCATAGCAGAGGTCATCCACACCTTAAGTTGTATCCGCTCTTCTCTAGATAACCTGCCATCCTGATGCTCGTATTTTCGAATCAACATAAGTGCCTTGGCAAGGCAAACATGCTGCATCGCAGTAGCTAAAGCCAACATTAGTTCACCGCAAAATCACCAGCACCAATACCCGACTCTCAAGGGGAAATCACTCACAGTGAACCAAACTGGTGTACCAAACAACGGGGAAAGGCTTTCCTCTCGCAGGATCAGGAGGCGAAACATGCAGCGGCGTAAAAGCATCGGACCTCTCCAACTCCCATTCCCTTATCCTCTCCTTGAGCGCAATCTCCCCCGCAACACCCAGTCTACCTCCATAATTCCGTCCCGAGACATTGTAGCAGAAATCGATTGTCTCAGCCAACAACCAAATAGCCCGATTCACCCAGTCCCCATCACTGAGGACCGGTTTTGACTCCCACCACCTACGGAGCCGGTCATCAAATGGTGCGAAAGTTAATCGGAGACATTTCTGGTATGTGAGTGCAAACTGGATATCCTGGATTACAAAGACCCAGAAGGAAGCTGATGCGAGATTCCCGCTTATTGCGCAGTCGACGTGGGAACTAATGTAGACTGAACCTGCAAGGAGGTGGCGTTGAGGGTCGTTGGATGGGGTATGGGCTGGACCATTTAGTATTGGTAGTCTTCTTCCGGGAATGGGCTCGGCTTACAGGATATCTGTTCAAAGAAACGGAGAATAACAGTCGAACTGAGCAGGATATCGATCCCGATATCGAAATCCGGTTTATCGAGGACGGGAAGCATGATCGAGATGCAGCGCTCGTGATAATTGTCCGCTACTTCAGGGGACACGGTATGCGCTGTTCGCGAGAGGTGACAGGCCGCTACGGCTATACAGGCATACAGCAGAAGTGGAGACTGGGTCGCCCGTTTGGCGACGTCGGCCGAGAAATGGCGCTCGGGATCACCGGCATCGAGCTATACGGGAGTTTAGCCACCAACTTGAACATGCGATAGAGAGCGAACGCACCCAGTCTGCCAGATGCCGCTGGAAATGTCGGAGCAGATAGGCCTCGTTCACATTTTCGAGTCGCGGTTGCCCGATCGGGGTTAGTTGTGAATGTTCGGATGTAGAGCGCGAAATAGCTTGCGACTCTGTTAGATAGGGTAGAACGACAGTGCTAGGTCCGGACATGGGGTCCACGGACGAAGGCGTTGAGCGCGCTTCAGATGACGAGCGCGAGATAGATGGGTGCCCGATCACGGGAACGACAAAATACTCCGCGGCTGTCTGATCGGTCTCATCTTTGAAGGCGTCTGTGGATGTTAGGTCGGTTTCGTATGAATTGTTTTTGGGGCTAGACCGCCACTTACACTCCGACGAGGTTTCAACCCAGACCTGATCGTTCGGGAAGGCGAGATCGCTCTCACCGTACCTCGGGGGCCCCTTTCCTCGGAGAGACGGATTTTGACCGTGACGGAAGGAGACTTCCTCTGATTTCCCCGGGGCTGGAACACATTCGCGGCCGGATCGTTGACAGCGCAGGCATTTTGTTCCGGTTTTATCACCTGGCCAAGGGGGTTAGTGGACCCGGGTCACAGACACGGAGCATACACACATTTCAGATGGCGCAAACGACACGTGAGGCTGGAGATTCGTTAGCACTCGAGATTTTTTTGATGTTTTTATTTTTTTTTTTTCACGCCGGAGAGGTACTGACCATCCCCTCATTACGCAGGGGTCAAACGAACGAGCGAACAAGGAAGGATTCTAGAAGGAAAAACAGATTCGGCATCCCGGATCGCGATTATATGTAGCTTGTAGGCACCGTATATATTGCGTTCCAATGATGGAATTGCGGATTGGTTGGGTGGATATTGGGGTAAACCAAGTAACTTTCGAATTGGAGATTAAGTGGAGTTAATTGTAGTTAAAGGCCAACGTGGCCAGCATCAGTGCAACGCCCCCCACCAGATGTGTGAGCGTCTTGCCAATCCGGTTGGATCTGGATCCCCACCTGGCAACTAGGGCATAAACAAAGTTTTATTCCCCTTAAGACCGATGCACAAAAGTCTGGCCCGGCTGCGATCGGGACCCCGTGCTGGCAATAACAAGCGAGGAATGTGTCAGGGTTGGAGCCTGCGTCCATGATGAATTATGATCTGAGCAAATGACGTGCAGCACAATTGCTCCAGGACCCGTACTTCCTGTAATCTCCCGGAAATTATGGGTTTTGGTGCGCCTCCAGACGTGCGCAGCTACGGGGTTTGCCCAGCCAATCACAATCCAAGGCCCTCGTCTGATATAAACGGAGAGTCTAGCTCCCGGATCCGAATCGATAACTAGTCTATAGGGAGTGACGGGCAAGCAGAAATGGTCAAGCTTCAAGACACTAGTGTCGCTCGACACTAGTGCGATGGACATCCACTATCATCTTCACCGACCTGCCTCATTCAGTATTACGCGTGGTAAAACATGGATCGAAATGTCAACAAAAATAACCCCCAACCAGGCCCTTCCTCCCAGATGGCCCTGGGGCGGTGCCTTCACCAAAACTTCAAACCGTACACATTACAAAGCACAAAGTCATTGGACCGGTGATGCCGGATCGACTGGCCAAATCCCGGACAGTGGAGAAACAAACGCGCCAGTCGAGGAAATCAGACGTATCCGCTCGCACTCGTAATTTCGTGGACCCGTGGATGGCGTACTCCGGACCCGTCGAACCCTGTCGATCGTGAGGAGAGCAGAAGCCCGAGACCCCCACGTCAGATGCCGATGCTGTGATTTGTTCTGTTGCCCGCGTCAGTCCCCCAACTGCAGGAATAGAGTTAAATTGGGATCTTTAACTCCCGTGTCGCCGGGGCTTTATCCTGAGTAGATGCGTTCGCCCGTGGGCTGAGTTGTGGGGGAAAATGCCGAATGTTTCACCTGCCTCTTTGAGCCCAGTCGAATCCCGAGATAAGAGTTTGCGGCGTTTGCTATGGGTGCCAGTTTGATCAGGCACCACTGTCCTGCCGTGGCTCTGGGCACTACGTCCTTCGAAACCAGAAACCTCATTTCTCAGGCATTAACATGACTACTAAATTGGTCAACTATTCACGTCCCTTCCTCATACTCATATATACAGGGGCCCTACTGCATCCACTCCTTTACCCATTTCTGAATCCATTCCGCCTTCACAGCATCCACCATCTGTAACTTCTCACTGACTAGCATAGTGCCCTTCGCATCCAACACCTTTTCAGCCTCCGTCTGGCGCATCACATCCTCGAAAAAGTCCAACAGCTTAGCAGCCGGGTTCTTTGCAAGCTGAATCTGCAATGCCTCCTTATCCTGGCTGACTAGTTCAATGTCTCGTCGGACACGGAGGATCCATTCTTGCCATGGAATGATCTCAACGGCCTTTCCTGGAACCTGAAGGGCGTCTGCAACCACGGGGCGGATATCCTTCCAGGATTGTGGGTGCACGTTTACCAGGTGGTAGACACCGACTCCGAGGGTGTTGAGGAGGGATAGGTCGACTAGAATTTCGGCGAGCAGGTCAATAGGCACCCAGTCGACACGGTCTAGCGCCTGACCTATGGCGTCTGGAAGAGCATTCAGATGCAGTGAACTAAGCACGAGGCTGGGGAACCATTCGGATTTGTTCCATAGTCCGCGAGAACGTATCGGTCCTGCCACCTGACCTACACGGGCGAAAGCAGCGTTGTAACCTTGCTGCGCTGCGTGTGCAAGCAGGTGCTCTGCTAGATACTTGCTGTTGGCGTAGCCGTTCGGGGCTGGAGTTGTGGTTGTGACGACCGTCTCGGGGATGACGCCAGCGTTGGTTGGGCGGTGACCCATGGTTGAACTGATCGAGGAAACAAAGAACAACCGGGGAGTGTAGCTAGCTTGGCCTGTGAAGTTGATGAGATTTACCATGCCTGCCAGTTGTGGTTTGAATGAAGCTAGCGATAAATTAAAGTTGACTGCCCAGGCATTGTGGATTACTAGCGTCGCTCTCCGTTGTAGCTGTTTGAGCTGTTCGGGCTGTAGTCCAAAGCCGACCAGACTGAGATCTGCTTTCAAGAACGTTGCCCGAGTTTCATCCACAGGGTCCAGTCCGTAGGTAGCATTCCGCTCCTGTTGTCGGTCGAGAGCGTGATCGGTCCGGTTTAAGCAGTACACATGCTTCACACTGGGGTTCTTCAGCAGTACATCCAGTAGATATGTACCCAGATGCCCGGTGGATCCGGTCAAAATGACGGTCTGAGTATCGACTGCGTCAGAGCATTGTGTGTTGGGAGCTTCAATCTGTCCAATGAACTCCTGCAACAGCTCATCCCGCTCTTGGATCAAGCGCTGTTGTTTAGTCTCGGTCGACTCTCCGCAGTCCTGATGGAGAAGCGCATGGGCTAGACTCGTCACTGTCGGGTGCATATATAGCATGTTTGGAGTGAGAGAAGGAAGGTTGAGACGCTGTTTCAACACACGAACGGCCGTAATAGCTTGTAGAGAGTCAAAGCCAAGATTAAACCAATTCACTTCATCAGAAAGGCTTGCCGCATTCCAACCCGTGATCGCCAGAATAGTTTCTCTGATAAACTCCGTCACTTCTACGACATTATCCAACCCACCTGGCCCAGTTGAGTCACTCGCATTAAGCTGAGAGATCTTGTCTGCGTCAGAGTAGACTTTGTCAATCTCTTGTGCATATAACTTGAGCGTGCTGGCGCGTTGTATGGTACCCTTCGACGCACGAAGCATGGGCTTCTCGGGCGAGGTGAATAGAATATGGCTTTTGGCAATGCGGGCATGAGCAGGAGCCGGGATGTTTGCTTCCTCTATGCTAGGCCATAGCTTCTCAATTGCAGAGTAGTTATCACCAAGAGACTTTCTATCCAGCTCCACGAGGAGAGCAGCCTGAAAGCGTCGAGAACCAATGACAAGACACCCAGTGACTTCGGGATTGGCAGCGACAATCTGCTGTTCCATCGACACGGGATTCGTTTTCTCCCCATTGAGGAAGACAATCACATCATCTAATCTGGAACAAGGGCGCCAAAGACCAGCTTTTGTAGGATGAGGAACCATCAGGTCGTTCGTTCGATACTCCTGTCGATCGGTGAAGATAGAGAATGGGACCTGATGACTTTCGCGCTCTGGGGTGCGCACCAACACTGCCTCATACTCGTCTCCATAGATACGACGGTGTTCCATGCCCAAATCAGGATGGAACTGAAGGTACCGCCACTCTGTCAAGGGGTCCCGGGTTGGTGAGTGGATCACATTTATTATCCCGATCTCTGAGGCACCGTATCCATTCATCAGTGGCACTTTGGCCGCGACAATATTTCCAATCGCTTCCGGTAAGTCACCTCCGCAGTAGACTAGGTATTCCAAGTGAGTACTGCAGTATTCAAGAGCTTCGGGATCCTGTGCCAGCTCCTGTACAATCGACGGCACTACAACGGTCCATTCAAATGGCGTCTGCTTTCTCGCAGCCACAAGACCGGCAGCAGTAGGAAGCCCTGCTGCGGTGGGCATGATGAGTGTCACATCAACCGGCATCGTAACGAAGAGCATATGGCCTATTCCGGCCGCCTGTATTCACCATTAGCGCCGTCTCCATGACTGTCACCGACCAAGCTTACGTGAAAAGGAGGCATTGTCAAATACATTCTCTTCCCAAACCCTTTCTGATCCTGGCCCTCATATCCTGCGGGGACATCTAGTCTTTGCATGCGCATATGCTTCACCGCGCTTTCAAGAGTCCAGATAATGGGCTTGGGAATCCCCGTAGACCCAGAAGTATGCAGCACGACAAGGCGATCAGATGAGTCAGCGGGATATACCTTACGATACTCAAATGGCGGATAATCGGTCATCAAAATGTTGTCCAAACTGGGAACATCCATGACATTGAGCGGAATGGCATCCATGATAGCTCTCACAAAAGGGGGTTGTGGCACCGGAGCCAACAGGGTGGTGCAGTTGAGCCTTTCCAACAGCGATTGGTGTGCTTCTACACTATTCCGGGGCGAGGTTAAAAACATCTATTCTCAGTATTCAAACATTAGTTTTTATCCGTGGGCTCTTTTCGGCATTTCATACGCAGTAACCGGCTTTTACGGCACCCAAAACCAAGGCTGGATATCGGAGATCATTTGGACCTAGGTAGGCTAGTACCTCCCCATGACCTGGACCCAAGGCCTTGGTCAACCAGTGTGCGATACCATTTATGGCGTTGGCAAGGGTTTTGTAGGTGATGGCCCTGTACCCCTCGTCGTAACTCATTGGATTGACAGGGTACTCGGCATAGACAGCATCGGGCTTGGCGTCAGCATAATGATCGACCAAATTCGGAATGAGCTGGGTGCGAGGGTCCAAGGAAATGCTGGTAGTCATGATGAAAGAAAAGGTGAAAACAATGCGGTGATTACAAAACCATGGCCGTGGGCTTCCATTTTAAAGCAAACGAGAGTCGAATGCATTTCCAGGGTTGCGGGTCAAAGACGGTCAAAGACAAAGAAACGCTTCAAATTGGTATACTTTGCGGGATGCGGCTGAAGTACAAGGATTGCTACAGGGCTAAGACATAAGTACTTGTATAGTGTTGGCCTCAACTCCTGCCATAAATGGCAGGAGACGGCCACTAGCACCTTAGACGGTCGTTTATTCAGTGGGGGCTAAAGACTATACCTAATATAACTGACTAAAATCAATAGTGAGCTGGTAATGGATGACCCGGGTAGCTACGGGAACGGGATTTAGTGTAGGGTCGTGGCACGCCTGACGTCTACCCGGTCTATCCTCTAAATGCGATTGGACGCCTTGCCTCCCCCAAACTAAGCCTCTGGTTCGTGGCAGCCGTTGATGCATTCCATTGAGTTCCTTACCCTCCCCGCAATATCAACTCATGGAAACTAATGGACTTTCTAAGAATAAGCCTTGTCCTTTTGGGGCCATAGGCGAAGCGATGCATTAGCAATCAAAATTGTGTCAGCTCCTTTGTACCCGGTGTCAACGACCAGGATTCAAGGATCGGTACGTCCCTCACCAAGAAACATCATCACACCTCACCGGTCAAAAATTATTTTGCCACCCAAAGTGTTTGATCCCACATGACGCCCTTCTCAGGAGTCTTATCAAGCTACATCGCGGCTCTCTGATCAAACCTTGTCATCTAAACAATTCTGGAATTGGGGATTACCTCTCCTTTCTACGTCTGGAGACTTAGCTCCGCCTTTCATGACTGGGCATTAGCTTTCTTTCTCTTGTGACCCGGTAAAGTACTCTTCGGACTCAAGATAGAGCACCGTCTCGGTGTCCTCCGAATTACGATGAAGAGTTACCTCCCACCCTTAGGAATTTCCGAAAAAAAAGACTTAGTACCAGCGTGGAGGGGCGGAGGTGAAGTGGTGACCGGAAATTGACATTAAACCTTTACGACCTTACACCTATTATTCCATAGCCAAGGTCACCACTCATGGTAGAACTAGTGACTGAATATTTTCTCCTTAAGTGAAGAGTCGCTACCAGGGTATCGAGTTAGGAGGTGCATCTATTTCGAAAAGTCCTGTACTGTGCTGCCTAGCAGAAGACCCTGGCGGACTCGATCTCCAATTATCCGGGTAAGATGGTCCACAGCAGACCCACCTGAGATCGTGATCAAGTGGACCTCAGTCTCATCCAAGATGGACACACCGTCCCTGGATAGATTGAAGCGGCGATATACAAAGTATACTCGCGGATTGATTCAGAACCTTATCGCTAGAGGGCGATTGATGAGCGGGATAGTATCGTCCTAAAACCCTCGCGGACGAAAGGAGGCACTTGTATAGCCCACCTCTTGTTCATGAAACCCTCCTTGAATATGCGACATTCCGAGGACCAGTATCCGTGCTTACATATGGTACTTGCTTATCGCATTGTAGCTGGGATACAGTGGTGGGAGTATTCTACTCGCATAAATCTTGTCGCATCACCATCAGTGACTGGAGCTTGAAGGTGTGTTGGATTTGATGCAGCAATGGCCACTAGGAGCCGGAGGATCATGACGCAGGATGCCAGGTGACCCCCTGTTTGCATGGTTGTTTGTTTGTTCTGTTTGTCCTCATGTGTCAGCCTCAATCTCCAATTGCTCGTCGCTCATCTTGCCTGGTAGTCCCAGGATTAAAGATGCATTAAGGCATAAGCCAGTCAATGCAAGAATTCAAGCTCGGTGGATTTCGATTTGTCGAATGTATTACAACACTAGCGTAGAGATAAGATAGTCCAAGAGAGGGAGCTCGGGAGGATCACCACGGGATTGGTGGGCCAAAGGGTGGGTCAACCCGGCTAATAATGTACGAGCGGGGGATCCTACAATTCAAGTTTAGGCCACTTTTGACATCATTTTTCCAAGGTGCTCTTAATCTCAAGCTATCCCCTGTCCTTCTCAGATAATTTAATCACAATGAGATAACATGTCTCTCAATCGAATCTCATTCCTAGAAGGATGGGAGCGCAACCCAGCGTTCCGCCGGGACGACACGTCGGACGACGAATCCGACAGCTACCAGGACCTACCAGAGACTGCGTCCTTATCCTCCTCATTCCCGTCCACGTATAGCAGACTCAATTTTAATCCGTATGCTGGCCCGGGCTGGAATGAGACCGTTGACGATCGCGATGATCGTCCCTCGCTGCTCGGATCCCTGGGTCTGTCCCCCACGTCGACACGGGAGACTCCGCGCGTGGACCCGCTTCGGCCGGCAAGTCCTGTGGTGGCATCTAAGGTCCCTAAGGACCCGGCCGGTTGGTCGGAGACAACGGGAGCGTTTGAAGTGAGCCCGGCAAAGCGAATTGGTATGAATTTCAAGGCTCTGGATCTTCCTTAATTAAGGCTAACATCGGTCATCTAGCCCAAGTATGCATAGCAGTGGTCTACTGTTTCCTTGCAGCCGGCATTGCCTTCGGATTCGCGGCATTAAAGCCGGTCCTCATCCGCGAGAAAGTATATCGGAATTTTTGTTCGCGACAGGAACTAGAGGATAGTGTCGAGGTGTGCAGCGGACAGGAAATTCGGTATGTGCCCCGAGTGACCTACATGTGAAGTTGAAAACTAATAACCCTAGGATGAATTTGATGTTCACCATTGCTGCCGTCGCCACGAACGTCTCTGCTCTGCCTGTCGGTACCATCTTGGATGCATATGGCCCCCGCGTGAGTGGAATCATTGGCAGTTTCTGCTTGGCAGCCGGTGCCATTATTTTCGCATGCGCCGAACAACTTCCATTCGATGGATATATTCCAGGGTATCTACTTCTCTCCCTGGGTGGACCGTTCGTATTCATCTCATCGTTCCATTTGTCCAACACCTTTCCCAAACGCTCCGGTCTCATCTTATCCATGTTGACCGGCGCCTTTGACGCGTCGAGTGCTCTATTCTTGATCTTCCGGCTGTTGAGCGAACACACCGCAGGCTATGTCTCGGTCCAGAAGTTCTTCTTGGTATATCTTGTCGTGCCGGTCTTTATCATCGGAGTCCAACTCACCGTTATGCCCACCACCTCATACAAAACAGCCGGCGAGCTAGTCATGCACGCCGAGGTACAAGTCATGGAGGAGATCAACGACCGGGTAGACGATACAATCCACGATCGCAATGAAAGTGAGCGACAACGAAACGACAGACGCATCCGCCGACAAAGCATCGTGCACCACATCCAAGATCTGCTAGATGACACCGCTTCCATCAAATCAGGTATCGACGATGCCGTTTTCAGCGAACAACCCCACACTGAACCACCACGCCATAACGGCAAAGGTATCAACAACGGAAATGATCTTGATCACCCCTCTCCGCCAAAACCCGCAAACCCGCAACCTCCAGTAAACACTAGTACTAGCGGTGTTTGGGGTGTCCTTCATGGACAAACCGCCTTAAACCAACTACGCACACCATGGTTCATCCTAATTACAGCCTTCACAATCCTAATGATGCTGCGCATCAACTACTTCGTCGCAACCCTCCGCACACAATACAGCTACCTCCTCTCTCCATCGCTTTCCAAAAAGATTAACACATTCTTCGACATCCTCCTTCCAGTCGGCGGTCTGCTCTCGATTCCGTTTATTGGTACCTTCCTCGATAATCTCCGTACCCGGACCGTGCTCTTCATCCTCGTGACCACGGCAACCGTGATCGGGATACTAGGTTGTATACGCCACTCCATACCCGCTGCAGCAGGTAATATTATTTTGTTCGTGTTGTATCGACCATTTTATTATACCGCCGTTTCAGACTATGCGGCCAAGGTCTTTGGGTTCCAGACGTTTGGAAAGGTTTATGGGCTTATTATTTGTCTTGCTGGGGTTGGAAATTTTGCGCAGGCGGGCTTAGATGAGTTGACGCTTAGGCATTTTGGGGGTGATCCGGTGCCAGTCAATATTTGGTTGACAGCTGGCGTTGCTGTCGTTGGGGGTGCGTTGGTGACTTTTGTCAGTTGGAAGACTAACGTGTTGTCGAATGACGAGGTACAGGGACAGGCGGTGGTAGATTCGAGTGTCAGGACGAGGGATTGGGAGAGGGAACCTCTTTTGGATGGGGAAGTGCAGAGGACCTATGTGTGATGGATATAGTACCGAGGTATCCAGTTTTCGGCATGAATATGTGATCGAATGATTTAAGAATAATGAACAATTCATATATTGGTGACTGGAAGACCATTCCATTTCATGCGTGAGGTTCCAGTTGAGAATCTGACTTCCACCTGGTCCTAGACCTGCATGGTTACAAAGCCAAGTAGCCAGAAGTCGTATAAATCTAAGTGATGAACACACATATCGTATATCGTGAGAGAATTTGAGATGACCGCCACTGCATTCCAAGATTCCGCGGGACAATATAAATATCGAACAGTACATCACTGAAAGAAACAATATGAAAAGGATGGAAGCGGTAAACAGCAGAGGGAGGTCACCCAGTACTGAACTGCGGCTTCTCATCGATTAAAGCTGGATTTTGCTCCAAGAAAATATCGACTTCGCACCATAATTTGCGACCAGCTTTCTCGCAGGCACCTTCATGCCAAAGCATTTTGTCCAAGGAAAGCCGAATCTCGGTCCAAGATCGGACATTGTTGCGACGCACTATATCAGCTAGACTAGAGACAAAGAACGAGCGGTCTGGTGATCCAGAGGCTGCGATTCCACCGAGGATTAATATCCAGATTAAAGGGACGCGGGTGCTTGGATGCGACCATAGGACCGCTGCCGTCGGTTGGAGGATAGCGGTGCAAAGTCTCTTCGCGAGGCCTTGGAGAGGGCTATTTTGTTGAGGGATAGGAAAGATTACCCCCACACCAAATATAAGGCCAGCTAGACGACAGGCCTCATATGTTGTACCTTGGGTTGGATGGGAGAAGTACGATATAATGGCCTGGGATGGGACAAGGGTGAGTAGGGTATACTCGGTGAGATTTCGTTGGTCGGCAAGCAGTGATTCATCGAGACGGTCCTGATTTGGGGTTTTCAAGCCTTCCTCGCTTTTCTCTATGATTTTGATGTACGTTCGGGCGGCTTGGAAGGCCTCCGCCATTTGGGGGGTAAAGCCAATCACTTGGTATTGTCCGAAGCCGTGTTGGATATCGGATGGGCCAAAGTCAATCAACTCCTGCAACGGAGTTCCAAGACGATTTTCGTTCAGGGGCCAGAATTCGAAAATAGGTTGGATGCACCAAGCGGCTGCGATAAAAATTTCGGAACTGGTCGAGTCAGTGGAAAACTCCACTTTTAGGAAGTAGTACTTACAAGCAAACCATTGCGGCTAGTCCGGGCAGTTTAATGTTTCGTAAGCCACCACGCAACTTGAGCAATTGTACCAATCCCTGAAGGTGAATCACATTTGGAGAGAGGCAGCCATAGACATCTAACCACTGCAATGACTGAAATGGCGGTTCAAAGGGCGTGTCCTGGATCTTGATTTCGGCTGGAGCTGCATGATGCGCCATGCAAACGACGCTCAACAAAAGCGAATCACTGATCGCACGCGATGGGTCACGAACCGCTTGGTTGATCAATATGATCGAGTCGGTTTCGCACTTCTCCAGGAGACGGTGTTGGGTTGGCCCATAGGAGTGACTTGGAAGCCGTCCGTTCGCCCAAAGTATTCGCTGATGACATAGAGAACCATACATAAACGTGCTAAAGAGGGCGGGGTCCGATCGCGCAGTCTTGAACCATGATCGCCGGGGAAGTGAGGGTAACAGCGTAAGAGAGCTGCCTTGTCCTGGAATGACTCCTGGCCACATGGTATTGAGGCCTGCAGAGTCAGTATCATTTCTAGTTTCTTGCGGGGCGACAACGAACAGTAGTTTTGGCATGCATCCACCACCTCGGGTGCCGCCCCCAGATGACTAGGATATGTCATAAAGGGATCTATTTGCCCGGAGACTTGTCGGTCTAACCCCAGGATTTCATTCCACGGTATCAATGTGGCTGACGTCGCCTTTAGACGTAGGGTGATTGATTCATCACCGCTCTCGCTGCTCTCACTTTCATGCGGGGAAAACGCGGGGAGATTCCTCGAGCAGCTGACGGGATCTGTAAAAGATAAGGGCAAGTCATGAGTTTCGCTCGCTGGGAGATTCCAGCATTGCGGCTGATTTAGAAACGGACGCGACACCAGAGTGAAAGAGTGACTAGGGCCGTCTTTGTCCGAGGGCAAGCCTCGGTTGGGCTGAAGATTGACGCCATCCAAGTGGCTGGAGTTTTGCAAACGTCGGCTGGTCTGAGCGGAGATCCAACGGCCAACATGCGCGCGTACCACGCGCTGCAGTTTGAGGCGCTCGATCTCGGAGGTGGGTCTCGCATTTACAAAGTGGATGCCACCCTTCTTCCGCGCGGGCGGGTTATGCTTCTTAGATGGCATTTCTCGATCGCTCTCGACATCCCTAATGATGCCTTTTCACCGGCGCAATGACTGTGAGATATGCGAAGCTAAGTTCACCGGTCATCCTTTGGTCAGGAGAGAAGTTTCGTGTGGTGTGGAGTCGGGGTAAGAGCGCGTGGGGGGTGGGTTCACAAGAGATTAAAGTATTTCAGGGTTCCATCTGTACATGGATTGCTCTTATTATGGGCGGATCATGACAGGTTGAAAATGAAAATTGAAGGGAATTAGATAGAATCACAACAAAAAGCTCGGAAGAGGGTAAAGGGGGAAAGAAGGAGGAAATGCAGAAATTGAATCAGATTGAAGATTCCCGAGATCGCTGAGCCGTTCGGTAATATTGCAAAGTTACGACGTGGACTTCCGATCTGTGAATAATCAAAACGTATCCTCAATTGGTCAATCGGATGTAATTAACAATGCAGCAGGTGTCCCTTACGGAAATCCACTTCGGCGCTACCATTTCACGCCAAAAAAGCTCAAGCTTCTTCCCATAACTCAAGTAAAATTCCTTGCAGGGGAAATTCACGTTCCAAGGTTGCATTATCTGCATGGGATCTGCCTGTGCGTTCCAGCATATGGAGCCACGGGGAAAGATGTCCGAGCAGGATACGAGGTGCGGCCCATGGATCGAAGCTGTGATTCGATACATCTCCAGCTACCCCAAGCTCCTCTCTTTGATCTCGGAGATCCTGTTCCTCGGTACCAATAAATGTAGTGGATCGGGGGAGGACCACTATCTACATCACATCTCAACCAGATCCTTTATCTTGTTTTCGCTTCTCTTCCTGATATATCGCGAATGCAGCGCAACGGCAGCCAGAATGGGAATCCCCCTTGACGGCGGGCTGCAGACCCGGCGGTACACGGAACCTTGGCATTCAACCACCCGGTTGACAATAGGTCTAGCTTCACTGGAACGAGTTGAGTGGATCACAATGACAGACGTCAATGTCGATCCCCCCCCCTTTAGCTAATCGCGACCGCAGAATATTGTACTATTTCAGTCTAGCTGTATTGGCTTAGGTACCCACCAAGCGGTAGAAGGAGACAACAGAAAATAACAAAGGAGCAGGGGGGCGTGGCAATAAAGAAAGAAACAAAGGCAAAAAGACAATGGGAAATGGAACCAACCCACACTCCTATTCATGCAGCGTTTCGGCCAACGAGGTTGTGGGATTGACTTGACAGGGGAATGCTACATGCAACTAAAGTAGCGTTATTCGAGGGTCGGTGACACGTAACAATATAGCGGCGCCCCGCTTAGGCGTCTTTTAGCTGCGCAACGAGGTTGCACGGCATTAATCGCGTGATGCGGCAGCCTGACGTAGGAATGTCGGGTAAAAGTTGGTTCATTAAGGTATAACGCAACGCTACGTAACAGAGCTGACACGAGATTGGCTCAAAATTGGAAAAATAAAGCTTCACAAAAGAACTTTACCAACCCCCTCAATCAATGTCAAGTAGGCTATATTTGGCACTCTCGCCAGTCTGTGGATCGATGTACTGCTCCAGTGCATTCTCCACGACAGCCATGTACCCAAGAACCTGCTCCTCTTGCCAACGGCGACCAACGACCTGCACGGCCGTCGGCAGACCACTCATCTTGGCAGAATCATAATGTTTCCAGGCCCCGCGCGCCACAGCATGATTGCTACCCAGGTGCTGCAGCATAGTCTGGTACGGAGCTACCAGGGCATCACGCACGGCGTCAACATGGCCCACAGGTAAGACGCCCGCTGTATAATCCAGCAGATTCCAGAGAAAAGTATAGCCACATGAAGACATGGCGTCGAACATGGCCTTGTGTGGCAAGGCCGGCGTGGCATTGACAGGGCACAAAATGAAATCAAATTGCTGAGGCTCTGCGTTCCACCACTTGTGCCAGGTGGCCCGGAAGGCCTCGCGTTGCGCGACCAACGGCCACACCTGTGCAGAGGACTTGGGGCCGAAATTTCGAATTAGCGTGGCAAGGATCCGATCGCGCTTGATGTAGCGCACGTAGAGGTAATAGAGGTAGCGCAAGGGACGGGGCAGGTGTGCGACACGGGTCAGCTGGTAAGCGCCAGGATCAGTCGGCTCGAAGCTGCGGAAGGGGACGTTGAAATGATGACAACCGTCAGAGTTCAGGAGTTGGGATGCAAGATCAAGGCCAGTCAGGGGATCGGCTCCATCGGGTGTCATGATCTCAGTCACCGTGTGGCCGGCTTCAGTCAAGGCGGCGACCGTGGTGGAAATGGCACGCTCAATAGCAGGAGTTGGTGGAACCACACCTGCTTTGGTCAGCAAAAATCATAGGCATTCATGGGAATTCACGGAGCATACCGTCGTTTCTCATCAATCCAATCCGAAGAGGCTTGGCCTTCGCATCGGCCTCAAGCTCATCCCGCCACGCAATCGGATGCACAGTATTGTCATACTTCCACGGCTCCATGCCAATCATGGCACGAGTGAAATAGGTCAAGTCATTCAAGGTACGAGCCATTGGGCTAAAGACACTTGGAATGCCCTCCTGGCCCGCCATACTGGTGCTCACACCGGCCTTAGGCCAGCGACCTGTACTGCAACGGAGCGAATAAATCCCACTCCACGCAGCTGGCACACGCACCGATCCAGCAACATCTGAGCCGATACCGATACGGCCACCCTGTGCCAGCAGAGAGCCTTCACCACCGGTAGAGCCACCAGGCGAATACTCAGGCACATGAGGGTTGAGGCAGGGGCCCCAAAGTCCGTTAGAAGACTCAAATGAGAGAAGGGTGATAGGCAGAGCAGTCTTCGCATAAGGAATAGCTCCTAACGAAGGGTCAGAGACCGTCAATATTCCCGCCCTTCATGATCTAGAATCGAACGTACCGGCATCCTTGAGCAACTTTGTCATTGGTCCATCCTCGGTGAAAGGCTTTCCTGCCAATGCGGAGTAGCCGAGGGTGGTATCAAAACCCTTGACCTGGACAGAATCCTTGAGTGAGACGGGAATCCCCGCCAAAGGCCCCTTGAGGTTCACTTCCGAATCAAGCCATGATTCTGCTTCCGGGAGCAAGAGCTCAGTAATACAGTTGGTACGCTTCTGAGCCCGCACAGCAACCTTGCCGTAGGTGCGAAGAACAGTTAGAGCCGATGCCGTGGAGCTTTGGATATCCCGGACTAGGTCTTGGATGGGCTGATCAATGATCTTCTTATCCGATGCTGTGAGGTGGAGATGATACGGATGAGGCAGGGAAGCGAAGCGGAGGTCTCGTTCCGCCTGCTTTTGGTTCCTGGGAAGCGTAGTCAGACACGATGGGGGGTTAAAAGCAGCTCAACTTGGGGGAGAAACCGCTTACCGTATGCGGCGATACTCGAAGTAGTCAAAGGGAGGAAGCATATTGGCGTAGCGGTGTACAAAGAAAGTTGGCGAGACAGGCGGCCTTATATCCGAGTTCAAGCTCCTGCGGGGAAGTGTGGAGGCGGCTTATCTGATAAGGGATAAGGACCGGCCCCGGTTGGAGCCGGCGGTGTTTAGTCCGCTAGGGATAATGCTTTCTCATTGTGGGACCAGATAAATCGACGATCTAATAAGCGAGGCAAGATAAAAAGAATATTGCTATCTGAAATTAGGTACCGCGGTCTACGCAAGACTGACTTATCATGAGGGTAGCACGTGTTTAGTTCGCCATAAACATGAATATAGCTAGACTAGTTTCGGCATGTCCACCTGTGCGCCGAGCAATAGAAAACAAATTGGAAGAAAGGTCAATAAAATGCATGATTATATTTTATGTTCTGCGTACTACACTGTAAACTATCTACTAAAGCCAAGCCGAGCATCAAAGCCGCCCTGGAGGCGCGGCGGGTATATCTCCAGGGCCCGTCCCGAAAAGCAATCCACAACGCCAAGAGACTGATCCAGCCCCAAAATGCAATCAAACTCATGCAACACTGTCTTATATCGGAGCCTGCTTCATGGCTCGATGCTCTGAAGCCAGTGGTGCTTGCTTAGCCACCACACGATCACTCCACCAGTGACAAGGAGAATGATACAGAAGAATATGATAAAGCCCCAGATGAGAGACTTCTTGCTTTTGCGACGCTCACGTTCTAGCCAGGAGTCCTGTGCTCTGCCATTATGGTTAGCCTATTTGTTCGGAGTTGAGGTGGATGTCGACATACTTTTCGGTGATTGGTGTGGCAATCTCAGTCTCGGGTGTGCCCTTTGCTTCTTCATCGAGATGCACGGCTGTTGAGAAGCGTTTCCAAAAGTATGGGTCGCGCACGAGTGCCATATCCTCCCAATATTGATGCAGTGTATTGTTTGACTGGGATGATACACCAAATTCCCCTGCGATAATTTGCCGACAGTCGAGCAATGAAAGCAGTGTCTACTGTTCACACGTGAGGAAGCGGTTCGAAAGTCGCTGGATAAAGAGTTTGCGTTGGCTCAGATGGCTGCGGACGCCGGGAGGATAAAAAACGGGAGCTGCCACTACACTTAACACCCGGACCGAGGGGGGAGAGGGTCGAATGCCATGCCGTCGATCTAGCCAGTTAAATGGAGGCTGGGGGCAAGGCGACCAATTCCAGCCGTCTCAGATATGTGACAGATCCCCAGGCACTGATTTTATTGATAATTATTGGTGGACTAGCTACCATGGAGACAAAATAGCTGTTATGGTATGGCGATCCGGAATGAAGGGATAGGGTTTTTGGTGGTTGGAGAGGTTGGAGTTGAACCAATCCTGCTTATTGAATGATTGGAATGCCAGCCACCATCGACTAGTATTTCCTTGGGTCAAACATGATCTTTCGGGAATACTCATTCTTGATTTGTATTGGCTGGATCGTAGATCTCAATCGTTGCGGAAACCACGGGAACCACGAGGGTCAAGAGTGGCAGCAGAGCACGGGCCGTAGCAAGACTTTGGGAGTAGAAAGCAAGGGGGGGAAACATTGATATGTATAGAGACACAATCGTGGCTTTAAGCCTGGTTATTCGGATCGAAGTATGGTATTTAATCATCAGGTCTCCCGGCCTCGAATTACCCAGCGGTTTTACGCATTCACATGGCTAAAAGTAAATTGGTTTAGCTGTACAGAATCCAGTCCTCCTGCCAGTCATCCCATGCATTCCAAATTCAACATTTCCCGCGCGCAGAACCCTTGACAGCTTCGACGACTGGGTCATTGTTCTTGGCCTATAGAGGATATCAAACGTTCCGTTGATATGATAATTCCGCGGATGTATTCGTTACTCACTGCTCTCTATATAAATGGAAGTGATGATATTCTCCGAAGTGTATTTTCCGGAAGTTGATAATCGAACATGACAAAATTCCATAGTTGAACAGCTGACTAGCCCATGCCCGAATTGGCGCGGGAAGTGTAACTCATGGGAGATGCTACCCTACTTGAGTTCCCAGGAGCTTAAAAAAGGTATGCACTCATTTCAATCAAGCCAAACATAAGATATCGCTTCGTATGAGCCAGGATGTAGGTAATAAAAGGCGTCGTCTCAGTGGACACCACTCCTGAGTCACGTTCACATTCCTGGATGGTCTGGCGTGAACAAATAGGTACTTGGGTATGTATTTGATAATAATGTTACTATTTGAATGGATGACAATTACCGTGCTACCCCAGATGTGGACTACGGAGGTGTCCAGCAAATTTGTGGTGCTCAATGATCGATCGCCTATTTTCCGGCCTGTAATTCTGTGGGCAATTGCTAATTGGACGTAGAAATGGCTATCGCCAGGATAGTATATTATTACTGGCTATATGAATAGTCCAAAACCGAAAATAGCATCTTCATTTACCGATATGGGGTAGTGGCTAACCTGTCGGCTTTTCACGCCGAAGCGCGGGGTTCGATTCCCCGTATCGGTGGACTCATGTTTTTTTTTTCCATTCTTGCTTCTTGAGTCAACGAGCACCATTGCTCTCTTTTTTTTGTAGTATTTAGTAAGTTGATCTTAAAGGCCCCCTGCATACTATCAATTGAAAAATGCCATGGCTTGGGTTATTGTTTTGCGTCTGGCTTGCCAGCAGCACTGGTCCTTTGATGTTCTCGGTAAAATGTTCATCTCCCGACCGATTAGAATATCATTCTTGTCACTAGATTGATGATGGATCTTGCAGCAAGTTGATATTAGTTCGCTCGGCACATAGCCCTTAAACATCGATGCAACATCGGAAAGCTTCCGGAATCATTGCGGTTTGCGCGAGCGAGATCGATCCATACATGTACTGAACGAGTACCTTTATGATTATTTGTTTTCTCACGCTTCCAAGTTTAAACAAAAAAAACCAGATATCAAGCAGCCATGAATGTTCCACCTGGTATTTTAGCGCATATGAAAGTAATGGCCTGCAAAGTTATATACTTTATCTGGAATATTAAGACTTTTGATATCCCGCCTGATTCGCCACTCGGCAAGATAAAATCTTACCGATCATTCCCCCAACCTTCCACAATCCATGACAGCGGTTGACCGACCATTCGCAAATCCCTATTCTGGCAGCTAAGAATTCGGCAAAATGACATCTTCCAGCAAAACAGCTGATTCGGCAATCAAACGCCAGAAAAAGAAGTCCATTGCGTAGGTTCCACAAGCTTCATGCAAGATCGACTAGTTAATATCTTCCTAGGTGCCGGCGATGTCACTCTCATAAGATCAAATGTTCTGGAGGGCAGCCTTGTGTCAAGTGTCGGCAAGCAGGCTGCCCTGCTGCCTGCACCTACATCAATCGCGATCGACAAGTCAAAGTCCATGAAAGGTATGAGATTAGTAGTAGTTGGTCTGAGGTGTATCTACTAATCAATTCCAGCTATCTCGAACAACTTGCAGCGGAGAATGAATGTCTACGACAGCAGCTTTCACAATCGCCAGGACTTGGGACACCCGGTGAACAAAGCAACCAAGGTACCAATTACTCATTACCCCAAGGTCCATGCTTTGAATAATCGCTCAACATTCTTGTCAGATATAACGGCACCCGAACACGATACGCATGTTCACAACCCGATGTTGGGGAAATTGGCTTGGTTCCAACCATACGACCCATCAGCACCTCCAATTCATATCGCCGAAGCAGCTTGTACAGCTTTCGCTACCCGACTGCGTCAAGTCCTTACCAAGGATACTAATACATCCCATATCACCCGAACCCAGTACACATCTGAGGTAACTTTGATGAAGCTGCGCAACCCAGCGCTACAATGGCCCAGCCTGGCTCAAGCACGTCTCCTCATCCAGGTCGTCTTCAACCAAGTAAGCAGGGTCTATCACTTGGTGCTTCGAAAATCCACCATGGATGAATTGGAAAACGCATACCGGAGGAGCAGTTTCGATGATCCAATCTTGACTTGTAAATTCTTCGCTCTGTTTGCTCTCGGGCAGGTCTATTCGGTGCGGTCAAGTTTTAACCCCGAATGTGGTGTGCCCGGGGCTTCGTTCTATGCAAATGCGATGATGTTGATTCCCATTTTGCCGGAACGACCGAGCCTTGCTCACATTGAGTCTCTCCTGCTTTTGGTAAGTTGCCACGTTTCGAAATATTACTGATGGAGAACTGACACTATAGTCTTTATACTCATATTTTCTGAATCGCCGACACTCCGCATTTGTCTTGATTGGTAGCGCTATGCGGGTGGGCTTGACTCTTGGACTTCACCACAACATCCCTGAAAGCCAGTGCCCCGACCCGGTAGATCGGCAGCATCGCATTCGACTGTGGTGGGCAATATATGTCTATGATCGTATTTACAGTTCTAAGGCTGGCTGGCCAAACCAACTTTCTGATGAGGACATCAATGTCGAGATGCCATCGACTATACCCGGTGCTGCTCATGAGGAACAATTTTCAGACACAGAATTTCTCAACGCCAGTATTGAACTCGCAAGAATCACAGGCCAAGTGACGGAGAAAGTCTATAGTCGCAAGAAGCAACCAGATTCATTCCTGCAGCGAGAGCAGAAGTTGTTGATGTCGCTGAAACAGTGGTCCCAGGCTTTGCCGTCGCATATTCGTCTGAACCGTGATGGACCACTCCCCAAGAATGTTGTTTCATTACATCTTCAGTTTAATCAGGTGGGCTATCTTCAAGCAAGAGCCTTGTATTTTGTGATTATAGCTGACGAAGACAAGTGCATCATTTTGGCCACGCGACCGATCTTGCTTTATACTCTTATCCAATCGAGGGAGGCCGGCCACGAAAAAAGTCCCGTCTCCAACGCCCAGACTCTCAAGACCCTGGGTGATGCATGCATTCATGCTGCAAGGAATACGCACTCGCTGATCGTAGATGAGTGGGCCAACGGAACCCTGCCAATCTTTGGTTACTTCTATGCGCACTATATATTCTCATCTGCGCTGATCATGGTGGTCTCCAGTCAGATCTACAACGATCATTGCAACGACTTTGCACTGCTCGAGACAGCGTACGAAATTCTGCACGCCATGAGCGACCATGGAAATCTAGCTGCGAAAGAGTTTTACGAGAACCTCGACTATGTGCGAAAGTGTCTTGACATCATAGTCGACCCCACCGACTCTCACACTGACCCACGGGGCTCAGACCTGCCAGGCCACGCCCTGCCCGAGATCACGGCCCCGGGGAATCTGACCGAGATGGACTTTTTAGGCGCAAATATGGAAGAATTTTTAGCGCAACCCGATGTCGATTTGGGGCCACTGGACCCTTCGGGGTTGCCGATCAATGTGGCTGACGCGATGCACTCGTGGCCGACATATTCCTTGTGGACTGCATGAAAGAGAACCAGTCGGAACAAATCAAATAAGATCATTCATTTGAGGCTTAGCGACCGGGATGGTACCTGATTTGTGTTAGGCCGGAAAATCTCGTATGATGACGGCAGCTGAGTGGGATTGGATAATGTGATGGTGCCACACAACACTGTTCTATTGTTATTATTATGACTCTTAGGTTTCAGTCATCTGCGCTGGACATTCTTCTCCATAACTGACGTCAACCTTCATTGTTTATACTTCGTTTCTCGGTTTCTACTTAAATCCCCGCAGTGGGTCCACATGTTCGTGCCTGACCGCCCCTCGCTGCCTGTCGACTCGAAATCGCTTGACAACCCTGGCAATGCGCTGGTCGCATTCTCTTCTCCTGATATCTCAGATGAAATGTCTTCTTGGGGTACACTGATCAACCCAGACAAGAGTCCAGCGCCGTTGCTGGAACAGCTATGTCTAGGGATCGCGCAGTTAATGGTGAGCAAAACGTCATGGATTCGAAGCAGACAACTAACAAGACGCAGCCTACGTTTGATTCAAATGGGACAAATGATCTCACTCCCGATCGCATCGCATCATTTTATCGCAAAGTAGGCGGCAACTATGATCCCCTGTTTCTAGGTACAAAATCCACAGCGCTTTCGTTCATTTACCAATCGCTTGGCTGCTTTCACAGCCTCCAGCCTTCCAACAACCCATACGAGCCACCCTCCGTTCCGTCATTACTACCGGCTGGTTTTGTGAGATGGCAGACAATCCAGTTACTGATGGAACCGGATGAGCACTGGCAGTACTTGCAAAATGCAGTTAGTATGTGGGACATTACCGACGCAAACGGGGAGTTATTTCCAAAGGATATCCCGCGCGACGCATTTCCCTCTGAGCCAGACCCGGAGATGCTGCAGTGGCATGAGGGAGTTAGTCGGCGACTTGAACTCGACTATATGAAGCGAAAGACGCAGCGGGCTTCTCCTCCTGACTTTGGGGGATATCACTATCGTTTTAGCGGAAAGGACCCGCTACCGGACGAAGAGGAATACGTTTCGCATCCGCCACGACAGTCAGCACAACGACATCATAGCTACTATGAACCGGACCGAGCTGGTCGGCGGCGTCAGCATCACCGACGCCTCAGCGCCGAGTATCCTGCATTCAATACTCACAGACCCGAACCGAGTTTCTCACGACAAGATGGAGGCCGGTCCGGTGTTTCCTCTCCCCGATGCCCATCGCCATCGTCACGGGAATACTCACATTACCACACCCGAGATCATGAACAGCCAACCTGGCATGCCCACCACCCTTTCCCTCCAGAAATGGGCGAGCCTCCAGAGCCAGAAAATGTCTCTGACGATACTATCCATGAGGAAGAGCCCGAACCTGAGCCTGAACCCCAACCCAGACGTCGGGCTCGTCATAATCTATCTCCACCACACTCACGTACACGCCGCCACTCCCACGACGCATACTCACGGAAACCATTCCGCGATCTCTCACCCTCCGCACCACGAAGAAGTCATAGAGGATACGATTACGAGATCCCCGTCCCCATTCCTAAAACAAGAAAATCAAACTCAGACGGAACGCCCAGACTTCATAATCACGACGACCGTTCTCGCTCCAGATCCTCAGGTGTCAAGTTCAAAGAATTCGTATTTGACGTCCCTCACCCAGGTCCAGCCCCAGCCCCAGCCCCAGCCCCAGTTCCTGACCCAGCAATGTACATGCCTCCACCACCACGGCCATCCCCCCGCCACCGATACAACATAGACACATACGCCGAAGATGTCAGAAGAGGTAGTTACAGCGGTGGCAGCACCGGAGGAAGTCGACCAGGGAGCGGAGGAAGCGGTTCCGAACGACCACGCTCCTACAGTAGTGCCGGCTTTCCACCTCGGACATCTCGGTGGACAAGCCCTTCGCGAGGACCAGCCAAACGGTATATCCCGACCAGTCTTGCTGAAGATGCGGAATATATCTCTTCGCGGAGACCTCCGGTATATAAGTGATGATTTATGCTGATGTGTTATGACATATTTGGAGTTTATTCTCTCACCTCATCTCTTTGCGGCATTTTACAATTGCTGTTCACAGCTCACCCGATGCATATTCTTCTTTATATCACGACAGATTTCATTCATGATTTATGACTCATATGACGCGTTGGAGGGGGTTCTTTTCTTTGCGGTTTAATTAGATGGCTTCTTAGGTGTACACGAAACTTTGAATCAGCTTTATTTCTGTCCTTTCTTTTATGAATTTGTTATCATTTGAAGAGCAAGATACTTTATTATAAAGGTATGCAAGCTAAAATATTGTGTATGCCACATCGAAATGATGTTGAAGTAAACTTAACGAGCCTTTGGATATGCTAGTCGTCTTACGGCACTAATGCAGTTTTTTATCTCAGGCATACTTCGCCACAAAGATAGGCACATGAAAGGATGTTCAGTTGCAGCCAGCAACACAAGAGTCGAGACGGATGGTGGAGTCCACCAGGGCTTTTGGCAGAGGGCGATTACATCTGGCAAGTCATGTATCATATATCATATATTGAAACGTACTAAATCGTAAAACATATCTATCTCATGTCTTGAATTTTCCACACACATGTGCAAAGTTAAGCATCCTCCTTCTGCTCGACAGCCCCCTTCTCTTCTGTTCGCATCCAAACATCCACTTCTGCAGCCTCACCCTGTGGCAAATTGCGAGCCATAGAAACAATGTCCCAAGTAGTCGGCGCATCCCGAAAGACATGGTTAAGAGCCTCCAGGTTGCGGTTCATTGTCTCAGGATAGAACATGTAAACCGAGATCGGAATACATGCCGAGATGACAGCATATACAATATAATACTGGTATCCAATGGTGTCTAGCGCAACCGGTGTAATCATCACAACGACGAAGTTCCACAGCCAGTGATTACCCGTCGAGATAGCGGCCATGGCAACACGGAGACGCATGGGTGCAACTTCGGTGCAGTAAAGGAAGTTTCCACCTAGGAAGCCGACGGGATAGAAGGAGTTGAAGAGGAAGATGAAGACTGCCGATACGATTGAGGCGGTATGATTTCCTTGGAAACTGTTCGTGATGGCTAGGACGGTCATGCAGACGGCCATACCTGCGCCGCTGATCATAAAGATCTTGCGACGGCCTAGACGGTCGATTGCGAAGAACGCAATGAAGCTGCAAAGGAACTTCCATGTCATTGCGCAAGAGGAGAGGATACGAGCAAGGTCGCTTTTCATGTGCAGATTCTCTTCAAAGATGGTGGACACGTATGTTGAGATAAGGTTTCCACCGCACATCTGTTGGAAGAACTGAAGCGCAACGCACAAGCAGAACCGGTATAGTAGGCGTTCTTCATCGGGTTTGCTCGGGTCGAAGATATCGCGCAATCTGGCGCTATCAACAGTGATTTCGAGGGAGGTTTCGATACCGGCGATTTCGATACGGACTGACTCATCCTCGGGAGAGGTACCCTTGTACGCAGCGAGACTGTGGGTCGCTTCTTCGATGCGGCCAACGCGAACGAGCCATCGAGGTGATTCAGGAAGGAGGAAGACGGCGAAGAGGACGATAAGAGAGAAGAAGAACGAGACAACGAGGGGGATACGCCACTGAAGTGATCCGTCCACCTTGCTAAGACCAAAATCAATCCAGTTGCACAATGCATAACCCAAGCAGATACAGATTCCGTCAACAACAACATGTTGTCCCCGATGCTTGGCTGATGTACATTCAGATTGCCAAACTGGTACAGCGACACTCCACTGGCCAACGCCCAGTCCAAGAATCACACGTCCGACGACGAACTGTGCGAGTCCATAGGCCGAAGTCTGCAGCAACTGCCCAATAAGAGTCAGGATGGCACCAAGGAAGATAGTCTTACGACGACCGAGACGGTCGCCCAAAGCCGTGCACGACAAAGCTCCAATGAGAGCACCAAGCTGGAAAGAGGCAATAACGGCACCCTTTGCAGTAGAGTTCTTCGCACGCTGAGCGCCCTCGGTATTGATGGTGTCAATCTCAGGAAAGACGCCTACCCAGCTTTGTAACGTGGCCAAAGGACCTAGTCCAGACTGGTTATAACCAAAAACAATAAAGGCGGGCGCCACAATGAGCAGCGCCTGCGCCAGACGAAGCGTTTTTCCTTGAAACATGGTTGCTTGCTGAACAGGAAAGGAAATCAGCCCAAGGAGAGAAAAAAAAGAAAAAGAAACCAGCGACAGAGATTTTGACTCGAATTTATGTCTACCGGTGAACCCCAGGCCGTGGAGACCCCACAGGATGGGCATTTGAGCTGGAGATTGTGGGTTACGAAATGGTATGTGCTCAGCATCACTCACCCAGGCTTGAATTGGTTGATATCGCCGCGAGCCCCATCAGGCCCATTAAAATAAGCTAATGTGCTCATCATATCATCCCCATTGGACAATGTTGATCCCAACCCAGATTGCGGGAATCGGCCTGGAACACCAAGCAGGGGTATGCACGGCATAATTTGGGGTATGATCGTGGAAGGAATGCCGAAAGTCGGAGAACATCGTGCCATGTGTGGTTCAACATGCTTGACACGATTGATGCGCGTCGTGGGGGTGTGGACTTTCTCCGAAACGAGGTCAAAGTTTATTGGTGCTCCATCGCCCCGCGGGTCGGACATCGCTTTCCCTAACATTGTGGTTAATCGGGCCGAACTTGGATGCCGTGGCTGGAGCTCCCGGTGAGACTGGTGTGACCGGCAGGGCTAGCTCGGCTTGATGCCGATATCACAGATTCTGGGGAGAAGTAGTTCGCATCAAGTATTCTATCCTAAAGCTGGGGATAAACCGATGCCAATATTTGGGTTTGACGTGGCCAGATTACCCCGGCATTGGCAGCCTATTAGGTATCGAGCAACTCGTGGCATCAGGAGAATATCGAAGGCTTGTTTGGGCTTGTCATGCGTCTCCAAAGCCAAGAGGCCCGCCAAGAGTCGCGCCAAGAGCTCTCTGAGCCCGATCCGGGGGATGTGCGGGGCCCAGTTGGAGTGCCAAGGGAAATAGAGGGCGTGGGATGAGACTTGCTCCACTATATCGGTCATGTTCCGAAGACCGTCATTGGAATGGTCGAGGAGAAAACGTTTAGAAGGTCAGAATTTTCGGGTAAGGTGCGCCCCTTCCTTAATTGAACCATTGGTTGATGGTGGAAATTGATGATCTGGAACAACTTCGGAGATTTATCATCGGCACAGAAATGATCGACAAAGGGAAATGTTTGTTTCAGGTAGCTCACCAGAGTGGTGAAGAACAGTCTGTGGCGAGAGCTGGTTCTACATTCCCATGTTCCACCTCTCGCCAGAGATAACAAGATGAGAGACCACCCGGCGAAAGCCGTTGGATGCCCCTACTTCGACCGCATTGCTGCTTGTTTCGTTGGTAATCATGGAATTGCCTCATTTTTGGACTGGCACATGATTCTGAAACATAAGCCGAATGGTGTACTCGTCGGTTGATCGCATATTAGCCGCAACGGCCTAGTATTCCAACTCCAAAAAAATCTGACAAAGCTCCCTTATACCTCTTTTCCACATCGTTCTTGACGATGATCTTATCGTGATCGCCTGAGAATTAGCATACTTGAGCCCGACTTTCGCCCGAGCAAGCTCTCTTGGGAAATCTTGCTCATTCTCAGTGCCACGGCCTCCAACACCGGCCTTCGAAGGTAGATCTGGTGGAAACACACCCCGCATCGGCGCCGGAATGCGTCTTCAATCAGCCCGTGCATCTCAATGGCCAACCACGCAAATACTCTGCTGGTCTAATCTGACAAAGGAAAATACCCTACATAAAGAATATGCATTGACAATCGATTAATTGATGTATAAAGCGACTCTAATGCGTGTCGTCATATGTTCTAGCAATGTCGATATGATCCTCAGTAACCTTGATGAACCAAGTGCCGGTACGGATTATCTGGATCCTGTTCCTCCTCCTCTGGTGATGGAATGGTCTTCACCACACGACACGGACTCCCCACTGCGACAGAGTAAGGCGGGATGTCCTTAGTGACAGTAGATCCCGCACCAATCGTACATCCTTTGCCAATACGAACACCAGGGAGAATCAGCACATTCCCTCCAATCCAGCAATCATCTTCAATAAAGATGGGATGGCCAAATTCGACGTTTTTCCGGCGGGACAGAACACTGGTGTCGTGTCCAGCAGTGAAAATACTGACTCCAGTTGCAATCTGTACTCGATCTCCTATAACAACCAGACTGGTATCCAAAATAGTCACACTAGCTGATGTCAGTGTATGGCACGTTCAGGTTCTTGTCGTCGAATACAAACTTCCAGTTAATAAAGCAATCCCGCCCAATTGTAATATTGCATCCATAATCAGGGAGAAAGGGAGGCTCAACGAATGTGCCATCCCCGACTCTGCCGACCAATTTGCGGAGCAGCTCAAGTCGCTTATCGGCTATTTGATCGTAAGGCACAGTCTTCGTGTCCAGGTTGTTGTAGTCGGCTGTCAGACCACGACACAGATGACGCGCTTCCAGTAGCTTTGGGATGGTGGGATTATACCTGGATTGTTAGCAATATTGTCGTTATCGGTGGCAGTGAACGTACATCATTCCCGAGATCATGCGCTCATAATCTTCGCATTGTGGTACGCCGCGCAGAGTGCGCGAAAGCTCGATGATTTCGGGGCGCTTTTCCGTTGCGGCCATTCTGCCGGGGAGTTGAGAAGAGAAGGGAAATTAGTGACGAATATCTTCACGGTCTGCTAGGTTCTTCAAGAGATGACAGTCATTTACCCCGCAGGGCGGCGAGATGGCTAGCCTGATTGAGTAATACTGCCAACTCCATGACCATGCTGCCTTGGCTACCAATGAAGACTTCGTGAATATAGACTTGATCCAATGTGCTCCTCAATGATTCAATTTTATGGAAAACTCGTTTAAGCCTGGCCGGAGCAGCGCAGTTGTGATAGTCATACCAACCACCCTTTTTTTTTGTGGGGCCACACATTAGCCGCACAATGTCCACATCAAACAAATCCCCAGTGAACGCGTCCTTTTGAATCATTTGTCCTTGTTTCTTCATACACATCACTCATACCCACATTTTTTCTGACTTTCAGAACTCCCCAATTCCCCAACTTCCCCCACATATTAAGTCCCGCACCATGGCCAGTTCGAAGATCACCAAACGAGCCAGGGCAAACACTGCGGGTGATACTCACCTTCAGCTTGTTGAAGCCTCGGCCAGTCAAGTCCACATCAATGAAGCCATCAGTGAGGATGTGTCAGTTCCCTCAACCAAAGAAATGATCAAGCTCAAGGCCGAAGGTCTGGCAGAGCTTCTCCACAAAGCTGCCACGCTTCACCCCGATGTCAACGATATGGTGACAGCAGCCATTAACAGCGTGATGGAGGAACGGAAAAACCGCGTTATCAACTTTGATCAGTATTCCAAGGAAATCTGGTCCGAGATCAACGTCCGACACAGTTCCAAAAAGGGCTCTAAGCAATATGACATTTCATTTGACGTGGCTAGCGAAGTAAGCTCCACTATCAGCCGTATCGCCAACCAATGCACCGAATTCCCAAATCCTAGGACTCGACTCAATGGAATAGAAACACTCCGCAAAATTGGGAAGACAATTTGCCTTTCGTCGAATGATACCTTGGGTCACGAAGTACAAAAGCAGTTCCAGTCGGATCCAAGTCTGGAAAATGCTATGCACGATATTGTATCCGAGATGTCACCCGAGGAAAGAGAGATCTTATTAAGCGGGCCTCTTTGGCAGAAACTGGAGGAACTCCAGCAGCTTGCGGATGATTATTGCGTATTTGAGGGCCTCCATACCGTCATGGACCTGATTCAAGGCGAAGGAGGCAATGTCGAACACGAAACCCACGATGAGGGTGAGAGTGATGACGATGATGAGGATGATGATGAGGACGATGATGAGGATGACTTTGGTGAGGAGGATGAATACGGGGTCACTGGTGATGAGCACGATATCTGCTAGGGTCTAATGTTTCTCCTACGTCGATCTAACGTCCCGACCCCATACGTCCCGAACATGACTCGGGACTGCATTTTGTTTGGATCATAATATTCGACATTCACCCGTTAATTTGCCGTGTTTCAGATGATCTCAAATTTCAGACTGACCCTGAACCTCAAAAAGTGACAAACATTTGCTCTTGGACCCGTAACTTTAATTACAACTGCCTTGAGGGGTCGATCATGATATCAAGGGTAAATTTGAGCGTTTTGTAGATCTAAACGTTCGGTGGCACAGCGTTATTTCCCCTGTTTTGTGTTTTCCGACGGGCTACTACATAAGATAGATCGCAAGTTGATGGAGCGGTGAGTAAAGCCATCTGGATCGGAAAGTCAATCTATTGGTCGAAGGGCACCAGAAGCCGTGATTGGAGCAAAAGATCCATCGACGTCACACACAACCCCTGATGAGTTTAGTCTTCATGCGGTGACACGATTGAACGTGTCCCGGAAACCGGTTACTTGGCGGCACTGTAGAATATTAGGGTAGATCACGACTATCGATCGGAAGAAGCTATTGGCTTGGCTTTTGGCATTCAGCATGCGATTGGACCAAATAAAGTAGAATCTGCATCGTGACCGGTGGTCACACTGGCGTAGGCTTCATTGAGCCCTTTGTGTAGGCGGGATCGCCCGACGGGGTCCAGGCTTTCCCCTGAAAATGCCCACCTCCACCCGACAGAGTCACCGGGAACCCACTCAACCAATTGAACCCACCATAAGGGGGCTCGGCCGAATTCACGAGAAGGTATGGGGCAGTCAGCATTCATGAAGATCATACTCCGTTACTGCATCATGAACCTGAGGGATCTACGCATTGCTTTTTCTTTGAAACCTCAAAAGTAACAACGCCCCGGCAAAAGAAACCCCCAAACCTGGAACAGGGCTATGACTAATATCTCATCCGAGGGAATCAACCGTCGACGTCTATTGGCCCGAGGTCAATCCGTGGGGAAAGCGGGGGAAAACATCGGGAGATGGGCAACACTGATGCCCTCCTAACTCACGCGTCAACTCTCCCGAAAACTGCTAGCTAGCGCACTGTTGTACATCCCGACTCTTACCCTGATAACTGGGCCAGATCCCTGGCCAAAGAACCATGGTCGTCAAGGCATGCAATCGATGCCATGCCGCCAAAGAAAAATGCACCTTCAACGGCAGTGATCAGCAATGCTTAAGATGTCGACGGTTGAAGATTCCATGTTCAATATCGCGTCGCAGTGGTCGCATCGGCCGTAGACCGTCCGCCAAGGCATTCCCGCATGGTCAAATGCAGGTCTGGAGCGTGGAGACTCGAGAGCAGCCCTGCGAGTCCGAACTAAGCAGCAGCAAGGCGTCATCGCGTGCGCCGAGCCGAGGGTCCGACACAGGCTCTCAATCTGATGCCACAGAAGAGCTGGGCACACCCAATAATAATAATATGATGATGCTGTCGCCAGAGCGACTCATCGCCTGTCCGAAAAAACTTCAAACACAGGCGGATGCGCTGCAGACGGTGTTAGACGTCGAACAGTTTTCGGTCATTCATACGCCTTTCATGCTGGGATCCAGCTTTATACCCGAGGCGCAAAAGACCGTGTATGCCATTTTGACTTTATGCGGACCGACTTTGACGGAAGGGTATCTGGCCTTCCTGGGGATGATGACCCGGCACCAAAGATCGCTCGTCCTGCGTCCCCAACCACCGGATATGCGCAAGGCAGCAAAGGGGTTGCAGCGTTTGCGGGATGTCACTATCCGAAACGACTATGATGCGGCCTGTACGCTGTTTCTCGGGCAGACGATGTACGTTTTCAACGTTCTCAACGCTCCATATTCGAATACCGCACATTCCATCGTTCGGAGTGCGCTCCTGTCGGCTAAACCGTGGTTCCATCGCTTGGTCCAAGCCCCAATCATGGATACCATTATCATGTCCCCAATGTTGATCGACACGGTCGAATGCCTGGCGCATCGCGAAATACCGATCATCCGATTCCCTGATACCGAACGAATTATTATTGATCGATACGCCGGGATCTGTGCGACTCTCTTACCTCATCTCTATGACATCTGCGAATGCAGTCATATGTGGAAGAAGAGCGTGTTAGATGACAGTGCCACGTATACCGGATATCATGAGCAGCTTGCGGCAATCGAGCAAAGAATCCAGGACTGGGTCCCTCCGACACCACCTGAGCTGTATAAAAATTTCGGGCAACATGAGGTGCTAGCGATAGTCACACAAGCAAATGTATACCGTCTCGCGGCACTGTTGGTTATTCACCGTCTTCGATATCCGCTCGGGGTGGAAGACGAGACGGCCCGGGCACTGGCCGAGAGCATTTTTTCTGCGATGGAACTGTTCACCGTATCTGCAGCTGAGAAAGCCACCGCATTCCCCATGGTCTTTCCAATAACCATGGCGATGCTAGAGATCGAAGGACCGGGCGAAGCCTTGTTGGATAAATTATCGACGTTCACAGTGCAAGCGACGAGTGCATCACGACTGAAGGGATTTGTAAAGCAGATCAGAATCGCCCGGGAGACAGGATATGAGGGGGTATGGTTTGAATTAGTGGATACCCAGCTGCAGGTAGCGATGCCGCCCTAGCATCGCTTTTTCACCGGAGCTTAACTATCAATGGACTATGATCCGACCATGAGATCATTTTTGACGGATCTTTTTCTCCACAGGCATAGCGTAAATTTAACCTAAACTACTAGAACCAGGCCGTTTGGCCGGACCATCTCCCGTCTCGGGCCTGGGGCCTCCTAGACCGTGGCCATGACCAATTTATGATAGATTGGCGTTGCGGACGTTCAATAATGAGATCGGATATCGGCGGAGCGCAACTGGATTGGGAAAGAACTGCCCGGGAATTCCCCACAAATGCGATTTCCGATTTGACGTCTGTGCGACCCACTCTTGCCTCGATCGAGCAAAAACTGCCCGGATCGAGTGATGTAACTTCTAAAACAAGTCTGGGGTTCTTCCCTTTTCTTCGGGTCCGACCGTTTATATAGAATTTGCAAATACCCCGGATTTACATTCATCTTTGGGCCCTCTGTTCCTGCTCTCAACCCTTGTAAACCGTGATCCTGTGACGGATCTTAGAATCATCGCTAGCACGTGGACATTCCGGAGCGCTACTACTGCCTGCACTGTCGCGATGGAAGACCACTCAGCAAAGCGACAGAAAGTCTCTCCATCTAAATGCATGTCCAGACGAACCCAAAAGGCCTGCCAGCTATGTCACGTCACTAAGGTCCGATGCAATGCGACACCAGGCTCCCCTTGTCAAAATTGTTACCAAAGAGGGGTACAATGCGTAATGGATAGAAAGAGTCGATCCAAGTGAGTGTCAATTCTGCAATATGCCGAGCCCAGACTTATGGTACTAGGCAACAAATGCAACTCAAGACAGCGGGATTGACGCCAACGCCGTCTGGCGCTCAATGGTCACCAGAAAGCGTGGCCGTCGGGGCCTTTCCACATGCCGCTGCTGTACATGGCTGGAGTACTGGGTATGGGTTTGACGCGTTTAGTGATCCCGAGTGGCGGGATTCGTCTCTGAGTCCAACCCGTGAGTTTATGAACACCTCCATGATACATCAAGAGACTGACCGGACTAGCTCCGCAACCTGCCTTTTTCGATACTCCATTTCTCCATCCTGAGGACGAGGTTTGGAATGCATTCACCAATCTCGGCTCACCTGATTCATCTGCCTCCGATATGTCAAGCCCGGGCGTGCTTCTACCCGGTTTTATCCAGCCTCTGCCAATGATGATGAATCCAACGACAATCGAGTATCTTTATGTGAATGGGGTGTTTAGCTTGCCGACTACTCAACTCCAAAATGCACTTCTGCAAGTTTTCGTCGATTGTGTACTCCCGAGCATGCCAATTATTGATTGGCCTGCATTTATCAATGCCGTCTGCAACCGAGATAGTGACCATGGATCCATGAGCCTTTTCCTATTCTACGCCATCATGGTCTCGGCGAGTACCTTTGTGGATCTGGGTCAACTTCAAGAGGCTGGTTATTCGACGCGACAAGAGGCCCAGGAAGCCTTCTATACTAAAGCCAAGGTTGGTCATTTTTCTCTCTCTCTCATGATACAGACTAACGGCGGATAGCTTCTCTACCAAGCTGAATACGAGCCCAACACCATCACCGTAGTCCAGGCACTTCTTTTCATGACATACAGACTTGAAACAGCAGATGGCGACGACAGCCGATACTGGTGCTCGATCGCGACCTCCACGGCCCAGTCCATAGGTCTCTTCCGAGACGTCGCGGGAGTGAAAAACGTTCGACTTAATCCGAAGTTCTGGAAACGACTAGCCTGGACCTGCTACACAACCGACTGCCAGATCGCACTCAGACTCCGATGTCGCCCAATAATTCACAGCTCAACCTTCTGCCATCAAATGCTGACGGAAGACGACTTTGAGCTCTATAATCTGTCTCCCGAAGCACTGGTCCAGTCTCTCGGGTACCCATTATCACACAGCATCAACGTCCAACAAGACCTCGCACTAATGTGCATCGCTAATGCGACGCTCTGTGTATCAATAAGTGAAGTCCTCGACCTGCAAGGCAAAAGTCGTACACATCAAGGTTCTTTCACATCCGCCTCGTCCCCAACAAACAGCGAAACAACCGATCACAATGCTCGAATCTCCGCCGTTGAACTCAAATTAGCAGAATGGGCAAGCACATTCCCATCATCCATTCAGACATATACCTTCGAAACAAACAACATTAACGATGAAAATACTCTATCATTACAACGAAACCTCCTTCACATGCAATTCTACACCACCATCGCCGTATTCTATCAATCACAGCCACTACCTTCCTCTACATTCTGCGTTCAATACGCCGCGCGGCAAATTACTCAGATCGCATCAGATCTATATCAAAAGAAACTTCATCGACGTGTACCGATCGTCGGCGTGACAGCAATTCTCGTTGCATTGATTATCCACATTCCCGGAACAAAGAAAGCAGACCCACAGGAAAGGGCACAGGCGTTTCAAAACTTTCAGCTTGGGTTGGAGGTCATGGCAGACCTGCAGGATGTCTACCAAGAAGCCAACCAGGTTATGACGTGGGCTTATAAAATTTTAGAGAATGTTGTTGAGGTTCCATTCTCTCAAACTGTGCAGGGTGTTCATAGTCCGCCGCAGGTTGCTTCTTGTTTGTCTATGAGCGTGCCACAGGTCATGTAACACTTGATCTAGCTCTCCGTACCATTAATTCACTTTGCATTCTTTAGTGTATAATAATATTTATTTCAGAGAATTCACCATACATTCTGACTCGAATGAAACGTTTGCTTGCATGTTCAGTCAAACCAAGCGGCCTTGGCCATATGCTCTTTGATAGCTAGAAAGCCAGATATGGTAGCATCGTCTAGAGTAAAATTACTGGAAGACACCATATGCTCTTAACACTCCGTGGACTTCAATTAAAGGCTACTTATCTTTTTCTTGATTTTGTATCAGGTGTGGTGAGACTCTGCTTGTCTATCACGATGACTTTGGCCGCCCCTTAGACCTCTTATGTGCCGCAGCCAACTCTTCAGCGAATGGTTTTTGACCATATGAAATCCGATCCTGAATCATAATCAGCAATTGTGCGATCGAGAAGACATCGTTCAGGAAGAGGTCCTTACAATCACCCATTGAGGGAAAAGCCAGAGACACCAACGAGCGAGTGTAGATCCACCCCCGATCCAATACTTTCCCTTCATCCCCTTTTCCACCTGACGTACAACACTGACGGAGTATGCCTCTGGAGATATACTCATGGGAATCTTCTCGGGTTGTCTTCTGATAATATCCGTAATACCCAGATAATACGAATTCGAGGGCAATTCCACACTAGGAAGATTCTTTAGGAAGTTCGTTGCGACTCCGCCTGTTATCAAAGTGATAACTCGCACACCAAGTGGTGCAAGCTCTAGACGCCAACCCTCGCCGGCCTGTATAAGAGCGGCCTTGGTCCCATTGTATATGCCTGTGAAAGATATTAGTTTTGCTCATGGCACATTCACAAATATCCACGTACTGCAAAATGGAATGGGAATACGCCCGCCCACGGATGAATTATTCACAATGCACCCCCTAGCTTCAATGAGCATGGGGCTGAACACTTGGATCATCTCAAGAACAGCAAAGAAGTTCGAGTCAAAAACCCTTCTCGCTTCGGAAATAGGAGTATCAAGGGCAGGTAATTCCAGCCCAAGACCGGCGTTGTTGATCAAAACGTCAAGTCTGCCTCCAGTCTCCCGTCTAACCCTCTCTGCGGCTGCAGCGATGGACTCGGAGGAGGTAACATCAAGTGCTAGAACGGTGACATTGGATGCCTCATGCAATGAGCTTGGCACCTTGGATGGTGAGCGTGCAGTTGCGTAGACATGGTAACCATTGTCTTTGAAAGCTTCTGCAAGGGATGCGCCAACTCCGCCGGTGGAGCAGCCTGTAATCAGGCAAGTTTTGCTTGTGTTCATTTGAATGTTTGATTGTTGCCAAATATGTTTGAGAGAATGAGAATCGTCGAAGGAGACTTCCGCTTGAGGGGGTATTTATAATCGAATAGGGCCGTTCATTTTGTCATAGAAATGTGCATACCAGCAGCGTTTACCTCCAAAGCCAAGTTTGATTGGTTGCGTTCTCCGGTGCTTGGTCGATAACCATTGGTCGGGAAATGCGGCGGGTGGAGACAGGTCCATAATTCCGCGAATCTACAGATCCACCAGGCTCTTGAGAAAGGTGAGTGATAGCATAAGAAGAATAGCTCTACTGGTGAATGAAATCATAAGCACTGATCCTACTGATCCAATAATCTCAGATTCAATTTTCACTGTAGAGCCCTCAGTCACCTGATTATAGTGTTTCGACGCACGTGACCTCACAAGTCTCTCTTTTAGACAACCATCTTGTTTCATCCACTGTGAGCAAAATAAAAAATTAACATTTGCGAAGTTTTCAGACCGGGGAAATCTATTCTCTCTGTCATTCTGTCTATGTACAGCTGATCACTACCTCATGATGGCCGACGAAGCAATATGCCACCATAACACTACAAAATGCCATTGAGAGGAAGACGATAGCCTCCTCGCAGTGTCTGACCCAAAAAACGGACACATTTCTATCTTCATGTCTATCAATAATTCTCTAACGAGAAAGAGCTGGAAAATCGCAAAATTTTTGACGTCTCCAAGCTTTAGATAGCTACAAGGTATTATTCAACGGGTTTCGTGATCTTACCCAGCCAATATTTTCAAGCGACTCACAAGCACGATCCGGCGAATTTCTCTAGAATCCTATCTGAGTACAGGGCCTTGGATGGAAAAGGTGTCACTGAGCAAAAGCTGAAAGATAGTGAGGTCTGTCAGAGAGAACTGTGTCTGCGCTTTAAAAATGATCCCGCTGAAAATTATAGTGAAGGAAAGCAAAATTTCTCATGATTCTCGATGATATGGTGATAAATTCTCATTTTACTGTTCTATTTTCTACTCATCGAGCTTCGAGCACCTAGAAGGGAGTTCAGTGAGAAGCTCAACCTTTGTTAGCGTCGAAATCGTTCCAAATCATATCCCCAGGCTGACCAATCAAATCCCGCCTCACGAAGCTCCATCTTACGGACTCCCGCCGTAAGCCTCACCCACCAACACGACCACACGCACAATGCGGCGAATGCATATCGGTCAATAATTATCGCAATTTAGATATCAAAAAGAGGAGTATCATCGACCATCAAGCGGTTATCGCCTGAGGCATTTGTTGATTGGCAAATGGACCGACTAACAGGGTAGCATGCCTGTCCGACGAGCCAAGTCTTGTATCAACTGCCGCAGGGCAAAGGCAAGATGTTCACTTTCCACACCCTGTTTGCGATGCGCGACTCGAACCCTGGCTTGTCAGTATGCGACAGCTCTACCTCCTCTTCGGGGCAGCTGGCCGAGGGGCCTCCGGCCTATCAGACCTGCCATAGACACCTCGGTGAATGGAGCTACGGTCCAGAATACTGTAAACGAGGTCTCTGACGCCAACTGCACGGCTCGGAATGCGGAATCTTTCTCTCTAGTAGAGGATGGCACGCGATTTACCGACATGAGCATGCACGAGGAAGCCGAGATATCTTCATTAACGGAAATTCGAAACGGAACTCCATCGGACATGACCAACTTCTCGGACTTCAATCAGCTCTTCGATGTCTCGGAGTCTTTGAACATGACCCCAGTCTCACACAGTTTTCAGACTGCACATTCTCACACATCCTCAGATATCATCTCCCCACGCCTATTGAGCCTTGACTTTTCTGCCATCTTCCCGGGTTTGGTAACGCCAAACTCTATGGATTTCAACCAAGGAATCAAAATGCTAGAGCCTCAATTATCGCAACGTTGGAGGTCCCTTCAGCAAGGATCCATGACAGCTAAAATGATCTTCAGTCGCATGAGTGATTACGGCCGTATGATGGCCGATGCTAAATCGCTCCCATCGTTTATTCATCCGCCGTGCTGTGTGGGCTCTGGCGAGGAGTGTTCCTCGGACGCAGCTCATGGATGCTTGTCTGAAGCTCTGGCAGTATGTTCCAACCTTGCGCAGATGTTTTATTCGGGGAGATCGGGGAGCCACGGCTTTTTGTGGAAGCAGATACGTACACATCTAGAGCAAATGCGAGCCGAGGTGAGCCTTAGGCCCTAAGGGAGCGGTACAATCTTGGAGCTGATGTCTATTAGTACGATGGCTATGATGAAGGCATGAAGCTACAAGCTCTACAGGCGGCTCTCGTATATGGGATGCTGTGCGCTCAATGCACAGAATCCGTGTCAATTGAGGATTCCACATGGGTGGTTGAAACCATCGAGGTACGTGCTGCCCAAATTTGAATTCTCATATTTGATCTAACTTTGTACATTTGTACAGACATTTGCGGAAGAGCTATACGATCTTGGCATATGGACGTTGGATACTGATCAGCCACACCCCTCACGCAGCCACTGGGTGTTTGTCGAGAGTCTGAGAAGGTAAGCATTGGCTGTTCAAACATGCACTGGTCGCGTCAATTGAACCCTGACCACTCATAATATGTGCAGGGTCGGCTGTCTTCTTTACCTAATCGACCTATTACTCCGTGTAGATACTCAGACCCCTTCCACAGGCGAGTGTCCCGAGTTCTTTGACATGCCGTTGCCTTGTTCTCGCGATTTGTGGCAACCAATATCCGATAGAGATTGGAGGAAGCGATTTCAAGAAGATGTAGAGACCAGGAAACAAAAAGGAAGACAAGGACTAACACTGGGGATGCTGCTATTAATCCGACAATCAGCAGCATGTGGTGAGGATATCACCAAATTAGCTAGAGATGGCTTGGCGGAAGAGTTGGCTGAATGGTGTGAGCGGGCAGATGATTTATCGATGCTCTTGTGGATGGCGCTGACTGTTGAGGGAGATGGGCAGTCTCAATTATATCAAGTAGGGACAAGCCCGACTCTGATGTGAAGTGCGATTGCCCCCCACGACCCAAACAATCTAAGGATCATCGCCATGCTGGGAGATAGGTAGCCACAGAGCTAAGGAGTCGGTCCTGATAGTTCTCTAGAAATATATTATCTGCATACCAATTGCATCTTCGGTGAGAGATTCCTGTAAACACCGACATCGGGAACGAGCAACCTCGGCAATGTGTCAGAACCCATGAGTCATGGCAGAATTCACTTTGCAAATAAACAGCAAGATCTATGCCACACGTCCTTCAACTTAGTTTCATCCCATTGATATTATTGCAGGTGATTTAAACTTAATCTTGAGTCATTGCAAAAGGTTTGGCTGTTCCGCTCACACTCTCAAGGTACACCCGCTGCCCCTCATCTCAAAGAACGTTCAAAGAACACCAATGAAGTAACTTCGGAAATTCCAGATGACCAACAATGATTCCTTCCGAGCTGAACTTCGCAGTACCAAGGTGCTTGAAGGCCCATTCCCAGATCTAGATTTCGACGCATTCCCAGAAACCCCGCACGATGCTTTCAAGCTGTGGTTCCATGAGGCAGTCACCGCAGGAGTGAAGGAACCGCATGCCATGACCCTCTCCACAGTCGACGAAAGTGGAAGCCCCGATGCCCGAGTGCTAATTTTGAAAAACATCGACGCCCGGGGCTGGCATTTTGCAGTGAAAGCCGACAGTCCGAAGGGAAAACAATTGCAAAAAGATGGACGTGCCGCTTTGACGTTCTACTGGCCGCAAGTTGCCCGACAGATTCGTCTGAAAGGAAAGGCTATGGCTTTGTCCGACGAGGAAAGTGCTCTTGACTACCAATCTCGTCCTCTGGCTTCCAGGATCAGCGCCGTGGCCTCGAACCAAAGCGAGGTTCTTTCAGGCCGGGATGCGTTAATTCGGAACCTTGCTGAAACAGAGGCAAAGATGGCGGAGAACCCACTCAGGGGCGTGGAGAAATGGAGAGTCTACGCTCTCTTGCCTGATGCTGTTGAGTTCTGGCAAGGAAGCGATACTCGTCTTCATCAGCGTCTTCAGTATGTGTACAAGGCGGATGAGGATAAGTGGCACAGGAACTTGCTTTGGCCTTGAAGCGGGCTACCAAGCATCGCGGGCTCAGCTAAAGGGCTCCCAAAGAATAACCCAAAGCCCAAACCGCCCTCCGAAATATACAATAGGTTTTAGTACAAAGATAGTATCCAATTAAACGGAAAATTTGTGTCTCCTATAAAAAAAAAATCGTCTTTAGAAACTAAGCGTATTCGTCTCGCCTCAGATCCTTAGGTTCAAGGCGGGTCCACTACCATTTTCTTAATCCAATGAGGAAATCGGGCTACTAAAGCTAGTCAGTGCACACTTGACAGCTGGATTGCTATATTTGTACCTTTGATGAAAGAATATCGGTTATTATGCCCAAAATAAATTTCTTCTGAAGTCTATTTGGAGCTCAGATATGATCAAAGACCAGGATCGACCACAAAGTTTGAACATATTTTCTTTCATCGCAGATGGCTGTCCTTTGTGCCAGGTCTCGAGTTCGCATCTTCCAAACATGAAATTCCTATCCGTCTATTACCCGGCTTGCCTCGCTTTTCTTTTCTTTTCTTTATTATACGTGTCCCAAACCTTGAGGTCCAATTTATAAATTCCCATTGCTTGCTCGAGAGAATTTCCAGTTTCTTCAGGAATCCTCATCTATATCCAATTGGTATCTTACCAGCAATCTGAAAATGGTTAAGAAGAGACGTGCCTCATCGCCAGCCACTGGCAAAAAAGACCTCAAGAAACCACTGGTCAAATGGCCTCAGCCAATTGGAACGGTTGATGATGCTGAAGTTGAGTATGGAGAGGATATCTTCAAGTCTTTGGATCTTGATACATCCTATGTGGGAAAGATTCGCGTGCCTGACCGACCACGTCCCGCCCGACAGGAGTGGGAGTATATCGAAGAGGATATTGCAGCTGGGAAGCTTCCGGCTGGTTGGAACTATGAGGAACCCGATCTTGACAAGCAGTACGTATTGATTCTGCATTGCAATACAGATAACTTCATTTCTTCTTTGGTCACTAATGCTTATTTCAGTGATATCGATGCACAAATAGAGAGGTGTCATGAAAGACTCGAAGAGAATATAATGCCCCATATCTTCAAAGATAAGCTTGCAGAGTATGAGAAGCGGAAAGCGACAAAGCAGTACGTACAGCTCAAGTTCATCCGAGATGATGTTTATTGATATGGTATTGACATAGGCTTAGGGAAATGATGAAAAAGAATCCTGGCCTTGATTGGATGGTAGTCCAACGCATAGAGACCTTACAAGAGATAGACAGCTGGCTCAAGGAGGACGGAGACAAGTATAGCTTGCGTGAGAGTGTGAAGGCCGTCACAGAGGCGTACAAGGCCAAGAAACTGGAATGGACCCCGGGTCTGGTAACCTACTGGTCCAGAGGAATCCAGGTTAGTGAGCCTAGACCTTGGGACATTCAAGAGAATGCAGCAATTGCGGCTCGCTTTGGGGGCAATACGGGCTTCTGGGTTGAAGAGGTATGTCATCAATATCAAACACAAGGCTTATTGTACTGACTATACCAGTGTCAAGCCGAATCAGAGCAAGTCTTACTGGGTCACACGTGGATTGGAGAGCAACAAATGAATCCGTCGACAAATCATATCTCGGTAAGTTGAAAATGGATGATAAAGACGAAAACTGACCTTTCTAGCACAATCTACAAATTCGCATCTTTGAAGAAGATAACAACGATCAACCTGGATCGGTCAGCATCGATCTTAATGTCATTGACGATACTGGAAGTGATTTTATGTGCATTTATGAATCAGACTACAACGACTTGCTTATGCTCTGTGATGCAGCCGGTCTCGACTGTGCAGCTCCATTGTCCGGCGTGGTGTATGTGAAACAGTTCGATGGCAACCGAGCCCGTTGTATCACAAGAATTCTCTGGGTGAACATCAAGTTGCCAGATTCAGATGAAGATCTAGGATGTTGGACAATGGTTCGCTGTGTTATGTGGAGTCACTCTCGACTCGCTGTACATGCCCCCCCAAGAATCAACGGGCCATGGCTGAGGTCAATTCTTTATTCTGCATCTTTCCCGAATGGCGGTGGCAATTTAGGACACAATGTCTCTTTTTATCAACAGAAGTCCTGGTACAATACGAATATCCCAGTCGTGCGTGATGGTATTGGGGATCGCCCTGTCCCGCGTGTTATTCAGTATACTGTCTAGAAATCTGGCTTCTCCAGCCTTCGGAGGCAGGGGTGGAGACGGCTGGCGAATTTTGATATAAGATGGTATTGATCTAGGCGCTTGCGTTTTGCGTTTTACAGATTTCGTCAACGTGGACGAAATGCTTCGCTGTAGGTATGGAATGTTAGTTTTATCTCGAATTTTGAATTTTGAATTTTGAATTTTGAATTTTGAATTTTGAATTTTGAATTTTGAATTTTGAATTTTGAATTTTGAATTTTGAATTTCTTTGCGAAAGTCTAGCGATGGCTATAGTATCAACATCGGACTCAGTCGCTATTACGCCCGAGCATTCTAGGAGACCGACATTGGCAATCCACAAAGTAGGTTAAGCTCTGCTCTGAGTTTGATATGTACATGTCACTTGACGTGTTACCAGCCCTTCGCCTAGAACCTGTAGACCTTGTCTTACTACACAAAGCCCAATGTGGCTCACAAGCCTTGATGAAATCTGAAGGTTACAGTCACAGCGCGACAAAAGGATATCTGCGTGTACTTGTGAAGTATTTCTGTCAGAGGTATGTGCTACAGTGGTACAAAAGGACGTTCGCTCAGTATCCACGGGGGTGTCATTTTTACGCTCTATAGGCCAGCCGGCTAGATGGGCAACGGTGGTGTACCACCACATCATATAAACGTATTGGGTATTCCGTGACGGACGGATCGCACTGTAAAGAGATTGACGCAGCAATACACCAACGGCGCAATGTCAAACCCAAGGTTGTGCCGAAAGCAACAAGGCCAGTTCCCCAATTCATGTCATACCCATCCGCGGATGAGTGCCGCCAGTCATTTATATTTAGTTTTCCTCGGCAAGGCAGACCATCACTTCTACAACTACACAATCACTCTGAATTTTCAAGAACGCCAGCTACTATGAAGCTGTTAACACCTCAGATGTTATACCTTGGGGCTGCCATGCTACCATTGGCAGCTACTGCCCCGGACTCCACGGTGGTTGCGATATCCAACAGACTGGCCTCTGCACACTTCGACAATTCTGAGCTTGCGAAGGTGGAGAGATATATCGACGTTCTTGCACGTCAAGCTGAAGGTTCCGTTATTTGCACCTTAGAATCCTTCCATCTGGGACAGGATTGCCGTGAGATATTCCCTGCCTTTCATTCAACCCTTTTTTAATGATATCAAGCAGATGGATCTACCTGTGTTTTGGCCCCCGATGAGTTGCATTTTGTGTGTCCTTAGTTTAGGTTCCATTGGAGTAAAACTGGGCAAATTCACTGTATTTACCTTGGCAAACAGTTCTGAATACACTCTTGCCTTTGCGCTTCATTTCCAGGTGTTACTCTCGAATAAATATCCATTTAGATACAGGGAATTCGCTTGAAATCATAGGTTTATTAGAGTAGAAGAATGAAACAAAAGTACACATCTAGTCAAACTTCAGCAATCTGTCTCATGCCCAGATGTACGCACGATGTGTCGAGGTGGCGCCTCGGACAATTTTCATTTTCACCACCAAAGTAGTTTCAAGTGTCAGTGCTGCGGGAAGCCTAGGGTACCGGTGATGAGAGAATTCACCGAGGAAAACATAACATGGAAGGCTAAATCTAAGTCTTGGAATTCCCTCCGGTTCAACTCAATTCTCTGACATTTTGTAACTGCAACACACTCAATATTCCAGACTCATTTTTTACTGTCTCGGGTTCAACAGAGCATTTCCCAATGGCAGGCACCCAGAAGTCAAGCCAGGGGCATCCTTTTCTTCATGTGAAGTGAAACTGGATGTCTATATAAGGCCAACAATGTCCCCGCACTTCATGCAGATATCCAGGAAGCAAGAAAGCATCACATTCACGAATTCCAAACAGCAATATCCAAGGTTCACCTTGATCAACCGTCACCATGAAGGCCCAGACCGTCATCGCCACTTTGTTCTCCGTCTGCGTTGCTGCCTCCGCAGTTCCAGCCAGCAGCGGCTACAAGACCGTTGAGTTGAGCGGAAGCCAGCTCAAGAGCGCGCTTGCCAAGTACAATAAGGGTGGCAGCCTCGATGTCAATCAGGTCATCAACTGCACCGTCTCGTACACCCTTGCTCTGAGTATGACCTCCCGTTCTAACCAGAGCCTTGAAACTTGCTTATTCTATTTTAGGCAGCGGTGGACCCCCATACACCATTGACCTCTCCAGCCTGGATCTGACCAACTGCACCTATACCTAGTCTAGGTCAGCGATGGTCAATCGTCAGTCTATATAAGCACTGCCAGTTGTTGAGGGGGCATAGTGGTTGCCGTTGAGATACTACATGGCTTGGCAAAGGGAGATGTATTGTTAAGCGAGCAAACAACTGGTTACAAGACATCCATACGCCTACGTAGAGCTGTAACGAAATGTAGTTTCATTGTAGATGAGACTGGACTGTACCTAGTAATATGGCTCAATCCAACCCTTCAATACCTTTGGCAATACTATCTTTGATAGGTGAAAAATCAGGCTGCCCAAAGAAGCCGCGAAGTAAGATCTGCGCTCTTGTCCGTGGTAAAATGTCCGTTCGATCTCGTATCTCATCCTTAGGTGGGTCCGGGATCTTTTTGTTATTCGGTCGTAGTTCGCGCAAAATTGGTACTACATCATTCCAATTCATTTGTTCCCCAAATGCAAAGATACGCTGTGACTTGACGCCCTCATCTAGAAGGCCAATGGCACAGAGCTTAGCGACATCCTCGACGTCGACGAACCACTCTGTATAAAAGTTAGTCACTTGAATAACAAGGTCAACTGTCGTATGATAGGTGTGCTTCCACGCAGAAAGCAACCAGAAAACGCACGTTCTGGCAATGAAAATGCCTTGGTATCTCCCGCGAGTAGCGTGCGTAGAATACCCATAGAGGATCCAGATATCTCCGGGTGAAGAATTTTTCCAACCTGCTTCTATCAGCCTGGCGTTGGACTATGATGTACACTCCAACCTACCGTTATACATGGCAGGATTGTGTTGAAGTCAAATGATCGCTTCTCGCTCTCCATCCACTTCCAAGCCTCCTGCTCTGCTTTGATTTTTGATGTGGCGTATATCGCCATTCTCCTATTGGGGTCTGGAACAGATTCATCCCACGCATCTTTCGGAGCCCTATGATTCCAGTCGTCTCAAATCACATTTAGTCGGTGTCTGAAGTTCCTCACAAGCTTCCAAGCTCACCTTGGTGAAATTCCCGGCCTCGTGGGTCCGGGTACATGTTCTCGGTTGTGGTAGAGGAAGACACCAGAACAACACGTTTGATGCTTACTGTTCTAGCAGCAGCCTCCAGCAAATTCTGGATTGCCCGGATAACCCATGGGATAACGGCCTCGGGGTCATTTGAAAAGCTCACATCGCTCGCCTGAACCAAGTTACTTATGTTATTTAGTCCCTCACCTTGTTGTGAGAGATATAGCGACAGGTTTTCGATGGCTTACCAGATGAATAATTCCATCAACTCCATGCAGGTGATTTTGGATCTTACTTTGATCGTCGAACGAGGCAAGCTCAACAGTGTCAAAGACATCTGCGCCATACTTCTCCTCGAAGTATTTATTCAGCCATGGCTTTTGTGTTCGGACCGTTCCTCGCACCAGATATCCTAGCCTCAGCAGGGTGTCGACCACATGCGAAGCGATGTACCCATTTGCTCCAGTGACAAGTACTCTTGAGCCCGGCGGTAGTGAGGATGCTCCGTTCTCCATCTTAGTTTGTCTGAAGACTTATTAGTAAGCAGCACGGTAGAAGCCGAGTGCTGCTATAACATACCAGAATATCAACCGGGATCAGGATTGTCGTTGCTTGATTTGCTTAGCTTTCTTTTAGTCACTTAGCCTGATTATCTGATGGTACTGATTTGTGTGGAGTGCGGGGTTCAAAGTCTCGGTGGCTTCATCTTGTATGATGTCACCGTACTTCCATGCGGTCAACCGCAAGGGGTTGGTCACGCGCTGAGTCTACCGAATTGCGTTGCACCTGGACATTCAAACCAGTGAGCCGTATCAATACTACGTACCGCTCAACAAGTTTCAAGAAATTTGGGCAGAAGATGTGGAATTTGGAAGACGTAGGTAAAAAATATATCCATTAAAGTATCTATGCACGTCACACTGTTTAATCGCTGTCAAATTGAGCGCAAAGATTCCATGGAAAGGACCAAAACTTTCTAAAAATTTCGCATGTTCGAACCTTCGATGGAAGACTACCTTTAATCAATAGTTCCTTCCGGCAAAACGGAAATGTAATCCAAGGGGGCAAACTCCGTACCATCGGGTTGCCCGACAATCTTGAGGATATCGCCCGTCATCACCGGAACTCCAGGGAAAGTAACTCTTGTAGCCGAATGTCCATCCAAATACTCCGAGAAATCATGACCAAGTTTATCCTCTAAATCTCCAGACCAGGACCCAATCAGCTGCGTATTGAGGAAAGCCTCATACTTTGATCGCCCACCGAGGTGATCGTAGTAATTGACCGCGATATCATAAGTTCCCGGCGGAAAGTCGAGCTTTGTTTCTGCGGTACCGCGCGACTCAGTGATGATGGCCTTTCCTCCCGATGCCGCTTCAGCAGGGGTAACGGGTACGACCTTGTACCCCGACAATTTCATGTTCTGCGCTTCAATACGCCAAAGGTGGTTCCCGACGCGATTCTTCTCATCGGCAATATGACACTTGTTGAAATAGAAGTAGTTCACCGAGTCTCGCCACACAATAGCGTGACCGGCCTGGTATTTCAGTTTGAATGCGACGTGCTCAAATCGGTGATCATCGATCAAACCCTTCAGCTTCGCCCACTCCATCGGGAAGGTCTGAGCATGCTCGGCACCTTCATAGTGCGCATCATAGAAATGTTGAATAACCGTCTTTCCAGATTTGAGACGATGAGTATAGGGGACATGATGAAACCAAAGAAGCAAGTTATCAGGCGTGGTCTCGATATTCTCAAAAACCGCAGCGACTTCTGCGGGATACTGAGCAGTATTTCCCGAGCCCGTAGCGAGAGTTCGATCCATGCCAATAGAATGACTATTTGCGCGAGTCCATTGACCCCATCCGTTCCCATCCTGAGAACCGGGACTGGGGCCGTAATGCGTGTAGATAATATCGCAGAGTGTCTGAATACCAAGGTTTCCACTGTAATTCTCATATGTAGGCCAGGACTCCATGGAGATCTTGGTCACAGTGTCCACGACCGTTTGATCCAAGCTAAAGGTGAGACGGGTCCAGTCTTGAATAATAGATGTCGGATCAGAACATGGGTCCCAAGTCATCCGACCGTAGGCGTATAGGTTGGATAGGGAGAGGTGATGACCAATCCATGTATCATCGCTACCAATGTTGAGGACGGTGGTATATCCGCTGCGACTCCAGCCTAGACGCTCACCGGAGACGATATCCCGAATTGGGGATGGCTTCCCATCGATTCGCATATCAAAGTCCAGAATCTCCTTCCACAGCGGAGCCATATAGACGAAATGGGATTGTTGTCCGAGATACTCCTGAGCAACTTGGAACTCGATGACAGCCTTGGTTTTCCGTAGGTTGGCTAGTAACGGTGATGGTGGCTCTCGGACTTGGAAATCAATGGGACCCCATTTAATCTGGACAATGACGTTGTCCTCGAACTCTTCGTCCAAGTGCTTGAAGTATTCCACCGCGGCATTCGCTCGGTCATTCTTCCACTCTGATTCCTCCAAGTGGTGATTATAAACAAAGGCCCGGTACATGACAACGGCATCACCGTATGGCTTCAGTGCCCTGGCAAACATGTTTGCTCCATCGGCCAATGTGCGGTTATAAGTGAGGGGTCCCGGTTGGCCTTCTGAGTTCGCTTTAATGGTATACCCAATCATATCAGGCACTCTTTCATAAATCTTCGCCGTAATGTCCTTCCACCAGTCATTGACGGCAGGATCGAGTGGGTCGGAGGTAGGTAGACCACCGAACTCTCTAGGCGAGTCGAAGTAAAGAGAGATTCCGATACGCACACCCCAAGGACGCATAGTATCTGCTATGCGACGAAGGCCGTTCAAATTTGTTTCATTGAAGAGCCTGGGGTTTGCGTTGACGTTGTTGACGACCACGGCATTCAACCGGATGGAGGAAAGGAGACGAGCAAACTGGGCGATGCGCGTCATATCCTTGACAACCTCACCATCCCGGAAGAAGATTGATGGACCTGCATATCCTCGCTCGATACTTCCATCTAGGTTGTCCCACTGGTTGACCCATCGTATCGGTGCGCTGGGATTGTGGGCTCCCGTTAAGGGTGCGAAATTTCCTTGTGCCAGGCGCATCAGGTATTCGAAGGCACCATAAAGAGCGCCGCGATCATTCTGACCAAGAATTTGAACACAATTGTTTTCGGCCTGGGTGTTGAGCCAGAATCCATCTTCTTTGAGCGATATGATTTCCCCGCCTCCATTGGCTGCGAATGCCCCGGTAGTGCCAACAATAACAGAGCCCGGGAGATTATCGCTCGGATCAAAGGAGATGCTGACCTCTTGACCAAGGATTCTCTTGAGTCCCTGTTGTAGCTCCTTTCCAGCTGTGTAGACTGGACTTGTTTCAGATTCGTCCAAGACAACGACCTTTGAGTATTGGCGATGTGTCGCTTTGATTTCCGCTGGCAAGGCAGCATACCTAAGCCAGCCATCGATTCCAGTCTCTGTAGACATAGTGAAGTAATCGAAAGACTGGTAAATTGAAGAACATGTTCTACCCCTCAGGCGGGGTAGAAACGCGACTTTTATCGTACCCTGGTCACCATGAGCCGGCGAGATGAGCGATTTATCCACTGCAGGCTAAATTCCAGGGGCTTACATAGCTTAGGCAATAACAAAGAATAAATGTTGGGTCATGAGTTAAGGCAACCGAAGTCGTGGGGGTAGAGTCCTTAGCCCGTTCGTGGCTTGATACTAGTCAATCATAGTCAGGATGCGGGCTTCTGGGTGACCTCGGCAATTCTTTAATCTTAGGTGCCCCTTTAGTATCGCTAGCACGAGATTGTTGACGAGAAAGGGCCTCATTAGCCCTATGTGTCGAGTTAAACAATAATCTTTGACCGATAAACGCTCATAGTGACGGAAAGAATATTTAGATCAGCTTACATCTCAGATCAAGATGATATACAAGAAATAAAGTATTCTAATCTTCTTATGGAAGGCAGATGTTCCAGAAACCGACCAGACCATCCGTTTAGGACTTGATGAAAACGGCAAGAGGTATATTGCCATCTTATTCATCATGTATACTATTGAATGAGACGTTGAAAGACAATGAAAGCTGGGCTACTGGAAAATCCAAGATTTGTCAAACAATCCTGCCGGATGTCACCCGAGGCCCCGCGGCCAGAGGCTATAGATTCATTGCAACTAAGCTTCATATTATCCCTGCTTGGTAATAACCTCTGCAGCATCCTCATCAATCTGCGCATCTCTGAACTCCCATGCCTTCAAATCTCTAGAAAACAGGATATCAAGCTCCTCATATGTGCGTCCACGGGATTCAGGGAGTCGGAAATACGCCCAGACAAGAATGAAGATAGTGAATCCAGCAGCCAAAAATGCAGTCTTTCCCTTCCAGTCACCTGCCGTGGGATTGAGCGTATAAGGAGCAACAGTTGAGCTGAACACATTGGCGACATTGTAGGCATTACGCGCAAGGGAAATACTCTTCGATCGGAGGCGAGTAGAAGAAATTTCTCCAACAATAATAAATGCGATCGGACCAATGGTCAGTTCGTAGAAAACGTACCAAAGAAGGTACATTGCGGACTCTCCATAGCCGAGGCCTGTGGTTTGTTTCACACAAGACATGATACCGATGAGAAGCATGGACATGCACATCCCACTGTATCCGAAGAATAGAACAGGGCGACGACCGAAGTTACCGGTAATGAAAACCGAGAGTAACGTGCATAAGAAGTGAAGACCAGACTGGCCAACGGACATTTTGTATGCATCAGAGGTGGACAGGCCAGCCTGCTCATAAAAGTAAGTGGCGTAAGAGGTGATGGCAAAACCGCAGAGGACTTGAGAGGTCCAGACAATGCAGCCAATCTCGGTGCGCCACGCATTAGAGCCACGGAAGCAATCAATGAACGATGCACCCTCGGTCATCACCTTTTCCAGCTCTGTAGTCTGAAGCATGAGTGCGACGGATTTCTTGGCATAGTCGGGGTCTGGTGAAGAGGTGAGACGCTTCATCGACTTCTCTGCTTCCTGGATGCGACCCTTGCGAACTAGCCACCATGGAGACTCAGGGGCGAAGACGAGCACCGGAACGATGATGACTGGCCAGACCCACTGCACAGCAAGTGGTATCCGCCAGGCCCACTGTCCAGTACGTTTATCAAGACTGTCTAGGATACCGGTGGCGACGAATTGTCCGATACCCCAGCAGAGAACGACGTAGGTCTCGAGGTAGGATCGTAGTACGACGGGTGCAACTTCAGAGGCATATGCCGGGGCCAACGTGGTAAACACACCCCAGGCAAGACCGCAAAGAAGCTCTCCCACAAAGAGGACCTCGACTCGCGTTGCGAAGAAGGGCATGAAGAGAACGGCCACCAGGAAGCCCAACGTCCCGAGACAAGTCTTCTTATGGCCCCAGCGCTCAGTCAGGAATGCATTGATGTAGATACCGACTATGTTTCCCAATGGACTCGCGAGGCCGAGCGCAGTTTGCCATTTGGGTTCCAGCTGATAGGATCCCGCCTTGCTGGTCTCATGGCCGAACTTCTGCTGGAAGGCCGGGAAACCGAAGAGTGAGCCGATGAGAGCGGTATCGTATCCATCCAGAATGACAACGAGAGATACAACCATCGTCCACATGCATGCTTTCGGGTACAACTTGACAGCCTGAACGAAGGTCAAGCTGTGCTCTTGAATCGTCGCATTCCGAGCATCCTCAGCCAGACCCACCCAGCCTTGCAGCTCGTGGTCGTGGGCCATCTCATCGTGGGTAATGTGGGGAGCATCATCAGGCTTCACTTGCGTAGACATGATGACAGTTGACTAAGGACATGAACTGGGCAAAATTCTGGGCAATTGCTTGTTATTAAACGGTTCAAATGGCACGCCGCCACCAAATCTTGAGAGGAATGCTCCCCACCTGACTGGCTGAAGCATCCTTCGCATTTTGCCGGATAGCATAATATCAAAAATTGACATATCAGGCCATGTGATTAACCGCAGGGATTATAGGCTCGATTGTAGGGGTTGGATATGCCGGGATGTGAACGATACTGATTCGTGGTTGGGGATTAGTACGCGTGGCGTCAGCCACCACTAACAAGAGGGGGTCTCAAAGAGTTCAGAATTGCTTTGATGTCGGAGGTGTTGCCGTTTTCCCGTGGGCACATAGACATGTGTTTTTTATATGACTACACGATGTTCATCTCAGGGCTGGTTTGATACAGTGCCTTGTGGATGAGCAAGTGCCCGCGAGGCATAGATATCGCATCAGGCTACACAGTTGGCTGAACTCACACGGCAGAACTTCGGCGACCTCGACAATGCTCCGTTGTTTACTCTGGGGTAAAAAGTGGGTTCTGTGGGGGGCTGCCCGCTAGCGTTGGCTATCGCCATTTCGCCGATTGTTTCCCAGGCAGAATGGAGAACAAATCTTGGGAAACATTGGAAGCGAAATGCTTGAGATCTTGGCCAAAACCCAAATCCCCCGTCTTACCCCGCGTGTCCCCACGCTTTCCCCAGATTGACTGCGCACTAACCACAAACAATGAGGCCTGCAGCTCTGGGCAACCAGCTTATGCGAATTTAGCCAGCAGACGAGTTTAGCCAGAATCCAATCATTGGACGTTCAAGGACATTCAGGGATGCAACTAGTGGAAAAATGCCTTCCCCAAGGAAAGTGGGCTTTTGTTTACCCGGAAATGTAATCTGGGGTAATAGCCTATGTTCATTTATCCATCCAGCTTTCGTGCCCAGAATGAAGTTGATTGTCTTTCGCAAGACGGATTGACTAATTTAAGCAACTCATTTCTGTCAATTGATACTATTATTCAATTGCCTGGTGTGAATTCGCTCTAAAAACTCAAAATGAAGCTCTCCATCATTGACCAGATCTTCCTTCTGGGCACATTGCTCTCCGTCACAGCAAGCCCAACTTCCTCCCACGTCTCCGTATCGGTCAATCCCAAGACCCAATTCCAAGAGATAGACGGTTTCGGGGCATCGCAAGCCTTTCAGCGCGCCGAGGATATCTTCAGCAAGTATGGCTTACCCAAGGTCAATCAAACCCTTGTTCTGAAACTCCTCTACGACGAAAAAGTTGGTGCGGGGTTCACAATCCTGCGAAATGGAATTGGTTCCAGCAACACCTCCACAAGCAATCTCATGAACTCCATCGAGCCTACCAGTCCTGGTAGCCCAAGTGCAAAGCCCGATTACGTTTGGGACAGTTACAACAGTGGACAATTTCCACTGGCGCAACAGGCCTACTCTCGGGGTCTGCAGACACTGTACGCAAATGCTTGGTCGGCGCCCGGGTACATGAAAACAAACGATGACGAGAATAATGGTGGATACCTCTGCGGTGTAACAAACGAACACTGTTCGACTGGAAACTGGATGCAGGCGTATGCGAACTATCTTGTTCAATACGTACGATTCTACAAGGAGTCTGGCGTTGATGTGACACACCTGGGCTTTTTGAATGAGCCGCAATTCGCAGCTAGCTATGCTGGTATGCTCTCAAACGGTACTCAGGCTGCGGACTTCATCCGCGTTCTGGCCAAAACGATCAAAGCATCCAAACTCGACGTGGAGATTACCTGCTGCGATGGTATCGGGTGGGATGATCAGGAAGCTATGATGGCTGGTCTCGAAGCTGGTCCGGATCCAGCGATTAACTACCTCGGCATCGTCACTGGTCACGGATATGACTCTGCACCTACCTACCCGCTCAGCACCAAGAAGAAGACCTGGCTTACCGAGTGGGCCGATCTCACCGGTGACTTCACCCCGTACACATTCTACGAGAACGGTGGACCAGGTGAAGGGTTGACATGGGCAAACCACATCCAAGTCGCCCTGAGAGATGCAGAGACAAGCGCATTTCTGTACTGGATCGGAGCGGAGAACTCAACCACCAACAGCGGGCTTATCAATCTCATTGATACCGAGGTTGTCCCTTCGAAGCGCTTCTGGGCCTTTGCGCAGTTCAGCAGATTTGTGCGACCTGGTTCTCGTCGGATTGAAGCGACTAGTTCCAGCACCAATGTCACGGTTAGCTCGTTCAAGAACAAGAGTGGGAAGATTGCCACGCAGTTACTAAATCAGCTCGATGTGGAGGTCGACATTAGTGTGCACATCTCTGGGCTCAAGGCTGGGGTTACTGTGACGCCTTATATTACAAACAATGACTATGACTTGGAGGCATTGAATCATATTAAGGCCGGCAGCGGTGGGTCATTCAAGACTCAGATACCTGCCAAGTCGATGATCACCTTTGTTACTGGTTAGGCAATGATCGAAGCCTTGGTGACATGTATATAAACATCAGACCGGAGTACATACTGTACCAGAGAAACTGAGTCGAAGTAGACCCAAAGTGGCATTCAAGGCTCATATTCAGTACAGTTATATCCTAGACCCAGTTTCCGAAGTCAGTGGTGAAAATACCCAGGGGAAATGCGTCAGCCAAGGCATGAAAGGCCTCCAAGTTCGGGTGCAATCGATCCCCTGAATCAAACCTCTTCGCCAAAGCAGAAACATGATGCTCGTCTCTTAAGACTCGATCAAAATCAATCACTCGATCAAAAGTCCCGCTATTTCGAATCCAGTCATTAACTCGTTGTCTTGTTTTCTCTCTTTCCGGATGCGAATAACTAGTAACACCCGCTTCCTCTGGATCAACAATCACCTCGTCCTCCCTTCGTCCAAATGGCGTGATTGTCGCAGCAAAGATCCGAATTCCACAAGCATGCACTCTAGTAGCGATCTGTTTGTATCCAGCGATCAACCGATCACCGATGATTTTCTGACTTTCTTCATCAGCATTTGCAGTGCCTATATCGTTCACCCCTTCGAAGATGAGGACTTGGCGCACTCCTCGGAGGGAGAGAATATCTCTATCCAGACGACTGAGCACGTTCGGTCCGATTCCGTCGGTTAGGATCCTATTTCCACCTGCTGCTTGGCTAATTATTGAGGTTGAGGATGTTGAATGGTAGGATTGAAAGCGAGAGAAGAGAAGGTTTGGCCATCTTATTCGGCATGTCAACCTGGGGTGTTCTGAAAAGTCAGGGACAGCGCACGTACCGATCGTTTCCATTTGTTGTGCTGCACCGGCCATCAGTTATGCTATCTCCAATGATCGCAAATGTACCCGTGTCCCGAGGTGCAAGTATTTCGATTCCAGAGATATAATACCTAGTTTGAACCATATGATTAGACACGGAAATACCAGGTAGGTATCGGAAATAGCTTACCAGTGCTCAATCTCTTCAACCGAGTATTCTGTAAAATCGGAATCTGCAACCCGATTCCCCAGAACACAGAAGGAACTCGTTCGACTCCCGGGATGACAGGTGATTCCCGTCTCACCGTTTTGTCCCGACTCAAGAAACATGCTGATCGTTAGGACGATTCCCGCGGGTAAAGGACCCAGGTCCACAGCATCCGAAACGGCCAGTGCACCGCCTGAGATCGTCGTTGCCGATTCACCATTAAAGGTCACTCTTTTCAGTGTGGGCAACTCAATAGCATGGCCTCCAGAAACACCACTTTTTGCCAGTGCGACGGTAGTTTCTGCTATTGTCAGATCATCGGTGCCAAAGGCATTAGAGAAGCGGAAGCGGAAGTATCGCGCTAGACCGAGGGTTGTCTTGACGGTTTGGCGGATTGTGGTGTCACGGAAAATCAAATTCTTTTGGTTCTGGAGATACGATCAATTTCGATACGACATTATTGTGTCAGCTGGTTGAATACAAATGGCTTGGGTGGGAGCTTCTCTGGCTCTGCAAGCAAGGGCATTGCAGTCCACGTGTGAATCCAGTGCTGTTTCGCAGCCATCTTGGTGGGAAACCAGTTCGCGGGGTGGGTTTACGAGATGTGAGTTTTACGAGCTGCGCAGGCCTTGCAATTATATTTAGCATTTTGCCGTTATTGGGTAGTGCGACCGGATAAATACGAAGCCACCAATGCCCCCAGAGATGTGCGGAATAGATGTACCTATTCAGCGGATTTTAGGCCGTGCTCAATCGACTTCCCCTTCTGGGTTAGTGCTCACTAAGCTTCCCCAAACCTATAGGCCAAGAGGGAACCGATAGGTCAAGGGGATTGAAACCTAGCACTGCTCACCACTCCCCGGCCTTTGTGTCGCGCTCTTCTGGACAGCCCGCCTGGGGCCATGGAATCAAATTGAAAACACGCGGTTGTACAATATCTAGAGGTGGTCGCAGATCATTGCCCGGACAAATGACGGTGCGTTATGGCAATCTAGGGAAGAATAAGAGAAATATGGTTGACAAAAGCTCAGATCATTAGATTCGTAAGTCTATCCGCCACCCCACAGCGCCGTGTATAGTTTATCATATAACATTCGTCTTGATTTGCATGCTAGCCAACAGCAAACCCCCATTGATGACTGCCAATAGTAGAAACAAAGGTGCTGGAGAAACTCCTACAGTCATACTATAGGTGGCATTCAACAGAGCAGGCATAATTACCCGTGCGATGGCATGCAAGAAACTCAGAATGCCTAGTAATTGCCCTGATTGGTGACTAGGCACATGGGCTGTAAGGCAAGACATTAAGAGAGGGCCCAAGGGGGCAGCCGATGCGACAACCAGCGAGAAGAGGATGAAAAACCCGGGCTGACGGGCAAGAGAGATACCGATGTAGCCTAGACACTGCAGCAATAAACCTGCTTTGATAGCGCCTACCTCGCCATAGTTGAATATGGTGGGGAGCGTAGTCGAATGACTGCTTGACCTTGCATACCGGCGTACAGCGGCCATGATCGCTGGAAAGATAATTACCAGTACCACGATGCTCCATGACTGGAAGAGTGCCATGACAAAACTTTGCACGGTCGGCTTCCATTGGAACAGGAATGCTGGGTACGCTAGCTGCAGTGAGGGGAGGCCAAAAATGACTCCAAACATGACCATGTCTGCTATAGCCATAATAAACATATTCATTTGGCGCGTTGCGCTCGACGCCCGAATATCTCGCAAGGAAAGTAACACCGTACGGAGGTGGTTTATTTTCGGACGCCGGACTGCACTTGAAGCTTCCTGTTCGGCAAGATTTGGAGATTGCGGCAGGCGCGATTCAGGCAGTACACAGAAAAAGAGCAGAAAGAGAACCGAATGGGCGCAGACAGCGAACGTATATGTGCGTTGAAGTGGATTGGAGGTCGCCAGGAGCACACCGGCAATGATCGGTCCCACGGCCAGAGCAAATGAATTGCCTGCTTGCATGTAGCTGAAGAGCCTCGCCCGGTCGCTACGGGGCGCTACGTCGGTAATGTAGGCCTGCGATGTGGACATGGCGGTAATGATCGTCCCACTAAACCCTTCCATCGCGTACCCTACGAGAAGCCAGTGCATATCCACCGAGTCGGGATAACGTAGAATGAATAATAGAAGCGCCTCATAAAACAGCGGCCCAAGGGCAGTGCAGGCGAGAATGGGCCGGCGCCCGATCCGATCCGACAACGAGCTCAAGACTGGAGTCGCAATAGCACCCAGAAGACCGGCTGTTATTTGTCCAAAGATCAGAAATCGGGATAAAGATGATTGCGCATCCTTATTTCCAAGGCACTGGTTAAGCTCCTCAAATAAATCAGGCGGTTGGTAGTCTGGATGGCTGGGGGAAAGCGTTGTGGTGGGATATTGTTGGTGGCAGATCAACGCGAGCGTGGCATTGAGTTCGGGCACAGCGAAGGTGCCAGAAGCGAGGGCATAGATCTGGTAAATACTCACGATCCATATTGGCTATCGCGAGACTGGCATTAGTGTCAGGGATCAGGGAAACTCGGGAAGGACTGGTAGTACCGATGGTTGACGAAATCGAGACCAGCGTGCGGCCAGTCCCCGGCCCGTCCCGCCCGCGTGGCTCTGGCTCTGGCTCTGTTCGACAAGAAGAGGGAAGTTCTCCTCGTCTGAAGGGCTATGACCCGTCATATTGTGAGGCTAGGAAAGTTTATGAGGGGGAATATGAGGTTAGGATGGCATTATGAAGGGAAGAAGGGGCTGCAAGGAATGTGAAACGTCAAATGATGTGAAGGGCTCAGGTCAACCGTTGAGATGCACGCGACGTGTTCACCTGCAGACCTTTTTAGGCCAGGTTTCACTGAAGCCTACGTATTCTGTCGGTCTGGTATTATACTCAAGCGCATTCTTCCTTTGCAGGTTGCGTGCGGAGCTAAGTGATCAATCTAAAGAGGTCTGATCGCTAGGGAGGGGCTGAGACCCGCGATATGCGCCTTGCGAGACAAGGAAAAAGATTCCATCCAACAAAGATTGGCTGAAAAGAAATGGAAGTAGACCAAACACATGTTTCCTGTATCGGCTAGCTTTTTCGTGCTAGGAGGAAGCGACTCTACCTACTCCTCCCTGTGATCATCGCTATTAAGGTCTGTTTCACTATGGATCATGCGTCACATGACTCACAAGCAGTTAGATGATTGTCTCTATGTCTTCACAGCCTAGACCTTCCTCCTTCTAGCCTTAGGCTTATTGAATAAATACACGTTAGAAGCTTTGACTCACTATATCAATGGAAATCCAACTACCAGAACCAATTATAAGATTATTCCTGAACTTTGTTGTTGCCAAGGTGGTACATATACGAGTACATTGGCCTGCTCAGCAAAGATAACTTATAATCTTCGACATGATTACCTATCAGAAAATTTCCCAAACCCTAGATGCGATTTGAAGAATAAAGAGTAGTTTAAGAACGGTCAAGAACTTACAGATATTTGTTCCTCCAAAGCCTTTCCACATATTTGTAGACCGGAAAAGTCGAAGGAGCCAGTACCAGTGTTAGGGACACACGAACAGCGTTTCGCCATCCATTTTTCAGGCGACCATGTAGTAATGGAATATTGGGATAGTGACAGATTAAGTAGCTCCATGAATCAACCGAGCCAAGATAATCACTGCCATCGCGCTCCCAATGTAGGCATCAAGTAGAAAGCCCGAGTATACCTAGAACGCTATAAACATAATGAAGATCTAAATATTGTCAAGATGCATCCAGCAGTAGGCATTATCCAGTGAAGGTGAGCTTCCAACTCGGACCGCCCAAGCCACAACATTTCAACAACAAGTAAAGTGTACCAAGCAGCAGGGCAATGAACTGATCCTCGGGTTGTACCATTTTGTGTAACCTTCTTCCGGGTAGTATGCCACTGTCATTGGGGCCGAAATTGGCCATTCCTACCAATCGACCCAGCAATGAGCTAATTAAACCAGTCCAGTCTAACCACATGTTCCGCATACAAATTCTACTAGTCTTCATTTATGGATATAGGGTGGACACGGTGAGGAATGTTAGCTGCAAAGAAAAAAAAACAAAAAAAGGGAAATGTAAGTTCTATAGCATCATATACAACAAGAATGAGTAGCCCATGCCAGGCTTCCTTTAAAGTCTTTCCTAGACCTTGCTAATTAGTCTACAATCATGTTCTATATACGGTAAGAAATAATATCACTTTTGGCAGCATGCGGATGGCCCAAATTTCGCTGCCGAAGTTGCATTGCACAAATGAAGGGATAGGTATGCAACATGAACATCAATATGTTATGTAGCATCGATGCCAGAAAATTTCAGAACTACAAGCGCCATTATCTTGGTTAGATTAACACACGTTGACCATCATTTCAATAGCATAATCCTTTTTGCCTAGCAATGGCGAAATGAAGATCTTAGAGGACTTACCTAATGGAGTTGTAGATCTATTATAAGATTTCACGTAGTCCCTTCGCCAAGTAGCTTAAGCATTGATCATGCTTTATCGGCCAGATAATTTCTCTTCCTGGCTACCTGTCATTTATTACACCCTTGCACTTGCAGTATTTGAAAATTTTGATCAAGGTTTTAAGTCCTTGTCTCCTTTCAGGTAAATAGGGTTACAGAAGACGGCCACCCATGAATAATATGGCAAGGTAATAATACTGAGTGCATGAGCAAGGTAAAGTCAGACTTGGCATAAGGGGTACTTGAGACCATTGGAAGGAACTATGCTTTCAATTCCAGAAAGAAACAGAAAAGGCTTTAGGAGCATAGTAAAAAGGGAACAAGCAGGAATTTATTCAGAGCTTGTAGGTGCTACATATTGTTCATGGCGAGATTCCCATACTACTTGACATACTTTATAACTGGTAGAGAAGCATTTCGTCGTCCTATTATTGTCTGTCCCTTGTTGTTGTAGACCTACAGTGCCACGGTTTTGATGAAGAATGTTAGCGCTAAACTTTAAACAACGATCCAATACCAGCCGACCTTGGAATGCTTATCTTCAACGGAGGCTTTGTGCTGCTAGCATGGAGTTAAAGCAAAAAGTAACGGATACACCCATACCCCTTACTTCTTCAGGCTCTAAGGCTATGAGCTACTTTTTGCATTGCAAGCCGATAGGATCTACCTCTACATATCAACACCCACTCGGGGTCAAGTTAGATCACATTCCTATAGCGTCTTAAGAGAGCTTATTTTAGCTTTCTTCGGGAGTTCAGGTACCCGGGTAATGAATTCAAAGATGCTTTCGAAAGTCACACAATCTGACCTCGGGAGGGGCACAGTGGAAGGAGAAACAATGTACCTTTTACATCGCGGGCGATATTGTGATTCAGGCCGGGGTCCTATCAGAGAACTTTAGGTTATACTGGCGGGCCTTGTGCAGGATGGATTTCAAGGTTGTATTGGTTTTGTATACCTGTTGTCCACCTGAAAGCCTACGGAATTCTAGAGCATTACGAACTTACGTTTCCCTAACGTGTTTGGAATAGCTAGTGTGAAACTGCCCTTTGAATGGAAAAAGTCATAATTCTTGTAGAACAAAGTTGTCATTCATCACCCTCTTTTCCTATGCCCGATCATTCTAATACTTGAGCGATCATTTTGATAGCTTAGAGATCGGGGGTTCTAAATCACATTTCGAGGTGTTTATAATACCAGGAGAGGAGAGTCCGAGAGTTGCAGGTAATGTTCGGTAAAGTCAAAACACCTCCACAAACCGCTCTAACCAGAGAAACGAGGCAGCTACATAAAGACGGTGAGTGGCAATCTTCCATCGCGGCATCTGATTTGTTTTCCCACTAACAATTTTTGGACTCATGCTCATTTAGGCGCGATTAATAAGGGTGGGGGGAGAAAGGAAAAATTTCTCCCCACCTCTGCGCCTACCGAAGCTCTAATTGAGCCACGTATTCTGCATAGCTATGTGCACGCTCAGAATTCCCGCTGCCTTGTAGAGACGCCGAGGCTTGCGATGCACAATGGTCCAACATCCAGCTTCATACATGGTAGCACTAACAGAGAGTTTCTCCAACCCTCTCCAACCCGGGATTCACCTCATAGAGATAGAAATGATGCTGCCCCCGACCTTGAAACGAGCTTGGATTACTTGCTGGGGACTGGGATACAATGACCACAACAGCATCATCCACATACCTGTAGCCCGAGAACTCAGCAGGTTACAGGTACACAATTTGTCCTGGCACATATGATACGTTTGAATCAAGTCAATCCTGGGATTTGTACCGTAATCCACCAGTGGGCGGGGCCCCCCAAACCTTAAAAATACACAATGGTTTGGTGATTGAGCTCCAAATCCGTGTCTTTAACTCAACAACCTATAAAAATTAGATACTTTCGAGGAGGCACTGTTGTGACTCGTACGTTGATAGTAGGTATGGAGTTTTTTGAATGATCATAACCACTCTTGAAACTTCCAGCTCGGCAATGACTGATACCGCAATCTGCAACTGCATTACGGGCTCTTTGTTTTTCATCATGTAATTCGGCCTATTGGGTTTGTTGATCGACATAAAAAAGCGGGTAGTGCAATGCATGACCAATAAGGGCTATGAAGTCATGCAATACATAGTTTCAAGTATTACACTAGGATTGGTGGGGGAATCAAGAACTAATCGACAAGATGGCTGGCTGAATAGGGGGCTTAAGCATACTTTTAAAGCCCATTATATAGCATTTCATGCCTGGACTACATACTCACATTTTTCTCTACACCGTGGTTTGAGAGCGGAGACTTCCTCTTATACGTTTCAAGCGTCAAAATGACAGCGAACTTTACCTCAATTCCTTTAGTTGACTTTAACGACGCAAATTCCTCTGCCACGAAACCACGATTCCTATCAGCACTTAGGAATGCGCTTGTCAATGTCGGCTTTTTTTACCTTCAGAACCCCCCAATTGGGCTTGAAGTACGCGAAACCTGAGCACTTTAAAAAATATTAGCAGTCGGATTCAGATTGCCAAAATTGAAATTATGGTCGAAAGTTCTTCCGTAAGAGGTACACACTAATTTGTAGATTTCACTACAAACTGCTTCACCTAAAGCAAGATGTGGGAGCAGTTTGAATCGGTCTCAAAACTCTAGTCTGAAAAAGGTTGCAACTTATTTTCTTTCGGGGGATATAGGTATATAGAACTAATTAATCAAGCTAGAGGCTGGATATCTGACGATCATCGTCGCGCGCTTCTAAGGACCATTCGCTCCTTTGCCCGCCTCTTCCATCCCTTCATCCCCATTGTGATAAAAATGACTCCATTCCAAAACCCTCGCAAAGACCCAAAGGCACTGACAGCAAGAAGCAGTGGAAACGACTCCGAGTCTGGATTGACAAATGTGGTCACCCGATTGATCGTTGGTGCAACCCAAGTTGCCAATAAAGCCAGAAAAAAGAGGGAAGGCATTAGAATATATTGTTTGAACGAGACGCGGCGCTGCTGTGAGGATTGGTAATTCATTGGTGCCCGGTTTGCTGGGGAGCGTGGGCTAATGGCTTGTTCGACGGAGGAGTGACTCGTTATATGAGATTCTGAAAGATAGGATTTGTCTGCATTTGGCACCGTAGAGCTGGCTTCGACGGTTGTTGTCACTGAACCCTGAGTGTGTTCGGGGTTGAAGTTATTGGAAGAGAGGCTGGAGGTTAAGGCGATATGGTCGTCATCTGTGAGTTTGAATTCGTCGCGAAGACGAGAGATTTCGATGCCAATCAGTGCGTAGAATAATAGAACAACCGCGATAGTGAGCCTGCAATTTTATATCCATTAGAGAGCGAACGGATCCAACGCTGTTCGATGTAACATACCACACGGGGCCGTAGTATAGAATTAGGCGTAGTATTATCCACTTTGGAGATATTGAGCACCAGATCTGGAAGAGTCAGCTTCTGTCTCGATATTTGCAAGGCCTACTATGGGAACCCACTGTCTCACTGCCGTAAACCGGCCCTTTCTCGTCGGATCGAATAAAAAGGAATACTAACGCAGGTATAAAGGTGACGATAGTAATGCCTCCAATGTATTTCGGCTCAAGTCTTTGCAGGTAATGAGTATCATAATGGTGAAAAACAACAAGGTACGTATCCAGCGCCATAGCCAATGTCCATAGTACATCAGCCAGTGGGAACCTGACATAGCTCGCCATTAGTTGTGCTGTACGACGCTCCTTTACCGAGAGACTTGAAACCTACATTTGAAGAGCAAAGCCCTGAAACTGACACATGGGAGAGAAATCTCCCGACTCTGGCCCACTAACAGATATCATAGTCGCGACCGAATCAAATAAGTTGTAGAAGGCATTGAAAAAGATGATGCGATGAATAGGGCTCCGAAAGTGACGGGAACAAACAAAGGCGCAAATGATTGTGAGTGTCCCTAGGATCGATAATGCAGAGCTGACTCGCCCCGCGATACCTATCGAGCTGATCTGCTCCGCAGTGAGTGTCATGATGCGGGATCGACCCCCCGTAGAGGGAGTTTCTCAGTGATCAATACACCGAACTCAGGGTCCATGCTACATACATAATGAAAATTGAGATCGTTCCATCACATAGACTTTACTCATTTCACACCACACCTCGCCCGAGTATATGGCAACTAAATGGCTTCGATGACGTGATTACGAATTGGGAAATGATCTGTAGGAAGGATCGTGTTCCATCGCGCAATTTGTGGGGCTTCTTAGTTGTCGATCCACCTGAAACTGTGAGAGACAGGCACGAGAGACATTTCCTCAGCTAGCAGGCTGGTTGTTATGGATGGCTTCCCGCGGTCTCGGATCACGCCGATTGTTTGGCGGGTCTCTCGATTATATCGCTGAACCTGCGTGGAGCGGATCCACCCACCGGACGCGACAGCCTCCGATCTGCGTTACCTCGCTGACCCCGGATCCCGAGTGAACAAGCCTAAGAGTATTTAATTGAGTAAGCTGGCTGAAACAATAATCAAATCGATACATCAATGTGCTGGGCTTGCATTCAAATATTTAGGCGCCGTTGCCGTAAAATGAACTGGCCCTGAGTCCATTACGCCAAGGGGTATCGCTTTGTACTTGCATCACATCCCACAATTTAAAAAGTACAAATAAAACCTTGCAACTGAGACCAAACGAGCTTAGAAACCATAATCAAGAGGTACCTGCCAAGATATCATAAATGTCCAATCAAATGGGCTCATCTCTTGGCTCAATTAGCACCTCATTAACAGCAACATGCGCGGGTTGACGCAAAGCGTACACAATCGAGTTGGCAATATCCTCCGGATCAAGGATCTTCGCTCCAGACGGGAGCCCATATTTCTTCACAGCTTCTGTATCCGTAGACATGCCCAGTAGATCTGTAGCAGTGTTCCCCGGTTGAATGCTTGTAACGCGCAGTCCCGTTCCTGCAGTCTCGAGGCGCAGCGATTGCAATGTCGCTTCAACAAAAAACTTGCTCGCAGAATAAACACCGAGACCAGGAAAGACTTTGCGTCCGGCATCCGAAGAGATTGCGACTATATGCCCACCTCGCGATACCATGTCGGGTACGGTCGACGATAGGCAGTTTAGAAGACCTTTGCAGTTGACGTCAACTGTGCGCTCCCACTCGTCTGTTTGGGCATTCGAAATCATGGTGAAGTACATCACGCCGGCACAAGAAATGAGAATGTCGATTGGACCCAGCTCATCACGGGCTGCCTGCATGAGTGCTGTCACTTGAGACCGTTCTGTGACATCTGTTTGTCGAACCATGACTTTTCCTTCGCGAACCACCAATCTGCGCTTGATTGCTATGAGGGAATCGAGGCGCCGAGCAGCCAAGGCGACATGACATCCCTCTCTGGCTAATGCTGCAGCAACTGCAGCACCTATACCGGAAGATGCGCCCGTGATGACTGCAACACGGCCGCTTAATGGGCCTCTGCATGTAGGATTTGCAGAGCCACCCAGGGCAAGTTGCCGTGAAGGAGGGTGTGAAAGCCATCCTCTAGCAAACCAATGGCGAGTATAAGTCTCGAGGAGTACACTATCCACCTTAGGCCTTTCAATCTCCGCTCGAAAAGGTCTAGTAGAAGCATTGTTAAGCACAACGATACCTTCCAAGAACCCGACTGATGGCATTCCACTTCGTAGGACATCAATGGTAAATGCACCATCGCCTCCACGAAGCGATCCTCTCCTTTCAGTCCACAATGCAATCCAAGCTTCCCACTCCAGTCGCTCCGTTGGATAACCAAGTAGAGCCAGGTCATGAAAGACCGAATCAATACTGACAGGATCAGGATCACCAAGGTGGAAAACAGTCTGTTCCACATGGGGCAGATTCGCAAGGTGAATGATTGCTTTGCTAGTAAAATTAACAGGCGTCATCTCTGCTCGCCACCCATCCACAGCAGGAGCGTACCCAAGTTGAATCGACTCGACAATCAAAGCCGTTAAAAGATCATATGGATTCGAGGCCCCAGTGACGCTGTGACTACTAATCGTCCCCGCGCGATAAATCTTGACCGGAAGACCTCGGCGCCCTGCCTCAAGAACGAGCTGTTCAGCCACCCACTTTGTCTGTCCGTATCCATCGTGAAGTTTCTCTGTGACTTCATCGACACTGAGTAGTGCGCTCTCGTCCCAACCTTTCTCGCCCGATGGAGGCAGGACACCGTTAGTCGATACGTATTGCACGGTCGCTCCGCCTTTGCATGCCAATCGAAGAATTTCTCTCGTCCCGCCCACGTTCGCATTTCGCAAAGCAGCATACGGGTATACAAGGTTCACTGCAGCAGCGGCATGTACAATCACATCCACACGGGATGCTAGGTCATCGAAGCTGTCGGATGATAGTCCTAAGCGACGTCGAGACAAATTGCCTGACAGAACCTCGACACGCTCCATGACGGAATCGTTCCACAGACCTAGATCGAGAAGATTGCGACGTATTCTTGCTCCTGCTGCTGGCTTGTCGTCATCGTTTGGATCGGTGAAGCGCACCAGACATATTATTTTCGCCGATGTGGCTTCTAGGAGATCATGTAATAGAAATGCCCCCAGAAACCCCGTAGCACCAGTCAATAAGATCGTGGTGGCCTTATCGATGGGACAAATCTTCGTATCACATGGCGTGATATCGGAATCGAGTACGGAGTCTGCGCAGAGTACAGCAGGAAGATCTGCTTGCACTTCTGCTGTGTGCCCGTCTCTCACGGCGCGTACGGTGAGCAACTGGCCATTCAAGGTTGAATTTTCTGCAAGGCGGGTTATAGGGACACGAAACCCAAAATGCTTAGATAGGCGCGACGAAAGGTCAGCGAGTGACAGTGAATGTCCACCTAGGTCGAAGAAGTCATCACTAGCTCTCAGAGTAGCTTTGGGTGTTTTCAAAACAGCCTCCCAGATAGCAGCAACATCTTCCATGCGAATTGAGTCTTCCTTTGTCCCGATTCCATTCACTAACCGAGGAGCTCGGGGAGGAGGCAGTCGCTTCAGGTCAACCTTTCCGGAGACTTCATGAGTTGGGAATTCGTCCATCTCAACCCAAATGGCCGGAATCATGTAATGAGCCAAGAAAGGTAGCAGTGTCCTTCGTGCCACAGGACTATGGCCCGACTCATTGATTTCTATTGTCGGTCGGTTCTCACAATCGTTCTTGTCTCGAACAAAGTAAGCGACTAATTGTCGTTCCAGGCCTTCGCCGTGAGCGATGACTGCACAATGGCTGACGGCGAAGTTTCTCACAATCTCTTTCTCAACTTGTCCAGGGACAACAGAATATCCACGAAGCTTGATCATTCCGCTCACCCGTCCGGTGATCTCGAGATATCCACTTGGAAGGACTCTTGCCAGATCTCCCGACTTATGCATACGAGCCCCCGGTGCTGAGTTAAAGATATCATCCTTGAAATATTTGGCGGTTGTTTCTGGACGGTTCAAGTACCCACGAGCAAGCTGGGGTCCTCCAATGAAGAGTTCACCCCTGATCCCCTCTTCTACGCGGTGGCCCTTCTCATCGAGTATGTAAATTAGGTCTGGGTAGAGGGGAGTTCCGACCGGGCAATATGTAGCGTCTTTATCGAACATATCACGGATATCGCCACAGGCAATCTCATGTGCTTCACACGTACTATAGCAGTTGAGCAAGCGAGTGTTGGGAAGGGCTTTGATAGCACGAGCGGCCAAGTCGGTTGTAACAACCTCACCATTTAGCCATAAGGTTCGCAGATCCGGAAGACGAGTGCCAATATTGGGGTGGCGAGAGAGGACTGCGGCCAGGAGGGTAGGCGTCATGAGAGTTTCGGTGATGCGTTGAGACGATAGTAGGTCGACAAGCGCGGCTGGGTCATAGCTCACTTCGTCAGGGACAGCTACCACTGTCGCGCCTCGGATCAATGGCCGCAGAATTTCCCAAACAAAGAACACGTTGCAAGCCACACGGTCGCCTGGCTGTACATCCTGCACGTCGAATCTGAGGTTGTAGGACAAGACAGCCGCCTGGTGCGGGTTTGCAATTCCCTTGGGCTTGCCAGTAGTCCCAGAGGAATAAGCCACGAAGGCAAGCCGACTGTGATCGCCTTGCGCTTCCGAGATGTAAGGATAAGCATTCCTGCCCTCTGTATCTTCATTAACGCCAGGGTCATCGTCGATGATCAAAAGCGGTACATCAGTCTTGATCTTAACACTCTCTGATTTCGAGGTGACAATAACCACAGGTTTGGCATCATCAATCACATCGGCCAAAAGGTCTGGCGGATAAGCAGACTCCAGGACGAGGAATGCTCCGCCTGCTCTAAGAGCGGCAATGCAGGCGATCACATAGTTTGCACTACGCGGAAGAAGCACTCCGACCAGTCGGTCCCTTTCCACGCCGTAGCCGAGGAGGCGATGGGTGAGACCATTGGCCTCTTTGTCAAGCTCGCCATATGTATACATGATTGTGTCATCTTCCAACGCAATAGCATCAGAAGTAGCACGGACCTGGTGAGCGAAGAGCTCCACGAGGTCTTTCTTAATATCGATGCCCATGGTATGGTTTTCTCGTTAACGATCAGTGTAGACTTCAAAACTCATTCACATTCGTTGTTGACCAGTGGTAAGGATATTGGAAAATGCTGACTATTTATTTTAGAATGCTAGCAGTGTAGAACAACTGCATACTCCGCTTTGACGACCGAGACAAAAAAGCAAAGGGAACGTGAACGGACTAGAGAACTCTCGGCGATGAGTGAAACCAATGAAAGCAGTGAACATGAGTGATGGAAAGCTCATTTTGTGGAGACACGCTTCGATGCTGTCTAGAACCCGTATTGCCCTGTTCCTGTTCCAAGATTCTTTCCGCTGTTGCCGCCCCTCATCCGTCGATAGAACCCCTCAGTGGCTTTATATCGGGCCAAGATTCGCAGTCACGGTGGGGACTGGGCCAGTGCTACGAGTGTCCCCTCGTTTGGAATCACTGGAATGTATCTGAAATTCGGAGTAGTAATATTATCGAGTACATACAAGTACCTACCTGCTGATACTAGGCTACTTGGGGCCTGGGTATACAGTTCCTGTACCTAACTGGAAAGTGAACTGCGATAATCAGAGCTGATTCGATGCCCTTTCCTACGTATAATGGCAATCTAAGTGGAGATTGTGACACGAATTTAGCATGCGGTATCTTGCATACTAGCATGAATCAAGCGAGGTGATATTTTCCTTGATACCCAGGAATCAGGCAGCATTTGACTGAATTAGAATCACTGCATGACACCAAGCGATGTTAGCAAACTAACGCTTAATGGTGGTCAATTTGAGATACCCTTACCAGGATGGGCATCGTCAAGTATACAGACGCCTTAGCTGCACTCTTGTTGTGTCCAATGTGGTTCCGATTGACAGATGCCCAATCTCGCTTTCGCTTTTAACATCCCCAAATCGAATTTTCAAAGGTCTGATCGAGCGAGTCTTCTCACCACCCCCAGCAAAGGTGCCTGACTGAGGAAGCCCCAAGAACGGTGAGGTCCAAATAAAAGTTGAAATGTACCCCAGGATATCTGGGTTCTTACTTAGACTAGTTAAAACGGCAGTGACCACAGCAGAAGCAGCCATTACAGTCGTTGCAACAAGGAAAACCGCTAACCAGATATAATCAACAACGTATATAGACCCTGGATTGTAGAAGGCTCGTGTTGCGTTGACCTTAATTGGATTGGATGGGATACCCTGCAAAGATCCCTCGGGGTCAATAGTGCTGAAGAAAATGGTATTCAAAAGCTGCTCCAGGCGGACACGGAGGTTATCCATAGATGGCGAAGCAGTGGAATGGTCCGAAAGTTTGGCATCGAGTGGTGACTGCGGATTCCGGAGATACGCTTCCGACAATGAAAAATTCTGGCCAGATAACAAACTATTCCACTGGCCCTGGATATCTGCCGCAGTAATCCAGTTGAATTCAGGGTGTGTACTCGGTCTGCTCATTTTCATTGCATTGACGGTGCAATCTCTGTCTCTGACCGAGTTCCCTGTCACGACGCACCGGACTTCCGACTGGAAATATCGCTGGCTCCATTTGAAGACTGCCTTGAACGTTTGATTGACTGGACTGAATGAAGCGTATGCGGTCTCCTTTGCAGAGGCATCCGAAGAATTCCAAGGAATGAAATCTTTCGCGATGGTCAAATTTGCCTCAACTCCATCTCCATTGAGCGCAAGATTCCCTGTGGTGTTAACAAGCTCCAAGGAAAAGTATGTAGATTCAACCACTGCAGTGAAGTTCCCGGCTTTATTCAATCCCCCGAGAGGGATGCCTGTTAGAGCGGAATAAGTAATATTCTGGTCCGTAGGCACAGTAACCCAACCGGTAGAGTTAGCCGTTGAGGATAGAGCGTCAAAGTTCGGGATTTTCAAATTGGCCCAGGGGTCCATTGAGGAATATCGGAAGCTCTCAGAAGCAATCAGGCTGGTAGTATAGAGGGCATCAATGTACGGCGCGTACCAGAGAAGGTCAGCAGCTCCATCGGCGACGGAAGAGCCGTTGACTTGGGGGTGTTGTATTGTCTGGTGAGTTATGCTCACAGTAGGAGCAGTAGAGAGGATGTGTAGAGGGGACTGACTCCCAACAGGAGAAACTGTCCACAAGAGACCTAGTGTAAGTGATAGGCCTCCGAATGTCCGCAGCCGGAGTTGTGTGATGACGGTGTTGATCAACGTTGAACTTCCATTCAAAGTCTCCAAAGTCCTCAACGAACTCCCTCTCTCCAACCTCCATTCCGCTATCCGTCGGGTCATGCGACTGACCAGTGCAGAAAAGACTAGGGTAAACGCGGTGGCGGACTGGAACGGTCAGTCATATGTGATGTATCATAAACTAGCTTCGAACGTACCGCCCATAGTCCCTGATTCATGCGGTTCAGCTCAACTGAATCCACGGGTTTGTTGTGCCGACTAGCACAAAATAAGATCAAGAAAATAAACGGGACGACGAGCAGGATGCCCAATATATCAACCGCTATGCTTCCCCACTTCCATTGCCGTAACTTCTGTGGATTCTCCTGGGTACCCGCGAGGTTTTCACATGTCGGACCGAGTGAGCCTTGATTGGCTCGAGTGGGTTGGGATAATAACTCATATTCTGCATCGTCTTGAATCGCAGATATCACCCCAGTATGTGCTGAGGTTAGCCGCGATGTCATGTTGGCGTGTGTTGAAACCCGATGAAAGGCGGTGTTAGGTGTTAACGGATGTTCTGTTTAGAACCAAACGCACAGTCCATTTTTGCCCATGCGCCAACCAGGTGCATTCGATTGGCTTATTTCAGTTTGGGGGCCAGACTAGGATTGAAGAGGCAAGGAGAACAGGAGGGCTGGGGCGGGGGCCAAGGTCTAGGTCATTAGAATCCAGCTCAGCCGCATCCCACACACAATTTCAAGGCTTCCTAAATTCTGAACACCCGCGTGTAGGCTGGGTCGGGTCACAATTGATAATCATCTAGTGGCCTCGGAGATTCTGACATGCTACGTTTTCCTGGTCGCGCGTTCCGGTCGGTCGCGAACGAGGATCCCAGTTACACTCACGACAGGGCGAAGTTGATCTACGTGAACTCCTTCGAAAATGAACTGTCTTCTATTACCAAACACTCAAAGGGCGCACCTCAGACCACAATAGACGCCCCACAGACCGAGCCTCGGTCACTAGAACCATCAAATCGCCGGTGGGTCGCCCTGGCAGCTAGCATGACCGCAATACTTCCATTTTTCAGCCTTGCATGGATAGCAGTGGGATTCCATGGACGGGAAATTACCCAAGGATCGTGGAATGCTATACAGATCGCGATGAAAGTCGTAAGACACCCGCTTGGAACTCGAATTCCCACCTGACAAAATAGTAGGAAGTGACATTATTTCCACTCTTATTTGCAGCTATTGTGGGGCGCTTTTGTCAACAACTGGCACATTGGAATTTGCAACAGGGTGCTTCAGTGTCGACAATTCAAAGATTCATGGGTAGCACCACGGTGTTTGGAAGCATATATACCTCTTGGATGCTGCGGTCTGTGAATGTCATCGGACTTGGGCTTTCCGTGTTGTGGGCATTGTCACCACTAGCTGCGCAGTCTAGCTTGCGCATCTTGTCCGCCGACCACGGGAAGACATTGTCGTCGCCCAGGTTGAATTATTTGAATATTACCGCGACGGCCAATGTCACCGCTTTGGCCGATTGGAAGTGGACCAATGATCCTGGCGATGAGATGTTTATCGGTGGTCTTGTGACTGCGAAAATCACCAAGGGGTCTACGACTGACCTTTGGGGTAATGTGAAAGTTCCCTTGTTGAGTAATTTGACGAGCGACACCTCAGATTGGACAGAGGTGGCCGGAGACAATGTGGTATACACATCTCAGCTCGGGATTCCTATTTTCGGGCTGGTCAGCAATGGTAGCACGTCGGCCTCCGTGGAAACATCATACTTGGAGTTCCGGTGTCAAGACCTCTACGACCGAGCCTTCGAGGGGTCAAACGTCTCGGCTCTGGCCGTCCCAAATATCAAATATGTTAACGGAACCAATACAGAGGCTATCGTAACGTGGAAGTCATTCAATTTTATAAATTCCTGGTCGAGGGACAACAAGCCAGTGGCTGAGGCAACCTGCGCGGTAACTTCTCGGAGTGTCATGATGGATGTGAATTGCAATCTCACAAGTGGCTCGACCCGCAAGCAGGGTGGCTGCGCGGCGACTAGAATACGGCAAGGTCAATCAGATACAACTCTACCAGGAATATTTTCAACGCCGACAATATTCGACAACTTCACAAGCAGTATTCTAAAAGCCATTCCATCTGGGCAACCGGCTGCTGCCACAGTTTTAGATTACTGGATGGCTAACCCATATGGCTCATATCCCGATTTTCGAGCCAACATCAGTCTCTATGAATTAGACCCAGCGATATTTTCCCAGCGGCTGACGCAGATGGTCAATTCATTCTATGTGGCGCGACTGGGATATTCTTTCATGACACGGACATCTCTCGCTGGTCTCCAACTGAGCGCCGGGGGCAACCAAACAACAGTGAAAACGGACACAGGCTCTGCCGTTTTCGCTGCTATGACAGGCAACGCGGTTGAAATGAATTCATCGCTGACACTCCATACCAACCCTGGATGGATTACGGCTTTTATATTGACGATATTGATCTTGATTGCTGCATCCATCTTAACATTCTTCCTCGGATCGGCCACCTTGATACCGGAGATTCTGGGATATGTGTCATCGTTGACACGAGATAATCCACATATCCCGCTAGGTGATATTCCAGTCACCGTGGCTGGTTTGGAGAAAGCCCGGATGCTAGGATCTATCCACCTCCGTATGGGAGACGTTACGCCTGGTGAGGATTTAGGGACACTGGGGGTCGGGAGATTGTCTTCCACTACACGATCGAAAGCTCGTCGAATATTTCGATAGAAGAAATCTTGGGCTGCACCTTTCGTCGCATCCTAGCAGAATAAGGGTATTATCTATGGAACTCCTCACAATGGAGATATCTCTTCGAGTATGGAAGTCACCGCGCTACCGTTGAACAGACTGGTATTCATGTAGAGTTGATTCGACCTCAGGAAGCCTTGAGGGACTCCTTCATCTAATGTAATGAAATACCGGGTGGCATGAAATCAAGCGGAATTAAACTCGTGGCTACACCACGCTCTGTTGCCCATAGAAGAGGCAAGTTGAAGTGAACCCCCGTCGCTGTCCTTATTCGAATTATCTCTTATGAGCCCCATCTCGTGGGAAGATAACCTGTTCTCCTGATGAGTCTCCAGCAAAGTTTCCAAAGGGATCGCTTTATTCCTTTGGTGCTGCGAAAAGTCCCCACTCCTAAACGAACTCGTAAAGACCCAAGAGAACCGACGAGACGACCGCGAACCGCCCGGAGCAGACGAGTTTTGAACATTAATGACAAATAGACGAAACGCGGGAAGGCAGGAGGTAACAATAGCTGCCGTATTCTCCAGCATTGAATATAACTGGAATCTGATAGGATCGACGTCTCCATCCGGGTTATTGGATTTGATCAAGCGGAGGCACGCAAATAAAACCGGGATGATCGGAAGGGAGAATAGTCCGATAAGGGTCCATCGTTTTCGATTATCAATCTTCAGTTTGTAGAGGAGAGGAAAGGGGATCAGCATCACTGTCTGAGTTAGCTCCGCCGATGGATAAGCGGATCAAGGGATAACGCACCACACACATCACCGGAAATGTCACTGCATACGGAAAAGTGGAAGACAAGATTAGAGTAAAATATATCCCTTTCGGACGCACATTTGCCTATATGGAGTCAATTCTGTCCTTGGTTGCTGATGGGTATTTTTACCTGGGATAAAAAAGTCTCCTATGGGATCGCAAGCGAACTGTTGAAGAATTACACTTGTGATCCAAGTAGACGCCGTGATCCCACACATAATCCACCAAAAAAGCTTCATCGGCGAATGCACCGAGTCAAATAGTCGCCAAAAAAAGAATAAAAGTGAGAATTTCACCGACCACAGGGTCGTCCAAAGGAGGATGTCGGCCGCATACTGTAGCTTGAGGAAGAAGGCCCCCTGATCCATAAATGTCGGTCCCATTGGCCTCAGACCGGCACTGACGCTCAGCACATCATACATTGGCGGTATAGCAATTTGATAAACAATAGCTGTGGCAATGTGACATACCAAAGCAAAAAATATGCAGTAGTCGTTTTTGAAAAGTCGCCTGCTGTTTCGGTATTGAGCGTGGGTCCGGATAGCGACAAAAGTGCACGAGAGCGCCACGCCAATCCACATAACCAGCTGAAAGACGCGACGATTAGCTCACTTGAGCTTGGCTTTTGCCTTTACAGTTCAGAGAAAGTTCTTACAGCTTGCCCCAGCTCCGATATGATCGGCGGCTGCATCATCAGATCTCGTTTCCCCCATCTTGGAGCCAGAGCAGTGGGGAAATGGCGCATCATGGCCGATCTCCCGCAGTTCTGGAGAATATCCTCACAACCCCCTCGAACGTATCCGGGGAGTCCATCTGATAATCTATTTGGCAGGCTAACTCCGAAGGTAGCACAAATCGTAACCCAGCAGGCATTGAGCAGATCTTAAGTATGCGGCTGAGCTAAGATTACGCTCCTGCCCAGCTGGTAACCCCCTTTGCAACATTCTCAATGAAATGAAGGATCAGACAAGTGACCGACCAATCAAATATGTTCCTATCTCTCACACTGCATGTTGTGACGAAATATCTCATATGTGCGGAGTTGCCTGATCGCGTTCGCCCTTGAGGCCAGACTTGATCGTCGCGGGCCGCATTAGGTATTGGTGGCCCAAGCGGAGTGGGCCTGCCCACCTTATCTTCAACCCTGAAACGCACCGGTATTTAGCATTTTGCGGCAATGGTGAGTATACAGTAGTGATTTCTTGATGTTGGAAGTCTGGTGGCCAAGTATGCCTTGCTGATGAGATTTGAGTCACTTGTTTCGACGCCCTTGTCCGCCTCGTTGTCAATTCTAACCCAGCCAATCCTCAGGCCAAAAAAAGAAAAAAACAAAAGATTCTCTTAACTAGAACCAGTGGGAAGATTAGGAGGAGAGTGTTTATTCTGGCTCTTGTCGTGGATGTTTTGGTTGAAAAGCCGAGAACCTTGAACGTAATACAGGCCGGGGATTAGCAGTTTGGTGGCTGAAGAAAGCTCCTAAAGGGTTAAAGTGTTTATCCACAAGAATGCGTCGGTGTTTCAAAAATTTACTGTCTTCAATTTTGGGATCAATGGATACTGCACATGAAACTTTATTTGCTGTAATTATGACCACATGTGTGTGGACGGCATGTACAGATTGACTATAGATGCTGAACATGCGTATCGACAACCTTAGAAACTATGAAACAATAGCCAGTCGGCTCCGAACTGGCATATTCTCTTCCATGCCCGGCTCAGGGAATCCGGTGACATTAACACCCTTCCGGAAGAGAAGACAATGAGTAGATCCACCAAAGTGGAACATACCGATCTCATCTCCCTTGGTAAGATGCTGACCTTCCTTGACGGTAATATCGCAGGTTGAAACTTCAGCCATACCTACACCAATAAAGGCCATGAGGCCAATTGCCGGGTCATCAGCCTCAATAAAGATGATAGCCCTGGTAGCAGTTGAAGTAATATATCCCTGTGAGGTAACCTGACCAGCGATATCGATATCCTGGACATGGGGCTGCGGATTGCCGACGCCCTCAAATAACGGTTCCGAATAGTATGTCCCATCGGCAACGAAGGCCTTCATAACCTTTCCTGAAACAGGTGCATGCCAGCGGTGGTAACTCAGAGCACTCAAAAACGCCTGATAGACCGTACCACCAACGAACTGCTCAGCATACTGATCATGGGCCAACATATCCAGCACTGAGTACGGTTGACTCTTGATCCAGAACCTGTCGCGGGCTTTCACATCATGTGCGAGTCTGAATGGTCTTGACTCGCATGCATTAGCAATAACCCGGTTGTTATCCGGTTCTGCGACCGGGCGCATTCCCTCGCGGAATAGGCGAGTGAAGAAGTCGTCCCATGACTTGTAGCCGTAATTCGATGCAGAGGGGTCGCAATGGAACATCTCGTGGAACTCGAGGGTTTCAGTAGCCGTGGGACCGATCTTCGCGACAGCAGTGAGGTCCCGGTGTCCGGTCTCACCAAACCAGCCATTAGAGGTTTTGTTCAGGACATCAGCGGATGCGGGGGAACGCAAGAACTCGCCCCAGGCATTGAGAATCTTCTTGAACATCGCATTGATCTCGGGGTCAAGGAATGCAGCGTAACCACTTGGTGTGCCCATTGGCCAGTCTAGCACTGCATTGATGGGTAGCCCGACCAAACCGACGCGGTGGGCTTTGTCAGTCCATGATGGGGCCGTTGTCAACAAGTGGTTGAGGACCTGGAGAAAGTGCTTGTAGTCACGAATTTCGGGGTGGCCTGTTGGATCCTGGCTGTAGGGCTTCTTGTTTGGGACTTCCTTGAACATTCCTTCAAGCAACATGTACACTCGGGTGTTGGTTTCGATCAGATCTTGGAATTCCTTTAGAACGGGGTGAAGCTCTTTTTCGTTGTTGTCCACGTGCTGGATCACTCCGCCTAGCCATTCTCGGTGGGCGTCATGGTCTGCGGGCATCCAACTGCCGAGGCTGGGAGAAGGTTAGTGGTGAATTTGATGACAGATGAGTATAACTTACTGATGCAATTGATGAGTGTGCTGAATTTTAGGTGACATGGCGGTCAATGACTTTTATTGTAGGTAAAATAAATTCACAGCCTTTAATGCAAGGGTCAAAATCGATTTTCTCCGATTTCCAAAGCTGTAAGTGTGGAACGAAGAAAGCTTGACACCGACAATCGTCTTGGCATGTCGTTACTTAAAGCATTGCGGAAAATTATCCTATGCAGGTTAGTTGCATCATCATGACGCTTGTGGGGGTAATAGGAACAAGGTATTTCCTCCTTGTATGGGTTGATTGTGCGAATTGCATGATCCACAGCGAGAACCTGGGGTACATATGCCGCGTTTCCGGGGATGATGTCATAGCACGAGCGGGCTCCCGGAACAGCATCATATATCAATATGACCATGCTCCCATGCGATACCCTTTCCTATGAGCCAGAAGCCACCTTTGTGTATTGAGCTAGGCAGTATAAATACGATCTGCGACCTAACCGGACTCAGCTTGGAGCAAATCATGCCGTCAGATATACAAAGATTGCACCATAATAGAGTGGGGTCGGGAGTTGGCACTATTTCTCAGTGTACTTTTGAAGATTTCTTCTCGTAGGTCAGGTGATATTCATTTGGATCTGGTTAGGTCGCAATTTTGGAGATCTATAGACCCCAGGCTGAAAATACACGCATCTGAATACAAGCAATGCGAACTCTGGGATAAAAGAGCACCAGCCATGCCGTATCCAAAGATGCATAGATTGGCAATTGGTCTCTGGGGGATCCCTCGGGGCGTGATACCCGTAGCGCTGGCTTATTCAGGGTATCGATTGAGAGTTGGAAGCAATTTAATGCGCAAACTGGGCTTCGATATATATACTTGGCTGGGAATTCCAGGCGTGCTTTGACAGGTCTCGATAACATTACAGTACAGTACACCTTTCTGCTCCCTAGTATCCACCACCACTGTCATCCATGTGTCAAAAATATCTAGGACGCTAAAAGTAGGTTATATGTATGCCCATGCATCTTAGTCACACTTGTCGCTTGAAAATTCGAGTTGAGGCCCTTACCTGCCGACCTTGCAAGACCCAAAGGAGCCGACGCTGATTGTTTATGTCACGCAAAAGAGGCACAAAAGAATTCTACATGTCGCCTCGGGCGTTTTACTGGGTGCTTTCATATTATTGGGGACCGAATAAGATTCTCTCTGGCTAATATAAGCGATTCAAAATCAAAATTTGTGCGAAGCTTGGAAGACCTGTGTTCAGTGCTTAGAGATGATGCAGATTTACATACATCGAGGTTACATTTTCAATACTCAGCTACTACTTTCTGTCCACATACATAGTATATTCCATGCCTCATTGGTTCTTATAGCTTTTTGACCTCTGGCTGAACCCCAACTACCTTTTGCGGCTCCTGCAAACCCCCGCGCTCGCGATTTTCATCCTCACTCTTCGTCTTCAGGCTTTTCCACTCGTAGAGCACGGCGCCTAGAGTCGATACAGTTGCTAGTATAAGCCCAATGCGGAGGGCACCTTTGATTGCCATGCTATAGACTGCCTGTAATTCTGGCGATGAGCCCGTCGATTCTCCGTCCAGAACAGACTTAGGATTCACGTTCGGGGCTAGTGTTTTCAGTGCTTTGCCGATGTTCTCCAGAAAAACCAATTGCGCGATCGACACAAACAAAGCACCACCAAACGTCTGCGCGAACAGGATGAGGCCAATTCCAGTTGCAACATCACTTTCAGGAAGCGTGGTCTGCACCATGTACAGTCCTTGCTCTTCTCCTAGACCAATTCCTGCTCCGCATATTATCTGAAACCCGACCCACTTGGCACGGGAGGTATCATGGGGCTGAACAGTCATCAAAAGGCCAGTACCGATAGACATTAGCACTGATCCAGCGTAGACGAAGGGTGTGTAATATCCCGTTCCAGCAGTACCAAAGCCCGCGAGCATGAATCCGCCGACGACACTGACCATAAATGGGATGAAGAGGATTCCTGATTCGACGGCAGAGACGCCATTGACAATTTGAAACCATAGCGCTAAAGGCCAGATCAGTATACATTATTGGCACCCAACTTTCTACCACACTTACGAATGTAATAGACATTGATCTATTTAACACGGACGTCGTGTGTTTGTCAGCCAAATAAGGTAGTTATTCAGCTTGAGCTGTGGGAGGCTTACAAAGAATACGCCTCCAAGGCAAATGCCAAACCAGATTGCCGCACATATGCTTCGTGTACGTAGTAAGCGCAAAGGAATGATAGCCCTATCTTTCATCCAGTATTCGACGCCCACGAAAAAGCAAAATAGAAGACCAGCAAGAGCGAGCAGGGCTATCATGTGAACATTATCCCATGCATATGTCGTACCGCCCCAAGAGAGTGCTAAGAGAAGACAAACAGTTGCGGACATAAAGGTAAAAGTGCCAGCCAAGTCGAAGCGAGCGATTTGGCTGCGAAATCCGGTCGACTCAAATGCTGTCTCGTCACTGCTAGTACTGTGATAGAAAAGGAAGATGAAGATCATGACAGAGCCCCCCATTGGGAGATTTATGTAAAAGCACCAACGCCATGTAGTTGTATCCGAGAAAGATCCTCCCTACTCGAGCTGTCAACCAAAGCCAATTACAACCCACGAGTAAGGAATGTGCAATTACCAGTAAAGGTCCAGCCACGCTCCCGACTGCAAACATGCTACCAATTATGCTGTTCCATGTTGGCCGCTGGCTCAATGGAACACATTCAGCGAGAATGAGTGTAGTGCCTGCTTGTATCCCAGCGGAGCCTACACCTGCCAATGCCCGCCCCAGAATGAACACGTGAGAAGTAAGTGCAGTTGCACAGACAACGCTTCCGACCTCGAATATCAGCAACGCGGCCAAGAAAACAGATTTGCTGGAGAAGAGTGTATAGATCTTTCCATATGAAGGTTGGAATGCGCAGGATGTCAATGGGTAGATTCTGTTCCGATCCCCGTCAATGTCTCCCCAATACCTTGCTTTTGAATTCACGGATGGATCACGTACGCTGCATACCAACCCACATCATCAATGCTGTGGAATTGCTTGGTAATCCGAGGTACAGCGGTGGAAATGATCGTATTGTCTATTGATACGCACAAAGTTGCCAAGCATAATACAATTGATATCATGAGCACCTTCGAAAATTTGACAGGCCTGTCGGTATTCTCCGTTTCTTGGCCTACTTCCTGCAATTTTGGCTCCACCATGCCGGCACCTGCAGCTGCAACCGCATTTTCTGCGGGAGGATTCAGAGCCATCCTGGTCGGCACGCTATCATGCGTGTGAATAAAGAGTACAGCGCTGGAGCCAGGGGCAGAAGAAAGGTAGCGATCGGAACCAAAAGAAAAGTTCCTCAGCACAAGGAGGGGACGATAGCAGCCTGTTGAGAATGCCCGATATCCAATGGATGAGGTTCACCGCCATCTGCTGACTCAACAGCAAGAAACGAAATCCTGGAGCCTTGGGATTTTGAAGGATCGTAATCCGGCATCAATGCATTGCTTCGGATTGCACGCCAACGAAAACTCCAAGACGGCAATGAGGTACAAGACATACCGCAATTATGCCGGATAAGACGCCGCACAGATCGCAAGTGGGGAGCTCCATTTGTATCCTCGGTTTTCGTGGGTGGTGCGAGCCTTTTCCGGGGGGTCACGATTCGTGTTTGTGGGGAAGTGTTTGTACGGAGGCAGTCGGGTCCCCGCCACGCATGCTGATGAGACGCCTGTACCCGTGACTCTTCGCCGGTGGGTGGAAATGAGTTGGCTTTTGTCGTAGGTGTAAACTAACATCTAGCCTTGCCATTCTCATTTGTGGTTTAGCGACCGGATAATGACATTTTGTGTACACCCAACTTGAGAGGCTGTCACTGTTTCGCGTTGAAACAAACTCACGATTCATTTTATCTTATCCCCCACCTACAAGGTGCGTGGAGACTCGAGTGGCGCGTATCAAGTAATATCGCCAAGGTGTGGACGGATAAATGCTTGTTGGTGCTTGGCATTGAGCTAAAAGCGGGCCTGTGGACCTGTTCTCGGGATCGCATAGTGGGAATAAAGAGGTGTGAGTAGCACAAAGTCAACCGCAGGCATGCTAACACTACAAATTCCGTACCAGTGGAAGGGACAGAGGAGAAAACGATCGGTCTCATTACAAGGATGTCTTGGCGAGATGAAGAAAAAAGGAAAAAGGAAAAATGAAAAAACATCTGAGAGTCACTAAGCCTGGCAGAAGCAGACTTGGGCGCCTGTCACATCAGGCATAAATACTCAGCCAGTCAAAGATGCGAATAGTATAGCAAGAAAGCTAATCAGAACAATGCCAGAGCCCCATTAATTTGACACTTGATGCTAGCAAGACCTCCAAGAATGGTCCTAAACAACCTTGTATGTAAACATCTGGCCAATCCAATCCCAATCTTCCCTTGCATCATTTTCCTGGTTCGTCCTCTGCCAATTTTAGTCCACGGGTAGCCTGTCTAGCATCGGTCTTAAACCCTAGTGCAATCTTCACACTCAATGGTTTCAATGTTTGCCTTAAAAAATTAGACATGGGTAAAGCCTTCAATGTGACAAATATCTCTCGTCAAGGACGATGGATGACTTTTTGATGGCTACAGGTCTTCTACGAAATACCACAACATAAACATTTGCTTAACTTTAGAAGTTGCTGAATATACCCATGAGTTAAAGTTTGAGTTATTCGAGACCTCAACAGTACGTTAATTCTGTTCAGCTAGGAAATATGAAGAACTTTGGAAGGGATCAGTCGGCTTGGTGAATTGGCTATTAGATCATCGGGACCTTGTCGGGCCCAATTTTTGAGGCTTTCCGTTACCGCGAGTTATAAAACTACGGAAGAGAAAAAAGAATCTTCATTGTTTGAATTTTTTTTTTCTCGAGTCCAGTATGCGACTACCTTCTAAGGCAAGATCTTCAAGCTGCACTCGTCGGGCGTTGGAAAGTTTCGATCCGTTGGGATAATTACCATCAGTGGATGCCATGCAGCATGTGAGAGCGAATTGTAGGGAGAATGATGTCAGTGGAATCCTCTTTGGGGGGATTGTTCAAGAGAACACATGATGATCGTAAGAGATTTATGCCCGTTAGGCATTTTGCATGCCGGACTTTAACGCGAATAGGGGAGTGATGAGGGTGAAACCGGAGGTACCTCAATTGATTCGGTGTGGACCACGAAAACTCAATTTGTTGTTCTCACCAGGCACAAAATCATATTGTTCGTCACTAATAATTTTCTTGTGGGTCTCCGAGGATCTACCGACCAGACGATCATTTCGGTCAACCCAACGGGGAATAGGTACCAGTTCAGGACGATTCATGGCTCCATACTGCGACAAACCCTAGATCTAAAACTTCAAGTACGAATATGAAGCATTTACGTATGGTTATAGTATAAACCAAAAAAAAAAAAAATTATAAATACTCCCAAGAATGGCTGGACCGAAAGAAGCCGATCTTTTCACGGCATGCCGACTTCTCGGCGGGCGGGACTGACCGAAGCCGAGTCCGGTTCGGAGAGATCAGGATCGGGAAGTCGTCGGTCCCTTTTCGGTGTTATCAAAATCCACCCTGGACTGCTCACACGCGGGCCTTGTCCGAACATGTCAATCTCTTAGCTACGTGGCGTTCCTGTTCTTGGCCACAATTCGTCCATCAATTTCGTGATCCACAAGTTTCATACGAGCGAAGCTGGTTGTAACCATGGACTTGTGATTCTGGTCTCACAAAACAAGATACGATCGAAAGCTCGTGCATAGTCCGGGCTGTCCGGGGTGTCGTCACTAGTCTCTTTCAGAAGTTCAGAGTCAGGTGGACGGCTTTTATTGTAGCTCGACAATCTATAGTAGAATCGCTGGACAAGCAACAGACCGAATTATACAACGTATGTACACACTGTATGATAGCAAGGAGATTAATTTCAATGTACCTCCACCTTGGCGAAAGTCAAATCTGTCGATTGAAGGATCCGAGAACACATTAGACCACCATGGAGCACTGCTAGGCCAAGACCCCACGCTTTGTTGTTGGAGAGGCCCGCAGCCCCATACTCGCAAACCCGGAGTTTTGCGGATGACGAAGTACCTTCCCCTGGAAGTAGGCGGTTTATATTCTGTCTCATTTCCCCCGAATTCTGGTTCCTTCTAATATCATAAATTTCTTTTCATCCTTTCTTAAGGACTACACATATTACACCATGAAGTCGAAACAACAGCAGCAGCCGGTCTCTGCTTCTCACGACGAGAACATTCCTATAACGGAAATGACTGCCACACACGATGAGACCCCCAGCGCAAATCAAAAAGGTTGGATCGTTGGAGGAACATACCGCGAAAAACTTTACGATGAACAATCGCCAGATTTCGACAACCGACTTTTGCAAGAGGTTGACTTCGACATGCCACTCACAGTGACAAGGAAGATGGAACACAATGGAGGAAATTTTCTTGTGCTTGAGTTCGTCGAGGGCGATAAGGAAAATCCTTTCAATTGGAGTGAAAAGAGGAAGGCTTTCATTAGTTGTCTGCTTTGCTTGATGACCCTTTTCATCGGTCTTGCCACAACAGCCTACAGTTCGGGTATCTCAGACATGGTTGAAGATCTTGGTGTTTCCACCGAGCTGGGTCAATTGGGTCTGTTCACATTCAACTTTACTTGTGCCCTTGCTCCCCTCTTCCTGGCTCCTTTCTGTGAGCTGGCTGGACGGCGGGTCATCTACGTTGGTAGTTATGTTTGCTTCGTCCTCATGTTCATCGGGCTCTCACTTGGAAAGAACATCGCCACTATCATTGTCTGCCGTGCCCTTCTCGGTCTGTTTGGATGTGTTGGAACCATCCTTGTCGGTGGTACCTTTGGCGACATGTACACTCCGGCTCACCGTGCCATCCCGATGGCCTCGTTCTCCTTCATTGCCATCTTCGGTACCGTCGCCGCCCCGATCTATGCCGGTTTTATCGACCAGGCTCTAGGATGGAGATGGGTGGAAGGCATCCAGGGTTTGGCAAACATCCCTCTTGGTATTGTCATTGCCATTTTCTTGTGTGAAACCCGTGGTGGTGTAACCCTCTCCAAGCGAGCCAAGATGCTCCGCAAGAACACTGGAGATGAGCGCTTCGTCACCCATAACGACCTCGAGGCTCCCGGCATCAAGGAGATGCTGCACAACTCATCCGTCAAAGCTATCCGTATGCTTTTCACTGAGCCTGTTGTCTTTGCCTTTGGTCTCTGGATTAGTTTCGCCTGGTTCCTGACTTTCCTCTTCTTGTCTGTTATCCCGATCACATTCGCCGACAAGCGTGGCTGGGGTGAGGGTGTAGCCGGTCTCCCCTACATTGCTCTCTGTGTTGGTACCACCATCGGCTTTGGCATGAACTTCTTCCAGATCAAGAAGTACAAATCTCTCGTCGCGGATCCCTCCCGCAAGGTTGACCCCGAAGCCCGTCTGTACGGTGCCATGTGCGGAGCCGTCTGGCTGCCAGTCGGTCTTTTCATCTATAGCTTCACCCAATACGCCGAGCTCACCTGGGTCGGTCCTGTCATTGGTCTGGCTCTCATTGGTATTGGAATCTTCTTCATCTTCGAGTCTTGTTACAGCTACACCTCTGACTGCTATGGTGAGAACTCGTCTTCCGCCATCGCCGGTCAGGGTTTCATGCGTAACACACTTGGTGCTGTCTCGCCACTGTTTGCTACTCAATTCTTTGAAAACTTGGGCAGCCAGTATGCTGGGTTGTTGCTGGCTCTGATTGCCACGCTGTTGACATTCATCCCATTCGTGCTGTATAAATTCGGGCCTGACCTTCGTGCTCGGTCGAAATTGGCTAGCACCACTGTGGCTGCTAATGTCCTTTAAAATATTGCATACAAAGCATTTGGAGCATTGATCCATTACATGGACTTAGATTAGTACATACATCATCAGACTCAGGGAACTGAGCACATTGCATATAAAACTTGAGTTAATAAATGACCTGAAATTTAACGAATATCTTGCCTATGTTGATTCCACTTCCATCTTAGTCTTCGTTATTTAATGAATCGCTATTCTGGAATTTTCTGCGAGAATGCGAGACCCGTACCCCAAACAAACGTGCGGCACCAGCAACGCCAATATTTCGCGGGGGCGGGCTAGGTTGGTTTCTATTCACTGTGGCGTTTTTCTTGTGGAGTATAGGAGCAACATCATATCAGATGTCATTCTAATCAACTGCTTTAAGATTGTTGAAAATTTACAGTAAATTTAAAAAACAAGCTTATCATTGAGCAACTCCATTTCGCTAATGTACCACGAATTAGGCCATTGTGGCGAAGACTTCGTCTCAAACTTTCTGAGATTGATTTTTCTCGTTTTCTGTTCAACGGGGGAAAGCCGGAGAAATAGTGAGCGCGCGGATCTTAACTATGTGCATCGCAAGGTTCTCAATCGGGCAGGCGGGGTGATTATGCCGATCCATATCACGTGACCCAGATCTATCAGCTGCTATACCACGTGACCTGGCTCTGATCCCTTCCCCACGTGACTGACCAGAAGGCGGTGTGATCCCGTCTATTCCATTTCCAGAAATTTTCCATCGAAAATCTTCAACCCACCCCAATACCCCAATTTCATTTGCTTAATTTAAAAGGCAGTGATCCTTTGCGTGAGCCCATATCTCGAAAGATTTGGATTTGATTTCTCTTTACAACAATGGCCGAAGATACCAACGCTGGTAAGTTTTCAAGCTACATCTGATCTACATATCAATGCTAATTCTTCACAGCCTGGCCCATCGCCGATGAGTCTTTGACTCAGTCCCTCCTCGACCTTGTCCAGCAGGCTTCCCACTACCGTACGTTCCAATATCATGTGGAGAGAAAGACTCGACCTCTGGAGCAAAGCTAATCTTTGAACAGGCCAGCTGAAGAAGGGTGCCAACGAGGCTACCAAGACCCTGAACCGCGGTACCTCCGAGATCGTCGTCCTCGCCGCCGATGCTTCTCCTCTGGCTATCGTCCTTCACCTGCCCCTCCTTGCTGAGGACAAGAACGTTCCCTACGTCTACGTCCCCAGCAAGATGGCTCTGGGCCGTGCTACCGGTGTCTCCCGCCCTGTGATTGCTTGCTCGATCACTACCAACGAGGCCTCCGAGTTGACCAACCAGATCCGCACCATCAAGACCGCTGTCGAGCGTCTGATGATCTAAGGACCTCAATACCATGGATCGTGACTGATGGAGGGTTGTATCGAAGAGGGAAGAATATGCGGCATCGGTCGGGCTGTGAGGATGTGTTTAGCGAAGAATGGAGCTTCGGCTCTTATTCTGGCCTCGCGAGTTGCTGTCCAAGACTTTAGCTAGATCTTTTCAGCTTTGAGATACAATTTCAGATCATTTTGAGAAATTGCTAGGCACATCGTCAGAGTAGTCATCAATCATTATTTAGAGTATTTAGATTTCGTTGCACGTGCTGTAGCGAATGTTAGCCCCTAGTTCTTTCCGTTGGAAGTGGAGAGCACGAGCATTGCGTGGCCCGGTACATTCAGTCCCCTTGAATCAAGTGCCGAGGTGCATCTAGCAGGCCTGCATCGACGTCATCCAACCCTAGCACGGAGAATTCATTGGGGCATTGGTGCATTTTGCAAGTTAAATATGACGCGGGGTATCATCACTCGGATATCTATAACCCGATCACCCCTGCAAGCCACCATAGACCCGAGGCCACTTCGTGAAGAAGCTACCGAAAAAGATCGGCAGTGCCACCGGAGCTTGTAAGATCAAAGCACCACACGAGCAGCGGGGCCACAAGTCAGTAGAATGATGACTAGGACTTTATCAGATCTACCTTACTTACAGATTGCAGACAGCTGACGCGGCACAATATTACGAAGTCAGTACACAATAAGCAACACGGCAGAGCCAGAGAGGCTCAAGGCGTTTGAGAAAGATGGGCCTAGGGTCCGCCAATGGAACTATTGACCGAACCGAACCCTAGTGTGGCGCCGTTGCATCAGCATAGGATCCAAAACAGACGATCACTTAATTCCAGACAACTTTCGGGCCCTCTTTGATCCTCCAATCTCGTTCTATGCTAGTAATTTTCCTGTGGGGTCGTCTAACACCTAAACGTGCACTCCACCTTCGCGTTCCATGGCTTCTCTCTTCCATCTTAGCGGGGCACCAAGTGGAACATGACTGATGGATTCCCCCGTGGTGTCTCGGACTGGCCCTGACCGAGACTGGTGCCTTATTGGCTCGACGCAGAATCCTCAGGAGGGGATGCGGAATAATATATCCCATGGGAATGAAGTAGGTTGGGATATAACGGCTGCCGCTTGTCAATTTCGATCTGGTACTCAGGGGCACTCTTAAGGATTTATTAGTCCTACTTTCCCCTTGTTTCATTCCAAAGTTTCCCATTCTTAATTTCGTTCACTTTTGTATCTTTTTTATATTTTTTTATTTCCATTCGACATGCTGTCGAGTTTCCTCGCAATCGGCCTGGCGCCATTGCTCGTCACTGCCCAACTCTCCGGCTCCGTGGGCCCTACAACTTCTTACGCTACCAAGGCGGACAACAAGATTTGCAGTGTTCTTGACTATGGCGGTGTAGCCGACAACTCGACCGATATTGGACCAGCTATCACCTCGGCTTGGGATGAGTGCAAGGATGGTGGTGTTGTCTATATCCCGTCTGGTGCCTACGCCCTTGACACATGGGTCGGATTGAGCGGAGGAAGCAGCTGTGCGATCAACATTGATGGCATCCTCTACCGGACTGGAACCGACGGAGGCAATATGATTTATATTGAGCATACCACCGATTTTGAGTTGCTTAGTTCTACTTCGCAAGGTGCTTTCCAAGGCTTTGGATATGAGTTCCACGCTGAGGGCAGCATCTCTGGACCTCGTATTTTGCGTCTGTACGATGTTGTCGATTTCTCGGTTCACGACCTTGCTCTTGTCGACTCTCCTTCATTCCATTTCTCCATGGATACTTGTGAGAATGGCGAGGTTTACAACATGATCATTCGTGGTGGAAACGAGGGTGGACTGGATGGCATTGATGTCTGGTCTACCAACATCTGGATTCACGACGTGCGCAATAATCATCTTCCAATCTTCTGACTCACTCTGTTTCTACGGTCTGTACTAATCTTCTATATAGGTCGAGGTCACCAACAAGGATGAGTGTATCACTGTCAAGGTAAATATCACAAGTCACGAGGTGTAGAACGCTAACTAATTCCATTCCAGAGCCCTGCCCAAAACATCTTGGTAGAGAGCATTTACTGCAACTGGAGTGGTGGCTGTGCCATGGGCTCCTTGTCCACCGGCACCAACATCTCCGATATCACTTATCGCAACATTTACACCTGGTCCTCAAACCAGATGTACATGATCAAGAGCAACGGTGGTAACGGAACAGTCTCCAACGTTCTCCTTGAGAACTTCATCGGTATGATATACCACGCGCAGACAAGCCCCGTAAGAGCTACTAACATGTATAGGTCACGGAAATGCGTACTCTCTCGATATCGACCAAGCCTGGAGCAGCATGAGCACCGTAGATGGCGACGGCGTTCAACTCAACAACATCACCTTCAGCAACTGGAAGGGTACAGAGGCATCCGGCGCTGAGCGCGGACCTATCAAGGTGAGGTGCGCTGACACCGCGCCCTGCACCGATATCACTATCGAAGACTTTGCCATGTGGACAGAAGAGGGTGACTACCAGTGGTACTGGTGTGAGAGTGCCTATGGCGATGGATACTGCTTGGAGAGTGGAGATGACTACACCTCCTACACTACTACTGTCACTGCGACTGCTGCTCCGACGGGATACTCTGCTGCTACCATGGCAGCGGATCTGACCGCTGCCTTTGGTACTGACTCTCCTATTCCTATTCCTGCTATTCCGACCTCGTTCTACCCCGGTCTTAGCCCCTCCAGCGCTCTGGCTAGTGCTTCGCCGACCTCGGTGTACCCCGTTCGGGCTTAGATTGGATTAGGTTAACAACATCATCCGGTGAATGCCTGGTCTTGAAAGTCATAGATCACAGGCTGAGTTGTTCCCAGTATGGAATATTCCCACTACTTTCTTTCATAATGACCGAACCAGTTAAGCACGATATAACCCAATATGGAAAGTCAATCAACGACATCTTAGAACTTTTCCATATACTGCGAGGCTTAGTTTGTAGAAATTGTAGCGACTCAAGATCCATTCACTACTGTCTCCGAGTGCAAGTACAATTTTGGGCCTTGAGGCATGGCTAATAATCACGTCATCACAGGATCGTACAAAGAATGTCAGCAGATTAATTTCGACAATCGAAACAAGAGATGTGATTCGCCAAAATCACGGATATTCCTATCCCTTTGCGCGAGTTGGATTCGATGGAATTCGGAGCTGACATGCATATAGAGCGGTCTCTACGGGAACTCCGACTCCTTCCATTTGAACTCCCACCTACCAGCCATGTCCGATCATACCAAATCACCAGGTCCTGAGCCCACAGCGACTGGATCTCCGCCATTATCATCATCAACAGCCATACCTCCCATTGATGACAAAACCGTCTACAATGCCAAAGCCGAGGTCCTCAACCGTGCAATCCAAGAAATTGGCATGGGCCGCTACCAATGGCAACTATTCATCGTGATTGGCTTTGGCTGGGCAAGCGATAATCTCTGGCCGATCGTGACATCTCTCATTCTCGCGCCAGTTGCATACGAATTCCAAATCAGCAAGGAAGCCCTCTTAACACTCGCCCAAAATATCGGGCTCCTCGTCGGCGCCGTATTTTGGGGTTTCGGATGCGATATCTTCGGTCGGACATGGGCGTTCAACCTCACCATCGGGGTGACTGCCGTATTCGCCTTGGTCGCAGCGGGGTCACCCAACTTTGCCGCAGTGTGCACCTTTGCCGCATTGTGGTCCGTTGGTGTAGGTGGGAATTTGCCCGTGGACTCTGCCATTTTCTTGGAATTTTTGCCTGGGTCGCATCAGTATTTATTGACGGTTTTGTCGATTGATTGGGCTTTTGCGCAGGTTTTGGCGACTCTTGTTGCGTGGCCGCTTTTAGGGGATCTGACCTGTTCTCAGGCCGAGGGGTGCACTAAGGCGAAGAATATGGGATGGAGGTATTTTATGATTGCCATGGGTGGGTTGGCGATGATCATGTTTGTCGGTCGCTTTGTCTTTTTCACTATGTATGAGTCGCCGAAGTACTTGATGGGGAAGGGACGCCATGGAGATGCGGTGGATGTCATTCATGAGGTGGCGCGACGAAATGGGAGAACCTCGTCTCTGAATCGCGAGGATTTGGATGCGTTGGACCGGGAACAAGAGCAGTCACAAGATTTCCGTGCCACGAGCCTGGTTCGTCAGCGACTGGAGAAGCTCAACTTCGAGCACGTTCACGCGTTATTCGATACCCCCAAGCGAGCTTATTCAACGGCATTGATTATTCTTGTCTGGGCACTTATCGGTCTGGGATACCCTCTCTATAACGCTTTTCTTCCCTATATCACCGCCCGTCGCGGTGTAGCGTATGGCGATGGATCAACATACGTCACCTACCGCAACTCATTGATTATCGCTGTGATGGGCATTCCCGGCTGTCTGTTTGGTGCCTTTCTCGTTGAAATACCACGATTTGGACGAAAGGGCGCTCTTTCAGTCTCGACTGCATTAACAGGCGTCTTTCTCCTGGCATCGACCACGGCATCGACATCTGATGCCCTTCTCGGATGGAACTGTGCATTCAGCTTCATGAGCAGCCTAATGTATGCCGTGCTTTACGCGTATACACCGGAGATCTTCCTCACAAAGGACCGCGGTACTGGCAATGCATTGACCGCGTCTGCGAACCGTGTCTTCGGTATCATGTCGCCCATCATCGCCATGTTTGCCAACCTGGAGACTGCCGTCCCGGTATATGTCAGTGGAGCCCTCTTTCTCACAGCCGGGGTTTTGGTTGTGTTGATGCCATATGAGTCCCAAGGGAAAGCAAGTCTGTGAGTTAGAAGTAATGAGTGACTAGAATAGATGTCTCACGTCAATAGATCACAGTCATCACAGTCATCGCGGTCAGGTGTAAGCTTAACCCATGTTGCCATACGATGACATCATCCAGCCGTCATCGCAGTACTGATATACAGTAAATTATTTGGCATAATGAATCAACTGCACAAATCTTTGATTTACAGTAAAAATTCAATGACAGTAAGCCGCCACTCCATGGGCGTGACATCGACCCTGGATACCCCATGTATCATAACTATGAGCTCAATGTGGATCCCAGCCGCTTTACGTCAGGTGGTTTGACTGGTTCTGACGGGAGTGCCACGGCGTGGATACGCATCTCATTCAATCGATTGGTAGCCGTTGGCGTGGGGTTAATCTAATAAAGTAGTGTGGCTTGAGAAAGTCGCATGTATTATATCATGGCTCAGATCAAGTTTTCGTCATCGTCGCCAACCGAAGATATTTAAAAGGGGAAACTCCTCATTTAAATGGTGAAAACATTTGATCTTTCGTCTCAAATCTACCACTTTATACCGTGCAACTTATACGTACTCGTTGCAACATGTCTGAACAAAACAACCAAAACAACAGTACGATCCCACGCCACCTCAATTACTCTATGCATGAAAGTCTAACATGGCCGCTTTACTTTATCTAGACAACCCCGGTCTCCTCGGCGGCTTAGGCGATACCCTCGGTAAAACAGTGGGAGGCATCACCAACACAGCAGGAAGCGCTGTCGGCGGTCTCGGTAGCACTGTCGGTGGTGTCACACAAGGACTTGGACAGACCGTATCTGGCGCAACAGAAGGTCTAGGTAACACGACCAAGAACACTGGACAGGGCATTTCGAATGGAATCCAGAGTGTTGGCGGGAAGCAACAGACCGCCGAGAACCCACTCGGCTTGAACCGATAGAGACGATCACTGGCAGATGTGAGGATTATGACTTGATGCGATTGAATCATCGACTATGTGATGATAATTTGATAGCTTCTTGGTGTACTATAGTATTATTGTCAATTTCAATAGTAACAAACAGCTTTGAACACGAACCTTCCAATGATTGCATCATATCCTTGTGGATGTGGACCCAGATGGGGGCCAAGTTTAAACCCCATCCCGTTACTCATGCTTTTCGAAACGTCTTTTTACACAGCCTCGCGACTGTTAATCTCTGTAAAAGCTTTCCAATTTATTGACTGTTTTATACAATATTTTCGTCTATGGGCCTGTGACCCCTGGAAATTCGAAATGCCGAGCCTGGTACATGCAATAAACCTGGAACTACGCCTTCCCTCAATGCGATTATGTGTCTATCGCCTTCTTTCCACCTGCCAAGGGCATAATGTCAGCTATTTCGATGGATTCACCGTCTGTTGTTCGCCATTGAGAAGATGGAGAAGGATACTAAGGCACCGGCTCTTGTAATGAAATCGTTCTTGATGCTGGGTTGTTAGCATCATGCGGCGCGGTGTTGAACTACATTTTGAGATTTCAGCTCGGTGGAAGGACTATGAGATTAATTTGGAGACCCTTGCAGGTTTTTGAATCTTGAAATTTTAATCACAATACATTCTCCGGTGTTTCCTTAGACAAGATAGAGAAGAAAGAAAATTCTCGATACGATCGATGTCTATGGGTAAAATGAATGAAAAATGTATTCTGGGACTACGGCATGGCCCTTGCAGCTAGCCAGGGGTCTGCAACACTACAGAGCTAAAGTAATGACTACTCAAAAGAAATAAAAACATTCTTCCTGGTCTCATGTGTAACTCCTAATTTCGTTTAATCGAGTTATTTGTTTCCAGAGCCCGAAGACCGGGGACCGAGAGTCAATCGCCGATTGACGTAGAAACTGTAGATCTGGTTCGGCCAATTAGACTTCAGGATTCTGGGAGTCTACCATAAACAGCTCTATCTGTGGAGAGCGATGAATCCGAGAGTTGCTAAACTGTGGATCACGTCATCTCGGCCGACTTGCTGTCGAGTCATCCGGGGATTGACAGCTCCGGCGACTATCGAAAAGTATGCGAAATTCCTGCCATTGTTCGCTTTGCTTTTCTGAGTCTGTTGTGAATTCTGATGAGGAGATACGTTTAACTCTTCATACTCTCACCATAAGAAGTATCAGGAAACAATGACTGATTGCCAGAATACACAGCACCAGCCTGTATCAAAGCATGATGAGGGTTGGAGAAGGATAGTGCGCAATTTCACACCTTCGTTCGTTGGTATCTGATACACCGAGTTTGTGATCATGCTAACCCCGCTTCCAGGTGGTTCGCTGTGACAATGGGCACAGGCATCGTATCGATCCTGCTGCATAATCTCCCCTATAATGCGTTGTGGATTTACTGGATTTCTGTCGTGATATTCGCCCTGAACGTGCTGCTTTTTTCCCTAGGGTGCATCATTAGCATCCTGCGCTATGCTTTATACCCGGATATCTTCATGGTGATGATTACACACCCAGTTCAGTCCATGTTCATCGGCACTTTTCCCATGGGTCTTGCCACAATCATCAATATGATCGTCCTTGTCTGTGTACCTGCATGGGGTGAGTGGGTAAGATACGTGGCCTGGGGATTATGGATTTTCGATGCCGTGATTTCCGTGATGACAGCCTTATCATTACCATTTATCCTGTACAGTCATGCCTTTTGCCTTCATATAATGACCATATTGTTAACATGTTGATAGAATGGCACAAGGAAGCGAAACTCACCTTTCCTCCATGACAGCTGTTTGGCTTCTTCCTATTGTGAGCTGCATCGTGGCCGCCTCCTCCGGGGCCATTGTTGCCGAGGTACTTCCCAACCCGGAACATGCACTCTGGACCATCCTTGTCAGTTATGTGCTCTGGGGTATTGGAGTACCCCTTGCGTTGATGGTCATTGTCATCTATCTCCAGCGCTTGACCTTGCACAAATTACCACCCAAGGCTGTTATTGTCAGTGTATTTTTACCGTTGGGCCCTCTGGGACAAGGTGGATATGGGTACGGTATACTCTTTACATTATGTCAAAATTGAGCTAAATTTTAGTAGTATGATGAAGTTAGGTCAATGCGCTCGAGACATTTTCCCCAAAACTCACACGCTGGAAGAAGGTTCAGGACCCACCTTCTACACCCTTGGCTTTCTAGTTGCCCTGATCCTGTGGTCTTTTGGGCTAGTCTGGCTCTTCTTTGCATCCGCGTCGATCGCCCACTGCAAGAAATTTCCTTTTAACATCGGATGGTGGGGGTTTACTTTTCCATTGGGCGTGTATGCAGCTAGTACGACCCAAATGGGGACGGAGCTGCCTTCCAGGTTTTTTGCAGTGCTTGGAACCGTAAGTTCAACTGCCTATCTCCTTCTCTGACTAGTTCACTGATATGGGATCTCAAGATTCTGTCGCTCTGTGTAGTGCTTCTATGGATCGTTGTGAGTATTCGGACCCTGCGTGGGGTGATCTCAGGCAAGCTGTTTTTCGCGCCGTGTTTGGCCGACCTTCAGGTTGTTGAGGAGAAAGAGGCGAGCAAGGCGGCATAAAATGAAATGTGGATGTCAATTCTAGGGAAAGGTTCAAAGAAGAAAATTTAAGCATAATGACTTCGAGTGATAGATAGGTTGGGTGAGTTGGGTACCGTAGACTTCCCCGCCCGTGACTCTCACGTGATGTGGAGAGAAATCCTCGAAATTCGATTTTTAATTTTTTTAATTTTTTCCATTTTTTATTTTTTTTATTATTATTTCCCTAGTAATTCATCGAGATCCCCAGACCGTCATCCACTTTGCCTCCCCCCCCGATCTTTATATACCCTGAATCTCAAAACAGGGTGTACTGGGGCTATTTGGATCCTGCTGGAGTGCCCTGTTGGCCCTGGTGCTTCCTCGTCCCCCTGAATCACTCTTTCGTGTTGTTGGGCCATTTTCTTGCAACTTGCGCTGACCGGCCGCACTCGGCCTCCGTACCCGCTAGGCTCTTTTTGGGAGGGGCAAACTCCTGCCTTGCTGCCTTGTCGCCTTATATCTCGGCCCGCCCGAAACAACAAAACACGCGGCGCGACTCTTACGGTCTCAACTATAACTGAGATTGTCCATCACGCGACCACTGCGAGAGTGAATTATCTATATATATCGGCTTTTGATTACAAGTATTGCCCGTTCTCTGGCAAGCGGTGGTCGCATGTATCGTGAACAAAACCGAAGCTAAACCCCCATCGAATCCCGCTGCCGCTGACGGCTAATTCGAACCCACGTCATTGAAGATGATGGGATACGGGGGTCAACCCTTTCACCCCTCCCAGCAGCAACAGCAGCAGGCACAGCAAACCCATCCTTCCAACCAAGCCCAGCATCCCCTGGCCCCTCAACGTCAGCATGTCCCATCGCCGTCGCTTGGCGCCGCGCCGAACCTCCCGCAACACGGAAGTCCCTTCCCAAGCAATAAGCCAATATTTCGGGCACAGCCGCAACAGAATTTTACCGCAGCGCAATCACCGGATCTACGTAAAATGGCTCCGACTTCGACAGGGCCGTTGGCGGGGTATCCCGCCACCACAAGCTTTGCAGCACAATACCCTGCCCACTTTGCGCCACAGGGTTCACCGGATCTGATGTCGCGAAATTCCGATCCGATGGCTTTGCAGAATATTCAGAGAGGGTACAATCCAATTGCGCACTTGCGACCGCAGCCAGGCATGAGTCCTGGAATGAGTGCCGGGATGAGCCCTCCGACTGCCATGACACATCAGCATGCTGCAGGGATATCGTCACCACAGCAGTCTTTAAATAGGCTGCCTCACTCGAGCGTTCATCAGCGGGAAAGCTTCCCATCGGCTAGCCCATCTATGGCGAGTCCCTCCATGTTTGCCATCAACCAGCAGAGACAGCCTCAGTCCCAGCCGCAATCCCCCCAACAGACACATCAGCAGTTGCAGGCGAGGCAGCAACAATACCAGCAGCAACAGCAACATCAGGAACGGATGCAGCAGCAACGGATAGAGCAGCAAAAACAGATCCAGCAGCAGCAACAGCAGCAGCAGCAGCAGCAGCAACAACAGCAACAACAGCAGCAGCAGCAGCAGCAGCAGCAGCAGCAGCGATTGGAACAACAGCAACAACAACAACGGCTGGAGCAGCAGAAGCAGCTAGAACAGCAAAAGCTAGAGCAGCAGAAACGCCTTGAGCAACAGCAGCAACAACAGCGTCTTGAACAGCAGAGGCTAGAGCAGCAGCAGCAGCAGCAACAGCAACAGCAACAGCAGCAGCGCCTCGAGCAGCAGCGACTGGAGGCGCAAAGACAGCATCAGCAACGCTTAGAGAAACAGCGGTTGGAGCAACAGCAGAAGGAACTTTTGGAACAACAGAGATTACAAAAGTTGCAACAACAATCTCAAGCACAAAATCCTTATCAGCAACAACCTTCTCCCTTTGCACAGCATACTCAATCCCCATTCCACCAGTACCAGCCGCAGGGCTTCGTTCAACAACCTGTCCAATTCAATCAGCAGACTCAACCTCAATTCACCTCTTCGCAACAAACTCCCCAGTTCCAGCACTATCAACCACCGTCGCAAGCCTCGGCAGATGCCTCACGACAATCTGTGGTGCCGTCTGGAACGTCGTCAACGGGGAATCAGACTATTAAGATGGAAGACCACAGCCCTGCTCCGAAAAAGAAGGCCGTTCCAAAGCCACGGAACTCTCTAGCTGCCCAGCCTCAATCTACTCAGACTCAAATGCAGCAAAGTATTCCCGCTCCTGTACCGACTGCCACTCCTGCTCAGCCCAATGGTCAAGTACAACTAGCTACCGGTGACCCTTCCACTCCAACGCCAAAGCGCAAACGTGGACGTCCACGCAAGGAGGAAGTGGCGGCTAGGGCTGCTCAGGCTGCTGCTCAAGCTGCAGCAAATGGCCAACCCATTCCGGGAACATCGCAGCCTGGACAAGCATCATTCAATCCTAATATGACGCCCACGGCCGCTGGTTCAGCTGTGGGTTCTCAGCTTACTCCCATTATCGGTCCTGATGGAACTCCATTACCTCTCAAGCGTAAACGTGGTCGTCCTCGCAAGGCAGACCAGATTGCTTGGGCGGCTGCAACAGGACAGCCATTACCACCACCGAAGCCAAGAAAACCTCCTCAGCCCAAGGCAAACAAGCCTAAGCAACCTGGTACAGGTCGGCCTCGTGGAAGACCTCGCAAAGCAGATATTGCGGCGGCGGCTGCGGCAGCAGCTGCTGCTGCAGGCGGAAACCCGATCCAGGTGGAGAACAAGCCGAACTTAGGGGATAGTGCAGAGATGAACCAGGCTCATAAGCGTGCGGCACTCACGAGAGATGACGATCCAAGCAAGCGACTTTGTCCAACCCCTCCATACCACCAACAAGGCCAAATGCAACAGCAGCAACAATTACCTCAATTACCTCAGCAGAATCACTCGCTTCCCCAGCCTGGTCAATCGATGGCCGGGCAGTCGATGCAAGGACAGGCGATGCCTGGCCAATCAATGTCCGGACAAAATATGTCTGGTCAATCAATGCAAGGACAGTCAATGTCACAGGCTCATCACCTCCAACAGCAGGCTCAGCACATGACGACCCAAGCAAGCCAACACATGCCCCAACAACTCGCACACCAGCCTGGACAAGCTCTGTCAATGCCACATATGCACATGCATCAACAGTCGCCTATTCACTCAGCGCGACCTACGCCCCCACATGCCTTTATGCAGATGCCTCCTTTGCAGCAAGTTCAGGCCCAACCGATACACGGACACCCCCAGCCCCAGCTTCAAGGCGCTCAGACACACGCACAAGGCAGAGTTCCACCCCGCCCTGCACCACAGCATCAACATCAACATACATTCCAGATCCAACTCCAGCCTCAGCCGACCTAGGCTAGTCTGTCCGTTCTCACCTGTACATGCTACTTCAGTGGTGTCTATCACAGTACCTTTGGCTACACAATTCCGTCTATACTCGACTCCGCATTGATTCCCCGCATACTGCAATGTGTTCTTACCATTTACTTGATTCCCTTTCTTTTGTTACCGGCATCTTTTCTCATGAATGAGGGTGAAGTGGGGATATTTATGATATCCTGGCGTTCTGCGTGATGTTTTGATCTTGGTTGGCATGATGGACATTTGTTCGCTTAGCCGGTGGTTTGGTTGTGTTGTGATTTTCATTATCGACATATATATCTAATGCTGTAGTACATACTCCTAATTCAAGTTTGATTGTACTGGTCAAATATCGGTGTTGCCATACTGAAGTGCCTCCAAGAGATAAACAAACCTAGCGCGGGGGCTAAAACTATCTAAACTGGAGTCCGTATTCATCAATTCCGGCAACAAAGTTTGAACTAAGGTTAGTATTTGAACTCACACTGCTAAGACAGAAAGAGACTCGGATTAGGTAGGTACAACGGAACGCAAGACTCGGCATGAGAAAACCAACTTTTAGGACGTGGTATGCAGGCACCATCATAAGATCATGATCATTAATTCAAATATACCAAGGCGATAACACAAATTTCCTGGTTGATGACAAGAAGAATAAAATCAATCATAACCATCACCAAAAGAAAAAGAGTATGAACACCACATGCACATATTTCATAACCTCATGCCCCATCTGCTTCAAAATCAACCAAATCTTCCAATCCTTCCATTCTAGAATCAACGTCCTCCCGATCCCCCTCGTGAATCGCCTCCTCGCCCAACGTCGACGCACTGGGCCAATCCTCCAAATCGACCTTGAGCATAGGAGCGATCCTCCTAATAATATTGTCACACAATTTGAACGCCCGGTGGGCCCCTGCATCCACAGAAGCCATGGTATGAATCCACAAAAGAGCCTTCTTAGTCATTCTCAGCGCGGTTTTCAAATCCGATTCCAATAAAGACGGGTACGGAGCACCGGATAGACTCGCCGGGTGTTCAGATGGTTTTCGTCCGTCCGGGTCCGGTGGTGCAAAAGAGCAATATAACAAGCCTAGGAGTAGTGCTGTCGTCGATTGCATCAGGAAATGAAGAACACTCCACCAAGGCGTCACTCGCGCAAGCCAGGCGAGATCGACCTTTTCCGGGAAGGTTGAGATAAGCGAACAAGACGCCTGGAGACAATGGGTTGCCATTTCGGCACGCAGTCTTGCACGGGAGGACTTTTCTTGTGCGATATTACGGTGATTGATGCTTAGACAGGGCCTGCAGAGGGTTATCCTGGCGGAATAGTAGTTCATCGCCAGACAGACTCGTTCACGGGTATGAGGGAGAGATTCGTCGTCTAGTTGTGCGTGGTTTAGACTCCATGGACCGCCGTCTGGTTGGGTGAACTGGTAGCTTGGAGGTAATTTGGAGAGCCATCGATCCATGCGTAGAGCGTATTTCTGAAGACGGTATTCTGCTTGACTCGTCCCTTCTCGGACTCCTTCGATGCTGTACACTTTGTTGAGGACGGATTGGGAGATGAGGAAGAGGTCTACTAGGTAATGGAAGAAGAGGGATGAGCTGGGTGGGACGCTGAAGGTCCAGGATGGGACTGGATGGGGCTGGTTGATCTTCTCGAATAGTGTAGCGGATACTTCGATCCTAGATGTGTGATCTAGGAACAGGCGTTGAACTTCTGGTTCGTCGAATCGCTCTTCCTCCACTGGGGTTGGGAGTTGAACAGAGCAAAGGCTCTCACCGACCCGGGAGACACGGCCGTGCATTGAGGTGAGAAGATGTTCTAATGAGTATATAGACCACCACAGGCGGCAACGTGCTTCTTTTGATGCGCGATCTGTTCGCTCATCCATGAGACGTAAATTGATCCCCAGCGAGATAGCCGAATGGAGGGCCATGTTGGCGAATTTAGATGCCCTACACTGATCAACACCTGTATATTCAAAGACGAGAGCCAAGAAACGTACCTATTCACTCGTCCAGTGCAAAGCAGGTAGACAGCAACCAAGAACTCTAACTGAATCTGCTGGAGTCCAGTCGGTTCAAAAAGAATATTATCCTGCAGACTCAGTTGTCTCGCTCGCATCAAAAACACAACATGGTCCTTATAAGAGCCGCTGTTAGCGTGATCCATCAGTCCACAATGTCGACAACCAATGGCAAAAATCATATTTAGTACCGCCAGCCATTTGCGCGGCGGATCAATCCGGCGAATTGGATCATATAATCGGTTGAAGTACTGCAGATATTGTTGCGTGAAGGTCGATTGGCGAATAGCACTGAAGAAAGGATTGACGAATGTCATATAAGCATTGAAATACTGATCAGCCTGATCTCTCGGCGGCATCCCAAACGGGTCTGATTGGGGATCCACATCCGGGATATCCAGTTCATCCAAATGATAGTTCATCATAGCAATAGGGATTTCTCTTGCTATTTTGTCATCTATCGGCGCGGATTCCCCCGCAGGTCCCTCTGAATGTTCCTGATGGGGAGAGTCAGACATTTCCCCGCTGGTACTTCTCCCTACACTATCCTCCAGTTTCTGCATCCAGGACACCTCGGAGCTCTTGCCGAAGAAGCCGGCAGCGCGCGTATGCTCGTTGCGGTTCAGATCTTCGCCGACAATGTCGACAGCTTCTAGAGACCCCACTGACGATGAGCTATCCGAATCATCCTCATCGTCATATTGAGTGGATGGCCCATCTTTGGACTAGATGAAGCTTCGTGTCAATCCACTATCCAGAGGTCGATGTCCACAGTCCAAGTTGTACTCACCTTCAGTGCTTTTCGGATTTTTCGTGCCGTCGGGCCATCGACTTCACTCTCCACATTGCGAAGGGTCTTTTCGTATTTTTCCACGCGATTCGTGAGGAACTTAATTTTATTCTCGTCGCGTATTCGTTTCACCTCTTCGTAGACACAGCGATTGTTGTGGTATATACACTGACCACAAGCGGGGCGTTTACCATCGCATTTTGTTTTCCGTTGTCGACAGGATTCGCATGCACGCGCGGATCGTCGTCGCGCCTGCGCGTTAGTGATGCCAGCTATCCGGGGGATCGCGACCTTTTCTAGAGGGGCCGAATCGGGAGTGTGACCTATATCTGTGCTTGAGGCGGACGGCGTAGGGCCGAATGTGGGAAAGGGAGGCTGTATCAAAGTATGTGGCGCAAACGGCGCGGTGTTGCCCGCATAGATGAAGTCTTGTGGGGCGAGAGACGATCGAGGGCTTGGGTTCGTGTGTGGCGCCCAGTAAGGACCCGTGCTCGCCGGAGTAGCTTCTTGGTGCGGTGAGTTGCGTTGAGAACTCATGGCCACATTGAAGTCGATATTAAGATAGAAGACGGCACGTGAGATGTGTGAATCTTGCACGATTCATCCAGACGGCCATGGGGGGAGGATGAGATAGACTCGTAACGAGAGGATCAAGACCGGTTGAGATGGTGGTGACGAACCAGATGAATGCCGTCGACCCCCCGCTTTTCCCGCCACTGTCCAGTTTTTCCTTACAGGGGTAGCTCTCCCTTCTCACTTGTTCCATGCGCGCGTTTGTGGGTCGGAGAGCATACTTGACGTCAGATTTAGGTCAACCTCGGCGGATGTCTCCACCCAAACCATATTTCAGATATACTTGCACATTTTGATCGGCTGCCTTGATGCTCGAATATAAATCAGGTAAGAGACCCCTTATTGTACCAATGTCGTTCCATGGGAGAAGATTCCATATCAACACCCCGCGGGACGATGTCTTTCCAAGAACACGTCATCTTTGCCCAGACTTAGACTTTCATACCGATCAAGCATGTCCGAGAGCCCCATCCCAGGATAATCCTGGAGGTTGGCGCCGCCCTCGCTGCCAATGCCATGATATTTTTGCTCTTGATTTAGTTTCTCCAAACCTTCGGCATAAGCATCAAAGCGATCATGACCTCGCCCGGTCGAGTCCTCATCAAACAGGTCCTTGAGCTCATCCGAAATTGAACTTGCCCCCCGAATCCGATCCCCCTGGGCCTTGGCCCGCACGGATTGCCGGAAGATGTGAAACAGGTTTCGCCCGAGTGCCGATCGGCTAGCAACGATGGAGAATGCGCTCGCCAGGGAGAGGAAATCTTCATCGACAACGTCAAAGCCCTCCTGCTCCAATAGGGTAAATAGCGCAAGGTTGATTGCGTACATGGCGAATTGATGCGCGCGACTCAATCCATATTCTTGGCGATGTAACTGCGCGAGCTCAGCGATGCCTCGGGCTGCCGATTGTGTGACCTCCCAAGCATTATACTTGGATTCAGGGGTTTGGCGTGGAGGGCTTTCGGGTGTATGAGGCGCTTCGGACGTAATACTGGAGAATTCGCTGTCGGAGATACAGCTGAATAGATTGATGGTCAAGGTATGGTATCGCATTCTACAACGTAAAAGGTCAGCCATTCATCCACCATTCGCATTTTCTCAACGTATGACGAAATCCTCATCTTACTTCAACAAAATGATATGCGGTGGTGGGTCCGTTGAGGCAAATGCATCGGGTAACAAAGCCTGCCATCGTAGCAGTCGCTCATACAATACCTCTCGATTCTGGCGCTGAAGCGACTCATCTCGCGCATCACCGGCAAACATGCTACGTGAAATATCACGCGCAATGGTGGACAAGTTGCATGCCTCGTCGAGAAATGGTTTGAGGTATGATGGGCGTGGCTTCCGATGCGTCGGATAAGGGGTCCACAGGGGCTGACCACCGGAGGATTCATCTGATTCATCCTCGATACGGGGAAGGTTGACATGATCTATCAGACAGGGTCTTAGAAACCCAGTATGGATCATGCTAGGACCTGTTAGTCTCGAAAATAACGCGTCGGTCAGCTTTACCTACGTGTCAATGTTGAAAAGTCCCCACGCTGCCCTTCTGCACGACAAATCCATGTCCTTCGATAGCTGGTCCGAGGCTATTCTGGGCCCTTTGTCTCCAACCAAGCCCAGCGATTCACCAATGCGGATAGCTTCATGGAGGGTGATATATCCCAGGTCGTTGTTTTGTGACATGGCATATCTCTCATACATGAGAAGCGTTCCTTGCAACAAGACAAGACTAGGCTGTGGGCTTTGGAGCTCTTTCAGTCTCTCAGCCTCGGCGAGAAAATCGCACCCTTTGGAAGAAATCTTCCCGGGGACGCCGTATGCTTCCGAAAACTCTGAGAAATACTACTTAGTATCAGTTTTCATTCCACAGTTCCAAGAATCATAAACATACACAGGCATTACTTAACATCGCGTTCACCAGATAGGGACTACAAAACTCCGATCGCAGATCTCCGCTAACCATATGCCTCAAAAAGACATCTCGGTCCAGCCCTCCTTGGAATGGATAGTCCCAGGTGAAATAAAGCGAGACGAGGTTGGACACTAGATCTGCGTCGTCTGTGACGTTTGTCCACGGATGGGCAGGGACCTTTAACGGAGCCTCGTCACAAAGGTAATGAATATCCATCACCTTGCTTCGAAATGCAGGGCCATCAGCTTCGACATTGAGTATGTAGCGCGCGTCCTCTAGCCTAGCCACCGTCTCACGAGGCGTGGTGTTATCTGCACCAAGGGTAGCCAGCGTCTCATTGATATAGGACCTGACCTCATGGGGAGGAGCATTACGTCGAATGATATCCAGCAGCTCCAAAGCACAAGACTCGTCTGCTTCACGGACCAACTTGAACAGATCGTTCAAAAGGTCGCGGTGGTAGCCCAGTTCATCGGCTGTGCGTTTAGCCGCAACACGGCGGCGCTGGTCAAGGGATTCATCGAAGATACAAGTGCGTTGAAAGGCACGACAGTTGTCGCAAGGTGCTGTCCCGGAGCACTAACCATTAAAATTAGCCATACGAATCTGCAACTAAAAGGAGAGGGAACATACCTTCCGCTTTGACTTCTTGCACGCCAAACAAGCAGTTGATACCCTCTTCTTCCAAGCATGGCCAGACGATGTCCTAGTATCTTCTCTGGATGGACTCCCATGGTCCGAAGTCGGCGACAAGCCAGATGCATGGTATTGTTGATCATTCATATCGTGATCGCGTAACAACGTGCCGGCATAAAATATACAATCTTCGCCAGAATTTTCATCGATATGTACAGGCGGGATGCAGAGTCGACAAACTTGGAAGACAACGTCTTCTACCTAAAGAGATCTTCAATAGTGGCGGTGGCACAGGCATTGAATAGCCACAACAATGCAATAAAAGTTATATCATATCCCACGCAGGCGCCCCCATGATGGCGGCGGCAACAGGGGTCAAGCTTGAGCCTGAGGTTGGACAACACGATGCATTGTGGATAGTAGGCAGTAAAAACTCAATTCAAAAAATAGCTGGCAGTGGTGACTCTCTCACAGCAGGGAAGAGTGTCTGAATGGAGATTCGGAGGTTAGAAATGACCCAAGACTAGTCTCATAGATAAATCGCGATATAGTAACGATTCCCATACTTGGGGTACTGTTAGTGGCTAGTGACGCAAGATGAAGTCACCGGCATAAACATCCACCTATCCTGGCAGAATCCCAGTAGCCAGACCAAATTAAAGTGGGTTCAAGGCTGTCATACAATAGCGCGTACAGTGCTTGCTCTGGGTATAACCTGTTTTATCTAGCAGGGAATAGCTGGCTAGTCGGGATTCGTACATGCATTGTCTCGCGGTACTTGCTGCCGGCCATTCTAAGAAAGTCTGAATCAAGCCCCATTGAGAGAAGGAGCGATTTCAAGCGTCGGAAGATAATACCGAACATTTAATGCGACTTATTACTTCTGATATTGCATAGCGTCAGTTAACTGAATGGATTGCCCCTGAGCTTTCTAAGTTTGTTATCCCGAGCCTATATTCTGTAAACTAAGGTTATTGAATGTAGACCAATCCATGGATGACGATGCCACGTGGAATGAGGTAATGACAAGCAATCTTTACAAGCTATGATAGTAATTCACACCCTAATCGCATTTAATAGCTCCAATGACAAAAGAACGGTACGCGTGATCATGGATACGCGGGGTTGCATTTAGCTACGCATGTCAAGTTTGAAAACATAACCAACGAATGTAGTTTCATGGAATCGATACAGAAGCCCCCGCTTCCTGCGTGCAAACAAGAATTAAATCACGCACTCTCCATAGCTTGTGCATAGGAAATGTAATGCTTTCAACCTCGCTCCAAGGGGTATCATAGTAACAAGTCGTAATATCGAGAACACCTTTGAAGTTTGCGTCAGGGCGCAAGTTGAGGCGATTAGAGCGAAAGTCCCGTACCAAGATCAAGTAACTTGATGCGTGGTATCCTGTTTCCATGACCACCCTGACGTTTTGGACGATCAACTCTTAGCAACTAGTCTTATAGGGAATGTGTATCTGTCGGGGTCTCGGGATTTGATGGGCGGGGGCTTTATTTGGCAACGCATTTCGGACAGATAAACTTCGGAAGGATTGTTAGAGTTCATTGATGATGTTTGGCACTTTCTGGCTTAAAATGTAGGGCTTTGGAGTGGTGAGTGTGTTAGGGTAACAGTGAAGGTACTAGTTCAGATGGACATATAATTCCCTGCAGCCAGTAGATCAATATTGGACCAAAGATACATCTAAGGCAACCCGTTGTTCCAAGTCTCAGTCCAAATAAGAACTCTCAACTAGTCTATGGCACCCCAGTATCTGAAGCAGGGGTTTTGTTATCAAGATGTTCAAAGCATCATAGTTTGGGGTGGGAGGAAAGAACATGAGATGACAAATTTGAGTATGAAATGTCTTCGATATGGATGGACAGGGTATAGAAAAGCTAGAAGACTACAATTAACATCCATGGATATTGACAAAACTTGAACGATCAACAACAGGAGTGTGTCAAAAGTATCGCGGAGCCGCAGGTGCTGCTGCGGCCTCATACAGCTGTTGGGAGATATGAAGGATCGATAGGTACGTCGGATGAACAGCTAGGGATTCTCGGCGTAGATCAAAGCTCAGTCGAACAATGTCAATCCGATTCATTCAAGATGTGGTACTGGATGTATTACAATTGAGAATTACGAATGAAGTAGGTAAAGATCAAAGGATGGCATTGGCTCGGAGTCTTGGACAAAAGTGCTCGAAAAGAAAAGAAAAGCCGCCAATCCCAATACAGCCAGAACCAGGATCGAGACGACCAGAAAGAAGAAAAAGACAAACGCTGGATTATTCAAATGTAATACAAGCACATAGTTTGCATACTCCATGGGTTCCGTAGCCACGAATGCACCTCCCATAACAGAACAGAGAATTGCATACTGTAATCGGAGACTGTATCCTCATGCCAAGCCAAAGATCAAAAAGTCGAACGGGATATTAAGTTTTATTTGCCAACTGTTTAGTGCTCAAGGATTCTCAAGCTACCCTGCACAACGCAGTTCTCAAGGACGGATCCTGGGGGAATGTCGATGGTGCTACCCTCGGTGGCGACAATGATGACCGTACCCTTGAGGGTCACGTTGCGACCAAGGTTGACGGCACCAGTGATAGTCAAGTGGTCCAACTCGACAATGCGAGGGATGCTGCCAATGCGCTTCTGGAAGTCGGAAACCTTCTTGAAGTCGGAACCGAGCTTGATGACGGGCACACCACCGAAACGGTTGGGGTCCATAACCAGCTGGCCGTGCTCCAGGCGGTACAGATCAGACTTGACGACCATGAGGTCGGAGCAGGTCTTGACGGGCAGGAAACGACGACGGGGAACGTTGACACCGTGGGCGTTCTTGAAGTGGCGGATGGCGGCACCGACGGCGGTCTCCAGCTGGTAGATGGCCTGGTCGGCCTCACCCTTCTTGTCGGCGGGGATGGACTTCTCGTTGGCGATAATCTCCATCTCGAGCTCGTTCTCCTCAACAACACGCTTAATGGCACGAACGTTCATCCAGATGTTGTTGGTGTTGAAGTACTTGAACTTCTTGATGGACTTGAACTCGTTCACGTGCTCCTTGGGGACCTGAGCGATCTCCAGCAGACGGACCTTGCCGTCGTAGTCAATGATGGTACCACCCTTGACATCAGCCTTGGTCTTGTCGGTCAACTCCATGATGTACTCAGCCTGGGAGTCAACCATGTGCTGCAGGATGCGGAGATCGACAACGGCACCCAGGTTGTCAGCGTTGGACAGGAAGATGTATTCGATGCCACGCTCGATCAGCTTGTCCAGAGTGCCAGAGTTGTAGAGCGACTCGAAGACGTCACCGTGACCGGGAGGGTACCAGTCCTGGAGGGGAGCGTCGAAGCTCTTGGGGGCGGGGAGGAGGGAGTCCTTGATGATACGGGGGTAGCGGGACTGGTTGAAGGTAATGATGTCGACGTTGTGGCCCTCGTACTTCTTAATGATGGACTGAGTGTCCTGGTCGGTGTTGAAGGAGTTCATGAGAACAAAGGGAACGTTGACGTTGAAGGTGCGGTTCAGGTGCTCGATCTGGCGCACGGACAAGTCCAAGAAGGACATGCCCTCGCGGACCTCAATGACTGACTTGGGGCCAACGCAACCCATGGAGGTACCGAGACCACCGTTGAGCTTGACGACAGCCAGCTTGTTGAGGAACTCTACGGAGGCCTCCGCACCGAGCTCTTCGTAGCCGACCACCTGGGAGGGCTGGGGAGGAGCAATGCGGTCCCAGTTAACGACGTTACCCTTGGCCTTATCGTTCAAGAAGCGACGGAACAGGGCGAAGAAGTTGTCCATCTCAGTCTCGAAACGCTTCTTCTCGTTGCCATCGGGGACGCTGTCGGCGAGGGCGTTCAGGGCATTGCGCATCTGAGAGGCAGCCACGCTGGTGGAGGCATTCTCGAAGGCCTGGTTGGAGACGATCAGGGTCAGCGCTGCGGTCTCGGAGTCCATGGTGGGCAGATATGCAAAGAGGGGTAATGAGATAGCCAAAAAATGAGCAAAAGGAGGGGGCTCGGGATCGGGATCACTAAGGAGCTGGAGCTCAATCCAACAACAAATAAACAGTATGGGTTTGTAAAAAGAACGGGATGGGAAAAAACAGTGGAAACAGAAGAGTGAGAGTGAGAGAAGAAAGTGGACAAGGCCCAAGTTCCGACTGAGCATCCAGCTTCATGTCTCCATCCCAAAACAAGCAGGTATAACTGTGCTTACTGCCCAAACAAGCAGGAACGGAGCTTCGTCCCGTGATTCCCCATCATCTTGATAGCCCCACGCAAATTGTAGATAGATTGTTGATTCCACTTACCATGTGCGACTGAGATTTTCCATGGTGCTTGCCCTCAAAGCCAGAAGTGGCATCAGAGCCAGGAGCCCGAAGGTGGGTAGGAAGTGCCTTGCCGGCCATTATGAGTGTGGGGGAAGGAAGTGGTGTAAAGAGGAATGAAAATCAAGAATTAGGGAAAATCTGGCAGATAAATAGCAAGTTAGCGTGAAATCGCAGAAGCTAACGTGGCTGCACTGTTTTTATTTGAGGGGTTTTGCCACAGGTGTCGATCAGCTCGGGTCAAGGAGCCACGGGATGTCGACAAGCTGCCGTCATTGGCGTGGGCCGGAGATAAAGAGGAGTCTGGCGGCAAACCTACCTTGTAAAATGTCAATGCTCTTGCATTGAACAGAGAAGGCTTGGAAAGAGAAGAAAACAAGTGGAGAGGAATGGAAGGGAGGTGGGGGAGTAACGTGATATTTATGATCCCTGTGGCAGCTCACATCAATACGAATTATAACGTACAATCTCCTTACTTGACATCCAGCCACTCTCGCACGTTCGCTTTAACGGCCCGTGTTACCCAACTATCATACTCAATTGTAAGCACCCGATTACGCTCTACGCTCTACGGTAAGAGGTGCCGATGGTCTATCAGGGTCCTGTCAGGGGAGGGGGAGAGGAAAAGGGGGAAGTAAAAGGGGGGCAGAACTCTTTCCCGTGGGGGTTACTACGCTTGTGAGAAACAAATGAACAGAATCCAGAATTCGATCCGAGTTCGAGAAGGAGCATCCAGACTCCCATTCTTTCCCCTTTATTTGCAGTTCCACCCGAATTGTGCCTCCGGTCGGGTGTGGTATACCCACACCCCCCATTTGCCCCACCGGCGTTGCCTGGAATCTGGGAAAAGGGCCCGAGTTGGTTGCCAAGAACGAATTCAGTCGCGGTATCAGAGACATTGTGTTGGCTAGAACCGTAGCTTGCAGTAGTTTAGTTGGGTATTTATATCTCGCACATTTAGAATATTCTGGTTTGCAGTTCAACATACCGATGCTCGAATGTTCTAATAATATCTACGGAATGCTGTACCCCGATCCCATTCCTCCCCAACCCGGCATACAATTCCAGCTGATCAAGATCTCCAGTCCAGACTAACCTTGGAACAACTAACAGGAAACGGTTGAGCAGATGCTATCTAGTAGCTCACCATAGCCTGAGGGATCCCGGAGCCATTGACAAGTTCGAGGAAGTATTCCGAAACAATCCCATAGCTGCCATTCCCACCTGAAACAGTGCCAGGCTCGTGGTCAAAAACCAAGAAAGAATCCAACTATATCCATATCCCATTAAAAACCAAGAATTTCATCTAAACTAGACAAGATTCGGATAGAAAGGTGGAGCCCATCTCCCAAATTAATCAAAAGCTCTCCACCGAACCAGCCCAGTAACCGACCGGGCTTGCCTACGTAATAGTTTTGCCAAGAATAGGAGCTTCGTGGTTTGAAATAGACGGGGATGGCCTCGGAACTCACGACTATTGAATTGCGTACGTCAATTGTCCCTTTTATGGGGTAAACGTCTCCTTAATTACCTAGAGGTGGAGAGGACATACTATATGTCCTCATATCGTCGTAAGGAGCATGTCTTGACGGAATTACAATCCCGCTCCCACGGTACCCGGACACCTGTCCCGAACTAAGCTTCCGCAGGAAATGTAGATCATCGTGTGGAAGGGGCTGTGCACGTAGGCGTTTCTAACGATCTACTTTTATGAAAAGGGGGAACTAGTTGATGTAGTACGTAGATAGGGTGGAGTTGGACCCCTATTCTCGGCAGAGTACGGAGAGTAGGGCTGTTACGTCCCACGGAGATCTCCACCGAGCATCTGCTACGACAACCTTAGCCAGAAGACTACTTTGTGTGACTATTGACAGATCAACAGATTGAAATCAATTATCGTCCAAGCATATAGCTATACTGCTATACCGAATATAAAGTAAGCACAGGCTAGGTAGGGACGCCTTGAACCGGAAAGAATTCATTGCATGCACGCTACTCTAACAAGACCGAATATGAACAAAATATAACTTGATAATCCAAGCCAGGTCAGGTCAACAGTTAAAAAAAAAAAAGTTGAAAATTTAAAAAAGAATTGCGTAAAAAAACAATGAAAGGATATCACAGAACAACAATCCCGAAGCAACAAGTCATTGGAGGTTGGGTAAGGTTTTCACTTTTAGGATTTTCCATATACTTGACCCATACCTCATTCGTAGCCAATAGGCAGAGTCTATATATTCTCCACATTCAATTAAGCACCGCTGACACTTCGCTTACTGCTGAGGAAGCTGCGACGGGATGGCTTGCGGGAATCAGGGCTCTCGGATCCGTCGACATCAAGACCGGCGGTGGAGTGCGAGGTAGTAGGACGCAAGCTGGACTCCGAGGGAGTGAAGCTAGAGCGAATGATCACTGAGCCAGAACCAACAGGGATAGTCTTATCCTGGTTGGCATCAGAGCCCTGGTCAGACACAGGGAATGGAGTTTCGCCAAAGACGTCGTCAGAGCCAAAGGTCGAGTGGTTAACGACGCGGACTTGGTAAAGTGCATCAGCAGCGGCGTTGGGGACCTTGAAGGTGTCATCGTAGACCACGGTGTCACCGCTGACCTTGTGGGCCTTGGTCTTGTGGAGTTCCTTCATGCCCTTGGAACCCTGCGCGCGCACAATCACCCGCAGGTGAGCGGATGGAGGGAAGTTTGATGCCGAGACAATTGTGATGTGTGCAGTGCCCGTCTCGCCACGGCCAACGCCACCAATGACGCTCAAATTATCGCCAAATTGAGAAGCGGTGCTGCGGTTGCGACTATGCTCTTTGGTTGGGGTGACGGATCCGGGAGTACCATCAACCAGAGCGGCAGAAGGAGACAAGCCACCTGAGGGGGAGCCGTGGCCTTCTTCAATGGTGCTGTCTGTCACGGATACGGCATCGGCATCACTTTGCTTGCTCTTGTGTATGCGGGACATGACACCATGCTTAAGGAAAGAGGCACCGCGGACCACATTGCCACCAACAAATCCAACACCCTTGACGGGAGCGCCGACAATCTTTCCGGGCACGGCAAAGGTGCCCGAAAAGGTGGCAGAGCCTTGTCGAGATCGAGTAACGTAGTTAGGCTTGAAGAGCAGCTTCAGGCGAATGACACCAGACTTGCCATTCAGAGGCAGGGTAACCTCTTGAACCTGGAAGGGCTCCAATGATTCAAGATCAATCGGGGCAGCACCCAAGAAATCGGCGGAGTCACCAAAGTCCCAATCGTAGACGTCGACGTGGAAGTTGGCACCAATCCGAGACGTGATGGGGGTCTCGAAGAACTCATTCCAGGATGGGTGAAGGGTCTTCTTCTGGACCTTTGTCTTGTAAACATCCTTGTTGTCTTCGCCAATGCGGAACTTGCAGTAAGGATCACTGAATCCGTTTCGGTCGGCCGAGGGCAGATCCGCGGCGTCCAAAATATCAACACGAAGGCTACCCATGTTGTTGATGCTCTCCATGGGGTCAAGCTTCATCTGTACGGGAATGTAGCGAGCGCTAACAGTGACCTTGCTCACCTCTCCGGCGTTGGAGCGAAGGATTAGTTCGGTAGGGTTGTAGAGAATGCGCTGCAGGGTTGGCAGAGTATCACCAGTCAGCTTAGCAACGGTGTGCTCCTCGCTAGAATCCTTGGGGTCATCCTTATTGACCAGGCGCAGGGTGAGCTTGGAGAATTCCAGCTCACGCACAAAGGCCTCGCCAATATCCGTATGATTTATAGTGTTTCCGTGGATTTTGGGCGAAACGTAGGCGGGGAACATGTAGTCATCAATCAGAACCTCCAGTTGCACATGACTGTGAGCCAGCTTGCCTTCATGAAACTTGAATACGATGAAGCCAGACTCGTATTTGGAAAGATCCTCGGCTCCAACGTAGGTCTTGGGGACCTCCTTCATGGACCGGACAGATGCGGTCTCAGAATCGCGGCCAGTGAGCGTGCGAGAAAGACTAGTCTCAATACTGGCACGGCCATTGGTGGCCGGATCCCCATTCGAGGTACCGTTGGAGGTCATTCCGTTAGACAGGGCCTTGGAAGCCTTGGAGTCCACGCTAGCAGTCTTGGAGTGAGTACTCTTGAGGGGCGTGCCAGGGGTCTCAGCGTCGCCATTCTTCTCTGTCTTCTCCGCTTCGTCTTCCTCAGCCTCGTCCTCGGGATTAACCACAGGGACACTAGGGAAGAAGGAAACAGTATAGTTGAGGACACCCTTGTTGGGACCGGAGCCAATGCGAAGGTCACTGCTCAGCAGCTGCTTCTCATTGTCGATCTCATACTCACCAGCCTCGTTCTCGTGAACGAAGTCAGAAGCTTTCAGATCGGCCCAGCCAAGGGTACGGTCTTTGTTGATGGTCTCCTCATCCATAACCTCCACGGTCAGCTTCTCGCGAGCGCTGCGGATGGGAACATATACAACCTCGTCCCATTCGGGATTCAGGTTGTTCCGGAACGTCACAGTACGGCCCTTGGTCAAGCCAGACAGCAGTACACGAGCGTACGGGTCAGACTTGCCCATGGCTTCCAGGTTGCGTAGATTAGTCGCACGCTTGAAGTGGAAACGCATCACACCAATGGGATCAATGTAACCAGCGCCACCAGCAACGCTTCCCAGGGCAACAGGCTTCCAGTCCAGGATCAACTTGGCACGCCCAGCCTTGGCTCCATGGAGATGGAACCACTGCTTGCCTTGCTCCTGCATCTTGAGCATGTCGTTCATCTTGATTTGGTACCGACCAATGATGGGATCGGTCATCAAATCAGTGTGGTCCTTGATGATCAGACCAAGTTTAGCGTTCTTACGGTCGGTTATCAAGAATTCCTTGGCGGCATCCTGGAAGATAGGGTTGTTGGTCCGCTTCAGGATCTTGGTGGTATGAATTTCCTTGCCGTTCAGTAGCAGGATACCATAGGGATTCAATTTACCGACCAAACCCTTAGAGCCATCAAGATCCTTGGCTTGCTCGACAGTAAATTGTGCAATACCGGTGTTCAGCTCTGGCGGGGGCTCGGTCTCGCCACTCTCCAGCTTTCTGCCTTCCATAACGGGGAAGAAGCGAATGTCCGCCTGTATAGCACCGCGATGACGGCCACTGGCGAGGACCTCCAGGAAGGCGCCCTCGTGGGAAGGCTCTGCCTCGAGCTTGTCCAATCCGAAAGAAGCAACACCAAGTTCCTTGTCCTTGCGGAATTCATTCCAATCAAAGACCTTGATAGCCAATGCGTCTGTGAAAGAAGTAATGATGACATAGATGGTTTCGTTCCAGCGAGGACTGTCGGTATCGTGTATGGTCTTAGTGCGACCCAGCTCTGTTCGGCCGTTCAAAGATACCACGGCATATGGATCCGGAGTACCCGCGAACTTATCGGGGTTCTTGAGCTGATTAGCACCGTGCAGTGTGACAGCGACAACACCAATGGCTTGATCCACGGGATTTCCGGCCAGCATCTTAGCGATCTCAATCGGGAAGACGTTCGGGTCGTACATCATGGGTCCGAGGTTGTTGTGGATCTGCTCCTTGATGAAATTCTCCAGACCAGGAATGAAGTTGATGTCAAACCCAAGGTAATCACCTCCAAGCGGCTTACAGACGTAGTCGAGTTCGGGCTTCTCCAAGAAGCAGACATCCACACGCTCAATGTGCGGGAAGGAAAGCTGCAGTTTAACCTTGACGCGCATCAAGCCTGAGCAGGCCATATCCTCGACAATCACATCTAGACCCTTGCTGAGAACACCTTTACCGACGCGAACTTCCAGGACAATCTTGGGATTGACCTTGTCCTTGAGTTGGCGCGCAGTCAAATCCATGGTATCGTTGGGAGTGAAGCTGAATTTCCAGTCCATGATGACGGTATCGGGCTCGGTCTTAGGGTAGGTCTTGACATGCTCGAGACGGGGGGGCTTGGTACCAAGGACAAAGGTCTTCAGGCGCAGACTATCGAGGAAAGCGGGGGTCGAGGTACTCAGCACCTGGTCCACGGAGCTAATGATGGTGTCGCAAAGAACCGGGGCATAGATGGGCCAGAACTTAACGAGAAAGCTGTTGATCCACTCGAGACTTTCGGTGTCAGTCTCCAGGCGAGCCTTGGCCATTTCCCGGTTAATATCGTCACGGAAATTGCGGCGCACCCGACGGAGCGAGGTACGGTAGTAGGTGCTGCATGCCGCCATGACCAAGAGCACCCAGCCCACACCACCGCCGAAAATAGCGATGATCCACGAGCTCAAGCAGGCAAACGCAATCACACCAGCATTGTGGTACCAGTCGCCGTAAAACTTATCCGAAATTCGGCCCTCCAAAAATGTTTGGTGGTCAAGCAATGTGCCCTCTGCCATCTCCTCCTCGGTTCGTTCTTCGTGAAATTTGGGCGCCCAACCGGTGCGATCACGGGCCCACCTCAAGTCCTCGTCCATGTCTCCTTTCTGTCCCTCGGGCGCATTTGCATCCTCAGCGATGAGAGCGGTGGCTGAGCGCGGCGGGGGGAGATCATAATCCGCTTTTCCATCATCCTACACAAGTTAGCGTCGATCGCGTTTGTCGAGTTTGGAGAGGCTCGTACCTTATCCGTGATGACTGCAATTCCTTTCGGTTTCTTATCGTGATGGAAGCCTGGTGGCAGCCGCTAAAATTGGAACCAGATTAGAACCCGTGCATTTTCCACAGCTAATTCCCCTGGGTATCTGATCCTCTCATCGGATACATACCGCTTGAGCTGCAGCTGCCTTGTCCTCTGGTGAGGCATTGGGGTCGAATTGGTATGCAGGAACCCCCGACTTCCGACTCTCCTTCACGAGCGCGTCTTCGACGGTATCCGGGTTGACCTTGGAATTGGGATCCTGAGTCAGCTCAGTGGCAGCCTCAATGATTCCCTCTTCCTTCATTTCGGTCTTCTCCGCCTGGGCAGACGCCATCTTGGCGGTTGGCGCCTCTGTATTGCCGAAAGGTCGGGTAGTTGGGATGAACGACTCGAGGTGTGACTAAGAAAATGGTTAGAGATCCGTGGATGGTGTGATGCGGGACCGGCTCAGTCGATCCGGGGATTGTAGCTGGTTTGGGTGAGGGGAAGAGAGGGGGCCGGGACTGCGATTAGCTATGCTTACCTAGGGTACTCAACGCGAAAAAGGTCAAGATTAGAGTGATGCGGTACTCCGTACACCTAGGCGAGGAAGGTGAGAGGAAGAAAAAACGGAAGCGAAGGAAAATGCCAATGCAAAAGAGGGTCTTCGGAGAAAGGAAAAGGAAGAAAGTGGAGAGACCAATTGGGGGGAAGGGGAGCTCTCGGGGAATCACCCGGTTGCGTCAATGGAGAGCTGTGGCTGGGGCAATTTACGTTTGTTCCCGGTAAAAGAAATAATTTCATATCCGTAGGCGAGAAATGCCAATTCAGAATAATTGATTGGAGCCTAAAGTAGCCATCATCGCCCGTAAGGAATAGGGATCGGCCCTGGTCGATCGAGGGGATCAGTGACGTATTCCTCTGTACATCGACTAGGCTATCATGGATTCCAGGTACGGGATGACACATAGTACCTGGATGAGCTATATAGGCTACGGCGTCTTGATCACTATCTCATGCTCTTTCCACAGCGTCAAATCTTTGTTTCCTTCATGTATAAGTGGAACCTGAATGTGAGCTCCTATTTTGCTTTCTTTTCTCGCTAACCCAACGCAGAAAACCCACGAACCCATTCCCAGCCACACCAACTAGTGTGGAACTATTGACTTCCTCATTGGGACTGCACCGCCACACCTTCGAGAACAATGTGGCTATTAGGGGCAACCAGCCCTACGATAATTCGGACTTGCCCGTGCAAAAAGAATGTCCCTTGATTCTCCGAGTTTGAATAAATAAATATTTTTCAAGCTACGTACTCGTATCTTTCATGTATTACAATTTAAAAAGGGATACGTAGTACACGTGGCACACGCAACTCCTGATTAACATTCTCTGATCAAATAGTCGCTCCTCGCGCCCCCAGGCCCCCGATTGGGAGCTCACACAGATCGCCCCAAAGCCCACTGTGGGTACGACTAGCCCAACTCCAGTCAGATTTTACCTAGGCTAATAACCACTGTCTTTACAAGCGATCAAGGTTTGAAAAGTAAGCTCTAGTGCCAGAATCTACCACTTATCCTTGAATAGCGCATTGATATCGGTCACTCCTATGCCGCGCTTCTTAGCTGGTGCATTGCTCGCTGTGCTTCTCCTGCAGGCCATGCAGAAAGTTTCTACCCGCTTCTGGCCATTCACGATCTATCAGCTATTCCGCGGGGCTGGTGTGGGTAGTGGTCGGTCGTTTTTGAGAGGGGCACCATCCCCTTGCACTCATCTCACAGATCCATGACCTTGGTTCGGAATATAGAATTTGATTCAAAAATCGATGCCCCATTCCGTGTGTGACGCTATTGTGGAATCGTGTTCCCACTATCGTGTCAACCCATGGATCTCGGGAGTGTTTTGCGCCCCTCGTCCCCACTGATCAGCTTCGGCCTTCCTATTCTTTTTCGGTTAGGGTTGCTTTTTTTTTCGTTTTCGTGAGATCTGCGACGCAATTGATGTTTGCCATTGGGTTGTGCGATCTTGGCCGCTGCGGCAAGTGTGGTGGTACAACGTAGTAAAAGAAATATATAAAAAAAAAACAAATTATGAATACGATGGACATTTAACATTTTAATCAATAGTTCGCTAGGGCTTGCTCGGGGCCCAGGACGATTTTCATTGGCCATTTTCCTTACAGTAGGATTTCTCTAGGGCTAAGTAACTAGAATTTACCCTGGAACGTGCGATCGGAGCTTATCTATGTATGAATTTTAATGGATGCGTGCGCCACACTGTCGAGGCCCTGGAGGTCCACTCTCAAGGTCGATACATATACCCGAGCCCGTCTACCTCTGTGACTATCCGAGTATAAACAATGACCTGGTTGGAACCTTGGAACGTTTAGGGCTAACACACCTGGGCGTCTGGCGATTATAATAGGAATATGGATATTTCATGCTAAGCAACTTGGGAAAAACTGATTTTAGAACAAAGATAAACATTGAAAGGAACCTTGAAACTTGAAGTGTTACTTGCAAGACAGTTCGTCACATCTTGAATTCGTTGCAATTATATTCCAATCCCGCAGAAGGAAGGAATTTACCGACCCATGCGGATCACACCAGCAGCCATCAACTTCTGGATCTTCATGCGCACTTGGCTGTTTTGCATGTGCTCCTGCAGCGCAGCCGGGTCGTTCTTGGCCTGCTGGAGGATGCTCTGCATGACAGGGTCCTGAAGGATAGACATGATCTACAACAATTAGCAATGCACAAAGAAATGCGACAAATACGAAACATACCTCGGGGTCATTCTGAATACGAGCGGAGGTCTGCTCCTCGGTCTCACCGGCGCGGGCGCTGAACTGCGCATCCAGACACTTCTGTTGCTGCTGCTCGATCTCGCGACGGTTGGTACCGTCATCGTGCTCGGCGGCCTCGGCGAAGGTGTCGAGAGCACGGTTGAACTCCTTCATAGCGATAAGGGCCTGACCCTTGCGCATGTATGCGCGAATGAACTTGGCATCGAGACGAATAGCCTCGTCGCAGTCCTGCACGGCTTGAGGGAATGCCATCAACTTGATGAGGGCGGCAGCACGGTTTGAGTAACCGCGAGGGTCAGTGGGAGCACGCTTGGTCATCTCAGTGAATGCGTCAACGGCAGCGGGCCAGTTACCCTCCTGGAACTTCTGCTGGCCAAGCTCACGGCTCTTCTCAGCCTCAGCGGGGTCCATATAAGCATTCTTCTCTGCAGTGGACTTGGTCTTCTCAGCGGCGCGCATCTTGGCCAAGGCTTCGGGTGTGCGGTGCTCGGTGAGAGACTTGTGGTAGAACTCAATTGCCTGGGTGAGGTCACCCATCTTCTCGTACGCGCTACCGATACGAGTGTATGCCCTATTGAACCGATTAGTAGGTGTTTTCATTGGAAGGCGGGAGTTCATCATACTTGGCAATGGTCTTGAAGTCAGCACGCAGATCACGGCCCTCCTCCACAGCCTTCTGGCAGGTCTCAATAGCACCCTGGTAATCACCCTTCTCAAACTTGGCGGCGCCAAGGTTGTTCAAGTAGGTGATGTCCTTGTGTAGCTCCCAAGCCTTCTGGTAGTGCTCCATAGCCTGGTCGAATTGCTTCTGCTTGTAGAAGTCGTTGCCAATCTTCTTCTCGGCATCACCAGCCTCCTGGGCCTTCTTTTTAGCGATAGTCTCCTCATCCTCCGGCTCAGGAGTAGGCTCCTTCTTGGGCTGCGGCGGCGAAGCAGGCTTAGCATCAGGCATGGGAGTATCCTGAGCACCAGAGGGACCACCCTCACCACCAAAGTTCATATCAATTCCAAGAAGCACACTCATCACCTGCAGGAAACGAGGGTCGCGGATCTCCTCTCCGACACTATTGGGGTTTTGTTGGATCTTCTTCAGCTTGGCCATGAATTCGGCATCGGCAAGCAGGGGGGCGGTCTTAGGGTTGCTGGCCAGCTTCTGGAACAGGCCAGGGTCGTTAAACATGCCTCCTAGGCCGGCACTGGGATCGCCCTCAACACCGTCGGCGGTGGCCTCGGCATTGATGGCGCGCTGCACGGCGCTCAGTCCGGACTTGGCCTGGGCGTTGTCGGGCTCAATCTTCAATGCCTCCTCGTATGCGTCATGTGCGGCCACTAATTATAATCCATTAGCCACTGTTCGCGTATTCTTAATCCAATTCATAATATATTCCTTACAGAGGTCTCCCATGCCCTTGTAGGCAGCTCCCTTACGGGCATAGCCCTTTGACCAGTCGGGCTTGATACCGATAGCCTTCTCGGCATCCTCTAGAGCTTTCTCGTAGTCGGCCTGGGCAGCGTAGACAGCGGAACGGTTGGAGTAAAGGATGTGATTTTCGGATTCGATGGCGATAGCCTGAGTGAATTTCTCACTGTCGTGTACCCATATCAGCAACAGTCTCCAAGGTTTCAAGCATCAAAGGCGGGGTAGTAACGTACATAGCAGTCGGGTAGTCCTTGGCCGAGAAGGCCTTGTTGCCCTCAGCCTTCAAAGCGTCAGCCATATTGAGAGGTATACGTAGAAAAAAGATGGGGTATATGGAAGAGTTGACTTGACTGGGGGTCCAGTCGTTGGTTTATGAGCTCCGTCAAGACCGTGAGCTTCTGGAAATTTCCGTCCTTTAGAGTTGATGCCTGAGGCGTGAAAAAGTCAAATGCTAAAGCTCCGGATACGCTAATCCCGAACAGGAAGCCCGACATCCCCGCTGCGAAAAAGTCGCCAAAAAAACACAGTGAATCATAATTTTTCTCGACTACTGCCTCACACGAGCGAGACAATCATGCTGCTTTAACTTCTCCTGCTCTTGCAAGAGGCTCGATTCGAAAAATGCTATCTCAGCCCCTCCAATGATCCCCTGATCTTTCGCTATCCCCTCGCACATCGAGTCTGACTCCTCCGTTCCCTTCTCCAACTCTCCGACCATGGCCGCGGATCGAGTGAAAGAGCTCGCCTCGAAGCTCTACGATGCCTGTGTAGAACAGTTCGATGCGGACCACTCTTTCTACCAGCATGATCTTTTAAGTGTTTCGGTCATCCCCAATGATGATGTTGTGCTCTTGTTGGAATGCGCCCAGTCCTTGGTCAACCAGAAACTGTTCCGACTTCTCGAAGGTCAGAACAAGCGCCTTGTTTGGCGCATCGTCGCCCGCGAAGATGCCGAAAAGTATGCCACATTTCCTGAGACTTGCCGTTGATTGCATATGGAACTAACGATTATCCTTTCCTTTCACAGACTGCGGAACCTTAGCGACGATGAAGGCCTAGTCTTCAGTGTCATTCACTCCAGCGGTCGCTCTGGTGTTTGGATTCGCAACATCCAGAACCGCACGAACTTGCACAAATCTATCCTCGACCGCTGCCTGAAATCGCTCGAGAGCAAAAACTATATCAAAACCGTCCACAATGTCAAACACCCCACAAAGAAGATGTACATGCTGGCCGGCCTGGCACCAAGTGAAGATGTCACCGGAGGCGCATGGTTTACCGACGGTGTTTTGGACGCAAACTTCATCAACAGTGTCGCCGGCTTTATCGAGTACACCGTCAGCCGCAAAAGCTGGTACGAAGCATCCGCCGACCGCGGCCGGTCTAACAAGCGGATCAAGACTATCAGCGGCAAGGCGGATGTGAAACCAGAGACGAAAGAAAAAACTTTCCTCCCTTACCCTGCAAACTACCCCGGATACCCAACTCCCGAGGCCATCACCCGCGCCGTGAACGAGAGCGGTATCACTCCGGTCCAGCTCACCCCAGAGAGTATCATTCAACTGTTACACATGCTCTGCTTTGACAAGAAGCTCGTCGCACTCAACGATGGCAAATATTATAAATCCCTCAAGGACCCCGAAGCCGTCAAGGCCAACCAATCCCGGAAGCCAATGGAGGATAGCAAAGAGCCCCAGTCTATTGTTAGGGACTTGGGCCAGAACGGTATGACCGAGTCACCCTGTGGCCCGTGCCCCAGCTTCCGACTGTGCACGCCCGGTGGAGCCATCAGCCCGGAGACCTGTGAATACTTTGATCCTTGGTTTGAGAAAAATCTCGGGTTCTAAAAGCGCTGCTTTGGTCTTTCGGGTCCATTCAAGTCCTGAAAAAGAAGACTTTGGAATGTGATCTCGTCAGCCCCAACGAGCGAGAGGAATGCCCTCTCGCTTTGTACCTGATAACAGACACGATTTTTCCCGTGTCCGCATTTGCATGGATGACGAAAGGAAAACAAAAAAGGGATTGATATGCATAGCGATGGCGTTGACTGAGTACTTTTTACCCTTGGCATCCACTTCTCGTGGACGATTGCGGTCTGGCTATATCTTATCTCACAGATAGGCATATACTGAACGTTGGATACGTGCTAGATGAATACCAACTCGGGTTTCCTGATGTCAATTCGATACTCTAGTAGTGATTTATTGAAAAGACTGTCAAGTGGGTAACTAGTCCTGCTTTTACGTAGCTACCTTGAGTCTTGACTATAGTACGAGAAGTAGTTCAGTATGATAGAGACGTGCACATCTTGATATTCGTATAAAATGTAAGATATTGGAAATTGAAACCTCCTGCCTGCCCAACGCCGTGGGTATAAACAAAAATTAGACAAAAAGAACTTAAAGGAAGGGAAATTATTTGGCAAGTGTCTTCCTGCACTCATCACAAAACCATGTCCCGACAGGCTCCCTAGTCAAACCAACACACTTCCAATGGAACCACTCATACGGACAACTGTCGTTGTCGCAAGCCACCATATCTCCATGGCTAACAGTTCGACAAGTGCAATAGACCTTGCTATCCTCATTTCCCTCCTCCTCTTCCTCATCATCATCCATATCATCCTCACCACCACCAGTATCGCTCTTGTCTGAGTCCGACATATCGGCACTGCTAAGGAGCGAGTCATCATCTTCTTCGCCTTCCCCATTAGGAGATTTCTTAGACAATTTCACCCGGTGACTCGTACTCGAAGACCGTTTACTTGTTTTGTTGGAACCAGATTTAAGCCTTTTTACTTGCTGGTGTGGTGCGACTTTCTTGGTGAGAGGCTTCTTGATCGCTCCGCTTGCGCGTGGGCCTGCGCTGCCTGCGCGGCTAGTAACCGGTGTTCCGGCTTTGGGTGTGCCTGGGCCCATAGATGATTGACGGAGGTTTGATGAGGCCACCGGGAGAGTGTTCAAAGATGGATGATTGAGCCGTCGGCGTTTACTGTCAACTGCGCCGGCTGACAACTCGCGTTGTCGTTGTTGAGGGTGCACGCCTGTGCCTCCCGCTGGAGTTGCAGGCGCGGAGCTTCGAGCAGCGGCTTGCACGGCGAGAGAGGGAACAGGGCGGGGCGTAGTGGACTGGTTCAGACGCTGTGCTGCAGCCAAAATGGGATTTGTGTTTCCAGATGTCGGGTTGAGAGGTGTGGAGTAGGTAGACGGTTCGGAGGGGTTAGAGTCCGGGAAGAAAACGCGAGGCGGATCGCGATAGTTATTCTTGTTATCGAAGAGTGAGGGGAGAGGAGGGTCGTTTGTGAGTAAGCCTTCATTAACTAGGTCGCGGATGCGCACATCGAGTCGCTTAATTTGGCGATCGAGGAGAACGCAAGCCTTCTCGCTGAGTTGGATCTTCTCTTCTTGAATCTGCTGGCTGCGATCGATGTTCTGGAGGACAGATTTGCTGTACTGCTCTTCTTTCGGGTTGGGCGCCAGGCTACCGTTGAGTTTGATGAACTTTTGGATACTTCCATCGCGAGAGTTGATGGTTGCCCGGCATTCCTGCATAATTTTGTCCTTGGCTTGAATTTCCTCCATCAAATGGTTGATCTCCGCGGGCAAATTCGCTGCATCGTGAACAAACTGCTCCAGGACGGTCGCGCAGTCTTCCGCGCCGTGCGCCATCTCGAGGGTTGTGAAGAATCAGGTCGGTTGGTTCTTGGATCAGTGTAGATATGTGGAGGTAACAGGGAAAGAGAAAGAACTCAGGCCCTGGTCGGCTGGAAGGCGTTGATTGAGAATAAAGTGGAGAGTGCGCGTCAATTGAAGATCGCATCGCAAGAAGTTCAAATCCGGAGTCGAAGGCCAAGAACCTTATTACTAATCACTGGCGGTGGCTCCACTAGTGAAGGCATAAATATCTCAATTCTATACCGAGGAGAAGGCTCATAATGTCCCTGATAGTTCCAGCTGACTAGGCCGCATGACTATGTGCTCTAAGGAAATTTGCGATATCTTTGATTCCTAATTCGTTGATCGCATCCTCCAACTCAACTCTCGTAGATGCAAAAGCCTCACCATTAAAACGCATCCGGCAAATCGCGATACGCGTCAGGTAAGAATCCTTCAACTGACGCTTTGATTTGCAAAGCCAGCGGTCGTGAGTAGTACCGATGGTGTGAGGTGCCGCCCCCAGTGATCCAGTAATTCTTCACTCGAAGATGACGCTTCCACATACCACGTATCTCGCCCTCAGTATCAACCCCCCAAATGCCATCCCTCCGAGAAGCAATATCCTCTGGCCCCAAGATAATATCTTTAAGGTTGTCTCCTTCTATAGTCATCTTTTGACCAAAAATCTCAGTAGTGGCTTCACGGTTCTTGTCAGCAAAGCCTGTGCACCAGATAATCGCGTCTGCATCCAACACTGATCCATCACTAAATTTCATGCCAGTGGTAGTAAGCTCCGTTGGCTCCACATTGCCTTTCACTGCAACAGCTCCGGACACAATGAGCTCGATTCCATCGCCGATCTCGTTGAAGTGACCCCCGGCCCTTTCAAACATATTGTGCATCAAGTCTCCCCCGTGAAGACTATCAAATACTGGAAAGCCCGCCTCGGCAAGTGCCTGGTATCGATTCGGCTCTTTGGAAGCCAAGACGGCAGCCTGGTATTTCGCGATCTGGCCAGCAATACCGAGCGGGGTGGTCATCATGAGCTTGTCCACCAGTTCGGTTGGGAGAACCTCGTACATGCCTAGGCCCACGGGATCGAGAGAGTAGTCCCATGGAAAGATGTATGTAGGACTACGAGCAACCATAGTTGTTTTAAGACCAGCCTTTGCACAGTCTTCCATGAGGTCAAAGCCTGAGTTGGCAGATCCAACAATAATAGCGGACTACAGTAAGTTCGCGTCAGTATGTATTGAAGCTGAATGGGCCAAAATGGGGCTGTTAACCTTGACACCAAGTTCCTTCAATTCCAAGGCATTTCTATATTGGGACGAATGTATGCTGACACCGCTGTAACTGCCTGGAATATCGGGGATAAATGGGTTGGTGCATCCAACTCCAGTAGCTTGCACGACGTGCTTGGATGTCACTGTCTTCGGTCCCCACGGTGTACAAATCTTAAATCGCCAAAAATCCGTAGACTCATTGAAAGAGCTTGCTTCAACAGTGGACGAGTTGAGGAGGTTGAAATCAAGGGTCTGTGCATAATGCTTCATTTGATTCACAAGCATTGTCCTGGTCAGAACCATGGGATCGTCTTTTGGATATGCTAAGAGATACGGCATTAGAAACTTCTTCTCTCGTGCGATTCATTTCTAGAGCCTTACGCAGATATGGCGTCTCGCAAAGTGACTTTGGAACATGAAAACGCAGGCAGTCATATCGGTGGGCCCAGTTATCTCCGGGCTGCTCATTCCTGTCGATAACCACACAATCGACTTTGAGGGCCTTGAGACGTGCCGCTTGAACGAGTCCCCTGCATTGATTGATCAGTAATGATACTGTGTGGGTCATAATGAGATGTTGCACTAACGCGTTTCCACCGCCTATGATCAAGACATCGGTTTTGATATCCTCAATATCTTCTAACCGCCTTGCAGGGATTTTCAAAGCACCTTCATCTTCCGGATGCAGTTCGAAGTCATCGATCCATGTTGACAAATTCCAGATCTTCCAAACGAGTCCATCGCTGGTTTCCTCGGGAAGAAGACAAACGATCCCACTACAGAGCGCCGCAGGCGTTTCCGTCCTGAATGCGAACATGCTCTGAATCATGTGCAGGGTCGAAGTCGCTGGAATACATTGAACGCTCTCTGGCAAAATCTTGAATCCATCAACTAATCCCCGTCGTTCTTTCAGCTGTGTCAGGGCCGGTGCTATCACGGCACTGTCATTGAAAGTTCGGAAATGATAGGTGAAAGCGAGCAGATCGCGCCAGTAGGATTGGGAGCTGAAAAAGCACGCCTTCACTTTGGAGACGTTATTTTCCTCGAGCCCTTCGGCTAGAGACTGAAGGGCTTTCTTCACCAGAACCGGTCCTTCTATATCATCTGACTTTGGAAGCTTGATGCTCTGAGGCAGAGGTCGATATACGTCCCTCTGAAGACTAGCAAGTGGAGGGTATTCCTCGAACTGCTGGCAGACTATGATGTTGATCAGTCTATTTATTTGAACTCCAACTTGTAGAGATGTGAGGAACTGTACCGGAGCCCATGCTTTTTTTTTCACTTATTAAATAGCAGAAAGTAAAGGTAGCAAGAGAAGCACAAGAACCACAAGAAGCACGTCAATCCGTGCTGTGTGGAGCGTCGAGGAAGAGAGAAGAGGATCTACAAAGTTGAATATGAAGCAGCCGGGACAGGAAGGTACTGGTCTTAATCTGGACGAATAATCTGTGCTCTCGTTACATGGTATGTCTTTTGGAGTACAGGGTCGCTCAGACTTGGAAGCAGAGGGCGATCATTGCTAATATATCATCCCATCCGGATGAGTGTGGAGCCGACCATGTGCGGGGTTGAGTATTGTGTTCATGATTTATGAATAGTGCCCCTCAATTCCACGCCTTTCTATTCATTAGGATGATGACTGGACATAAGTATGCATGGTCACTGTGGTACGTAACCCATGGCGTAGGTTCATGTGCCTGAAATGTCATTTAACACGGCGTATCATAATGCATGTGTGGGCCTTGCTATGACCCTCATGTCCTAGAAAATGAATGTCACATGCTCTCACCAAGGCCAATATGTGTGCAAGACCCTTGTAGTATTTCTTACAGAATTTTTAGGTATTGAAAATCCGCTCACGGAGCTTGAAACCTGGGATGAATGTCAATGATAGAAGAAAGCAGCTTAAACAAATTCATGTATATTTGGATACCAATGTTTTAGCTGGGTATCTCACTAACCCATCTCTAGCATAGCGCAGTAAATTTGGGTCACAGTAGTGATTCTTTCGAATACATACACAGGGTACTTGTTCACATTAGGCTACTCATGAACGTGCAGTTTATTCAGGAGTGATGCTCACTGAGACCCCTTATCTTACCTATATCTCGGTTCGGGTGAAGCGAGATCTTACAGTTTGGCAATCAAGTGAAATTATACACTCGTTAATACCAGGAAATCCAGTACAGTGGCATATTGTCCGAATGTCAGTCATCTCGCTATTTTAGACACGGGCTAGTGCGATGTCTAATTGATTTTGTGGTATTCAATTAGGGATTTCTCGTATCAAGTGAACGATCACTAGGAAACAGGTATATTGAGTTCGATTGAAAGCTTATATTCAACTTTAATCTTATTTTATCCCAGTTCAGATCAAGCCGCTATGGACACTATGTTGCGGTTGGAAGTAAGCCATCGCGACACTCCGAGAGCTTAGCTTGTATTTCATCAGAAGTTTCATCTTCACCAACGCAGACCTTATAGGGCATTTGGGAATTTTATAAAGCTTAGGCCTCAAGTGCAGGTGCCACAGCGTGGTAAGCACTCGAGAGAACCGTCTAATACCCAAGCGAACAATGGTCGTCATTCGGTAGTAAACCAAGGCCCCAAGAAGTGGAGAGATCTAAGGTGGAGTCCCCAAAATTGCCCTGAAGGAATCGAGCAGAAGGCCCGAGACAATATGCTGGCATGGTTTCGTCTGAGCGAAGGCCACGACAAAATCTCAGATATGATTACTTTAGCGGCATCGTGACGAGCTAGGCGAGCAATACTATGAGACTCAATCATGCCACATCCAAGCTCAAGCAAAATGGGAGAGATTCGTGCAGTCAGGCATCAAGACATGCAGTTTATTGTAATGAGGGAGACCGAAATTGGTAATTTATCACGCAAAGTGACAAGATGTACACGCCCCCAACGCCTCATAAACAGAACATTATCAAAACGACACCGTGAATTCGGTTACTGTCTTTACTCTTGAGAAAATCAGAGAGCCGGGCAGAGAGATTAGTTGAAAGATTGCATCTTCCCAATGATTTGAGCTCTTGTTATATCAAGACGCGACACGCTTCCGTACCTAAGGCCTTGGCTTGTATGAAAAGACCGCAATAGTTCTTCACCCAGAGACAAAAGCCAAGGTACCCACCCACCCCCAAGGTGCTCTTGGAAGAATTCAAATGGCAGTTTCAAGTAAATCAATGACTTTCTTCCCAGTTCTATCATACCCTTCCACGTACTTCTCTCCAAACTCCCCAACAAAATTGTCATATGTCGTCTGGGGCTTCGCCTTGCACAAATCGCACATAATTTCCCTCACACCCTCTTTGAAGTTCTTTCTCGGAAACACACTGACGACCTCATTGAAGATTTCCGAGGTTAATGGACCGTTTCCTCCCGGGAAAATATTCGGTCCCATGAAGTCCGCCGAGACTCCTACGTGGGCAAGCATAACCTCGGGCTGCTTGTGCATAGCAATGGAATTGGTAGTATGCAATGCAATCGCATCCCAGACGACCTGCACTCGATGGCTGAGCCAGCTAGCGTCATTCCCAGTCTCTTTGACGAGAAATTCCCGTGCCGCGTTGGCGCTGTCGACCTCAAATCGTTTGTCTGGAGTGCACTTGTCGCTGCTCGTTGCCCAGGCTAGATCATGAAGAAGCGTGCTGATAGCGATGACCTCATAGTCAATGGGATAGTCGGGCGCCGAAGCAGTGACTATAGGGACAGAGGTGATGGCGAATAGGAAACTTCTCATGACATGATTGTACGTGAAGTCGTCGACCTGGTCTCGCACATAAGCGATGGCCTTGCTGACTAGCGGGGTATCTGGGATTGTGATTCCAGCTACTTCCCGGGTTGGGAGAGATGAGATTGGTGACATGTTTATCGCCGAGTTCCAAAATTTGCGGAGAGATGGATGTCTTGGTAAATTATCGAGGAGGAAATGAGAGAACTGACCGTTTATATAGGCTGATTCTCCCCCGGGTAGGCTGCTTATGGAATTTCAGATCATGATGCATTCTCAATCTCCGAAACGCCGAAATTCCGTCGCATGCGCAAAGTCTCCGTGGGTTTTTTGATCTGTATTGATTATCCTGCTTTGCAATCAATATGAATATATGACCTGTAGCAGAGATTCCAGTGGGAATGGACACTCTCATCTTGGGAGTTGGCCAGTTCTATCTCCATCGAAGGTTGCTCCTCCTGGTGCCGTATACTCTTCATGGACCAGAGTTCGAGATACCAGGCGTATAAGAATCTAAGCAACTTCATTGCTCAGTACGTGAAAGAGGAAGTCTTCTTCGTCATTCTCGTGGTGTGACGGAGAATTCCTCCGCCAAGCGAGTTGGCAAGAGAGGTGGCTCTCTATAAGAGGCTTGGATGAACAAAGTCGCGCTTCACATGCCTGGGCTACAGGTGATAGTGCAAAGATAGTCCCCAATTAGACACTATGCTAGGCTGACAAAGACATCATGCAACCTTTATGTCACCCGAAATCAGCGCCAGCTGGAGGATAGTGCAGCCATCCATGAATGATCATCCTGTTCAATTGCACAATGACCAAGAAGCTCTCTCATATGGTGTAGATAACAGTGGCTATCAGAAAGTAATCATGTATAATAGTTGGGCTTCCCCTTGTGGCTGTCTTCGAGAGAACAGGGTCCCGGCAATTATCAAGGGTTTGCAACCCAACGCCAGCGCCTGTCTCTACATAGAAAAAGCCAAACAGGCCCAGCGGAGCCTATATATGCAAGGCTTAAGCAGCATATTGCCTCTGTACCCCGCATATATATTAGCGCCGTTTTGCGACGAGAGTCTCATCATGTTCATTCAGGACGTTCCTTCGTATATTATCAATTCTAGTACTATGTGGTATGTACTGCGCACTGGTGTCGTATAATGATACACAAATAATTATCCCGCCGACTTCGACTCGTCTAAGCTAGTGCATTTTACTAGCCAGAATTGGTCATTTAAGGCCAACCTACAAATTCACTCAAATTGACAGTCTGCACCTGAGTTCCCATTGGAAAAAGAAGGCCCACGCGGCCCACGTCCTAGCCTCACGCCCAAAACGGCAAATGTCGCCGAGGTCAAGAATCAATGATCTCAAAAGAAATTAATCAATTTTTCGGATTCTTCAAGTGGATTACCCCTCCCCGAAAGCCGACCTCGTAAGTCCGAAATTGCGTAACCCGAGCGAAGTAGGTAATAGTAGGCAATATCCGGTAGGAAGTATTAGGGCGGGCATCGCCGGCTACGTGTAACAGATCAAGCCCCTTGAACGAACAATATCGCACTGAAGATTCAAGTCGAAGAGATCCGTCCTTGATTGTGAATGACATCCATGGATATAAGCTTTCGGATCTACAGAGCAGTTTCATCCACCCCCACCATCATTCGGCACCGTTAATAACTGCAAACACTGCAAACAGCGGCGTAATCGGTTTTTCCCCGCGCTAACGCGTTTGCTTGCGATAAAGACCACAAAGGCAGGCGTTGCATTGCCCTACTGTTTTCTCCCGTACACCACTCTCGGGCTCTCCATTGCTTCCTGCTCAACTCATATCCATATCGGACTACCCGTCAGGCCAGCAGAATGGAGGGCAACGCTCCCACGCCGGAGGGCATCTTCTCCCTTCTGGATACTGATCTTTACAAGCTGACGATGCAATGCGCAATCCTCAAATACTTCCCTGATGTTTGTGAGTAGAAACTGCCGGAGTGGTATCACGCGGGTCTAATCCTCTGGTAGCTGTGACCTACGGCTTTACGAATCGCACCCCAGACATGAAGTTGCGACGCGGAGCTTACAATTGGCTTTTGCAGCAGTTGGAGAGTGAGTGGTTCCTCTAGTTGAACCGGATTCCCTATTCATTTTTGACTGATGCTGATTTCTTGTTCTCGTTAGAGCTCGGTTCCCTTCGAGTCACCGCCGAGGAGCGCGACTTCCTCAAGCGCAAATGCCCATATCTCAATGATGCCTACATCTCCTTCCTTGAAACATTCCAGCTCAAGCCTGCCGAGCAGGTGGATATCAAGTTCACCCCTACGCAAGACACGGGCAGCGATGAGGATGAGGGAGTCGTCGAATACGTCATTAAGGGTCTCTGGCTCGATACCATCCTCTATGAGATTCCGCTGCTGTCACTGACCAGCCAGGCATATTTCATGTTCTGTGATAAGGACTGGGACTACCAGAGTCAAGAGGAGAAAGCATATCGCAAGGGATCTACCCTCTTGGAGCACGGGTGTCTTTTCTCTGAATTTGGAACCCGGCGACGACGCGATTATCACACTCAAGATATTGTGATGAAGGGTCTTACCCGTGCTGCGGAGGACGCGAAGAAGAAGGGGTGGAAGGGCGCACTGGCCGGCACAAGCAATGTGCACTTTGCTATGAAGTACGACGTGAATGCCGTTGGTACTGTTGCGCACGAGTGGTACATGACAATTGCGGCTATCACTAATGATTATGAGAATGCCAATGAGTTGGCATTGGAGTACTGGCTCGGATGTTTCGGAGAAGGGGTAAGTGCACATTTGAACACGGTTCATACACCTCGAGCTGGGCAGCTAACTAAAAAAGGTTCTTGGAATCGCCCTTACCGACACGTTCGGCACACCAGCTTTCCTTGATGCATTCCGCAAGCCTATTAAGACTCCCATCGAGAGCGCGAGTAGTCAGCCCCTCAAGTCCTATGCGCAGACCTACACCGGTGTGCGCCAAGATTCGGGTGACCCATCAAACTTTATCAAGATGGTGCGCGAGTTCTACGATCGCGAGGGTATCACCGAGAAGAAAACGATTGTGTTCTCTGATTCATTGAACATTGAGTCATGTCTTGAATACAAGACCCTTGCTGAGGAAGCGGGATTCGCTCCTTCTTTCGGCGTGGGAACTTTCTTCACAAGTAAGTTGAAAAGTATCTTATTATAGGCATTGGTTACCAACATGATTATCTCTAGATGATTACGTCAACAAGACCACTGGCGAGAAATCGAAGCCTCTTAACATTGTCATCAAGATCGCCACGGCAAATGGCCGTTCGGCTGTGAAGCTCAGTGATAACCTGGGCAAAAATACGGGTGACAGTGCTACAGTGGCCGAAGTGAAGAGGAGACTCGGCTACGTTGAGCAAGAAGGTGCACAAATTGACGAGAGCAATCGCTGGTCGCAAAAGAAATAGATGTCCCTATGCTAAATTGAGGGACCCACCTCATGACTTGTCTATGCCGGGGGGCTGGTTTTCATTTTCATTCCCTTTGTACGGATGGCTTTGTCCAGATCGATTACCATACAGGTTGATAGAGACGGATGGTTTCCATGATATTCATTAATAGAGCGGGAAAGAAAACCCATCATGAGATTGCACTTCGCAGATGTATCCGAGGATTTCCACAAAGATCATATTGATGTGACCAAGACATATACACTCATGAATGCTAAATGCAGACAAGGAACAAAACTCAAATAAACACGTTGGTATCAATGAGTCAAAGCTTGGGAAAATGGAATCATCAAGACAACTTAGAACATCTCATCGCCAGTCTGGAATCCTAAATCGCGATCCAAATCACCCGTTATATCACCATGCCTAGACTGATGTCTCGCCCCATCATCAAAATCATCGTCTTTAAGCGCGAACGAAAAGATATCTTGTTCCTTTTCCTGCTCGTGACGCTGTGGTGCATTCTGCTGAACACGACGTTGTTGATCGGAAGATCCCGACTTATCGAGCTCTGATAGCGATGTCCCCTGGAATAGAGCCTTTGTCCAGTCCAGATCATCAAGATCTTCTGCTGGGGGTGAGATCTCCATTGGCTGTGTGACGCGTGTTGATGTGGGATCTGCTAAATCGGGGAAGTCGAAATCAACGGAGAGGTAATTGAAGGGATTGCTATCGTCAGAGGCTGTTTCGATCGCGAAGTGGTCGTCAAAGTCGTTGGGGAATGGGCGGTGGGTTTGTCGAGGGGTTTGAGATTGTTCGCGGGGTGTCGGAATGCTTTGGTTTCGTTGTTGGTTTTGGCTCTCTTCGTATATGGATGGTGTTCTGTGGGATGCTGGGGTTTGTACATCGGACTTGGTGCTTTCTTGGCGGAAGGAATGGGGTGTTGATACTGAGTCATTTCGGGTTAAGTCGGCAGGGTTAGTCTGAGTGTCGAAGTTGTTCTGCATAATCTGGAAAAATGTGTTGTTGGTGTAATTGCCCGATTGTAGCTTGATTGCGGCTTCGAGATTTGCAAATTCAACGTTGGCGGCTGGGTACATGTCCTTGAGGCAGTGCAGAACATGGATGCAGCGTTGGAAATTGTGTATGCTGCTCTCCCGGATGGCTGGGTTATCGGACACGGAGTTGGAAAGATGTGCCACTGCCGCTGGTAGAATAACTGTCACGCCAGACTGTGGCAGGAACCGCGTGAGATTAAGCTGGTTGAGGCCTTGAACAATATGGGTAATGCCAGAAGCAGCTTCGTGCATTTTTGCACGAGCCGCATTGCGCCACTCAGTTCGAGATTTTGACTGGTCTTTAGAATGCGCAGCCCAAGGCCTGTGGAGCGCACTACTGGTTGCATGATAAAGCATACGAAGCATAGCGCCATGTAGGAGTAGCACATCCTCTCCATCTCGAAAATTGTTCTTTGTTGCTGGGATGAACTGTGCATCTTTCGGCAGGCCAGTAAGCCATGAATCTAATTTCTGGCTGCATCGAGTAAACTCTGATTCTGATGCCTGTCGGGGAACCAGTGTGACGGTGGTCCTGTCTGTTGCTCCAAATTGTCGTTGTGATGGCGCATATTGCGCAAAGATTACTCTTCCAATGCATTGGCAAAGCTTGACCTTTTCAATAAACATGGTGGCCAGGCGCCTTTGGTGTGACACATCTTCGAGTTGTCGACAGTGGAAAAGGCCTACTGCAGATTTGGAGAAAGGTTCAAAGTCAAAGTCCTCGGGTTTTAACATAGGAACATTGCTTGTTCCCTCATTTACTTGCAGTGGGCGTCGCATTCCCATGGCAATCAATCGATCCCGGGAATAGAGACACCACCACAATCGAGTGCGCAGTCGTTTAAGCCTGGGGTCGATCTCAGCGGAGGACGGATCTTTGTTCAACCCAATGGAATGTGCCTGTGTATTACACACCCCAATCCAGTCCCAGATATCTCGCTGCAGGCTATTCTCGGGGTCCGACCAATATGTCATCAGTAGCACTGTTTGCAAAATTACGATGCGGTCTTCTTCGCAGTCAAGGGAGTAAAGAAGCTGGAATACTGAGGTTAGAAAGATTGGACGTGAAAAGGTGAAAGAAAAGGTATGCATACTCGTAATCGGGTGAAAAACGCATTACGTGCATCTTTCCTCGTCGAATACCCTGCAGCCTGTAGGTGCTTGAAGTCGACGAAAGCCGTGCCAACGAACATTACCGCTTGGAAGAGCAGAACACTGATGTTCCCATCAGGGTCGTTCTCTGCGACACATCTCAAAAGTTCTTGCAAGTTGAGCACCGGCATAAAACTGTGTACCCACTGGATATATGACCGCAACAGCTCATTGCGCAATCCGCTCTCTGGTATCGTCAGAGCCCCTCGAAAGCGCAAAAATTCTAAATCTTCACGTGCAATACGATTCGGCAGCGGCTTGAGAAATCGGGGCTCTTCATCCAAAATGGCTGTCAACGGATCGAAGTCCGGGTCAATCAGATCCTGCACCGCAGAGACCATATTGGCAAGTGGCAACGAGTTATGGACAGCTGGATCACCCAGCGTGCGCCAGCCGTTGAGCGGCCTGCCTGACTCGAAGAGCCATGGGGCCTGTGGATCGTATCCTGATATACTATGACGTTTAGACGTTGGCTCGTGGCGAGTGTCAGTCTGCTGCTGCAGCTTGCGCTTAAGAGCAAGCGCGTTGCTGTTTGGGGATAAAGACATCGCCACTTATGCAGAACTTAGAAAGATCCGCATAGAGCCGCAAACTCCTTTCGTTTTCTCCGTGACACGGATGCAGGGTCCCAGGAAGATCGGCGTGTAGAGTAAGCGAAATGCAAAATCGGGACCTCAGCTCGTCTAGCCCCGGTGAATGGAACAGGGCGGTGTTCGGAACTTTGGGGAATGTGGGGTTTTTGCGGAGGCTTACGTGGAGTAAATATCAATGGTTGGCCAGAATATAAAAACTTTGGTTTGATATGCCGATTTGACTGCCGCGCTGATTAATGTGCTTGAGGCACGTGTCCCAGGATCTACCCTGCAGCGAGCCAATGGCAAACACGCATCTACAGATCTGCTTGTACATTGAATGCAATTGTTCTTGTTCTAAGGTGATTCTCCAATATTAACATGTAGCTGAGCAGCGGGTAAGTGCGGAGAGTGACATTAATCCGAGGGTCCCTATACCGATACTAAGTGGGTCGTTTCCTATGCCGCAACACCCGACCTTCCACCTCTCGTCTGTGGTTTAAGCTGGCCAAGCATAACCTGCTTGGCACGCCATGAGGCCCACTCGACGACTGAACGAGTTTCTTCTTCCTCACTCTGCTCCACAACAGGGATGACGCCACTTTTCAGCCTTTGCATCGAGGCATTGTTCCGTGGTCGGACCAGGTACGCCACGCTTTGACGGGTCTCCAGTGCCTGCTCTCCGGGAGCTGTTATTACACGATGCAATGAGCTCCGCAAGAGTCCACCCGTCCACTCGACCAGAGTATCACCAATGTTCACCAATACATTTCCCGGCTCTGGCTTGACATACAGCCAGTTTTCTAGCTTGTTTTCACGGTCTGCTGGCAGTATCTGCAATCCACCCACCACGTTGAAGAGCAGGGTAATGGTTCCGATGTCGGTGTGCCCGCCAAGTGTGATGCTATCATGTTGAGGGTTCGACTGCGATTGACTGCGTAATAATCGAACCGACGTCTCGGAGATTTCGTTCAAAGGGCTGAGTTCACTGAGTGTCCCAGGTTCAAGGCCTAGCTGCTGATCGAGATGAGAGAAAATAACATCTGCTATCATGAGAATCTACCCGGCTCTTTATTCTCTCCATGGCAGCATACCTATGATAGAATGGGAACATTCAATAAATTGTCGCACTTCTGCTCTTTTGGCTTCAATGGTGTCAACATTGTTACGGGCAGATTTGTTGCCTAGCATATCGTCTTGATTAATCGAATAAAGCTCCATGCAATCCATTTTACCGTCATCTGTCTTGAGCTGGCCCTTTCGCTTATACCTTCTCATGGTCAGTGGCTTAGATACAAACGGGAAAGGGCCCATCGTACCCCGTCAGGTCATGAGGCGGCTTGTAGGCGTAGCTGTCAAGGACCGATTGGTCGAGGTTGTACGTCTCATTGGTGAGATCAAACATTTTTTCTGCATTTTCCAGGAGCTCGCTGCCCTCACTGGTCCGTTCGAGATTCAGCAAGAAGAATCCCCATTCCTGGCATGCTTGAAATAAGAGTTGACCCTCTTTTTCGCTTCCATTCTGGAGTTCTTCGAGTGACACCTTCGGTAAGGGAACAGTAGGCACCTCAGAGGGAAAGGGAGGACATCGGTTAAAGTACTTGATTGTCGGCATTGTTGAAAATTAATGAATGATAGAGAAACTAAGGCTATGAAAGAGGTTTTTATCGTTCGCCATCTGTTCCCCGCGCCAGGATGATCTTCCAATAAGATGAGACCCCATTACGTCTGACCAAAACAGCCCCCAATTAATCCCTGTCTAGCGTACCATGCAAACTTTTAAGGCCTCCCAATGTGACATGTGTAGTTATCACGCTGTTGACGGCTGCTCCAATATCTGACCACAAAGTGTCCAAACTAGCAAGTGGATACTCGGTTTTCTTCCCCTTCCCGGTACTGGACCTCTGCCCATCAGATATGGAGTATAGTTTGACCTTGATTTTTTTATCTATTTATTTGTTCTCTATAGTTGTGGCATTCTGTGCTGTGCTCGGGAAATCCTACAATTGCTAAGCAAAATTTACCTAGCTTCGATTCCCACGTGTCAATACGATTCGGTGAGAGTGCACTCCAGGGCTTAACGTTCCATGAAGCAATGAGTCCACAAGCGATTGTGCTTCAAGGTCAAACAATAAAAGATTACTATTCCAAGGTTCTCTGCGCTATGGTCAATCTTCTTGGGATCGATCTCGGGAGTCTTTGTTTACCGCGTCGTACGTTCCTTGTCTTCTTTTCATCCGGCTACTCGTACTCGTAATGAATGATAATCACAATCCTTGGTATTCATAACAAAGCTGTGGCACAGCCCATGTAGCGATGTGACGTGTGCCCTTGCGAAGAGACTATTGTACAGATAAAAATGGGAGCATCAGACCAATGCCTATGCAACTTGGTCCCCTGACCGACGCCATTATGCTTCTATGGAGAAACGATTCACGTTGGGAGGATGGGAATTCGAGGTTCGAGTATATGATTGAATTACATACTGAGACGCGTTAGTTCAGTTCAACATGCCATTAAGAACGACACTGGATGGATGACTTGACTCACGGAGGGAGGAGGATCTCGCCGAGGCTGCTGTGGAGGAAAGCGACGCCGACCTGGGGATAATGTCAGTTTCTTGATCCGGTTTGTAGGTTCACGCAGACATACAGTGAAGATGGCGAGGCTGCGGACGATGGTAGCGTTCTCAGGGTTGCGAGCCTCATCGAAGACGGTGCTGATGAATCCCTTCTGGGAGCCGGCGAGGTTCTTGGGGGCCATTGTGATTGTAGATGAAAGCCGGTGAAAGTGAGTGGTAGATGGTGGTATGAGAGGCGGAGATGGTGTTCGGAGGTCGAGAAATCTGCGGGCTTCGGGACGCTTGGCGTCACTGCGTCATAGGTGCCTTTCGACACCCGTATATCTTTTGCGCGGGCGCGCATGCAGCAGGGACCTTGTCTCGCCCAGTCTGTCATTAGGAAGATAAAAGCGGCTATTTTCAATTCTACTCTCCTTCATTTGCACCAACTTAAAAACCCCTGCGAACGGTACCGTGGGTGGTTTTGCTGCTTGTTTCTCCTGTGAAAGAGCACGCGCCGTAGCCATGACTAGTGTCGATGAGCTCTTCAAAGTAAGTCAAGCCTCCTCAAATCGGGTTGGGTCTCTCTCTGACTTCCAAAGAAACCATCGGGTGTAGGAAATTCCAAGCGCAAGCTCGAGCCGCTTCAAGATCCAAGTACGCGCTCCTTTCCTACCATACGCCCGCGATTTCAGCTAACAAGTCGCAAGATGAGCTATACAAATCCGCAAAGCTAGACTCCAATGCCGATGTGAGGTCCAAGGGAAAGGAAGCCATGGTCGAAGATGAGCTTGATGATGATGGCGAGGCGGGTCCTGAACTGCCCCCGGACATGGACACTGAAGATATCCCCGACGACGAGGAAGGCCGTTTCTTTGGTGGAGGAATGGAGCAAAAGACCGCCCAGGCGATGCAGTATATTGACCAACAAGAAGAAGAGGAAGCTGCGGTATGTGCATACCTCCAGTCTCTGGCTGCTGTGATGCTAACGATTAGATCTTGCAGCCCGAGAAATTCGACACAGCCTGGGTCCGTCGATTCGCTTTAAACTTTGAGAGAAAGATATCCAAGAACGCCGAGCTACGAGCCAAGTTTGAGAATGATCCACAAAAGTATGTGAGGGCCTGGGGAATACTGCAGGCTGTATGCTGATTGATGGCAGGTTCATGGCATCCGAAGCCGATCTTGATACCGAGATCAAGGGATTATCAATTCTGTCAGAACATCCAGATCTCTACAAGGAGTTCGCAAAGCTGGGATGCGTGGGCTCACTGATTTCGCTGCTCTCGCACGAGAATGCGGATATTGCGATTGACGTTATTCAAATCATCGGCGAGCTTACGGATGAGGATGTTGAGGCGGAACAGGAACAGTGGGATAGCCTGGTCAACCCTATGGTGGGTTTCAAGGCAAAATCATCTTTGATACTATGCTGACAAGGATTAGATGGATGCTGATCTCATTGAACTATTAACCTCGAATCTTACCCGTCTTGATGAAGGTGTGGATACTGACAGAGCCGGTGTTTACTATATACTCAGTAGGTTTCCCTTGCTAAGCTACCCTGCAGTCGCTAATAATTCCAGGTGTATTGGAGAACCTATGCTCCCAGACGTCTGTCGCAGAGAAGATTGGGCAGGATGCTTCCATCCTTCAATGGATCCTGGCTCGTATTCAGAAGAAGGAAACCCCTGTCAGTCAGAACAAGCAGTATTCAGCAGAAATCTTGGCAATTCTATTGCAGTCCTCCTCAAAGAATCGAGAACGGTTCATCGACCTCGACGGTGTCGACATCCTCCTCCAAATCCTCAGTCAATACAGGAAACGGGATCCTGAAAAGGACTCTGACGAGGAAGAATATGTGGAAAATCTTTTCGATGCTTTGATCTGCCTGGTCGATGAACCAGCAGGAAAAGACAAGTTTATCGTGGCCGAGGGAATCGAACTGGCATTGATCATGCTCAAGGAAGGTAAATTCAGCAAATCACGAGCTCTAAGGACTCTCGATCACGCCTTTGGTGGAGCAGCGGGTGGCCCGGCTTGCGAGCAACTGGTTGAAGCAGTCGGATTGAAGACGATATTCGGCATGTTCATGAAAAAGGTAAGCATAGCTCCTCCTCCTAAACAGATTACTTTTACTCATAACATGCAGCAAGAGGGACAAAACATCGAGCATCTGCTGGGCATCTTTGCTTCACTTCTCCGGCTCCTGCCTGGTACATCGGCTGCGCGTATCCGAACCCTGGCTAAGTTCATGGAGAAGGATTATGAGAAGATCGAGAAGCTTGTCAAGTTGAGACGAGAGTATGCTGCACGTGTGGCACCAGTTGAACAAGCCATCGAGAAGGAGCGCAAGTCCTACTCACAGGAAGACCAAGAAATCATGGCTGGAGAATGGCTATCTCGTCGATTTGATGTGGGGCTCTTCTCCTTACAGACAATTGACGTTATCCTGGCTTGGCTGATCGCGGAGGATGATGGAGCTAAGAAGAAGGTTGTGTCCCTCTTAGCAGACCGCGACGAAGATCTGTCCCTGATTCGGGGCACATTACAAGGTAGGCATCTCCCATGGATCTCGATTGGCAGTTGCTGAGATACTAACGACTATATCAGAACAATTACAAGGCCTTAGTGATGAGGAACCAGGACAGAAAGATACCAAGGATATGCTGAGCACCTTGTTGCAGTTTTTGTAAGGCCTCATAGCTATGCAATGTATTATATCCGATAATATGCAATGTTTCAACATTGATGGCCCATTCCGATCACCTGAGTTATTGAATTTCACCTTTGAGGGGTCTCTATGGACCTCTGTCCTACACAGTAGTATCACTCAGAGTCCAGGTCTAAGGTCTACGGGTGTATTCTCGACCTCGGGAGATCATTTTACGTTATTGTAGTTGATGCAAGGACCTTCCAAGGGTGTAAATTAATATTCTTGCTAGGTTAACGTGATCTTGGGTAGTCCATACGCTCTTCTCATTTATTCTAGAGATGTTGACATGGATCCATTGAAGTCTGAAGTCCCGTCACATCCAAGCCCAGTAGTCACGGCATAAATATGTTTCCTCACACACAAAGAATACCATGTCCAAATTTGTCAAATGCTAACTCCCGCTTTTGTGATCCATTCTCTCAGGAGCCTCTAGTTACCACAAATAATTCTACCTCTATCTAAAACCTAAGCATCTTCCCTTCAGCAAGACTTTCCAGGTTCGCAGATCCCGGTGTAGATGTTAAACCATCGCATCACGTGACTGTCAAACACGTGATGCGAAGAATCCTTATCAGGACTAGTGTGGTAATTCGGCGCCGCCGAAGCATCAAGATCCTGGGAGATCGCCAATCACTTCATCCGTCACCGCTGGGAGTTTTTTCTTTCATCCCACCGAGCTCCCGTCTCCGCTTCCTCACTTGTCCGGGCAGGCTGCAGGAATCACTCTACAGTCACTGACAGGCGGGTGTTGCAGCGCGTTGGGTGATTCTCAGATCATTGCTTCTCCCGACCCGACGCGCCTCTGCGACCCTTCGACGATCGGTCTTTTCGCCTTTCGACCTCACCATTAAGAACGCACTGGGAAACTCCAGGAAACCGACATAATGGCAGACTACGATGAAACGTACGAGGAGGAGTTTTACGATGATTCGGATGAGGGAATCACCTCCGAAGACTGCTGGACTGTGATTTCTTCGTTCTTCGACACGAAGGGTCTCGTGTCCCAGCAACTCGACTCTTTCGATGAATTCATCTCCTCAACCATGCAGGAGATGGTGGAAGAACAAGGACAAGTGGTACTTGATCAGACCCTCCCTCCCTCCGAAGATGAAGATGACCCGGTTGTCGTCCGCCGTTACGAGCTCAAATTTGGAACCGTCATGCTTTCGCGACCATCAGTCACCGAAGGAGATGGCGCAACAACAATCATGTTGCCCCAGGAAGCCCGCTTGCGAAACCTTACCTATTCCAGTCCTCTGTATCTCGACGTCACAAAGACGCTCCTGGAAGGACGAGAGCGCTTGATCGCCGACCGCGATGATGGGGAGCCCGGCGAGGCTGATGAAGACCGCAAGAACCGTGGTACATATCTCGAATGGGAGCAGGTCGACTTTTTAGGGAATGCCGAGAAGAAGGAGACGGAAACAGTATACATTGGCAAGATGCCTATCATGCTCAAGTCCAAATACTGTATCTTGAAGGATCTGAACGAACAGTCACTATACGCCTGGAACGAGTGTCCTTACGATTCTGGTGGTTACTTTGTTATCAACGGAAGTGAGAAGGTTCTTATTGCTCAGGAGCGCAGTGCTGGTAATATTGTCCAGGTCTTCAAGAAGGCACCCCCGAGTCCTACGCCTTACGTTGCGGAAATTCGCAGTGCCGTTGAAAAGGGATCTCGACTTTTATCCCAACTCTCCCTTAAGCTTTTCGCCAAGGGTGACAGTGCCAAGGGTGGTTTTGGCCCTACCATTCGTTCAACCTTGCCTTATGTCAAGGCCGATATTCCCATTGTCGTCGTTTTCCGTGCTCTGGGTGTCGTTTCTGACGAAGACATTTTGAACCACATTTGCTACGACCGCAATGATATCCCTATGCTGGAAATGCTTAAGCCATGTATCGAGGAGGGTTTCGTTATCCAGGACCGCGAGGTGGCTCTGGACTTCATCGCCAAGCGTGGGTCATCCCAGTCTAACCTTAACCACGAACGACGTGTCCGTTATGCACGAGAGATCATGCAAAAGGAGCTGTTGCCCCATATCTCCCAGAGCGAAGGTAGCGAAACCCGCAAGGCCTTCTTCCTCGGCTACATGGTGCACCGTCTGCTGCAGTGTGCGCTTGGTCGCCGCGATGTTGATGATCGTGATCACTTCGGAAAAAAGCGTCTGGATCTGGCTGGTCCACTTCTCGCTGGTCTTTTCCGTGTCCTCTTCACTCGTGTCACCCGTGATCTCCAACGGTATGTCCAGCGTTGCGTTGAGACCAATCGCGAACTGTTCCTCAACGTGGGTCTGAAGGCTGCTACACTTACTGGTGGATTGAAGTACGCCCTCGCTACAGGTAATTGGGGTGAGCAGAAGAAGGCTGCCAGCGCCAAGGCTGGTGTTTCCCAGGTGCTGAGTCGTTATACCTACGCATCTACGTTGTCCCATTTGCGACGTACCAATACGCCCATCGGACGAGATGGTAAAATTGCCAAGCCTCGTCAGCTTCACAACACTCACTGGGGTCTTGTGTGCCCGGCCGAGACGCCCGAAGGTCAGGCTTGTGGTCTGGTCAAGAATTTGGCGCTCATGTGCTACATCACTGTTGGTACACCCAGCGAGCCGATCATTGATTTCATGATCCAACGGAATATGGAGGTCCTCGAGGAGTTCGAGCCCCAAGTAACACCCAATGCCACCAAAGTGTTCGTGAATGGTGTGTGGGTCGGTATTCACCGTGATCCATCGCATCTTGTCAACACCATGGCGTCTCTTCGTCGGCGAAACATGATCTCCCACGAAGTCAGCTTGATTCGTGACATCCGTGAGCGGGAGTTCAAGATTTTCACTGATACTGGACGTGTCTGTCGACCACTCTTCGTTGTCGACAATGACCCCAAGAGTGAGAATGCTGGATCACTGATCCTGAACAAGGAGCACATTCGAAAGCTGGAGCAGGACAAAGATTTGCCGCCAGACCTGGATCCAGAAGAACGCCGGGAACGTTTCTTCGGATGGGAGGGATTGGTGCGATCCGGTGCCGTGGAATACGTGGACGCAGAGGAGGAGGAAACCATTATGATTGTAATGACGCCTGAAGATTTGGAGATTTCCAAACAGCTCCAGGCTGGTTACGCCTTGCCGGAGGATGACAGCGACCCCAACAAGCGAGTTCGCTCGGTTCTGAGCCAGCGGGCACACACCTGGACTCATTGTGAGATCCACCCCAGTATGATCCTTGGTGTTTGTGCCAGTATCATTCCCTTCCCCGATCACAACCAGTCGCCTCGTAACACCTATCAATCCGCTATGGGTAAGCAGGCTATGGGTGTGTTCTTAACGAACTTTGCACAGCGCATGGAAACCATGGCGAACATTCTTTACTACCCCCAGAAGCCGCTTGCCACCACCCGGTCTATGGAATTCTTGCGCTTCCGTGAGCTGCCAGCTGGCCAGAATGCAATTGTTGCCATTGCTTGTTACTCTGGATACAACCAGGAAGATTCCGTTGTCATGAACCAGAGCAGTATTGACCGTGGTCTTTTCCGCAGTCTGTTCTACCGTACATACAGTGATGCCGAGAAGTCGGTCGCCACGAACATTGTGGAGAAATTCGAGAAGCCCATGCGCATGGACACCCTCGGTATGCGCAAGGGCACATACGACAAGCTTGACGACGACGGTATCATTGCCCCTGGTACGCGTGTCTCTGGAGAAGATATCATTATCGGCAAAACGGCACCTCTGGCCGCCGATGCTGAGGAGCTTGGTCAGCGCACCAAGGCACACACCAAGTTGGACGTGTCGACGCCCCTGCGAAGCACTGAGAACGGTATTGTCGACCAGGTGTTGATCTCGACGGGCCACGATAACGCGAAGTTTGTCAAGGTCCGCATGCGTACCACCAAGATTCCCCAGATTGGTGATAAGTTTGCCTCGCGTCACGGTCAGAAGGGTACCATTGGTATCACTTACCGACAGGAAGACATGCCCTTCACCCGTGAAGGTGTAGTCCCCGATCTCATCATCAACCCTCATGCCATTCCGTCTCGTATGACTATTGCTCATTTGATTGAGTGTCAACTCAGTAAGGTGTCGTCGCTTCGTGGCTTTGAAGGTGATGCCACTCCCTTCACTGACGTGACTGTCGACTCGGTCTCTCGTCTGCTCCGGGAGCACGGTTACCAGTCGCGTGGATTTGAGGTCATGTACAACGGTTACACTGGTCGCAAGTTGGTGGCGCAGGTGTTCCTGGGCCCTACATACTACCAGCGTCTGCGTCACATGGTAGACGACAAGATTCACGCTCGTGCCCGTGGTCCTACCCAGATTCTGACCCGTCAGCCCGTTGAGGGTCGTGCCCGTGATGGTGGTCTCCGTTTCGGAGAGATGGAGCGCGATTGTATGATCGCCCACGGTGCCAGTGCCTTCTTGAAGGAGCGTCTGTTCGATGTCTCTGACCCCTTCCGAGTTCACATTTGCGATGACTGTGGCCTGATGACCCCCATCGCGTAAGTTATCCCATCTTTATCAACATTCTAGTCTGTCAACTAACACGTCAACAGTAAACTGAAGAAGGGTCTCTTCGAGTGCCGCCTTTGCAATAACAAGCACCGTATCTCGCAGGTCCATATTCCCTACGCTGCCAAGCTTCTGTTCCAAGAGCTGGCCTCGATGAACATTGCCGCTCGGATGTTTACCGATCGGTCCGGAGTGTCGGTGCGGTAATTGCATATTCGCACCTTGCACGATTCACATTTACATTGTACTTTAATGATTCACTCGAAAATCGCGAGTCCTTCGGGACTATTGTTGTGGCGTCTGGGGATTTTTGGCCCTCGCATTCTATTCGGTCATACATAGTCGGAAATCAAATTTTGTGTCCACATTTGCCGGTCCTTCCTGTAGACCGAAGGTAGTTTATGTCTCTAGCTCTTATTCGTAGATATCCTTCCCTAATTCCCCCACCCCCCTGTCTCCATCTCACCCTGTCCTGGCCATCATTGGCCGGGTAATGCGAATCCCTGATACGTAAGTGCCCATGTACCTGCTTTTCAATCAACATGAACTTCCAATTGCTTTTACCCATTTACCAATTAATATCTCAAATAAATAAACATCAATTGTCAATTGATTGAACATAGACAAGAACTGTAGAAGGAAAATTGGCAGGTCTTACCGAAAATGCAGCGCTTTTAAGCCCAACCGACACTTGACAACGCAACCTGTTCCTTTGCTCAATCGGCTCTGTTAGCCCAGAAAAGACCAGGCCAGATCACACTGTACAGAGATGATGATCCATGGCTTTGTGGTCTCTACCATTTCCTCAGATATGCGCACGGGAGCCGCAGTGAACATTTGCTGTTATTCAAGGTAGACATTCCAGTTCAATATGCCTTGTGGATACGATCCTTCACCCCGGGCCCGAAGAGCTACTATTATTCGACCACGTTGTACCCTTGTCTTGTACCCTTGTACCCCACGGTGATTTCGGCACGATGCGCAACTAGTCTGATCCAACTGACATCAGATACCAATCACCCCCTAGTCTGCATTGGGCTGTGGAGCGTCAACTGAAGGATATTGCAATATGCAACTAGGGCCTGCAGGGCCGAAGAAAGGAAGTGTCATCCGCAATCCTGACCAATTTGTCCCTCTTGCAGCATCATTCCGTGTTACCGACAGAGTACACGTAGATGTACATGCGGGATGGATGTTGATTCCTGACTCGCATTGGCCCTTCAGGTGTTGGCGGGGAATCAGCAGGACTGGAATCGGCAGGATTACGGTGAATTTTCCCGTCATCAAACCTTCGGGATGTGAAGGTGGACTGTGCGCAGATCAAAGTTTCGTGGATTTCTATTCTGGTCGCGCAGCATGGTACTTCTGTGCCGTATGGCCGTTGAGGGTTGTATAGGTATACTGTTTCCCCAGGCTGTTTGGAGCGAGGTATACGGAGTAGGGGTGGCTAAGAACAACCTGTATAACTGATGCAATGATGGAATGATGAATGATGGTATGGAATCCCTGCTTCTGCAAGACGAGAAACAATGAGGCTGATTCGATGACAGCCCCTCACCCGGTCTCACCGATAGCGTCAAGTACAGGGGTTTGATTGGTTGAGGATGAGGTTGACAGCCCATCACTGCGCAACACACCGCACCGCCAATCAGATGGCTGGAATACCCGCTCACTCCCAATATTCACTTTCTGCAGTGGTTGATCCATTCGATTCCCTTAAAAGTGTCCATAACCGCCCAGGCGGATTCTTCCTCTTCTTTTCTTCAGCGAGTTTTTGTTGTTGGAGCTGTTCATTCGAGTTTGAATCCAGGCACTGGCTGTCCGGTTCTTTTTTTTTCATTCTTCTTTATACTATTCTTAATTTTACCCCATTTTCCCCACTAAACGAGCTGTGCTCTGCTAGTGTTGACCCCCATTCTGCCTTGCTTCAATTCAACCTCGATTTCAAGTTTCCAGTTCTGCCTCATCGTTGCCGGTCAACGTTGTGCCTTGCTGTATCAGCTCTATCAACAAACACGTTAATCTAATCTCGCTCAATTCCGTTTATATTCTTGTTGTCGTGGACCGGTTCCCGTCGACAATTGCAAAGATTCAAAGACTTATACAACTTCGATCAGACTCCGGTAGTTCTGATTGACATATTTGACTCTTACGAACTACGACAACTATATAACACTATTTATTTGTTTTGATCGATCATTCATAATGGCCGCCGTTCAACTCAAGTTTTCCCTGCGGACCTCGTCCAACGTCAAGACCGTCCACCTGGTCGGCTCCTGGGACAACTATGCCCGTCAACTGCCACTCTCCGGTGAGGATAAGCCCGGTGCCTGGGTCGGCAAGTTCCGCTTCCAGACCTCCATGCTTCAACTCGGCAGCCGCTACTGGTACTACTACATCATGGATGGGTACCACGTCTCCCACGATCCAGCAGTCGAGTACACCGTCGAGCCCACCACCGGCCGCAAGCTCAACATCCTCGATGTTCCCGGTGGCAAGTCCAGCTCCCGCAGCACGGCCCAAAGCACCCGCCGCAGCTCGAACGTCGCCCACGGCCGCTCCCTCTCGCCGTCCAAGATCCAGCACCCAAAGCCCTCGAAGCCCTACGCCTCGCGCCACCTCCGCGAAGCCGAGTTCGGCGCCCCAACCGTCGACGACTTGACCCGCCGCTTTGCCGGCTCTCGTCTGTCCGATGAGTACTCCTACTCCAACAGCCCGCCCAGCTCTGCCGGCTCGTCGCTGTCATCCCGCTCTTCGGGATCTACCTCGCCTTCTTCTTTGTCCTCTATGAGCGACCCCCAGTCCGTTTGCTCCTGTGAACGCTACGGTATTACCCGCAAGGGAGACCGTGTCAAGCTGGACTGTGGTGGCAGCCGCTGCGGATACGCTGATGAGTCGTCCGACGCCAGCTGCTCCGAGGATGAGGATAGTGATGAGGAGTACCGCCGTGCCCGCAGTGGTGTCCGTCGCCAGGGCATCGTTGTCCGCCGTTAAACTCAACGTCCGGTCTAGTTTGTTCGGTTCGCTGCGCAGACTATACCCGGGTTTTGTTTCCATGTCATACGCTTGGACCTGGTAGCAGGGATTCGGTTTGCGTCTATTTGATTACCTTGCTTTTGGAAAAAAGAAACTATATAAAAAAAAACCCTTCCCCGTGGGTGAACCGGCTTCGCTTCCGGGGTGGGTGGGGATGATTGATGTTGTGGGGAGGAGAGGCGTGAAGAGAGGAGAGGAGCAAGAAGACATCGATGCCCAAATCCGATGCACCGATCCGACAATATCCACTCTGGATTGAAACTTCGGTACCTATCCAGACCAGTGGATGGACAAGCTTATCTCGCGCATGAGTGCGAGCCATAAGAGACATTCCCGCTCTGTGTCCTGCATGTCAATTCAACCAGGGTGCGGCCTCGCGGAAGAGCCATGCATCTCGTAACCATGAGCATCCATTGATGTTCAGGCTTTTCAGAGCTTAGGTCTTGGTTAGGTCTTATTCTAGATGCGATGAATAATGAGACATGACCATTGGATCTCGTGGTGTTAAATTTCTTTGTAGATATACATCGTAACTTTCCTGTAGTTGAATAAGATAATGGGGAAGCCAGGCTTTCATTCTGCTAAGCGGCTTGGCTTTCTTGCAGTACTCTTGCCAAGATGCAGATATATTCAGTTTCCCTTGCTTCTTTGCCAATCACTGTTGACGCTAGATGCTATTTGCCAGGACAGTGTACAGTAAGTTGAGTTCCATGTGAACGGTAATAGGTCTTCTTTACAATTTGTACCACTCTGATACTATCAATCAACGCTCACTCTTTCTTCTCTTTGATTACAATCAAGACTCTTACTCGTCCCTCATCACTGCTTCTTCTCTTCCTTATAAATATTCCTGTGGGGAGATAACCACCCCATCAAGGTAACTATATCCATGGATGCTAACTCTATTCTCTATTGCCTTAGTGATACTGTTAAATATTCCACCTATCGCCTATCTAGCACTGTCTTGATGGGTCCTTTACCAACCTTCTCTCAGAGCCTCTATAGCTTCTATTACGGCTGCAAGTCCCCTTTCGAGCTTTGACGATGCTGAACCCATTCAAGATTTAGCCTCGTCGTGAAGCTCAGCATAAATCCTGACACGAGGAAACCTGATCGAGAACCTGATCGAACAATACCCAGCCGGTAATTTCCGCAATTTCGCGGAAACTCTCGCCGACCTGATGAGCAACGCAAGATATTCTTCAAGCTCCGATCTGGGTAAACATGACAGCCGGAACATTTAGCAGGATCGCTTCACGTCCGTTCGCCAGTCTTACGAACTTACCCGTTCGCTCGATCAAAGACAGTTACTATGCCAATTATCCGGTTACTTTACCCACTACCAAGTTACTCTATTTATTACCTAGTCACGTTGACCAGACTCGGCCATTTTACCCTTCACCTGATACTTGCTACCTACATCGAGGGCGATGTGATCTTTGTTTGCGAGCGCAGTTGGATGGCTTGCCGGGTTTGAGTGCCTCTGGCTGTACGCCGAACTGGAAGACAGAGGACGTCGGTTATTTTACACCAGATCCTGAATCGACAGAGCACCTGAGTACCACCGTCAAAGGGACAACCCATTACACTAATGTGTACGCCTTTCTTAGTCAATTTCGCGCAATGGTTCCGCTGAAAATGGAGGAAGTCGTCAAGGCTAATCTCCCGTCCTGCCTTCGAGAATCAGCCGCTGAATGGTATAGTTTTGAAGAACGCTGGATGACTATTCCATTGACCGAGGTTGGGAGAATCATATTCCAAAAACAAAATCTACCACTTAAGTCCGAAGGATGAAGCTGACTTCATTACGACGGCAAGATGTCTTATGCAACGGGGCATACGCCAAGTGCATACCCCGTACTCGTCATCTGGCGCTCAGTCCCACAGCCAGATGGCGCAACACTTCGCAAGGCACGCGTGGTGGTCGACATTCGTGGTCTCAACAAGATCACCGTTCCAGATGTGTATCCTATTCCCACGTTGGACGACATCCTCGCCATGGTCCAAGGTAAGCCATACGTTAGGGTCATGGACGCAGAGAAATCTTTTTATCAATTTCGCACCATATATTACATAGGAACAGGATGGCCGTCATTTCACATAGGGGACAGGAGATTTTTCATGTCGCGATCATGGGATTTCAGAATAGCGTCCCATACGTGCAGCGGGAGATGGATCTATGTCTGAAAAAATTTGTCGAATTCTGTGGTGCGTATCTTGATGATATTCTTGTGGCATCGGAATCCCTCGAAGATCACGTCGCTCACCTCCGCCTAGTCCTCGCGATTCCGTTCTAAAACAACCTTCGAAGACCTTCCCCTGGGTTGTTCTCAAACTTGCCACCCTTCCAGCCATGGTATTCACACGATGACGCCTACCGTCAGCCGGGCTCTGTTTTACCGCAAAGGACCCCTTCCCAACCAACGGGTAGCTGTCAAAAATGGAAATAGAAAGGATAACTCATTGCTGTGGATATGCCTACCTTTGGGCATTTTGTATATTTATAGTCGTCATCATGAGTCGCTGCTTGCCATCGTCCGTCATAATCGTATGTCTTCAACATCCTGTTGAATATATAACGTCGTCGACCATTTTGTCAGCTGCAGTTTTTCAACCTGAAAATCTGCGAGGGATCCGTCGGGTCGTTGATGGTCCATCTATCATCATTGTCTGGTATAAGCCATTGGCATGGAGCTTTAGACTTCAGATTTATCCATGGTAGCGGACACTAAAAGCAGCATTGCACAAGATTAACGCTGCTGAATAATAGTGTTCGTCTCTCTCTGCTCTGGATTTCCAAAGAAGAAAAGTGCAAGGTATGCTCCCAGTAGGGAATTGTGCGTTGTCGAAATCCGAGGAAGCAGCTTCAATGATTATTCGAACGAAGAGGAAAATGTAGGCATACCGCATTCCACAAGTAAATTGAGCTCGTCAAGCGCTCAGCTAGGAACATTTCATCCCGGAGGATAGGACGTGGTATATTTCCGGTATCTCTTAAACCAAGGATGTGACGCTTTAAACCGAGAACATTTCTTTTTTGGAAGAACGTCAGGGTAGTGGGTAAGAGATGTTGAAAAGAGAGAGAAACAATCCATTATGGCACTGCTGCGCAAAGCATCCAAAGTCAACTATCTGTGCTGATATCCCTTGACAGTAAATGACTGGCAAGGCATAAATTACATGAATACAAAGTGTATGAAAGCCCTATCATCTTCGAGAGGTAGAAAAATCGAAAAAATATTGATGGAACATTTAAAAGCTAAATTAATGACGTATCACATTAAACGTTTATTAAGAAACGGACATGACAAGAAAAGTATTCGTTCTAAACCTTTGAAACATTGAAACCTCGAAAACACGGACACAGCCACGATGCATGGATATGTATCATGGGGTACATCCGCTCAAAATAGACACTCAATCACACACGAAAGCTCGAAGCTATCGTCTAACATCCTGAAGTTTCGTACCGTGGTATTGCTTTTACAGCATGAAAGCCATAAGGCCACCGACAACGCCGATAGCAGCAGCGGGGTGCGCGGCGACAGCGAAACCAGCACCAGCGGAAGGAGTAGCAGTAGCAGCGGCAGTGGAGTTGGCGGTGGAAGAAGCAGAGGTCATCATGCCCGAGGCGGTGCTTGCACCGTTGCTGGCAGTCATAGTGGAAGTACCAGTCATGGTGGTGTCCGAACCAGTGGAGGTGAAGGTGGTGGTGGACACGGCATCCATGGAGGTCGCGGTGGTAGTCTTAGTAGACGACGAGGTGCTGGATTCGGTGGACGAAGAAGAAGTAGACTTGCTGGCGGACTCAGTCACGTTGAACTGGTTGGACTGAGCAAGGATTCCAGTGTTGTGTTCTTCATCGGACTTCAGGCTAATCTGGTAGCCGTGGCTATTGGCAAGTTAGATCAAAAAGTCAAGCGAAGTGAAGTATCAAGGCTCAGTCATTCATACCCCGAAGGAATGTTGCCGACATTCACGGTGTAGGAGCCATCGGAGGTGCTGACGTCGGAGGCAAGCTTCTTGTTCACGTTAGGGTAAACTGCTTGGTTGACGAGGTAGATGTCGAGGCTCGTCTCATCGGTGCTGATCGGGTTAGCTTGAAACAATTGAGGTTGGTGTGGGTACATACTTGACGTAAGTCCACTTCACATCCAGAGAGCTGGAGGAAGTGATATCGGCACCCTCCTTAGGCTCGGTGACGGTGATGGCTGGATAATGCGTCAGTAAAAGTGCTTGTGATGAGCATGAGTCAAGCTTACCTCCAACGGAGATGGCCATGGCCAGAGTAGACAAAGCGAGTGTGAAACGCATGATTGCAGATTAAAAAGCGAAAGCTTGTAGTGAACGAGTGACAAAGGGTGATGAAGAGGGTTGGAAAGGGCAGAAGGGCAAATTAAAGATGTAAACAAGTGATAACGAATGATGGAAGAAGGAAGATTAGCGGATGTGCTGTAGATTGTATATATACGACAGAAGGTTAGGCTAAGTAACAAACGCGCCTAAGAAAACGCACACGAAACAAAGTCTCAGAACCGGCTCCTCTAACAACCAGGCAAACCTGAAAACAAATCTAATAATATCTGAATCAACGTGTATATGGAGGCGATGATCTTACAACACGATGTCTTTCAGGGTCTCAAGAGGGTAACCATGGACCTCGTCAAGCGGGACCTGATGCCGGTGCTAGCGCACTAGCGCTCACAAAATTTTCATTCCGCCAAGGTAATCAAAGCTCCGAATCCGAGAGCGAATTCGATTGAAAATACCCACAGTTCAGAGATCCAAGTCACACTGGGAAGATGTTTCTGCGCTAGCCAATGTATTGGCTAGTATTTTTGCGCACGTCGGACTAGGATTAAGCCGATTGGCTTGATAAAGACCCTTGTAGACCCTTCCCCACTTGGTGTCGTTTGGCGCGTCGCTAGTGAGGAACGAGCCTAAATGGCGTCCATGGCGGTGCGCTAGCGTTCGGTTCGAGCTAGTGCCCGATAAGTCGGTGCTTGGTGTATTTTTGGTGGTATCTTTGGTATGCAAATTTGCCGTATTTTATCCTTATCTTGGTATCCGCGTGTACCATCTGGATGGATTGCAAGGTTACATTCTATCACTTTATTCCTGCAGCCCCTGATACACACGGCCCGCACATTGAGGCTGTTGACACCTATACACACCTCCCCGCCACATGAGAGCTTCAGACTTCAATGTGTATGATGTAGGTAGAATTCTTCAACTTACACTACAGGGTTTAGTGAGAATAATGGCCAAGCCTCAATACGAGATTTACATTTCCAGTATCCAAGCGAAAATTCTATTATTAAGCGTAACAAACAGATCGAGCTTGAGAGTTGGTGGAGATTAACAATGGCTTGGCGGAAGCTCGATGGTGCTGAGGCCTTCCGCAGATTACCGCATTCAGACCAAGAAACAAGGAATGGGGGCAAAAATCTCTGCCCTAAGACACTCGTTGCTGCCCCACGCGGCGATTCAGGAACAGGCCACCGTGTCTCACCGAGCATGCGCCGACTATGTATAGCAGCGTCATCTTTACTAGTGACCGGGTTACAGGGCAGATTAGGCTATATTACAGAGTAACAAATTATTATCGCTTGAGATGGCAAAGGAGATTGAGAATTGTAACTTGATAGGGGGGAACAGGGATTAATGCCACTTAATAAAGTCGCAACGGTGCTATTACTCGTAAATCTTCACGTTACTGGTCAGAACGGTTAGCTTCAAGCCCTCACAAGCCACAAAGATAACAAAACCATCGCACAACGTACTACTCTTTTAGGAAATTCTCTCGATCGACCGCAGCAGAGTCGACCCAGACGCTAACGCTCATTGCGCCGACGGGGAAAGCACCATAACCCCACCAATCAATGACAACAGACGCAGAATGGTTCCCTAATACATCAATCCACGTCTGTCCCGTATTATTTCGCCCAATAAACATCCGCTTACGGCTAGGTCCTGCATTACTGATGATACAGGCAAGCCCGGAAGAACCTCCGGGAACACCAGTACGGACGAATCCTGTCGTACGTCAGCTTTAGTGACTCGTAGTTCAGGGGCAACACGCACCAATGCAGTTTGGTTGGTCGAAGTAGTCTTTCTGTTCTCCAGTCGCATAGAGCTTTCGTGCTTTGACGAGCATGGGCAGTTTTCCGTTGCAGGCGGGTGTCATCGGAGCTGTCACGTTGGCTCGGATCCCGTATACATCACCATAGAATAAGCAAGGGAAGCCCCCTTTTCGGAGTAGGATTAGTGCATATGATATGAGTTTGAATTCTGCGGCGACTGGGGTCTAGAGTTGTGAGCGGTCAGCCTGACATGGCAAGGGGGCTATGTACTTACTTCGAGCATCTGTCCGGGTTGCTTTCAGGGCTGGAATTAGTATTGCCACACGAGGCTGAAATTCAAAAGTAGACTGGTGGTGTACTCACCGTATCGTGGTTTGACACGATCGTCTTCGTATATCAGTACCGGTCTTGACTTTGGTGGGAGTTTGCTTACCACGGCATGATCTGGCCTGCATTGCACCAGCGTATTTTCAAAGATACCACGGAGGTCAGCAGCCCGCTGATGGGATAATCTTGAGAATTTATCAAGAAGAGGCACATCGTAAGCTGCAACTGTGTGCCCCAGCTTATTGAGATAATCAAGGAGCTCTGAAAGGTTTCCAGTCCAATACTCGCCAATAACGAAAAATTCTGGGTTGGCCGTCTGTTGAACGTGAGCCACAAACTCTTTTTGAAATCCAGCGGAGATATGCTTTGCGGCGTCCAGCCTCATTCCACTGAGGGATAGTTCATCGGTAATCCATGTTCCCCAGTTGAGGAGATCTTGCCGGACTTCGGGGTGAGAATGATCCAGATTAGCAAACATCAGGTAGTCATAATTCCCAAGTTCCGTCGAAACGTCTGACGCCCATCCCTTCCCAGGCGCTGAAATCTTGTAGATGGCCTGCTGTTTGCTCCTATCGTCCCAGTCAACGCCACTGAAATGTTGCCAGCGGTATTTCATGGAACTGTAAGATTCACCACGACCAGCAAAGTCAAAGCCTACCCAGCCATCTATTTTCAATGGCTCAGATACCTCAACATTCCTCTCTAAACGAAAGGGATTAGTAAAAATTTCCAACCCTTTGATACGAAGAAATCAAAACGTACCTTTCGGATGTACTTGAACCGCCTCGAACTGCTCCGGAAAGTCCGCACCAGCCTTATGATTAAGAACAGCATCCCAAATAATCCCAATTCCTAGTTCACGCGCCTCACGCGTGAACTCCACTAGTTCCTTCTTACTACCCCATTTTGTGGAGATAGCTCCCTTCTGATCAAACTCCCCAAGATCGAAAAGGTCATAAATGTCATACCCATTGCCGGCGGGATCCATCCCTTTGCATCCGGGCGGAACCCATATTTGATTAACCCCGAGGCTTTTGAGGTCTGGAAGCGCACATCGCAAGCGATTCCAATGGCATTGATCGGCAGGTACATGCCATTCGAATGCTTGAAAAATTAGTGCATTTTCTGGGGCTTCCCATGCACGTGGAAGATCGACATGTGCTTTTCATACAAGTTATTGAGGATCTCCCGAATTTAGAGGCTTGTGTACATACCTTGTTTTCCTGTATTTGATTTTCGGTGGGACCCGGTACACCAGGAGAGGAAGGAAATCATTGCCCGGATCACTCGGCAATGACCGTTAATTGTTATGACCAATAAGCCTGGGACAGAAACAGAGCTTGTTGGACCTCGGGAATCGTTGGCATGAAGAGCCTTTCAAAAAGGTAATTTCGTTGCCTTGAATTCACGATTAGTTGAACTCAGGTGTCTCACTGTACCTGGGAAAAGCACTGGGTCGGTGGAGTTGAAAAACTCAATGGGCGGGTCTCTCTATTTTTGTCTTACGGAACGGAAACATCCGTAAATTAAATTACCTTGACCTTCAGTTCGTGAGGATGCACTAAGATATTAACCGAGATTATCATTAAGCTAGGAGCTTCGATAGATGCCTTAATATGCACGGAATTCCCTAATCATTACACCAAGCCCAGAAAGATATGTACATTGGGGGTCGAAATGTCACAAAAAAAAGCAACTCCTTATGGTCGGAGAAAAAATGCAGATCCACGCATGATCTTGAATAGAAGAATATGAAAGAAAGTGCAATGTCGGAAAGGTTATTAACCTATCAAAACACAAGGGTCATCAAAGCCAGGAAGAAAGCACCTAGGGCCGCTTGACCGGTAACTTGTTGGGTCCTGCTCCCAAGCGAAGTTACCCCAGTCTTGACTTGGGTGTAAGAAAGATTCGCCGAAGAGTAACCGCAGATTCCACTACCCGACATGAGATTGGTAGGGAAGAACACCCGCGGCAATCCAGATGCCATATCGACAACCAAAGAAGCGTCCCATTCATTAACCATGTAGGTCTTGCAGCTCAAGACCTCTGTCACATTCGTACCAGCATTATATGTGACCGGCAAAGTGAGGGTGTATGGAGATCCGTTCACGCCTTGGGTAGAAAGGAGCATGATGACTTGTCTTCCCTCAACACCCTTTGTGAATGCAAGTTCACTGCCTCCTTCGTAGATGTTGTAACTCGCGGTGTTAACGTAGCTACTATCCATCCGTTGGGCGTGCTTGCGGATCTTGTTGAGCGTGGTGATTAGAGGAACAAGCGTACTGCTGTTATCGTACCCGGATGTCCAGAGGGCCGCGCGGTTTAGGGGAGTGGAAGCTCCCTTGAAATGTTGTTCTTGGCCTTGGTAGATGAAGGGAACGCCATCAAACAGGAGGGTCCAGGTCACGACGTTCTTGGCGAGCTGGAGAGTATTTGATTAGTACGGAAACTGAGTAATAGGCTGGTTATGCTCGTACCGACATGTCATCCGTGAAGCTAGCGAATCGCTCCACATCGTGATTTTCGGAGAAGGATACAAGCGCGTTGACATCAGGGCATAATTGCTTCATTGATTGCACTGAGTCGACCAGCTCGGAAACCTTGCTCGCCGTGAAAGCATCCAGCATGGAATAGTAGATAGGGTAGTTAGGAAGACTGCCCATGTAGTTGGTCTGATAATCACAGATGATATCCGCTTCTCGTTGCATGACTTCACCAGTCATGAACGCACCAATCTCGTCGGAGTATTTTCGCAAGAAAGAAGGAGTGACACTCTTCGCAGCATCGATTCGGAGTCCATCAATGGAATATTCGCTCATTGTGTTGCGTGTCCAATTAAGAAGCAGATTTTGGACATCGGCATGCTCAGTGTATAGGTCAGGCAGGGCGGTCTGGTTGTCACCAGTCTGGCAAAGTTGCGCGTCGGTAAAGTTGTTCCAATTCGTAATGAGACAGTAAGGATGGAAATAGTCCTCATTATTGAATGGCGTGAAGACCGAGTAGTCAATGCTCGTAGCAGGGTTGCTGTAGTTCGTTATGTAGGCCATGTTGTTGATAACCGTGTCCATCATTAAGTACATGCCACGGTCGTGTACCGCTTTGCTCAAGTCCAGCAAATCCTGCTTAGACCCAAAGTGCGAGTTAAGGGAATAAAGGTCCAGTGGCCAATACCCATGGTAGGCTTCTCCGTATGAGACGCGACCTTCGACATTTTCGATGATGGGGGAGATCATCACCGCATCGAACCCCATGTCCTGGATGTAGTCAAGCTTGTCAATCGTTCCCTGCCACGATCCTCCACAATATAGACCCGCGGAAGCATTGCAAGGCGCCGTGATTGAGCCGTCGGTGCGAGCGAAGCGATCAGTCATCGTCTGGTAGACGGTTCTGGTCTTCCATTGTTCCGTGGTCGCTGCTGTTGCTGACTCGAATAATAATGATACGAGAAGAACGCCACCGGTCAGGCGACGCAGAGTCGGTGAAATTCGCATCGCGCAATGGGACGCGCTGGAGGCGCCCGGGAGGTGCACACGATAATACGAAAGGTGAGCGATGTAGTGAGAGTTTTAACGAAGGGATAGGCAAATGTGGCCAATAAAAAAAGCAAGTAAACGAGTGACACAAAGCTCAGTGAATGAACATTGGAATAATATTGAAGTGAAGAAACTAGCCCATAGCCCAAGGGGAAGAGGGGAAATCTACCGGATCAAGACGTGAACCGAGGGAATGGAGCAGGGAATCGCTCCCTAGCGTGTCTAGCGGCATTGTGGCGATCGTTGACCATGAAATCTGGGCAGACGACCAGACCCCAGAGCACAAAATGGATGTTACCCCATTGACTAGTGCCTTTCCTGTCCAATCTTGTGCTGTCATTTCCGCCAGCAAGCCTTCGCTCAGGGCTAAGGTAGTTAACACCGCGCCGTGACAGCGCCATCACATCCTCAAAATCCATGGGAAACCAGTCGAGGATCTCCGGTGGGGTGAACAAGCAAAGTGGAGAGGAACTAGTTGTTTTTTTTTTTTGCTCATCATGAAGACTCTGCAGGAACAGAAATAGAGAAGTTATGAAGAAGACCTTGGAATGAGCTTAGCTCAGTCATTTGTGGGCCTTCACCGACGGCCATGAATCATGACTATGGAGTGCCCCGGTGGCTGAGACACTCATCCATGTACATCCGGGTGGCCGCGGTTAAACCGCAAGACTGGAAATGGAGAATGGAGAACGGGCATCAAGGCAATGGCCTGAGACAGGACGCAAAAGGGTTTGGACTGATAATATTCCTGTTCCCCACTCTCAATACCGATCACTGATATCAAGTCAAGTACTAGCATTACCTGCAATACCTTGGCGTCACTATCACAATCGGCGAAATTTGCGATCTGAGACATGCATGTTAATACGGGATTTGGGTTGTTGGCGCACAAAAAAACTTAGGTTCACCCGAAAAATGTCATCAAGGCTGCGGATGTTAAGATTGCCTTTGCGATGAACCCTGGAGGCTATCGCATTCCAAGATTTGCAGTCCACAGATATAGGTAGAATTCAAGCATTTCAAATTAGGTCTGGTCCCTGCACGGAAAAAAACAATAACCCCTGATCGTCAAAAGTACGGTATTCAAAATTGAGAACAAATAATGGATGCATAGAACGGTCTCTTGGCACTTTGCTCCATGACCCGCCATTGGCTGTCTGGCAACCGGGCCCCAAGATAAGAGAGTGGTAAATGACCGAACCATGGTTTTGGAGTGAGACTGTATCAGGTACGGGGGATCTTGTAATTTTCAATGTTTGAAAATTACAAACACCGGCGATTTCACGTCGGGTCAGTCCGATGGACCCACCGGAGCCGAACACCATATCGGGATTCGACAACGGCGCCATCCCGACAGGTACCGCAATATATTAGGGGGCACGAGGGGAATGGAAATTTTTGTCCATCAGACCCATCCAGGAGAAAATCAATACTTAAAAGATGGATCGGCATCGACATCGACATCGATTCATGAATGATTACAGCCCTACGCGGAGCTCGACTCTCCAGGGCCCCCCGTCGAGGCAATATCCACACAAAATTACTGAAACTTACTGAAACATGAACCTGGGTGTCACCCATGTGGGAACGAGACCAGGCCCACGTTTTTGTGATCCGTCGTACATGATTGACGTATAATATTCCACGTTGTATCTTTCCATCGGTACGAGTGGGTCCGCGAAGGGTCTGCGAGAGTATCTCTGCCCAAGTGGAAACAAATACTAATCAAAAAAGGAGAAATACGATAGTCACACCAGGAAAATAAACGAGTCCCCAGAGGAAACACGTATTGAGAGCCTCCGATAGGCGTTCGCATCTTTTTTTAGATCGTATGAGCCGTCCAAGGTCGTTCAGAGATAAAAAGTCAATCCGACGCCTTTCGATCAATTGCAGCCAGCTTACACTTCGGTGTGCATTTCTGTCGTCGTATTTGTATGCCGTTTGCCCCTCCGAGAAAAAGCAAGGTCGTAGAATCCATGGGAAAGCGTTGCCCGCATAAGGCTGAGCAAATTGGTCCCGGAGTACACCGGCTGATGGTGCTCCGCAGACTCTGAAATGCTGTCTGAACCGGAAGGAAACCGATGTCTGTGCTAATGCCAAGTAGTATTAATCATTTCAGCCTCGTTTTATGTCTCATGTGTAAGTCAAGAATAGAAATGTCGCCTAGCCTAGTCTCTTTAGTTCTTGCGCGATACATTAGCACTACACGCCACTAAATACCCCGTCATCTGTGCATTTTCCCTATGTGATCAATTATTATCTTATGGATTGATTTTCTTTCCTTTCCTTCTCGTATTCCTGATCTTATCGGCATCTGCAGTGCATGTCGTCCACTCGTTTTTGAAAAGCTACTCTTGCGCTGACTCGCGGACCAAGAGTGAGCTCTGCGCATTTTTCTCACCTACTTTTCTTCTCTTTTTCCAATACCCTCGTTCGTTTGAAGCTCGAAATTCTTTGAGGTTCCTCACACCCAGCAGCAAGCATGGGGTGGTGGTCCTCTCTTGCGCTCGTTGCGCTTTGCGCCAAAACCGCTATCTCCTGGCCCTACGACCCGTCATTGACCCAATACAATCTGAACGAAAATAAAACCGCTACAAATCCAGCCGATTATTGGGGAACATGGCCGGATCATGAAGGGAAATACTTTCCTTCTCCAGATAATTGGCGATTTCCATTTTACACCATCTTTCTGGACCGCTTCGTCAACGGCGACCCTACAAACGATAATATTAATGGCACATTATTCGAGCATGATCTGAACTCCAACCAGATGCGTCACGGTGGTGATGTAGCTGGTCTGGTTGATACGTTGGATTATTTACAGGGAATGGGAATCAAGGTTTGTGCTCCACTTTAAAAGGTGAACGCAGCTGCTCACACGATAACAGGGCATTTATCTCGCCGGAACTTCGTTAATGAATCAACCCTGGGGATTTGACGGATATTCAGCTTTGGATACAACTCTGCTTGACCAACATTATGGTACTATTCAAGTTTGGCGCGATGCTATTACTGAAATACACAAGCGGGGGATGTACGTTCTGTTCGACAATACAATCGCAACGTAAGTAATGACCTCTCCATACGTTAGCAACAAGCTAACATGTTTCGTTTTTCCTTTCAGAATGGGTGATTTGATCGGTTTCGACGGATACATGAATACCACGGCTCCCTTCACCGTGAAAGAGCACCGAACCACCTGGAAAACCGCCCGTCGATACGTCGATTTCGATATCGGTCAAACATACAACGAAACTTGTGATTACCCTCGATTCTGGTACGAGAATGGATACCCTGTCAACGAATCTCAGATCTCTGGTCTGGTTGGATGTTACGACAGTGATTTCGACCAGTACGGTGATGTTGAGGCTTTCGGTGTGTTCCCTGATTGGGAACGTGAACTGGCCAAGTTCGCCTCCGTGCAGGATCGTCTACGTGAATGGTATCCTCCAGTGCGCGAACGACTGATCCGGCATTCTTGCATGATCATTACTTCCTTGGATATTGATGGTTTCCGATACGACAAAGCCACCCAGTCTACAGTCGACGCGCTGGGAGATATGTCCTCCGCCTACCGCGAGTGTGCGCGTGCTGTTGGAAAGGAGAACTTCTTCATTGCCGGTGAAATCACAGGTGGTAACACTTTTGGTGCTGTCTATGTTGGCCGTGGTAGACAGCCCGACCAGATCTCGCCGAGTCCGACCGATGCGATGAAGATGAGCAATGACACTGCGGCGCAGTACTTCTTGCGTGACATCGGTAATGAAGCGATTGACGGTGCAGCCTTCCACTATTCCACCTACCGTGCTCTGACCAGATTCCTGGGTATGGACGGATCGCTTTCAGCTGGTTACGACACGCCTGTAAACTGGGTTGAGGCATGGAATTGGACTTTGCAGTCAAACGATTTGGTAAATGCCAACACTGGCAAGTTCGATCCTCGCCACATGTTTGGCGCCACCAACCAAGATGTGTTCCGCTGGCCTGCTATCGAGTTCGGTGTGCAAAGACAACTTCTAGGCCAATTCATCACCACCTTGCTTATTCCCGGTATCCCTCTTATGCTCTGGGGCGAAGAGCAGGCCTTTTACATCTTGGATGCAACCGCAGAGAACTACATCTACGGACGTCAATCTATGTCTCCTGCAAATGCCTGGAGGACACACGGTTGCTTTGCGTTGAACTCAACGCAATATTACCAGTGGCCCATTGACAACGGTCGTCAGGGCTGTCATGATGAAGCCGTTGCCTATGATCACCGTGATCCTACCCACCCGGTGCGCAATATCATGAAGCACATGTATCAACTGCGTGAACTATACCCTGTTCTTAACGACGGCTATGTCATGAGGAATTTGTCAAACAGCACAAAGGAACTTCAATACCCTGGATCTAACGAGACGAAGACCGAAACTGGAATGTGGTCTGTCGCCCGGTACATCAACTCCGAAATCCAAGATTTGGGATCTGCTGCCAACAACCAAACCGTCTGGCTTGTTTACCAAAATTACAACCGGACCATGGATTATACCTTTAATTGCACAGATTACAACCATTCCTTACTTGCTCCATTTGCATCCGGAACCACGGTGAAGAATCTTTTCTATCCCCACGATGAATTAACGCTGGAGGACGGGCCGGTCAAACTTTACTTGGACGGATCAAACAAGCTCAATGGTTGTTATTCCAATCTCACTTTGCAAAGGTATGAATTCCGGGCGTACGTTCCCATCGACAGCTTCAAAACGCCCCGACCGATGGTCACCAAGTTCTCTCCCGGACACGACTATCCTCTCCACTCGACAGTGGCTCCCAATGAATCGGAAGATGTACAAATCGAGCTCTACTTCTCCGAGGAAATGGACTGTGACTCGGTGACAGACAATCTGTCATTCAACTCCTCCACCGAATTCGGCAAGTCTCCTACACTCAAGAGCAGTACTGTTCATTGCGCGACCATCCCTGCCACAAACACCTCATGGACTGGAGAAATTCCTAGTCGCTTCAAGTGGGCCGCGAATATCACTGGTGTTTATAACGGAGTTCACCGGTTGAACTTCAACAACATCAGCAACTCCAACAACTCTGCGTTTACCGAGTCGAATGACCACTTCCTCTTCCGCATTGGACAGGTTGACAACCCGATGATTTTCAGCTCTGCCAATTATTCCATCAGTTTGCTTCACCAGGAAGCGAGCAATGACACCCTTTTCATCCAGCACCACGCTGCCGGCGCTGATAAGTACCGATACTCGACAAACTGGGGAACAACCTTCTCAGACTGGAGGCCCTACACCGGTGGAAATGACACAATTGAGCGTCTTCCATGGTCCGGCACCAAAGCGCAGGAGTGGAAGGGAGATCATGTCCGCGTTGAGTACTGGAGTCGCTGGACCGGCAGCAGTGACTATGTTCAAGAAGGCGACGCAAACTGGGGATCTGGCCAACGTCGGTTCCCACATGTCTTCTTCAACGGCCCATACAACGAGTACGGATATGACGGTGGTCTGGACAATGTCATGCGTCTGGACGAGAAAGACGGATACTGGAAATACCATTTCACGTCCGAATGGCCCGCAGTTGGACAGCTCAACATTTGGGGTGTCAACCCTGACGGAGAGCCAGATCAGACCTGGGTACTGGGCGATGTTGACTATGACAACGTTCTGGATCGCATGCCGCCATCGTCTCTCTCGGCTACCTTGATCAATATCACCGACGCCCCATCAAATGGGCATCTTTCCTGGAAGCTGCTAATCAACGACGGAACTCAGCGATACCAACTTGTCGCTGTGGGATCTCAATCTATTCAGATCGCCATGTATGTGCTTTTCTGGCTTGTGCCTATCTTGACCGGCTGTGGCTGTGTCTACATCTTCATGAAGTCCTTCTACAAGGTCAAGTTCAACCAAGTCGGTGTCAGTGAGAAGCGAAGCTTGGCCCCGATGGTGCTCTTGCAAAAGTTCAAGCCGTTCAACAATATGATGGGTGGTTCTGACAATCGGCTGTTCCGTCTTGGTGGAGCCAAGTCCGCCTTCATGCAAAGCACTACTGCGCTGGGAGCTGCGGGTGCGTCGGAGAAGCGACGCATGGTCCTCATTGCCACCATGGAGTATGACATTGAGGATTGGGCAATCAAGATTAAGATCGGAGGTCTTGGTGTCATGGCTCAGCTTATGGGCAAGACTCTCGGCCATCAAGATCTGATCTGGGTCGTCCCTTGTGTCGGCGGCATTGACTACCCGGTCGATCAAGTCGCAGAGCCTATGACTGTGACTATCCTGGGCAGTGCGTACCAGGTTCAAGTGCAGTACCATGTCTTGAACAATATCACTTACGTTCTCCTCGATGCGCCCGTGTTCCGTCAACAGTCAAAGTCCGAGCCATACCCTGCTCGCATGGATGACTTGGACAGTGCAGTCTACTACTCGGCTTGGAACCAGTGTATCGCTGAAGCGATCAAACGTTTCCCTATTGACCTCTACCATATTAACGATTACCACGGATCTGTCGCTCCTCTCTACCTCCTCCCTGAGCGCACTATCCCCGCTTGTCTGTCTCTCCACAACGCCGAGTTCCAGGGTCTTTGGCCCATGCGTACTGTGAAAGAGCGAAAGGAAGTCTGCTCGGTCTTTAACCTTGACGAGGAAACAGCGCGCCGTTATGTCCAGTTCGGAGAGGTGTTCAACTTGCTTCACGCCGGAGCCAGCTACCTCCGCGTTCAGCAACAAGGTTTCGGTGCGGTCGGTGTGTCAAAGAAATACGGCAAGCGATCTTACGCTCGTTATCCCATTTTCTGGGGTCTTCGCAAGATTGGTAACTTGCCGAACCCCGACCCTTCGGATGTTGGAGAATGGACCAAGCAACCTACCAAGGAGGAAGACATCACAGTCGATGCTCAGTACGAAGCAGGCCGTGGAGAACTCAAGAGACAGGCACAGGAGTGGGCTGGCCTTGAGCAAAACCCGGACGCCGACCTTCTGGTCTTCGTTGGTCGTTGGTCCATGCAGAAGGGTGTCGATCTGATCGCTGACGCCATGCCCGCTGTTATGGAAGCTCGTCCTAACGTGCAGCTTATCTGTATCGGTCCCGTGATTGACTTGTACGGAAAGTTCGCCGCGCTGAAGCTTGGTCGCATGATGGAAGTCTACCCCGGACGAGTCTTCTCCAAGCCCGAGTTCACTGCTCTGCCGCCTTTCATCTTCTCTGGTGCTGAATTCGCTCTCATCCCGTCTCGTGATGAGCCCTTCGGTCTTGTCGCCGTCGAATTCGGTCGCAAGGGTGCACTTGGTATTGGTGCGCGTGTCGGTGGTCTGGGTCAAATGCCCGGCTGGTGGTATAATGTTGAATCAACATCCACATCGCATCTTCTTGTCCAGTTCAAATTGGCTATTGATGCTGCGCTCAGCTCCAAGACTGCTACGCGTGCTATGATGCGTGCGAGATCTGCCAAGCAGCGTTTCCCTGTCGCTCAGTGGGTTGAGGATCTCGAGATTCTGCAATCTACAGCAATTCAAGTTCACAACAAGGAGTCAACCAAGACCCACCAAAGCCGCATTCATACGCCCAGAGATAGCACCATCAGATCTCCGAGTGAGGGACTGAGCCCATTGCCTTCACCAGGAATGCATGCCGCGTTCCCGCATTCCAGAGATAGCAGCTACTCCAGCTTCAGCCAGGTCACTGACCTAGGAGCCTCGAGTCGCAACATCTACAGCCGTGATGCAGGTCCTGAGACTGAAAAGCCAAAGTCTGGTCTGAGTCGATCCCTTTCTCTCGGTGTGCGCTCGGGTCCCGGTCATCGTGGAAACCGCCGTAATGGTCAAAGCAGCGAAGACTCAGGAGAGACGGACAGCGAGATTGACGCCATTGCCGAAGAAAGTGGTGATGATGATAGCAACGAAGAGTACACGCTTACTCCGGCTCAGGTTGAGGAAAGCAGACACGTTCACGCTTTCCAGCGACACGATATCCCGAGCCACAGACGTGTCCCTAGTCAAGAGTCTGTGCATGCTAGGTACATGTCCCCTCTGGCTAGCCCGGGCACACCGCCGGCCGCCGATCAGCTTCTGCTGCCTCCTCGATCCTTCGCGGAGACCAACAGACTGAGTAGTGCCTCTGTTCTGTCGCTCGACTCCGTGGTTGGCAACAAGAAGGACTTCAAATTGCAGAAGGTCGATCCATTCTTCACTGATGGCAATGGCGAATACTACCACACCTTCGAACACATGTTGGCTGACCTGAACGGGTCCAACTCCGAAGGTGCACTCTGTATCGAAGAGTATCTGGTCAAGAGTGAGCAGGAGTGGTTCGACAAGTTCCGTAACGCCAAATTGGGTCGCCACGCTCACAAGTCACCTACCCCGTCCGTCTTCCGCTCCAAGAACAGTCACTCTCCATCTCCTTCTTACAATGATGAGGCCATGACACACGTTGCCGATAGCGAGAATGGCGACGAATGGGATGATGAATTCCTTCTCGGAAAGGACTACGTTCCTCCTACCGGACTGAGAAAATGGATGCAAATCAAGATCGGAGATTGGCCCGTCTACTCCATCTTCCTTGCTCTTGGTCAGATCATCGCCGCAAACTCCTACCAGATTACCCTGCTCACAGGTGAGGTCGGTGAGACAGCCGAGAAGCTGTATGGTATCGCGACCACATACGCCATCACCTCTATTTGCTGGTGGCTCGTGTACCGCTACTTCAAATCTTACGTCTGTCTCTCAGCACCATGGTTCTTCTATGGTTTTGCTTTCCTCTTGATTGGCTCTGCTCACTGGGAGGGCAACTCGTTCGCCCAAGGATGGATTCAAAACATTGGCAGTGGATGCTACGCCGCTGCTTCATCCAGCGGATCTATCTTCTTCGCATCGAACTTTGGTGACGAGGGAGGTGCTCCGGTCGAAACATGGATTTTCCGTGCCTGTGTTATTCAGGGTATTCAGCAGGCATACGTGATTGCTCTCTGGTACTGGGGTTCGACTTTGAGTAAAGCCTCTAGTCAAGGCCTCTTGACTTCCACCAACACCATCGCCAGCACCTGGAAGATGACGTATGTATCCTCTTTATTCTCAATTTCCTGCAGCTACTAACATTCTTCAGTGCCATCTGTTACCCAATTGCCATTTTCCTCTGGGGTATTGGTATTCTCCTGATTTTCGGACTTCCCGATTACTACCGTCAGAAGCCAGGCAAGGTGCCTTCATTCTACAAGTCCCTCTTCCGACGAAAGATCGTTCTCTGGAATTTTGTAGCTGTCATTCTGCAAAACTTCTTCCTCAGCGCACCATACGGTCGCAACTGGAGCTGTGAGTTTCATTCACTCGATCCCGATATCGCGATGTACTAACGAATCATTCTTCTAGTCCTATGGAACTCCATCCACACTAAACCCTGGGAAATCGTCCTCCTCTGCGTTCTTTTCTTCGGCGTTGTCTGGTGCATTTTCCTCTACATCGTCAGCCGTTTCTCCAAGAGACACACCTGGTTCCTTCCCGTCTTCGCATGCGGCCTCGGCGCACCACGCTTCATCCAGATTTGGTGGGCTGTTTCCGGTATCGGATACTACCTACCGTGGGTTGCAGGAGGACTCACCGGTGGAGCCCTGGCATCGCGCAGTATCTGGCTGTGGCTGGGTGTGTTGGATTCCATCCAAGGTCTTGGATTCGGTATCATCCTTCTGCAAACCTTGACCCGAGTGCATATGTGTTTCGCCCTCATGGCGTCGCAAGTTCTCGGTTCTATCGCAACGATTTGTGCTAGAGCTTTCGGTCCTAACGCCGTTGGTCCCGGGCCAATTTCTCCGGATATGACCAAGGGTGCCGAAGCACTAGCAAATGCTTGGTTCTGGGTGGCATTGTTCTGTCAGCTTTTGATTTGGTAAGTCGATCTACGCTCTGAAACTATTAACACAGCTAACATGTCTTGATAGCGCGGGATTCTTGCTCTTCTTCCGGAAAGAACAGCTATCTAAACCTTAATCTTCCTCCATCTATACATCCTGGTGTTCCATACTATCTTTTGACGTTACATACTACGTTTAATGTGAAATCTGTACATAGAGCCTTGTGGACCGAGCTTTGGTCTTTCATTATGTCTGCATACTAGAGCGGTCCTTTTCCAATATACTTCTCCAAGAAATCAAATCCTTCCCGCTGTAACCACCAAGTCTTCGATCCGACCTTCATCATCATCGCGAAAGTGTGTTCCTCTCCGGGAACCTCGGTCATTCCACAAGGAACACCAGCCTCAGACAGGCGCTTATACAGCTCCCGACTCACGTCGATAGTGACCATGGTATCCGCAAGTCCATGTACAATGTATGTAGGCGGGAAATTAGCCGAAATATTTTGAACCGGGTCAACCAGCTTGTATCCCTCATCGGAGCCACCAGCTTCACCGGGAGGATAGATAGCAGACATCACCTTGCCAGAGGAGATCTGAGTGAAGGCAAATGCGTCGCGGGGTTGCGAGAAGTTGGGGCCCTTCGAGGCGCCGGACTCGCTCTGTCCTTCTAGAGAGACTGAACTGTCTGTTGGAACAGGGAACTCTTCGTAGATCTTGTTGAGGAAGGATTCCTCTAGATTAGGCGGGAGTTTAGCTGCGACATGGGGGAGCTCCTGTTTCCAGAATGGATGCGTAAAGTGCACAGCGCCATACAGAGAGAAGATAGCCTTGGGTGGTTTAGGTGTGTTGAAGCCCTGTTTCTGTTAGCTTCCGTCGAGTTATGAATCTCCCTTGTAAACTCATAGTATGAGTCCAAGGATAAAAGGAAACCATACCAAACTCAGAGCCAACTGTCCACCAGACGAGGTTCCAAAAGCGGCGACATTCTCCATATCAACACGGTGCGGTCCCTGCTCCGCTAGAACCGCATCGAGGTGACCATCATAGACCCAAGTAAGCAAATCGCGAATATCCTGCATAGGACCCTCAAGCAAATTCACACCGGGACAAAGCCGATGGTTTGGAACGAGGACGATCCACCCGCGCTCCAGACAGTCATTTATCTGGGCCATGGAGACCATCTTGGAATGGCCGAGCATGAAAGCGCCGCCATGAATATCAATCACTATCGACTTGCAAGTTAGCATCCAGTCTTCGATCCAGTATGCCCCCGTCGAGCTGGTATTCGGAAATGCCGGAGAAGAAAATACCCACCCACGGGATAGTTCAGCGGCGATGACGAGGTAGTTTTCGGGAGGTAGACATCTGTGGTGATCTTGCTACCATTGATCTCTTTGTAGAGTACTGTTATGGGGGTTTCGAGCGACATGATGTGTTTGGTTGGAGTTGAAGAGGGGCAGTGACGAAGCTTTATGGGAGTCTGGGGTCAATCATCCCCACAATTATTTCGGAAGATCCGACGTGTGGGGATCCGGCACAATCCGATGCCATGAGGATTGCGTTTGGATCTAACGTCCGATCTGCATGTCAGATTGCACGATGCATAACCTAGAATGAAACGATGTTTGTGGTTAATTGAATGTACCAATGAAGCGGCCACGATAACGACCACGTGGAACTGAAGTCATCCCTTCCGAATCCGTTGAAACACCGAGAATGAATTGTTCATGACGGGTCATGTACCGTGGTTGTCCTTATCATAACAACGATGACATCGATCAACACTGTTGTACTCTACAAAACAGTATAATGATATGGGCTGATGATATCACGATTCGAACATTCCCTCGTTTTGGTGGCAACGGGATCAGCTACAAGTGTGGATGAACAGCCATTTTCCCCGTCAATTGTGCCTTGAAGCATTCGACTCCACTTTAATATACCTAACTCACACGGAGTAATTGACACATGCCAGGTGTCAATATGACTAAAGAATTGGTAGGATCATCTTGCATATGTTTGACGTGGGGGTGCTGACTATCTAGGTCTTCGACGTCCGTTACATCAACGAACTCGCCCACACTCACTATGGTGATGGCCAAAAGCTAGCCAAGAAGTGAGATTGACTCTCTTTTACTGTGATACAAGCTAATGCGAACCACTCTAATCCTCAGGCTCATGGGGATCTACAACCAATATCATTTGGAAATTGCAGATGAATTCGACTCGCCCGTGCAGGTATCCGAGTCTCTGATGAGTCTCGTACCGTGCGTATACCCGTCCTAAGAGTGTATGAGAGGGCTGACTTTTATTTTATCTCGTACGCAGGGTCTCAGCACCGGATGGCACGACTGTTGACGATTTGAGGATGGTGAAAGTGCCCCATGGCTTGATAATTGAAATCTTGGATTTTGATATATACTAAATCCATGGGGAAAGCTCATTCTGAATCTCTAGCTCATACATAGTTGAACCCAAGGATAAATTGCATTTAAAACATGAACAGTAAAGTGCCACCAAATAAGCCCGTTCCATGGTCACGGAACCCAGATCCCCCAATCAAGTACTCAACTTTGACTCTAAGAATCGACTCGCATCTCCGGTATTAGCTATGTACGTGAAATGAGCCGGATCAACAATCAACGTCCCATCACAAACCAAATCCCCAGGAGCACAGTACACCTTCACCTTGCTCTTGTCAAAGCCGTTAATGCCGCCATGCTCCTGCGCATTACGCGTATATCCGAATAAGACAACGCCCTTGATTTTATCCTTGACGCTCTGCGAGAGCTTCGTGATAGAATCAGCAATGACAGCAGTGCCTTGGCTGTAGTATCATCAGAACTGTACTCGATAGAAACGCTTCTGCTACGACTGGAGAAGAACATACCTATAACCGCCCGCTACAATCTGCGTCTCGGGACACTTGGTCGCGGCTTCGTTGAATAGACCCACGGCCTCGTTGATCGCTGCAGGAGAGGTATTCCCCGGGAGTGCATTCGAGGGAAGATCTGCCTTGTATGCAGGTCCAACGCCTTGGCAGGCGACTTGGCCGGGTCTTGCTAGTTGGAGATCAGTGCATACGGCGGGACCAGTCGAAATGCCCTGTATTTGTCAGTAGAGTTCTGCTATGGGATCGTGAAACGTACGAGGAGGCCGGGTTCGGTCGTCGCACGGGCAAATATCAAGGTGATAGGTTTGCATGCGCCTGTGCGGAGATCGTTACCCAGATCAACTGGACACTAAGTTAGTTTCAAATGTATAGTTCCGGGTGGGGTTCAGGATACATTGACGGGTGGTCAAATTCATTGGCCTAGCCGTGACGAGGCCGACAAAGGCGAGACTTAGCAGACGGAGATTCATATTGATCAGATGCTTGGAGATTGAAACAAATGGGAAGAAAAATAATCCATGAGCTGCATTTCCGGCGTTTAAATATATTCTCTGCGCTGCTTGCTTTCTGTCAACTTGATATTAAGGGTCCAGCGGATCAAAATTGAGACTGCCCGTTTTGGCGACAGGCCCGATCCAACCCAAAAGCGAGTCTTCAACGGGATTCCGTGAATCAGGAAAATCAGGAAAATCCTCATATTCTCATCGCATGTCAAACCTCGGCAGCTTTCTGATTTTCTCCATTTTCCGTCCGGGTCAGGTACCCGGGATTCCCGTTGACACGCAGCCATAGATCTGCGAACGTGCGCCTAGGCAGATGTGTAACTGTAAGTCTGTAAAACATGGGATTGAATATTTATTCATTATTGTGTTTCCCTCAATGCAAGACCTGATTTGTCCACGGAAATAACGCTATTGGTGTAACGGTAGGCACTTGGCTCTAGCCCCAGATCCAAGCAGCCACCGCTTGATTTTCGGGAATCCCCGAACCCCTCGACGGAATTAAAATCCTCCTCAATTCAACACTGAGTATCCCTTCTCCCACATCAACCAGAAAGGTATCATCATGAGCATCAAGAAGGACACTAGCAGCCTTAGCCTTTGTCTGGGGTCTTGGACGAGTCCGTTTTGTTTTGATGTGAGGACTGCAGTCAACGTTGGCTTTGCGGATTTCGGAACATGTGGTAACCTCTCTTGTTGTACGTGTCACATCGCCATGCTAGACCATCTCGTAGAAGCTAGTCACTGTCCGTTGATAATTACTCTTCGAGGTATGCCAGGCCGTACGGTTGGTTCCCCGATCCCAACTTGAATTTCCCTGGATTGATAGACAGGCAAAGTGGTGTTAATAGAAGATGATAAATTGGCCCTCATGATGCACTCTTTCTGGTCATTGGTAATTCCGATGTAAACGGAACCAGCTTGTCTTCCACGAGCTTCACGGTGTAATGAAGCTCGTCTGAAAACAAATTGTCCTCAAGACCCGAAAGTGTGCTTGTAGATCTGATCCAGGCATGAGATCTCGTAAAAAGATTGGCATGGAGGCTTGTGGGATCCATTCAGGCATCCCATCAAGAGGCTCTTTGAATATTCATTGTCTGAACTCTGATTCCCTCAGGCATCCACTATGGTTCTTGCATTCGAACTTGTCGAAGAAATTCGGCCAGCAGGGTAGGAGAGGTTTCGAAACTAGAGGAAAAGAGGTCGATTTTGAAACTTTCGTTGGACACGCATGTCTTCAATGCGGTACCTTCATTCGTGATGTTTGATCTCGATGGGCCGATACTATAGATGTGCTGCTGAGCCATTGCCGACGGGCCTGCAGCTGTCGTAAGCACTGGACCTTGGCGTATCAAATGGGGGAAATGACATGCACGTAGCCGCGTTCACCGCCACGAGCCCTCTGTCATATTGGAGTGCGGGGATAAGGCTGGCGGGCCGAGCGAAGACAAACAATAACCCTAGTGTACTTGTACGAAGATAGATATCTGTAAAGACCGTGGAAATTCGATTAACAAAGAGTGTATTTATAATAATGCTCACAATACCCCAATCGCTCACCAATGCAGATATGCTGACATCGCTAGAACCAGTTCACAGCGACACAATAGACAAGGAAACAAAATCAAAAGACAGACATCAAGTCCTGAGAACATATCCGTGTACTATACATTGACGTCATGTCGTGCATCACCAAAATCCATGTCCTCCTAGCTCTGATAACTCATACCCGCCTCCACTTCGCCAAAAGAACTGTCACGGCCGGCGAGCTGTCCTGACTGAATATCGACTAGCGATGATCCAGAGGAAGTGGAGAGATGAGTAGATCGATCGGACGGGGTCTGGTCAAGGCCTGCATTGACATGACTCCATCCAACCGATCAAGAGCTGTCTATGCCATGCATATGCGCGAACACCAGTGTCGGGCACATCACTATATTACCAACATCGAGTCATTCCATCGTAGCACGTCGATCCCATCAGTAATCCAAGGAAATAGACAAAGTCCAGTCCAGTCCAGTTCGGTCCAATCCTCAAGCCATTCAAGTCCATTTGAATCAATCAAAGGACAAGAATCTAGTACAGAGATCCCAATGGCGTCCATTCATCTAGACCAATTCCACAGTCTGACCTGCAGAATGAAATCAATTCTCGAGAGAAATATACTACCGTCCTGATCCCTTGGAACTAGAATAGCCGGAATCCGGCCAGCGGCCGGCAGAAGGCGAGGAAGAGGCACCGCGCGCAGAGTGAATCGAGCAAGCATAACCCACCAACACGGTCTTTTCCTGGACAGAGTGACCACGTTGACCATAAGCGGCGCAGGGGTCAGTTGAGTGTTGGAAATAGATGCATTTGCAGACAGAGTAGCGTTCAACGACTTTGTAGCACATTTTGACGGTGTCTCTTTCAAAGAGATAACTTTTTTTTGTTCGTTTTTGGGTATTGGTGGGGGTTGGTATCGGCGGGGTATGCGACAGATAATTGGAGATGTACAGGTATAAAGACCGAGGAAGCGATCGAGCCAGCGATGAATCGAGTCAAGTCGAGGGTTAGACGATTCTTTGATATCAATGATCGATCCGAGACCCTGTCCAGATGCAGATGAAAGAGCGCGAGCGCACAAAGAAAAAGGAAGGTGGATTGACCAGCCTAATATTAAGAAGCTCGAGTATTCGAATGGCCAGAAAGACGCTGCGATGCGCTGCGATGCAATGCAATGCAGACGTAGTCGAAAGTAGAAAGCTCAAAAGAAAATATTATAACGAAGGGAAGAAGATGCAGATGCGCTGTCGAAAATAAAACATCACAGTCGGCTCCATGCGGGCGTTATATACAGATCAGGACGTTCATGACAAGAAGAAGAATTAGAGGAAGGTCGAAGTCGAAATTGCATTAGTTCTGCTGATCACATCCCAATTCATGCAAGGCATCCCGCAACGGCCAGCCCTACGAGAGCCCCAGGCAGAGACCGGAAAAGACCGATGGAGTTCGCGTCAATGGACGAATGGGCGATTGAGTAAATACGAGAAGAGCTTAGCTTGGGGGTTTCTGTGGAGCCGAGTTTGGCGTTGCTATTATTGTTCATTTCCCCGAACCAGTCAGAGCTGGTTGGGAAATCTGGATCTTGGGTAACATGGGTCTGGATCAGGAGAAAGTTCGGGAGTTAGTATGCCTGAGCTTGAGGAGTTCGCGTCCCTCCGATGCTTTTTGTCAGGTGTCTGTGGCTAGGGCCGAAAGACGGTGAGCGCAGCATAAGGACGAGATTCTAAACGCCTTCTTTGTGCGGAATGAGTCGGTGAGGGACCGGATGGGAGGCTGAGTTCTGAGAAAGTAAATTGATGCTAAGAAAGAACGAAGTGGGAGAATCCACTTTTGCGGCTTGACCGCCTGCTGATTGGTGGAGAGGGAGTCGATCCGCGATGATTCATCGGGCGTTGTGACTCCGCCTCAGTGGCTAAGGCTTCTTCCTTGCTCTGCTCACGAGATAGAATGACATAGTGCCATGACATAGTGAACACCAAGATCCAATCCTCACCGTTAATGCTCTCCTGTTTCCCATAGTAATGTTCGTTCTTCCTCTGCAAACCCGCGGTGTCCTTCGGTGCGTGGGTGGATGTGTGGATGCGCGCTAGGCTCCCACTTTCAGCTGCTGACGCTCACTGGATGGAGACCCGGTTTTCTTGTGTCTTTCGTGACGAACCTTGGCCCCCCAGAGGCATAGGGCTGAGAGGGGTTTTGGTCCACCTACGCCCTCATTGGGGATGGTGCGACATCGGGTGCATGGTCTCAGCTGGGATGGACACTGATGCCATACAAGTCATTCGCCGATCACCAAACCGGATGCAAACTACTGCAATACGAAATGGAGCTAGTCCATGCAGGGATATGGAATGACCTCGCCTAGTCTGCCGCAGGGCTTCGGATAGCAGGAATACGTCTGATAAGCTCATTTTCCAGGCCATTGTAGGCCACCAGAATGGAATTGAAAAAGATACGCAGGAACAGAGCTACAAGCCACAATAATCATACATGATGGATCCTTTTCAGCTCATGTCTAAACCGACCCCAATGCACCATAACTCAGACCTTGTGCCAACCCCGTTCGCAACATCCGGAGTACATCCTCGCCCTTTGTAGCTTCGGAGAGTCCCACTCGCCAATCCCAGCCGCGGGCCCGGCCCGCATCCTTGTCACTGGGATGGGGCACAAGGACTCCCGAGCTACCTACCGAGGTAGGCCCACCGTTACGAGCTGACTCAAGCATATCGTTCCCGATAAGGGAGAAGGTTGACCCTGACATCGCCGACACTGATTTCTTCAGTAATTCGCGGGGAGATGGTGGTGCGAATTCACTGGAATTGCGCCCAGTAGAGTAATATTCTAGCAAGGTGGATCGGAAGCATTCCTCGCATTGCGCAAAGACCCGAGGTGTCACCGTCTCAATATCTTCAATGGCCGACAGAATGGTGAATTGTTGAGAGACCGAAAGAATCGGGGTAGGTTCTGGTCGCCGGTTAGAATACATCAGACCTCGAGTACGGATCATAACTTACGGTTCACAAAAACCAAGGCCTCCCCAAGAAGGGCCAGCAGGCCATCCACCTGCACGGCTGAGTCGCGAGCAGGGTCATACAGTCCTCCATAGATGTTGTCGGCCGCACTGCTGATTACGGCCGTAAGGGCCTTGGCGGCCATGCGACGGCGGGCCAGGGGCTTGAACTTAGGTCTCTGGCCATCCTGCAACTCCACGGCCTCGTCTCGAATCTCGTAAAATCGACGGAGAGTGGCGTACCCGCTGATGTGGAACTGCAAAATCCGGGCGGCCTCCTCATCAACAGAGGCAATAGAGGACAAGCAGACCTTGGGATCCTTGATCAATGACCAAAGTTGACTATCCAAATCAGCGGCGGCCGGGAAGGCACGCGACTGCACCAGGCTGTAAGAAATCAACAAATCCACGACAGACTTGACCTTGCGCTGATTGTGAGAACGGGCATAGCAGACGAGGGCAAGACCAAACTCCGAGGAGTGGGAATCATCGGAGGAAGTGATCTGATCACCAAATCGCTATGAAAGGTTAGTGTCCGGATCGAAACAAAGAATGACAATGACTTACTTCAGAAACCCGTCGTCCTTCCTCCTCCAGACCCAGATCAGAGAGCAGCATGACCAGTCGGTCCAACTGAGCAAGGTCTTCCAATGGCAGACGATTCACGACTTCTGACACCGCCTTTTTCATCATGTCCACATCATCAACTCGGGTGAGGACTTCCAACGCCATCTCCCAGCCTTGACGAGCGCCGGTCTCGTTCTCGATCGGACCACGGTCATTCAACCCAAAGGCATAGTTGCGGAGGATATCATCCTTGTGAAGACTCTCAACGGGTGACCGGTTATCTTGGCCATACGAAAGTACCATCAAGTCGTGCTCGCTCAGACCGGGCATCTTCTTTGAGGCGCTAGCCTCAAACCATCCACCGAGACTGGCAACCTCGGGGACAGCAGCCGCGACACAGAGGGACCAAGTTTGTATGAGCTCAATGGCACCCTGCACATTGCCCTCAAAGACAGAAGCCAATCCAACCTCCAAGCTACTCATAGTGTTCACCCGGAAGCCGGTATCATCAGACGGCTCATTTGTTGCGCTGCCAAAAGCCAAATCCAGGCGTCGAAGGTATGCATCGCGCGTATTGCGGTCTACGGCTCGATGGTTTCTAGATCCGCGAGAGCGCTGGAAGTCGTTGCTGGAAGTGCTTGCGCGGAGATCTAGGTTCGGCACACCGTCGTCGTCTTCACCATCCCACCATGCGGTTAGCCCAATGGTCGCCTCCACCCAGTCTTGGGAGTAGGCCTTGATAGTGGTGGTGTCACCAAGAATGATTCGGTATAGGGATCGAAGGTTTTGGTAGATAGTCCATGGCACACGGCTTTCGGCCATGCGCGCAGACTGAGTGAAACTGACGGGATTGGGGTTAAAGTTGGCAAGACCAAAGTTGATGGCCTGGAACTTGTTTTCCTGCACAGGGACATCGGCTTGATCTTTCTCGCTGCCTTCAGCAAACTCTTCAAGATCGTTCACTGCTGCGAGGACCCGCTTCCGATACTGTGTCCAGTCCGGGCCCGTGATATTCCAGTCATCGTCTTGAAAGCCGGGGCAAGAGTCTAGGACCTGCAAGGCTTTGTTTACACAGCGCTGGATATTCTGCAGTTGAACACCGCGGTAACCCGGCTGGGGTAGACCATCCTCCAGGGCTGATCGGGCGTAGTTGAAATCAGCCGAGCGCAGAATTTCGGCGGCCTCTGCAAAGCGACCGCGAAGAACTGCAGCATTGATGATATCCCAGAAATTAGAGGACGCGGTTGGGTTCGGCTCCACATGCCGCAAAGCCTGGAGGTCATTATTTTGGGATGCGTGGTTCCCGTTCAGCCAGTCTAGTAAGATCTGAGGCAAAGGAGTCGCAACGCTGGCTCGCTGCATTGCCTTAACCATGCTGTTGGGTGCGCCACGGGCCATAGGGTTAGAGGCACTGGCGATCGGGGCAGAAGCACGAGAGGGATGGTGGATTTGAAGTAGCAATGATGCAAGGAAGCTAGCCTTCACCAGGTTAGGAGCCTGTTCTCCCGGGCCAATCTTGGATCCAGCACCGTAGGGTCGAGTGATGCCACTGCGGTCTGCGCAGATGTCCCATGTTGCTGCCAGCTTGTTGGCAGTGTAAGACAGGATCGAATCAAGATCAAGGTGCCCGTACTGGCTATCTCTGATCTCGTCCCACAAACGCCCAAGTGTATCCTCTGTATTGATGATCATATCGGCGGGCTCGTTGACCGGCGGGGGGGACCCGTGTTCTAGAAGCGAGGTTGTGCAGAATCGAAGGCATGGCCGATGCCTTCTTGGGGGATAGCTTCGTCTTGCGGAGAGGTGACTGGTTTGCCCATTTTTCATCCAACCTGGGGCGCTTAGCTTCGACAGGATTTGAATAGATGGACTTGCGCTGCTGGCCAAAAAGGAGCGGCGGTTGCTGTGGCTGAGGTTGGGCCTGGGTCTGCTGGGTTGGCAATTGCTGCGTGGTGAACGTCTGCTGTGGGAACGTCTTCGAGGGCAGTGGCTGTGTCGACAACGGATTTCCGAAGGTCGAATCCAAGAAGCTCAAGCGACTAGCCGGCTCATGGGTGCTAATATCCATATCACCTTCCGCATCTTCTTCAGTCTCCTCGGGCTCCATTTCCGCTTCGTCATCGTATTCCTCATGGTACTCGCTCAGCTTGGACGACTTGAATCCATTTGATCGTCCAAAATTCACGGACTGGCCGAAAGCACTCCCATTTGTCGCGGTGAAGCGAGACTGTGCCGTGAATGTGTTGGCTTTCGGCTGGGTTTTCTTGGGCATCGCAAAGTCGGTCGACCCGAACGAGGAACCGAAGATGCTGTCATTGGTGTTAAAGCCTCCAGATTTGGTAAAGAGGGAGTTTGAGTGCTCGGTCCTCGATTGGTCTAGCTGAGAGGTATTGAACGCGGTGGATTGCGGGTGGCCTTGCGGTGTGAACGAATTCGTGCTTGAGGGTGGCGGGCCCGCGGGCGTCGTGGAGATATTACTCCAAAAGCTTTGCCCTTTTGATTTGTCAGGAGTCGAGGGGGGGCTCGACTCGTAGTCGTAGGGGACCTTGAATGTCATTGTGGGTTGTTGATGGGGCAGATCACAATTACTTCAGACCGTCAAGAGCAGAGGATTGCAAGTTTTGGGCCGCAACACCTGCAAGCACGCTTTTGGGAGAAGGAGCAATCGCCCAATGAGCAAATAGATCAGTGTCGCCAGATGGGAGAGACACGAAAAAGGGTGTGATCGTGTCAAGCCAAGTCCATCCTCATGGGAATGTTTTTTCCGTTATGTTGCTCCGTTCGTTGACGCGCCTTCCAGTCCGCGAAATTCAGATCATGTGACTGGCGCTCATTTGGCATGCCGAATTGCGCATCACTGCGACCACCCAGCTCGCCAACAGCGATCCACGAGTTTGTGATTAATGAAGCACTACTTTACAGAGGGAATTTGACGACCAAATTGATTTCAGGTTTGATTTATGCCTACACGGGAAGGAAAACGTAATATTGACATCAAGTGCAATTGAAATGGACCCCAGGGGAGGTACACGTTATTCTTCTCCAGAGGAGGGACTATGCTCATGACGGTTTTGCAGTCCGCCATTGATGAGTCAATCAGTTCACCAGTCCTGGTTTTCTAAATTTGACCACTTTGGATGAAAGATAATCGCGTTCATTGAGGGCTTTCAAGGTTTATTAGGTGCCAAATCAACAGGGGCAAGCCGGATAATTCACGGACAAACCCTTCATACTGCGAATATTTTCCTTGTCTCTGGAAGTTGCTAGGCGCTGTTGAGGGTAAAACCGACGAAATCGCAAGCTACTAGATCCGTCACATTCTCCAAGTCACAATAACATATTGCAGATGCAGAATTGAGATTGCAATCTCATGGGGTTTATCTACCCTCACAACTACAGTACTTCAATAAAGAATAAGATTTAAGTGAAGCGCCACAAAACATCGCCTTATTGACTTTTAGGAAACCTTACGTCACGTAAAATGGCAAATGATGGATGTTTTCTGGCCATTCAAGTTTAAACTCATCTCTTCCGCCATGGAGAAGAGCCACTCGAGCAACTGACCAAAAGTTCCTGCTCACCTGCTAATGATTATACGGGCCCTCCTTAAAATATAGTTGAGCAATATTGACTGTTTGGAACGCCAAACCCAGCTCTCGTTGTAAGTCAAGATCTTCGAATTCCATTGTATAGGAGTTTCCCAAAATCATTCTATAAGAAGCGTGATGGCATCCCGGATGCAGGGGTGAAAGTACTGTTGCTGAAGTCATTATGCGATAACCGAAGGTCCCTGTATAGATGACTCGGTCTCTTTGCCATTCATAAAAAGGCCCTATCAAGGTCTGTAAGGTCTTTTCAATTTGCAGATGCATCCGATAGCAAGGTTGAGAATAGAGAGTTTCCTAAGAACGTCGACTGGACATTCTTTTCTACGGCCAAGTGTCGCATGTGAGACATTCCTTGTAGTGAGTCTTGCCAAATCATCGATATGCAATTTGTTACCGATGTCAGGGGTGCTTGGTAGAGCTGTCGGATTTGTACTAGACGTAGACGCCGAAGCCCATGGGTCACAGGCGATGAGGCTTGCCCAAGCCTTAGGCCTGACCTATGGTCAAAGGGGAGTCGGCTAGCCCGTGGGTAAGCCCAGCGTCGCTGCTGGCCTATTTTCCTTTTTGTGTTTCTTTTGATTTTGATTTGTTTTCTTTTCCTTCCCTTTTCTTTCTTTTTTGTTGTTTCCAGAGGAAATTATGTCTTGGCATTCTCATCTACAGAAAGCGTTTCCGCTCAAATCCTCAGCTATACAGTAGAGAATAGTATGACTAGTACCTCAAATTATTTGATATTCTGTGGCGAAGGCACACATAAGCTTATTGACCTCCGACCGGCGGTAGAAACCAACAAAGAACCAGCTATGGTCACATCCACATCGCTAGTAGGCAGAGAGGAGGTGGTGCCAAACCCTCCCATCGGCATCGCGGCCGCTACTAAAATAAACGCAAGGAGCACCAAGTCCTCGGTATCCTTATGCATCTAGAACACATAGAATAAGGACCCTGTGTCCAAGAGGTTAAATCTCTACGCAAAGCGGCCAGCCCTTTACTGAAAGGCGAAGAGCCCATGTTAGTGATAGACAATCAAAATAGTGATGATCATCAGGTTGATCCTTCATTTGCCTGACAGCCTGACAGACTCCGCCCAGGTATGCAACTCTGGATGAGCGCTTCTCTGCACATCCGAGCATGAAATAACAAAAAAGCCCTGCTCGGGCTCTCATCGTAGAGTCTCCACACTATTGTGTGCGATGTGGCATAAAATCCGCTCAGGTACTTACCAATTGTGAAGCCCGCAGTATTCAAGTCCTGTAGATTGCAGGACGCCATCATCATAGTCAGAGTATGGGTTCGAGCCCATTCAGCGAAAGATCTCGGCACGAACACCGTGAAGTCACTGTACATTACATGATAGAAAGCACACCCACCATAAGTGACAGATGGACGACGATTGAGGTTTATGTTAGATGGGGTTCGTAGTAAAGAGGTGGATTAGGAAGGTGGAGAAAAGAAAACCTTGGAAAGCTTGTATCGTATTATGTAATCCCTTCCCCACAGCATGTCTTGGTACACTAGGTAGTAGTTTGCTATTCAATAACGTTCTAGGCATACAATCTCCTCAAACATATAGTATCTATTTAAAGCAGACTTAGCACGTGATTGTCAATTGTTGTCTTTGCAAAAGAATGTACCCCAAGTATTTCACCATGTTCGCACACAAGCCCAGATCTCGTGATGTGTAGGTCTGCAGAAGGGCACTATGCTGCAAAAAAAAGATAGTTTTCATGACTACTAATAGCTTCGTCTTTCTTATCGATAGGGGGTAAGGATTTTACCGCAAACACTTTTACATTCCTTTTCGCTGGCTGATCTGTATCATACCCCTATAGGACTGTATCGATAGGGCCATCCAATGAGATATCGATCAGCTGATGCGCCACCAAATAATGTTCTGAGCTCAGCTCTAGCTAACTGAATTTTTATGGCGTCTCAAAATTCTCAAAGACCCTGAGTCGCATCAAATGGCGGCCACAAATGGTATTGAATCCATGGAGAATGGAACCAACGAAAACTCCAAGCTTATTCCGCTAGAGCCCATAGACCAATGGCGGCCGATTGATAACATTCGTACCATTATCTTCATAATCATTCGGCAGATTCTCGACGAAGATGCAATGCGCGATGCACTTGATCGCCTCATCAGAGATTATCTACCTATCATAGGTGCTCGCATTGAGATCGTTTCCAAGGATGGGGACCTCGCATATCGTGTACCAAGTTCTTTTCCAGCCGATTACAAGCTGTTCCAGTGGTCACGTCAGATCGTCGACTCTTCTTTTGCAGCCGCGGAGGTACTACCTGGTACTTCCCTGGCCGATTCGGACATCTTTCACGGACCATGCTCTATTCCTGAGTTAGAAAACAAATGGACGCCGTTGACTTGGCCGAGGGAAAGGCATTCTGAGGATCCCGACTTGCCTCTTCTGCTTGTGCATATCACCAAATACACAGACGCCACGATTGTTTCCATGAACTTGCCACATGCTGTATCGGATCAGATGGGAATTGGAAGCCTAATCACCGCTTGGACACAAGTAATGAAGGGTGAAACACCAGCAGAGTTCTTGAAGCTGGAACCTGGCGCACTTGACGGTCTGAGGAATCTCTCAGAGAAAGAGCTGCGGAAGAAAAGAACATTCCGTATAACGACGAAATTGGAGAGAGCCAGGGCAATATTGAGTTTCTTACCAGATCTCATACTTAACCCAAAGGAAATTAGGCAAACGCTATTCCTACCGATTAGCTTGATTGAAGAGCTACGTGACCGTCACACGCAGGACCTGAAAAACAGATACGGAGACAAGGCAGTGGTTTTGACAAGTGGGGATATTGTCACTTCACTTTTGACGAAATTCGCGTACATTGGGCGCAAAACATCCAGGAATGTTACCATCACCACGGTCATAAATGGTCGCGGACGCTGTCCAGCAGTTCCTGCGGATAAGCCATACCTTCATAACTGCACATGCTATGCTGTTGTTCACACACCAAATCCGGACAAGGTATCTCTTGCAGAGCTAGCCTACCGGCACCGTCTTGGAGTACTCGAGGGGCTTAAATCCGAGAATATCGAGCGCAGCTTGGCGATCACCAAAGAACTTTGGAAACGGAAGTATAAGATTCACATCGTTGAGCCTGGTGACTTGAGCTATGCATGTACCAATTGGTGTGGTGCGTGGCGTAATATCGACTTCCGTCCAACTATCGCTTCAAAAGAGGGTACTGCTGCCAATGGGGGTTCTACGGCCCCGCCTCTTATTTTCGGACATTCACTTCAGCGCACCTATCCCACGAGATATAACACACAGATCATGTGTAAGGGGGATGGCGGATTCTGGTGTGACTTCACGATTTCCACCAAAACACACCCGTTGCTGGAACGACTTCTTAAATCTGATCCTAGACTGTGCAATTTTTGATATCCGGTTTTTTTATTGTATGCAGGTCGATTAAATGGTGGGTATATTAGATATTTCTAGAATGAATTTAAGAGATATTTCAGATCAATGTTTCAAGAATTGGATATTTCTTAAGCAGTGAGAAAAAAGCGGCAGGATGGCTGTTCCATGTTGTCATAGCGGTACATAATACCGTATCAATTTTGCCACGGCCCCAGGTATGCAAAGTCAGTCAGCTCCGGTAGCAGGAAGGACTTCTCAGTTTCTTTAGTGGCCCGGTCGGCTCCAGGCTGTACAGTAGATCCCGAGTGCTTGTCAACATCTTGTGTGCCCGTTTGAGTAAAGCCGAGTCCCCAGAATATTAGGCTGTGCAGTTGGAACATGTACTTGCCCTTTGTCTACTTTCGGTAAGGCCGAAACATCCATATTTAGCCAATGAAACGAACCTAAAGTACGCCTAATTTGGGGGCGAACAGCATGATTGGTGCAAAACCAGTTGGCCTTAGCTGTACATTGGGGCGGGTGAACCCTGTTTTGTGTGTGGGTCAAGGGCCAAGCTCTCATTCCGTGGCAGACCTCACTCAGCCCTGTCTCGATCGATTCGATAAATATAGGAACACGAAATGAATGCAATGAATCGAAAATATAAATGCTCGTATATCTCTAGTCAGCATGAAAATTGCTGCACCAACTTAAAATTCCTAAATTTGAAATTCGAAAGGGATTCCAAATAGCGGGAATAGAGACCACCTTTGGAAGCCTCATCACACCTGACAATCATACATCATGCGATCCCCAAGGCTCGCGCGCCAATACTCCATCACCCACAGCCTTTTCCGACACGACTATGAAATCCTTTCAGATGGCAATCACATGTTCCACGTGGACAACTCCCAATTGACACCGGGAAAGCCAGACTTGACGTTCCATGAGGGTCCGGACACAAAAGGCCCCATTGCGGGAGTTTGCAAATACCGACACTTTTCATCCGATGCCATCATTGGCCTCGGAGACCCCAGCCACCCCTACATGAACTGGGAACATTTCAGTCGCGAAAGTCTCCTTTCCTGCCGCTATTCGTTTCGCGTGAGATTGGGGGATCGCATGCACACCTTCACATGGCGACGTACCGGTTCCATGAAAGTCGAAACCTTGGAACTGGTGCATGAGGCCACGCGTGATCTCATTGCGGAGTTCTCTTCAGGCACCACATTTTCTAAAAAGGCGGGTCAATTGGATATTTACAAATGTTATGGGGATCAATTTGCTCTGCTGGTACTCATTACGGGGCTGGCGTTACGGGAAAAACTCAGACGGACCCGAGCCAATTCGGCTGCGGGGGCCGGTGGTGGAGGTGCATGAACAATACGAGAGGTGACATTCCGAGGTCATTCCGATGGTGACGGCCAAGGCCAGACCGAGAGAGTGCCAAGGCTGGTACAGTACCACTTTTACGTGGATTTTACGAAATTACGATGTTACGAAGTATGGGACCCATGTGGATATGTGAGAGAATGGGGTGGAGATGTTGGGATGTACTATATGCATAGCGCTGGTCTTAGCACCACGCGGCAATAAGTTCCTGTGATAGTAGCCAATAGAACGCAAGAGTGACAAGTCACAACCTAACTTACCAGCCAGCGTAATACCAAGGGAGGCAGTGCTGCAAGCGAAGCAAGACAATGTTTCAGAAGGACAAGCCTTTTCTTTATTGTTTGATCGACAGGGTTCGATTAGGTAATCTCATAGTGCCGGCCTTTGACGTTTCTGAATCCTGTTGCCTACTCCTACACAGTTGACGAAAAAAAAAAAAAAAAAAAAACTCTTTCCGTGCTAGTTGGATCTTCTGGAACTTGCATCAGATCCTTATCTTTTCCCTTTAATTTGGACTCTCCCTTTCCCATTCTACCCCATACCATGCCGATCCAATCGCTGTGATTTCCATGGCGCTCCGACGGCCACACCGAAAATCAAGACATGGATGTCTGGAATGTAAACGAAGACGAGTAAAGGTATATATTATCTGATCATACACAGTCAGTTCTAGAACTAATTAAAATACCTCTAGTGCGATGAGGCCCGACCAACTTGCGCCAATTGTGCAAAGCGTCATGCCGAGTGTGAATATGGCTCCTCCAGCTCTCTCCTGTGGGCAAACGAAGAGTCCACTCCCACCCGACAATCTTTCCGCGCCTCCTCAGATAGCGGCCACCAGACCGATTCTGTATTGGGATCTCCCTCCGCCGCATCGGCCTCATTGGGAATCCTAGGCAGATTGAGCGGTGCAGAATCGTCGGCTATACCAGCCCCGACGCTCAATCTCCATGATCTGGAACTGATGATGCAATGGTGTAACACAACCTACCGCACACTCTCCCGCGACGAGAGCACAGAGCAAATCTGGCGAAATGCCGTACCCCAAGAAGCCCTTTCCCACCCTTTCTTAATGCACGGGATCTTAGCTCTCGCCGCCCTCCATCTAGCTCGTATGGGACCTGATCCATCCCGTCGCGCGGCACATCTCAATCGCGCCGTCGCCCACCAGAACCAAGCGCTGGCGCTGTTCCGGGAGCTACTGGGTGATATACAAGAATCAAATGCGAAAGCCATGTTCGCATTTGCAAGTATCGTCGTCGTTTACACGTTCGGGTTCCCGAATTCTCCAGAAGTGCAAGATCACTGGTCCTGCATTGATGATTTCCATCAAGTCCTCGTTCTCACGCGCGGAATCCAGCAGGTAATCAGATCGCCGACGAGCTTTTTACATGATAGCTCCTTTGCTCCGATTTTTCGCGTCGATGAGGCTCGCGCTCCACTTCCCGAAGAAACTACCGATGTCCTACGGCAATTGCACCGTGCGAATGACACCTGTGGGGTGCGGGATCCGAATCACGAGACAGATATTTACGCCCAGACTATCGAGAGCATGGCGAGTATGCTGAGCTGGGTCTATGCTGGGATGACGGCTAGTTCGGTCGCGGGGCGCTGGGCTATTCAGCTTCCCTCTCGGTTTTTGGATTTGCTCCACGAGCGGGAACCCTTGGCGCTCGTCATGTTAGTGCATTATGGCGTGCTATTGCAATATCTGAAGCATCGGTGGTGCTTCGACGAGTGGTGTGTTAGGGTTGCTAAGGCCGTCTGGGCGATCTTGGATGATCAGTGGAGACCGTTGGTTCATTGGGCCATGCGCGAGATTCTCGGTCAAAATTACTTGGAAAGAGTTGAGTCTCTGTAGGGACATTGGAAGAATCGCTAAGTCCTCAAGTGTCGCCCATCGCGATATCTCGCAGCAATTTATATTGTCGAATGACCACCAGATCAACAAACAATAAAGCCCGGCAAAATAATGAAATCCGGTGCTCTGGATATACCCAGAGAATTCTGCGATCGACCGAGCTCGATTCTCCAAAGTGGTGCACAACCCTCACTCGAATGAGAAACGACGAAAGCGACCGGCACGAAATTATCAACGACAACGTTTTGGCTGCTTTGTGTATGAATAAGTACTCCAGAACAACCACTGGATTCACAAACCATGACGCAGTCAGAGATTCTTATAAAATTAGGAAGAAAAAAAAAAGGCAGAAAAACAGAAGAAAAGAGAAGAAAGGAAGGGTGAAACATGGTGGCCATCCCATTCATTCATCCCAAGAGCCTCTCCGACGACGCGCCCAAACGTCGTCTATATTACTTGCCTCGAAAGATACGGGCGTTGAAATCGCAAGTGTCGTACTAAGTCGTCGAAGATGGCATTCGTGGATTGGGCCATAGTAACATGAGGAGGAATGTGTAGTATATTTTATCAATTGTGGATATGATCAGTTAAATACCCCATCATTTAAAAGTTTTATTTTATCCACGCCTTTGTCAGTTTTAGAGTAGACTAAATCCTTAGTTGCAGCTGGGATGCAGGGTCTAGGGTTGGAAATTTGGCCAATGAAATGGTAACCTACCAGCTTTAGGCTGCAGTGAAAGAAACCAACTTGTGGATAGCAACAGCCCTGGAGCCAGCGTGAGAAGTTGTCACTCCGACCAAGTGCTCTGCTTATTTGCGATTGAGGAATGGAATAGCGAGAAGAAAGCAGACCTCCTGTTTCAGTACACCCAGTCCCCAAGGTCCCCAAATGAATGACTTATATACAGCATCTTGACCATCTATAGCTCGCCTTTACAGTTTCGCCTGCTCCTCTCCATTCTGCAGCACATACCGATACCTCGCCTTCCCATTGTGCATATCCACCAGCGCAGCGTTCACATCCTCCATAGACCTCTTCTGAATCCACGGCAAAACCCTCTTCTCCGCCGCAAGCTGCAACATCTGCCGTATATCCTCCGGAGACCCAATATTCGAGCCAGTCACCTTGACCCCCTTCTGAATCAGAGAAAAAGCCGCCAATTGAGGCAATGGCTCTTCCGGCGCTCCAACCTGAATAAAAGTACCATCCCGCTTCAGCAAACGCAAATACTGCGAAAATGGCATATCACCCCCAGATACCGTGGAGAGAATAATATCCAGCGATCGCGAATACTTCTTCGCCCACCCCTTCTCCTCACCAGTGGCGATAAATGCATCAGCACCTAAGCCCTGCATAGCATCAACTTTCTTACTAGAAGACCGCGAAATCGCAACAACCCGATCTGCACCTAACGCCTTCGCAAACAGAACACCTAAATGCCCCAATCCTCCAATACCCACAATACCCACCGTCTTCCCAGGTCCAGCACCATATTTCTTCAAAGGCGCATAAACAGTAACACCAGCACAAAGCAATGGTGCCGCCTCCGCAGAAGGAAGTCCATCCGGAATCTTGACCACGAAATGCGCCGGACCACGCCACTTCTCCGCAAACCCTCCATAAGATTTACTCTTATCAGCATATCGTCCATTATAAGTACCCACAATCCGGGTGCAGTAGGACTCTTCACCATCAGCACAAGCCTCACAGTCCGCTCGAAGACATGATCCACTCTGCGCACCGATCCCGACGCGATCGCCGATTTGGATCTTGCGCGAGGCTTCAGATGATGGGAGTGTTGGGACGGCTGTGCCAATTCGCTCGACTATTCCGATTATCTCATGCCCGACTACGCATGGGTAATCTGTCGGAGCCCAGCCTGAGCGGAGAGTGTGGACATCTGTGCCGCAGATTCCGCAGTGCGTGACGCGGATCTCGATGTCGGTTTCTGTGAAGGGTTTAGGGGTGAAGGTTGTGTATTTGAGGGGGTTTGTTGCGTCGTGGGCGACCCAGCCCTTGAATTCTTTTGCGGGTGAAGACATTCTTGCCATGGTTTGTGTAGACTTCGCTGTTGAGTGGGATTTATGGCAATCGAGGTCTCGGTTGGTGTGTGGGGTCGTGCGGAGAACCGCGGTCAGAACAACGGAGTAGTATGCTGGATTGAGTGCGACCTGGGCTGGAACGTGGCATTTGGGAGATTGCGCTAATATCTGGGAAGGCGGTATCGAATAGACAGGGCTTATAGCACGATCGGAGCTTGGAGACTGTGAGGCTTGACATCTGAATGGTAGAATGCCGATCTTGAGCCGAGGTAATTTCCCGATTGGGAATTGGCATGGAGAATGCCGCTCATTGATCGCTTCCTCCCAACGCTTACTGCTCTGTTCTAATTTTAAATGTAGAAAGCTATATTGATACTTGCAAATTTACAGTCTTTAACTCCAGATATAAGAGAATCACACCACCGTCTGAAGATTTTATAATGTCTGCCCACCGATGGACCGCATATTCGGGCCATCAGAGAACTTTATTTGAGCGGCGACAATAGGCGCACCTTGAAGTTTCTGATGACAAGTAGACCCTATGATCACATTCGCTGCCGCTTTCAAAGACTGAAAGACCGCATGCCCAAGATTCATCTAAGTGGTGAAGATGAAGATGAAGTAGAGAAGATATCGAAAGAGATAGATCTCGTAATTGCAAGCCGAGTTGATGAAATCAGTCGTCAAAAATGTTTGGAGTCCACAGAGAGCGAGATTCTACGAGAGCAACTGACGTCGATACAGAATCGAACTTATCTATGAGTCTGTTTGACCCTGGATTATATTGAAAACACTCCGGGTTTCAACAGAGGCAACGTTCGCCAAGTAATCCATCAAGATATACCACGCACGGCGGACGAAGCTCGCAATAGAACTTAGAACCGGAGCTTCGATCATAAAAAAGCCAAGAAGCTATTGCATATTGTCACTATCGCAAAGCGAGCTTTGTCTGTGGAAGAAGTCTCTTTTGCCCTGGCAGTAAAGACAGAACCTCAGTCTTATGAGCAAATCAAAGATGAAATTGAACCTATCAAACGGTTTAAGTCTATTTTGAGACAAACGTGTGCCTTCTCTTAACGATCATTGATGACAAGGTCTACCTAGTTCACCAAACCGTCAAGGAATATCTAGTCTGGAGTGAATCGGCATTTGATTATATTCCGTCCAAGGATGACTGGAAGCATACCCTTGTGCCGACCCACTCGAACAAAGTCATGGCCGAAATATGCATCCGGTATCTTCTTGCCAATCTCAGTGCGACAGATCTCAACGGATTTACGGATTATGCGGCTCTCTTTTGGCCAGTTCATTTCTGTAAAGCTGAAGCAGGATGAGACGGTACTTCTCGTGATCGGTCTTTGTGAGGCAAAACCGGAAGTATTCAAAGATTGGGCGGGATTCTACTTCGAGTGGAACCAAATCCCCGAGCAGACAACGCCCTTGATGGTGGCATCTGTGCATGGTCTCGAAGCTGTTGTTCGCCGGTTGCTTCAGAATCGAGGAGCGGATATCGATACCAGGGACACCTTAAGTAGCACACCACTCTCATTAGCTGCACAGTATGGACACGAAGCTGTGGTGCAGCTACTTCTAGAGACCGGACAAGTGGACTTGAACAGCCAAGACTCTCGGCATGAGACACCACTCTCAGTAGCCGCATGGCTAGGACACGAAGCCGTGGTGAAGCTACTCCTAAAAACTGGAAAAGTGAATGTCAATTGTAAAGACATTGATAATGACACGCCACTATCAATCGCTGCACGACGTGGAGATGAACCTGTGGTGAAACTACTCTTGGATACTGATCACCTGGCCGCCTAATGTCCTGACTCCGACAATGAGACGCCACTATCAAGAGCTGTAAGGAATGGACACGAAGCCGTGGTGAAGCTACTTCTGGAGATTGGGAAAGTGGACGTCAACAGCAGAACTTCAGATAATGATACGCCACTCTCATTAGCTGCACAATATGGAAACGAAGCTGTGGTGAAGTTACTCCTAGAGACTGGAGAAGTGGACGTCAGCAATACGACCTCTTGTAATGAGACATCACTCTCGTTAGCTGCCAACAATAGACACGAAGTTAATGTAGAATTACTTGAGATGTGGTAGTCGTGAGTGGAAATCATTCTATTAATGGTCGATGAATTAGAATTTTGGGTTCTACCCACTCCAGATGTTTCCTAATCTATATGGTAGCCCGGGAGAGTTTTCAGTTACCCACAAGGTTGATGCGCAGTATATCAAAACTATGATACTTGTAATCCGGAGCTAAGGAAGAAGCAATGAAAGTTGGCACGCTGTGTCAGCATTCGTGAACATGCGGAGAAGATCGTCGGCGGGGAAATTTATCGGAGTTTTATAGGGAAATTCTCGGGAGGTTCGCATCGCTCTTATTCGGCAAGGGGCGCTGTCTCGGCAGTTCTGTGTATTTTGCCGAGAGCTCCAAGCAACTTACGTAGTAAACGAATGACTTAGATGCTACCCAAGGGACTAACTATCCTGGCAGGTCTCTCCATCTACTCCACTTTAAGATCCAAGTGTCCGAAAATATGGCGATACAACTCCGTAGATGCCCATCTCATATATGACTAGAAAACCCTTGAATATGTAGTCTGCTACCAGATTCCAGAAAATCTCAGAGGATAGTAGACGTTGACCATGAAGTCTATATTCTCAATTTCGGCGGTACTTGGTACCGTTGTCTCGACGGCTTGGGGAGAATCCCTGACAGCCGATGGGATTGAGAAGATGGGAAACAATAGCCTCTTCACATTGGCGCGTTGGAGACCATCTTCCCATTTCCTTGCACCTGCAGGCTGGATGAATGTACGCAATGATGCTTTTGGTTCAAGAAAATAGACTGAACATCACCAGGATCCCTGTGCACCGATGTATGAGCCAGTTCGAGGTCTCTACCATTTACATTATCAGTTCCATAACAACCATGTTGCCTGGGGTAGGTACTCCGGTTTCAATTCTCGCTTTCATCACATGGCAACTCTAATCACCATAACACAGGAAATGTCTCATGGGGACACGCGACATCCCCAAATCTGATTACATGGACCGACGTCGACCACTACCCCGACGACGATCTCCCTGCTTGGAAAGACTACCAGGCACAATCGATCGGCACCACGAACTTAACCAGCAACCACCATGACCCAGCCCTCTATAACCACTTGTCTATCTTTTCAGGTAGTGCTTACGCCGTCAACCTTACTGGAGGAGTAGACGGCACAATTATAGCCTTCTATACCGCTGCCTCGCAGCTCCCAACCGCCTGGAACGAGCCATACCTCCCCGGAACCGAAAGCCAGGCACTAGCGATCTCGACCAACGGCGGAATAACATGGGAACACTATGAGAGCAACCCCATTCTTAGTGATCCACCCGGTAATTGGAATATCACTGGCTGGCGAGACCCATTCTATGTCCCATGGCCCCAATTGGATACACTACTCAACAAGACAGAACCCCACTGGTATGCAGTCTGGGGCTCTGGCATTCGAGAAATCGGTCCTCGTATGCCACTGTATACCGCTCCAGCCTCAGATTTGACCAATTGGACCTTCTTGGGGGCCCTGTGGGAACCGGAGAAAAATACTTCACTGGGCACGCTGGAAGAGACTGGTTCTTATGGATTCAACTTTGAACTTTCCAATTTCTTCTCATTTGGTGATCGGTACTTTGTCTCCATGGGAGCTGAAGGAGGTAATGTCAGTTTCCATCAAAATAAATGGTCACTGTGGAATGAGGGAATGATATCTGTGCGAGACAATGGAAGTATTGCTTTTACTCCAATCGCTGGAGGTGCGAGCGATTATGGCCTATTGTATGCGGTAGGAAACCCTTTAACTCCACTTCAGCACGAAATTCATTGCTAACAATCCTGACAAGATCAACTCATTCGACGATACCAAGAATAATCGCCGTATTCAGTGGGGCTGGGCCCAAGAAGATATCAATGATTTCGGCGCGACGCAACTCGGGTACCAAGGCGTATTTTCGCATCCACGGGAGGTGTTCATCAAAAATACCACAGGCGTATCTCATAAACACTCCGACACTCTTGGAAATTCTCGTTACTTCAAGGAATCTAATGGAAGTTGGACAGCGAGTACGCTTGGTGTCCGTCCAGCTCCAGATGTCGTCGAGGGTCTCCATCGTGGTGCCCGTCATATCAAATATCCATTCAACCAGAGAAAGTGTGACTCGAGGATCAACTTACCAAACAACCTTACCTCATCGTACCAAATCAGCTTCACCATCGAGCGCACCACTGGCATGGCTGGAGTGACGATCGGCGCTTCACCCAACGGGGAAGAATATACAAATATCTATTTCGATCCCTCGAGTAACAACATCGTCGTTGATCGGGCTCACTCTTCCCTCATCGACGAATTTACCAAGACGCCTCATCTTGGGTTCTTTGAGCCTTATCAAATTCAACAACGAAGTGGCAATTCCACCATGGAGCCTATCGAACTGAATGTTTTCGTCGATGGCTCCCTTGTGGAAGTATACGCCAATGACCGTTTTGCTCTCACTAGTCGTATCTATCCTAGTCTGGAGGCTAGCACAGGTGCTAAGTTGTTCGCTGCCGAGGGCGTGAAGGTCAAGTACTCCAATGTGGAGATTTGGGATGGGTTGTTGAATGTTTGGCCGGATCGACCGCAGAACAGCAGCTCCCTTCTGGTTTGGGATACTGCTGCCGAGACAGGCAACTATACCTGGTGGACGGGTAACTAAGCCCGGTCTTGATTATTACGTTGATCAGATACAAAGGCTGTCAAAGGTACTCATATATTCGAATATCTGAAATAAATGCCTGAGGCGTTGATCATCGCACGTTCTTAGCTTACGGAGGTAGTGTGTCGTGTTTCTCTCAAGCAGTTCCAAGGTTACATCAGAACAAAACAGGACCAAAGCCGAAGCTAAAGCGCCGAAATAAATTATGGTATAATGATATGCAACGACACGCCATTACATGCTCGCTCATCAAGGTATATGTACAGTTCAATGAAAATGGTAGCAAGTATGTAGTCATATCCTTCATCGGGAGGGGACGCCCATAAGATCATCCAGCTCGTCACTGGTAAGAGTACTTCGGCGTCGGTTGCCAGGCCGGCTGGATAACTTCTCTGGTCGACTCCTTTTTCGTGTCTCTCGCTCCTTGCGAGAGCTTGCCGCCTCACGAGCCTCATCTTCGGCTGCGGCTAACTTTTGGTGAATACTCATAGATTCGGTACCATTGGACTGAGGAAATCGTTAGTACATGATCAAATCCATTGGGGGGGGGGTGGCGGGGATATTGATCTTACCAGCTGGCTTGCCCCGAGATCGGTCTTGCGCCGTGATGGCCGGCGAGTCACTGCTCCCGATCTGTGAGCCTTGACCTGCAGGGTTTCATCGTCACCACTGGGCTCACATGGCGATCCTTGTAGACCAGGAGTAAACGAAACTTTTCGAAGTCTTTTAGGCCTGGCAGCTGCATTGTCACTGCGTTCTCGTAGAGCCCGCTCTGCGCGCTCGGGGACCTTGCGAATCTTGGCTCGAGTCAGAGGGGCGTCTGCAGTAGCATCTGGCTGGTCCTCGGTCTCGCTCATCTCTTCTTGGTCCTCCAGAATTGGAGAAATGGGCTTGTTCTCCGTCTGACTCTGCATGCTTAAGTCTTCGTTGGAGTTGAAACTCATATCGAGGTTCATGCCCAGTTTCAGTTCTTCCACCCGAACAGAGTCACCGCCATCCGCAAGACGACGCTGCCATCCGTCCATCATAATGACAGCTTGCTTCCAACGGTTTTCCATCTTCTCCCAGCTTCCGCGTAGTCGCTTAATTTCTTCGTCGCGGATTTCGACCTCTTCCAGCGGCACAAAAGAGGGGTTTGTGAGTAAGGTTCGTAAGTGATCCAGCACCGCATCCATCCGCAAAGACAGTTCCTCAGTCGACGTGGGAAGCGTAGTCACGGCGCTAGCCGATTTTTGTGGTCTAGCACTGGCAGCCAAGCCCGATATCTCATCGCTCTGGTTTCCTTCCTCTCCTTGTGGCAATCCTTGTACCTCCCTCAGCGTCTCAACAGTTTTTCGCGCAAGCTCGATCAATGTGTCGTTCTCGTCACTGAGATTCTGGCATAGCTCAGTCAGGAAGTCTGTGGTCTCCTGCTTGAGGCTGTATCCGGGATCGTTGACTCGTTCGCCACCACTGGATCTCAATCGAGAACGTGTTGACGCGGGATTGATGTTGATGGTAGTGACGCCCAACCCTTCGCGTTTTCCTCGCTGCCGATCAGCCAGGTGTGATTTTAATTTCTGCATTTCGAGATCGCGCTTGCGAATATCATTGGCGCATTGTGCGCGCACTTGTTGGACGGTGGCTTTCATGCGCTGGACTTGCTCTTTCAATCCTCGGATGGACGCTTCTGCGCTTGACATGTTAGCGCGGAGCGCATTTTCCGAGGCCTGGGTGAGGGCTAGCGATCGTGTCAATTCGGATGCTTTGGTTTTCAGTTTTCCCTAGCAAAGCGATAACAAATCGCGCGTTAATCTCTGTTCTTGGGCGTCTGAAAGTTTTACATACGATCTCCAAAGTCTGCTCCGACTCGCTACCCCGCAAGGTCCGAATTGTTGTTGCCAAGTTTTCACGATGCTCCGATTCTCGCTAGATGCTGTCAGATACAATGCGACACTGTTGGGCATAGCAGTACTGACGTCTCTCCTTAAAACCAAGTCATTGACCAGGTTAATGATCCGCGCCATAGTGGCCTCTGTTCCCCCCTCATCATTTTCAGGATGAGCGAAGTCAATTGAGGCACCATCATTTAGCAGCCCGCGCGCCAGTAGGATATTGTTGACATACGTCGATGCGGCCTGCAAGTTGTGCGCATCCATGACGTTGCGATGGTGGAGCTACGGAAGATCCAAAGCGGAAGAAAGTAAACAGTGTAAACAAACTATGTGATCGGAGTCCGGGTATCCGGAAGAGCCAGTCGCGCAAAGCACGTGCCATCCAAGGACGCGGTCTATCTCGTTGATTCCACGGTTTCTTTCTTCAACTTTTCGAGATACCTAGAGTATCAATGGCTAAAGTCAGACATGGCGTCAAAGGTCTCGACTCTTCATAAACAGGGCCAGAAACTCTATCAAAAGGGAGACTTCAACGCTGCTGTCGAGGCCTTCGGCGAGGTAGGTCCATCCACTCTAACCCAAAAAGGCAGTCCACTAATCATCTGCCAGGCATTGAACCAGAAAGATGCAGACATCATTGGCATTCTGGATAACCGTGCAGCTACGTACTGCAAACTTGAGGATTATAACAAGGCACGCCGAGATTCAAGGCACATGATCAAAAAGGCCAATCAAGATGAACGCGTAAGTACTTCGCGTCAGCGGCGGAGCCCATTTTGACAGTAGATCAGGGATACCTGCGATGTGCAAAGGTGCTTCTTCTTGAAGGCAAGCCTGACAAAGCTCTGGAAATCTACGCTTATGGTCTGAAGACGCTTGCTAGCAAACATCCACGTCGTGAAGTATGATTCTAGTATTCCTACTATGAATGAACAAACTAAGCTCATACATGTCTGCAGCTGCTGAAGCAATTGCACGATAAACTTCAAGATCGAATGCTACTAAACAGGCATGATCCCTTTACAATGTTGCCATTCGAGATGGCAATGATGGTCATCCAGCATTTCTCTTTTAAGCAGATTGTGGCCATTTTACGTGTCTGCAAAGGATGGGAGCGATTCTTCGGCTCTATATCGCACTTATGGATGAACATTGACTTCAGCGCAGCTCGAGGGACACTTTCTTTTGCTGCAGTCCGATCATGCATCCGGCGATCGAAAGGGTTGCTCACCAAAGCAACCATCAAGAACCTGCCACCATCGCAAACACCCAGAACCTTGGAATTTCTAAGCAGATGTCCCCATATTGAGCACCTACAGCTGTGGGTTTCACACGACCATAAGGACTTCTTCAATAAGTTCAAGGGTTCCAAAAAGCTGAAAAGCCTGGTCCTCTCAGCAGACATGGCAATTCCACATGACTATTTCGGGCGACTCCTAATCGAGCTACCAAAACTCGAAAGCATATCACTATGGAATTCTCGAAACTCATCCACTGAGTTTCTCAGCTCTGGCTCCTGGCCAAGTACTCTTCCAAGTCTAAAAAGCATCACTTTGTCTACTCTCCAACAGCCACCAACCGCGCCATTGACTCAAATCATACCTGCTCTTCATCTCCCTCGCATATTATCTGTGAGTACTCTTATTTCGTGTGGCTTACTCCAAGCTAATATGCATAGGATGTGAAACCTCATCCTTATGAAAACTTAGAGGAATTGCGACTAGAGGCGAACTTATCAAGGATTGTCCCACTGTATTTCCCCTCCGAAGCCGATACTGGCCCTGGACGTGGTGATAATATTGGGGACTTCTCTCTCCCACCGCTCCGTCACCTCGAGCTTCGAGGTATCTCTCCAGATACCTTTCTCCTTGCCTATCTTCCCACTAGTCTTGAATCCCTTATATTATCAGGTGGACCGTCTCGGCCAAGTCCCATCACACGAGTTCCAAAAACATTTTCAAACCTACACACGCTCATGTTCAGTGATACCGGATGGCTCAATGCCCTGAGCCTTCAAACGCTCCTCATAGAGCTACAGCCTCCAATCCGAAAGCTATGCTTGGATCAATGCTTCAATCTTACCTGGCATGCCCTCATCAATATTATAGATGAAAGGGCCCGCAATCCTAACTTAGCGAAATTGGAAGAGCTCACCATTACATATTTTCGGGCGATAGATGATGTCTACGCGAACGTCCTTCTAGACGCGTTCCCCAACCTAACGTTCCTCGATTTATCCTACACGGCTATCACGGGCTGCACGATTAGGACAATCGCCGAGTTGCGAACATCTGATTCAGCTAAGGGTCCAAGGATCGATCGTCTGATTGTGCGAGGCTGTGAAGGTATTTCTTCAGATGCTGTGGCATACGGTCGAGAAAAAGGGTTGGACGTGATATTCTGAACTTCTACGCCAGCAACTACCAGACTACGTCGAATGGTCGAACCGGACCAGCCATGCGAAGTTGTGTCCTGCTCAGCCCTCTTTAGTAATATTTTCCCTGTGGTAATACACTGCTGCAAGCTGCGAAATTTTAGCATGGACTCTCAGCATGGACCTCATCTACATCTCAGGTGACGGAAACAAGGCCCAAAAAGAGTTGGAAGATCCGGGTCCACGCGCAGATCCTATGACATGAAGCTCGGATTTCGGCTTCAAATCAGGGGGGTTGACTCTACACCGCGAAAGTGGGGGAATAACCGGGCCGATCTAACTCTTGTCCAACACCGGCTTATTGACCTCGTCTTGTCAGATATTACGTTGTTATGTACACATGTCAACTAATTTGAATTCAACCTAATGATTCATGATTGCACCATTATAGTGCATCATATGGGATCGAAAAAGCGCATTGGGATGCAAAAAAACGCTCAAGGTTCATTTTATCAAACCAAAAGACTTAAGAAATACCAATCTGTCCGATCTAACAAGACCATATGATCCCAGAGTATCAACGAAACGCAAGCAAAGAAACTTTATAGAAGCTAAAACCTTCTCAAACCCCCCGCTCCTGGCACCACTTCTCCACCTCCTTCGCCAGCTTATCCCTTTGGTCACGCACAAGCTCCATCATAGGCTCGACCTGCTTCCGGTGTCCAGCAATGCGATCCTCGCTTCCATTCACAATTGTCACACCCTCCTTGGGAGCGAGGTAGGAATCATAGATCTTGACCATAAGATCCATAACCGCGGATAACTGGTTGGGCAGCCACTAAATCACAATGAGTAAGATACAAAAGGAAAGTAAACCAAGAAGCCGGAGGTTCGGACAAACTTACAGTCACAATAGGACTTCCACCGGTAGCAGTAGGGTGCGGAGTCCGACGGATAATATATTCGCGCGCAAAAAGCCAGTGGCGCCAGCGGAAGCTGCGTACATGGTTAAGAACCTTCAGGAATAGAACTGCCGTCTCAGAGTCCTGGACAGAATAGTTCTGAACGCCAATTTCCTCGGATTTCTCGCGGATGTAGGTGAGGAATTCCCTGTGAGGCGCGGGCCGGTATGCGCGGAATTCATGGAGGATTTTGGTGAGTGGGGTGGAGGGCATAGGGATTTGGCAGAGGTGGTCAAGCAGTGGGATCTGGAATTCATTACTATGAGCAAGCTTCTTGAGGAGGAATGGAAGGGGTACGTACGATGCTGTCGTTGGCGCCGCTCTCGCCGCGGAAGGCGAGCGGCTGGTTATCTTCGACGCCGTCGTAGATTACACCGTTCGGGAACATCGATTGATTGGTAATGCCGAAGATGAATACGCGGAAGGAAAGGTACTCTGATGGCTTGGAATTTCCCCACATGTCTATGAGCTGGTCAGTATTTATTTAGACAGTGAAAGTTGATTCCTGGTGATAAGTTGGTAGAGTCGGGAACATACCTTCCATGGATGCTTCAATTTTCTCCATAGCTGTCAAAATCTCACGGAAACCATTGTTGATCTCGTTCCTGGGACCATGTTGCTCGATAGTATCGACCACTCGGAGGGCACCGCCGATAAGTGCACCGGTCTCCTTGACCATGTCAACGTGAGTTAGGATGAAGCCTGCCTCGGAGCTCTTGGGGTCCAGACCACGCTCGAAGCCGCGGATCAGACGCAGGTTGGAGTAGTCCGATAGACCCTTAGAGTGGTCGGCAAAGGTATAGTTGAAGAGGGCATATGAAGCGGCATAGGACATGAAAGGAGGAAGGTCCAAGCTATAAACAGGTTAGATACAATATAAGACGAGGATGTCCTTATAACTCCCATGAGAGGACATGAGAACTTGAACACATAAGAGAGCATACATACATCTGAGCACAGAGGTACATTGGACGAGCAACACACTTGGGCAGAACCTCTCGACCAAGACCATACCCTCCTTCGGGGTTCTTGCACCAGTTCTCCCAGCAGGGCTCGAGCAAGTACGACGAGGCGACGAAGGTGTAGTCCCGGAAGACAGCAGTCAAATTGAAGCGGTCCGGCGAGCCATCAGGAAGGACAAGCTTCTCAACCTCATCAGTGAGGTCGGGCATCTCTGCCTCAACAGCAGGACCAAACTCATAGGTCGCCAAGAGGCCTGGGGTGCCATCAAGTTTGACGACGGGCATACGTTCCACAAGGGACTTTAGGGGTTGGAAGGCATCAGGAAGGTCCACAGGGCCAGTAGCATAGGGCAAGAAGCCTGTTGAGGTAGTGATGGTGAAGGGATCCAAGGCATGAGACAGCTTAGAAGGGTCATCATGCACATGGGGGAACTTCTTAAGGGTAGCAGGGGAAGGGTAGGGCACATGGGAGATAGTCATCGTGAAGGTGGAAGACGGTGACCAAGTGCGAGCAGATCAATATGAATATGTAAAAGATATGAAGAGATAAGACTGTATCACAAGCAAGGGTGGCTTGAGACAGTGGAAGGGTGTCAGGGGTATAGAGTAGAAGAAGGGTATGACCAAGGTAAAAGACCAAGTCAGGACCTAGGAAAGCAGGGAAATTGGGCTAAAAAAGAAGGGGAAAGGCTTGCGGAATCTCGAAGGATGAAAGAGAAAACAGGAATTTCACTTCTTTGGGCGGGTGAAGAGGCGATTCTTATAATACTAAGAGGCCGGTATCAATTCCGGCCTCAAGCCCACATTACGAAAGAGAAAGCACCATGACGATAATCTAGTGACATCGGGCATTGAGTGGGGTCAATAAGTGCCGATAATATACCTTAGGTCTAATATGAGGCTTATTTGACAAGCCAAAGTCGAAATCAGGTAAACAAACATCTATGAAGATATTCAGATGCTCTATACAGATGCGCCGCGATGAAGGGCACAACGGTCACGAGGGAGGCGCTAAGCCCTTTTTAGTAATGTGAAATAAGATTACAAAGTCGGTATTCTGAGTCAAAACGCCCATTGATCAAGTATTTTATGTCATTATGGGTCTATTATAATGCCTTCTGGGCTATTTAACCCTCAGCTTTCATGAAATATGGCGAACCAGTCATGATCCCGCCGTCGATGTCATGATGTAGGCTCTATATATGATCCGGTGCCAAGGCTGCCATCTGAGATCCGCCGTTTTTATTGGCCGATAAGGTACATTTAGACTTTACTAGCGTCAGGAGGCCGGAATTCAGCCGGCCTCCGATAATAACCGGCCAATTTGATATATTCCGGACTACGGAGACTGTGTGATCGGGTGGTTCCGAGATCTTGATGTTGTCAACTGGCAAGCTCCAAGAAGAGCAACCGCAAAAGAATATAATGCTTCGATATCGACTTGAAGAAAAGATAAAAAATATTATAAGAACTCGCATATCTTCAGCTCTAATAGTATGTTTTGTGTTATTAACGGAAGGCGACATAGTTGATAAATAACTGATAACCGTGTGGTCGGGTTCGAAACCAGTCTCAGCGAGCACCTATGACTAGCTACTTTTGGGCGGTGTTGACTAACCGAGAAGGGGACTATTTATTGAACACCAGATCAACAGTGTTAGGCAAGACGCAAGCAGTTTTCGAAATTCAAGATTGCATTATTATCGAGTACATACCTAAGTGCCTACTTACTTACACCAGGTCACCTTAAAAGGTGAAGGTGAAGTGGAGTGATACCCACTGAGCTGTCATTTTTTACTAGGATTGAAATGCTCGCGTATATCCCGGCTCGAATGAAGAGCAGCGCAGACCCAGGCGGAGTCCTTGATGATCAATGACACCTCGGAGCTGCCTAGCTTCTAGACCACGGCCAGCTCTTGTTTGAATCGTCGTACTTTCTCAGATGATACTATTCAAAGCCGATACCTATGAGTTCCAGTGTTCTCAGTATCTGCAGTCTCAAATGCATTCCATCGGGCCGTGGAACATTCGCGGTAGCGTGTGATGCATTTCATTTGAGATATAAGGAAACTGTGATATACGACCGCCCATATATCCATTCTAGGCATCTTGTGAGGGTATAGCAATGATTTAGCTGCTGGTATAAGGTTGGATGTATGGTATGATATGTTGAACCGATAATGCATCGTATGATTTTGACTCGACAGTAAACGTCGCTGATCGAAGAGGAGAGTCATGTTGGTATAATACATCAAATTATATCGTACACGGCATTCACTTTGTACAAAACTGAACAAGTCGCCAAATAGTAAAACTCCCTGGGCTCGAATTAGAATGAGGTCATCACAGAAACAGCACTGGATTCCGGGCAGAACTCACCGAATATGCATTGTGCTGTCTAGTAGCGCAGACAGAAGTACTCAAACTTTTATCTTGATACTTCGGTTTATGTTCCTGTATTCGGGGGTTGGTTTGCTGAACTTTTGTTGTCCGTTGTGCTGGTAACGGTCTGCAGCTTCAGGTACTCCTCTTGCAGTCGCTTCTGCAACTCAAATTCGGCCTGTCGTTCTTGTCGGATTCGCTGCTTTTCTATGTCTCGCTCCACACCCTTGTGCATTGCCTGTTTATCACCCAAATTTAGTGTTTGTACCTCCTGTTCAGGAACAGGACGACTTACCGCTCGGTCCGCCTCTTGCGACCAGTGCACGAACCAGACAATGCCGGCAGTGCCCAGTCCGGTAGCTGCCAGAGTAAATTTTGCCGCACGAGACATTTTGTATGCAACCCGAGTTTAACCGTCAAACAATTGACTCTGGACAATTGGAGGTAATGACAGGTGCCATAAAGGCCGGCGTAATTATCAGTTTATCGCGACGGGGCGGTGGGGAATGTACTGCCATTCCCCACCGCTTTGGGGGGTCATGCGTGGCTGATCGAGCTACGAAGCTCCGATCCCCCAGCAATTAACGCTTCTTTCCTCACTTCCCATCACTTTTAAACGAGGGTTTCAGGAGCAAAAATGGTAAGGCTTTCTAAGTTACACTCAATCACATTGTGTGCAGATGCTAATGGTGGTGGGAAATTAGTCGGCTCAGAACTCCGCGGGTATTCAGACCCTCCTCGATGTACGTTCCGACCGGATTTGAGCACCGAATCGACCATGCTGATGAGATAACCAGGCCGAGAGAGAGGCTCAGAAGATTGTGCAGCAAGGTATGGGGACTGATCTGTGAGGCCATGGACTAGCTAATGTATCTGATTCGTCTAGCCCGAGAATGTACGAGACCCGATAACCCCGATCGGCATGCGCTGGTCCCCTAACTTATTTTTGATAGACCGTACCAAGCGGATAAGAGACGCCAAGGCCGAGGCTCAGAAGGAGATTGAGGAGTACCGCAACCAGAAGGAAGAAGAGTACAAGAAGTTCGAGGCTGAGGTGAGATGAAACCCTGGACAGAGCATCGTTTGGTTATCTATGGTTCTTGCTGACATGATTTGGGGCCTCTTAGCACTCCAGTGGATTCAAGAAGGCCGAAGAGGATGCCAGCAAGGAGGCCGAGGAGAAGCTCAAGGAGATCCAGGCCGCTGGCAAGGCGCAGGGCGACAAGGTCGTGGAGGACCTGATCAAGGCAACAACCAATGTCAAGCCCGTGGTTCCGGAGAAGATTGTGAAAGCATAGATTTGGGACTTTTGGGTCTTTTTAGTTTTCTTTGGTTGTCGCTAGATGATGCGATTTCGGCTGTTCATCGATATCCAACGTTCGAGATATGAGTTTCTTTACCAGGTTTTATTTTCACTAGGCTCTGTCGCTAGCTGTCTTCGTAGAAAGTGGCTACAGAAGTATGTGTATACATCATAGGATCGAATTCCAAGGTTGTCTGTTTTCACGTCCCTAGTGTGTCTAGTGTAGACTACAGAGCAAGCTTTGAGTAGATGAAGTCCTTAGGAGTATTAACTTCAGAAACCGGAGATCAATATACTCGCCTTCATCACAAATAATACAATTGCCAAGTCTAATCGAGATTTGGCTGTCCTTGCGAAGCACACGACTTTGTAATACGGCTTTTTATAGAGCAAGATAATGGCTATCTTTACTTGGTTGTGAAGATCATACTACAGATGATTGGTTTGCCAATTTCATTGGGCGAGTGATGATTCATTCGAATCATCAGTCGGATAAGGAATTGACATACGTGTACGTTGTGTAGTTCATGCTTAGGTTCTAGCAGCTGTCGTGGTTGATCTCCCCGCTGCCAAACCTCAGGCACCAGCCGCAATGTTTCCGCGGCGTTGCGTCATTCCCTCTCTGATACAACCGTGTCGCGCAACCGGAGATAATGGAACATGCAGTTTATACAAAGCTCCCTACCAAACAAATGATAAGCTGTCGTCTTTCACAAGCAATATGCATCTCAAAAAAGCGCACATTTCACGCGTCCTCGTGCACACTCAAGCCGATCCTTGAGCCACGCTTGGAAGACCAGGGCCAAGTGATTCATGATAAATACTCGGACATCCGAGATAGCTATGGTGCTTATTATCCCAGCGCTTACATAGATCAAGTGTTAACTTGAATAGATGCTCCAAAACATCCAGTTGTTCTCGCCCATGGGCTGCTTGGCTTCGATGAACTGCGCCTAGCTGGTCCCTATCTTCCTGGTGTCCAGTACTGGCGTGGGATTAAGGAGGCACTTTCTGCAAAAGGAATTGAAGTTATCACTGCTACTGTTCCTGCATCTGCTTCTATCGAGGAACGTGCCGAGGCACTGAGCCGTGAAATTGAAGTCGGGGCACGAGGGAAAGATGTCAATATCATTGCGTATGTGAAGTATCATCAAATATCTGGGCATACTCATTTTAACGTTTCATGACCTTCTCTAGCCATAGCATGGTAAGAGTCCTTCTATGTTCTTGATCTGGAACTCATACTAATCCAGGCGTAGGGGTGAGCCGTCAAACGAAAGTACACCATTCTTAAACTAACTTACCACATAGTGGTCTCGATTCTCGGTACATGATTAGTCGGCTTCGACTAGAGAAGTTCAAGGTGCTATCATTAACAACTATTGCAACCCCGCATCGAGGTGCGTATACTTCAATCTTTGGGTTTCGCTGCTAAAGCTGCTAAAACATTGTCCCAGGTTCTGCTGTGGCAGACTACGTTTTCGACCAGATTGGAGGTAATTTGATCCAAAGCCCTGATACTTTTCAGGAGGAACTCACATTTGACGGTTCAATCATTCAGTCGAGCGTCTTCCCCAGATTTATTATGCATTAAACCGACTCCGTGTCGAAACTGGGGCCTTCGGCCAGCTAACGAGGAAATACATGTCCGAGACTTTCAATCCAAATACGCCAAACGTTGAAGATGTTCGGTGCGTGCATACATCCAACGCTCAAGAACTATGCACATTGCTAATCAATTGTAGGTATTTCTCTTACGGTGCAGCATTTGAGCCCAGTATCTGGTCAGCGTTCCGCCTGTCTCACAGGATTCTCAGAGAAATGGAAGGGCCCAACGACGGTCTAGTCAGCGTGGCGAGTAGTCACTGGGGAGGTGAAAAGGGATACAAAGGGACATTAATGGGAGTCAGCCATCTAGATCTGATCAACTGGAGCAATCGATTGAAATGGTTGGCTGGAGAGGTAATGGGGCAACGGCGGAATTTCAATGCGATTGCTTTTTATCTGGATATTGCAGGTATGGGATGCCCTTGAGGTGAAGTTACCAAAGCTAACATCGTTTTCAAGATATGTTGGCGAAAGAAGGTCTTTAGTTGTCCAGTGACAACATCGAGCAAGTATCGACCGAATGCACAGACCAAATCTTCTCTGAAATCCGGGCCAAGTGACTAGATATCGAATTAGGTATCAATTGCCAGTTGTTCAATTGCCTGATAGTCTATAGCTTGCCAATCTCGTATATTTTTTAAAACAGGCATCTTTCAAATCCAAGTCTTACTGCAGATCGCAGATCCGGTTCTTTGTGGCTGGGAAAATTCTGGTGCCTGCCGTGGCTATACTCCACTTCCAACTTGGCATCCTTTGTAACTACCAGATAATCTAGGTCGGAAATGTGATACTTCTCTATGTAAGAGATTTTGTTTGATCCAAATTCAATTAATAACTGACTCAAATGCTTAAAAGCTTCAAGTAATAGAGTAGGTCGGGTATAGTTTTGTATTGAAGATTTTCTGTAGATCGTGCCGAACTCCGATCGTACTCATGCTAGGAATACATTTCTGGCCTAGGATTCGCTTTTCATATCCAGTGGACCAAAGTGGCTGAGTATCAGTGAGGCGCAGCTCTGGCATTGCCTACTATTCTGAAAGCAGCATATCATGACGAGGGTGGGACTATAGGGCAGAATAAAAGGTGTCCCATCAGTTGATCTGATCTGCGGCCCCGAACGTCATCTCCACTCCCCTCGCATTTCAATCTGCAATCTTCCCCTCGCAACATCCCACTCCACTCTCCTTTCACCTAAAACTCCTGGGAAGCGGCGTAATTACTCCTGTCACAAATAAATAGGGGCCAATTCAACTAGCTGCGAATCCAGATAAGCCACACCCGAAGGAGGCCGAACCGCTACGGCCCGGGCGCTCGCCGCGATGTCCGTCTCCGCTACGGTCTTGCTGGATAATCGACTCACGCATTTCACCAACCTTGACACATTGTCCGGTCGCGTGGTGCTCCGTCTCCCGACAGAAGCAGCTATTGCAGGCATTCAAGTCAAGCTGGAAGGAGAAAGCCGCACAAGACTGTCGGGACCTCGCAATCCACAAAATGTGCATTCCGAGAAAAAGCGAACGGAGCTGGAGGTTCACAAGGTATGTCACGGTAATCATAAGGTATATTGGCTGCAAATGGCTTATAGTTGCAGATTCTATATAAGGTTGCTACCGTCTTCCCAACACCAGCTGTCGTTCAAACCGGGCCTGCGGCAACATCTTACACATTCGCAGCCGGCTCCTACGAATATCCCTTCCAGTTCAAGGTCAACACACCCTACCTATAGCCTTGTAGCACGCTCTAATACCCGTCTAGTTTCCCTTCAACAATGCTTGCAGTACCCATAATAGCATGCTCACAAATCTCAATTTCACTGGCCTGAGGGTCGAGATGGCCCGCGACACCAATCGACATGTCAAAAAGACGCTTCCTCCGTCTTTGAGTGGATTTCCGGATATGGCAGATATTCGCTACTTTGTCAAAGCCACAGTCATCAGGCCTCAATTTTACAAAGAAAACATTCGAGCGGTGCGCATTTTCTTCTTTCATGACTTCATACAACCTCAGCTGATGATCTTTGCAGATCGTTCCCATGATGTTTCTTCCAATTGAACCTCCAAGGACTGGGAATCCAAATGAGGAGACGTACGCCCGTCGACAGCACGAGTTTTCTAAGAACCAGGGTGGGAAACAAAAGAAAAACATCTTTTCCCGAACGTCTTTACGAGATGCCTATTCTGAGGCCCCGCGTGTGTCCCTGGATGCTCGACTCCCAAATCCTTCTATTCTCACATGCAACGAGCCTGTGCCACTTCGCTTGATTGCCAGGAAACTGACTGATTCGCCGGATATAATCTACCTGCAAATGCTACAGATTGAACTGATTTCCCATACCAGGATTCTTGCCCATGATCTCACGCATACAGAAACCGGCACTTGGGTTGTTGTGAGCCGCAGCAACATGGGTCTTGCATTGGGAAAACCAGATGACAAAGCCGGTACGGACTGGGCCATTGATCCCAATCTGTGGAATGCTGCGCCTCTACCCAACTCAGTGGCACCTTCTTTCGAAACATGTAACATTGAGCGAAGATATGAATTGGAGATACGAGTTGGGCTTACTCATGGCACCCCGGGCAATATGAAGGTAATTTTGCAATCTAGTTTCTGTCCTACGCTTACCTGTGAATGATCCCGTTTGTTAACATCTATATAGCCGCAACTCATTGTTCTTCCACTGCGAATGCCAGTCAAGATCTACTCTGGTATCGCTCCTCCTCAGGCTCTCCTGGATGCTATGGCGGCAGCAGCGCCACAACCATCTCAATCCAAACCGACCCATCGGCCGACCTGGCCAACGAGTAACAATTCTAATGACCCACCTCCAATGCCACCCCGGCCTGCCGGACCTGTACCCGTACCAGCGGATTCAAGTGAAACCTATGATGATGCACCACCTAGCTATGAGGATGCAATGGCAGAGAATCTAAGCCCAGTCGATGGACCACGCCGCGAGTATCACCCACCAGACGCCTCTTCCTCCCGGAGTACAGTGGAATCTGGAACTGATGCCAAATCCCCAGTCGAAACTGGCCGGACACGTGAAGGACCTGTCCCCGCCCGGGAGGGCAGTCTCACCTCGTCCGCATACGAACCCCAAGGCCGCTCTTCCTCCGAGTCCTTCGATATGCTGCCCACCACGCCCCCCGAATCCATCTCCGGTTCTCCCCCTGGTTCCCCAATGAGACGTTCCCAGAGCATGATGAAGGTCCATCGGAATCCAATGGACGACGAAAGCCCACCCCAGTATCAGCCTGTAGCGGATGGCCAGCTCCAGGCTCCCAGTAATCCCATACGGCAACGGCCTTCGCAAAACAATACGCGCCCGATGAACCTCGGCGTGCCATCCCGAAAGCCGGTGCCGGGCCCGAGCAGACGACCTACTACCTAAGCTGGGAGATCTGAACCTTGACTCATCCTTCCAGTTACATACATCCGTACATATGTTTCAACCACCTCTGTTTAGCTGCATCTCCGATACCCTTTTTAATGATATTGTTCTCGCCTTTCTGGCCATCTGGGCAGTTTATTGGCATTGTTTGCATGCTGGGGAATTGGATTACCGCGCTCAAGCTCAAGTTACATAATATCATTGTAATCTTCTCCTAGCCAAGATAAGATTAACGTCTAGGCTTTTATCCATCCAGACCAGCTGCGATTTTCTATAGGGCGGAGTTTAACAGGAAATAAATGGACCCCCGAATTGCTTCCTCTGTCCTCGACCCTCACGGGCAAATTTCAGTGTTAGAGGAGTTCGTGCAAGCACCAAATTGCAGTCGTATCCAATAAACATTGAACAGATATCACAATTCATCTCTGCTCTTACTCATATAGAATGCGTTTGTTTCCGCGCGTGAGAATCTGCCACATCCATGTTGCAATGATTTGGAAAGTTTTCGACGCTGTCTGCACATCCCCCCATCGCTTGTTTACCTTTGTTAAATCTCAACCAAAATCAAAATTTGATATGTCATTACAGGCTCCCCTTCTCATTCTCCGCTGGTGAAAACCGCAGAGTCTGGTTCCACCGCGATGTATATATCGAAAAAATGTCGATCATTGGTGCCCCAGGTGTCAATATATCCAGAACAGGCTAGCGCGTCTCCAGGTCTGGAGCTGCACGAGGCGCCTTTTCAAAGCCAACTCGCTCAGATCAACATAATCATCGCGGCGTTTTCGATCTCTACCTCTCCTTACCCAAGTCAGTCCTCCATCCCCAGGGCTATCACTGTAGCTCCTCGTGGATCTACCAAACACCGCGCGCCTCGCTTTTTCGAGACGTCAATCTTTACGCGCAAACTCAGCCCGACAACATACATTTCTCCTCACCCCTCACACCCATGCCCCAATGATTTAGTCCACCAACTCGCAACCATGCGGATTCACCTTGTCATTTCGCGGCATGGATTGCCTGCGACCCGAATCCTATGGACTACTACCGCTGCCGCTTCGCTAGGAGAATATGGAGCCCGCGGCGCAGCTCCCACTTCCGCGATTGCCTCGTCTCGGAACCCCAATGTTGCGTTTTCCAATGGCGGATACACAATTGCTCAGTTGTTGGAAGATGTGAATGAGATTGTTCCTCTCGAAACGGAACCCAGTGTATTTGATCCCGAATTCAGTGGCCAGTGGGGCCTTGAGGATTATGTGGTGGAGGTCGGTGGATCAGAATGTCTACATTTCATGGAAGTGGAAGGATTGCTTCGGGAAGGCGATGAAGTTGTGTATGTTTGATTGAGGTCTTCTATGTCTGTGTGGCTGGGATTACTTGCTGACAATATTTTAAAGCATTCGTGCTCTGCAGCTCGCAGATCTGCGCGCAAGACGCCTGTGTGGTCGTCTCCAGATTGCTACAGATGGAAAACACCTCATCGACGGTGTCCCATTTGGAGCCCCGTTTAACAAGCGTTCCACCACTAGTCGTCCCGCCATTACAATTCCTCCGCGAAAGAAACGCCGAACAGTATTCTCTTCTGGCTGGGATCAAGATGCAGGGTACGCGCATGAAGGTTCAAATGCCGATGAAGAAGGCGACGGGGAGTGGCTGCCACCGACTGATACTGGATTCGGAAAGGAACTCTCTATTCTGCCTGTGGAACATGATATGTCTATGGGGACAGTGATCAGGCACCCTGTTGATCATTCTGCGGATGATGATAGCGACGATGTTGATGAATATGAACATGAAGAGGACGAGCTCGAGAGTGAGCTCAAGGCACTGAAGGAAGATTTTGAAGAACCAGCTTCCCAGTTCATTGACATACGGAACCAAAGCCAACAAGCTGGCGACCTTTCCATGGGGCGGCCCAATTCTGCGGGTGCCAGACCTGGCTCTGCCAGTACACTACCTGGAGGATCGCAAGTTGGCGCTTCATCTTTGTCCAGCAAACGGTCGCGTGGAGAGGCTTCTTCGCCCAGAGCTTCCAAGGCTGTGAGGTTTAACCGGGGAGAAAATGTTACTGAGAAACTTCAGTCCACCCAACAGGTTAAACCTGACATTAAAGCCAATCCACCCGAATCATCCGACTCCGATACTGATTCCGACTCTGATACCGACTCTGATTCTGAGTCTGGTTCTGACTCTGATTCTGTCTCTGATTCGTCGGACGATGATTCTACTGGATCAAAAGCCGCTTCTTCATCTGAAGAGGAATCCGATAATGAACAATCAAATGCATCGAGTTCATCCTCGTCTGATTCGAGTTCGGACGATTCCTCATCCGAGGATGAAAAGCCTTCCCCGAAGAAAGCGCGGCGCTCCCTCATGGCACCTCCAGGGTATGGCACTGTACGAACCAAGAAAGCTAATAACCGATACAAGCTTCGCCGCCGCCTTTTTAAGCTAAAAGAAATTGGCTTACTCCCTGAAAATGCCGACTTTGCTGCACTGCGAACCTGGGAAGAGGAAAACGGAGGTTGGCACTTCCCTGAAGATTCAAGCATCATGTCTGCCCCATCAAGCAAGGAGGATCAAAAGAAACCAAACCAGAAGGAGCTCGAAGCCAAACAGTTCGAAGCCAAACGGCAGCAACTTTTACGTGATCTCGCGTCTTGCGGAATTGATTTGGAGGGGACATCTGAAAAGGAAAATGTCCCTCCGCGCACTTCGACCGTCTCCGCGCCTGCCGTTCCTGACACTGCTGCCCCTGGAGAGAGCAAGATCGAAACCACCGAAGCAGAACGCTCAAATCGACGGACTTTGGATATTGCAAGTTCACGACGACTCGTTTTCGGGGGCCTTGGGGTGCGCACGCCCAAGACTAAAGAAGATGAAGAGGCGACCATCAGAAAGCTAGCAGCTCAGGCCAGCAAAGTCTCCAAAAAGCCAGCTAAGAAAGCGCCCGCTGAAGAGACTTTGCCCGCTGACGAAGATAGTGATGTCGTTCTTAACTGGGAAGACAAGCTCATTCTTAAGGCCACGGAATGTGTTGTTGACGGCATCGAGTTCACGACCCCACCATTCCCGTTTAAGAATCGTTGGGATCCCAAGGCGAATGCGGAGATTCGAGAGCGACTGGGCTGGAATAAGAAGCGCAAGCGGAGAAACAGAATCCAGGTTTACAACGGAGCCGAAGAAGATAATGAGGACCAGTATGGAGACGGTAGCGCGTACCAAGGTTATGAAAACTACGAATACGGAGAGGAGGCTCTCGAATACGACGACAACGGGAACGCGCTTTACTATGACGAGAACGGTGACATGCTTCACTACAACGAAGAGGGCATGGAACCAGAAACCGACCACACCGAGCAAACGCAAATTGCTGTTGTCGATGACCTTCCAGTCTTCCCCAATGACCCGAGCTCTGTTGCGGACTTGCAGGAGTGTGAAGCAAAGCCTGGAGCCGTCATCGCTTTTCGCCAACTAGACATGTCCAAGGAGACAAATTGGCAACCCCGCATGTCTGAGTACAGAGTGGCGGAAGTACAGAAAGTTGATAAGGGCACCATCCATGTTCGATTGGCGACCCGCCATTGGAAGCCCAAGCAAGAACCTGTGGATCCAGAAGACGATGAGCCCCGTACATACAGCGGCTTTGAGATGCCTGGGTATGATGACGAGGAAGGCGAGGACGACGGTCTTCGCGAACTCGCCTATGCAGAACTCAGCGATCCAAAGCTTCTGACACCTGCGCCATGCACCGTGGACGAGAATCTGGACAAGGAGAAGGACAAGGGCGATGCTCAAGAGGATAGCATGTCAGTGAATTGACCTAATTTTTTGGTTTCCAATGCTCACTCTCTCCAAGTATCTCCGTAATCGCCGATTCAATGCCGAGCGCCCAGCCAGTCCCTCCATTGGACGACATGGACCTTGACGAGACGACTTTTGTTACTCTGGTTACTGCCAATGAATCTCCGCAGCGGGTGTCTGATGTGCCAACTATCCGAACTCCCGGCGGGACAAGGCTCACCGTGACTCAAGGCCAGGATGCCGATGATGAACATAGTGACACCCCTGTAGTGCCCTCACCATCTTTCTCTGGATTCCATTCCGCCCTTTCATCTCCGGGCATGAGATTGCGTTTCAACACTGAAGCTGAAGTGGGCAATCTCGAGGGTCACACTCTTGTTGGCGAGGCTCCATCGAATTCTCGTGACATGTCCAACCAGGACATCTCAGCACTTTCCTTCTTATCCGCCAATGAATCTATTCCCCACGACATCTCTCAAATCCTGGAGCAACAACATGATCGCCAGGTCGTTGACGATTCCCAAGTTGCTGTTGGGGCCAATGGTTCCGGTCCCCATTCCCTATTATCCCAGGTCCACAACGCAGCCAGTGCCAACTCCGACCCATCCAAACTCTCACCTGCCCCTGCCCGGAGTACTGTTGGAGAAAGTCCCGATCCCCGAACCGAACCCTCTGAGCATTGGGAAGACATTGCGAGCACACCTTCTCATGAAAACACCGATCAGGAAAAGGACGAAGTAGACGACCAGGATGAAGACAAAGACAGTCTTCTCCATAGCAACCAAAGCCTTGACATCTCTCCCCATCCATCCCCGCCTCCCTCCAGCTCGCGTTCATCTCACAAACCTCCTCCAAGTGCTCATCCGGAACCTCCCTCCAAGAAACCTCACAAAGCAAAGGCATCTTCCAGAGCGAAGACCGAATCCCCCGCCGGATCCGTTCGTTCGAAGCGTGGTGCAGCTCGCGCGTCGACCTCCCAAATTCATTCATCGCAGGCGTCCGACTTCATGGATCTTACATCCAGCCCTGCGCCCACCAGCCACCTCACGGGGAAGTCGCCAGAGGATGAATCTGAAAAAGTGGATACGGATGATTCTGTTCCAGCGCGGCAGAGCAGAATACAGCGCATGACCGAAGTTAGCGTCAGTCCCAAAGCTGGTCCCAAGAAGAGCAAGAAGCGGTTATCGCGCAAGTTCTGAGGTCCCTTCTCCTTTTGCTTCCTGTTACATTCTTGACTAGTGTCAACACTTATTTCCCCCCTTTTGTATGCTTCAGATATCCCGACATTCATTGTATCTTACCTATCTATTAGCTGGCATTACGCCACGGACAAATCTAGATTTTCTCTTTTCTTATGAAGCCAAGGAGAATTTGGTCTGAATAGATGATTCACAAGCATTTATTCATACAGGCCCGGGGGTGGTTAAGGAACACTACCTAGGCGAATAAAGTGGTTTAGGAAATGAGAACAGAAATAGAAATGAAGTGATAAACAAACAGCATAGCCAGGCCTTGAGCCCCCGACCTTGTGTCTTTAAAATCTAGGGGAATCGCCAATGTACCTGGGCAAGTTTCGGTGATGCATTCTTCGCAGCCGCATTAAATCCCAATCCCTCTACTCCCAGCATTTTACACCCACATGGCGCCACAATTAAGAATAGCAAGAATTTAGAGAGAAAGGAAACACAGTAAAATCGAAGAAAAATAAACCAAATAGCCCTGGAGGAGATCAGTCTTAGTCTTCTTACCCCAGTTGCAGATCCCACCCTCCCGTAGCATGAGCCGCTGAAAGTAGGACCAGACCCATCTTAGCCAACGCGCATGTCCCAACCCAACTTGGTCAAGTACCACTGGGGGATAAATCACCAAGCCAGCAGAGCTCGTGTTTAGAAAGCTTTGCGGGACTTACATAGGGTGCATTCGCTCACTTTCCGGGTTGTCCCTCTAACCCCCTACCATGCACTCGACTATGTTCCTTACCATGCACGCTACACGCTATACGCTCTCTATTTTGGTGTGTCTTACGTCTCCGTTATTCCATGTTTATCAAGCTTGTCGTATACGTAACCAAGCACGATACAGGAATTGTTGACCAAACCCGCTCGATGATTGGCTCAGTGTGATGTCACTCCGCATCTACTGCATCACCATATAGCTAATCCTTGGGCAGCTGTACCAGGTATTTATTCGCAATCATTCCTCGAATTCAATGGCACCATGTCTTCCCCTCCTGCCCTCCCCCGCTCCTTGCATCTCCGCCCGTCACCAATCAGCTCTGCATCTCTACGCCAACGCACTTGTCGTACCAACGGTGTAAGCGGATTCTTGTGTTCCTCGCATTCAATTGTCAGCACTCGAGCTCCTAATAGTCGTCAATCCTGTACTTCCTCTTCTTTTCTATCCTACATTCTATCTTCATTTTCGCGCAAGGGAGACTTATCCCCAAATCCACTGTTTAATTCATCCCAAGCTCTATTTACCTATCCCACGCCTCTATTGGCAATTCCATCTCGAACCATTCCCCCACTTCCACATCGCTCCCACCAATCTCAAGCTCGCGCTTTCTCAGTCAACGCCAAAATGACCCAAGAATACAAATTGAAAGGTGTAAGCTCCTTCGGGGAACTGAAAAACACCGACAAAATCGAAGCTGAGGTGGAAGGTGTCCCCGATGGAAAAGTGCTGCTTGTCAATATGGATGGCAAGATCCATGCGATGAGCCCCCACTGTACGCATTATGGTGCACCGTTGAAGAATGGCGTTGTGTCACCGGATGGACGGCTTACTTGTCCTTGGCATGGAGGTATGTGTTTTATCAATATGTTTATTTTTAATAAAACCATGATCAAACTAATTATAAAACAGCCTGCTATAACATCGGGACTGGAGATGTCGAAGATGCACCCGCTCTTAACGCCTTGCACAAATTTGACGCTTTTGAGAAAGACGGCGCAGTTTACATCCGTGCTACAGAGGCCGATATCAAATCTGGTCAGAGAAACCCCGTGGGCAAGTGCAGTATCTCTGACTCAGACGATAAAGTTGTCATTATCGGAGGGTGAGCTTTGAACATAATCTATCAACGTATGGATGTATACTAACACCCAACAGCGGAAGCGGAACAATCGGCGTAGTCCAAGCACTTCGCGAACTTAAATACCCCGGTCACATAACTATCATTTCCACGGAATCTGAATACGTGATTGATCGCACGAAGCTCTCCAAGGCACTGATTCCAGACGCATCCAAGATCCTCTGGCGTCCAGCTGAATGGTACGCCGAGGCAGGGATCGAAACGCTCGTTGACGAAGTCAAGGCCGTGGACTTCTCGTCAAGGCTCCTCTCCACCGCTTCAGGAAAGAGCATCTCATATACGAAGCTTGTGCTAGCAACAGGAGGAACGCCTCGCTCGCTCCCACTACCAGGCTTCAAGGATAATGAACTCCAGAACATCTTCACACTCCGCCATGTCGCCGATGTCCAGGATATCCTCGCAGCAACAGGCGACGAGAAGAAACAGATTGTAGTAATCGGCTCCTCATTCATCGGCATGGAGGTCGGCAACGCACTAGCCGGTAAAGAACATAAAGTCACAATCGTGGGAATGGAAAGCGCCCCAATGGAACGCGTGATGGGCACCCAAGTCGGCCAGATCTTCCAACGCAACCTGGAGAAGAACGGCGTCTCGTTCAAGCTCTCTGCAGGCGTGGAAAAAGCTACACCGTCGCAGTCAACGCCCAATGCCGTTGGCGCAGTTCATCTAAAAGATGGCACCGTTCTCCCAGCCGATCTGGTCGTTCTAGGCGTCGGCGTCCGTCCCGCAACGGACTACCTCCAAAATAACGTCTCCCTCACACTTCAGAAGGACGGATCTCTAGCAACGGATTCCAATTTCCTTGTCGAAGGCCATAAATCCGTCTTTGCGATCGGTGATATAGCTACATACCCCTACCACGGTCCAGGAGGGAATGGAAAACCCATCCGAATCGAACACTGGAATGTAGCGCAAAACGCCGGACGGGCCGTTGCCCGTGCGATTGTCCATTCGAGACATTCGCCTCTTTCTTCTCTCCCGCCTAAGCCGTTTATCCCAATTTTCTGGTCTGCGCTTGGTGCTCAGTTGCGGTACTGTGGAAATACGGTGGGAGGATATGATGATGTGGTCATGAAAGGCGAGCCGGAGAACGGGAAGTTTGCGGCTTATTATACCAGTGGGGATGTGGTTGTTGCTGTTGCTACCATGGGGATGGATCCTATTATGTCTAAGTCGGCGGATTTGATGAAGAGGGGAAAGATGCCTGGGAAAAAGGAGATCGTTAGTGGGGTGGATGTGTTGCAGGTCAAGTAGAGGTCTGTGTTCTCTGAGAATGATCTTCAACTCGTGATTCCGGGATCTTAGCCTTGCTATTCGATCACTTAAGGATATAGGTAAGAATGATAACTCCAGGTTTTTTGACTTCCTATTTATCTTACTGGGACCCAGAGGCCAAGGGTCTGCGTACAACTAGGGCTTCTGTCTTTACTGGCGGAACCACGGATGGAGTCAAAATAAACTTTCTGTCAAGAACCAGAAGATAATTGTTATCATTCGAACATCCTTTCAATCATAGGAAGATTGTGCTTCTAAGTTAGTTTAAAGAATAATCATAAGTGTAGAACGAGCCAAGTCAGGTGTTCAATTAGCAATTCAGGATGCAGCTCTTTGTTGGATGAGGCAGCGACTTGAGGCAACAGCTACATAGGGTTGGACTGGTCATTGTGTCGTACCTAGCGAATTCAGAGTTCCCTATTTCTCCCCACATTCAAATATTTCTGGCATAACCTTCCTCCTTTCGTACTACCCTCAGTTAACAGGCCCATCATGCCTAAGCGAAAGGGTACCACCGAGCCATCTGGATCCAACAAGGAAGCCAAGTCATATTTATCCAAGCACGAGTTTGATGAAGTTTGCGGTCGACTTGAGAAAACCATCGTGGATGAAAAAGATTCTTCGGCTTTTGTCTGTGGTGGTACTATACCAATCAAAGACAAAGCAGCGGAGTCAAAGAACCATACAAAGCCGTCCAACCCGATCACCATTTTCTGGGAATCGAAAGATGAGGTCTCTCAGGCAAAAAAACTCGTTCTCCCTCTCAGAGACTCAAGCGATACCGGTCTTCACCAACTAGTCGCCGATTGTGAGCCTGCCAGTTTTGGTAAAGGGCAGGAGAATGTCATGAATCCCGAATATCGCAAAGCAGGCAAGCTCGAACCTAGTCAATTTGCGACGAGCTTCCATTTCATGGAATTTGGTCTCCATGAGATCATCGAGAATATCCTCATACCTCCTTTGGATTTTAAAGAGAAAGACGCGCCTCGGCGCATCGAAGCAGAACTCTACAAGCTCAACGTGTACTCCGGTCCGTCTGGCGTCTTCCACAAACACGTTGATACTCCGCGCTCGAAAAGCCAAGTCGGATCCCTGGTTGTCTGCTTGCCATCGGCTTTCAAGGGTGGAAACTTGATTGTGCGGCACAAAGGCAAGGAGATCGATTTCGATTGGGAGCACCAAAGCGCAGATATGATCCAATGGGCTGCTTTCTACAGTGACTGTGAGCATGAAATTAAGACTGTCACCCATGGTGAACGCATCACCTTGGCCTACAATCTATACATCACGGAGCTACTCGATGTCCCTGGGTCACTCATTGATGCAAAGAAATTAGCCTTGTACGAGTCGTTGAAAAGCACTCTGCAGGATTTCAGATTCATGCCGAAAGGTAACATGATACCAGACATAGAAACATTCTTGAAATACTAGCTAATCATTACAGGTGGTGTCCTCGGAATATTCTGTTCTCATGCCTATCCACACACAGCGTCTAACGTTGAGAACCTACTTCCACGAGGTCTGAAAGGCGGAGACATGACTGTATATGCTGTCTTGCGTTCGCTTGGGGTCAACGTCAACGTGCTCCCCGTGATAATCGATGATGAAGAAAGTTACTATGATGAAGATGATGAGGAGATTACAAAGAAGGATGCAGAGAGGAGCCCCGAGAGGAGTGCCGAGTATCTTCAATACAAGAATCTTGGCAAACGTGTACACGTAGGGGCCAAGCTACAGCCTCCCCAAGTCACCGACGCTGATAGCCCTGAAGAAGAAGAAGAAGGGGGACTGTCCGCGGTGAGTATCATCTGTTTCTTTTTAAACCTACATGGACCTATCTCCGATTCCCTGTTCGATGAAGCCGGCTCACTGGACATCTTGAGATCCAATACTGATTTGAGGTCAGAATATCAAAAGTTGGCCGACAAGCGAGTACTCACGGCCTATCACATGGCTTTCTACTCCACACCACAAAGAACTTGCCATGGCTTATATGGCTTACGGAAACGAGTATACCCAGCAAACGGCCTACTCGTATGCCGCTGTCATAGCAGTTATACCTCCATCTACTGAGCGCCAAATATCCAACTAGGGCAAAACCACTGTGGATTGTCTCTTGCTTCTTCAGTCGCTCGTGAGACACGAATTGCTTCTACTCAATATTTCTATGACCAGTGACTTTACTGTGGATTTTGAGTATGCCTCTTGTTTTCTGATAAGTTCTAGTCAGGTGCAATCATTTGCCCGTTGACCATGACTTGCTAGAATGAAGTTCTACCTAGTTGTACGCATACCTCCGGGGCCCCAGTTGTGGCCCAGAGGGGGCATGTGAGAAGGTACACGAGAAGGCACACACAGATTTAGACAGGGAACCAATAAGCCTGGAAAAGTATTATTCTGAGTTAACCTACTGGATCAAAAGAATGAGGCGATGCTTGATTCACAATTGACGGAAAGGTCTGACGGAATATTTATTGTGTTGCATCCCTAGACCTTGTTCCGAATAGAGGATAGAGACTTCAGGTAACATTGAAGTATACTACTGGTCGTCAGCATTCATGGATCGACTGCTCTACTTTTAACGAGGTATGACTTAAAGTTTGAGATAATCTGATGATTTTCAATTCACATGTACACATTTGCATAGCTATATAATTCTTTTGACCGGAACGCCCACCGCGAATGTAAAAGTCAAAATGTAGTGGAATATCAAAAACACCCAACAGAGACTCTGCCGGCTCAGGTATACAGACCCTATTTCTCCTTCTTGGGCTTCTTCTCCTTCTTTTCCTTCTTCTCGGTCTTCTCCTTCTTTTCTTTCTTCTCCTTCTTCTCCTTCTTCTCCTTTTTATCTTTCTTCTCCGCCTTCTCGACCTTCTGGCTCGGCTCCAGCTCAACATCAGCCACCTGCACCGCCTCAGCCGGCGGGGACACCGAGATAGGAATCACCCGGTTCGACTTCTTTCCCGAAGAGCCCGCGAAGAAAGACGTAGGCAAGGACTGACCCTGGTGCTCCGCTTGCATGAGCTTGTCCTCATCCACAGGCTCAAGCATCGTACCCTCGATACTCAAGAACCCACGATCCCGCTCAGAACCTGGAATAACATCGACATCGACGACACGGAATCGCACGTTGCCGCGCACACGGTGCCCGGATACAGACTGGAAGTGGCCAGATGAAGCCTCGTCCTCCTCCTCATCGGCACCCATACCAAGCTCGTCCGCAGCCAGCGCGGCGGGCTGGAAGTGTTCCTTTTCCGCGTCGAAAAAAGCCTTCTCGTTGGCGCCTGATTCTTCATCTGTAGTCGCATCGTGGGTTGTTCCGCTGGCGTTGTCCTCGGTGTTCTCGCCTTCCTCGCCCGGTGGCACCCATGTCCAGCTTGTGGGGAGTCGCTTGCGCTCGATACCAACGGAGAACAAGTTGAACACTACAGCGCCGAGGAAGCCCTCCGATTGAACGTTCACCCAACCGTCCAGGGTCTGGCCGCGCTTGGGACGGAAGACAAGGAAAGTAGCTGTCAGGTAGACGTAAAGAACGCCGTACTCGTCGGCGGTCTTGGCGAGCGTCAATGGCGCAGGGTTTTGGTCGCTAGACTGCTTCGGTTTTGATGAGGGTGGGAAGCTGGAGATCGAGACATTCGAGTAGGCCATCACCACACCTTTAAGTGGTGGGTAGTAGGTCAAGAGCAGCGGGGCGAGGTGCTCCGCCTGCAGCGAGGCCAATGCATGAGTAGGCGAGATAGAGATAGGAGCCAGAGGCAGGTAGAGGGTAGCCTTTGTGAGCGAGAAGGGGGACTCGGGGTTGGGGTTGGAGTTTTCTGTGACGGCCTTCTTGCTCTTGGATTTGGAGTCGGTTTGCTTGCGCTTTTTCGTCGGAGACGAAGCGTCTTGCTTCTTGTGCTTGCGTTTGCGCTCTACCTCTTTGGCAGTCGCGGGGGAGCTGTCGATGTCCATTGCGTCGGAGGCCATTATGGGCGCAATTGAGCTGCTCCGAGCTGTGGAGAATGATCGGGGTCGGTCTTTTTTCTTTTTTTTTGATATAAGAAACTTTTTTTTTCCTCTTGCATTTTCCGTTTGAGAGAGGAAGGCGGTGGGATTGGGCGGTGACGGAGAAGTAGACAAGTTACGCGCTCTGGAGATCAGTAAGTGGAACTTCAACTCCACTGTCAACTTTGGTCTTGGAGGTTTGTTTGGAAGGTGTTGGGTTTGAATTGCAAATTGTGATTCAATCCGGTCAACATGGCATCATTACTACCCTTTATCGGGTGGGCAGTTCTCCCAAATGTGTGTGGATACTTCCAGAATGCAGAAATGCGGAGAATACACCACATCCGCTCCTGCGTTTGATCAAGCCCCTCTAACAGCGATATAATCTAGTACGCAACAAATATCCTGCAAAGTGTCTATTATGGCATCACCATTCGAGCAGGCGAACCTCGCCCCATGCCCCAAACCCCGCGGTATGAGCGTCATCGCCGCCGGATCTTCATCTTCGTGATCGTCACCTACCTTCTCTACACCCTTTATGAGACCTTCCACCAAGTGCAATTAGCGGGAGACTATTACCAGGTCCTTGGTGTATCTCCCTTCACCGATGAGCGCACTATCAAGTCCCGATTCCGCCGGCTCGCAGCCCAGCACCATCCAGATAAATCGGGAATGGAGAGTGGATCAGACGCCTACTTCATGTTCCTGCGCCGAGCTCAGGAGACCCTCGTGGATCCCATGAAGCGATTCGCATACGACCGCTTCGGTCCTGAAATACATAACTGGGGTGACCAGAAGACCATGCGCGACTTCGTAATGCACTCGTTGCTCAAGTCCGTCCTACCCCAATACGTGGGTGGATTTGTGACCATGCTGGTATTGAATTGGCTATGGTGGCCGAACTGGGGTCGATACGTATGTGAACCCGTAACATATACATCTCTTTGAGTATAGTTTACTAATCGTTCCTAGTGGCGTTTCTATACCTTTGCCTTAATGCTCACTCTCGAGCTTTCCATGATCACCCAACCCCAGGCCGTCTTCATGCCAACATCATACCTCCCCGATGCAATTCAATCCTTCCTCCCCGATAATTCCTTCTACCTCCTCCCATTCCAGATCCTCACTCTCGCCCGGCGCGCATCTATCACACTTCATATATTCATTTCCCAGGTTGCCCCACCGGGCAGCAAAAATGCCGAAAGTGGTGGTGACAAAATCTCTCCGCAGACAATGCAGCGAATGGGTCAGCTGGTGACGGCGACTCGGGTGGCGGATACTGAGGCCACGCGCATGCTGCAGCTTGGATTAGCGCCGTATCGCGGGGATCGGGAGAGTGTTTCTGCATTGAGGAGGGGTATGAAGGAGGGGTTGATTCTTGGGGGCGTCAGGTCTAGCCCTGAGGTCCAGCGTGCTGTCGCGCAGGTCGTTGAACGGCAGAAAGCGGAGGGAAAGATCGAGTAAACGTTTTGTATTTTGTTATCTACTCGTTCATTTGTATCACTTGAAACTAATGCCCTGGTAACCTTAGAATACATAGGCATTTCATACATGAGCATACAGGGCAACACCTTGAATATATATTCAGACATGGTTTGGGTCTCGGAATATTAGTTTACCCAATTAATCTTCGTGCACAATATACAGTATTGAGAATAAAGCTCCCAAGCTCAATGATATATATTTTCAACATCTGAAGACTTGGAGGTACTTGTCTAGCCCTGGAGATGGACGAAGCGCCCGCAGCGAGTGCGTGGACCTACGGTAAAGAATGCAAAAGCTAGGATTAAAAAAATTCATTTAATTCATTTGTACTCTATAACCTTCTTTTTTTTCCATTAAACTCCAACTTAATCAATATTCAAGCGCGCCTATTGGCGTTTTCCAATGCTCCGTTGGCCAGCGTTAACAGCCGCAATAACCTCATCCAAACATCCAGCAGCAGCAGCGAAGAAACCAAGGAAAGCCTTGCTTGGGCTCAACACACGACTGAGGTACTCGGGGTGGAACTGCACGCCGACGAACCATGGGTGATCCTTGATCTCGACGATCTCCATACGCTCACCCATAATATCCTTTCCAATGAACGAAAGACCGGCCTTCTCGATCTGCTCGATCATGGCCGGGTTCACCTCGTAACGGTGACGGTGACGCTCCTCCACTTGGGTGGTGGCGGGACCGTACATGGCCCGCAGACGGGACCACTCGGTGCCCTCCTGGAAGATACAGGGGTGCTTACCCAGACGCATGGTACCACCGAGCTTGTCCTTGTCCACCTCGGGCATGTAGACGATAGCGTGATTCTTGGCGTTGGGGTGGAGCTCCTCGCTGCCAACGTCCTCAATGCCCGCAACGTTGCGGCAGTACTCGAGAACAGCCAGCTGCATACCGAGACAAACACCGAGGAAGGGCTTCTTCTGAGTGCGAGCCCAGGTGATCGCCTTGATCTTACCCTCGGTGGCTCGGTTGCCGAATCCGCCTGTCACGAGGACACCGTCTGCGGTGCAGACGGCGTGCCACGCCTTGTGGTACTCGGCCGGCGAGTTGGTTTCCTCCTCAAGGTGTGAGGCGTCGACCCAGACGATCTGGACCTTCTTGTGGCAGTACATGGCGGCGTGCTCGAGCGCCTTGGACACACTGATGTAGGCGTCGTGAAGCGTAATGTATTTACCAACCAGCGCAATGGAGACAGTATCGTGGACGAATTCCTGGCCGCGAGCAAGCTCGCACCAGTCATCCCACATGCGCTTGCCAGACGCGATACGGTCGGCAGGTTGAGGGGGGAGAGAGGTTTGGAGGCTAAGGAGGTTGCTGATGGTGCCAATCAAATTCTGCTTCTCCAGAAGCATGGGCACGTGGTATGTGGTAGTGACGTTGTGCACACCCAGAACCTGGTGGGGCTCCATGGAGCACATGTTGGCGATCTTCTGGATGGTGGCAGCCTCGAGCGGCAGTTCACAGCGGCAGGCAATCAGGTCGGGGTTCAAACCGGCGCTGCGCACATCACTCATGGCACGCTGGGTGGGCTTGGTCTTCTGCTCACCACCAGGGCCAGGAGGAATCACAGGCACGTAGGAAACGTGGATCTGAACAAAGTTGCCCTTGCCGGCGCGGCGCTGGAGCTGACTCAGAGCGTGGATGAAGGGAGCACTCTCGATATCTCCAACGGTACCGCCGAGCTCGATGATGCAGACATCCGGCTCAACCCCGGACTCGTCAACGGGGATGCGGGCCACGCGCTCAATCCAGTCCTGAATGGCATCGGTAACGTGGGGCACGACCTGCACGGTCTTACCCAGGTAGTGGCCAATCCGCTCCCGGTTGATAACGTGCTGGTAAATTTTACCAGTGGTGATGTTGTGATCGCGGCTGAGGGTGGTGAGGAGGTAACGCTCGTAGTTGCCCAAATCGAGGTCCATTTCGCCGCCGTCATCTGTGACATAGACCTCACCGTGTCTATAGAATTACACCGGTGAGTCAACGGGTTCAATTGAGACGTGGAATCGCAAATACTGACTCGGTGGGGGCCATAGTGCCCGCATCGATGTTGATGTAAGGGTCGATCTTGATACTGGTGACCGCCAAACCAGTCGTCTTAAGCAGCAGGCCAGTGCTGGAGGCAATGATGCCTTTGCCCACGCCGGAGATAACACCTGCATACGACGAGTATTGAATTAGCCTTGTGTTTCCTCCCAATGGTGACTGATTTTGCTGTTTGCTTGAACAATTGGGACAGAACGATCTTACCTCCAGAAACCAAAACGTACTTCATCTTGCCGGCAAGCACAGGAAAAGCAGAATGGACCAGTGCGCGAAGAAATGGGCGACACGGCAGAAAATCAGGAAGAAAATGGAGATTTGCGCCGCGGTGAAAATCGCCGCGCTAAGCCTAGTTGGGTGGTCACGTGGAGCCGTTGAGTCTCGAGTCAGATGTATGGAACATGAGGATCGAGAGTTGCAATTATCAGTTGGAAACACGATTGACTTCGGGGGTGAAACTCCCTTCGAGGTCTGCACCGAATTGTAGATTACGTTGTAAGAACATCTTTGCCTGGGCGATGAAGGGAAGTGAACGTGAGGGTAGGTAGGCCATGGTAGGAGGTAATTCCTCATCTAGACTTTCTACCGATCTATGTATAGATGACGATGACTAGAGCTCGTGATAAGGGAAAAGTAATCTAAACTCTCACGGGGGTGAGCTCGAGGAGGCGAAGACAAAAGTACCACTGAATCTGACCACTTGGTTTAAACCCCGTGTGCCATTTTCGGGACGCAGCGGGTACGGTCGACTTTTAGACTGGAATGAGATCCATCGACCGGAGTTAGGGTTGGCGAACTGGGTTCGGAATGCTCTGGGCCGGAATTGTACGCCCCGAAACAAAGAATAGAATGAAAGAGAGGCGATGTGTATTTCGTGGTTTTTGATGATATAACTCTAGATTACCGTGTCCAATAAGTTGAAATTGCAGTCGTGAATATCGTACTGTACGAAGTGTAAGTCTGTACTCCATACAGATTCTTTGCAGATCGGGTCCAATAAAATGGTAATTCTGGTCAGGTATTGTCACAACGCCAGGAATCAAGTGATGGCGCTCGCCCCGATCCATGTGTAATCCGGTCACACGGTGTACCATTTGGACGCGAGGCCCTCACCTCTTTTCCCCCTGTCTCTTCTATGGGCTGCGACGAACCTTTTTTTTGATTTGGGCCTTATTCAGAGAAATTAAACGAGATGAAATCCACTCGCAACATCCCTCCCTTCCTTTCCCTCCCACCCGCCTCTCTCGTCTTCACTTCCCCTCTTCCCCATACTATGATCCAACCACCATTCACTGTCGACACTTTTGCCTCACATTGAAGGAATAATTTATTTCACCAAACCCCCATCCTCCGGGCGGTGGAAATATCCACGTCACGATCACCGCCCCTGTCAATCGCCTCACCTCCCCCCATCTATTTTATTACTACCACACGAGGTTCACTTTCCCGGCTCCTCATCGCCGCCATCATGCCTCCCGCCGGCTCTACTACCAACGGTCGCTCCAATCGCGCCAGCACCTCCAAGGTCACCCCTAACTCCTTAGTGGTGACTTTGAAACTCTCCCCAGAGGCGTTACAGCAGGCTCTAGGGGTCGTCTCTGGCCACACCCCGAAAGCCATCCTCGACAAGGACGCCGAACACTCCTCGCCGACCTCCACCGCTGAAGCCGCTGCTGTCCGTCCCTCCTCTGCGGACAATGGATCCGATGCCGACGCAGCTTCAACGCCTGCCGCTGGAGCAACCCCAGGGGATACTCCGCGCCGAAAGGGAGTGCCGGGTCCCAAGCCGGGCAACAAGCGGACAAATGGACAGACCGACGCCGCCTCGCGTGCACGAGGCAGACCTGGACCGAAGAAGAAACCCCGCCTGTACGTTGAAATCCACGAGTGATTTGATGCAATCGAAATGCTAATCCATTGTTCTTACAGTGAGGAAGGCGGCGCCGAAGCTACGAAGCCAGCAGCTAACCACCGTATCGGGCCGAAGGCCAACACTGGTGCTATCAACGCTGGTCTGCGTGCCCTTGACCGGTCCGGTACTCCATGCCGCAAATGGGACCGACAGCCTTTGAAATTGCGCAGCTTCACCGGAGTGGCCTGGCAGTTGCCTGCATGGCACACCTTCAAGTCCACTCACGTGGATTCCCAGTCGAACAAAGATGCTATTCTCGAGAGCGGCGATAGTGACACCAAAACCACCTTGGCCGTCCCAGGCCCTGATACTCTCAATGGTAGCAGTGCTGTTCCCAGTGAGAAGAGCACTGGTGATGGCGATGTCACCCCTGCCCCGTCCAATCTGGTCGAGCCCTCGTCGCCGGCGATTGCCATGGCTGCATGAGCCCGGGCTGTACACTAGATTCTGACTTCTTTTCTTTCTTCTTATCTTCCTGTCTCCATTTATCTCCTCTACGATCATGTTTCGGGTTGGGTTCTTTGATGTTTGGTTCGGCGTCTTGAGTGGGTTGTCAGGTTTTTCTTTCTTATTTTTATGGGCAAGGGTCACATATTGCGTCACCTTGGGAATGAGGATTGGGTCTTCACTGGGTTTAACTGGCTTTCACTTTGTACTATAGGGTATTTCAGGATGATCTTTCCTTTCTTGTTTTCTTAGTTTCTGAATTTTTGACGGGGTAGGAGAAGTGTTTATTATAGTTGAACCTTTGGGAGATGGGACCATAGCACCGCTAGGTTTCTTCCAAATAAAAGTCCAAGTCTGACTCCACACTACTAGCTTATATCTTATCTCTTGAGTCTCTCTATCCAATTATTACCAGTGCATCCACCGATGGGGTCCACGGCGGGGGTAGATAATGTGTATAGTTCCACACATCCTGGTTTAGCTGAAGAGGTGTATAGGTCGTACGATAGAAAAGCAATCTAGGTAGAACCTAGTATAAAGAGATATTTCAGTTCAGCAAATCAAAATACTGTATGAAATGTAGGGGAAAAAGGGCCTCGTGACAGTTGTTCCTTTCCAATCACCAGTCGCTCCCCTCTTTTTCCTGTTTTAAAACATCCCGGAATCTTCCCCGCAATTTCTGATGAGTTGATTGATGCCTTTGTCCTTCCCAGTCCATTTGATCTAAACTTATGATTCCAGTCTAATTTTTCCTCGTGGGCTGGTTTGATTTCACATTGCTGCGGTGCGGCCTCGTCGCTGCTTCCGGTCACCCAAATGACCCGCTGGTCACGCAACAGTCAGCATCTCTTAGCGCGACGCTCGTGAGAGAGAGATAGAGGGGCAACGTAAGGAAAACATAGGATTCACAAAGCAGCACGGGTGAAAACATAAAAAAAACATTCACCAGTCGGTAGAGGCAAGACGAAAAGAATATAGCGCCGCCCCGTCATCCATTCGGGGTGACCCGCACGCCCACCATGGCTGATGTTCCTTTCCCCGGTGGAGCTCGAGGAGCTCCAGCATACGGCAACGGTCAGCGTCGTTCCTCCTACGCCTCCGTCGTCTCTGGCAACGCCTTCTCTTCCCCAATTTCTAGCTCGTTTTCACACTTGCTCAACTCTAACCCCGTCTCCTCTTACCCGCCACCTTCCCCATCTGAGGGCCATCTCCACCGGGCTTTGTCCGGCTTGAGTGCCGCAGAGATGCATCTCAACCCGGCCTCAAGGTCCACTACTTCCCCAGACTCCCTCCCAAGCTACTCCCGCAGATACAACGGGATCGCGCGCTCGACAGACTTGCCGCACAGTCTAGCGTTGACCGATAGCCCGCCGTTCTTGACTCCTTCCTACCTTCGTCATTCTCCATACATCTCCCGCCTCGATGCTGCCCATCGAGCCAAAGTGGCTGCTCAACAGCGCGATATATCTTCATCAAACCCCTCCTCGAATCCTCCTCTCTCAACTTCATCCAGCTATGTCCACCTCCACCGTATGGCTCCGTCCCACCGCGGTATGACGTATGATCTCATCGAAAAAGAACCCCCGGCGGTTACCGAGCCCAGTATCAGCCCCCTTCCCACGCAGTGGAGCTCCGTGGACAAATACACTGGTCTAGAGATATCCAACAATGGCTTCGATGTGCGATACACCGGCCCTGTACACAAACACGATCACGAGGCCGCGGCGTTGCGGACCGACAACCCCATGCCACCAGAGTGCGGGATCTACTATTTTGAGATCAAGATTGAATCTAAGCCTAAGGAGGGGTATGCGATTCCAAATGCTTTAGGGATACCCAGGTTACTTTGAGATGAATGCTAATGGCCGTCGTTCACTACAGCATGATCGGAATTGGTTTCTCTAGTACGAAGGCTTCGGTTGAGAGGCTCCCAGGTTGGGAGCAGGAATCGTGGGCATACCATGGCGATGACGGAAAATCTTTCTACGGCGAAAGCCAAGGGCAAGGGAAGCCATATGGACCGACCTTCGGGGTTGGAGACATTGTCGGGTGTGGGGTCAACTTCTCCACCGGCCAGGGCTTCTTCACTAGGAACGGTGCATTTCTAGGTATATGGGACTGTGTTACATTCTTCGGTAACAACAACTAACAATGGGCATTAGGATATGCATTTCGTGAATTGCGCAACGTCAAGCTATACCCATCCGTCGGGATGAAGAAACAACCTCCAGTGCATTTAAAAGCAAATTTTGGCCAGGACCCGTTCGTTTACGATATCGACGGCATGGTTCGGGTATGTTAGTTCTGTTCCTTCCTGAATTCACAATCCACTAACATCTCGTAGCACGAGAAAGCCGTCATCGAATCCCAGATTAGCATGACAATCACGGACAGCTTACAACCACCACTAGACGAATCGTCATTGCTCCAGGAGTTGGTCGCTCAGTTTTTGGCTCATGATGGCTACGTAGAGACTGCACGGGCATTTGCTGAGGAGGTTGCGACTGAAACAGCAGCTTTGCAGAGTGGACATGATGCGCCTCTGAAGAAATATGAAGTGGAGGAGGACCATGAAGCCATTAATCGTAACAGTAAGTGGAAATCGGATATCGAGAAGATGCTCGGGTAATTAACTAACGATGATAGGAATTCGCGCTGCGATCCTCGATGGCGATATCGATAAAGCTCTTAAACACACCAAAGCCTACTATTCTGCTGTTCTAGAAGACCATCCACATATCCTTTTCAGACTCCGGTGCCAAAAGCTACTGGAGATGATCCGCCGAGGTAACGAGATGTGTGCTGCTGCGGAAATCGAAGATGCAAAACACCACCGCTCTGTCTCCCCAGGGATTGCAGATGAGAGTGCTATCTTTGATCAGGACATGGAACTCGATGATGGAAGCTGGGATGCGGACGGGATGGATACTGAAGAGCCTGAATCCGAGCCCGAACATGATACTGCCTCAAAATTGAAGCTTGAGCATTCGACTGAAGCCCTCCTATATGGCCGGCAACTACGCATGGACTACCCATCTGATGAGGGTGGTGGGGACTTAAAGATGCTTGATGACATTGCTTCGCTACTGGCGTATACGACCTCCAACTCCAAACATGGCCATTTACTGGACCCTGCTGCGCGAGCGGTTGTGGCAGAGGAACTAAACTCAGCCATTTTAGGTAAGCCTGTTCGTTTCAACAAGATAATAATGACCTGTACTGACATGCCCAGTCTCCCTGGGGAAATCTTCTTCCGCTGCCCTAGAGCGGTTGTACCAGCAAACAGAGGTTCTGGTTAATGAGATCAGTGAAGACGGCGGCGCTGGGGCGTTCATCAATGTTCGGGATTACATCAACGATCGCAATGACGGTTTCCTTTGAATCGGCGCTGAGGGTCTCTTATTTTATTTTTACTTCATGTCTCCGCGTCCCTAGACCACCTTCAAGATCAGGCCTTCTGGTCTGCTTTGCTTTCTCCACTCTGATCTAGGTCTAATCGGTCTGGATTTCATTCGTGTGCTATTTTTTCTTCGTTTATCATACTAGCCAGAATGTTTGATTGATGTCACTCGCTCGAGCGCCTGCTCGTCTCTTCTTTCTTTCCTATTCCTATTCAATTTCTGCCCCTGCTTCAAGCTTCCCTTTGTTGCATTTCCCGGTCATTTATCCTATGCAGCGTTAGCCACTGCACAATCTGAGTACCGATGCATATCCTTGGGATGGGATCGGTATGGAATTGGATGGGTGGTATGGTGCGTTGATCGCAATCTAGTCGTGGTTAGTAATTTGGGAATTAGGACAGTTTTATTTACCATCGAACCAAGTGACCTGCAGAGATTATCGTTCTTTTGATTGTAAGCTACACCAGTGACGGCTTGCAGTCTGCAAGCAAAGCACTTGACCATGTGCATTGACTACGAGGTCTTATTACCTTCATAATTTGCAAAAGCTTGCCCTCCGGCCTACGTAGGTCTGACTCTTATAGTGGCTGTAAACCAAGTTTAATGATCGGCTTAATCCTTGCAACTACTCATGAGGTTAAAAGATCGCAGATGAATGATCTTGGTTATGCACAGGAGTTACTGTATGCCAACTCTACGTGTATAGTTAGTTATGCAAGGGCGGAGTGTGTCATCGAACCTGGGGAATGCAGGCGCACACATACAAGAAATGGACACCTCCCACTACAATGACTCTCTACAGTAAAATTTAGGAAACCCCTGATCACCCCTTCCTCCCAGAGGCCATCATGCTCGCACTCGAGTGGACATTGTTTCCTAATCTGTACCCATTACCTAAGCACCCCATTACATCAGCGGTCCAGCTGATTTCTCCGCTTTCTTGCGCAAGCAGCTGTGATATTTGTGTACCCTACATCACTGCGCAGAGAACGTTGTGCTCTGTGATAGCTCTCATCCAGAGGACCGCAGGGAACGGATGATTAGTTCGTCCAACTGTTGCTCCGTCAAGGGGTAACATTCCCGTGCCGCCCATGGATTCCCTCCCGCATAGCTCGGGCGGGAACCATTATCCCAGCATTCCGACTCATTCCCGCGCGCCAACTTCTCTACGCTGCTGCTGTGGTCGTGAGGACTGTGCCTTGCTCGAACACAATAATGTCGCTCTCCAGGGACTCGAAAAGGATCTTGAAACCGCCGCAAAGTTAGGTCAGGTACGTGGCATCTTGTTTTTTATACGTTCGCTGCGATCGTCAGTCACACCGCTGCACTTGTGGGGCTTGGACTGGGCTTGGGCGTGGTGGTTTGCATGGCGAGCTGAGCCATGCATGATTGACATATCATTTTGATTTCATCATTCCGGAGAGTGTGTGGCTCGTTTGCTTTTTTGGAAGGGGGATTTCCTGTTCCTATTTCCCTCATCTGCGCCCCTCAACTTTATTTACACCAAAGATTCCACACCTCTCTATACTGTTTTCGTTACTTCTATGGACTCCCAAGTATTAGGTTCTCCTGTGCTTTCTCGTTGCGTTGGCGTCCGTCATGACCTTACTTATCCAAGATCACTCTGCTCCGGCAGACTGTCATGCTTCGTCGTCGCTGACCTTTGCTTTACAGGCTCTGCTCCATCGCCATGAAAGTTATATGGCTGAGGCGGAAGAAGACCGTCAGCGCTTCATTGACAATGTCGATACACTTGAGCGCGAAAAGCGCCAAGTCCAAGCTGAAAATGCGCGTATCATCGAGGAAAACCGCAGTCTGCTCGAACAACTTGATGGATTGAATAAGAATGTCACCGAGTCAGATGACAGTATTCAATCACTGACTCTGTCTTTGGAAAGGACGCAGGCCGAGTTGCGCAGACTGACTGTTGCTGCATCGCGTGCTGAAGAACTCGAGATGCAGCTGGCTATCATTGAGTCCGAACAGTCAAAACTACAGGATAGCCTTATGTCTGCTCGGGAAGATGAGAAGTCCGCTGTACAGCGCTGGCGTAATGCCGAGAATACATTGCGTGGTCTCAACGACCAGGTTGAGCGCATCGAGACCGAGGCTCGACAGGAACGCGAACGCCATGAGGAAATCATTCAGCGAATGGAGCGCAAGCGGATCGTGGAACGGGAGCTGGACAATGCTGCCATTCGATTGAAAGGTGCGGCCGCAGCATCCGAACTCAGCCGTCACACCGGCACGAATGTGGTTTCGCGCTTTGTCAAGGATATCTTGGAAGACAACGCGCATCTACAAGTCGGTATCACAGAGCTGCGTGAAATGCTTGAGAGCTCCAACCAGGAAGTGCAGAGTTTGCGAGATCAGATCCTCTACCACCAGCCGCTGGACGGCGTGGATGAAGAGGAGAATGGCGAGTCCACCACGCCTGCAACACTGTCCGAAGAACTGGAGGCAAAAGAACGTCGTGTCTCGCAAGAATTCCACGTCCACCACCATTACCACACCCCAACATCGTCACGCAAGGACAAGGGCTCTCTCAATCGTCGTGTCAAGAAAAAACGGCCTGCCCTGGGAAGTCCTGTCACAATGCACTCTGCCATTGGAACTCACTCCCCTCGGCGGTCTATTCATCGCTCCCAGTCATCAGGATCGTCCATAAACACTATTTTATCACAGACTTCCGTCTCCATTCCACTGCCCTCCTCTCGTCGATGGTCACTGCAATCACCTGCCGCAGATTCATTGGCTAGCTCTCCGCGGTCTGCGTTCCGTACCTCTTCGATCTTTGATCGACCTGAGCGTGGGTATGATTTCTCTCAGCCCACTAGCCCCGATAGCACCGTCTTCTCCTCCCCCCTCATGGAGGCCCACCATGCCAAGGGCTTTGATTTGCCAATCAGGCCTATGAGTGGGTTCGACAATTTCGATCAACCAACCATGAACGACGCTTCTGGCTTCTTCAATGAAGACCACTACGACCGGACCGGCTTCTTGGACCTTTGCGGTGGCCTCAAAGCTCATCCCGCTATCCCAGAAGAATCAGAATCATCATCATCTGTACTATATTCTCAGTCTGTCACAAATGACCCCCCGGTCGCCTCAGGAGACGTTGCAGGCCTGCATACACCATATACATCATCCCTCCGCAAGTCGGCGTCCCACGACAGCCTTATTTCTGTGGCCGGCATGGACATCCACACTCCAATCAAACGTCAAGTCCGCATGGGTGGTTGGCATCCGGGTATTCGAATTCCTCAACGCCTGATGTCTCCTAGTGTTGAACTGGTATCCACTCCCCCGGTCATATCAGCCACCACAATCATAGCCGATCGAGGCAAGGGTCCCGAGACATCATCCCGCTCTCTTCTTGCCTCTGTTGCCGCAAGCGCGGGGAACGGCCTTCCCTCGGACTCTGCATCGGTCGTATCGGCAGACAGTTCCAGCACTGCCTCCACAGCAACACCTGGCTCCCGAAAGTCTTCCGCATTAGGCCGGTGGGTCTTAGGTCGGTGGGGCACCGCCGCTGTCCCTGATACTAAGGATCCCGAATGCGAAGACCGTATTGCTGCGATTGAATCGGCATTGATTTCAGAACCCGCGAGGTCAGAGTCAACGCCTACACTCCAACCGCCCAAGGTACCGGCTCCAGACCTTGCACCATCACTGCGATTCAGGTTTCCGGGCGTGAATCAAAAGGGTCCAATCATGGGTCTCCGGCCTCCGCCCCCAGCACCAATCGTCGTTCAAGTACAGGAGATAGATGAGACTCTCTTACAAGAGAGTCTGGCCGAGAGCGGCGATGATAGCTGATTCTTTCTCTATCATATCTTTTTTTCTGTTTTGCATCTTTCCCTTCACCCCTGCTTTACCATTCCCTATCTCTGACTTGCCTTTATATTTCACTCTCCCCATGGTATGTTTTTTTTTTTTTTTTTTTTTAGCATTGCATTGGGTTGGCCGTCTGCTAGTTTTGCATTGCGTGGTGAATCCAGTCTTGGAATTTGATTTTGATGTTTTCACGGCACCTTAACCGTGCCGGCGTTGTCGACGATACCCTGAAGACGTTCCTTTTGTATGCTTTCTCTGGTTGACACGCTTGGTCCCTCCTGGGATTGGGCCAAAGTCTTGCACATTCATGATAAGAGTGCCTTTAGCTACTCTCTGTTTGTATTCAAGATGTATAGAAAAAAAAACCAATACAGTATTTGAAGTATCAACCCCGAAACCTATCAGACATGGGTATCTAACAATGCAAGTTCGTAGCCTCGTCAACGTGGCCCCTATACCGGTGAAATAATGTATGTTCGAATCGGGATGTCAGTAGCGTGGAAGAAGCCAGTCTGTCGATCGGCCGGTGTAGAAACGAATGGCAGGCATTCAGCATTGAAACCAAATGAGTCTATCATGATGTTAGTCCTTTTTCTTTGACCTTGAAGCAGTCCTACTTACTACACTCAGTCAAGAAAGCCTGGAACGTAGTCTCATTCCGCAAAGTCGCCGCAATAATAAATTGCTTGACATTGTAATTCTCAAAGAGATCCTTTGCGGTCGATAAAAGTAGTGGGATGATATCCACATCGTAGGTCTGCATTATTAGCACATGACCCAACCAACTGGGAAACTGGGAAGCAAAAAGCCATACCAAATCCGCACCGAGAGCAACATCAAACCTCGGCTGACCCCCCTCAACAATCTCCCCCATCTCCTCCGTGTCTATTAAAGGCGTCCCCCAATCCCAAATAGCAGGGTACATAGGAAGCGCCTTACCCACAGCATCAGAATTCAATTGCACACATTCCCGCATATTGTCAATCAAAAAGGGTTCCCGGTCCGTCGCAACAACGCCCTTGACACCAAGATGTCGCGCACATAATAGCGACAGGAATCCCGTCCCAGCGCCGAGCTCAATAACCCTTTTTCCCTGCACGATCTCTTGACCGGCCGGGGACGCGAGGAATGAACCTAGATGCAGCGCAGCTTCCCATGTCCTGTTCCCAGTTGTTCCGCCCGCAAGGATCAAGCCGCGCGATTCGACGGTTATAACTGTCCGGTCTGAAGGGGAGGACTGTTGGAGCGGAGCGGTGTATTTGACATGGGATAGTTCTTTTGCGATCTCCAGCGCACTGGGTTTTGGTTGAGCGAGGAGATTCCCCCAAGCTTCCATTAGGTCGTCAAGGATTTCCTGTAGCCATGTTAGTTTGTATTCACTCCGTTCCTGAAGTGGGTATGACGAGTGTGGGGTAGCCAAAAAAAAAAAAAAAAAAAAAAGACGATCGCTGCATCTCCGCACGGCACTAAGACCATTTCAATGAGGTCAAGGAAATTTCAACAGGGATCATACATCTTCCTCAGGATCTGTGATCGCGCCTTCAATGCGCGCAATGATCAATTTCAAAACGCGGGCCCGATATGTCGCTGGTGGTAGTGTGGTTAAAGATTCATCGAACATGTGCTTGTATAATGCGGCCTGAACCTCGGGGCGGATAAGAACATTGTCTGGCGGGAGGTCTAGTTTTGGGGGGTCAACCAATTGGAAGTACTGGGCGATTGGGATGTGAATTGTGTCGGCCATGGTTGTTTGCAAGAGGAGATGAAATAGTGGCTGAAAGTCGGTCATGACGCGCATTACTGGATTGGGTTTAGCGTGCGCCTTGAGATCGGGGAAGTATAATCTAGGGCAAATGTTAAATGGACCGCTACTAACGGGCCATTATGAAATATGCTCTTGTTTACTGTAGATGAATTTTGAATAGTGCTGCATTTTGGTTTCATCTTTGTGTTTCAAGATTGGTTTATATGCCGATGAATCTCAGATATTAAGTGGGTGTTGAAACTGTATAGAATGGGAATCGAAGTGGGAATGACCATGAAGGTGGAAAGGAAGAGATAATGACATGAAGCTAAGTGGAGGGTAGTAGTTGCTTAAATGGGAAGTAGAGAGAGGAATGAGAATAGCATCATGGCCAAAGGGAAAGGCAGCAAACATGCAGGGGTGGGGTGTGAGTAGCACCATGAAAATAAACGTGAATCACTTCGCAAGAAGACTAGCAGATGAAGCATATAAGAAAGGTTAAGGATCCAGGTCAGCCCCAAGACCATCGTGGCCTAGTGGCACGAAGACCGCATTGAAACCTTCCGTTGGATTTGATCCCCAACGAGGGCGTGTAAGTCACCCCCGAAAGAGAGTGTCTCGGCTTAGTCTGCAGTGTGCACACCCCAAATCACAAGCCTTCAAGTCGCGGAGGGGCATGGAATAGAATTTCGTTGACTGGCGACAGAGTACCAGGGGTGGTTATCTTTTTTCTTTATATGGAGGCTGGAGGAGCTTCAACAACCTTCACCTAAGATCATGAATTTTCTTTCTAAATTTCCTCTCTGACTTTCTTGATCTATTTTTGTTAGAACTGTTTTTCTCTTCCGGGTTTGTTGATGTGGAAGTTGAAGCTATTCGTATCCCTGGACCTAAATCATCGACCATCTCTCTCAACACAACTCTATACAAAACATCCCTAACGACTAACAAATAAATAGGCCTTTCCGCTCACCTTAGCTACAATGGCAGCTCCAATTCCAGTTTCATGCTACTTTCCTTTTAGATAAAAGCCATGCTGATGCCATGGATGCAATAAAGTTGTAGATATTGATAAGCGGATACTGATAAGCAGCGATAATAATGGATAAGCGCTTATCGACTGAGAAGTCAGCAACCCCGTGATCCACCTGACCTAAGCACTTCCCAAAGTAGACTAGCCTGGATCCGTAGCCGAGAAACGCACACGAAAATTGAAAGTCCATTCACTCTCATTCGACTCCCTGCATCACCACTCACCACCAAAATGGCCGACACTCCCGTTACTCTGCGGACTCGCAAGTTCATTCGCAACCCTCTGCTCGGTCGTAAGCAGATGGTCGTGTAAGCGCTCCCTTTTTTCCTCATGATTTCGGTCTGGCGCGAAATGGCAATTCAGAAAGAACAAGGACCATCGAAAAATCACCACGCGCTCCATCGACACACATCCACAATAAGAGAGCAAGGATGGGATGAGAACCTGATCGATATGGATTTCGCCATTTCGTTGCACAGACCGATGTTCAGGTTTTTCTTTTTGACACCGGCGACTGACTTTCATCTCGTTTAGGGATGTCCTCCACCCCAACCGCCCCAACGTCTCCAAGGATGAGCTCCGCGAGAAGCTGGCCGACCTGTACAAGTCCAACAAGGACCAGGTCTCCGTGTTCGGGTTCCGCACACAGTACGGTGGTGGCAAGTCCACTGGCTTCGCTCTGGTCTACGACTCCGCCGAGGCCCTGAAGAAGTTCGAGCCCCACTACCGTCTGGTTCGCATCGGCTTCGCCGACAAGATCGAGAAGCCTTCCCGCCAGCAGCGTATGTCTCCCCTGAAACTCCCCTCAAAAAAGGATTTTTCCCTCGGGAAATCATCTACCTCCTCGTGAGGTTGCCTCCTTGAGGCCGACCCTTTATATTGGTCACCCCCACTGACACTACTTGCTTACAGGCAAGCAACGCAAGAACCGCTCCAAGAAGTTCCGCGGTACTGCCAAGACCAAGGGCCCCAAGAAGTCCAAGGACTAAGCGTCTCGCCCTCCTTGACTCGATGGATTCATTGTTTGGTGGCCTGGTGGTTCTGGGAATCTCCTGTTTCACATTTTCTATTTTTTGAAATGTAAGCAGTCGTGGTCGATGGTGGATGACACGGAGGCATTAAGATACGAAAAAAAGAACTTTTTTATTGTGATCTGTGGACTATCTCCCGACTCCCAGAAGAATTGTCGTGGTGGTTTTGCCTCCCATGGGAGCCGGGTCTGCTTTACCCTGTAGATACCGGTTCTCAAGATCTGATGATCCCTGTTTCAAAAGGCGTCAATGTTGGTTTTCTTTTGTGGTTTGGGTCATCAGTTCAAATAAAAAACGAGGGATATGAGAATCCGGGTTTTGGCTGCTGCCCCCGGCATGAATTACATATTTTCTATTTCTGTTCAGTTCGACTGTTCAGCACAATGTAGACGTAGATCTAGACCATCTCTCCCAATTTTCGCCCCCGTTACATGCCGTGAATCCGGGGCAATTCTACGCTGCCAACGTCAACTGATTAGCCTTGCTCCACTTTACCCCAATCCTACCATCACCACTCATATGTTCCTGTCCCTGTCCCTGTCCTTGTCCCTGCCCCTGACATGTACAATGTAGTAAAGTCACACAATCCACCCCGGAAACCCCTCATATCTACGTAGCTATATCCAGACTGGGTTGGCTCATCCAGGAAACCGGGGCAGACGGGCGGACAGCCGAGAACTTTCCCCATACACATGCACAGACACTGCATATATCCCGAGTCCGAATGGGGTTTGAACTGAGAGATGGAGTACAGTACACAGTACAAGTACAACAGTATACATCGAGAAACCTGCTTTTAGAGAGAGGGGAGACACGAGATAACCCTGGACGTGATAGTTAAATAAAGTTGTCTAAGTTATCAAGGTTACCGACAGATGCTGTTTTCAGGCCCTCTTCAGGCCCTCTTACACGGGCAATGTAGGGCTTAGAGGTCTTGCCACCCAGGTCATTCCATCATGTAGGAGAAATTAGGGTTGTGCAGGGTATTACACAGGGCTGGAGTAGACGGGTCTTTGTTGCACAGTCTTTGTCACTTCGAAATATACACGGTACTGTGTATTCAAAGTCTGACTTGCTTATCTCCAGGACTCGAGTCTGTTATAGGTACTGCTCCATAATATTGAAATGGGGAGGAGAGACTTGGGGGTAATCCATAGATCAATTAAATATTAGAAGAACAAGAGCACATAACCAGGCGAGAAGATGTACATCCCAATTAGAAGCACATGATTATTAGAGTTCGTCAGACAAAGATCGAAGATCCGGTATTATACTGCCCCCTAGGTGGGGGATGGAAATCTTCCTAGTCTAGTCTGGCCTCAAGCCTCATTTCTATTGCGTGGCTTAACAATGACCCAATGTTCAAAGTTAAAAATAAAAATAATGATTGATAGAAACATAGACAAAATCAGTACCCGGAAATTGCCAATGGAATAGGGTATTGTGGCTGTTAGTTTTACCACTGGCATTATCATTCCGCCAACTCTTTTGATACATTCTTGGGCGGGCTTAATATCGAAATTCTCGTTTAAGCCCTATCAAATACTAGAGGCGCTACTATGACCAGTATAATGTCTTGATATACGAGATATACGAACAGTCCTTTTGACAAAGTAGTCCGCATTGTATCGAAGATTAATTCTTCAGAAATCAGGGTCGACGTAACCCTTTATGCAGCTGAGTGGATCCGTGATCCTTCGAGAATCGCAGCCGCATCGCGATCGATCCAAGTAATATACGTCATGTAGCACGGCTTTTACGTTCATTATGCATAGACCTCGAAGAACTTTGGCAATTACACATCTTGAGTAGATCATACTACTGGGCGGACCGAGGGGTCAGCTACTCTACTTTATAATACACTTTGAAACATAGTCAGCTACTTAACGGTATTGAACTTGTATTCAAATTTATTGAGAATTTCTGTCTACAAAATTTCACCTCCCACGAGTACCAATCTTATCGGTCAAATACCCTACTTGGTATACAAAAGGAAAGATTTCTCACGTTGAAATTTTTCGTTATCCTTGTCTCAAATCTACTGATGCTGCATAAGGATGAGCCACTCCCATAGGACAGCGTCAAACGCCTAGAAAAGTATAAACGTGTACGCATAAAGTTCGATATTCACAAAAGCCCCGAGATTCGTCGGGGGGCTTGAGGCCATATCGCTCCTGACTAGGTCATTCTCCTAGCACGGGGAATACGTATCACTCGAGTCTCATGGTGTAGATACCAGTCATCCATGCATGTGAGAGTGTACCACCAGTCTTCCGTGAGTAGATACATGATACATGTGCGTAGCTAATAGAGTATGTATCTATTTAGGCAAGTGGACAGGACATGCAGGTACACATTCTATTGGTGATGAACGAGAAAAGGTCATGATTAAGTGGCATTAATTATTCGTACCATAATATTAGGTATCAAAGACATGTTCTCGTAAGTCGCGCAGGAAGAACTCCAAGCAGATCGCCCCCGCTACTTAGGAAACTCAAGCACCCAAAAGAAACAGATATCCTCCCGTAAGAGCCAGGGTTAGTGAAGAAGAACGAAGAATATAAAGCGACCGGACCTGACTTGGTAACAAATCTGTGTCTGGGAGAATTGTAGGGTAATGAAACAGGGTAAATGCGATAAGAAGAGAAGGGCCAACCATCAAACCTTTAATGCTTGAAAATGATGAAAGTAAGACCCGATAAAAGAGACAGAAGTCAACAAGTATTGAACAATAGCCTCCACGCATCCAACAATTAGACATTTGCCGCCTCCAGTCAAGTATTTTAGATACATAACCACACCAACAAAAAAGAAATCGTCAGGGAGTCAAGAAGGACGGAAAAAGGGGTTATCAAAACACATGCAAGTACACAAAGAAAGGAAACAGAACAAAAACAAAAACAAACGCACCAGAATTACACTGTTGGAAGACACATGCATCAGCAGAGACCGGTGTATGCCAAGTAATCTTTTCCCTGATCAGAAGAGAAATGATAGACGTGAATCGGAATATACTCCGACCCGGCCCCTCTTGGCCTTCATGCTCATCACTTTTGATCCATCACACCAAATCCAATCCGAGAACAAAAGCAAACAAACAACAACCAAAAAAAGCAAAAAAGCAAAACAAACAAATATATGCTCAAAGGAGGGTACGGACACTTCTAGTAGCCTTGGTTACCCAACGGCTCAACAGGCGGGCGATGCACGTTCTCGACCACGGCACGGTGATACTCAGGCAGAGAATCCGGACCCAAGTTGAACGGAAATGCGGTACCAGGTGTGTCCCGGTGCTGCACGCGAGTATACGGGAGTCCACTAAGAAGGACGCGGGAATCATCTCTGCTCCCGCGCTTGCTCTTTCCACTTGTGCTGTACCCATACATATCGGACGAGCATTCATTGGTCAGGGCTAGGAGCTGTTGTCCGGCGCTATGGTCTCGCGAAGAGCGGGCCAGTCTTGTTGGGACGGGGTATTCTGGGTCCAGTGCCAGAACGGGGTAAGCTGTGTTCCCGCTTATTGTTGGTGCGGATGTTGTGTTTGTGTCTTCGGTGGTGGTTGGGATGGGGAGGTACGGGAAGAGCATATCGGGGGTGTTGTTTTTGATGCTGACGTATTTATGTTGATGGGGTGGGCTGCTGGTGAAGGGGGCGTTGCTTGGGACTGTGTGGGTTGAGTTGGGTCGTTGGTCTTGAGAGTCTGCTTGGCGAGGGGTCCAGAATGAAGCTTTGTAGTCTGAGGCCCATGTTCCGTCTGGTAAGAAGCCTGCGCTGGGAGCTTGTTGTCCCCTGGATGTAGGTGTTGGAAGGGTCCGATCTGGCCCTGAGGTCGTATCGGCCGAAGACACCGTAGTCGTAGCCGAGCTGGCTGATTGAGACATATCTGAAGGGATTGCTTGACTGGGAAGCATGTAGGCAAATTGGTTCAAGCTGGCTTCGGAATCAGGGTAGAGATTGCCATTGGGGGCTCGGCCTGTGCTGAACATCGAGTCCCATCCTTTAGGGCTCCAGACTGGTGTGTTGTACTCCATAAGAGCGCCCGATGGAGCGTATGAAGGGGACTGCGTGTAATTTATCGATTGCTCGAATATATGAGCATCGGCAGAACTCAGATCATAGTCTGGACTTTGCTGAAGCGGGTATGGAAACGTAGCCATACGTGTCTGTGGTGAGCCCATAGAGATATGGCTTGACTTGTAAGAAGGCTGTTGAGGGAGCATCCCCAGCTGGGTGGATGGTGCAATCGTGGTTCCCACATGTGGGTAGGGCTGCCATGCGGTGCTGGTCTTATGAGAGTTCACGGCATGGGATGTCACCACATGAGAATTCACGGAATGAGAGTTGACCTAAGATGGATTGAATGAGCTCTGGATGAAAATGATGTATAGAAATGTGCTCCTTGGCCGGTTCACAGGTTAGGGCTGGGCTTACCCTGAAGAATTGGCAGTCATTGGTACCAGCACTGCGGCAGTTGGAACATCCTTGACCATCACCAGAATCACCACTACACTTGATTTTCCTCTTTCGACACCGTCGACACTGAAAAACATGATTAGGCTATGAGAAATTCAGGAGTGTATCTGAGTACCTACCGCCACTGGCACGCGACGTCTTTGAGAGTTGCGCATTTTGCCATCCACCCCTCTAGCTGGACTCATACAAGAGTGATCTCCTTGATTATGTTGATTCATGCTCCTCATCGAGCGAGACATTGAAAGAACATCATGATGAGACTGGTCAAAGCCAGGTTTTTCCGCATAAAAGGAGCTCATTGCTAGAGGTTGTTAGTTCGATTTCAAGGCATTGGGAACCGTGTTATGCTTATGCATACCCCGAAAAAAAAATCTCACAGAAAAGAAAAGTAGAAACGAGCTCAGAACATAAACAAGTTGATGTTACTAGATGTCAAATTTCATGTCTAGTCATGGAGAGCAGAAGAAGGAAAGTGAGAAAGAGAAGATGTCTCTGGAGGTAGGGCTAGATTTAAGCCTAAGTTTGGGTAACAATCGGTGTGATGGTTTAGGTCTCTTTGATTGAATTGAGGGCCCCTGGTTAATTCAGACAAATTTAGACAATTAGGTCGATTTGATCGATCTAGACTAGGTATTTTTTCAGGGTTTTAATTTCTATCTACAATCTCCATGTCGGCATCTAGGTACAGTATTGCATAAGTGGAGTAGGAAAAACAAAAAAAAAACCTACTAGGATACTCTACATTTTGATTTTTCTTTTATATTCTCTTCCTTTTTGGCTTCTCTACTTGTTGTACCCAGGGGAAATGATATGCAGAGTTCCGTATGCATCCAATCCAGATTCCCCAGTCGATGCGAAAGACTAGCCAGCAGGACTGCCCCGGCGTTTTAGAGACTTGGTTTCACAAAGTAACGTCACACGGGTTATGACCTGATAGCCATGACGAGAACAAGCCCAGAGAAGGAAATTAGAAAAGCCCTCTCGTCCGCCACAGCAATTTCAACTAATCAGTCAGGGGTACCTGTTTCTCCTCCACGATCCCCTGATCTAGATGACTGAGGATTTAGGGGCTTGGAGGCTCGAGGGTTTGAGAATATCAAAAACCAACAGAAGCGGAGAAAAAAAAAACACAAAAGAGACAAACCTTACAAGCGGACGACCGACAACGTTTGCCGAACTTCCTGGTGTAGATCCGGGGGACATATTCCGGTGGATCGATCATGACGATTCAACAGGAAATGTTTGCTCATGACCTGGTCGAAACGCTGATTGGTGTGGCGCCCCGTGCTGAAATGGAGGGGGGTTAGGGTCTTTTCAGATGCATCAAACAGGGCGTTTAACAGTCCGAACTGGGGGGGGGCCGGGACTTTGAGCCGAGCCACAAGATGATTGGAAGTCTTCCTCTCCTTAAAGCCTCTCCAAATACCTCTGGTGACAAACGCGCACACTGTCAAAAATTTGATTCTTTCAGGTTGCCCCATGTCTCAGACTCATGGGAGACGCAGTAAATGTCTCGCACACGACAAGAAAGAAAAAAAAAAAAGAAAAAAAGAAAAAAAAGGAAAAAAAGAAAGGAAAAGGCTTGACACCTATCATTTTGATCAGCCGGCGCTAGCACATACTAGGGTTAGGGACCCAACAAAGCGCGCGCTGTTATGAACACTACTAGGATCCATGGCCTTAAGGTTGCGTCTTGATCGCCGACATGGATTGGCGGATCCGCTTGGTAGCTGTTAGCGCTTCCGCGCGCCGCACCTAGGTCAAAATGGCAAAATCTAAAAAAGCAAGTCCAGCCAAAAATGAGAATGCGCCAGATCCAGGGTCTGGAACCGCTGGGGGCAGCATCTGTCTCGAGCTCAAAATGGAAAAGGGAGAGATTGAAAGTCCGCGCCTATGATGCAGGAAATTCCGGGATACTGGGACATACTAGGGTAATGAGGTCCAAGCCCTCTTCCAAGATTGTCGTCCGTACAGGGTCATTATTAGTATGGAATTTTCCATGTATCTGGAAGCAACGAAGCTGAAGCTAGAAGACGAAGGGGAAGAAACTCTACCTATTCTTCTGAGTTTCATATACCCGGAGCCAGCAGAGACGAAGAGTCAATGGACGGAGTCTCTTAGCAACTCTAGGTCTGACATTGCACGACATGGGGCAGAGGCAGGAGAGACAGATTGGGCTAAGCCAGCTGACTCTGACTTGACTCGCCAGGAACGTTGGGAATGAAACTAGTCTTTGCACTAGGAGGGATACCTTGCACCTGGGGCAACTATCCCCTGTGTGCCGGGGCCTCTCAAAGGTGCTGGTGTATCAAGTTGGTCTTGGTTTGATTTTCTGACTTTCTTTTTCTTTTCGTATCAGGGCTAGAAAGGGAAACGCCTCGTCATGATCTTCGTCCCCCACGTGTAGGTGTTGGGGCTAAAGACGATAGATGTGTCCTCTTTTTCTTGCCTGCAGGAGGCCGCCCGTTTTAGCCCTCTACCGTTTTCTGCCGTGGAACAAGTCATCCGAGGGTTATCCAGAGAGGTCACTGCGCTGACAGGTCGTGGTACTGTGTACACGGTCATCCTGAAGTCAGGCTCGGGGAGATGAATACAAGGGAATAGGTCAGAATAGAGGAAACCCTTCATTCTTTTGGTTTAGACTGCCAGTGCATGACCTATTCCGAGGAATCGGTGAGGGGATCTGCAGCAAACAGCTTCAGATCTGGGTCCCGATCTGGAAGAGGGTTAGGGAAGCTTGTCCAACTGGGACACTCGGAAGATATGCCGGTCGATTGTGAAGGGAGAGAACGTGAAGTTGCACAAAGGAAGCCGGGTCGATCATCCGGAGAAGCTCTGACTTGCCTGTGGACTTGTCAAAAATACTCCTAAGCTCAAGTTGTACAGGCAAAAGTTGATGCATCTCCAGTTCCCCGGTTCAGGCTTCTGATTGGCCCAAGCTCCGTGTCGATCTTTCTCTCCGACTTCTCTCTTTCTGCGACATCGATCTGAAGCAAGAAACAAGAAAGTACAACCCTGCTCATTCCCCCCCCTCCCCCCCCAAATGAGTGCCTTGCTGGAGACCTCCTTGGGCGATATCGTCATTGACCTCTTGGTTGACGAGTCGCCCAAGGCCTGTGAGAAGTAAGCGCCCTCCCCTTGCCCGGTCCTGTCGTGCCGCATCAAACTGCTGAACAAGAAACTAAGCTTCTCTTCAACATAGCTTCCTCAAGCTGTGCAAAATCAAGTATTACAATTATTCTCCCGTCCACAGTGTCCAGAAGAACTTCTCCTTCCAGACCGGAGACCCGCTTGGCCCTGACGCCCCCGAGAGCGATGGCGGATCTTCGATCTGGGGCTTGCTGGATGGCCCCTCTAAGCGCACCTTTCCAATCGACCTGCCGAAACTCAAGCATACCGAGCGCGGAATGGTGAGCATGGCAACCGTTCCAGCCACCAACGATCCCGACCAACGCCTCGCCGCCAGCCAGTTCTTAATTACCTTGGGTGACAATCTGGACTACCTGGATGGGAAGGCGGCTATTTTTGGCAGAGTGGTTGAGGGATTTGATGTGTTGGAAAAAATAAACGATTCGTTTATCGATGATCGAGGTCGACCCTTGAAAGATATTCGCATCCGCCACACCGTCGTTCTAGATGATCCCTTTGATGATCCCCCAGCGCTGGTCGAACCGCCTGAGAGTCCGTTGCCATCCAAAGCACAGTTGGCGACGGTGCGAATTGCAGACGATGAGGAATTGGATGATGAGATGGATGAGGATGCCATGGAGAAGTTGCGCCGGGAGCGCGACGCTCGGGCTCAGGCCTTGACCTTGGAGATGGTGGGAGATCTGCCGTTCGCCGACGTCAAGCCCCCGGAGAATATTCTCTTTGTGTGTAAATTGAATCCGGTGACTCAAGGTTTGTCTGGACTTTTGCCTTGTTTGAACTCCACGCTAATAATCCCCTAGATGAGGATCTACAATTGATCTTTAGTCGATTTGGTGTCATTCTATCCTGTGAGGTAATACGGGACAAGCGTACTGGAGATAGTCTGCAGTACGCTTTTATTGAGTTCGACAACCAGAAAGACTGCGAACAAGCCTACTTTAAGATGCAGGGTGTACTCATTGATGATCATCGAATCCACGTTGATTTCTCTCAAAGTGTATGTCTTCAGATATGCGCCGCATTGACACAATTCCTATGAATCCTGTGCTGATATACTACAGGTTTCCAAATTGTCCGAGAGTTGGCGCAACGCCACCGTCACCAAGCGCAGGCAGCGAGGTGGATTTGGTGGTGTCGCTGATCTTGAAAAGAAACGCCAGTACCGAGAGTCTGACGACACTCGAGCGGACGAGCCTGATGATAGCTACAATATGGTCTTTGATAAAAACAAGCGCCGAGATCAATCATCTGGGCCGCCTGCCGCTCGTGAGGAGCGCCATCGCAGCCCTCCAAGAGATTCATACCGAGATCGACGAGATCAAGTTCGACCTCGTCGCCGTTCTCCAAGTCGAAGTCCTGGGCCAAGAGACCGCCGAGACCGCGATCGCTACCGTGACCATCGCCGGCGAGATGATCGGTATGATCGTCGACGAATGTAACATACTTAACAAAAAGGTTATGCCTGCTATACACACCGAATCAATATGTAACATCAGCCTGCGCCTCTCAAAGCCTTTATTTTCAAACATCAGATGTAGAAAACCGGATCGGTTGGAAGCTTGCCCCGCTGGCGGGGCACATTCGGGCAATCCAATGGGTCATGTCTCAAGCGGGGACTCACTCAGGTTCCTCTGTCCGTGGCTCCGATTCGTCTGAAACACTAAAAATAAATTCGTAGACTACTGTACTAAACCATATGTGGCTTGAGTTGAGGCGTATCCCTAGTTGAAGCTACAGCTTTATATTTACTTTTCCCGCCACTTCCCCCTCCCTTCCACTCCGCCCGCCTTCCACAAACAACGCTTTCCATTTCCCACACACACAAATTAATCACAATGGCTGCGGCAATCAAGGAGACCGTCTCCAACCTGATTGGCAAATTCTCAGGTGGTGCTGAGGAAGCGCCCCGGGAACCCTCGACCGAAGAGTTCCAGTCTCTGCAGGAGAAGTACACCCAGGCCGGCCAAGGTCAGGTCTTCGCCTTTGTTGATGAGCTGCAAACCGCCGAGAAGTCCCAGCTCTTCCACCAACTATCCAACTTTGATCCCACCCGCATCAATGAGCTGGCCAACGTTTCCCTGAACCCACCCAAGACCGAGCAGGCCACCGCCACGGTCGAGCCCCTCCCCGCCTCCGCTACGGCTTCCATCATTGATTCCGACCCCGCTGATCTCCAGAAATGGTTCGATGCTGGTCTGAAGCAGGTTGCTGAGAACAACGTCGCCGTGGTGCTGATGGCCGGTGGCCAGGGTACCCGTCTCGGTAGCTCCGCGCCCAAGGGCTGCTTTGATATCGGTCTGCTGAGCCAGAAGTCGCTGTTCCAGCTGCAGGCGGAGCGTATTCTGAAGCTGCAAGAGGTAGCGCAGAAGACTCACGGTGTCCAGTCGGCGATCATTCCCTGGTACGTGATGACCAGTGGCCCGACCCGCAAGCCAACAGAGGAGTTTTTCGAGAAGAGCAAGTACTTCGGACTTGATAAGAGCAATGTTTTCATTTTTGAGCAGGGTGTGCTGCCTTGCATCTCCAATGAGGGCAAGATCCTGCTCGAGGGCAAGGGCAAGGTATGATCCGCTTCTTTTTTCTTTTCTAATTAAGTCGACTTGGGCAGCATAGATTGCTGATACATCACTATAGGTTGCTGTTGCTCCCGATGGAAACGGTGGAATTTACCAGGGTCTAGTGACCTCTGGAGCCCGTGAAGACATGCGCAAGCGTGGCATTAAGCACATCCACATCTTCGGTGTCGACAACTGTCTGGTCAAGGTGGCCGACCCCATTCTCATCGGTTTCTCTGCCGACAAGGACGTGGATATCGCCACCAAGGTGGTGCGCAAGCGCGACGCTGCCGAATCTGTTGGTTTGATCGTGCAGAAGAACGGCAAGCCCGATGTCGTCGAGTACTCCGAGATCGACCAGGAGACCCGTGAAGCCAAGGACCCCAAGCAGCCTGAGCTGCTCAAGTTCCGTGCTGCCAACATTGTCAACCACTACTACTCCTTCCGCTTCCTCGAGTCCATCGAGAACTGGGTGCACAAGCTGCCCCACCACGTGGCTCGCAAGAAGATTCCCTTTGTTAACCCCGAGGATGGTGAGGCCGTGAAGCCTACCAAGCCTAACGGCATCAAGCTGGAGCAGTTCATCTTCGATGTCTTCCCCATGACCCCGCTTGACAAGTTTGCTAGCATTGAGGTGCGCCGTGAGGACGAGTTCTCGCCGTTGAAGAATGCCCGTGGCACCGGTGAGGATGATCCGGATACCAGCCGTGCCGATATCATGAAGCAGGGCCAGCGGTGGATCGAGGCTGCCGGTGGTATTGTCATTACCGAGGGTGAGGCATTTGGAGTGGAAGTCTCTCCCCTGATCAGCTACGTATGTTTATCCCATCTATTTCCCTTATGACTCCGGACAATGCTAACTATTGTGTGTAGGCTGGTGAGAACTTAGAGTTCCTTTCTGGTCGGGAAATCAAGGCCCCGGCAATCCTGGAGCGAGAAGAGTAGACCCCACATTCTTTATTGGTTAAAACAAAACATTGAGAGTACCTAGTGCAGGTGCAACCTCTCAGGCTGCATTTTGTTGTTACGTATACTTTCCCTTTTTCTCTCTTTTAGTAGGGATGTTTGAACGAAGAAATGAATTGCATAGTATTTTTTATCTGTTGATCAGAGAATGAACTTGGTTGCATCGGTCATGAGTGAATGGTCTCCTGGAATGAAGGGGCTATATAGATTGCAGTTTCATAGTGGTACCGCGCACGAGCTCGTAGGAAGCTTATCTGTTATGCTGTACTCGGTAGAGCTTGCCATAGCACCAAGCTATAGCTTGAAGTATGATCGCTGGCAAGCTGCCTCATAGGTCAGCTACGGCATGTCCAATACACCTATTTCCCAAATAAGTCATTTGGAGAGCCTGTATATCCGGTGGCCTCGGTTCAAAACAAATGATGGGCCTCAGAACTTGACCAATTCGACTATTCTATCTCAATGGAAGACCGCGTTCGTCATCGAATGACAGCGCAGATGAATCAGCAACCTTACTGGTGGAGCTAAAGTTTTGACGAGTTAGCGCCCCCACGGCATTTTCTGTCTTCTCCATTCTTCATTAGAAAATAAAGTGATATCGCTGTTTGAAGGGTTCCATATTCCCGGTGTTGTGGTAAGTGAAGTCATTGTGCGCTTGGGGCTACAGTAACGTTCGACCCACTTTTGTGATTTTTTTGGTGGGCTGTCAAGAACGTGATGTTCTTGACCATCGTTGGTTGATTTCGCGCTTCTCCTCCCCAAGGTTCTCAAAGCTAACAGGGTCCCTGGAACTCATTAGAACTTGAGATTGGCAAGAGTATACTTTCCTTGGTGAGTCTACGCCGTTCTGCCCTTCGTTTTTGGTTCCCCGCGCGGATCGTCGGCCTCCCCTCCATCCCGCACGATGCAATTTTTGAACATGCGACAAAATCGAGATACCCACTTCACTGTTTGGGTTTCGTGTTGGACAACCATACGCACATGATATCTCTGCAATATTGGTCTTCTGTGCTTGGATGAGACGGATTGAATAATATGGCCGTGGAGGAACAATTGGCGACCGGAAACTTGCGGGATTGGGAAACGACATGTCGAAGTCGAATTAGGCTGATGCTCGTTTGTAGAAATCAGAAATGATGTTGTCTCGTCGTGCGTGCTACAAGTGTGGCAACATTGGCCACTACGCCGGTCAGTTGAGAACATTCGGTTTGCTTAGAACCTTTCACTAACTGGCGCAGAGGTCTGCTCTTCCACTGAGCGCTTGTGCTACAACTGTATGTATATTCATACTCTCTTTCTCTCGATCTAAAGCTAATGGCATCATAGGCAAGCAGCCTGGTAGGCATTTCGTGTGACCGTTCCTTGATCTACAAAGTCTCATTCATCTCAAATAGGCCACGAGTCCAGCAGCTGCCCCCTTCCTCGTACCACCGAGAGTAAGAACCCACCCCAATCGATGAGATCATGTTAGTCATAGACTGACCTTCAATAGCCAAGCAGTGCTACAACTGCCAGGGCCTTGGACATGTCCAGGCTGACTGCCCCACTCTGCGCCTGAACGGCGGTGCCAACGGCCGCTGCTACAACTGCGGCCAGGCCGGCCACCTTGCCGTATGTTGACTCCGATTCGTTGCTCTGGTCGATATACTTACAATCCACACAGCGTAACTGCACTAGCCCTGCTGTGCCCAACGCTGGCCGTCGCCCCGCTGGAGCTGCTCGTGGCGGTTTCCAGGGCCAGGGCGGTTTCCGTGGTAACTTTGGTGGCTTCCCCCGCACTGCCATGTGCTACAAGTGTGGTGGCCCCAACCACTTCGCCCGTGACTGCCAGGCTCAGGCCATGAAGTGCTATGCCTGTGGCAAGCTTGGTCACATCTCCCGTGACTGCACCTCCCCCAACGGTGGCCCTCTGAGCCAGACCGGCAAGGTCTGCTACAAGTGCGGCCAGCCCGGTCACATCTCCCGCGACTGCACCACCACTGAGGCTGCTGCTCCCGCGGCCTCTGATGCTGCTGCCGCCACCGTTGCTGTGGATGCCACTGCCTCGGCTCCTATTGCCCCTGTTGTCTCCGCTGTCGCTGCCGTCGAGGCCGTCGAGGCTGGCGAAACCGAAGCCGCCACTGCGGCCCCTGCTGCTGCTCCGGCTGCGGCTGCGGCTGCTCCTACCACCACTGTTGCATAAGCGACTTCTTGATTTAACCTGATTTCTCACCACCGTGCCATGCCCGGACTTATTTCCCCCATTTCTTCTTTCAACCCTGTATTACGGTCACTTTCAACCCCGAACGATCCTTTTTTTCCCTCTCCGGAGTCTTCCTTTGCATATATTGGCCATTCTCCCTTCGAATTGGGTATTGGTTTGAATTTGTTTGTTTATCGTCTTTGTCTTTTCTTTTCGCATTGCCACTTGTTATGTATACGACGATCGAACAGAAAAAGTTCTTCCCTTTTTCTTTTGAAATCACGAACCCCCGGTTTCCCTCAAGCTGACTTGATCTTGGTCAAGTCTCATGGTTGGCGTCTTGTCTATTTGTTTCTCCCACAGTCGAATCTTTGATTCGATGAAATCTACTCTTGATTGCGGTTTTCCCGGTTGGGCCCGGAGAGAGAGCGAGAGAGGATGAGAGGATGAGGAGTGGTGGATGCAGAGAAAGAGAAAGAGAAAAGCAGATCGCAGTGTATTTGGAATGGGGCCTTTTCCGGTGAGAAGATTCCTTGGTGCTGAGAATAAGAAAACGCAATTCTTTCGACATTTTTTCCTGTGTAATATGTAGTCTAGTTGAATCAGTAGTGTAGAAGAAAACGGTATTCCTTGGGATCAATTAATCGTTCTGTAGTAGACCCGGGACTGTCACTCCCAACCAAGTTTCACTCTTCCATCTCTCACTTTCCATCACCATCGCCAAAATGCCTGGCTCCGATGTGGGAGATGAATATGGTGATGAGGTTTGTTTCATCTCAATCCATCTACTTGATGTCTTCGGACAATTAACTTTCATCAGGACTTCATCGTGGATATCGATGGGATTCAATCCCACGGCATTGGAGTTGCAGACATAACCAAGCTTAAAGCCAATGGGTACTACACTGTTTCTGTACGCATACGTCATCAATTGATCCTAATAGTACTCAAAGTCCTTGTTAACGCCGACATCAGTCTGTACATGGTGCCACCCGCAGAACACTCCTCAAAGTCAAAGGCTTCAGCGAAATCAAGGTAGAGAAGATCAAGGAAGCTGTCCAAAAATGCCTTGTCAGTTTAACATTCCAGGCGTTTTGTGGCAATAATAATGGGGACATTTCTAATATATGATGCATTAGCCCTCCTTGGGATTCATCACAGCCATGGAATTATTCCATCAGCGCAAGAAAGTCCTCCGGATCTCAACAGGAAGCAAACAATTTGACTCTATTCTCGGAGGGTAAGTTGAATCCTTCACAGGAAAATGACCCACGTCTACGACGGAGCACACTGTAATTCCATCTGATCTAATCTAATCTAATCATTCACATACAGCGGCTTCCAAAGCATGAGCATCAGCGAGGTCTTCGGCGAGTTCCGCTGCGGAAAAACCCAACTCTCACACACAATGTCCATCATCGCTCAGCTCCCAAAGGCAATGGGCGGTGCTGACGGTAAAGTTGCATACATCGACACAGAAGGCACATTCCGGCCTGAGCGTATCGCGCAGATCGCCGAACGCTTCGGCGTTGATCCGGACATGGCCCAAGAGAATATTTCGTATGCGCGTGCTCTGAACAGTGAGCATCAGCTGGAACTGCTGAATACACTGAGTCGAGAATTCGCGGGTGGGTCTTATCGTTTGCTTGTGATTGATAGCATTATGAATTGTTTCCGAGTCGACTACTGTGGACGTGGGGAGTTGGCGGAGCGTCAGCAGAAGTTGAATCAGTTCTTGATGAAGCTAGCGCATATGGCTGAAGGTGAGCTCTAATTTTTATACACCCTTGTGTTGCAGTTTCATGCGTTTTGCGATGTTTGTTGCTGATGTTTCTACAGAGTTCAATGTCTGCGTCTTGATGGTCAGTATACCCAAGCCTTTCGATGCTTATTCTGCTAGCATCTAACTTGCTTTTCAGACGAATCAGGTCCAGAGTGACCCCGGTGCAAGTGCTCTCTTTGCCGGTGCTGATGGTCGCAAGCCTGTCGGTGGACATGTACTTGCTCATGCGTCTACAACTCGAGTGCTGCTTCGCAAGGGCCGTGGTGAGGAACGGGTAGCTAAGATTCAGGATTCGCCTGGTAAGCACCAACACATAGAGACTTGCCTTTTCAAACTACATTCTGATTTTTCTAGACTGCCCCGAGAGAGAAGCCACCTATGTGATCACGAATGGAGGCATCAACGATCCAGACCAGATTTGAGTGATGTGGGATATGAATCTCGGAAAACAGCGATATGAGAAGGAATTTTATTTCTCGTGGAAGTATATGTAGCATTAAATAGTGATTATATTCTATATTAAAGAATCGACTTTCCTTTATCTGCTACTTCTTGGCTCCTTCCGAGGTTATTAATTTAGTAGTTCCGTTCCTCAGCTATTCTTGCTCTGTTTCACCGCCCGTGAATCCGCCCGGACGGCACGGCAGAATTAAAAAAACTGCAAAAAAGTCACCAACTTAAACGGCGAACAATTAACACCAATCCTCATCACCAAAATGAAGAGAGACGCCCCAAAAGTGGAAGGGTACACCACCCTCCCACTCCAGCTCCCATCAATCCCGACCTACCCCCTACCAGCCACCCACTACCTCTACATTCGCCCCCACGAACCTCGCATTCCAGACCCTGACTCCTCTCGCTCTCTTTTCATCGTCAATACCCCCATCGACACAACAGAAACCCACCTCCGCGACCTCTTCGGCAAGCAACTTGCCGCCGGCCGTGTCTCAAGCGTCCAATTTGAAGACGTCCCCACCAAAAAGACTAATGTCGCACCCGCAACAGAAAACAACCTCTCCCACCGCAGCAAAAAGCGCAAGCGTGTTACAGCCGACGATCTCCAGTCCCAGCTAGACGAGATCACCCTTCCTTCAACATGGGATCGTCAACTCCAAAAGAGTGGCGCCCATGCCATCGTCGTCTTCGCCGATCGCGCAAGCATGGAAGCAAGCCTCAAAGCCGCCGCCAAAGCCGCAAGAAAGGGAACAACCATCGTCTGGGGCGAAGATGTCTCTAAAGACCGTGTCCCCGCACTAGGTCTGCAACGCTACCTCTCCCACGAACGTCGCCGCTACCCCGCCCGCCGGGAGCTGTTGACGGCCGTCAATGACTTTATGACTGTCTTCGCGCAAGTGTCCGAGGGACGGAAGCGCGAGGAGTCGAGGAAGTATGCGGAGCCGGATGAGGATGGATTCGTTACTGTCACGAATGGACCTAAGTTGAATTCTGTTGCGAGGGAGGAGGAAATGAAGGAGTTGATTGCGCGGGAGAAGAAGAAGGCTGAGGGATTGGAGGACTTCTACCGGTTCCAGTCTAGAGAGAAGAGGAAGGAGAGGCAGCAAGAATTGCTCAAGAAGTTCGATGAGGATAAGAGGAAGTTGGCGGATATTAAGATGCGGAAAGGAAAGATTCGGGTGAGTTTCTTTGCTTCGACTTGGTGAATTCACTGCTAACTGGTTTCTAGCCTGAGTGAGGTGTCTATAGCATGGCAAGGCGTTCTGGGAGTTTCTATGGACAAAACCAAGCGTCCTGGTACATAGGGAGTGAGTCATCTCGAATTTCTTGATTTTTTTCCTGTTCCTATTCCATACTCCTATGATGAATCCGCTGGGGCCAGTGTAGCAAGACGCGCTTCGCCGCTGTCTGCCATGCCATCAAAAACCAGCATTATAACAATCTTCTCGCCTTCTGAAAAGTTTTCGATACCACAGAGTCTTATCTGTTTCTATGTGGCATTCGCTGATCGATACATTAGTTTATCAGTCATTTAGTGCATTGATTACGTGTCCATGTGAACACAATAGAATTATTAGGACATCGATTGATTTTGTCCTGAATCGAAATTCAACTATGTACATGTAAATCGGCTTCCACCAATGACCTTTGGTATGCTTAAGCACCTGAGGGAAGGTCACATGATAATGAGGCTGAGGATAGTTATCGAGAAGTTGGGCAGTCATTTGCCCACTAACACGGCATAAAACGCATTGCATATTGACCATGACTTCCATATCTTTTGGCGGCGCAAACTCGGGCAGCCAAGTGGGAATTAACAATGGAACTATCCATCTGCCCCCAAGTAGGTCTCACAGGACCGTCGTGGCTAAACCAGGTCAAACTTTGGAATCACCTAATCATTTCTGGGTCCAGAGCAAGAGCGGCCAGAGACTCCACCCCTTCCTCTATCTACCGTTCCGTTCCGTCGTGATCGTAACTATGTTGATCGTGGAACGCTGCTCGATGAGATATACGAAAGGGGGACTACACCGGGTGCTAGGATAGCGCTTGTTGGCCTGGGTGGCGTAGGGTAAGTGAAGATAGACAGCGAATTGATCCCTGCTCAGTTGTGTTAACTTATGGGAAGTAAATCTCAACTTGCGATTGAACTATCCTACCGAATCCGGGAAAAGTCGCCTCAGACATGGGTTCTCTGGATTCACGCAGGTAATGCGGCTCGTTTTGAGCAAGATTGCCGGGATATCGCCGACCGAGTCAAGATCGCCGGGCGAAAAGACCCCTCGGCTAATATATTTGGGCTCATTCACAGCTGGCTTGCTGATGAAAAGAATGGAAAATGGGTTGTGATGCTTGATAATGTGGACGATAGTCAGTTCCTCCATGAAGTTCCGCCATCGGGGCAACCCCTCCTGGCATACTTCCCAATCACCCTGAACGGGTCAATGATCATTACTTCTCGAAGCAGTGGCGCTATCTCTAGCATAGTGGAAGGCGACGATACTTTTTCGATAGAACCAATGGATTCGTCACAAGCAACGGTGCTCTTTGAGAAGAAGCTAGGAGCGCAAGCGGAGAAGGAAAGCATCATTCAGCTCGTCACTACTCTTGACTGTATACCACTTGCAATTGTGCAAGCCGCAGCTTATATCAAACAAAGAATGCCCCGCCTGTCGGTATCACAGTATCTGAAGGAATTTCAAAAGAGTGATCGTAAGAAAACAAGTCTCCTGAACCATAACGGAGGGCAGCTACGTCGAGATAGAGATGCAAAAAACTCTATTCTGATTACCTTGCAGATATCGTTCGACCATATACTACAAGCCCAACCAGTGGCTGCAGGCCTTTTGTCGCTCATGAGTTGCTTCGACCGCCAAGGCATCCCTGCAAAGTTACTTCAGCGCGAATTACTGAATGAAAGCGATGACAACGAAGAGAGTGGAACAGAGTCTAGCATAGACGAGGAGTTTGAAGATAACATACTGGTTCTAAGAGATTACTCGATGATCTCTATCAGTGTTGATGGAGCGACATTCGAAATGCATCGGTTAGTACAATTGGCTATGCGGAAGTGGCTTGAGGCCTACGGTGTACATGAAGATTGGAAGCAGCTATTCATCGAGATACTTTGGTCTGAATTTCCAGACGGGGGATTTGAGAACTGGGCGGTGTGCCAATCGCTCTTTTCACATGTACAATCTGCTCTCGTGCATCCACCGAGTGGTGAAGGGATCTTACCAAAATGGGCCGACGTGCTTCATAGAGCAGCTTGGTTTGCGTATAATACGGCAGATTTTCGTGTGTGCGAAAATCTAGCAACCTTGGCTATGAACATAAGAACGAGACTGTTTGGTCCACGCCACGAGACAACGATTGATAGTCTAGAAATGGTAGGGGGAGCATACACACTTACCGGTAAATGGAAAAGCGCAGAGGTTTTAGAGCTACGAGTAATAGAATATCGCAAGCAGGTGCTCGGGCCGGAGCATCCCGATACACTGGTTAGCATGTATAACCTGGCATTTACCTACCAGCATCAAGGACGATGGAAGGAGGCCGAAGAGCTCAACGTGCAGGTGATGAGGGCTCGCACACAGGTACTCGGTGAAGACCATTACCAGACACTGAATAGCATGCATAATCTAGCATCGATCTGCCAAGCTCAAAACCGATGGAAGGAGGCCGAAGAACTTTACGTGCGGGTGATAAAGGCCCGCGAACAAGTACTCGGACCAATGCATCCTGACACTCTGATCAGCACAAGCGGCCTAGCATCGACCTACCGGTATCACGGACGATTTCAAGAGGCCGAAAAACTCTGGCTGCATGTGATGGAGGCCCGCAAACAGGTCCTCGGGCCGGAGCATCCTAACACTTTGGTTAGCATGAATAATTTGGCTATTACATTAAAGTCATCTGGTCGGATTAAAGCTGCTTTACACTTGATGGCAGAATGTTGCCGGCTCCGCAGCCTGAAACTAGGCCCTGATGACTCGCGGACAATTTCTTCAATGTCTACTTTGAATAAGTGGAAAATGGAGACTGTGGATGCCTGGTCTGCCCAATCCCTTGAAGCGCTGGCTGAAATTTGAGAGGTAGAATAGACCTACACTTGTTCTACGGAAGCCCCTGGGCTACTTCTAGAGCTAGCCGACATGATGCGTGAGCAGCCCTCTCGCGCCGCGTCTTGCGCGGAAAGTAGGGTTTCTCAAGTCTACTGAGTCTGCACAGCCTGGGGGAAGGGAAACTTTGTTTTGTATAATAATGAGATCAGTATCCCAAAGCTCTCTCACCCAGTGATCCGAGGCCCGAATGAGGTTTGGCACTGTTCCATGATATATTTGGAGCAAAAATCGGTGTGTGAAGCATGGAAGCCAACTTCCAACACGTAGTAGTCATCCTGGGCTCTTTTAACGGTAAAGCACAGACCAAGGCTTGGCATCCCATCTCACTCACTCAAGCTTGTACGTCCGCAGACCCGGAGCTTCGGCTTCGATACACAGCTTTCCACTCTCCAGGTCTGTATATGTAGACAGACTCTAAAATTTAGGACATGGAATCATGGTCCCGAAATGATGGATCGATACTTGTAATGTGAACTCGTGGCTGCGAATCGTTCGTACCCCGCAACATATCTTACCCATTCGACCCTACAAACCCACGCTAGCTCACATCACCATCTCCCTCTTCCCTCACTTGTTTATATTTTGAAAACAACCGTTCCCCCGTTCCAGACACAACAAATCAAAATGGCCAACACGGCAACTCCAGAAGAGACCGACACGGACTCAGATGTGGAGTTCGAAGACGTGCCTCTAGCTGCACCAAGATCAGCACCGGATACAGACAACAACGGCACCGCCTCAGTTCACTCGGTGTCTTTCCAAACAGAAACGCCACTATGGGCTCCGATACTTTCTCTGCCCGAGCAACGCGCCCAGCCCCTGCATCCCGGCTCGGCAGAGGAAACTCAAATGCGTGGTCGATTGAGCACAGGCATCGAAAGAATCACCTACCGTCACATGAAGTCTGAAATGGGCATGGATGGAAGCGAGACCCGAGCTTCAGAGAAAAGATTCGAGAACTTCGCCCAGTTGGCACGGGAGGTGGGGCTGTTAGTCGATTCGTTATGGGCATCGGCGACTCGTAAGTTGATATTTCTTTTCTTCTCGAATCCTCAGGTCTTCCTCTTTACTCCCATGTTTCCATGTCCCCTCTCCTGGTTCTGATAAGCCTACATCGTCGAATTATACTAACAGCATCCAGCCTCGATCCAAGTCGAAGGCCTAATCACTCTTGCTGGGATCACCGAAATGGCTCTCCCGACCTACAAATTCGATCCTGAGGCTACACTAACCATCCTGCATAAATTTGACTCGATCTTCGCCGCTCTCTGTACCGGTCAGCACCCGGTTACTAAAGAACTCATTCCCGGTGCGACGGCAGACCGTCCGCTCGTGACGCAGACGCAGAAGGTTCGGATCCGTAGCTTAGCGGAGACGACGCGGTACAAGATCTTTTCTTGTCTTGAGGACTCCAGTTCGAGCAGTTTTTCTGAGCTGAATGAAAATGGGAATGCTGCTTATGATGATGAGCCCCTGGGTGCAGATCTTCCTATGCAGCCTTGGTTGATGGAGGCTGCGAAGGTTTATGACCAGACTTTGATGTTGTTGGCGGATCAGGGTGAAGGTGATAATCTAGATGGGGGATGTTATGCGGATTGAGTGTATGGAGGATGGTGTCCGGTGTCCACTGTTTTTGAGTGTTTGTATGGCTTCTTGTTCAGAGTGGATACGTGGTTTGATGGTAGTTTCAGGAAAATGGCATCATTTATCAGCAACTAGTCAAGGCTTTACTCTGTAGAGGGGCTGCTCAATGCCAAGATTTATTTTCAGAATGTATAAACGTGGCTAATCAGTATATGTTGATAGTTTTACACTGTTGAGATCTTCTACATGTTGGGTTGCAGCATTATGCAACAACATTAAATTTAATTAAACGTACCAAATTAAACGCCCAAACTGACCCTACAGTCCCACCACACACGCCATAGACGACGAAGAATTTTCTCGAAGACGCTAGAAATGACCCCTAGAAAAAAAAAAAAACCAAAACCAAAAAAGAATATAGTGGGGTGGCCCAGCGTCAGGTACACTTGCGTCCCAAATCTCCAAGGGAGGTAATAGCGATAACCGGTCGAGTGACCCGTATGCACAATACCTCCACCAAACGCTTGTAATGATCGAAGCGAGTCCCGGCCTTCTCTTTGGATAAAACGTCGCGAACTAGTGTGGATTCGAGCCCTGAAAGTGGAGCCTCTGGGTTTTGGGGATGCTCAGCCTTGGGCCTGAGCCACCATGTGTGCATATTTAGTTTAGTTTAGTCGGAGGTTTGAGGGGCTTCAAACGTTGCCCCATTGAAAATAATGACTTCATGATCGCATGGTTTCATTGATTATGTTCATTCTCGATGATTTGTATATAGGGTATGCCCTTATTTCCTAATTCCGGTGGTGGAGGAGCTGATCCATGGTTCACGCGCCCAATTATTAATATGTCTTTGTTGGGAAATGCGCGGTTTTCCAATCCGCGTCGTGTCGTGTTCGCGTTGACAAGACTTTATTTATATGTACTTTCTTAGGTATGCATGCGTAAAGTATATTGTCACTCCTTCTCCCTGGCCTGCAGGGAGGTTATGACAGGCTGAATCCACATAGGTTAATTTTTGTGTAACTAGGGCAGCAACACAAGATGTAAGGGTTCCCGAAGATTTGGGCATCAATCGTGTTTCGAACTGATCTCATAGATCAACGGGTTCCCGAGGTTCCCCTTGCTCATACCAGTTTCACCGAGGGATGCAAGACCAAACTCTATGTGAACTCGATCTGAGAACAAGAACTCCAGGATATGCTTACTTGATACTACTGAAATCAAACCAACATTCATAACTAAAGTACCGTATATCTTCGTGTAGATGATAACAGCGAACAAATCCGCGTTCTCGCCATGCGGCTGGAGCTTTCGCCTCCACGCCAAGCTTGATCCCAAAGCTCGGTAATTCGAATACGACCAAGCGTCCCAACCAATCACGAGCCAGAATCAGCCAGCTCGAGTCCCATGGTTCTGGTTCAGGTCGATGTTGCTCAGCTTGTATTGTGCACCGGGTGACGTATTGCAATTCCTTGCGTTGTAAGCGCGGGCAAAGGTCCGACATGGATCTGAGAACCTTGCTTCGAGAAGGTATTCTGCCGAGAACAGTATGTACTTGGAGGCTACCATGCTGCTGCAGCTGATCTTGTCTAGCGGAGATGGTGCCCTGGTTGTACCTTGATTACTGGGTCATGGGTGCCCCTCCAGCTACAAGCTGCAGGACCTGCATCGGGGTTTCCAGGTTTTTTTTTTTTTTTTTTTTTCTTTCTTCCTCCTTTAGGTATTGGGCTGACACCCTGGTGTACGGTGTCTTGGTTTTACCCGCGGAGGCCATTTCCACGGTTCTGTGGCGTCTGGTGGAGCTCTTCTATTTCCGTTTGTTCTGCAGGTTTGCGAACATCAGCTGAAGAATCTAGTTTGGCTTGGATTATAGACCCTGCATTACATGCGGATAATATCTATTTTGCAAGCGAGGTACATTCATACAATATAATGTACCTCGAATGCTTATGAGCATACACTTGGGTATTATATCGATGATCGCAGCCACCCCATACAATACATGCCTTTCTGATAAGCATTGAGGGGATGCGACAAGTCACATTCAAAGGGTAGCGACAGGTGGTCCTTGCAGGAGGATGCACTCCCTTGTATGACTTCCCTGCATTTAAAACATTCTTAATTCTGGCTATACTCAATACTTGGTAGGAGAGCACCATAGAACTCATGCAGCCATCGGGTATAACGGAACGTTTTGGTAGCGATCGGCCTGGGAGCTGGGGGTGGGTTTTACTATGCGATTCTGCATAGAAACTAGTACCCCGGGATCTGGTTTCGATAGTGATATCATGCATACTAGCAGGATACTAAACCTCATCTTCTGTACTGCGAGAGTTAGTAAACAAAGGATACAATATTCATGATCATCTTCGTAGTATCCATGGATACTATGTAGAAGTTATATTAGGTAAATTTCCAAAACAAAAGGCAAATAAATAACATGACCATACCGTACCCTTGAATACCTGGTAATCTCACGTAAAACGAACCATTTCCCTCCCTTAGTAGCGTAATGGGCTTTCCCACTTCCCCTCCCTCTACGCAGAATCTGAGATTTCAATTCTTCATCTTTCCCCTCCAACCTTCTTCATCCCTCCTTTCCTATTGTTCCACCTCTCGGTTTGCGGATTTCGTTCTGTCTTGCGCTTCGGGAGTTCTTCTCAGGTTTTCATCACCTTTTTTCGTTTTGAAATTTGCCAGGTTCTTCCTCCCCTTGGTAAGTCGTGTGTTCGCTCTAAAGCCTCTTTCATCATCGCCTCCCCAGTCCTACTCTCACTAGCCACACCACTACATCATCCTTCAAAATCAAATCCATGCTGGGGTCAGAGTTCTTCGCCTCACTGTTGCGATTCTCTTCATTCATCGGTCGCTTCGCTCGAGCCCTTGACCAAGATTCAGCGTACCTCGAAATATCGCGCCGCTGAACCCTCTATCCTGCGCCGGTCGCTTCACTTCTACGATCGCAGTCACTTGTCGCCAGCGTCGCAGAAACGTCACAATCTGATCGCATGGGTCAAATGGGCAGTGGGCGACGAGAAGTGGAGCCTGGTGGACGGTCGCAATTCAACGCTGGGACCTGGACGGAAACGGCCGGCGCATGGAGCGGGACCAAGTGATTCAGCACCTGCTATCCACAATTTGCTCTGCAACATCCGACTCTACTTTGCAAAAGGTCTTACCTACTCCGGCGGTTTCCGTTCAGATCAAATTGCGCATAAGCGGAGCGCTGCCCGAAAGAAAAATATATTTGGTCTCGGTGCAGTTTCCAGCATATCGTCGCGGCTGAAGTTTTGCGTCAGCCTTGCCATTTGACAATCAACTGGACCGCTTTCACTCCGCCCCCAAAAAATCGGACAACTTCAGCTTCACCTGACCCAGGCGTGGATCTTGATTTCAGTTTCCCTACACATCTTTGCTATCACATTCTTTGTCTTTATATTCACTCTTCTTTTTTTTGAGCGTTTGATGCATGCGCTTCTACCTTTTGTCTCACCATTCCATGACTTCCACCTTTTAACACTTTTCGATCAGGAAACCTAACGCCCATCTCTTAGTTTTTGGGTTCACGAAGTGCTTCTTGATCTTACGGTCTTTCCTTACGACTCAACGAAATTTCAGTCGCCCAGGCCGTTTTATATTCTTACGTCAAATTTTCGGATACGTTTGATCGCACAATGTCTTTCAACAACTTCGATTCCTTCCCCAACCAGGCTGACGCCGCCGCCGCTGGTGCCCCAGCTCCTGCTGACACCACCATGACCGGCCAGGCTGACCCTGCCACTGCTGGTTTCCAGGGCCCTGCTCCCGATGGATCCGCTCCCGTTCCCCAGCAGGGTGCTGATGGCAAGACCACCCTGTGGTACGTTTGATATCTACTGCTTTAATCTCATTTGTCTGCTCCTTGGACATACGACTAACAATGTTCGCACAGGATGGGTGAGCTTGAGCCCTGGATTGATGAGAACTTCATCCGTAACCTCTGGTTCCAGATGGGTGAGCAGGTCAACGTCAAGATGATCCGTGACAAGTTCTCTGGGTAAGACCACGATTTCCCCTCGATATTTAACTTTTTGATGATTCCCGAGGTCCTAATGTTGGTAGTAGGAGCAATGCTGGCTACTGCTTTGTCGACTTCTCCTCCCCGGCTGCCGCTGCCAAGGCCCTCTCTCTGAACGGCACTCCCATGCCCAACACCAACCGTGTCTTCAAGCTGAACTGGGCTACCGGTGGTGGCCTTGCTGATCGCAGGTAAGCGCAAATCCTGTACGAATCTTTCGTCATTAATGCATTGTGGCTGACCCTGTTTTCTTTGATTTCAATAGCCGTGATGACCGTGGTCCCGAGTACTCTATTTTCGTTGGTGATCTCGGCCCGGAGGTTAACGAATACGTTCTTGTCTCGCTTTTCCAGAGCCGCTTCCCCTCGTGCAAGTCTGCCAAGATCATGACCGATCCCATCAGCGGCATGTCCCGTGGATACGGTTTCGTTCGCTTCTCGGATGAGACCGACCAGCAGCGTGCTCTGACCGAGATGCAGGGTGTCTACTGCGGCAACCGCCCCATGCGTATCTCCACCGCCACCCCCAAGAACAAGGGTCCCGGTGTTGCTACCAACATGGGCGGCATGCCCGGCCCCGCTGGCATGTACCCCCCTATGAACGGCCCCCCCATGGGTTTCTACGGTGCTCCCCAGCCCATGAACCAGTTCACTGACCCCAACAACACCACTGTGTTTGTCGGCGGTCTGTCTGGCTATGTCACCGAGGATGAGCTCCGTTCTTTCTTCCAGGGATTCGGCGAGATCACCTACGTCAAGATCCCCCCTGGAAAGGGCTGTGGTTTCGTCCAGTTCGTCCAGCGCCACGCTGCCGAGATGGCCATCAACCAGATGCAGGGTTACCCCATCGGTAACTCTCGCGTGCGTCTGAGCTGGGGTCGCTCCCAGAACAACTCCGGCCCCGCCGGCAGCCCCTACCGCCCCGCTCCCCCCCTCCCCCCCATGTACCCCTCCATGGGCATGCCCCCGGCTGCCCACAACTACGGCGGGTTTGCCCCAATGAAGGTTAGCAGTCACCCCGGCAGCCCAGCACCAGAACACTCTTGAGTTAAAGGCTCGGTCGGCTGACTCATACATTCTCTCTTCATAGTAAGCGTTCCTTTATTCAAGAAAGCACCAGCAGGAGTTGTTTGCATCATTTCAATGATGGGTCCCCCTTTGTGTGATAAACAAATTTGCTATTCCCCCCTGGTTTCGAGACTCAGCGCTCTATAGCTCTTGATGAGCATTCGTTTCCTCCTGTGCTACGCATTTCCGTGAGCGCTTATTACTCTAGCAAGATGAGCCCCCCTTTTTTATTTTTATTTTCACGTCTCTTTTTGTTACCCAGGATCGTGGACGTTTTTTTTTTCGTTTCCCCCTCTTGTATCCCCCACACAACGTTCGTACTGCGTTTTTTTAACGTTGTGTTGCCTTATCTCAATGCCCCTTCTTCTTTATTTACGTCTATGCTGCTATTTTCCAATTTTTCCTCCCCGCCCTGGGGTCCTTGTTCGCGTGTAACGAAAGTGCGTATTTTTCATGCGGTTCTTTTCTACTCTATACTCCTTGGGCAGGCATTCTGCGAAAAGTTCCACTTCTTCCATCCCTCGCAATCCTATTTCCTTTGTCGTTTTCTTTCTTCCATCGAGCAGCCAAATTGAACTATGTTCGCTTCGACTACTGTTGCGTTTCGCCGTTCCTTTCCTTGTCTTTCTTTCCTTGTTAGACTGATGACGGCTTGTACAACACGCTCTGCTTCGTGCGTCTCCGCGTTTGTCGAATTTCGTTCTATAACCATTGTCATGCACTCCTGATCTTGATGGTTCATGCATCTGGCGCTGTGCTGATCTGCTACAATGCGCTCTTCATCAATCTGAATAGGGTTGACTGAAGCTGGGAGTGGTGTGGTAGCAGTTGACGTCCATTCTTGCCAGAAACTCGAGACTCCCTGTAGCTGTGGAATCATGGTTCTGGCGCACCTGTGGAGGCGTTGTCTTATTTTGTTTCCCGGGTTCTGTTCTGCATTGAATGAGTCTTGTCATGGTTAGCCAATCTCGTATCTTGTAACATGGAGACCATGTCTCGATTTCTTGCTGGCGTTCTTGTCTTTGGCTTGGATGATTCCCCCTTCGCTATATCATCTTTGTTCCGCCATTCCTTTGGGAATTTGAGGGATTTCGACAGAAATACAGTATTATCGTATCTAAGTTGGTGCAGGTAGAATCGGTCTTGGTAACTAGCGAGGGAGTAAGATGTGTAGTGTAGGCTTTCCATATCTCTGATCGGCTGTGCTTCTCTCTGCAAGGCCGAAGCCGCATCGTGATCTGGGATAGTGTTCTGATATGTCTGATCGTGATTGGATTTTGTTTACTCCACGATAGAGTATAGGGCTTCCGGACGGACCTGTTCGCTCGTTTGCACCTTCCTTGAGTCTCATTGTCTATGCTCTTTCTGTCTGTTGTTGATAACTTCTGATAATTGCCAATCCAAATAAAGCAGGTCCGTCTGCCATCTATCTCACCACGTCAACAATTCTTGACCATCTTTGTTGTTCTTCCCCGCTCCCCAATTCTTACTACACCAAACCAGCCGACATCATGCGTTACGAAAATTGGGATGTTTTGCTCTTCCCCGAGAGTTGCAAAGTGCCCGTCCAGGAGTTCAAAACGCAATGCTTCGTGACCAAGGATACTGAGTCCCCGTACCTTCAGATTTCTACCAGCATGAGTCCTCCGTCCTACTATCCTGCTCAAGGCAATGTTGGTCAAGTACCCGTTCTGACGACCTTTATTCCGAGCATGCCCAAGAACAGTTCATTTCGTGTCTCCATTCACAGCTGGGACAAGCCGCGTCCCAGCCGCTTCATGGAGAAATTGATGGAACCGGAGGACGTGTTGGTGTTTGAGGGCCGGGTCTTCATTGACGGACAGCTTGTTGCGTAAGCATCTTCAAGGCTGATTGTGATCGCTGCAATTTGGAATCCGGCAGTAGGCTTTTGTGGATCTAACAAAGCTGACGGTCACTAGTGGCGGGATCTTTGGTCAGCGGGCCTTATGGCCTTATGTTATCGGTGTGTCTATGCGATGTTCGAGCCTAGCTTGAAGATTATGTGCTGATCATTTTGGGTTAGATTTTAGTTCCAGTAATCTATCCTCCTCGTCCCTCTCCGAGACATGGGCTGACTCTATTGCAGACATCGATCGTGACGGCAATCAGGACGTTCTTCGCTTCCCTCCTTTCCACCCCGAGATCTTGGACCAACAACATTGGGATGCTGGAGACCCCTTCGGCCGGGTCAAGGTCATCATTTCCGAGGGGTTTGCCCGTCCAACCCGATCTCCTCCCTTTGAACGGGTCAAAGATGTGATCACTTTATCTTTCCAGCACGCTCCTCTGAGTAAGAAAACCGGTATCCATGCTACAAGAAGCGAGATTGCTGACAGGACGGACAGGCATCTTGGAATACTCCAACATCGCCTGGCCCAACTCTAACATGTGGACCCAGGCCCTGCGGGTCGGACCCAAATTCGACTCTACTGGGAAGGTCGGTGGGGCGGGGCCGGATGATACTCCTCATGGCCACTCTCCATCCCGGCCAGAGCCTCGACTCCCGCAAACCATCAGCAGCGAGTCTAGTAGTACTCAGAGCGGGGCTTCCAATGTATGGGTATCCAATGCATGGGTTTCCAACCGTGCATTCCCCTTCCCTGTGCCTCAGTGGGATCGCCAGGGGCACGAACGTCGATGGGGATTCTACCCAGATCGTTACTTTGAACCACTTACGACTGAACAAGTTATTGAACCGTTGATCACCGATGACGTCTGGAACCATAGAGGTGCCCGATCATCTTGTGAAGATGTTCCCATGCCAGACTACTCCAGCATCGCCAGCAGCCGTGCTATGTCGAGCGTGGCTGGAATGAGCTATGGACACAGCAAACAAGCCAGCATGACGACGCCGGTCGATGACGATCAGATAAACGACTTAATCCAAGCCATGACTCCAACTAAAGTACCACCTACAACTGGCACTCGGGCTCCTTCCAATACCCCGTCGACTTTGCCTGCAACAGCAAAGTCCTCTGTTGTAGTCGAAGTTCGCCATGGCAGCACCCGCACTTCTGCTCTGCGAGAACTGTCGCAGCCTAGTACCCGCGATGTATCCGGGTCGAGCAACAAATCTCTACCAGTTGAGCAGGTTACAACTCCATCGAGACTCGCTCATAGTCCCAGTGGCAGCATCAATGGCAAGAAAGAATGGGCCAAGGAAAACTCAAAGGAATCCTCGCAGACGAGTTCCGAGGAGGATGTAATCGAGGACCCAAAGGAGAATAAAACCCTCCTGGAGAAGAAAGCTGACTGTGAGCAAGCTGTGGAGGTGGGCGAAGGACTTACCTCTGTTTCCTTGTGAAAGAGGCATCCCTGTGTTTACAATTCATTCTTATACTGCTCATGTATTAATATCCGAGATTGAAATCAAGCAATGCCAAAGGATTCGTGTACTATACCTTGTCTTCCTCACTTTAAGTTGTTTACACCGTTTGAGTTTTCTGCATCATTGAAGTCGTTTATGTCGTTTAGGTCGTTTGAATCATTTGGGTCGTTTTCAATGTGAGAGTATGTTTTGCCTTCCTTCCTAATCTGCTCGCATGCTATTATCTCTTCCTTCTCACTCTCTCACTTTTCATTTCCATCCCCTACACTCATCTTCCTTTGTCGACATCACATACTTCGTGTCTCCTACCTCAACTTGCGTATTTAATCTGCCCCTCGCCCACTCTTCCTTACCCGATTCACCCTTCTCGTTTTCCATTCCTGCTCGAATTGCTTCAGCCATGGAACTGCCACATCTGTACGAGCTTTTTCCTGTGACGAGCCCTGAGGTTTCTCGGGGACCTGGGGGACCAGGAATGAGCTTGCCCGCAGCACTGGCGGAGCTGGACCTAAGCAATGACCTTGTCATCTCTTCCTCCGAAATTCCCTCTGCCATCTCCAGCTCTGAAACCACTTCTGGTCCCTCTATTCAAATGCCAATGCCAACATGTCCCCTGGAGCAGGCCTACCAGGTGGTTCCCAGGGAGAGGTTGACTTACAATCACACTGATTCGGCAGTTGCTGTCCCTTTTTTTGGATTTTTGATGGAAGACGACCTGGAGCCTCGGGTTCAGCCCTCGGCTTGGCCTCTATTTGCTTCCAGCATGTTGCAGGCTTTGAGCCCCGTCGCTCAAATTGAAGACGCCCTAGAAGAAGTGGCTACAGTTCGGGGCTCCATGTCTCCGCGTGTCACTTATCTGGTGGAGAGCGCGGAGAATGAGACTGTTCCGTCCAATTTCCATGGTCCGGAGCTTGCCCAGGAGTTTCTGGGTGAGCTTTTCACGAAAGTGGAGTCGGGGAAGACGCCTCAGTCTTTGTACGATGCTTATGAGCCGGTTCGGCCTAGTCTAAAGCCAGTGAGTTAAAAAGACGGTACTGATGAGCCGTCGAGATGGCAGCTTGGACTAACCATTGGATAGACTACGATAGAGTCTCTCAACATAGAGAGCCTTCAGGACAGTGAGATCCTGTTCTTCTTCGGTGTATTTGCCATGATGGCCAAATTAAACCCGAAATATCAGTTCAAACATGGTGGCCTAGGCGGAGAAATGGTCGGAATGAAGCTTACATTGTATGGCTACACGGTCTTTGTTGAGCCCAATAGCGACTCGGCCAACGAAGCCAGAGTCTTGGGCTCCAAAAGAGCTCTGGTCAAACTGCAGGAGGATTACTCGCAGTGGCCAGTACCTCCCGAACCCAATTCTGGTTATCCCGCGGGCCCAGAGTGGAATTGGCCGATACTGCTTAAAGGTGAGAGCTGGGTCTTTTGACAACATCTAGAAACCCCTTGGAAGCAATGCTAACCAGGAAACGGCTCCAGAGTTTTGCGAGACTGAAAATTGGTCACTTCCCTGCTACAGTCCCAGGTTGTATGGCTCCATCACTAACACTGAGTGGCATTGCGACGTTTCTGTGAATGGTCGTGTCTTCCGCACTGGCTGTCCATCTAACAGCCGGGAACAGGCACAGAACACAGCTGCACATATTGCACTGCACACAGTGTTTGTGCATGCCAATATTACCCCCGAGTTTATCAAGGCAGCTGACGACCCATGCTTCGAGTTTAAGAAAGAAAAGGTGTTCAAGTTTAATTCCCAGAAAGAGACGTCGGCCGATACCGTCTCCATCACTCCATCCATGCCGGATTTGCCGGCCCGAAATCTAAATAGCGATACACCGGCTGGTATCATGGACAGCATGGAGGCAGCCTTTGTTTCGGGCCGCTCGCGTAGCTCACGTGGTAAGGGCAAAGGAAGAAAGGCTGCTCAAAAGAAGATTGCGAAGAAGGGTCCTAAGCCTGTGAAGGCTCTCACACCTCCAAAGCTCGGTCATGATTCAAATCTTATTCCTTTAACTAAAAGTCGCTTGGCTCCTCTCGTCATCAAGCCGGTGGTTGTTGAGGATCGCCTAGCTCGCCTGAAAAAAATGCAACAGGAGCTAGGAGGAACGACCACTGAGTGTTCCTACCGTACGCTTTTGGCTCGTAAGTGAAACAACTTGAACCACTTTGGTCCTGAGAAACTGACTGAGTCTTGAATTTTTTGGATTTTCCATCACAGATATGTGTTCTGTGCTGAAGGTTAATTTACCGGACATCCGTCATGAAAAGAACCCGGATGATTCTTCGCCAACCGGCTGGATGATTCGCGCGTGGTTTGATCTCGAGGATCCATACCTGAGCCGTGCCAGTCCAATCATGCTGGCAACTACTCCCAAAATGAATGAAAGGGTCGCAAACTCTCTTGGCGTCAAAAAGCTGATGCTTTATCTTCTCCGCATGACTCAGGAAGACGCTGGCATTACCTCGTTGGATCCATGCTACGTAAAGGACTTTCCCTTTCTGAAGGCGTTAGAGGTGGAGATTGAGCAGCGACTCATGAAAGATGATGAAAAATGGTCCAACTAATTGTGAAGGTCTGTTGCGTGTTACCATGTTCTGATGATGACGAAGCGAACTGGGACTGATCGATGGGGTTTCTGGGTTGTGGTATGTGACTCTTGAGAACATGGAAGGTTGTAGTGTTCAATATGTTGTTTCCTTTGTCTTGCGTTCGTTCTGAGTTGCCTTGGTTCTGATTTGTTACTGTTCCGATTTGCTTTTTTTTTCATGAAGTTTGTCAGTATTGAATAGCTAGCGTACAGCCCCCCTATCACGAATTGCATTCGGATTTAGGGTTTCATCCGATTCAAGACACCAGCATATGGCCTAGTAGTTCTCAAAATAATGGATTTGACCGTCTTAATTGATATGCCATGTCAGTTTTCCGTCTTCCAACTCCAAATATCCTCATTGATTCATCTTCAATGTATCCCAAATACCAACACAGGGTTCATGGGGGAAAGGAGAAGGAAAATCTCACTCAATTAACTGTTTTGTCAAATGCATATCACCGAAGCAGCGTATGAAGTAAGTTCCCAACTCCGTACATCATCCTACGATGCATTCAAACGAAACATGCTGGCAACAATATATGGATATAAATTCGGTCTCAGACAAACACCTCAGTAAAATCAGACGTGGGCATTATCCAAAGAAACAAGTCATCACACACCGACCAAGTTTGGAGCCTCCATTCCCTCAAACTACCATGGTAACCTTATAGCACCAAAACTTTAGAACCCGCCATAAATCCCCACATGGGGTATCATATCCCTTAGATCGCCGTTCTTTTGGTTTGCTTTTCCCGCATAGGAGACATCCATTCCGAGATGAGCAAAAGCTGATTAAGAATTGAGATAAGAGAAAGGAAAAGGTGGAATGACGATCCAATAATAAGGCAACTGTCCAGTGCCTGTGCACCTAGATAATGTGGAGCTGGCGTATGTCAAGACTGAAAAAAAAAAAAAAAACCAAATAGGCAGGTTCAATCTCAACTGGGATGAGTCGAGATCGGGACAAAAAGAAGGGGAAATCGGCATGGCGCTGGGAAAACTAAGGGCTCTCAACATGGCCACGTTGAAAGAGCAAGAAATTAAGTAACCACGAGATAAACAATAGTAGTAATAGAAAGGAAAGAAGGGAAGCCAAAACTCGTAGGTCACAGAGCACTAATTCTCGAATACAGAAAAACGCTCCAGGGTCAGTCCGATCAATAATGGTTTGCGGACTTGTTGACAGGGGAGGGAGAGGATGAGGGGATAATGCAACCCCTCTAAGCACACCAACGCCAATCTCATATCCGATGTAGAACAAGACAAGAAAAAAAAAAGAAAAAAAAAAAAAGAACAGAAGGAGAGAGAAACGAGGATCCGCAGAGAGGAATAGGGCAAAGGTTAAGAAGCTGCCAAATCAAATCAAATGTACAAAACAAGGGTATATCGGAGAGGTTTAAAGCACCTGAAGAGGACCATCAAGACTTTTGCATCATTCAGAGACCGTCACCGGCCCCAGTCTCAACACCATCGGTGTTGTAGGGCATGCTGGGGTCGAAGCCGAAGTCAGTTCCAGCAGCATCGGTATTCAGGAAAGTATCAAAATCAAAGCTCTCCAAGATATCGGGGTTATCCAGAGCGCTGAAGTCGAGATTGAAGGGAGTGTTCTATTGTCAAGAGTTAGAGAACCGTAGCAGAAATAAGAAATTCAAAAAGTAAAAAAAGGGAGACGTACATCAGTCATGCTCATTTCAGTGGCGAATGGCTGGGTCTGGTCAGGAGTAGATTGAACCATCGGGGGAGGGGCAGGAGCCGATGTTTGCTGTGGTGGTGCGTTTGCATTGGCTCCACTCTTGAAGGTATTAGTGGGAGGATGAGGCGTGACTGGAGTGGGCGGGTTTGGCGTTTGCGAAGGGTCGGCGGCATCAGCCGATGCGGCGGCAGCGGCAGCCTGGCCCTTCTTGTTGCCTCCCTTGGGTTGAGTCTTCTTGTCTCGCTTCTTGGGCGCAGGCTTAGAAGGCGGCTGAGGAGTAGGTGGCGCATTGCTGCCAGCAGGAGACTCCTGAGCACGGCCGGCGTTACCACCAGCGGTAGGTGGTGCTTGAGGTGGAGGCATGTTGCCTCGTTCCTGCGGTGTACCAACTTGAGGCTGAGTCGCAGGAGAATGCTGGGGCGGCATCTGTCCTGGTGGCCACTGACCACTGGGAACGCGGTTAGCAGCATTGGCAGGAATGGGCTGGGGACCGCTAAAGGATGGGTTGGAGCTCGGAGGACGCATGTTGGGCCCGCCCGGTCCAGGGAAGAATTGAGCTGCCATGTCAGGCATCTGGCCGTTGAGGTGCATGGATCCTGGCGATCCGCGGTTCTGACCAAGGTCACCAGCGCTGGGTGATCCGGGAAGACCGGTTTGAGGCATCTTAGGTGTGCCCCGTTTCATTTGATCGCTCGGGTTTGGTGATGCGCCCGTCCGGCTGTTCGGAGAGGTGCCTGGCGGCAAGGCTCCCGGTGGCATCGGCTGGCCATCACGAGACATGGTGTCCTGCTCCTGGCGAGCCATCATCAGGCGGCGCTTGTTTTGCTGCTCGAGCAACATAAGCTGCATCTGATAATCTTGAAGAGCGTGGTTGCCGCCGTGCTGACCGTTCGGTGTGCCTGCCATCCCGGGGCGGACCTGAGTGAGTTGACCATTGGCGTTGTAGTACTCTCCACCCATTTGGTACATTGTCTGGCCATCAGGCATCGTCATCAGGTCCCCCTGGTTTGGCATCACGCCGGGGTTCATCATACCACCATTCGGAATCTGGGAAATTGCTGAGCGCGAGTGATGAGAGGCTAAGTTTTGAGCATATAATACCTGCATGGATTTCTGTTGCGCTGCAACCTGTCCCGGCGGAAACTGGCCCTGGAATTGCGACGGATTCATCCGCGGGGGCATTCCGTTCGGCATCATCATCTGTGGGTTTGGTCCCGGCATTCCCTGTCCTTGTCCACGTCCTCCAGGTGCCAACTGCTGTCCGTTCGGGTGGCCGTCGAGGCGAGGTTTTTTCGATGGCGACGGAGCGTTGTCGGTGGAGGCAGGAGATTGCGGTCGATTCCCGTTCATGTCCTCCATGGACTGCTCGCGAGCCAACTGCTGCATCATATTCATATGCTGCTGTTTCTGGAAGGCTACCTGCTGTGGGGTCCTATAGTTAGGGGAGGCAAAATGTTAGTACATGATCGCACCACTTCCAATATACTTTGAAAGGATGCCAGAGAAGGTATAGCATACATTCCGGTAGTGTTATTCGCCAACGCGGTCTTTAGTTGGCTGTTGCCGGGGTGCTGGACCATGCCAGGGCGGGGACGCATATTCATCTGATTACCCATATGGCCGGGCATCATGGGTTGCTGCGGTCGCATCATGTGAGTTTGCTGTTGTTCACGGAGGCGCATCAAATTCTGTAATCCATGTCAGATTCCAAAAAAGGCACCACGCGAGTACATTGTCCACGAACCTGAGTATGTTGGAGGTATTGCCGGACTTCATGACTGTTGCCCTTCTTCCGCTGAGCCCAGAAAAATTCCCAGAAGAGACTAAACCAATCCAGAAGAAATGAAGACTGCAGACTTTCACTGGGGAGGTTGGGGCGAGGGAGATCATCCGGGATCTTGATCTTCTCACCATCCTTTCCGTCCGTCATCATCGCATCGCTATCGAGCCCGTTCACATCGTCGCGCCGGTTACCGGGGCTCGTCTTGACACCCGAGTCAGTGTTAAGTTTGATGTTTTCATCTTGGATGAGTGCGCGGGCGCAGTCGTGATAGCCACGTTTCAAAAAGTAGTCGTAGATATAGGTGTTGAGGTTGTTGATCATTTGTTCAGGAATATTCATGGTACCGTCATTACGAGGAGCTGTGGAGCCGTTGTTCATCATCGGAACACCACCCACTGGGCCTGCCATCCCGGGGTTCATGCCGACGTTCATCTGGTTCATGGTGGCGAATGGTGGAACTGCAGCCACCCTTGCCGAGGTATTGTATATAAAATGCGATTCAAAATACGTCACAGTGGTCGGAACTTCCAAGCGCGCATCCACCGATTCAGGCGATCAGGCCTAACGCGGGGTGGAGAGAGCGACGCGTGGGAACAAGATAGGGAGAAGCGGTCAGGGTGCTTCGGGCAGCGGAATGAGTCCAATAAACGAATACTCTCCAGGGGGTGTAGACGCGTGAGAACGGAGCGCGCAGATGAACCGGATCCGCTATCGTTACGGGAGAAAGGTTGCGATGGAGATCTGCGGCGGTTGGCAGACGTCTTCTCCAAGTGGGAGCCACGCGACGAGATAGGGAAAAAGGATCTAAATCCGAGTGGCGCAGAGAATCACTCTCAGATAAGCCCCGACTGCTATGGAATCCGACCGTTAGAGGATGAGGTCCCAATGCATCAACGAGCGTAAATGGATTTGAGTGAAAGAAGAAAAGCGCAGTCGCCAAGGTTTTGGGCGATGACGGAGATACCCAGGAGGCGGGAAAAGCGTAGTGAAACCAGTGAAACCAGCAAAGATGGGGGCGGGCACTTTGGGGGGGGGACCCGATCGGGCCGGTGGACAGAAGGGAACTATACCAAGCGCATCAAGGGAAAGGGAAAGATCTCACCAAGAGGGGAAGAACGAGAAGGGTTGAAGGTGGAGTCTCGCAGTGAAGGGGAAAAGAGGAGCCGGGGGGTAACGGCGACTTGCTACTGCTCTTTCTCTCTCCAGTCTGTTCTCTGTTCTGAGGAATCGCTTGTTCGGATCGGATTAACGTCCGTTCCCGGGGCTGGGGATGGCGCTGTCAGGCGTATTTCTGGGCATGCAAGGCCAAAAGTGGGCTGGGTTTCAGGACAGTACAACGTAGAAGAGAGCAACAGAAATGCTGGCAATAAGATCAAAAAGATTCTCTCCAGATATAGTAGACGATAGCCAGGACTCTGCAAGAATCAAAGACAAAAGAAAAAGAAGAGCAGAATAAATTGAGCAAGGTGGAAAGGTCCGATCAGGCGAGAGGCAAGTTAATATGGGTCGATTGATACACCATATGGATCCCGCAAGTCTAAACTCAAGACTCCGCGCAAGCAGAGTATAAGATCGACGATCGAGCCAATCAAGACAATCAACGGGAAGAATATAGAGATTAGCGAGAGAGAGGGAAATTTGGAAGGGAAAAGGGAAAGAATAAGAAAAATTGATCTGTAGGATTTTTTTTCTTTCTTAAGGTGGCGGAGGTATGTATTGGCTAGATACCGTATTATTACACAATACACTCCCGCATTTCATGCATCGACAACTTCATAGATCTTATATCAACTTAAGTCCACACCTAACCTACCTATCTCGATCAGAATTTTCATCCTTGCTTCTTAGAGGGACCGAAGTTTTTGTCAAAATTCTATTCCTTAAATTACACTGGGAATTGATCCGATGCCAGTGATACCTTGTGTGGCGGGGGTTTTTGTTTCTACTGCTGATAGATCATAAAGCCTAATGCTGCACAGAGAAAAAAAAGAACAAGAATAGGATTTCAGTCCTCATATCATTACCCATAATAAACCCGCCTAAAACGCCTGTGGATGCTCCTGCGCCCATCTTACTCCTCTTCCGGAGGCATCTCGTCTTCGATGTATCGAACCAGAGAGACCCGCATTTCCGTAGTGTCATCACCGCGCAGCACATCGCTCACAAAGTGCGCTTCGATCTGCATTTGAACCTAGAGTTCGGGTCAGCCATCGGACTCGGCATAAAGGACTCACGGGGATTTAAGATGTAAAGGAAATAGGAGGGTCAGGGGAGAGGAGGAAGTTACCATCTCTAGTGATCCCCGAAGCACACCGCACAGGATGTTGGAAAACCAGAGCTCATCTTGAGCTCGGCCGTCGTCCGGCAGTTCGACAAAGTCTGCCAGAGGATTCTCATCAAAGATCAAAGAGAACTGGTTATTGTCACTGGACCAATTGGTGACTGTTGGCGCCACATTCAGGAAGATCTTGAAGCCCACCTAAGAATTGAAGATCAGCCGACTGCAACTTTCTCAATGAGCTATCATGATCCACTCACTTTGGCAATCATATCGGCGGTCTCGCGGAAATTAGCACATCGACCCACTCCCGACTTGGCTAGGAAATCCTCAATCAATCGCATGCCGATATTGTAACCCATCTTATCCAATTGCTTGTTCACATCCTGATAGTTGCTGTCGTAGTCTTGACATAATTGTGCGACGATTGTACCGTAAGTTAATGTGACTAGCTCCGCATTGACTTTATCGATTCTTGTTCTGCAGTCGGAGATCAGGTTAGACGGTGAGAATCAATGGGGGTAACGTCGCGGGGTGGGATAGATCAAGCTGGCCTAGAATGCGCAGGGGTTTTCGGGCTTACTGACTTCCATATCCTATCCAACAAGTTATTAGCAAAGATGTTTATCACCCGGAGCCAGGCTCACTCACTCTTCTCCTATTCTGGAGGCTTTTGTAGCTGACATGGTGGATGGATGATATGCGCTGTCCGATAACGATATGGGTCGAGGTAATCAACTATCAGAGTCCGTGTATAATAGCAGAAAAACGCAAGTAGTTGCAGGGTTTTGTGAAGGTGGATTGCGGGGAGTGCAAGTTGCTGGAGCTGTCGCTGTACACCACTGGGCTCACCGCCCGAAAGAGTGGGATTATCATTCTTCCCGCTTTCTTCAGATCATCAGGGAATCTCTGCGCACCTTCGCTCGACTCTCAGTCTGTGCCATTCATATATCCCTCTCCTTGTGCTTGGGCTTTCTGGGTTGATTTTCCTTTTATAATGTCTGGAGAGAAGCGCCCAGCTCAGCAGGCCTTTGGGTCGTCCAGCCAGCTCGTGGTAAAGCGAAAGAAGTCCGATGCCGACCTCAACCCGGGTACAGCTATCGTGAAGGGCTCTTCTCAAAATGGAGCTCTTATCCAAGCTGTGAGTTGCTACTCGTCACCGCGATTTTGAGGATTAAGTGGGTGGAATACGAGCTAATGTATGAATAGATCCCTCGTACCAGCGGCCTGGATGCGCCAATTATGGAACTCACTGGTGAGACGCGTTCGCAAATTGAGTAGATGGATTTGCTCTAACAGAATTAATAAAGGTCACTCGGGAGAGGTCTTCACCGTTCGGTTTGATCCGACTGCACAACACATTGCGTCCGGTTCGATGGACCGGTCAATTCGTACGTCCTGCCCAATATTGCCTTCGGGAGCATCGACTAATGATCACCCTTGCTATAGTGCTCTGGAACACATACGGACAGTGCGAAAATTATGGTCAATTGACAGGTCACAAGGGTGCCATTCTGGACCTCCAATGGGCACGCGATTCACGAGCGCTTTTCTCAGCATCGGCAGATATGACACTTGGAAGCTGGGATGTAGAGACTGGTCAGCGTGTGCGCCGCCATATTGGCCACGAGGAGATTATCAATTGCCTTGATATCAGCAAGCGCGGTCAAGAGTTACTGGTGAGCGGCAGTGACGACGGCTGCATAGGAATCTGGGACCCGCGGCAAAAGGATGCGCTGGAATACCTGGAGACCGAACTCCCCATCACCGCTGTGGCCCTTTCGGAAGCAGGGAACGAGATTTACAGCGGCGGTATTGACAATACAGTGCACGTATGGGACCTGCGCAAGAAGGCTGTGGTTTACTCTATGACTGGACATACCGACACTATCACCTCTCTTCAGATCTCCCCCGACTCACAGACTCTCCTGTCTAACTCCCACGACTCTACTGTGCGGACATGGGATATTCGACCTTTTGCTCCAGCCAATCGCCAGATCAGGACCTTTGACGGTGCGCCCGTTGGGCTGGAGAAGAATCTCATCCGCGCTAGCTGGGATCCTAAGGGAGAGAAGATCGCCACCGGAAGTGGTGACCGAAGTGCGGTCGTATGGGATGCAAAGACCGGAAAGCTCCTTTATAAGCTCCCTGGTCACAAGGGCACTGTCAACGACGTGCAGTTCTCCCCCAATGACGAACCTATCAGTAAGTTTCGTATGACTACGGTCGATATGACGCAGTTTTCTAACCTTCTTGCAGTCGTTTCTTGCTCTTCCGATCGTAATCTCATGCTTGGCGAATTAGGGAAATAAGCGTGAGCAAATACATACTGGAATTTTTTATCATGGTGGATAAGCGGGCGTTGAATTGATCTAATCCTTGATTATCCTAACATCTTGAACCACATAAGTTCTGGGGAGCAATTTAGCCAACATGAAGGCTTCCCTACAAAATGGGCCATCTACTGCTATCTCCTTCCCTGCGTGCAGAGATATTATCCTAACGATGTACACTATGTCCTACTTGAACAAGGCGTTTGTCGGTGTTCGTGTTGTCTTGGCATTAGTAGCCAGCTCGCTCTTCAGTTGCTTGTTGGAATTATACCGCTGGTTGACTATCTTCGAAGTCTACCTGAACAATGTGATATATAGTATCTATATAACCAAGTCCAGTAAAATCAGCCATACCCTGTGGCCCCTTGATCCCCTGTCATGTGCGCAGGGTCCAATGATGCAATTATGGATGCGCAATCAAAGATTCCCGAATTGGCTTATCTGGCCGTATCCACTTCCTCACCTTTTCCCCTTCAGCACTGGGCACTACATTCATTTGGCTTTGGAGATTATTATAGCTCAGGCACTACGAATTCTAGAGTCCTTCCAATCGGCACTCATCTACCATCTAACGCCGCCACATAAATCCCGCGGTCGACCGCTCTGGTGATGCGCACGCGATGTTGCAGCTTGCCAATGTTCAACCCCCGTCGCGCCTGGATAATGCTGGCATGGGCCATCTTGTTTTCGCTATGGCTCACTCTAGCGGAGGGGATGAGGGATTACCAAATTAAAGAGCTTAGGTGCGGTCCTTTGTCTCTACCGCCTGCGAATCCAGCCCCAATGCTGACATGCCGTGTCCAACAGACAAGAAACGGAGCACATGTTTTACCATGGATTTGAAAACTATCTCGATCATGCCTTTCCCGAAGACGAACTGCGCCCACTCACCTGCGGACCTTTGACCCGCGACGAAAAATATAACGATAATAACGATGTACTGGGCAACTATTCCTTAACCTTGATTGACAGCTTATCGACACTCGCTATTCTATCGTCGAGTCCAGAGAGCGGGGAACGGTCCCTAGGGTATTTCCAAGATGGTGTGAAAGACTTTGTTAGCTTATATGGAGATGGCTCACAGGGCCCTGCTGGTCGGGGAGAACGCACCAAGGGGTTTGATATCGATAGCAAGGTGCAGGTGTTTGAGACAGTCATTCGAGGACTAGGTACGGTCTTCCGGTCTACCTAAACATCCGCCTGCGCTGAATTAGTACAGCTAACATATCACCGTGCAGGCGGGTTGCTCAGTTCCCACCTTTTCGCTATAGGTGAACTTCCTATTGCCGGATATGAACCACCAGAGCAAGATGCCGCCTTTGCGGCTGCGTGGAACAAAAGCTCTTTCTCGGAAGATGACCATGGAATCGAATGGAGAAATGGTTTTGTCTATGATGGCCAACTTCTTCGGTTAGCTGTCGACCTGGCAAATCGTCTCCTTCCAGCATTCTATACGGAGACTGGTCTGCCTTATCCGCGAGTCAACCTGCGACACGGAATACCGTTCTACGAGAACTCACCTCTGAATCTCAAACCTGGAGGTAATAAGCGGAAGAAGTACTCGTACCTGTCAAATGCCGAGGTCACCGAGACCTGCAGCGCAGGCGCAGGCAGCTTGGTCCTCGAATTTACCGTCTTGAGCAGGCTCATTGGGGATGGTCGGTTCGAAGAATTAGCTAAAAGGGCGTTTTGGGCCGTTTGGGCCCGCCGAAGTGACATTGGATTAGTTGGATTTGGCATTGATGCTGAATCAGGCAAATGGATCGGCTCATACTCCGGGGTAAGTAAAGAGAATACTGTCAGTAGCAGAGGAGATGCTAATAAGTGACAGATTGGTGCCGGCATTGACAGCTTCTTTGAATATGCCTTCAAATCACATGTTCTCCTTTCCGAAGGAGAACGTCCCCCCTTTGATACTAAGAGTCCTTGGAAGATACTGGATGACTACTATTTACCCTTGAATGAGGGTCAGCATTCCCCAGATGCATTCCTTCAGGTCTGGGAAGACTCGCACACCTCAATCAACCGCCATCTATACCGAGGCGAGGGATATCAACATCCCCATCTGGTTGTGGGAGATGTCATCACCGGAGCTACGAGAGCCTTCTGGATTGATAGTCTGAGTGCATACTATCCCGGCTTACTTGCTCTGGATGGAAAGCTGGATGAGGCCATCGAAATTCATCTTCTCACGACCGCAATCTGGACGCGCTTCTCCGCTCTTCCTGAGCGGTGGAACGTGGCCACAGGTGATATAGATAATGGCCTTTCCTGGTACGGAGGTCGACCTGAGTTTATCGAATCCACCTACTACATTTACCGGGCAACTCAAGATCCCTGGTATCTCCATGTTGGAGAGATGGTTCTCCGTGATATTAAGAGACGTTGCTGGACAAAATGCGGATGGGCAGGTTTGCGCAATGTCCAAACCGGCGAAATGATTGATCGTATGGAAAGTTTCTTTCTCGGAGAAACTGCCAAGTACATGTTTCTTCTTTTTACGCCTGATCACCCACTGAACAAAATCGATGCTCCATGGGTATTCTCGACTGAGGGTCATCCTTTGATCATCCCGAAAAAGACCAGGCCAAGTCAACCCCGTCGCCGTAAAGATGTTGATCCGTTCCAGCACACAGCTGACGACATTTGCGTTGCCCCCCCTGCTCCGTCTACCTTTGGCGCATCTTCCACTGCATCAAGGTCTGATATCTTCCACGCTGCCAGTTTGGCTCGTTTACATCTTCGACCTGATCGCAGCACGGATGAAGGTGCCATTCTGGCAGGCTCACCCAATCACCCGAGTGTATCGGTATCTGATCTGTCATCACCAAGCAATTATACGTTCTATCCGTGGACACTTCCTCCGCAGCTTGTGCCACACAATGCGACCAGTGCACCAATGGCACTTCGTCCCACGCTTGACATCTCGTTCCCGACGCTCCCCGGTGGTATCAACATGGGTCCAGGGGCCTTGGAGCGCGTACACGACGGCATTTTGATCAAAACTGTTGGAGGGCTTCGATTGAGCATGATTCAAGATGTTCCACTAGGAAAGAATGCCAAGGGCAGAGATGATGACGGGTTCCGGGTACAGGTGATCAACAATGTCCCTCTAGGCAAAGATGAGAAGGTATACCTCTCGCGCCAGATCACCTTTGACCTTGTCGACCCCTATGATCCCAATTTCACCCGAGTCCGTGATAACGCCGTTGTTGACCTTGTCATTGACGTTCTTCCAGAGCCCCCTCGACGAAACAATGGCTCAGCTCATACAAGATCTGACGAGCCTGCAGAAGAGCCTTCAGAAGATTCAGAAGGCCCAGAGTCATACGTCAGCCGTCATAGACCCGTCGCCGACAACGAAAACCCCAGTGTCGAATCCCCCATGAAAACCATGCTTTCATCGCTAGTCAACTCGGTGTCTTCTCTTCTCCGTGACGATCCCGTTGAAGCTACTCCGCTCCGCCTCAGCCTCCCGGGTACCCTTCCTACAGGCATCGGAGCCGCTCCCCTCCCAGAAGTTGAGGATGCCGTCAGCATATCCCTAACTGGCAACCCATCCACCTCCCGACTCTCATGGTCATCAATCCACTTCGCCGATGACCTCTGTGACGAGCGTATTCTCCGCGATATCGCTCAAACCCATGAGGTCCTCGTTCTAAAACGAGGCGGCTGCACTTTCTCCCAGAAAATGCGTAACATCGCAGCTTACAGACAGTCACGCTCGTCTCTGAAACTCGTTGTCGTCGTATCCTACGATGATGAGGTTCCTACCTCACAGGCTGATTCTGAGGACGAAGCATCCGATAACTCGCAATCGAAGCCTCTTTCCTCTCTCGCCGCTTTGCGTGCAGAACCATACCTTATTCGTCCCCATCTCGATGAGAACCAGATGACTGCCAGCGGTATCCCGCGCAACCACCTTATTAGCATGGTCATGGTTGGTGGAGGTGACGAGACATATAACCTGTTACAAGCTGCTACTGGCGTTGGGGTTCGCAGACGATACACGATGCGATCTCAGGGTGTCCCGATCACCAATTTGTATATTCTTTGATTGTCATATACCCGGTTGGAGGATCTATTTGCTTTCGGGATTTGTAGATTTAGATTTCTTGCAATATTGATCACTTCCAAAAGAATGAAAATACCCTTGGCGTGTATCATACTGACGATATCTCCTGACCATTTCACGAATGCCTTCGCAAACGCCGGTCGTTTCCCATAACTTTGACAGTCTATCAAGTGCGTGGTTGTTATATTTACTTGTACAAGGATCATGAAAATCTCAAGACCCAGCACCAGTTCTATCAATCATAATTCAAATTATTTCATATATCTACCAAGCCACGTCTAGATTTACTCCAGAGCAATGCACTCAATCTCAACAGGAACACCCTTGGGCAGCTGGTGGACAGCAACACAGCTACGAGCAGGCTTGTGGGTGAAGAACTTCTCGTAGACAGCGTTCATAGGAGCGAAGTTGGCCATGTCGGTGAGGAAGACCTGGATAATGTCAGTTAACTAATCACATTCCCCCACAGACACCCTTGCAGGGATGAATTTGGATAGAAAGCTTACGTTAACCTTGACGATCTTCGACACGCTGGATCCGGCAGCGGTGACGATAGCCTGGATGTTGTCGCAGCAAGCCTGGGTCAGGACACCGATGTCACCCTCAACCAGGTTGCCGGAGGCATCGGCGGGGATCTGGCCGGAGACGAAGAGCTGGCCGTTGGCGCGGATAGCCTGGGACTATAGATGGTGTCAATGGGTGTTCCGTCCATTCATGTATACCAGCTTGTTTGATATGATAAGGGTCTGGGCTAGTGGCATTGATTGGGGTTCATGTTTGAGTCATAAGCGGGGTATTGTATAGCGTTCGAGGGGAATTGACGGGAGGTTCGAAGCTAAAGATCGGGGAAGCTGGAGGTAGAGGAACGTACGTAGGGGCCGGCAGCTGAATGACCAATTTCGTTAGCAATTGATACTCTTCTCTCGATGATGGGTAGCTGTGGTAGTAGCTGTGGTAAGATGGCTGGGTGTGAACGTACGAGGGCAAGCATCCTTAGCAGTGATGATGGTCATGTTGCCAGACATTTTTGGAGAGACTTTTGTGGAGAGAGGGGCGGTAAATATAGGATTGAAAGTACGAGAAAGAGCTTGAAGACGAGAAACAGAGCGCAGCATGTTGGAAAGGTGGGTTATATGATGGAAACTGCCGCAGCGCCCCGCCCTAGATTGGTGGGGTTGATGCTGTTTCCCGCGGTGAACTCGGGAAACCTAAACCTTTCTGAGTACATAGACACGAGATGACTCGGATTACAGTAAAGATGGGTATGGAATAATATTGGTTCAATTCGCTAAGATATCTGTACAAGCTAGTCGTCTCTTCGTTAATGTGATATCGCTGTTCAATGACAAAGGCTCGCAAATGGCAAAATGTTGAAGGGCATGAATAAGTGGTACATATTATGATTGTGCCCCCATGTTACGCAGCTGTTGCATCAAGCTGGCCGTCTGCTCAGCAGAGTACCCGAAGAACACCGGTCCATTGAACGTGACATGAGACGGCATGGGATTTGCGTCTGTCTTCGCCGTGGCATCTTCAGGCTTCGGGGCGCCTGCATCGGCTTGAGCAGCCTGGGCATGTTTGGCCCAGTTAGACAGGGGTGATACAGGGCGTTCGAGATCGGGGGCGGCGGTAACAGGAGGGGCGATTGGAGCCTGTTCAGCCACTTCGGGCTTAGGGGCACCATGTCCAAATGGACAGCGACCGACCGGCTTGGCTGGCGCATCGGTGAGTGGTTTCTCAACATGAGATTCAGGAGACATAGGGCCAGGTACTGATCCGGAGAAGGGTAGCGAGGCACTGGTTTGCTGGGCGATGGGCACAGGAATACCCCAAGGTCGGCTCGGGGATTCACCCAAGCGCACTTCGCGGAGAGGACGGTCAAAGCGGCCCTGGCGACCGTCATCATCATTCTCGTTCCCACTCACGTTCCCATTCGGATCATTCTCATCTGGTGGAGGGGGTGGAGGGAGTGGAGGTCCAGGGTTGGCTGGGTGCAGATTCTCTGCCCATTTCTCAATTCTCTCGGTGGACACAGATGTGGTCTGACCATCGCCTTCACCATTTGCATCTCGACCTGGCAGGAAGGCCTGGTGCTTGGCCGAAAGACCACTGATCATATTGATTAACCCACCATATTTTGCATCCAGCTGTCGCATATTCTGGGGGTCTCTCTGGTATCGCTTCACACAGATGGCATGGCTTCGGGGGATTTCATGCTTGTGTCTCTCCACATACTCGGCGATTTCTTCCGGCGAATGTTTGTCCAGATATCGAATCGGGCATCGGGAGACAGGGCAATGGCTACCGGAGGTTCGGACAGACGGCGTCGTACTGGACCGTCGCTCATCTTGTTCGGCCTTGATAGGGTCCAGGTTCTCGTGTCCACATGTATCGACTTGGATTTTGGGACTATCACCCATCCCGTCCGGCGCATCACTTCCTGATGATGCCTTAGGTTTGGAGAATGGGCAGTGCAGACTACCTTGTGCACCGTTGGTGGTGAAGTCTTCCTCCAGATACACAGGATCTGGACCACGCACGAACATGCATGAGTTGGTGGAGGACATTTGGGAGAGGCCATCTTGAGTACGGAGCAGAGCCTTATATCCCTTAACCCCGGCCACAATGGCCCGAGTGGCGGTTTCGTCTACATTTTGGTGTGAAACGAGTGTCTTGATTACATGCATGGAATTCAGCGACTGCTCTTCGATTCGAGGTTTGTTGTGCACAAGGCCTAGACACAATTCTTTCTGTTGATCCAATAACCTTTGCTGAACCTCCATAGCATGAGGTCTATCTTGAGGAGGCAACTGTCTGGTGACATTGGTGTACTAGAAGGTCGCATGTTAGCAGCCATCTCTTAAAAGAAGTTGTGATACAATCAATAAAACAACAGTCTCAATCAGATAATACATGTTAATCCGTCACCGCCACATAAGTGACTACTGATCTAGAGCTAATCAAATTTTCTCATCATTTGAGACGTTGGGTTGGGGGTGGGGGTGGAGGCGAAACAATGCAAGGAGTGAGGGAGTATTTACCTGTTTGAAGACTTCCTCGGTATAAAGCTTGAGTTCATTGTTTCTGTTGGTAAGCCGGTAAAGGGTTAGTAGTAGGGCATCGAAGGCTTTGCCCACGGCTTCGAGCTGATTGAGATGCAGATCCGGCTGCATCTCCTCAGCAATAGGGACTGGCATGACGTGGTAGAGCAGAGTATATTACAAGGTGGAGAGAAAGCTCATTTGACATTCCAAGAGCTGGACTCCATGGGGTGGTACAAACACCGGAGGCATGGGAGGTGATGATGAAAGGAGAAAAAGTAAGACAGACATTTTATAGCGGATGGAACGACGTCGGAAAAACATAAGCGAGTTGGTCCGTGCCGTGTCACGTGGGGCACCGGGTTGGGAGATCTTCCGGCTGAACGGGAAGTATACAGTGTAGGGACCGATAACATCCATTGGCCATGGTATATGCAATTTATGCTTATTTTTATCCAAGGCCTCTTTCCGTAAACTCTCTTGAGCAAGATAGTTTGTAATTTGCCACTGGCTATCTCAAAAGGTGGATATAGGTTACAGTCGCACGAAAGTATCATGAACCTGGTCCATCAGACCATGTATGGTATGGGGAGATGTGTTACACAGAGGAATGGACCCGGGAGTCTGGAGCGATCTGGTTGCAGTTTAATTACTTCATTCTCTATTGGCTACGTAGGTTGGTGTGAGCATCTCTAGGCTACGTACTACATTTGAACATCCAATTGCGACGTTTCCCGAACTGCTCATCCTGCATATATCGAAATATATACCTTCCAGCCAATGAAGGACTTGGAATATGCAACGGAGAATCCTGATGTTCTAAGTGGACAACAGTAAATAAAATTGAACAATCATTCAGTAGCGGTCTTGAAATTTGACAATGAGACACCGCCGAATAGAGATCAGATTAGACCGTAGGCATGATGAACCCGAATGCAGCTTTGCCTGGTCAATGAAGCTATTTTTTAGTTTATGTAGCACTAATTCGATCTGCCTTCAACAAGCCTGCCGGGCTAGCTCAATCGGTAGAGCGTGAGACTCTTAATCTCAAGGTTGCGGGTTCGACCCCCGCGTTCGGTTCTTTTTTACCAAATGTCATTAGTTTGTGGTAAAGTTTTTTTCTTAGAGCTCACTTTTCTCCACTTTCCCTTCATAGTACCACAAATCACAACGCCCTTCACAAGCCCAGCCGGGCTAGCTCAATCGGTAGAGCGTGAGACTCTTAATCTCAAGGTTGCGGGTTCGACCCCCGCGTTCGGTTTATTTTTTGCCAAATCGTCATACAATTCTCTCTATTTTTGCTTTACAAATCTAGCGGCGGTTAGACTCATATGCAGTTACCCCTCACCAAGTCACTACAGAGCATGCATTACTATCTGATAGACTCTCGGTTAACCCCCCGCCTCCCTGCAGAACAGATAGACAGACCTGGATTCTGCACCAAAACGGCCTCCACTAGATCCCCTAGCGCTGCATGCACACCAAAAGGAGAAAACCCCACTCGAATGGCTGTGACAAGTTTCAGATCGCGATGTAAGTGGCCTGGCGATCACTATTGGTTGCTTCAGAGTATTTGTCTGTACGATGTGTCAATCAACCCTGCATGGGCGACGTAGCGCTCGGCGATGGTCTGATGGTCTTAGACCACTAGTTTCAAAGACCTTCATTCTCGACTATATTCAAATACCTATTTCGGTACACACCATCTTCAGCCACCTTGGTCTGGACACAGGGGTGTGACCCATGAGTCATATTGTTGTTCACATCGAATGAACCTTCTCAGTCAAAGCCAAACCGAAGATGGTGTGATGGGCGAAACACGACCGTTGATTCGTCCGGCCCAAACAAAGGAGGCGTCCGTAGCCCCAAGGCTAGGCAGCATGCATGTCTAGGCAAGTGGGCGATTCCGCAGATCAGAACGAACTGGGCGCAGATTCTGCCCGAGGCCCGCAGCGGGACGGACCCCCAAAGCCAGACACATCAGCACATTCCTCCTGCTGCATAGGCGGATTCTAGAAACCGGCGCGAATGCATGGCGTGACACGGTAATATTACCAGTCACCGCTTATTCCCGGTTCCTGTAGATGGTACCTAGATAGATGGCAAAGATAGGTGTGTTTGTCCGGGCGGGAGGGAGTATAGGTGACTGGATTACCTACAGAGTACTCCGTACAGATTTCCCTATTCCGTGTACGAGGATCTGACCGCTGATTGATGACGGACTCATTATCTACACACCAAGATGAAGAGCCAAAGAATAGATCATTGGTTAAGGAAACCTACCAAACAAAAGAGAAGATATACAGGGTAACCGTAACCCCTCCATACCAATTCTAGGCCCCGCGAGGGGCAACTTATCTGCTTATCAACCCTAGACCCGTAATTTTACCATCGAATTTTGCGTTTTTCTTTTTTTAATTTTTTTTTTTACTACGTACTATCTTTTTGCTCTATAACCTTCCCAATCGTTTTTTTACCCCTCCTTCTCGCCCTTCTTCCCTTTCTCTCTCTCACCATGTCCCAATCTACTCTTCCTGATGCCTCCGCCCAAGTCTCCGGACACGCCGCCTCCGATTCCACCAGCGCCGCCGAACTCGCCAGTCTTAAAGTAGCTCTGCGCTCTTCGCTGCGCCAGTTCCCGGACTTCCCTACTCCGGGTATTCTGTTCGAGGATATCCTGCCCATCTTCGCCGACCCCAAGCTCCATGAGGCTCTGATCCGCTCTCTGGAGCTTCATGTTCTCGCCAACAACGGCGGCCAGAAGCCCGATGTCATTGTTGGTCTGGAGGCCCGTGGTTTCTTGATCGGTCCTAGCTTGGCCCTGCGCCTCGGTGCTAGCTTTGTTCCTGTTCGCAAGCAGGGTAAGCTTCCCGGTCCCTGCATTACTCAGGGCTACGAGAAGGAGTACGGCCAGGATTTCTTCCAGATGCAGTCGGATGCTATCAAGCCCGGCCAGAAGGTCATTGTTGTCGATGACATTATCGCAACCGGTGAGTTTTTAACAACACACCTGCAGATCGCAACCCGCTAACTTTTCAATTCCAGGTGGCTCTGCCTACGCTGCCGGTGAGATGATCCAGAAGCTCGGTGGCGAGCTGCTGAGCTTCCTCTTCATTCTCGAGCTTGAGTTCCTCCACGGCCGTGACAAGCTCCCCGCTCCCACCCACACTCTCCTCTCCGGCCAGGCTTAATTGTGTCCTTACCAAGGCCACCATTCAATTATCGCAAAAAGTTTACTGTTGCGATCATCGAGATCGCTGAATCGTTAATGACCCAAGTGCCCACACCGAACTGGCGTCCCCACCCTCCACCCGACGAGCCGCTTCCGACTCCGGGTTCATGCAACCAATTGACTTTCGGAGCATTTGAACTGCGCTCCCGAGTGTTGCGTTATTATTTTCTTGTCATTTCCGTTCTTGTTGCACGTGGTTTATCTGGGTTGGAGTCGAGCCGGGCTCATACGACAATTCCTCAACTTTCATAATAAGAAAACGCTTTATTCATATAGACTGATACCTACGTGCATTGTGTTTGGAAAAATAGCTATTGACAGTTTGGCTGTCACCTTTTGGGATTGGTTCTATCTATTGGTATCATATATCGTAGCTGGTATATCCATACGGTATACTCCATACAAGGTTCCAGGTAATCCAGAACCTACTGCGCCGGAATAAACCGCCTCATAACTTCCTCAACCCACTTCTCGGAAACTCCCAACGCCACCGACTCCCGAATCGCCCGATTCATCCGAGCAATGTACTCAGTTTTCGGCGGCGACACCATCACTCGTTCCTCATCCACATAAACAAGAACAGGAACCTGGCCCCCAGATTCCGTCTTGAGCCGATGTTCCCCGCCTTCCACTTCGTCAATCCATTTGACAACAGTAGCAGGAAGATACCACTTGTTGTAGTCTCCTTCCCCTTGTTCCTTAGGCCGGCTATCCACCCCCACCTCCCCACTTCCGTCCGCGTCCTCCGCATCCAAATCCACACCCTCGTACCCGTCTAGTAACTCTTCATCCGCCGGATCCATTTCATACAAGACGCCGTAAACAGCATCCTCGGTTCCTGAAATCGGTACTTTGGACGCGGCTTTGCTGTTTTGTGGCCCGACCCGCATCCCTTGTGGAGGGAGGACATTAGCGTACCCCGCTTCACAGATAAGCCACCTCCACTTCGGGAGGATAGCGATGGCGAGCGGTTTTGCTGAAAGAGAGGGATTAATAATACAGCGCTGTTTCATCTGCGTTGGGGAGAGATTGGAGCCGTAGGCGAAGTAGAGATATTGTGGTTTGGCGGTTTTGTTGGTGCGGGGTACGGAGTTCGGGCAGGTTGTTGCTGAGAAGGGGAGAGTTGTCTCTGATTCGGGGGTGATTCTGATGTTGATGTGCATTTTGATGAGTTTATCTATGCGGGTGGTAGTTGTGGAAGATTGGATCTAAAATTGAATGGTTCAACAGGTACGTTAAGCTTATCTAAGATGAGTCACCTTGATCAAGGAGTGAACCTTAGAAGCATAAATAACTCTATCTGGATGGAAGCTTGTATTTTTCAGGACTGTACTCAGGACTGTACGCGTACTAGTTTGGTACCTGGGTATATCACATCATTTTAATGGTGGATTATGCTACCATGGAACTAGACCGAGCTGAGTCTATTCCGTCGACACTAATTGATCGAGGTTTACGTATACCAGGGACGTGGACAGATTAATGGATTATACTAATTATAAAATTGGATTGATGGTCATATGGTGCTACTATCTACTAAGCGGACCTATGTTTAAGGTAAAGCCCGATGTACGTGGTTGAAAGTGGATGTACTACGGTCTACATCTCGCCATTCACTCCGAGATGTCATACTATGGGTATAGAATACACTTGGGATCCTAACAGAAGGCCAGCTGAACATTAACTCAGGCACGTGTCATATAATAGCTTCAATCATTGGATTCCAATGATCTCAATCCAGTATTCTTAGAACCAACAACGCCAGTCCGATTACAGCTCCCATTAAACACTACGCGAGTTATAGAACAAAATAAATATAGTCGTTTGGATTGCGAGATTCGTACAATGAGTTAAGAATTACGAGTGACATCATACGGTATCCTAAAGAACACTTCAATCGCTAGACATGTAAAGAAAATGCAAAATGAAACAGAAATGTAAGGATAAACCAACACTTAGCGCTGGGGAATTATCCCACTCATTCGGCTGCCAACCCCGGCCATCAAACTTTGCTTCACGATGGCATCAGCCGCAGCAGCCGCAGCTAATCTTTCCTTCTGACGGCTACGATCACGGAGATAGCCGGCAGCTTCAGGTCGCATGCGAAGGATGCGTAGGATCATGTCGTCGTTTGGATCGGCCTGGGCATCACGGCGCTTCTCTTCCTTCATCTTCTTCATGGTACCTAGGTTGCGCGAGAGCATGATACTCTTTGCGCGACGTGCAGCGGGAACACCCAGACCACCATAACTGGGGCCGGTGGCTCCAAGGTGAGCGGGCGCAGAGGTACGGTTGCGATTTGCCTGTTGGCGATTCACAGTTGCCGAGGCCATCCGCTCCGAGGTGCGGATCAAGTTCTCAGTGGGCTCAAAGTAGAAGAAGTTCAGACTTTGAATCTCATGATATTTGGGAGATTTCAAAATATCGATGGGAACGCCACCAGCTTCCCCGGTTTCGTCATCCACCGCATGGAAGAAATTCAATAGCAACACGAGCCAGCGTGATACGATGTCCACTTCTTGAATTGTGAGTGGCTTTTGATGGGACGGCTTATCCGATAGAGGTGGAACCAATAAACTTTCGATAGTCGCAAGAACTTCTTTCCACAGGCGAGCCATGACCATTCGCATGGCCTCCCCGGTCAATGTCTTGTTCATGATGGCAAAGTTATCATTGAAGTAGTTAAACAAAGGTGTCAGAGCGTTCTCGACGTCGGCAGGGGTAGGCCCACTTGAAGTCTGTGGCGCTCGATTGCGATTTAGGAAATTGGACACAGTTGACATGCTGATGCCGCGGGAGAGTAACGACTTCAATGTTCGGCGCGACAAACAGTAGCTGATATACGCAGAAAGCTAATGAGAATAGTCAGTGGGATCGTTATACAGGCTAGGAGATAAAAGCAAAATCACATACCTTCTCGGTAATCCTCCGAGTCATGTCCCTCTCTGTTCGTTTGAGGGTACGGAAAGCTTTACCAAAGTAGAACTGGATGTCATCACGCTCTCCCTCCATGCTGACACGGAGCAAAAGTCGTCCTTGAGTATCCAGATCGAGCCAGTACTCTCTCGGCAAGAAATCACTGAAGTGGACTGGGTCAAGCTTGATGGATGTACGGCCGACATAGTCATGATCACCAACTGCATCCCAGTCCCAGATTGTAGCAATTATGTTCAAAGGACCTTGGGTTGTGATATCTACAGAATCTTCCCAGCGAGGGTTGAGGTTGTTGTAGATGATGCGGGTCTTGGCAATCCGTTTCTGATATTCGTCCGTCAGAACCACGTACGGATCGCTGCCACCATTCATATCGCAGGCCTTCAGGTCTTCTGCCTCCACAACCTTGATCGTAAAGACATAAGTGGTCGACTTCCGGACCTTTTTAAGCGCTGGCGGGCTGTGCTTCGCAATGACATCGGCGCAACCATCGACATTGATCTCACGTTCGAGGGCGTCCAATTGCTGAAGGGCAAACTCAATATTGTTCAACTTCACCAGGGACTATAGTAATGTTAGTGCGTGGGTCACCATTTTGAGCTTGGGTACGGGAGTCATACCTCTGAGGAGAACTGGAACGGCTCAATTTTGTCCTTGCTCGTCCATGTATCTTTAGCAAACTGCATTAGCTTCTCCTGGGTGGTTTGGTTCAGAACTGCCTCTTGCTCTGGCGTAAGTCGGTCCATCTCTCGGGCAAACATTTGCTCCAGGAATTCACAGTATTTCGCAACGCCTTTCCCGATGGAGCTAGATAATGCAGTCATGAATTTGGCATATTGAAGATCATCGTCCCACTCTAGCTGTACCAGGTTTTCCACCACTTGATTGAAGGACCGGAACACATCAATAACAGAGACACTGTGCCGGGAATCCTCTGGGACATCCTCAGTCGCTGCATCGGCACGAACGGAGAAGGCGTCCTGTCTGGTAGCTTGATTGACCCATTCCATAACACTCTGGTCTGTCAAGCGCAGCCAACGCCAGACAAATTCCTCCAGAAGACTCTCAATATGGAATGGGAAAGGGTCATCCGGAATCGTGCTAGTGAACAGACGTCTGATCGTAGCAAGGGCTCTATACAGCTCAAAGCCCTCCTCGATAGCAATCTCTTCGTCCCGAGCCTTGGTCTGCTCCATGATTCGGATGACCATTTCCTGCGCATCTTCAGCGAACATGGGGAGCACATTGAGACAAAGCGTTGTGTATGGATTGACACCCATAATCTCAGGGTTATTCCTGTACCGCTTTTGGATCTTCAGTGCAAGCTTTGAGATCGCATCACCCAATTGAATGATATCGTCAACTCGCCAATCTTCCTGATTGACAGAGATCAACTGGCTTAGAAGTCTCTGGTATTTTTCCGTCGCTTTTTGAGCAAGACCGTCTTGTACATACGAGCCGAATCGATCAAGGTCCTCAGGATTCTCTGTATAATTTGGATCCATTTGGATGTGATTCTCAAGCACGTACATCACGGGTCCAAGTGGACGTGGTTTTGTTTCGAAACAGTCCATCATCACGTCATAAAGTTCGCGTAGCAAGGCTTCATGAATTTTGGCAAGGAGATGCTGCATCGTTTCGAGGTCATGCACGGTCCATTTCCGTCGGTCAAAGACGGATGGCGCGACGAAACTGCTGCGTTTGTTACGGTTTTCAACAGGAGGCGACTCTTTCGCAAAGGTAAATGCCGAGTCTAGGGTATTGAGATCAATCTCATTATCCACAAACTTGGATTGCACCACATCCAAGAATAGCACAACGCGAGAGAAAGTCGGAAGCCGCCAGCGGAGACAGATTTCATTCAGCATTTCTGATGATTGCTTGGATAAAAGTTTCGTGGATGGGGCATCGGACGTGGCTTGGGCGGCCTCGTTCTCACGTTCTCGCAAGTCATGGGCTAATGTTTGGGACAAAATAAACCTGTATAAAGTCCGAGGATCAGAGGGGATGAATGTATAAGTATCTGACTCCTCTGAGTCGCCATCAGAGCCACCCAATGAGAGTCCGCTGATATCAATTGGCGAATCAATACCGTAAGATGTTCGATCAGTACGACCAGATGTAGTTCTGGACAAGTCATCCTCTACTGGCGAGCTGAGCTGAGGCAGAGTGCCAGGTGTGCTCTTAGCCAATTCCGGATTGGACTGCATGATGGCAAGCATCATCTGCGAAAGTTCAGGACCCTCGCTCTTCTTCCAGCTCTCATAGGCATCATCCGTCTCAAAGTCATCCCTCGACAATGTCTTGTGGGTTTGAAGACTCAAATGAGTTTGATAGGTCTTGAGATCTTGCAGAGCGGCTTTCGCTGTCCAGGTTTTCTTGTTTTTGTCAATCTCGGCTTGAGCCTGGGAAGTCGTCATTCCGAAGATCTTGGCCACATGTTGCACCAGTGGCATGTCCTTGACGTTGTAACTCAATGGGACGACAACCTCAGTGGTCGAAGCAGTACTGTTCGCGTTCATTAAGTCCTGGTCCTGCACTAGAAGCTTGTTCTCTAGGACGGACAATCGATTTGCTAGCTCTGGGCGCTCCTTGCCCCCTTCATGCGCTTTGAGAACCAGCGCAAGCAATCGGACGAAGAGCGCAACGTGTCGATCTACCATGAGCTTCCAGCCATCGTCATCATGGTCTTTGCCCTTACTCAGCTCTTTGATCGCATTGGAATAGAAAATGAGCACCAGGTCCTCCGCTCGCCGGTCCTTTTCCATGCGCTTGCGGAAGGAATCCTCCTTCAGCACATTAAGAAAGGCAGCAAATGTGCGCACCACCAAATGATCCTGGTACTCCTTCCGCTTCTCTTTGCCTATCAAAACGCCCGTCAACCGTTGCTCCAGCTCGGCCACAAAGCCATGGGGAATCCTTGTGCTCTTAGAATCCCTGACCAGCGAAAAGTCACTCATCAAATCATGAATCGAGGTATTTGATCGCTTGGGCCGCGCCGGCGCGGCAGGTACACTTTGAGTGCGACGAGAGCGCGGATGTAGGAGATAGGTAAGGTAGGCTACGCGGAGCGCATGGCTGCATGCGACGTTGGCGCTGAGTGGCCGGCGCCGTGAAACGGAGGAGTTGCGCGAATGGCGACCTTCATTCTGGATACTGTTGATCCGTCGGTTGACTCCTCGGGACTGACTAGATGCTGTCGACATGAGGTCTGTGTTCGCATACGGTTCGGGGAAATGCAGTGGAGTGCGGGACCATGGATGGAGATGGACGCAGACCACCAGCCAGCATCCGTGGACGAAGCCCTGCGCGAAATTTCGGGTTGTCTTTTTTCGGAGTTTGAGGTGGGTATGTCTCGGAGGGGGAGAACACCTGATGCCGAGCAGGGGGCGGTGATGGGGCTTCAAATATTTACTTTAAAAGGAGAAGAAAGGAGAGGAGGGGAACGGATGAAACAAAAAGCTTCCGTGAACTGACGTAGGCGCCCGGACCAAAACAAAGATGAGATATCAACCCAGGAAAGCCAACAGCGACTGAGAATATCCAAAGTGGAACGACTTGTTTTAGGTCTAAGTTTCTGTTTTTGCTTAGGAAATGAGCCCTAGCCTCTCCCTTGGAGGGGTTTGATCTACATGGGCGCTAACGATGGTGCTGGCATAATGCAAGGGTGGTCTATACAAGCTGTACTATTGGGCAGAATAACTCGTCTCGTTTTCTTGTTTCTCCCGACTAGAAGAGACTTTGGTTCCGAGCAAGTCGGTATCTGGAGAGCATCTCGTTCTACTCTAGACGCCTTCTATTAATGAGTGCTACCACATGAAATAGACTGTGGCTCGTGCCGATGCGCGGCCTATGGTGATACAAGCTAAGTGGCACAGATGGCTCAGCAAGGTGGAAAGAAAAATATGTTGGAACACAGTAATCGAACATCTAGTTCTGGTCTTGATCCAACATGCGTCAAGGAGCCGGAAATCCGTTTTTCGGCGAATCGACCATCAGACACTCAAGTGACGCCAAATCGAGAGAAACAAAATCGTCTTGGTATTTACACACACAACAAAAAGGAAAAAGAAAAGAGAGCAGAGGCAAGATTACCACTTGTCCTCACCAGCCTTGCGAGCCTGTGTAAAGGTTAGCCGCGGTTATTCCATATAGTGATATATTTACAGGGGAGCTCATAAGTCTTACCGGCGACGCATTCGGTCCGCCCAGCTCCTTCTCCAGACCATCAACGTAAGTCTTGGGGACGCTGGGCTTGTCGGGGTAGTAGAGGCTAACCACGCCACACACGCCGAGGAAGGCCACAACGAAGCACCCGAGGTGAAAGAAACCCTTGCCGGCAGAGACGTGGGTGTATTGCTCGGGACTGAAGACACCAAGAATTTCGTTCTCCTCGTGGACAGGCTCGCCAAAGTTTCGCTTCTCTTGCGCATCCCACCAGCCACCGTAGGGGTCTCTGAAAGAACGCTTCACGCGGGGAGGGTTCTGGTAGCCACCATTCTGCCATTGCCATTAGATCACCTGGGTCATACCACCACAAGAGACACACTGTACCTGTAGAGGATCCTCAGCTTCGGAAGCCCGGAGGGCCGCAACCTGGGAGAACGATGCGCGGGGGGCAATGGCGTGGCGGGCAGCCACCTGGGGCAGACGCCGGGCTAGGATCCGTTGAGACAGCATCTGGAGGGACGGGGAATTGAACGTCAGTAATGCTCTCACATATTCAAAAGGGAATCTGATATCGGACCAACACTCACTGCTCTGCCAAAAGATCGAAGACCAATGGGGAAGGGGATAAAGGTCAGGGAAATTGGTGGAGATGAAGTGCAGGATGATTCGATGATGGAGACGGAGGTTTGCGGCTGTTGACACCTCAGGCATAAACGCGCCTGGAATTCTAGGCGTCCACGGCGCGGCGCGCTTACAAGTCTAAAGTGCTCGCTCCCGGCAAAAAAACCACTTCCTCACGTATTCCCCCCATCTCGCGACTTTTTCCGTCCCCATCAACGCCCCCGTACCGATAAGGATGCCAAACTTTGTGTGGCACCTTGAATTGATCATAGCTACCCGTTGACGCCAAAATCGCCAATTTTGACCGCGCCATCGTTGGGATAACTGGGGTCACCTGCGAAGAAGGCCCCTGTCGTCTGCGGCAATAAGTCATGCAAAACGGCAGCCCAAACGGCCCATCACCCCACGATGAACGCGTAACGCCTGTGCCTGATTCTACCCACTTGGAAGCTTCCGGTGTGGAAGATCCATCCGATTCTACCCCCTGCGAATCGATCCCTACCTTGCCGAATGACGAAGCTAGCCATCAGCTTGAGGAGCCACCATCAAAGAAGCGTCGCCTGACAGACACAACCCCGTCGCGAAACTCAACTCCCCGGCCTCCTTCGCCGCCATGGAAGAAGGTTGGCGTAGAGGGACCGACGTCCTTCTTGGTGGAAGGTCGGCGCAGATCATCACGGCAAAACGCGGTCCCAATAGAACAGCAACCGGCATCTGACAAGCGATACACACGCGCGGCGCAGCAAAGCTACGTGAATAAAAATGCACGAGGCGGTGCGAAACCAATCACGTCTTCCCCACTTGCTGTGACACAGTCGCGTGCCAACGGGAAGCTGGGTGGCAAGCCAATTACAAATGGTTCACCTAGGACAGTGTCGACTAAGGGTGCGTCTAGTAAGCAACAACCTCCTTCACAGTCACCCGCACCAAAGCCATCTCAGTCGCGCACTCGGTCTCGAAGCTCCGCTACCACGAATCAACTCCGTCTCACCGCAAACGGTACCAGCCCTCGTGGAACTCGTGTCCGAGCCTCCCTTTCAAACACATCCCCTGCGCCGGAAAATAACCTGGATGGAGCGGATGAGAATAATGAGGATTTGGAGTCAGGGTCCCAGGTGGTGCCGCGAATCCGAATCAAGGTGAAAAAGCCAATACTGCCAATCCGACACCCCGGCCACGTGTCCGGCAAGAAATACGAATCTTTCAGAGAATGGATGGATCATGAGGATGCTCCAAATTTGCTATCCTCGGAGGAGGCCCTCGAGGAGGCCCAGAGGCGGCAGCAAGTGTTGAATGCAGCGGAACCCGGCGGGCCATTGAGCTCGGAGGTCTGCTCTGCATATATCGAGGAACCACAGGAGGAACCACCATTCCAGTATTCGCACCAAGATCACCTAGTGGCGCATGCACTCTATTTCCAGAAGCTCCTTGAAAAAGAGCATAAACGCCATCGGCAAACAGCCAAACTTTTTGCCCAGTGGTGTGCCGATGCATACAGAAAACGCCACAAGAACCCAGAGGACATTCTGCGGGAACAGCAAGAAGAAATGCGTGGAAAGCGCAAACAATTGGCCAAGGACCTCCAGAAGATGTTCGACCTGACACGCGCTGATATTGACCGCGTGCGCCTCGCACGTTGGGAGGAAGAGCGAAAGGTTCAGGATCAGCAAGCCCTCGATCGTGCCATTAGAAAATCAACCATGCTTTTTGAGAAACGCCGATCCGAAATTTTAGGAGAGGTTCCTAGCGATGCTCCTGGTTCAAGTGACGAAGATGACGGGGAGACAGACTATTCCTCAAACGCATCAGTGGCAGACAATGATAGTAACATGTCGACATCCGAGTCAGAATCAGACGATGAAGCCAATGTTGACGATGATGCTAAACTGACAGCCGAAGAACTTCGATTGAAGTACGCTAGTCTGCCGAACGAGGAAATACCTGACGACACACCTGACCAGATGTCTGTTGTCTCTGCGTCCGTCATTGATAGCGAAGTTGTCCCCGATGAGACAGATGCCAGTGTCAATCCTGGCGACACTCAGCTGGATGATGTGGATTCAGTCTTGATGGATGATAGCGATGTATCAATCGACATGAGCGAAGAGATGAGTGATAGTGACGATGAGAGCGGCTCCGGAAATGAAGCATCTGGCGATGAATCCGATGGCAGTGATGCCAGCGGTATGCTTGGATTCTTCTCACGCAAGCAACGGGCCAGTGAAGAGGATCCCGTCGGAGCGAATATAGAAGATGTTGATGACGATGAATCAAATGACGAGGAGTATAAAACCCCAGGAGAAGAAATCCTGGAGAACGATACGGAGGACCTGGATGAGGTTTCTCTAGTTCCTAACGGGATAGAAACGAACGAGGACGAAGAGATGCTAGATGAAACTACTCCTTCAGAAGTTGTCGAAGCCTCTGTAGCCACACCAGCGGATGTTGAAGACGCCTCTATGGTGGATACTTCCACGGTCAATGCCCCCACGATCGATACCCACGTGGACAATGAACCCTCCGAGATGGTGCTTCCCGAGCCTAGTGCTCTCGAGGTATCAGGGGATGACGAACCAGTGGACCAAGTTCAGCCAGTTGAGAGTGAGCCGCCACAGGAAAACCGCCCTAATGGAGATGTGTTCAGCGAAGTATCCCCAGGGACATTCGCAACAAAGCCTTCTGAGCCCGAGTCTGTCTCTTCATACGAACCTGCAGTTGAAAAAGCATTGCAGGAGAGCCATTCGCCTGCACCAGGCTTGAAGACTCCCATTCCTCATCTGTTGCGCGGTACCCTACGTGAGTATCAGCACTACGGACTGGATTGGCTTGCTGGCCTCTATAATAACCGAATCAACGGTATCTTGGCCGACGAGATGGGTCTCGGAAAGACCATTCAAACCATTGCTTTACTTGCTCACCTTGCTGTAGACCATGGTGTCTGGGGTCCGCATCTTGTGGTTGTGCCTACCAGTGTCATGCTAAACTGGGAAATGGAATTCAAAAAGTGGTGTCCAGGTTTTAAGATCATGACCTACTACGGAAACCAAGAAGAGCGCAAACAGAAACGCAAGGGCTGGACTGACGACAACTCTTGGAACGTGTTGATTACCTCCTATCAACTCATCTTGCAAGATCAAGTATCCTTGAAGCGAAGAGCCTGGCATTATATGATTCTCGATGAAGCGCATAACATCAAGAATTTCCGTTCGCAAAGATGGCAGGCCCTTCTCACGTTCAGGACACGAGCTCGTTTGCTCCTGACCGGTACACCACTTCAGAACAATTTGACCGAGCTTTGGTCTCTTTTGTTCTTCTTGATGCCTTCCGATGGCGATGGCGCTGGTGGTGTTGAAGGCTTCGCCGACCTGAAAGACTTCTCCGAGTGGTTCCGACGACCAGTCGAACAGATCTTAGAGCACGGAAGAGAGACCATGGATGACGAGGCCAAGCAGGTAGTGACGAAGCTCCATACCGTCCTTCGTCCTTACATTCTGCGTCGTATGAAGGCGGATGTCGAGAAACAGATGCCTGGAAAGTATGAACATGTCATGTATTGCCGGCTTTCAAAGCGCCAGCGATTTCTGTACGATGGTTTCATGTCGATGGCTCAAACCAAAGAGACACTTGCATCCGGCAATTTCCTTTCCATCATTCATTGTCTCATGCAGCTCCGCAAGGTCTGTAACCATCCTGATCTGTTTGAGACAAGGCCGATCTCCACCTCCTTCGCGATGCCGCGTTCTGTGGCCACCGACTATCAAATGAAAGAAGGCCTTGTTCGGCGACGTCTGCTGTTTGACCACCCTCTGACTAAGGTCGATTTGGACTTCCTAAACCTGGCACCTGTGTCTCGAGAGGATATTTCGAGGCGACTAGCTGATGACAGTATCCGACTCATGGCTTTCGGGCCGTTCAAGACTCTTCGCGAGCGACAATACAACCGCACCAATTGGCAGATGGAATTCAACGGATCTACCATGGAAACTATTTTAGAGTCGTTGGAAAATGCCAGCCGGAAGAGACGAATGGCCGAGTTGGAAAGATGTTTGTACTTCGAGTCCAAGCGTCACGGTCGCCGACCTGTATACGGTAGCAGCCTGGTTGAGTTCCTGAGAGCTGGGACCAAGGAACATGCGCTTTCCAACGCGCCCTTGCGAAAGAGCAACATGGCCGAGTGGCTTTCGAGTCGGTCATCGGTACTTGCTTCCATGATTCTGACTCTCGAAGAACGCTCTCTTGAGATGGACGGGTACGTTCAGCGATTCGCGTGCGTCACGCCGGCTGCTGTTGCGTCGGGCATGACGGAGGCCGCCTTGACCCCTGTCGAGACAAGACTCTTGACCAACACGGCCAAAGATCAGCCGTACGATCCCTTCCATGAAGCTCGCATGCGACTCTCGATTGCTTTCCCAGATAAGCGGTTACTACAATACGATTGTGGTAAGCTACAGCGGTTGGATAAGTTGCTACGTGACTTGAAGGCCGGCGGTCATCGCGCCTTGATCTTCACGCAGATGACCAAGATGCTGGACATCCTGGAGCAATTCCTCAACATCCACGGGCACCGGTATCTACGACTGGACGGCACTACGAAGGTTGAGTCGCGTCAGATGTTGACCGAGCGGTTCAACAGTGACCCTCGCATTCTGGCATTCATCCTCTCCAGTCGATCCGGCGGTCTCGGTATCAATTTGACGGGCGCCGACACTGTCATCTTTTACGACCTCGACTGGAACCCTGCCATGGACAAGCAGTGTCAAGATCGTTGCCACCGCATTGGCCAGACCCGAGATGTCCACATCTACCGCTTTGTGTCCGAGTATACCATCGAGTCCAACATCCTCCGCAAGGCCAACCAGAAACGAATGCTAGACGACGTGATTATCCAAGAAGGCGAGTTCACAACGGACTACTTTACCAAACTCCAAGATGTGCAGGTGGAAGAGACCGACGAGCGTGACGGCCAAGACGAAGCCAGTGCAGCCATGGACCGGGTTCTTGGGAACCGCGTCGCAGGTGGGAACCGCGCTTTCGAGCAAGCAGAAGACAAAGAGGACATCGACGCGGCGAAGAATGCTCAGAAAGAATTGGAGCATGCCGACGACGGCGACTTTGAAGAGCGTAGTCCTTCACATGGAACTCCCGCCCAGCCTGGTACTCCATTGCCCGGTTCTGGTGAGGGTCAAGCCTCAGCGCCCGACGACGCAGGGGCAGGTCCAGAACCTGGTCATATTGACGATTACCTGCTTCGATACATGGAATGGAACATGCGTGACGAGCCCCTAGTGCTCCCAGTGGACAAGAGCAAGAAAAAGTCCAAGAAGGGAAAGGAGCACCACCTCAAACGCCGCCGCTGATGTTCCGATTGGGTCTCACAATCATGAAGTCAATTGTGTCTCTCGCCTAAATTGGTACTTTTCCTTCCCAGGCCACAGGGAATCACAATCCTCAACTCCACTCTTCTCCCCAACCGTTTCACAATCGCATAGTTCAAATCCCTGTACTTCTGCCGGACGTGACTACCTAATTGAGCGTGAAGTTTTTTATTTCTTTTTCTTTTTCTTTTTTGTTTTATTCCATTTGGTGGCGATCCATATTCCCTTCCCTGTTGCACCTGACCTGTATCTGTACCCCTTTTTGCCTAAATGCACTGCGCCGGAGTATCCATGTGGGTATAAAATGTAATAGTGTCGAAAAAAGAGTGGAGTGAAGAACGAACCAGGGGACCGTGTCCATTGAGTAGGGCTACCGAGACCAGCTTCTATACTCCGTAGTACTATGACCTTTGTTGTTCGAGACTAATCAAAAAAAAACTCTGTATATTTATACTTCACGCCGGGGCAATTAGCGTCAGGATTTTGATTAACGTCTAGACTCGTTCGGGGGCAAGCCCACTTTTCTCAGCCTACTGTAGTATGGACATCGTGGCTAAAATCTACGATTTCTCTTGATCCACAACACTAGTGCAAGGTTTAGTCTTCTCCCAACTCTTACTCTTCTAGGATTGAGGGCTTCCGAAGCCCTTTCCGACCGGATGTATACTCCACACTTGACAAATACCTCTAAATTAAATCTATTCTTAAAAAGAACAAAACTGCCCGGACAATATACTTATCTCGTCAAGTGGGGGGAATTGGCTTTTTTATATCTATTCTCGGGTTCGATTCCGCCACCTGGTTCTTCATGGACTCATACTAACTCTGTAGAGTTCAGTATGTTTACTCAGATTTGGCCGATGTGGAGGTCCTTTTTAGGCCGAACAGGAGAAGGTGATCCCCGCGGCAATCCAATTAGCCCTAACGCTAGAGCCCAGTTATCTCGGACTCTTCATTCCTTGGATGATGTTTTGCGTCATGGCGATGTCTTTGCCTTGGTCAAGTCGTCTGGTTTGAGTTTGACCTCGACGCGAGGCATGAAGTAAAATGTTTAATGAGGGATGTTTCATAGTCCTCAAACTACCGGTGCCCTAGGTGGAAGAAAAAAAGTATACAGAGCACATAAGGCTGGACGGGGGTGAATGATAACCCCAAATAATTACTCGACTCCGTATGATCCTCATGGAACAGGGATCCGAGTCCACTCTGCACATGGGATCATGTGTATACCGGTCGATCACGGGAGCCGTCGATCAGGCGGGCTCCCATGCTCTCGGCCAGACTACTCCGAAGAGCATCAATGCACCGGACATGACCTCAATGGCTGGAGTGGGGAAGATGCACATCCGGCCAGCCGGGGTGGAGAAAAAGAAAGGGTGACAGGAAATTAAGGAGACGGAGGGAATACGAAATGGATGAGGGGAATTGGAGTAGGAGCGACTCCAAAACCTTGTTCTAGGGCAACACTGCATAAGTAAAACGCAGTTTCCACGGTTCAGGATTCTTCACGGCCGTTTGCTGCTACCGAATATTCACCGGACGCTCCTATAAAAAAGTGGAGCTGTCGATCCACGACGCGGAGTTTATGCCTGTTTGGGGGATCAGATCCGGCGATGGAGGATGAGGTAAACAGATGATCCACGGTAAATCTGGAGATTCTATTTGCTCTAGTGATTTCTTTTTTTAATCTGCATGGCATGATTGACCAGGTTTCATATCGCATTAGGAAAAAATTGACCGGTATTGTAGGTATTTCCACGGAGCGTTCTTGTGATTGGTAGAGACTTGAATCTTAGCCCTTCCCCCCATTCTGCATCCTAACCCTAGAAGGTGAGGATCTCAACCGTTCGACACCACGCCAAACTAGGTAGAAGAGTCCGTGTAAAGCCTGGGGAGATCTTCATTCCGCCCTTTTCCGCTGTAGCCAAGCTGTAGAATTTCAGCGACAATTCGCCGTGCCCTTACAGTAGAGGGTATGGCGCCATCCTAGGGGGATCCCTGTTCGCCGATCCCCACACCTTAAGACCGACTGGATGAACCCCGGTTAGAACCGAGGCTCGGCCATGGATACTGTAGTTTGAGGTTGAATAAAAGAGAAGAACGATAGGGTTTCGGTTGGAGGTACCGGTAGAGAGGGAGGCAAAAAGCACGGTAGTACGACAGACCTGCGCTTCCGAAAGCTACCGATGTTGCACCAAACATGGAAATCAGTCCTGAGGATTAACATGGGGTACACATGAAAACAACAGTTCAGTCCAGTGTGATATGCGCGAGAAACGGCATCGTCGACACAGCGGTATCGGAGAGAAGAGTTTTTGATTTTGTGATTTTTTGATTTTTCATCTGAAGTTGATTGATTGATTTTAATTTTAAAAATTTTCTCAGTTTTCTTCTTTTATCTTTTTATTTCATTTCTTCTGGGTGTCAGGCTGGGAGCTTGTGGCGTCCAACAGTCGACAATCTGACTGGAGGCTCTAGTCTCATCAACGACTCCACTTCATCCACTATTGAGTACCCGGGCAGATCGGGGCGATCCACATCCCTGTCGATTGGCGCACTCACGAACTGCTGCTCCATGGATCGCGTCATTATTGGTCTCGTCCGAGAGGCGGCTTCCACTAGGTTGGTACCATTCCATTTTGATTCTTAGCGTGTTCGGCCCAGGGCGACAATTCGCCTCAAGGGGGAAGTCGTCGTTGAGTCCTAGAGAGAGAGAGAGAGAGAGAGAGAGAGAGAGAGGTCGTGTTGGGCCCGCATTAACGAGGATCCGGAGCCGTCCAGGCACGTTCCTCCCGGTGGAATTGAGTCAGGACCTCATTTTTCTGATTCGCGGGGCTTTTGCCATTCGGCATCTACAGCCGTTACACATGTCGTGATTCCCAATAGTTGAAACGGTTAAACCTCAGATCATCTCCTTTGGGGAAGAGATCCGATGAATAGCCGAAAACGACCGCGTGAGGAGGCACCGGTGCGGCGATGATCGGCGGGTTTGGAGATCCAGGACCTCCTAAAGTGGGGATCGGCCTGGGGGAGGGCTTATCTGAGGCTTCTGGGCGACCTAACCGTAAATCAAATGGGGTTCGGGGACTGACCCCATCGAGGTTGATCCGGTAGACATGGTTCTGGTATCGTGGTCGGGTGGAAATCTCGATAGATCACCTTGCACGTCGGTTGGGAGACAACATCTGATTTTAAATAGTGTGCTGTGCGAATCAATCTCAGACAAAGAGCGCTGTCAGCTGTCACGGAATGAGATGATCAGTCGAATCTGCGTCTTTGTTGAACCGGGCATGCGCCAAGTGCTCCATTAGGGATAGTTTCTTGTTTGGTTGGAGATGCCAATGATCCACTCCCAATGCTCTGAGGATCGTCGATCCGGAATTCCCACGTCAAGCATCTCGTCAGGATCGACGAGCACGTTGACAGACCCGACACCATGGAAAATGAAAGTGGGGTTTCATCCAGACCAGACCCAGAGACCTAGAGACCCTGAGTTGTTGGTCTGTTCATATCGCTCCTCCCCGGGAACCACTTCTCCACTTCTTGACTAAGTGATCCTGCTTTTATTGTCTTTTCCACGGACTAATTTCCCCCCCTATCGTATATATCCTGGACCTCCCCAACCTCCAACCATCTCCATCAACATCACGAACCACTGCAACCACTCTGTACTACCGCTTTTTCTCTTCATTCCTTTTCTTACCCACTGAAAAGGATGAAGACGTCCATTTCCTCTGATGTGTGGGAGAAGAAGAAGGCCTTGATTGCCAAGTTATACATGGAAGAAGAATGGCCATTGAAACAAGTCATCAAGCAAATTCGGAGCGATGATTTCAATCCAAGGTCAGTCTCTTCCCCTTGGTCTGAGAAATCTTTCTGCTCACACATCCTCCAGTGAAACACAATTGCGCAGTCGCTTGAAGAAATGGCGGGTCACCAAACCATCGCGCCAGACTCGCAAGAAACCCAACACAGATGATGACGACTCAGACAAGGATGTCAAGAGATCTTCGACTTCCCCCCGCACGCGCCGGCCAGCGCCCGTGAACACGGAGAAGTCCCGCCCCAGCTGGGCCAGTGCATACCCAGCATACGCTCCACCAGAGCTTCAATCCAACGATCATTCCAAGTGGACCGCATCACTGCCATCGCAGTTGACCCCCAGCCCATCGGGCGAGCACGGCCTCATGGTAGGGAGACCATCCGTGTCCTACGACCACAGCCCGACCTCCGCATCCTTTGACCAACCCGCCCAGACCTCCCCAGTGGACGAGGCACTCATGCTCAACACCAGCTCAGTCCTTACCCCCCCCTACGCGGGATATCCTCTCTCGCCCGACTCCGGTGTCCCCAGTCCCGGATCTAGCACGGCCGCAATGTCATGGCCAAATCGCGCCGTGTCCGTTGACATGGGCCTCAATCCTGCCTTGCACCCGGGTCAGTGGTATCCCATGCCGTTTGAACCCATCACTCCACCTCCAGGTGTGGCCCATGCCCACATGCCGCCTCCAGGATACCGGGACCACATGTCTATGGCTCCCCCTGCCCCGGGCATTTTCTCTCCGGAGTTTGCTTCATACCCTGGTGAGGTACAGGACTACCACCATGGGTATGATCCGAAGCCGTGGAAGCGCTCTATGTCGCTCCACTACGACTATGCCGGACATTCTTCTGCTCGCCCGGACGCTGAGCGAAAGTACCCGCATGGTCACCCACCGGGTATGGTGCCTATTCCTACTCAGTCTCCGCATAATATCATGTGTGCACCGCTTCTTCCGTACATGGGGCAGGAACCTATGGCGCACAAGCAGCACCCTGGTGTGGGATACTGAGATTCCTTGATACCTGTTTACCTTTTTGCTTTCCTTCTGAACATTTTCTCCTTACTGTGTGAAAATGGATGTATCCAATAGATATTGTGTATGACTTACTGGTGTTGAACTATGGGTGGTTGTTTGATGTTTTTGGAGTTTGGCGGGCATTTGTCCTTTGATACCTCTTGAATTGACCTGTACTTGAACTGATTTGATTTCTGCATTGACCTGTTCTTATCTCTTTGTCTTATTTACTATATCCCAATTTTTTATCAGACTATATACATATTGCATATGACTTACTATCACCTCGAAACAAACACACATCCTACAATCCCAACTCCAACCAGATCAAATCCTAGATCAGATCCTAGATCAGATTGCCGAACTCATAGCCGATGAAGTACCAAAACCAAGAAACCTGGAAAACCATATGACGATTCAGCTTCCAAGAATCAACTTGAAACCCCTCAAACCCTTCCAAAGCAGCCTTATCCCAGTTTAGACAATCGTCCGTCTCAAGGGGAAACCACCGTTTTGCAACCAGGCCCCGTTTCATGTCTGGGCCCTTCATTTGCCAATTTTTGGTCAGATTAGCGAACCTTATCTTCTCCAACTACAGCCTCAAAAAGGGTCTGATCCACGATCCACCCGGGCCTCATTCCCTTTTGTTTACACGTGGCGAAGATCACGCCGTTTGGGGGGGCAATCGAAAGCTTAACTGGCGATCATCCAGTAAATCCCAGTCCCGGTTCCTAACGTCGCGATCGGATATAGTAGCCCTGATTAAACCACCGATTGAACTGGTCTGAAGTTTGAGGAGTTGCATCTTTGTTGATTTCTCAAATTCAATGATCTGAAGGGATCAGATGATATGAGTTGGAGAGGCGACTTTGGGGTGCAGTGTATCCTTGGAACTGCATAGCTCCAAATCCAGGTGGCCGGGTCGAGTGACTAAGCAACGGAATAATGTGGATCCGAGTCCGCGTCCCGTTATTTTTTCTTCCTTTCACTTTCGTCTCAATCTCTTCATTGTGGTTGCCAGAATCAGATGTTGACTTCTGTGTACACATGATGCTGAATACCTTATCTTTGAACACTAACCTTATCTAGTCAACTCTCTCTCTACTTGAGGGTCTTATCCCCATTAAAAAAATCATCCGCAACTCCTCAATCCAGCTGTTCCTGTCCTTTGGACTTTTCACGGACCCTTCCTGAAGGACGGTCTTCACAGCGTCGCGTCTTGTGGCCGTGATAGACTGGAGCTGGATTGCGCGTCTGGTTCCTTTTTCGAGATTTCTCGAAGGAGGGTTTCCGGGCGTTGCGTTCGAGTTGCTAGAACAAATCAGGGCCTTCATAGTTCATGTTTACTTGCTCGAGTTTTCCTCTTTCGGGAGGATTTTATGTTTTCTACGAGAGCATGACTCCTTGCGCACCTACATTCTTTTTTTTATTCCAGTTCAAGCTTGAAATTCAATTGATACGTCTGATTTATATACCTCTATGCTTTCATCCTTCCCTATACACTGGTCCCCCAAGCCTACAGCTTGCTCTGAGCCTTCTCATTACCAACCACATTCACCACGACCTTCCCCCAAGTCTCACGACCACCCAGCGCCTTCAAAGCTCCGGGCACACTCTCCAAACCAGCAAAAGTCTCATCCTTAAACGCTGTTCCCCGGAACTGACCCTTGGCAACAAGATCAAAAATCCCCTTCCACACCTCCTTTACCGTCTCCGTCTCAAACTTCGCATACATCCCCCAATGAAGTCCAACCAAACTCACATTCTTCAACAAAACCCGATTCAACGCAACCTTCTCAATCTTCCCAGCCGCAAACCCAATGACCAATAACCGCGCATTCCACGCCACACACTTCAAACTGGCATCAATCAAGCCCACAGGATCATAAACAATATCAACGCCCGCCTTGCCATTTCCACTCCTCTTTTCAGCACAAAGCTTCTTCACTTCCTCCGGCCACGCCTTGTCATTATAATCAATAACATAGTCAGCCCCAAACTCAACCGCAATCTCCCTCTTCCGCTTGGTGCCGGCAGTAGCAATAACAGTCGCACCCTTGGCCTTGGCAATCTGCACAGCAGCTAGCCCGACACCACCAGCGGCAGCATGAACAAGAACCCAGTCACCTTCTTTCACACCGGCACGGTGCACTAGGGCTCCATAGGACGTAGGCGCCGTAACGAATAACCCGGCTGCATCCTCGAAACTCCAACCCTGCGGCACGGGGAGTAAGGATGCCTCCGGCGCGAGGATATGAGTTGCGTAAGCACCCTGAATAGCACCGAAGACTCGCTCACCGACTTTGAATCGGGAGTTAGGTGCGGAAGTTGGGACGGCGAGGATCGTTCCTGCGAACTCGGAACCGCCGATCCAAGGCAGGGGAGGCTGGTGCTGATATTTTCCTTGGATCTGCAGGATATCGAAGAAATTGGTACCGGCCGAGTGGATCTCGATGAGGTACTTGTCTGATGCTGGTGATGGGGTAGGAATGGTCGAGACTTTGAGCTCGAGGGGTCCCTGGAAATCTGTTAGTTGAGCCGAGGTAGGAGGTATTGAATCGACGCACCTTGACGTATTCACTGACTTGGACTGCGCGCATCTTGATTTAATTGATGTCTGTGGAATATAGGGAAAGTCAAGTTGAGGACGTTGGGATAAATTATGGGAAAAGATGATGGGGGTTTCCCCGCGTGATATGCCGAGGTTGCTCGGATAAGCAATCCACTTTTTACCTTGGTAGAGTCTAGATCGACTTCAGCTCCACGATTTCAGCCCGAACTCAACTTCGACTTGTAATGTTCATAGGCTACAGATAAATTTGTCGTAAATGACTTTGATCTGGTACTATAGTCAAGCTATCATCAAATGTCCTCGGTATCTACGACAAGTGCTTGAGTACGAACTCAGAACTTCATGCTTGCAGATCTTGCTGCTCTTCAGCTCCGTCTCCTAATTTAATAACTCTGGTGTCCCTGATGTCCCTGATGAGGGCGATACAAGCATACCACCTGGACTTGAAACTTCGATATGCTTGACAACCTATTTGCTTCTCCATCCAATTCACTTGGTCCTGTGACTGACAGCGCAGCAGAATTGTAACGTCACGGATGAAGGTTATATCGACTTATCTGTATGAAGGGAATAATATGGTAGCTTTCTAGTAAGACTGAAAAATAGCAGATTCATACCTTTATAATGGATACGATTACTCGAGGCCAGAAAAGAGGTACCAAGAGTGACATTATCAAGCCAATGTCATGAAAACTGTAGAGAGGGTAGCAAGTCGACCACGCGTATCGAATTGGTAGTTCGGGGACCTGGATGTGGTACACAAGGAATGTTGCTAATCTACCACGATTCCTAGCTTTCTCGGCCTTCAAAATTTGAGCCCTACATACTCCTTGACCACTTTTCTCCTGTACTCTTCTCCTTCGACTCTTTACAACCAATCTACTGAACTTACTTTTTTTGCATCCACGAATCTTGAGAATACTCGTGCACTGATACCCAACGTAGACTAGCCATTAATCTCAGAAATCTCAAGTGATGTGCCCAAAAGTCTTTGGAAGCTTAGCAGATTACTGACTTCATATCCCAGCTTTCGGTCTTACGTAGCTCCCAGATTTTGCTGCTTCAATGCGAACCAGAAAGGCGAATAAATCCAAGAATCTGACACAGTGAAAATGTATTTGTGGGTATGTCAAACAACACGCGTAGCTAAACATCGAAGAAAAGACATTAAATCGTGAGCATCATGGTTCATAATCCAAAAATCCATATATAGATCAAATTAAATCGTTAAATCAATGATACCGCTCGCGCATATGAACAAGCGCAGTCCAACCCTGACAACAAGCTTTACTCATGCCATGCGCACACCAGCAGCATTGATGCCGGGAAACAGGTCCCTGCTGAGGAGGTATCGCAGGGCCACCCCCAGGCCTTGGCTGCCCATTAGGAGGCCCGCGCCTCGGAACAGGCATCCGTCGCGGATCATCAGGATCCGAAGAGAAAATCGAGTTCTTCCCCGAATTTCGTCGTGAAAATGTTCTTGCTAACCTAGATCCCGGCGGAAGGCGTTCCGGACTGGAAAATTTGGCATACACCTCTGATGGCATATCGTGCCAGTACTTGCATTGACAACAGATGACAAACAGTTTGGCGAGAACGTCGTCTGATCGAGGTGGTTTCATCTTTTGCATGGGGTTTTTGCGTAGCATGCTTAAGGGTCCAGAGGCTAATGGGGGTTTTGTGCGGGGACCGATGGGACCTCTGGGTATTTCTTTCATTGTAGCGTCTTCTGCGGGAACGGTGGGCTTCGGTTCTTTGGGTTCGGGGGCTGGGAGGGATGTTCGTTTCGATCGTGGAGGTACGTCGAGCTTTTCTTCGTCGGCTGTATTGTAGCTTGATGCTTGCGATGAGATCGATGACCGTCTATGGTCTGGGCTATTCCAGCCCACTGGAGAGATTCCTCCGTCGGTGACCCTGCGCGGAGAGAGGTGATGAATTTGGGACTCTTTGGAGCCCTGTTGTGCATCACCTAAGGCATGCTCTGCCGGGTTCTTATTGCTTGTCCACTTGGGAGTGTGATCTTCAAGACTATGTCGACCCGGGTGCTTGGGAGGAGCTATCGCATGAGAGTGCCTGGATTCTCCCGGCATTTGTCGCTCCTGGTATTCTGTTCGAGAATTGCGGCTCTCCTGCTGAGCTTCGTTCCCAGTCAATGGCCATGCTCCATATGAGTCCCGTTTGGCACTAGGACTAGCCCTATTTGGCTGAAATTGAGTATTTTCGGGCGTGGAGACTGCTGTCGATTGTTGATTGCGCCCCTGGGGCTCCTCAAATTGAGGAATCTTTGAGATTCGCAAGGGCTTGGGCAAATCCAGGTTCTTTCGTAGCGAAGGGTCGACATTTGATGACTCGGTCGGGCTGTCAGGGATGTTTGGGTTCATGGCTAAAGGTGAGGATTTGTACGCTCTTTGATGACTTTGCGGAGTCGTTTCCACACGGTTCCTCGGAGGGTATTGTTCGACAGATATGGGTGACTGGATATTCACTGTGCTGTATGAAGTAGGCGATTCCTCTGACATCGTGCTAGAGAATTCACGCAGCTGCTGCACGGTTGTGATACGCATAGCCGAGGGGTCGTCTTGTGGAACACTCTCTGGAGTGGTTTTCGAAGACAGACCCGCCTGATAGGTCGGGTCTCCGGCGCTTGAAGAGCCAGTATTGGGGGTCTTAGGGGTCTGCCTCCTGTTCTTTGAAGTTAAAGATAATTCTTGGTCAAGATCTGTTCCATACAATGATACTCGAGGGGATTGCTGTCCCCCGGCCATGTTCTCAGGCTGGATAAGACCTGCACCGGCCTGGCCCTGTGTCTTCTGCCACTCCTCGGCCATCTTCCAGTTTTCTCGAAGATCGTCTGACTTTATTGGGGTATGGTGTAAGCGCTGCGCTTTCTGAGGCTGAGATGAGACTGATCGAGAAGATTGTTTTGATGCGAGCTGACTCGCAGGGATCAAGGTGGTTCCGTGTCGGGTCGCTAACTCCCGTGAGACATCAGCCCCAAAACGTTCCTCTAGTGCCAATGGGATTGATGGTGCAACAGGAGCTGCTGGATTTGTATCAGTGGAGCCACGGGTAGATTCAGCGTCACTTTCATTCCCTGATTGGGAGCCCCGACGAGAGCGCGTAAAGAATCGCGTAAGAGATGACGACCTCAATCGCGAACTGCCAGCACTGGATGAACGTTCCGAGCTCCCTTTTTGTTTCTTGACCAAGCGGCGGGAGTTGCGATCAAAGTTGGCAAAATCCTGCTGGGTCTGGGATTGCTCTATTTTAAGCATACGCTTCTCCATCTCTTTCCTCTCTGCCTCCAGTCGCTTGGTCGCTCGCCTCTCGTTCCGTGGTTTCTCTTTTCCCCATGTTGGCGAGGAGCATTTCCGATCGCCTTCTGTCGCGTGCTTAGCCTCCGTTGTCATTTGCGTGGAGTCCTCGTCCTTGGGGGCTGCGTGAACAGATGCGCTGGAGCCTGTAGTGCTGAGAGAAGGAATACGAGAGTCCGACGAGAAATTGAAGGAGCTGAGCGCTGCATCATCAGGCATCGATAGCGCGGCAGTTGCTGCTGACTTGGAATCATTGTCATCGCTCGGTCGAACTGAAACACGGGACAGGGTTGGCGGGGTGCCTGGTCCTACACTTTGGCGTTTCTGTAGCCGTTAACAGGAGTCTTCGCGACAGGCCTGGGAGGAGTCTCACCTTGTCTGTTTGATCCACTCGATCACCACTAAAGACGCGCTGGAAGCGTTCTGAGAAGGATGATCGACGTCTGCGGGGCGGATCGGCCGACATTGTGCCCAGTGAAGATAACGGTAGAGGCAGGCAGTAGGGGAGACATGAGAGTTGAAATCTCTCTATCACAGAAATCCCCTAAGGGTGTGGGACCGGAGTAGATTCCAAATCGCGCCACTGTGTGGTTTTGTGACACTGGAGATTTTCAGTGCACACATGTGAGACCTGCAGCTAAAGTACTATTCTTAGCCATTTTCCCTTTTTCTTAGTCACCACCTGTAGCTAACTAGTTAACTAGTAACTTAATCGATGTAGATCTGTCTTCTCGATTATTCGATTGTCTCACTATGTATAGAGATTGGGGGTTTATCTTTATTTCTTTAGTCATTTTCATTGCTATATGGCCCAACATAGCCGAGTTGAAAACACGACATCTCTAATTCTGGTCTACAGACAGGAATAGGAGAGGCAAACATGACATGGCAGCCATCATGATGATGAACTAGATTGTATTGATGAGAGACGCTATTCTTCCCAGGGTCCTTGCTCAGTAGAACGATCCACGGCTCATCCACACAGCCCCGCTTGGCGCCGTGGAAACCAGGTCAACCTTAAACCAACCGGGAACCGGAGCATTCACATCACAACTAGTCCAGTCTCCCAGCAAATAACTGCCTTCACCATCACAGCTATGAATAAAGCTATGGAGAAAATGAAATCCCACTTCTCTGCTGAGTCGGGCCCCCCACCCAGCTACGAGGAGACAACAAACGAGGGAGGTATTCGAGGTGACCCACCACCATACCACAACTGGCAAGAAGCCGTCCCGGACACCTCCATCTTCCCACCACCGCCAGTATCAGGATACTACAGCTCGGGCACAGGGAACGCATCCAGTGACGACGCAGAAAGAGCCCATGCGTTCTGCAATAATACTCCACTCTATATTCCGGCCCAACCCTCAGAAGCCGTCTACAGCGCAGTCCAACATCACGACATACGACCCGTAAAGGCAAATGAGTACAATGGCATTCTACAATCAACGGGCCAAGGTAAATGGCACGGCCGCACAGTAGACCGAAACGGAGACTGCCTAGTCTTAACGCATCTACCACTCTACTTTGCCGCCGCAGACTCACCCTTTATCCGCGAGACGCGCAAGACGATCTATTTCGAGGTGAAACTGCTAGCTCGCCGGGCTGGACCGGGCGGAAACACTGACGAAAGTGGCTTCTCCATCGGATTCGTGGCTCAGCCCTATCCCTCCTGGCGATCACCCGGCTGGGAGCGGGGAAGCCTGGGGATCTTTTCCGATGATGGGTGTCGATTTGTGAACGATTCGTGGGGCGGCCGGGACTTTACTTCCCCTGTTAATGTAGGTGAGACCGTTGGGGTTGGCATGGTGTTTTCCCTTCCTGAGTTTAGCGGCAATGCGAAACAAGGGATCAAGGCGAGGGTGGAGGTGTTTTTCACCCGGAATGGTCATCGGGCCGGGGGGTGGGACTTGCACGAGGAGGTGGATGAAGAATCCGGGGGAATCGGTGGGCTGGAAGGCGATTTTGATCTTTATGGGGCCATCGGGCTGTTTGGTGGCGTCGACTTTGAATCTTGCTTTGACCCTGCAGGTTGGCTTTGGCAGCCTGCGTAGATGCGTCATGTTTCTAGAATGCTGCCAAGTCCATGTCTAGTGGGCAGAGCTGAGATCGAGGGACTGAGTTTGAAGAGAGCTCTGCTCGGACGTGTATTGCCTCGCCATCGGTTTCAAGGACTGGTCTGGGCCCTATTGATTACCTTACTTTGCAAATATGCGTTGCATCCTTCAGGTCTAGATCACCTATGGAACATGATATTCTGACCAGATAAACTCCCATCACACGATCTCTCCCCATGGGAGTTTCTATACTTAGCATATCCCACAGTTACCGGGCTGATTATAATATCCGAGCTGACACGGGGTCAGTGGCCATGCGCCTATCCCGACAGCCAGCTAAGCATTCATGTACGCACCGGAGACTAGGCACGTACATGCATGGTCCTAGAAAGGTATCGATGACCACCCCTCAAGGAATTCATCCGAGTAGAGGCGCGTATTAGTGTGCCGGGGGGAAGTCAGAGCTGCATTCCCGCCATGCAGCGCAGAGCGAGATTGACCAGGGGCATGTAATCCTTCCGCCTCCAGGTCTGGACGCCCCAAGTTAATCGAGGTGCATGAACAGTAGAAGGGAATTTGACGTCACCATGCACCTGCATCTCCGACACGAGTACAGTATCTAGCTCGTGTATATCTCGCGAATATCCGGAATGTCGGTTATGGGAGAATCTGGGCCGAGGACAAGACCATCTAGGCAAGGACTTGCGAAAGGAACGTGTTTCTGATTACGACAGATGTTTAAGATTGGGGTTTTCGTGCTTTGTGCATCCAGACCGTCGGTAGCGAAGCACTGCCTGGTTGTTCGCGGTTCGCAAGTTCTCAAAGCAGCCTCATGCTTTTTTCGGGCTTCGGCGAGCGGCCTGAACGCCGTTTTGCTTTTCCTGGGAACGCAATGACCGCTCTAGAGCTGCATGCAATGCGCGCACTGACGAAAAGGACAAAGAATCCGTCAACAGAGGCTAATAAGCCCCTGTCAACGACATCTGCACCCGTGGATTCCAGAAGTACTGTAGATTGTAACTAGTACTTTTTGAGTCATTGGTACATCAAGATGGCTGCGGACTTATTTCCACCAAGTACTATCAACGCATTACTAGCCATTACATATTCATGTTTACAAACAGATTGCGCCATCCTTCCCCTGCGTTTCCTCTTCGTGTCGAGTCGGAGATCGGCAACAAGCTCTTGAATTACTAAAGCAAAATTACCTGGTAGATAGAACGGGGACCGAAGCCGGTAATTGAGCCGACAGTATGCCACGGTTGCAGCAGCTGCAGCCAACTAGGCAGCCTCCTGCAGCTAGAGGATCATAGCGACAGGTTAGCGGGGAGCGGTTGGTTCTCGACGTCGTATCAATGAGAGCCTCCGGAGAATGGGGGGATCTGACACGGGACAATGCGCGCGATGGGGCCCCCTGCAGGTTGTGGAGAGTTTTGTCGGCCGTTGCCACCAGATCGCGCTACCCATTCAGATACCAGGTGGATGCTGACCACGTCTCATGAGGACCAAGAGTGGAGTAAGGAGAACAGGAAACAGAAGAAAAATCACAGAAAGTGTTCTCCGGTGTGGATTGCACGTGTTGTTATACAGAGTCAGAGTACTTTGGCAAGTCAGAAGCGAATCCACTTGAGTACATATTTTTTCCTCCCTGTAAGTGAGTAACGCACGCTCACTGGACGATCTGGGCGTCCCTCCCTAAACAGGAAATAGTAGCTGGTGGCATGCTCGGTCAGCCATTCGTCGGAACTAGTTGACGGTGGCTAATCGGCTTGTCAGCGCTAAAGGCCAAGACCAGAGGGCGAGAGGGGAAAAGCCGTCTGATCGACCTGCATGTCATTTCCGTGTCAAATTTGCTTTTTTGATGATCATAAACTGGAATTTGACATCCCACACTCCCACGGATTTCGATTCCTTTTCGCATGCATTTACTTCCCACGGAACCTTCCTTTCTCTACGAAAACTACATTGACCGAGCACTGGCCATGACACGTTCTCATGAAATGGCTCGGCCACTCCCGGGATAACAAGTGGACATGAAGGGACGCTACGGGTATTTGTGTGGAAAGTGTGGAGTCTAGACAATGGAGAGTCCGTGCAGCCGAGATACGCGTCTGTTTCACTCCTTTGATCTCCACAGTACAGTTCGGCCGAAGCCGTACAGAAATGGGGTGATGCACGATAGAACCCAAAAAAAAAAAGAAAACGAGAGAGAATCAAAAATACATGGCGTGTTTTCTCTGATTTCTCACGAAACTCCGTGCCGTTGCCACTGGGGAAAAACGGGCCTGTGCTGTAGCGAACCCCGTTGGGAAAGAGCTAAAGTACCTTAGGTGGGCAGCGTCAGGGCGTGATTTTAACTCTGCAGTGGACGGAGTATGCTACCAGGCCGATCATGGCCGAGCGCATGTCCACAATGCACGGGAAAGATCCAGCAATTCCCCATTCAGCGGGTTGCATGGTGCTTTGGCCAAGTCCGTTAAGGCTCCGTCAGCTTCGATTAGACGCGGTAGTGGGGGGACCTGGTTCTATAAGTCCCACGGATATACTCCGTGTAGCCGGGTAGAGACTACTCGAGGCCGGTCTGGTCGATTCAGCGACGGTGCAGGTCGCAACGACAGGTACACGGGCCGAAAATGCGTTCTGGGGTGCCAGCCCGCTGGGTCGCCTAAAAACACTTTCTGGCTTTGTTAGGGGTCGCCTTGTTTTTTGCTCGAGTTGCCTTCATACTTTATCCAGAGTTCTCGTATGCTTTTTACTCCTGTAATCTTGCCCCACCTAAGCTTGGAGGGACGAATTAGGTGACGATCGACCGCTAGAATTCCCCTTCGCTTGCGAAACCAACTTCACGAGGAATAGTTCACTGGCAGTACGGAAGTGGATTTGACCGATGCACGTTAAAATTAAGAAATCCATATTGTGGCACAAGGCGTTCGAATCACGGCCGATCATTGTCGCAGGACGAATAGGGACAAAAGGTACGAGAATGGGTCCTCAGTCCGCTAGTATAGGGCAGCTTTGGCAGTTTTCAGTTAAGTCCAGACTCAGAGTAATTTGGTTTCGTTCTTCCACTAATAGGATCCGGCGATAATACTGCATAATGATCATATAATCGAATCATAAAGTGATATGCTGATCCCAGAAAAGGTTTTGGTGGGCTGGGCACCAATGAAGATCCACCCGGAGGGGGGGAGGGAAGAGGGGAACCGGAGATGTTCTCCCTGGCCCCCATGTTCTGCCGATTTTTCCTTTTTCTCTTGATTTGATATTTCTTTTATTTTTTCGTCCTTTTGCCTTAATTTATTTTTTCGTTTTCCTGCATCAGGAACTACAGTAGTTAGTTCGATCGGATTGGTACCTGCGACACTGTTCGGTCAAGTGCTCCTGGTTGCCTTAGAATGTCCTGGTTCAGCTGATCGTCTCGTTCCATGGATTCACATTCGCCCTAAAAACTAAAATTGGACAATACGATACCACGAACTAAGCAAATCATATAGAGCTAAGACCGAACTAAGTTATATTACTATCTGACGGCGTAATACCCATGTACTTTACCCGCTCCGCTGCATGGACCATCCCTCTCCACTCTTGAATGCCTCTAGATCCAGGGTCTCTGACGCACGAGGCAAAACTACACCTGCAGCACACTCAAAACGACAACGGGCACTGGGGCGTTGTTTTTTTTAGCTGGTCTTTTGTATTTGAATTTATATTTTGGTCTTTTGGTATTGTAGCATGTGCTCTATAATTTAAATCTCCTGTCCGGGTCTCGTCGACCCTCTTTTCTCTTTTTTTTTTATTCTGATCTCCTCCCTTTCCTTTCGAATTCCTTGGGCTGGTTGAGGAAGCCGTGTCTTCCCCGACATTCGTTTTTCAATTTGCTTCCTCTTTGCCGACCAGCCCGTCCTATCTCCCCGTTCATTCTGGGAACAATTGGAGCCACACAGGTGAGTCGTCTTGTCCAACCTCCCTCAGGAATCCTAGCTAATCGAATGCACGGTTGTTTTTTTAAAGTGGAATTGGGAAAAGCGAATTATCTATAACGGCGCAAGACGACCAAATCCTACCCCGGAGAAATTCTAAGCTTGAAAAAAAAACCCCCACCCTCCGAAACCAAAAAAGGGACGTTATAAAACATCATGGCCTTTCCATTCCTGCGGGCCTTTGTGGTGCTCTTGTGAGTTTGGGACCCCAATCTATTTGTCAATTGGTGGCGGCTGACCGGGTGATCATCAGTGTGTATCGCTACTTCCGCCTCGTGGTGAATTTGGTTTCTTTCTGGACATTCAAGCCGATCCCGCCCCCGGAATCCCCGAAATTGACCTCCCAAGATGTCTCGGTTATTATCCCCTCCTTGGAAGGCTGCGGGGAGGAACTGGTAGAAACCATCCGATCGATTTTAGAAAACCAACCCTTCGAGATTCTCCTGGTTACAATCGAGGCCAATCGGAAGAAGGCCGAAAGAATGTTGAGCGTGATGCCGGCGTCTAAGTCCCGAATTCGCCTCTTTACCGTCACGCACCCCAACAAGCGCCGCCAGATGACCAGGGCCATTCCGGAGGTCCGCACGGCAATCACCTTGCTGGCCGACGACGACGTGAGCTGGCCGACGACCGTGCTGCCCTGGATTCTGGCTCCATTTGAAAAAGACGACCGATATGGCGGCGTGGTGACCTGCCAGCGTCTGCGTCGAGCTATCTCGCCAACCCTCTCACAGCGCATCTGGGGGTTCCTGGGAGCTTTGTATCTGGAACGACGCAACTTTGATTGCGGGGCTACAACAAATCTGGATGGAGGGTTGCCGTGCATGTCGGGCCGGACGGTGGCTTATCGGACTAAGATTCTCCAGGACGAAGGTTTTACATATGCCTTTACCAACGAGGAGTGGTGGTGGGGGAAGTACCAGCTCAATGCCGACGACGATAACTTCATCACCCGCTGGATGGTTTCCCATGGCTGGGAGACCTACATGCAGTATCACCCGGAAGCAGAGGTGCTCACTACATTGGAGGATAACCCCCGATTTCTGAAGCAATGCGCGCGTTGGTCCCGAAGCAATTGGCGGAGCAATCTGTCCAGTATGTTCCACGAGAAGCACATTTGGTAGTAAGTGCCATTCTGTTTTCCTCTTTCTTGTTTTTATTTTATTTTATGTTCTTTCTTGTTTTTTTTTGTGGTCCTTCTTTTTATTTGGTGGCAGGTCCTCGGAGATGGCCTCATGGTGCGTGCGTCTGTTGTGCATGATGCATCTGTATCTGCACTCACACAAGCCAAGGACCCGAAAGGGACTGTGGGTAACCAGAACGCCATGTCCGGGGGAAAAACATGAGCATTGGCCTTGTCGGGGTATCCGAGTCCTTTGCCTTTTTTCTTTTGCCCTGTGATGTATGAATTCTATTTTCTTTCAGCCGCTAACTTGGATTCTAGTCGTCAACCCTGGAGCTCATATGCCGTACACCTAACAACTTTGTCGCCTCCCGCTCTCCTGGGTGACCTGTTATTGGTTTGGCTGTGCCACCGAGGGACCGCTCCGTGGGGTGATGTTCTTCATAATCGGGCCATGAACATGCTCCTCCTGTGGGTGTTTACGAGCAAATTCATTAAGCTTCTGGGTCATTATATCCGGTATCCGGTCGATGTCTTCCTTTTGCCTGTCTCCGTGCTCTTTGGTTATTTCCACGGCGCAATCAAGATGTACGCGGTCATGACACTCAATGTGGTAAGTAATTTGGTTTCCGGGTCAATAGCACAATACAAGTCGCTTTACTCCGATTGCCCCTCCCCTTATGACACGCCGCTTTGATCACGACTCCTCCTTCTTGCAGCAACTTACCCACTATCTTCCCGTGCGACCTTTTCGGCGCTTTTTTTTTTTGCCCCTCCGGTCGTTGCCTCATTTGACGGATCTGAATTCCGTTTCTCATACATTTCCTGGGATTTTCGCTGACTGTACATTACAGACCACATGGGGTAGCCGTGATGGCGCTGATGATTATGACGCGGAGCGCATGAAGAAACGGACTGCTGCCGATCGCAAAAAGCAGCCTTACCCTTACTACCCCAGCTATCTCACCAGATAAGACGGGGGGAGACTCGAAATCAACGGGCATGTGGCCCTGGAAATCCTTACGATGAAATGCCGTGACGACCAATCGACGTTCGAACTTTTGAACCCGCTTTTTTTCTTTCGTTTCGCCGATTCTAGATCCAGCGCTTTGATTTTTGTGCCTTTGCATGAAGGATCCTGTTTCAGCACCTTCTCGGATTCGACAGCAACGGATCCGCAATGCCTCAGCTCCGGCATTCCCACGGCTTTATTTCTATTTTTTTCTTTTTATTTCTCTTCTTTTTTCTCTTTTTCCCCCCCCCTTTCATTGCACATGGTTTTCAAACCGAGAAAAGGGCGGGCTTCGAGCTTCACAGTCTTTTTTTTGATTGATCTTCTTGTAAATTACAAAAGCATGGGCGGTTCTCGTCGTTTTGCTCTTTTCAATTTGCGTCTGTTCAAGCTGGTTTGATTCCCCGGGATTCTTTTTTTCTCTGGTAGCATTTCAACATTTCTATCTTTTTCTTTGGGATTTAGATTCAAGGGAGGTTTTACGATTGCTGGATTGCTGTGGAATAATCTCTAATCAACTGACTTATGCGCATGACCTGGAGTCCTTGTCGTATATATCCTTGAATCCCCATATTGGGAACTCCGGTGCTGAATCGGGGTGCGGGGAAACACGCATAAATGAAACCTACGACACTATCATAGGTAGAGCCCTTGACCAAAATCCTCAGTTCTCTGATCGGGGCATGATAAAAAGAGAGTCAATTTTCATTCAAAGTGGGCAATGGAACTCTGAATGATATCATGATAGCTGCGTGATCGAAGGTTTGACATAATCCTGATGCAATGCTGCAGTAGCTTCGGGATACCGTGCTACTACCTGTAAAACTCAATGCTAATGATCGACACCGCTGAAAGAGTAGAAATTCAGAAGAACCTGGAGTAGAAGTACAAAGGTGGTGTGTAAGCAAGTGCGCGGACCAGGAACAATCGGGCCGAGATTCGAAAAAGTTCCAGTTCCGCAACTTCTTCCCCGGACAACCCTTGTCTTCTTTAACACTTCCAGCATGACTACTATTCGTGCTGCGTTACCACAGCTTTCCTCCGCCGTGCGACGCAATGCTGCACGCCAATTCCACTCTTCCCCCTTCCGTGCCGCCGTTCCACACCCGATCACGGCACATGGTCCCCCGCCTAAAGCTCCGGCGCCATCAGCGGAATATAAGAGTAAAGCCCGCCAATCGGAAAATGTGCCATCTGCAGGAGAGGAATTACCATCACGATTAACCAAGCCTTCCCCGCTGAAGTCACGATTCTGGAAAGATGTCCACGTGCACGGCAAAGCTGGTATGTTTGGACTCAGCCCACTGGAGCGCGGACGATGGCCTGGAATTAACGATGGATCTGTCTGAACAGGAGAATACCAAGTACTGCTCGATAAGCGCCCCGTGAGGACCCCGAACAAGGACATTCTCTCAATACCTCCCACCAAGCCTCAACTGGCGCACGCGATCGCCCTCGAGTGGGATGTGATGACATCTGCCCAACAAGCTCTCAAGAGCCATTTGATCCCCTTGACCTCCCTAGCAGCCCGCGCTGAAGATATCGTTCGCGAAGATGCCCGGGGCGAAAGCACCACCCGAGACCAGATCGTCAACACCGCCATGCGATACCTGGAAACGGATACTCTGCTCTGTTGGGAGCCGGAGCGACAAGCTGGATTGTTTGGACGAATGGAGGCGAATGGGGAAAATACTGAGACTCTGCGCGAGATTCAAATCCGCGTTTCCAAGGATATCATGAGCTTCTTGTCCACCAAGGTCTGGCCTGGGTTGGAGATCAAGCCCATCCTCGATACAGACAGTATCCTCCCAGTGTCGCAGCCACCCACCACTAAGGATACTATCCAAGGTTGGGTGTCGCAGCTGGCTCCCCATGATCTGGCTGGCTTGGAGCGAGGCATTCTGGCTTCGAAGAGTCTGCTGGTGGCTGTGCGTCTGCTGGTGGAATGGAGTGAAAACTTCCGCCACATCCAGCGGTCTCAAGAGAAGAAGTTCGGTCTGGATGAGGCGGCCGAGGCCTCGAGCTTGGAGGTCAAGTGGCAGACGGACATGTGGGGCGAAGTTGAGGATACTCACGATGTGGCCAAGGAGGACATGAAGCGACAACTGGGTAGTGTCGTCATTTTGGTCAGTGGCGAGACTCGATAGATGATGATCAAGCTGTACTATATTTGTTCCATTATATAGCAATCTATGTAACCTGTATATTCTCCTAGCTTTCAATGGGTGGGATCATAAAACATAGATTCTTGATATCTACGGGGGCGCCAAGAGCCGTGATCGACCCCTTCCCCCCCCCCAAAGAGAGCTTCTCTTTTAATACCCCTAATTTCCCACTTGTTCGTGTTAAATTCTCCATGCTTCTGTCCTGATTACTATACCCCACGTATCCGACGGGGCATCTAAATATGTCTGAGAGACCTGAAGGGTGAGTTTCGTTTATTTGCCCTTTCCCACTGTCAACTACTAGGACCCATGGTTCCCCGGTTCCCCATGACCTCGTGGGGGTTCTAGGCATCGCTTGTCAGGTTGCAAGAGAGATATACACTTCAGAGGCAAAATCACAAAGACAATAGAACCGCGCAAAATCCCTCGTGGAAAGAGCGATCTACACCGCATTCTTCGCTCCTTGGGCACTTTCATGTGACTGACCCCATGTTGTCTCGCAGGCATAAGCGCTCTCGCAGCTCCATAGCGCTTTCTCTTCTACACCGCGATAAATCCCGCGGCGAGGACAAGAACCAAGACGACACTGACACAAACCCAACCGGGACAGTTTCGACGAATGGCTCCTCCCCATTGACCCACGCCCGCAGTCTTAGCCGTCACAGCCGCCGTAAACCTGCTTTCGACCCGAGCCCATCCCCCGCAAATCCAGCCATCCTCGAAGATACCCCTCTCGACCAGAGCTCCCAGGACATCGACGGAATGGACAGCGTAACCTCCGCGCCCCAGGCGGAGAGCGCTAGCATGTCTCTAGACCAGTCGGTGCGGACATTCCGTCTGTTTGAGGTTCTGCGTGGTGGCGATACCAATGCGATCGCCAAAGCCATCGAAGAGGCCAAGGATCCCCAGGTAGCCAATAACCTGTATGGAACGACCATTCTTCATCTGGCTCTGCAGTGCGCCGAGCCCCAGGTGGTGGAGTTTGTGTTATCTACAGGCACTGGGCTAGATATCAACGCGCGCGATCGCGAAGGCAACACCCCGCTTCACCTGGCAGCCCAGCTGGGACGGGTCTCGTTAGTACGTGACTTGTTGAACAGACCCGAGGTTAACGACGCCATTGTCAACTATCGGGGCCAAACTCCCCTCGACGCCGCACGAACCCCGGAGATCTTCCAGCAGCTGCAACTCGCTCGGTCCCTCTTTATCGATAGCAAGACCCAGGAAATCCAAGCCCTGATCAGCAAGAGGGAATATGAAAATCTCGAGAAGCTACTGGAGGAACCCCGCGCTGAGGGCCTTTTGGATGTAAATAGCCTGGAAATGGTGACCGATCGAGCCACTGTGCAATCGGGCGGCACGTTGTTGCATGAGGGTGCTCGCAATAAAGATGCGCAGCTCATTCAGATTCTCCTCACCCACGGAGCTGACCCCTTCCGTCGTGACAAGAAGGGCAAGCTGCCCCAGGATGTCACCAAGGATGACAAGACCCGGGCACTTCTGAAAAAATCTCCGGCGGCTGCGATTGCGCAGCGTGGCATCCAGGAGAAGGCTATTCTTGGGAACAGCAATGCTCAAGGCCTGTCTAGTCGTACCTCTATTGGGGAGGCACCATTGGCCGGTAAGGATGCGCGTGAGATGAGAGGTTATCTCAAAAAATGGACCAACTACACAAGTGGTTACAAGCTGCGATGGTTTGTGCTCGAAGATGGTGTATTGAGCTATTATAAGCATCAGGGTATGTTCTCCCCAAAGCATGAGGCTGTTGCTGGTATTGCTATTTTAGGCTTGACAAAAAGCTAATCAAATCTTGCAGATGATGCTGGCTCTGCTTGTCGTGGAGCTATCAACATGAAGATCGCTAGACTCAACATGGACGCCCAGGACAAGACCCGCTTTGAAATTCATGGCAAGTCATCGGTCAAGTACCACTTGAAGGCGAATCATGTCGTGGAAGCCAAGCGTTGGTTCTGGTCTCTGAACAACGCAATTCAGTGGGCCAAAGATGAAGCCAAGGAGGAAGAGCGACAACGTTCGAAGACCGCTGAGGCGCTTCGCCTAGCCAAGATAGATCAGTCCGGAGACACTCCCTCCGAATCTGGTCTTAGCCGCAAAACGAGCGGTAGGGGTCCACCTCCCTCGTCCCTTGGAATTCCTGGCGGCAGCTTCACCAGAGTCAGTACGCATGCGTCGCGCACGACGCTCGAAACTTCACCCGCGGAGGAAGATGAATCTGCTTACGGGTCGGTGGATCAGGGTACTGGTCCCAACGAGGTGAACCGAGTGCTTAGCCACATAACCACCGCGCCCGATGGAGATGACGACGATGATTTCAACGACTATGCTTCCAGCCATGAGGATATGCCCGCCAATGATAAGGACGCCCTAAACATTACCGCGCAATCTGCGAAACTTCAATTGGATCTTCTTGCAAATGTTTCCGCTTCTCTGCAGGCTGAGCGGACCAAAAACCCCGAAATGGCCATCGCGGATCCAGCCATCGAGCAAGCTCTTACTGCTTATGAGGGTGCTGTCAGTAGTCTCAAAGGCTTAGTTCAAAATCTCCTTAAGATCTCACGGGACCGCGACTCCTACTGGCAGTATCGCTTGAACCGCGAGGAACATCTTCGTCGCATGTGGGAGGAGAGCATGGCTCGCGTTGCTCAAGAGCACGAGGAGCTGCAGTCCAAGATGGGCGAGTCTGAAGAAAAGCGCAAGCGTACTAAGCGAGCTTTGAAGGAGGCGCTAGAAAATGCGACTGGCAGTAGTCGCTCCATCAGCGGCGCACCGTCGCGTATGCCAACGGAACCCTCTAGCGTCATAGAGACGAGCCAGTCGGAGATTCGTGACTCTGAGCCGGCTTCTCAAGATGATCATTCCAGTCAGGTCGCAACAGCGCCCATTCCTCTCACTCGGAAACCCTCCGGGCTTTCTCGTATCAGCAGTCTATATGATTCCGAGTCAGATGGAGACGAGTTCTTTGATGCCATCGATGCTGGTGAAATTGAAGTGGAGGATTTCAGCCAAGCCACCGAGACCCAAGAGCCCGAGGAACCCGAGGATGAGAGTGCTCTGGCCCGGAAAGAGAAGGCCTCTGTGATCAAGCCCTCTTTCAAGGGTTACGAAGACCCTGTGCGACAGAGACTTAAAATGGACAGTGATGACCGGCCTAGAATCTCGCTCTGGGGAATTCTAAAGTCTATGATCGGTAAGGACATGACAAAGATGACCTTGCCCGTGTCCTTCAACGAACCGACTTCATTACTTCAGCGAGTTGCGGAGGATCTGGAGTACACCGACCTTCTTGATATTGCCGCCGATCGATCCGACTCTATGGAGCGTCTTCTATATGTGGCGTCTTACGCTGCTAGTGAATATGCCTCAACCATTGGACGTGTGGCCAAGCCTTTCAACCCTCTGCTCGGTGAAACGTTCGAGTATGTGCGTCCTGACAAGGGCTACCGGTTCTTCGTCGAGCAGGTTAGCCATCATCCTCCAATCGGTGCGGCATGGGCAGAGTCTCCCAAGTGGGATTACTGGGTAAGTTCTTTAATTGCAAAATTTTGTCTTGTTACAAGCTGACGACGTTTCTACATGTAGGGTGAGTCCTCACTCAAGTCCAAGTTCTATGGCAAGTCATTCGACATCAATCTTCTGGGTACTTGGTTCTGCAAGCTGCGGCCATGCACCGGAGGCGAAGAATTGTATACCTGGAAGAAGGTAACATCTTCTGTGATTGGCATTATTACCGGTAATCCTACCGTGGACAATTATGGTTTGATGGAAATCAAGAATTGGACTACCGGCGAGGTCTGCTACCTTGACTTTAAGCCTCGTGGATGGAAAGCATCTTCGGCTTATCAGGTTAGCGGTAAGGTGGTTGACCGTGACGGTTCTCCGAAGTGGAGTATTGGTGGTCGATGGAATGACAAGATCTACGCTCGCCACACCCCAGGGTTCGAAGCACCGGTATCCGGCCAGGATCCCGAATCAGCGAAGACATTGTTGGTTTGGCAAGCCCATGAGCGCCCCAAGGGTGTGCCATTTAACCTGACTCCTTTCGTCATCACTTTGAATGCCCTTCCCGACAACCTGCGGCCTTGGTTGCCTCCTACCGACACCCGCTTACGCCCTGACCAGCGTGCCATGGAGGACGGCGCGTATGACTTTGCTGCTGATGAAAAGCATCGTGTTGAGGAGAAGCAGCGCGCCAAGCGGAGAGAGCGGGAAGCCAAGGGTGAGGCCTATTCTCCCCAGTACTTCACTCGGGCCAAATGTCCCATCACTGGGGAGGAGTACTGGTCTCACAATGGTAAATATTGGTCCAGCAGAGATGCCCAGGACTGGAGTCTCGCTGAGGATATTTTCTGATTGGAAAAGCAAATTTGGTGAGTATGAGGGACCGAGGAAAATACTTCTTGTTCAAATCGCTCCGCATTAGAGCGCAAGTGAGGATTTCGTCCTTTCTAGTACTTCATTTTCGAGGTGGACTGTAACTGTGTTATGTATAAGACCTTTTTCGCATTACCCACGAATACACGATTAAGCATTGGCTATATTCTAGTCAATTGATGTCGATCGACCATGGATTACTTGTAATTTGTAGCATGAAACGGTTTTGAGTGTTATGAGGCATATGAATTCGGAATTGAAGCTCCAATACACCTGATATACATGATCCCGAACTCCACTCCCTGTCACGTGCACGGGATCATTTGAGGAAAAACGACCAGTTCAACCATCAGCCCACTCACTTTCCTCTGAATCATCCCCCCCAACTCACAATGGCAGGTGGTTACACTTGTACCCAATGCCTCCAGGTGCTCCGTCAGGGAGTCCGCGCCCCTGCGCCCTCGGCTCGCCTGCAGACCCTCGCCCATTCGCGTCGGAGATATGCGTCTCCGTGGATTCGCAGCTTTGGCTCAGGACGTCACAACCGTCCATTGGATAAATCACCAGAATTGAGCCAGGGCACCGGCAAATCTGCCACGATCAAGCCTAACTCCCCATCTCTTGCAAACCGAGCCGCCTCCACGGCCTCCGGATCCTCCATCGATTCACGAGCTATCTTGCAACCGGATAACCTCTTCCATTCGTTCTCCAACTCTCCCTCGCCCGCTATCCGAAAACGCGCTGCCTACATTAAGGAACATGCCCACTGTCCTCACCCCAGTCACGCACAGACCCGTGCTCCTATGTCACCGCATGACCCGGAAGCACGAAAGACTCAAGACGAAGCCAGCTTGCCCCCAGCCCACTCGCATTTCGAATGCCCTGACTGTGGTATCCCTGTCTATTGCTCCGAGGGTCACTGGATGGATGACTTCGAGGCTCATTTGGAAGTCTGTGATACTCTTCGCCAGATCAACGAGGATGACCACGATCTGCACTCCGGCCGCTTCTTCCCTGAATTCAATTATCCCGGTGTTCAGGATGATAACTTCGTGATCAACATGACGAACTGGGATACCTTCATGTACACACGCGAGTTTGAGGCGGTTAATTCCGATCGCTCTATGCGTCAGGTTACTCGGATGCTCACTTACCCGCAGACTATTGCCAGTGTTCTGCACGAGCTTAGTCCGTATAACGTCCGAAGCAAGAACCAGCTGACACCCGAGGGATTGAAGAGTTTGAGCGGTATGTTTGAATTGCAAACCTAGGCGGCTACTGCGCCCTGGTTAATGTCACCTTACTAACGGGAGCTTCTCATGTTTAGCTCTCCGATACTCTCTGCACCCTCCCCGTACCGGTGAAGACGTCGACGTGAAAGGCCTGCGCCTGAAGGCCCCGCCAGTCCGACTCTTTATCCTCGGTGCCCGTGCGGAATCCTCTCTGCCCCGTGAAGTCTGGCTGCAGCTCCAGTACATGTTCCCCCGCTCCCTGCTGCACTTGATTTTCATCGGCCCCGAGAGTATGACCAACCGCGACGCCGAATACCCACTGCCAGAGCGCACACCCGCGAATCCATTCGGTGGAATCATCGAGGACCGCCTGGGTGGCCAGATGAAGATCACCACCTACGTTGACTACTTCCACACCATGTACAAGGCCAACTACTTCCAACCCTTCGATCCTTACCTGGATTGCTTCATGCTCTTCCACCCCGGTCTGGGCCACCCGGCTAGCTCAGCAGAGTGGGAGGAAACCCTCCCACAACTGCTTGAGACCAAGGTCCCCATTCTCTGCACTGGATACACACAGTGGGATATGGAACGCGATATCAAGTGGGTCAATGAGAAGTGTGCCGGCGAATTCGACATGCTTCTCGAGCCTGGCGAGAACATCTTCCGCAGTTTGCGTTGGGATCTGAATGACCAGGACCCGCATGATGTTTCATGTGGTAACTGGGGTCTGTGGGGATTCCGAGGCAAGAGGTATGTTATCACCTTTCCATGAATGTTATTCTACAGCTTTGCTAATGTCTGATATAGATACGAGGCCACTTTTAAGAGCGAGAGCGAATAAGTACCGCCGCTTCCTGTATGATATTACTTGATTATTTTCTGGAGTCTCCAATTGAGTTGGAGACGTGTAGTAGATAGACATCCTAGTCCTCTCCGAACTATGTATTATGTTTTGCGAATCACGTGCCAGTCCTCATCTGACGGGTACGTAGAAGGACTAGTGGCCGTTGAGCCTCGTATTTCGAATCTTAGACCAAGCTAGCAGGTGATTATCGAATTAAGGACCCACTAGGTTAAATGAGGATAAACTTTGCACATGTCCTCAGTGGGAGTCAAACAAAGTACGGAAAATCTACATTGGAACAAAATGACATCCAAGCCAGCAAAGATGAGTCCATCAAAGCCGCAAAAGGCAGATTAATTCCCGGATCAATCCAAAAATCGCTCAAAAAAATTATAAAAAAACATGGATGACATCAAAATAAAGAGATTAGAAGAAAAGAAAAAGGGTATAGGCATGAAGAATTCGGAGAACACATCACAGCAGCCGTGTACATCGGATGCAATAATAAGAGAATATATATGAACTCAAGGTGGGCAACCTCGAAAGAAAGAAAAAGCCCTATAGTTCTGAACCAAAAGAAATTTAGTGACCATCCGAGATGGTATGTGACCGACGGCCTATGGATATAGCCGCGGGAATCTGCAAAGCAGGTAGGTGTTGATCCTCAAGATCCCACGCGTCAAACGCGCATATTCACGATTGGGTCCCTAGACCATCAGCAGACCGGCGACAGCAAGGACACCAGCGACGGCGCCAGGGAGCGTGCGCGAGGCGGAACCAGACGCGGGGGATGAAGCGGCGGCAGAAGCGGCGGCGGCCTGGGTAGCTTCGGTGGAGCCAGCGGTGGGCTGAGCCTCGATGGGGGCGGTGGTAGCCTTGATTAGAGGGGTGGAGCTGGGCTTGACGGTGAAGCTGGAGCTGGGGGTAGCGCTCGGGCTCGAGGTGTAAGGAGTGCTGGTGTGCAGAGGAGTAGAAGTTGAGAATGAGGTCGAGGTTGAGGTTGGGCAAGGAGTCGAGGTGCTAGGGGTGTAGCCCGAAGGAACCAGGGTCATAGTCTTGGTGACTGTGATGGCAGGCGCGGTGACGGTCTCTGCAGCGAGAGCGATGGGAGCAAGGAGGAGAACGATAGTCTTGAAGAAGTGCATGATTGCGGTTGTTTATAGTTTGAAGTGGGGTTTTGAGTGCTTTTGAGAATGATCTGGAAATCCGGTGGAAAAAAGAGTGAATGGAGCTGGGAGAAAAGAATGCGACAGCCCGTGTGCTTGGAGAGATCAAAAACGAATGGCACTGAGATCAGTGAAGAAGGAAAGAAGAGAAGACTGTTTTGCTAGGGGGCGGAAGCGGGAAATGAAGCCCAATCTTAGGGAAGGGCACTTGTCTGTGTTGGGTTTAGCGGCAGACGTAACCGCCCCAGCGACCAGTGGAATGTGCAATGACTCCATGATAACAACATTCGCTTAAAAAAGAAAAAGGAGGTATGATGTGACATTTCATTGATCAGTAGTGTAAAAATGCAGCAATGATTCCACCGGGGGTATCCGAAACAAATTGCATGGAGCTTATCAAACCAAGCCCATATGTACAAGCAAGCAGTCGTCAGAACTCATTAAAGCACCCGTTAGGGGCTTGGCGGCATGCGCAATCCTAGCAGCCTAGTAGAGCTGGGCAATTATAGAGCGTAAGCCAAGAGAAACAAAAGCAACAGCGAAAAAGAAAAAAAAATAAAAATCATCCAGAAAATTAGAACGGTCATGCATAATCGTGCAGTTTTCGTCGGCTCCTTTGGCCCCATCTTCGGTTCGTTAGATACTCCACACCGTAGCAAGTACCACAGCGGCTGTTGCCCAATACCCACTGGCCTGCAACATGGTCGCCATGGCTGCTGAGGCGGCAGAGCTGTCAGCAGCAGTGGTTCCATTGGCCAGAGTGCCGTTGATGTAGATTTTCTCCGTGCCATTGACCGTGGCCACGCTCACCACGCTGGTATTCTTGGGCTGGGTGCCGTTGAACAAAGACTCGTAATAGGTGCTGTTGTTGTTCTCGTCGCAACCACACTCCTGATACTCCTCACACAGACATGCCACCGGCAACGACGAATTCTTGTTGTTGTCCTCGTTGACGTAGTGATAGCTGTCGTTGTAATTATACATGTAGGCGGGATGATACCAAAGGCCGGGGAAGAAAGCCAAAGCGGCCACTGGTAACAAGAATGGAGTGATTCCTAGTGCCGAAGTTGCGCCGGCTCGATAGGGCGTAGTTGCGCCTCCCGCGTAATATCTGTTCGCACCGTAAGTTCTGTGTTTTGGACGCATTGGAGAACTGGTCCCTGCGTAGGACGAGCCGGACCCATATCCCCCGTAGGATGAGCCAGACCCGTAACTGCTGCGAGTGGAGCCATATGTATCATAGTTTGAATTATCGTACCTTCCGCCGCCATAGGATGCGGCTGTGCCTGAGCCCTTGCTGGATGTTCCACCAGTATTGCTGGAAGAACTGGTTCTGCCCGACGAACCACTTGAGGAACTTCCGCTGCTTCCGCTGCCACTGCTGCTACTGCTGCTCCCAGAGCGACCCCCACTGCTTCCACCGCTGCTGCTGCTGCCGCTGCTGCTCCCTCCGCGACTACCACCACCACCACCACCGCGACGCTTCTCTAATTCCACATCATGGTTCTCAGGGACTTCAAAGATCTGGAGGTCTGTTTGAGAGTCTGTGGGTAAGGAGGCGACCCCGGTGGAGCACAGAAGAAACAGCGCGGTTGTCCAAGCCAACTTCATACTTTGTGAATATTTCCCGAATGTGTTTCGATAATGAAAGGGGTTGGATAACGAGGAACGGTGTTAGAAAAGCAAAAAGCAAAAAGCCAAGGAAAGAGAAACAAAGCAAGCTTTCTCTAAAAGGGAAAGTACTCGGGGGCTGCTTTGGGAGCGGAGACCCTGACGATCGCGAATACGAGCTGCACCGCCACTGGACTGTACACCGCGCAATTACTTCATTGGTCCACTGCCCCTCCAAGGCGCAGTGCGACAGTAGTACGATGTAAGCATAAGCATCCTTTATGACATATGCATGGTATCAATGGCTCATGCTGCGCCCACGTATGAGCCAATCAGCTTACAAGACATGTGGATTTCAAGGATTGGTGTAATCATATTCCTAATCCTCGTAAGAGACTCCATACATTTATCCATTCAGCCTCATATCGTATGCGCCACAGGACATCATGTTGTAGAGGAATTATTGTAGAAGTCAAGAGAAAAGGTTTCTCATAGTCCAAAAACAATCTGAGCAAAAATCCTCATTCAGATGATTATTCATACTAGTTAATTAATAGCGCCTAAATTCTAGGGCAGTTATTGGCGGTCGGGGATTAGGTACTGATCAACCCAATCTCTCAGGGACCTTGGGGTTCAACTCTTCTTCCTTTCAACACCCTTGTTCTTGCTTTCTTCATGCGTCCCAGGGGTCTCTCTGCCGCCTCTTCCGTCTCCTCAGTTCCTGACCAAGATCAGGTAAAGTTCCTTCCTTCCCCCTGAATCCCACTATCTGACCGTTCTCTAGGAACTGGGGAGCATGTACGATTACCTAGCCAAGGTAATTCTCCTGGGACCCAGTGGTGCGGGGAAGTAAGTGTCACCGAAAGCAGAAAAGAAAACGGTGATTTCTGACCGTTCGGGTCTAAACACAGATCCTGTGTGCTGCACCGATTCGTCAAGAATGAATGTACGATTACCACGAGACCTTCCCGATCGCATTTGGCTAACCTCTCCCTCCAGGGCGAGTGCTGTCATCACAGACTATCGGAGTCGAATTCTCTTCCCGCATCATTAAACTAGGCACCGGTTCAAGACGGAAACGCATCAAGCTCCAGCTTTGGGACACGGCCGGCACGGAACGTTTCCGATCCGTATCTCGATCCTATTATCGCGGTGCAGCCGGTGCCATTCTCATTTACGATGTCGCCTCCTACCCTTCCTTCGCTGCTCTTCCGACCTTCCTGATGGACGCGCGAGCCCTGGCCTCCCCGAACTTGACTGTCTTGCTAGCGGGGAACAAGGCCGATCTCGCCGATCAAACCTCCGAGGTCCCCGACGAGTCCACGCGACCACCACCGACGTCGTCGAGTAGCTCCAGCAAACAGTCCTCGTTGCCCTTCGACGCTAACAGCTCCATGCGCTCGACGAACTACCTGGGCGCGGGAACCCGTATGACTGCGACATTCGCCGAGGATCGGGAGGTGAGCCGGGAGGACACGGCTCGTTGGGCGGCGCAATCGAATATCCCAGTCGCTGTCGAGGTCTCCGCTCTGACCGGTGAAGGCGTGGAGGAGATCTTTCATCGACTTGCGCGAATTATACTCACGAAAATTGAGTTGGGTGAGATTGACCCAGATGATCCCCAAAGTGGCATCCAGTATGGGGATGGAGGACTCTATGGCCACGGTACCAGCGACGCCTCGAGCATTCGGAGCAAAGCCACATTAGATGAGAATGCTCTGCCTCTTCATCGATCCTCGCGGCGGCGAGGCAACAGGCCTGGCTCGGCAGGCTGGAAGGGTGGCATGAGAGAATGGGAAGATGTGTTTCGCTTGGGTGGTACTCAGTCCCGGCGAAACAAAGGATGTTGCTGATACCTATCGGGTGATCTCTTTTTATTTTGGTTACACTTGTTTTGAAATGTCTTTCGTTGAATCCCTGCACGATACCCCTCTTTTGACGTTCGTTCATGATTTTACAGATGCTTATTTATCACAGCCCACGATAATGGGGACTGACCCCAAGATATCGAGGGTAGACTTCTCCTAGTGGCTTCATGGACAAACTAATCGCATTATTCATTTTGGAATTCATCTTCTCATCTTTTATCTCATGAACCACAGACCGTCACATCATATAAACTAGGACTCACAACATCCATTACGCGTCAATCCCGGCAATGAGGGTTTTGATGCCATTTCCAGCCTTGACTCCCTTGAAAGCGTCCTCGGCCTCCTCAAACTTGACGGTTCCTGTGATCAAACTTTTCACGTCCACCCTGCCCGATGAAACCAGATCGACTGCTAGCTTGTAGTCACCGCTGCCGTAGCGGAAGCTTCCTCGGAGAGTCAGCTCCTTGGAGCAAGCAGCCATGATAGGGAACTGAATCTCGCTCCGGCCCATACCACCCTGCACGTAGGTGCCGCCGTTACGGAGGACATGGATACCGGTGTGCACCGACGGCTCCGCGCCGGAGGCATCAATAGCGACATCAGCACCAGCGCCCAAGTCATTCTCCTTAATTAACCGCTCAGCATTCTCTGTTGCGGGCACCATGCTAGGCATGAAAGTGGATGTGGTTGCGTATTTCTGAGCAAAGTCCAGACGAGGCTGCTGAATATCAACGGCAATAACCTTGGACGCTCCAAAGGCGGCTGCGACGGCACAGCACAGCAGACCAACGGGACCGGCACCAAAGACCACCACCGATTGTCCGGGGCTAACCCGAGCCTGTCGAACAATGTGAACGGCAACACTCAACGGCTCCATGAGAGCACCCTCCTGCAGGGACATGCTCTCGGGAAGCTTGTAGCAGAAATCCTCAGGCAGAACATAGTACTTGGCCAGGGTACCATCGTACGGGGGAGTCGCCGCAAAGACCATGTTCTCGCACAAGTTGTACTTTCCACCCTTGCAGGGTCCACACCGACGACAGCAGATACCGGGCTCCATAGCGACGCGGTCGCCCACCTTCAATGAGCTGACCGCCGATCCGACCTGGGTAATGATACCCGCGGACTCGTGGCCCAACACCATTGGGTCTTTGACCACGAATGAACCGATCGCACCGTGTTCCCAGTAGTGCACCTAGTGATCCGACGCCTCCAGTCAGCTATCATCCCTTGTCACACCGTACTTGCGCTACCCCGCATCGAACGATTGCACCTACATCGCTACCACAGATACCGGTATATTTGACATTGATCAACACATCGTGCGGGTTCTTCAGCTCTGGGATGGGACGGTCTTCGAATTTGACCTGGTGGATTCCTTGCAGGACAAAGGAGAGGTTCTAGTCTCGCCACGTTAGCCCAGTTGAGTGCGGAGAGGGCGGTGTAATTCGTTGATGCCCACTTACCTGTGCGGTGGAAGTCATTGTGAGAGGGGAGAATGTGTTGGATGAAAGAAAAAAAGGAGCAAGGACTTGGAAATAAATATCCAATACCGGCAAAATGTGGAATGAACCGAGCTGGTGCTCCCCGCAAGTACGGATGACCTGCCCCGAGTGGATCCAATTGGGATTTTACCCGCGGGGGACTTTTACCCGATTTTGCCTATGTCACCTTAACGCCACAATTGATCACGAGGAACCGTTGGTTTTTCGAGATTCGCATTGGAATTTGAGCGCGGTTATATTTGAATGACTATTGAAAATCATATCCACCTATCAAGAACTGGACTTATAGAGCTGTTCCACAGCTATACTAACGCACCCGATAACCAGCTTAATATATAATAGATACCACACTATGGCAGCTGTATTGCGAAAGAGACTACAGACATTACTAGAGAGATGTGAAACCAAGGTTCACCTGATATAACTATAAGCTTATAGCTTATAGATATACTAGTTGCTACTATGCGTAGGTCTGGGCCCGTGCGCGCCAAGCCTGTGCGGAGAATCGAATCTCGTGCTTCCGCCTCTTCACTCCGTCAGCTTTCGGATGCTTAGAGCTTCGCATTGCTCTTACATCCTCTAGCCATGGTGTTGCCACATTCCATCGCCCTCCGAGGGGCATTGCGCAGCCTTCGAGCTCGTCCACACCTCCCACAACAACGACCCTTCGGTGCATCGGCCCGATACCAAGCAAACGAGAAGCCGCAGGCATCCTTTAAGAGCCAGCTCTACGAGAGCACCCAACAACGTCTGAAGCGCGAGCGGGCCGAACAAGAACGCTTTGCGCAGTATCAGACTCAGTCTCCCGGTGGCCGATATGCCGCTTTAGTCTTCGGCAAGTCCCTCCGTCTTTCCCGAACGGGCCGTCGCTGATTTTGTTCTGCAGCCTTGGTCTTCTTTACCACCGGCTCTTACTATCTCGGATCGCTGAAGCCCGCTGCCCTTCCCAGCTCGTCTACAAGTCCACTTGTGGATCTAGAACCGGCTAGACATAATGTTTCCCCGTCCAACCTCCAGGCTGCTTGGTCCGATTTCGTGGAGATTCTGGGCAAAGAAAATGTCTCGACTACTCCCGGTGACCTCGAGTCGCACGCCGGCTCGGATTGGTCTTCCTACTCCCGGAAGGAAACTGAAAAGCCTTTCTTGATTCTCTACCCCTCTACCACTGAGGAGGTGTCCAAAATAATGAAGGTCTGCCACACGCGCGTTATCCCGGTTACCCCGTACTCGGGCGGCACAAGTCTGGAGGGTCATTTCGCTCCGACCCGTGGAGGTGTCTGCATTGATTTCCGTCGTATGGACCGTATCCTGCAGTTGAACAAGAGTGACCTCGACGTCGTGGTTCAGCCCGCACTGGGATGGGAGGAGCTGAACGAGGAGCTAGTCAAGGATGGACTCTTCTTCCCCCCGGACCCAGGTCCAGGTGCCATGATCGGCGGCATGGTTGGGACAGGTTGCTCAGGAACCAATGCGTACCGCTACGGAACGATGCGCGAGTGGGTTCTTTCGTTGACAGTAGTCCTGGCCGATGGAACAGTAATCAAGACCCGTCAACGCCCACGCAAGTCCAGTGCTGGGTATGACTTGACCCGGGTCTTCATTGGTAGCGAGGGCACTCTGGGTCTCGTAACAGAGGCAACCTTGAAACTGACCGTCCGTCCTCAGAGCGAGAATGTGGCTGTGGCCAGCTTCGCTAGCATTCAGAATGCCGCTGAGTGTGTGACTAAAGTGGTTGAGGCGGGTATACCTGTTGCTGGAGTGGAGATTCTTGATGATGTTCAGATGAAGTGCATCAACGCTAGCCAAACCACTAGCCGTCAGTGGAAGGAGTCTCCTACCATTTTCTTCAAGTTCACTGGAACCCCGTCGGCCGTGAAGGAACAGATTAGCATGGTTCAGAAACTCGCTTCTAGTGCCTCGGGCAAGTCTTTTGAATTTGCCCGTGGTGAGGAAGAAATGAAGGAACTCTGGAGTGCCCGCAAACAGGCTCTGTGGAGTGTGATGGCTATGCGCAGAGGACCCGAGGATCGCGTCTGGACAACCGACGTCGCTGTTCCTATGAGCAGACTGCCGGACATTATCGAAGCGACCAAGGCAGACATGACCAAGAGTGGATTGTTGGCTGGAATCTGTGGTCATGTCGGAGACGGAAACTTCCACGGTAAGCAATCTTGTTGAATATTTAACAAGAAAAAAAAATTACTGACTGAAAATCAGCGATTATCCTCTTCAATGAGAACGAGAAGAAGGTGGCCGAGGGAGTAATCCACCGCATGGTCAAGCGTGCCGTCGAGATGGAGGGAACCGTGACAGGAGAACACGGTGTCGGCCTCGTTAAGCGGGACTACCTTGCCCACGAACTGGGCGAGACTACAGTAGATGCCATGCGCCGAGTAAGTTCTCACAACGTTCTATTTCCGTCTACACTAAATCAAACTAACGTCTATGCAGTTGAAATTGGCTTTTGATCCCCTGCGTTTACTCAACTGCGACAAGGTTATCCGAACAGAGCAGCCAGCTCCTGGCGAGATCAAGGAGTGGTAGCGTTGTAGATATCTTCACAAAATATACCTAATCTGAATCCGAATCAGAATGCTCCTCGTGGTGATGGTGGTGATGGTGTCGGTGACGTCGATGAGAATGTTCCTCATCGCTACCACTTCCGGACCCTGAGCGATCTCTAGAATCCTCTCGAGGACGCCGTTCCACATACTCCACTCTCTCCTCGAATCTCCCGCCGTAGCCGTCTTGAGGTGGGTAGCTAGGTCTCTCATATTCGTCGAAACCACGTGGTGGTGGCGGTTGGCCGTAACCGGGTTGATAGCCTCTGTATAGAATTGTCAGCAACGAGAATCCCTCATCAATAGAGACATGAATAAAAAACCTACTGTTCAAATCCTCCGCCGTACCCGGGCTGTTCCATGGGAGGGAAAGCAGGACGTGGTGGTCCATAGTCGTAGCGCGACTCGGTCTGCACATACTCGGTCTGACTACTTTCATAGTATTCCTCACGTCGCTCCTGTCGATAATAGCCTCCACCCTCCTGCTGATACTGCTGATATTCCTCGCGTTGGTAGCCCTGCATGGGCGGAGGGTGCATGGGGGGATTAGGTGGATAATCAGGACGAGAATAACCACCAGCATAATATTGATCGGTACGCTGTGCATACCCATCACCGGAAGGATATTCCTCATGAGAATGAGACGGGAAATCGCCATCCGTCGACTCGTCTTCACGGCGACTGTGGTGGCGCCTGCGACGGCGAGAGTCACTATCACTATCATCTCGCTCCTCCGGACTTTGTCGACCATTGGCATCATTCAAAATCATCGATCCCATTCCACCAACAAGACCCCCAACCAGTCCGCCGAGAGCTCCTCCTCCCAACGCTTGCGAGGCAATGCCCTCGAGTCCATTGGACTGAGACTCGCCACCAGAGTTGTTGCTGACCTTGGGTAGAGCAAGAGGTTTTCCACAACCATGTCCACAGTCTTGAACACCTTCCTTGTGGTTTTTGCCCTCGAAAACACCATCCCGACTCAGCTGTTCGCGGAGACTGTCCTGCGCCTCGCTACCCTTCTCATTCCACCATTCTTCGACTGTGGAGAACATGATGCTGCGGATTTCGTTCGCGCCATCGTCCCCGTACTCGCGGAGAGCGGGGTGGTGGAACACACCGGAAATGATTCTGGTAAGTGTTCGGTCGATATCGGCGTCTTCATCGTCCCAGCATTGCATCAGCTGGGGAACTGTCCACTTGACAACGCTAGAAGCGATGCGTCCGGCTGGCTCGTTGAGCACGTTCGAGAAATGGTCTTTGGAAAGCATTGAATGGGTAGGGTTGGATGACGAGTCATCGTTGAAGACGATATGCTGTTGTTGCTGGCTACTCTGGATCACCTCCGAGGAACCAGTCTCCAGCTCGGATTTGACCTGCCGAATGATGGGGAGAACATAGGGAGCGATGACGGAGAAGACGAAAATCGTGATCTCGTTTTGAATTTGCTCAATCAGCTCCGGCAACACGGGGATCTTCTCAATCGCCTCGTTGATTGCTTTCAGCAGTTTGTCATGCCACTCCAGGACGGGATAAATTTGTTTCTGAACATCGTCGAGATAGCGAGTCCATTCCTCTGGCTCCCGTGGAGAGACCTCAGGGGTATTGTGCTTAGCCTCGTCGGCCTTTGCCTTGAAATCATCCATCTTGCTTGTCTCGGCACTATCGCCAAATAATCCGCTAGGAATCTTGCTCAGCAGTCCCTGCAGGACACTCTCCGAGGAATCATCATTTTCGGATTCGGCAATAACGCCTTCCAAAGACTGCATCTCCGATTGCATGGCTTTATCGGTAAATTCACCGAGCACCGAGTGGAAGAAATCGACTCCGCCAAAGGTTCCGGTCACAATGGGATAAACCAAGTCGCGCGCACCCTGGACTTCCAGCATCGTGTCACGCCCGACGTGCGGGAAGACATCAGTCTCTCCAAGCTCAATCAGACTCAGCTCGGTGTAGTTTGAATGAGCAGCATAATCCTCCAAGCAGTGCAAGCCTGTTCCCAACAATCGAAGGGCCTCGTATAGATCGTCCTTGTTTCCGGAACGAGCATAACGACGACCGTACTTGATCGAACGACCGAGAGTATTGCGGATCAGGTTGGCTGAGGTGTCGATACCCATATCCTCAGATGCAATGTAGTATTTCAGACCTGTGCGCGGGTCGATAGAGAGTTCCCGCTCCTCGTCCACCGGGCCACGCAGACGTGTGTCGTAGTTGCGTGCATCATCTCCCTCCGCATATCCCTGAGGATTATCGATATGTTCCGTAGGCTGATAACATCCAAGTCTTTCCGTGGTAACCTCAAACTCGCCAGTACCGTAGCTGTGATCTCATTAGCTGTATCCCTGGATCCTGAAGCTAGAAAACTCACCCAAAGCTCATGAAACCCAGCACCCAGATGAGAATACGGATAGCCTCCGCACTAACATATTTGACTGTGCCAACATCAACAGCCTGGCTATAATCCCGCAACCAGTTCCCAAAGTAAACGCGTTTCACATCCAACTTGCTAAACTTCTGTCCACCCGCTCCTCGAGCCAGGAAGAGGTTCAAAAGTGCATCTTCGATATCACCGTGGCGCCAGTTCTGGCCTTCGATCGAAGAAAGTGATGCAATGTTCCCCGCACCGAAGCCATATGCTTGGCCGGAGATGGCGAGGATAATGAAAAGAGAGAAACACAAGCTTTGTATGGATACACCCATGGTAGCTTTGGGGGTTGTGTTATGGTTGAGTGGGGGAGAGAGAAGAAATCACATTTGAAGATCACAGAAGAAAAGTCTGCCCAACGAGAGTGTACCCAGTTGTTTGGCGGGGAACGCAATTGATACGATTCTTGGCTGCAGTCCGTGTGACATTAGCCCCGTTTGGAGGCTTGGCGCGGGAGACGTTGGTTGGAAACTGGGCCACGAGTACAAGGGAAGTACTTCCCGGGTACATGTCTGTAGTAACTCATACCTTTTAGCGGTTAGATCGCGCAGATCATGTACTTCGGGAAGTCTATCTGACCTTTACAGTGAATGTGGGCAACTCTCTAGTACTTACAGGGCATGGGTTCGCCGATACTTGGGCAAGTAGTCCATGTAGATTCACTCTAGACCAGGAGATTTTATCGTTTGTCCATGGGCTTTCCATTCTTTTTGTCGGTAGCTAACCTAGTCTTGGCAATTAAAAGGTTGAAACCCATCTGAACGAAGTGTAAACGAGCGGAACTATAACTTTATGTGATGCCAAGGTTAGCTTATTCAAACATCTACCTTCTCAAGTCTACGTGGATGAATCCGTAATGTACTTTATTTAACAATACTTGAAATATATGCACTTAATCCGCAAATTCAAGGCTAAACCTCTTAAAGTAGACCGAGTGGTTCTACATCCATATTGGGTGAAACTCGTCCATAGATGCCGATGCCGTACGATACCGAGGTCTTGGCAGCGCTTGTGGCTTGGCGCGTTCATGCGGTGTAAAGCAGAAAACCTGACCAATGGAATTTGCAGATCTTGAATTATCAGCAGGACACCAATCTGACCTGCATATTGTGATGAAACTCTTTCTGTTTTGGTATTCACCCCTCGCCGCTTTTTGCTTAGAGTACAACTGAGCATGGAGGATATCAGGAATTAAGACGACCATGAAGTACTTCCCAAATATTCCTTGTATTCTTGAAAGAGTTCATGTCGCTCATTACTCCTTTTATGTAGCCGCGTGGGCGGAGAAACGCCTTTAGCCTACTTTTAAACCTGATTGATCGCCGTCACGACCTTTCATCATAGGGCTAACCGCCAAAAGCATGGCAGTCGCTGTCCATATCACTCAACTCCGAATGAATAAAGATTATGGAATGCAAACAGCAGCAAAGCAGCTACATCATGGCACTCCAGGTGCAATGCGCACTCCGCCGGCGTCATTCCAGTTCTCCGATCCCGAAACCTCGGATCTGCACCCTTGGCCAGCAGCAGCCCCACAGCAGTCTCTCTCCCATTTCTGACCGCAAAATGCAGTGGCATACTTCCCAATCCATCAACTACATTTGGGTTTGCCCCTGCCGCAAGCAAAAACCACATAGCTTCCTCCTGGCAATGCATTGTAGCTGAGTTCAGAGGTGTGCGCCCCTCCCAGGTAGTTGTCAATTCTATGTCTGCCCCTCGATCAAGCAGCGCCTCGAGCATATCAACTTTGCCTTTGTTGGCTGCTAGAGTCAATGGGGTCCCAGCCCCAATTTGCATGTTGACATCCTGTATTGCGTCCACCAAAAGCAGAGATGTTTCTATCTGTCCCGGTGCTGAACTAGAAATGGCAAGAATAAGAGCATCCGCCGCCTCTAGTTTGGGATCACTTCTTGCTTGAGCGATTATCGTTGCATAGAGATACTGCATTACGGCGACATGGCCATTGACTCCAGCTTTGGATAACGGTTTTTGTCCGTAACTGCCTCTTGCTAATACATCCGCTCCGGACTCGACTAGTAGCTTTGTAGCGCCGAGGTGGCCATTCTTAGCAGCCCAGTTGAGTGGGTAGGAATATTGTGCATATATGAGATTGGGGTATGCTCCAATATAAAACAGTATCAGTTTTATTGTTCCCTCATGATCATTCTTGACGGCTGCACTTAGAGGGTGAAGGATTTAGGAATTGGTCTAATGCAGGCCATGAATGACAAATATTCTGCTGCCAATTTGTCCAGATCCTGGATCTGCTGAAAAGAGATCAACCAAGTAGTAAGCACTGGATTCTGGGTTTCAGTGTATCGCCCGTCATCTTCAAATTCCTCACTCAACAGCTCGACTGCGTCTGTCTCTAACTCTTTCAACAATGATAGATAATCAGACAGCACGATCTTATTTTCATTCATATAAGCCGCAGCTTGGCTGATTGCAAGGGGCAAAAACTCAAGCTTCTCAAGGAGAGCAGTAGTTATAGAGTTGTCATGTAGTAGACCCTTTTGAATGAGAGCTTTGTCAAGTATCTCCATCGCAGTGGTTTGATCCACATCAGGGATCGATAGAACATTAGGTGATGCCACTCTCACAGCTAGCTTCCGATTGCGAGAGGTAAAGAGAGCATTCCCATTCTCACTGTGAGGAATAATATTTTTGAGCGGTGGTGCACTCGCGCTCCCCTTCGTCCACATTTCCATGTCGTCTGCGTTGTCAAATATCAGAAGCCACTTTCCGGCACTAGCTTGACTAAGATGAGCTCTGACTCCCTCTTTTATCTTCGCTGGCTCTATATTCGAAAGGCCTAGGGCCGAGGCAATTCTCACATAGGCTTGTTCTACACTCTCATAGCTGGTACATGGAATCCAAAAAATGGAGCATTCGGGGACCCTTTCTCGCATACGGTAGGCCAGCTCCAGAGCCATTTGTGTTTTCCCAATACCCCCTAGTCCATGAATAGCAACTTTCTTCGGGCCAGTTGCATGAATGATGAAATTTTCAATATAGTCGATCTCCTGTTGGCGACCAACAAATCGAGGGTTTCGAGCGAAGGGCACCATCCAGTGCCGGGCTTCTTTTGCGATACTGCTATGACTAGGACTGTATGGAGGGACTACTCCTAGGAGCGCTTTGGTGTAAGCAGCGGCAGTGAGAGCGGCGTATCCTTGCCATTGTTTGTGCTTATGTGAGTCGCAATAATCGCATATCCCTCTAACAACCAAGCATGGCAACTGATCCATCAGCCCGGCTGCTTCCATTTCAAAACAAAGGATATTCCACTCTCGGGCGATAGCGTCTCGCGTTGTAGCGCTTTTCATGACTTGGTTCCCTGATGCAATCAGACCGTAATGCACGACGGGGTCTTCAGATTTTCATGATAGACGCGCAACTAGCTGGTCTAGATCACACCTCGAGCAGTCAGCACTCTTGCTTTCATGGTCATAGCTCGCCTGGAACAACCAGTCTTGATCTGGACGTGAAAATTGTTCTCGAAGCCTCTCGTACTTTTGAAGTGTCTCTGATATGATATCTTCAATGACATTGACATTGGTGATCTGACTGCGTATTTGAGAAACTGCAGTTAGCAAATATTGCGGTGGCTTATTGAGCGACCCAGTGCGTTTGAAACGTCCGTCACGAAGTGCCTTCCCAAAGTCATACTGAATCACGCCCCCCGAAGTCGCAGTTGGCATGCTGATGACCACATCGCCTAGGCGAATGCCGGCATCTTTGCTCGGTACACCACCCCCAATGCCCACCATCAGCCCAAATCGAAGAGACGGAAACGTTGGAAGCATATGAGCTAGCACAACTGCTGCAGAGGTATTTCCGTAAACACCTGATGGCAGGCAGGTCACCACTACATTATGCCCACAAACGCTACCCAATGTGTAGGCGTTATGGTCGGTTTCGGGCTTGGACAGTTGAGGGTGGGGCTTGTCCAGCATCGTCTTAGCCGCCGTCATTTCCAGTGGCAAGGCGCAGATCCACGCGACCGTATAGTCGCCATGGGGTAAATGTCATTCTTGCTACCATCGGCCACCAAAGGATAGGCAAATTTTGAAGTAGCCCACGCTGAGTAGTACTCAGGAGACCCTCGAAGTGCTGAGATGCGAAATAGAGAGGTCAATAGACGGCCTTGGCTATCATTGACTAGATCAGGACTCAGTCTCACTAAATATAGGCCAGATACGAATCTAGAAAACCCATCCTATGTACCTACGGGGTATTCTATCCCTCGTCCCACAGGCGGTCCGACGGACACTGCCGGCTTCCTTCGATCAGAGTCTTTTTTAAGGTTTAATCTGACATCTTTTGCCATCTGTTTATTGATCGTATTTCCCAACACAATATCAGCTGAAGCATAACGAGATACCTCCAAGGAAGTTCCCTCCAGCACATAACATTCCCAGATACCATGTCTAATTTGGCTCAACTCTGTACTATACTATCGAAGAGCGGTAAATATATACTATGTCTACATACAAAAATGCACATATAACGTGCGGTGAATGGTGGGCCGAATGACCAGACCTGGGTTGAATGTAATGAAGTATGAATGATATAGAAGTCAAGTAGCTTATCGCCAAACAGGTGGTGGAGATAGCAAGAGCTCAAATAAAGCTTCATAGCAATATACCTCAAAGGTGGGTAGAAGAACTGATCTACAGCTCGTCCTTGATCTCTGGCGTTGGTTCCTTGACCGCGAAGTTTGAGGCGCAGGTGTAGCTCTCAGCTAGATTGGGATCGCCTTGACCATCGTACAACGAAACCAAAGGGAACTGACAGATATTTCGAGAGACAGTTGCACCATTTGCATTTGTAGTCTGTGCGGGCATTGTTTCTGGGGCCTTTCCTTCTTCCACCCAGGCAACTAGTTGACTCAACGGATCCACGGGAACAGGCCCAGTGCCCCCATGGCAATGTCCGACACCTGGCGCTAGAAAAATACGATAAAATTCGTCAATATCCTCCCCAGCCATAGTTTCCTTCACACGTTTGTAGTAATCGGTTGTTCCTTCAGGGAAGATGAGGGTATCACCCACGCCGTGCCACGTAAGTAATTTTCCACCTCGACGACTGAAGGCAGAGAGATCCGGATTATCAGTTCCGATGATATCATGATATTGAGCGGCTGAGTACGCAAAGATATCTTCATAGTCAGAATATGTTAGAGTCGAAGTGTTGAATGTTGGATCACGCTTGATGAAGAATTTGGTCCAGTTTTCGGATATTGGGAAGGGAATGCCAACACGCTTTCCATCGATTTGCGCATTCATAGCAAGGCCAACAACTTGAGTTTCGTCATAGTATGTCCCCCAAGCCAGTCCATACCAGAGAAATTCTCCATCTGCTGAGCGAGGGCCTTGGTGGAGTTTTTCGATTAGTGCAGCCATAGGCTCGGAGATGGTAGAGCTAGTCCCATCACAAGTGACCACACGACCCACCAAGCTGAATGGGTCAAATTTGCAGTCATTCTGGTTCTCAATGACGCCATCAACGACTCCATCGAGACCATCGCAGGCAGCGAGTGTCGCATTGATAAAAGCACTGTATTCGCATCTCGTGGGGAAGACCTGCTCTTGATTCATGATAAACTGGCCCCAGAGCTCAGCAGAAATGAATTTATGCCAATTGATAGCAGGGGCGTTCGCCATGATGCCATCAAAGTCTTCGGGGTACTTCTGAGCTTCCATGTATCCTTGCCTGCCACCGGTAGAGCAACCATTCCAGTAGGAATATTTGGGCGGCTTGCCATAGAAGGAGGTTGAAACAGATTTACCAACAATTGCCAAGTCATGAAGTGAGCGAGAGGCAAAATTGAGAAACAAGGACCAGTTGACATTTCCATCGCGGTCTAGTGCCCAGGTCTCTGGCGACTTTGAGTTTGGAATAAACCCTCCGTCTGTATGCGCTGCCGCATAGCCCTGGGAAACTGCAGCGTGAATTTCTTCTTCTCCATTGGTCATGGCAAAGCCTCCACCGCCGACAGCTTGGAATCGACCATTCCATCCTGTTAACGGCAGGGATATGTAGACATTGACTTTATCATTCTCTCCCAAATGTGTCAATGTGACAGTCACTTCACAGACGTCGACGTCCGGTGTGATAACCTCACCGCTGAGAGGATCTGAGCTTTCCAGTCGCTCTATGGCTGTAGTCGATAAGACCAGAGCACCGGGGACGTATGGCGCAAGCCCAGAGGAACACGGGGTTCTGGTCGCATGGGTCCCAGCTGCCAATGACGTAAAGGCAAGAGCCAGCAGAGGGAGTGATTCTCGTTTTCTCTTGAATATGAAAAGCATGTCGATGTTTCTCCTGGGATAAGATAGACTTAGCGGGGCGGTGAAAGAAGAGTGTCGTTTGATCGGAGATACCTCAGAAGACGGAGAACACACGGGATTGAACGACGAGAATACTGGACAGTTCCACAAGTCACAATGGCTATCTAAAATATGAGGATGATCCTGCATATATGTATTAGGGCGATCCGAGGGGTAAGCCCCTGTGCGATGCAGATGCAGGATCCCGATTCCCCGGTGCATACGCCAAGTGGGGCCGATTCCCCGCAAAGCTCGATTCGGCATCGGATCCCAGCTTCGGCTCAGTTGTATCTTTCCGTTCATCCTTGAGACATCATGGAGCTGAACATTGACACGAAACTGAACCATGACAGTGGAGAGAGGCAAATATAAAAAGCCACATTCTCATCGGGATTGAAATTCCCCATCTATTTGCTCATTATTCTATCATCTAGCTTAATATTTGTTCATCTTGGCCTATTGATCACAAAGTCATCTATGAATTGATAAATCATTCTCAGGCATAAAGTTTGAAACACACACGGTAAATATTCAGACATCTGCGTGGGTAGGCTGGGCGCTAATATCCACTCTGGACGTTCAGGGTGATGGTATTTTAGTTCAGCAGAACCGACGAATTGACGATACGAGGAGGTCTCAACTACTAGGGAGTCTTACCGGCGATAGCTGATCACTTGTCCAGCCGGCATGAATAGCCGGTCCGCTTTGACAGGAGTTTCACGGCACGGACAGACACCCGCCTTGGTCGCAGCAGTAGCATTGCAGGTCATGCGCCTCAGGTTAAGGTGACCGCCCATAGGTACTGAGCTTTAAAAGGTGTCGCTAGGAATATGGCACGCTGGAGCAACGAAGACGGGGCGATATTGGAGTGGTGTGCGCCAGGTGGTTTTTGGATATGGTGTCTCGGATCAAGCGTTAGAGAAGGGCTATATGTTATCTCATAACCTCCACCTGGCAGAACATAGATGCAGACATCTTATGATTTTATTTCATCAGGGCACGAGTTGGTTTTGCGAACACCTGTCTATTAGCCTTCCAGTAGTTGCTGCCGGTTCTATAAAGAGAGTGATCAGTGATAAAAATCCATCGGTCTCACATACGCCAAGCATGTCGACTCTGGAAGCGGAAAATGTCTCCGACAATATTTTGTTTTGAAAAGGGCTTCAGCCTATTTCAACATTGGAAGAGTCATGTTTGTAGACAATAGTCTTCCTTCTTGATCTTACAGCTCTTGCTCTAGACTCTTCTGCTCCAGGCCATCTGCTTCAAATAGCCAGTCTTGTGCAGAGTTTGACAATTTGACATTTCAGGGCAGCCCCATATCCGCCAAATGTGAGGTAAGTATGGGAAAAAACGGTTTTAAGACAATTAGGGTTCATTATCAGGAAATGCTGTGATGAGTTGGCAATTTCATTCCTACAGTGCGCTGCACAATCCACTGACGCCCGCCAGCCAGGGCAATCTCCTGACACATCGAGCTTTGATTGTAACCAAGGTCATCTATCAACTGCATATCATGTTCTGAGTGTGGGAAGCATGATGAATTCATTTTAGAAAGGCACGATTTTCAAGTAAAACTCCCCTCTTTCAATTCCAAAGCCTCTCATTTTTTCTATCTCTTCCCCTCCTTGTAAGCTGTATTATCATTGGATCCTGGCTACATATCAAACTGTGGCACCCTGCATGTGCTAGACTAACCGCTAGTTACCTTGCGTGGAGGAGCACTTACTACCTAAACTGATAAGCACTCGCGTGCCATTGATTAGTCACCAGTCATGTGAGCTTGGCATGAGCCCATGCTGACGTTTACGCCGTGATGCTATGCTGTAAGCGCCCTCGTAAAAGCGGCGGTGGGAAAGCCCCACCCAGACACATTGTGTTAGATGCATATTGGCTGTGCAAATTAAATCCGTTCATATGTCACGCGTTGTGCTCTGCATATTGATAAGGGGATCTAGACCAGACCATTCGCCTTTCAACTTTGACTACGATCAGAGGCAGAAAGTTAATGGAAGATGAGGTAATTATAAGAATCCTGGAGACCAATCATAATCATAACCAACTTGAAGTACTTACAGCCTCAGGTACTAAGAGAAGTGTAGGATTTGAATTTGGTTTAGTTGCTAAATCCTTGGAACTCGTTGCAACTCTCCGTGCTCCGTCTCCGCATGCGGGAATCTTCGGCTTCACCGCTCCCTATTTCTCCTCTTTTTACTCCGTACCTTACGATCTTCCCCTTGAAGTCTTTTTTTGTCTTTTTCGGGCTTTTTTCTTTTTCTTCATTTCCTTCTCCACTTGGGTTGACTTGTGTGTCGCCCAGCCTTCCAAGTAAGTGACTGGGGTTCGCGGTGTGCCTTATTGCGTATGCGCCAGTCGAACACACGGTCCTCAGCTTTGTGATCTTGACCTTGCGCCCCCGCGCTTACGCTCCACATCCATTTCCTTGATACTCGCACCCCAGTTCTCGTGCGCTGCATTCAAATCCTTCCCTAGACCCGGCTTCACCGACTGGTGACCGAACGAGGATTTTTCGCCGACTCTCCTATTCCGCGGTTACCAACACCACCATGCGCCGAGCCACTCGTTTCTGAGTTTCTCATTCGTGAAGAGTTGGGGAAACGGGCGATCATCATGGCTCGTACTGATATTCAATATGGTCGGGAGCCGGTGGTTCCGACTTCAAAAGGACGACTTTCCAGCGACTCCATGATACGATCATTCACCAAGAAAGATGCCCGCTCCATGTCGAGGGCAGGGACAGAGGCCTCCTGGGCCTCTAAGGGCGTCCCATCTCATTCAGATCTAGAGGGTGTTTTTGCGCCGGCTCCCTTTCCTGAATACGCCGATGCTCAGACTCCTGGGCACAGGGACCACGACTCGACCACTTCGACCAAAGTTCCCTCCAACGTGACACCTAGCGAACCATGGAGCTTGACACCCAATGACTCTTCTGAGGCGCTAGATCATCGCTCCAAGAGCAAGCACATAAAGCCCAAAGTTCACATCAAACCGATGCTTCGCAAGATGTCGCGTGATGATGCGCCGTCTACATCCATTGATCTGTCCCGCTCGTCAACCGAGCAGGAAGGGCTGGGCATCTACATGAGTATGGAGCGAGATCGGCGCCGAAGTGAATCGCTGACCGGACCGACATATCGACGGGCATCTGGCCTTCACCATCGATCCACCAGCGGAACCTCTCAATTTTCAACTGGAACCGGATCCAGCGGAGGCAGAGCAGGATCGCAATATGTCTATCCCCTGCGCCCAACCCCCAAGGCGTATACACCACCATTAAGCCAATCTTACCAAACATCTGGAAATGACAGCGATGAAGCAGACGAAGGCAGTTTTGAGTCTGAGTCCAGAGCCCCGCCTGCGTCAGACACTCCCCGCTACGTCCGTGCTTCTTCGGGGCCGGTTCCACGTTTGTCATTGCAAATTGAAGATGACTCGTTTATCCACCTCCCAGAGGTTTCCTCAACACATCTTCCTAGCCGGCCATCCTTCGGTTACTCACGAGATAATGGGAGCACATTGGATACAACATCGCCAATCTCAAGACCCTCTCTTGACTACGTGTTTCGCTCACGAACTCGCACCAGTACTGATCCAGTCTCTCGAGCGGCTACCGTCCAGGCTGCCCGGCAGGCATTTGAAGAAAAGGAGGCTGCTAAGGCTCGCCGGCTCGAGAAACAGCAGATGAAGTCCGAAGAAAGACGTCGCCGTGCCAAGCATAACTTGCCGGGAGACCAGGAGTCTCCAGCAGTGCAATCCAACGAGAATATTTCTGAGAAACCACCCAGGCCGCATGGCTCTCAGGGAGTTGGAGCAGATCAACAACCTTCGGCTTCATGGAAATCACAATCCAAAAGTACTTGGGTTCTCTTCATGACCTGGCTCCGGACCCGGGTGTTCAAATTTCGACGAAAGCTGCGAAAGATGAACTGATTTCCTCCTAACACTCCCGCCCCCCTTATTGTTGTCCCCTTTATCGGCTCTTTCATGTTCATAAACCAATCATCGAGCGATTTCATCTTTTTTGTTTTTTTACGCTGGGCATCTTTGCAGCTCTAGGGCTTCTATTCCACATGATTTCGGTGTCGAGGGAACCCAGGCGTTTTTGATAAGGATCTGTGCTGGCCATCAAAGGCAACATTCTTGGTTATTTTTGATCACAATTAGCAAATATGAAAAAACTACATCCACGCATATGTCGACCCTTAGACCTTCCAAGGTTGCTTGGTACATTGGAGTGAGGTGATCACGTGATCAAACTGCGCAAGTGTGACCTCTGCGTCGCCAGCCTTTTGCCATTCCCAAACACTACGGCGTACAGCAGCGACAACAAGCGTCTGATAAGAGCTCCGTTGCTTCATCGCGTTGTTGTTACCTCCTTAGGCGCACCTCCACGAGGGGGAAGGCGTCTCAATAATGGTGTACGACTGGGCAGGGAAGCGGGACATCTGCTTCCAGATGTACATCCAGGAAAAGAAGGGTCTGGAGGAGATCATGGAGTTCATGAGGACCGCTTATCAGTTTTCCCCGAGGTAAGCGATCGCGATTTCCAATGGTACATACCGTGTACCTGCCACAGAGCTAACCACGGTCGGTAACCAGTAAGCGTGCCTTCCAGACTCAGTTCAAACGATGGGGTTTCCCTTCGAAGCAGAACCCAGCCCATAAGAATGTCGAACTTGTCGCTCGAGTTCAACAGCTATGGGAGCAGAATACCAACCAGCGTGATATGCTTCGAGTCTTGAATGAGGAAGGCTTCGTGATTAAAGAACGAGAGTTAATGCGCGTGCGTGCGAAAAACCGGTGGCTTCTTCGAGTTCCCAACGGCATGAAATCCCAAGCGAACAACCCTGCATTGCACGAGACACAACCGGAGGACGAAGGCTTGTTGGCCCTACAGCAAGAGGTCTACAAACAAGATACAATTTTGGATGGTGCCGAGCCTCCACCTGCGGAAGTGTCCACATATGTCGAGGGATTTTCGACGTCACCGAGTTTGTCACCAGAGATCATAGCAAAACGCAAGGCAAGGCTGGACCGCCTGAAGTCGGAGAGCGCAGAGCGATGGGCATCCCGAAAGCGCCGACGTCGCACTCGTGGCTGGGCTGGACTTCCAGCAGATCCTCCAGGACCTCCACGATTCCCTTCGGAGACCACCATCGACGAGAGCAAGCAGTATCTCAGTCTGGACAACGTCATGTACCGCCAACTCCGCGATAGGTTTCAACGGATCTGCGAGGAGGCTGGATTCATAAAGAAAACAATTGCAGGCCCGGAAAAATGGCAAGCAGCGAAAGACAAACTGATTCAGGAAACCCCACACCTTCAGCAGGTTTTCAATACCGAGCCCAACGAGCGTGATGCGAAAGTTCTCGCTTTAGATGTTGTCTGCACGGATGTCACTAAACGGATGAGAACGTTAGAGCGGAGGATGACCATTGCCGAGGCAAAGAATGCCCTGGGTGTCAACCCTGAGGAAAGTCGTCAGATCCGGAATGCTTTCTACGACACCCTCAAAATGGACCATTTCACAAGCAAGCTGGAAGCAGGCGACGAGCACTGGAAGGAATTGAAAGCACAATGGATCCGTGATACACCTCTACTCCAGCGAATCCTGGAGCCCGGAGAGGCTGACCCTCACCACATAACCAAATTGAAAGCCATGGAGGTATTATGTCGCGACGTGATGAAACGACTGCGTGATGACCAAACCAAGCGGGACCCGGCCCGGAAGAGATCGCGTGCCGCATCGCGCGCCGAGTCACAGAACCCCACGCGGAGCAGCGCCACGCCTGTGAGCAATATTCTTGGGAATGAAATCAGCAATGGCATCAGCACACTGGCATCCCAAGCTCTTGCAAGTGCCCCAATTACCTCCAGTGAGATTGGGGATATGCAAATCGACCCTTCACTGCTCCAAGCAGCGAATGATCCTTCGTCTTATTCGTCCAATGCCCAACACGAAGCCGGCAGCGCCTTTGAATATATGGACCCCATGTTACACTCCGCGTTGCTCAACACCGATGTCATTCTCCAAATCCGTCCGCATAATAACCTCCCTGCAAATACTTCAAGAACCTGGACCGAGAAATTGAATTCTCGAACGCTTGAGGAAATCCGGCAATTAGTAGCCAACCGGTATCCATACTCAATCGTCAACAAGATCGAGGGAGTTGGTAAGGATGAACATGGGAACGACACCTCTTTTGGTATTGACGAAGATCATGAATTGGATGCTTATTTGACGCATGTGCATGAAAGAAAGCCTTTGCTGGTCTTAACGCTACAGGGTTGAGACTGTTCCTGTTGAGTCTATTTTAACTTCGATTTTTCCACTCTCCGAGTCTCTTCAAAGAAAATTAGGGCCATACAGCCCAAACTACACACATTATTAATGAATCCAATGAAGAAAATACGAGCATTTAAACTCACACAATTCCATTTCCAATCCGTTTTTGCTTGTTGGATGTAGCACATAAATAGCCTTCTCCGAGGGACAACGTCGACTATCAAGCGCAGGTACGTTACAAAGCATATACGGTGACGAGAATTCGCATATTTAGGCCTTGATGAGGACGACAGGACCAAAATCCATTTATAGGTACATAGATGACAAGATCGCCTATATCTCACATTTAAATAACAGTATCCTCCAGCCAGGCGTCATCTAATATTCAAAAATCTAACTGCTACCCAGCGTTTGAACGACATTCCGGAATAGAACACCAAGAGAGGGCAGCGAGAACGAAGGAGTCTCACCAAATACGCTAGCAAGCCCCTTATTTTGACCAAAAATATCTCCCTCAATAGCCTGCACGGGAGCTCTCTCCTGGCCCCGACTGAAGATAGTAGCCAGTCCCGATGTGAGTTGGCTAGTCACCTCAATCGGCTGTACGGTCTTTTGCGAAGCCTTATCCAGACATCCAACGCGCTGCACACTGGAGCCTGCATCAACGACGATGTAATCACCAGAGTATACATCGGCTAGAAGTGCGAGCGGGCAGCTTCCGAGAGTTTCTTGGAAGACAAGCTTTAGGGAGGAGATGTCGTGAATCCGGAGGTAAAAACGAGATTGACGCTTCTTCTTTTGTGTGCTCGAGTTCTCGAGCTCGTGACTGGCGATAGCGAATGTCTGGGTTCTGGGGTTGACAGCAACAAGCGGTTGAGTTGCTGCGTTGGCTGGGCTGGAGGATTCAGATAGCTGTGCGGGCTTGACGACATCATCAACTGTATCCCAGACTGCTACTGATCCTGCGGATGCAACCACTAGGTATTTACCGAGGAACTTGGCTGAGTAAGGAGTACCAAGGAAGACGCCGGTTCGTCGGTAATGGACTGTGCAGTTGTGGACATCGACCAGGAGGACAAGGCCGTCGTTTGCTCCAGATTCGGATGGCAAGCAGACAGCGAGAACTGAGCCATCCTCGGAGAAGCTCATGCAGGCCTGTTTCAGGGATGCACCTGCATCACTGAGACGGCCAGTCAAGTCAACCATGTTCCGGCATTTCCATGTATCCAATTGCTTCTCGCCATCGGTTTTGAGGCCACTTCGGTGGCGAGCGGTTGGGCACCAGAAACGAAGGACTGCATCTGCGCCAAGGGTTGCGAACTCGTGAGACTGGGGGCGAGCCACCAAGCCGAGCACCTCCGCGTGGGTATTGTCATTGAAATGAGGTCCGTCGATACGGGTGACAAGTTCCCACATACTAGACGATGCACTCCATTTCCAGAACTTGAGGAAGATCTCGGGTCGGGATAGAACGTTGTCTCGGCGGGAAGAAACGCCAGCAAGAGCCTCCACATCCCGGCGGTGGGGAGTCCAGCTATCAACAGTCGCCATCCATTTTCCATCGTGGAGGATATCCATATTCCGAATATCAGGTGTAGCTATTGAGGAGCCTTCAGGGCCGACATTCAATGTTGTTGCGTTGGTTCGCGCAAGAGCCTGACGGGAAATGTGGGAGTTAGATCTGATATCGAAAGTTTGCAGCATGGCAGCATTGGAGCGTTGGGCCTGCTGAGTGGATTGGTGCGAAGCAGGAACAGCTAAAAGGAGCTGCTCCGGGTGTTGCGGGTGGAGGGCTGCAACCGCGTTTAATGACTTTTTGGAAGCAGAGTCTTTGTTGTTGATTCCCTCCGAGCTGAGCTGTAGACCAGTCACGGTAGCAGTGGGCAGCAGCTCTCTCGCAGACAGAACCATCACCGAGTTATCAGCCAGGTGCACCACGTACGAAGTACCTTGCGGTGAAACTGTGATGTTGAGAATCGGGGAGGACAAATGGGGCAGGAATTGCTTTCGGCCAGTATCCATTTGCCATAAAACAATGACAGACTCATTTCCACCTGAGAGGATGTAATTACCTAGACGGATTTGTTAGGGCGCACGTCCTTAGGGAAAGATATTATGATCGCGAACTTACCATCTCTCGACCATTTCACAGTATTGACTGAGCCACGGTGCCAGTGTAATCTTTGTGGTGATGATTTCTTCTCTGCATTGCGTCCAAATAGAGTGTTGGATACGTCTTGGTAGACAAGGATGGATCCACCAGTTTCGCCCACCACCAAGTCAACAGCCTCTGAACCTTTGGCAGACTTGGATTCTGCGCCTTTACTCTTTGCGTGTAAACTCTGACGCAGGTGGAAGCATGTTGCGGATGATGGAAGCGTCACTTCTCTCCAATTATATTGCACAGACTCGATGTTCTCGAAATCGAGGCTGGCTGTGGTACCCATGAAGATACGAGGGCCATCACAGGCAATGATGACTCGTCCCCCGCAGACAACTTGGATATTGTTGATCTGCTCCTCAGTAGTGAGAGCGACGATGCTAGGGGACTTTTTGTCGCCCAAGGCATTGATCGAAATTTGTCTCTTTCCGTCCTTTTGGATTGCAATAGAGTATACGGCCAATTGATTCTGGTTCTCGACCTGTGGCACATCGACTGCGACGGCCCGGGACCCAGTTCCCCACCGAGCAAGCCGCTTTCCAGAATCCCAGTGCCATTTGGTCACAAAGCTAGAAGTGAAGATGTAGAGAATTTCCTGGTCAATGGGACAAATCTTGTATCCAATCACATTTTGTCCAGCCTCCATCTGCAAGGTTCGCACCAAACGAGATGTCGAAGTCGCAAAGACTTGGACTGCCGTATCGAGTCCAATGAAAAGATGACTACACGATATCAGAATGAATCCGGAAAAAGGAAGGGCGGCGAAAGTGAGCTACTTACGCTTCATCGAGAGTCATCACGGTATTCACATTGCTGTAACGACCGCCGACTGGGCGTGAGAATGACCATGGTGCACTGCTCTTGTGTTGATCGACTGCCAATGACGGGGCATCGCCCACCGGGGCCTCCTGTGCAGGGCTCGAGCCTTTTGTCTTTTTCTGGCTTTGAGAGTTGTTGACATCCGAAGTCCGGCGCCGCTTTCGCTCCTCGATTGGTCGCGATGGTTTATCGGCGGCGTCGCTGGCTCGAGATCGTTTTTGGTGTCGTGCTGACATGTTTGCAGCTATTGGAAAGGTCTGATGAATTCAGACCAACAGGCTTGGTGGTTATTGTAGGTCGTAAATCAATCAGTCATGCCTCAATGTCATTCGTGGTGACAATAAAGGAAGACAGATATCGCATGGGTCTCTCGGTGATGCGCAACTTTTTTTTCTCGGAAACAAAAAGACAAGGCGGAGGTGATCAGCAGAAAACCGTCCAACATTCGCGGGCGGTGAGAAATGCATAATGGAAATCTGATATACGCTAGCCTAATCGGGGCTAGCTTGTATAATAGTGTCACCGCCGACCGCCCATCGCAGCGCGGAAAAGTTTGAATGAGCTTCACGTCACTCTTTGAATCTCCAATCCTTACCCCGCCACGATGATTATCCCTGTGCGTTGCTTCTCTTGTGGAAAGGTTCGTGGCATTCCTATGACTCCTTCAATTTCTACCCTAACCTTGTCTTTAGGTTGTTGGCGACCTGTGGGAGCGGTATTTGCAGCTGCTTGATGATGGTGTCGCTGATGGGTAAGATCTTGATCCATCTTCTTTGCCCCTCCTGTTCAGCCCTAATATACTCTCAGTGATGCTATGGACCAATTGGGTTGCCGCCGATACTGCTGCCGCCGAATGATCATGACCCACGTGGATCTTATTGAGAAGCTTCTCCGGTATGTCTTGAAGCTAAAGAGACAAAATCGACTTCCACTGATAACATATAATTTTCAGGTACAACTCCGCTGAGAAGGACCGCACCAAGGCTCAAATGTAAAGCAGCCCAACCGATCCCCTGTTTCCACACAACATGTTTATGTGCGAGCCCACATGGCCCATCGCGCCAGCGTCATCATCGACACAAGAGTGACGCCGGTTTTCAATACCCTCCACTATCAGCAATAACCCCAGCATCCAAAGAAGTTGAAGGAGATAGGGTGTTCGAATCTATACCCCCGGCCCCTCGCGCACAGTTTTATCTTTCCCCGCTTTTCTTTATCTCTTATGTTTAGCTTTGGCGAGGCTTGAGATCTATCGAACCTATCTCAAAGGCTATTTTACAAAAGCTGGAGTTGGTCTTTTTATCCGACAGGATGTATCATCCTCGCCAACATGCATTACGGAGAGGCGTTGCACACATCACGGGATTTGGCGTCTATGGAGGAATTCATTAGAAAATTCACAAGCGATTCATAAAACACAAACGGACATTGATTTTTAGTGCAGCAGGATCATATAGGCTGGATTTCGAGGGCCGTACATTGTAATCGAACTGTCTTTCATGTGAACGTTGCAAGCGCCTTACAACCCGAAAGGGACTAGTTTGGGGGCGTCTGAGTGGGGTACGACAAGCCTATGCATGCCTCATCACGCCCCAGGCGCCTAGTTCCGTGTGCTTTCTCGGCTTTCTGTGCTTTTCTCACTTTTCCTGAATTTCTGCTGAATTGATGATCCTCTCGGAGATCTCAGCGTGATTGGAACAGTAGAATACGAATACCCGGTGACCAGGCTGATGGGTTGTCTTGCGGCCTGAGCTCCTCTGATGCGCGGGGATTGCGCTCAAGTCCTCTTCTCTCTTTCTTCAACCTCCCTGCCCATACAATTATAATTCTCCATCCACCAGCTCGGCCATGATGGCCGTCAGGTCGCCACTGCCCATTATATCGTATCACGATACCTCCAGCCCGTATGCTGGATCAGATTCGATGTAAGCTATGTTGATGTTCCCATAGATGCGCCCGATTGCTTATGGATTGCCATATAGGACTTTCGAAAGCCCCTCAATCAGTGTGAGGAATTCAATTTCTTCCGCTCCCGAAGAAAGCTCGGTTGATGAAACAAGTATTATGCCTGTCGCCCCCACGTCAGATGGAACGAAGCTAGATAAGGGCAGTGATGATGAGGGGTCTGTCTCAGCGACACCAGCCCAGGTATCAGCGCCATCTATACAGCCGGGGCTCACGGTATGTGTGAAGCTGAAGAAGTTATGTCTTTTTACAGCCAGCATACTGATGCGTACAGATCCAAACTACACACTCTTATAATAGTGGCTACAATACAAGATCAGACGATGATGAGCCACCACAATCCGTCATACATGCTCCCCCGGGGTTCAGGGATTTTGTAAGAAAGATTTCAATTTCATTGGCTACATCAGTGCTTGCTGCTAATTCATAATGAAGACTCGGGTAGAGACACAAGAACAACAGGCATGCAATGACGAATCATCCACGCCTGACTCGGAGCATGCCCAACTAGCCATTGCACCAGCAAAAGGCAGAAAGGTACCCTGCAAACACCCTTTATCATAATTACCAGATGCACTGACAATGAGATGTCGACCCACAGATTGGCAACAGTCCCATATCCCCACCACCATTGACGACCACGGTCGCGCCTCCACAGGACTGGTCGGAAAGAGCAACTCCTCGAGCACAGACAAGACATGAATTCGAGGGATCGGAGCGACGTACACGTTCTAGTAGTTTAGAAGGTGAAAATCCAATTCTTATCTCCTGTGATACGTCAACCTATACATCGGCTCACACTTGGATAGATATCCCTGAAGGTACACAACGTCCACAGCCGACGGGCAAACTTCTCGCTCCCTCTACACCCTTGTACCCGGACACTGACATGATACCAGGGACTTTTTCCAGCAAAGATGTCGAGATCAACGCTCTACGAACAGCCCTGGCTGAATGTTGGACACTATGTAATACGCTGGCTAGTCTTAGTTATATCAATCGAGAACGAATCTTGGGAACCATTCAAGATGGGATGGAGGAGGATGCCTGGAGATCCTGCTGGCGACTTTGCCAGAAGCTATACGATACCCGAGAGGACGATTTTGCCTTGCAAGTCAACCCGACCCTCGACCTTTGTCGAGAATTCTGCCAGGCTCTATTTGAGGTCCGAAGCTGCGATAATGATTTGACAGACTCCGTGCTCCGCGTGAGCTTTGAGCTGAATAACCACCTATATAATACGCATGATCGCAACCTACCGGACGCCTTCCGAGAGCGAACATTGGACTTTTATATCACCTTGTGCCACCGCCTCATGAAGCAACGCACACGCCTGACCGCAACGGACGCACTCCTCAGTGCATGCTGGACATTGGCCGAAATGCTTTTCAGCATCCGACAGAGTAAACGAGAAGGGAAAAGACTGGACGAGGAGCTATTGGGATCGGCCGTGCAGGCCTGTTGGGAGCTTTGTGACATCTTCCGCGAGGGCTGGACCCTACACAGCATGCGCAACTCAGACCGCGGCACACCACGACCCAGCCAGACGACCTTTGCCCAAGCGTTCCAGCAGGCAGCGCAGCAGTCTGAACTCGATTTCGTCGACGACTCGGCGCAGCTTGGGAATCCAGAGACCCCAACTACTATCTTCGAGGATACGGCAACGGTGTCCCCCGATGAAGCATCTGTGCCTAACATCCTCGTTCTCGGGCACGGTCATGGTCATGGCAATGGGCACGGCCATAGTTCTCACCCCAAGTGGCCCTCCGGTGCGTCTAGCATCTCGGAGAATTCTCGGTCTTCTGGGCACACCGCATCGTCCGCCAATACTGTGACCACTATCTCCGAGGACCCAAACTTCACCCGGCTCAAGGTGTTGGTTACTAAAGCGGCCATCAACAGTGGATATCAACGGGGTAATTCTCAGAACCTGTCATCCTTTGTGAAGTCTTTTCCCTCGGATGCATTTGGTTCGGCCCCTTGGCAGACTTCACTGTTGAAGCACTATCGAAAGCTGGTCGCGTTTGATCCCGCCTTTCGCAGCGTTGGTCCCCCGGCCCGCGTGAGCGCAGTTGAGGTTGCTCGGGCCTGTCAAGCAATGCTTCAGAGCGGACAGTATTCCTGGCTGCGTGATCTCTACCGCCTCGTCTTCGGATTCCACATGGAAGAAGCGATGGGTCGGAAGGGAGTCACGATCCAGACTTGAAGAACAAAACCCATACTTGAAACCGATCGTATTTCAGGTTCCAAGGTCATGGTGAAAGAATATGAAACGGAAGGCAATCTCTCTTTTGCTCTAGGACGCGAGAGTCATGTTTGGTACGGTGTACGGAGTACAGCAACGTCGAAAATGAAAGTGGAGACAGTATCCACCGGGCATTTTCGTTTTTCTTTATAATGTAACGATTTCGCAGCAGAATCCGGTGATGCAGTTGAATTGAACGATTTTCTTTCCCGGAGTAACACATAACCATTCAACCGCTTCTGACCCCAGTTGGAGTTGAGATCTCCTGGTCTCACGCGTCCCTCGCCGATCCTTCCTCGTTCGGAGATGGCCCGAGTACCCTATATGGCGGTCCACAGTTATCTAGCACATTGCCGGCTCTGGGGCCGAACCTCGCGTACCCATTAATTCCGTAAGGTAGATTGTTTTTCCCTTGCGAACAAATCAATCCTCGACTCTGTCCTGAGTGGGGAGCGAGAAAAGGCCCGGGGACCAAGTGGATCCCAGGATACCATCGAAAAGTCGGAATTGAAACGTCTACAGAACCCATTGAGGATTCTGCCTTGCCGATTTTGAAGTCTCTGTCTGTCCATGCATGGAATTATCTTGGAAAAATCTCCTTCCCTCTTGAGCCCCTTGTGGGACAGGAAGGACATGGACTTTCCAATCGGTCCAGTCGGGGCATATCCCCCCTCCATTCCCCCGCATAAAGGCCCAGCTGGGGAAGATTCCGACTCGGTTGGAGTTTGAACGCCGCTGACGCCTTGCAGGATCTTGAAGGCTGAGAGTGGAGGTGTAATTTCCAAAGACGGGATCAAACGATGTGGGGATTTAGGCCGACTGCTCGGTGTCCGTGTGCCACGGGGAACAGGGATCGGATGGACCATTCGGAATAAGTCGGCCCCGAGTGCCTTTGACTGCGTCGGCTTTTGCCGTTGAAGCGATTCGTGGAAATCGAAATCAGTCATTTTAGCCCGAATTCGATTTGGGTCCAAATTGAGGGACGGTACCAGAAGAAATGAGCTCCTATCACGGAGGAACCATAGCGGATTTTTATAGTGTTTCATTGCCGGTATCAACTCATCTATGGACCATCTATGGACGAACTACTGAGGTACTCAATGAGCATGATCATTGATTAGAAAGCCACAGGGACTCGTTCCCTTTTTTTTTTCTAATTCTCCCCATTCCCATGGGGTGGATCTGTGGTAGTAGCGTCGAACGCCCGGTGGAGCCTGGTGCCTGCTAGTAATATTTTAGTTGATGCGATACAACCATTCCAATTCTACCACTTCTCGATTATTTCACTGCTAGAAGATAGATTATTGTGTATACAGCTCCCATCACTCTGCTAGTATTTACAAAGGTGCTGTTTAAAGCATGAAGGCATTTTAAGACCATCCAGATCTAATATTTGGACCGCCAAGCCCTAGATTGGGTCACATACTTAGCTTAATTAGTCTTGGCTCGGGACCAATCATGCCAATCAACGCTGATCCGCTCTTCGAATGACGCGGAGTATCTGGTGCATTTTGTGCCACAGCGTTTTTTATCGCGTGTCGAGTGGAGTGATGGCGTTTCAGGTGGATCCTGGAGAGACAGAGACATGGGGGAAGACGGAGTAAGAGGCGCATGGAGAAGAAAAAGAAAAAAAGAAAAAAAAATATGTACAAAGTTATAAAGAGGGTCGCCTAACCCCCTTATCTTGCTTCATTCTATACATAATTCTTTTGTTTATTTCCCGGGTTTCCAGCCAGTTCTGGTAATCACTCATCATGGACGTTCCAAAGTTCGCCGGCATGTCTGGTAACATGCTGTCACGAACAGTTACTGCCACAGCAACTATGGGTTTCCTGCTCTTCGGTTATGATCGTAGGTGCTCGCCCCTCCATATCCTTATCAGAGACTAATAGGAATTCGCAGAGGGTGTCATGAGTAGTATTATCGACTCGAATGCCTTCTTCACGCTCCTGCCCCAGTTGAATGGAAACTCCACTTTACAAGGCACAGTCACCGCTCTTTACGAAATTGGTATGTTCAGGCAATTAGAAAAATGTGCAATATCAATGTGGCTAAATTATTCTAGGATGTCTCATCGGCGCTGTCTTCATGCTCATCTTTGGTGATTGGCTGGGCCGTCGCAAGGCTATCATGTCTGGTGCCTTCATCATGATCCTTGGTGTCATTATCCAAGTGACCTCCTACCACAGACATGACCCTATGGTCCAATTCATCATTGGTCGTATCGTCACCGGTGTTGGAAACGGAATGAACACATCCACTATCCCCACCTACCAAGCCGAGTGTTCTCGCACTTCAAACCGAGGTCTGCTTATCTGTATCGAGGGTGGCACTATTGCCTTCGGTACTCTAATTGCCTACTGGATCGACTTCGGTGCCTCTTACGGCCCTACTGATCTGGTGTGGCGTTTCCCTATCGCTTTCCAGTGTATCTTTGGTGTCTTCATCATCGTTGGAATGGCCTTCCTGCCCGAATCTCCTCGCTGGTTGTTGACTCGCGAGCGCCTCGAAGAGGGAGAGAGAGTCATTGCTGCTCTCCAGGGTCAGTCTATTGGTTCACATGAGGTGACTCTGCAGAAGAACATCATTCTGGACTCCATCCGAGCGTAAGTCTATTTCCTAGAAAGTTGAAGTCGAGTTATCTAACGTTCAATTCTAGTTCTGGTCAGGTCAGCAAGAACACCCCATTCTCCGCTGTTTTCACCGGTGGAAAGACTCAGCACTTCCGCCGTATGTTGCTCGGTGCCTCGTCCCAGCTTATGCAGCAGATTGGTGGCTGTAACGCCGTCATCTACTACCTGCCTATTCTTTTCAAGCAATCCGTCGGTCTCACCGGCAGAATGCCTACTATTCTCGGTGGTGTGAACATGGTGGTCTACGCCATCTTTGCAACTCTATCTTGGTTCCTGATTGAGCGTGTTGGTCGCCGCAAGCTCTTCCTTTACGGAACCATTGGCCAGATGGTCTCCATGATCATCGTCTTTGCTTGTTTGATTCCAGGTACCACAGAGGCTGCCAAGGGAGCTGCCGTGGGTCTATTCACTTATATTGCCAGCTTTGGTGCCACATGGCTTCCCCTTCCATGGTTGTACCCAGCCGAGATCTCCCCTATCAAGACTCGTGCCAAGGCCAATGCGCTCTCCACTTGCTCAAACTGGCTGTTCAACTTCTTGATTGTCATGGTTACACCGATCATGATTGCCCACATTTCCTGGGGCACTTACCTCTTCTTCGCCGTCGTCAATGCCTGTTTCCTGCCGATTATCTACTTCTTCTACCCCGAGACTGCCCGTCGCTCCCTGGAGGAGATTGATTTGATCTTCGCCAAGGGTTACTCAGAGAACATCAGCTATGTCCGTGCGGCGAAGGAGCTGCCTTATCTGAGCGATGAGGATGTTGAGCGGGTCGCCATCCAATATGGATTTGGCCCCGCTGATGTCCACGAGGCTGATTACGAGGCCAAGGCTGGCAGTTCTAGCGACAGTGCGCCCGAGCACACACTTGCCGAGCCTAAGGTTCAGACTGTCTAATTTCAGTCGCTTGAAAATCTTCTTTATACAGAAGGACGACGACCGGTTCTCGTTGCAGATTTTCTGTAGGGCCGGGTGCAGTACATGTGATGCATGGGCTCGATAATGTTTAAACGAGTGACCTTGTTCTTGATACCCATGAAAGAGACTGATTCTACGGAGGCATGTTAGATCTGCCATTTTGGCATTCTTTATTAGATTTGAGTTCGAATGTGGGGTAGAAATGGGATGAACCCTTCTGCCAACTATTGGAAATGAAATTGATATACCCCTTCCACCTTTTTCCCTAGCTATTTGTATCTCTTGTATGTTCCTGAATCGCCATTTCTTTCCAATAACTAAGTACAGCACACTAGGTCCAAACCTATTAATCCATAATTTACGCCTCATATAGCCACTGATTATATAAATGATATAAATGCTGCTATATAGTATATTCACCTACGTAGCGCGAATCGAGATTAGTAGCTCGGGGTATGGTGAATCCATCATTAAATTATTCCTGCGAGTTTATGAAGACGACTTCTTGTTGAACCCGGAAAGACCTCCTTCAATTCCTTCGGACAATTCCACAGGTATTCACTTAACACAATAACCCCCATATACATATATAAAACGACACAACTCTAAACCGCACCTCTTACATATGGGTTTGGGTGCGGATACATGCATACCGGAGAAACAATATTACCAAATCCCGGGCTTACTTGGCGCACGTTGCTGGTACCTGGGAGCTTGGGGCCTCCAAAGGCCGTCCGATGCCCCATCTCTATCTGAAGCTGCGTGACCCATTCCTTGAAAAGTACACTTGCCCCCTCAGAATCGAAATAGAAATCTGAGGGGTTCAGGCCAGGAGAAGGCTTTGCGCCCGGCTGCCCGCGTTCCATATACAAGGGATCTTTCAACATGATCAACCTTCCTCGATACCCAAGCTCGGACATTTCGATGTATCGCAACTTGAGATGATCTGCCAAAAGTTTAAAAACACGCCGCCAGAGCCCCTGCATCTCAGTCTTGACTTCAGTGGACAATGAAGAGACCCAACTTTGACTGTTTTCCGTTAGGGGTCCTAGATCTGGTGCAGATGTTATCCCATCAACCAGACTGACCAACCTGATACTCAGTCGCTTCAAGGTTGGGGCTGCTGTCCGCATAAACTCTTCGAGGCTATCCACTGTCACCTCGATTGAATGAAAATTAAGTTCCTCTAGCTGGGAAAATTGAACTCTCTGAGCGAAATCCTTGAAGTAGAGGGGAGACAATTCTTCTATGGGACTCCATTGGGTAAAAGTCAGGGTCTTCAGTGTCGGTGAAACTGTGACCAGAATTTTGAGGAGACGATTGAAGGTGCCTTCATCGAAAAATTCTTGTTCGTGATCCCTAAGGCGAATGCACATATGTAGAGTCGTCAGACCCTTCAAGAGTGGAAGAACCAGTTGATACTGGGCCTCTGAAAGCTGAAGATGTTCCAATTTCATACCGCAAAAGATATGGCTACAGGTGTGAAGAGCTTGGACTTTCTGACTAGATTTCATTATGGCATTGAGAAGTTGTGAGAATGCCAAACCGTAAGGCATGTACGGAATGGTCTGGTTAAGCGATGGAAAGTCTTGGTATTTGAACTGGCTCTTCAATTCACGCAAGCCCAGGCAGGTGAAGTCAGTATGACTTGCACGGTTGAGTAGGAAATATGTCGAGTATGACCGTAAGCCAAGGGTAACAGCGTTTTTGAGGCGCGGTAGGCATTTTTTCAAGGCTGGTAAAGAGACTCGAGTATTGGAGAATGTTATTGTGTTCTTTCATTGTAATGTCGAAGACAGCAAATAGAGCTTCAAGTTCAGCCTTCATTTCATTTGATTCTTCCGTTGTTGGAAGGCGCTCCCATTTCAACAAATGTCTCCTAGGATCTACCTTCGTAAAAAGTTGCCTTATCCAATTGTGCCCAAGGTTCCAACAGGTTTGGGATGATCCAAATTTCTTCGACCGAGCTGCGAAGAGTTTTACTGGTTGCAATCTGCTTCAGCCGGTCAAGCCCTTCACATGTGAGAAGAAGGGTGATTCTTCTAAAATATCGCGTTGTATAGGCTTCCAGTGTGTTGTCGTGGATTTGGCGGCAAGTGGTCCTGAACGCGCCCCAATCTTTAGGTTCCAGATCCTCACAGATATGAGTCAACAACTCCAAAGGCAGGTTTGTGATTGACATATTGCGCCTGTTGGGCAACTTTAAGCCATGCACTATTGGTCACCTTGTAGTTGCGATCACGTAGAGTGCGAAAAATTGTTTTGAATGAGAATGAGAGAGAGAGAATGAGAATGGCAGAAGGGGGAATTCGTTCAGCCGGTGTCGATACAAAGCCGTACCGGAAATACTCCCTTCAGCCCTTACTATCCTTGATGCATCAATCGAATAGCCGTTGGTCAACGTTCAAAAGTCTGTTCCCACCCCAAAGGCCAAAATCATTACAGTACTTACCATGTAGGCACCCAAAATTTATCTCATCAAGGTTACACGCACTGAAATGCTCAACCCTATTATGCTTTGACTGATAACGAAGTGTAAAAATCACGAGTCAGCTTTGGAAGAACCTTGGAAGGTTGACGTAGATATAGTTGGTGCACTGGTGCACTATTCCCGAGGCCAGCAAAGGCAATTAAGCCTTCGTCAATCATGCACCTCCCGATGGGCAGGGCTGCAGGGATCTTTTGCTGAATGCTACGGTCATTTTGTACATGACTGATTTGAATATAGGTACGATATCGGAGGATGCCCTGAGAAGTCTTCTTTTTTTTGTATATTTGAATTGATTCATGGTGATGCATATTTTATGATTGGATGAACGAAAGTTCACCGTAATATTAGTAAGGTACATTAAAACGTTGATAAGCCATCTCTATACAGAGCCGTCACAGCAATGCTGTCTAAAACCGATAGAACACCCTCAAGAGATTCACAGTAAGGCAAAATGGGTGGGGAAGAAAAAAAACCAGTAAGCTCTAATCGAGCGGACTTGGAAGGTAACAACGCAAAGGTCCCACAAGCTCATTGAGCCTTCTTTGCCTCCCGGCGCTTCTTGAGAGCATCCGGGCTGTACTCAGTGTTGAGAAGGTAGTCCCACCAGCGGAAGCTGCTCGAGTAGTTGCCAATGAACTTCTCGTGGTGCAGATCGTGGTGATCGGCACCGGCCCAGAAGGGAAGGAAGTGGTGCAGACTCCATGGGAACTCATAACCGGAGTGGGCATCGATAGCCTGGAACAGGCGCAGCACAATCCAAATGTACATGGTAAGAATGTGCAAATCACCAGTGAAGGCACACCAGACGATCGGACATCCAACCGTTCCGAAACCGAGAATCATAACCTCAATGGGAGAAGCATATTCGGCTGCCAGTCCGAATGGAGCCGAGTACTGGTGGTGGATCTTGTGGATAGCCTTGTAGAGCGGGCCCCAGTGAAGAGCGCGGTGGGAGAAGTAATGCCAAGCGTCCTCCATCACAAAGAAAATCGCGATTTGGTAGGCCATGGTCCATAGGGAGGGGAAGGGGATCGAGGTAGAGAGACCGAAGAACTGAGCCATGGGGTGGAAAAGCCTAGGCAAAGGTTAGTAAACTGCGATCCGCGCGTGGAATTTTCATGAAAACTTACCAAATCTGGGGGAGCTCAACAGTGAAGTGACTCAAAAGCACAAATTTGGCGCAATCCCATTGTTCCCGCAGCGAAGGGATTTTGTTCTGTCCAGATGGGTAAGTTCATATTCATCCAATACAGTGGCTTCGTTTCTGCAACTCACGTTCTGAATTTTGTATCGGTTGAAAAGACCCATGCTGTCGATGAAGATCCACGGCAGCGACCGGCCGAAGTAAACCATCTCGTGCATAACGAAGGACATGATACCGGTGGCCAGCACATCATTCTGCATCCAGGCATACCATGCTGCCCATAGTCGCTCCGGGACGTTCAGGCTGGGGTTATATTGACCAATCTCTTCGAATTGGCCCCAATAGGTGATCGGTGCCACAGTAGAATTCCTGCACATAAATTGTTAGTAATATTCAAGAAGAGGAGGATTGAACGTGTAACGGAGGGGAGGAGAGGGTAAAGAAGGGGGGTTAACGAACATTGTGGTTCCCTAAAAGAAAAAAAAAAAAAAAAAAAAAAAAAAAAAAAAAAGGAAAAGGATGAGGAAATGACAAGGGCCCAGAAGTTGGACCTGTAGACACTGGAGGCGATATAGGTAAATCGCGGACCAGTGATGCTTATCGAGGCGTAGAGAGGGGGTTGAAAAAGGTTAGAAGATAAGGGGAGGAAAGAAAGAAGGTGGGAGTGAAAGCTGATATAATTTGTCGGGGGAAGGCAGGACAAGCCATTCCCGAAGTGGCGAGACCACTTTATCGTCAGGGGAAAACCGGCCTTTGGCCAGTCATCGTTCAGGAAAAGGGGGCCACCTAGGTAAGGCCACTGGTGAGCCGATCACCATCCGAAGCCCCGTTCGCCCCACCCCGGCATAACAGGCATAATGCCTATTTACCCCCTTCTGTTTGGTGGAAGCCTTGGGATTCCAGGTCAGGCCATCTGGGGTTCATTCTTTCCAGGATTGTCTGATCGTAGCGCTGTGCAGATCATGTCATCCTTTAACGATATTGGGATGTAGAATTTAGAATTTCTAAGATTTACAGTAGTCATCAAAACGTGCTCATGAACGATCTGATTATGTAATTAAACCATAAACACGTGAACACACAGTACTCATCCGTACACAGTACACCCAAGTACGGTGTTTGTCAATTGTTTGTTCAGTTTGCCCACGTTGTATCAAATGACGACATCCACCTTCACATAGGTCCTTTTCTCTTGTCATGTTTTGACCGCACGCGCCATGTCGATTGTCCAGGAGTAAGATCGTACGATCCCTTAATTCCGATGCCTAGCTAACGATTTTTTTTTTTTTCGTTTTTCTCTGCAATAGGAATGCGCATGGTCTGAACATCCAGCTGGACCGTCTCCAACAACAAATAATTCTTCCCGAACGGTTCGATGCGGCCGAGGCCCCCAGTCACCATGTCCACCGGCTCCAGAATGTGATCAATGCAATCTCTGTGACTTCCAAGACACAGTCTCTCCTTCCAGCCCCCCATTTAGTGGAACTACTTTCGGATCCTACTCTCTCCCACCTTCTGCTTCCTGGCGTCGCCGAGCCCAAACCTGAGAAGCATGTATCGGACTATCTATGGCTGGTGGTTGCTAAAGCAGCGGTTCAGGCGTCGGGGTTGGTCATGCATACCTTGCTAGACCAAACGATTCAGCTGCAGGAGGAGATCTACTATTGGGATGAGGTGCTAGGCTCGATGTGGTCCAGTGGTCTCTATGCGGCACAGACCTCGCCTGCTCGACTGTGGCACTGGTCTATAGATATTTATACCGAGCATAGATCCCACGGGGCGGCTTTCCCTGCCTCCATCTCGAGATCTCTTGCCGTGAGATGGGGACAGTTCTATCAAGTTGCTCGACAGAGCTTACGTGGAATGTCCGAGCATCCCAGCGCATTGAATTGGTCTTCACCCATTCGGTCTTGCCGAGTGGAGATTAGACAGAAGAGAGATCGTCTGATCGCAATGAAGGATGCTCATACGAGCAGTCTGGGGCTTCTCATGGAGCAATGGCATGCTTTCCAATCCGATGACCTCGCCAGCAAGGGAAATACCTCGCCGGAGCAGTGGCAGGAAACCGTTTCGAAAACAGTGCACCTAACAGAAGCAATCCTCGATCATGTCTTGAAGCAATCCAGCACTGCGGTGTTCGAACAATATGTTGTTCAAGCTGTTGAGAAGGATATGGGTAGTGTGCAGACGCGAAGCTATGCCTCATCCTCCACCCAGCCTACTGATCTGATCCAGCGCCTGATCCATGTTCTCCGCGAGCAATTGCCTACTCATACAACATCTATCTCCGCATCCATTGGAAACCACGGGCGCCCCTCAAGGATCGTGCGGTATTGGCTGCCGTTGTCCGTTGCATTGCTTTCGAGTAGCATATCATTGAAGGTGCTCATTCGTCGTCAGGACGAGATCATCGAGTGGATCCGAAACATCGGTTCCACTATCATTGACTTTGGGGGGAATTGGGTGGTACAACCTATCCAAAAGCTCATCGGAACCATTAGACATGATGAGAAAAGTGAAATCGCCATTATGAGTAAAAACAGCTTAATGGCCGATCGCGCCAGCTTGGAGCGGATGGTCATTGATTTTGTCCGTGATCGGCCAGACACAAGCCAGGGGAAGCTGGCCGCAGAGGACACGGCAGCCATCGCGAATGCAGTCAAGGAGGGAGACCTGACACCTGTGTTGAAGGCCTACGAAAGGGATCTGCGGTCACCGTTTGCTGGAACTGTTCGAGGTGACTTGGTTCGAGCTCTTCTGATCCAAATCCAGAAGACCAAGGTCGACGTAGAAATCGCAATCAGTGGAATCAATTCCTTGTTGAAAAGTCAAGAGCTTGTTTTTGGGTAAGTATTCCTTGAGGCTCCACCTTCGTTCAATCATTTTGAATGCTGTTACTAATGCTTTGCAGCTTCATTGGTCTCACACCAGGGATCCTAGTTTCGTACACTTCTCTTCAGTGGGTGGCAGGACTCTTTAGTAACCGACGAGGCCTACGACAAGGCAAGAAGCGTTATCAGGTCAAGCGAGGACTACGGTAAGCTGTCTCTCTCAAAAAGTGATCCACTTGTCTATTGTCGATATACTAATCTAGGGCCACAGAAATGTTACACGAATCCTTACGTCTGCCTCCTTGACCACCAACGAGGTGATTTCCTACAAGGACTCGGGACAACTGATCTGCGAGGCCGAGGCATTACTTCAGCATATCAAAACAGTGCTCGGGGGCTTGGAATATCGGGAATTTCGAGAGGACATTGAAGATCTTTTGGATATCCAGGGGGGAGTCACTAAGCAGCTCCGGGTAGTTGAGAGGATCCGATGGACCTATTTCCACTAGTCGTATATTGAAACCCGGAATGCCCAACTGGGCAAAAAGAGTAAGAGATAGGAAATCACACCATTTCCTGATACTTTCCAGGTATACCAGTAGACAATTCTCGTACACTGAAAAGAACACCCGACTTTTAACGTTGGAACAAGAATCATCTAAGTAAAACGGGAGAGACAAGCGTCGGATTATGTAACCCGGGGGGACATCGAATCGACCGTACCGTCATCACTCCACCTGGGTGTTGACCACATTTCCCATTTCCCCCTCCTCTAACGGCCGACATAAGGCTGCCTGCTCTGATTTGTGAACTGTACTTGTCGATCGCCCACCCTTAGAAGTCTTTGTTTTGCTCGTTTCCATCTCGTTGGTGGCCGATCTGCACTCTTCACCCGACCCTCCTGATATTGTCCCTGGAATCTTGGAAACACGAAATCCTGCCTACCACTTAGGCGCCCAACGATATCTGATCCACGCTGCAAACCTCCTTACAATACGCGGTATCGCATTATCTTAATCCAAGACTATACCTTCAGTCCCAAAACTGGTGGAACCCGTTGCCAATCCGACCGTCTCCTATCTCAGAATATCGATTCTCGCCAGTTCTAGTGAACACAAAAACAAGCCAACATGGCCGGCACAAGGAACTATGACTTTCTCGTATGTTTTCCTTGGAGATTTCACAAATGCATCGGCTAACTTGAACCTACCTTGTAGATCAAACTTTTGTTGATCGGAGACTCGGGCGTAGGCAAGTCCTGCTGTCTCCTCCGTTTCAGCGAAGACTCCTTCACTCCTTCATTCATCACCACCATCGGTATTGATTTCAAGATCCGTACGATTGAGCTAGACGGTAAGAGGGTGAAGCTGCAGATCTGGGATACCGCAGGCCAGGAACGTTTCCGTACCATCACCACAGCTTACTACCGTGGTGCTATGGGCATCCTCCTTGTCTACGACGTGACCGATGAGCGGTCTTTCGAAAGTAAGTCTTCTTTCCTCGTCCAGGAAAATAAGTGGTTGCGACTAACCTTTCCTTTTCTTTTCCAATCAAAAGACATTCGCACCTGGTTTTCCAACGTCGAGCAACATGCCAGTGAAGGGGTACACAAGATTCTCATTGGAAATAAATGCGATTGGGAGGAGAAGCGAGCTGTTTCCACCGAGCGAGGACAACAACTGGCCGATGAGCTTGGCATCCCCTTCCTCGAAGTCTCCGCGAAGAACAACATCAACATCGAGAAGGCTTTCTATAGCCTCGCATCGGATATCAAGAAGGGCATGGATACTTCAAAGACCGAACAATCTGGCTCCCAGGGTGTCAGTATAGACCAGCAGGGATCTGGCCTGAACGGCAGCGGTGGCGGAAAGTGCTGCTAAATCCTGTACCATCATCTTCCTCTCCATCTTTCTCTCCACCTCCCCTATCTCTCTACCCCTCCTATTTGCCTATTTCCTCCTTGTTTTTTTCCCTCCTGTTTTCATCTTTTTCTTTGGTGTTTACTTCTCTCGCTTCGGAACTTGCGCGTGTATGTGTGTTTTTTGTTCTCCCGTATCCGCAAGTCGTTTCCTGCGCAACCTGCCACATATCCTTTTGCCTGCAATTTCACGTGCTAAGATCTGAATGTCCTGTTACTATGGAGATTTGGCGCCTGTTCCCCAGTATCATAAACACCTGTCCATAGCCTGTGGCACCTTCCGTTCTCATGTCCAGTTGAATTACGCTGGAGATAGATGCCGTAACTCTTGTGTTTTTTTATACTTTTTTTTCATAGTAAATTGACATTGAAACATATGATACGTTGCATCTTTTTAGAGTTGAGACTCGATTAACTCCTGCACTTTCCTGCGACCCACTTTTGGGGGGCTTATCAGCCCACCGATAAGCTCCCCACCAGAATTTCAATTTCTCAGTGCCATTCGGACTCAGCCTTATACCTCGAGGCTCCTAGTCTTGCAATTATCACTGGCTCGCTGGATTTTTGTGGAAACCCTTGTTGCACAATATTGCAAATTTTCCAATTCTCACAGCTCCGCAGAGAAGGATTTAGTACTTCCACCAGCGTGTGCGACATTTGCGCTTGAACCAGTGCGAGTCACCTCTCAGATTTACGCGCTGAAACATCCAGAAATACATGGGTTGTTTTTGATAGCTTCCCTTTCGACTAGTTCCAGTTCCTCGCTTTCCCGTTCCGTGATTTGCGGAGCGAAGCACGATGGCCGACGTTCGCAGCTTCACTGTACGGCCAGTGTCGAAACAGCCGAGAAGTGATTACAAAGACGCATTCCGCATATATCTATCCTCCTCGTCGCTAGCTTCCCTCAGACTCCGGGCCGATGATCTTTGCGATATATCATTTGCAGAAGGGCCTCCGAAAACCGCCATTGCTTGGACAGCGGTGGAAAATATACAGAGTACCGTGGTACAAACATCCAAGGCTCTCCAAGATTGCTACGGAATCAAAGTCGGAGGAAAAATCAATATTACTCGAATTGATGGTGCATTGGAGGAGATTAAATCGGTGGTTCTGATTGACTGTTCCGAACCGGAAAAGATCGAGAGATATGGCCAAATTTCGGCAGAAGAGCGATGCCACTGGGAATGGGCATTGGAGTTCCCGCTCTTGAGATGCGAGGTCATCGCTAAGAGCTTAATTTTCGAGCTTGAGCTCAAGGGCCAGCGTCGAAGCTTTCAAGTGGTGAATATCCATCCCGAAACTCCAAGTTCTAGTCGCACGATCTTTCGCTTCACAAATGCCACCAAGATTTCTATTGGCACGGAAGTAGAAGCGCCCTCGGAGGTTCCTCATGAAATCTCGGTTGATGCGGATGGGTTGGGTGGTCTTTCACGACAGATTGATGACATCAATGAGAGCCTATCGGACTTCAATATCGATCTGCTCAAACCTACAATGCCCTCTTTCTATGAGCATAGTCGCGGAATTCTTCTTTATGGACCTAAGGGAACCGGAAAGACGTCTCTTCTCCAGCAGATTGAGAAGGCTGGCTGGCGTCAAGTTTTCAAAATTGGGACTGGTACCCTTGGGCGCAGTACAGGCGAAGCCGAGAAAAAACTACGCACTACATTCCAGGATGCCGCTCGCTCTAAGCCCAGTGTGATCATCATTGATCAGCTAGACTTTATCGCTCCTAAACGAACTTCCCTGGAATCTTCATCGCTCGCTTCAGTCTTATGTGAGAACCTAGATGCCATGAGAAGCGCATCGGTCCTGGTGATCGCTGCGACTCGACACCCCAACAACGTCGACGATGCACTCAGAACCCCTCATCGTTTCGGCACAGAAATTGAGATCCAGGTTCCTACGGCACATGACCGGGCCGAAATTCTGCGTGCCATTCGTGGACCGGCTTCTGCAGGGCTCAACGATGCTTTAATTGACTTGCTTGCCGAAAAGACCCACGGATACGTCGGGGCGGATTTGTTTGCTCTACTCCAGCTCATTTGCCGGAAGGCGCGCCAACGGCAGATGCTCGAACAAAAATCTGCCTCTCCTTCTCGAAGCCAGTCTGTACCGGCATCTGATATCATGGATGCTACTAGCGATGCTGAAGAAAATGGCCCTGTCACTGTCGATCTGGCCATTCAAGAAGGTGATATATGGTCTTCGTTGCAGGAGATTCGCCCTACAGCCATGCGAGAGGTGTTCTTGGAGACTCCTAAGGTGAGATGGTCGGACATTGGTGGGCAGCATGATATCAAAAAGCGCCTGCAACAGGCCGTCGAGAGACCTCTCAAGGTAAGCATCCCGCCCATTCTTACATCATTACGAAGCTCACCATCTATCATAGTTTCCCGAGCGTATGCAGCGTCTCAATGTTAAGAGCAAAAAGGGCGTTCTCCTATACGGTCCGCCGGGATGTTCCAAGACCCTCACGGTCAAGGCACTGGCCACGGAGGCAGGCTTGAATTTCTTGGCCGTCAAGGGTGCCGAAATCCTGAGCATGTACGTCGGCGAATCCGAACGCTCACTGCGAGAGATCTTCCGCAAAGCCCGGGCGGCACGACCTAGTATCATCTTCTTTGATGAAATCGATGCTATTGCTGCACGACGCAGTAGTTCTTCTTCAGGCGGCGTCAACGTCCTGACAACCCTACTCAATGAAATGGACGGTATCGAGGAGTTGCGAAACGTGTTGGTTGTCGCGGCCACCAACAAACCAGATGTCCTTGACCCAGCACTCATGCGTCCAGGTCGTCTGGACAACATTCTCTACATTGGGCCTCCAGACTTCGAGGCTAGGAAGGAAATCTTGCGCATCTGGGCGAGCAAATCTGTCATTCACCCCGACGTTGATCTTGATGAACTGGCTGCTCATACTGAGGGCTACTCGGGTGCAGAGATTGTCAGCATCTGTGAGACCGCGGGTGATGCCGCATTGGACGAAGAGGAAGAGACACAGCAAGAGTTGGAAGTGCAATTGAAGCATTTCGAGTATGCCTTGGGCCAGGTTCACCGGCAGATTACGGACAGTGTGATTCGTGAATATGAGCAATGGCGAGATGGTCAGAAATAGAGGAGCATCTTGCAAAAAGTCATAATAGAAATATATACACCTTTGAGATGAGATGATATACTACAACATGCATACTATCACTGTCTTCCACTCCCAGATTTCATATCCCATAGACCACGCTAGATACTTAAACCTGTATTTATACCAGTTGCGACAGTACTTGTACAACCTTTCGTATCGCCATGTAAAAAGTAATCACCGCAGTGATGTGCATACTCACGCTGTTGAAGCAGGCGTCGATATGCCAGCCATCAACCATCTTTTCGATGTCAGTAAAAGAAAACGGGGGAATGGGATGTACAGTACCTATTTAGTCAATGTGTCGCTGGTTGTGAGATTGTTAAGGAAGAAAGTTCCCAGGACCAAAGCCCAGCCTTTTTGTAAGCGGACCGTCACCCGCTCTCACCCCCGGTCTTCGGAATTTCTCACCCATATCACCCACACTCACCCTAACACAAAACACGGTGCTATTTTTAAATAAAGGGCTCTCTGATGATTGACCGCGCTGAGTATGTGGCTTGAATGCGGCCAGTAGTCGGGTGGGTGCCGCCTGGGTGAGAAATGGGTGAGAAATGGGTGAGAGCCGCTTTAGCGTCGCGCGACCGGGGGTGAGAAGGGTGAGTGCGCAATAGACAGGGTGAGAAGCAGGGTGAGAGCGGGTGAGAGATCACCCTCCGTCTTGCGATGGCCGCATTGACCCTCCTAGCTCAGCGAGAGTAGAAGATTATTAGGCCACGATCCCCTATCTAAAACAGCCAGCCTCTTGGCATCTGCACATAGGCTCTAAGATACACTAACTAGTCTTAAGAATTAATTTATAATAATAACTAACTAACTACGCGATTCCATAGCATTTTATATCACGTGATCACTACGTCGATGCCCCTCATTGCAGCCTGAAATAACTAAATTTAGAGCTGTTGCCCAAATCAGGGAAGATACCTTTCAAGAACGGCCCGGACCACCCAGAGTAACGCTTTGATAAGTATAGTTCTTGCAATGCTCACATAAGTATGGTATGGCCATCACCAGAATCTACTTGTTTTGCTGATACCGACCGCCGACCTCCTCAACATTCTTGGATCACACGCAGCTGTCTTCCTTATTCGTTGCCTAGGGCTCTGCACATAAAGCGAAGTGCTTACAGTGGCGATGGGCAGTCTTTTCAGACGGATCTTCAAGAAGGAGTCGGGGGAGGGGACGGAAGCAAATAAAAGTGCATCCGTGAAACCGGTTGATATGGTAGAACAACAAAATGAAGGTACCATTAGCGAGCTAAACCCGTCTTCTTCGCTCTGACGGCTTCACAGTGTCGGGTTCTGCGTCTTCAATCCTAAAGCAGTCAAATACGGGTCCTTCTACTATGATCACTACTCCCTCCGAAAAGACACCCCAAACAGGACCGAACAGTGTCAACACTAATACTGCAGTAGTGGCCGACCAAGAGACTGTTATGCCGCCGAATCCAACCCAAAGGGATGTGAACATTGATGAAAATGGAATCACTTTGGTATCTCTCTGGGACACAGCATACGATTTGCTCAAAGAGGAAGAGGAAACGCGCAAGTTACTTTCTGCCTATGAGGATCTGCTATCTCGAGTCCCCATCAAAGGTATCAACTATCATAGTGAACTCCTTGATAAAGCTAATGACAGGATACAGGCGACGTGACCTCCCCATCGGCGCCAACTTGGGAGACGGACGCCAGCGATGTCGAGAATCGGATCCCCCAGCATGATCCGGCCGCACGCCAAGGGAAATTGAAAGAGATAGCAAAGTCAGGCTTGCAGCATATGGAAGATAAGAAGGTCAAGGTCACTATCCTGGGTCATGAGATTCGTCTGCAGGACGGTGTGGGTCAGGTTGGGGAGGCTGTGGATTGGGCTCAAACCTTCATTAAGGATGCGATCAAAGATGTGCCTTATGCACCTGCTGTGATGGCAGGTATCTCGCTGGTCCTTCCGCTCTTGAAGAACCCGGCCGCTGTTGATGAGGCAAACCGTCAGGGATTTGCGTATGTTACATCGCAAATGGGCTACTATGCCGAAATGGAATCACTACTCCTACCTGAGGATATGAAGCCCGGATTGAGGGCGGATTTGACGACTCGTGTTCTTGACTTATATAAACTTATAATTGAGTTTCAGATACGGAGTGTTGTGAGATTCTATCGCAATTCGACCAAAAACTACTTCAGAAGTGTCATCGACTATGACGGCTGGAACGATCAACTGGGTCACCTCAAAGAGAAAGAGGCAAGCCTCGCCCAGAAGTTCGATACTATTTTTTCCAGTGCAAGCTTGGAGCAGTTAAAGAAACAGGCTAAAGAAGCGGCAGCATGGCGGCAGGCCCTGAATGCCGACCTTCAGGAGCTTGTTTTCATATCTCGGAGGGCCGAGCAACGCTCGTCCGACGATGATTCCCGACGGTGGCTAAGCACTCTCCAGGTCACTGATCCTAGTCTCGACAAACTTCGAATTGAGGAAGAAAAGGGCGGTCTGCTCAGAGACTCATATTGCTGGGTGCTCGATCATGTCGATTTTCAGAGGTGGCGGGACGCTAAACGCGGCCAGCTTCTGTGGATCAAAGGTGATCCTGGCAAGGGCAAGACAATGTTGCTCTGCGGAATCATTGATGAGCTATCTAAGATGGTTATGCATGATATCAATATTTCGTATTTTTTCTGCCAGGCCACCAACAGTCGCATTAACAATGCTTCGGCAGTATTGCGGGGACTTATATATATGCTTGTACGACAACAACCCTCACTTATCACCCATGTCCGCGACGGTCGATTTGAGAGCGAGACTGCATGGGTCGAATTATGCAAAGTTTTCACCAATATCCTTGAAGACCCACGCCTGGAAAGCTCCTATCTGCTTGTTGATGCACTTGACGAGTGCGCCGTGGACTTGGACCAACTCCTTGATTTTCTTGTCCGGAAGTCATCAGCTTATTCGCGCGTTAAATGGATCGTTTCTAGCCGAAACTGGCCAAGTATTGAAAAAGACCTCGACAGAACCTCGAATTCAAAGCTATGTCTTGAGTTAAACAGAGACACTCTGTCGGCCGCTGTGGATTCATTTATCCGTCACAAGGTCAATGAATTGGCTGAGAGGAACAAATACAAACCCGAGATTCGAGAGGCTGTCCATCATCACCTAAAAGCGAATTCAAATGGTACTTTTCTCTGGGTAGCATTGGTCTGTAGGAGACTCGCCAAGGTCGCAAGCAGGAATGTTTGGGGGAAGTTGAAAGATCTCCCGCCTGGTCTCGATGAGCTTTATAAGCGAATGTTAAACCAGGTCGGTGAAACGGATGACGCAGACCTTTGCAAGTCTCTTCTCTCTGTCACAATGACCGTCTTTCGCCCTATAACTTTTGATGAACTAGCGTCTTGCATCGACCTACCTGAAGAAGTTCTGGGCGACGATGAGGCTCTGACAGAGATAGTGGGGAATTGTGGGTCATTTCTGACCCATCGAGAAGGCACAATTTCCTTGGTTCATCAGTCAGCCAAAGACTTTCTCCTTCGAGAAGCATGTGGTGAGATCTTTCCTGACGGACTAGAAAAGGTTCACTATTCTATCTTTTCGAAGTCATTGCAAGTAATTGCCAGGAAACTGCAACGTGACATCTACGGCCTATTTACCCCCGGATATCCGATCGACCGGGTCAACCAGCCAGATCCAGATCCGCTAGCCGCGACAAGGTACGCGTGTGTCCACTGGGTTCGCCACCTAAACCAGTGCTCTCCTAGCAACAACGCGATTGAAGACCTTCAGGACAGTGGCGCACTCGGGACGTTCTTGCGCCAGGACTACCTTCATTGGCTCGAGGCTCTTGCCCTAACAAGAAGCTTATCAGATGGTGTAGCTTCGATGCTAAGACTCGAGAGTTTGCTAAAGGTCTGTTTCCATAAGTGCGAGCAGAGAATCGTCTTAACATAATTGTTTTAGAAAACAACGGAGGACGCACAGCTAATCAATCGGGTTCGAGATGCTTGTCGATTTATCCTGTACCATAAAACAGCCATTGAAAACCAGCCGCTTCAAGTATACGCTTCAGGAATGGTATTTAGCCCGACTACCAGCATAACAAGGATTCAATTTGAAATGGAAGAGCCAATGTGGATAAGGGAAAGACCGACGATGGAAGAGAGCTGGAGCGCATGCCTACAGACCCTCGAGGGCCATAGCGACTTGGTCCTCTCGGTCACATTCTCCCATGGTTCTAAGCTCCTCGCCTCGGCTTCCCACGATCGCACCGTAAAGGTGTGGGATGCCAACAGTGGCCAATGCCTCCAGACCCTCGAGGGCCATAGCGACGAGGTCTCCTCGGTCACCTTCTCCCATGATTCTAAGCTCCTCGCCTCGGCTTCCCACGATCGCACCATAAAGGTGTGGGATGCTAGCAGCGGCCAATGCCTCCAGACCCTCGAGGGCCATAGTAACGAGGTATTCTCGGTCACTTTCTCCCATGATTCTAAGCTCCTCGCCTCGGCTTCCAGTGACAACACCGTCAAGATGTGGGATGCCACTAGCGGTCAATGCCTACAGACCCTCGGGGGCCATAGCGACAAGGTCTTCTCGGTCACTTTCTCCCATAATTCTAAGCTCCTCGCCTCGGCTTCCGGTGATAACACCGTTAAGATATGGGATGCCACTAGCGGTCAATGCCTCCAGACCCTCGAGGGCCATAGCGACGAGGTCTTCTCGGTCACTTTCTCCCATGATTCTAAGCTCCTCGCCTCGGCTTCCAGTGACAACACCGTCAAGATGTGGGATGCCACTAGCGGTCAATGTCTACAGAGCCTCAGCCATAGGAGCTGGGTCTACTCGGTTACTTTCTCCCATGATTCTAAGCTACTTGCCTCGGCTTCCGAAGCTTCCACCGTCAAGGTGTGGGATGCCAGCAACGGCGAGTGCCTACAGACCTTCGAGGGCCATAGGAGCCCTGTCTACTCTGTTGGCTTCTCCCATGATTCTAGGCTCATCGCCTCAGCTTCACAAGATCGCACCGTGAAGGTGTGGGATGCTAGCAGCGACTATTGCCTACAGACCTTCGACGGCCATAGGATAGCGGTCTCCTCGGTCACCTTCTCCTATGATTCTAAGCTTCTCGCCTCAGCTTCATACGATAGCACCATCAAAGTGTGGGATGCTAGTAGTGGCCAATGCCTCCAGACCCTCAAAGGCCATAGCGGCGGGGTCCTCTTAGTCACCTTCTCCCATGATTCTAAGCTCCTCGCCTCGGCTTCCCGCGATCGCACCATAAAGATATGGGATGCTAGCAGCGGCCAATGCCTCCAGACCCTCGAGGGCCATAGTAACGAGGTATTCTCGGTCACTTTCTCCCATGATTCTAAGCTCCTCGCCTCGGCTTCCAGTGACAACACTGTCAAGATGTGGGATGCCACTAGCGGTCAATGCCTACAGACCCTCGAGGGCCATAGCGACAAGGTCTTCTCAGTCACTTTCTCCCATGATTCTAAGCTCCTCGCCTCGGCTTCCGGTGACAACACCGTCAAGATGTGGGATGCCACTAGCGGTCAATGTCTACAGAGCCTCAGCCATAGGCGCTGGGTCCACTCGGTTACTTTCTCCCATGATTCTAAGCTCCTCGCCTCGGCTTCCGGTCACAACACCGTCAAGATGTGGGATGCCACTAGTGGTCAATGCCTACAGACCCTTCATGTTGAAGATGTCACTATAAAATCATTCGGCAGTACCAACTCATGTCTTGAAACTGATAACGGTACACTCTGTTTAACTTTAGTTTCAGATAAAGGACCGACCAACACCACCGGCCTGGAAGTGCCGCGATTTGAAGGTTATGGTATAACTTCCGACGGCACACATATCACTTGGAACTCAGAGAATCTGCTATGGTTACCATCGGAATACCGCCCACATCATAATTCTGCTTTCGCTGTGTCACTATCGACAATATGTCTTGGTTGTTCTTCCGGGCGGGTGCTATTCTTCACATTTGATTCGGCAAGGCTACCGCATTTTCTTGCTAGACACTGAATCCTTTTAAATAAAGCATATCTTACAGTTTCATTCGTTATGAGGTTCTCTGAGCCTAAGAGACGCTCCTTAGAAGAAGTGATCACCGCCACATGCCGCATAAGGTGAGAAGGAGAATCAAAGTCACCCAGCAGATCGTCAAGTTACAAGGCAGCGATCCACTGTAGGTTTCAAGCAATTCCACTGAATTCTATTGAATTCTTGTACGCATCGTGTAATATTACGTAATCAGGTACTGTACCATACAAGGTGCATCTTACGCTGTTTCTCTATTTACTGCGGCTCGCTCAATAGCGGATCTGCGCTAAGGCCTTGGCGGTGGGACCAGAAAAGAGTTATTATGTGTGTATTGGTCAAGCCGATTTCGAGAACATAAAGCAATGTAATTATCGATATATATCACATTGGTCTTTGCGACATGAAGGTGTTTCCGTGGCTTTTCTCTTAGGTTTGTCTCAAGGTAAATGTATATAATTATGCTGCTCATTGGGAGCCACGAGGAGCAAGAAAGCCAGTCCACAAATCGGACGAGCATCTAAGCTCCGCAATAAAAACAATAATTGCAGGGCCTGGGGGTCCAGAGACCATGAAAGTTCTGCGAAAATAATCTGATGGCCCGAGAGGATCAAATCCCCAGTTCAGCATATGTTTGTTGTCAGAAGGCCACCAAGGCTGTTAGATTAGAGACTCAAATCCCAGGCGATTACAAGAAACATATTTGAAAGCTGATGTCTTGTAACCTAAAACTGAAGTCTGCTCATATAAGACTACGTACTAGGGCTCAGTGACACCGACCCAAGGGCGGTAGACACAGAGCCAGAGACCCAGCAGATTCCAAGACCGCGGTCTCAAGACCTGCCAGGCCATCAGAATGCCAACTAGCGTCCCCTACGATTTCACGGCCCATTAAGCCATAAGTCTCGGGGCTCAAGACGCCTGGTGACTCAAGACTATGCTCGAAACCTGACTACGTTATTCCATCATCAGCATCAGTTGCTGCCCTTCTCTGAGCATCCGCTTTCATCATCTCGGCCACCGCAGCCACTTTGGCTCGTGTCACTACGAGATCCTGTTGTAAGCTCATGAGGACGGTATTGGAACCATCATCCATCGCGGCTCGGACACATTGAGCAGCGCTGACTAGTCGTAGGTTCTTGGTATAGAAGCGCGCATGTTTGTTGTCCTTGCGGGCATACTTGTGGGCTATACGATGTGCTTCCGATGGGTCATTCGGGTTGACCGGCACTTGGTCCGTCACGTGCCATCCTCCATGCTCATAAACTTTGAAAGTAATCGTAATTGCGTTGGGTGGAGGGTTCCGACGTGGGCGGAGCGCTTCCGGCAGAGGTAGAACCGTGAATTCACTTACGTTTTGGCCTGAGGCGGGAGCCTCTTGCGAGGCATCCTTATTTTCGCGTAGCTTCTTTTTGTTCGTCTGTCGAACATGCTCTTTGGGTTCTTGAGGCTGAGAGACTGGTGATGCCATATCATGATGGGTTGTTTGGACATCTGCCTGTTCTCGCTGGCTGGGCCCGCCCTCTTCCGTGGCCCTTGCTGTATTCTGAAGCGCTGCGGGTCGAGGTGGGACAGTAGATTCACCTATGATCGGGTTTAAGGCCGCAGGCTCAGGCAAATCGCTCAGACTCTCGCGAGGTCCAATGTTTTCTGTGCCCCGCTCATGGTCCGACGATTCATGGTGATTAAGAGGTGATGGAATCGCAGCCTGACCGATGATTGGTGATTCAGCTTGCTCTTGCCGGCCGTTTCCATCCTCTCCCATAAATATTGCTGCATCCAGCCCAGTTAAATCAAGTTGAGTGATAGCCTTTTCTGCTCGAGCGCTTCGTGCCACTCGACCTTGCCGAACAATCTGGTCAGGATCCTGAGTTGTGGCTGGCGAATGTTCATTTGATATGCGAGATTCGGCTAATGCGTCCACAGCCGGTCCCACACCGGGGCTGGGAAGCTCTGATGAAGCAGTTCGCTCATCTTTCGACGGAGCAAACTGCTCTTCTGATCTTTTTACACTAGCAACTGCCCGTGTCTCTGCTTCCTGCTCAAGGGCCTGAAGGGCTTGTTGTACTGCATTTTGCGCAATTTCTCTTTCCTCAGTCCTTTGATTCAGGCTTTTGCTATCCGCCTCGACAGGGCTCGGCGTTAGTTGTAGATCTGTATCAGAAGACATTCCTCTTGTCAACCGGTCTTGCATCTCAGCAGGCACGACGGACTCCACATGTTCCATTGAGGCGTTCTCGTTGCTTCGCGAAGAAATCTTCTTAATACATCGTTTTCGATCGCAAAGAGCCATCCCGCTTCATTCCGATTCTGCTTGAAGAGAGACCCCGCTCGATTGGTCAACCCCTCGGCTCGTGATTATGTTTGACGAGTCCAAGGCTCTTCAGCAGATCTAATATTGGTATTCTGAGCATATGTATCGAATCTGTACCTTCCTAACTCTTCGATGTTTTTGAATGTATCGGCATGGCACTCAGGCCAAGTGTCAGATGGAAGGCTGAAGCGAATGTGGTATCTCTTAGCCAAGCGTCTTAGATTCTTCAAATGATTGTCCGCCATTTGATCAAAGTCGTACTTCTCACAAGTAAAGGTTGGACCGTAAGTCGATTATAAACGAAGCCAGGTCAAAGAGTTATGAGTGTAATAGTAATAACACACTTGCGAGGAAGAAATCAGCACGGGCGGGGAAGGCCACGTCAGCGCTCCAGGGTGTGCAGGGCATTCAGGGGAAGAATATAGGGGACTCAGGACTAAATAGTAGGGCAGCAAGGGCACTTTCCCGAACAGATTAAAATGAAGAACAAAAGACATGAGTGCAAAAACATACAACAGTTAGGATTCGCATGTGGTCACCCACCATACTACTAACTAACCGGCGTGTGGCTTAAGGATGGCTGAGCGGACGGGAAGCCCTGTTCTCCATACCCTTTGGTCGTATGTATTAGGTATTTCTCAAGATTACAATATATCCTGAAATCTAAATAGTTTTCCATGCGGGCAGCAGCCTGCTCAGGTGAGGATGAATGCTTAGTAGACAGCGTACCGATTCTGCTGACCTGCAAAAGAACAGCATATTGCACTCTGCCACGGTGTGGCGATAGGACATTTGATGTGACTGCTGGCTATGATGGCCTAAACAGACGAACAAAGGGTTAAATAGTGAACATCATCAAAAGGCCCTTGCTGCGCATCGACAGCGAGGATGGTGTACATTCATGCTCCATCCCTCCCTTTTCTCGGTGTGTAAGTGTAATGTGATGCGAAATATTTATCTTCAAATTCATTTACATATCAAGATCGCCTGGAGCTATTTTGCTCATTTTAAATAGATGCTGGTCGCGAGATCTAGGGGCGACTGGATATATGCCGGTCGGTATCCCATTTGGTTCAATGAATATAGGAATGTTGACTACCGGAATGTGGAATCTCTGATACATTGAAAGAGTTGAACCAAATTCAGTTCAACCTAGGCAAGGTCAGTCACCGTCCACATAGTATTGAAAGTCGCCCTGCTCATATCCTGAAAACTGAGGGAGCTTCATCAATCGCACATGGTGTCAAAATAAAAGACCAATTCTCTCTAGGTCATTGACAATGTGCCGCATACCTGCGAAGGTGTCGTACCCTTCCATCCTTTCTTTATTGGTGTAATTGGCTTCTTTTTCAATCATGTCACAAATTTCTGCAGCAAGACTTAAGTTACAAACACGGCATTCCCGGAAAATGATACCTGTGCTTAGCTGCTGGTGATAATATTTTGTATCCCTTGAGTGCTTCACAGTCAGCAATATCTAGAAGCGAAGAGACTTCCTGGATCTTCACGCCATTATATTCTAGAATTACAGCGGCTTTTTCTATAGCTGATTTCGTGCCATTTCCCGTAAATTGTCACAAAGAAATCTTCATGAGAGTCTCAGTAATCTTTCCCAGCGGTAAATCTTCAGGCGACTTGTCATCCTTGAGGGCGAATCCTCGGAAATTAATATTAGATCTTCACGCTGCCAGCAAAACATTATAAAGGGAGGGGTAAGAAAATGAAGGGATTTTTAAGACTAGAATTAGATTATTGAAAGATCCTCTAGCTCTTTATATAAGTTAAGGACAACTTAGAGAAAGATTGATTAATCACTTTCTATATAACTCGTCCTTCTTAAAGTACCTCTACTAAGGGCTTATTGGCTAATAGGTAAAGTCTTTTATAGGTCTAACCTATAAGTAGACATCGCCAAAACCCACAAAGCCCAAAGCCCAACCCAATCCAACCCACAAATGGGTTGGGTTTTGGGCCCGTTGCTCGGCCCATTGGGGGGGGCCCATTGGGGGGTCCACTAGTTTACAAACAGTACAAACATTTACTAATCTTAGTAAAAAATCAAAATATACATACTTCGGTATTGATTCCGATGGTTCGGCTTGGTTCCTGATCTGCACCAGCCTCATATCACAACACTTCTCGTCTGGACATGTGGCAGAACTTCGAATCTCACATCCGTTAACCACACACCCTCTAGCTTGCAAAGCGCTTCTCGCACTATGCCCTATGTAGTTGATCCGTGACCTAACTAGAGACTGCAAATACTAGAAATGAAAGGACGGCGGCCCAAAGCGAGAGAGTTGAGAGAGATAAATGGAGTTTTGAGCCGCTATTGGTTGGATCACTTGGCGAAGCTGCCGAAGGCAATACAGATGTAGTCAACCCTGTTGAAGTCGAAATATCTTCCTGAGAGCTTGTGGCGGCTTGGACTGCGGTTTGAATAGATGCTGATTCACTTGCCGTCACAGTCACGACCTCGGCTGCGGTTTGGATAGATGCTAATTCACTTGCCGTCACAGTCACGACCTCGGCTGCGGTTTGGATAGATGCTGATTCACTTGTCGTCACAGTCACGACCTCGCTTTTGGTCGTGGAGGCCCCATCCGACTCAGACCCACCCACCGCAGAAATACAGTTATCAATGCAGAACGGATTGGCCACGTAGTCGAAGGTGAGAATACCATCCGATGGATCATTACTTCCTTCGTCGACGAAGTGGATGGGCACGCTTCCACAGGTCGTGCATCCGTGCTCAAGGACCGCATCCAATAATGGTCGGATGGTGGCCAGAGTGAGCGACGCGCCGGACGCCATGTTCTCGGGAAATAAACAGATGCCACCTTCGGGTATGGATCCAGAGAGCCCGATACTACCGGTAATACCACCAATAGCGAAGCCTGGCGATATGGTGATTGGCTGTGACTGAGAAACGCAAATGACATGGTCACCACTCTGATACGCGGTAGAGAGTGGCTCGGGAGCGTCGTAGATAGCGTCACGCAGAAGTTGGATGATGGATTCTGGGACTGTGGATAGAAATGATTAGGACAAACGGTCAGAGGATGCGAGGCGGGATTAAGACACACCATCATTGTTCCAAGTTGCTCGCGGACATAAGGCAGAGCCTCGGCAATTAATACCGAGACTTAAGATAGGATGGGCGTGTGCACAAAGAATCAGAAGAAATTTGAACATGGGAAAATGCGCCATCGCGGCGGGAATTCTTCAGTGTCTTATCTTTGGTAGCAGAAGTAAGACTAGCTGCACGGGAGTGGACAGCTAGGTCGGATAGACAAAGATTGCGTGCGTTAAAGGCATGAGTTGACTCGAGCTAGAGACGAAGGCAACGAGGTGGATTCTTAAGTGGTCCCTATGCAACCGAGTGAAGAGTAAGAAAGCAGCGCATATGCATCTTAGTCGGGGCTCCCAGAGCCATATCCTTATATGGTACTCCCTCCCGAGAAGAGCAACGGGATGAGAGATTTCTACGTGGCCAAGGAGGCACTTGCGGCGAGTTCAGCCGCAATCGTCCCGCTCTAACAGCGCCACCACAATTCCTTGTCAGATTTTGTCTGATGGAGGCAGGATCTTATGTGAAGGAACGAACCTGGTCATCCGAGCCAAACACTGATCCCTCCAGAAGCGGGCTGTGCGGCTGGGCTGCGGCCCCCGAGAGTGGGTTAAGAGGCTCTATGAATTCTTGGCATATCAACCATATACAGTAAAACCAACTTGTAACGACAGCCAAAATTCGTTAAATCGAGGTTTTCGCAAAACCCAAAACCCATGCCTTAAATACATATATCTAGAGTGTTGAAAATCCCAATTAGTTCGCAGTAATCAACCTGGAATGGTTTCAACGCTAGACCTCTTATGCCAAGGCATTACTGTATGCCAAGAATCTTACACTCCTACGGAATAGAGATTAGCGGCTTTGATGCAGTCTGACAGGTTCGTCGCCCATTCCTACATACAGAATACAACCTGCATCCAGGTAGTATCGAAGTATGTGATTTCAATTCGGACTGCGTTCAAACTGCATACAGGGGTTTTATGTCTTTTGGTCGCCCCAGGAAAGAATCTTCGTGTCGTTTAACATGCTGATGCTTTTGCTCACTCGATATTGGGAGTGAAAATAGATCTGTGACTCAAATGGGTTACCACAAATAAAGAGTCTGTCCGGGGCATGCTGGTTCGTTTATATCGTCTTAGCTTCTCAAATTACAGCGCTGGGTTGTAGAATTTGAGCGCGCGTTTTGCTCAGCTCGCAAACATGGAGCAGTAGAGTAGTAAGCTTCCGTATCATAAGGGAATCAGAAAAGAAAATCAAAATACAACGACATGTAAAAATTGTCCCAAGGTTGACAATTCCGGGGGCTTATTTAGACGCTGGATGGACATTCCGTTTAAAAAATCACTTGAGGCTGCCGCTGAATTGGGGCGGGAAGTGCAACTCTCGGCTTAGTAGCGCATTGATAGGGGATGGCCGGAGGATTCCGTCGTATCAGGGCAAATAACGAGGAGGGACGTACTTGTCCCCAGGTTGGGGTCGGAGACTAGTGTATGACGCGAATGCTTGTCATCAACCGTCTAAGCGAACATTGAAACTACATTTACTCTCACTTTCCTGCAGACTTCTTCCTGCAGACTTCGGAGCTAGAAGATATTTCTATCAACCGATAGCTGTCAAAGTACCATATTCCTTCAACATGGATGATTATACTTTCCAAAAACTACGTGCCAATATCCGAACAAGGCTCTTTCTCTATGAGAACGAGTCCGGGGTCGCGATTAACGCCCGTCAAAAAGCTGAGAGGAATGTCTTTCAGAGGCTTCCCCCGAAATTAATTCAGAGCATTTTCGAACTCCTTTCTGGTGCCGACGAGATTTGCTTTGCTCTGAGTGATAGTGCAATATATGCTTGCTTTCGGGACTATGCCAGATACCACCGTCCAATTGATGATCACTGGCATCCTTCTTATATTATCCCCTCTATGACACCAGATGGGCGGCTCTCAAATCGACATGGAGAAAAACACAGAGCAGAACTCCTTCAACTTGGAGATAAACGCTCGGTGTATTGTAGACAATGTCACAATATTCATAAACGCTCTATAGGGCGAGCTCTACAATCGTATTTCAACTTGAAGTCCCAATGCTCTTCTCTTCACACAAAAGTGGTCGATATCTGCCCTTGCTCAGCGATGACATTCCACAATACGCGAAATTGTATGATAGTTGCTTAGACGCCAGAGCAACAATTTTTTTGTCGAAACTACTCGAGATTTAGTGAGCCATCCTTTGGCTGTGAGACCCGAAACATGCAGTTTACGCACCAGTGCACTTTCAATGACCATTTTCTCGCAATTGTTTCCATAAAGTCTAGGGTTTGGTTTGATGGGAGTTCAAAGTCTCTTCAAGTACAAAATCTTTTCAAGTTTGATGTATCTGGGTTAACACCTGCCCAACTTAAACACCTGGGCAAATCACATATCAACAAGTGTATACATCAAGATGCCAAAGGATGGCTTCAAGAATTCTTTCAGGAATCAAAAGCAAGCGTTGATATGAAGGTGCTTGGATCCGATTACTGTCAATGGCTTGGATGGGAAGAAAGCAAAACAGACGAATCCCCACGGGCTTTTGGAATCATCTTACATAGAGATTTAGGTGGCGTGCATTGGCCTGACAAGCGCTGGATGCATTATAGTCATAAACCACTGAGGCCTCCTCGTGAAAAGGGTCGTGATTTTTTGAAAGCATCGCACTCGCAATTGATGCCCAGGTCTATATTGACCAAGACCAAAAAAGGTTGAGCTGTGTCTGAATTGCTTTTGGAATTTGTGGAGTTAAATATATTATTTGTCACTTGCTTGAAAAATTCTGCCAAAACGATAAAATGAGATGTAGAGTAGAGTAGTTCATTTTTCAATGGGAAGTCATTATATAGAGCTTTGGTGGTGGTGCTTGGGTGGCTGGCCTGATGCATTTTGGCAGGGGCAGTGAGTATTCAGGCATTGTGGTTGGTTGATAGATCAGACCAAGCGGATGACACAATAAAAATGGGAGTGTACAAAGGTGAGTGTTCTATAAGCGGGAGTTGACTGTACATGGCATACTTTCTTTTTGAAATGGTGGTCAAAGGTGATAGATTATCGGCGCTACTTTACATGCTGTCTTTGAATTTTACAAATTTACGAGCACCTGGCAGATGGCAAAGTGTGTTGAAATACTAAATATACTATACAGTAGAAAGAAAACTCCTTCGAGCACTGGTTCTGATCAGTCTGTCCCTAACGTACCCCCCTGCCAGTGAAACATTGAAAAGAACATGGAAGCACAAACCTTCGCAACTGCCTCAAGAAACCTGACACTTCAACGAGCGCCAAGTCATATAGTAATGCGGATGATACATCGTCGACTCCTGACAGCCAGTAGACTGATCGTAGAGATCCACAATATTCGAACCGGAATTACTACAGCTTTCTTCAAAAGCCACACAGCTGCCCCCGGATATACTCCACGACCAGATCTTCAGTTCTGGACTTGAGTCACAGTCTGCATAAGTAGAGCCCCCGTCGGTGTAATATCCACAGGAAACGCCGTCCGTCATCTCAAGGCTAAGACCGCCGTGGAGGCTGAGACATTCCGTGTTTGTTAAGCTGGTCCCCGTTAGCACGTAATAGTCGCCGTTGCAGGTTTGTCCGGTGTAGGCGGCAAGGGTCCAGAGGCCTGTTCCTGTTGGGGCTGCTGCGGTGGTTCTAGTACTGCTTGAGGTTGTGTGTTCAGTGGTACCAGTCGATTTTTCGGTAGCGATGCTCTTGGTTGAGGCGGTGCTGGTAGTTATGGTTGAAGAGGTGGTGCTGGTACTCTTGGCTGATTTGGTGCTGACTGATGTGGTATCACAGCCGGAGATGCAACTGCTCGTTCTGCATAAACCTGAGTCTCCGTCTTCTGCGGTAGCACATTTACCTGTGATAATACACTAGAAAGAGCAACTTCAGCAACTGGGATTAGTTCTACAGGTGTAAGTCGACAAAAGAAACACACTTACACAACCAGTAGCACATGGGTTCAGAGAAGATAGGTCGGAATAGTTCTTCGGTCTCGCTGTACCCGGAACCTGGGGACCACAAGTGGCTTGAGGAAGAGCCACAGGCAAAGGAGGCTCACCTGAGCTCAGGCAGATGATGTCCCCTTGGTAGATCCCGTCACAATCTGTCCAGCCCCAGGTGTCGCTGTTATACTTCTCAATCTCAGCTTTGGTAAGACCATATTCTGAGGCAATACTGTTGCAAGTATCGGAAAAGGATTGAACGACATAAGTATAACAGTAACCGTCACTGGTTTCTTCTGGCACGCTTGATGTAGATCGTACATTTGGAGATAGGGCGGCTGCTATCTTGAACAGCCGCAGCATTCCCCAGAGTATAAAAAGAATCTTCATGTTTGCATATAATTCTAAGCGGATTTCACATACTATGATTCAGAAAAAATTCAGTCCTGTCGATAAGAAATTCCAGTCATTTTATATCCATTGAGAACGGGTGGCTGATGATCACCTGCGTTCATTATATCGCATCCTCGCGGGTGGAGAAGAAAGAAGTATATAAGACGAGTGTCCACCCGCATCAACAATGATTCTCGTTCGTATTGTTCTGTCCGGGGATCTAGCCCGTTGATATTGTCCTGCGTGGCGAATCCGTGCCTTTGTTATAATGTAAGCAAAACAATGAAAGAGAGAACCTTGGAAGATAGTAAGTAAATTTAGAGTCGAGTCTTCAGACAGAATGAGAATCAGGTGATGACAAAGGGTGAGATACTGGGCAACATTTGAGACGCTATTTTAGGTTGACGATTTTGATTTTTTTCCCCCTAGTGAATCATTCAAAGCATCGCTTTTAGCATACACTTGGTAAATTCAAAATGCATATATTGGTATGCATAGTATGAATCATTGTACGAAGTCGAAGAGCGAAATGTGTAGGTAAGCAAGGCGGTGTGCGGCGACTTGAGGTCATTACCGAACATGGTCTAGTGTCGTGTAACGCGCAACCTGAAGCTTCCAATTCCATCATACACCTTCGTCCCCAATTGAACCGCTGGATCTAGTCTTTTGAGTCCCTCGAATCGAAAGCGCAATATGTCCCCTCGACCCCGCAGTCGGTCGTCCCTTCCCAACGATCGAGCTCCGTCGCGTTCGCGCTCGAGAACTCGCGACTCGCGACCTCGAAGTATCACTCGCAGCCCATCTCTCAATACAGGTCGCTATGACCGACGCACAAGAAGCCGAAGCCGCTCGAGATCCTCTTCCCGTGGCCCTGGCAAAGGTGGCCGGCGATACCGTAGCCGCAGTTACAGCCGCTCGCGCTCGCCCAGCCGAGATCGAAGCCCACCCCGGAGCGCAAAGGTCAGTGCCTTGAGTTGACTTTTCCTGCCCCCAAAATTTACGCAGGTCACTAAATAAGAGAGACAGATCGTGGTGGAGAGGTTAACCAAGAACGTGACCGAGGCACATCTTAGAGAGATATTCGGCGCATTTGGTGATATCGAAAAGCTCGAGCTCCCAATGAACCCAGCTTGTAAATTACTCGCTCGTGGCCTCGTAGATGCGCATTACTGACTGTTGTTTCTAGTTATGACCAACCGCGGTACCGCCTATATCCTCTACTTCGATCCCGCAGATGCGGAGGCGGCGATTGCCCATATGCACGAAGCCCAGCTTGATGGTACATTTCTGAATGTTTCTATTGTTCTTCCTCGGCGCAACTTTTCACGATCACCACCCCCTTCTACTCGAGGAAATGGTCGGCGCAAAGGTCCGTATGTAAGCCCTCCCCCGAGAAGACAGGGTCGTGCACGACCTACCGAGAGACATGATACGTACCGACCACCATCGCTCTCACGCTCGCGTTCGAGATCGCGATCACGATCACGATCACCACGACGAGGGAGTACTCGTCCGGAAAGCCCCCGTCAGCACCGACGACGAAGCCCTAGTTACAGTAGTTACAGCTACAGTGACCGGAGCCGGAGTCGGAGCCCCAACAGGAGCCGGAATCGTCATTAAAAGAAACTGGGTCGTTCGACACGCGGTGTTGAAGACAAAATGACTCAATTATCTTTTATTGACTAACTTCAGGCCTCGATATGAACGCCCCGAAATCCTTGACATCGCTAGGTCCACAAAAAGATTGAGCATAATGATATTCCAAATTTAAATACCCAAATTCACCACCCACCACCTTTCCTATGCCGTTGACGCCTGTCGTGTTGGGAGAAATATCGCCCTGTCGTGTCAACGTTTCGTTTTCCATGGCACTAGACCATGATCCATGAAGAGCATTGAATGCTCAGAAGAAGGCGCACCATCCGATGTACATGGCCGCCAGATTCTTCTTATCGGTTGCCTGCATGATCAGTTCATCCACTTGTCCGTCCACAGACAAGGCGATGGGCTGCTTAGACATGAAACCCCGGAGCTTGTTGCGAACATCCTCTAAGACACCGGCAGGAGTATCAGGAACGTTCGCGTGATTACGGCGCTAGGAAGCATTATTAGTTACAGGTCTTACAATGACGGGAAATGAAGACTTACTCTTTTTCCAATGAAGTCGGTGGTTGGGTCATGGAGGAAGGTTTCCAGGATAGTCATTAATGAATCCTCATTTTGTCTGAGGAGACTGAGAGTGATCTCACAGGTGCGCCGGAAGGGTCCTATGCATGGCCATGTAACTTTAGCAACCGGTCCATTTTTTTTTTTTTTCAGATTTAACCAGCTCATTGGGACAACTTACCGTTATATCCATAAGCACCAAATGCATCAATCATATTGTTCGTCAATCTGAATGGGACCACTTCAGGTTTCTCAAAGGTTTGTCCCTGGAAATTTGATGAGCATTTCATTGAGGAAGTACCAGAGACTTCAACGACTCACCTTGTCGAATAGACAATTGAAATCCACATGCAGAATTCCTCCTGTACCTTCTTCAAATGACAAATTCTCTCCATGTCGATCGCCAAGGCTAAAAGAATGATTCACCCGATCAGTATGATAAGAAGGGTCCAAACAAGATGTTACCACATACCCTAGAACGTAACCAACCATAGACATGACCGCCGCAGATCTTGTGTATCGCAATCTTGCCGAGAACCAGGCTTCGGTCTCCGGGAACATCTCGATAAACCACTCATGGAGAACAGGAGGAAGCCTATATAGTCGTTAGACCTCTAAATGTGAAGATTGATGACGAAGGAGGGTCGGACTTGGCCAGAATCTTCGTCGTAAACAAATTGACTTTGGAACGTGACCGGTCTGCACAGATCTCGTTGAGAATTTGCTTGATTTCGCCGTACTAGTTTCTCATTAGTCTTGACCGATGTGTGCAAGTTTCCACAGACTTACATTTGGTGAGACTCCTCGCTCGCGGAGAAGTTTGACCACAATGTCTCTTAGTGTGCGCAGATTGTCCACCCACTCGATGAGACCACATTCCTCATTCAATGGAGTAACTGCGTAAGTTTTGATGTCTTTTCATGGATTAGCCACGAACTATATAAAGCAATTTGATATGATTATGAATGATACTCACACATCCTTCGTTTACTGGCCTCAACGTCCCGTTTCAAGAACCTATTGATCATGTTATTGAACTCCATGAGACGTTGATCCTTTCGAAGATCATCTTTGGGTTTGCAAAGAGCATTATAGATCTTCCCGTCGGAACCTCGGATACTGATCTTGCGGGGCTTTTGAAGCGAATTCAAGATTGTGGCTTCGTCCAGAACAGCTAGAGCAAGCAAGTCAGCTAGTATTCACAAAAGACTGGAGGGATTCAAGAACCTTCAATTGTCGTCGGATCCCGGGGGAAGGCTCTGAACCCTTTCAGATACTCCGCATCATGGGATGCTGGGAGACTGGGAATCAACATGGCCTGGAATGGCACGACAAGCCGACATGGCGCAACCTTATGGGGAAACCCAAGGCTGCGCCCAAGTGAGACCTTGGTGGCTCTATCTTCGACAGGTGCGAGGCATAGCTGTAGCAACGCCTCCGAGAACTTCTGACCTGAGTTTATCATGCGACGAATGTCTGGAGATGAAATATCCACCTTGTGCTTCGTGGTGAACTCCTATAGATGATGTCTTAGTGCTGTTTTACTCTGTCGCTGGCTTCTTCGCATACCGTGATCTTTTGAAGACAGTTGTAACCCTTCGATGCTCGATCTTTATTCGAAGATTTGACCACGGCGAGGACTGTCCATAGACCTTGCTGGGGAAAGTAGTGGACGGCCTTGGTCACAATTCTAGTCAAAAGATCATAGACTGTGTTGTTGGGATGGCAGATACGGGCCACCACCTGGGGCAGAATTGTAAACAACTACCACAGTTAGCCTCCGATATAGTAGCGGCAACGGAATTTAGTTACCAAAGCAGGCTGAAGACGAGATGAGATGTATTTCTTCAATTGAGCATGCATCTCGTCGAGGCTTTTCTGTCGTTGTGCTTTTGTGTGTCGCTGGAACTCCCTGGTGATTTTAAATTCTAAATCAGCTGGCTGTGCATTTCACGCAGAGATTATCACTCACTCATTATCTCCCCTTTTGGGGTCAATGGGCTGACCAACGATGGAAGCATGCTCCAGCCAAAGAGTGAGAAGCTTTGGTAGGGTCTGGAAAACGTATTTACTGCCATAGGTAAGAGAACGAAGGTAGTTGTCAATGACCAATTTGGTAGCCTCTCCACTCAAGCTGATAGAGCTGTTAGTCTCGGAAGGCATGTGGTAAACAGAGCTCAAGAACTTACTATATTTGAGCCTCTTTACCCATGGGCTTCGCCTTTTCAGAATCAAGAATCTTGTTGTAGTGCTTCCCAAGGTAGTAATGGGCTTTCTCCCATCTATGTACCGTTGTTAGAACAGTTCATCCAAGAGAACAAAATTCGAAACCAACCGTGGATACAGCTTAATGGCTTCTCGATATCGTTGAACAATAGCCTGTGAGTGAGTCTGACCCGCTCTATCTGTCCACTTTGCCAGCATAAGATGAGCCTGATAAATTTTAGCATCTTGAAATCTAGTTATGTTGACTAGAGAAGACATACCCTGGCAGGAACATCATTTTGCTTCTGTCCACGACTGGAGACAAAAGAGGCTGCCTCGGACTCAACTGGATTAGATGCTGCTGGAGTGGTCTCGTTCATGGAAATGGCCCCTTCCAGAGTCTGGATCGCCTTTCGATGGTGTCCATCTTGCCAGAGTAGTTTTGCATGTTCAATGGTGGCTGACCGATCTTTAAGCCTAGCTGCATTGAGCATTGAATGATATGCCTGACTGGTGAATTTGCCCTTGCGCGAGAGGTGGGCACTTGTAAGCCAAGCAGCAGAGATATCAGAATCTACGAAGCCGCCCCTAGAGCATGAGGAAGAAAAAGTCAGCGAGCCTATAGAAGGCAAAGAGGAAATTGGTTTCAACCCACGCTAGCTCCATGGCCGCTCGTCTGATACCCAGCAAGTACTGTTTTTCGGCAATGTATCCTCCCAAGACATCCAACCGTCGTTTAAGAGCGGCAGACAAGTCTGGGTACGAGGGCTTTTCAGTTCTTGCGTTGGCTATCGCTTCTACATCTGCCAAGGCATGCAATCGGAGCATATCGTCATGGCATGATTGTAATGAAGTGACGGAATTCGCCGTCAAGGATCTTGCAACATTGAGCCTAAGCTGATTAATGGTTTTGGTAAAGGTCTCTGACTTCTCCGCCAGCAAAGCATCATTGTTTTCATGCCGTTCTTGAAGAGTGCAGAGAGCCGAACCAATCCCAACGTTAAAATCACCAGTTCCTTGCTCAGCACATAATTCCAGGTAGCCCTTGAGCTTAGACCATCTACCTGTCATCCAGGATGCTTCTACTGCGAATGGTAGGAATCGTGAGGTTGCAGCAACTTCATCTTTGAGCGCTTCGAAGCGAGTGAGAATGGCATCTAGAAGAAGTGAGCCGATGATAAAAGAGGGCAAACACCATTTATCGAATAGATACCTTGTTGACCCGATTCCTTGAGGCAAGTGATAAGATTCCACTGAGCTTCAAGGTTGTCAGGTTCCTTTTCGAGCTGAAGCTCATACCAACTCTGCGCGGTGGCCCACCTGCCCGCCTTTCGGTGTTCCAAAACCTGCTGGTCAACGTTAAATCCTGACAAATGACTGGATATACCTTCTATTCCGTCTGGCTCATCAATCTGACTGTAAATGTCTTGTAGCCTTTGGTAAAGCAGCTCATGGTCCGAGCCTTCCGTGGAATCCGATTGCGAGTTACATCGCCGGATGTACTGCTCCCAATGAAACAAAGCCCGAGAGAACGATTTACATTCCACGGCACGCTTGGAGATTATCTCGGGTGGAATTGCAGCCAAAACGGCCTCGACAGACTTGATCTGAGCTGAGAATTTGTCGAAAAGTAATTCTCGACTGGGATCTCGAGAACGGCTCGACTGGTTAGGTTGGTAGCCTATGCTGTTAAGTTGCTTTTTCTTGCCCTGAAGCCATCGCGACAAGTAGTCCAGGACATCAAAAACGCTCTGAGATCATTAGTTTGTCTTTAGCAATTTGTATGGACCAAAACTGCCGGGAATTCTTACCTGACTGCAGCATATGATTGTGTCACGGGCATTATTGTTTGTATCCGGAAGGGGATGCGAAAGAACCTTTATTAATTCGAGCTGAATGTCTTGCTGTTCTTGCGTTGTGCCACTAACAATGCGATACAGCACCGCGAACGGCAGGAGGAAGGAAGAGATGGAAATGTCCTGGCCTTTCACCACACGACTGCAGAAGGCAAAAACGAGCTTTGCGTTGTCGTCCTTGTCGATTGAGAGCAAGTCCTGCACCAAGGTTCGAAGCCACTCGCTATGGGTCATGTCCGGGGAAAACAGAGGATACTTAATCTCGGGATTCTTCGCAACGATGGTAACCGTGTATGTCGACGTAAGAAATGGCGTCAACGTATTCCGGATTCCTTCAGGGAGCTCCATCCACCGCTGATAGTTCTCATCGCCCTGTACGTTGTACGAGCGCTGAGTAACAACCGATTGCAGGTTGGAGATTCTGAGAAGGCCCTGCATTGCATATGCCAAGAACCCCTGGGCCCTGGTATTAGAGGCCGACAAGAAAGCATCGACAAGAACATGCTGAAGAAAGAAAAGGACAAATTCCACAATCTCCTCCGTTCGATCGAAATTCGAGAGAACAAGGATATCTTTCTTCTCCTTGATTGTCTCTACTCGATTTGGGTCCAAGCAGCCAACAAGCCCTAAACATCGTGCAGACAGCAATGTAATACTGTCTGAACTAGTATTGAACTTAACACAACAGTCCAATAATGCTCTTGTGAGCTGTGCAATCACGGGATCCGGTTGTTCACTGAGAGCAGAGACGTGCAAAAACTCCTCATTTTTGGACAGGAAGGGAAATAACTCTGTCAAGGCTTGCTCAACAACAGTCCCATTCTCACTCTGGCAGCGACGGATTAAGGCGAGGAACCGACTTCGGACGTCCATATCCGCCCGCAATTCGTTGATTTGAGCCTCGAAAGTGGCCATCTCGGGAATAGAGGCTAGAGACGGCATCGTATTGAAGATATCTCGCACAAGGTTTGGATGATTGGTCAATATATGGTCGATTAACTGATGTGCATGTTTTCTGCTTCGATCAGTCAATCTCTCCCAATATCTAATTACAATTGCGAATGTCTGGTCAATGAGAGGTTCGATGTCTTCTGCACTGAGAGAGCTGATCAAGGTTGTCCAAGCCGAGAACGCTTGACCGCATAATTCCTCCATGTCCAGGGCGGAGCGGAGGCAAGCACAGACCTGAGGCAATGCATTACTGACATGGCCCTGGGCAATGCTGATCATTTCCTCGATTGCTTTGAGGTTCCGTCTCTTCTCCGCTAGTGTTTGACGGACTTGAAAGTCATTGATTGCGTTTGAAAACTGTGTGATAATTCCGAGGACATGCTCTTCGATGAAGTGGCTCAACATTTCCGCCTTTTTGGAGGAACCTCCATGTGAAGCAGACTTCCTTGGAACGAAAGTGGCTAGGCGACGAAGTGCTTGGTGAAACTAGAAGGGGTTACTTTAGCTGGATACTCAAAATCTCTTCCCACGGGTTTTTGACTCACTCTTTCCTTATTTTGCTCTCCGGCATCTCCGAGGCTTTTTAGTAAATCACAAGCGATCAGAATTGGCTCGATACGGACCAACTCCGCCAGAGTCCGTCCTTTGAAAGCAGGGTCTATTTCTGCCAGCAGGGACATGATCATGACTTCTGGGTTGCTAGATTCTTGGGCTAGCAGAAAAGCGAGAATTGCCGCAAGATTGTTCTTCTCGGAACATACGTCGAAAGGAGATTCCGGTTCATCGCGACTGGCCCCGATTCTGCAAATGATGTCTCTTTTTCTTGTCAGAACCAAGTAAGGTAGAACATGAACCTCTGTTAATCGCAAAAAGCTGTCAACTTTCATGCCAAGCAGTTCGCAGAGCTGTTCGGCCATGTATGGGCGAGTTTGCAAGTTCTTGACAACTGCCACTGACAGTGTTCTCCAGTACGGTCGGAATAAGCCAGCAGGTGTCAAAGAAAATTGGAAAGCAAGTTTGGACAACTAGATTGAGCTTTTAGTATAAATATTTCAAGAAGATGGGTTGATCAGATGAACCAGGCCGAAGGAGGCGGTTCAACTCCGGCATTTCTTACTTCGTCGTATGCCACTGCACATATGTATGGGTTTGGGTGTCCAAGATACTCCACAAGGCGCAAAAGAATGATGTTTTTCTCTTCCTCGTCCGAAAACCTACAAGGGAAAAAAAACGAATTAGCAAAGGAATTAAAAGTGATGACAACTGGAGAGACATACTTGGCAAGGCAGCAAAGTGTCAAGACACATGCTTCCTGTAAAGGAACATCGTTCTTCTCAGAAATATTCTTTAGCCATTCAAGTATGACGACAAAATTTGCTCGACGGACATCTGACTGCAGACTGGGGTGCACGAATGCTACGACCGAGTGGCTAGATTTCAGTCAATGGATGCTCGATATGAGTATGAAGTTGCGAAACGAACCTGGTCGCCACGCGAAGTTCTCGGATAGAACTTCGAAAAGCGTGGAGACAGAATTCACCAGATGCAGACGATGATAGGTGCATCTGATCCAGACAAGGGGAATGCATCAGAATCCTTCTTAGAGCTACCATAGCAGCTATGCGTGGACCAGGTGTGCGCGTAAGCTTTGGTAGAATGGAATTGAATATTGTCCACAGTTCCTCGAATTCAGCTTTGTCTTTCTCGGTGCCAGTACCAGGTTTGGGTTCTTCAAAATCACACGTTTGACAGAAGACTGTCTCCCGCCCTACAACATCTGAGAGCTTTCTCTCAAGGTGTCCTGTGATGGCGCAAGACATTTGACCGATCATAACCAGTACGTCTGATCTTTGAGGGTCAGAAAGCTCATCATACGAGTTTCTGGATTCTGGTCTTAGATCAATTTATTCAAGAACACAAATAGTCTTACAACACTCACGTTAATGCAGTGCGCAGGCCTGCCAGTCCCCCAGCATTATCAAAATTTAACAGCGTCGACAGTTTCTCTGTAAGCAGATGTAGTAAGCCTTGATTTGAGGATTCAACGGTCAAACACATCCGCTTTGGGGCTCGCGGATCATCATCCATTTCCATTTCATATGAAGAAATCCCAGGTTTCTTAAGATCAGCCAAAAGCTCGGTCGGTGGAGGAGCAGGCAAACCCCTAGGGCGACTCCCTGCGAGCCCTGAAACATCAAGCAGTACCGTCTCAAGAGACTGGATAGAGATCTGGCACAAATTAGCTCACGCCTCGACTAAAAATGAAAATCTGACTGCATAGAAGGCTGATCATTACCAAAAGGCCTGGCTCCATGGGCATAAAATTACCGTCCTTGTCCTTGATTTCCACAAGAGCAGACAGAAATGATTCTCTCAGTTGCTGCGCGAAATCCTCCGAATCAATCACCGCTTGTAATGCTTCCTCCAAGAAATGAATCAGTCCCGTCTGAAGGACAGGCAGTGGATAGGAAATACTGGGCGAGATCATGTCGCTTAGGCATTGAGCCCAGGTCGAGGCCAGGCATACGTCCGAACGCAAGGCTGATCCTGATGTATCAGACACACAGAATCGATGTGCATATGCCATGAATTCTAAAGTGTCCTGTTCTTCCTCTGGAGTAAGTGTAGGCCCAGCTCTCTGCACCCACTTAGCCACCACTTTACGAAGACGGTTGTACCCATTCGAGATCCACGGAAGATTCTGACGGAGATTGAAGCTTCGTCGATTCGGAAGACCCTCTATTGCGGCTTGAGGACTAAATGAATCTAATAACAGAGACACAAGGATGATTGCTTGGGAAAAAGACCCGAGGTCTATTCTTTGCCGCATGAGACCGCGGGGAAGAGCCAGGTTATCGAGATCTACACCAAGTGACCCGTTTGTCGCGGGTATGAACAAGTTTGTGGAAAGAGGACCTGACAATTTGCCATTCAGCGATGTTTCCAGGGTGCACAAAATATCTGTTGCAATATCAGTCGAGGTTCCACGATAAGTTTCTTTGAAGTATATAACAGACCTGATGTACAAGCACGAAGAAAGGCCGGAACGCCGTAGCATAATTGTGATGAGCGAGCCTGTTTGGATTGTAGCCTGGCCATACTGCTGAATATCAGATGTGTTCTATGGTGAATGAACTCGGAGGACCAAGCGCCAGCCAATCTGATCAATCGTAGGATCAACCAGGCAAATAATGGCGCTTGGACGTCCTCGCCCAAGATCAGTGGGTCTGAATTGTCCCATAATGCCTGGGGAGCTTTCTCGATGCTTGCTTGGATTATATCCAGACAGTCGACAATCTGGCCCAGCAGATCCTCTGTCGGTTCGGTACTAGTTAGATCCACTTCTAAGCCGGCTTTGAGTACAATGCAGATGAGTTTATTAATGTCTGTGATGCCTTCATCGACGCGCATTTGACTCTTTATTTCCCCTAGAAGTTCTTGGCGAAGCTGTGAGAATGTCTCCCGCGGGAGCCGATGTCCTTTCTGCCCTTGCGGTGCCAGAGGGGCGAAATGAGCCGCAAGGATGGATGAGGCAGGCTCCATGGGCGGTTGTCGATTGTCTTGCGCGGAGCCGTTATTGTTTCTTCCAGCTGCCATACTGTGTGAACATGGCTAGCAGACCAGGATCCAAATACTTGGTGTTTGGGGGTGCACCACACGCGTTGCAAAATGATGAAATGCACGCGGAGTTGATATTGACACGGACACCTGAGGCATCAACTCCCCACCACGAGTCCAAATTAACGAGTTGGGTGATATGAAGCTCACTGCCAAGAAGATAATAATTAAGTCAGCCTCCAATACTAATGTCATATCTGATTATGTTTCTATTATCAGACTAGCATGCTGGCTAGGTGCTGGTTAGATGTACTAAGATGAGTCGGTGATTACACACAAAGTACCTGGATGCTCCCGCGGAAAATCTTGAACAATGAGTACTTCACTTCGACTTTACTCTCTTGCCCACCACAAACCCGGAGATGTGAACAAATTTCCCTTCCTTAATACTCTTTCTCCCCTGTGCCTCTCAAGACAGCCACAGAGAATAGAACTACAATAATGGATTCATCCGCTGAGCCAACTCCCCTCACTCTGCCGGACCTAGCGGAGGATTCTCGACATGCCTATTTTATGCAGCAGGCGCTGTTGATGGTGAGTGCCTTCCTTCCCCAAGGCAGGTCTTTGAAACCACGATACTCATATGCACGGAACTCTAGGGCGAGAAGGCACTTGAGTGCGGAGAGACCCCCGTCGGCTGTGTTCTGGTCTACAACGACCAAATAGTGGGGTATGGAATGAATGACACCAATCGGTCAATGAATGTTGGTACTCTCGTCTGCATAGATGAACCACTACAGCAGAACAACTGACGAGTTACAGGGAACCCGGCATGCGGAATTCCTTGCCATCGCCGAGGTGCTTCAGACATACCCGAAGTCAATCCTTCAATCTACGGATCTTTACGTGACCGTCGAGCCATGCGTTATGTGTGCCTCGGCCCTCAAACAGTATCGAATTCGTAGTGTTTATTATGGGTGTGCGAACGAGCGGTTTGGAGGCACTGGTGGTGTTCTGTCACTTCATTCAGAGTCAGTGAATAATCATTGGCATTTCCAAGCTTCGGATTTCAAGCTAATTTATGACAGCCCCTCTATCGACCCCACCTATCCAGTGTATGGTGGACTGTTTCGCCAGGAGGCCGTTATGCTACTTCGTCGGTTCTATATTCAAGAGAATGAAAAAGGTAAGACCTGGATTGGAAACCCAAGAATTCCATACTAACATTTTCCCAGCGCCAAATCCTCGGCCAAAGAAGAACCGTGAACTAAATACCACGTTTGAAGGTGCAGGGGACGAAGCACTGGCGCTCTGGTAATAACCTTAATAACTTCGTTACCATGCCCTGGCCAGTGGAGGGGACCCAGTCTGGCATAGACGTTTGATATCCAATGCACAGTTTGCGAGGTACTCAGGCGAATGTTTTAGCAGAACATCGGTTTGTATTGTTAATTGCAAATTGCGCCTTCAAAAAACACACGAAAAATGGATATGTGTACAAAAATTTTGCAACTCCAGGGATCAACTCAGGAGACGAATAGTTTAAAGAGCTCATGAAATTGATCTAGGCGGTTCGCTCAGCTTCCAATTCTCGCTCCGCTTGTTGGTAGTACTTGGCAGTGTCGACACCGTGCTAAAAGAGAATAAGTCAACGGACGATCTATATATAGAGGATTCCGAAATCGGGGAGGACTAACCTGATCGTGGTTGACAATGTTGATCCACGGGAGGACGTGGATGAAGAGCTCGGAGTACCGGGAGTTACGGGCAGCAATACCCTGAATATAAGAGGAGACCTTGGAGGCACCGTACAGGGGCTCGCCCTTCTTCACCTTGTCAACCATCTCGCGCATGTCCCTCTCGACCTCCCGGGAGTTCTCGGTGAAGCCGTAGAAACGTCCTGCGAACCTGTAAGTTTCTCGATTAGAACACAATTTATCGGCATACATACTGCAGGATCTCTGGTAGAGAATGTGGATGCCACCCAGAATGCCAATGGCACTGGCGAGGCGCATGACGGGGGCAAAGCCACCGCGGCCGACATGCGACGGGCTAGCCCGCTCCATGATCCAGAATGCAATGGGGGAGACGGTAGCCATGCCACCAGCCACGGCATAATCGGAGGGCCGAGCGTATCCGAACACGCGACGCAGGTGCCTAGAGCCATTGTAAGTGTCGAGCTAAACATGGGGGAAGGGTTCGGGGAAGATCGTACGGGTCGGAGTCGATGAGCTGCAGGAAGTGGTTAGCGATGAACATATATGCGACGGGGTATACATACGGGGTAGTCGGTATTGGCCCGCTTAGGGGGCACAATGGCCGTGGTGGAAGTAGCCATGATGAAGATTGATATGGTGGGATACGGGCGTTGTGCAGAGTTGAAGTTCGGAAGTTGGAGGTGGTAGCTACACTAGCCTTTTTGGGTTTAGCGTATGTCGGCGGCCAGCACTCAACATGAACCAATGATAGCGCTGCTGACTAGGCGCGTCCAGAACGCGTTGACTGGATAGTTGATATCGAGGCTTAATTGACATGAACACTCGGTGAAAAGGCTCCTTTTCTCAATTCACGTTGAATTCCATCACAGTCCATTCCGCCCACTATGGATACCTCAGCAGACCGAGCCAGCTCTCCCGACAATAATAATGATCTTTTCGACTATGACGTTGGCCTAGACGAAATCTTTCAAGGACATAACGACGCGTCAAACAATGATGCCCCAAAGGCAACAGGAGATCCTTCGTCTCTCGGACTTGGACTGGACGAGGAGGTCAAAATCACCAAAAAGCGACAGCCGATTGCAAAATTAGACGAGGCTCGGTAAATAGCGTTTCTCCTTCGCCAATGGCCAGCGACATGTTAAACTAACAATCGTTGCCTCCTAGTCTACTTTCCCAACCAGGTATCCCCAAGCTCCGACGCACAGCTAAGGAAAAGCTTCGATTCAAAGGCAAAGGACATGAGGTCAGTCAATGTCTATTTGTGTGTAGTATTTACACAGGACTAACAGAAGAGGTTGAGCAGTTTTCGGATGCCGGCCGCCTATTGAACTTCTATCAACTGTGGCTGGATGACCTGTACCCTCGTGCAAAATTTACTGATGGCTTGGCTATGATCGAGAAACTAGGTCATACCAAACGCATCCAGACTATGCGAAAAGAATGGATCGAAGAAGAAAAACGGAAAGTCTTTGAAAATGTCACTGAAACAAGAGACCTTCCCACAAGGCTTTCTTCGGATCAGAATGGCGGGGCAACAAAGGCGACACAGCCAGCACCGGGTGGATCAGGTTCTCCAGAGAATGATTTGTTCATGCCAGACCCTGAGGGAACAACCCGACAGCCGGTTAGCCATCCCGAGCCCGACGACGACGATCTGGAAGATCTATTGAGAGAGCAATATGAGGATATATCAGGGGGGCCACAGCCAGCGAAGCAGGTGTCGAACATTGGACCCGATGAGGATGACCTGGACGATTTATTGAGGGAGCAAGATGAGGACAGAGGACCGCAACCAGCGAAACAGATGTTGAACGGTGGACACGATGACTTCGATGCCGAATATGAAGCCATGAACGAAATGGGACTATAGTGATAGACAGAATAATTTTTATGACAGCCATGAAATTCACTGATTCGATACTATATTGACCGGCAGCGAATGGACTAGAGCTCCCTACCTTGCCAAATTCTGGAGGGCTGCCTACCTTTCGAAGATAGATATTGAACCCATTAACCATGACTTTGAAGGGCACATGACTCAAATAATGAAATTAGAGACTCAGGGCTAATATGATATGGATACATCGATCACTGGGAAACATTTGAGAGGAAAAGATTTATCGTCAAGATGGAATCGCAAAAATTAGATGGCAAGCTGATGGAAACGCCGGAACAAGAAGACGGTAGAAGACTCAAAACTAGAGGTCGGCGGGCATCGTGAACACGGAGAATTGGCCACCAGCACCGGCCCAATTAAGCTTTTTGCCGCGGACAGCAGTGTTGTCAATAATGGTAGCAACCTCGATATCATCCTGAGTGCCTTGACCAGTCTGGTAGGTGGCAGAGAAGCCCCACGACCAAGCACGGCCATCGGCATCAATAGCAAGTGAGTGGTCAGAAGCAGCGGCAACAACCTTGGCCTTAATGCCAGGCACGATAGTCGGCTCAATGAGGATACGGGGACGTTCACGCTCATCCTTGATAACGGCATCGTCGCTGAGAGTGTCCACCTTTAGGCCGCTCTGGAACCCATCCAGGCGACCCCATACCAGGCACTCGCCGTCAGCAGTGCGAGCAATGGAGTGGTGGGAGCCACCACAGATCTGAGTGATGTTGCGCTCCGAGAGCGACTTGACAACAAGAGGGTGCACAATGGCTGCTTCATCATCACCAGCGCCCTCACGAATGGCGGTAGCACCGAAACTGTTCAAACCCCAAGCGTAGACCTTGCCAGATGTGTGGACGGCGAAGGAGTGGTAGGATCCACTACCGATGTGCACAATGTTCTTGGGAAGTCCGAATTCGCGTGGCTGCAGGCCGTGCAGCTTGTTGCGCTCGACGATGCGGCGGCCGAGTTGATTCTGCTGTCCTGAGCCCCAGGAGTACACAGCTCCCTTGTCGTTCAAGGCAAGAACATGGTTAGCACCGCAAGCTAGGTGCTTGATATTCTTCAAGTCGGGAAGGAGGATCGGGGTGTTCTGCACGCGGTTGTTCGCATCGAATCCGAGGATTCCATCATTGCTCTGAGAGAACGGCAGTTAGTATGGTACGAAGTTTTGTGAAAGCCGATTTTCTGTCTTACTCGGAAGGTTCCCCAGCCGTAAACAAGGCCATCATCTGTCAAAGCAAAGCTTGCGCTGTCGGCAGCGGCGACTTCAACGAAAACAGTTCCCTCAGGGAAAGCGCTCGCAGGGATCGCGGTAGGCGTGGATTCCTTGGGGTTCAAGCCGCTATCCTCATCCTCGGAATCCGAATCGCTGTTATCGTCCATGTCCTTGTATCCACCATCCCAGGCGGTATCGCGTCCCAGGGAGCCCTGATCATTCACGCCCCAGGTGTAGAGCTGATTGTCGTGGGTCAGGGCAACACAGTGCATACCACCGACGGCTACCTGTACGACACCGACTTTGTCGGCGGCCAGAAGCTGATTCAGGCGAGGTCGTTTAACATCAATGACATTCTTGGCCGTGCCCAAACCAAGCTCACCCGAGCTTCCCTCGCCACAAACAAACACATTCAACCGAGTCTTGGGAGCTTCATTGATGACAACCTTGGGCTTGGCGGCCTTGGGCTTGACAGCCTTAGGCTTTGTCGCACGCGGCTGAGCAATGACACGAGGCTTTTTGGGCTCACGAGGCTTCTCCTCCTCCTCATCGGCCTTGCGCTTCTTGGACGCGGTGCTGGTAGTAGCAGTGATCTTTGTTTTGCGCGCCGTCTCGGTGGTTCCCTTCTTCGCGGTAGTCTTGGTGGTCACTTCAGTAGTCATTTTCTTTGGGCGCCCTCGACCAGTACTACTAGGTTTGGCGGTGGTCTTAGCGGTCTTAGTTTCAACAGCCTTAGGTGCCTCGGCAGTCTTATTTGCGGCGGCGGTTTTCGCGGCCCTCGCGGCGGGCTTCTTCGGGGCAGCTGTGGCCTTTTTGGGAGGCATTTTTGCTGTGGAATGTGGAATTGAAGAAAAGAGAAAGGGGAGGGGGTGAGGAAGGGGAAGGGGAAGAAGGAAGAAAATGTGGAAGGGCAAAAAAAGACGCGTTAAGGCACTGATTAAAGGTGGAAAAAAAAGTGAATGATGCCAAGGCACGGACGTAAATAACACCGCATTCCCAGGTTCCCGCCCCCCAAATTCGATAATCTTATGACCTTTGTTTCACGCGATTCTTTGATGATAATTTCTTTTATTTTAATTAAATTATCTTTCAGCCATGAATTATATATAGATATTTAAAAGCAAAAATTTTACACTAAGGGGGAGCACCAACTCTCATATTTTGTGGGCGGATCTTACCACACATGATGACATTCTGCCCTAGTGGTGTCCATTTGACGTCGCGTGGATTCAAGGCAGCATTGGGATTACCTTGAGGATCCAGCTTAGACTCGGGACTGACCCCAACACCCCCATGACCAAGGTAGGTAGGAGCTACTGTCACGATTATAGAGTCGATGAAGTTGGTATACTCCGGATTCAACAGCTCGTTCAGAACGGTCCCACCTCCTTCAATCATGACGCTCTTGATTCCCTCGGAGGCGAGAGCTCGAAGAATCGCTTCCCAGCGTAAGCGCCAGTCCCGGTTGTATTCCACAATTCGCAGAAAGTCACCTCCGTAGCCCTTGAGCATCATGAGTCGATCAGAGTTAATTGGAGCTCCTGGCGAAACTACCACCCAAGGGGCCCTACCTTTCCCTTCGACGGCAGTGCGGAGCATCCGGTCATCTGGATGGATCGGCCATCGTCCCGTGGGATCAATGACTACCGGGCGAGGTTGCCACATTCTACCCAGGCCTCCGAAGCCTCCAGCGCCTTCAAGGCGACAGTTCAAACCTGGATTGTCTGCTAGTACGGTCCCGACGCCAATGAGGATTGCATCGTGGCGCGATCGGAGGTAGTGCGTCATCACCTTGGCCTCGGGTCCAGAAAGCACAGTCTGCATCCCGGCACGAAGAGAAATCTTCGAGTCCATTGATGACGCGTAGGATAAAGTGACGTGTGGAAATTCGCTTTTCTCAGAGTGGTGGGTAGATAAGTTAGGCAGATATGGCTCGAGGAAGTCTAGGGAGAATTGGGGGAAGGCGAGGGTATCTGGCGGCAACTGAGGTGACAGTGCTGGAACAGTAGGATGCACTTGCAGTGGTAGTTGCGTTTGCGGCTGTGGTCGCGATGTTTCATTGATACCATTGGCTGTTGCAGACTTGATAATGCCCTGGCCTTTTTGATATTCGTATCCCTCATGAGGAACAAGCTGAACTTCCGGGTTCTGTATGCGCCATTTGGCCGCGACATTGCGCACATCGGTCACTGTGAGAGAGCGGCCTCCAGCTTCATGGAGCTTCTCGGGCTCTTCTTGAAATTTGGCGTATATCGACGAGGGGAGATACCCTTTCACTGACTCTCGTCGTACAAATTCCATAACCCCGGAGTTACGCTTCACGCGGTCGCTATAGTCGAGATCGTGCGTGTGGGTAGTGTCACTTCCCGGAGTTCTTGAGATGGTGACGGCTGAATATGCGCCTTCAAATCGGACAACTTTAATTTGAAAGTTGCAGGTACCTCCTTCTCGGGACCGTTTCTTTCGGGGACGCTTGCCCTCTGGTAGGGGTGGTCGAGTCTCTGATGGGCGATGCGTAGGGCGCCGTAATCGGCACATGTAATAGTCAGAAGTGCAGAGCCCTTCCTTGCTGGCATTTGATCTTTGCTTAACCCAGACATTGTCAATGAATGGCCAATATGTTTCAAACTCCTCCTGTGTGATCTCAATGGGGTCATTGCACTCGAACAGGAGCCTACGAATTCTCGATAGGTTCGGCGGGTTATCGAACAGGCTATCCGCAGGCTTTCCACCCGAGGGTCTTGGCTCGTTGCCGCTGATATTATCGGTTGCGCTCTGAGGTTGCGGTAGACCATTTGCATCGCCCCGCTGGGCTTGCTTCTCCAACGCGCCGGTCAAATCCACGGGGGTTGAGGTATCTTCGGCTTGTGGAGGGTCCTCTGGAGGGTCTTGGTCCATCACAACTTCTCGAGAACTCGGTACCGGGTTGGGCTCTGTGTCTGTATTTTTCACTTCGTCTCGAGTTTGCGCTTCTTCATTTTGCAGTGACGTCGAACCGCTTCCAGACGTCACCGGTGGTGATCCCGCGTCTGACGCGTGGGAGGCATGGTCCATCTTGTGTGGGACCCGGGGATGACGACGACTCGCAGGAGGGGTGTAGATCAGTGAAATCCCAGGCGGTGATGACGATGGAGCATCTGGGCGGTTGAAGTGGCTCCATCAGCAAAGTGGGACTGGACTTGCCGAATAGTGCATGCTCAGTGAGTCGCAAAGGGAATTAACCCGTAGGCTTGGCATTTTTAGAGATAAACTTTGATGTATGTATGTACTCCGTACTCCGTCCCATCTTCAAGCATAGACAATACGCCATCCCCATTTTACCATTAGATCAGATTTAACTAGGATCCCGGGATTTATGAGGTCGGTGTGTCGATGTCTCTCTAACATTGCTTTGAGACTCACAGAATACCCGTAAAATAACGAAGAATGATGTTATTTCGTTTTTTCATCACATGTGCTTGACTTTTGTCTTAAGTATTTTCAACGAAACGAAGCCATACAACCTTCGAAATCAAGATCAGGAATTTATGCGAAGAGCTACACTCAGGTGAAACTTGAAGGCGCCATTTGTTTAATCAATTGATCAGATACCGCATTATTGAGTAGATATGACTCCTAGATACAAACATATCCTCAGAAGGCTCCAATATCGGCTCCCGCTCGAGCCAATGCCTCGTAGACCTTGGGAGGCAATTTGTATTTCACCATACCGGAGAAGACCATGAGATCCTTAGCCATACCCAAAAGCTGCTCCGCGAATCCTTGGTGCATATCAGTATCATAGGGACCCGAGGTCTGGCGGTGACGCTCATGGCCAATGCATGCTATGCACCACATAATCACATGGCCAATGTTGCGGGAGATGATTTCTGGGAGAGCCGAGAAAGACTGGGCTGTACTCCGAATGAACTGCATAGAGCCTCGAGCTTGTAACGGAAGAACGTTAAGCTTGTCAATGGCCTGCATGAATTTGTTAGCCTAGAAATAATTGGAATAAATAGTAGTCTCCACTTACATCGAGGGCTGGGGCCCATCGGCCAGCTTCCACTTCGATCTTCGCTTCCATCATGCAGAGAAGGAGTCCACAAGCATCCCGATTGACGGGGCGAATCTTATCGTAGTACATTGGCTTGGAGTTGTAAAGAAGGATCATGTTCTTGCCCAAAACAACTGGGTCATCGACAGTCGTCAGACTCAGACTGCTTCCAGGCGCCGTGGCGCCGGACTGATCGGTGGACTGGCCATTTTGACCCTGCTCGACTCGTGGACGAAGAGGTTGCAACTTTGGCATGATACCGCCCAGCTCAACGGCAATTGATTCTGACAAAGCGCGATTGATTATGTCGATCACACGATCATAATTCTCTGCCAAATGGTAGAGGAGGACCGCGTCAGTGATCAGACCCTTGTCATCTGCCACGCCTGCCGCTTGCACCGTAATGTTTTTCAGGAAGTCATCCTGGTCTGTCAAATTGATCAGCTCAATGCGTTGCTCAATAATACCCGTGATTCTTGTCCCATCGGCTCGAATGTCGCCCAGCAACTTGGCAAAGTCACGAGTCTCAAGAATGAACTCGCGCAAGGCCTCATGACAGACCGCTGCCTGGGATTTACCAAGCGAGCCCGGAAGGTCTGCGTTGAGACAGATCAACGAAAAGTAATCAATGGCAGCCTCGACGTATCCAGTACGGAATTCTCGCGTGTATTGAGTGATAAGATATCCGAAGTTAATTTGCGGGTACTGCTTCACAGTGAAAGAAACTACACGAACCCAGGAGATTCAAGGTTAGCAAAATCAACGGTATAAATGGCTCAGTGTAGTTGGATCGGGGGCTTTGCTTACGAATTTCTTCCCCAGAGGCATAGAAATCGGAGACACGCAGAAGACCATAGTATGCCAGTGCGATGGCAAAGTGCACCGCAGTAACAGGTGAGTAACTGCCCAGGTACGCCACAGCCTGCTCAAACATGCCGCCCAGGATTTGAAGAAGGAAGAATGTTCCATAACCACCAGGTGCATCTTGGCCTTTAGTGAACACTCGTTGACCGATCTCCGTGATATCTGTCTGAATGTCCTCCAGCCCAAAAACGTCACCTGCGACTTCCTCGGCTCGATCATCCTCCCGGGCGAGGCTGAATTGCAACCACATCCAGTCTTCAACGGTCTGGTTCACGCCATCCAGACGACGGCGGGAAAGATCACAACGACCAATGATCTTATAGCATGCCATGCGGTAAGGATCAACAGTATTGTCAGGGGCATTCCGCGAGCGTTGCTGGTATTCCCCATTGATTTTCTGCTGCATTTCCCGGCTGAGACGCGAATCTTGAGCATAAGTGGTCATGTAAGTCACGAATTTGTGATCCAGAGACCGGAATCCTGGATCTTGGCTGACGTATTCAGCGGCCTCCTTAACGAAACCGCATCTTAGAAGGTAAAAGATCAGAATCCAACAGTAATCCTGTCCATTCATCTGCAGTTCGGTTCCATCGGGTGCCAGATCTTTTCTGGCAGCGCGAAGGCGGATGTACGCCCGGATCTTGTTGGTCACAGTCGGAATACCACCCAGTTGAGCTTCGCGTGGATTTTTGGTAATGAGGGTTTCCACCTCAGTGTAGAACATTCTCTCCAGAAATCCCCTCGACCCTTCCAGAATTTGCTTCTTAAGATTGATGGCCTTGCGGGACTTGCTTGATTCCTCCAGATAGTCTGTAGCGTACTGACGTTCTTTCACCGCATCTCGGTCCGAGGCACCGGTAATGCTGGGGCTCTCGCGAACGATGTTCACCAAAGCTTGGTAAGCGTCAAAGAGTTGGCGTGGGGCCTGAGGGGAGGAAAGTTAGGTCTGAAAAAGGATAAAAGGTCGAGGTACAAGTACTTACATCACCGCCGGTTTGCAATTCAACTTCAGAAAACTGGTGGAGTACTGGGTAAGTTCGCCCCTGGAGCCGAACAAGATTCAACTCCTGGACTTTCTCGGCATAGTGCCCCATCTTCTCTCGCAAGAACCGAAGATCTGGAGACGGCGCAGTAAGTCCCTCGCTGCGCTCTGCTGGGTCTTCGAACAGCTGCCGACTTGTGAGGCCGGCACCAGGAGTTCCAATGACTGATTTATCAAGACCAGAACGACCAAATACACTTCTACGGGATGCAGCGGGGCCGCCTTGCTTGGATTGCCTCGCTGATCGACCAAAGGCACCACCCCGCATTGTAGGTTTCAGGCTTGCCCCATGAGAGCCGTCTTTTTGCGCGAGGCCGAAATGTTGGAAGATGTTCTGCCGCTGCTCTTCCCAGTCCATATCCACTTTCTCCTCCAAAAAGGAATCGAAATCTCTTTGAGCTCGCGATAGACTCTCTGCAATCATCACCTGCCGGCCACGCTGTTGAATATTTCTCAAGTATCTCTGATTGTCTGGGTCGAAAGTGTCCGGTTCTCTTGTCGTTGCCAGAGAGGCCTGGGGGTCTAAAGAGCGAAGGTCTCGGAGCGTCCGTCCAGGCGCGATACCAGATGACGCAAGAAGATAATGACTTTCAAAATCAACAAGTTAGCGACAAGCGCTGGGCCAGTCTTCGGGGGTGGGGAAAGGATCGGGAGCAGGGGAAGACCTACGCCTTTGTCGTCGCACTATTCTGCTGGGAGTCTTTACCCCCAGATGTGCCCAGCTCTCGCGCCTTCCTGCGAATATCATCCAGGCCTAATTGAAGACTGGGCACATCCTCAAAGTTTCCATTCTGGGCGGTGGCCGACAGTGGTCGCTTTTTCCCACGCTCTAAAAGGCTATTGAAGAATGCTGGCTTGGTTGTTTGGGCCGACATTTGCGACTGCTCTTGGGGATTCTTGGCCGGTTGCTGGGTCTGCCCTAGGATGGAAGACTGGGCGGGCGGCTGCGGCTGCGGCTGCGACTGAGCTTGGGATTGGCCAAAGAGGGAAGAGGGCTGAGCAGATGCAGCAGGTGCAGCAGGTGCAGCAGGTGCAGCTGTCGTATTGCCGAAGGCACTGGTTGTATTGGTGGACCCAAAAAGGCTAGGTTTGGGGGTTGTTGAGGCCCCAAGACCACCACCTCCGAACAAAGAACCCATGCCGATAAGTATGGGTTTTGTGGCGTCGACTAAGCCGAAATCAAAGACGATCGAGACTCAATTACTGGATAAATGGTCAGAAGCTGCAAATTGTAGGCTATTGGCATGAAGCTATGGCCGAAGGGAAGCAGACAAAAGAAAGTGAAGCTGCCCAGCTGCGCAGGTCGCACCTTTCAATTAGAAGAGAAAAAGTCTGAAAGTTACTCAGAGCTCCACCATATATAACGTCGCGATAAGCCCGGAAACGGTCTCTTAGCAATGCTAATTCACTACCAGATTCTTAGGGCCAAGCAACGGGAGGGTCGTGAGATGAGCTTTATGCTTTTGTCGCGCCTAAACAAAAGTTATCCCCGTTGCCGGACAATCAATTTCCCGAAATCGGGCTGACCCCAATTGAACTTGAACCATCAGACCATTATTGGATCTCACATTGACATTGCGACAATGCCTACATTTCAGTCTAAAACCTTTCGCCGAGCGACAAATGCTTCGTCCACGCTCGGTGAGAAGTTTGGTGCTTTGTACCGCGCACGACTGCCTCGACACCCTTTTCTTCTCTTCGGGCTTCCGTTCATCTCCGTCATTGTGGCTGCATCTTTTGCCTTGACCCCTGCTGCAGCCTTGCGCTATGAGCGTTACGACCGTAAAGTCCAGCAAATGAGCAAGGATGAAGCATTCAATCTTGGACTCAAAGGCCCCGATGGCGAAGAAGGTATTAAGCGCAATCCTCGCAGAAGAATTATCGGTGATGAAAGAGAGGAATACTATGTAAGACGCCTGAAACCCTAATGCATATTGATATGGGCAGAATGCTGATTGTAATTCTCAAACCTACAGAGACTTATGGCCAAGGACCTCGACGACTGGGAACAGAAACGAGTGAAGAGATTCGAAGGTGAACCAGATGGGAGAATCTGATTCTACAAACAGTCATGGAATCCACCGAAAGAAAACAACACACTATGTTTACCGATCGCATCCCATCAAGGCTTGAAACTTAATCGCTGCTGCTCCGGAGATGCCTTCAGAAGCAGAAACTTTTCCAATCTGGTCATGATATTGCCAGCGCCGATCTTGGTCTGGGTCCATATTACATGGCCTTTGGCAACCAAACCTTGACCAGCACCCCTGATTTTCCTCTCCGTGGTCGAGTTGCTTCATTTTATATGGTTCAGTGCCGGGCCTGCTGGTTTCCCCTTTCAAATACCATCTTAATGCGCCACCGTGGAGGGAGTGGGGACGCTTAATCGTTTGGGGGACCTAGCTACCTGGTTACATGGAGGGCTTTCGGACCCTAATCCCAACACGGATGGGCTAACGCATGATCAGCATCGGTATGACGATGAACCTGTGGCGCTCTCCGGCTGGGAAAAATTGAAAATGTACAACAGTTAACGTATGAATGAACACAAGGAGTTCATCTCCGCCAGTTTCCTTGCTGTTAGGGACTCATTGAGCTCAGGTCCCACTAAGTAAATTATCACACAATGATTTGCCACATTAAAGATTCGATTGAAAACACAACTTTCTCCACCAAGTTCTAAATAGCGTATTATTATATGGCAGATGATATCAAAGAAACCAACTGAACCGAGGGTTTGACCGGAACCCGTGATCCCCACACATAACGTCATACCTCAAGGATTCTGGAAGCCCAAAAGACCTTAACCACTTCTCTTTTCCTCCCGAATTGAACCTAATTTATTCCTACTCTACCCCTCACAAGACTTATTAATCATGTTTTATGACATTTTGGTCTGATAACAGGTTCTTCTCCTCGCTTCCATTGGCCTAACTTGTGCTTGTTCTGGCTGGACCCTTTTCGCCTCAGCCCCCCCTCGAACGCCATCCGACTCATCTTACGTCAGTTTTTTTTCTACGACTTCCACACTCTCTTCTTTACCACACCTACATACTCTTTTCACTAGGCATCTTCGTGATAGATGTTTATGTGAACCAAGAGTGAGAGAAGAAGAAAAAAAGAAAAGAAAGGGAAAAAAACGAGTTCCCCCCACCGTCGTCATCACCAGTTCCTCTGAGTCAGCGAGATACCCGGCGGTCTTCCTTTAATTCTCGAACATATAAATTCGAACTCCAAACCACAATTGCACGCCAAAGTCGAGCTGATGGTGTGACTGCTTTTGTTGTTCTGATAAACTCCTCGGGTCCCACGCACTGGGAGCAAAAGTAGCTACCATGACGGGTCCCGGTCGATCACCATCTTCGCCCTGGGTGCAGCCAGTGCAAGGAGGTTCCCGAGATATTAGAAGCCCCCAGTCTTTTCATCCCACTCTGTCACCTCAAGCAACTGGTATGCATTCGAATGGCTTTATCACGGAGACATCCAGTCCCAACTACTTCGGCATGACAGTCGAACATCGCTCGAGCAACCCACCAACATCAACCCCGGGACCACACGTGCAGAAGAACTGGATAGGTTCATTCCCCCACCCCCAGGTCCCCCACCCCCAGGCGTCTCTTCCCAGTCCGACCAAACTGCAATTATTCTCGCAAGAATCGGTATCTGACGGCCTGGTCAATCTGCTGAGATCTGAATCAGAATCTGATAAAGGTCGACGGGAATCGGCTTCTCAAGGCTTTCCCTCTAACGGTGATCGGTCATCAGGCTGGTCTCAAGGAAACTTGAGTGGCTCTACTCCAGAAAATAGGAAACCTTCGCTCGGTAAGTAGTCGGAATGCGCACAAATTTTCCAAGGTATCCTACTCCGTGCAAGAATCAAACATAACTAAACTTCTAAATCTAGTCTCGGTGCCAGAAGCCTCTCAGTGGATCACAGCTGACCGTTGTGCTGAGCTTCTTCGATCCTCTCCACAAGGGCTCCTTCTCTTGGATGTTCGCCCCTTTGCTCATTATTCCAAATCCAATATCCGAGGATCTTTGAATCTCTGTATTCCAACCACATTACTCAAGCGCCGGTCATTTGATACCCAAAAACTGGAAAATACATTTACCAGTGATAATGACAAACGGCGCTTTTCTCGGTGGAGGGAGTGCACCACTATCGTTGTCTATGACTCTGCCACTTCCGAGGCGAAAGATGTGGCCGCCTTGCTGAATGTCATCAACAAGTTCGAGGCAGAGGGCTGGTCTGGGAAAGGACTAATTTTGCAGGATGGCTTTAAGGGCTTTTCCGCCCGATTTCCAGACTTGCTGCAACGGCCGCAAGCGCAGACGGCAGGCCCGTCAGCTAAGAAACGGTCTCCCATGAGCATCGATCTTCCATCCGCGGCCCCTGTCGCTGGGGGGTGTGCTCTTCCCGATTCATCATCAGCCGTGAATCCCTTTTTCGGTAATATCAGGCAAAACATGGATCTTATGGGTGGAGTCGGGCAGATTGCTTTGAAGTTACCTAATGGTCTGACAGAATCCACCCGGCAGGCTCTCCCTCCTTGGCTCCAAAATGTGTCGGACCCGGAAGATCAAGGTCACATAGCCTCTGAGAGATTTCTGGATTTGGAGAAGATAGAGTTACAACGTATGAAGCAAGCGTTGTCATACGAAGGCCCCTCGGCTTCGGCTGGAGGAGCTTCCAAGAAGTACCGTGTCGCAGGTATTGAAAAAGGCACCAAAAACCGCTACAATGATATTTACCCCTTTGAACATTCCCGAGTGCGGCTTGAGGGAATTCCCCTAGGAGACTGTGACTATGTGAATGCGAATCACCTCCAAGCCGAATTGAGCAATCGCAGATATATCGCGACACAAGCGCCAGTTCCGGATACATATAATGTTAGTACACTTCTCTTCCCCTTCTTCATATGTCGTCTGCTTCTGTTCGGGCTGACAATATTCTGATAGGACTTTTGGCGAGTGGTCTGGGAGCAAGATGTTAGGGTTCTCGTCTCACTGACGGCTGAGATGGAGCGTGGGCAGGTGAAATGCCACCCGTTCTGGATGACTGGGGATTATGGGCCATTCAAAGTCAAGGCTTATTCCGAAAAGTCCATCCACGTTGAATCCCTGGGCCAATCAGCCACTCCTGACCAGTCTCCCGACGGGACTAATGAAAACCCCGTCATCATCGTGCGGCATTTCAGCCTTTACCATACAGCGTTGCCGTTCCAACCACTTCGAGACATTACACAGCTCCAATATCCCTACTGGCCTGACTTCGGGACCACTTCACAGCCCACTCATTTGCTCAATCTGATTGAGCAATGTAACAAGGCTGTCCGCTCCACCAGCTATACCGGATTCAGCAGCGAAGAGGCCGAGCCGACCGGCCAGCGACCTATTCTAGTCCACTGTAGCGCCGGCTGTGGTCGCACTGGGACTTTCTGTACGGTTGATAGTGTGCTGGACATGCTCAAACGACAACAGATGCCGGGTGCACAATCCTCAGGGTCACCGGGACCACCGGGATGGACCCGGGATTCTCATCTTGACCTGGTCCGGAAAACGGTAGAAGACTTCCGGACTCAGCGGCCGAGCATGGTGCAAAATCTCAGTCAGTATGTGCTCTGTTATGAAAGCGTACTTGAATGGTTGGTGTCTCGAATGAACGAGCGGTCTTGATGTTTGAATCCTGAACGATTGGAGATACCCATTTTCTTTTCGGACTTTGCATTGCTGAGGTGTTTTATGAAGGGCCTGGGAGTTCCTGATAGAGATGATGAGCACATGAAAGCAAAATCGCTCCCCATGATCTAAAATGATGAGTACACGAATGCCTTTCTTAGGTCATGTCATCTTTCCTCATATCCCCTTGTGCCAGGGTGGATACCCATGTCTTATAAATAGTTATTGACGATACAAAAATTGCATAGAAACACGAAAGCATCCCACTCTTTCAATTTGATATATTTCCCCCTTAAAATTAGAACCTGACTTTTCTGTGTATCTACCCAGTAACGTTATTTATCCATGTAGGTCGTGACTTTGCCAAGTTATACGTGGTCTGGTCTGACATGTATTTGGAGGTTACAAGGTTGAACGGGCCGATCTTGACACTTATAGGGAAACCACACTTGCAGACCTACCGAAGCAGAACCTTCATCATTTGAACATTTTTGACTGAGTCTGGTTTAACTATTTTAGGGTTCATTGCGATACAATGAATCCATAGTTGCCAAGGTCAACCGGGCATCTCCGCCTAGTGGTAAACTAAACCTTAAGGCAACAGGCGCCGGCGCCTAAATAATCTCTCCCGGATTCACATTGAATATATAAAAAAGCCAGCCCACCCCTATCATTCATTCTAATTTTCACTCTAACCTCTCTTTCCTTTCATTCCAACCCACACTTGGGTGGCAGTATGGATCTCACCCCACCCAACGCAATGCTGCTCTCACTCCCCGCGGAGCTGATCCAGCTCATTTTGCGAAGTTGTGACAGTCCATCTTTTCTACAAACGGCTTTTTCTTCCCGTGCTCTACTGGAGCTTGCCACCTCGAGCCGCGATCTCGTTCAACACCAACTGTTTCAGACCCCCGGAAGGTCTGACTACTCAGCGTCCCTAACAACTCGCCAGTTGTTCAAGTTACTCCTACATCGATCCATCGATCAGCTGTTGTTTGGTATTGAAAATCGATTTGAAAACAAATCCTTCAAGTTTGAGGGAAAAGTGATCGACAGCCGTGCGTCGTCCCTCGTCTCTTCCACAGACGACGCAGGTACCCACATTCACGTTTTGTTGGTATTCCAAAATGACTCCACAGTCTACCTTTTCGACCTTCAAAACGGATGTTTAACCCTTCAGCAACGATATGAGCTTCCTGCGAAGCGGTATGGAGATATCCAGGTTCTCCACACTGCACTTGACAACAGACAGGTCTATGTGCTGCATCGCTTCCGGCCTTTTATTGACGAGGGACCCGAGAATGATCGTCCTTTCGTTAAAGAAGCACGACAGTCCAACCCCCACGGTAGCATCTTTCTAGCTACTTTCCAACTTGATCGCCCAGACGGTACTATTGCCATCCATGGGTTCCCTGATGAGGGAAATTATGAGCCGCTGAGTTTTGTAGTACAAGATGAGCAGTTTGCTATCTCCTGGCAACATATTCAGCACGCTCACGATCATCGAGTGATACTCTACAACATGGAGCAATATCGTGAGATGGAGGCTTTCGGAGACCACGGGCTTGAGCTCCTGGGCTTTGATCGTTATGATCATGCTTTACTACGGACATATGCGAAACCCCTTCCTCCAATCCTAGGTTTGTTTCATTCCTTTCTATGTCTCGTGACCAGCAACAAACGTGGTTACTAATACATGATAGCCGTAAAATATACGTCTTATGTACTCGCAGAACACCACGAAGATGATGGTGATGCCGAGCCGGCAGTGAAGCTGGCGTTCAACGATCAGGGGCAGCAATTATTACACTATAAACGAGGCCATACTCTTTATAGTTCCTTCCAGAAGATCGACTGGGTGTCATCACCCGGCCAGTGGAAGCCAAAAACTAATACGAATGGTGCTAATGTCACATTCACAAGTTCACTTTCCCTCAACTTCTCAATCGGAATTCCGTTTTACGGCACGCACCAACAAGGCGATGGATCTTTCGGGTCTCGTTGTCATTGGCAATACCTCGCTATCGGTATCGCAACTCATCGGGTAGAGCACTGGTCCGTGGCCTGCTTACTCCGGTCCGAGGCATCCCCTACGACCCATACCTGTACACATGAGCAGAACATTGACCGAGGAAGGCGTTTTGAGACGTGGCAGATCATGGCCCAGCTGGAAGGGTTCAAAGAGGCGAACACGTCGACCGGATCTTTGATTGCAACTTCACCCCAGGCAACTCGAATTGCCGTGGCTAGCTGGAAGACCGTGACCATCTGGGCCCTGGAACCGAATGTGTTGATAAACAGAGAGGATGGTTTTTATCCTGAATCGTGGCGAGCAGAAGGAGGTTATCCAGCGCTCCGGCCTGCTGTGATCCAGTTGGATGCTGTGTGTTCTCAGTTAGAATTCACTGAGAACGGAAATGAACTCGTGGCCATCACCGATCGAGGGTTGATGCTCCTGCGTCTCAAGCCTGAGGAGCGAGGAATCGGGTTTGTGAACAACGGGGGGAATCGTGTTTTCGATGAAGAAGTGACCATTTTTTAGCCGGCGGCGTTGGTCCTGTATTGATATATTGATGCATCGCGCGCTTTCTGTTTTGATGAGTTTCATCTCAATTGCATAGCGTTATTTGCTTGGCCCCCATTTGAAGGGCATTTGACCATGATTAAATCAAAGATACTGAGTTGAGGATCCGAAATTATCTCGTAAAAACAATATGATATTATCCTTGTCTATAACGACTCTATTGTCCTTCCCCGCCGCCACCACCGGACATAGTCAAAAATGTGACAATCAAGAGCACCCACCAGTACCTATTTTTATATGAGCGATGAGACTTCAACATAGAGCAATTCATGACTTACTTTTGCAAAAAGGTTTTCTCCGGTACTTCCTCGGGATTTGACCCATCAGGACTCACGACGACTGGGCGGTTCAAATGTGGTTGTGTGCCTGGTGCATTGGAGACCAGCTCCACCTTGGAGCCCGAGGAAGAAGAGGCGGCAAGAGAGATGTGGTAGGGCTCGTTGGAAGGTCCAAGGTGAAGGCGAATTGTGGGTTGATCATCACCGGTCAAGGCGGACAAGGACACCAAGCTGCCAGACCATTGCTTGGGGTTGGAGGGAGTCACGGTGTATAGACCAATGCGAACGAGGTCACTGGGAGAGTCTGCTGGAGGGTGGTACGACACCAGCTCGGACTTGAGTGTCGCAGGATCGTAGGCGACGCGTGCCAGGAGAGAGGGTTGCGGAGATCCGATAGGCCAGTAGAAAACCTCGGAAGACTCGGCGGCGATACTGGCGATCAGGAGCGAGATGGCTCCTAACAGGAATAGGAGATACATGGTATGGGGTTTGGGACGGAGGATAGATTGGAGGGGACAGGGGAAAAAGTGAAGCTACTTGCCATATCGGTATCGGGGCGGTCGGGCCGTGCGATAAGTACATGTACATCCAGGTACATTACCCCACAAAAGCTGATGTTGTCATATCTATGATACTTTTGATGTCAACAGGGAATTTTTCGCCTCCTAGTTCCATTGTAAACTCTGGTGAGATCTCTTTCCTCCTCTCTAGGACCTCGACAGTTTCATCGGCATTGTTAAATTCTATCAGTGTGAAGCCTTTCCCTCCCCCACATTGCGATTTTGATCCCAAAGCAACATACCAATTCACGGCACAATGGCATTGCCTTATCGCCGTCCCTCTCGCCAGGGCTCCCGCCAGGCCTCTCTGGACCCCCGAAACGAGCTAGCAGTGCACCTAGACCATTTCATCGGCATCGACGTGGGGACAGGCAGTGCCCGAGCTTGTATCATCGATGCGAAGGGTGACATCGTGGGCTTAGCCTCAGAGAATATTGGACTTTGGCAGCCGGAACATGGCTACTATGTATGATCTTCGTTGTACACACTGGAGACCAACAAATTCTCGGCCATATACTGACGGGTGCGTGACTAGGAACAATCTACCACGGACATCTGGCGTTGTATCTGCACAGCAGTGCAACGGGCTATTAGCCAGCATAATATCAGCCCGGAGACAGTCCGGGGTATCGGGTTCGATGCAACCTGCTCTCTGTCCGTGTTCCACAATGTGACTGGCGAGCCTATCTCCGTGACTGGGCCGAACTTCGACTCAGACCGTAATGTGATCTTGTGGCTGGATCACCGCCCGGTGGATGAAGCAGCCAAGATCAATGCTACAAACCACAATCTGCTTCGCTACGTGGGAGGCACGATGTCGGTTGAGATGGAGATTCCGAAAGTCCTCTGGTTGAAGAATAACATGCCCGAGGAGCTGTTTGACAAATGTAAATTTTTCGACCTGGCAGACGCACTCACTCATATAGCAACCGGTAACGAGAAGCGGAGCTTCTGCAGCGTGGTCTGTAAGCAAGGATATGTACCTGTTGGAGTGGACGGGAGTGTGAAGGGGTGGCAGGAAGATTTTCTAAACGATATTGGTCTGGGAGATCTTACGACAGACAATTTCAAGCGCATGGGCGGCGTTGACGGGGTGGTGAGCCTTCTTAAACCATGATGTAGGACAGTTTGGCTGACATTCTTCGATCCAGAATGGTGACTACTTGAGCGCTGGTGAACTTGTCGGCCACCTGTGTGAAAAGGCCGCTGCAGAACTGGGCTTGCCTGTTGGGATTGCCATTGGCAGCGGTGTGATCGACGCATATGCTGGCTGGATTGGCACTGTTGGTGCCAAAGTCAATCTGGACTCTGATCAGCTGAATGATGAGGTTGCCAAGAATGATATAGCACAGGCTTTCTCCCGTCTTGCAGCAGTGGCCGGTACCTCAACTTGCCATCTGGCCATGTCTCCGGATCCCGTCTTCGTGGACGGTGTCTGGGGTCCTTATAGGGACACGATCCTTCCCGGATACTGGATGGCTGAAGGTGGACAGTCTGCTACGGGCGAATTGCTAAAACATGTCATTGAGACACACCCAGCCTTCAACCAAGCCACCTCGATTGCCGAGTCCTACCATGCCAATATATACGAGTACTTGAATGAGCACCTTAAAGAAATGGTACAAGACCAACAGGCTCCGAGTGTATCTTACCTAGGTCGTCATTTCTTTTTCTACGGCGATCTTTGGGGTAATCGGTCCCCCATCGCCGATCCCAATATGACCGGGTCTATCTACGGATTGACGAGTGACAAGACCGTTGATGGCCTTGCCATTTACTACTATGCTACCTTGGAGTTCATTGCTCTGCAGACTAAGCAGATCGTGGACACAATGAATAAGTCCGGTCACAGCATTACTTCAATCTTCATGTCAGGCTCGCAATGCCAGAACGATATCTTGGTCAGCCTCATCGCATCGGCTTGTGACATGCCGGTGGTGATCCCTCGATACATCCACGCAGCTGTGTGTCATGGTGCTGCCATGCTGGGCGCAAAGGCTGCCAGTACCGATCCGGAGGGGAACACGGAAAGCTTATGGGTTATCATGGATCGTATGAGCAAGCCTGGCAAGAAGGTGATGCCCACGGTGGACACCAAGGAGAAGGCCTTGCTGCAAGCCAAGTATCAGGTATTCCTCGAGCAGTGCTTTAAGCAGCAAAAGTACCGCCAGATGGTCGACGAAGCGGTGGGTGACTGGAAGGCCTAAACCCTTGGTCGTTATGGTGATAGTCGAAGTCAAGCTTGACTTGGATGGATTTTTGAGATGGAACCTACCATTTAATGAACACGGTACTTCCGATATCGGTATTTGTACCTTACCATCTAAATAAAAAAACATCAAGGCTTAACAATGTTCATTATGAGATTGAAAGCATCCCAGATGGACAATCTTCGGGAAAAGAAAATACATGGCATGAGTCTCCTCCGTCCAGCAAGGAGCCGATAATTAGAAAAGACAAACGGGTGAAAGACAGAGAGCCATTCAAATCATGAAAGAGCTATGCAACATGTGGTAGCTATGGGACAAAAACAACATCGCCCAAAGGACAGAGAATGGGCGATGCTTGGGCATTATGACGAGCTAGATATCTTCAATTTAATATGCCCTGCCAGAACGAGTGTGACCGATAGTATAGAACTTTTCGTAGCTGGAGCCGAGGGCGAGCCTGTCGAACCGATCTACACCCATGCTGTCCAGGTTGCTGTATCCTGATAGATAGAATCCAAGGATAACAACTAAGTATGTCAAGACGAGCACAGAGCCCTTGAAGTAGTTGCTCTTTCCTTCGCCGTAGACGTACGACAACAGGAAGACGCACAAAATGACAGTGATCATATCCCATTGAGGGAAGAGGAGGCTGTGAATTATAACGTGTAAGCAGTGAGGTCTGATGGAGTCTTTGGAAGTAGAGGAAGCAATGGACATACTTGAAAGAGTGCTTCGCAAGTTCTGCAGGGTCGATAGAGCGGGTATATACGGCACTGAAAAAGACCAGAGCAGGTATCTGCAATAGACACACTTGCAAAGCATAGGCGGAACCAATCTCCATGGACAATGCAATGTTACCGTTCATTGCAAATGATATGGCATTCTGTGAGGAAAGTCAGTGACAATTCTTGATCATGAGTAGGGAATAGAAAATGTCAACATACAAGAAACTCGGTGGTGTTGGGCACCAGGGCAAACAGTGTGATTCCGAGGAATTTTTCATCAATGTCCACACTCTGTAATACCACATCCACGGTGTTGACAAGAAGCTCTGCAACAATAGCATACAGAATAGTAGCACCAAGGAGAATTATAGAACTCTTGGTCCGGCTCCAATTTGGAGCATCGTGGCCTCCGCTAGCGTGTGCATCAGCGGGAATGCCAACATCCTCAGCCTCTTCAAGGGGTGGTTTGATTTGATCAGCCAAAGCACGCCCGGCATGGCGCCCGGCAGTGTGATGACCTGTGGACTTCCGATTTCGAGCAGCTTCGCGAGCCGCCACTGCAGCAGCCGTTGCCGCTACTTCGGTAACCTCGCGGACAAGTCGTTCGTTGTCTTCCTCACTCAACCCATGAATGGATCTGGGGATGCCCCCAGCTGGTGGTGGTACCCGGTGAGGTGTGTTGCCACGAGGTTCCACCCCCAAGCTGCCATCAATGGTTTCCCAATTACTCATGCCTCCATCTTCAAGGCCAACCTGCCGGAGTGATTGGCCTAAGATCCGCTTGTATAGCTGAGACTCGCGAATGGAGTCTTTGTGGCTAGTGAGGGCACCGGAAGCCTCAGGGGATCCTGAAAAGACATGCCTAGGTTCAAAAGACAGCGAATCCTGCCTAGGCTTCTCGACCTTCTTCTCTTCAACCTCAGTGGCCCAAATTAAAGCTGCATGGGTCCTGAGGGTGAACCAAAGGCCAATGATGTAGGACAGAAAAAGGAAGACGGCGGCAGCCCATGCATAGGGTTGGACTGCCTTCTCAAAGAATGCATCCTGCACAGATGCTAGCTGGGAGAAATAGCATTGGCGACAATCGTCCTCAATCACCATGCCAGCTGGTGCAACACACGGATGGCAGTTGAGTTCGTGCTACAACATAAAGTTAGCTCATTGCCCAATGGCAGGTGGGAATAAACAAGGTAACTTACACTTCCATAAACCTGGTAGAACAGAGTGGGACCAAAAGCGGCGATCATAGCAAACAGCAGCATCGTCGAGGTCACACCTGCAGATTTCACATTGAAGCGTTGAGTTTTGCGCTTGATGGCGCCGAAACACATGGAGAGTCCAGGTAGGAATAAAATTCCCGCGAAGATACTTCCAATGATACTTCCCTCAACAAGTCGAGCCTTACCTTCTGTCAAGGCGATGCAGTAGAGGTATACCTCTACAATGGTTGAGAAAAACGCGTTAATTGCGGCACCGAGACCCATTGAGGACTGAGCCGAGATCGAAGCTACCGCTTGGCCGATGAAATAGGCTAGAGGAATGATTGAAACCAAAGCGAGAGTGAAAATCAATCCCGGGTGTGTCAGCCACGACTCCACGCCGAGAAATTGGCGCAAAGCATAGTAGTCAAATATGACGAAAACGACCACACTTAGCAAGTTGATGAAAAAAATGTTTGTGCCGTCGATGGTGTATTTCCAATACCTTGTGCCTACAGCACGGTATGTGCACAACAGAATGGAAGGCGAGGAGGATCCGGAGCTGATCCTGGCATATGAAGTATCGGAATGGAAAGACAAGGCAAGGGGATGCCTTCGTAGATGGCTCACCAGGATGAGTGTTACACGACCCATTGGGATCGCAAAAACCAGTAGCCAGCAGACCAGGGACACCAAAAGCATCAAGGGTCCTACCAAGAAATAGAAGAACACAAAAAACACGACTCGGCCCAAAGTCCATTCACCGCGGCCGAATAGACGACGCTTCGCCTGAGGGAGCTGTGAATCCGAAAGTCGTCCTCGCTGAGGCCGGCCCAGCAGGCTGTCTTGTTCACCAGCAGAATCCACACTGTTCCGTCGGCGTCCCACAAGCGATCGGTCCCTACGGGGGCCAAAGAACAGTCGGCCATGCTCCAGGTCCCCGTTCTGCCATTGCTCATATTCGCTGATGCTGCGGCCTTCACCTTCATCCTCCTCTGCATAGAGCTCATCAGACTGTAAGAGAACAAACGATCCAAATGGATAGAGCAAGTAGCGCGAAAGTCCCGAGAAGACTCTGCCATAAGCCACTGCGCTTGATGAGTAGGCGAAGAAAAAGCAAGCTGCCGCCGCCAGCAAGGCAATTAGGGCAAGCCACCATCCAAAAAATAACGACCAGAGGAGGTTGGTTAGAAATAGCACGGGGCTAACACGACCCCCGGGTGATGAATGAATGTCCCCTTCGGCGGTTTTTTCCACCGACCGACTCTTCTTGTAAATAGCCGGCTTCCAGATTCGGATACCGAAAGGATGGGTTTCATTGATAGCTTGCTGCCGATCCTTGAGCGTGAAACTTTCTGCATCACTGCTTGCGCCTTCATCCTCCTGGTCGTCGTCTTGACGGTCATCTTCGTCATCATCGCCATGGGAGTCGTCGCCGCTGTCCAGGTCACTTCCTCCATCTGACTGTCTCAGGGATGGAAGCTCCCGTGAGTCGTCCAAGCTATCTTCTGGTAAGACAGAGTCCTCAACAGTAAGATGATCTGATTCAGCTCGTGTCAGCGGACTGGGACGGGCACTGGGGCGTCGTCTTAGGGTGCTCGGTGCACGCAATGGACGAATCCTAGGGGATTGTTGGGACGTAGAGGCCTGATGCAGGGCAATGTCTTCCTCAATCTCCTTGATATCATCGTCGGTCGAGAACTCTTGTCCCTTGTGGGGTATTTGACGTTTAGACGACATGCGGCGGGTTACCGGTGGTTTCTTAGGCCTGTCGGGGGCCGTAGAGGACGAGGTGAAGCCGCGACTCGTGAAATCCTCAAAACTTTCTTCATCGCGCGTTTCGGACGTCGCCTCGGCGGGAAAGGTATCCAGGGTTCCTATTCGCGTAAGCCATTAGCTCCATTCTTGGCCACTCATCTCTCTTTCCATCCTCTTCTGTTACACGGAGATAGCCCTACCGTAGTTTCTTCGCACAGAGGGCGTCGATCTCGGTCCCGGATTCGATGAATCTGGAGGGTGATCATTCCCCGTCAAACCCGAGGGCCGGGTCGACTCCAGGTTCTCAGGGTCATTTGTGCTGCCCGCCATTTCAGGGTGGACCGAAAGATAACGGGATTAGAAAATCAGAATAACAGCTCTAAAAGCAAAGAACAAAAAATGGAAAAAGCAAAAACAGGAGGAACAAGCTCCAAAAATGCAGGGATCGACTATGATTACAAGAAGTCGATCCAGCCGTTACATGGCGGGGAGCAAATGAAATCAGTCAGTTAATCATCGCATCAGCTGAGATGCGAATAATGTACAATCTACGTGGAGAGCTCGAGCCTGATGACCCATGGTTCACCTCCAATCAGGGAGTGGATGACTCATCACGTGGGGAGCTATGGTTTGCGCTGTTTGTTTGCCTTGGCTGGCCTCTTGTGTCTCTTGGTGCCTGAGGTTTCGGGTGTCAAGATCATGTGTTGGTTCCCGCAGCTTCGAGAGCTGGTCCAGCTCTAACTGTGAGGACTCTCTTCCCAATCATCATCGCATTTCTCCTCTCACCTCCCACCTCCCACCTCCCACCAATTCTGTTTTGGTTGTATTCTCCGTGACACCTTTCTGGGCTAGACTAAGAGCAACTCTTCGACAAATCCCATTCCTCTGTGGAAGTCAGCAGCCCGTGACCTCTCCTCGCTCCGATAGCGTCATCTCTTCAACATGGCGCTCGACAATTACTATCGCAATAAGATCGAGGATATGAAGCTCGAGATTATCCAGGGTCAAGCAGTTCTACGACGTTTAGAAGCACAGCGTAATGACTACAACTCGCGAGTGCGGCTTTTGCGAGAGGAGCTCGGTCTCTTGCAGCAACCCGGCTCCTACGTCGGCGAGGTTGTCAAGGTAATGAGCACCAAGAAGGTGCTGGTCAAGGTACACCCGGAAGGAAAATACGGTATGTCCTTAGGCTCTTGAATAAGGCTTGCAGCTACCCTGCTCTGGATGGTGCTCGATTCTAACGACTTCAATCTTCAGTGGTGGATATTGCAGATGGTGTCGATATCGCTAAGCTCACCGTGGGCAAGCGAGTGGCTCTTCTTTCCGACTCTTACAAACTAGAGAAGATGCTGCCATCCTCCGTCGATCCCCTCGTTTCGCTCATGATGGTGGAGAAGGTTCCGGACAGTACATACGACATGATCGGTGGTTTGGATCAGCAGATCAAGGAAATCAAGGAGGTGATCGAACTGGGTCTGAAGCACCCTGAGCTATTTGAGTCCCTGGGTATTGCACAGCCAAAGGGTGTTCTGCTGTACGGTCCTCCCGGTACCGGTAAGACGCTGTTGGCTCGTGCCGTGGCTCATCACACCGACTGTCGTTTCATCCGTGTCAGCGGTTCAGAACTGGTACAGAAATACATTGGCGAGGGAAGTCGGATGGTGCGTGAGCTGTTCGTCATGGCTCGTGAGCACGCGCCGAGTATCATCTTCATGGACGAGATCGACAGTATTGGTTCCAGCCGTATAGACTCAGCAGGAGGCGGTGACTCTGAAGTGCAACGGACCATGCTCGAATTGCTTAACCAGTTGGATGGTTTCGAGCCGACTAAGAACATCAAGATCATTATGGCAACCAATCGATTGGATATTCTGGATCCGGCCTTGCTGCGACCCGGCCGTATTGATCGGAAGATTGAATTCCCCCCACCATCGTTAGTTTCTCCCCTTCTCCCACTGATTAATTACATTCTCACCATTTTTTTTCTTTCTCCGATGCAGGGTCGAGGCGCGTGCCGATATTCTACGAATCCACTCCCGGTCAATGAACCTGACTCGTGGCATCAACCTGGCCAAGATCGCCGAGAAGATGAATGGATGTTCGGGAGCAGAACTCAAGGGTGTCTGTACCGAGGCTGGTATGTATGCGCTGCGTGAGCGACGTGTGCACGTTACACAGGAGGACTTCGATCTGGCCACCGCCAAGATTCTCAACAAACATGACGACAAGGAAGTCGCCGTGTCCAAGTTGTGGAAGTAGAGTTGCGGGGATGATCGACCTGTATCACTAGTTCTAATCTCACCCTTGGCCTTTCCTTTTCTCCCTAGATTGCGTATTGATGCGTGACGATCAATGATGATTGTTTCTGGCGAGTTTCCCTTTTCCATCTTGGCACGACCCACTGGAAAATCTATGTACGGAGCCCAGATAGTATTGGGGCATTAGAGGTGCATAAGCCTCTTTTCTACAGAGCACAGTACACAAACCTGTAGTATAGATCGCATAACTCGCCGGCATCTGATAAAACGGTACATGTAGTGGTATGTACCTAGATCATCTATCATGTCTCCACAGATTATCAGGGTGACAGCCGGGTGAAGAATACATCCGTAGATGAACTCTGGGGTATGGTTACACCAATGTGCAGCGTGGGCAGCAGGAAGCTGGTCAGCCTGCAGAGTAATCTGACCCGTTAGCGTAGAAGGAAGATTCAATTCCGACCTAACCATCGGAAAATCATCGGACTGCGCGGCATGGCGCAAAAATGGGCCATCAACTCCCTGTGTTGCTGAATTTCGGGCGGGAAACATGCAGGCTGAGAAACCCATTTGCTTGGCCGTCATCCCTTGAGGGCTTGGCCGCTGAAGCTATCACCAATTTTGACATATAGGGGAGCCTGTCGTATCCCTGGAGCGGAGTTCGGAGTAGACTAATGGGGAAACTACTGTATTTCCAGCACTGCCCCAGGGGCTTGCATATCATAGTTTGCTTCGTGCTGGATGTATTTTATAGGAGAATGTCAGATCGACCGCTTGGCGCGGATCATCCAGCGCCCTGGCGACTTATCGTCTTGGCAGTCTGGGATCGAACTGCACTCCGTGTGTATCAGAATGATGTTTCCTCTGTACGTTGCACACTATCGGTATGCCAAGGGCCAAGAGATTCTTGGAATTCCGCTTCTTAGACAGTAGTGTCTTCTTCCTTTTGTTCGTTTTGTTATGTGTGTTTTTTCGTCATTCCAATGATCACCCTAGTCGAGCCACCCATGACAAGTATTTTCTTTGTTCTCAGCGTATCAACGTTGAATAAGTCGATCGGACCACGCTCCTTTCTCGAATGGCGAAGAGAAGAAAGTGGAGACTCGCACTGACGCGGCCTAAAAAGCGCGTGACTAGCGGATCAGTGGGGGCAATTGACAGCCAAGATGTACTGGAGTGGGACCTTTGTTCAGTACCCGATACTTCGCTCTCCCCAGGGTCCACTAGTTTTCCCCAACACAACCCCTCATACTTGGGGCCGCGTTGGATGTACTGGGTACTTTTTGCCCCCTTACTGAATCCCCCCAAACATACCATATCGTATCATTGGTCCAAGTCTCTTTTTCCTTTCTTTGGATTATTTTTTTTTCTTCATTTCTTATCTTGGTTTACATGCAACTCGGTACTCAGTACATGCGGATTTACGTGGGAATGTGAGATCTCCCTAATACTCCGAGCACAGATAAAGGATTAAGAGATTCGAATATCAATCGCCCGGGGAATTGGAACTTATAAATAGGCTCTATCCACAGTCCTTAAGGTTTTTTAAAGTACTCTCCCCGATACTATACAAAGCCCCGGACTTGCTGCATTCGGTGCATCCGCAACGCTGACCGACTCTTATCATTACTCAATTGAATAATCCAATTTCATCCACACTCGGATCTCCCTTTCCGTCCCCACCGGAGCTTCAGTGGCACTATTCTCTTTCATCGTTCCGGTGAAGCATTCGGTACATTTGGTACTGGATGATCTGATCTATTTCAACCGCATTTACCCCCGAGTCCCTGATTCCCCACTTGATGGTGGACCCCCTTTGCCCTTTCAAACTATATAAGAGACCATATTATGTCCGACTTGTGGTCTGCTCTTGTTTCTGCCATTGACTCCGACTTCGACGCCATGCCTGCCGTCCTACAATCCACTATTCACCTTTTGGAGACGGAGCTCGTAAAAGCCCGTGCCGCCCTCCAAGAGATCCAACCCCATACGCCGATCTTGCGTATCGGAGATGAAGTCGCCGTCGGCGCTATGATCGCCTATCGCCAAAATCTCGTCAGCCGCGCCCCCGATTTCTATGGCTCTCGTCGCCTTACTGCAAAAGAACTGGGCCTTGAACCCGTCGTGCCTGAAATTCCTCAGAAAATCACTACAGATGTAATCTCTATGCCAGAGCCCGCACCTCCACGTCGAGCGCCTATCGAAGAGGCCCTAACTAATAGCCTGATCCTGGATCATGTCGCGCCTTATCTTGCAGCCCCATCCTTGCTAGCGCTGGCATCGACATCGCGACTCATGTACAGCATGATTACACAAACTCCCTATATTTTCCGCCACCTTGATTTGACTCGCTGCCGAGGCGCTCAGCTTCCCAAAAAGTCGCAGCGCCAGGATGAACTGCAGACAGAAGACGAAGTATATTCTGCCCCACTGCGACGCATTTTCGCTAGCCTCGAGAAGAGATCAGTGCTGCAGGATGTGCGCACCCTGGTCTTGGATGGCCTACCAGTTCCTGCCGATCTAGTCGCCGATATTATCCTAACAGATCGATTTAATATCAGCATTCTCTCGATCCGCGAGTGTCTCCACCTCAATGAGCGAAAGCTCATGCAGGTCATTCAACATGCCGTTCGACCCACACGACCAGAGGGTACTCCCCGGATCAAGGGTATCTATCACTTTTCCCCCAGAACCAAGGCACCGAAGGGTGTAGTGCGACGCCGGTATCGCGACTGGTGGGGCTCTCGCATTGGCTCCCGGAGCCCGAGTCAGAGCTCGAGCTCTAGCTCATCGAGCGCTTCGTCAGATGACGAGGAAGAGATCCCCAAAACACCCGCAGAGCAAAATGAATGGTATAGCTCCTCGGGGAGATTGTTCAAACATACTCTGGATGATGGCTGGGCACAAACCTTGCAGAAATGTGAGGGTATCATTGCATTTGATGCGGTGCTTTGTCGTGGACCGCGTCACGATGTCAATCTGTATTCTGTGGACGAAGGCAAGTTGGCTCCAGAAGCTCCTCTTCTGGGACCAGCGGTGGCAACCGTGGCACTCGGACCACGGGGCTGCGATGGATGTCATAGCTCTCCGGAGGGACCAGCGATCTGGGGCCAATCCCCGGATCTACAGTTCCCACTGCTGAACCCAATGCCATTACACGTGTCCAATGTCGCCGCAGCGAAGCGCCCTGAACAGATTCCAGGACAACACCCATGTCTGATTGTACGATGTGCCGATTGCTTGACTGATCGTTGGTGTCATCGGTGCAACAAGTGGTTTTGCTCTAACTGTCTGCCCAATCCCCAACATGCTCAAGTGAATTTGTCGCCACATCAGACAGCGGTTCGTCCTCCTCAAGGATCGCTTACCGGACCTGCTAGGCCACTAGAGAGAGAGGTGCGTAAACAGCCAATATATACTACTAAATTGTGACGGTGATTGACATGGCCTTAGAACTCTGTACCAGGAGTGAGCAAGGATTGCTGGGAGTGTGGGCCGACCGTGAGTGACCACCCGTGGATTCCATATATCGACATTCTAACATGGATCTTATAGTGTGCGTCGTGTAAACTAGATTGCCAGCATACCTGCCAGAGCTGCCAGGGTGACTACTGCATTGATCACAACGAAGGGTGTTCCGCCACGATGGTAAGCGTTCATCAGCGACTTTGAAATTACATAGCTAACACATCCCAGTGTGATTGGTGCAATACCAGTAGTCGCCACCGTATGCGCAACTTTCGTTGAAGCGTAATGAATAATTTGGATTTCTAAGCGGGCGTTTTCATGTTTATTATACCATTTCCGGGAGCCGCGGAGTCTTCCAGAACTTCTAAGCTTTCGTCCCCACCTTAAATTATCGCAAATGTTACTCTCTCTTCTCCGTGCTTCATATCATGGAAAATAATACTCTCAGCTGGTCAGCTCAGCTGGCTGTAACTGCCTTTCAGCGAACACCTCGTCTACGTGGAGATAAGATCACCCTCCCCCAATCCGCCCTCGAACAGCTTCTTGCCGCTGCGCCCCTCCAAGCTGTCCCGCCGAACCCTCGTGTGCACACCACTTCCTTTGATCCCTTCAACCCACACACATTCGCTGCAGAATCCCGAGCCCGTCAACAAATCGAGAATCGCCAGCACCAGCTTCCCCACCCGCTCACTTTTCGCGTCGTAAATCCCCAGAATGGTCGTTTCGTCTACGCGGGGATCCGAGAGTTCTCCGCTGCGGAGAACGAAGTCGCACTGAGCGCTTTGCTCCGAGAGTCACTTGGGATTCAAGACACCGAATTTGAGTTGGAAACCAACGGTGCGACACAGGATACAGATGGGACAGAAATACAGGATCAACCATCAAGTCCAACGGTGACTGTGCATGCGAAGCAACTGCCCAAAGGCACTTATGTGCGACTTCGCCCGCTTGAGGCTGGCTATGACCCCGAGGATTGGAAGGCTTTACTGGAGCGACATTTACGGGACAACTTCACAACTCTGACCGTCAACGAGATACTCAACGTCCCCGGGACGCGCAATGAGGCTTTCCGCTTTCTGGTCGATAAGGTGTATCCGGAGGGCGATGGGATTTGTGTCGTAGACACAGACCTGGAGGTTGACATTGTTGCGCTGACGGAGGAACAAGCCCGGGAAACTCTACAGAAACGATTGGAACGGGCAGCGCGGGCACCAGGTACAACAAGCGGCAGCTCAGTTGGCGGTGTTCTCGCCGTCGGAGAGAATGTAACGGCCCAGGTCTTGCCGGGGGAATACGTTGATTATGAGCTTCGAGAATGGAATCGGGAGGACACGCTCGACGTGGAACTCATTACAGAGGATCCGAACCTCTGCCTTTTTGTCAGTCCTCTTGGTGCACGTCAACAAAGCCGTCCTCGGGCGGACATGCATGTTTGGGGAGATTTCTCGAGCCAGTCTCCCAAGCGAGTGAAGATCCGGTCTACAAATGTGGCTCTTGAGGGAGCAGATGCTCTCTACATCTCAGCCCATGTCAATCCCATCACATCAGGCCCCGAGGATGCTGCACCTACGCAGCAGTCTCCGGCGCAATATCACCTACGAATAACCACCAATACACTAGAGGGAGAGGAGGAGACAGAAGAGATCCACGAGGATGGGGACGTGCAGTGTCAGAATTGTCGACAATGGGTGCCGCAGCGGACATTGGTTCTTCATGAGAATTTCTGTCTCCGAAATAATGTCCTCTGTCCTCAATGCAACAATGTTTTCCAAAAACGGTCGCCAGAGTGGGAGAACCATTGGCATTGCTCCCATGACTCGGCCCATGGAAATGATGCCTCCAGCAAGCTCAGCCACGACTCCATCTTCCACAGCGCCTACAGCTGCCCTGATTGTGCCGCTCAATTCGAAGGCCTTCCTTCACTGGCACAGCATCGCACAACCGAATGTCCAGGCAAATTAATCCTATGTCAATTCTGCCATCTACTCGTCCCACAAAAAGGCGAGGCAGACCCCGATCTCAACGACCCAGAAGTCATGCTCTCCGGCTTAACACCACACGAGCTATCAGACGGCGGCCGCACAACAGAATGCCATCTATGTAATAAAATCATCCGACTTCGCGATATGAACACGCATCTCAGACACCATGAACTAGAGCGTGTTTCACGTCCCGCTCCCCGTATCTGTCTGAACCAAAATTGTGGTCGTACACTCGGCAACGCAAGCAACGCGTCCCTTGGTCTATGTAGTATATGCTACGGACCACTGTATGTTGATACATATGACCCAGAAGGCAAAGCGCTCCGCCGCCGTATTGAACGCCGCTATCTATCCCAAATGATGACCGGTTGCGGCAAACCATGGTGTCAGAACGAGTACTGCAAGACTGGAAAACAGAACAGCAAATCTGCAGATGGTTCACCTGCGCCCATGGGCGTGGCTGATATTATGAAGGTTACGCGCCCGCTTGTGGATGCTATCAATTTCAACCCTGAAGTACCCAATACATCGCCAATGTACTTCTGTACCGATGAGACGGGACAGATTCGTCGTAACTTGGCGGAGATGCTCTCTGCTGAGGGATCTGCTGATGGCAAGGTCTATGCCCTTGCATGGTGTGTTGCTGGTGCTGAGGCGGCGGGTGGTGATCTGGAAAAAACCAGAGAGTGGCTAGCGAAATGGGCACCGACGCAAAGTGAATTAAGTAGGTAAATCGGCTGGAATGCCTATGTAGTCTTTTTGAGGGTTTCATTGAGCGCGGTCAATTTTGCATCATACAAGGTCTAGGGGGTTTCTGGATAGAGGGGCATTGATGAATCTAATGGTATAATGATATATAACACATTTAGAATCTCATGATATTCATAAATTAGATGTAAGGAACAGCAGGCGAAGAATTTCCCGTGTCCCGCTCTTTTACCGGATAGCCTCCGTAAACAAAAAAAAAAAAAAGGACAGCATTCTCATGCCACCATGAGACTATAAAGCTCGTTCGAGTCAGATAGACTCCGTAAAAGAATCAAAGCCACCGAACCTTTAAAGAGCACCCGTTTTCGCAGCCAGTGTACCTGTTCCCCGAGACGAGAAGATACCCATAATACCGAAGACGACGTAAAACAATGCCAAAGGATATGCCACCAAGCCACGCATACCACTCATACGCGCCACGGCACAGAACATGCCAGACGAGCTGTAGGTACACCAGCCCACGGCGGCGGTGGTCAAGAGGTACCCGAACATGGTATCCATTGGGAGCAGAACACCAATGAGAGCAGTGAGCACAAGTGGAAGGAAACAGTATCCCAGAACACTGGCCGAACGGGGGAAGGTCAGGGTTGCAGAGAAATGACCAGCAGTGGAGACGCCGGACATGGAGGGCTTGTGGTGTGGGTTGTAGTTGGTGGGGTCGGCGGCGTTGGGGGTTGGAGCTCCGTCGAGGATGGGAGACATGAGACTCAGGATGAGGTGTAAGGAGACGGTGCCAAAGACTGCAACGCCGTAGATATAGCCATAGAACACCTTGCCGGACAGGAGGAGGAAAAGACCGTATAAGAAGACGTAGAGCAAGGCACCGTAAAGGTCACTGTCGTCCATTAAATGATTATCGATGGATGCGAATGGGTTTAGCACGGTTAGTGTCTGCAATCGCAAAGCTGTTAGCTCATCGAAGCAAGTAGTATACCATATAAATCAGATGATAAGCATGAAGTCTGTTCGAACTACGTTCGTAGATTCAATGCTGAATCACACCTGGAAGTAGATACCACCCCTTGCGACAACCTACCTTAGTTTTGATATGACCAAGATTAATTCCCAGCTCTTCCTGTAAAGACGGTTCCCCATCATACCCCTCGGCTCCAAATGCAGCTAACCAGCCTGTCCGCAAGCCACTCTGCTCGCCCATCCTGCCGCTCACACCAGCAGCAGGAGACCCGAAACCTCCATATCCACCCCCCGGATAAGCCTGTGCGGAAGGATTAGGAGCGCCGCCAAATCCAGCACCGTATGAAGCCTGTGAGGGAGTCGTGTGGCCGGATACTGAGGAATAGGACGAGGGGAAGAACTGGAGGTTCTGTGCGGAGCCTTGAGGGGCATAGCCCGGCTGTTGTTGTTGGGGGTAGTATTGAGCCATTGCCGTGGAGCGGCAATCAGACTAATTTCTGTTGGCAGTGAGCAAGAACAAGGTGGAAAGTAAGTCGTGTGGGAGCTTGTGAAGCTCAAAGTGTCCAACTTGCGGTTTGTCCTGATGCCTGCTGACTCAGCCCCGCGTGGAGCCCAGGAGCCGAAGTATAGAACCAATACATGAAAACAGAAACACCGAATTCGAAACTAAAAAGGAATGAAGTGAGGTATAATTCGACTCCGCTAAACTCTAATAATAGGAAACATGTTTCTACAGGAAGTTGATACCAATTCCAAGCTGCAGGCCCTTCCGGCCCTCCTCGCCCTTGCGAAGGACGAGCGGCAGAGAGAAATTAAGCTCAAATCGCGCCACGGGAAGGGCGTACACAATACCAACACCGGCAGAAATACTAGGTAGACCATTCTGCAGATCAGAGATGGTTGAGATCATAGCATCCTGCACCTCTCCACTGCTTGAAGGAGTGGTCTTCTGCGAGGTACGCAGTGGCAACAGGCGACCGCCGTTCAAGAAAGCTTGCAGTCGCAAGGGCTTCTCGGCTCCCACTCGGGGAAGAGGGAAAAGCAGGTTTGCGCTTCCGGCGGCGTAGACGTCTCCACCGAGGGAATCAGAACCCTCACGAGGGCCCAGGCCGCAGAGACGGAATCCACGGACGTCAGTCGGTCCACCAAGAAGGAAGCGATCATTAACGAGAGAAAGCTGGGGTCGCGAGTTTGAGTCCTGTCCCAAGGGGTAAAGAAGACCAGCACGGAAGCCAGTGGTGAGGCTAATACCGCTGTCACCCTTGACACCGGGAATAGGGATGGGGATACTGCCCTGGGTCTCGATCTCCGACTTCCAGAATGATACATCTCCCTTCAATGGGCCTAATCCAGCAACCTCATTAAAAATCTTGGCGTAGTAACCGCGAGAAGGCAACATGGCATTGTCCCGCTGATCATTGACCCAGCTGTGGAAGATGCTGCTCTTCACGCTATCTCCAGCATCGGCTCGGACAGTCGGGGAGGCGTTCTCCGCAAGGCCGGTAATCTGTCTCCAGAATCCGTTATAGCCCAATTCGTGGCGATGGCCAGACTGGGAGAGCCATCGAAGCTTGCTCCAGCCACCCTTGACAACCTCCTCATGGCTAGCCCAGGACTTCTGGGTGGAGCTTGCGATACCGCCAACTTCCAGGCGGAAATCGGGGTCAAAGAAGATTGGGGTCTCAAATGCGGCCTGATAGGCAGATCGTGTGCGCGTACCCAGCGAGGCGTTCAGGTTCAAAGTCTCAGCACCTCCAAAAACATTGCGCCAAAGGAGGTTACCGTATGCCGAACCCTCTGCATTACCAAGGTCGGTCCCAGTCTTCAAAAGTACACGAGATTTCTCCCGAGTAGCGAGGATAACATCGATGTTGCGCAGTCCGGTGGTGGGATCGGGTGTCGACTCATCCAGATGAACGGCGATAGGCTGTTGGAATAGGTCTGATAATTATATAAGTAAGCCATGCTAAAATCCATCCGACTAAGGGTTACCAACCGAACCGTCCAAGTTTGTCTGCCGCAGCCGAAACTTCCCGCAAAGCCTCGGAAAGAGTGTAGGGATGATCGCGCTTCGTACCAAGAAGTGGGTTGACGATGTGCTCAAGGAAGCTTCGGCGAGTGTGAGGTGCGCTCTGAAATTGGACCGACGAGATTCTGCAGGGCAAAGTAGAGTTTTGGTCGAGCTTTATAGAAATCAACGTTAGTCGGACGATCCTCAAGTCCACCAGTAGGCCTAGTAATCAATAACCCAAGCCGGAGAAAGAAGAGAACCATACCAATTCCCCAAGGCGGGATTGGGCTTTTTGAAGGATTGCCTGCATCCGCTCATTCACGGCCTGTTGCTGCTCTTCCAGGACCTGCGGGTCCTTGCGCTGTTGCAAGCGCTCGAAGATCTACGGACAAGAAGGTGATTAGTTTAGCACAAACATATGAAAAACAGCCCCAAGCTGCATAGGTATTCGACATACATCTTCATCTCCAGCAGATAGAGGGGAGGACATCGTGACGGCTACAATGGGCCAAGTTCTGGGAACAGCAACATCTTGGTGATCGCGTGGGAAAACGGCGCCCACGTGACTCCGGGGACGCTCGCCGCGCAACCGTTTCACCTTTGACCTTTCATTCCTACATCGTTTCTTTGATCAAGATTCTCTTTTCTTTGACTACTATCTCTCCCCGAGTTACTTCTCTTCTAGACAGTCACAAATATTTGACAACCAGATTTGTTTTGCAACATGGCGACCAAGGCGGCTCTAAAACGGGTGGGTAACCGAGACATCCATCTCCAAGCAACCGGGATTCGCTAACAGTCTATACAGCTTACTCGGGAATACCAAAGTATTCAGAAGAACCCTCCACCATTCATTATTGCCCATCCATCTGAAAGCAATATTCTTGAGTAAGTGGGACCTCTACGGTCTCTGTAGTAACCTAATCACTAATCAGAACAGATGGCACTATATCCTCACGGGTCCTCCGGGCACACCTTATGAGAATGGACAATACTGGGGTACCCTCATGTTTCCTCCTGAGTACCCGTTTGCGCCCCCCGCCATTCGCATGCACACTCCCAGTGGTCGATTTCAGCCATCTACTCGCCTCTGCCTGAGCATCAGCGACTTCCACCCCAAATCCTTCAATCCTGCCTGGGAGGTTTCGACCATCCTGATTGGACTACTATCCTTCATGACTAGTGAAGAGATGACTACCGGAAGTGTCAGCGCATCGGAAGCAGAGCGTCGAGTGTTTGCCGTTCGATCACGATGGTGGAATTCAACCGGGGGTGGTTCGCACCTTAACGCCACCCCGGGTGTGACTCGAACAGCCAAAGGAATCAATAACGTCAAAGCAGGAGATGGAGGGTTGAAATTCCGGACTGAGTGGCCCGAGTTGGATCAGGAAAACTGGGCCTGGATGAAAGAACATCGCATCGATACCAACACCGGTCAGATCCTCCCAGACCCCAACGCCCCGGCCAGATGCTCCCCGGAAACTAGCGCATTACGTCGACGACCAAACGGAAGTGCTCCAGGGATCGGAGCGGTTGTCGAGGGAGGCCAAGTGGCTCGGGAAGCCGGTCAAGGATGGGTACGACGAAACCGTCTTTGGATCGGTTTAGCGGTGCTTTTTGGTTACGCATTAATCTCTAGACTCATGAGTGACATGCAGGGGTAAATGAACTCAACGGCCTATGCTCGAGAATTTAAAGTACGAGGGGAAACGTTATGTTTATTTCTTTGATCGTTAGCGGGTTGCGTTGTTACTTATGCTTGGCAGCATCTTCGGGCGCTTTATACAGGACCTTCTCTTCTTCTAGATGATTTCCCTACATTTACTTTCTATATGCCATAAAACTTTGTATAAAATGGTTACACAGTTCCATCATATCACCGGATTATCACTGGGTGGATTTCTCCGCCTGAACTTCTTTTAAACTGAATTTGGATGGCGCTCTATCTCCCCCGCATTGACATATTGGCAACGTAACTACTCCTTTTCTTTTCTTCTGAATTTGTCTTTCTCACCCCCACTCCATACTGACTTCATTGGTTTGTGGCTTGCCATCTTGCTCTGCGCTGGCCTTCGGGCCCAAGATGGATCATCTGCATTCGTTCACGTTACCAGGTGTTCGACCTTCCAATTCAGGTTTGTGCTCGATTGTACCTTTCCTTTAGCCCCCCCCCCCCCCTTCTTCCCCGGAAAGACCCACCGATCTATCCCATTCGTGGATCTGCAAGCCACGATTCGACCCTGGAGGCTTGTTATGGTCTCTGTGGCAAACGTATTCTACAGTACCTATTTGCCTAGGGATTTCACCTTTACCCTAGTTGCACTAATAGAGAGAACATCGCGAAATACTGCACCAAGTACCGACTGATTTGGTTCAGAACCCAGTGCAAGAGCCGCCCCACCGCTTGATCGGCCGTCGTTCACCTTTATCGACCATGACGATGACTTGACCTCCAAAAGAATCAAAGATGTGAATGCCCGCAAGGCGATCCGCTCTCATGTTATGCGCGATGTACGCCGACGAGAGAGGCTTGCCGGAACCAAACGAACGTCGAGGCGAGAAAATCGGGAACAAACAGCTACAAAGTCCCGACGGAAGGTAGTCGAGGAGTCTGAGGACCAAAAAATAGTTTTGAGGGCTGTTTACCAGACCTCAGTCTCATTGACAGGAGATACGGACTTCGAGAATGGTTGTTCTGATTCAAGACCTCGGCGAGCACGTCCGCCACGATGGCTGGCTGGTTATCCACTACCTTGTCATCTGAGTCTCAACCCACGGGCGATACCTGCATCATGGCTCTATGACCCCTTTTGTTCCTTGCCAGGAACGGGCGAGCTTCCTTCTATGGTTGCACATTTAGTTTTCTACTGTGCGTCACGTCAACCCTTTGGAGTATTTCTGGGCTAACAACCACAAGGGAAATCTGTCTTTGTTCCCATGACTTTTCCGAGCTGTCTCAAAGACTCGGAAATACCCGAGCTAGAGTTGATGGTCCGATCTTCTTTCTCTGACCCAGGAAGTTTCTTCGGTCTCATGAGCATGTGCGCTGCGCACCGAGCCGCTTTGGCCATAAACCGCCTTGATCCGTTCAGCAATCCCGCTAACTTTGATCGGGTCACTAACGATTCTGACTACTGCATCATGAAAGCCAAATCAATACACGAGATGAACACCAAAGTACGAGACCCCAGATTAGCACTCAGCAATGAGGCATTCGATACGATTGTCAACCTCCTCACCGGATCAGTAAGACTTCACTTGAAAATAACGAACCGAATCTTTTCTCACTATTGCATGGCAGTTAATCGCAGGGTTGTTTGACGAAGCTCGGGTTCACCTGACTGGCTTGAGGCGCATGGTAGAGCTCCGAGGTGGGATCACGCATAAGAGCATAAGCTCGTCTTCAATGTTGTCGGCAATTCTTACGTACGTGAACAGACTGAACAAACTGCTCTCTTGTACACTTTCACTTACGATCCAGCAGGAGCGATGTAAAGGCCGGTACAGGGCTGTTAGCTACACCAGTATTTCCACTGACTTGGGATACACAACCCGTACCCCTCGAAATACAGCACCGAATTCGACCTTCCCCTTCATCACCAATCCGACGACTTGGCTCTGGATTCTGGGCGAACACACTCCTCAAACCACCATTACTACGTATCTTAAATGTGATACGGGACATGATCTTTTACAGTATCACCGTCCAGGTTGCGCCCGAAGCCATTCACTTCAGTGACCATGATTTTTTCCGAGTTCTCAATTGTGAAACCGAGCATCAACTGCTTAGTTATATTAACGCTGAAGACTACAGGTCCGAGAGAATTCATCCAATTGAAGCAGTCACCAGTGTAACTTCGATATGTTTTCTCAACTACTTTCTCATTGTTTCCCCTCCATCCTCAGGCCTCGGACGAGCTCTCACAAATCATCTCGTGAGAGTTATGAACAATTTCAGACTTACCCTTCTGCTCGAGCTACCCAGAGAAAACTTTGGACTTTTTGCTTGGGCTTTGTTCATCGGAGCTCAAGGCTCACTCGGTCAGCCCGAGCGACCTTGGTTTGTAGAGAGATTGGCTCGCGTTGCAATGCTATGTGAATGGCAAACTTGGGAGCAGGTATCCCGAATCTTAACCGACTACTTCTTTATTGCGGCTGCACAAGCACCAAGATGGCGGGCTATTTGGGACGAAGCAATGGCAGGGTTCGTGATCTCTGCGGATGAAGTGTAAAGCATTTAGCCCGTTGCTTTATCAAAGATTTCTGATATCGCTCTGTATATTGAATATTTGAAGTTAACATTAATGATAATGGGACCCTTGATGTGAATATCCAACCAACCATATCGCGCGGATTTCTATACTTCGGCCCGCTGCGGGTTGCGAGTCAGATTATGTCATCCTGTCGCGGTTTTCCGATCTTTTATCGCGCGAGGCAATTTTTTGGATTTTACCATCTCATTGCCACTTTTTACTCTTGATCCCTCTGTATTTTAATAATACTAAAAATGGGTTGGTTTTGGGCAGACTCACAGCCAAAGGCGCCACAGGCACCTCATCCGCCTACCAATGCAGCTCCTCCAGTACGTCCTTCAGGCATATCTACGTGAATTCCCCGACTGACCATCAATTCAGCCTGCATGCCCGATGCATGAATCGCGTCAGGCACCATCCGCTGCCCCTGAAGGCAGTTGCCCTATGAAGTCCGATTCTCCTTTCTATTCGGCCCCGAAATCATCTGCCGCGCAGACACCGAAAGAGCCCGCGGCTCCAACCCAGTCCTCCACCTTGTCGAAACTGAACCCGATGAACTTTATGTTCGCCTCGATCTCTCAGGAGCGTGCCGCCAATCAGACCGTCGATCTCCCCGTTGAGCGTGAACAGTCTTCTATCCCACGTGGCGACAGCAACGAGAACTGGGAGTACCCGTCCCCCCAGCAGATGTACAATGCCATGTTGCGCAAGGGACACACCGACACACCCCAGGATGCCGTGGAAGCCATGGTTGCTGTCCACAACTTCCTGAATGAAGGTGCCTGGAATGAAATCGTGGGATGGGAGCGCACGTTTGCTAAGGGTCTCATGGACGGATGGAGCAAGTGTCGCCGAGGCGAGGAGAACCTGAGCTGGGATCTGGCTATGCGCGAGGCGCATGGACTTGTAGACCAGTCGACGGAGCCTCGGCTGATTCGATTCCAGGGTCGCCCCAAGGATCTCACTCCTAAGGCCCAGATCTTCCAGGCTCTGGGGTGGATCTACCCTTCCAAGTTTGAGTATGTCGCGATCCTGCAACTTTATCTTACTATTTTGAAGCAGATACTAACGCGCCTTGCACTAGAACCAAGCCTCCATTTGACCGACACGACTGGTTCGTTCAGCGTCAGACACCTACTGGCTCCAAGGAAGTTCGTTACGTGATCGATTACTACTCTGGTCCTCCTGAACCGAATGGAGAGCCGGTTTTCTACCTCGATATCCGACCTGCTTTAGATTCGCCAACGGCCGCGGTTGAGCGCCTGATGCGATGGGGAGGAGACGCATGGTGGAGAGCCAGCGGAGCTGCTGCTCGCGAGCAGAGCTGATGAGGCTCAGGCCAGTTTGATTCTTTCTCCACTCCACATTGTATAATTATAGACATGGCATGGGCGTTTTTTCGTGGTTTCCTTTTGGGAAACCCCTATTCATGATCTCTGGTGTTTTCTTCTTTCCTGTGTCATATTCTACCTGTCTTATCACCCCAGTTTTAACAGTTTATTCCACCAGCAGACGATAATGGCAATATGTAACGGTTTCGTGAGACTATCGTGTGACAGGTGTTCCAATGTTTTCCAATGTCGATATCTAAAAATGCCGGTATCCAAATATACTAACTAGCTTATCATTAAATGCAGATGTATATTCGAGTATGTATTTTCATTATCATTGATGCCGAGGCACTTTATATCGTACAAAATAGGGGATCTATATCTCAGATGTTGGGCGACAACTGATCGTACTTAACGCACTGCTCGACACTTTCAATGCTGGCCTGCAGCAATCCACGAGCCTCTAAACCAACCCAAACACGGAGCATCGAGGTATCGCCTGAACGAACCGTTTGCAACAATGTGGCGCCAGAGCCCAGCTGTCGGAGGATGGGAAGGGCACTGGAAACAGGTTAGCATTGCTAAATAAAGGTGGAAATTTCAAGATATCATACCTCTTAAACAAGTCTAGGTCTGGATTCAAACTTCTTCCAATGCCTTCAAGTAGGAGGCAAGATATCACGACATTCACAAAATCACCTTCGAACCGGACGTGATGGCCGCGAACCATTGTCAAGACCTCACTTAGGACATCGCCGATCTTGATATTTCCAAGGGCAAATGTGCGCGTCTTAATGCTTAACACAAGATGTTGCATTTTTAAAGCGAAAATCTCGGGCTCAAGGACCTGTTCAGGTGTACGACACCGCTCAACCATAAGTTGTCCAGCTCTATATCCATCAAACTCGGCAATGGCTCGGAAAAGATCCAGGAAGTTCCGCCGATTGGTGTCGTTCAGCTCGGTAACCAGGCCTGTATCAATGAAAATAAGTTGCGGGCGGTATCCTTCATTATTAAGCTGAGCCAGGGCGGAATCCCATTGTTGCTGATTGCCAATATGAGGGCGTAGTCGCGCAAGCACAGACTCAGTCACGTCTACTTCGGCTCGTGTCGGAGCATCGGTGGCGCGTGAATGCTTGCGAAGGGATAGATCGAGCTCGCTGGGCTTGTAAAACCGAACCATGATGTTTCCTGGGTGTAGATCCGCGTGAACAAAGTTGTCGATTAGAAGCATGTGTAAAAAGGCATCGAGGCCTTCATTCGCAATCTCGTGTTGGTAGACACCTCCTCCAATGTCCAGAAAGGTGGCGAGCGGGATACCCTGGGCGAATTCCTCAACCAAAACTTCGCGCGTTGTGTACTCCAGGTACGGGTAGGGGAACCAAGCGGTGCTTCGGGACTTAAATTTCTCCCGAAACCTGACGAGATTGGTGCCTTCGATGCGCATGTCCAGTTGAAGTTTCATCATCTCTCCGAATTGCTGAACCTCGTCCGGGAAGGAAAGCCAGTGCATTGTTGGGATGGCATTGAGTAAAGAAGCGAAGAATGACATGATGCGCAAGTCACGATGGATCATCTTCTCGACTCGGGGATGTAGTACTTTGATCGCGACATATGACGATGGTACGCGCTGTGGTGAGTTCTTGACTAGCACATCGACGTTCTTGCGCATCTTTTCTCCCAAGGTGATGGGTTCTTGGCCTAGTTCCTGACTTGTATTGGCCAGGCTTGGTTTAAGCTTCGCTTTATAAACCTGTGCGATGGCACCGACGCCCAAAGGCTTTTCGTCGAACTCTTCGAAGATCTCTTCAAATGGAAGACCATTAAATGCTTTTCGAATTGTCCGCTTCGTATCACGAAGTGAATGAGCGGGAGCATTGGAATGGAGCGAGGACATGACGGCACACATTTCCGGTGGGAAGATATCGGTTCGTGAAGCGGCCCATTGACCAAGCTTTTCAACAAAAGTCTTAGTAAATAATGCTCCAGCGGAAAGTGAATCAACAAACCTTGATAAAAGCAGGTCCAGCGCGCTCCATCGCCTTCACCAAGAACCTATACCACCAAAGTGTACCCGTTTGAGCCCCATTTTTACTTCCAACAGCCCGACCGAGCCAAATAGCAGGTACCGTTATCACGACCGGCATAAAGATTACAAAGAGGTGCAAGAATCGTAGCCCAGTAGCGATTGGGTCGTAGACATAGTAGTAGAATGTAACGGAGAGGGATTGCCATACCCGCTCTAAGCCCCGGGCATCTGGAGAAACAGCCTTTCGGATCTCATCGCGAGAAGCCTCAAGCATCTGCATCTCCCCCGTCTTTTCAGGGTCATCTACCTCCGCCAACTTGAGGAATGCGCCGGGCGCCAAAGCGGACATCACCAGTCCGCCAGTGACCCGGCCCCGCCGCGGGGTTTGTTTGGGAGGTTGCCATGATGTGAAGCGATTTCGCGGGATGCGCGGAATCCCGCGTCGAAAACAAAACCGACTGAGGAGGACCGTCCTCATGGTCTATGGTGAAGTGCATGGGAGAAGGAAGATGAGCCGCGGCGAGCGATAACCCCGATAACCGGCACGTGTTGCAACGTCATAATTCAAGAAGCAGGGCATGTACTTGAATTGAAGGAGTCCCTGAGTACCTGTCTACGTAAGTGCCCAGTTACATCATCAACTCCAGATCTTTACTCTTTGACTGAAAGTATTATGTCAAAGCGCCTAAACACGACATTAGCATGTATCATGGGCGGCGACGGGGCTATACAACGTTCCCAAGTTGTGTTATCGGCTGGTAGATGATAAATCACAAATGGGTAGGACTGTATAACCACTGGGGCTGTTAGCACAGGGGTAGTGCGCTCGCTTCGCATTTCTGTGAAGCTGCGAGAGGTCCGGGGTTCGATTCCCCGATAGTCCATCTTTTTGCGTCTCGAAAATACTGTCTCTCTCGTCTCTTTCTTTATTCTTCTTCTTCCTCTTCATGATTGACTGGGCAAAAAATAAAACGATGGAAATATTTATTTCAATTAGACAAATTGTTGATATGTAGTTGTGTATGGAGTACGTACCCGTGTTCCTATCCGATGAGGAGAAGCCGCAGCTGCTCCACAGTGATCGGTGAATGTGGAGGCGGAGGCGGAGGTGGACAAGAAACCCTGCATTGATTCTTCAGGGTTCGGCGGTTGTTCCACCGAGAATCAGGGCCTCTTTATACCGAGGCCAGGCTTAAATGTGCCCGCTCGAGGGCAATTGTATTCCAGGGCAGTCATCAATCTTCAATGTCAACAAACATGACTATACGGGCGTTCTTCTTGACGATAGTTTTCGGGTCGTCCAGTTTCTGGCATTTTGCAGAGGCTACAGATGCCAGCTCGAGAATGTAAGCCCCAGATATGATTGATGGGCTCAATTCAATGACTTACGACCCTAGCAATACCAATGATCACCAGCAATATTTCTCCCCCAAGGCACTCACCGTTGGCCATGGCATCCTATGGCCAACATCGAAGCCGTCCAAATTTGCTTTAACTTTGAAGTCTCCTATTGCCACCATTGATTATGGATCAGAGGTGGCTGGGTACCCTTTTTTCGAAATAGAATCAGTTGAAGCGCCAGCACAAATTGAAGTGAAGTACAGCGAGCCTTACCACGGGCTCCATCATGTTTGGGGGGATGGCCCCTACACATTCTCTACTGGCCTGTCCAATGCTGTTCGAGTCGAAACTTTCAATATTACCAAAGCGGGGACAGTGAAGTCTTCATTGATCCAAGGCGGCCAGAGATGGCAGTCTATTCAGTTGGTTGCCGGGAACAAGGTCACGATCTCCCATGTTGGCTTTGAACCAACGGTTTCTGTCACAAATCCGGACACACTCCCAGCCCGCTTTTCATCCGACGATACAGTGTTTAATGCAATCTGGAAATTGGGACAGAAGGCAGCAACCATGGCATGTCTTGAGAAAGGTACTCAGAAGGCTGTTTGGGACATTGACCCAGTCAAGGGGGCCTTTGTGCACAGTGTAAGGTCTTCACCAAACGTTGAGACTACCACTCTCGAAAATTACACCTTGCAATTTGAGACATCTATCGAGAGGGCCGGACTATGGTGGTCGGTAGTAAGTTGATACTATCATTCTTCTCACTACTTTATCGATATTCATACTGATTGGTGAGACCTAGGCTCAACCTGTAGGCGTTGGCAATGCTATTCAACTACTACTTGTTGGAGAACTACCCGAGACTTCCACATTCGCCAACACCAATAGGTCCTTGACCCCTCCAAATAGTATTCTGTTGGCATACGGATATGGCTTCGTCAACCAAACCACTTTGGAATCATATCTGCTCGACACTTTCACCATTCCATTCAACGTGCATGAGAAGGAGTGGTATACAGTTACTACTGTTTTGTCAGGTGACGATCACCTGGCTGTGCAGCTTAACGGCATTTCTATCTTCAACGTCTCGCTATCGGATTACTACACCGGTGGTTCTCAAGTCTCACTTAGTGGATCCTTTGGGCTTGGAGCCTACCAAGACCAAGCTGCCTGGGTTCGCAATGTCAAGGTCCACGACAGTGCGAATGGCTCTCTCTTATACGTGGACAGCCTGCGCGATAAGAGTGCTTTGGTACGCTATGGGACACAGGCTAACCTGGGAACTGTCTGCTTGGATGGGCCGAAACGAGACCGCCTGGTCTGGTTGGGCGATTTTTACCATACTTCCCGTATCATCGGTGCTAGCACTGACCGATTCGATTGGTCACGCGGGACTTTGTCATTCTTACTCGACACCCAAGTCTCTAATGGCCAACTGTGTATCGCGCCAGCTATGGGGTATAACCCGTCGACCACCATTGATGCTTTCAGTCCAAACGGCGCATATCATGGCCTGGAAGACTACCAGATTCTTGGATTCCTGGGGTTCTATCATCTGATTAAACAAACGAACGACCTGAAATATGCCGCCCAAACTTGGCCGCAGTGGCAAAAACAACTGGCCTGGCTTCTGAGCACGATCAATGCCACGGATGGACTGGTGGATGTATACAGCGCATTTTTAGGCTCAGCACAGGGAGGTTCTGCAGTCAGTTGCCTCACAGTTGAAGCTCTCAACGGAGCCTCAGAGATTGCCAGTGTACTGGGGAACCAGACTGCCGCCAGGACATATAAGGAATCCGCCGAGAAGCTGGCTGATGCTGTTAATACTCACCTTTGGAACGATGAGCTTGGAGTTTACTCTCTCAGTCGATCAAACAAGAGCGACTTTAGCGTTGCTGGTATAGGACTGTGCATAACTTCCGGGGTCGCAAACTCAACCAGGGCCTCACAAGCCGTGTCTTCGCAAAATTTGAGTCAGCTGAAGCTTGGACCTGGGTACAAGGATGATACTACGGTAAATGAAGCAGCTTCCAGTGTCTCCATTTCACCCAACACCAATGGCTTCTTGCTACCCGCTTTGTTTATGGGAAATGCCACCACGGCCGCGAAGGAACTCCTCCGATCCATGTGGGGAGCGATGCTATCGGAGGGCGTGGAAACCGGTATCGGGAATGACACCACAGCCACCGGTGCAAGCTGGGAATATCTTGACGTGGACGGTGCCCCCGGCTTGAGTCTTTTCACTAGCCTAAGCCACCCATGGGGAGGAGCAGCAACATACGTTCTCACAGAATGGGCCGCTGGATTGCGTCCTGCTGACGGACCCAAAGGATTTGGGTATAAGAATTGGCTCTTGGCCCCTGAGACAGGGTTGCAGATGGGCTTGAAAAAGGCGAGCGCTCGAGTTGTTACGGAAGGGGGAGCTACTTTGTTCGTTGCATGGGAAGTTGACGGATCCATGCTGGATGTGAAAATTGATGCGCCTCATGGTACTACAGGGAGGATTCAAATTGGCAGCAGATATGAGAGAGTTAGCGGGGGAGGTATTCAGTCAGTTCGAATTCCACGTTGAATATTATGCTTGAGAGTGGTGTTGGGGATGGTGCTATCAGGTATGGTGACACTATGGTTTTCTTTCTCCAGATAGACGCGAACCATTCCATCAAATATGAACGAATGCCTGAGCTCTGACCTTCAAACATCTTCGATGATCCTCCACGCAGTTCGACCTCTTATAGACTTCGAAGTAGAGTATATTTTTGAAAAACAGTGATTGATAAATTAACGTTGCATTTTGCCTGTCCCCGCCGTGGAATGGTGTGGATCTTATCAGTGGATCTCCAGACCCACATTCCGTTATACATTCCACACCCTTTGTTCTCTGTCCGTTTCCCTCCACAGAATTTCCTTTTCCGGAGGATGCGGCTTAATCCAAAAGATTCCGGCGTTAATTTTGATTCTTTCCCGTAGCCGGAGCCAGTCTATCCCGAAAACAGACCAAGCGGCCATGTCGCAACCATGGTCAATCAGCATTAAAATGAATTTGATGTCCCCTGTCGCTCGCGACGGAGCAATCCTCCTGAACCTATGCGATAACTGCGACTTTTGATTCACCATGGGTCGTCTAGGGAATACCCATGACGATGTCGAATCGAATCGCGACAGCGAATCCTCAACTTGGCGCGACTGGGCAACCGTGTTAGTATGGTGTGTATTGGGCTACTTGTTCATTATTTTGGCCGTGATTGGCTGGTTTAATCCGTCGCTCTTGCCCGTTGATCTCACATCACTGGTGTTCAATAAGGAGATTTCCCCATTTTTTGCCTATTCGCACGCTTCGGGATATTTCCCCAAGCCGCAGGGCTTCAAGATTGTCGCATTAGTGCCCTTCAGGTACCACGAGCGTACAGAGATCCTTGATTGCTACCTACAGGTAAGAGGAATTGCAACCATCAATTCAAATCCAATTTTAATTTAACATCGCTTCAGAAAAATCTGGTCCACAACCATGGCTTTCTCGATCAGGTCGTTTTTGTGCCTCAGACACACGACCCGGTTAGCCTGGAATGGTTGACATCTACAGTGATGGAGACCCCGGGGTATGCCATAGCTCCGCCTGGTCAGGATATGGACTGGAAAATCACACAAGACAATGTCATGTACATTCGTATTGATGGGGATATCGTCTTTCTGGAAGACCACACCATTCCTACCATCGTGAAAACCAAGTTGGATAACCCCAAGTCACTGATGGTTTCTGCCAACGTCGTCAACGAGGCCGCCCTTGCAACACTGCACAGTCATCCTGGTGTTGCTCTTCCATATCTACCAGAGCTGCACCATGTCAAGCAGACCTCTGGATTCAAGGACCAGATTAGTCAAGGATGGCGCGCCTCGAGTCTACCTGAATGGGAGGGTCCAGCAAGTTTCCGGGTTCGGAAGGGGTTCAAACCCCCATTTGAAGGCCACCGATGGTTGCTACCGGCCGAACCAGGCTCTGATCGAGATCCCATCGCGGCGTCAGTATATACAGATACTGGGCCGAATTTGAAAGACTGGACGGTTGCTGCCCAGCAACATTACTCGTTCCTTCACCATCTCGAAATGAACCATCTGAAGCGATACAAGTTCCCGATCTGGATCGATCCTACCGAGCCAACCAGCCAAAACTTTGGGTGTTTCTGGGGAAGAGATGCATTGGCTCTTCGTGAGATTTTTGAGGTCGATCCCAAAGGTGACAAGCCCCGCAAGTCATGGATCGGGGCAGATGGGACTAGGCCGCATGTCAACATTGATGGGAAAGGCCTGGCCTCGCATTACTCGGCTAGCTCAGGAGCTGCAGGTTTAGATTCGACTGATCTTCTGGACCGCTATCGAGCATATGCCCAGGAGAAAGTCTGTCGTTACACATCATGACGGAGGGAAAGTGTGGATGAAATATGCTGCGCACAGTCCCTTATACATTTTGTAAAATAATATACCCTGCAAGCTTTACTTTTTTTTGCTAGGATTCGTGCGAGCCCATCTAACTGTAGTCATCCAACCATTGAATACAAACGCAACAGGCGATATAGGTATAGAACGAACTCCACTTCTCGGCCGAGTAGTAAGTATGGCTGAAGTCATAATTGGCAAGAGCCTAGTGGGCTTTTGGGGATCGGGACGATCACATCATTAGAAGGTTGATTGTGCCATTAGCGTACCCCACACAGCATCATTCCTACGAGCTTGTACCCCGATAAACCAATATTGGGGTATTTCAAACAAGCTACTGTGCTGTAGATCTTCAATGCTAGCAGCATAGATCAATAAGTAGTCAGTCCCTCAGCCTTCAACTTGATGCCATCTGTTCCCTTAATGATGCGATAGTTCCTCACGCATAAAAAATATCTCTATCAATTCACATATATTCCAGATGAACATCTTTAAACCAAAATCCTGTCACATATTTTATACCGCACTGCACTGAAAGTCACAATCAGCAATGTCCTCCACGACCTGCCAAGATGGTGCCATTCATACTCATAAAAAAACCGAGTCAGTGGACATTGAACAACAAGGCCGACCAATCGCCCTAGATTCGGGACTTCCAAAGTCTCTGGGTGCAGGTGTAAGTTTAGTATAACAATATCTTCAAGGAAACTATTAGCTGACAGTTACTGTAGTCTGCGTTGGCGCTAGGTGCATTCGGCACAACACTCACCACGCTCTCGTTGAGTCTAATGGAATGGCGAGGAGTAACCACCGACAACGTTTTCGTGGCCAACTTCTTCTTTATCTCGGCATTTGGGTTGGTTATTACGGCGCAGTGGGAACTGTCTATTGGGAATGGCTTTGCCTATACGGTTTTCAGCGCATTTGGTATGTTCCAGCACACCTCTACCAGCACACGAAAGTGACCTGAGACTAACGACATCTTTGAAACTTAAAAAGGTCTTTTCTACGCTGGATACGGGGCCCTTCTGACTCCTGCATTCGGCATTTCCCAGGCCTACGGCGGGACCAGTACAGCAGAGTATAACAATGCCGTCGGATTCTTCATGATTCTATGGACGGTATTTGTATTCACGTTCCTTATTGCCTCACTCGCAAGCAACATTGCATACATCCTAGTATTTTTCTTCGTTGACCTTGGGTTCTTGACGGTTGCTGCAAGCTACTTCGCCAAAGCTGATGGCCATGTCGCGTCTGCCGTCGCGTTGCAAAAGTCAGGCGGAGTATTCTGTTTTCTGGCTGGATTAATTGGATGGTATATTGTTTTCCACTTGTTGCTGCAGGAATCTATTCTGGATCTACCATTGGGTGATACTTCGAGGTACTTCAGGAAGGGCAAGAAGAGGGAGTAGATTGCGTGATTGGATCGCCATCAGCAACGGAACCTTGGTTTGTTTGGGAAGCGCCCTGATATAGGTGCAGATACGGTTACGTGCTAAATTCAAATCAAATGTGATATCTCTTCTCAAATGTTTGTTTGACATGATGCTTGTTCGTAATTCGCAGCTGTTTGGATGTAATAGCCAACCGATGATGCGTTGCTCCGCCCGCAGTGGGGCGTGCATGATCTATAGTACGGCATTTGGTGATAACGACATTTACTCCCGGTCTGACGAAACGAACACCTGCTAGGTATTTGTCGGCCGAGTATTCATCGCATTTTTGGTTGTTTGGGATATCGCATATCGCATCATTTTCTACGAATAGCATGTCATCAAGACGATCCAGTTTCGACGATGGCTAGATATATTGCGATCCCCCAGCACTCTCAAGTTTCAACTAGAAAGATCTCTTTGCGAACTACCCTGTTTTGATCATAAGACTTACTTCAATATGACAGTGAACGCGGACGTCCCAGCAACTGACCCCGTAATTTATGCTTCTTACGCAGCACAATGGGCCACACTCCCTGACACCGCCGAGGCTTGGCTCGCTAGAGCGCGCGAGGTTGCTGAAGTTTTGGCACAAGATGCGGCCCAGAGAGATCAGGAGAATAAATCCCCACGTGCTGAGATTGCACTTCTCAAGCATTCGGGTTTGCTGAAGCTTCTGGGACCTAAGAAATATGGGGGTGGTGAGCAGCCGTGGAGTGTTGGGTACCAGGCGATCAGAGAAGTCGCCAAGACAGATGGGTACGACTTGATTAGATTGAATTGATGAATCTTAGGCTGACATCACGGGATATGACAGTTCCATTGGCATGTTGCTCGGCTACCATTTGCTGTGGTCGACTACTGCAAACGTTGTTGGGACCCCAGAACAAATCGAACGTACCCACGAATTGATCATCTCGAACAACTACTTTGTCGGTGGTGCGGTCAATCCACGGGATAGTGATCTAAAGATCACATCGGATGGCGACCACATTGTTTTCAATGGAGCCAAACACTTCAACACTGGCGGCGTTGTATCCGACTTGACCGTCCTGGAGGGTGTTCTGGAGGGCACCGAGGGCCACATCTTCGCTCTTGTCGCAACCCGACAGCCTGGAATTACATTTGCCCACAACTGGCATAACATTGGCTTGCGCTTGACAGAATCCGGCGGAGTCAAGATCGAGAATATCCGTGTGCCATGGAGAGACGCACTAGGCTGGGATGAAACCACCAAGCAGCCGCGTGAGGATATTCTGCTCGCTCCGTTCGCCACTTTGCTTCTCCCAACGTATGTATCTTGAAGACTGTCCTCAAAGGCTGTGTTGATAACAATTTGGTCTCATCTAGTATCCAATTAGTCTTCAGCAACTTCTACCTTGGCATTGCTATCGGGGCTCTGGAATTCGCATCCAAATACACAAAAAATGGCACCCGTCCTTGGCCCTTCGGCGGCGACAACAAGGAGTCCGCAACCGATGAGTTCTACATTCTCGAGCGATACGGTAACTTCTTCGCACACCTCCGGGCTACGGAGACGCTGGCCGATCGTGCAGGCGAACAGCTCTCTGAATTATACATCCGCCATGGAGCCAATCGGTCCGCTCTGACTGCAGAGGAACGCGGCGAGGCTGCGGAGTGGGTTGCGAGCGTTAAGGTCGTCACTACCGACGTTGGGCTTCGAGTTACATCTGGAGTGTTTGAGGTGACCGGTGCCCGGGCAACGGCATTGAGAGTGGGACTCGATCGGTTCTGGCGGGATATTCGAACGCACACATTGCATGACCCTGTGGCGTACAAGAACCGAGAATTGGGTCGGTTTGTTCTTCTGCGGGAATACCCCGCGCCGACTTGGTACACGTAGTGGACAGTAGGACAACTAGGTCCACGTTGAGAGTATTTAAGAATTATCTTATGAATACAATCATCTCTCCTTTTTCACGAGCCTAATTCAGATCATATACAACTTGTTCCTGAGCATAGATCGATCTATATACGGATGTGGCAGGTGTCAACGATAAGCCCCGCCACAGATAGCAGATGCCGATCCGAAAATTTCGATGTTCGGCTTTCTCCGAGGGTCGAATACTCCGTACTTTTTTTTTCTGGCCTCGTCCCTGTCGCATTTTTTACATCCCTGTTCGCTACTCGGTTCTTTTTTCAAAACGTCAATATGGTTCAGAAATTCTACGTCACTTACAACCAGGTACGTCCCTCTTTCATCTACAATGTCCCTCACTTTACATTTAGTGGGGCGGACTCGAAAAGTGAGTGTCAGACTGATCGCATGTATAGGTTCACAAGCTCTGCCAGAAGTCGGCAGGTGCTATCCTGAAGGAGAACCCCCCCTCACTTGATGATCGCGATTGGTGGTGGTGGCTATGTTCCCGCTCGTATCCTTCGGTATGCCCATGCGCTCGATTCCTACACAAATGCGCAGTCCTGACCTTTCGTCCCCGCAAATAGATCCTTCCTCAAGGGTCCCGGTGATCCCAACATTCCTATCCAGGCTATTGGTCTGTCTCTCTACGAGGATCTCGGCCGTGGCGATGCCGAGGAGGTCCCTGGCACTAAGGTGACCCGCACGCAATGGTTGGACCTGAGCTCTTTGGAGATGGCCAACCTGATTGGCAAGAACATCCTCATTGTTGATGAGGTCGATGACACCCGCACCACCCTCGAGTACGCCGTGCGTGAGCTCGAGAAGGACGTTCAGCTCGCTCAGAAGCAGCTTGGTCGCGAGGGTGAGAAGACCAACTTCTCCATCTTCGTGCTGCACGTGAGTGACCTTGAGACCTGAAAGAATTCGAATTCAACGCTAACGTGATTCTTCGCAACAGAACAAGAACAAGGAGAAGAAGGGTGTCCTGCCCGCCGATATGATGGAGAGCCGCTACCACGCTGCCGTCACCACCGACGACGTGTGGATCTGCTACCCCTGGGAGGCTCGGTATGTTTTTGCGAATACATTTTTGAACAACTGAACAGAGACTAACAATGGATTAGCGATATTGACGAGCACGACGCTCTCGCAAAGGAGAACCCTATCATCTAAGACCTGCGGGCCTTTCTTGCATCGTACAGAGTTTCATTCTGCGCAGCGCTTCTATACAGCTGGTGGCTTTTTGGTCCCTTGGCAATCTATCCCGGATGTTCCAAAATGACCCGGGCACGTTAATTTACGATATCATTGATGAAAGTTAGAGAAAAAGTTGTCTCCTTCAAATACCTACGTCCGTCTAAACCATGTCAGGCCCTTGGGGATGCTTCTGCATGGTGGAAATGTATGTCCAAGGGTATCAAACGGATGTTTATTGATGGCGAAACCAAATAGCAATTAAGAAGCTCCGTATTTTATAATGCCTCGCGGCCTTTTTCAACGGAGTCACGCTTCCACAATCTCACGATATATGATGTGACTGATCTGCGCGCGATAATGCGCCCCATCCCAATAAAGTCAAGAAGGTTGATTTAATCGACATCAACCTTGCCCTGGCGCAGTTCAATCTTGGCCTGTTCAATCTCCTTCTGCAGTTCCGCGTGTGCCTCGGGGACGTCGTTAAAGGTGAAGATCGCAACTCCGAGACGGGCGAGCAGGTAGCATCCGAAGACAATGACTGCCCAGAAGGGGAGCTAAACGTGACGCGAAGATTAGCGACTTATTCAAAGCTATTTCGGGAAACTAGGCCGGATGCGACGTACCACGGGGATGACTTCGTTCTGGACGGTCTCGTTCAGGGGGATAAGACCAAGGTAGAGACTGAGGTAAAGCTACAAGAGTAATATGTCAGAGTTGTATTTCAGCTTTGCGTTTGGGATTCGGTCGAGGACACCGGATTGTTGACGTACAGAGGAAACGAGGAGAAGGACGGAGATGGTTTGCTGGGCGCGCGTCATGGTGGAGGTGCGTAACGTGTTTGATGGGTAGGAAAAGAAACGTAAGGAGAGAGGATTAAACGTGATATAAGTCTCAGGTTCAATTGACCGAGTATAAAGGAGTGTATGGGGGGTGGAAAGGGAGCAGAGGACAGCTTTGGTGATCTGGCGGGTTTCTTGGCTCCAGAGCCCGAAGGCGGAACTCCTTAAAACGTACGAATATCGGAACTACGACAACATGGATGTATCGTATGTTTAGAATCAGAGAGAAATTACTTTATTTCAGTGACATGCCGTTTGTCTTCAAAGACCACTGATTACATTTGAGCAATATAGAAGATACAGGCGAACGTGAGCTAGCAAACAGACCCGTTAATAATCCCACCTTGGTGCCTGAATTGACCTCAGGCAACACTCTCCACATTATCGATGCGGTGCCTATTCTCCCCTGCCAAATTCAACTATCCAAGGCAACGATCGAGGCTCTGCACCAGCCAGTCTGGAAATCAAAATCATGGCGTCACCCAATGGAATAAATACCGGCCATGGGTCCGCACAGGAGACAAGTCAGTCTTCAGTCTCATCCGAGTTGGACCTGCCTTCTGTGGATCAAGTTCTATCAGGCCTACCTGATATATCCAGCATACTCCCTGTCCAGGACACCACAGTGGACCAAAAAGATCAAGAAGCTATGTTCCGTGCTTTGAAGAAAATCGTTGAACATGCCGAGCAGACGAACGAGGTGGGCAACAGCTTTGACCTGAAAGAGCTCCATGCTTCCCTAGGACAGGCAGAGGAGGAGGCACGTCTAGGCCGACGAGATGCCACGGCATTAGAGAGTGTACACACAACTCTAATTCAGCTATGGTCATGCAACTCCAATTTCATGGCTCAAGCGGCCGAGGTTCTGGCCAACGGGAGTCGAGACCGTAAGTTTTGAGGGGATCTTTTGCTTCATTTTCTCGACTGACAGCTCTATAGCATCATGGAGAGCTCCAATTGGCCAGTCTGGCATCCTTAAATTTTTCTTGGATGTAGTTTCATCGAGACAGGAGCTCGAGCAAGGATTGTTGCTGCATTCCCTGCGTTTAGTTGGCAACTCCTGTGCCGACACTGACGCGAACAGGGAAATTGTCGTCAAGGGAAATTACACACTCGCTATAATCCGGCATTTCCTCAACCCGGAATTGATTATGGTGGCGATCCCTGTGATCTATAACATCTGCATGGATTATGGTCGGTTCCCCTTTCGTCTGATATGGCTTGTGTTTACTGATTAAATACCCAGAGCCTGCACATGCCCAAATGGCGGAAAACCGGGCAGCATATATCATACTGAGACTGCTTAAAGATGGTACTATTGGAGACAATGAGGCTCTGCTAGGATTTGCATATGAACTTGTTGAATTGGCCTCTGAACAAGGTATGATATAATGTGCTTATGGACTAGATCTCCCCCATTGACCCAAACTATAGCACAAGGCGTTGAAAACTCGCCCGATGGAACGATCCTGCTCCTGATGGAACTTGCTTTGAACGAAGATACATCCTTTGAGCAATACGCGTCTTTGGTTAACTGCCTTTCCACATATCTGGAAAAAGAACGATTCCAAAATGCCTGCATATACAACAACATGGTAGAGATGCTGCTCTCTGTTCTGAAGCGGTCTATTACCATCGAAATCGATAACTCTTCCAAGGAAGATGTTCAAGCTCTTGCCCAGTCGCGGATTAAGGCAAACCAAGCTTTATCGGAAGTCTCGGCCTCCCCACTATTTGCAGAGCACTACCCCCTTGACTCCAACCTATCAAAGACCCTCAAATCATGGATCATGGCGGAAGAGGAACAGCTTCAGATCTGTGCTTGTGTGATGCTAGGAAACCTGGCTCGATCCGATGAGGTCTGCAAAACGATGGTCCGGGAACTGAAGATCCACGAGGAGTTGATCGCTGTTTTGAACAGCGATGCCCGAGGTTCTGTCTTGCACTCTGCCCTTGGGTTCCTCAAGAACCTGGCCATTGCTGGTGATAATCGGGTCAGCTTGGCAGAAGCTGGAATCATCCCCGCCGTATCACACTTGTGGGCCTTTGATTCCGTGCCACAGGTACAGTTCTCCGCCGCGACGATCGCCCGCCAGGTCATAATTTCGTCACCGGAGAACATTGCCAGATTGCTCTCCCCACTCTCAGATGATCCCGATTCTCCAGCAAACCAAAAGACATATTTGTCATTGCTTCTCGTTCTCTTCGAGAAGTCCGATTCTGCACCTATCAAGACTGAGATCGGGCGTAGTATTGCTTCTATCTGCCGGACTCTTACACCCAAAGCTCGTGAAGGAGACGAGCAAGCGAGTACCCTATTGAACAGTTTGTATGATTTGCACCCTGGTGTTGCCCGCCCACTCGGTGCAATGATCACACAAACTCAGTGGCCTGTTGTTCGGAGCGAAGGCTGGTTTGCGTTGGCGTTGATGGCGAACAACAAATCTGGTTGTATGGCGGTGGCAGACTGTTTGCAAAGTGAAGAAGTGTTGGAGCTACTCAAGAAGACTCTCAGCATGAGCACTGAGTCATCCGATGAAGATATCGAAAAGAAAGATCCGTCTCAAGTAACTAAAGACCGAGACAATGTCTTTGTTCTTGTGCAAGAGTTGTTGAAGAATGAGGTAAGTTTCTAATTGGTTTTCTGCCATGTACGCATACTGATGACAAGCAGTCTGGAGCGCTCCCAGAAGGTTACCGAAGCATTATGGAAGATTTGGTCAATGAGCATGCTCCGCAGTTGAAAAGTAGCTCTGTCTAGGAAGATGCAATGAACATAATGAGACCAGATGTGATAAATGATATCATAGTCGATGTTGAAAATTACCAGTGGTTTTTGAAAAGACTTCTATATTATTGTCGAGACGAAGCAAGGTGGTGACCCGTCCATAGGGCTCAATTTGCATTACGTGAGGTTCTCGTAGATCCAAATCTAGCAGAAAGCTATAGCGGTGCTACAAACCATCCTCCAGTGGTAGTAGCAGCACCTACGTCGAAGGATGGGTTACAATTATAAATCAGAACATTGGATCCTATGAAAGTGCCTTGATTACCTCCGGGCTCAATTTGAGAATGCCGTAGATATATTATTCCATAGAGAAGGTACAGGGGTATGGGAATGGGGATAGCGGGGAGGGACATACTAGTCCCCAGGTTGGGGTCGGAGACTAGTGTATGACGCGAATGCTTATCATCAAACTTTTAAGCGAACATGGAAACTACGGGCAAATCACACATCAACAAGTGCATACATCAAGATGCCAAGGGATGGCTTCAGAAATTCTTTCAGGAATCAAAAGCAAGTGTTGATATGAAGGTGCTTGGATCCGATTACTGTCAATGGCTTGGATGGGAAGAGAGCAAATCGGACGAATCCCCACGAGCTTCTGGAATCATCTTACATAGAGATTTAGGTGGCGTGCATTGGCCTGACAAGCGCTGGATGCAGTATAGTCATAAACCACTGAGGCCTCCTCGTGAAAAGAGTCGTAAATTTTTGAAAGCATCACACTCACAATTGATGCCCTGGTCTATATTGACCAAGACAAATAAAGGTTGAGCTCTGTCTGAAAAGCTTTTGGAATTAATGGAGTTAAATCCATTATTTGTCATTTGCTTAAAACAGTTTGCTAAAACGATAAAATAGGGTATAAAGTAGAGTAGTTCATTTTTCAAACTGGAAGTTATCATATAGAGCTTTAGTGGTGGTGCCGGCCTGATGCACTTTGGTAAGGGGAGTTATAGAGTTTTCAGGTATTCTAATTGGTTTGTTAGAGCCGACCAAGCGGATGACATAGCATAAATAGGAGTGTGCAAAGGCGAGTGTTCTATAAGTGAGTGTTCTATAAACCGCCGTACCATAAGCGGGAGTTGACTATACATAGCTTGCTTTATTTTGAAATGGTAGTAGAAGGTGATAGATTATCGGCGCTAATTTATATGCTATCTTTGAATTTTCGAATTTTCGAATTTACGAGCACTTGGCAGATGGCGAAGTGTGTTGAGATACTAAATGTACTATGCCAGGGTACCGAACCACAAGGTTCTGGCTCGGACCGACAACCGCGATTCGGCACAACTCTCTCACACCTGTACAGCAGACGCAAATGCAGCAAGTTGAGTCTGTTTGTGGATTCAAAATCGTTGATACCCAATATCCTTGACAAAGGTCTGATGCCAGTCATCCTGCGACTTAATCTCGGCAAGTTGGACATAAAACTTTCCGTGCGCCTCTCCATCAATAGCGATGGATATACTCGATCCATCAGGCTTCCGCTGATCAGCATAATAGAACCTGACCAGTCAGCAGTCATTCATTCTCACATGCCCTCTCGGTAACGGAATATACTTACTTAAACCCGCGAGAGGTGTAGGAGGCAGCCAAGTATTCAATGATATGCGCCGTAGCGGCCTTCCCAACACCTAAGTCCAACAGTGGTGGGAGGATCTGTAAGTTCAATATATTGCCGGTGTAAATGAAAGTTTTCGAGGCGTCGGCTGGAAGTTCTGCAAAGCCTTTCACAGCTTCCTGCGCCGCAGCGTACACACTGGTTGTGTTGATATTCAAATTCTGGGTAAAGTCGGCCAAGGGGGTCAGAAGGGGATCTTCAAGATTGGCCCGGGTGGCAGCAGCAGCTTGAGTTTGGTCAGGTCTCAGGTTCAACCAGCATTAGGAATTTCCATACCATTGTATACAACAACACTCGGAATGCCTACTGTTTCTTTCACTTTGCCGAACACATTGTGCAGCGAGAGGGGATCAGATAAGTCGCAAGAAATGTGGAATTCACTCGAATTGCTGTTCTCCTTGATTGTTCGAGAGGCTAGAGCGATCTTGTAACCCTTCTCTGCAAAGGATTTAGCCACGCTCGCCCCGACATTAGACCCTGCGCCGAGGATTAGGAGAACAGGAGATGCCGTGGACATGATTCAAATATATCAGGTAGGTCAATGAGAGGTGTTGATGGATGGTGTAGATTCAAAACTATTCCCCTTGTGCAGGCCTTTTATACGGCCTTCCTTCGTTTCAGTTGGCCCCCACAGATCCAAGCCGATTGCCCCCGCATTGATAATCGATACTTGATTTTACTCATCCGGCGATTCCAACCCCGAAATGGAACAGATACCTCAGACTTCGATAAACTGATCTCCATTGCCGTTAAATTTGTCAAACATGTGCCACGCTAGGAATATGTTGGCATCTCACATGCAGATCTACTTAATCATTCTGCCAACATTTGGCATTGAGAAATTGCCAGTGACATTGACATAACGCTCAGGTCCTTTTGGTATAATGCTTTTGACTGAGATCATACAATGGCATGAGACCTCTCAAAGTGTATGCAGGTGCATATGTACCTACGGCAACCGACATGGGTTGAGATTCTTTCAATTGATTATAGGTGCGCCCCATCGACGGCTCGGAGACTAATGGCGTAATCATCGGAGGGGAGATGCGCCGCGCTTATAAAGACGCACCCCGAGGGCATCTTTTTCCGAATTCAGTAGTCATTCGCAAATTCGAAAGCTATGTATTACTCAGCTGCGTTCTTATGACCCTGTAGACCGTGGCTTAGTCAAGTGTCATAGTTAGCGGTCTCTTTTTGATACTTTTTTGATTGCTTCATCCCTAGTAAATCTTACTCGCCTTGAATGGATGACCCTTGCTGTCGAACATATTTCCTCCTTTCTTCACTATAACAACCTTCATGATACTTCTCTCATGGTCACACGGAGCGCGCGGCTCTCTCGCGAAAGAGAAAGTTGGCAGAGGCTGAACCTTCCGGGAGCAACTGCGTTGTTGGACGGCCTGTGGACGCGTCAGTTGAGGCCGCTCAGGGAACTCAGCAGCCTCCCACATCAAAATGCAGCATTCCTGCTCCAGATGCTTTTGAGGGAACTGATATTGACATGGAGTTCCGAGGCCTTAATGTAGGCTCGTCAGAAGGCCATATTTTGGACACTGGTTCCAACCCCTTTGAGCTGGATGAGCTCTCCTTTCCCACATTGGAAATTGTTATAAGCATCCTTGATATACGACTAGATGGAGGGCTTTTCAGTCTATGCGCTCTCAACATAATGTTGTTACGCAGCAGTGATGATTTGTGCTGTAACAACCAGTGAACAAATTGAGGATTGTGTATTGTGAGACACACCAAAGTAAATGGACTGAGCAAAGGTTACGAAATACCCAGTAGATCAAAAATACCAGTGCAAGGAACGAATCAATCTAGCTAGTGAAGAAAAAAACGAAGGAACCAGCAAAGACCAAGCAAAATGATCAAGTAACATCTTTGTCCTCCACTTCTGCCTCAGCCACCAATCATGAACGGTCTATAGCAATCCCAGCTCATACGAAATCACTTCCCAACTCAATTCCGGCCCAGTCTCAAATTCCCTTGTTCAAGTTCATCTGAAAAACTTATGAAAGATGTCACCCTCTCCGAGTATACATGATCAGTCCGATTGGAACAGCAAGTGTTCTCCGGAAACCTGATGCCTTGTATGAAGGAGCGTCTGAATTCGTGACCAGGGTATCCGACTGTGCCTGATTTTACATCAATTGGTGTGAGTTATACCTCGATCGAAGTAACTCACAATATTCGGACATGCACAGAGGATCATGGCACGCTGAGACGAGCGAATGTGCTGGTTTTTGGCGAATTCATCGGCTTCTAGGTGTAGCACGCCTCGTGGTTAAAGTAGATATCGATGGGGGAAGCTGACGTGGCAATACTCACGGTACGACCTGGGGCTGGTGACTATTCTCGGACTTGACTCGAAGCTTTTGCCTGGTAGACTGATCAGTACATTGTCTCTGTATTTCCCAGGTACCGATCATGATTTGCTGCAGACTCACCAGCTTGTCTATTTGCGAATTGCGCGTGGAATACGGAGCAGATGCCGCATCCTGAATTTCCGCAAAGATTCTCAGAGTGGCCGGGATCCCCAATATGACAAGCGCGAGGAGCACCGTGGAAGCGTAGTGGAAAATCTCCTAGCAAGCGGAGCAGTTCATCATCGTGACTAAAATGAGGTAAGCCACTTGATAGCCTGTCTTCACAAAACAGGATAATGTTCTGAGAAGGCATCTGTACCTAGCGAGTTTGGAAGCACCCGGCGCTTCCCCGTTGATGTGATGTGGGAATGATTTGATATCAAAAAGAATAATCCTTTCGAGGTGGCACGCTTTTGTTTTACCATTCCATGACTCGCGAAAACGGCGTTCAGCTGGAGTGCACGCCTTGTCAACTGAGGAACAGAGTACTGGTACTATCGGGATCTGCCTACCTGTTTCCCAAAAGGGATTCGACCTGTCCAGCCAACTCAGTTCCTACGAGCTGTAAGTAATTGGCATCGAATATCACTCGATTTTCACGTACCATCGTCATGTCGGTAGACGCTGACAGAAGGGGGGTTTCTGGGGTTGCTTTGGATGAGCCCACCCAGTGAGCTATGCGGATAGCCAAGGAGTATTCATTTTCCCTATCTCAGTCCAGCCTTGTTAGACCTCTGCCAGAATTGAAGGCACGCAAAGTAAGTACCTATTCATGTCGGCTCGCAGTAAGAAGACTTCACGTAGCACGATGGCAGTTACCAACAATAGAGATAGATAGAAGATTCCTATCAAATGGACCAACCAAAAACACATCGAATATGTCTTGGTGTACACTTTGGTCTATGGTAGATGTATAGAGTTGTAGAGGGGCAGAGCTCAGAGATACAGAGTTGCAGAGGTCTTCCCTCACACCCGCCTGACACATTGTTTGTCCATTATAAGCGCCTTACTTCTCATGGTGGGTCTAAGTAACCTAGTTCTCTAAAACACAATAGCGTGCGATGCATGAAAGGAATATAAATCAAAGCTGTGGGATATCTCACTTCTCGCCGTGCAGCACGATCATTTTCAATTGAAATTGAGATTGAGATTTAATAATGGAAATCAAGTGTCAGAGACAGGCCATACGTAATCTTCCTATGTTAGATAATATCAACAACTCAGATCATCCAGAGCAATCACCGTGAAGATCAAGCCTCTCGCGTATACACGACTAGGCCGATCGGCTTGATTCTTGCTTCGTCGTACATAACACTTTCTTGGTACACAAGTCGGCCACCGTCAGCTCTGGTAAGGCCTTCTACCTGTGAGTACAGTTAGCTTATCGGAACTGATATATCGACCCGGAACATACCGAGTCACATAGGCCTGGATCTCCTGCTCCTTTCGTAGTCTTGACCTTGCCAGGATCAATCCCACAGAGAATCAAAACATGCTTTTTGGAATTAACACCGTGATTCTTGGCATAAATGTTGGCCTCTGAAGGTTTATAGTGAGCGATCATACGGTAAAGGTGAACTGGGGAGATAAGGGGCTTACTAGAGGAGACGACAGTGGAGTAGATTCCAGATCCAAACATGGATGTAGGTTCTAGCGGGAGATGAGAATCATATTGTCACTAAGTGGGTGTTGGTTTGCTACTCACTGGCGTATTCGAGTGAGAACCCATTTTCGAGGATACTGCAAAGATAGCATTCGTCATTGTCACAAGGTTCTAAAGAGCTACTGCCAATCGAGCAGGCGCGTTGTGTTCCATGGAACCGAAGCTCGAGTTTGGGGTCTTTGGTATTCTTGCTGGAAGTCAAGGAATTAGCTTGGCACTGCTACTCTGATATTGACAGCCAAAGGAATACACACATGACACAGATGGACACTAGCTCTGCTCTTGTATTGGGGTGTTTCCACTCAGAGTTGAACATGTGTGAGACTAGTGAATTAGATCGTTTTATGAATCAATAGACTTTGACATACCCTGTTGATGGAACCGGGCGCTCTTCTCTAAACGTATCAGCTCCTGTAATGAAAAACCATTAGTGAAAACGCAACGCGATAATGTTGAGATGCCTCATACCATAGGTTTGTCAGTGACCATCATTGCAGCTGAAGAATATCATTACTGACAACTAAGAGAAATATCCTCGTTCCCTTTAATAAGTCTAGCTTGTTTGTTATGAAACCTGAGGCTAGAGACCCAGAGTTATGTAATTTCTGTATCCTTTAGATAGACTTCATCTTCTGACTGAACAAACGCACGACATGTGGCAACATCGGCGATGGCGGCCCGCTCCGGTTGATCTGACATTTGACATAGTGCATGCTAGAGCTGGTTCAGTCATGAACATCTCTCACTCTGACATGAAACTACCAATACCCGAAGAAATGTCGTTCCAGAAAGGCAGGTCCATGTTATGGGACATGGTTCTTGAATACTCGCTACCTCATCGCCATCAGGGAGATACGGGAGAATGTCCTGAAAGACAAACCCTCAAAAGAACCGCTCAGGAAACCCGTTGTGCTCTGCCAGGTCTCCTGGATAAACTCAACTCGGATCATGAGGCAAAGAGATCTAAGAAATTATCGTCGGAGTCTCTCGACCACTTACAACCCAGGGATTGCCCCAACTTTCCATCAAGCGCGACCATTCAAGTCATCAATGACGATACTCTCAACGTTGCTGTCCGTCTTGCTCATTTTGCACAAGTCAATCCTCTCAGTTTAAATTCCTCAAACCTCCTCCCAATAATCATCAACTTCGCAAGCCACCGAAAACCGGGCGGAGGCTGGCTGAACGGCGCCATGGCACAAGAGGAGTCAATTTGCTACCGCTCCTCATTGTCACTAAGCCTAAAAATTGAGGACTACCCGCTCGAGCTTGACGAGGTGATCTACAGCCCTTACATCTTGGTCATGCGAAGTGACCTGGCTTCCGGACACACTCTGCTTGAGTCGTCCTCTAACACAGCGGAGGAGCTTCCGGTTATCAGCGGAATTACGATCGCGGCTATCCATCGACCTCTCCTTCAAACAAAGTCACACAAGGAGTCCAAGACCCGGCAGTGCGGCCATAGCCTACACTCACGCCGCAGCACAAATTCGCCATCACCCTCTCGCCAGCGTAACCAACAGTTCTTTGCGCTAGACAGGGACCGCAGCCTTACCAAGAAAAAGATGAGGCTAGCACTTCGTATTGCAGCAGCTCATAAGCATTCGATGCTAGTTCTCGGGGCCTTGGGCTGTGGGGTCTATGCAAATCCCCCTGCTGAGGTTGCGAAATGTTGGCTCGAGGTTCTGAAGGAAGATGAGTTTCGCGGAAACTGGTGGCGCAAAGTTCACTTTGCTGTCTATGACTCTAAGAACGAAGGCATCTTTGAGACCTTCAGGCAGATTTTGGATGGGGAGGAGGTTTAGTGATGCTCTTTAATCTCATATTTATTACCCGTTTTAGTGCTGAGCAAACAGAAGAATGCACTTTTTGAAAATTTACACTATTTCAGTAAGTCTCTTAGAGGCTTTCTACATCAGCTGGCAAGACCTACCTTGTAAGGTCCCTTTAAACCTAGAAAGTGATTTGGCAATATCTTCGGTGCCGGTTCAGGGTCAAGGCCAATTCTGATTCGACATGATTACATCGTAACGTCTGGGGGCGCTATATTATTGCGATATAATATAAAATCTTCATTTACATCTTTTCAGCAATCTATTACATCTTCCAGGGCACAGAACCATACATGGTACATAAGGAGCTCAGACTAATTCGATGCCGAATAACACCCATCATGTACTCCCCTTTTTCCATAACCATCGTACTTGGTAACCACACTGACACGCTGCAGTCGAAATTGCTTTATCGAGTGTCTTCTCTATCCAATGGCGATCTTAAACGCTGCCTCACTTCAAGTTCCTCCATTCGCCGCTCCATCTCCCGGGTGGACTCTTCCCGTTCTATATACCGCGCTTTGATTTTCGCGATAACAACCGGGAAAAAGTCGAACGCGAAAAATAGCGCTGAACATGCCACCAGAGTCTGTAACTGATCTTCGTCTAAGATCGACTGTGGGGCACATGGCATGAAAAAGCACGATTTTGAACGATCGGCACTTCGACCTAGGTAGGCTTTGAACACGTATGTTATAGCATGCGTCACAACGACGAACGAGTAGGAGTAAATCATAATGCCACAAGCAAAGCTACAACTGGGAAGGGCAAGCCTAAGGTTGGCAACAAAGTAGACAAAAAGAAGGAGAAAGATGGGTAATATCCCAAAAAGCCAGCCAAGGCTGCGTATGCTCATCACCATGAGGATTAAGCAGGCAAATAGAATAACGGAAAAAATAGCATATATTTTGATCGAAGTTACCAAGTAATCCAGCCAGACCGATGTCTGGGCCCATTTAATCGCGGATTCCTTCAAATCAATGAAGGATTTGGGGAACATTGCACGTATTGTGACGTAGATCAGCCACAAAGCAATCGGCATGATTAAATATCCCGTCAAAGTTTCGAAAGTTAGCAAGTCGTTATGCATCGTGCTATCCATTCCGTACCAGTATAGTGCTGGTGGGTGGATATCAGGGATCAATGGGAAACATATCAGCATGGTTATTGAGGGTAAAATGAGTCCAACCGCATGAATCAACAAGCGTCGGGTTTGAGTTTTGGATGATCTGAAGACTATGATTGTAACGAAAAGTTGAATCTGCGCGTGAAATGTTCCCCAAAACGTGATATTGAGCGCGGCCCCCAAAGATCCTAAGCCAGGATTGAACCGATCATTAAAGTCCGGGGCGTCCCTGGGAATATTTCGTACGGGTTCGATGCCTCGCCAGACATCAACAGCAGCCCAATTTGTGCAGAAAAGAAAGACGACCGTATTTGGATCGAACTTTTCTTCTGAGACGCGAACGATTCGCCACCAGGATGCCACGAGCGTGAGGAACCATCCTGACCAAGACCCTGGACCGAAGAGGCCACTTATTTCCGCCATACCGAGGGGATCAGGTGTATCCGTCGTGACAGGGAGATACAACGGGGTTGATGTGGCAGTAGATTTTGTCTTGGCAGAAAATGAGATGCCGCGGGGGGAGACCGGCATCGGGAGTATAGGCAGTTCATTTGTTGGTACTCGTAGTCCGGTGACGCATACTATGTAAAGAAAGGAAAAAAGCAATAAGTATCCCTTATACATCCTTGCGGTTCGTCTGGTAGGGCTGGCTGATCAGCTTGTTCGTCAGTTAATGGGATGAGAGGTGAGGAAAGTGAGTTGAAATGACAAGAGAAATCGCCATCCTTCGAGATCTTATAAAAGCGGCCTAGTTGTGGTCGCCGCATTCTGCAGCTGAAGTTGATCCATCGTTTCAGCACAGCCACTTCAGGAAATGGTCGACTAATCAGAGCCGCAGCTATAAGCCACCCATTGGCGCTTCTGTAGATACCGACAAATTTAATGGCAAATGAAGCGACATTACAAGGTTCCATGGCTTGAAAATCGTCATTCACTCTCTTTTCAATGTCGGTCACGAACAAATATTTCCAGTTAGCCTGTTTCGTTGTTCCGATGGCAAGCTGTTTAGTCTCGCAATTAATACTCCGAGCGGGGCATACACGTCCATGCGTGTACTCATAAGCCACTCGTCAGCCACCAATCAAGAGCCATATCAAATATCGCTCTAGACTCGCCCAGGGACTATTTGAGTTCAATGGGCGGTTCAAATCAGCGTTGCGGCGTTTCAAATACTTCAAGATTTGGTCTCAGTATCTCGATCTGTGGAAAGAGGCGAAAGCACTTGACTTGCAAGGGTCAGCCAATTTCGTTATATTTGGTCAATTCTAAGGTGCTTGGAGGAGCGTTCATTTACGTTGTATTCGTGGTAATATTATGAACACCTGAGCAGGAAGCACTGACCGGTAAGCTTTCAATGCCAAATTCGATATACTGGAGCAGACAAACGGGCAGGTTTTCCCTTTTAAACCATCATATTGATATAAAATGCCTCAGGAAGGCAGCTTTATAGCATTTAGTATGTATCCTTCCCCCAAAAAGGGCTCCGGGGTCTCCTTGATGATATGGTGGTCTAGAATGTAGATGCTTCTAAACTTACTCCATTATGTGTTCCATATTCTTTGCCAACTGGACATATTTCATAACGATAAACCTTCTCCGAATTGTTATTCTAGCAAGACTACTTTCAATATTAGTATGTGCCGCTCGTATTATATACTATATCATATTACTCATCACGCTATTGACAAACATACCCAGCCCCGGAGAGAGGCATATTAATATTTCCAAGACTTCCTAAGTGTATGCCTTGTATATGGCTTCCAAGGCTAGTCTTTCGATGGATCATTCCCGTGCATGTCCACATCCTCCTTCTTAGATATTTCAGTCCCCCCGGGGAGTTCGAACACACCATCACCCGACATCTCCTTTGGCGCTCTCGGTGACCCTGTCAACTCTGATGTTCCATATTTCGGATCACTTGCTAAAAGCTCTGCTGCTTGTGGACCAGAAGCTGGCATCTCAGATACAGCATTCTCGCTGGCAGGATCTCCAAAGGCAGGCGCCTCAGAGACCGGTTTATCAGATGCCTTCGACTTTCTGCGTCTGTGCCAAAATATGAACAAGGCTGTGCTAACGAGCAAGACACCGGCAGGGACACATATTCCAATCGCAATCTTGGCCCCAGTTGACAAGCCAGTTGTGTTTCCGCCAGCTGTCGGCGAATCGGCTGTGCTACTCGTCGATACTGATGCCGATGCCGATGCCGTGTTGGTGATCAAAAAAATAGGGCTCGCCTGAAGCGTTGCGACAACGTTTGTGTGGGTCCCTATAGTTCCACTGAATGCTTCCACAGTCCCTGTAGTGCATTCGCCGTCTGAATTCACGCCCAAACTTTGAAGCTCCCCACGAGTTTGTACCCACTTAAAACATGATCTGGGACCTAGATTGTATCCGCTTATTGAAACGTCAGTAAGTCAGTTCAATTTGATTCCTAAGCTCTTACCATTGGGGTCGGGGGTATTTCTTACGAGGGGCAACATGCTGTCATTAGATCATCCGATTGCATAGTGACAGAAGCGATACCGGGATTATAGGTGCCTTTGCCTAATCCGTAGGTAGACGTGTATGCCGCCGTCCATCCTGAAGGGCAAATGGTGCCAGGTGAAAAGACGTGGTTGACGTTGGGAATGTTCCTACTATGTGCAAGAATGTATGTTTCGGCTTTCAAAAGACCTTCCGGCCAACATGACTCGGCTGGGAAGGGGTCGGAGTATGAGAAACTGCCTGACCAGCAATCTTGTCCCCACACCAGAGTTGGCGACGAAGCAACGTGGGAGATCCACCTGTCTGTGAAACAGCCGGGCGAAGGGGTAAAGGTGGTTGTCAGTGGACCATAGTTGGTGGGTGAGTATGGTCCGGAGGTAGTAGTCATCGTTGAGAGGTTATGATAGGGGTGAGGTGACGTGTGAGATGAGAAGAAACAAAACCGGCCCGACCGAGTCACAATAATTTTTGCGCGATCAAGAGCCACTAATTATTAGTGCACAAGGCTGTGAATCCTGAGTGGTAAACTAATACAAAGATCTGCATTATACTTGTCAGTTCTGGCCTTTCTCTAGCCACTTTTGGGGGCACGGACGGGGCCGTGCGGCTTAAAATGAAGGGCCCCGAGTTCAATTGAAATTCGCTACATGATGTAGGTTGGATGATACAGCCTGAGGGGATAGCAAAGTTACTGTGGACTCTGCCAAGGTTACGGCACCATAAAGCTTGAATGGAAGTTTGTTTGGGGATGCGTTGAAACCACATAGACTAGGACCCCATCATTGAGCTGGGCAGGATAGGGGATACTTCTGCCCGAGGCTCAAGCGGGGTAGGAATCACCGCATTCAATGGGAACTTGACCCCCGCCCCACGAGACTCTTTGTCTTCGCCCCAATGACAGCGTATTTTAGGATAATCCCTTCGCTTGAGATATTTCTCGACAGCCGCTGTAATCGAGCGCTCACGATCCATGCGAAAGCCTTCGATGGAATATTTCCCTATTTCTTCTCTATACAGCTGTTAAAGCTGAGCAACGGTCTCTGAGGATTATCCTTCTTCGGATGTGTGAATCGTCTTCCATTCGGACAGAGGGTTGCGACCACCCAGACTGCGTATTACACGAGTCGAATTCATTGACGGTTCCTTGGCCAAGTGTTTGAACCGCAGTTAGCCAAATGGGGTGCGTTAAGTGAAATAGTGCAGTATTTGCACCCTGCATTAGGATTTCGAAGCTCGAGAATAGAGGGTTAAGCCTAGTATCCGTATATCGTTCTCGATTTTGAAAAGTGGGGGTGGGCCGCTTGAATACGAGAAAGTCTCCACTACAAAGGATCCCCACTAATAAATAATCATTAGCCCCGCCTTGTTTAATGTAAAACTTGGCAATATAATCTGCTCCATTTATAATGCCTATATTGATGCCGTGTGCTTTTCGAGGTGAAAAACAGCCGAAACCATCTCTTCGCGGCAAAAAAGCTTTGCATCGTGAAGGATGAAAATGCTGCATAGTATATAGAGTAGACCTGAACACAGAGGAAAAATTGGGTTCTGATCCCACCACCTTTATCTAATAATTCTAACAAACCAAAATAGTATCTTCCATTCAAGGCGAGCATAAAGCCTCTGGGGCTGCAGGAATCTCAGACCTAAGGCTTTGAAATGGCAACCAGCTCTAGCTGAAGACTTCACGATCCTGTCGATACATCCTCTAACCTTGGGCGTAAAGCTCCCATGCCTCTAGGGCTCTAAAACAAGGATTTGTGTGCATATTTTGCAAGATGCAATAGTATCAAAAGGACCAAAAATACCGTATCCGCAACCTCTCCCTGAACCCTACAATGTGGTGGCAAAATTTCATTATGGTAGACATAGTCCAGGCTCATGTTTGATAGGCACTAAAACAGTAAGACCAGGCTACCTGGCTCACAACGGCGTATGGAGTAGCTAGTACGATACAAGATTGGATCAAACAATATTTTTGTCCAATATTGACATAGAAGCGTAGCCAGACTGGGAAGCTCAAGCTATCACAAGCATATCGAAGTATCAAATGAAAATATAAGGCTTTTGCAGATGCTTATTGCTCGAAATTGGTTTCAAATATATTGGTCCGTTAGCCATGAGATCCATTACCGTGAGTTTTGACACAAAATTCGTGTTTGCCGGTTTTATCATGAGCTGCTAACCGTTGAAAACCGTTAAATTGTTCTTCAGCCCCGCTCAGACCTGGGAAAAGCAATATAATTTATTGCATTTCATGTGCAGCGGAAAAGTGATTTCCAGATGGTCTTGCATGAATGTGTTACTTTCGATGCTGCTCAGCAGGCTTTTGTATGAATCCATGCAAAGTTTGGCCCAGTGATAAGTCATTGGTAGAAACGAAGATAAATTGACTGCGGATTTCGCGGCCCATGTTCTCAGGTCCAAAAGCAATATAACTCGTCACACCTGATGTATCGAAGCTAAATCATTTCGAAATGGCTTTTTATCTATCTGCTACATCATTGATATGCTACTTGGTCACCTGCTGTATAGGTTCATGCAATGTGCAGGCCAAAAGATACACAAGCAAACATGGAAATCTTGTGTCTTGCTATTTGATTAGCTGAAAATGCCTCACAGTTCTTGCAGAAGAGCAGGTTTCCCTGTGCAGCTGAGGCTATTAAACTTTGTCAACTTCATCAAGAATCGTATCACTGCCATTTATTGGGGGATCTTCAGCATCCATTGCCTTACTTCGACTACTGAATTTCCCCAACGCTGGCTAGCAAAAAAAAGCAGGGAAAAGAACATTGGCATCTCAGATGGAGATGGACAATTAATTGGTTAAAAGCTCGGTAATCTCTGGTAATACTGTACTCTTGGATCCTATAAATGATAGCAGTCATCCTCTTTTCAATTTCATCGATCTTGTTTCCCTCTAGGTTATCTGAGTTTAATCGTTTACTCGTAATAGTTTTAACTACAGCCTAGAGCCGAAAATTCTTACCTCTTCTGTTATTTTACTACTCCAAATTCGCATACTACCTTCCTTCTCTTTCGTGACTCTGCGCCGATTGTCAATATGGGATCAATTGGAGAGTTAGCCACCCCCAAGGAAGACAATGACAGAGTTTATTTGAAAATGGATACCCCCAAAGCTTCTTTCATCGCCTCCGCCTGCCAAGGCTCGGGGAACGGTCCTCATGCCGCGACACATGACCCAAGTTATGTTGAGCCTAATGACTCTCATTCAACAGGCAATGCACCGACCACACCGCCGATTGCCATTGTTGGAATGGCGGTCAGGCTTCCGGGTGATGTTAGGACCATGGAGAGCTTTTGGGATCTCCTGGTCAGCAAGCGAGATGTGAGCACCGAGGTACCAGAGTCGCGGTTCAACATCGATGCATTCTACAGTGAATCTCGCCCCAAGACAGTCAAGACGCGACGAGGATTTTTTTTGAATGATGAACTCGAAAAAGTCGACCCATCTGCTTTCGGGATGTCCAATGACGCAGGTTCACAGATTGATCCACAACAGAGGCTCCTTCTTGAACTCGTATGGGAATGTATGGAAAGCGCAGGGCAGGTAAACTGGCGCGGAAAAGACATTGGTACTTATGTGGGAAATTTCGGGGAGGACTGGCTAGAGATGTGCCTGAGAGATCCTTTGAGAATGCAGCGACTCCAAGTTTTTGGTGCGAGTGATTTCAGTCTTTCGAACCGGGTGTCATACGAGTATGACCTTGGGGGCCCAAGGTAAGTCAAGCCCAGTGTTGTGAGGAATCTCAAGAGGCAAGGCTGAAATCACAATTTAGCATGACCGTCAGAACTGCATGTTCATCCTCCATGGTAGCACTGCACGAAGCCTGTCAATCAGTCGCTTCTGGAGAGTGCTTAGGGGCGATAGTGGCTGGTTCAAACATCATTTTGACGCCCACCATGACCACCCACATGTCAGAAAACATGGTTTTGTCAGTTGAGGGAGAGTGTAAGACCTTTGATGCCGATGCCAACGGTTACGGGCGTGGAGAAGGCGTCAGTGCCATTTTTATCAAGAACCTAGACCAGGCGGTTCGAGATGGCGATCCAATTCGGGCAGTAATTCGATCGACAAGTACAAACTCCAATGGGAAAAGTAGCAAGTTGGCCGTTCCTAGTGCTCAAGCTCAATCAAATTTGATTCGAAAGGCATATCAGCGAGCTGGTATATCGGACCCCACCAGAACGGGTCTTTTTGAATGCCATGGGACTGGCACAGCTGCAGGGGATGTCGCTGAAGCCGAAGCCATTGCCCGTGTCTTTGGAGCTAGGGGTGTCATCATCGGAGCGGTCAGTCTCATGCCTCACTCTTTCATTTTGGAGTATTAAGCTAGCACGGCCATACTTACCCTATTCATCTAGGTGAAACCAAACGTCGGTCACTCCGAGGGTGCGTCTGCGCTCACAAGTATAATCAAAAGTGTTCTTTGTTTAGAACACAGCGCCATTCCCCCAAGTGCACGCTTTAAAACTCCCAATCCGAGAAGTAAGATTTATGTCTTCCCATGGTTACTTTTCCCGGTGCTGACTTTTTTTTTTTTTTTTTCCAAATCTAGTCCCATTCAAGGAGGCAAATCTCCATGTGGCAAAGGAGCTTCTCCCATGGCCAGAGGATCGTGACGAGCGAGTCAGTGTCAACAGCTTTGGTATTGGCGGTTCAAATGCACATGTACGTATGCAATGATTCCTGAAGCTTCTGCTGGTCTAACTGTAATCTTAGGTAATTTTGGACTCCGCCCGCTCGTGGGGTCTTGGAACAGAGGGCTATGAAAAGATTCAGTTTACAAACAATTGTCCGAAGCTCGTAACTCTATCTGCACTGAGTCAGGATTCTCTAGACCAGAAGATAGGCCAGATGGCAACATATCTCCAAGATCGGAGTGTCCCCCTCCAAGATCTAGCTTATACCTTGGGGGAACGACGGGATCACTGGAGAAATCGAGCCTTCGCCATAGTCCAACAAGGTGCGGTAACCGAACCTCCTGTGTTCAAAAAAAATAATGCTCCGGTTCAAAAACTACAATCGGCGGTCTTCGTCTTTCCAGGACAAGGTTCCCAGTGGCCTGGCATGGGGAAGGGACTTTTTGAATATTTTAATTGTTTTCGTGAGGCTATGAGGGCCTTGGATCGAGTCCTCCAAGCTTTACCCCAGCCCCCTACCTGGACCTTAGAAGGTACATTACTCTGTCTCTCATTATGATCTCCAGGTCCCGCCATGTGTATCACAAGAGCTGACGTTTTATACAGAGAAATTTACCACAATTGGAGATCCTTCATGTTTTCTGAAGGCAGAATATTCTCAACCACTATGCGCCGCTGTTCAAATTGGACTTGTGGACCTGCTCGCATCCTGGAACATCCACCCAATTGCAGTGATCGGTCATTCAAGTGGTGAGATGGTGGCTGCGTATGCGGCTAAATCGATCACTGCCGAAACTGCTATCACGATTGCGTATTATCGGGGGCAGGCGAGCGGTTCACTCAAAAGGACAGGGGGGATGGCAAGTATTGGATTGAGCCGAGATTCCATCGGGCAATATCTGGAAGATGGCGTTGTGTTAGCGTGTGAGAACAGTCTCCAAAGTGTCGTGGTATCAGGCGATGAAGATGCCCTGGTCAGGGTCCTTGATCGGGTGAAGGAGGCACATCCAGACACATTCACTGGCCGTCTTGATGTTGAAATGGCCTACCATTCCCGTATGTTCCACTGGCCAGTTATTTTGTTAATTGCCCTTTCCCTGCCATTTAGTTATTGGTGTACGGCCTAGCCAGACTGACAAGAAAACAGATCATATGGCACCTGTGGGGCCCACATTGGAAAAGATGCTTCACGATCGCGTTCCATTCGGTACGCCGGAAGTCCCTTTCTACTCCACCGTTCTTGGCAGGGTGCTTACCGAGAATGATCACCTCGATGCTGAATATTGGAGAAGGAATTTGGAGTCCATGGTCCTTTTTCAAGATGCTGTTCAGGCCGCACTTGGGGATTTACGCGAAGGCGCATCATGCTTTCTAGAAATAGGCCCGCATTGTCCGTTATCTGGTCCTTTGCGGCATATATTCCGAGATACGAAGCCCAAATCACCAGTACATTATGTCGCAACGCTACATAAAGCTCAGGACGAAGTGTCGGACGCACTCGAAACAGCTGGCCAGCTTTTTCTACAGGGACTGCCAATCTCACTCTCATCCATAAATGGCCCAGGAAAGGTGTTGACGGATTTACCGCCCTATCCTTGGAATTATTCCAAGAATGCATTCCTTGAAAGCCGTGTTGTGCATAATTGGCGCCATCGCCAATTTCGCCATCATGAGCTTCTAGGCTCTCGGGCCATGGAATCCAGCGACCTTGAGCCTTTCTGGCGGAATATACTTACTCTGGAAAACAGTCGATGGTTATGTGACCACAAATTCTCTGGATCCGTGATTTATCCTGCCGCGGCACATATAGCAGCTGTCGGTGAGGCAGTTCGGCAAATGACGGGAGCCACCGCGTTCTCAATTCGAAATCTTTTTATTAAGAAAGCACTACTTCTGGATGAAGACAAGGATCTTGAGATCATGACCTGTCTTAAGCCCGCATTCTTGACCAACTTTTTGGATTCAGATTGGTTTGAATTTACGGTCTCCTCTTTCAACGGCATTGAATGGACCAAACATTGCATTGGACAAGTGAGCGGCGTGCAGCATCCCCAATCCACCGTGAAAGTCATCGACTCGTTCATCCGCAAGGTGGATGCTTCTGCCTGGTACAAGTCATTAAGCAAAGTTGGACTCGATTATGGCCCCTATTTCCAGGGTCTGAGTGATGTCTCAGCAGATCCAGTCGGAAGAGAAGCAGTAGGCACGATTTTTCGCAACAGTGATCTTTTAGATACTGATTCATATGCAATTCATCCGACCCTCCTCGATAAAGCGCTTCAATTGGTCACCGTGGCAGCTACCAGGGGAATTTCCCGGTATCTCGATCGAATTGCAATCCCTATATCAGTAGACAACATCTATGTGCAAACTTGTACCTCTACTGATCTCAGGGCCGAGGCTGACTGCCATGGTACCACAAACGGGCAGTTTACAGGCAACCTCTTCGCAATCAAAGAGAACAATGTTATTCTCGACATTCGCGGCATTACCTGCTTTCCAATGGATTCAGAGGACTCCTCTTCTGATTCTTCTAATTCCAAATTTGCTCAGGTTTGTTGGAAAGAAGATATTGAATTCATGCCTTCGCTTTCCGGGATTCTACCACCAAGTCCTGCCAGATATGAAACCGAATTCTCGTTAATCGAACAGTTTTTTGCATTGAACTTGATCGTTTCTCATCGCTTATTGAAGGATACAACACCAACAAAGACTCACTTCATAAAATACGTCAATTGGCTGAACACTCAGATGAGACGCTTTGAAGTGGGAGAATACAGTCTTGTTCCACAGACAAAGTACTGGGTAGAGTTGACCGTCGAGAGTCAGGGACTGCTTCTCTCAAAGATCGGGGATGATTTGGTAAAGCTGGGCTCCAAATGGGACTTCTGTTTGGCACTGATGAGAAGATTCAATTCCTCAATAAAGGACATCGCTGATGGGCGTATAAATCCTCTAGAGGTTTTGATGGAAGACGATTCATTGGAGAGACTCTACGCCAGTGTAGCTGGTCTGTGTGATTATCAACCATTTCTCCAGGCACTGGGCCACTCAAGGCCATCCATGAGAGTTTTGGAGATTGGGGCAGGCACCGGTACGACCACAGCCGATATTCTTCCATATCTTCAAACCTCGCACCTCGGAAGATCATATTCAGAATTCTTCTTCACGGATATATCACCAGGATTTTTTGCCTCAGCAAAAGAACGATTTCGAAAATTCCCCGCCCTTACCTTCAAAACTCTTAACATCACGCAAGATCCTGTGCGCCAGGGTTTTCAAGAAGGTTATTTTGACTTGATCATAGCTGCAAATGTAAGTCTCTCTGGTGTTCTGACATGCTCATGTCTTAACTGAATCACACTTCCAGGTATTACACGCAACGCCATGTCTCCAAGAAACTCTCGCAAACACTCGCAAGCTCCTTGCACCTGGTGGTTACCTACTCCTCCAAGAACTGAATCCGGGTAAGCATTGGCCTTGTTTCGTGGGCGGCTCTTAGATTATTACAGAAGTCTGACAGCTTTTCAGAGTCAATTAGAGTCGATTTTCTTATGGTAAGCTCTTGTAAGCGCTCAATCAGCAGGTGTCATTCTAATTTGAACAGGGGGTTCTGCCTCAGTGGTGGCTTGGTGCAGACGATGGACGCGCAGAGAAACCCTATGTCTCACCTGAGAGGTGGGATCAGGAGCTTCGGAGTGCTGGTTTTACTGGAGTTGAGTCAATTTCGCATGACAACGTTTGGCCATATCAATTCAACGCAAACATGATATCTCGAATACAACCGTCAACTAAAAGTCTCAAAGTGAGTCTTCTTTACGATGGTACAGTCAGCGAGTCGGCAAAAATGGTTGAGCAGGTCTTCTTGCAAAATGGATACATCGTGGATTGGTTTACCTTAGAACAAGGTGACGCCTCTCATGAGCATGTCATCTCACTGCTCGATCTTGAAACTTCATTCTTCGATAATATCTCTGAAACGCAGTTTATCGCATTCCAGACCTACATAGCAAACTCAATGCCAAAAAGTATGGTATGGATCACACGTGGGATCCAAATGCGCTGTACGGACCCCCAGTGGAGCCTCACTTTAGGCATGATACGAACACTCCGTTTGGAATTATCTATTCCATGTGCCACCTTTGAGATGACCTCTATTGATCAAGCCACCTTGGCATCTTTGATTAAAGTGCAGCAAAAGGTCCAGCCACCCCTCAACACTACTCTCGAACCAGACTATGAGTATTCATCTCAAGGTGAGAGAGTCTTTACCAGTCGCTACTTTCCCACCGAGGTGTCAACAGAGCTTGAAGATACATACAAGCAGTCCAAATCCAAGAGATTGGCTATCGCCACCTGCGGCTTGCTTGACACTCTTCATTGGGTGCAATTTCAAATTCACCCACCAGGAATCGGTGAGCTAGAGATTGAAGTCAAGTATGTTGGCTTGAACTTCAAAGTATGTGTATATCATGGAGGGACATCTTTAATCTATGTGTCGAATACTAATGGCATTTTTAGGATCTGATGCATGCCATGGGCTTTATTGGCTCGAAAGACGACATCGGAATTGAAGCAACGGGCGTTGTTCAGAGGGTTGGGCCTGGCCCACATGGTCAAGTCTTCCAGGAAGGTGATCGAGTCTTTGTTGTTGGTACCTCTCTTTTGAGGACCTCCGTAGTCGTTCCAAGCTTTTGCTGTCTTCATATACCGCCGAAGCTATCTCTCGAAGATGCTGCTACAGTGCCAGTCGTCTTTTCCACGGTCATCTATACACTCAACACGCTTGGAGGGTTGCGAAAAGGACAGGTATTTCAATCTATAACAGAATCTGTTTATTTACATGCTGATTGTCTCAGTCCGTTCTGATTCACTCTGCTGCTGGCGGGGTTGGTTTGGCAGCAATTCAGTTATGTCAGCTACTGGGGGCAGAGGTAATTAGTTCTTCTTTGCAACGCATGGTTATTGAGAGCTAATAGATAAAGATTTATGCAACCGTTGGTAGTGATGCCAAGGCACAATACCTTATTGACAAATATCAAATACCCCGCCACCGAATCTTCAATTCAAGAAACCCAAGTTTCAAGGACGGGGTCCTTGGTGAGACCAACGGAAAGGGTGTAGATATCGTTCTCAACTCTCTCTCTGGTGAGAGTCTCCATGCCTCATGGGAGTGCGTCGCAGAGCAAGGGAAGATGCTTGAAATTGGAAAAAGGGACATGATGGGTCACGGCAAGCTCAACATGAATCCTTTTTCAGGTAACCGTTCTTTTTTTGGTGTCGATTTGTCAGGAATGATCCATGGCCAACCGGACGAGTGGCGAAGGCAAGTCGATTAAAATTCCTTGAACCTTGGTCAGAATACTTATACTGACGTCTATGTTGACAGATTGGTAGAAACCATGGGGTCGTATCTTGACCAAGGTGCACTCAAGCCTATAGAGCCCAAAAATGTATTCGAGGCCACAGATGCTCAAGCAGCCTTCAGACTCATGCAAACTGGTCAGCACATGGGGAAGATAGTTATCAAGATTCCCGAGAACTTGGATCAAATCCCGGCCTCTGTGACCGACTCACCACTTCCCTTTTCCCCAGATGTTTCTTATGTCTTGGTCGGAGGTCTTGGGGGTCTTGGGATCGCTATAGCTAGATGGATGGTTGAACGAGGAGCAAAAAGCCTGGTGTTCTTCTCCCGGTCCGGAAACAGCACTGATGAAACCAGGAACTTTGTTCAAGAGCTTGAGGCCATGGGATGCACCGCAATTGTTGTGGCTGGTAGTGTGTTGCACATGGAGGATGTAACGCGGGCCATTTCTGCGTGCCCCAAGCCATTAGCTGGGGTGATTCAGCTAGCTATGGTTCTCCAGGTAACCGAAAATCACGCGCTTATGGTATAGAGCTTTGGCTGATAGTGTTATGACAGGACCATACATTTGTGCATATGACACACGAAGAATGGCTCACCACTCTTGCTCCAAAGATTACTGGGACAAAGAATCTATACCGGGCGATACAAAACCACAGCAAACTCGAGTTTTTCCTCATGTTTGGTTCCATCGTGAGCATCACTTCAAATATCGGACAATCCAATTATGCTGCTGCAAATTGCTTCCTTGATGCGTTTGTCAAGGTTTGTCGCGCCGAAGGCTGTCCTGCATGTGTGATTCAGCTCGGTGTCATGGCAGGTATTGGCTATGTCAGCCAAAATCTCGAATTACGCGACAAATGGAGCGAGTACACAGCTTACATGCTGAACGAGAAGGATCTTCTTCAAGCGGTACAGGTAGCGATTGAAAAAGCAAGGTTAACCGGGACCGATGAAAATGACCCTTCTGCAAGCACTGTCCTGTTTGGATTGCAGGATTTTGTGCGATACATCCCTCGAGAGGCTTACCGAACTGACCGTCGCTTCGCTCCATGCCTTCTTTCGGTTGAGGAAACCCCATTGACATCTTTGGGTTCGGATTGGCTCGACGAATTCGCAGCCAGTATAAAGCATGATCCCTCCATTCTCAACTTGCCTTCCACACTCGAAAAGCTGGTTGAGGAAATTGCACGCACCATCAACGGCCAGTATGGCGAAGATGAATCTCTCAAGGCACCTGGGGAGGTTGAAATTGACTCTCTCATGACCATTGAGATTCGGAGCTTGCTGCGCAAGCGCCTTAACATTGACATTCCGACATTGCAGATCTCCAAAGCAAAGAATGTGCACGGCTTGGCCTTACGCGTGATCAAGGAATTGAAGGTAAGATATGGAGTGAAGGATGGGGAGCAAGAATTAGAGGAGAAGACGGGAGATGATGCCAAGGAATAGGTTGGCAATGTTCCATTGCGTTCTGTTCGGGATCCATGGACTATCATTCGGGTTTTCTTTATGTATTGACTATGGTTATGAAAATCACCATTTCGGGAGAGAATCTTCGCCAACATGTACAGGTCAACTAAAAGGATAGTTAAATCCAAAGAGTACGGGTGCATTCTCGAAGTATCCATCACCGAATTCATTAAGGAATTGCGAGAGTGTCTTAAAGTGTCTCTGTTTATATAGCTATGCAATGCACAAGGCATTACAGGGATGTGGCCTACAATCAAGATTTAACTTCTCTGACCCTAGAAACGAGCCTGTTTGGAAAAAGCATTGCTAAGTGTACCTCCCCACAAAATGGCCATCCAGTTTCTGACCATGGCCATCCGCAAAACAATCATGTCCTCAGTCTTCCCTCTACTGATTTTCCCACTCCGCCCCCCCCTCTGGCCCCGCGGCTTTTGTTTTGATTTCTTCTCACCTTGCTTTCTAATACTTAATACCCATATTATTTTGATTTAATGAGGATGGCTAACTGAAGCCTCGTAGGAAGCACTTATCATGTCATAAGACGCTCTTAAAGCATTGACTGACCGTGAGTTGTCGCGGTTTGAGATTATTGACTCACAATAAGATGCAATCCTCAATGGATCATAATAATAGAATCAGGGTCAGCGTAGGAGAAAGAATGGTAGAAATAGGCTTAAATGTAAATTAGATATATCATCCTCATGGGGCTAGAGGGGGGCGGAGTGGGAAAATCAGTGGAGAGAAGACTGAGGACATGGTTGTTTGGCGGATGGCCATGGTCAGAAACTGGATGGCCATTTTGTGGGGAGGTACAATTAGCAAAATCGAGGCATATGCTTCGGCAGAGAAGAAGGAAATATGCAATGACACATAACTAAATCATCAAATTGAAGGGTATCATGGTATAACATAACACATTGCACAAACTTTTATGTATCTTAACCCTCGGCCAATTTAAACCGCATTAGTTTCCTCGGATTCTTCTCCGTCAGGATTCATCAGCTGAACCTCAAAGCCACCCTCATCCCTATCCTCACCCTTCTGCGGCCACAGAATCTGGTGCTGGATAATGGCTCGAATCATCATATAGCAAACGAAGAAATACATAAAGAGCAGTGGAAACACTGCCACGGTGCCGACAATGTTGATGGCATCGCAAGAAAATGCTTTCCCGATGGCAAAGGTCGCAGTAACCAATGCAGTATTCGGAAACACGAACGAAAACCAACCCATTGAGAAGACCATTTTACCTGGTCCAATGGCTGACCAATGTGCTGCACTGGCTATGATAAAGAAGAATATCGCCAATCTATCAGATGTTAGCATATCAATTAACTGTGATGCACCGGTACATAACTTACCCCCATAGCCATAAGGCAGAAAAATCAATCGTCACCCTCAGTATATCGGCAGCCAACGAGCCATTACCCATAAAACTCGCCGGAAAGGCACGCTTCGTCTCAGAAGCCATGTTCACCAGACCAGCGACCGTAAACCCACTCGGACCGACAGAAACAAACATTCCAGGACGCATATTTTCTTTCGGAAGTTTTTGGGTCATGAGTCGGTAGATAAAGGCCGAATATACCATCAGTGAAACCAAAAATCCGACGCCTTGGATCGTAATTCCGCCCACGATGATGCGCAGCGCACGCGACTGTTCGAGCTTCCCAGCCAGAATCCCAGCATGGGGGCCAATAATGAGCATAGGATAAGCAGGGAAAATCCATATAGGAGTCATCTGGGCGATTGTGAATGTCTGTGTCGACCATCTGAGATATGGTTAGTGATTATTTAGCATCCTTGGGAACCGCGACCTTACAGAATGAGATAGATGCCCGCGGAAAACAGCACAGCTAGGATGCAGTCTATCCAAAACAGAATTCCCACGGCCTCAAGGAGCCATGGGCCGGCCTTTTCTGGTCCGTATTGAGAGACATTGATGAGAATGGTCCCGAAAGACACCATTGATGCAGGAATAAACAAGGATTCAGTCGGGTGCATGAATGACGCTTTGAAAGTATAAGGGTAAAAATAGAATCTAGCGAGCAGAAGCCCCCAGATGACAAGATAGAGGAAGATGTTGAACAAAAAGACGATAATTCCGATCGTCTCCAACCCTCGGAAGCGATATGGAACTGCCAGTTTCATTAGCCGCGGCAGAGAATCTGGGATGGGACTGTTTTACCTTCGTATAAAACATTCGCCAATCCTCCCGTGGCCATGGTCAAGGTGAAATATGCCCAGGTAATATGACGAATTCGTTTTTTCCAGCTAAGGTGGTCTGCCGACGCATCTGTAAAGGTGCGATTAAGACGTCGACCATTCGGCTCCCAAACCCTGGATTCTCTTTTGGACCGAGGGTCAGTAGCCCTCGACGAAATCTTTTGCAAGGTTTCCTCCAACGCGGTAGCGTGCACATCGCGGGCAACGGTTCTAGGACTGTCCGTAACGCCTAGAATTGAGATAGTGCGGTCGGCATCCTCGATAGTCGGTGTTCGATAACCATCGTCACCAGGACTTCTCATATGGCGGGGGGGAATTGGCACTAGTCCAAGTCCCGGGGGCATGGTTCAGGCGATTGGGCCGAATTATGATTATAGAGGCGAATATCCCGATCACGGCTCCTTCACCAATGGGAAGGAACAGGTGCGCAATAAGGTTAGGGTGGGACTGTTTGTAGAAATCTTATCACAGCCCTACAGTAGTATTTCGGATTGCGTGTCGAGACCAAGGAAGGGAACTGATTATCCCATGTGAGGGGAATCGGGCATCAACGTAGGACAGGCGCAAGAACAAGCCGGGAGGTGTCTCTCAAAGAAATTCCTACAACATATACATGTACAGAAAAGAGATTGAGATCGTCTCTGTCTGTCTGTATGGATATGCGCGTTGAATAACCAGAAATGAGCTTGTTTTGCAGGTTTCGAAGAGATGACCCCCGACGTCACGGATCGCCATTGCGATGGGTCCGGGTATACGCTTTCTCGCCCAATCCGTCGTTGCGATTCGCCGAGTCTAGTGAGTTTTCCGGAAGTCGGCACCACTCATGTCGGCAGAATAATCTATGGCGGCTTATGGCTTATTTAGTCTGTCACTAGACCCCGAACCCAATTCATACACTCTGGGTTGCATATATCAATTGGACTATAGCTATCTGCGGAATATAGATATACAGACGATCTGGAATGCATGCGACAAAAGTGGATCATTCCGAGGTCTCGGTCTTGGCAGGAATGGATCTATGAACGGGAATCTGGATACCATGTCAGTCGGTTCAGTTCTATCAGCTAGGTGGCTATGTTTTGAAAGTGACTGTGCAGGATGTTGTGATGGGTTTGTTCAGCCCATGGCCCGTAGCTTTTCGAATTCAATGGAGACCAGAATATTCCCAAATTGGTGATAGGGTTTAGGGTTGCGAGATGCCTGTGAGAGCTGAGCTGTTGAACCGAGGCAAGACGATAGGAGCTAGGCTAACTTTGGCATCGCGTCATCGTCCTGAATAGTTCGTTAGTTCATCTATCAGAGTTCCTGATACTCCTTGGATTCCGGGTTCCACGTTTGCTTCTACGTTAACACTAACAGGACTCCCTTTGAGATCAACCATGCCAGGGGTTACTGATAACCGCAAATCCGTCCTGATCACAGGGTAAGTCTCAAACTTTGAGTCTCAGAGAATGACAAAGTACTGACGCCAAGCAAGATGCTCTCCCGGTGGTATTGGGAATGCCCTTGCGCGGGAGTTCCATCGGAATGGATTGCGCGTGCTAGCTACAGCCCGTAAAGCGGAGACCCTCTCGGACCTGGCTGGCCTTGGCATCGAGACCCTGAGTCTGGTCGTCGATGACCTCGAGAGTGTCAAGGCGTGCTATGCTGATGTGGAGACGCGACTGGGAGACAAAGGTCTAGATTACCTGGTGAACAATGCGTGAGTATATATCATCACTTGCCAAGCTTAGATCATCGCTGATTTAGTTTGTAGAGGCCGTAGTATGATCCCTATCACTCGGTGAAGATCTCGCGCAGAGACTGACAGCAAGTAGACTATACGGTTCCTGCCATGGAGGTTGATCTGGCTGAGGCACGCAAGACATTCGATACCAATTTCTTTGCCGTCATCGCCATGTGCCAGACCTTTGTGCCACTTTTGATCAAAGCCAAGGGAACTATTGTTCAACTTGGATCGATCGCCGGGGTTCGTGCTTTCAGACCACTCGTGAAAAAAAAAAAAAGTGGAAAGAGATCATAGCTGACAAATGATAGGTGATTCCCTACGTGTTTGGATCGGTCTACAATGCTTCCAAAGCCGCTCTGCACTCCTTCAGTGATGTGCTTCGTGTCGAACTGGCTCCCTATGGGTAGGTACCTGTTGTGCTCTCCACTCCATTCAAATGTTTTCGTTGACCACCGAATAGCGTGCATGTCACTACCATTGTGACTGGGGGTGTACAATCTCGTATTGCGCGTACCGAACGTCACTTGCAACCGGATTCCCTATACGCAGATATCGAGAAGGAATATACCCAGCGCATTGTGCATAGCCAACACAATGCCATGCCCCACGATGCATATGCAAAGAGTGTCGTGGCTCAAGTACTGTATGGATCAGCCCCTTGGCGCTGGCTGTGGCCATGGGCTCAAGGACGGAAGCTTTGGATCTGGGAGGGTCATCGCAGCTGGGTCATTTGGTTCCTCGCAGGAGGTTGGGCTTGGAATGGAACATTTGGATGGGTTCTATCCAAGATGTTCAACCTAGGAAAGATCAAGCCAAAGAAGTAGAAAGAGATAACAAAATGCAATGGTTGTGAACGAGTTCCGTGATATTCGCGTCTGCAGCCCGAGGCTGGGCTGAGTCAGCCAGGGACGGGTGCTGGTTGGCTGTAACACCCGGTTTTACCGCGACTGAATGCCATCCCGAGAAAAAGAAGAAACAGCTTTCTCCCCCGAGTTCCCGATATCCTTTCCCTTAACTCCCCAAGGGCTCAATACCACCATCCCTCCCCTCTCTTTCTCCCTAATCTCATCATGTTCAACCTTGCCCGCGGTCGTCCCGTTGCTGCCGCCTTCCGGGCTGCGACAGTAAGTTCTTCGCGATGCCGTGCTATCGGCCCATGGCTCGGCTGCTCTCTGAACCTTCATATACTAATACGGTCGATCATCTTTAGAAGCCTTCCGTCTCGTCTCGCCTGGCGCAGCAGCAACAGCGTAACCTTTCTATTCACGAGTACCTCTCCGCGCGCCTCCTGAAGCAGGTATGTCCCTCCGCGTCTCCCGGTTCCCCTGCGGTCGCAGAGAATCCCTGTTATGAAGCCTGGGTCGGCTTGCTGATAAAAGGACACAGTACGGCGTTGGTGTGCCCAAGGGTGAGGTCGCTCACACCGCTGAGGAGGCTGAGGCTGTTGCCCGGTCTATCGGTACGTTTTGTCCCCATCCTTTTTCTCATTTTTAGCCCCTTCGTCACGTACTAAACGCGAGATTCTAGGTAACGATGACATGGTCATCAAGGCCCAGGTTCTTGCCGGTGGCCGTGGTAAGGGTCACTTCACCAACGGCCTCAAGGGTGGTGTCCGGGTTATCTACTCGTAAGTGGTGAAATTCGATTTTGACGCTCCTGGTTGAAGGGGTCCCTAACCCTCTACTTTTTTAGTCCTACCGAGGCCAAGATGTTCGCCGACCAGATGATCGGCCAGAAGCTCATCACCAAGCAGACCGGTGCCGCTGGTCGCGCCTGTAACTCTGTTTACATCTGTGAGCGCAAGTTTGCTCGCCGTGAGTTCTACCTCGCTGTCCTCCTGGACCGTGCTACCCGTGGCCCCGTCATCGTTGCCTCCTCCCAGGGTGGTATGGATATCGAGACCGTCGCCAAGGAGAACCCCGATGCCATCCTCACCACTCCCATTGATATTCACACCGGTGTCACCGATGAGATCGCCCGCACCATCGCCACCGACCTTGGTTTCTCCGAGCAGTGCATCGAGGAGGCCAAGACCACCATCCAGAACCTCTACCGTGTCTTCATGGAGAAGGATGCCACTCAGCTCGAGATCAACCCCCTGTCCGAGACCTCTGACCACCAGGTTTTGGCCATGGATGCCAAGCTCGGATTCGACGACAACGCCGAGTTCCGCCAGAAGGACATCTTCGAGTTGCGCGATGAGAGCCAGGAGGATGCTGATGAGGTCAAGGCTGCTGAGCACGGCCTGAACTTCATCAAGCTTGATGGTGACATTGGCTGCCTGGTCAACGGTGCTGGTCTCGCCATGGCCACCATGGACATCATCAAGCTGAACGGTGGTAGCCCCGCCAACTTCCTTGACGTCGGTGGTGGTGCTACCCCCGCTGCTATCAAGAGCGCTTTCGAGCTGATCACCAGCGACCCCAAGGTGTCTGCCGTCTTCGTCAACATCTTCGGTGGTATCGTCCGCTGTGACGCCATCGCTCAGGGTCTGATTAACGTTGTCAACGAGATGAACCTGCGCACCCCCATCATTGCCCGTCTCCAGGGTACCAACATGGAGCAGGCTCACAAGCTGGTATGAATGACCCCATACCTTCTTTCTTATTAATTCCCTTCTTCGTTCTTAATACTAATGACTTTCATTTTCTAGATCAACGAGTCTGGTCTTAAGATCTTCTCCATTGAGGACCTCCAGACCGCTGCCGAGAAGTCCGTCCAGTTCTCCAAGGTCGTCAAGATGGCCCGTGAGATCGATGTTGGTGTCGAGTTCACCCTGGGTATCTAAGGGATTCCCCAGAGGTTGAAGTCATAGATGAGGGCATGCATTTGGGAGCCCGCGGGCGCGTTGTAGCGACTTATTAGAGAATCCTGTGGACGCTGCGATGCCCGTTCCTGTGTCATTTATTTTTCTTTTGTCACTGTATTCTTGAGTGTTTCTATGTCCTTTTTATATTATGATGTCCTAATCGGAAGAGGATGTGAGATTTTCATATCGTATTATCTAATATTGCAGTAGTCTGTAGGAGTATTATTGCTGTGTTTCTAGGTTCATGGCCATTCCCCTGGGTTCCACGTTTCGTCAAAGCCCCATATCTCTGATGACTGCCCATTGAAAAAGACAGCATAGTCTTGATCCACAAACATGTTGACACAAGAAGGGCCTGCAACTACACGATGCTTTGGATACTGGCACTCGCTCATAACATTTGACAGAGGTGCATGCCTTTCGTATTTGGACTCCATTATGACCAAATTGTGATTGTACGGCAGGATGTAAGTCAAGTCCTGGCCCACACGTACAACAGGGCCGTAAGGAAGAGGAGGCAAAGTGTGGGCAATGACCTCGTCACCTTCCCAAGAGAAAAATTGTCTGTGCTTGTTGCTAGTACTGGGTCGCAGTCTTACGAGCAGGTTACTGCTCTGTCCCTCGTAGATCTCCTGTGCGTCAAGGAGGTCATGTATTTCACCGGGGTCAATCAATGGAAATTCCTGGTCTCGAGAAAGGGAGCAACGGAACCCGTTGGTGTCGTCAATTGTATACTTTTCAGCATGCATTTGACAGCCCTTATCGTCAGTCTCTATAAGTGCGTCACCAGCGTAGACTTCCTCGCTGACACGGACGATTGTGAACCGATATTCCAAGGGATGCAACGTTAACAGGACAATGCGGGTCTTGATTGGAATATGGCGAGCAATACCCGAATTCCATCCCCAGTGGATGACAGAGTCCCGGTACCCAAAGGCCACGTAGCGACCATGTACCACGAAATGGTCGAAATGCAACGACGGCATTCGAAAGGATCGGTGTTCGTCCGTGTTGAGATCCCAAACATGACAATACGCCCGCGTCGAAATCGCCGCGATTAGCGATTTGGATATTTTGAGCTTGACGAGCTCTTCCCGATTTTCCGTGGTTAATCGAGTATTTTTGCCGTTGCATAAATGTAATAAAATGATGGAGGTGAAGCTTGGACCGGAGTGCATGTCTAACTGAGCATAGATGCCATGGGAATACCCCACCCCGTGGATGCTCCTAGATGGGTTATTAGGCAATTCAGACGACGAAAAGGGCAGATGGATTGATTTGACTCGTTTGGCTCGTTCCAGGCGGAGTCTCTTCCGAATCACTTGCTTTGGATCTGATACCGGCATGTCGCTTCCCACGATGGCTCGGATCGCAGCACCTTGTACTATGGGCGATGAAAGAACTCGCTGCCATTGCTGAGACACTCTTTGCAGCAGAATCAGATCGGCAGTGTTCAAATGCTCTGCGACCATCGCAACAATCTCCAGAGGTAGCTTGCCTAGCAAGTCGTATTGAAGATTGATGCGATCGGCACGCAGTTTTACCTCTCTCCATTCAGACCGACGTAACTGGTCCAGGATACCATGGTATCTGCAAGCTACTGATCAGTCATGCGCACACAAAACAGGGGGCAGTTGGTGGGTTTATATACAGGGAAGTGGTGTGTTATAACGTACACGAGCTGACGATTGTGTGGAGATAAACCATTAAATTGAGCCAAGATGGATTGCGCATGGTGGTCCATGCTTTGACGGGATCAGGTAGACCTGACAGTTAATCGGGAGGGAGGGTCCCAGTCTGAGAATTAAAATGAAATTAGGAGCTAAAATGACAATGCCGGGAACATGTGAAGTGTATAGTATAAGTTGAGTGGAGCAAGAGAAAAAAAGGTCTCATTCCTCTTGCAACGAACCCCCTTTTCTTTTCTCCACCTTTCCTCCTCCAACTCGCTAGGTCGATCCTTCCACGTCGACCTTATCGATCTGTATATCTTCAAAGCATCGTCCCGACCTTTTCTTTGTTGAAACCCGAAAAAAGGCACAGTCAGACTTGCAGATCCCGACTTTCGCGACCTTTCCGGCCCCTCCCCCTTCCCCGCAGAGGAACCTCGCGCTGAGATTTGTTCCTTCACCTTCGATCCTCAATTCATGGGCGCGATGACAGACCAGGTTTCAATGCTTGGGTGTTGATCTGCGCCTTATCTGGGCCTCCGCGATAATCCTATTCTTCTCCCACGTTCTGCCGCCACGAGCGCACTCTTAACGGTCATCGCGTTCTCCTGCGTCTTGCCCCATCCGAACTTTGGTTTCCCCGAAATCCTTCAGCTCTATAGCTTCATACTTTCGCGCCGATCGCCCGTTCCGAGCCTCCCTAATCGCCACACCTATCTCCCCTGTCTTTCCCGCGCGACATGAGTGGTCTCGCCGATCCTCCCTCCAGGAATACCTTCGGGCCTGCGAATGCTCCCGGCAAGACACGAAACATCCCGGTCCTATCATCTTCCGCCCATCATTCTCCCGTCGCGATGGAGATCACCCCCCCTTCATCAGCTGCGGCGGGCGTCCCGGTTCACGGTATAGATGGTGACCGAGGCGCAAATGGTTCTGAGGGAAACACGAGCAATCCCAACCCGGCTGTTGGGGCTGCTGCCGCAGCTCAGCAGCCTAAAGTGGTGCAGACTGCTTTTATCCATAAGCTTTACAAGTGCGCTTCCACCCCTGATTGCTCTGAGGGTTTCTGCTGATCTGTCTCAAAACATAGTATGCTCGAGGACAACGGCATTCAGCACCTCATCTCTTGGTCGAACACCCACGATAGCTTTGTAATGTCTCCAACTTCAGAATTCTCCAAGGTCTTAGCGTAAGTGCTAGTGAACCCGGGCATGACGACGTTGGTTTTTGCTGATGCCCCTCGAAGCCAGTACTTCAAGCACACCAACATCTCCTCCTTTGTCCGGCAGCTCAATATGTATGGGTTTCATAAAGGTATGTTGCTCGCATTCAAGCTCATGGGAGCAATTGCTGATTTGGATCAGTGAGCGATGTGTTCCATACCGGATCTCCGGACTCTGCCCTTTGGGAATTTAAACATGGAAATGGCAATTTCAAACGAGGCGACCTGGTTGGGCTGCGCGAGATCAAACGTCGCGCATCTCGGCATGCTCTGATTCACCGCGACTCGTTCCCTGGTCATAAGGCTGCTACTTCACAGCCAGGTACCCCTGCAGAGCCGGTTCCTGATGCGACAGAGGCTAGATTGATGAACCTGGAACACTCCCTCTACGACATGCACAACCGTCTGTCTCGAGCTGAAGAGGGCAATATCGCTCTCAGTTCGAGATGCCAGAGCATGGCCGAGGGTTTGGCCCAATGCTATCACGTAAGTTCCAGTTTGATCTTTTATGTGTATGGTTCACAAACTAATGATGTTTTAGTGGACCCATTCTATCTCTCGCTTCCTCCAGGCTGCAGTACCTGATAGGGAGAACCCTCTTTACCGTGACAGTATGACGGCACCTGACTCTCAAGCCAAAATTCTCACTAACGCTCTTTTAGTCTCAAATATACAACGAGAAGTTGAGAAGCAGCTTGAAGCAGTGCGCGCCGTGGAAGCTTCACACGAGTCTCTCATGCCACCGCGCCAGCCCTTCTTTGCAAATATGCCCGTTGAAACCGGACCACCCTTATCTCCTCGCCAACTACCACAAGACGATGGCCGGCGCCAGTCCATGATCCGGCCCCCTGTTCCACCACATCTTTCGGTATCGCCACGCCGCTATGGTTCCATTGGAGGGGCTAACCCGCCACCCAATTATATCCGGCCACAGGCTCCCCAAGCTCCCCCACAGAATCAACCTGGACCCTCTCCTTTATCTATCTCAACTCCCCCTGGCCCTAATCTCGGTCGCCGCCACACTTTTGCCGACATTCGACAGCATGATTGGCCGCCTTCGGGCACTTCTCCTTTCCCACCCGGTAACCCCCCGAGTGGACCTTGGCCTTCGTCCCCTAACCGAGTACCGGGCTCCAGCGACCAGCAGGTCCGAGACGTTCTCGCCCAGTACGAAATGGGAGCCCCTCGACGTCTTCAGGACCAGTCTCGCCATGCGACGCCACCCGGAGCTGCTGAGCCATCTCCATCTTTGCTTGGTGTTGACAACGGGTGGACCATTGGTGGCTCCAAGTTTCCCCGTCAAGAATCCTCTTTGCCAGCAACCCGACGCTCTAGCATGGCAAGCAACGTTCACTCATTATTAAACCCTGCAGATACTGCTGAGCGGCCCGATGAGGATCAGCAGATGAGCGAGGACCGCAAGCGAAAAAGATTGGAATAACAATTCACTTAGAAATCCCCATTGGATTGATTTGCTACACCACAACTGCGGTGACGCCATTGGTCTATATCAAACTTCTCACATTCTCAATATTTCCTACTCGATAGGCGTTTGGAACTTCATCACTTGACAATGTATACTTGAAACCCCCCAAATCCCTTTATTCCCTCTCTCTTTCTCTCTCTCTCTCTCTCCTTGCACCATCGATATTTCTTTTCATTTTTTTCTTTTATTCCTGGAAATCCCAGGCGGAGTCGTGCTGTTGGTGCCGATTTTATACTTCATTCTCCGCATATCTTATATACCCTTGGGTCGGGCGGAGCAACCAAAATCATAGTGACATCTAGAAGAGATTGGAATGGATTTTGTACTTTAAGCCTGAGCCCCTAATATGATTAAGTCTAGTGAAGTCCTTGTAGTCTTGCTGGTTGAGGCCGAGCTCTTCGTTAGGACTGCAATTTCGGCGATCCTGCACCGAAATTCGAATAACTTGCAAATCTCAGTCATATCTTGCAAAGTCCACAGCTATTGATTTCAGCCGCGTCGGGCAACCCGAGATAATGATGCTGCTTCAGCCACAGGCTAGCCAGCACGAGTTGAAATGAAGAATCCATATCAAGAACCGCATCTTCATCTCTTCTTTCTCTTCTTAGCTCTCTCAGCCAGAAGCTCATCCAAATAACTCGTCGCCTTCTTCTTTCCCTTCAAAGGCGCCTGTCGCACAGGAACCTCTTTCGCAGAGGGCACATCTTGCTCATCCTGAGAACCCTTATCCTCCCCATCCACAGCCTTCGTCTTCGTCTTCAATGGCGCAGCTTTCCTCTTATTCCTTCCAATCGAAGCCAACCGTCCCTCCTCATCATCATCACTCTCCTCATCCTGCTTATTAGCCGCAGCAGCAGCCGTCTTGGCCGCCTGCGCCGCCGCAGTGCTAGCTTTCGCCGCAGCTTTTTTCTCGGCTTCAGCCTTCATAAACCGATCATAGTTCTTGCCGAGTAATTGCTTCCGTAATTTATCGTTTGAGCTCAGCTCTGTGCGATTCCAGCTTCCGTCCGCTGCTTTTTCGGGGAGTGGGGCGCCGACTCCGAGTCTGTGTTGGGAGAATTAGCACAGAAATAAACGGTACACGGGGAATTTAAGAAGGGGTAGAGGAGTTCTTACGTCTCAGGGACGGCAGTGAAGATCTCATCTTCCTCGCGTTGTAGTTCCTCCTCTGATTTGACGTTGGCTAATTCTTCTTCTGTTTGCGCGGGGAGCCAAGATGCGACGAGACGTTGGCTTCGGGCGAGAGCGACATTTGCCCGATTGAGAATGACGTCGGACTCTGTTTTTGAGAGCGACATGCTGGTGAGGTTTTTTATATTTTTTGTTGTCAAGAAGAGAAAGTGATGCGCATAACTTTTTGCGATAAGCACTATCTAAAGGCGGTGAGAGGTATAAGTGTAGAGGCCAAAGGCCAATGGATATATGATACAAGTAGAAAGTTCGGAACAGGAGAAGAAAAAAAAAAAAAAAAAGGCAAAATCTATGGTACATGAAGCTCCTCCTCATCCGCTCTAGTTGTGCTCTCGTCTAGGATGGATTGGTCCTCATCAAATGCCAGGTTTTCATGTGCATCATGTTCACTCCATTTTCCTTGGTTGGGCACGGCATAACGGTGGTTATCGCGTTCCAAGGTTGCTCTGACGGCTTTCTGCAATGACCTGAACATCTTGTTACGAGCCTTGTAGAAATTTCGCGACTGCTTCTCATGGTTTAGGGATGCGTAGGCCGACATTAAACACTGTATTAAGGTTAAACAGATTAGCGGGGACATGTATGATGTAGGGAATAGTGGCACATTTGCTACTCACCTTGTCAATGGCTTTGTGCAACTCGATAATGCTTCGTGCAGCCTCATCTGAGGTGTATGTTGGATCCTTCATATTGATTCCTAGTGGTAACCAGGAGTCCATACGGAGCATTCGGTCTTTCCAGACCATTCTTCCTCCGAAGAGACACATTGCCAAAGGGCTGACTAGAGAGCATTCTCTCAGCTTTGGAGGTTCCCTCGCTTTCTGACTGGCATATTTTCCCTGATATGTCACCAGATCTCGAGTAGCTGGTGGCGGTAGAACGTTAGCGGCGCTTGCCCAAGGCAGGAGATCTACGCTGTCGGTCTTGCTAAAATATGACATTGATGTGGACGGCGTTGGAGCGGCAACGTGAGGGAATTGAGCATGAAGGATAAGTGCTTTTATGAGAGGGATGCAATCCGAATTGATGTTGAGTGTTTTACCGCCCAAATAGTAGCCATCTTTTGGGATGGAATTGCTGCGGACAAGTCGCGCGCTCTTGAGGGATTCCAATAGCACCTTAACAAGGCTGTGAGCCTCTGTGTAGTTGTGGAACTCCAGGTGCTGAGCTTGAGCGTAATCCCGGGCACTGCGGCCGTCCCGCTCCTCAGCCCTCATAGCCTTGAAGGCATTGATTGTACTGATATGGTCACAGTGACTCTGTCCCGCAAATTCATGACGCTTTTTGCGAATACTCTGGCTTTCCTCCAAACTCGATGGCCGGCGGAAGAGACTTTCTCCGTTCAAAGCTGCCAATATGAGCAGCGGCTCCAGGCATTGGAAAATAACACCAAGGATGATGAACCTGCCGGCTGATGGGTCAAGGGGGAGTTGGTCGAGAAGGACACCAAGATCGGTCAAGTTTTCATTCTCGTCCAGTACCCGAGTCTGTTTTAGGTGTTTGATGGTCTGCACAACTGCGTCGGCATCAGGAGGTTCCATGGCTTGTTTCAGGACGTCAATGATGGGAGCATCAGGGGCATTGCTTTTCACACGCAGGCATAGTTCATCTAGGGGGGCTCGTTGAATATCGGGAGACTTCATTCTCCGAAGATTATCATAGCATTTTTGAGTTCCCAGGAAAAAATACTCTCCATCCTGGACTCTGCCTGCTCGGCCTGCTCGCTGGATAGCACTAGCCTTGCTAGTCCAGAAAGAACCCAGTCGACGAGAGCGCGCCGTATGATCGTAAACAAGGTTATTCACCTTGCCAGAATCAATCACGTACTTCACGTCGGGAATAGTGACCGACGCCTCAGCCACATCGGTGGAGAGGAAAATCCTCCTGCAACCTGCCGGAAATGGCTGAGACAACTTTTCCATTTCCAGGGGCAGTGCCGCATGCAACTTGAACAATCGAAATCGACCTTCATCTGAGAAATCCAGGTCAAAGTCCTTGAGAGCGGGAAACGCCAAGATTCGCTCTTCCAACTTCCTTATCGTTGCTAAACCTGGAAGGAAGACCAAGATAGAGCCGGATTTGGTTGTGTTTAAAAGATAGAATATCAACGCAACAATCAAGCCATAAGGTATCATTTCATCCTCCATCTCCAATGCTTCACTGGTCTGGACAGCGGAGATTAAATTTGTCGAACTTTCCGTGAAATTTTCCGTGACAGAGTCTGAAACCTCGATCTCGAGATCTTTGATATCGTCGAAATGCGCATAATGTTTATCCAGGAAAGTTTTGGTCTCGGGGCCATGTAGCAGGCTAGACAGCATTTCGGGTTCATAAGTAGCTGCCAGGTCATCAAGCACATTGTCGAGGTTATGCTTCTTCACGTCGAATTGGCGACCCGGAATGGAGATATACGGAGCAGGAACAAGTTTCCCATCCGGTCCCAAATTGGCGAAATATGTGGAAAACAGGTCAAGATCTATGGTGGCGCTCAAGATCACGATTCGAGGCACAGAAACACCAGTCGATCGGCAATTATCAACGTAGCGCTTCAACAACATCATTATGAGATCGATTCCAATGTCACGGACATGAACTTCGTCAAGCATGATGTGAGTGAGTGACGAGAGGATATCAGGCTGATTCCGTAAAATGTTCAACATGACACCGGTAGTACAGTATGTGATACTGCCCCCATCATGGGCCGGCCTCCGATAGTCATATCGAACCAAGCATCCAACATTATCGCCAACAACTTCCCCTCTTTCAAAAGAGACTCTCTCCGCCAGAAACTGTGCTGCAATTCGCCGTGGCTGGACACAAATCACGTTGCATTGCCCCCCGATTCCTTGGTCAATCGCGTCATCCAGGATGATTTGGGGGATTTGAGTAGACTTTCCTGATCCCGTCTCAGCAGCAATGATGCTGTAAGTATGTTCGTTGATGATCTGCAGGACCTGCTGTCTGATCTGCATCACTGGTAGTTGTTCTTGCTGGGACCGAATATTAATGATAGCTGCATCCTCCGATTGGCGTCGCTCATCCAAACTCTTCTTCAACTGCTGGGATCTGCTTTCTACCTGGCTGGTAGTTGGGAATTTGTCCGGCTCTTGTTGTGGAACTCTGCCAGCGAGTTGAGAGCTCTTCTTGGTGAAGATCTGATCTGCTTGGAGCAAATCATCTCTTACCTCTTGCATCGTATAGATTAATTCGTCGTCTATAGAAACCTTGGCAGCCGGAACAATGGGTTTCGTCCACAGCTTTGTTTTTTTCAGTTTTGAGACAAGCCTTATCACTGCCTTCCTCTCTAATCGAGACTAGTGAACCATGTTAGAGTTCCATGTGACTGGAGAAAAAGATGGTAACATACCCTTGTCAAGTGAGGATGTGCCATTACTGTGGTTTGCATTTGTGCCAGCCTCCTCTTGTTAGGCAAAAAAAGATTGGCGTGACAATCCGGCGAACCATCCAATGTGAGATAGAATTGACCCAAAGCCTCCATCTCGTAAAAGCGCTCAAGGTCTTTGCTGTCAACTTCGTGCAAGTCATCAAACATGTCTTCCAATGTTCCCAACTTTCGCAACTGCACGCTAAGGACTAACATGCGGATAGCTAGTTTCCGTGCATCTTCCTATGGAGCAGTCAGACCCATTCGAGCTCTGTGCATAACGAGGAACCTACCTCAGTTTCGCATGTTCTCAGAGGGGTCCTGTACCAACAATTTTGCCCGTAGTCGAGATTACGGAACCAAACACTGCATCCGAATGTGCGTTTCCCATTTACATCCACATGTTCGCGTTGACGGACTGAGATTGGCGACACGAAGTGGTCCGACATTAACATGTTAAGTAAATGAGGAAAGTTTCTACATCCATCATAGCCCGCAGCTTCGAAATCTTTATCCCAGTCCTCGATTTCACGTAATTTCGAAATGAGAAGCAGACGAGCTTTGCGGGACGCTTGCTCCTGATTGTTTGATAGTCAGAACAAGTTTCCCAAATAACAGGATCCCTGGAAACCTACTCTTGTCGGTGCCAATACTGAAGCTGACAGCTGTGATTTACCGGTGCAATCAAGACTTTCCCTATGCACATAAAGCCCCTCCATAGTCAATCCAGATACCTGTACTGTTTGAGTCCAGGATTCACCCTTTTCTGCTCTAAGTTGTTCTCTCATGAGCCAAAGTTCGTAAGCCCATAACATCGCTTCAGCTTCTGCGTCATCTTGGAAGCCATGAGCCTCAGGAATCGAGGTGGATGAGGCTGATACATTCCCATTTTCATCAGTCGGTAATGATTGCGCACCCTGTGGTGTACTTTGAGGGATCCCACTGGACTCTGTGGTCAAGGAAGTGGATGCCGATGCGGATGTGTGAATGCAAGCGCTCGCATATTGGAGGTGCTTAGACAGATATAGATGACATATCGTCCGTCCCTGCCATTGAATCTCAGCCCCATCCCCAGCACTGACCGCAGACGATATAGCTGGGCAGGAGCAGAGGGCATAGGGTCGAGTCCGGATGGTGTGAACTTGTCGGGATTGAGGTCGCAAATTTGAAGATCGGGCTGTCCGGTAGGAGATACGGTCGAGCCATATGCCTGGGTGATAAGCCAGAGCTTGTTGTAAGCCCCGCATGCCGTTGCACGCGGTCGTTCCGATCGTCATGTTGAAGCAGGTTGTGCTCAACGCGAACTTGAGAAACAGCACGCGCGCATTGTGGTGGATTGAGTGATGCTTGGTGGATATTCCGGGGTTTCACCCCCAGAATAGATCACAATTATTCCGAAACTTATTATTCTGAGGCGGATATGGAGATCAGTGAGTGATCCTGACCTTGTGAGTCGATGGAATTGGAGACTTGAAGAGACAAAGCTGCGGCGAACGAAGGCTTGGCAGGTCCCATCTCGGAGCCCCATACTAACATGCGGAGAAGACTGCGGATCATCCATCGATATCGACAACTCATTCTCTAACAAGAAGATTTTTTCTCTATATTCAACAACATTTTGAAATTAAAGACCATATATATTTCTAGGTAGTTATGATAAGACAATGCCTACAATGCCTTGATTCCTATGAGAATGAAACAGGCGAGTTTGAATAATCGTCACATCATGGGCGACATTTGAAAATTTCTATGTACAGAGTCTAACGTATATACCATCTATGTGTTGAGTTGCTTCTAAGCACATCTTCCCGAATCCATCCATTTAGTACACAGGGTATCAAAGCCAGGGCATATGAAAATCCACACAGGTCTAGACCGATGCTTCCTTCTGGTGCTTCACTTTGAGCCTTTTCTCTGTCTTCATGAACTCTCTGATCCCAACTGGAATATTGGCGAACAGATCTTCGTCCTGACTTGGCGCGGGCCAGTTGGCTTCACTGCCCCCGCCATCCTCATCCATGCTCTGACTGGCCGAGTCAACCTCGGCTCGAGGTGCGGCGCGCATGTCCGCGGTTCCCTTCTCAGCACCACCCTTGGCCTTCGCCTTTGCGGCTCTAGCAGCCCACTCTTCCATCTCATCGCGGAAATCATCCCAAACGCAATGTACACAGCCGCTCATGCAGCAGTTCTCGGGCTCCTCGGGGCGGGGCGGGATGGGCACACCGTTGATCGTTTGCCATTGGGATTCTGGTGGCATTTCACCTGGGTTGTATCGGGATTGACGGCCAGGACCAGCTAGACGTGTACCAAACACAATGGACATCTTCTCTTGGGGAGTCTTTGCTTCACTCATGGTTGTCGGAGCAGGTTTGTCCTCGAGTGGAGGGGTATTAGGCTGCGTGGTTGTTGCTTGGCCGCGATAGGGGGAATTGGACTTCAAAATCAAGGAGTAGTACCCCGATAAAGGATGTGCCTGAGAGTGATCGGTGGTCTCTTCCAAGGAACCACGGGTATGAGCGTCAGGTCGGTTGTGGGCCATGCGCCGAGGCGTTGAAATATAGGCATGTTTTCGGCTCGAAGTCAAAGGTGAGATGGGTCGATGTGACAATGAACTGGGACAGATCCTCGTCTTTCGAAGCGAATGCCTGCCCGCTGCAAGACACTCCATTGTAAGTCGCGGGGAATAGGAATGAATGATCTTGTACCCGAGACGAACGCAATTAAGTCATAGGTGCAAACACTGCAAACATCGTTGTTTATGCGCCGCGAGTTCGGCGCGAGTTTGGATGAATACCAACATCGCAATAATGAATTCGCCACCAAAACGCAGAAAAAGCAGTAATGCTTTGGGTGTTAACGCAGGCGCGTCACAATCTAATGCATCACTTGCGACAAAACCTTCGCGCCGGCCATCTTTCCAGTCACCAACGAGGTCCAGTCTCGCCAAATCACACCCCGACGTTTTCGAGCGCGCACTCAGCAGGTCTCCAAGTCGGCGACCGGAAAGTGGAGGAAGCCAAATAGAAAATCCAGAGTCAAATGCGGTCGGGCTTCGGGGCCGCAAGGCCCTTCGACCCTCATTAAGCGCGACCTCTAGTCCTCTGAAAGCGCCGCAAATGTCTGGCAATGCGCCTCTTCTGTCGCCTAGCAGACGTCCTAGCGGTGTTCAATCATTCACAAAACCACCTCGAAGATTATCGAGAAAGATTGTGCCCAGCGACTTTTTCTTTGGGTCACCTACCAGGAAGCAAACCCAGCCAACGGAGCAGGAACTTTCCAACACCCCAGAAGGCCAATTAGCCCAGGAGCTAGGAAGCGCAACACGTGAAACGGCTACGGAGGATCTTGTCGATGCCGACCTGGATGCTGGATTCATGGATGACAATTCTTTAGAACCAGAACTTCCCCCAACCCCCACACAACTGGGTTTAGAAAGAGCACCAGACCGTCCAAGAGCGCTATTAAGCAGTAGCCCCAGTTCGAGACATGAAAAAAGAATGAAACGAAAAGCAACCGATATACTTCAAGGAAGTCCCTTGAAAGGATTGAGGTTCCAACCTCGTGATCCTGAAGAAGCATCAGGTTCGGATACCAGCTCATTCGATGGTAAATTATCTGCAGCTGCTCTAGAGAAGCGCCAACTACGCAAGAGCCTCACAGCAGAGTTGCAACGCTTGAAAGGTGATATTGCAGAATTGACGGAATGGACCGAGAAAATGGAGTCCGGTTCGAATCTCGAAGACTCGAGGGGACTCGACCATTTCCTGTATGATCAACATCCCATACAATACTAAATACCGCTAACCATGGTATAGAAGCCTGCTCTCTGAGGAATCATCATATATCAACCGCCCTGTTCCACGACGAGACCCGGTGCCGCTATCATCACTTCTTTCAACTCTGCTCCCATTTTCTAATAACATGTCCCGTTCCGCCCCTCCATCATTACCTTTACCTACGAACCCATTCGCCTTAAAAGAGTCATCGCAGTCACCATCATATCTCACGGTGTTTGCTCCATTGGCTCTTCGCACAACTACCAGCCGTACCACTGTCTCAAAGACGAGTACCGTTCTTGAGACACATACATTGACATTCACACCTCCGCCTCCCTTTCCATCTTCGTTATACAATGTTTCCGTTGTCTATGAGACAGATCCAGAGACACAATCTATCAAGGCCGTGTCCGTGCCCACGGGTAGTGACAGCAAAAAACGAAGAGTGCCCTCAGTCCTCCGTCGATGGATTGATGCCCGCCTCGCTAATCCCCTCTTAAAGCTCGACGTGGCAACATTATGTTGGGGAATCAACCGGTACTGGGAAGCCTCAGTGACTCGCGCTCGTCTATGGACACGCATCGATCAGAAGCACGGCAGCGATGGCAGGAAAAGCAAACTCCCCGAGTCTCAGACTGGAGTAATTACGCTTTCAGAGCTTCGGCGCTTGGTCCCACACCTGGAGCGCAGCTCGATGGTTATCAGATCTAAGTCTCCGGGAGGCGATCCTCGAGTCCTCCTCTCCAATACCCTGACTATCGATGACTGGACTGGAGAGCCACAGCTTCGGCCGGAGCTTAGTGTCTCCGCGTATGGCTCTAGTGATGGACCAGGAAAGAAGATCGATCAAGAAGCAAAGAAGCTTTTTCACGCTCTCTTGAAAGATGATATTCTTGCTTCTAGGCAGAGCGTGGAGGGCGTTCACTTCGATGCGGTCATCCGAGCCACAGAAGGCGTTCTAAGTGCTTTGTTCGATCGTGTTTGATATTCTTGATATTATTTTGAGAAAGCGATGGCGCAATGTGTATTTATGAATTTTTTTTAAGATACCCATGGACCATGGTAGCGTTTTTCAATTCAGTTTATGATGAATCGGAGCCCCTTGAAACTGGAGGCTGTATAAAACTTGTTCTCAACCAAGGTCAGCCTTGAATACCTTCAGGTGCCAACACGTTTACATATGGACGTATTAACATTGTAGGTAGGTATCAGGTGCTGGGTAACGTTTAATATATATAAGTGGAGACAACACCAAGGTTTGACGCAAAGCAATGTGGATCCCTGGAGTATCAAAATGCACATAGAGAAGGGGGCAAAGGGATTCATATCCATGCTCAGGTTATCAGGTGGATGTTGGAAAAACCATTTGAACATGGGATCGGGGCCTTGTAAGTCTTCCAAAGTTCATAGGTATGGACTTTCCGACGGTAGATTTTTGACATAAACCTGAGCACCTAGACAACGACTTCAAACATTATTCAAGTGGACGTGCGACAATTGCAGAAGATTAGTGTACATAGAACCATTTCCTGCCAAGTACCTAACACCCGAGTCCCACACGAGGTCGCTGAGGCTGTCGGTTGGGGTTCTACATCAAAATTTGAAGGATACCCACCTGGGCGTTTGGAGATAGAATGGACTTATCCGTTTGTAGTACTGTAGACCTACGACTATATCAATTTACCGAGATTAAAAGGCTGTTTTCGGTTCGGAGAGAAAGCGTTTTTGTGGAGACCAATACGCATAATATACTTTGTGAATCTTCAAGGTCTCTTTTTTTCTGAGAACTACAAGAAAATTTTCATGGCGTAGGCCTCTACCATTCCTCGTAGTCTAAATTGACCAAAATCCCATCCCTCGAGACTCAGTCGGATGATACCAATGCTTGAAACCGCGATCCTTCGTTTTCAGCGTGTATCTTCCAACTAGGGTCAAGAAGAACAAGCTGGACGAGCCAAAAAAACACCAACACCAGAAATAATGCCAAAGAGATTTGAGAAAAATTGGGCGGTTTTGCATTTCGAAGGATCTTCCGAGTTCTTTCTTTTTAGAGACAAAAAAGGGTAGTTTCAAGGGGAGAGGGGGAGGGGGAAAAGAGGTTTAGATTGAGAGAAATGGAAGAGGCGCCACGCCATGCCACGATACACTCATCCCCGATTCGAAAACCGACCCGATCATCATCATCAACAGGAGCAGAAAATTAACACATTTATTTCTTGGCGTTGGCCTCCTCCTCAGCCTTGGCCTTGGCGCGCTTCTCACGGATACCCTTGTGGCGGGCCTCGGAGCGAGCGTCACGGAGGGCGCGGTAGACAGAGCCCTCGGACTTGGGAAGGTCACCACGCTTGACCTCGGAGATGGCGTTCTCCTCAGCGTCGTTGATGATGGGGAAGCTGGCGTTGACGTTGGCGACGATACCGTCACGCTTGCCCTCGGCAAGAGTGGCCTTGACAGCCTTGACGTCCTCAGCGGAGGAGTCGAGCTTCTTGAACTGACCGCTCTTACGGGGGAAGAGGATCAGGCGGGCCTTGTAGTCCTGGAGACGGGCAACGTTGGCGACCAGGGACTCCTTGGAGTAGTTGGTGCGGCGGTGGTCAACGGAGATACCGACGGTGGAAGCGAGCTTCTTGGGGATACCGGCCTCCTATAAACGAGAAAAAAAAAAAGAGATAAGCCTCCACTCCGAGCATTATCAGGGATCAGTAGTCGAATTTACCTTGAGCTCAGCCAGGGTGAAACCACGACCGGCACGGACACGGCGGTTGTACTTGACGGTAGGGCATCGCACAACGGGACGCAGCTTGTCGACCGGGCGGGGAGCAACGGCAGCAGCCTTGGCGAGACGGTTCTCACGACGACGGTGCTTACGACCGGGCTATAGTCGCAAAAAATTCCATGTTAGTCGGTCGTAATTCCTTCAAGCAATTTTTCCTCCCCTCGTTTCGATCGATCCCAGTCGGTAGATTTTAACTCGGTAGGACGATGTTCTTGGTGGGGGAGAAAGATTTTTTTTCGAGGTCGTACCTGGTCGAAGTGCACGCGAACACGCTTCTGCCAATCCTTGCGGAAGTCTATTAGGATATTGTTAGCAAATCCAGTCCAATCGAATGCACTTCTATCTGATTGTAATATCGAGGAAGTGATGAGCGCAGTGTCGGGGGTGACTCACGGTTCTTCTGGATCTGGTTGTTGTGCTTGATCGCCTATATACCGAAGAGAGTCCATCAGCCATCGAGTTCCTCCAAGTTGCACCACGCCAGAATTGTCGATAGACGCAGTCTATTCATTCCAATATATCTTCGCAAACGGGAATCGAGGGTAACGCACCATGGTGACGGATGGGGATCGAGCCGGTGATGGTCGTCGGAGGGTTGCTGGTCAAATCTCCCTTCAACGGCAGAAACTCAGAAGTTCCCATTTTTCGTGTGGCCCGCTTTGCCTCTGACCGCCTCGCTTAGCGAGCCCTAACTAGTCTTCATTGGGATATCTGCCGTGGCCGCCGGGAGATGACTCAGCAGACTGGGCCGCTTCTGTTCTGGGGATCGACAGTACAAACTTTAGTCCTTATACATTCACTGCAATTTGGGTATTATTACAGTCAACTCTTTACTAAACAGAGAAACAGAATGGCTATGTTTTTCAGATTTTCATTGTTTTGATTCCTATTGTACAGCCATGCAGGATAATTTAATTCCCGATCGACTGGGCTTCTGTACTGTAGGTGGACATCTATTCACCAAGTACGACATCCCAGTCATGCAAACACAAGAGCAGTTTTGAACGCCATCGTAGCCATAACAAGCCACTCTAAGACCCCGCAGAGAGAAAGAGAAAAGTAAAGAAAGAGCAAATAACGCTTGACAAGTACCCGTATTCCGTAACGTTCGTTCATCATTCATAATATTCCCCGAGGGAAGCAAGTCGTAACAAGTGCAAGCTAAAAGGGAAGAGAGCAACGCTAGGTCATGAATCGTATCCAAGATGCATCGGCATATGTGCCGAGAGTGGGGGAGGGGAATCGATCTTAGGAGGTATGAATACCTAGGCCCACTCCGCCACTAGTCTTGGACCTCTTCGTGACCACATTGCTGTCGTCGGGACTGGCCTTGCGCTTATTGTTTGAATTGCGTTCCATACCAGGCTTCTTCACCCGGCCAAACAATTTGGTTTGAAGCAGGGTGCTGGTCTTTGGGGCAGTGTGCCGGATGTCTTGATGCCGGCCTTGCAAAGGTTCTTCATCAGACTCCGCGGCTGATAGCGAGACAGTGCTGTCGCTGTCATACTGATTGCCATGCGAAACCTGGCCTGGGGTCAGGTATTGGCGCCCTTGGCGAATGGAGCGATTAGGAGTAACAGGAACCGAGGTTTGACTGCTATAAGAGCTCTGCGGTTCATGGAGACGGTTGGTGAACTTATCCGCAAAAAGTAGGGCGGCAAGACCATCGGTGTGCTCGCCGCGGCAGATAGTGTGGAGCTCGTTCTGCATGCCAGGCGATAGGGACCCGTAGTTGTAAATCTGCGAGAAGTGACGACGGTTGTCCTCAATACGCTTCTTCAACATGTTGTTCTGCTCGGTCAGCTCGATAGACTGCGCATGCGCTTCGTCGATAGCTCGCTTGGCTCGTCGCAAACGCCTATCCAAAACAGCATTGACCTCCTCTAGTTCGTGAGACCGCTGCATTGCAGTCACGTAGTCGTTGTTGGAGATTGACTGCTTGGGTGTCATGGGCTCAGTGGGGCGCGCACGACGGTACTCCGCGCTCTGAATGATTTCGACCTCACGCTTGGCTAGCTGGTGCTCGACCTCTGCGCGCTTAACAGCCTCATTACTGGCAAACGAAACTAGGCTATTCTGCAGTTTGAAGTGTAAGGCAGACATGCGAGCCTCTTGGGCGACAGTGAGCAGATCTTTGGCAATCGAGCGAAGCTGAGTCTCGTTTGCTTTGTCAATGTCTTCAATGGTTGGGAGGTTCTCCGATGCTCCATAGGCATCGCATAAAGATTTGTCCAAGTCGGCTGGGGTCACCAAAGAAGGGCTGATGGAGCGAGAATGGGAGCGACGAAGAGGTGCTCCAGGAATCTGGGTCGAGGGGGGTGGTGTCATGTCGGAAGAAGAGAGAGCTGGTGGGGAATGAAACTTCTTGCCGGAGGAGCGATCTTTGGCCGCAGCGCTAAGATCTGGTGATGGAGACAAAGTCGCACGACGAGTTGGAGTTGACGGAGCGAGGATCTCAGCTGGTGCTGCAAGAGGGCTTTGAGATGAGCGAGTAGGTTGAGACATGGCCGATGATGTCAAACTGGTGACTGATAAGACAAGCGCCAACCGTGGGGAAATGAATCCTCGCACTGGAATGAGTTAGTTATCGTGCCATCAGATAAAGGTGATAAGCGATTGAGCGCATACCGGAGATGATAGAGTGTGGGGTAGAGGGTAGAGAGAGAAACCAGCCGAGGGTGATCCAAATGATTTTCAATGGAAAATGGGAACTCTGTTAACAAAGGGATTTGAGGGATGGGAGGTGGAAAGAGTGAAGTGGGCACTTTGTATGATATCGTGGAGGAGGGGGCTGGGAGGCTGGGAACGGCCAGTGCGAAATGCGGCTGGGGACAATGTGCCCAGCCTCGATCAACCATTTATGATGGGCCAGCCAATCAGAAGACGAGAACATTCACAAGCCCGGGTCCACATTCCTCGATGCGGCTAGGGTGACGATCACGGGACGCTCAGGGCAAGTAAACAGCCGTGAACGACATCGATGGTGGCAGGTTGGGCTGGCAACCGATAAGCTTCACCTATCGCGCACGTCCTCATGCATGAAACAAGTTTAGAAATTATACCCGGATATGTCATAGATCTACTTCAACTGAGGGAAGCTTGCAAGAAAATTACTAAAAGACAGCTACGGTGACTCAAATTGGCCCTTGAGAAGACTTCAAAATACAGTAAGTTCCCGGGGCGGCGCTGGTCTCCTGATTATAGGAGGGTCTGGAATCTAAGTCCTAGCTCTAAAGTTATATTAATGCGAAAAGAGCTTCTACTTCAGAGCCAGGATATGTGGCCTTTTTGGCTTAAGGTGAAGGGCAGTACGTGCTCTCATAAAAGTTGCCAGGCCAAGATACTTTGGTCTAGATGGTAAGAAAACATAGTGGTATATACAATACCTATGCAGGCTAACTTTTATTACCCCGGCCTCTCTAAAACTGCCCAGCAGGATGGATCGCGCGAAATGATTTTTTCGACGGAAAAGTGGGTACACTAACTAGGCAAGACAAGCACTAGTCAGTGACTTGCAGGTAAATACAGTAGCATCAAACGGCACGTACGGATACTGAAACAGTAAAAGGAAATCGATCGTGCAAGAGTCAATGTAAGCAGCCAAGATACAATGACTATGGTTGTCAACGGCGGCACAACCATGTTCAAATTTGTCGGGTTGGCCCAGTACATGACTTCACCATTCTTTCAGCATTCTTCAAAGCGAGACAGAGCAGAGATTACAGGGCGATTTCAATATAGCCATGGCTGTCCATGCCATCAAAATGAGCTCAACTGTTGTTTCATATTGGTTAGACCTGCAAGGTGAAAAGTCCTCTGTCGTGGACATAAGTTCGCTGCCTTAGGCCGCTATCGAATGCAAATCGCGGGTGAAGGTAAATATAAACAACCTCAACTTTAATCCAATCCCTATTCGGTTGCCCGAGGTAAAAGGAACACGGGAAAGTGGGCCTGTCAAAAATTGTTCTTAGATCTTTCCCGTCATTCTTCTGCCATCTTGACATTCTTTCCTCTCAAGTGGCACACCACACTGTCCACGCTTTATTGGGGGATTTCGTCTGAAAACAAACACCTTTGGCGCCATGGAAGGGCAGCCAAAGGTCACCCGTCCTGCCAGTGGCATTCCGCGACTGGCTTCTCGGCTACCGTTACCCACTGCCACCGTGTCGAAATCGATTCGCCCTTCTCCTTCCCGGGATCGATTGCAGGCCGATCCTGGTCTAGATGAACGACGACTGAGACGGCCTTCTTACGAATCGTTGCTCAAGAAGCCCACTACTACGCGCTATTCACCGGCAAAACCCCGAACCGAGGCACTTCCGAGCCAGGAGGAGTTTTCGAGCGAAGATGGAACATACACCCCAGACGACGCGGGTTCGATGATGGGAGACGAGGAGAATTTGTCTGGGGAGACACGGGGTCGTACACGCCCGTCGCTTTCATCGCTATCGGAACGGACGGTGGAGACTTTAGCGCATATTCCACCATCGCCGGCGTCTGCGAAAAGACAGACTAGTTTCTTCAATGGGACCAGTCCAATCCGCTCTCCCTCCCGAACACCCTCCAATGTCTCAGGCTATTCGCGATCTCCATCACGATTGTCATCCAATCAGGGCAACGGCAGCGATTTGTTATCTCAACCAACTTCCAAACTTCGCCCTCCGTCTCACTCTCGTATGTCGGTGACTACATCCACCGGGTTGCCAACCGGCAGCACCGATAGTCTAGACAGCCCTTCGAAATTGAAGAGACCCACCAAAAGGCAGAGTATCCCAACGCTAAGCAGTATCTATGGAAGTAGCGCACCGCCGAAGAAGAACGTTGGCATGCCGAAATCCTCACATGTGCGCCCTTCGCCAAGCACGTCAAAGCCTCTTCAATCCGATATGGGCCCCCCCGCACGTCCGCTTCAGATCCGAAAGACGAGAAAGCCTCAGGCAGAATCGCCTTCCACGTTGAGATCCCCATCGACCGGCTCGCGTTACGTGTCCGCCGCATCGACATTGCAAGACGAAATGACCCCAGAGCAGCAAGCAGCAAGCGAATCAAGGAAAGCATCCAAGTCCTCGAACGCTTTGCGGGAAAGCATTGCGAAGGCCAAGGCAGCTCGGAAGGCAGCCGCAGCAACGGAGAAGAAGGAAGAGGCCCCGAATGTCCAGCCCGCTGGCTCATTTGGTGGTGCAGGCCTTGAAGATCCCTTTAACCAACTGCCAAAGGGTTCAAAAAATCTTGCCCTCCGCAAACGTGTCGAGGGTGCGCGTGCATCAGGGACTTTAAACATTGCGGCAATGTCTTTGAGTGAGATTCCTAAAGAGGTTCTCACGATGTACGAGTTCGACCCTAACAGCACATCCAACTGGTTCGAGAACGTAGACCTGGTCAAGTTCATTGCTGCTGATAATGAGCTCACCCAAATTCCGGATACTGTTTTCCCAAACATCGATTTGAAGGACTTGGATCCGGATAGCGATGAGCGTGGCCCTCAGTTTGGTGGAATTGAAACACTAGACCTTCATGGAAACCTGCTCCATTCTCTTCCCATGGGACTGAAGCGACTGCAAAATCTTCGCGTACTGAACCTCTCGAAAAATGCTCTGTCTATGGATAATATTGCTATCATCATGGAGATCCCCTCCCTGGCTCACCTGAAACTGGCAAATAACAAGCTGGAAGGCTTACTGTCTTCAGCCGTGAGCAATCTTCGGGGGCTAGAATCGTTAGATCTTCGCGGCAATGCCTTAACAGAGTTGCCTGCCGAACTAGGTGAACTAACAAACCTCAAAACACTGGATGTCGGTGAGAATCAATTGACATCTCTCCCGTTCGAAGCACTCAGTAAAGTTCCATTGAGCACGCTCAATGCCCCCAAAAACAAATTGAAAGGCACCCTCATTCCGGCATCTGTGGATCGAATCGATAGATTGGAGTCTTTGAACGTTGCAAACAACGCTATTGAGAACTTTGCTGCCAATGAGAATCTTTATCTGCCCAATCTCCACAGCCTACTCGTCAGTGCCAATCGCATCAAAGGCTTGCCATGCGTGTCCTCGTGGCAGTCACTCTTGCTTCTTTCCGCGGATAGCAACAAAATTACAGAGCTCCCTGCTGGATTCACGGAACTCAAAAATGTGAAGACTGCGGATTTCACTGGCAACGACATCTCCCGCCTGGATGATAGAATAGGACTGATGGAGAAGCTATCCACTTTCGGGATCGCTAATAATCCACTCCGTGATCGTAAGTTCCTGAATATGGATACAGAGGACATTAAGCTGGTCATGCGCAACAGATGCGAGCCTGACCCTCAGGATACGGATGATGAGGGCTCTGTAGCCACTCAGTTCACGCTTGCGCCGGAGACCCCAGAAATAGAGAGTGGATGGAAACTCAAGCCTCGTGGGGTTCTTGACCGATCATATTCTGAATTGAGGGATTTGGAGACGGAAAAGTTAGAACTGATCGATGTGGAAGATGTCCGTTCGCTATATGTGCAGCACAACGAACTGCGCTTCTTCCCTGTTCCCGCCTGTGGAATGCTCGCACAAGGACTGATCGAGCTTGATCTTTCACACAACCCCCTGAACAGCTCTGAGCTCCTATCCTCGCTACTGGAACTACCTAAACTCCAAAGCCTTAATGTCAATGCAACGACTTTGACCTCGCTGGACTCTCTTCTGGCCAATCTCCGAGCCCCATCACTCAACTTCCTTGACGCCTCCAACAATCGGTTGACCGGTGCCCTCCCAAATGCTCGAGAAACATACCCAGAGCTCAAGACTTTCCTCGTATCCGACAATAAGATATCTCAATTGGATTTCGAGGCCGTACAGGGTCTACAAGTTCTGGATATCAGTAACAATGACATTGACCACCTACCGCCTAAGATTGGATTGTTAGGTGCTGAACGCTCCCCACAAAACTGGGGTACTGGGTCTGCCTTGAGGCGGCTGGAGGTTGCTGGTAATCGCTTCCGTGTCCCGCGATGGCAGATTGTTGCAAAGGGGACTGAGGCTGTGCTGGACTATCTACGCCAACGTATTCCTGCCTGTGATATGCCTGAATGGGAACATGAGGATGGGCCTGTCGATGAGTATTCAAGGATCTAACGTTTGAAATGAGATGAACATTTGATCCGTGGTCCCGAGGTCAGGGGACAGTACACATGTGGCAGTGAAGCCTTCCAAGAGGCTGTATATACTATATTTTCGTTTCTTTTCTTGTATACATAATTCAGATATTTTAAATTGTCGAACATGTATGTACTCCACAGGTCCCGGGGCCGGGTATGGATTTTATACACCCCGGTCATAAGCTTGAGTCACCTAGGCAGACCCCTAGGGCTTCCAAGGCAACGTTGTTGCGACAGAGCTTGGCACAATCGAAGTGGAATACCCGTGGGTCCTTTCTAAAGAATATAATTCTGATCATAGTTGGTATGGATCCGCCCGCCCATGGACCATCAACTGTGAGGTCCCAGAGGCTACCTTTCATCCCCTAGAGATGTTTTTTAGTCCTAAGATTTTGCAACAGGCCTCCAGGGCTCCCTCAACGGTCCTGGAACAAGGTATTTGATTCAATTACGTGATGTGGTGTTGCAAAAATTCTAGATATTCTCTGAATGAAAGATTTGGAGGGTTCATCAATTTTTCATGGCTAAAGGATCCTAAAGTTAGATGCTTTATGTGTAGGCATATCTGTGCCGCAGAAATATAGATCTGGGCTCCCCGGCCCGCGATACATCATGAAGTGCAAAGACTTCCAGGTATGCGGTCAAATTTGAAGTTATAAAGAAGAACAACTTTTTTCGATCCCCTATTGTTTGAATGTGATTAATAATTGAATGATTACTATAGTCTGAGAACCGAGCTAACTTGCTCGTCGATTACAAGTTCCGTGACCAGACGTGAGCACAAGGCGGCAAAACATGGCAGAATGACAGATCAGTGCAAACGAAGCAAACATTTATGATAATTACTCGATCTGAAGCTCTACTGGAGGTGTTTCCCTTCCCTTCAGTTCAGCACCCTTGACCATGGGAACCTCAAAGGCTCGCCCTGCTGCAAAGCCCCAGAAGCCCTCCCCGGACCTTCCCTCGCGGCATCTTCCCGAAAAAACCTTCGTCCTCGACAATGGGGCGTACACAATGAAAGCAGGTTACGCCGCGGACCCCAGTCTCTCTCCCGAAGATGTCCTCTCCGCCTGCACCTCTATACCGAATACACTCGTCAAGACTCGCGACAATCGAGTTGTGATTGGTACTCAGCTTTCAACGCAAGTCACCGATTGGAACGAGGCAGCATTCCGTCGCCCGGTGGAGAAAGGATACATTGTGAACTGGGAAGCAGAGAGGGAAATCTGGGAGCAGTCTTTCTTCGAAGAAAAAGCTACTGCACGGAATAAGAATCTTCGAATTGCCGCACCCGAAGACACAACGCTTATATTGACGGAAGCTCCAAATGCCATGCCCATTCTGCAACGCAACGCCGATGAGATGGTGATGGAGGAATGGGGGTTTGGAGGATATGCGAGATGCCTGGGTAAGGAAATCTAGGATCGGACTTGGTTGCATACGTTTCATAGATACTAATTTGTGTGTGCATGCAGGCCCGACTCTCAATGCTTGGAACGATCTTCACACTCTTTTCGGTGACTCCCTTGCCAGCAAACCGGACTCTATATTGCCTATGGACTGCTTGCTTGTCGTGGACTCTGGCTACTCACATACAACGGTAACGCCGGTCTACAAGGGACGGCCTTTGCAACGTGCAATACGGCGCCTCGACATTGGCGGCAAGCATCTCACGAATTACCTCAAAGAAATTGTTTCAATGCGGCAATACAACATGGTGGATGAAGCATACATCATGAATGAAGTCAAGGAGGCGGTCTCTTTTGTGAGCAACGATTTCAAGGCGGATATGGAGCGGACCTGGAAAGCCAATATCAAACGCCAAACCGAAAACAGTGTGGTTGTGGATTACATTCTGCCAGATCCAAATGCAGGGAAAAAAGGCTTCATGCGGCCACATGATCCCCTTATGCACGCGAAAAAGAAGAAGGGCGCGCTTTCCGGTCTCAGTGCTGAGTTATTGTCAGAAGATGTGTTGGTACTGGGCAATGAGCGCTTTAGCGTCCCAGAGCTACTGTTCAACCCGGGCGATATCGGGATGACCCAGGCTGGAATACCTGACATGATTCTTCAAAGCTTGTCGGTTCTTCCTCCTGCGTTGCATGCTGCCTTCTTGGCTAATGTGTTTGTCGTTGGCGGCAATGCTTCGATCCCGGGCTTCATGGAGAGATTGTAGGTTTCTATTATCTTGTGGAAATGGTGATGAAGTGCGCTGACTTTTTTTTTTTTTCTCTAGGGAAACCGAATTACGCCCAATTGCATCAGCCGATTGTGTTGTGAGGGTGCGCCGCGCCCAAGAGTATGTTGACTGAATCCTACGCACATAGTCTATCAAGGCACTATGTAGTCATACTGACCAATCTTCCAAATAGTCCCGTTTATTCGACCTGGCTAGGAGGATCTCGTCTTGCCAATAACCGAGAGGAGTTGGGCAAAGTTGCAATCACGCGACAAGAATATCAAGAATACGGGTCAGGATGGGCCGGTCGTCGATTTGCTGGCACCGTATAGACGGGCCTTCAATGAAGCCCAGTTTATGATTCGGCCATTTCTCGGAGTTGGGAGTCTTTTGTCCATGAAGACAATGATAGTGCATCAATGATACCCCCTGTTTTTAATGGTGTTTATGTCAAAATTATGAGTGGTGCAAGTGGTTACCATGGTTCATGTCGGATCTTGCCTGTAGCGAAAACCGGAAATTTTCGAAGTAAACACCAAATATCTTCATTCGTTCACATGACGCGAAACTGACTCGCTCACATTGAACAGCTTGACAATAACCGTGGAATATCGGTATTTGCCTGCAAACTGCCTGCAGATTAGCGCTGAACTGAAGATCCCGTGGAATCTATCCTACTTGGACTTGCATTTTCCCATAATTGCATCGTAACATCTTTTTTTTCGTAAGCAGAATAACAGCGTCATGTCTGCTCGGTTCCCCATTCAACTTCCACCGCTTCACTCTGATGCACAAGTGAATACAACAAGGAATATAGAGGCTGAAGGGGACGGCTTGAGTTCTCCGGCTCATAAGTCTATGATACCAACACAAGAGAAGATGAAATCATCAGTCAATTCAGCATTCTCTAAAATGCTTCAACGATTCTACACCATCGGTGCATCAGACTCTCCAAAATCTAAAGCACCAAGACAAGAAAGCCCTTCGTGGTCTCCGAATACATCAATCGCGCAAGCATTACCAGTACTAGTACCAAAGCTGGGCTACAATCCAGAGACCTCACAACTCACAACACCTACAGGGCTAGGAACACGGCTCAGAGAGGCTTGGAAGAGCGCACTACCACGAAGAGAGTCAGTATATCAATCTAAACCCCAGCTACCTATACTGACATCCCCCAGCCAATGTGCAGGATGCTTCAAAGAAGTCCCACTTACAAGATTGATCACCGCGCTCTGCCAGCATAAATACTGCCCTGACTGCATCTACAATATGGCATCTATAGCCATGAGAACCAAAACATTATTCCCAGTCCGATGCTGCGGACAAGAAATCCCCGCAAAACCCGTGGCCTCAACAATGGGTGTTCGTGAAAGAAAGCTTTACATATCGCGAGTGGATGAACATGCAGTCCCAGCAGCGGAACGATGGTACTGTCCGCAGACATATTGTCGTCAATGGATACATCCTCGTAATTTTGTCCCGTTGAAGCCGCTGAAATGTCCCTATTGCCGGGCGTTGATTTGCCTTGATTGTCGGGATTTGGCTCACAATTCTCGTGCATGTGTTGTTGATTCCTCGTTGGATGAGGTACTTCGAATGGCGCGACAGAAGTATTGGCAGCGATGTTTTAATTGCCATACACTGGTTGAGAAGATTGAGGGGTGTCGCCATATGAAATGTGTGTGCAAAGCTGAATTTTGGTAAATACTTATATTTTTTTTTACTTTTTTCTTGATATTGCTAGTCTAGATTTGAAAGTGCTTATATTTAAATCTAGTTACCAATGCGGTCGACCTTGGGATTACTGTGCTCATTCTTGCAGAGGGACTACTGGGACGGGCGGTGTCGCTCAAATAGGGGATGGTGAAATCGATGTCACCACGGTGGTTGCCGCCATCGAACAGGCTGAAAGAGAGGAAGAGGAGGAGACCTTAAGAGAACAGTACCGGGTCGGATGATCAACCGTGGTTAGCAGATAAATATCCATGAAGCGTTAAGAACGGCCAGAGAAGAGGACCATTTATCAGAACATGGTCATACATAGGTTGGAACAATGAATTGCTATGGAAAATTGTTATATTCACCAAATGTCTAAGATGCCAGCATACAAAGGTGTATCTCAAGATAGAAAACAAGTCGGCCTCGTAGTACCAGATATGGAACGCCAACACAGAATTAGTATTCATAGAAACCCTTACCAGACTTCTTGCCCAGCCAGCCGGCATCAACCATCCTACGCAGAAGACCGGCAGGACGGTATTTGCTGTCTCCAGACTCCTGGTGGAGTACGTTCATGATAGCCAAACAGGTATCCAGACCAATGAAGTCAGCCAATGTCAGCGGACCCATGGGAACATTTGTTCCAGTCTTCATGATATTATCAATATCCTCACGCCCACCCACACCAGTCTCCAAACAGATAACAGCTTCATTGATGTACGGCATGAGAATACGATTGGCCAGGAAGCCGGGAGAGTCAGCAGAGACCGAAGCCACCTTGCCCATGCGCTGCACAAAGGCGATGGCAGTGTCCATAGTCTCCTGCGAGGTCTGTAAGCCTCGAATAATCTCAACTCCCTTTTGGATCGGGACTGGGTTCATGAAGTGGGTCGAGATAACCCGCGACGAAGCTTGCAGGTCTGTCGGATCGGTGGTGGTAGCGGCCGCGATCTTGGTGATGGAGATCGACGAAGTATTGGTAGCCAAAATGGCGTGCTTGGGAGCAATTTGGGCGAGCTTAGAGAAGATAGATGTTTTGAGATCAGGAATTTCGGGGACCGCTTCAATGACAAAGTCTACCGAGGATAGTTCGTCCATCTTCAGGGTTGGAATTAGAAGCCCGCGGGCCGCATCGGCGGCTTCTCGGGTAAGACGTTGCTTGGAAACATCTTTCTCAAGGAGCTTATCTAGAGGCAAGAGATGCGTAAGTGATTCAAGGCACAACTATGGAGTGTGTTTGGAAAAGACCGAGGTGTTGATCCAGTGATTAGTTTGAGCGGGGGAATCTTTACCAGCAAACTTGAGACCCTTATCCAAGGAAGCTTGAGAGCTGTCAACCAAAGTCACCGGAACCTGAGCCTTCTGGGCTGCGACAAGAGCAATTCCTAAGCCCTATTACTAGATTAGCAATCCTGAATTGCCAGTGTGATCCTCCTGATTTACCATTTGGCCGGCACCGATCACACCCAACGATTTAACCTCGGCCGCGCTTGTAGCAGCAGTGGAGCTGAAGTTGCGGGCCGCGCTGGGGCCATTGCGGCAAACCGTACGAAGGGAAGTAGCAAACATCCTTGGAGAGAGCGAGATTTGATGTACAGGATCAAGAGAGAAAGAAAAAAGGCTAAAGTTCAAAGGGAAGGAGTATACATCTTCACGTGTGATCCCGTTATCCGACGTCATCGGCTATCTTCGGCTTTTCTCAAAGGCGGTGTATTGTGGCAGTTTCGCCAAACCGCCGAGGCGGAGAAGGCACGCGTAGAGACGCGTTTCCGTTTTGAGTTACATTATCACAATTGAGAGTCCACCCCCAACCCATCCATTATGGAGCAGGAGCAGGACCCGATAGCTCTGGGTCATGATGTCCAGGTCGTTGATCCAGATGTCCGTGGCCATGTTTATAGCCTGGTAACTGCAGTAAGTTTGACCCCGCGTTTTTCACTATACACGTACTCACGCGACTGTAATTTCTAGCTCGGAGGTTTCAATGGCGAAGACGCAGACCGCTACGTCTTGGGTGATGATGCTCTGGCATGTCTGCGCGATATCAAGCGGTGGCTAAAACTATACGATGAAAAAAACAACCGAATGGACGTGGCACGATGTCTGGGAGAAGCCAATCTAGTGAATGGCGATCTACTTCCAATTCTCTCACTCTGGTGGTCCAATGGACAGAAGAACAAGCGCATGACTCGCATTGCTCTAGCGTGCTGTAGGTAGCACCCCTATGAATCGTGAGAAAAGAACGGCACAGCTGACACATGCAGTGGAACTTCTCGTGCCATTGACCTGGCCTGTCGAGTTTCATAGCCAAATGACCGTCAACCACCACCGCCATACTCCATACATTCAACAAGCACAAGTACAATACAAACGAGGTATTCTCAAAAATGGAGGAGCGGATATCCTACGTACGGTCATACGAATTGCGATTCCCAGCATGGCCCTTCCACGATCTGAGCGTGAGGCCCGAGACGAAGGTATACTTAAATTGATGCTCTACTTCATACGAAACATTGCCATCATCTCTACAAATGCACGCCTGGCTGCCGACGGCGAAGAAGAGGAGACTTCTAGATCGGCTACTATCGATGCATTCCAACAACAAGATGCGTTTGCCCTCCTTCTAACCATGTGCTCAAATGTTGGCGACGACTTCAACCTACAGGACGTGGTATTGCTGGAGATTCTTTTCCACCTCGTGAAAGGCGTAAATGTCGAGAAACTTTTCATGGACGAGGATCAGAAAAGGGCGAAGGGAAACAATGAACTGGGTGACCTTTTGCGCAAGGAGAATAAAGTACGCAGAGAATACGCCAAAAATGCGCCAACCCGACATGGACGCTTCGGTACTATGATCTGGGTCAAGCGGGATGATGCCAAGGTGTCGACCGTTTCTGGGCAGAACGTTCTGCGCGACGACCAAACCACCCTGCAAAAGATGGACGAGAGTAAGAAATGGAACAAACCTCAACCTCGTCGCAAACAGGAAGATCCTGTTCAAAACAACAATTTCAACATGCCTGCGCATCTTTCCTCGTCTGCATCGAAGAATCTGCGACAATTTGTGGAGGAATTCCTGGACTCCGGCTTCAACCCGTTGTTCACCCACGTTCGAAAGGCGATTGAGCGTGAAGCAGAGCGGGTTCTGGAAATCAATTCGCGTCAATTCTTTTACGCCGTTGGCTGGTTTCTAGAAGCGGAGCGCACCCGACGAACTCGGCAGATGAAGCAACACATTAAGAGTGGGAAAAAGGCAAAGGACATGGAGCCGGACAGCTATGGTTTGGTTGCTGGTGTCTTGAACCAGGAGACCTTTATTTCCCTAAACCGTGCCATGCAGAATAGCCTCGACAATAAGGAGTGGGAGGATCTCACGGCGCAGATGCGCTGTTTCACGCAGATTCTGTTGACCGTCCAGGAAATGGCTGCATCGCCACTCGACGAAGACCAGGAAATTGCCGAAAATATTCAAAACCGTATTTTCTATGAAGAGACGACCCACGAGCGCATCATTGCCATTGTGCGCGGCTACAAAGACCAAGGATTTGGCTACCTTGATGCTGCTACAGAGCTCGTGCATGTATTCTTGAGAATGCTTGAGCGTTACTCCAAGGAGAACGCTGACATGCAGGTCCGATCCCGAAAAAGGGCCAGGCGCAACAAGAAAAAGGCCGCCCAAGCTAATGGACAAGACGAAGACGACAACGAGGAAGCACATAACTCAGAAGACGAAGACATGGAAGATGTTAACCGATCTGTAAAAGAGCGTGCGTTTGATTTCAAGCGCTTCGCGTCCAAGTTTTGCAACCAGAAATGCGTCGACACGTTTGTTGCATTTACCGAGTTCTATCGTGAACTGAGCTCGGAGCAACTGAAACGTGCTCATCGTTACTTCTATCGCATTGCATTCAAGCAGGAAATGACGGTCTTGTTGTTCCGCTTAGATATCATCAAGCTGTTCCACAAGATGATCAAGGGACCTGGTGGGATAGACTCTAGCGATCCTGTCTTCAAAGAATGGGAAGAGCTGGTCCGTCAGCTTATTCGACGACTCGTCAAGAAGATTGACCAACGTCCTGCCATGATCACGGAGTTATTGTTCAGCAAGATGAATTCCACAGTGTTCTACCTGGAGTACGGACATGAAAGACAGACCATCTCTACTGCCAAGCGGGCGCCCGCTGAGTTAGAGTTTACTTCAAAAGAAACAATGAATAAGGAATCCAAGCTGGGAGTTGTAGCCGGCGCCCTTGCCCTTGATGGTAGGGCCGATCTCGCAAAATGGGTCGTCGATGTTTTGAGCTCGGCAGCCTCCGAGAGAGAGTCCTGGGAGCAACAAGATGAAGCCCGCCGCGCAGAGGATCCGGAGGCTGCCAGCGCCCCCAATCCCATGATTTACGTGAAAGCCCGCGACGAGTTCTGTCAAAATGCCATGTTCTCCAATGCGAAGCTCCGACTTCTCATGGGCGTGGTTGGATTTGAACGAATCGGCGTGGAAGATGTGCCTGGTGCTTCTTGGGTGATCCCGCCGACTTTGACTTCAAGTGATTTGCGGGATGCCATTTCGAATATCAGCCAAACACTTGTCAACCCAATGCCGGAAGGCAGCACTGAAGACCCTCGTACTCTGCTTGCACGCAAGAATGCCAGTGCTCGGAATAGCTCGGCTCATGAGCTCATTGACGTCAACTTTGGATCAGACTCGGAGGGTGAAGATACTGTGCCTGATGGAATCTTATTCCCCCCAAACCCTCGATCAAAGTCCAATGCCTTGGACGAGCTAAAGAAGAAACGAAAGAAGAAAATCAAGACCACATCGGAGCAAGAACCTTTGGATGATGAGACCTTAGAGGCTCGTCGACAGTTCCGTCTCTCCAATACTTTAGCCCGCCAGCAAAAGATCAAGAGTGACCTTTTCATTCATGCTAGCGATGAAGAGAGCGACATGGAAGCAGATGCGGAATTCTTCCGACTGGAAGAGGGACGACGGCTAGCACAGGCGGAGAACATCAAAAAAGCCATGCTCCATGGCATTGTGGAAACTTCTATTGCTAAAGGCAAAAAGAAGGCGGCTGTCCGCAAACGCCAAAGTGACACGGGCGTCTCTGCCGACGCAGGACCAAAGCGTCGACGACGTGGTTCTGGCTCCACCGGGAGTGGAATGGACAGTGACGGCAACGATGATATCCTCATGGCGGAAATGGAAGCTCAATCCCCTCAATCACCACAGGAAGCGTCTACAAGCAAGGGCTCCCGAGACAACGAAGACACTCCTCTTACATCGGCCGAGGATGAAATGGATTTTGATGAGGATTTTGCGATTAGTCGGAACCGAAACCTGAAGCCTGTTGTGGCCGAAGGTGATGCAGATGAAGATGACGAGGACGTCCCGGTTGTATCATCTCGCCGGCGTGTAGGAGGCTTTGTGATCGATAGTGATTCCGAGTAAAGTTGATGACATGTCTGATGACTTGATGAGGCGTTTGGGGGTTTCCATGGATTGTACTAAGAGAATACCTATTTCCGACATCATATTGTACAATTGTTGCTTACTCGCAAAATCCATCATGACTCGTAAGCATCTGACGATATGTGTGACTAACCAAGCTTCTCAATGCTCTACCCCGCAAATGATCGTCAATACGACCCCAGAGCATCTCGACCTGAATTGTCTATTCTCGAAGCCGCACTTTCCCTTGCATATATCGCTTTGGAAGTTCCCCACATATCTAGCATTGTAATGTTGCCAGCCTTCAACCAAGTGAGACCACGCTGGGTCCCTGCAAGAGTGACTAGAGCAGCAAGGTCTGTTGTTACCAGCCAAATCTACCCAACTGCTATCAACCCCTCGCGAGGGGAAGTCAATTCTGGGCGACTCACCCCTAAGAACCTGGAAGCTGCTATCCGAAGCCTGTTCCACGATGGCCTTATCGTGGTGACCGACGTGATTCCACATGACATACTCGATCGACTTAACAAGAAGATGATAAATGATGCTCAGAAGCTCTATGCACGAAAAGAAAACAGCCCGTTCAATTATAACCCGAATGATCTTCAGCAAGACCGACCACCAACGAAGAAGTACTTTGATTCTCATATATTTCTAAGTAAGTAATCTACGCCCATCCATCCATGACACGTCAGCTGAGAGCTCTACTAGACCCAATTGCAACCCAATTTACATCCACAGCACTGGGTCCTCGTCCAAAATGGACGTTCTGCTCAGGCAACACAGCCATGCCCCCAACAGACGAAGACCCACCAATATCTCAACCAGTTCACTCAGATGCCGACTTCAAGCACCCCAGCCATCCATTCGCCCATGTAATCAACGTTCCACTGATTACCATGATCCCAAATGGTTCTACCGAAATTTGGCTTGGAACGCACAAGTGCACAAATCTCCATATGCAAGAAGGCCAACACGGTGAACGGGCCAGTGGTCGAATCAAAGCAGAAGAACTTGAAAAGCGATGAGCAATACGCCCACCCTGTCAGCCACTTGTTCCAAAAGGATCCATAGTGATACGGGACTTGCGCCTTTGGCATGCTGGAAAGGGGAACCGGACGGATCAGATACGAGTGATGCTGGCGATGAGTATGTCCGGCGAGATCTGGTTACGTTACCCTGGCTAATCGAGCAACAGTTCATTTTGCGCCTTGGTATCGAAATCCCATGAAATTGCAACTTGCTTATGATCTTAAGGGAACTGTTGAGCAAGAAAATTTACTGGAAATTCCAGTTGAATGGACTTCGGAGGATGTTGTTATGGCCCAGTACTTGAATAGAGGCTTCGGGAACGCTTATGATTTTAGCCAGGGAGAAAACTCTCAGAATTAAACTTGTCTTTCATTCATATAAAAAGCCCAAGGAAAAGACAAAAGAGAGTTGACAATCATCAGAAGGGATACCTCTAAGGGTTCAAAGCAAACAAATTCTGGGCAATGCCTGTATTCCAACTTGTTGTGGGCTCTAGAACAGAGTGAGGTTACCAAGCTATTCGCAATGTAGCTTGACTACTTATTTAGTTAACAGTTCCGGTCGAAGATTTATGTAAGCAATCGGCCAGGAGCTATCGGCGAATTGGAAGCACATGCAGTGATTAAACGCGAGTCTGGATACTGGCCCGTGCATTTATCAATACGAGGATGGCTCGTTCCCCTCTTTTGGTCCTCTGGATACTTCCTACCAAGGATATTGGGCATTTTACTAGCTTCGATTATTGACTCACCATGGCTTCCAGCAACAAAGTACTGACAGCATCCTGTCACTGCCACACTGTGCAGTTCTCCATACATGTGCCCATCGCTTCTCTACCACTAAATGTGCATATGTGCCATTGCAGCATCTGTCGCCACACGCATGGCACGCCGTGTACCTTTCATGCTAGATTGCCATCTGGGGTTGAGCCGCAGTTTATCTTTCCATCCAACCTTGGCAATTTGACTGCCTACAAACATGCTACATCAATTTCCACGAGGTATTTCTGCAGTACCTGTGGCTGCCAAATTGGAGATCAGATCCATGCCGATGGCAGATGGGTGATTTCTAACGCCATATTTGATGCCAATAGGGCAGATACAGGAATATGGAGATTCACCACCCACTTACACCCGGACTCCGCACGCGACGGAGGATTATCTGCCGTGGTCTCCACCATCGATGAGCAGCAGCTGGAGCTGGTCATGCCTGAGCATTCTTCGCAGCCCATCAAAGATACACCACGGGATGACGAGGTAAGTGACGAAAAATTGCTCGCCGAATGCCACTGCGGTGGCGTGTCATTCCATATAAGTCGACCGCAAGCCGATTTTATCGCCAGTCCAACCGGCCAAAGTTGGCTTTCCCCATTGGACCAAACGAAGTGGTTAGCCTGCATGGATCTTTGTGACGATTGTCGGCTGGTAAATGGCACGCATGTCATCGGGTGGATTTTTGTCCCAGTGAACCACATCTCGCCTAATCCATCTCCCGATCTACTCATTGGGTCAGCCAAGGCCTATCGCTCCACCGCGGATGTGTTGAGAACATTCTGCCGCACTTGTGGAGCAACAGTTTCTTATAGCTGCGATGGTCGACCAGAAATAGTCGACATAGCGGTTGGATTACTACGAGCACCCGAGGGCGTTATGGCTGAGAACTGGACGTTGTGGCGGGCAGGTCGACCCTCGTGGCCAGAGAACGGATTGCGATACCATGCAGGGTTCAGTCATGCATTGATTGAGGGAATGAAGCAGTGGGGTGCAGAGCGGGGCCAATTACAAGACTTTGTCATTCCCTGAATTAATAATAATGGTTTCGTGCACTACGGCGTATATGTCAATCTCCAGATGTAATTTTTCTCTGCCGATAGCGGGTAGCTTCGGCAGCTGCACGACCCACCACGCTTCGTCACCAATGAGTCAAAAGTCACTTGGAAGCCGAAGTGGGGCAAGAGTATAAATATTATAACTCCAGTTCCAACATCAGTTCTAACTTGACTCAATTAGCACCCTAGACCACCCACAACCATGACTCAACTACGCTTTGTCACTCTCGACGTCTTCACCTCGAAGCCATACTCCGGCAATCCACTAGCCGTAGTCTTCCTACCAGAAGATGAATCCCAAGCGCTGACACAGCGCCAAAAGCACCAGATTACCCTGGAATTCAACCTGTCAGAAACCATCTTCGTCCACCCTGTTCGCGAGGAGTCTAAGCGCAAAATCGACATCTTCACCATCGAATGTGAAATTCCATTCGCAGGACACCCAACCATCGGAGCCGCAACATGGTTCCTATGCCAGGCCCCGGGGGCCGCCGGTAGCCGGGTGACCACGCTGATCACTAAATCTGGCGAGATCCCCATTACCATCCAAGATCAAGCGAGCCAGTATGTCGCTGCGCAGATCGCCCATAACACACGTATCCATGCTGCGCGGTTCCCGCTCCAGGAGATGCTGCGTCTTCATACGACTTTGGCGCCGTTTTTCCCGCAGGCTGATGTTTCGTTCCCCTTGTTCTCGATTGTGAATGGCATGTCTCAGACTTTTATTGAGCTGCCTTCTTTGGAGGCTTTGGCTGCGGTTCCTCTTGCGGCGGGTGGCCAGCTGGTACCTGTGCAAGGAAATTATCTGGATGAGGGCTGGCGATCTGGGCTGATCTGTGTTTACTTCTTTGTTCGTGATGTGGAAGATAGTGTTATGAATCAGAAGGTTATCCGGACACGCATGATGTTGGGCGGGCTTGAGGATCCGGCGACAGGTAGCTCGGCTAGTGGATTAGCGGCATACCTGACGTTGACTGAAGGTCAGGCTGGAAAGGAGCACCGGTACCACTTTGTGCAGGGCGTTGAGATGAACCGACGCAGTGACATCGGAGTCAATGTCACTCTGGATGGCAATAGGAAGATTGAGCAGGTTGTGTTGACCGGGACCGCGGTTCAGGTGTCAGAAGGCAAAATAGTGGTGCCGGATGCCTGAGAAATGGGAACGAGTTCCTAGATGCCCAGCCAGCGTTGTGTGAAAATTATCAATATTTAGTGTATAGCCGTATTGTATTTATTATGCCAACACAGCATTACGATGGATTTTTTGCAAGTTTGATGCGAGGGCTCATTACCCAAAATGAATTCGATACGACATGGTCATTCTACAAATCAGCTTGGCCGGTATATGATTGACACCTATCTGCTAAGCACACAATTAAGGCCTTAATGTTGGTCAGTAATTTTTAGTGGGCGGAGTCAAATTGAGTACTTGAAATAAACTTCGAACAATCTTCTACGTAAGATTCCATCCCTACAGCACCATCCTTCACACCGGGGTGCAAGGATCATGATGTAAAATTGTTGCAGGCAAGAGTCGCAATGAAGGAAGAATATCTGCATTGGAGAGAAGTTTATAGTCAGGCTAGTAATTAGGCCAAAAAGGGGTTAACAAATCCCAGGGCCCCTTAATCGGTGTCGGTCATACTTTGGCACTAGAGAGTGTGTTTACCAAATCAAGGCATCAAAGACAGCTCTATAAGAAGCAGACAGCCTATCTATTAGAAAATGCCATAGAAGATCTGGAGATGCAAGAATATGATGTGTTATAAACACAATTCAATGATCAGTGATGAGGCTCTGTTCTGCGAGCTCGAGAAAAAGAACATGACCAGATGAGCATCCAATTGCTAATTTGTTGCTGAAAAAAGCATAATGTGGTGTGTATAATGGTCGATATTCGGTAGGCAGCCACAAGAAGTTGACTCCATGATAGGTTATCCAGACATGATCATCACTCAAGCTATATCCATTTGACTCGAAAGATTCTTTTGAGATAACAACACTGGCATCCAGATAATCAAAATAGATTTGATTAGATTGAAGGAATGCTTGGAAGCTAATATCGATTGTCGAAACACATTGAGCTGTGGCTGGATCCCAAATCTTGACTGTCCTATCATCAGATGCCGAGGCAAGTCTGCTTCCATCCTGAGACCAAGCGATTGAATAGACCCAATCACTATGCCCCTTATGTGATATGCTCTGGCCGGTGGCTAGATCCCAGATCTTGACCGTCTTAGAAGACGCCGAGGCGAGTCGGCTTCCATCTGGAGACCAGGCAATGAAATTGACCGAATCATTATGCCCCTTGAAAGATATACTATGGCCGGTGGCTAGATCCCAGATCTTGACCGTCTTAGAAGACGCCGAGGCGAGTCGGCTTCCATCTGGAGACCAGGCAATTGAATTGACCCAACCAATATGTCCCCCGAGAGATATACTCTGGTCAGTAGTCAGATCCCAGATTCTGACTGTACTATCTCTAGATGCAGAGGCAAGTTTGTTTCCATCTTGAGACCAAGCGATTGGATTGACCCAATCACTATGCCCCTCGAGGGATATACTATGGCCGGTGGCTGGATCCCAGATCTTGACCATCGCATCAGATGATGCCGAAGCGAGTCGGCTTCCATCTGGAGACCAGGCAATTGAATTGACCGAATCATTATGCCCCTTGAAGGATATACTATGGCCGGTGGCTGGATCCCAGATCATGACCGTTCTATCAAGAGACGCTGAGGCGAGTCGGCTTCCATCTTGAGACCAGGCAATGAATTTAACGAAATGACTATGCCCATAGAGAGTTTGAAGACAAGGGCTCCAATCTTCCTCTACAATCGGATTATTCAGAACCCAATCTGGTCTTTCCATTTGAAAATGCCTTCTTGTAAGGCTACTTGTTGGGCTAAAGATCAGAGGTGTGCAATATACTTGTAACGGGCTGATCTCGATTGCTGTTCTGTAATATCGAGTGAACCTATAGGCATCTCGAACCTGGTCCAATAGGGCTTGTGAATCACTTTCCTTCTATTGAAACAGGTACATTCCTTGTTAGAGTATTGGAAATATCATCTCGTGTGGGCCCAATCTATGTTGGTACTAGTGGACATACCTGAATCAATACCTCAAGTTTTTGCATGGCTTGGATACCATATGAAACGCTTCCCAAAAGGCTCAAGGCCTCAAGCCAGTAAAGATAACTCTGCCGTATAAATAGATCCACAGGACCTCCCTTATCAAGCGTATTGGTGTTATTGCGCGTACTGTTCTGAAGATGGTCTACCCAGTATACACACGCGTATTGTGCCGCTGCTAATGGATCTTTTCTGGGAGGTCTGACGTCCTTGATCGGAATTCCAGGCAATTTGATGTCAAAGATATCACGCCGAAGTATCCTGCGCATAGTTTCGAGAGAATGCGTGAAAATATTATAGTGTTCAGCTCCAATATCGTTAGGAAACAGCTCATTCGTTGCTTTCCGGAGCAGATAATCCTTTGCTGACTGATGGACAAAAACGATAGTGTCTTCCCGTAATGTCAGGAACGAGCCACAAACTGCGATAGCCTCTGAAAGGAATTTATAGTCATCGTAATCATCATCAAGTGCATCGTCCGGAACTTCAATAAGTGAGGACATTTCGTGAAGAGTGATAGGCCGGTAGACTGTTAACATGATAGCTAGTATCTGCTTACAGAGTTCAGCATCATCCGACTGGTGAACCTGGTCAATCATCCGATCATAGAGAGCGTCCAATCCAGATGGAAATGCACTTAGGCTCTTGAGAATTTTCCTTCGCGGAGATTTATCAAGTTCTTGACAGACTAAGGCCACCCAAAGAAAAGTATTTTGCGAGTGTGATAATAAGTAACGGCAGACGGTATCGTGGGTTTTGTCACCATATTTCTTCACACTCGCCAACTGGGAAGCCTTATATTGAATAAATATGCTCACAGCTTTAGAGACAGATGCCTCATTCAGCTCCAATGAGATAGGCGCTATCTGTGTTACAGTGTCAAGACGCTCGATGATGTCAGGCCAGTTACGGCTAGAGAGAATCCATTTTAACTGGGCCTTCTTTGACTGTGTGTGGCCCGATGATTCCTGGATCACCAGGTCCAGAAGAAAGCGAAGACCAGTTATGCATTCATCTACCGCATCGATTACTAAATAGGTACTCCGTAAGTCTGGATCTTTCAGAATATCCGTGAAGATGCTTGCGAGGGCACTCCATGCATTCACGCCCTCGAAAAGTGATTTCCCTGCTTTTTCATACCGACCTCGCACATGTTGCAGCAAATGCGGCTGTTTCCAGACAAGGGAATATATTAAGCCACGAAGAACGGCTGTCGCAGTATTGATTCGCCCATCCGTAGCTTGACAGAAGAAAAATGAGACATTCGCAATACCCCCGACAGATCGCGTCAACTCTTGGATAATACCACACAGGAGCATCGTCTTGCCTTTTCCAGGATCACCTCTGATCCAGAGGAGAGGGTTGCTTTGATTTTGGTTGCTTCGCCATCGTTTGAACTCCTCGTTATCTAGAATCCAGCGGTATGAATCCTCAAGCAGACCTCCTTTGGTTTTCTTGATCCGTTCCATATCATCTTCAGGATCGGTGACCCGCAAATCCCATAGGCATGCCTGGGCCGACGACGGTTCTGATTGTACTAAGGTTTTCATTCGTTAGTCATGATCTATTAGCTAGAGCTGTCTCCCACTTACCAATATTTGTGGTGACATTGCCACCTGCATTGATCATCCCCGCCTGATATCCAGAGTTCGTGCCGTTGAAGGAAACATTGGTCGACATTATTTCAATGGGTGGCTTTGATCAGGATGGTCATTCAGGTCGCAATTGGATCTTGAGGCGTATAGTGTACTCCGCTCTCACATGATCTATCCAATTGGCCGTTAATTAATCAATCCACTAGTCTTGATTTCCAGTATTCACCTAGAGATGCAATAGCTCCTCCTACTTGCCGTGAATAATGGAAAAATCTCTGATCAACATGTACTTTTTGTCATTATGTTCGTGGAAGAAAGCAAAGCTGGGGAGCCTTAGAATAAGTTGTAAAACAGCAACCCATGGACTCTGTAAGCGTGTTTTGGAAGTAACGCCCTTCATTCTCGATTCCGATTCTTCTCTGTTTAAGTCAAGAAAAAACATATTTGAGCCTTGATGCTTGACTGTGGATCATATGAATATCAAAGTTTCTGATCCGCAACCATTTGCCGCAAAACCTTGAGTGTCCCTTCAACCGCCGATTTTCCCATGTTCTTCTCCTTCACCAAAAGCTCTTCCATCTCCTCCTTGGACGCTTCGGGGTGTTTCCACTCAAAGATGTAAGTCAAATAAAGTTCCCCGTTGCCTCCCTCGCTGATGACGTTGCTAATATTGCCGCCGGCTTGCACGAACTCGACTCGGGTAGGTTCATATGCCGTCACGGTTTCCTGGACTTTCTTGCCCGATTCGCGGAACACCACATCTCGCACAATAATTTTGTTCCCTGATGATGGATCGACCGATTCGCTCAACACCTCTGTCTTAGAGATAGCTCCCGACACAAAGCTTTCAGCAGAGCGGATTTTCAAAACAAGGCCGGCCCATACTTGGGCGTGAGAAAGTGGGGTTTCTCCCGGTGGGTTGACGGGAGCCGTGTAGGAAAGGTTATTTGTGGGAACCATGATGATATTTGGCAAAGAGTTTGATGATGACAAGTTACAGCTCAAGCGACGGTTAGATTTGAGGTCATAGCCCATTTTGAGGCGGTGTGAATTCCAAGTTCCCGAGCTCTCGTATCGAGTCATCGGCTTTATTTGTTCTCCGACTCGCTCGCACATGTATACATGACGTCCGACCGAACAGTATACTTGACGCCTCTAAAGACATCATCGCCACAATGCATCAAGTTTCGCTGTTGAAAAATCAATAATGAGCCCGTCTTTGGAAACACGCGCACGACTTCTCGCGCCCGATAATCGTCGGTGAATGAAGTAGCCCCGCCAAGTAACTTCTCCTGCGACTCTGCAGTTGTGGACGCATGACCGGGAGAATCGGGCGTGTCGTACAAAATATTGTTTAAATCAACTTCCCCATCCTGTGCGAAAAGTGCATGCTTCTTCTCAGCACGCTCAATCTCCGGCAACAGCTCATCCAAATCCTGCTCGCCATCCCCGTTCAAGTACAGATGAATAGTAAGAAGCGACCGCTCCTTCCCATCAGGAGTAACATAGCACCCATCCCAATGTGGTCGAAAATAGTCTCCTCCTTCGTAACGCAGGAAACGAAGCCGCTCATTTAAGCGGGATAAATGATACGTCTCCCCACGTCTCGCAGGACCAAGTCCCGTAATAGGGGGCCTGTTATGTATCTTATCGAGGTCAAAGTCGCGCATAAATGGATGTAGACGATCAAGGATTCGCTGTGCGATATCTGGGGAATCGAAAATGATTCGTCCGCTCTTTCGGCTGTCCACTGACATGACCTCTTTGCCCCCGCCTGCATTGATCATCGCACGTTCCCATACTGGAGCCTTTGACTGGGCGTCGGGATTCGTGGATTTCTCTGCAAGTTGTAGCAGCTCCAAGCATTCGCTTTCAGTCATGAAATTGTCAATTACGGCGGCAAAATTGTTTTTGAACGCTAGAATAGCGGGCATTGTTTTGGTGAAGTCTATCTGATGGACTGTGGCGTTTTTTGGTGGTCCTCGAAGGAAGCCATCTGGAATCTGTGCTGTTGACATAGTGGTATCTGATTTTTTGTCTTCTCTGCCTTTACTCTGTAAAATAATTGAGCATAATTAACAGGTACAAGAGTGACTGAGGATGAGTCAATGAGGCTCTGCTGCCTGAACTCAAGCCTGACCTGCACAGCCTACAACCTTAGTGGCGCAGCCAATGTCACCCCACTTGGTTTAGCGAAAGACTGAATCGAGTAAGTAGATCAACTCGAGAGCTATATCATAAAATCAACTAGGAATAGTGATTGCCAAATATTTCAGAAAATATGAAATTCCGACTTGATTGGAATCAAAAATGTGAGATAGAGCAGCAGCTATACACATAAACAAAATAAATAGTGACAAGGCCAAGATTTCAAAGCTGACTCAGGATATAATAGTGATGTTCGAACCGGTGTACTCACAGCTACCCGGCACAGTAATAACAGCACCCTCTCCCTTAGCAACAGAGGTATGATTATACGTGGGATTAACAGCCATAATCTGACCAACCGTCGCACCCGTTTTCTCCGCAATATCTTTATAAGTCCCGTAGGTGAATGTCATCGGATGAAAAGAGCAAGTACTCGGACTGCATTGCGGAAGCTTAACGAACTGGCCGACCTCAAACATTGCGTCAACACCAGTCCCATCGTCCCGAGCAGTCGACTGAAGAGCCTCTAATGTAAGGTTGAGTTTCAGGGCGATGTATCGAAGTGTATCCCCTTTGATAGTGTAGTAGGTATGAGGGCCGCCCTTAACACAGTTGGAATACGTGGCACCAGGTTTGTGAACGATCAGACATGTCGAGTTATCAGGCTGGCAGGATTCGGGCGGAATGAGAAGTTCCTCATCTGCGTAAAGAGGAATCATAGCATCTGCCATCCGGTTCATTCGAGAAATGTCGCAAATTCCGCGGTTGGTTATGCGAGAAATCTCTGAGATGGTTTCATTCTCCTTCACATTGTAGGTTCCGACAGTTGTGTTGAGGGTTGATGGGTCGCACGAGGAAGTTCTGCGGTGGAAGTTCTCATGACTGGAGCCGGATACCAGGCTGAGAAGAGAGAGTTGGAGAAGAGTGGAGAGTTTCATGATAGTCTGGATGAATTTGGTGGGTTTGCGTAGCTAAGGGGGATGAACTAGACGGGAATCTGTAGTCAGTTTTAAACCATTCTATCATGTAGAAGCGAAGCAATTGATCTGCGCAAAAGACTACTTCAAATGTAGCTCTGCTCCGTATGCAAGGGATCTTCATTTTTACGCGTCTCAATGAGAAGAATATCTTGGGATAGCGTGTTGTGGAGCAACATAGGTATAGTAAACTAGTCTGCCCGGCAGGTGGTTACGCAAGGCAACAGCGCCAATTGACGCGAGTATTATGGTAGATCAGCTTCCCATTGGCTGATAACATGACGCAGACAATGATGCAAATCTCGGAAAATGTTCATGATCCGAAGATGAAAGGCATGCACTCCTGTAGATCCATGGATACCGTCTAATCACCGAGCAGACTATCACCTAATCGAGTGACAAGGACCGAGAAGCAAGGCCGAACCCCACTTTTCCCGAGCCTGGACAGATACAAGCGATACAAGCTTAAAAAGTTTATCCCTGCTCAGATTAAAGCATTTATTTTGAAATTCATAAGCTTTCATTGATTGCTCCTCCATCAAGGCGGGCCGACTTCCACTCCCTCTATACGGCCTAAAGTGTCCCTAAAAAATCTTGGCTGCATGGATCTACCGGCCCACCGGCCCAATGTGGAGACGAGGGATCTAGTGAGTACGCATAATGGGGGTTAATTCGTGGGGTAGGATTCATGCACATTGACACGAGTAGTTAGAGACCGATCTGACTTAAAAGACTTTGCTTCAAGTAGTTACATATCGCGATAATGCCTCTTGCTGTGTATTTCTTCGGTCATGATCTACGTACTGTCCACGATCGGAAGTTGCCGGCAAGGCACCTTGGAGATGAAATGAATCCCTTCACCAGACTTGAAACTCCCAGATGCAACTACAAGTATACCATCGAATACCGAAGCAGAAGAAAACTCTCGATGGTTCAAGATCGGATCAGGCTTCCGAGCCCTGCTATAGTTCAGCAAGCGGCCCGGGATTACCTTGGGCTGCCCATGTGCGACCGGGACGGTGATCTGCACTTCCAATTGATGGGAGAAATGCCTGAGCTAATTAGAATCAAGTAACACATATGACACAAACCAGCATTCAATGTTGATTAGGGCATGAACACGAAGAATGGATTTCAGGGAAAACCCGTTGTGTGGCCCGGTCCCGCGCCGAGGCAAACCGCAAAAAACCGGGCCGGTCAACTACCAAGGTTAGTGGGGATAAGGGCCTCACACAATCCCCAAAAATATTGACGCAGTGAATACTGTAGGTCGGGAAAAAGTCAAGGAAAATAGAAACAAAGAAAAAGGGTATATTGATCTATAATTTTATATCTAAGGAAATTTGATTTTCCTCATGAAGGCTTACGTCGTTCATCCAACTGGTCGTGTAGATACAAACGTCCTTCCGTATTGAGGAACCCACCAATTCCAAAGGCGGGGATAATGCGACACATGCGAAGGAGAGACGCGCCAATCCAATCGCGACTGATCCTTGAAATCCGATCCTTCATCGGTAGCACTTGGGGTCTATTATAAACATCCAACCCGAATAAGTGAATGGGAGTGCTAACGAGTTGAATGGATGCGGGGATGGCGAGTTGCGCAATCAAGATCTTCAAATACTCCTGAGATGCGACTGAGTCTGGGATGTTCGCGGAGACCATAGCGGGGAGACTGAAAGATCCAAAGATTGTAAGGCCATCTCTGAGAAGGAATGCAGAGTATGTAGCCAAGGGAATTCTGGTTCGGCCGATTGAGCGAACGATGTTGGGAGTCGAAGTTGTAGGTGTTGTAGTCGATGGAGTCGGGGTATTTTTAATATTATTGTGGCCAAAAAGTTGGGCGAATTTGACATCTTTCCAGATTCCCACGGAGGAGTTGACGAAGAAGGTCGATGCAAATGTGGTCATCCCCGCGATCGCGTGGTCGATCTTGGGGTAGACTTTGTTCAACAAAGTCTCTGACATATTGGCTGTTGCAAACGTAGCTGTGTAGAGGGACCAGACCAGGAGACTGGGGCGTGATGTTAAGAAGGTGGCCGGCTGTGTAAGGGAGAACCAAAGATGCTTGCGAAATGCGGGGAGAAGAGGCTGATTGTAAAAGGATTTTTCGACAACAAGTCTAGGATGCTGTTAGCTTCAAGACTCCTTCTGAAAATAAGAAGATCAAATCTTACCGGTCGAAGATCATCACGGCAGGCGTTATAAGTGCTGCTGAACCTGCAGCAACAAGCGAGTCGGCTACCAGAAGCTCTCCGAGTCGGCTCCCGCTGCGTTGAATGCCCAGTGGCATGGTCTTATCTTGGAGAGTTTGAGTCATGACGTTGAACTTCAATTACAGCAAGGTCATAACCCAGTCTGCGGGGGCCGGTAAGGTTTCCCAAGGCTAGTATAGGAGGGGTGAGATTCTAGAGACAGAAAATCCACGATCAACTAGAAGTCAAGGCCTAATCGCAACCGAGAACACAATCGATTAGATAAAACAAATTCAAACGTGGGGTCGGACATCATTGTCGCAGACACACGACTTACTGTGGATCGGTCTGGATTGATGACCGAATTCTGCAAACCGGTGAACCTCAGAGACGAGGGAAAGTGGGAAAATAGCTGAATAGGAAAAAAATGAGTGGGAGAATGCGTTAAAAGAAGAAGTCCACAACCGAAGCCAAATCACGAAATATATCCCGAATGAATAGGTAATGTAATGCCAACATCTTATCGCCCAACAATTCAAGTATCAAGCACTGATTTGCATTTATAGATCGGTCTTGAAACCTAACCCCTCGTCGGCGAGATGGTCCAATCACAGCCCAACCGGCCCGGGCCCCGGTGATGCATTCCGGTCGCTAATTGGCCTAACCGCCGCCAATGATCGACCTGCCTTTTTCCAGGAACAAAATTGTTCTAGAAGAACGGTGAGTTCATTCACGTAAGAATTAAAACCGGACATTTAGGACGCATGGGCTTGCCTCAAGGGGCATGTTGTGATTATTCCCCGCGTTAACCCGATATCGCCTTCCCTGAAATGACGAGCTGGAGGTTTAGAGTATGCTAAGTTTTCACCGACTTAGGCGGTGCGAAGTGGGGTTCTCCTTTCTTTTGCGAAATCAGGCATTAATAAGAGATAAGGTTTACATCAGATAGTTGTTATTGAAGCCTCGTTTTGACAGCTCACTAAGTAAACAGAGTTGACTTGTGCGTTGGGATCACAACTTTATGTGTAAGTCTATTGTGTAGTCTTGGTATGGTCAGTGGTTCAGTAGGCGAAGTAATTTCTTTCTAGACAGAAATGGATTTAGACGCCAAAAAGAGGCCAACGGGCACCGCTGATAAAAATCTAGGGTTCTCTCGTAGCAAGATTAAAGGCAGGCTCTGGGGAACTTAGATCAAGATGGTTCTTAGTGAGAATAGACCTAGGAGTCTGCCCCACTACAACCAGGGAGACTGCCCCCGTGATCAGCTAGTCATAAATCAGGTGAAATTCATGTGAGGCAAATGTCAAGGTTCTATGTGCTCTACTTTTTCCAGATCGTTAACCATGCTCTGTTGGGGGCAGACTAGCTGTTTGGTCATGTTTGCTCCGGTTTATAATAACGGACCTCGCTATTTTCTCCCCATCTCCCCTCAGTAGCTCAATTTATCAATATTTTCGTCGCTTTTGTCGTTCCGCTCACTGTCATGCCAAGAGGCAAGAATCTTGAAACGCCCTACCTAAAATATCAAGGCCCCTAGGAAGGACAAGGAAGAAATATTTTGATACGATCAAGCTACCAAGTCAATTTGTTTTGCCTTCTGGTGAATCTTACCTGCGCACACTTAAATACCTACACCCATCCCGGTAGAACACATAAAGGCACCCGAAGACGAAAAAGGAAGCCGACACTGCTGCATTCAGTCATTAAGGAGGCAGTGGAGAATGTGGAAACATAGGCTGAGAGCTGCTGAGTAAGGAAGTTCATCCAACCAAGGCAAGTCTTTCCATCAAATCCACCCTAACGCACATTATTTCACTTGCGCCCTAAAAGGGCCCCGGGTTGGGACAGGAAACTAGGACAGAAAGCAAAATCCGGGGTAACTCTGTTTGTGAGATAGTCTCCACTGGCACGCAGGTCAAAGATGCTTCCTCTGAATAAGTAACCGTGGTCAAGTCAGACGGTAGACCACGTAAAATGCCTATCTTTCCAGCCTACGCTCATCATGAACACAATTTCGGGCCCGAATCCCATCCCTGCAGAGGTTATAGTCCACATTTTCGGAGAACCTTCTCTTTCGGACGCGATTCATCTTGCCACAACTTGCCGTCGACTCTACCAGATCTTACGCAGCAACACGCTTACTATTCACGAACGCCTACGCAGACGTATTCAATGTGAAAGACACGCAAGAGTCCTACTGGCAGATCAAGGGGATCAGTCGTCTTAGTCTTTGGTGACTATCCGTGATCTTGTACGATTGCGACGAAACTCCCGCATAGTGGAGAAAGCGATCAGTGTGTTTGATCGTGATATTTCCCTGCAAATATGAAGTGAATATTTCGATCACTGATTTCATGCAAGAGTTCGACTTATTATTTTATTTAGTTCCTGAAATGAGCATTGATGATGAATTTTCCGTCATCGGTTCACTCGGAGTTACTATCTAATCTGGAGTCTTTTCCTCCTAGATCGGCCACCTCGACAACAACGATATCGAAGCATGCTGCTTGAAAATTGATACATAAATTATGAAACGATCAAACTTAACCAGCCGATCGGTGACAAAATGGCAAAGTCACTTCTGCCTTCTAAGAAACGAACCTAACTCAGAGAAGTGGAAGTGTATCTCCGTTATCTCTACTGCCACATCCATGAAAAGACTATGTCAATTTCTCAGGACAGAGTATTTCCATGCGTACACAAGGGAATACAGTCATATGGCATCATTGCCAGCTTGATTTGAAGAGGGTTGTTTGCTACCCATGGCGGAATCCAGAGAAAAGTCCGTCAGGGATGACGAGGTGTGGAACCATACGACTGATGAGGAATGAAAGTATTTTTTAATATAACGAAAGACTTTGGAAAATCGAACAATGGCTGAAAAATAGGCATAGATGAAAGTGCGCGTAGACTGGTGAGAGCACTATCGCCATCACTAAGCCCGATAGATTCTCACCTTCTAGTGTCTGGTTTCAGTGCTGATTTTCAACCAGAAAACCAAGAACAATCCCCTGGCGCGTCCGGGTCCGCCCGGCTGTCTGAAATGAGTGGTGACAATAAGGGTAATTAGCTAGAACCCCTGTCTTCCTTATCTTGTCGCCATGGTCGCAAAACAAGGACATGCCGGCATTGGGCTTTTATTAGATACGGAAGACAGCCTATGACTGCGTGCCCTGGACAAGTGGCGTCGTGAAGGGCCTAGGAAGATTGTGTTGATTTTGGGTGATGAGATGAAAAGATAGCTGTTCTTCATTTGGCCTCATCGTACCATCCGTCGTCTCTACCTGCACTGATACTATACTCTTGCTTGCACCATACTGCCAATCCGCAGACAACATGCCTCGCTAGAGAGGAAGACTATTTGTATTCATTTAACGTGATGGCCAAACAGATCTAAGCATCAAGAGTTAGTATAGATATCGGAATTCGTTTAAATTCGCATGTGCAAAGTTGAGTGCAATATCTCTCACCCCCAAATGTGGCCCACTAACTGCAATACTCCTCTTATCGCTTTAAGGCTTGAACCCTGGCAAGCATTCGCCAGTAGGCTTGTTGAAGTTTAAAAAGATTCGGGAAATTTCGCTGGATTATTATACGCCTTGTCGTCATTGGTTGGCAGATTGTTATCACTGATAACGATAAGGATATTCGCAAATTGTGGCGGTTGAGTCTCCGCTCTCACCCGCATCCCCGCATTCTCTCTTTAATGCACATACAGCCTCAATAGCGAACCCTGAAACGAGAAGATTCATCCAGGTTCCTGATTCTATGCCCACTGAAAGTGAAGCAGGAGGCTCTTTACGCGTCTCGCAGCGACGGCCTCTAGCTTGCCGAGGTATTTGCATCCCTTCGTTTCTCAGCCCGCCACGTTGACACAATCTAGAATGCACCAAGCGAAAGAGGAAGTGCGATAAACAAATTCCTTGCACAAGGTGCCGAAGACTCAATCTTCATTGTTCAGTGGAAATTGTTCAACTCCGAAGAAACACTGTGCAGCACGCGTCCGAAATCCAGTTTCTGGCCGCGATACTGGCAGATGTGGATTCCTTTTCCGCAGAAAAGCAACCACATATCAGTCGGAAATTAAGAGATCGAATATCGCAGCTACAGACTGGCCAAAGCCATGAATCCGACGGAGTCAGCGCTGGATCAGGAGCGGAAGACCCGGAGCCATTCAACAGCCATAAAGAACCAACTTTGCAACCCCCGTTTGCCGAGGTGGCTTTAGAGAGTCCAGATCCACCACTTCCGACAGCAATTGAACATCTAGCTTGGGGTCGAAACGCGGCAGGATGCTTCCCGCATCGGAGATGTGGATGCCAGTATCGAAGAGACAGCCCAGAACTTTTGTCTATGAACGGCGGCAGTTTTCAATTCTACGGCTCGTCTTTGGAGCCTTTGATCCAGCTTCCCAGGACCGCGGATGCGCAAAGCCTTATCAATTTCCATATAGGTCATCTCACGTGGCATCACAACTCTTTCCATGGACCCACATTTCTTGAACAATGCGAGTTGTTCTGGAAGACGGGCAGATGCGATCATCCACTTTGGATGGCGCTTTACTTTTCTGTGCTGAGCTGCACAATCAATTCGATCCAGAACAGTCGAAAGTTAACCGTGCTAATCAACGTTGATCTGGACCTTATGCCGTCTGCTCAGCAACTATTTTCCGCGATGGTACAGACTCTCTATGGCGCTCATTTCCTGAACAACTTATCAATATACTCGGTCCAATCTGTTGTGATTTCAACAGAGGTTGCCCACAACTTAGGTCTCAGTCAGTTGAACGCGACTCTATTCAACGCAGCTGTGCGGATTGCGGAATGCCTTGGAATACATAAAATCAAGAACCACCCTCCAACACCTAAAACAGAAGACGGGTGGGAAGAGCGCGTTGAACGAGAGGTCGGACGACGAGTGTGGTGCCAAATGTTGATCCAAGACCACTTTGCAATTCCATTCACAGACACATATAGCATTTCTCCAATGCACTTCTCGACTGGGCGACCTCTCAATGCAGACGACTATGATTTAGCAGATGCACCACCTGAAACGCCAACAATAAGCAGTTATGTCCGTGTTCTCGTGGATCTGGCCGCATTAATGCCAGGCTTAGTTGACGGACTCGGACCGATGCACCGTCGCAAATCATATCGAGAGCAATATGAGCACATTCTTCGAGTGGACCAAAAAATGCGCGCAATTGTAAAAGGCATACCTCCGTTCATGCTTCGTCCAGACCCTATCAAAGAAGCCCAAATTCCCTGGCTTACAATTGCCCGGCGTAGTCTGGCCATAACGGCAGCTGAAAAGATCATTATGATACACCGACTATTTTTGTTTCGTTCATTCCATGACCCGACCTACGTTCATTCTCGGCGGACTTGTGTTGCAGCTGCAATGACAATTTTACGCGAACATGAGACAATCGTGGAAGATGACGACCTATCAATCTGGACGCACACGGCATTTGCCATTACAGCCGCAGTAATATTGTGTTTTGAAGTAAACACAGTGATGGAAACTTCAGATAGAAGAAGCGTACCAATGTACAGAACAGCTGTCCTTGCAGCGCGCGATCGACTTTCTTCACGAAATGGCGATATACTTGCACAGCGCGGTGTTGCTCTGATTAATGCGATATTCATTGCTGAGCAGTCCGGCTCCAGCGCCCCAGAGATGAATCGACTGAAATCCATTGACTTCAACCGAGTATTTTCCAATTTTTCCACTTTGAGCAAAGCGAGTGCTATCCCCTCTCCTGACGAAATGACACCGGGAAAGCTTTCGACTGGCACCCCTGAAACAGTAGATGCACCTGATGTGGGCGAACTGCAACTGGCTTGGAACCAAGAGGAAATTGATTTCGATCTATGGTTTAACGGAATTTTCAATAACTTTCCTGGCAATCAGTTGTAAACAAAAGTTTTATTTTGGCGGATTGGAATGGACAAATGATGGGTTTGTGGCGCAGTGAATATTTCAAATTTATCGAAGATGACCTAGGTTCTGACATATCCAGTATCATTGACCCCTTCATGACTTCTGAATGGCTTAGGCGGTGTTACACTTGTCATTGTGCATTGCCACAGCATACGCTTCTTGTCTTCGTCATGCTTATGCTGGGATAATTGCCCAGTGATACTGTGCATAACGCCGCGGTTGTGGAAGATGACTAAATCACCTTCCTCCCAGCGGTGGGCGTAGATGTTCTCGGCCGCGTAGATCTTCTTCTGCATGTTGTACACCACGTTCCTGACTTCTTCGACATCGTCAATGACCGTTACCTCTCCTGTGGCTGGATTGCGTGTGCTCAGTTTATAGACACAGCACCCGTGGACTTGAAGGAATGGCCTGTCAGGGTTAAGTGGATTACGCCAAACCATCTGAAATCATCAGTAAACAGAAACATTTACTATCCAAAGAAGATGTAACTCACGGGATGTTCCGCAACTTTATCCCAACTCCATTCAGACAACTTCTCAACTGGCATCTCACTTCCTAGTGTGGGAATAGTAAGGCCATCATCAGAAGCCTTGCACTGCCTAATATACTCATAGGCCTGTGGGGCATATGTGACAGTAGTGTTCAGAGCGAACTCCTGCTCTTCAGGAGTAAGAAGTGCAAAAGCGCGGGCACCCGAGAAAACTAAGTGCGCACTGTTTAGTACAAAAGCATGCATAAGAATAGGGAACGGTAAACTCACAGGCTGTAGCACCAGCACCAATAGCCTTTTCCTTTCCATCCGGAAATTTGATCTTCTGATCGGGCAGATTTGGAATACGAATCGAGTGCAGGATGGTGACTTCACCGGGCAACCGCTCATAGAACGGGGTATCCATGTGCCACCTATAGGGGCGAGTGAAGCCCTGGTCAATCTCTTCTTGCGCAAGAGGCTTCTCGTGAAACAATGTGTGGTCCTGGTAGATGTCTTAGTCTCATCTCAATTTTGATAAAACAGGTAGGTAAACATACCAGATGAATGACTTCTAATTCCTTAAGACCTTCGTAATCATGGAATGTTCCAGACCCAATGATTCCGACTTGGGGGGCCTTGGGAATTCTTCCAGCCTTGTAGGCAGAGAGAATGTTCTTCGGATCGCTCACAGCTTTCTCTCCAGCGGAGTGAACATCCGATGCACTCGGGTCAAAGACCTTGGCTAATTGTGGGAGGACAGTGGGGTCGATTCCTTTTTGGTCTCGGATGACAATAACCTGGTTTTCAAAAAGAGCTTTTCGCAGCGTCTCTTTGTCGTTTTCTGTCAGACGGTCCAGATCTACCTTGGACATTCCCGGAGGAAGTTGCACTTCGGCTCCGATGGCAGAGCATTGCCGGATAGAATCCGGGAGCAGGTTAAATGTAAGGCTGGTTGATTCAGGCATATTGAAAGGAGAAATTGTTCTGAAGCTTGAATTATTGGACTTGAACGTCTATTCCTCGTCAGTTATATAGATGTTCATTGTTGATACAGCGGGTGAGTACGGAAGCCCGCCCGCTGTATACGTGAACTCACCCGCACTATGGATCAAGGCGTGATGACTTTGAGCCTTGGAGTGTTATCGTCTTTACACTGCTTCAATTGTCAACTATTATCGAGATTGACACAATTGCCGCGTGGGCCTGGGGATGAGATCTAAAATCTCACCCGCGTTTATGGTTAAAGCTTAAAAGTATAAAGCCCTCGGGTATTCTTGATGTTTAAATCCTTAGCACTTTTCTACACATCAAGTTCAACTCTTGGCACAAAATGACTACCACCACAATTTGCTGCAAGCCTCTCAGTCCGCCCAATGCCTCAAAAATTGACTTTGGGGTTGAGTTGATGGGGGTGAACCTTGAGGCTATGAACGGTATGTCCACTTCATTTACTGCTATTATATCTTGACTAATTCGACTCAGACAATGAATTTACCATCCTCCGTCAAGCTCTATACGAGAACCAGATTGTTGTCATCAAGAACCAAGGCAACCTGACCCCTCGAGCACAATATGAGCTCACCCGCCGATTCGACCCTGTCGCTGGAGTCTACAGCCACGGCAAATCCATCGACAAGCGAAGCGTTCTCCACGCCGATCTCACAACAATTCCCCATCAGCCACAAGTGCAAGTCATTGGTCATGGCTTCGTCAAGGAGTATGAAGGATTATCCAACATCCAGCTACGACACCCCCACCACAAAGCCTTCCACAAAACTCCGATCTCGGCTGAAGAGGACGAGGACTTCACGCATTTCTATCGCTGGCACATCGACTCAGCGATGTACAATCTAGACCCGCCTCTTGTCACATCACTACTAGCAGTCCAAGTACCCAAGGGCAGACGCCAGACGTGCCGCTACGACGACGGTACAGCCGATACCCTCGATGTTCCCCTTGGAACAACGGCATTCTTCAGCGGATACCGTCTCTACGAACTACTATCCGAAGAAGAAAAGCAGTTCGTCCGCACTAGCAAGGTTGAATACGCACCTCACCCTTATATTTGGATGAGCAAAGCGAAGTCCCGCTCGAATGGGCTTGGCATCGTCTCAGAGGGATTGGAACTTGCGGATGAGGATTTACCCCCGTTCGAGTCTGACAAGATCAAAACATACCCTATGGCCTGGAAGAACCCAATTACCGGCAAATTAGCCATGATGGTCTACCCAACTTGTGTCAGAAAAATTCATCTGGAGAATGGCGAGGTATTGGACAATCTTACTGAGATTCGGGAGCGCTTGTATAAGTTGCAGAGACGGGGGATTGATCCTTCTCTGATCTATCCTCATGACTGGCAAGAGGGTGATCTTGTGCTCTTTAACAACCATGGAGTCATGCATTCTATTGTGGGCTCTTTTAAGGACCATGAGGTTCGGGTTTTCAGGCAATGTAATATGGCTGCGAGTCGGCCTCCAATGGGACCCTCAGCGGTCTAATATAACGAATAGAATAAAAAGAATGGTCCTCGAGAATGATATAGTATTTCCTTTTCACTGATAATAATCAAGACTCCGGTCGAGCTAAAATGCCTAGAACAATAATATTCTGCTTCACCATCCGCGCGCTTCATGCAAACCCCAGACCATCGATACCCAATTGAGATGATTGTTATCAGGAGGAATGGGCGGCTGCCCTGGCATGTGAGATAATAACCATGGATCTGACCAAGGATATCCAATTTGCCCAGCCGCACCAGATAACAAACTATCGTCTCCAAAGCCCATTCCCATTCTTGTTCCCACGCCCATATCCATACCCATAGGTATAGGCATTGGCTGACTCAACAAATTATTTAGAGCATCATCTGGCAGCTCAGAGTTAGGAGTCGGAATGTCCTTAGTCATTTCTGCCAATTTTTGCTTGATGCTGACAACAATCTTCGGAGACGACACCTGTGCGCCTGACTGTTTGTAGGATGTTTCGAGTGTTTCCCAAGCCTCAAGGATATTCCTCGCAAATATCGCAAATAGACTATCAGATCTGGTGGACGAGTTAAATCGCGCCTCATAGTTTTCATTCATCACCTCCCAGGCCTTTTCAGTGTGTTTACTCCTAGGGCGTTTTTTCAGGTCCTGGATGATATGGACATATCCCGGAAATGGGAAGTAGATTTGAATAAGCCAAGCATACCCTTTCGTAGGGGAAGAAGTAAGAATCTTCGTGTCACACTCGAGCAGGCGAAATGCCTGGGCCACAGACGCATCTCTCTCTGTATCGGTGGGGGGTGCAAAGGAGTCAAGATATTTCGCATATCTCTCCAAAAGATAGCATTTTGAAATATGTGCCCGTATTGTCCACATAGTCATAGAATGAAGTGGATTCTCCTCGTCGCAGTATTTGAGATACTCATCCTCGATTCTCTTTTCGAATGTCGCTACATCGCCTCCATTGGGAAGTTCCCTTGCAATTGGCTTTAAGGCTGGATTCAAAAATTCGAGATGAAATGGGGAATGTCGAATATAGTTGGCCAATTCGCTGCGCAGGACTGTGAATACTGCTTCGGTCGCTTTGCCCTGAACCGCGGGTGGCTCTTTCATCTCCATCCAAATATCTGAGTCGTTGATGTTTAAAGGGGGCTTGCAGTTCCATGTAGGGTTCAGAGTGGATGTTTTGGCCCCTGCGAGCTCGCTAATGCGAGCATCAAGCAATACAAGGGACCACCACAGTCTGCGGCTCATTTGCGCCTCGAAGACGCTTAACTTAGCCAAGAAAGTTTCACAATGAATTCCCATACGCTGGGCAATTCGGATTGCCATTCCAAGTAATGACGAAAGGGACTGAGGATTTGTGTTCGACTGGAGTGAAAGCTAGGCAGGATTAGAAAGCGTTCTTTTCACAACTTTGAAAACGTACCAGGAAAAGGAACAAGGCCGTCAAGCACGTTCGATTATCAGTTCGCAAGAATTGGCAATTAAGCAAAGCTTGTTGGCATCCAAATTGATACTTTGTCAAAAGGTCAGCCTTCGAAAACCTAAATGTCGATTGACAAGTCTCCTCAGTGAGGCTTTGGATAGCCATGCAATATATGCTAAAAAGGAGGGCTTCAAGGTTAGGCTCAATACTCATAGTATTGGTAGCAGCCTCGATGATTTTTCCCTGAAGGCTTGGCGTATGTGTTACTTTGAACAGTGGATTTACATTGTCAAGATATAACTGCCACAACCGGATGATATGGACCGGTTCAGGGTGCATGGTCACAAGATCAACAGATGTCTTTTGAGAGCCGAGGATGATATGATCATCATTTTCAAAGCATTGGTCCCATGAAATTCTGACCATAGCTTCCCGTAGACCCTCACTTGCAGGACATTGCTTTCTATTGCCATGACGAACCTAGATTCGAGGTGAGTAAACAAATATCTCGGGCGAGGGGAGAATAACCTACCCCTTGACTCATGGCCTGCCATATGTTCCTGCAAGTGAAAAGTCAGTCTGTGAATGACACCAACGGGGAACTGTTGTAGGAGGAGAATTGGGACGGGAAAGGAAACACGTTGGAAAAGAAAAGGCCGGGCTTACTTGGGCTCATATGCATTTTCTGGCCTTTTGCGGGCAGGAGATGAATGACGTGATTGAGACTGTTGCTCCCCCTCAGAGGACTCACCACCTTCATCAGCTGTGGTACCTGGATCTTTATGAAGCGGATCAAACTTCACATTGTGCTTTCGCAGCAGATCCTCGTACTTGTGAAGACGATTCAAGAGCTCCCGCTCAGGGAAACGACGTTTTCTGGGACGGGTTTGTGTCGCTGGTTCGCATTGTATGCACTGCTTGAGACAATTTGCACAGGGAAATTTTCGTTCGCATTTCACTTTGCGCTGGTAGCAGTTCACACATGCCAGAGTACGTTGAGACTTGGTCTGGGATGTCGGGGTTTGACCCCCCCGAGTGCGATCCGGCGGCATGACACCGAGAAGATCGAGATGTTCTTACTTGTGGGTCAGGATGGTAACCAGAGAAACACACTACTTGCTCGGATACTTTCGACACAGCAGTATCCTTCAGACGCGGTTTGATCTTTCCGAGGCAAAGATGACGGAATGCGCGGGGTTTTAGATATTTCGGGGATTTCTATTCTCCGAACCACGGGGCTTACTAATGCCCGAACCATGCTCACGTGAAGACAAGACAATCTCATTTCAAGGAATAGAACTTCCAAGATGGTTCGAAATCTGGAGTAAGTGCCTGGTTCTGCATTGAAGCCCGAACCAGTTCAATTGGCATACGATTTCCTTTTAAGAACTGGTCGTGGAAATCCATCTCCGCCATTCGTCCCGAGTCAACCATTTCCTTACGAAGTGCGTAAATTTGCAAGGCTCCCAGCATGTATCCCGCTTGGTACAGTGGGGAGTAATCCCCATTCAACGACCTACGAACTTCCCCTTCAGCTGTTGCGCGCTCATGTCCAACTTGATCAACTAGGAGGTCAATACACTCCTGAGGAGACATCTGACCAAGATGAAACTTGATAGAAAAGATGATCCGGGCGCAACGATGGAGTCGCCAGAATAGCATTCCGATGCGGTTCTGAGGAGTTTTCTTGAATCGATCGTCATCCCAGAGAATGAACTCCCAGTATAGTGACCACCCTTCGATCCAGAATGGAGTATCAAATAGACGTCTGTAGGGTCTATGTCTCGCATTCATGAAAAGTTGCAGGTGATGACCGGGGATCATCTCATGGAAAACCGTGGCCCGAGAAAAATGAACATTATTCCCACGCATACTCATCAGCTTATCCTCGTGGCTCATGGTGCTGACTGGGTATGACACGATGATAGATTTGCCCCCAAGGAAGAATGGGTTCACTTTCTGCCGCTCTGGCGACATCATAAACATGCGCCAAGTTTCTTTGGCAAGTGGTGGTACAGTGACAAGCTTGTGCTCTTCAACGAAAGAGATCGCCTCTTCTGCAAGATCACGAACAAGTTGCGTCTGTTTCCCTGGCTCAACGTAGTCGTTCTTGACATGTTCTAGTGCCTCGTGCCAGTTATCGTAGCCCATATCTTTCGACGCTTTTTTCATCTCGTTAATACACCAAACAAACTCATTTTCTCCGATCGAGATCAACTCTTCTGGTGAATATGGAATCATTTCAGCCCGAAGCTCAGCAAGCAAGCCTTCTCGTCCAATCGGCTGGCCGACAATTGCATCCTCTTTTTGGTGGTCAATACCCACCAATTTCTCGCGAATAGTAGATGCGATAGTTTCTAAGCTGGCATCCACGACCCCGTAAGGATGCGACACCCACCAGTCAAACGAGGGGTCATATCCTTTATAAAATCCGAACCATTCTCGCAGATTGTCTCGCAGCGAATCAATGGTGCTCGCTGCACGAAAAGCGGAATTTTTTCCCACACTGAACTGAGTGGAGTCACTATTGATCTTCTGCACCAACTCGTCGATTTGGCCTTGGGACTTGAACAGCTCCTGCGCGGCATTCTGAGGCTCCACCGGGGAACCAATGGCACGATTCTCACAGAGGTCGATTATCGCTTTTGCAAATGGAAGAAGCGGCGTTGTTTTTTGATCCTGGATGGAGTCGAGCTCCAGCTCTCTGTGTTGCCTCTCCAGATAATTTTTGACAAGGAGGTAGTCTACTTTATCCTGTTGGTCATATGTATGAAAAGGTTGGTCGCGGAGAAGATTTAATTCGGACGTGAGAAACCCGCGTAGTCGGTTTGTCCTGCTTGAAGAGAGCTTGATGGGATAAAACTTCTTAATCTCCTTGAGATCCGCGTTTATGCGCTCGATCCTGTCACGAATACTATCCCCCTGGGAGCGTTGGATCGCGATCCCGCGAGGCGTGCTAGCGGACACCATATTGAACAAGTTGGTTCTAGTATGTTCTGAGAAATGTCGAGGCCGCGACTCTCCCCCGCGAAGGTGGCAGAAATGGTTAGATTATGACAAGTGGAAAAGGAATTGGGGCATCTCGTAGCGAGGACGCACGTTCTCATGTAATACAATGTGAGCCGAAATTAAGCTAAAAGTCGCTGAGGGATCCGAGTGGCTCCTCATTGATCCTATCAAGGATATCCCGGCATTTGTAGATAAAAGGTTTCCGGGTTGCGTGGTTTTTGCTCCGCATTTTAACCCAAATGGGCGAATTTGTTATCGGCTAGTTGAAGGTCAAAGTCCTGCACCTTCTTATCCGCATCGGACTCCTTCCCGCCAAGAGACACAAGCCGCGTTGTGCGGGGGAAGGGAGGAATGAAGGGGCTGCATTGGTAGGGATCGTGGAAAAGGCTTATCGTGGACCACGGACACAGATAACCCATGACACTTGGATAATAAACAACTTCGCACATAAGAACATGCACCCCAGAATTGGAAGGCTTAGGGGACTTTGAATAACCAATTGCTGCATTCCATACAATGGTTTCCAATCCATTTGTTGACAGTCTTGAATTGTCAAAGCAGTCGGAAATGGTTGCCGATGTCACCAAGGATGTAAACAGCACAGTCCAAGAGCTGAAGGGAGTTGAAAGGTCCCATCAATGGGATCCAAATCTCCCCCAGGAGAAGATCGATGCTATCAATGAGGCTGGTAGTATAGACGATCAAGAGAAAGCTGCGGAATTCGAGAAATCAGCGACGCCAAATTCCCAGTATGAATCTGTTCGTGCTGCCGTGCGCAATACAGATGGAGGAGAGATGGTAAATACAGTGCGCGCGTGGATTTTGGGTATGTTATTCACGACAATTGGAAGCGGACTCAATATGTTCTTGAGCATGAGGTAGGTACCTTCTCTTCAGTACCAAGTCTTCTACATTGCTCACCATTTCTGATAGGAGCCCTGCAATCTCGTTCCCTGCAATTGTTGTACAGTTACTTGTGTACCCAATTGGTTGTCTATGGGCCAGAGTGATTCCCACCCGGAGATTTAACACCTTTGGAGTTGAATGGACCTTTAACCCGGGCCCTTTTACCATCAAAGAACATACAGTTATAACGGTAAGTTTCAAATATTGATCCCTGATATGATCTCAATACTGATGTTTCTCAGCTTATGGCGAAGTAAGCATTATTTTCTTGAATATTGTGACCATCTTTAACAACCCCTAGCGTGTCAATTGGTTACGCGTACTGCACTGATGCACTATTGGCTCTAAAAGCACCATGTGAGCAAGACATTTCCAGTCCAGAAGGCTTCAGCTTACTGACATCTACCAGCGTTATACAACTTAGATATTGGCTGGGGCTTCGAGCTTCTTTTCGCACTGAGCAGCCAGATAGTTGGAATCTCTCTCGCAGGAATATTTCGCCGTTTCCTTGTGTGGTGAGTCGGAACCTCACTGCTTAGTTTCCCCCACGCTAATACTCTCTAGGCCTGCTGCTATGATATGGCCTACCCAATTTGCCAACACAACGTTGTTCTATGCACTGCATGACAAGAGTCCCTCCGATCCCTCGCAGACAAATGGCTGGAGTATCTCGCGATACCGCTATTTCTTGTATGTCATGATTGGTGCGTTTTGCTGGTATTGGTAAGTCCCATAGTCTGGTTAGCTTGGATATTGAGGCTTATTCCGTACAGGATCCCTGGAGTTATCTGGCAAGGACTATCGATTTTCGCTTTCGTGACTTGTTAGTTTGACCTCATTGATTCTCGCGTATACGACTAACACTCCATGCCAGGGATCAAGCCCAACAATGTCGTGGTGAACCAGTTATTTGGTGGCTTCACTGGACTTTCACTTATTCCTCTGACATTCGACTGGACGTAAGTTTGGTCACCAAATCCATGCATTGAATATCTTGACTGACCCATATACATAGCTATGTCTCAGCATACCTCCTCGATCCCCTATTATCACCTGTCCATTCAATCATGAACACATTCATTGGACTCGTAGTCTTCGTGATAATTGCGTCCATCGGTATCTCCTACACAGGAGCATTGTATGCTGAATACCCCTCTACGTGATTGGAGTCAAATCTAACAAGACGTAGCTATTCCGACTATCTCCCCATCAACACGTCTACTACCTATGACAACACACAACAGCAATATAACGTCAGCAAAATTCTTGGAGACAATTTCTCATTCGACGAGGCAAAGTACAAGGCATATTCACCGATGTTTCTCGCTCCTACATTCATCCTAAATTACGGTCTGTCTTTCGCCGCCTTGACGGCAGTCATTGTTCATGTTATCCTCTATCACCGGAAAGAGATTTGGCATCGTGGGAAGGCGGCTCTAAACCAAGAGTCCGACATTCATTTGACGCTCATGAAACAGTATAGGGAAGCTCCAGAGTGGTGGTATGGAGCCCTGTTCCTGATCTCCATTGCCCTTGGGCTGGGAGGTGTACTTGGATATGATTCCCAACTGCCATGTATGTGTTGAAGCTCCATCTCGGTTTGTGACAAGCACTGAATGACTCAACAGGGTGGGCATATTTTGTCTCTCTCATCATTGCCGTGGTGTTTATTGTGTGTCGCCCTTTGTTCTAACATTGAATACAAATCTTGCTGACCAGAAAAGATTCCAACTTGCATGATCATGGGTGTCACGAATATTACGCTTTGTTCGTACTACTGAAGTCACATCGCACGTTCACTAGCTGACATGTATAGCTCTCAATGTCCTATCGCCATTCCTAGCCGGTTTTATGATTCCCGGAAAGCCGATCGGTGTCATGGTGTTCAAAGTCTTCAGCACGATTACACTGGGACAAGCGTGAGTTATCCGGAAGCCTCAGGTTGACAAAGCTAACAGCTCATAGTCAAGTCTACTGTCAAGATATGAAGGTAACCGACTCCCAAAACACAAATGAAACAGCAATACTTACTTATTTCCCCATTAGCTGGCTCACTATATGAAAATCCCACCCCGTGTCACTTTCATGTGCCAAGTGATCCCAACATTGTGGGCTTGCTTTGTCCAAGTTGCGGTCATGAACTGGACACTGGGAAATATCGAAAATGTCTGTACAACGTAAGTTACATTTAAAGCTACCTCATGGCAGTATTTGGGTTGCTCATCGAATATAGGGACCAAGCAGCAAATTTCTCGTGCCCTAATGGGCGAACATTTTTCTCATCGAGTATTGTTTGGGGTAAATCTATTTCCGTCCATGATTCTGCCTGGGCCGGGTACCTTGCTGGGTATTTATCAGAATTGTACTAATCGTCGAGCAGGTGTAATCGGACCGCAACGTATCTTCGGACCTGGTTCAATCTATACACCGATCTTGTATTTCTGGCTACTTGGAGCCCTGCTCCCAGTAGCATTCTACCTCCTCATGCGATTTTTCCCAAGGTCCAAGGCCCGATTCCTCAATGCACCAGTGTATGTGATTTATGAAAACTTGCTGTCGACCCTGACTAACCATCTCTCTCTTGAAGTATGCTTGGTGCCATGTCCTGGCTTCCACCGTAAGCTCACCATTTGCCCCATACGTTGAATAAATATGAAGCTGACAAATTATATCTAGCGCAACACCAATCAGTTACACATCTTGGGTGATTTTCGGACTCATCTTCAACTACTGGATTCGACGTAGATGGAGTGGATGGTGGCGGGAGTACAATTATGTTACTGCCGCGGGACTTGATACTGGACTCATCCTTGCAACGATTGTCATTTTCTTTGCAATCACTTTCCCTGGCGTTGCGGTGCCAGACTGGTGGGGAAACACAGCTCCGTTTGAGACTATGGTAAGTGTGATCACACGATTGATCAAGGTCATCTTCTAATATCTACGTAATAGGACTCTCTGTATACAGCAATTCGGAAGACGGTTTCGGGTGGGGATACCTTTGGACCAGCTACCTGGTAAAGTTGTTGGGCTTGGTAGGGTTGGGAGTGGAAACTTTTGAGCTACAATCTTTCCCAGATCCAATGTACATGGTGGCTCACAGATGCTTTTTTTTTTAACTTTTCTAACCTTGGGTACAAATATGAGACAACCGTTAAAATGGAGATATAAAGGTAGCCTTGGTGCTTCGGATACTACCCACATGCACAGATTTCAAGTCTAAATAGAAGGTTTTAGGGCAAAGGTGTTTAAATATGGAATGAAGAGGCCGATGCCGAAGGTAAAATGCCATGAAGTGGACCCGTCTAAGCCGGATCAACATCGTCACTTGCCTTCTGCAGCTAAGGAGCAGGTACCCAGGTAACTGCATGATACGCAAATAAAGAGAAACAAAAGGAAAAAAAATATACCACACTTAGGCTGGTATGTGGTCACCCACCATACTACTAACTAGGTAACCGGCAGTAGTGGGGTGTCGCCGGGGTGAGTAAGGGTGAGAGCCGCTTTAACCTTGCGTTGCAGGGGGTGAGAAAGGATGAGTGCGCTGGATCTCATGTGAGCGATTTCAAGCACTAATCATCACACAGACTTCTTCTTAATCATTGACTCTCCTCTTAGATTCTATTCGAGGCTACCTCCCGCTAGCGAGAAAAACAAATTTTGTAGCTCGAAAATGCGTACGTGAAGCTCATTGTTGACAGGAAATATGTCGAGGTATATCCCAGTATCATAGAGGCTCCTAAGTTTATCCAAAAGTTCCTGACCCTGACAAGCAAGACTATCTCTTTGGTTCTGTAGAAATGATTTCGCGTGTTGGTTTCTGGATATATCGTGTCCTATTGCCTGCTTGAGGTGAGGTTTCTTTCGTTAGTGAAACAAGCCCTTCATCGGCGAAGGTGAAAGATTGCCCGGAATGACCTCGACTGACCCAGTTTGCCCCATCTAATTGCAAGAAACCTTGGAGTGTTGGCGTTCGCGCATCAGAAATAGAGTTCGATACTGTATTGTCTGGGATCTTAGGCAGCATAGACATATCGGACTGTCATTGTTTAGTCAATTGACGAAGCTAGTCTCCTCAAAAGGTACGAACTGTGAAAGCAGGGTATGATTGGTCATTGAGGATCGTGCCATGGATGCGCGGACCTTGCTCGGCCCAGAAACGCTCAATCTCCGCAGCTGCTGACTGTGGAAAATTCAAGAAGCTATTTCTATAGCCAGAATCTTGAAATAGGTGTGGTCGTTGACTATATCCCGAAACTGTATTAGACATGCGGCTTGCATGGTGGGTGGATTGCAAGTTATGTTGGTGTATCTCATCGTTCTGTTGTTGGGGTTTTCTGGATCTTTTCCGATCACCTAGTGAGACGATGTCAGGTCAAGAGGTACACTGGAAATTGCCTGCAAGGGAGTGGATGCCTTACGAAATCTGCGCTGTGCAAGGCGGTTTTGTAGTTGCCTCTTTTCGTAATATCTTTCGCGAGACTCCATATTCACACCTTATCACCGATGGAACAACCCGAAGTTGGGGAAAGAGGGAGGAAATAAGCAGATCTCAGCTCCGCGTTTCTCTCGCGAATTATAATTGTTGCCAGGGTATGCCAACTTGAGTTCTGGTTCCGAGGCCAGTAAGCCAGATTTCGACATAGGGGCCAGAAGGGAGGCGATGTAACCTTACTGGTACCATAAAGGTACTAGATCGATGCAAGCCCGATCCTTCAGTGTATCGAAGGTAGTGGGTTAAGGCCTGTCGTCAAGCTAAGCAATTACAGATTCCCAAATAGATTGGTACTTTTGATGTGTAAAATTCGTGTAACTTACTCTGATTTTCAGGTTTTGCAGTCCCCCTCAGGAAGATTCCGTATACCCTGACGTAATTCAGAAGTTTTCTACCACACGCTTCAACCCCTCTGGAATTACGCATCTCGTTGGCTACGAATTTTGAGCAATATAATATCTCAAATGGAGGTGTTTCAAAGGTTAGTGGCGAATACCCCATTATTAGTGAATAGCTTTGTCTACACTGGGAAATTGTTAGATTGACCGTCATAGGAAAACGGTAAGACCATGGACACCGAGACCGGGTACTATAAGACTATTTCGTCCACTTTACTCTACAATGACTCCATCTAGGTTAACCTTGACATCACGAATCTCAAATCCGAACATTTTTGCCGTTTTCCAATCTTTCCACGCTCTTTCTTCACGGGCTGCGGAGCGCGAAACAAAGCGTACCCGGAACGGCTTAGGTACGTTGTTCGCTCCATCCTCAAATGCCGCATCAGAAACATCCATCGGCAATGGATTTCCGTTTTTGTCAGCCTCGGGCTGAATATCAAAGAGCCAAACAAGTTTAGCCAAAGCAATGAAGAGGCTGCTCTCTGCCACATGAAGCCCAGGGCAGATGCGTCGACCTGCCCCGAAGTTGAGATGGGCTTTGATGGCATTTGAATTGAATTTCTCTTGCTCGTCATTACAGTCTTCAAAAGGCGGCCTCAAGTAGCGCCCTGGGTCAAATTGACCCGGCTGGTCATAGTACTCGGGATTGTTGTGGATGGCACATTGGTTGATCACCACGAAGCAACCTGGCGGGATTCGGTATTGCTTGTATGTCACCATGTCGGTTGTATAGTGAGCTGTTCCGAATTTTGTCAGAGGTCTGATACGTGAGACCTCTTTGATACAGGCATGTATGAACGGCAGTCGATCGATGTCGTCAAAAGACGGGGATTTGTCATCGCCGACCACACGGGACACTTCCGCGTGAGCTTGGTCGAGAACAGACGGATTTGCAGCTAGGTATTTAATGGCAATATTTAGTGCAGACGCAGATGTGTCGGATCCAGCTTCTATGAGGGCTATAGAGATCTTGCGCGTTAGTTCAGAGTGAACGGATAGGCCAATGGTTTCAATCAAAGACGGGAGAGACTTACTTCCAGCCAAGAACGCGGCTTGGGTCTCATCAATTTGAAAGCGCTGCATGTCGGCTTCCATGAAGTGTTTCGCAAAGCATGAAGGAGCTGTGCCCTCGGTCACCCTCCGCCGGAGTTCCTGCCACAGGGGCATCCAGACTGCATACTGGCGCTCGTGGAACTTGCGCGCTTGGGGCCGCCACCACTGTAACCGCACGGGTAAGTTATCTAACTGTGGGATGAGATCGGTGATGAAAACGCCGGGGGCAGTCGCTTGTGAAAAATCTTGCATAATCTGGTCGACTTGGTGACAAATCGGGTCCTCCTGCTATATGATCAGCGCACGACTAAATGGTTTATTTTTTTTTAATTTTTTTTTTTGCATCACTAACCATTGAGGCCACCCGATGACCATACGTTGAGGTCATGATTACTGCCAACAATACGATTAGCGGAAATAACAAAGACAAAGATTTACCAAGCAGTACGGCAGGCAAGAACAATTCTTACCTGAGAGGGCCATTCGATGCGCTTGTTCTTTGCAGACGACATCTTTTCCCCCACTCTCAAGTAGGTCGCATAAGAGTTGCTTCGCTTCAAATTCTTGACTTGGTCGGAAAAATCGCGCCACAGTCGGATGTAGCAGGCGATGCAAGATCGTTCGCAATCGACGCCATTGCATGTTCCCAGGCATGATGGCAATGCGTAAGCCAGACACGATCTGCGTGGCACCTCTCCAGGGACCCTTTGCTGAAGTTTTGGTGGCTTGCCGATCAAATATCTCCCGCACTGCATCGTAGCTATTCACATAGACAAAATGTTTGAATCCAAACTTGACGGAAAAGAGCTCTCCTTCTGAAAGGCCCAATTTCTCGAGTCGCTTCGCGGGGTGTGAGCCAAGCTGGTGTTTAGAGCCAAAAATAGGGTGGCCAAGTGGCCGAGGAATATTGGAACGGCGCCATGATTTTTCCTCCTGAAGGTATGACCAGACTAAGTGACTAAGACATATGCTTCCAGCGAGAAGAATCGCCCAAGAAAGATAGAACATTCTGTAGTAATCCTGAACACACTAAATAATGTTCCTTTTGATGTATAAGATCTGCGAAGGGCATAAGAGCTTGAGACCTACATCAGAAACCGTGTTAATGCGAAAGCTCCATCACATATGACAAATTGTCTCAGGATCGGGTCCTGGGGAGCAATTCCTTGGTTTCATCTCACTAGCGAGACCCCGCTTCAAGTACTAATTAATCTAATGGGGCCAGGAATTGGAATGTTACATTCACCTGCATGGGCGGTGTACCAAAAGGACACTGCACGTTCCCCGAGGAGCCAGGGCCATTGCTTGTTTTCTACTAGTTGATGATTTTTGATGCATGATGGCGCAATAAACAGGTTTCACTGTAATCACGAAATGAACCCACAGTTTCAGGGCACAGGTGCAGACAATCATGAAAACTTGTATTGTTCTATGTGTATCGGGATTCTAGAATATGGTCCTCAAAGCAGATCATCGTCAGCAGGGGAAACTGAAGAATCGATGTGTACAGTACCGATTTCATTGGTCAATTGTCTAGCGCTTAATTGATACGACCCCCATGCTGAAGTTATGGAAACTCAGCCAAATATGACCGGCCCAAAGGCCCGTTAAGAAACATATCGGGTGGATCTAGTGCTAATTCTTCGTATATACATAACGCTCAAAAGTAACGTTTGGAAGGTGAATGTAAGTGGGAAGTATACATAGAAGTGGTGGGCAAACCTTTCTAATCTGACGTCCAACTGCGTTGGATGATCCATAAAACTAAAAGAATTATCCGTGAGAAAAAAAGAGCCAGAATGAGTTGAATTAGGTGAAAGACATCCTACACACCTCAATAGAGGCCTCGTTTAATCACGGAGTAAGTGGCAAGGAGGGTAAACCTGGTTTAGTTAGGATGATGAGAGACTGAAATCCATGGGTAGCAAAGTTTGGGAGGACTGGGATAATCTCACGAGGCCATTCCTACGACGGGGCCAAGCCATAATCCTGAAAGGCCCCCTTTCCAAAGTAATCCGACGCTGAAAGAGGTGGGAATCGCGATCTAAACCAAAGCATTAGATCTAATAGGGGGGTCAACCGGCCGGCAGACGCACAGTATAGTGGCAAATCAGGGAAAGAACTCCCGCCGTTTGCTGCATTTCTAGGCCCTTCATGACACCATTCAACCACTCGGCTGTGGCGTAGAATACCTGCATGATTGCGCAGATGGGCATTGTCTGGACGACCAGAGCCTGTACTTCGACCGATGTTGAGATTTGGCGGGAAATCCAGAACCGCAAGGTCATAAGCAGAGCCATGTTGAGAAGCCCCACCATAATGGCAGTGGCAAAGGCCACCCTGATATGAAGCTTAGTACGCTCTAGCCGCTTCTGACCCATGAGGGTTGCCACACGCAAAGTCACAGAGTTCGCAACTGCAAATGAGAGCTGGAGGGCAATTGCCACTGTCGCGTTAAGCAAGCTTTGCGCCGCCAGGCTGGTGTCGTCGATCTTCCCCGCTCCAAGAGTCAATAGCTCGAATGTCAGGTATTCGGCTAGTACCGTAATAGATCCCGGCAAGGCCAGGCGTAGCAGCTTCCACCAGTGTGCCCCTGCATTGGTGACCGACGGACTCCGAAGCTCAGCCCGTCCCATCCAGAAATAAATTCCGTATGTCAAAAGACCCGCTCCGAGAAATGTGTCGGAAAGAGCCGCTGAAATGGGTGCACCGATAAAGCCGCGTTGCTGTTGGTAAACTACCAACCAATGTAAAGCGGCATTGACAGGTACGGTACAACAGAGGAGATATATTGGTGGATTGAAGACCCCTTGGGCTTGCAGGAAGCGCTTGCCTGTTTCAAAAACCGCATGACCGGGTAGGCCGAGCAATGAGACGCGTAAGTATTCGGAGGTTAAAACTGCGATCTTGGGAGAGACCAGTGCTTGCAGGATATATTGGCTATGCCACCAGCCAACTGCAACAGGGACCGTGATTATTGCTAGGAGGATTAGCGTCAGTCTCAAGTACAGAACGGCTAAGTCCGGCCGGCCCGAGCCATAGGAAAGCGGACACAGTGTATCCATTCCCGAACAAAGTCCCTGGTAAACCCCATAAGCGGTAATGCAGGTGATACTGGAGCCGAGACTAACAGCCCCTAGCTCTTCGATTCCGAGGCGGCCCACAAAAAGAAGCCCAGTGAAGGGAAGACAATACTGCAAGTAGGAAACAAGGACCAGGCGTACGGAAGATTTGAGTAATTTTGTCATTTCTGCCACCAGAGGCGAAAAGAGGAGCTCCCCTTCGGACTCCGAGTTGGGGCCGACGAGAAGCGGAGTATTTTGGTCAGCCATATACGGGTCTTCCGCCATGCTTGGGCAACTTTAGCTAAAGAAAGCCACCAAAGATTTTACGAGGAAGATTGCATCATTCCGCGGGGGCTAGATGGTTATATAGCTCAAAAATCGTCGGAGTAAGAACCTCGAATCGGAATCGGAGTCGTGGTGGGAGTGGGGCCTGTAGATCAAGTGAACCGAATTAGCGTGGTGCTCATCAACGCATTTAATTGGCGCGTGAGATCAAGCGATGATGATTTGGAATGCAACAAATCCTGTGCATATCATGCATGCTGACATGCAAGATCAACATCTCTTGCATCGGAGTCGGGGTGGGTGGGCGTTTGATTTTTGGGTAGCTTCTCTCATAGTTTTTTTATTTTCAATGAACAGCGATCTACTAGATTCCCTCTCAATTGCCTTTCAGAATTCCAAATCCTCACAAGACTCTTCTTCTTCTTACTACGGCGCCTTTTGCTGAACAAAAAGCCATGTCTCAGCACGACGCTCTCAATCTCGTTGACAATGACGATTCTCGACTGGCCCCGCTTGACCTAGAAAAGAGTGGACCCGTGTCCATCACCTCTGAAACCCCCTCGGCGCAGGAGGATAGAGGCGATTATGCCCAGGGTCTTCAACTCTTTTTGATATGCACATCCCTCTGCTTATGCGTGTTCCTTGTTGGATTGGTAAGTATATATTGTTACCCGCCAGCTCTACCGTACCTGTGGGCCTCATCTTGCTGACATTTGGTGGATATTTGTACTTAGGACGCAACCATTCTAACAACGGCCATTCCAAGCATTACTGACGAGTTTGGCTCGGTACAGGATGTCGGCTGGTATGATGCCGCTTTCCGGCTCACATCCTGCATGTCGCAGCTCTCCCAAGGAAAGCTCTTCAGTAACTATTCGCTCAAATGGATTTTTCTCTTTAATATGGTGATATTTGAGGCAGGGATTCTCATATCAGGTCTTTCTCCAAGCTCGGTGGTATTCATTGTTGGGCGTGCAATCACTGGACTCGGATTTTCTGGTATCAGTCAGGGATGCATGGTGTAAGTGCAACCTATGCTTTCCAGATTAGATGATTTGCGAATTATGTGTTTGATATTGACCACGGTTCTGAATAGAATCATTGCCATGTCGACGCCCCTCCAGAAACGAGCAACCTACCTTGGCCTTATCAGCGCCAGCGAGTACACTGCCATGGCTACCGCGCCTATTATTGGTGGTGCATTAACCTCAACTCTAACCTGGCGGTGGTGCTTCTTTATCAACCTTCCAACGGCTGCCGCGCCGGCGGCAATGATTCTGATGCTCAAGCTGCCTAAGATGGCATTGGGAAACAACAAGAAGTCACAAATTGAGAGATTGCGAGAGCTAGATCTGTTGGGGTGCCTCTTCTTCGCCCCGGCTGTGCTTTGTCTCTTGCTTGCCTTACAATGGGGCGGATCAACTTACAGCTGGAGTGATGCTCGCATCATCGTCCTCCTGGTGCTAGCACCTCTAATATTCGGAGTATTCTGTCTGATCCAGCATGTCAAACAAGATAGAGCTATGCTGCCACCGCGCATAATCAAAAAAGGCGTGATGCTTTTCGGAGCTTTGTTCAGCCTGTCACTGTCGGCCTGTCGGGCCATCGTGCAATACTATGTAGGATCATCCAGTCACTATCTCTATATATATGCTGACGAAATATTCAGCTTGCAATTTGGTTCCAGACAGTACGTGGAGTCACAGCGCTACAGTCTGGCATCAACACATTACCTATGGTTATTGCTGTTCTCGTCTCCGCTATTGTTTCAGGTCGCCTCATGTCCAAGACTGGGATATACACCCCGATTATGCTTCCCGCGGGTTGTTTGATCGTGGCTGGTGTGGCAATTATGACTGGCTTCACTTCTGAAACTCCCAAAAGTCTTTGGATCCCGTCACTTATCCTTCTGGGTATTGGGTCCGGAAGTAGCGTTTCGATCCCATTTATTGCAGCGCAAGCCGTGCTAAGCCTGGGGGACTTATCTGCGGGAATGGCTCTAATGACCTTCTCTCAAGATCTCGGAGAAGCAGTCTTTATCAGCATAGCTCAGGCAGTTTTCCTGAATCGTCTCACAAGCAGCATAGAAATTACAGCGCCAGACCTCGCCCCAGAAAGCGTGATTCATCTGGGCGCCACTGACTTGGCAGAGAAAGTCCCCTCGCAGGATGTAGCGGCTGTCGCCCTTTCATATGATCTTGCGGTGCGATCAACCTTCTATTTGGCGGTCGCTTTGGCTGGTGTATTGGTGCTGGTCGCTATACCACTTCAGAAGAGTCCGCTCAAGGTTGGGAGAAAGTCCACTTGAGTTCTGCAACTTTGTGTTACTGTGAATATTTGTAGCGATGAAAATTTTCTTGGAGTTCATGCTCATGCCAGCAAAATGTCTTTCCTCAAACTCAGATAGCAGTGTAGCACTACTGTGCCGTCACGACAAGTTTCATGTTAGTCCTTGGCGGGGGCTCGACTAGTCTAGTTTGCTCCTCGCCTAATCACGACAAGGAAGAGAAGCACGTTTAATATTGTTATTGATCTTTGCACAACCTTCCTGGTATAAAGTCTACAGAAGCGGGTCATTCAACCTATGGCGGGCCTATCTCTAGCTACTTCCACAGCCTCTTGTTTCGAATCTATAACAGTTTTTAGCTTGTATTGTCGGAAATTCCGCAATATGAAATTTCCAATGATAGTCTTCGGCTAGTTTTGTACTAGGTCATAAATACCAGCTAGCTTATTTGGAAAACATAATGTGACATCGGGCCTGAGGAGTATGCAAGGTAAGCGTGCGTATAGAAAGCATAAGCTGACCACACGTTAGTGCCCTTCAGAGTGGGTCATGACAATCATCCTGGTTGGGCTGCGCAGATATGTAGGTATTCAAGCAAGGTTGGCGCTAATGCCCTCTGCTTGCAAATTCCATTTGATAGTTGAAGAAGTGCGAATTCTATAAATATGGAGCACAGCTCAGTTTCTACAAAGCGACAATCGCAATTCATACCATCAGAATGTCTCCCTCAATTTCTAAACTTTCACTGAGCAGTCCACCAAAGCAAGGCTGGATGTCCTTCACGATCCGGCCGATGCCTGATCTGACAGTGCTCGACTGTCCAGATGGACATGACCAACACCCATTTGAGCAGGTCTTGCAAACAGCTTGGGCAGCGGTTGTCGCAGCCTATGACCACTGTGAGGATGTCTACGCAGACATCACAGTGTGGGAAAAGGGTTCTTCAACAACTGGGTCATTTCATTCCACGGTGACACCTTCCAAGCCCGTTTGGGATATCCTCACTACAACTACTCCTGCTGAGCCCGAAGAAGCTTCGTCATTTCCATCCAGCGCCCATTGGAGTGCCATAGAGTATGTTCGCTCAGACTTTGACATGAGCCGGACCTTCCATCGCAGGTATGCGGATCATATCTCGATGCGGATCGTGCTTTATGAGCTCGACAGAATGCTGTACGTGCAGCATTGCCCAGTAGCTGTAAGACCGGATAGGGCAAGAAGCATGGCTGAAAGCCTTCTTAAAGTTCTCACCCAGGCCATTCAACAGCCTGATATCATATTCAATGAGCTGGACTTGATGGGCCAGACAGACCTCGAAAATGTACTCCGTTGGAACAATCATCAACTCCACCCAGTGAACGAATGTGTGCATGAAGTTATTCAACGAAGAGTGTCCGATCAATATGACGGGCTCGCAATCCGAGGTTGGGATGAGGACTTCACATACGGTCAGCTAGACGATCTTTCGTCTCGGCTCGCACTTTACCTTCGTAACTGTGGCGTAAAGACGGGAGATGTAGTGCCATTTCTGTTTCACAAGAGTGCCTGGGCGGTGGTTGCGACCCTTGCAACGCTTAAAGCCGGAGCCGCAGCTGTTGCCCTGAGCCCTGACTACCCACTCGCACGTTCCAAGGCAATTGTGCAGAGCACTCAAGCCAAACATGTCCTGACTACATACGCGCTCAATCAACTTGCCAATTCACTGCAAATTCAAGCTACCGTTGTTGACCGGCCTTTTTTCACTCATTTGACGTCTTCCAGCAACAATCAAATCACCACAGTCAAGCCACAAGACGTAGCCTTTATTCAATTCACCTCAGGGAGCACCGGGGAGCCGAAGGGAATTATTCTCGAGCATGGGGCCTTTTGCGCAAGTGCGGCCGGACAACAAGAGGCCCAAAATATCACACAAACATCCCGCATTCTACAATTCGCCGCATACACCTTTGATGCGGCGCTCCAGGAGATCTTTACTACGCTCATGGCTGGTGGGATCGTCTGTGTCCCGTCAGAGCAGGATCGCATGAGTCGTCTCGCAGATATCATGTGTGAAATGGAGGTGAACTGGGCTTTCTTTACACCTACACTATGTGCAACTCTGCAACCGAGCAGCGTCCCTAATCTTAAGACGCTTGTCTTGGGTGGAGAATCACCCAGTGCCGAGTTGGTGCGACTTTGGTCATCCCGAGTCAATCTACTAAATGGTTACGGCCCATCGGAATGTTGTATCTGTTGCTCTGTTCAGCCATTGACTGGCAAGGAAGATAGTCCCCGAAACATTGGAGTCTCAATCTCGGGGGTCAAATTATGGATCGTTCGTCCAGAAAACCACAACCTTTTAGCCCCTGTCGGTGCAGTCGGGGAGCTGGTGGCCCAAGGCCCAAATCTTGCTAGAGGTTATATCAATCCTTCATCTCCTGCGTCTCAAGCATTCGTCGATTACATTCCCTGGTCAAAGGATGCGGTCTTTTCTCGTATTTACAAGACTGGGGATCTTGTGCGCTACTTATCAGATGGGGAAATCGAATTTGTGGGACGCAAGGATAACCAGATTAAACTTCGCGGCCAGCGAATTGAGCTTGGCGAAATTGAGTATCAGGTCAGGAAGCACTTTGGACGCCCCGATGTACAGGTAGCTGTTGAAGTGGCAACGACCGTACTGCGGAAGACGCCATCTCAACACCTGATCGCCTATTTCACCCAGCCCGTGACTGAGGGCCCAGATGATTCACATAAGCAAGGCTCAGGCCTCCCCCTATGTCTTCGAATTACACCGCATCTCAAGGATCAGGTTCTTGAACTAAAACGCATGTTGGAGAATATGCTTCCGCGGTACATGATACCGACATTATTCGTCCCAGTCAGCCATCTGCCCGTCAGTCTTGCGGGTAAAGTCGACAGGAAACTACTTCGGGCAATGGCGGCTGAATTTACAGACATGCAACTAGTCGAATATTCACTGGCAATTCCAGAGAACGTTAAGCAGGCTCGAAACCAACGCGAAGCCATTTTGATCAAAGCTTGGGCACAGGCCTTACAGATTCCGCCAGAAGGCATCAGTGTAACGGACGAGTTCTTTCTCTTCGGCAATTCTATCGCAGCGATTGAGCTTACGAACATCCTTTACACTGCTGGATTCCACCTGATGGTCGCAGATATCTTCCAATATCCCCGCTTGGAATCACAGGCCCTGATTTTGGAAGAAATGGTTGATCATCAGTACAAGGAGTCAGAGCCATTTTTGCTTGTCGAAGGTGGGATGACAATTTTAGAAGCTGTGCTGCACGGTTCTGGCATCTCCCCGACAGACCTCGAAGATCTGTTGCCAGCAATTCCGAGGCAGCAGGCCTTATTCATGGGCAACAATAATCAACAATCTCGACTGCTTCAGGTGGTCTTGGAGCTTGCACCTGAAGTCAAAATCGGTGAACTCCGCCTTGCTTGGTTGACAATCGTGAAGCGTAACAGTGTTCTGCGGTCTCGCTTTGTCGTCGCCTCTCATGATAAAGTGTTTCAGGCCGTCCTCAAACAACTTCCTTCATGGGAAGATATCCATACTCTGGATTGTCATCTCAGGGATCCCCGTTTCAATGGACCATGGGAAACAGGACAGCAATTGATGCACTTTGGACTTCTAAAATCCGGTGATGAGCCACAAAAGAATTATTTCGTACTATCAATTCATTCAGCACTCATCGATTCATCTTCACTCCAGCTGCTATTTGAACAATTGCATAACGAGTACAATCAGCTTGCGGGAGGCCTGCACGTTCCGTACTCACGATATATTGAACACCTATTGCAGGCTGACTACGCAGCCTCTGCAATGTTCTGGGTTGAGACCCTATCCAGCCCTGGCTATGTCCACTATCCGGAAGTGTCAATGAAGGCCTCTGGGGAGTTACCATCGCGATCGTGGCTCTCGACATCCCTTCCGGTTTCTGGAAGCGTACAACCTAAATCAATCAACGCTCTGGTTCATCTAGCATGGGCAATCGTGCTTTCATCAAGAACCCTCTCTGACGATGTTCTTTTTGGGACGGCTCTTTCGAGTATTCCCGCATCCATGACCGCGGCAAAATCAATAATGGGGCCGACAGAGACTATCATGCCATTTCGGATAAAGCTCACGAAGGGAAGCAGCATCGGTGTGGCAATACAATCGATCCGAGAGAAATTGCAAAATATAACAAGGCATTCACATCTGAGTAGAAGCCAACTTGCGAGTATCGGACCTGAAGAGGAAGCAGCCAGCAACTTTCAGAATATGTTGGTCGTGCATGAAGCACTGGACATTCCAGCAGAGTTCATTTCCCCAGAAAGCGATATGCCATTGATAAATGATTATTACCGACAATACCCATTATATGTCGGCGTTACATTTGCGGAAACCAATGCCGAGCTACGAGTTTCCTTTGAGGAAAGCGTAGTGTCCAGAGCAGAAGCTGATGCTGTTCTAAAGCAGCTACAGTCTGTGCTGCTGGACCTGCTTTCAATGCCAGACGAGACCGCGATCAAAGACATCTCTTTGCTCACCTCAACTGACTATACTAAAATAGCAGCATGGAACCGACAGACTCCTTGGTTGATTCGCGATACGGCACACGGGTTGTTCAGGAAGCGAGCCCAAATGCAACCGCAATCAGTAGCTGTGGAGGCATGGGATGGTCTTCTAACCTATACGGAGCTCGACAGACTCTCCACACAGCTGGCAAAATATCTGCTTTCTGTCGGACTGATGCCGGGTCAAGAGATGGTGACTATATGCTACGAGAAGTCCATGTGGACGATGGTCGCGATTCTCGCGATTCTGAAAGCGGGCGGTGCATTTAACTTAATGGATCCATCCCACCCATCGCAGCGACTGGAATTCATCGCGAATGAGTTACAAAGTAGAATGATTCTTTGCTCACAGCGTTTCGCCACTAAGGCTGCTAGTCTGGCTGCCAATCCGATCATTCTAGACGGAAACTTTTTTCAACAACACAATGCGTTGTCAGTAAACGCGTCCGAGCTACCAGAGGTCAGTCCCGATGCTATAATGTACTCATTTTACACCTCGGGATCAACAGGCATGCCCAAGGGACACTGCACCCCCCACGTTGCGTTCTGCTCAGCGGCCACAGCCCAAGCCCAAGCCCTGGGGCTGAACTCAACCACCCGAAATTTCCAGTTCGCGTCGTATGCGTACGATGTGTGCATCTCAGATATGCTAACCGGGCTATGTGCAGGCACATGCGTCTGTGTGCCTTCAGAAGAGGAACGACTGGGGGATATCGCAGGCGTCATGGCGCAGTTGCGGGTCAATTTTGCCAATTTGACACCGTCTGTCGCGCGCCTCCTTGACCCGGAGCGAGTCCCTGGATTGAAAACTTTGTTACTTGGGGGCGAAGCCCTTCAGAAGATTGACCTGGAAATGTGGAGTTCGAAGGTGCGATTGATGGCCGGTTATGGGCCCTCGGAGTGCAGTCCGCGGTCAACCGTCAATCCGCACCTGACATTAGCTTCCAATCCGCGTAACATAGGCTTTCCGAGCCTTTGCAACTGTCGCGGCTGGGTTGTTGAAGTGGACGATGAACACAAGCTCCGGCCCGTCGGCTTGGTAGGCGAGCTGGTGATCGAGGGGCCCAATGTCTGCAACGGATACCTTGGACATGCGAGTACGAAGTACTCGAGCTTCATAGAGCCGCCCCGGTGGTTTGCCGCCTTTGCGCCTGCCCTCCAGCCCATAGGCCGGTTTTACAAAACGGGAGACCTAGTGCGATATGATGCAGACGGCAGTCTGATCTTTATGGGTCGCAATGATGCACAGGTCAAACTGCATGGTCAGCGCGTGGAGCTTGGGGAGATTGAATCCCATGTGCGAGCTTTAATTTTTGGCCAGTACAGCATCTCCAAGGTCGTTGCTGAGCTCGTTCAGCCTGGTGGCCTAATAAAAGCTCCGAGCCTCGTGCTATTTGTCCAATATCGACATCCGCATCATGCCCAGGACGAATGGCGAGTATGGGTTGCGGAACAGCTGTCCAAGAGAATGTCAGCCGCGCTCGTACCCAAGTATTACGTCGCAGTTGACGAGATCCCTCTCATGCCCTCTGGAAAGGTCAACCGTCGCGCACTGCAGGCCGTCGCGGCCACACTCACAGCAAACCAGCTCGGACTCTCGTCCGCAACCCCAGAGGAGAAACGTCGGCCTACGTCAACAGAAGAATACCGTCTTTGCCAATTGTGGGCGATTGTCCTCGGCGTCCAGGACGCGGAGATTGGGATTGATGATCACTTTTTTGATTTTGGCGGGAACTCAATCACCGCAATCAAGCTGGTGGGCGAAGCGCGTCGAAATCATCTGGGGCTGACCGTGATGGATATTTTCAATCAACCCGTACTTGCCCAAATGGCGACGAAATTAACCAGTCTCGAGAATACAGCCCCAGAGATGATGGCGCTCCAGATGGCCGCAGGCTTAGCTGACCGCGTAAGTCGCGAGTGGGACATCCCCCGAGACACAATCCGGGACGTGTACCATGCCACTCCGTTGCAGCTGGGTTTGATGGCCCTTACCACTCGCAATCACAAAACAAATACATTGCAACACGTCTACCACTTGGCGCCCAGTGTGGATCTGGACCGTTTTCGCCATTCATGGGAGCAAGTGGTCGTGGACAACGACATCTTTCGAACTCGGCTAATCTTCCTCAAAGCGTCGGTCTTTCAGGTGGTTTTAAGTGAAGACATTGTTTGGGAAACGGCAAAGAGCCTACCGGTGTATCTTGCCAAGGTAGATGACAGTCCATTCGATTACGGCAAGCGACTCGTTCGCTTTGCTTTAATATCTGACGGCCACGGCGGCTCATACTTCGTGTGGACCGCCCATCACGTCGTCTACGATGGATGGAGCCACTTCCGTACCCTGCGACTGGTCAGTGAAGCGTACAAAACAGGTTCTGTGCCGCCTTCCGTATCATTCAAACATTTCATCAATCACCTGCAGGCCACTCGGGATGATGCCCAAGATCGGTTCTGGAAGAGCGAGTTGGGGGATTTCGATGGCATAAGCTTCCCAGCCCTATCGCAGGCTGAATACTGGCCGCTCACCGACCGTGGTCTCGACCACGTTGTTACGCTCGCGCCGCGGCCGAGCACAGAATTCGCGAACATCACGCTCTCCACCATCATTCGGGGAGCCTGGGCCTTAACCATAGGCATCTACTCAGACAAAGAGGATGTGGTATTTGGGGCGGTGCAAACCGGGCGTATGGTACCTCTGGCAGGGGTTGTGGACATCATGGGTCCGACGATCACCGTAGTTCCCGTGCGGGTACAGTGGACTCGCAGCTCTGCTTTATCTGAGTTGCTGCTGCAGCTCCAGCAGCAGAGCACACGCATGATACCCTACGAGCATGCGGGTGTCAAGGACATTTCCAACCTAGGGGCAGGTTGTCGCGAGGCCTGCGCCTTTCAAAGTCTCTTGGTAGTGCAGCCAGAGAAGACCGAGGGATTGCCCGTGGTGCCTGGAATGCGTCTAGTACAGGTTACTGATCGAGAATTCCCAAGTTATCTGCTGTCTATCCAGTGCTCGATACATCAAAATCAGATCCGCATCCATGCTAGCTACGATTCAACTGCGCTGTCGGGCGAATGGGTGCAGCAAATTGTCGATCAATTTGAACACTACCTGCATCTCCTCAACAATCCCGCCAACCTACTGACAAGTGTGGGCCAGGTGGAAATCATCTCTGACCGGGACAAGCAGCGGCTCTTGGCTAATGATAGTGTTGTTGATCTGTGTCCTGTTGTGGATACGGTCTCTTGGGCGATCGAACGTCAGATGAAGCTGCAGCCCGATGCCCAGGCCTTATGTGAGACCCAGGGTCCAGGAATGACCTACAAGGAGTTAGACCAACTCTCCGGGCTCCTCGCAGTCCACCTTCGTGCACTCGGGGTTGGGCCAGAGAAGATTATTCCCTTCTGCTTCGATAAATCAGTCTGGGCGGTTGTGGCTGTCGTAGCAGTGTTGCGAGCTGGTGGCGTTTGTGTGGCGCTGGACCCCGGCCATCCTTCCAGCAGGCATGCACAAATTTTGCAGAACGTTGAAGCCACTTTGGTGCTCACTTCGGTACACCATGGCCCATTATTCAAAGACCTGGGGGTCGAAGTTATAATCGTCGATGGATCTTCCCTCGGTCATTTGCATGGGACCATTCTGACAGAGTTCATCTGCCATCCTCAGCTTCGGCCAAATCATGCAGCTTTTGTGGTGTTTACCTCTGGTAGTACCGGTACGCCGAAGGGCATTGTGATAGAACATGGCTCAATTTGCGCCACTGCGCGAGGCAACGAGACCTCGTTGGAAGTGACGAAGCATAGTCGAGTGCTACAGTTCGCCTCGTTTGTGTTTGACGTGACGATCGAGGACATGTGCGTCACGCTAATGCATGGGGCCTGTCTCTGCATTGCCTCTGAGCATGATCGTTTGAATAATCTGGCCACCGCGATGCGGCAAATGCAGGTCACTTGGGCGGACCTTACCACATCGGTAGCGCGCACCATCGATCCAGGCGATGTTCCAAGTCTTCAAACTTTGGTTCTGGGGGGAGAAATGTTGGGTGAGGACATCATCAGCCGATGGACGAGTCGGGTCCACGTCTTCAACACATATGGTCCTGCCGAATGCACCATTTACTCCACGACCACCGCATGCTTAAAGCCGCAGGCTCGGGGCGGGAACATTGGGCGAGCTATTGGCTGCGCCTGCTGGGTCGTCGATCCGGAAAATCACAATCGCCTTATGCCCGTGGGTTGCACGGGAGAACTACTCATCGAGGGCCCAAACCTGGCGCGAGGGTATCTCGGCGACGAAGCTAAAACGAGCAAGGCTTTTGTCTTCCCCACCTGGTTGACCGATTACCGGGGTGGAAACCGCAGCCGCTGTTACGCGACAGGCGATTTGGTCCAGCAGAACCTGGACTTCACACTCTCCTTCGTTGGTCGGAAGGACTCCCAGGTCAAGCTTCGTGGACAGCGCATCGAGCTTGGCGAGATCGAACACCATATCCTTGTCATCCTCGCCAGTCTCTGGACCATAGCGGTGGAGGTTATCCGCCCTTCCGGACAGGGGGCCACGCAGGAAGCGATAGCGGTTTTCTTCTGGCCAGTCCAATGTACCGCCAATCTCCCGGACGCACCTATTCATGTCGGCAAAATGACTGAGGAAGCACAGGTCGCCTTCACCCGCCTAAAGTCGCAATTAACACAGTTGCTACCGAAATACATGATTCCTGCTTTGTTTGTGCCCCTACCCTTTCAGCCGAGCACACGAACCGGGAAATTGGATCGCCGCTCTTTACGCAGTCTGGGGGCAGGATTGTCAAGGTCACAAGTCACTGAATTTGCTCTCGGACAAAGCACTGTCTTGAAGGTCCTACCGCAGACGGAATTGGAGAGAAGCTTGCACGAACTATGGGTGAACGTCCTGAACATTCCTCCAGAGTCGATTAGCATCAACGACAGCTTCTTCCAGCTCGGCGGTGAGAGCATTGCCGCAATCCGACTCGTTGCGGCGGCCCAGCGAATCAATCTTTGTCTTACTGTGGCCGACATCTTCAATCATCCAGTGCTGGTCGATATGGCCGCCTCGATCCGCATAGCGGACCCCGAAGAAGAGATAAGTAGATCTTTGGGAGTAAACAGTGGTACAACCTTGACAAGACGCGTATCTCAGGAGTGGAACATTGACTATGAGAGTATCGAGGACATCTACCCATGTACGTGGCTACAGGAAGATATGATCACTATGACCCGCCGTGTCCCCGAGGCAAATACCCTCCGCTTCATTGCGCTCCTCGACGCCACTGTCAATTTGGCTCGGTACAAATCAGCCTGGCAACAAGTGGTCAAAGATAACCCTATCCTCCGCACACGTATTATCCGCTTGGATGATACCCAGACGCTTCAGGTCGTGGTAGACGAGACGATTTCCTGGCGCACAGCTAACACTGTCGGAGATTGTCTGGAGCACGACCGTTCGACACCGTTTGACTATGGCTTGCCACTCGCCCGCTTTACTCTCATTCCACATGGCGAAGACAGCCATTACTTCGTCTTCACCAGTCACCACGCCTCATACGATGGTTGGAGCGTGCGGCAGGTCCACGAGATGGTGGCGAACATCTACACTGGCCGCCGCCCAAACCCAATTCCGACGCCATATAAGGCTCTGGTGCAGTACATCACGAATCTCGATGAAAATCGCGCGTACGCCGACTTCTGGCGGTCGCAGCTGAATGGCTTCCAGGGTGGCTTGTTTCCTTCATTACCTACCCCGGACTATCGCCCGCTCACTGATGCAGTCGTGGAATTAACCTTACCCATCACGAAACCCACCTACATCAAAGCAACTATCTCTACCCTGCTTCGTGCTGCATTTGCCCTGGTCCTGGGTATCCAGACAAATGCATCGGACATTTGCTTTGGCGCTGTGCAGACGGGCCGCTCCATAGCCCTGCCTGGCATCGCCGAGCTTGTTGGTCCAGCCATAACCCTGGTACCTGTACGCATTCACTGGGACGATGCCACGACGGCGCGCGAATTAATACGCACCATTCAGGATCAAAGCACCGCCATGATCCCGCACGAGCATGTGGCCAAGCCTACCATCGCGGGGCTGGACCCCGCCTGTGGCCTGGCCTCGGCCTACCGGTCCTTGCTCATCGTCCAGCCCGTCGCTGAGGGGCCTGCCCCCGGCCATGACATCGAGGGTGTATCTCCAATTCGTACCATATACCCAGAGTTCTTGGATTATGGCCTCAGTCTGGAGTGCAAGTTGGCTCGAACCGAGATTGTTGTTCATGCGGATTACGATCGGCAGATGGTGGATCTAGAAGATGTGACCAGGATCATTCGTCAGCTTGAAAGAGCCTTTGGACTCCTGACGCAGGCTCAGGGCGATGCCAAGGGTGAATCGATTACCGTTGTAGACCTGACCTCGCGGTTACTGGAAGATTTTTGAAATGCTGAGGCTTGATAGGCCCTAGCATGGCCGATCAGTGCATAGCTAAAGTTCTTTTGTGCGGTCTATTATGTTTACAGGCTTTAGTCGTTATTGGTTACATGATGTCTATTTTTCAGCGTTTTGTGTAAGTCTTGTTGTATTCACAGCTCTTTCATATCTCTTTCTTGAAAGTTACTGCAGATGGTCCAGGTTGTTTTGCGTAAAGATGTATTGCATTCGCAGTCCCCTTGCCCTCCATGACGGCGATGAGGGCTGCTCCGTACCTAGCGAAATGTCAGAGAAGACCCTTGAATTGACAGTAGAATTCAAAGCCACATTGAATTCTTAAGACACTCAGACTATCCTTTCCGTACATTGCATTTGGGTCAGGGAAAGTTAAAGTTATTGAGTTGAAGATAGGTACACTGTACTCGTGTGGATCCTACAAGATCGGCTTATTCATCCACGTCGTGGCCATAACTAGACTAGTTAAACTAGAATTTAAAGGCAGTTTTCCCTCAAACAGCTCACACTTTGTTGCTTGTACCATCTGGAGTCTGTCCGGACTTCAATCGAGACAGTATCTTCTATTTCTTGAGGCGCTCCAATACCGAGTCTGAAAAACCGTAATGCGCCGGCGTAATGGGTTTTTGTCGTCGTGCGAGCCGTGTCGCCGATCGAAGCTCCGCTGTGACCACCAGGTGCCCATATGTGGACGGTGTCGGCGCACACGCAAAGCGGACACTTGCGTGTATAGGCCAAATTTAACAACAACTGCACCGTCGGCAACCAAAAGTACTAATACAGGGACGTCTCCAACATCCGAATCCCTGCCCTTAACACAGATATCAGTGCCGCAGGCACGGTCGGAACCACAACCAATTGCAAGCTCGCCACACACCTTACGAGACCGCTATATTGACGTCTGGAGTCACCGACTAGCCTTGAGCTCGACTCCGAGCTTTCTAGGGGTGACGAGCTTTTCAGCAGTCTACAGTGAGAATGAGGCTAGTCTGAAGGAAAACGAGTCAACCACGCCGCTACGGCTGCCCCAACTCAATCCGCCCGGCGTACAGAAGTCCATCTCTGCAGTCGACCCCTACCAAGTACAGCTCGGCGCAGAACTGCTGTCACTAATTTTTGATGATTTTGCATTATTCCGCCGGACTGCGATCGCCTGCGAAGAACGAAGTAGCAAAGGCCTGATGGACCTGCCGACTATGTGTACCATCTGCAATGTCATCGAGGAGATGTACAATAGCATCTCAAATGACTCGGATCAACCATCACGGCTGCTAGTGCTTTCTCGGCGCTTGTTTGAGGGAACAGCCGGCGAGCTCGTCACGAACGTGGATATGACCCTCGACGAGTATCTCGTTGCTCTTGCGGGGCGCTGGGAAGCTTTCGGTTTTCTTCTCACACTTTCAGGAATCTGCGCCGCCCACACAACAGTCGACGACCCGCCCTTCCGCGGCTTGGGCTTCTCTGCTACCGATCACAAAAATCTCGGAATTCTTGCCACTGCTGGCGGTGACTTATGTCTGCAATTCTGCGAGAGTATGGGCGTGATGAGCGACCCCCTGGGATGGCTATTTTTGCGACACATCCATCTGCTGACCTTGGTGTGTGGTGATCACGGTAGGTCTTTTCAGATACGGAGAGTAGATGCCAGCTAATTTGTAGACTATCGGCCACGCAAACGTCTTGGGGAGCTTTCAACGCTCCTTTTCGCCATGGGCTATCATCAGCTCGACGATGGCGAGCATCTACCTTTCTTCCTCGCCGAAGGACGCAAACGACTTATGGTGCTTGCCTATTCCTCCGACAAAGACTTGGCTACTTTTCTTGGCTGTCCGCCTCTAATAGCTTATCGATTCTGTCGCATTCAGCTTCCCCTGGACCTCACACCGGCCGAAATATGTGCCAACCAAGTCATGCGGGAGGCTGCGATCGGTAAACTGGATGCCAAAGGTTGGAATACTGTAGAACCCATCAAAGGGGTTACTTGGAGCCGGGTGGCCTTGCTGCTGGGTCACGTCCGCGAGCTTGTGCTGGGAATCTCGCTTGATCGCGAAGATGTTGACGTCCAGCAAAGAGCTGAGTATGCCTTCTGCAATCGTTGTATTTTCATGACTTGCTAACTTCTCTCCTCTTATTTCAGTAACGTATCTTCACTGTCGCAACAGGTGCGCGATGATTTACCAATCTACCTACAGTGGGATGGGAGCACCGAAAGTACACTGCGTCTGAGGAGTACCATTCCCGTCTACATTCATCTCGACTTACTGCACAGCAATTTTCTTCTGCAGCGGATTCTGGTAAAGCGCTCCTTGACCGAGTCCGAAACTCTCGTCAGCCTTGCGCACCAGATTCTCCAGGCAATGCTTGCTTTGATAGCCGTGGGTCATCGGTGTGGGAATTCTTTTAGCGAACTTGGATGGACGGTATTCTCAATTTCATTCTTTGGTCCTTTATTATGTGGCCTTGGTCAAATGCTGACGTGATAGATCCCCTATTTTGGTCTCCCCTCGGCCGGAATTCTCGCCATCGAAGTCCTGCGCCAGAAGCAGAATGCCCGCCCTTGGCCGAGCGAGAGGCGCTTTACCCGCTCAGAAGTAATACAGAACCTCGGTAATCTCGCATCGCACATACAATACATCACTCTGCCACAGAAGGGCAATTACGAGATCTGTCAACAAGGACGGAAAGTCATCTTGCACATTTTAGACTACGTGCTTACCACGCCACTCGATGCCAGTACATCGATTCCTACAATGTCGAACGATCTGATTCCTTCAGACTGGCTTGATGAGGAGTTATTAAATGATGGGACACAATTCCTTGGATGGATTGATGGGATCAATTGGAATGAGTAACTTTCAATTCGAATGATTCATGTTATCTGGGTGGTATTAGCTAGGCTTCCCTCAAAACGCTGGTCTCTTGGTAACTGCACACTCCACACCTCAGCTTTGCTGATTGGCAACTACATAGCGTGGGACAACAATCAGTATTTCAAGCGACGGCTGGGCGACCCGCTTGTTAAGCCGGTTTAAAATCAAGCTAGGTATGGAACATTTTCCAATTTCTTGAACTCGAATTGTACCGCACTGCATAGCTTTTGTGGTTAGCTCTTCGCTACTAGCGAGATTATGCCTCATCAGGTCGTCCGTTTCTTGTTATTCTTATTATTTAAATTTTCACAAGTCTAGGTGGGCCACCCAGGGCCAATCAGGTCCCTTAAACTACGAAACCACACGAGTTAGGTGGCTCATTCCTGGTCATCTTGCTGTTCTAAAAAGGGATTCCCATTAGTATGTCAAACAGACGTGTCAATACAGTAACACCAAAGCTTTGTTTTGGAATAAGCCTTGCGTTCTGGCTCCCATCCATTCAGACAAGACTATGAATACAATTTAAGCCTCTACTAAGAAGATATTCACAAGTACATATATCCCCAATTTAGATTGATTGTGATAGTCATCAATTCCTAAAGATTGACTATATAGGAGTTGGTTCATGTTTGCTGATATCCGAAAATTGACTTTATCATTCACAGCCAGTCAAGACTCTTCTTTGGCGTTGGGGACTGGAATAGCAGGATCGATCGAATCATACCCAGCACTTGTTAGACCCGGCCACTCTTTAACCATCGTGTAAGGTCCATAGATGATCTTGTCTTTTCCAAGATCAATCCGAACGGAGTTCGTTCCTGAAAAGAGGTATGTTTTAGTCGAGGAGCTAGAACCATTGATTGCTGCGTCGATCGTATCGAAAGGTGTAGAAGTAAGGCTCTTCTATTTGTCGGTAATCTTGAGAGGTCCCTCTAGAAGAGTATCGTTTCCTCCCGGACTGAACCTGATACGGATAACGCGGGCACCGAAGAAGAAATAGAACTCGTCCTTGGTGCTAGGGATAACGACTGCAACGTCAATTCTACTAAATCCGGCCTTGGTTGTTGCGGGCCAGGAGTCTTTAAATGGCTTTAGGCCGGCTACTATCTCCTCGTCGCTAATATACGGGGTCTACTTGATCCGAGCGTAACGTCTACCGGAGAAAAGGTATACTTATTACATACAACAGTCAGGATTCGCATGTGGTCACCTATTACACTACTAACTAATCGGCGTGTGGCTTAGGTGCGGCCAGTGGTCGAGTGGGTGCCTTCCGGGTGAGACATGGGTAAGAGCTGCTTTAGCGTCGCGCGAGCAGGGGAGAGAAGGGTGAGAAGCAGAGTGAGAGCGGGTAAAAGATCTCCATCGCGCGACAACCGCATTAGCCCTCCCAGCTAAGCAGCAGTAGAACATCATTAGGCCACGATTCCCCATCTGAAACAGCCGTCCTCTTGGCATCTGTCCCCCCCCCCCCCTCCCCTGGTGGACTGGTTTTCGAATGTACTATAGAGATGAGGCTTATCTTCCTCTATAGAGTAGGGTTTCGAATATTCAACGAGTACTACACGTAAATCTAACGGCGATCATGGCATTATGAGTCGCTTTTGTCCCTGAGGCCTCCGATCTCTGGGCATCTACATTATAGCATCGGTTTTCAAGCAAGATTATTTCAGTCGGCGGCAAGATTGACTACTATACTGCTTTTGGTGTAGTATCCTAAGGAGCGTGAATCCAATTATTGGCACATGATAAGAAATGCGTTGCCTACTCTGACCTCTGACATCATTTGAAAAAGATAAGCAAAGATATAGACTGAAGAACCTATATAGCTTGTTATAGTAAGCAGAAAGTAACTATCTCAAACTTACTAAGCACCTATTATGTTAGAGATTGCAGTCTCCATCGTCAGATGAAGCGTTGACCATCAGAAATTCATTGATTCAGCAGTATAAGTACCACCGCTATAGACGTTCTTTCCAGCCGTAAAATTACCGCTGAAGACTTGATGTATTAGCGACGGGGCAGGACTTTCGTAGTCGGAATTACTATCAATCGGTTTTGGTGTCCCTCTCCATAACTTCAGGATACTTTTTGCGCAAGCCGCTGCTGTTACTGCTGCATAGAGCTGCCACTCTTTGTCTTTATGGCTATCGGCATAGTCGCACACTCCTTTAACCACGATTGTCGGGATGGTGTCCCACAAGCCGGCCCCTTCCATTTCAAAGCCGATCACACCTTCCTGTTCGGCAATGCGGTCGCGATGTAATGCGGATTTGATGACCTGGTCGCCCGACGCCAGTCCACCAAAATGCACTATAGGACAGTAGGCCATAGCACTGTGGCCTTTATCGTTCATCTTCTGTATCCGAGCTCGAGGTATTACCTTGCCAAGATCACACCCAAGGTCGGTACAAGATGAGTTTAAGGCGTCGGGGCAAACATCATCCTCTGGGCATGTGCATTGAGCACAGATTGTACACGCCTTTGGGTCTGTATGCTTATGGCTATAGCTCGGTTCAAAGAGTCTATCTTTGCCAGTACCAGGATATCCTGAGAACGTATGGTCTGTTGAATAAAAAATGGCAGCTAGGTCTGCTCGCATTGAATCTTTGATATCTGCCTGAACAGCTTGGCCTTGGAGTTTGGATAAGAACCCCGCGATCTCCGGGTTCGGTCTGCTGAGATTGTCTTGCAGCATGTTTTTTCGAACAAAGGAGTGCGGGTATAGCCTTCCAAAATCGATTTGTACAATATGTGTGCTGACAATAACATCCCCTAAAATGATCTCTCGTTTGCCATTCCCGGAGATGGGCACCCCACCGCATATGCCGACTAGTAAGCCAACTCGGATGCATGGAAAGCTGAGTTGCAAGCTGGCCGCGACGCTGGACGCTGATGCTTTGCCAATGCGAGGCATGTGGACTAGCACCACAGGGTGTTGACAAATCCGACCCAAAGTATAGCTATTGGTGTCGCCATGAAACCTCTCATTCTGTTCTTCCTCCCAGATCTCATCGAACACTGCAATCATCGCGTCGGCCTCGATGTTCAGGGCGCAGAAAATGGCAATCTTAAAAGCATGGCGATCATGAGGTCTCATGTATTTGTCGGAAGACATCGCTAAGAATATTGGTCCGGAAAGTCGTACGTTTTGGGATTTTGGTAAAGGAAAATCAATGGGCGCACTAGCGCAGCGAATAACGCAGGTCTAGGGACAGAACAGCTGAAACAGATTATGAAAATCACATGTCGTATGTAACCATCAACGCTCATCTTACTACGTAGTACGAAGCATTTGAGCTACCCCGCGTAAGATCACAGGGCCACGCTATCACTCTTGTCACTCCGAAAGAAAAATTGCTAACTGCAATAATTTTCAACCTCGGAACATACATTCGATTTTCGACGACTTCACATCGCGTTAAGGGTCTCAGCATGGTAAGAGCACAGAATTTTGCCGGGCGCTTCAAGAGTAAGGCCCACCAGCTGAATGGCAACACATTTTGCGGCCCTGTTTCTTTTTCTGCAATTGATCACAGGGGCAAAAGCCAAACGGTGTCAACGCGAAATAACTCAGGGCCAGAGGCTTTAGTACGTGTTCACGATAAGATCGAGGTGGTATCTGTGCCTGGCCAGAGTGGGAGTCTGAATTGGCATGGTCAGTGAATCGAGCCTCGACCTCTCATAACCGTGATCTGATCAGTAAAAGACTGTGCCCAGTCACTTGCATTTGACGAGTTAGATGCCAGAGAGCGGCTAATAGAAACGCAATCAGCCGGCACTTGTGAATGGCTGTTGGACTCACCGGATTATTTGCGATGGGTCGACGAACACGGCTTACTTCTGATAAGAGGCAAGCCTGGATGCGGAAAATCTACCCTTTTGAAGTTTGTACTGAGCCAACAAACGAAATCCGTTGCCCCGCCAGGGTCTCTCGTGCTGTCATTCTTCTTCTATGCCAGCGGCACAGATCTTCAGAGTAGCACATCGGGCTTTTTCCGATCGCTTTTGCTTCAGCTGCTTGAGAAAGATGAGCCTTCAAAGTCAGCCTTTATGGAGATTTGCCGCAAATTTTGTAGGTTTGAAGGAAGCGGAAAGCCGCGTTTAAAATGGAATCAGTTCGAACTCGAAGGTTATTTCCAGAACCTTGTGCTTGACTGTGCCTCCCGCCGGAAAATTTTGATATTCGTCGATGCTCTCGACGAATGCAATGATAAGGACCGAGATCGTCTGATCAGTTCCTTTCATACTCTTTGTCAGATGAATGAGGGGCCGAACAGACCGGGAATTTTCGTTACGTGCCGTCCATACCCGGACGGTCAAATCAGGGCAGACTTTCAAATCCGACTTGAAGAAGAGAGCCAGAATGACATTCGAACTTTTATAGAGCAGAACTTGCGATTACCGGATGAAACACCCGCAGACGCAGACGAGTTAAAGAGTACTCTGCTGAGTAAAGCTAAGGGCCTCTTTCTCTGGCTTGTCTTGATCATTCCGCAAATCCACGACATGAGTGGCAAAGGGTTGAGCTTAAGGAAAATTCAATCTGAAATCCTCGAAAGCTCACGAGAGCTGGATAGCCTATACGAAGGACTCTTGAGAAAGATTGAAAACGACGAGCTCCGGGAAGCTAGCATCTTGTTTCAATGGATCTGTTTTGCGACCCGGCCGCTATCTCTCGATGAGCTCAGAATTGCAATGACAGTCCATTTGAATGGCTCAAAAAAGTCATTGAGAGAATATGAAGATGCAGAAAACTATGGATCGATACCAAACGAAGCCAAGATGAAGAAGCGGATGATTCACTTGAGCAGAGGGCTCGTGGACACCACCACAAATACCAACTGCAACGAGGGCAAAGCCGTAGTCAGCTTTTATCACGACACAATCAGAGACTTTATGCTGAGAAAAGGGTTAAAATACCTCGATGGACGTTTGCGTGATCCTCGAAGCCTTGCGAAAGGTGCTAATGTTCAATTAGCAAACAAATGTCTCCTTTACTTGTCAACGGACGAGATTCGTATCGCTTTCCTGAAAAAGGACGCGAGTCCAAAGAGAGAGTTTCATTTCCTCGATTATGCGGCGAGGTATTGGCTCTCTCATGCTGTCACGGCGGAGAGGGAGAGCTTAGGGGAGGAGATTCTCTGGCCGACTGAAACTATACTCGACGTATGGGTCAAAGCATCGAGAGACTTGGAGCATAGTTTGAGCAAAAGCGCTACAGAAGGGACATCTTTGATGCACATCGCAGCCGAATATGGGCTTCAAGAATTAGCAAAGAGGATTATGTGCACAAGGGGACAAAGAAGATCAACTTCCTTGAGACACGCGCAACCGAGCATGCGCAGTGCTTTCCAGTTGGGGGTGAAGAAGCCCATATCGATGGCGGCAGGGAAGCACGAATCGGCAATGATCGGAAAGATACCACTTAGCCACCGACAGGGTCAGCCAAAGACAAAAAGAGGAGGCGGGTTAAGGACAATGTCTACCAAAATGTGTGGAGACGGAAAGGGCCAGGTAGTAAGCCCTGGCACAGTGAATTCGAGCATAACTAAGGACCAGGGGGGACTGAATATGGGATATAAGCAAATGGAGGAAACGGGATATGCGGAATTGGTGAATGCTCAAAACAATAACGGTGATTCACCACTACATCTAGCTGCAGAACACGGCTGCATCGGCATGGTGGCATTTTTATGCAGGTCGGGAAGCAAAACTGGAGAACCGAATCATGATCATTGCACACCGCTGCACAAAGCATCCCAAAACGGACACCTTAAGGTAGTGGAGTTTCTATATATGCATGGAGCGGATGCCGATCTGCATCGGACAACAAAGCATGACACTACACCATTTTTTGCGGCTTGTAATTCTGGCCATATTGAAGTTGTGAAGTTTCTGTATGAGCATGGGGTAGACTGTGATCTTCATCGCACGATGAAGCATGGCTGGACTCCATTTTCTGCCGCTTCAAATTCTGGTCACCTTGACGTTGTGAAATTCCTATATGAGCATGGGGTAAACCTTCATGTTCCTATAGGAAATGGCTGGACTCCATTTGCTTTAGCTTCATATTCTGGCCACCTTGACGTTGTGAGGTTTCTATACGAGCATGTGGCAGATGCCGATCTCCATATTCCCACTGAATATGGCTGGACTCCATTTTCAGCGGCCTGTGAGTCTGGTCATCTCGACGTTGTGAGGTTTCTGTATAACCAAGGTGCGGTTTCAGACATTCATGCCACGATAAAAGATGATCGAACTCTATTATCGGTGGCTTCATGCTCTGGCCACCTCGACGTTGTGAAGTTTCTATATGAGCATGGGGCAGACGTCGATCTTCATATTCCCGATAAGAATGGCTGGACTCCATTTTCAGCGGCTTCATGCTCTGGCCACCTTGACGTTGTGAAGTTTCTATATGAGCATGGGGCAGACGTCGATCTTCATATTCCCAAGAAAGGTGGCTGGACTCCATTTGCTTTAGCTTCATATTCTGGCCACCTTGACGTTGTGAGGTTTCTATATGAGCATGGGGCAGATGCCGATCTCCATATTCCCACCGAATATGGCTGGACTCCATTTTCAGCGGCCTGTGAGTCTGGCCATCTCGACGTAGTGAAGTATCTATATGACCAAGGTGCGGTTTCAGACATTCATACCACGACAAAAGATGATCGAACTCCATTATCGGCGGCTTCAAATGCTGGCCACCTCGACGTTGTGAAGTTTCTATATGAGCATGGGGCAGACGTCGATCTTCATATTCCCGATAAGAATGGCTGGATTCCATTTTCAGCGGCTTCAGATTCTGGCCACCTTGACGTTGTGAGGTTTCTATATGAGCATGGGGCAGACGTCGATCTTCATATTCCTAATAAGAATGGCTGGACTCCATTTTTAGCGGCTTCAGATTCTGGCCACCTTGACGTTGTGAGGTTTCTATATGAGCATGGGGCAGACGTCGATCTTCATATTCCTAATAAGAATGGCTGGATTCCATTTTCAGCGGCTTCAGATTCTGGCCACCTTGACGTTGTGAGGTTTTTATATGAGCATGGGGCAGATGTCGATCTCCATATTCCCACTGAATATGGCTGGACTCCATTTTCAGCGGCCTGTGAGTCTGGCCATCTCGACGTTGTGAGGTTTCTATATGAGCATGGGGCAGATGCCGATCTCCATATTCCCACCGAATATGGCTGGACTCCATTTTCAGCGGCCTGTGGGTCTGGCCACCTTGACGTTGTGAGGTTTCTGTATGAGCATGGGGCAGATGCCGATCTCCATATTCCCACCGAATATGGCTGGACTCCATTTTCAGCGGCCTGTGAGTCTGGCCATCTCGAAGTCGTCGAGTTCCTTTGCGATCATGAAGCTAGCGTTGAAGCCCAGGATATCTGTGGGCGTACTTCCCTTTTCCTTGCCTCCGCGAGAGGTCACATGGAAGTAGTGCAACATCTTCTGTCCCGCGGAGCTATGGTAGATACCAATGACCGATATGGTTCAACCCCGCTTTTTGCGGCTGTAAGAAATGGACATGAGAAGGCTTTTATCTTTTTACGTGACCTTCAGGGCGCTTACATCCGATTTGAAGACGGCTTCGGTCACACTTTGCTTTGGTGGGCCAGAAAGACGGGGAACACCACACTTACTGAGGCTGTCATACAAATTGCCCAAGTAAGAGGCATGCAAGTTTCCGAGACTGACATGGCTGTCGAGGCGAGCTCAATGTCGATAGGCGGGTCTACACAGTGGTGTGATATATGCACTCGATTCTTTCCTGATGGGAGCGCCTACCACCAATGTTCTATCTGTCAGGGTAGCGCCTTCGATATCTGCACGGAGTGCTTTGAGATGGGCGCGCGATGTCTGGATGGTTCCCATGAGTTGGCTTTCCATGAGCCTACCGTTCTTTAGGGAAGGGCCTGCCCCTTTAGAGGGCTAGGGGGCGGCTGTAATTGAAGGCACTTAGCACTGTAGTACAGCATCCAAGTGAACAAATGCATGTATCTATCAAATCCAGGAGACTTTAGCTGCTATTTGCGTCAAAAGACGAAAGAGCAATGGACCTTCCCGGCCCGTTCGTCTTGTCGGATAGTGGGATTCTGGCTTGGCAAATGATCGATCTCTTCGAGGCAATTAACGGAGAATCCAGCAGTCACCTGCAGGATGCTATTTCATTACGATTTTTATGTTCACCTATTATTGTGTTGATTCTCTTTTGACATGTTCACTTGCTGGAAGGAAGATGTATGATAGGTTAAAGAACAGTTTGGAACCTTACTTGGCAAGGTCTCGACAGAGCAACTATCGGAATTGTTACGTCTCAACATTGCCCCTAACATATATTCGATCCTGGGTTTGCATTAGGCATTGACGTAAATCATTCATGTTTCCTTATGGGTATGGTGATAGCATATGCGGTGGCATCGTGACCAAAAATATATCTTGAGGTACCTACTCTCGTCTCATTGGGGGAAGTATTCTTAGAATGAGAAATTTGCGATCAGCCTTGGAAAGCTTCTTTCTACATTCTCATGTTGCCCATGTACTATACTATATATTTTAACCTTATGATTCCTTCAAATATTACAAATGGTCTTTTTATATAATGCTACGAGATCCGGAACATGCTTGAGGTGGGCGGAGTTACCACGATGGACGGGTTGAATGTACATCATCGAGTTTATTTACATACATAATTAGACTGCAATTGCCTTCATGAAAGCTGGACTTTCATGTCCCTGCACGACCTTGGAAATAGGAGTGAGGAAAGCATTGGTAGCCCCTTGGCTATCGTGAAGATGGCGAATATAAGCTTGGGCAACCTTGATCCACACAGCTTTCTCCCTATCACTAGCCTCGGCACCTTGCCAGACCCAGAGTCGGCTGCCAATATCATAGAGGAAGACATCTTTACCATCCAAATCAGATTGTTGGATGCGGCCACCATCTTTGACGAGGTCAAATGACAAATCTCCCGAGGAGTCGCTGAGGCGGAACAGCTTGCGAGGACGAGATTGATCACCGTCTTCGTGAGTCGCCTTTGAGAAGTAGCCTGGTCTCTGTGCCTGCAAAGATGAGTGATCGGCGTCCTTTCCACCCAGCAAATCCACAATGATCTTAGATCTCGATTCGAGTTGAGAAAGCACCTCAACATCAACATGCTTCGCCAATGTCAAGTTATTCACAACTTGAGCAGCCTTGCCCTTCTCCATCGGGCTGCATTTCTTGCCCTGCCAAACCCAGATCTTGTCACCTTTATCCAAAACAAAGACATCATTCTCGTCTAAGCTTTCCCAAGTCGGCTCAACCTCATGCACGATGAGAGGGCTGATGCGACCAGATCCAGGATACTTGAAGATGCGAAGCAAGGTAAGCACCTCCTTCGGTTCTTCGGGCTCAACATGGTGGAATCCAGAGCGTACACCACCAGAGCGAATAGAGTAATGACGGAAGAGAGACAGGAATTCTTCTGAGGGCTGCTGCTGGATCTCACGGTGTTGAGTCGCAGCGCCATGCAAGAATTCATCCAATTCGACTGTCTTGTATGCAGCTGTACCGGCCTCATCCTGTGTGGTCTTGCTTCCTAGCCAGAAAAAGATATCGTGGCCTAGCTTGTCATCGCCGACCTTGTATGTATGTAAAACGATGAAGCTGTCGCCGTCGAAAAATTCACCAGTCTTTTCTTTGGGCCAGGGAACAACTTCAAAGTTCTCAATGCGCCAAATGAATAGGCCTGCTTCTTGTCCCACCTTTCCATTGTTCCAGGCGGGCTCGGAAGCAGCTGAGTTGTACTTGACACGGTGGTCAAGGTCTGATCCGATCAATTCGACATTGCTGTCTTTGATATCGTATTCCTTGGGATGAACTAATCCTTCATGAGGGGCCATTTTGTCGATGATCTATTGATTGTATATAATGGATGTATGCAATGTTGTGTTGATTAAATAGGAAAGGTGGGATGAAGCAACTGATGTCATCAGACAGATAGTCACATGATCACGGTGGATACTTGATCCGGTGACTATTTATAGAACAGTGGCAGTGTTCACGGCTGTGCCCACGAGGTGATCTAAGTTGTTACGTACAATTTGGTGCATTGAGATCAATTCCTCAGGTCTGGAGTAATAAGATAGCATACTCTTATTGTACGAAATGGCGGAACAAGCCCAGGACAATGGGTGGCAAGGGTTGCAAAAAGGTCAACCGACAACGAAGCGTGTCTCCGCCAATGTTTAAACCCTTGACATCGAGAACATTGCCTACAGTAGTTAATGGGCTTTCTCGGTTTACCCTGATGGAGCATGTAGATACCCATTATCTAGCGAGGGAAACTGATGTGGTTCAACTATCGATGGGCAGGATGCTGGTAACAGTGGAGAGGCAGTGGGCAAGAGCCGCCATACTCTACAAGGTGGCATCCTCCGTTCTTAAGCCCAAGGAAATGAGCACAAAGATCCGGAAACTCGTTCCTGAAATTTAGCCATATCACACTTTAATTCATGAAATTAACTTTCAACGTACGCAGATCCTTCCACATACTGAAGAAACTGAAAATCAGAAATAGAGTTGAAACGTTGATAGTGACGGACCCACTTGGATCCAAAAATGAGAACACTCAATAAATGGCCATACACCAACCCCAAATCCCAGTCATCACATTGGAACAAAATGACATGTCTAAACCTCACTTGTTCGAAAGCCTCCTCGAATACAATTATCCTGTACATCTGTGTACGCGGAACGTGTGGTGAAAATGGACGACTTTTCTCCCGACGTATACCCCGTCCATGTACTGGATAAAATCAAAGCAAACCACTGCTATGTGGACTGGCTGATGCATTTCAACGATGTCCTTGACGCAGAGAAACTCAACGCTGCGTTATCAAGACTGCTGGAGATTGGGGACTGGAAAAAGCTTGGTGGGAGACTGCAAAGAAAGGCAAGTTGTAACATGCACTCGGCAACTACCGGAGAACGTCAAATAACATCCATCTTGAGCAGAAGGACGGAAGTCTCGAAGTACACGTCTCAGGACCATCTGCAACAGGGCAGCAAAATGTGTTTTTCACTCAAGACAGATTCGATATGAACATCGACGAACACCCGGTCGCTAGTCGTCTCCCGAAAAAAACAGAGTCTCCCTCGATCCAGACTCTATCCCCTGATACCCGACCTTTGATCGCACGACCAGACTTTCCTACATTCGAGGAGATGGTTCGCAAAGGGCTGCCTTCCATCTCTCTACACATCACATCCTTTCGTGATGCAACACTTGTCGCCCTCATCTGGCCTCACGTGCTGATGGATGCGATTGGCGCAAAGTCTCTGTTGGAGGCCTGGTCATCGGTACTAGCTGGTCGAGAAGAAGATGTTCCTCCAGTACTTGGTGCACGAGAAGATATGCTTCGTTCTACAGGAGCCATGCATGAAGGTGACACACCCGAAGAATTCGGACTTGAGAAATGGCGCCTTAAGGGGATAAGCATGATCATGTTCCTCCTGCGATTTGTATGGAATAAGTTCTGGAATCCGCGCCGGGAGCGACGAATTTTCTTGCTTCCGAAGAGCGATTTTGGGAAGATACGCGAGCAAGCTCGAATGGATGTTCCTCGAGGCTCGGGGGTAGATGAGGAACCTTTCATCAGTGATAGTGATATCCTCACTGCCTGGCTTGCCCGGGCAGTGGCTTCTTCGGAGCCAGGGTCTCGTCCGTTTACGGTATTGAACCTTATGAACGCACGGTATCGGATCCCATCTTTGCTCAAATCGGGTGGTGCTTTTATTCAGAATATGGTATTGGGAACATATTCTTTCTTTTCTTCTCAACTTCCCGAAAAATCTGTCGGATCAATTGCGTTGGAGTATCGCAAGAATTTTACTGAGCAGGCTACCCAAGGTCAAACCCTTTGTTTTCTGCGGAGTGTTTTCCGAGACCTGGAAGCAGGCAGAAGCCCGGGACTTTTGTTTGGAGAATCGAATGCTGCTCTAGTGGCTTTTAACAACCTGCTCAAGGCTGACTTGATCCGCAATGTCGATTTTAGTCCCGCGGTCATGTCTCAAGGAGAAGCGACACAGACGAGGGCAAATCCCCCGGGATCTATGGTCTTCTACTACAATGAGGCTATTGATGACTCGTTCAATGAGTTCAACCTTTTTGTTGTGCTTGGTCAAGACCATAGGGATACTTACTGGGTTTTGGGAACGCTTTTGCCTCGGGCCTGGAAAAAAATTGAAGAAGACTTAGGGAGAATATAGGCAGGGGCTTATGGTAAGCAATAGCAGTCTCTTTTCTGGTGTTGCTCAATTGGAACTTTGTCTTGTGGGTATCAATGCGCAGTTTGTATTAAATGGCTCTGCTCATAAAGCTATATCGAGTAACCTGAAACACTTGAAAAGATCTTCACACAAATGGATGAGCCATAAAGCACATGCGAAAGATTGGGTATTTATGCAAATGCAACGCTTCAGTCATGACTTCGTGATATGTGTACAGGGAGTATTCAACCAAGCGATATTCACACCTAGGCTTACCGCTGTCGAGACCTTGCTACAAGGTTGGTAAAGGAATCAATAAGTGACAGATGCTCTGTTCCGAAAATATGCCGCAGGGGTATGGTTGGCTGGTCATCGCCAGCTTAGTGAGACGGTGCAACTGTCGTATGGCCAATGCGGGGATAACAATGCTATTATAATTGGGCGCAGTCACATGGCTCGCTCTGGGGTATCGAGACAATCATGTCCCATCGCGGTTAAAAGTCAGGTGTATTCGGTACCCGTTTTGATCCACGGAAATCGGCAACCCTTTCATGGTTGATCGTATTCAATAGATTCCAGTCCGGTCGAACGTCCCTTGAACCCTTGAGTAGTTCCCTGGCTTGTCGGCAAGGATTCGGGATTATTATAGTCGAGTTCGTTGAAATCGGGGATTTGCGAAGGATCGACGAAAGAAGGAAAACGGCCACGATCCAGACGAGGTGTCTGCCAGACATGTTGATGGGCAATGTTGACCAGCTTTCCCAGAACAGCGATTTCCAACTTCAGCTTAATGCTGTAGAGGGTCGCCTTGAGGGTAGTTTGATAGATATAAAAGTTCATAAATTCAATGACCATCAACGCAATATCCATCAGGACACAAGAAACGTTGACGGCGAGCAGCTGCAGGATGGTCCTGCGACTACCACTGTCGGGATTCAGTTTCAGCATGCGATTGGTCTCCCACATGTACAAACTGGAAATGATCACCTCCTGGACGCAGAATCCAGTCAATTGAATTTTCTCCATAATGTCGTACCCTGCGACCGAAGCATGGGAATTGGAAAAATTGGCATCATAAGTGAGCACGGTCGTCGGAATATGAAGCAAGAAGATATTCATAATAATCATTCCCTTGACCAGGCGTAGCACGCGAAGGTTTTCGAGCACCAGGTGAAGTCGCGAATACAAGACAAATGATTGGCCGGTGACCATGGTCCACCAACCCACCGTGAGCAAAGTGACGGGCAGCCAGGTGGCGGAGGTCAAAGCGAAGAACTTCATCAGATAACCGACGGAGTAAGGTAAGATACCGACCGAAGCAATCAGCATGCTCCAAAAGTAAGGGCCTTGGTAGCGCTTGAAGGTGAGAAAGATGAGAACGATCAGCTCAATCACATTGTACCACGCGACGCCCACAAAAGTCGCGATCGTGATGCGCACGCCATTACTATCGCCCGTGTAGCTGCCGGTGATCCAGTTGCCGGGACTGGCTTCGCTGGACGAGGACATGGCAGCATGGATGGATCCAGGGTCCACGGAAAGTATTTGGAGGGAAAACTCACCCCTGGTTGAGTTTTCGTGGGGTCGAGTGAGAATGGCTGATCCCTTGAGCCACAGACCCCACTTTGTCCCTTTCCCCCTGCCCCTTTCTTTATCTGATGCTTTAGCCGCACTTAAAAAGGGGCAGTGGTCCGTGACTTAAGCTTAATTTATGGGCTTAGATCGATCGGAAATTTCGTTCTGAGATATCAGATCGGTCTTATCGTGAATCATGGACATCGGAATGTGCACCGGCCACTTTCAATCCCCGCTACGATCGGGCACGGGCTGATGTCATTGTTGACAAAAATAGACTTGCCCGGGGGTGCCCTTGTACTCTACTGTAGAAATCACAGGATACCGAGGGAGACGATGACCACTGTCTGCATAAGAGAGCAGCAGGGTGGCCTTTCGCGTCGGTCATTTACGGGTAGAGGCTGGCACAGTGTAGGATGTGTTTCCAAGGTTGGCGCTAAGAACCAGTCCTCGCAGATTGCGGCGAAAGGTAAGCTGATTATCTGTTACGGGGTCTCAAGATACCTGTCAAGGTAGATAGAACACTATATTCTTACCAGCGATTGGAATATCACGTAGTGAAAATGCAAGTAACATTCGTGTGAGTGGAAATATCGGTTGGAAGGAGTGGCTGCAGTGGAGACACATATTCATATGTACAAACATGACCATGGGCACCTATTCACATAATCCACACCTGGGCATCACAGTGGCGGCGTATCGGCAACCATATTGCCCATCCTATATGTCAAATCAGCAAGGGAAAAATCTCTCTCAAAGACCCGGGGAGACTTACGACTCAGAGTAGCGGGCACCCTGGACCTCAGTTCGCTCAATTAGGTCGCGAATATCCTTCACTTCTTCATCCGTCAATTGGAGCAGGGCAGAATTAGTATTCTCATCTATTCGCTGAGTCGATCGAGTCCCAGGGATCGGAATGATGTCGGGTCCTTGAGCCAGTAGCCATGCAATCGAGACTTGCGATGGTGTACTTCCGTGGGCTTCAGCCACTTTCTGCAGACCCTGCACCAATTCCATGATCTTGGGGAAATTCTCGGGTGCATATTTAGGCAAATGACGTCGCCAGTCGTCTTCAGGGAAGTCTTCGTACTTCTTGATCTGGCCAGTGAGTAGGCCACGACCGATGGGGCTGTATGCGACCACGGTTATACCGAGTTCACGGCAAGTTTGCAAGAGATCACACTTCTCAATGTCCAGTGCAAATGGGCTATATTCCATCTGTAGAGCATCGATTGGGTGAACCGCATATGCACGGCGCAGGGTTGCAGCCGAAACTTCAGAAAGACCCAGATAGCGGATCTTTCCCTCACTGGAAACAGAAGCGAAGTTAGCATATTGCTCCAATATTCTGCATGGTGGGGGCAGTTTGGTACTTCTTCAATTCAACCATTGCTTGAACGGTCTTTTCAATTGGGGTGACCTCATCGACACGATGGCAATAATATAAGTCAATAACATCAACCTTCATGCGCTGAAGACTCCGAGCACATGCACTTTTCACATATTCAGGGTCGGATCGGATTGTCATATTGCCGGTGGCGGGATCAAATTGGATTGCAAACTTAGAGGCAAGGAAGATGTCGCTGCGCTTGCCGGAGCGCTGAACCCATTCACCAACAACGTCTTCGCTATCGGCATACATATCGGCGGTGTCCCAGAACCATTGGCCAATTGCATGTGCATGATCTAAGACAGCGACTTTGTCTTCAAGAGTGCCGGCAGACCCATAGGCATCACCAATACTCATGAGACCAAGGCCTACCGCAGGCACTTGAGGGCCATCTTTGCCAATGGATCGAAGAGGAATAGACATTTTGGAGTAAGGGTAAGAGAGTATAAAATCAGAGCTTAAGAATGTGATGAGCCGAGAGTTATCTGGGGCATATCCGGCCTTTAAATACCTTTGCTCAGCTCAAAATTCGACCCGAGGTCCGCGGTGATCCTAACAGGACTCAAGAATCATATTCCGGATTTAAGCTTCAGATGCGTTGCTATACATGATGCCGCCGGCCTTATCGTCCGGCTTTAAGGACATCAACCAATGAGAGCCTGACCGATCCACCTTTATTCCCATGGGGCCCTTTTTACCCAATCACAGGTCATATTTTGCGAGTCGTCCAATCAGAGTCCCAGTCATCTCCGCCTTGGAACAGGCTTACAGTATACTAAAGTCTACCGTTGGCTTTTCTGTCAGAGCCTTTATACCCCTCAACCAATTCATTAAAAGAGCATACATCAGAAATTATGCACGAACCACTCATCAAGGCACATCAGGGCCGGAACAGAAAGAAGGTTAAGTCCGGCTGCAAAACGTGCAAGTAAGTCCTGCCAGTGGGCCCAGTATGGACTATTCTAATAGTCCCCTGTAGGACCCGTCGCGTGAAATGTGACGAAAGTCGACCAGCATGTCGACGCTGCGTCTCTACGGGCCGAATTTGTGATGGCTATGGTATCTGGGGAGGCGGTGGAAGCCCATACGGCCAACCCCAGGGTAACCGAGCGCTGTCAACATACTGCACACCGGTTCCCACCGGCAGCATGACCAGTGAAGAACAGACCTATTTCGACTGGTTCATGGATAAGACAACCAAGAAGTTTGCTGGTCTATTTGCCTCTGACTTTTGGGAAACCCTCGTCTTGCAGGCGAGTGCCCAGGAACCTGCCGTGCGTCATGCGGTGGTCGCCTTGTCAGCAGCCCATCGATTCGATCGAAGTAATGAGCCGTGGTCTATTCCTTCCACTTACCTGTTTGATGTCGAACGGTTTACCTTGCAGCAATACAACAAGGCTATTCACCATCTACGGTTGATTACGGGAAGCACCCAAAAGAATACTTTGCGCGTTGCCCTGGTCACCTGCCTGATTTTTGTTACGTTGGAATACCTACGTGGGCAGTACCAGATAGGCAGCGCACATCTAAGATATGGGATCCAGCTTCTTGCGTCCATTTCAGCACCAAAGCCTCGATCATCTCTGTCTCCAAACATCCTGAGTCCCGCCGACGACTTTGCCCATAATGCGCTGATCGATTCATACTCTCGCCTAACCATACAGGCAGCCATGTTTGGTCATGTTCCCTCTCATATGTGCATTGTGACACGAGATCCACAAGTCCACGCGCTCCCATACATATTTCCTTCACTTCTGGACGCCCGACAAACGCTCGACGATCTCCTAAACAGAGTCCACTGTCTAAAGAGACACTACTATAACCTCCGATCATCCCAATCACAATTAGACATAGCCGATCCAGAAATGGTTGAAGCCCAGCAAAAGATCATAAATGACCTTTCTCTCTGGCGAAAAGCATATAACGCCTCACTCACTCGCCTCGAAGCAGAAGCTAGCCGCAAAGACAAATTCGGAAACATTTTACTCCGTGTATACCACGAATTGGCAACCATAATGGCATTAGTTTGTCTATCCGATGACGAGATGGTTTTTGACACATACACAGAAAATTTCCTGGCAATTCTCAAAGGATTCAACGATCTATGGAATTTTTGGGCAGATGCTAGTATCCAGATCAAAGAACTCAAGCATATTTTCAGTATTCCTGAATCTGATGATGGATGCCACGGGTTCACTGTCGAGTCTGGATTCATCCCTCCCATTTATTATACCGCGCTCAAATGTCGTATTCCTCGGATTCGACAGCATGCTATTCGGGTTTTACAGGCTGCTCCACATAGAGAGGGCGTCTGGAATGGTGCTCTCTTGGCTCATATTGTAAGGGAAGTGGTTAGGATTGAGGAAGGGGATTATACTGAGGATGTCGGTGCAGATGAGCCTATGTACACGGATATGCCATCTGCTAAGGAGTTTGCCTTGCCGGAAACCGAGGCGTCGAGGCGCATATCGGATGTGGCGGTGATACTGCCGGATCAGGTGAAGGGTGATACGTTTGTAAGTTATAAGAAGCAGCTGGGGGATGGTCAGTGGGAGACTTATAAGCAAAGGGTGAAGCCTGGCTGGATGAAATGTGCGGGGTCTCGGTAGAGGGAGTTATCCGTTTGAATACAATGGCTGAAACTTAAAAAGCGTTATGGATTTTATATTGTACAAATTTTGATAAGAACCATTTGATATGAAGTGTGAGCTCATTATGTCGTTAAATGCCCATTCCAGACCCAAGGAACGCCACCCTACTATCTGCAAAACAAATGCTTTTTCAATCCCGTTAACCAGTATCATGCGATCCCTCACTGCCATCTCTTGGCAACTATCTCCGCTGTCTGAGGAAAGAAGCTACCTGTTCATGGCGTGAGACGAAGAACATGCGCTTTTTGTCAGACTTCCAAACCAATACGCCGATCTCTGCAGCGTATCTGCAAGGGGCTTCGTATTCAGCCGCATTGGTGAAGTCCTTGAAAAGGAAGCCTGCTGTGGCCCTGAGACGATCACGCTCAAGCTGCCAAAGGCGAATCTGATCGGTGACAGTCGGGGGAAGCACGGAGGGTAGAAGAGATGTATTGGTTGTCGCGGCATATTGTTTCCGCAGTTGAGGGTGGGCGTGCGAGTGCAGGTAAGAAATGATCTGGTCAGCTGTGATGCCAATGTCGATAGCCCGGCGCACCGATTGGCGGGTAATTTTTCCCGTCACCAAGTTAGGGAAGCGGTATTTCAGACTCGTAAAGAGGGAGATAAGAGAGATCTGGAGGGGAGATGACGTGTATGCGTAAAGGCGGTAGTTGGTTTCGATAATGATGAAACCCGAGCTTGAGCCACCTGATTGACCGCCAGGTCCAGTCAAGGAGCCAGAACCGGGGGTTCCCAGTGCGCTCGAATCAGAAGTCAAGGTTGTGGCTAGTCGTGTGGGGTAGAAACGTGTTGCTTCTGGGGATTCTTGGTAGATGATACCAAAGTCTGATAAGTCGGTCAGGGTGCGGAGTTGTGTGGATGTCATTCCCGTCTTCTCATAAGATTGACCCAGTTCCAGACTGCTGAGCAAGAACAAGAATGAAAGCACCTCTACGCTGTCCATGCCGAGGGAATGAGCACTCTCAACATAGAGAATCATGATGTGCCAGACCTGAGTGTTGACGTCTTGCAGCACAAATCCGAACCCATCCTTGGTGATATCCACGCGTCCTCCCCTGATTTCAACGAGATTGCCTGCTTGAAGCAGTTGTTTCACACCCTTGCTCAGGTTCACTATATCACGATTTCCAGTGAGAGCACTCGTTCCGACCATGTAACCTAAGACACCTTCCCACTGTCGTCGGCCGTATTCGTCCAGATCGTGGATTGTAACTTTGCTTTCATTTGGAATCTGGGAAAAGACACCAAAGGCCTGGGCGTCCTGAGAGCCGGTGAGAGCTTGACGCAGCGATGATGCGAATGGATTGGTGACCATGTAAGCCCGAGCATTATCTTCAGTGCGCGTGGTGGACAAGATATGAAGCCGGCCTAGAATCGATAAAGCATTGTCCCGCTGTCTTTGTCAAGAAATAGCCAGGTTGTTAGCTCGCCGGCTTCTGGGAATCTCAGGATCACGCGCGCTCACTTTTTGCTTTCAGACTTGACCCAAATCTCCAGATCAGCTGTAGGAAGAGGGTCCTTCAAATAAAGCAAGGCCATGACAAAACATTTTGCTATCCTCACAGTCAGTTTAGTCGGATTCGAAATTCAGAGAGCTCCAGATACCCAGATCAGGCAGCATGCGCCGAAAAATGGCGAGTGCAGTGGATGGTTGCTTGTACAGCTGGAGAAAGGTCGCACCAGGCAGACCCTCCAGGTACTCTAGAGGTCGAGACGTAGGTGCAGCCATGTTGATGACCTTAAATACCTGGCGCCTCTGTACCTTGTCGAAGGAGCGTTTTGCAACAAAGAAAGCGCGGTGAAGTCATGACCGATGGAGTCCGGCGGGCGCAGCGGCCATTTTGCGCAATTCCCGAGATGGGACGCGACAACTGCCGAACTGCCTGTCTGTCTCACTCCTTCTCCTTGAATAATCAATTGCCAATTGCCAAGATGACAACTTTGAGATTTGTGCGGTCGGTAGGTCATATCTGATGCCGAAGTTACTCTATCAGTAAACTCCCCACTAAACGTATGTTCCCTCCAGGTTTGGGAGTCCTTCCGGGCTAATTCGGGCCTAGAGCCTCGGTAAGTGAAGCCGATGCTCTACGACTGAACATCTATCACTAATCACTTATGCTGTCCCACATAAAGCCTTTTGGATAGCGTATGTGGATACACAAGCAGCGTTTGAATCCCGTTGAAATGAATGCTTATCTCTCAATCTAGCTTCGTGTGACTGCTGCTCGGCCTGGAACTGTTAACTTCGAGCTAGAGGTCCAGAAGCAACACACTGTAAGTACACAGGCCTATGGGGAGCAATTTGGAGATTCTATTATGAATTGGGAATCTTTATGTGTCCTTGCTTCATTGACCTAATACTTCATTCTTGACTAACTATGTTCATAGAACCGCTTGAACATCCTCCATGGAGGTACTATTGCAAGCATGGGTAAGCATTCCTGAAACGGCAAAATCGAGATAGTATCAAAGTACTGAACTTCTCTTCTTTTAGTTGACCTTGGTGGGTCTTTGGCTGTAGCATCTCGTGGTTTGTTTTCAACCGGCGTGTCAACCGACCTGAATGGTAGGTTCATTCTATTAATGAGCGACTGATATGCGTTTGGAGTGTTAGTCATGCTGATACTTTTTGGGCAATAGTCACATACTTGAACTCCGGTGGCAAAGTTGGTGACAAAATCATGGCAGTAAGTTGTCTGTCACGGCCATTTCCAAGCCCTAAACTAACGTGAATATAGGAGGTTACCTGTGATAAGTGTATGTGCAGAATGTCCACACCATATGTCATGACTAACATTATCTAGTCGGGAAAACTCTTGCTTTCACGAACATCAAGTTTACCAACGCCAAGGGTGATATCGTTGCTCGTGGTAGCCACACTAAGTAAGTTCATTCAAATGACTTTTGCTTATTCCGTTCAAGCTAATCGAGTTAAGATACGTCACTTTGGCCTGGAGGGACCCCCAGAATATCGTGGAGGAGATTAACAAGATCAAATAACGGGCCAGTGTCTATATGGTAGTTAGTTCAGTTGTACAGAATATCACTTCCTAGAGTATACGCCGCTGGTCTGTGGTTGAAGGGATGGCTTCACGAATAAGAATAAGGCATCGCAATCAAATATCATTGATGCGGAATTTATGTCAATCCCGCTACTTTATCAATCAGCACAAGTGCTGGGTAAACATGTTCATACAATATCTCCATCCTCGTCTTCATCGGCGCCCATCATATCTTCATCTTCATCTAGAAGACCATCCTCTCCATCAGGAGCAGCATCGTCAATGATCATCTCCCCATCACCCATAGCCTTCACCTTGGCTTGTGTCATCTCAAAGACATACTGACCGAGATGTTCGACTCCTTCCATAGGGGTGCCCGCGACGTCAGCGTCCAGCGCTCGAGTGGTTGGGAACAATTCACCGGGAGCAAGCATCAACTTGTCCGGACGTTGCAAAAGCCGATCAAATGCGGGCTTGAGCTCGTAGCAGGATTCAAAGACCTCGCGGCGACCAAGGATGTATAAACCTAGGCGAGCACGTGACAAGGCCACAGTTAGACGGCGGACATCGCGCAAGTATCCAACAGTGCGGGTGCGAGTCAGCGAAAGGATAACGTCTGGAAGATGGTTAAAATGGTGGTTCACGTAATGGCATTAGTCATGGTGGGAGTTGAACTTACAATCATTCTGTTCTCCTTGGTACCGATCCACGGTTGTCACAATCTTGGGAAGACCGAATAGTGGGTTCTTAGCACATCGGTGGTTCAAGACATCCCGAATCAACGCCGTTTGTCCAGCATACGTAGCCAAGATTGAGATCTTCGCGGCCGGATAACCCAGCAGACGCATGTACTGGTATAAGGCCACCGCATACTCTGCCTCACCCAGATTCTGAATGAAGTAAGGAGTCGGCTCTCGCTCGCCAGTGCCCTGGTAATCAGGAACATTGATGAACTGATAATCGAATTGGAAGCCAGCATTCGCCATCTGGAATTCCGGCAGGGTTTCGACCGATGGGAGGTCTCCCAATTCTTGGTAGCGCCAGCGGAAGAGCTCTGCAATGCTTGGCCGGGATCTACCTTGCTTGTCCAGAGTAATCACGGGCACACCTAGTCGGGCCAGGCGGAGGAAAAGACTCTGCTCGAAGTGCGCGTACTGTCGGAAAGCCATATTTTGAATGATTGGAGAGTTCTGGAAATGATCACCACAGAGAACAACACGTTTGAGAGGCAGTTCGCCGTTTTTCATGTTTTGAAGAGCGGCGGGAATGAAGCTCTCCACTTCAGTTATCTGAGCCGCCTCTTCCATAACCACGTTATCATAGTGGAATCCCAAATCGGCAATCTCTTGTCGGCGCATTGCTGCGTGTGTCGATGTCATTGCAATCACACGGGCCTCTTTCAATAGTAGGTAATTAGCCTTGTCCCGGGGTTGGCGTAAAATCTCGAAGGGTCGAATATCCTCGAGCTCAGTGAAGATCCGATCAATGTGTCTTTGACACCCCGAGGCAACATCCAGTATTGTCTCTTTCGAAGCATCTGCCTCAAATAAGGGCTGGGGTGCATTTGAGAAGTAATCATGGAATGGGAATGAGGCGATAACATCCTCAGTGGAAGTTTCTTCTGAGCTGGCTCTATCCCAGAACTTAGCCCATGCCGGTTGAACATAGACCATGTTGAAATAGCCCGCAGTCTCACAAGAGTTCCCGTGTGCGCCTTCAGCTCTAATCGAAGCCGCCAGCCGCATGACTTCTGACAGATAATTGGTGCGATTGTCAAGGAAGGATTCGACTCTGCCGTGTTTGCTGTAGTTGGAATCAGTATCCAGCTCCTCCTCACCATGGCCCAGTCGCAAAAGATGACGCTCGTCGATATCTAAGGCGATGATTTTCTGGAACAGCTGGTTGAGCGCCTGGTTACTGTGTGCAATAAGGAGCGTGCGCTCAGTGGGGAAATTATGGTAGAGGTTATTGATAATTTGAGTCGCAACATCAGTTTTACCAGTACCAGGTGGGCCAACAATCACCGTAAGGCCTGGCTGAGTACCGGACGCGATGGCTTCAACCTGGGCAGGTGTGAACCTCACGGTGTTGTGCTTAGGTGCATCAACAGGGTAGGGACCAGGGTTCGGCAGCTTGTATGACGAGACACGTATGGTACTAGGGCCCTGCTCCGCTTGTCCAGCTTGGTCTCGACGTCGTTTCTTTGCGGGGGCGGAAGATTCTGTCGGCTCACTCTCAACGGACTCGAGAACATAGGGAGGACCGAAGCTGGCTGATTCGGATCCAGATGGTTCAATGGTTTTTCCGGGGTAGCTCTCCACCAAATGGGACCAGTCCAAGAAGGTATCGCGGAAATCAACAGATTGGAGACGATTAGGCAACTGGGTGTACTGAGCACCTGCAGGGTCACCATATCCGAGGAAAATATCCTGAAGCCACGGGGGAAGCGTCATATCAGACACAATCAGCTTTTGCATTGTCTCCAAAATTGATTTGAAGTTATTCTCTCGACCCTTTCGTCTCGCAACTACATTAATCAAAGAATAGATATCCGGCTTTCCTTGAGTATGGAGATCCGTGTCGGCCTTGAACGACGCGGCGTCCAAATTGACAAGGAGTTTGCGGACCCGCGGGCGAGATTGATAGCCATTCGTTTGACCACCAGCTGGCTGTCGCAGTGGACGGCCTTGCTCATCAAGAACTTGTACGATTTCCGCGGTACGGAGGTGCATCATGCGCGGTCCTTCCGCGGCAGTATCATCTCGAATCCCCAGCTGGGTGGATGATGAGGATTGAACAGCTAGCAAATAGACAACATCATCAGGACGGAGGGATTCCCATTCCTTGCGGACGTTGTCTGCGAGCCTTCCCACTTCGATTGCGATCTCTGCACGAACAAAGGCCGGGTTTGTTGAGCCCACCTTTGCGGGTGCGACTTCAATAATAGCAGGCTTAGAGATAGGGATCGCCATTCGTGAGAATCCCTCAAAGCTCAAGCTTCCAGTGCGGTTCGCTCGGGGTTGCATACGCTTGACAAGAGCCTCCATGTCCTTACGGATCTGGAAGAAAGCCTCGGACCTATACAGAAGGAAGGATCGCCAAAGGAAGTCTCCGGTACTCAAGTATTGAAGGTTCAACTTTGGAATCGCCAGTGGTCTGGATCCATCGTAGGTCTCGTTCCTCAACAATGCGGGGTCGTAGAGGCTCTTTTCGGTGGGAATCACACTCAACTGGGATGCAACTTCTTGGAAGGACAGCTTGCGCTCATAAAAGGAGAGGAGAACTTCCAAGCATAGCTGGCGGTCTGGAGTAATGTTAGATGATTTGGGATAGCTTGTTCGGAATCCCAAATGAGAGCATAGGCTCTGCAGCTCTGGCTCGTCCAAAGAGGCCAGTTGCCCTTCAAGCTCAGTCCGCTTATCAATTGAACCCAGATTAGAAAGGGCAAGAATCATTAATTTATCCTTGAAATACTTCATCGAGGTTCTCTGCAGATGCGCCAACTCCTTGCAGTGCAAATCATAGACTGTCTGGGGGGACAAGGCGTCTCCTGAATAATCATCAATTGCAAAATTGATGAAGTGCTTGAGAAGTTCGTAGAGATCACGGAAAAGAGCATTCTCTGGGATGCGGTACAATTGCGACAGGCGAATGACGGGTAGTAGGTTGAGATCCTTGAGAAGCGTATTGGTGTAGCGCCGCGTTGGCAGCTGGCTTAAAAGGTCCACAAGCAGCTCCAAAAATCGCTCGCAGTAAAGTAAGTTCTCGGTCCGTTGCTTCTCTGGGCCGTTCAATTTCTGCAAGAAATCTAGCAGCATAGTGTACAGCCAAGACCGTTCGAATCGGCTCTTGGCCTTCATCGCCTCATCACTCGCGTCGTATCGCTTTCCCGCGGCCTTCCATGCCTTTTTCAGGGCAGTAGATTTGGCAATCACCCGATCCCTGGCATCCTCGCTAGCCAAGTTATGCCAGATAGAGATTGAAACAAGCGGGGCGCATTCCTTTCGAATCAGGACGTTTTCGAGGGACTGAAAAGCACCGATAATGAATGAGATGATCGACATGCGCGAATGGGTTGGTAGTGAAGGGTCGATGCTCATGGAAAGAATCCGATGGAAGAGACTTGAGAAGTCATCGCTGCGGTCGGAGAAAATGTCTGCATTCACTGTCAGTACGCGTCCAATTTGGCGCATCCGCTGTTTTAACTCGTTCACTCACTCCAGATAGGCAGATGTTCGCGATATTTCACGCTCACGATAAGGGTGATCAGAAGGACGTGATGATTGGAAGCATCTTCAGTGTAGGTCGGCCAAAGGAACCTGTAGGTGAATGGGTTAGCCCTGCGGGCACTGGAAATTTCATCGCGAGTAGCGTACTTCTCTAGAACATTCAGGTTCTCCAAAATCAGAAGAGAGCGACTGTTGAAACCCTCTGCCTCTAGCGGATCCCACAATTGCTGTTTGATCACATCGGGTTTGGCCTTGCGGACCTTCGCATCTAACCAGTGGGCCTTGGCCAACTTCACCCACGGGCTATCCTCGCGAAAGTCCACCACCGTCGGTCTGGATTCGAGACTCTGCGCCATCGCAGCACTCGATTGTCCCTGTTGGTAAACTGGGGTTGATCAAGGACGTCAGGTGGAGTAGCGCAGGTCGGGATCTTGAGTTGAAGCTGGGGGAGCTTTTTCGGAAAGTCTTGGCTTTTCTCTCCGCCGAGCCGCAACCACAACCCCCTTCACCTCTGTCACGGGCCCTGTTTTCTCCCTTTCTCACCACACTCACTACAATTGTCTACCTTCACCTTTCTCTCTGTCTTGATCAAAGATGGCCTCGGTGGAAGTTGAGGCGGTTCAGGTCTACAGAGGGCTGGTGGACAATCTTCTCGACCGCGCGGCGAAAGTCAAGACCGACAAACAGATTGAACCCCCATTGACTGAGGCGCTTCTGGGAGATCGTATTTGGCAGCTTCCAGTTGATGACAAGGCTTCCGAGAAACCCTTGAATCAGCAGACTCAGTTTGCTGCCGTTGAGATTGCCTTTCGCGAGAAATTCTACCATATCCTGGTACGGCGCATCCGTTTTCTTACCCACAAGCTTGATAACATTGAAGTTGCTAATGACTCGACGGTTTTCTACTTAGGCCTCCACCTCTATCAATGACCCCTCTTTCATCCATATCTGGAATCTCCTTGATCTTGTGTCCATATTCTCCGACAACGGTCAGTCGCCTGACAGCATACCCAAGCCAGGATGTCTTTGCTGACACCCTCTAGAACAATGCGAGCCGGGTCTCATCTTCTGGCTTATCGAGGAGCTTTTGGATAGCCAAACAATTGATGGCTGCCGCAAAGTATTTGACTATCTGGAGTCACGTCGAGAACGAAACATTAAGGTATGTGAGACCCTTCTCATAGCTACTCATGCAAGGGTCCTAGCTGCTAAGCCTGATCAAAGAAACACTTCAAGCAAAAGAGCTTGATCATCCTCCGATCCTGCAATGAACTCCTTCGTCGACTATCACGAGCAGAAGATACGGTCTTCTGTGGACGAGTATTTATCTTCCTTTTCCAAAGCTTCCCACTCGGCGATAAAAGTTCGGTCAACCTTCGGGGAGAGTTTCATACGGAGAATGTTACCACCTATGATGAGATTGTGAAATCGACCACTGAAAACGATGACGGGGACACCAGCATGACTGACGGAAATGATGGTTCTGCTACACCTGATGGACAGCCTGATCAGGGCAACAAAGATGACGGAGCTACACCTGAAATAGACTCACGAGTGCCTAAGGTCATTTTTTCTCGTGGTCGAAAGGATAAGCCCAAGGAAAAAGTGGATCTGGATGCCCTATACCCCATCTTCTGGAGTCTACAGTCCTATTTCTCGGCACCGAGCAAAATGTTTGATGCTGAGCGTTTTGCATCTTTCAAGAGTGGCCTTGAAGCTACATTGCACGCTTTCAAGAACATCAACACTGACCTTGAAAACCAAGGCCCTGCACGATCAGAAGATACGTCAAGGTCTCACAAGCGTAAACGCGGCGATGAGGCCGAGGTTGGCACAAGCTTCAACCCCAAATACTTGACTAGTCGAGATCTTTTTGATCTTGAAGTAAGTGATACTGCGTTTCGACGACACGTTCTTGTTCAGGCCCTCATTCTCCTTGACTTCATGTTGTCTCTGACTTCCAAGTCCAAAGGGCGCTTGGCAGACCTGACTAACAAATCGGTGCTCTATGGTTTTGTGTTGAGCGAAGACGACGCTAAATGGGTGGCAAACATGCGCAAGAGCATTGAAGGCTACCTGCAACAGGGCAATGGCGGGAAGTTCTACTATCGTATGGTGGACACCGTTTTGTCTCGGGACAAGAATTGGGTGCGATGGAAGGCCGAAGGCTGTCCGCCTATTGAGCGACCGGCCATCTCCGTGCCTGACTACATGAAGGCGCGAGACGAGGCAAGAAAGACCTACTTTAACAGGCGTCTTCGTCCGTCACCCATGGGAGCTCTAGATTTCAAGTTCCTCTCAGGTACCGAAGCATTGGCCAACATTGAACGTCTCAAGGAATCGGACCGGTATTCCGTCCCTACTGTTGAAGTGATCATGAAGAATATCATGAATGATGAGATGGACATCGACATGGCGATGACTGACGAGGACAAGGAAGCCGCCATCCGAGCTAAATCCAGCAAGACCTGGCGCATTCTTCGTCTGGCGGCCAAGTCAAAACTGTCAGCATTTGACAAAATCGACGACGGCAAAAATCTTGAGGTTCTATTTGAGGCCCCCGCCCTGCCGACAGACACGCCCCAAGCCACGGAAGGAGCCGACGATGATGGGAACGAAGACATCAAGGACGCTCCTGAGGAAATCGACGAGGAGGCGCAGCAAGCGCAGGAAACCGCCGTTGAGAGCAAGGACGTCACCGACGTCCCCGAGCAAGAACCGAATATCACTAGCGACGACACGGTCATTAACCAAGGCGCCGACATCCCTAGCGCGGCTTCCGGAGATAAACCCATGGAAGACTCAACGACCTGATAGCGTGGCGGGTCTTCCACATGAAAGTTTAGGCAGGATGCTTATGGCTTTGGCCCCCTTTCTCGATTGTGCGGAGCATTACCCGCAATGGGTATCGCTTGGCAGCCATAGCATCTGGACCAGCCACATTCCATGGTTCTGGTCGCTTACGGGATTGGCTTGCTGCAGTATTGTGCTGGTGCTGCAGGACAATGCTATTCTTCCATGTTGAAAGCACAATGACTCCTTCCATGTGCCCACTATGCCGATGACACACGCCTTCCGCTTCACTTGCCGCTTGGCCATGTCCTCATGACCTTTCCCTTTGGCTAATAGCGGCTTTCAGGAGAATCCGACCAATGGCTGCCCTTTGAAGATGCAGTCGTCTGGTGTTTGACTGCCCACTTTCAACTGTTGGGGAATTGCAAGGCCCACTGCAGAAAAGGCTAAGGCAAATCGATGTCGATCACAAGCAAATATCATGTTACCCGAATTTTTACGGAGCAGAATAGAGCTTAGCGAGGAAGGCGAGACCGATAACACCTAACTCCGAAAGAAGAAAGGAAAGCGTCCTTATTCACTAATGAAGCGGGCAGGGTGGGACTTCAGGTGACTTTTGATGTTGAACTAGCTACCGACGTGGGGTCCAAGACTTTTGTAGCTGATCGGCAACTCTATTGAACCGTGAGGTTCCTGCATGAAATGAACCATAGCACTCCAATTATTCAAGTACCTTTTATTTTTTGTCAAATCCTTTTCTGAATTTTACACTTTGTACCTTGTGCAGTAGTCAGGATTCTACCCCTGATCTAATTGGAGTGGGAAGGCTGGGGCGCCGAACCGTCGCAGCCATGTTTCACCTTGCACCAGACCATTGAACTAAAGTACCGTTGGGAAGCATCGGTATCCGAAGGTTGAAGCTACTACTCCTTCGCTCACGATTAGCGGCAAAAAAGAAAAGTGGAAACCAGAATTTTTCTGGCCCCTGACGGATCCTCTAGACAATTCTCCGGGTTTTCCGTAGGAGAAGGGGCTAGCTACAGATGTGGATTGTGCTTCGCCCTTCATGATGGAGTTCGCAGGACGGATTATTCTCGAAGAAGACGCTCTGGTCGCATAGGAGACCGTGTGTTAGGAACTGTGTGGACCGCCGCTTCAGTCGGAGAGTTGCGAACTCCACAAGTGGAGATCAAAGTCGACGCTTACAACAGGCGACATCGTTTTTTTCCATTTTTGCCTTTTTACCTTTGTCTCTCCGTCGCAAGAGTTTTCCGATCTGGAAGTGCACAGGCCAAGGTCTAGGAACTAAGGCGGATATTTCAATAGATTCAAACCCGTCAGGACAAGTAGAAGTTTGTTCTCTAACCACGCGATGTCTTCCCAGTTCAGAAGTATGATCCGTGGAAACAGCACGGCCGTTGGTGTCAAACCAGACTTTTCGGTCGAATTGACCCGCTTGATGGAGTGAGCATTTTATTTTTCCATAAGTACCTGATCTATTTCACCGAAACAGTACATTGTAAAGATCCCTGGTGCATTTTGATCTGCAAGGCTTTGACCCGGCCGGTTTTGCCGGCACGAACGTGCATCAGGGGAGACGAGATACGGAACACTTGTAAGCGATCGGCTTGCGTCACCCTCGACCCTCCGCTATGACGACGTGCATCTACAAGTAAGCCGGCGATACGAAACTGGAGGAGTCTTGGCGTAGTCCTTTTCACACCCGAAATTAAAGTTGCCACGATTCTGTTTTCCACGCGATCAGAACTTCGATCCGATTCCCCGCACCGTTTCCATAGAGACTGTAGACTGATAAGCATAGAAAGCCTTTCATACTCAGGCACAGTACCTGACATTTTGAGGTAGTTCGGACCGACAGCACTTTGGATATATCCCGCTCCAACTTCGGTAAAAAAAGAACCCCGCCAAAGCTAACCCGGATACGAATACTGGAGCCCTGGAGTACTCCATCCCAGTTTCTATAACATAACCTTGGAAATCTTCGAGATCCGTCCCCCACACGGAGTTGACCGCGTCATAAGAATAAGAGACATTGACAGGCTGTGCAGGTGGACGTGAAAGGACCGAGACTAGTGTCAGCGATCGACGGAGGTTTCGGCCGTAGGAAATGCTCGCTGCGCTCTGTGATTCGGGATCGCTGGGCTCCAGGACCAACGGGTCCGAGATTTCTCCTCCGAAACCCAGACCAAAGTCAAGTCCCCAGTTTGTCTCCACGTTGCCTCGATTCAAAGTCTCCGATGTGTCCTGCGTAATGGGCAAATGGGGCCAGTTAGGGTCCCCACTCACTATTGATCCCGGGTATGCACTGTAGATGTAACTAGGCTGCTAGTTTAACGTCCAAAAAATTAATAAATGAAAAAAAGAATGATTTTTGATGGAAAAATGCTAATTCTTTTCCATTTTTCCATTTTTCCATTCTATTTATCGGTCATGCTTCTTCTTCAGTGCCACACCCGCAGGATATGACCTCATTTGGGATTCCCAGTCCGGTAGAGATGTGCACTATAGGATAGAGTACGTAGACAAAGACTACTTTCAAAAATCAAAGTGGATTTAGTACGAGAATTGTATTGTAGAAAAATTTCGCCCCCGGAAAAATCCAGGCCTACTCGTAGTTAATTAACGGTTAATTAGTTAATGAGTTGGTCCACAGTAAATTTCTGACTCGTCGAACAAATTATCCCTTAAACCCTGTGCAAAGGAGTGCTTCATTTCCCAACTGTGACTTGGAATGTTTCATGGCTCTGAATGTGGAGATTTCAAGGAGCTTTCCCTCGGTGGGGACGCCCTTGCGACGGCTACTGAGCCACGGGTAACCCTAATAGTGGGTTTGAGGCCCGGACTCCGTGGCACCGGGTGGAACATTCGGCTGTGAATCTGTATTGTATGATTTTCCAATTCATTCCAAGACTACACCGTATTACTCTTATGCACTCAGGGGCGAGGAGTTCTTGTTCAGGAGGCTCTAACGCAATACGCTCTATAGGGGGGTTTCTGTTTTTCTTTTCCGGTTTTCCTTCCATTCTATGTTCTTTTTACTGGTCCAACTGAGCCGACTACTCTTAGCCCCATCACAGGTTTCAGGGCTCATACGAGGCCATTTTTAATATTCTGGTTGAGACATTCATTGACCATGGATCGTGGGGTTGAAGAACATCCCAGCTATCACATTGGCATTCCTGTTTTTGATTTATCAAATAGTAATAGTAATAATTCCAAAATCATCAGCATCATCATCATCATCATCATCATCATCATATTTGATTACACTCCCCTCACACCACTCGGTTGGTTCACATCTCCACTGGGTCAGCCACTCATGCACCCTCTCACATCACACCCATTGAGAGTGGACTGTGGCGGGCAGCACGCTGAGTGGCTGACAGCTTTTCCTTGATCGATGCCCCCGAGGGTCCGGCGGGCGTTAGACTGACCTATGGAGCCAGCACGCCAGCCATCCCGACAGGTTTCCCACATGGTGACCAGCCTCAATGCGTGCCGGTGAGCAAGGGTCTGATAGCGGTTGGCTGATGGCCCATGCAGCAAATCGATATCGGAGGGGCTAAGACCACTTCTGCCTTGCCACGAACAGATCGCCCACTAGGTCGTCGGAAATTTTTTCTAATGGTCTGTCTACGCCGTGAACGCCCCCGGAGGAGATGTGGATTACGGTGTACATCTGGTGTTTTCGGCACGGGAGAATGAAGTCTGAGAATCCCATATACTCCGTACTCCGTAGAGTATACTACAACATGTGGCGGGTATCCACGAGGTGGGACTTGTGAATGTGTCCACCTCAACCGTTTCCTTGGGTTATCCAGGAGCTTGTCTGGGTCTTTGAGTTTTTGAGGAGATTCTAGTCCGCTTCCTCTGTTTCCACCTTTTTTTTATTTTCCTTTTTTATTTTTTATTTTCAGCTCGGGTTGAACCGCGATTCGCCACACCCAGGATGGGTCTACCTTCCATGCACGAAGTGTCCTGGCCGTGGTGATTACTCGGGGCTGTAAAAGCCCTGTGCTTTGGGTACGGCACTTACCATACGTACTCTTGTAGACGCAAAAGATTTATTCTGCATGATTCTATTACCCCGTACTTTTTTTTTTTTCCCTTCCAGACTTGTGGTATCTTATTCCTGTTCCGTACGTTTCAACCGGTGACCAGTGTTGCACCATATACCGAATGTGTGCACCACGATCTAGAATGTGAGATCCTTTTTTCCTTTATTAAAGATATCGAATTTCCAATTTCTATAGACTAATCCTGAAAGAGAATAATTTGCCTCTGGGATCGCTGATCCTTTCATGACCCGATGTAGACTTGTGCACCGATTCCACGGCCATTAGCACCTCGTCTTCGCCTTCTACACCCCTCTTTCCGGCCCACTTATTTTCTCTTAAGTCCAGTGGCACAAAGTTTAGAGCATTGAAGTATTCCTTGCTTTTTATGATTGCTTTTGCCTTTCTCCTCTCGCCGTTTTGACCGTTGTAAAGATCGTCCGAATAACAAACGTATATCACTTCCGTGTCTAGTCGAGTGGATGTGGCATTTGTTATAGGTGGTATTCTGTGTCACCCGTACAAGTCAACTTTGATTTCCCTTTGGTGGACCCTAGGTATTTGGCTTCCGTTTTTTTTAATATCTGGTGATTATTTCCACTGCCTGTTCCGCTTGGTTCCATTACGGCCTTTCGTTCGATTCCTGACTGTATTTTTTCTTTCTTCCTTTTCCTTGCTTCGTCATTGTTTAGATCTCCGCTTGATCCCTGGTAAAACACCAGTCATAACCTCTTGGCCACCCCTCTCTCGGCTTTTACTCAGGTACCGTAGTAGAGCCATTGTGGTAGCCCTCAAGGCTGATTCACGAAACCTGTCAAGATCATCCTATCTCGGTGATCCGAGATCTAAAGACGCTTTGGTAGCCCCGTGGTCCCGCTCTTGACATTGCACCTGAGCAACTCTCGGCGCCTAAGGATCTACCTCCCCTCTTGGGTCTCTTTTTCT